TCCTATCCATATTCATCGTGGCATAGGTGCCTAGGGTCTCTGACTTCTGTCTGTTTTTCCTTATTATGTCTGAAATATAGTCCTTTTTCTTCGCACACTGTCTAGTGTTTGTTAGGTATCTGGTTATCACACTTTTCTCTTTGTTCCTGTAGTAGTTTGTGACTGTCTTTGAATATTATTTATGGTGCTTCATTTTCCCAATTGTTTGTTTCCTATGTATCTTCATATTCTGATTCAGTTTCTCCTTCCAAGTCTGTTTGTTCTGGTGTCACAATTCCTTAGTTTGGGCCTGTTGCTGGATCATATGTTTGTTGTTCTATCATCGCGTTCTATCGTATTAACACTGGTTGTTTTCCTTGTTCAATCCATTTGTTCTGTTTCTGCTATCCTTATTATTGCTATATATCAGGTACTTGTTTGTATATGTTGTTGAGTTTGTTTTCTGGTGGCTATAGATAGGTAACTTTCCTTATTGCCCTAAGGTATTATCTGATATTCTGTGAGTCTTAATAGCCTCCTCTACCCTGTTCCTTCTTATGGCTACTAGTCTTAGATGTAGTAGTAGCGTTAAGGTGCTTCTTGGTATCCCCTTATTTCTTCCTATAGTCTTTTGTGATATGCCTGGGTTTCTCGCAGTAGAAATATAGCTTCTTGTCCCTATATCTTTTACTTTTCTTAGTATTATAAGGTTGTTTTTTGGTAGCGTCTAATTCCATGGGTGTGGTGCCGTAATTATTGCGTTTGTTTGACCCTTTATATTGGTTTGCTTTCCAGAAAGTGTTCTTTCCTTATTATATGTTTTGTAGATTATAGAGTTGATTGTCGATGCGTACTGCCATTTTAACCATTTGTTCAAAACTATTATATGGTCCTATCTTGATGGTTTTATATTGGGTTTCTGGTTTTAGTCCTTATTCAAATATAGCCATTTTCTACTCATCGTTGTGGATTCCTAGTTCTTGACAGATCTGCTATAGTTGCGCCGCGTACTGCGCTGCGTCCCTGGTTTATCTAAGTCCCTATAGTTTGTATTATAGGGTCCTCTTTCTGTTGGTGTCTCTAAAGAATTGTCTGAGTACTTGTTTAAATTGCGCGTAGCTGTTGAGTATATCTGTATATAGTATGGGTTATCCTCTAGTGTTAGTCCAGTCCTTGAGATATAGTTTGAACCATGTTGCTACTGCCTCTCACATATAAGATCCTGCGAAGATAACTTTTTCCATATTAGTAACTCTTGGTTTAGTTACTAGATAGATGTTGTATTCCTCTAGAAAGTGTTCTAGTTTGGCACGGTCTCCTTTATAAGTATTGGGTTCATGGATCTTAATAGTAGTTCTCTTATCTCTGGTTCTGACTCTAAGTATGTTAATAGCGTCTTTGTGACTTTTAACTTGTTTTAAAGTCTGTTTAATGATATCTTTGTATTTATTAAGTAATCTTTATTATTCTTCCACTTGTTTATTAGTCTTATCCAGCTGCTTATCATTGGGTTGCTCTTCAATTCTTTTTTCCAACTCGATGATTTTCTGTCGCATTTGCCCTAACAAGGCGTTAGTGTTGATGGTTAGTCCACTTGCTAATAACATATTGGCTCATCTTACTTTAGTATATTCCTATAGTTAGTATACTCTCAGGGGTAGAGTGATACGTACCTAGTTTTGTCCTTCTAGATATATAATCATAAGTCACTTGGGTCGGAGTATCTATAACAATATGGTGGCTCTAGTAAGTCGGAATTACTTTTGCCTCTTTGTAACCATAAAGTCGGGGCTCTATCAAGTCAAAATTAATTATGCCTCTTTATAACCGTGAAGTCGGGGTGATCAATATCATAAGCTGATGGCGCTCCTTGATTACCTAAAGGTAATTAAAGGTTCACACCTGCCGTAAGACAGAAGGTACAAAGGTCTTAGGGAAAGCTTGGGTTAGAAGTAAGTCATTATAGGAGATAGCTTAGTACTAGGGTGAGATAGAATACTATAGCAAGACTATCCCTCAGTTCTAAGTGTGGCTTTAGTCAGTGCCTGGGTTAGATGAAGGCTAAAGGTCCTTGTGAGTAGTGAAGACAAAGTTGATCTGCGTTAATAGGTAAAGGGGTATTTGGTGAATGTAGTATAAGACAACTAGAATGGTGCTTTATATTGAGTAGTATGGTAAAACTGTAGCTGGTTTGATCGCGAGTATAAGACTCTTGATCCTGTAGAAATGAGTATCCTTATATATATTCCCTGAAAGTCTATGTCACTGGCTTTCCTTTAGTCTATCACTTAGACTACAGGCGGAGTCCATCCTTTGGACTATATTCCTAGTCCAACACTTGGACTGTACTCGTGCCTCCGCGCTACCAACCTGCCTGTTGGTGCGCCCCAGCGTAACGATAATATCAGCGCAACGATAATTTTAACCAAAGCATCAACTTATTAAATTCATCCACACCCAACTATGCACTATATAGTGTTATTTTGGTTGCCTTCGAGATAGTTAATCGTATCTCTATCTTCGTTATATATAATACCAAACTCTTGATGCCAAGTTGGCCGATCTGCTTGGTGTTTTTGGACCAGCTGCTCCTCTGCCTTCTTCCGCTTTGCCCACTCCTTTTTTGCCTCCTCTGCCTTACGGACTTCAATATGTCGATTGGCATCCTTTACCCGTAAGGGGCCACCTACGTTCACCCTGCGACGTGTCCTTGGAGCCTTATATCGCTTGGTTGTTCGTAAAAAGTCATCGAGATCTGCCCCCCGTTGAGCACTGAGTTCCGCCTGGACAAGACTTCCTGTAAATATCTTTTGTAGCTGGCTATTGAGACGAGGAGATATCGAATCCAACTCATTTTGGACATCATCTAGACTCCTTTTTGCCTTGGTAATACAGTCCCGGAGTCGCTGTACTGTCTTCGGTGATAATAGTTGAGATGACGGGGCCGCTGGAGAAGCATCTCCATCGAACATTTGAAGCTCTGGTGTCGGACTAAGCCTCTTCTGTAAAGGCTCAAGGACTTTATTAGGATTCCATGGAATGATGCCTCTATCTACAAAAGAGTGGATGATTGTTGCTGGTTTAAATGCCTCCTTTCGTACGCCTTCTAAAGCCACGAGGAACTCTCGCTTATTGAACTGAGAACAACCAACCCTTGCAGCCTTGTTTACTGCCTTTGAATGGTAGTGTTTATATTGCTGAAAAGGCTTCCCATCGAGCGGCTGAAGCAGGTGAGTTGTATGAGGCGGAAAAGAGTAAGGAATAATGTCATTCTCTTCGCAAAAAGATAGGAACTGGTGTGTAAGATGGGATCCGTGATTATCCATTAAGAGCATTCGATACCGGCCAACCTGTCGCTTTTTTGAATAAGTATCGAAGTGTAGTAGCCATTGGAAGCCCATCTCATCAGTTGTATACCCATTCTCGGTTGTTACAATGAAGTAGTTGCTTGGGAGGGACGTATTTAGATACCAGTCCTCCATCTGATGCTTCCCTGCAAGGATAAGGCAAGGTGGAAGAAGAGAGCCATCCGCAGCAACAGTTTCAATTGCAGTAATTAACTCGCGCGAGAACTTCGAGGAAATAACGTTATTAAGCTCCGGATAGGCTGTAATAACTATCTCTCCCCTTCCCTGGCCAACCTGGAAGCCGATTTCATCCATGTTGTAAAGGTCTGCTGGCTGGATGTGATGCTGCCTCATGGAGATCTTTAATCGATCAAAAAACGTCTGTATAAGCCCTAGATCTTCTACCTCGATCCTCTTTGGGTCCATTGGCTTCCTCTTTACCCTCTCGTAGCCTGGCAAGCGCTGGATAAACCGATATGGCCACATTTTTCCAACAATAGGTGGTTCAGTATCCGGATCTGTATGATTTCGTAGGAGGATGCTATTTGCGCAATTCTTCACCATCTCCACGGTTGGGGCATGGCCGGCACGGTCTAATTGATGAATCCACTGTTTAACTACCTTCTCCTGATCCTCCGTAAGGCATTTATTAGTTGGTTGCGTAGATAACTTCGATGGGATACCTTTTGACCGGCGGAGGAGTCGCTGATACGGAACCTCATATTCACGGGCAAGAACCGCGAGTTTTTGCTTTTTATCGCGAGAATATTGATCTAGAGCCTTTTGAATGCGTATTTCTATATCTTCTGAGCTAGATAACATATTGGTGGTTAATAAATAAAATGATGAAGTTGATAAAGTGATTATTTAAAAATAATTATCATTGCGCTGATATTATCGTTACGCTGGGGCGCACCAACAGGCAGGTTGGTAGCGCGGAGGCACGAGTAGTTGGAGTCCATCCCTTAGACTGGTCCTGGCCTTGGCACGTTGGACTGCTAGTCACGTGATCCTAATAGTTATTCCGTTCCGGAATCTTGTTATCCAATGAGTGTACTTATCTAGGCTGCGCCGTAGATGGTCTGTAACACCCACCACCCATGTCTCGCGCCAGTAGTTATTAGTTATATACTCGGCGGAGAACTTACTTATTCACCAGCTCTGGTTGAAGGTGAAAGGGATTGACTTTGACTGTGTTCATGAGAAGAACTTATAAGACAGATTAGTGAAGGGAACTTGAGTCTATATAATAGTTAATCCAACCTGATTAGTTAGATAAAGAGGTGATTGCTACCACTTATAGTATATGCTAGGTAGTTTTTAGCTTAATAGGGTGGAGTTTACCTTATTATAGACATGCGGAGCATCCGATATAAATGGTCTACAGGAGTGTATGCCTCAGTGAAAAGTAGCCATTCTCAAGCTCTACATGGAAAGTACAGCGTATTGTATAAGGATAAAAACTACACGTTTGCCCTTGGGTAATGTAGCATTTTCTGACGAAAAACTCGATGCAGTTAGCGGTGCTTGCTCTTTCTGCACTGCGGGGTAAATATCGTTTTCATTATATAACATCCTGACCTATGCTATAATATAGGTAATCATCTCTTCTATTAACCAACAAAGCAACGTTTCTGTGCCAATTACTACTGTCCGCAACGTCTATTGGCAAAAATGGTTCTCAAGCTCTATGGCTCAGCCATGTCTACGGCCCGTGTCTTGGTTACTATCCTTGAGAAGGAGTTGGAATTCGAATATATCCCTATTGATATGGCAAAGGGGGAGCAGACGACCGAGGCATATAAGCAGTTGCAACCTTTTGGTAAGGTGCCTGTGTTAGCGGACGACGGGTTCCGTATCTTTGAGAGCAGGGCAATTTGCAAATATCTTGCCAGGTAAGTGAGACATACTATGATAGATATCCAAAACGAGGTTTCGAACTTGAAGTGTATAATACATTAGAAAGTATACTACCGGGACAAATGTCAAGCCTATGGCCTCTTTGAACAAGGCTGCTCTATTGAACAGAGTTATTTTGGAGCCGCTGCTGAAATGCTTGGAACCGAGCTTGTGATCAAAAAGTATGAATCTTCTTGGCTTATCTTCTCATGCACGTTTCCTGTTTCCTAGAACCGGGTATTCCTATCTTATGACCTAACACAAGCGGCTAATTGCAACTTGAATAGGGTGAAAGGCCTTGGGCCCCCAGATGAAGTCAGGGTCGCTCAGGCTGAGGCTGCCTTTGATACAACCTTTGCAATCTATGACAGGATTCTTGCTAAGCAAAAATATCTCGCTGGAGACGAATTGACGTTGGTAGATTTATTTCATCTACCAAATGCATCGGCCTTGAAAGCACACGGGTATCAGCATGTATTTGATAAGTATCCAAATGTGGACAAGTGGTTTACGGGCTTGCAGGAAAGAGAGACTTGGATCAAGGCTACCGCTTTGACGGGATAGTGTCGAGGCTAGCTCTCAAGCTATTTAATATTCTCAATTGATATTTCTCAGAAGGGCGTTGACAAGGGGTCACAGAGAACAGCATCAAGATTGGGAGGTACCTACAAGTCTCTCACTAGAATAGATCGCTGGTAATAAAATAACCGGCTGCTTTCTATACAGACGCCATTGCCGTGCTCTCTAATTTTCTCTATTCTTCTTCGTTTAAGTCAATAGAGGACCACTTAAATACAGGAACAGCCAACTGGCAGACATCACCGCGATTAACGAAAATCCTCGAGGTGGAAGTGAAAATGGATCAGTCAAAGTTGGAGAAAAGCCCAAGCGATGCTAGCAAAACTGACATGAAAAATCTAAAAGACTTGGAGAATTTTTCTGCTTGTCTTGAAACGACCAGGGATATACTACACCAAGAACCATAGAATGCCAAAAGCGAAGAATTCAATACCCAGATTTCAACTATTATCACTATGATTCAGAAACTAGGAAGCCACGCATTGGCCGGGAAGAATCTCGGGTCGACTCGAAAGCGGCTAGACTTGGTACATTCTAAGACCGATCCGGAGTATAAGGGTGATATAAGTTCGGAAGTTCGTATCCTCGGTCAGGTTCTCCAAGGCTTCTAAGGCTAAGGGAAAGTTGAACCCAAGGGTGGCGTCTTTTGGGAAACCCCTTTAGTGAGGCGGGAACGGAAGTCTAGCGTTAGGAGCGAGCTTCTCTTCGCCGATATCGACGGGAGAGGAGAAGCCGGAGGCTGACGAGATAAAAGCTGAGAAGAACGACGACAAGAGCGAAACACCATTTGAACCCTCCGCCCGGTCTTCCTCGCGCGGGGGAAGCCCAACCCATGATATGTAGCATTAAATCCCAACTTCATATACATATTTTCTGCAAGCCACCTTGAGCAAGTCAATGCGCCGTTGCGTATGTGTAAATACTTCGCGGTACATCCGAACGTTCTGGGTCACGATCTCTGCTTTCGTCTTGGTTCCTGCGCATATATCTCCCATGCGCAACTCCATCTCTTTGCGAAGAAAAGGCTTTGTCAAGCTGGGGCAATCCGGTAAGCCAGCAACCACATTGTCGTATCCCTCAACCAGAGCAACGCCTAATTTAGTAGGGATGAATTCTTCTACCCCACCCCTCCCACCGCCGCCGCCACGCTGTCTGGTTGCAACATACTCTCTCACCTTTATCTTCGCAATATGTTCTGCCATTGTAGCATCAGTGCCAATTCCATTCGCATCCATAAGCCCAATAAGTTCCGGTTCAGTTAAATATCCAGGGGCAACCGTTTTCCCCTCTGTGATATTCGCTTCCTTGGGCTCGAAAATTTCATTCAGTGTGAAGTTCGGCAGAGTCTGGCTACTCTCCCATTTGTCGTATACATAGACATTGAGGTAGTTTCGTTCCAACACAACGAGCCCACGTGTGTGGAAATTCTCATCGCCATATTTAATCTCGACCTCGGTAGATTCGCCTTTCGCGTCTTCAGAGCAGCAGGCCAAAAATCGTCGAACAACAAACTCGTACACCTTTTTCTCATTAGTATTTAGGACAGTAGGGGCAACAAAGGCTACCGGGTGAATTGGAGGATGCGCTTTGTCATTATTCCGACCACGACGAGGCTGTTTAAACCCGCCGCCAATAAGTCTGTGACAATAGTCAGCACCTCAATGCGCTTGAACTTAGAAGTCATTCGACAGGGCTACAAGGGAGAATACGGACCCTCGGGCGTATTCACCCCACGCACTACTTTGAAATTGCTTCTCAACAAGTTTTTTTAGGTCAATGTCCTTATCGAACTGGTCAGTTTCGGTACGGGGGTAACTGATGAAGCCTTTTGTATAAAGCGTTTCGGCGACCTTTCGAAATAGGAGTTGAAAAGTTAGATGGGGTTCGAGTTTAACATCTGTCACCTGTAGCTGTACATACCTTCATAATGGTTTGACTGTCTATACGCAGGTATTTACTTCCCATCATTTGAAGATCAACCGTAGTTAATGGAAGTGGCCGCCACTTGCTAGTAGGCTTTCGGTTAACTTTGGTGACTGTAGCAATTTTTGCAGCCAGGCATCGTTCGAAGAGAACCACCACTGCAGCTCTGTCAAAAAGATGGACACGGCGCCAGCTGAAGTTCACCATAATATCATCACGGACATGAGAGACCTTAATGGACCAGAAGGTCTCGGGTTTGAAGTTTTTTACCCTAAGGTACCTATCCACTACGAATCCAAGAGTTGGAAACTGGCATGAGCCTTGACAGGTTGCGAGGTTAGCTAAGTATCTAGCACTATGTATTTGAAAGCCCCTTACCATAACTAATCACCTTCTCAGCTAGAACCCCGCCTAATGTTTGTAGTTGGAGGGTTTGGAGCCTGGTGAAGGCTGCTCCTATGCGTAAATCTAGCTCAATCCTAGCAGCAACAGCGTTCGCTTGTCGTTCATCAAGGCCGACAGGTCTCCGAGCGGCCTGTAATACATGGCTATATGCATCCGTGGTTAGACTAAGAGAAAATAAAAATACTGATCAGACCAAGGCGTACTTACGTCCGCTCTGTATTGCTAAATCTCGCCCTTTTAATTTCAATCCTTGGATTGCCTAGTACGGCCTGGTCTCGCACTTCGGAGCCAATATGTTCTCCTTCTCTATCACAGTCGGTCCAAATAAATAGGCCCTTGGAATAGCTGGCCTGTCTCTTAATGTTCTCGGCTATGCCCAATTTTTCCTGATAAAAGGCGGATAATTAGTTAGCTGCGGCCTCCTCGGCTGACAAGCAACTCTGGATCTTTTGATTGGGCTCAGACTTTATCCACAGAGATTATGACATTTGCGTCAAAAAGTCGAGAAGGATTGCATGAGTGCCAGTTCCGACAATCAGGTTCGAAGTCCAATGCGGTTAAATGTCCGATCACGCTTGTCATAACCACAGAACAGCTGCCCCAAGGAGGGTCAAATGTGAAATCAAATTCGTAATTTTTAACATATGGACTGCCCCGGATACTTGACTAATGAAGAATAAGTTAGCTTCCTTGTTGGCTCTTTCAGGGCAGCATCCTTACAGTCGTTAGCCTTCCACCAGACAAATGCTGAGCGACCAGCTTAGCGATTGCAGGTTTCTCTGCAACGCAAAGAATTTTGGGAGCCATAAGAGCGCCCCGGTACTGGTACAGTTCATCAGTGCATCATGTACGGAGTACCCTAACCTATTTTCTTCTCCTTTTTTTACTCTCGGCCACGGTGGAAGCGATGTGTTCATGACGTCGAGATTTGCAGCGCGACGCGTCGAATAAGCTTCAATTTACTACTGGTGCACGGTCCACAACTTTAAACTTTCCGCCTCCTTTATGAAACCTGCGACGAGCTCAACTCGCCTGAGCTTCACAAAACATCAGCGAGCTTCACACGTTGCTCCTCCAGATGTCTACCATGGCGTTACCGACCTTGCAGTCCGTGGCTGAGTGCGCCGACTTCTCTAAAGTTGTCCTTCCTTTTCTTCCCCAGCTGTACAGCCTACCGACGAGAACGGCAGAGGCCGGCCTTGACCTCGATGCACTTCGAGAAATTTATCTAACAACAAACCCCCTCGTTACGGCATTCGCTTTTTGTCTTTTCCTCGTTCCAGCGCTTATATTAGTGTCTGAAATTAACAGAAACTACTCCCAAGTCGATCGTCTGTGGAGCATTCTACCGACTGTCTACAACGGCCATTTCGCCCTGTGGTGCCGGTTAAATGGCATGTCCACGACCGAAGTCACCACTGTCCTTGTTTTTAGCTTGATCTGGAGTGTAAGTGCAATAAATCTGCTCACCACCAAGCTATGCAGACTTGCATCTACTCTTCCCTCGCCAAAAAAAAATACCCCGCTTCTCTACTAAACGTTGTACATTGTCCATGTAGGCCCGGCTCACTTTTAACTACTGGAGGAGAGGAGGATACTCTATCGGCTCCGAGGACTACCGCTGGATCGTTGTTCGAAACAAAGTGAATAGCCCCGCGCTGTTCTTCCTATTCAACGTCCTTTTCATCAGCCTAACTCAGTCCATCCTTCTTTTCCTCATCACCGCGCCCACATACATCTTTGTCCTCATAGGCACCATCCGTGATGCTTCCAGCTTCGGCCTTCCCGACCTCGCATTCTCAAGGTCCCTCCTTTTCTTCGTGATAATCGAGTATTTTGCCGATCAGCAACAATGGAAGTTTCAGCTGGCCAAGAAGCAATATAAGGAAACCGCACGTGTACCGCCAGAGTATAAGGATATATACACGAGCGATGACTTGGACCGTGGATTTGTGGTATCTGGTCTCTGGGCCTGGTGCAGACACCCAAATTTCGTAGCCGAACAGGCAATTTGGGTGACATTATATATTTGGTCTTCCTACCGTGCCAAATCATACTTCAACTGGAGCGGTGTTGGTGCATTGTGCCTTGTCTTGCTCTTCCAGGGCAGCACTCATCTAACAGAAAGCATCACTGCGAGCAAATACCCTGATTACAAGCAGTACCAAGCCCGAGTTGGGAAATTCATTCCCCGCTTTAGTGTCGAACCTTGAAAGGAAACTCGAATCGAGTCAGTGTGCTATTGATCTTCGAATATGTAGAAGTGTTTTCGTTGTTAATATTTTGGGTCTAATGATTTGTTCCGCCACTTGTTGAAGGCAATTGTAGCTGCTATGATTCGCTTAATGATATTTGAGCTCGGGCTCATCTGGGGAAGGTCATTCTTCTTAATGTATGCCCAGCCTTCGAAGAGACCAAACACTTACTATTCAAAACATGCATTTGCTACGAGATTGATAATAGGTATAAATATTTACATGGAAGATATAAGATGCACAAAGACCAGGCTTTGCTCCCTAGATAAAATGATTTATCTTTACTAATTTACAGCAGATGTAGTTGTCTCAATAGGAGAGGTGAGAGGGAGGGGGGGAGATGAGAGGAAAATAAACAATAACAACCGTCACATCGCCGGATAGAATATATAAAAACGAGTACTCCGTACTTGGCAGTATATGGATTCCCCATTTTGGTATGCTTTCCGAACGAACACTTTCTACCAACACCTCAAACATCAATGATATGGGAGATGAAAAAGAGCAAAATTTAATACATCGCACCCAAACATAACAAAGCAAAGAATTACAAATGGAATGGATGCGAAAGACGGGGTAAGCTAGATAGTACATGTATATTGAAGGGGCCGGATTGATTCAAAACAGGGGTAGTAGGGGTTGGTGGGTATTTAGACGGGGGGTGTAGATGTGGAATCACCCTTAGGCTTGGGTTCATCTGCCTTTAGGCCGTCAGTTAGGGCCTCCGCTGGTGGAGGAGGCTGTATCTTTCCGCCGGTTCCATCAAAATATTTCGCAAACTCCCCTGATTCTGGGTACGGCCTCTTGCCGAGGAGTCTGATCATGTCTTCGCGACCAAGTACTTCTTTGGCAAGAAGTTCTTCAGCAACTAAACCAACTTCTGTCTTCTTTTCGGTTAGAAGATCACGACATTGCTTGTAAGCTTCATCGACGAGACGTCGAACTTCCATGTCGATGTTCCGGGCTGTTTCCTCCGAGAAAGGCTTATGAAGTTGTTGTTGGTCCTCTTCAAAGTATACGGTTCCAATTTTGGGGGACATTCCAAACTTCGTAACCATGGCGGTTGCCAACCGGGTGACTTTGTTGAAGTCATCGCTAGCTCCACTTGTGACGGTATCAAAGTGTAGCTCCTCGCTGACTCGCCCACCTAATGTCATAGCCATGCGGTCCATAAGCTGATGGACGTTCATCAGGTACGTATCTCCTTGTGCTGGAAGATACTGAGCATAACCTAGAGCGCCCTGGCCTCGGGGGATAATTGAAACCTTCAAGAGTGGATCGGCGTACTTGAAGTACCAGCCGCATATGGCGTGGCCAGCTTCATGGTAGGCAACCGTACGTTTCTCCACAGGGGATAATACAAGAGATTTTTTCTCCAGACCACCAACGACCCTTTCGATGGCTTGCTCGAAATGCGCCATTACAACGTGATCAGCGTGAACGCGGGCAGCTGTAAGTACACATTAGTTTCTATAGAGAAATGATGAAGAAAGGGGAAATGTAACGTACCAACCAACGCAGCTTCATTGACACAGTTCGCGATATCGGCACCGGAGAAACCAGGAGTCAAGGCGGCTAATCGTCCCTTTAGGTATTCCAAATCCTCGTTGGTGACGATCTTCTTCAGATGAACGCCAAATATTTGCTTTCGCCCGTCCATGGTAGGTTTATCAATAGCAATATGTCGGTCAAAGCGTCCAGGGCGCATCAGTGCTTTATCCAGGACATCGGGCCTGTTGGTACCGGCCAATACGACAACCTGCTCTGAGGTGTTGAACCCATCCATTTCAGTTAGGATCTGGTTAAGGGTGCTTTCTCGCTCATCGTTTCCACCTCCAAAGTTAGACTTGGACCTTGACTTTCCGATGGCGTCGATTTCATCAATGAAAATAATACACGGGGTATTCTTTCGGGCAGTAGCAAACAAGTCACGAACGCGGGATGGGCCAACACCAACGAACATTTCCACGAATTCAGAACCGCTGACACTATAGAAAGGAACAGCGGATTCTCCGGCAGTCGCCTTTGCTAGTAAAGTTTTACCAGTGCCTGGGGGTCCTGAGAGGATGGCCCCTCGAGGAATTTTGGCGCCTAGCCTCTGGAACTGCTCCGGCTTTTTGAGGAAACTAACGAATTCCATGATTTCGACCTTGGCTTCATCCATACCGGCTACATCCGCGAATTTTGTCTTCACATCTGTCTCGTGGTTGAACTTCCTAGCGCGACTCTTCCCAATGCCAAATATACCGCTCTGGCCACCACCTCCAGCACCGCCTGCTCTTCTTGACAGCCAGAAGAATGAACCGATCAAAAGCAACGTAGGACCGAAAGACAACAAGGTAGCCAGCCATGGGACCTCGTCAGCATATGCAACCGGAATGCGTTCTGAGCTAGGAATATTCAGCTCTCGATGGGCATCGTCTAAGCGTCTCTCGAACGCTTCTACGGAGCCAATCGTGAAATAGTAGTGGAAGTTGAGGTTGGTGGCAGGGGATTCGGGATATAGCTTGGCAACAGCATCACGGTCTAGCTCAACCCGTACCTTGCTACGGTTGACAACGGTAAGTTTCTCGACTAGACCTTTGTCAAAGAAGGTATTCCTAAATTCCTGCCACGTAATATCTCGTGACGATTCGCCGGGGAAAACGCTTCGGTAGACGTAATATGAGATGAAAGCGGCGACCAAGAAATTTCCAGCGTCGAACTTGAAGTCCATGATCTTAAACTGAGCTCCCTTCGATTGGTCCTTTCCATCCTGGCTCTCTTTCCTTTTCGACTTGTCCGATGACTGTTCCTTAGAACCTTCCTCATCTTTTGAGCTTTCTCCCTTTTTGCTTTTCTCCCCGGATTCATTCTTGAGGTATTCTTCAGCCGCCTTCGATCCAAGCTTCACTGAATGCTTGTTGAGGATTCGTACAAGCTTAGCAGCATTCGATAAGCTCATATGTTTCGAGTTCCGCACTTCTTCTAAAGCTACTTTGATTTCTTCCGGCAGGCCTTCACGCTTGATGGTCTCCGCAGCCGTGTCGATGAGCTTTGCCTGCGATTTAGGCAGGTTCACCTTGAGTTGACCGACGATCTTATCGAGCTCAGCTCGTTCCTCCGCATTGAGGGCGTATTTCGTTTCGGCGTCTTTGTTGGCTTGGGGTTCATTGGATTGGCCCGGCGTAGCGCTCTCTGTGTGTTTTCCGGTCTCCTTTTCGCCATTCTTCTTATCTTTGGGAGGTTCCGGACCACCTGTACTGCTCGTTGCGTATGGTCTGGAGCGGTTTGCGACAACGAAGGCCGAGAGCCTGGATTGGGCGAAGGAGGATGAAAACGGTGTGCGCGAAAAGGCCGTGGACCCTGCAGCTCTTCTGGAGTACCGAGCAAGGCCACCGGGGCGCCGTAGGAATGTGGCCATAGCCGGAGGGAGAGTAGGGAAATAAACAAGCTGCGGGATCAAGATCCGTCTAGAAATCAGCTCTCAAAAGGCAAACCCGCAACCCATAGGACCGCTCATAAAAATATAGACCACAACCGGTAGCTGGTACGAGAAAGAGGAAAGGAGATAGCGTCGATGGGAGAAGATGAGGTTTTGGGCGTTCGTTCGAGATATTGCCAAATCGGTTGAGCTCGAGCAAGTTGTTCCTGTTCCGAATTTTTCGCCTGTGCTGACTCATCCGCCTCCACGAGGAAAAAAAAAAAAAAACATCCGATGTTTGGGCCGTCGGACGCTGGAAGACGAGCGAATGCTGTCGATGTTTACAGGGTACGCAGGATGGAGATGAGAATTCATTTGCTAAATATATTTATGGCATGCCCTCGGGCTCACACAGCCCCAGCAACTCCCTATTCACCTGCAATGGAACACCGAACGAACCAAGCAGCCACCGTCCTAACGATGGAATGGTATCAAATAACAGCACATACATAGATTGCCCGAAGCAGGCTGGAGAGAGTGGTGATATGTACCCGTACCCGACTTCGCAAAAGGCGCCTCCCCCAAGCTCTAAACTCCGAAGGCTGATGCTTTTAAGGAGTAAGAGAATCGCTTCTTCAGTTTCCCTCAAAACTCCACGTAATCGTTCATATACCGCTACCACTGTCACTCACTGGATAATGGAATGGCCTCCTACTCCGCCCACATATATAAATAAACTAGTCATCACTTGTTTCGGTACTGCTCTTCGCGTACTTTTCATGGTTGGGTAAAAATAAAAATAAAAAAAACGCCTATTCGGTAGCTCCATTAGAGAATGGGAACCCATTTGACATGTCCGCCCAGTCCCATTCAAGAGTCATGGGCATTTGCCATAGATCCTGCGGCACAAATGGTTGCTGGAATGACGAAACATCGAGTGGCATAGGCTCATTCGGTAGCTGTTGATCGACGTTGAATAGTCCTGGGTTGACGCTCAGTCCAGGGCCACCAATGATCTCATTCAACTCCTGGTTGAATCTTGCAGTATTTTTCAACTGTGCGGCGGTGATATCTTCATTGGCCGCGGTATCGAACGTGTTCTGCGATGATGTTTGTGGTGATGGGAACGTACTCGAGGATGTGCTTGATATGTTATGGTTAAGATGAGTGGTGAATGGTGAGGAAAATGAATGTTGTTGTGTATTTGTGACCGGAGGATTCGGTGCCATTGCCGGTGGGCGAGGTCGACGAGCGTCAGTCTCACTTTCCTGTGGCGTTGTGTTGGAGTCAGGCTGCTCGTCACTAGTTTTCCTTTTGCGCCTTGACTGCGATTCTTTCTCGGCCCGGTCTAAGGCGACTTTAGCAATTCTTTCGAATTCGCTGCAAACGCTAAGCATGCGCTTGACGCTGCCGTTGGACTCGTCAGTGGCAAGCATCGAGAGGAAGTTAACCACAAGGTTCATAAGCTTGACATCTGATCGAGCTCTTGCATCAAGTGGGTTTTGTAAGATGTTTGCAAACAAAGTCACCAAGGATGAGATCGGGAAGTAAAGAATTAACCTATGTTCCCAACGCATTAGTTCTTTGCGTTGAGTATATTTTTTGGCTCGCAGATATCACTCACCATACGCAAGCAAAGTCACCCTGCGGAATGTACTTGATAAGGTTAATCGAGGCGCGTGCAGCCGATACGCAGAGAACAGCGGAAGAGAATACCCTAGGGTTGAGCGGCCTAGCATTTAACCCTTGTATGGCATAATTGGATAGACGACTAGTCCAATATCCATGATGAACCGACATTCGGTGGATTGTGGTCAAGCAGTTGTAGTATGCAAAATGAAGAACAACGATAGGAAGAATCAGCGGCCGATGGGTGGTTTTAATCTCATGCTCTGGCCTGAAATCTAGGGGAATGCTATTTTTCCATTCCTCTAGTTCATGATCCAACTCACCAATCGTATTGAGCAGCTCACCATCAGACTGTCGTGACGATTTTGTGGAATATAACTGCCTGTATACCTTGCTTTCGATGGTTGCAAATATGCACATGAGGCGGAATAGATTTATCTTCCCTTTACCATCGGAAAGGGGAACATTGCCAATGTTATCTGGAGGGTCTTCGCTAGGTAGTTCCACATTCATATCGTCATCATCTTGAACAGGGGGTCGACCTGACCGGAGGCATATACTTTAGAGCATTAGCAACGTTCACGATAATCCACTAGGGGAAGCATACTCTTTATCTAGGATATAGGCAATCCAAAAGACGCGCTTTCGTTGCTCAAGCTCGACTGGATTTAGACCGAAGCCTGAACAACGTTTGTGTAGACCTATGCTGTGAGACAAGCGGATTCCAGCCGCAACAAGGAAGAATGAGGGTTGGGGATTTGGCGTTCCCTGGAGAAAGAGTGCCTAAAGAGATTTAAATGTGTTAATGCCCGGCTATAATTGGTAGATGATGCGATATATATAAAGCTTACCATTCCAAGCAGGGCTTGCACACTTAGGAGGTCAGTATTTCGCATCGTAAGCTCCGTGAGCACGCCCATAGCGTTCTTAAGATAAAGCCACGCCTTCTTATCCTCTTCTTGTGGAGCCAGATTGCTCATTACCCGTAATCTGTGAGCAATTGCCAGTGCAACGTTGATGCTAGCCCACCACCCAGAGCCTTCATATGGATCCCTCGAGTATTGCTTTTCAACTAAGTGCATAAAGGTAGGTTCGTGAAACAGGGGGAATATACAATTGAAATTTTCGAAATAGTCCCTGAAGAGCGATAAGGCTTCTTCTTTGGGTGGTAGAGGTTTGAAAACTCGACGGGCAAATATGTCGCTAAATATTTCTGGTTTCCAGTATATCCATTTGTTATCATCTACGCATGCAGATGCAATCATATGCTGGAAAGACGTGTCGCCCGTTTTCTCATTTACCCATTGGATACCCTTAGGAGAAAATATAGAAAACCCCGACGACGAGCCTATTGCGAAAAAAAAAAAAAAATTAGAAATACGGACAAATCCAGGTCAAGCTCATGTCAATTACCTATGTATCGCGTTTCCCCACAGCTATTTGTGACCAGGGAACACATCATATCTGAAAGGGAGTCAACTTCTGCTTCGGATTCCTTATGGGAATCAGGGGTTCCTGCAGCGGGAGACGTCCTTGGGCTTGTATTAAAATCCCCACGGGGTGTTGAGTTCGAAGGTGAGGCTACTGAGCCCATAAAAGCATTGTAGGATTTAGGTACAGTGGATGATTTTGGAGGTTGTGATTGTTGTGGTTGCAGTTGTGGTTGCAATTGCGGTTGCGATTGCGATTGCTGTGAGCCTGGCGAGGCCGCCCTGTCTGCAAGCCTTTTCTCGAGCACTCCAAGGTCGGTCTTTCCAGCGTCATTTTCAGACAGTAGTCCGGAGAGTCGGAGTAACGATTCCATGCGCCCAAGTCGATTCTCAAGTCCTTCGATATATTTTGCACTAGATCATAGAACACGCGGATTAGACGCGCGAAAATTAAGTAGCAGGTATAGACACAAAGGGTTCCATACCCCTTTGGGGGATTCCGTTTCTTTTCCACCTGAGTGAAGATGCACTCTGATTTATAATTTATGCAATGCGAGCATTTGGGCATTTTCCCGTCGCATTTTATCTTCTTTTTCCGGCACATGTCGCATGCCTATAGATAAAACGGTGTAAGCTGTAGCCTGGTAGCTTAGATGAGTATATATTGTCGGTATGAATTTCCACATACCCTGGCAATCCTTCGCCTCTTTGCATCATTGCTCTCGTCCATGAATACGGCGCCGGAGAGCGATGTTGTGACGGGTGACCCATCCGGATTCGACGCCCCAAATAGCTGAGGCTGCTGACTAGTGTTCAAGGCATTGTTGTCGAACGAGGCAGCCTCCATATCTCCTCCTGACATCTCCATCGCTACTCGGGAAGCTTTCTCTGCGGGGAGGCCAGGCCACAACGTTAGGGCAACGACTGGGCTAACGGTGCTCGGAGGGTCTTTCCAGTGGCCGCGGGGGCTATCCGGGTTGTCCTTTCAAATCCCTTTGAAGCCAGAGTAGCTCAAGGTGTCAAGAAGCTCGGTCCGATGTGTCAAGGGCTGTGGTATAAAATGTAAACCCCCCTTCGAGCAGTCGTGGCGGATAAATTGCTAGTAAAATGTCTGGCTGCTTATTAATACGGATACGCCGAACAATGGTGGATCGGAGTCGTTGAGCCACAGGCGACAATGCATTCTATCTCGTCGGCTATCGCGACCTCGAGTCTTCAGCCGTAGAATCTGTGATTGCTGCTCGCCGGCGTCGTGGAGCTAGCTGACGGCCTATCTCGACTCTCAAGGTGACGGAGATAGCAGGTCGATAAGGCACGTGATGGATGACTAAGCTGGTGCATAAAAGGTCGTGGCTTTTGATCTTTGCTCCTTGGGCGAACCAACGCGGGAGACAACTCTGCGGTGAGTCTATGCTACGCCATATGCGGTGCAGGATGTGCTAATTGAACTCATGGAGCAGCGTCATGTTACGAGTCGCTTGCTTCGCGCTCACGGGGTCTTCGGCCAGCGGCTGGCCATAATTATGTAAAGGATGTACGTGTGGAGTGCATAATCTGTGGCTCAGTTTTGGCCCATCCGGACGAACACTCGGTGCCTGGTTTCGGATGTCGTTTTCGTATCGGAGATAAAAACCAGCTCGTCCCCGTCGCTGGAGCGGATTTGCGCACAGAACGGACTCGGGGCGGAAGTTATCAACCCCCGACTCTCGAAGCCCAGTTCACGCCATGGTAGCCTAGTATGGCAGTTGTTGCGAGTTTTACGTACCGTGGCATCGGCTGTGCAACTCTCTCTCCACGTTAGCTGGCGCTCTTTACCGTTCTAGGGTTTCAACATCCCAGCCAAAGGGCGTGCGGACAGGACAACATGACAAGACTCAATTCTGTTGATGCAGACTGTTGGTAAGGAGTCTGCCTGTGCATTGCCCATATTTGGCTGGTGATGGAATGGGGCGCAGTTATATGCATAGACACGTCATACTGGTGGCTTTCTCAATCCTACTTCCATCAATGCATCATAAATCTCGAGGACCTGACTCATCGTGAGCCAGCTATCGGCTCTTCCACGCTTCTCACCGTCTTTGTTCGCATGTATCCGAGCGCACGCAGGGGTGAAATAGACTGGTTCAGCACGTCTCCGCTACACGAAATAAGGCTGCCTAATATTGGATAATCGTTGGGCTTTAACTGCCTAAGCTTGGTGTTAAACTGGCCAACAGAGATTTCAGTGCAGAGTCTATAGAAAGAAACTTTAGGTTCTGAGGGAACGGCTATATGAAGGAGGTGGTCATTTTATAGAGAGTAGTTGATACTCCGTATACGTAATTTGACAGCTCTATTGCCCGTCTCCGTAGAGCTTCAGTTCGAGGAAAGTACTCACAGAAGGAAGACATATCACGTGATGCGGCGCGTCGCCAGTTTGGGAACCAACCAAACACCGATATTTTATGTTGTTACAGCAACAACCTTCGATATATGTTGGACCACAAGGAACAAAAAGGCCTAGTGTCCAATGGGTGCCATTGGTAATATGGGAACGAGTCGTGCCACAGGCAGGATCTGACAATATATTCATCATCACTGACGCAAACCTCCTTGATCCACTGACTCTACCATACTCTCTGCCTTGCTCCGTGTCCTTTCTTAATTGGGGCGTTGAAAATGGACATTAATTCTCTAAGCAAGGATGAGCTTATAAATCTGTTGGGTGCTCAGGCAAAGCGTGCCGATGAAGAGAGAAAACGCGCCGATGAAGAGAGAAAACGCGCTAATGAAGAGAGGAAGCGCGCCGATGAAGCAGAAGAGCTAAATCGACCTACATCGTTCGAAGAGTTTTTGATTGCCTGCCATATATATACCTCAGTGCCGATTACGGTACAAACGGACCGTGCCCTTACCACGAAAGGATCCATAACCGCCCCGGCCGGCCGTTATTGTCCAAATTTTCTCGAACCTTGGGATTTTCATTCTGCTCAACAATCCCTTTTCGACGAGGCCTATCAATTCTTCCACCCTTATAATGAACCAGAACTACGTGTTTTCCCGCCTAGACAAGTTTTGGAACACCAGGGACGTGCTGCATGTCGTCACCCGCTAGGAAGTGAGGGTGATTTACAGCGTCATCAGTTCCAGGAGGTAGAAAACCCCATATACGATACCTTCCAGGCATTAGCCGCGATACCAGCAGCGAGAGAAAGATTTTCCCTTGCGGATGGTATTGTATTTGAAAATCACCTGAATTCCACCACAGAGGCACCAGGGGATGATGAGGCGCCTGTCATTCGAACCGTTAAGCCGGATCAGAATTGCATATTTCATCAAGTCAACGGCGAGCGAAACCTTATATATGTGACAGAATACAAGGCTGCACATAAACTTACCGATGACTTTATCCACAGCGGTCTTTACCAGATGAATATGTACGAGGAAGTTGTTCAGCGTGCTATACTACCTGATAAAGATGATAAAGATGGAAATGCGCAGTACAACGCTGAAAGGCTTACTTGCGCAGCTTTGACTCAGACATTCGATTATATGATTAGACAGGGACTCGAGTACAGCTGTCTCACCAACGGACGAATCAAGGTGATGTTAAGGGTGCCGATTGATAATCCGGAAACTCTGCAGTATAGCATCCTTGAGCCTAGCAAAGACGCCGAGCCGGTAGATGACCAGAATGGTTTCCGCTTCCCCTATACTGCTGTTGGTTGTTATCTAGGCTTAACACTTTTAGCACTTGGGTCACCGAGGAGAAATCAGGCCTGGCGGAATTCCGCACAATCAAAACTGAACAAATGGGAGGTGAATTTTGACAAAATATTGCAGGATATCCCTGTGACTGAACGCAAGATTCGTCCTTGCCCTGCGTACAGAGCCCCAAGGTATCCTATTAATAGCCGCTCGCCCTACCTGCTTCGGAATCGCAGAGCGCGTCCCACTTTCGATGCAGATACACATAATATTGTTTACACAGGTCCGAGGCCACCGCCAAGCGATGACGAAGCTGATGGTAGGGAGCCTCCGTCTTCTCCACTACAGGCTATCGAGCGCAGAAAGCGGCAGCGGACATCAACAATGAATTCCCAGCCGTCAGGTTCAGGACAACCGACTGGCTCGCAGAACCGTCCCTACTGTACACAGAGATGTCTCGGTGGACTTGTTTCTCGCTTACCTCTCGATCCCAAATGTCCAAATATCAAGCTACATAAATATAATTCCAAGGGAAGCTTCCACTCGCTATTATTGCCTGAGGCACTCACCCTCTTTGAAAATCAAATAAACGACGACCCAGATAGTTGCCGCTACCTTAAGAAGGAAGGAATACATGGCTCAATCTTCGCCCTCACTCTGAAAGGATACGGCTACACATGTATTGGTAAGGGAACAAGCTACAAGAGCGAGCATGAAGCTTGCATATACGGCCTTCTAGCACCACTTCAGGGAACCACTATTCCAGTTTTCCTTGGAGACGTCCACTTTACTAAATCCAAATATTTCCTCCTCCACCGTACCATCGTCCAACTATCATTGATGGCCTGGGGTGGTGAGTGTCTATCTGAAACACTGCCTCCGATCGAAAAGCAGGACTTATCTGGCCGCATAAAGCAGGCACAAATGGAATTACTTTCCTACAAAGTTGTACATCTTGATTTTGAGGACCGGAATATACTCTGGAACGAAGAGATTCAGGGAGTGATGGTTATTGACTTTGGACGGGTTAAAGTTATCAAGTCCCTGAAGCGAAGGACCGAGACGGTGCTGGCTGATATATCGCCTAATTCGAAGAGGGTCAAGGTGCCAGTGTGAAAACATGCCATGACGGAAGTTTCTCCGCGAGCGTAGGGCAAGAAGTTTTTGCTCGTGTTATCTATATATATTATGAAAGTACCTCATCACTCGATGACCGCCACCACCCAATAATGACCACTAATAAAAATCTTTATATTAATAACTATCTATCTTTAACCACCTATAATATACTAAATAGAGGAGTAATTACTTATAGTAACCGGCGGTTTGTTCGACTAGAAGGCCCAATCCCATTAGGTGTCAAGCCAGCGCACAGCAAACCTCAGGCCTTAGGTGGTTGTCAGGCTCACCAAAGAGATGTAAGGGGTGCAGGAGCCTGTGATAGCATCCGCTATTACCGTGTTTGGTCGTTTGGGCTAAGTATATATGTCGTTTGTTGCTTCAAGGACCTCTAGTGAGGTGAGCAAGCAGCCGCTAATTTCCCTGGTCTGCAGGAAGATACGGCCCCCACAATGTTATATGCCAACCAAATAATAAGCAGTCATTAAAACAAGGCAGGAAAACGTTTTAAATATAATATTAATGAAGCTTGCAATATCTCTTTGATCTCAATAATCTTTGATTAGCTCTTTCGTTTGGCTTTTCTACTGGTAGCTGAGCGAAATGATGGCAACGGCTGAGCAAGGACTAGCGCCAACAAGACGTGCCGAGTAAAGAAGGCAGAGTCAGCTTAGAGCGAATTCTCCAGGCGGCGTTCCTTTCGAAGAGCGCGTAGCTTAGTTCTAGCTTCCTCCAGCGGTACAAGACTACCTTTCGTCTGCGAGCTGGGGTCATCACGGTTACGGATGTTGACAGAGCGTGATTCCTTCTCTTGGGCACCAACCACTAGAAGGACAGTCAGCATGAGTGAACGCATATGATTAAAGGAGGAATATAGCAGGCGAGAGCTTACCGAAGATGAAATTGTATTGGGCCAATTGACCGCTTCGGATCTTCTTCTGCATCGTGTTTCCACTAAGATCGATGTCCACGTTCAACTTATCGCCTCGAAGAATCTCTTGGAGCTCTTCAACGTAGTCGTGAGCGCTAGTCATGACAGGGATGATTAAGATCTGTCGAGGACTGAGCCAGAACGGCCACTTGCCGCCGAAATGTTCAATCAAAATTCCGAAGAATCGTTCGAAACTGCCAATAATAGCCCTATGAATAACAACAGGCCTAGCTCTTCCTGGGCCGGGGGCGGAGTCGGCGCTTGCTGGTTGAGTTGGCTTTGAATCGCCCTCAGGTTGGGCCTCAGGTTGGGTTTCGGCCGGAGCAGCGGCCGGAGCAGCGGACTTGGGAGCAGTCTCTCCAGTCATGTATTCGAGTTTAAAGTTCAGGGGCAGTTGGTAGTCGAGCTGGATGGTGGCACACTGATATTCTCGCTTCAGGGCGTCAGAAATAGTGATGTCAATCTTTGGTCCGTAGAAGGCACCATCTCCTTCATCGATATCCCAGTCTGCACCCTTGAATTTGGTGAGGGCCTCTCGTAATTGCGCCTCAGCAAAGTCCCAGGTCTCCAGCTTTCCAAGGTATTTCTCTGGTCGGGTAGAGAGCTTCAGTTTAAAACTGAATCCAAACAGACCATAGATCGAACGGAGGAAGTCAAAGAGGCCCTCAATCTCTTCCATAATCTAGTGAAGATGGGTTAGTTCCAGTATCTGTAATGGGGGGTTTTTTGATACCGTACCTGGTTGTCAGTGCAGAAAATATGGGTGTCATCCTGCTGGAACTTTCGGACTCTGGTCAGTCCGTGTAGAGCACCGGATGCCTCGTTTCTGTGAAGGACACCAAAATCCGCCATTCGCAGAGGTAGCTCTCGGTAACTTCGCTCCCTGTGGCCGAACATAATACAATGACCAGGACAGTTCATTGGTTTGAGCGCCCAGTCGCGTTTTTCCACGGCAAGCTTAAACATATCATCCTTATAATGAGCCCAATGACCTGACTGGCGCCATATACCGACGTCGTACATGTTGGGGGACTGCACTTCTTGGTAGCCTCGCTTTCGATACTCTGTGCGGAGTAGTTTTTGTAGAGCATTGAAAATTTTGGTTCCGTTGGGAAGTAAAAAGGGGCACCCGGGGGAAACTTCGTCAAAAAAGAACAGCTCTTGCTCTTTGCCAATCTTCTGGTGGTTGCGTTTCTCTGCCTCCTCCATGAACTTGAGATGCTCTGCTAGCAATTTCTTGTCTGGGAACGCAACACCGCGTATCCTCTGCAGAGAATCGTTGGTCTGGTCACCCAGGAAATATGCGGAGGAATTCTGCATGATATTAGAAAGAGCTTGGGATACTGATAGGTATAGATAACTCTGGGATGCTCACCTGCATGATCTTCATTGCCTTAATTTTGCCTGTGTTCTGGATATGAGGTCCACGGCACAGGTCCACGAGGGTTCCGCATCGATAGACAGTGCTGCTCTCTCCCTCGACAAGATTATCAATATAGTGTAGCTTATATTTACTATATCCAAACATTTTCTTCAAATTCTCCTTGGAGACCTCCAACCGATCGAAGGACTGTTTCTCCTTGAAAATCCTTGCAGTTTTCGCATCCAAAGATGGCCAATCCGACTGGGTGACGACGCCACTATAAGAATCAACCATTAGTCCCCTTTTATCTTTCGCCCCGGAAAAGGCAGCGATAAAGGGGGCTCTACTTACCCCTCAGGAATTGCCATATCGTAGAAGAAACCATGGGCAGTCGGAGGGCCGTGTGATAGGAGACACCCGTACTGGCATTCGGCAGCTTCTCCGAGCGTATGGGCGCTGGAATGCCAGAACACCTCTCTGCCCTCGGTGGAGTCAAAGGGGAGGTAGCGGATGCGGCAGTCCCTCTCGAGCGGACGATCCAAGTCCCAGAGCTCCTTTCCGTCGAGCTTAGCAATGACGACGCTGGAGCTGATTTCCTTTGGTATATCCTTCAAGAACGAGCCTGGCGTAGACTGCCATGCCTTCGCGATCACGGTCGACGGCGCCCCGTCTCCAACCTCCAGGGTCACCGTGATGTCAAACCGCGGCTTGTTCCTCAGATCCTCCACCTGCTGCTTAAACAGCTGGTCGAACAGCTCGTTCCTCTCAACAATAAAGTCCGGGAGCGGTTTCTCGTCCGCGGGTTTGGGCTTCGCCTTGCCCGCTTTCGGCGGGGCAGCTTTCGAGGGGGGGTTGGCGGCGTCCATGGCCGTACGGTCGGGGAGGGTGGTTTCTTTGGCTGCAGAGCTCTCTGGCGCGGCGGTCTCACCCATGCTGGCGCTGTCAACAGGTCCTGGCCGGAGCTGCAGCGGTCAATCCTCGAGGTTGGTGTTGTTTCTTCCCCTCGCGCTGCTTTCTGTGACTCCCGCTATCAAAAGAGTACGGGTGTATCACGTGATATGAAATTTGTTCACTAACTTAGCCGAGACTTTTGCTTCTATCTCGAAAAATTTCAAGCCGGGTCCTACGCAAGCCTCAAACGTCGCCAGTCCAACGTGCTAGAAAGAAATTGCGCCATGTCGTTTCGCGGGGGTTCCAGAGGCCGTGGCACAGGCGCCAATCGTGGAGGGTTCGGAGCTCGTGGTGGTGAGTTGTGCCACAGGACGAATTATCAACTGGCATAGCTGGGATAACTGACCGTGTCTGGATATACTACTAGGTCGCGGAGGGATGCAACAGTCATTCGGCCCGCCCGCTACAGTATTAGGTACTTGACGATGCCATTCGGAGAGCTGCGGTACAATTTACTAACGGTGGCTTTGCTCGCGATAGAAATGGGTTCCTTTATGCATTCTTGCGAGGGCGAGATGGTCTGCGAGTCGATCAACCCAAAAATCCCATACTTCAACGCGCCGATATATTTGGAAAACAAGGTACGATACCGGATAGCTTCTTCGTTCTCTAATACTAACAGAGTGGATAGACACCTGTTGGGAAAGTCGATGAAGTTCTCGGGCCAATCAATCAGGTCTACTTTACGATCAAGCCTCAGGAAGGAATTGTCCCTACATCCTTCAAAACGGGTGACAAATTCTATATTGGAGGAGACAAGCTACTACCATTGGAGAAGTATGCGCCCAAAATATTCGACACCATGATCACACAGGCTTACATGCCACTCTAGGTTCCTTCCAAAGCCCAAACCACCACCGGGTGCGCCAAAGCCAAAGAAGATCGGAGGCGCAGGGCGAGGGGGCCCGATGCGCGGCGGCGGACGAGGTGCTCCCCGGGGACGAGGAGGTTTCTCCTCCCGGGGTGGCAGTGGAATGCGCGGTGGTGGACGAGGTGGCAGCGGCGGCTTTGCGCCCCGTGGAGGCTCCCGAGGAGGTTTCTCTCGAGGAGGGTTCCGTGGACGAGGTTAAAAGGATCGAATTCAGTCGACTTTTTTTCTCGCTGGCGTTTAGGAGCATTCCGGATGGGAGTTTTTTTACGATCTTTTCTATCTATCGACACAAAAAAGAGTTGCTGGTTCCTGTTCCGATGTATTGATTGTAACATAGAGCCAATTCACATTACTTTTTGCTCTCCTTTAACAAGCGGTGTATATTAACTGCTTGCTCTGCTTAAATATAAATGGCATGACAGCGGCTTGGAAGCTTGGTGGCCAATGGTTCTTGCAGGCCAGCTTCCTAGTCGCAGGAAGCATTCTTACCCTGCTTGTTTAGTGTATGACGTCCTCGATCCCGCCCACATCAGATTTGAACCACCAAGAAACAGCATCAAAACAACTCCCATTTCGCCCATCTCCCGACTCTCTCTCTCTCTCTCTCTCTCTCTCTCTCTCTCTCTCTCTCTCTCGAGCGCGCATAGCTATCCGTCAACTATTCTTACCCTTAGCCATCGAACCGTTACTTCGTTTTTCTATCGATCGAGCGACCAGCAACGAACGAGCCATGTCGCGACGCAGTCCCACGGCAACGGGAGCCAACAGTCCAGAGAGCTCAGAGACCCCCAAGGATGCTGGTATGGCCTTCAAAGTGCGAACTAGCTAGATGGAATGCCCTTCTGACTGTCTTATCTCTATCTATTGCAGGCCAGGATAAACAGAAGATTCTTCTATCTGCGGATACGGGCCATTTCAGCTTGATCAGGTGGGCGAACGGTTCTGGATGTTTATAGTGATACCATTAAGGAGGACATGTTTTTCTCTGACTAGAGGATTCTATGGTGATAGAGCGTTGCACCTTGCCGATTTCATTACCGAGCTAAATGGTGAGTCCATAAGCCTTTGCTCTATCATGAATGCTGGTTGTATGAGCTAATTGCTAACCGTGGGGTTTTTTTTCTCAGGATTCTGTGGAGGCAAGTACCCTGCAGCAGTCGTAGATCTTAATCCTCGATAGGATGCGGATATATATTTTTAATCATTTATCTGACACCATGGGCGCTCTAGTCATGTCGATATTTTCGTCAATGCGGTACTGTCTTGGGGAATCGCACCAGCATGGAAACATCTGGATGGCACTCGGCTTTATCCCATTTGGACTCTTCTTCGACTTCATGGATGGGAAGGTTGCTAGATGGCGACAGAAGTCCTCCTTGATGGGCCAGGAACTCGATTCCCTGGCAGATCTGGTACGAAATCGAAATATTCTGTTGATATAAAAACCCCATCAGCCAGCCGTGTATATATACCCCACAGCATCTAACGGGAACATAGGTCTCATTCGGAGTCTCCCCAGCAGCAGCAGCATTCGCCATTGGTATCAGATCGCCCGCTGACCACGTCCTACTCACCATCTTTGTTCTCTGCGGCCTTACCAGGTTGGCTCGATTTAACGTCACCGTCGCCACGCTCCCTAAAGATAAGACTGGGAAGTCGAAATACTTTGAAGGCACCCCCATCCCCACGACATTGGTGATTGTTGGAATAATGGCGTATTGGTTATCCCAGGGTTGGATCTTGGAAGATATTCCGCTCGGAGTGATGTTTCCGGGTACCGTATTTGAATTCCACCCTGTCGTTGGCATGTTTCTGGTCAGTGGCTGTCTTATGGTAAGCAGGTCTCTACATATCCCGAAGATATGATAGCTGTCAGTCATTGGTCATTTTTGGTTGTTGGCTGGTGTGGTTGCTTTAAAGAGCAAGGAAAGAAATGAAAGCAAAATAGTTCAGCTGTCTGATGAATTGCGAGCGCACTTTTATGTCCTTTTTTTTTTTTGAGATTTTGTTCTTTGGTTACATGTACAAGCTAGGAAGGGTTAGATTTCTGGTCACAGTTAGGAAAATGTGAACATGGAGAAACATTCTTGACCTTGAGGCTGGGAGCTTTAATCCATGCGAGCAATACCCGTTGCTACAGGATATGGCTTATATCCCAGGAAAGAACGTCCAATAGGTTTCAAAGGATCGAATGATCAACCGATGACAATTTTGGCCCAACATTTTCGTCTGATAAATTGCCATCCTGATCCATACGGAGTGACTCTGTACGCACATTCCTACCCCAGAAGGAGGGGGTCGATGAGCCAAGGCGGTTACAGATAATACAGAGAATCACGCGTCACCCACTATGACGAGATAACGAAGTCTTCAGCAATATCGACTTTCTGATATAGAGAAGGATGAATCGACGTATCATGTCATCTGTGGCTGAACCGTCTAGGGCCACGACGCCGGCCAGGATTGCCCCCGATCTATGTCATGGAAATGGACGGACCGAGGGAGATTAAAGGAGCCTCTCTTCAGGCTCATTTATATTAATTCCGGTGCACGGAAAGCCGAAGCTGAAGAAGAAGCTGAAGCTGAATCTGCAGGCCGGCCTTTCGCGGGACCAGCTTCGTTCTAAAGCGCCCTAGCAGGTGGTGCGTATCCGTATCCCAAGGACCTAAGAATAATTCTCCGCCTCGTCATCCGTCGGCTGGCCGCTTTGCAAGTCAAGCGTACTCAAAACACCTCACCTGTCAACGAGCGTGCGTGGCGTGTGTTGGGCATCTCTTTGTTGATGATGTTTGCTAAAAAAAAAAATGCCACTGCATCTTCGCCTGACGAGCCACGTACATCCATACACTTGAATCACCCAAGCCTTCCATCCGCCCAGTCCGCGTCAAAGAAACATGATGCATCAAGCCTGGTGTTCCAGTTACGGCAATCGAGCACGCAGAGCGCAGTGCATATATACTTATGTCTATGCTGGGCGATGACTTAATCGGCCCCCTCTGTAACGGAAATACACATGGGTGACGAATATCTCTGGCGCTAGAGGCCGACAACCCCTGGTAGAGCCGGCGTGAGGGCTAATCACACGATAGCAGGGCTCCACGAAGCCTTAGTGTCTTACTTGATGGGCAAGCAAAATGCGTTACGATTACTATCGACAGGGAAAGTTGGGAGCCACTTGGGACCAGTTTAGTAGTGCCAAGTCAGCCATAAAATACAGCACAAGAGCACAAGAACGTTCAGAGAAGAGTTAAACGATACTGTGGGAGGTGGAGAGCAAAACCTCCGGCCTCAGTGGCGAGAAGCTACGGCGCAGAAAGAAAAGACAGCGCGTGAGAGGGAGAGACAGAGGGAGAGCAAAGACCCGACGTTCTCGCATTTGTGCTTACGAGGACTTGCATTTATATATGCGCTGCACAACGACGCGGAGTCAAATGCAAATGCACGCAGGGATGGGCTTGCCGCTGCTGTGTGATCCCGACTGGACGATACGCTGGAAGAACTCCGAGGATATACGGCAAGCTGCATATCATGGACAACGACCGAGGAAATCTACAGAGGTGGACGGAGTATACGGAGTATGGATGATCAAAGCCCACCGTCATCATTATACAACATGCACGCCAGCATTCTACGGGGATCTTTTTCACGCTGCTTGGACGGCCACCTGGCTGCACCGCCACGGATTACATCCCGCCCCTGAAGCACACTAGATGTTACAGGTTACAGAGTGTACCGGTTCAGGGCCAGGGTGCATCGGCGGGTGTTCCTGAGCCCAGAAACCAATTTCGGGGTCAGAGCGTATTCCCATGGTACCACTAGAACTGCTGTTGGCAGCGCTTTAACGAGCGGCAGAGGTCGCAGGCGCCGCTGATTGGGTTGCACTGCATCCTGAGCCTGCATCCTGATGCCCCCGATGTCGACACCCCTTTTCTCTAGTCGCCCAAGCAGGTACCGAGCCCGTATATATCGACGGTTCCAGTTCTCCATAATTACCTGGACATGCTTGTTCATAAACGGCAGGGATACGGCAAGTCTTTGCCTAGACACGCACTTTTTGCCCAGCGGCGGCTTCTCCTCTCCTTTCCATCGCTCTTCCAACTCCGTCTTCTCTGCATCTCGCTTTTTCTACTGTCTTTTCCCTCCACACTCTTTTTTAGGTCATTCATCTCGTCGAGCGGCTGCCGGTGAGATCGTCTGCTCCAACCACCCTCTTTCAGAGACCCTTTGCATGTTTGGATTTCCTTTCCAGTTACTCCGTCCTATCCTTTCAACGTCATTTGGTCAATCGTTTTTCGGCTACGTGTTTTGAGGTTCGTCCAACTCGCCTCCTATCCCCTCTCTACCCGCATTTACCAACACACTCCCACATCCATCTCCGAACGAAGCACCGATATATTCGACGGTATTAATACTGGGCTACAGCCGTCATCACAAACGACGTATATATACATATATATATATTCGAACCACACTGTGCCGACTTGTCGGTGGGTCCACGAAACCGAAATTCTCAGGAGGGCGAATGAAGGAGATGTTTTCGAGCAGAACATAAACATCAACCCATCGACATCCATCCTCGATATATCGGCCTACCCTTTGCTCAAGTCGACATCCCGATTCGACCATCTTACTAGAGGTGCACTGATCCGTTTCGGCACCAACCAGCCTCGCTTTCCTCCCGTTCTCGCTACACTGTAAATATGAAGTTATACATGTCGAAGGCCGCAATGGCCATGGCCGTCCTCCTCAGTGCCACTTTCTCCTGCGTTCAAGTAGCAGCGCTCGATGAAAGCTTGCAGGGATGCTACAAAGACCCCGGAATGCTGAAAGATGCGGGAAGCACGAAGTACCAAAGTACGGGTTACTGTCGAGACCTTTGCAAAAAGTCACAGAGCGCAGTATTTGCGCTTCACGATACAGACCGCTGCTCCTGCGGCGATAAATATCCGCCAGCGGACAAAAAGGCTGCATCGACGGATAAGACGTGTGTGTTGGTCAACTGTCCAGGATTCGGGGCAGATCGATGTTTGTTTCCCCCTTCAGTACCCATTTCGTTTATATTAACCGACAGCATAACTAAGTGATTACTCGTTCTTAGGCGGAGGAAAGAACAGCTATGCGGTCTATCTGACTGGCCTTGTCGACGACCCGGCAACGGAGGGCAGCGCTGATGACGGTGATGCAACATCAACCCATTCACCTCAAGCAACCATAACCCAAGGACAAACCATTATCGTCACACCTACTGGCGGCAAACCAGGCAGTTCAGGCCCTAACAAGGCCGGAATTGCTGCCGGTGTAGTTGTCGGTGTTGTCGCTCTGGGTGCTATCATCGGCGGTATCTTTTTCTTCCTTAAATACAAGAAACGACAGCAGGTTGTTGACGAATACCGCCGCAATGCAACGATCAACAACTTCGTTGCTGGAGGGAAGCCATCCTATAGCCAAACCTCAGCGGATTCGAGGCTGGACCCGAGCATGACATCGCAGCGGCGCCAGAGCAACGGCAGTATCGCCGATGACCAAGATTTCTCGCGACGAGTTTTGAAGGTATGTTCTGAGGCAATATAAATGTCTGCCAGTTTTCGCAGTACTTGCAAAACTAACACATACATTGTCTTAGGTCACCAATCCTGATGGACATTATTAAATATACCCAATTGATATACATTCATATTACTCTTTGTGCTCCCTCTTCTTCGTGGGGGAAGCTCCCACTTAATTCATCGCAGCTTGTCGATACTTCCGCTTCAGATATTAACGCCATGTATATTCCGCCCCCTACCGTCACTTATATCTCAGTCCCATCGACCCCTCGCCTTGTACTTCAGCCATTGACTTGAACTTACGACCCAAAACTACCTCACCCTTGTGTTTCCTCGGCGTTATACCACCTTCGCACGATCTTTTCGGGGAGTTGTTGATATCTCTCTTGTATCCACTCACTTACTCTTCACAGCCGCGAGTATGGAGGAAATAACAGACGTTTGGGTGAATACAAATTTCTCCATTCCAAACGACATGACTGGCCAACAGCCATCCTTCGCGACTCCCCAAGTTTTCCTTTTTTTTCCCCCTACTTATATTCATGGGACGTGTGCTATGATCCATATCTTCCTTGGCCTGCCATATACCAGAATGTTCATCTGACCTGAGTGTATTTTCTTTCTCTCTGTCTCTTTTACTGTGTATGTGCATCTGGGCGTTATTATGTATTATTTTCACCTCCGGCTTCCGATATATTATACATTTCTTTTATCAAGTTGACGTCTTCTTGCAATCTTCAACGACAGGCTTTTTGTTTCTGTTTCCAGGCTCCTCGGCAATACAACTCTCTAGTACATATATATCTCTAAACCATCTCTACCTCTATCCAAGTCCGCTTTCTTTCGTATGATTCTACAGAGTGACCCCCACCGCATACGTCGATTGGGCAGCCTTCAGGTATTCCCCCCGACGATCAGAGCATGGAGATCACACTCGTAGCGCTTCACATGTCCACTTTTTTCTTGCGGAATATGACATCCATCTTGCTCCGTATAATCACTTGACACCAGCACCCTCGGCATCTGAGGAATGAGAATCGAGATAAGTGACGGGGGAAAAAGCAAAGGCAGCCTCCATAGCCGAGTCGTTACGTATCATATTACAGGCGCTCGCCCAATGCTGCCCATCGCTTCGTGTATCAGATTTTTAGGCTCTGCTGATCCTCATTCTATTTACTCGGCGAGAGCTTGGTGAAAGTGAATATGGGCTGTGATACGGGAACGCTGAGCAGAAGGAAGAAATAACTGTTAAATAATGGTATCGAGAGGGTCGATAAAGTGTATATAAAACCTGTTTCCGGGCTCCCCTTCGCCGTCTGAGTGTGTACGGAGTAGATATCTCTCTGAGGCCGATGTAACCGTCGAAGAGCTGTCGAGACGTGCAACCCCTTCCTGCACTGCATATATACATACGTAGGACACCGATTCTTCGAGGCATTGAGCTGTCATACCTGGCCTGCTCGCTCTGTGGCCGATGTCCTGCGGTGAAACGTGTTCCTCAGGGGCTGCGATGGGTTGCACCACCGCGGCCTTCTGCCCTTGCTGTTACAACACGTAGGCTGAACGCCCTATATTCGGTCAATGTGAGACTTGAAGATGGTTTTGGCTATATTAATGCACGATTTCAGTTGTCCAATGCCCCGTCTCCTTTTTACGATGGAGAGACGGAGTACAAGGAATATTATCCCATCACACAGGCACACAACCAGCTTATATGTCACTTCCCCTTTCCACTGCTTGCTATCAATTGAATCCCTCACATGAGCTCTATATATGTCAAATCGCTACATCTAACGCATGTTAAAATATATCCCATGATTAGGAGAGGTATCTAGGTGAAACAGTTGGTAGAAGTTAGGCTATCGTGTCACTGGCTTGAGAGATAATTAGGAGAATGGTATGAACATTGAACTATTCCACGCTATGTCAAGATACACGATGAAGGGAAAAGGACTACCCAGAAGCAAAGAGAGAGAGAAAAAACCGCCGTTTACATATGATCATAATACTTCCAAAACACGCCCATACAACTGGCAACGACCAAATCCAGCATTTTCAGGCCCTCATCTTCAATAATCAACTTCCCCAGCTTTGCGCTGTTGCCGCGTAGTCCCCCGCCCGCCCTTTCACGGGCAAGGCTTAGGTCTAACTCCCCAAACCAGGAACTCTTCGTTGGGCTGCTATTTGGGTCGCTGGAGCTGGATGGCCTTGGCAGTAACGTTGGCAGGTTGAATCGTATCTCAGCGACTGTTGTAGTGGACGTCGCCGACGCTGCAGTTCCTGATGGCCCTGGGATGGTATGTTTGCACCGTAGGGTCCTGCCGTTGGCGGCCGTTGTAAATGTGCACTGGCCATTCCAGATGGAGGTGAAATTGTAATGTGCACTTGGCCCACGGGGGTATTTGCTGGCTTTCGGGGGGCTAAAATTGAATATCTCGCTGTGGGAGGCTTGATGCCGATGGTGAGATGTCTGTGGGGGTTGGGAGAGCTTGAGGATACGGGTGAACTTAACCGGCCCTGCTTCTGGTCCTGAATCTGACGTTTCTGCAGATTCACCGGCTGAGGTTTCTCCAGACATTGCTGGGACACCAGATAATGGAGGCTGTGTATTGGTCGAACTGCGCATAGCAGCAGGGAGTTTAATCCCGAGACTCTCGAATGACATACGGGAAGTATCAACCGCGAATTTCTGGTAGCCTGGTGTTGTGATTTCCACCTTTATCGATCCATCCGGCCTCCCCTCTGAGGGCGAGCTGCCCATATTATCAATTGTGCCCACATTCCACTGGCTGCTGTGAGTTGGATCGCGCCGGATGAGCGTTAAATGGAAAGGTGGTGCCTGAACGACGTCTCGCGGCCGATCAGGCCTTCGCTTTGGCCGTAATGGCAACGGTGGCTTGGGTCCCTCGTCATCTAGAGGATGTAGAGACCCTAGAGGACTATGAGATCTTAAGGGATCCGGTTGAAATAACGGCCGTCCACCGTCCCAGCTAGCCCGCACCACGGTTCCAGAGCTCTGGCTCTGCCAGTCCTGCGAAGGAGGTTCTAAACTGGGTATTGGCGTAGACGGCTGGGCGCTCCATCGCCGCGTATCGACTGACTGCTCGGCAGACTGGTCAAAAAGTGGTCGAGGTGGAAGTGCTGGAGGTTGCGGCTCCCACGCATCTGGTGATCTCGAGACCGGACTATGTTCATGTCCAGTTATGCTGACATCCTCTGGTTCCGTTACAAACCTAGCTTCTGCATCTCGGTCTATCTTCTGGGGTCGGGGTGGCAGCGGAGGGGAAGCTTCATTGTCCGAACGGGCAGCCTGAGTATCTATCCCCGGCACCGGTTTCCTGCGAGTGCGATTCAAGATTGCAAATTTACTCGTTTGCCGTATTGGTTTCTTAACATGGGTATGGCGCTCCTGTTCGATGGATTCCAGGATCTCGTCGTCCCTGGGTCCGGCCACATGCAGGAAATATAGCGACGCATTGAGCGATTCGGGTGAGAGACTGGACTTTGTAGGAGGTTTGAGCGGCGAGAGGAATACGTCTGTACTCGAGATATGTTAGGTTAGGGATCACTGGCAAGTTGCTTTTCATCTGATCTCGTACACACCTTTACTACCAGGCACGCGGACAATATACAGAACGAGCGGCTCCAACGGTGTCTGGGTAGGATTCCGAGGATACGCTGGCGGGTTCGATGCGAGGTTGACGATGGACCGTAGAGAGCGAGCCTCAACGGGTGGGCTCTCCATCGGTCGTACCCTGGCGAGTATCTGGTCCAGGCAAACGAGGTGTGAACTTGAAGTTGAAGTTGATGCTGCTAGAGCTGGAGCTGGAGGGGGTTCGTGATAAGGCAAACTGGCTATCTCGCGGAGTTTCGAGATGTATCAACCCAACTACAAACTACGCAGTACAGCCGCACGAAACGAATAAATATAAAAAGAAGAGGAAGAAAAGAAAGGGTGACGTGCAGATATTTATTGCTTTTTCTGTCTAGACTCAGCCGCGAGTTTGCTATATATATTTACATCACCACGGGCGTACACCTGAGTAGATACAGAGCCAACGAATAAGACAGCCAACAGTGTTCTATTCACTTCAAGAGGGAGAAAAGACGGAGATGCCAGACGTGTTTTCTCGATCTGTATAAATAGCACGCTGCAGACTTTCCATGTTCGCCGCGAAAGCCACAGTGGATATTCTGGTACCTTGACTGCGCCTCCCGATGATGTATGTGCGATTATACAAGCCCGGGGGACAGGATCAGGGATCAGGCTTGCTTTTGCATTCAAGTTGGACACGTCAGTCCGGCGCATGCAGAGGTAGAAGATAAATAGAGGTTGGATTATATGACAAAAGGATACATCTGTGCTTGCACTTTGGTATTAACATAGGAGAGAGCAGGGGAGAGTGCGTCTGAAACAGTAGCAGGCAGCAAGAAACCAAGGAAATCAAATGATATATAATATGACAAGAGCCGGTGGTCGGTTGAAATGAACATGAACATTACGCCAGCCTTCCCCAAAAACTCCCCATCAAGAAAGAAAGAAGAAAACAAAGTGATTCAAACAGAGAGAAATGGCCTGGTTTGTCCGCGCTCCGCCTGTCGTAGCAACTCCCAATCGTATAAATTTGCTGGTGAAGGAAAGAAAAGAAAAGTCCACGACGCCAGGCGGGACGTTTATACGGCAGTCTCCGACCGTTCGTTTTCCGCAATGATGGGGACGGGAAGACCACGGTTGGGGCTCTGGAGTACTAGCTGCTCGTGTCGTCGCGCTCGTAGGTAGTCGCTGATTGCGCGGATCAGAATAAACCAACCGATGACCATCAGCATATACGACAGCCAGTCGCTTGTTGTGAGACCTTGCAGCGGTGCAGTGCCGGTTTGGCCGGACGAACTTTCGACGGCGTTGGGGTTGAAGTCGTGGCTGTTTGGATCGGGAGGGTTGACGTATCCGCTGTCGCCGGAGTCGGGATCGGGTGGGTTGTAGTCGTTGTTGTTTCTCATGTAGAAGCCGTATTGCACCATGGTGAGGCCAAGGCCAGCTCTACTCCCGTTTTTGGCAGCGTGGGATGTGTGTAGGAGGTAGGTGAGGAGAAATCCAACGAGTTGAAACGAGGTCGAGATCATGCCGTTCCAGACGAAGGAGAAGACTGAGCCGACGGGAAGGCCTTCAACGTAGACTTCATCTGACGACATGCCGGGAGCAACGATGGTCGTCTCCCAGTATGGAGGAGCGGCATCTGCGGCTGCCTGTTCGTATGTCTGTAGATACAGGTTAGTTATGCACACTTTATAACCAAGACCCAGACATACCGGTGGTAAATCGTCGACCTTCTCTCCTCCTCGTTCTGGCTTGGCCGACAGGTTCGCAAAGACACCGTCGTTCGCACCGCGTATTATCCGTGATGGCTCGGACGCAGACGCATTCGGCCTTGCGTGTATATCGCCCCTGGTCTGTCTCTCTGGCGAGCCGTGGTCCGGTGTGGTGTTGGCAGGACTCCCCCTCATGAGACGCTGCCTGTCGTCGACCCCCTCCTCATCGTCACTCTGGCCATCGTCATCACCAAAGGCATCTGCGAGCGTCCGGTCGGCGTCGGAGTGTAGAGGGTCTTGAGATAGGAGGCGGCGTGAAGTAGGGGATGGGGTGCGCGAGTGGAAGGAGGGAGGAGGGGATGATGGGATAGGCTGAACAGGCTGAGATTCTACAGAGTCATCTTCGTTGCGAGTGTTGACCTAGAGAGCAGACGCATCTGTCAGTCGCACATCCAAGCAGCCAGACGGCCACGGACAGGGTGTTGTAGGGAGCATGATGCCAGACTTACCGGCTCGTAGCGATGTGAAGTCATAGTGTAACGGGATCACTCCAGCGTCCAGGGCCGGGTCTGGAGGGGGTATCGAGTCTCCGGCTGGTTAACAGGGGCAGGCAGATCTATGGCAGCAGCAACAGCAAAACAAGAGAGGCCCGTCGACCCAGGCGTCTATCCAGGAAGATGTTCTCCGTAGACTTGAAGCCTGCGACTTCGATGTTTCCTGCGAGCAAGAAAGGCGAAACCTGGTTATGTAAGACAGTCACGTGTAGGCTAAGATGCAACTCATGTCTACATTTCTACACAATATCTACATATCTACATCATACAATATATATCAATATCATCTGAGAGAAGATCCTCACCATGTCAGCAAAGGTCAGGATGCCAGTTTTGAGATATTGGCCAGACAGAAGCTAACGCTACTTGCAGCTCCCCCGCTCCGATGCCATAAAACACATCCAGCGCTTGATATCCAGATGGCCCAAGGATCCCGTTCGACCAGAGTCGGTCTCGGTTCAGACATACCTCCAGTCGCGTCTTTCACCTCCTAGCTCGCAATCCTCAGCCGACTCCTCCTTCGTCTCCCGTCTCACATCGATCTTCTCGCAGTCCAAACCACAGCAGCAGCCGCAGAGCTCGGGTTCATTAGAACCGCCACTCCTGTCACAAAATAATATAAACGTGCTATATTCGCTGCTGGAAAACAGGTATCAGACGAAGTACCCGCTCAGACAAAACCTGCGGCACCCTACCAGTCAGCCAGATTACTATGACCGGCTGTTGAAGGAGTTTGGAGAGGCCGCACACCGATCGCCATTCGAGAGGCTGAAGAAGAAGTTTAGCGGAGTCTTGAGGATGAAATAGGATGGAGACGAGGTGGCGCCGTTGGGCCTTAATCGTGGGCGTGGCTGTCTACGGATGGCCTTTGTCCTGTGTATAAATATTTCATGGAAGGATAGGGAGCTGTATAAAACCGGGTTTGGAGCAAGGGCTATTTTAAATGTACACTCACGTCTAAAGACATCTCAATTGACAAGATTTATTGACGAATATAATAGACATGTGCGGTATTTATTTAGTATGCCCCCAAAAACGTCACGTACATCCCAAAAATATGCCCACGGGAAAGGAAATATAGAAAAAATACATGAAAAAAAAATTCCTGGTATATACAACGTCGCTTCCACTTACAACATCGGCTTGATATCGTCAGCCACCTTGAATGGGGCTTCGGTTTTCGAGCGGACTTCATCAACGGTGACACCGTCGGCCAACTCGATCAGAGTAAGGCCGTTGGTAAAGTCAACGTCAAAGACGCAGAGTTCGGTGATGATTCGGCTCACACACGCTCGCCCTGTGAGAGGGAACTCGCACTGTTTCAGGATCTTGGGGTTTCCCTTCTTGTCGGTGTGTTCCATTGTGACGACTACTTTGGTGGCGGTGGGGTTGGAGACGAGGTCCATGGCTCCGCCGAAGCCCTTGACCTTACCTGGAAGCATCCCTGTTTCATGCGTTAGAATATATTCATAGGAACGCAGTACGTACAGGGTAACAAGGAAAAATGAATAGCTTACAGTTTGCCAAATCTCCCTTGGCGCTGACTTGCATGGCACCAAGGATGGTCAAGTCAATACGTCCGGCGCGAATCATTCCAAACGACTCTTCGCTACCGAAGATAGAAGCACCTGGTAGCAGAGTCACGGTCTCCTTGCCGGCGTTGATCAAGTCAGCATCCTGCTCTCCCTCCTTGGGATAGGGTCCGAGGCCGAGAATGCCGTTCTCGGATTGTAGCTGCACTTCCACGGATGGGTCAACGAAGCTGGGGGCCAACATGGGCATTCCAATACCCAAGTTTGCATACATTCCGTTCTTAAACTCCTTGGCAGCACGGCGGACGATGCGCTCTCTCTTGTTTGCGGTCTCGCCCTTTCCGAGAGCAGCGGTGTCGTTTCCGTCATTCTCTTTGGCGAAGGTAAGCCTCTCGATCTTCTTCTCTGCCGTGCTCTGGATGACACGCTTGACATAGATGCCGGGAAGGTGGACGGCAGCAGGGTCAATGTCCCCGACCTCGACGATATGCTCGGCCTCGACGATGGTGACCTTTGCATTGCGGCCCATGGCACCGTTGAAGTTAGCCGCAGAGTATCGGAACTGGCAGTTTCCAAGCTTGTCTGCCTTCCAGGCCTTGACCAAGGCATAGTCTCCCTTGATGGCCTCTTCCATAACGTAGCTTTTCCCATCGAAGACCTTGACATCTCTGGCGGTTCCATATGTAGCAACGGTTCCATCCGGGTTGTTCTTCACGGCCAATTCACCAGTCTGGACGACGGTTCCAAAGGCGGCCGGGGTGTAGAAAGCAGGAATACCGGCACCGCCAGAGCGACAACGTTCAGCAAGTGTGCCCTGTGGAGTCAATTCCAGTTCGATCTCCCCAGAGAGGTACTTTGTCTCGAGGGCCTTGTTTTCTCCCACGTAACTTGCGATCATTTTCTTGATCTGTCCGCTGGCGAGCAGAAGGCCCAATCCGGCCCCGTCGATACCGGCATTGTTACTGACGGCAGTCAGGCCAGTGATGGAGGGTGTAGCGTGTATCTCATCAATCAAGGTGCCGGGAACACCACAGAGGCCGAATCCACCAGCCAACACTGTCGAGTTGGATTTCATGTCCTTGATCGCCTCCTTAGCGGAGGGGTAGACCTTGTTGATCTCATATCGAGCAACCGTACTCGAAAAGGCACGAACAAGGAACTGCTGGCTCTATACCGAATGACCAAAGTTAGCAAAGATACGTCCTTTATCAGCATCAACTTCTGGAGTTTTGCTCGTACCGATGCTGGGTTCGTCGAGAACCTCCCCGCGGTGCGGAGACACGTCTTTACTGCGTGGAACGGCATTATGACCTGTATTCAGCAAGACAACGACTTGAACGAGTAGATGGAGTAGATGGAATTGTTTTTCCGTCCCCTTTCTCTCAACTGCCAGCTGTCTTCAAGGTGTTGCTCGCGTGAAGCTCGGGGAATATGTACTGGAGGCAGGCCAGGACAAGGGAGGGGTGCGGGTATTTCCGTAGTTCAAGCATCGGCCGGCCGAGCCGAAGTTGCAATCAGACGCAGGCGAGCGCCGAAGTGGCCAAACTGGATGGCCGTGTATAACGCCGTAGGACGAGGCAACCTGAGAACCGATGTCTCTCTCTATCTCTATCTCTCTCTCTAGATATATATATATATATCTACTTCTTCCTGCGTTCTTCGTCTTCCTTTCCCTTTTCGGCCTTTGGATACACGTGACTTTTTACCTCGGCAAACTTAAAAAGCGGAGACAATATTGCTTATATCAGCATAAGTAAACCCGTGACTAGCCATGATCACATGACTCCGGGTGTTAAACTGCCGCTTCTTGCCGCCTTCACTCCTCACTCCCAAAACGGCAATATAAGAACAGACTTGGCCCATCGCCATCTGGGCTGAGGGAGCATGGAGGAGACTGAGGAGACTACGAGAAGACGAAGAACTGGGTAGAGATAGCATGGCTGGGCCGTTTATGCATTTCTGTTTATCTGCCTTGTCCTGCTCCCACGACAAGTACATACATGCGCCAAGTCACTATGCAAGCAAGAGCAAATACCGTGAAGCACAAAGTCTAGACGTTCATTAAAAAAAGTAACCCGTGAGACGGAGCAGTGGATGCGGATGGGATATCCATACTCAGTGCTGGGTACGCAGTAGATAAGAGGCATTAAGAGACTTTTTAGGTGTTGGGTGTGGTAGATGTGAGGTATGGATATGCGGGCGGCAGTAATACTACGTTGTTTGGACTCGCGGTTGGGATAGAGAGTGGTTCAGTTCATCGGCCCAGTACTTCCGGTTGCTAATTCGCCTCTCTCAGTGTCTTTTCGTTTTAATCGTTTGCGGTCAGGGGATGGCGATGTTTTCTTCGTCATAGTGGTCACTGGCGTCTCGACTACCATGCCACACGAGGCTCGTCAGCATAGTCCTTTTCCCAGTCTCCTCGAGCATGGGGGCTGTTTGGCCGACGGGAGCTTCTCTCCTGGATTGGATATGAGCTCTCCCTACCTGGGGCTGTCCTCTGTGCCTCGTCATACCCAGGAGGCAGATCGGTCATCTCTGTGTCGGCATCATTGCTATCCCCCTTACCACTGTCGCCGTGACCGTGGGAATGGCTTGGCTTTGTATTGTCGGTCACTGGGGCTGCTGTCGGGGCTGGCGTCTCCTCGACGTGACGGCACACGGGTTTCGCCAGGCGTTCCTTGAGCCGGTCGTTCAGGTACACGAGGAAGTAAGGGGTAGGCGGGTTCTGCAAATTGCGGTCGCTGAAAATTTCGGCCGTGCTGTGCACTTCCGTTACTTCGGTGTCGTTGTACTTGCGCCATATCTGCTTCTCGAAATCGAATATATAAATGTAGTAATGTCCGAATTCGACAGATCCGTGGTGGATGAACACTGCGTAGAGATGGTACGGAAGGGATTGCATGTCAGAGAATTGGTTATCTATTAATTGGGTGAGTTGTTCCGCTCGGGAGTCGATGCCTATAGCCCGAGTTAGCCATAATCTAAAACTGAAACCGAGAAAGAAATAAAAACTGTCACTTACGTGCGAGCTCCCCTCTCGTCATTGTTTCTAGATTTGAGAGTTGCGTCGTCACTTGTTCGTCGATTTCTATTGCCTCGTCTGCGATCTCAGGGTCATCCCCCATCGATCGCAAATCCTGGATTTTGTCTCGTGCATCTTTAAAAACGTCTGGGAGAGATGCCCATTTCTAAAAGAAGGAAGTTAGCCTACGTAAACAATGGAATGGAGGTTTACCTTCAGTGAAGGGAGTGGTACATCGTTGTTTAGAAGCTCTGCCCGTCGAGCTCTCAATCCGTTGAGTTCTTCTTTCCAAGCCCACTTTTCTCGGCGACGTTTATACAACCCCATGCTATCATGCTCTGGGACGTCCATATATCGATCCATGTATATAGTTTCCTTCAAATCTAGATGATGAGTAGACTTGAATGACGATTTTTTCACCTGATCGAACTGAACACGCTGCACCTGGACTTGGAGTACTGGTGGAATCTTGCTGATAGCGCCGTACTGCTCCGCATCTGCCCCTTCCACATGCACGTTTTGTCTGTCAAATGCCCCATCAATGGCAGCATAGATATCTCTTGAACCGGTGGCAACATCAACTTTGATATCTGACCAGAGCTCATTTTTGGAACGAATCCCGTTCATTGCTGTTATATAGGACTTGGTTTGACCGTAGAAGAGACTGTAAAAGGTTAGCGTTCTCTCTCTTATATCTATTGTGTTGGCTAATGCTTACTCCATGATTAGATCAATTTGGTTCCCGTCCGCGTCGATCTTGGTTGGCTTGATTGCACACTGTGCCTGGAAGAGAACATTGTTAATCACCTCCGTGACATCCTGCTGCGCACCAAGTTCCACTTCTTCTCGAATTAGCTGTTCATTATCAACGCGAGGGGCTGGTCGCGGCGGAACTGGCGGGGCCCTATTTGGTGCTGCAATTATTTCTGGCGCGGGCTTTTCAGATGTATTGTTATCTCCAGCGGGGGTATCGGTCGCGCCGTCTGCCTCTATACTGGGGATGATATTTGTTTCTGGGGAAGCATCCGAGACATGCTCGTTAGGTGTACCAGTGGGAGCGATGACGCCAGCGTCGTCTTTAACCGGTTCTGCCTTGTCTGGCGCGTTTTCGACGGCCTTGACTGCCTGCTCTTCGGGTATAGGAGTAGGTGGGCCAACAGGCCCCATTATAGGCATGCCGTTGATATCTCCCAGCTCTGAAACTCTGTGCGTTGAAAGGGATTTGCGTCTAATTGCTGCCTCACTTGTGGAACTGAGCAAAGTCAATCTAGCAAGCTCTTGGGTTGGCGTTACAAATGAATTGGGAGACGTAATCATGTCATTGAAGAGGGTTTTTAGCTGGCCGAGAACTGCAGTAACGTGTTGTTAGCCAGCCCAAACAAACAATGCACAGGCTAAGCGACTTACATTTCTGTGAACGCTGTATTTCCAAGAGGGATACCTTTCGAGATCCGACCTTTTTGTTATGAATCGCGTTATCGTCCAATTCTGTCTTGTATCGTTCAAGGTCTAGAACCATATTTCGAAATGGCTGTATAGTAAAATAAAACTGCAGCAAGCTATTTAAGTAGCAGGTGTTTCCGATATTTCGAAGTCCAACAGGCCAGTCGAGCAATGCACGGCTCACCTGGGAATTGTCGTCTGCAAGTACACTGCGGATCATCGCGCTCCCACTCTCTTCTGCAATAACGCCGAGCGCTTGTCGGTACGTTTCCACCTGCTCAGGGGCCTCTGAGCAACAGACTGAGAACGCAGCTAATATCGCGGCATCATCCACTGATCGATCTGGGATCTGCAGTAGTCGGAATGCATCACCAATATCCATTTGAGTAGTGCCCGTTTCCCCTGTTTTTACAAAGTGCTGTAGAGCTTCAGATTTTCGAGAGTCTGCAATTAGGCGAACAGCCCGCTTGGCTAGATCTTTGGTCCCGGGGTTATCGCTAATCTGTAATATTTTGAAAGATGGTTAGTAAAAATCCAAGTCTACGAAATTTAAAGGCTATGGAGGAATTATACCTTGGCAGCATACATAGAAATTATAAAATCATCTGGTGTATCTGGATGAACACCAAGGAACACCTCTGCCTGCTCTGCAGTAGACACTCCTGGTATACTGGTTAGCCATACCCACTGGATCAAAGGAGGTATAAAAAAGAAGCAAACATACTCTCTTCCGCAACAGCCTTTATCTTTTCACTCTTGCGATGGTCGCCTATCCTCCAGAGATGTTTTCGTAATTCCATATCGTTCTGCGTATCTTCAAGCCGAGCATAAAATGAACCAATGATAGCATCATCTGTTATAAGGCGCTCCTTGAAATAATCGAAATTGAAATACCGATAAGAATCAGGTAGATCATCATCAGCGTATTTGCCAGTTTCGTATTCGTACTCAACGAAATTCTGTATTGGCTTGCCATCAACGGGATCTCGCCAGTGGCCGATTGACCGTAAGCATCGGAGGTAGTAGCTACCTCGAGCAGGTGCAAGCTTGACTTGTCGGCGGTATGCCTCGATTATCAGTTCGTTAGACATGTCGCCTAGCGTGCCTAGATGCTCGTAATATCTAATATGCTGGTTAGAGTAGTGTCATATACGCGGCCAGGGGTATGTTTCGGCCAGGTTAATGACGTACGGAGCCTTTGTTTGGCGAGTCTGGGGATTAGCACGGGTTTTTGCATCTACAAAGAGTGTTAGTCAACACATTTGGGAGGTTTGGAGAGGGCTGGTGTACTGACAGTCTTCCGATCCAAGTAGCTGATGGAACTGGCTCAACGACGGTGTGAAAACAAGGCTTGTTCCCTGGCCCTCTATCTCATGCTGTGGCCGCTGGCTTATGAGGGCCAGCAGTTCATATGAGATATTGTCGAGGAATATGTTCACTGGATCCGTGTATGGCTTCAGCGCTTTTGTATTTGGCTTAGGCGGGTCCCAGCGGTCCTCCTAGAACAGGTGTCAGGAACCAGATGTTCACACGGCAGGAATGGAGAGGAGGGGAAAAGCTCACAGCTAGCTTGAAGCCTAGATATTCAAACAACGGCTTGCAGGGCTCTCCGCCTGAGCCAAAGCACACGGTGAACTTCTTGTTTGCAAGGTTAATAGACCGATTCCGTTGTTCATCATGCAATGCATTGTCAATGTACGTTTTCAGGTGGGTGAGGACGGTCAATGGCAGCGGTCGACCTATGCCTTCCAACCGCTCCGGCTCCAGAGCCAAGGCGTCATCTACACGCTGTTTCAGGGTGTCTTCGTTGGTCAGGAGATCCACCCAGTCCGGGGTAAGAAGGGGAGCCGACAGCTTTAGATGGACTGAGGCTGAGCATCCGGTGTGCGCACAGGTATAGACATATACCTCCAGCGGCTGGCCCTTTGTCTGGAAGGAGTTCCTGAGCCTGTCGGTCGACTCCTTGTGCGAGTAAGTCAGGTGGTGCAAGCTGCCTGTACCGCAGGCAAGCTGGTTCTTGAACACTATCCCCAGCTCGAGATGGAGCCGGCACTTCTGACATATCGACGAGACCTTGTATCTGGCGCCTGGAACACGCTGCTTCTCCGTTGAAGGGAGCACCGACTGATGAGGCTTTGTGATGTAGCGATGGGGACAGCCGTCCGGGTCAGCCTGGTCAACGTATGTAGCCTCGTCGTAGAATATAGCCGGCAGGTCTTTCAAAGGGTTGAATTTCGGGCGCGAGGGGCTCGCCGGATCATAGCACAAGACATCCTGTATCAATCGGGGAGCGGTTTTGCCTGGGAGACGGTCAGCAGAGAACTCGATATTAAGTATGATAACATTAGTTTATCCCGGCAGGCAGAGGAGAACTGCACACATACCCAGCCGCACCGGTAGAGCCATATAGGCGTTGTCACAGCTCCAGACTCCCGTATGCGTAAGACCGTCGTCAGCTAGCGTTTATACAGCAGCTTCGTTCACAGAGGCCGAGAGGTCAAGCTTGTGTCTCGACAGGAGGAAGAGTCTTCAGTCTTTCAGCTTTTAAGCACGATTGCAGCGCTGCGTCGAGGGTGAAGAGCTGCTCGTCCAGGGCGTATGGTGACGGGCAGCGGGGACGGTGATGGGAGCAGGCGCAACGAGTGAGAGTCAGCGTAGTATCTACGCATATCTCAGTAATCTCTCTCTCTTCTCTTCGACTTTGACTCTTCTTCTCTCTTCTCTTCTCTTCGTCTTTGTCTCTCGTCGTCTCTCTTCTCTTCTCTTCTCTTCGTCTCTCGTCGACATCAACTCGTCGTCTCTTCGTCTCTCGTCTTGATAGAGCTCCAGCCAAGACATCCACACTTCAACTTCAAACGTCGAAGAAACAACAACGAACAACCAACACGCACAAAACAGGTCTCTCACCACGCTCACCTCTGCTGTCGAGCGCAACCATGGCCGGTCTGCACGAGGCTCCGATGTATCAGCCCCAGGATGCGCTCACTCGGGCCATCAACACGACGATGATGACCGGCAGCGTCGGTCTCTTCACGTCTGCCGTCCAGAACACCCTCCAGAAGCAGAATGTCGGGCCCTGGGGCATCTTCACCCGGACCGGCAGCACGATCTTCTTGTTCGGTAGGTCTTGGGTCTCCCCCGGCTGCTGGCAGGCGGCAATGGATGGGAATTGGGTGGCTGACACCTGCTCTAGCTGCGATGGGCGGCTCCTACGAGTTCGTCAAGACCGCTTCCGCCAACCTTCGCGAAAAGGAAGACCACTGGAACGCCATCTACGGCGGTTTCGCTGCCGGCTCGCTCATCGGCTTCAGAGGTGAGTCGCTTTCTGTCTCTACATAATTGTGCCTGTGTCTGATGTGATACGCAGCCCGAACCTTCCCCGCCGTTATTGGCTACGGTGTCGCGCTGGCGACGGTGCTGGGCACCTTCGAGTTCACCGGAGGATCGCTACGAGGCAAGGAGATCGACCGCACCGTCGACGAGTACGACCGAAGAACCGCCCTCAGGAAGAACTTCCGCAGTCCAGGCGAAGAGACAATTGCAGAGCTGGGTGAAGGACGAGGTATGTCAATGCGGCTCCCCCATAGCCTCTAGCACGCAGAGATACACCGTTTGGTATGCGTATACTGACTCTCAACAGGAATCGAAGGCCCCGGATACGCAGAGAGACGGCGAGAGAGGATAAAACAGAATTACGGGATCGATGTCCCCGTCACACAAGCATCAGCCTCCCCATAGACAGAAGTACATCCACGTTCTTACATGTAGTATATTTCTTTCTTCTTTTGTTCAAGTGGCTCCCTGCCTAGACTACGAATGCCAGCTCGAGCGTTCCAACACTGCATACTCTCACGGCAAGACAACAGTTCAGCGCTGCACTCACACCAGCTACACCAGTTATAGTATAGTATAAGTATAAGTATAGTATAAGTATAGTATAAGTATAGTATAAGTATAAGTATCTCCGTACAAGTTATACGTCATGTGACCTGCCATATCAGCCACTGTCACGTCAAGATGACGTCGAGGTCTATGATGATATAGATATATATAATATATATATCTATATATATATATATAGAGAGAGAGAGAGAGGCAGAGATAGAGGCAGAGGCAGAGGCAGAGTAGCCGTGGTCATCGCTGCCATCGACCGAGACTTCCGCAACATCTATATCGTCATATCGCCAACATATTTAACGGCGTCAAAGGCCAGCCGAGGTCTGTAAAGGAGGCACATCCCAGCAAAAGCGACTCCAACAACGTCATCACCGTCTCCCTCGCCGGCTTCCAGCGTTGTGCGATATCCAGCGGACGGATGTCAACCCCTGCTGCCTACACCGCAAACTACAGTGGGCTACTCGCAGTTTTTTCACACTCGCGGGGACGATAGACAGACACCGTCGAGCTTCTAGAGAACCGCTGGCATGGCGAACAGATCGAACGACGCCTACAACTCCGTGCCCAATGTCGGCCCTACGCAGCTGAACACGGATTACAACTCCCTGGCCGGCTCTCGCCCTGCGTCCTACATCGCGAATCCGTCAATTGGAGCCTCTGACTTCCAGGTCCGCGGCATGCCAGACGCGTCTCCCCTGCACCAGCAGGCCGCCCATCAGTCTCGATTCCACGAAGCCTTCTCGGTCAGCCAGCGCGGCTCGACGATGGACGGGAGCTCGCTCAGGGACCAGCCGCGGACGGACTCGCCGGCCTCGGGGTCGAACACTCTCGCTCTCCCGTCCCGGAGCGCGACGCTGAAGAAGAAGCCGTCGCTCAGCAAGAAGGCCAGTCTGCGGCGCGGAGGCAGCAGGAAGAGCAGCCGGGCAGGCAGCGTGCGCAGCATGCACCTGGGGGAGAAGGAGAAATACGGCGTTGCGCAGGACGAAGCCAACAGCGCATTCTACGTTCCCATCCCGACGACCGGGAATCCGACAGAGGTTCTTACGGCCAGGTTCCAAGGTCAGTGCTTGTCCCGGCGTTGTTTCAAGGCATGGGTTAAGAAGTAAAAAAACGAGTGGCTAACCCTCAGTCTTAGCTTGGAGAAAGGTTCTCAAGGACCTGGTCGCATTCTTCCGCGATATCCAACGGTCGTGTGAAACGCGCTCGAAGAGCCTGTTCTCCGCTTCAAACGCTATAAATAATATAGTCATGCCGCCGACGTTTTTGATTTCAGGCGGTATAGCCGATGCGACTGAGATTCTAAAGGACTATCACAAACAGGCGCTGCATGAATCTAATAAAGCTAGAGAGATGGAGACAGAAATCATCCTGCAACTCAACGGGCTGCGGGCTGACCTGGGGCAGAAAATTAAGGAAATCAAAAACCTGTCCGGAGATTTCAAGAATAGCGTCGACAAGGAGGTCGAAATTACCCGAAAGGCCGTCAAGCATCTGCACGAGGCTCTCGGTCTGGTAGATAGTGATGCTGCCGCTACGTCGGGCAAAGGTGACCCCTTTCTTCTCCGGATGAGTGTCGACAGGCAGCTGGAGAGACAGATTGAGGAGGAGAACTATCTGCACCGGGTAAGTTCAATTATCAATCTTCACCTTTACATGTCCGCCGGGGGGGGGGGGGGGGGGGGGGGGGGGGGAGAGGAGCTAATTGTCCTCAAAAGGCATACCTGAACCTGGAAAGGTCTGGGCGAGAACTCGAATCAATCGTCGTCGGAGAAATACAGAAGGCGTATAATGTATACGCCAGCATATTAAAACGGGACGCAGATACTGCGTATAATGCCGTAGATAGGCTGAAGGAGGGGCCTATCTCGATTCCCAAAGACCATGAGTGGCGCTATTTTATTAACCAGACCGATCAACTGATTGACCCGGAGTTAGATCTCAGAGATCTCGCAAATATAACTTACCCCGGGAAAGATCACCCAGCAGCGGCAGAAGTGCGAGCAGGTATGCTGGAGAGAAAGAGCAAGTATTTGCGAAGTTATACCCCCGGGTGGTAAGTATCACCCTTTCTCCATTACTCGCGGACTGGCCAGCATATATACTAATGCTCTCTCTAAAAGGTACGTGCTATCGCCTACTCACTTACACGAGTTCAAGTCAGTGGATCGCATCGCATCCCAGCACCCGGTAATGTCCTTGTATCTTCCCGAGCAAAAGCTAGGATCTCACTCGACGCCCGAATCATCGTCCCACAAATTCATGCTCAAGGGTCGTCAAACTGGCTCGATGCATCGTGGGCATGCTTGGGTTTTCCGCGCAGAATCCCACGAAACTATGCTCGCGTGGTATCATGACATCAAAGCCCTGACAGAAAAGACGGGTGAGGCAAGGGATGCCTTTGTTCGAAGGCATGCTCGCTCTTACAGTGGCGCCAGTTATAGAACCGCCTCAATCAGCAGTGACGGGGTCATGGAGGAAGACGAAGCCGACAAGACCCCCTACTCGGCAGACCATATAATGCAGAATCAAGCCTCCCCCATACACGACAACACCGCCACTCAATGGCGACGGCAGAAAAGCGTCGGCCGGTTCCCAAGTGATGTTCAGATAAATCAGCATTTGAATGCGCCGCTCTCACCTTCTAGCTCTGAGAGTCGTGATGTCAACACCGTGATGCCGATCTCGAACACGATCTACAACGAGCAACGACAGAGCCAGCAGTTCAATCAGGGCATCAATGACTTGCCAGACAGGACCGCTGTCAACGGCGAAGCCAAGCAGGGAAGGCCAATGTTCGACAGACGACTGCACCTCAAATATGACGACTGGGTACATATGCACCCCGAACCAGGTGCCCCTTCATCCCAAGGTGGAGATGCCAGTCGGGTCGTGCCGCAACCCCCTTCTCCACTCCCAGAGTCTCCCCTACGCTATAGCCAGGGGCCTCCTCTCGAGGATATCACGGACCACGATCATCAAGCCACTACACCCCATCCACACACCGGCCATGACGTCAAGCCTGGTGGTATAAACGGGGTTAAACATCAGCCAGGCGCCGATGGCAAAGCTATAGAGCCGATTGTCACTGATGGGGTAACCAATAATCGGTCATCGATATATCCAACTTCGCCCCTCGAGCAGCCGATGTCCCGCACATCCACTATGGATTTAAAGGTTCCCGGCCAATTTCCGTCCCAAAAACATTAAGTGTTTCCAGCTAGAGATATCCCGCTATATTAGTTCTTGGTTTTTGTTTTCCTCTCCTTCGGTTGTGCATCATTCAGCGATATACCTCTTCTTTCTCTATATACACTCTGGTTGTCACCAAACTATACAGAGAAGCACTTCAGACGCCCCCATTTTCCTAACTTGAACCTATTCAATGTACCATTAGTGCCGTCAACTTTATATCCACTATCTTGTGGTAGATTAGTGTTATCCTAGTTTATCCTTTTGGAGAAGTTATTATCCCAAGATTCTACTCCGAACCTGCTTTGGCACTTTGGCACTCCCATGCCTACCTACTGCCTTAGTTCACCAGACGATCTGTAGTAATCAGTAGTAAAAACATAATAGCATCAAAATATCGTAGTAAAGGGTATGTTTACCATTTGCAGTTACTATAATGGCGGCATGATTTTTTATTATCTGGGTAAAGGCACATAACCATCATACAAAGATTAAGGGTAGGAGAGTTTTTTTGAGTGAAGTGAGAAAAGGGCAAAATAAGATAATACAGACTAGTTAGGGAAAGAAATCACAGAAAGAGAACAGGCGTATTAAAAAGAAGAGGGGGATAACAAATTATTAAAGGGAAGTTTGGAACCAGCTGGTGATGGATTGACAAGCAGAGAGTAAAAAGTAAATATTTGATAGAACAGGAGCCATAAAGCAGGTGTCCGATGACCTTTTTGTATTTGTTATCATCCAAAAGAAAAAAGTCAGCCCCTGTCGCCGGCGCTAAAGTCTCAGTGTAGTACCATTTGCGAGGAAAATTCGAACGGTAAGAGGCTTCTAAACGAGATATTTGTCTCCTCCTTTACTCCTCCTACTCCACTTTCTTCAGTCCCATTATCTTCTGCGGCCATATGTTGTTACATGATCTGGTCTTGGGTAATGGGTGCAGCATTGTCGCCAGAACCATTGAGGTCAACGCTGCCTTGGCCTTGGCCTTGGTTAGGGTTAACGTATTTGACAAAAGACAGGCCAAGCGGGCGACCGCCATATTGGTAGCCAGAGAACTTGCCTGAGTATGGGGTTAGTAATTTGCTAGTTTCCGATGCTTTGAAACCACCCAACAGGGATATAAACTTACTAATTGCAGTCTCGGCGTTATCGGCACTGTCGAATTCCACAACGCCGGTACCACGGGAACGGCCGTTTGGCTCGTACTGGATTTCGGCGCGCTCAACTTTCCCAATGGTAGAGAATAGCTCGACGAGATCCTCGTTGCAGGTTGACCATGGCAGCTAGGCGAGAAATTAGACCAAAAACAAATTTGGGGATATGGGATCGGGAAGAATGTAGACTCACATTGCGGACATAGATCGACAAGCCCCTCTCTCCACCATAGGTAGCAAAGTCGGTGAATGGATTGGCGGGAATAGAAGCAGGGGCTCCTTCTGGTGCACCAACAGGGGGTCCTCCAGGTGGTCCTGAGAAGCCCGCACCGCCGCCAAAGCCTCCTCTACCACCACCATAACCACCACCAAACCCTCCGCGGCCTGCAAATCCACCTCGGCCAGGGAATCCACCTCGGCCACCGAAACCACCGAAACCACCGCGTCCAGGGAAGCCACCAGGAGCACCAGCATAACGATCTTCACGGACTTCAAGTGGGCGCCCTTGCCATTCATAGCCATTGAATTGCTGGATAGCATTGCGGGCATCATCGGGGCTCTCAAAGGCAACAATACCGGATCCCTTTGGACGGCCGGCAGCGTCCATGTGAACGTCTGCACGAACAACAGTGCCTTGTTGTGCTGCAGTTCTTGTTAACAATTTCATTCTCTTGTAGCACATACATACTGCTCAGATATGATGTTGAGGGCTAGGAGCTTATCATGACTTACTAGCTTGGCGGAAAAGATCCTTTAGATCCTGCCAGCCAACATTGTACGGAAGCTATAAATCAAAGTCAGCCAAATTTCCGACAGCAGTTTGTTCATACCTTCTCAACCGCTGGGTACCGCTCTGGGAGCGGTGTGGCTGAAATGAGAAGCACGTATAAAGTGGTATACAAACGTTAGCAATGTAGATTTGGCGACCACCTCCACCAGGGCCACCACCGCCAGGGCCACCAAATCCACCTCGACCACCTCCGAAATCGCCACGCTGAGGTGGGCCGGTGAAACGAGGTTCTGCCTCTCGGTCCTAGACAACAATTAGTGTGGGAAATAATTGTGAAGATATGGTGTTTCACCCACTTCGCGAACGTATACGAGTCTGCCCATAAGGTTCTGGTTACTGAGCGTCGCAACAGCCTGCTGAGCTTGCTCCCTCGTCGCGTATTCCACAATCCTATAATTTAGTTAGCCCATCTTTTCCACATGTACTTTTTTTTTGGGCATTCAGGGAATGTGACCACTTACCCGCAGCCCTACATAAACCAAATCACCAAGCCCCAACCCGTCAACCCAACATTTCATCAAAATGGCCAAAGGAAAACCAGGAAACCAGCCGCAACTACACAATGACGCCCACCTTCGACATTCCATTCGGAAGTAATAAGACATCGGCAAAGAGAACTTCTCCAGCTATAAAGAGAAAACCCGAGAGTAAGTCAACAGTCAGCTATGTTCCTCCAAAACCCATGGGTATAAAAATAAACCATCCCATCGGTTGCCTCTCATGCGTTTTTGGCCCAGCTCACCCTGTCTCATAAAATCTTTCAAATGATGCCATTTGACATCGTACGATAGGTTGCCAACATAGACTCGGCGGTCTTGCTGGGATGATTCGCGAACTGATTGCATCATTTGTTCCTTGGCAACGGCACGATCCTCAAGTGAACGAGCGGGCGGAGGGCCACTACGACCTCCGTATGCGGAACCTGAATAGCCTCCAGAAGCAGCTGCTACCCCGCTCATGGGAGACCTTGATCGTCGGTCACTGCGACGATAGTCTTCACGGCTGCGGGAACGGCTCCGAGGTGAGAACGATCGCCGATTCCGGCGAGGGCTTCGGGAGCGGCGACGTGGAGAGCGTGATCGCTCACGCTAGATTTCGTTAGTCAAGATTGATCAAATGGTGACACATAGGTTGCTATCACGGCTTAAGCAAGGGGTTTGGTAGAAATAAAATTTAAGTATGCAGTGGCCTCCGAAGTTAAGGAAAAAGAAAGAAAAAAGACCCATGCCTGCTACATGCCGGGCAATGGTAGGAATGCAAGAGTTGACTTATATGGAGAAAAAAAAAAGTAAGGAACCGCAGACGGGAGGAAGAACGGTAGGACCAGCAACAAATCGGGAAAAAGGGGGGGTGTAGAACGGCCAGGTCGTTGCAGAGTAATAAGAAGATCTTGGTGAACAAGGCCAGGTAAGAAAAAATAATGACGTATACTCAGCTCCCAGAAGATTTGCTAATCCCACTTATAAGTTCGGGTGCTATAGCGTCTCTCCAGGTCTAGCCAGATATGCCAGAGAGGGAATATGGCCAGTCATAACTCAAACAGAGGAACAAGAGAGGAGAATGGACATATTCGCAGGTTGATAATCCTTGACTTACTTGAGAAGGTCGGTAAACGTCCGCTGTACCTAGGCATGCATCAGATTAGGAATAAGTCGCAAGTTTTAGAGTAAGGATAGGCAATGAAAATCACTGTAGATAGGAATGGAAAAAAAAGGGAGGGGGGGGAAGAAAGGTGAATAACGGTTCTGGGACGAGTTGCAGTCAGGAAGGAGAAAAGTGAAGTGGGAGAAAGGCGATGTTTCTTTGCAGAGTGGATAATGATGGCGTGGATGCCTAGTTCATTGACGGCGACTGAGTTCGCTCAGATGCAGAAACCGTAGGCCAAGACCAGGGAAAACGGAGCGTGGTAGCAAGTAAGAAACAAGTGATAGGATGAGTGAAGTGAGAGGGATGGGAGGGTCCTGGGGGGGAAGGGAACACGGGAGTAGCGGAAATTGGCTGACTGGGGAACAAAGATGCAAAGCAAAAAACGAAGCTCCAATGAAGCAAATAAAAAAAAAACAGAATAAATAAAAAAATAAAATAAAAAGACCAGAATTTACGGTATGCGGAATCGCAGGTGGGAGAGAAATATGTATGCGCGAGAGAAAGGACGCAAGAGACAACCGAGAAAATCGAGGAGAGAATAATGATAATAAAAAAGAAACGACCGGGAGACACGCACCCATGGCTTGGAGGTTGCAGAACGGGATATATTATAATATGGATCAGCGATGAAACAGGACAGCACCCAACAAGCACTGGACTGTCGAGGTCTCCAGCACACGTTCAGAGTCACTCGCGTAAGAGCTTTATTTTTTTCTCTCTTCCCGCTCTCTCTCGCTTTTTTTCCCGTTTCGATCTGGGGCTCTGCGGGTTTGGAATTGGGCGTTCGGAGCGTGTCTGAGCGTGGGGATAAATGTGATGGGGATGGATGGCGCGACCTCAGATGGGCTGCACGACGACGAACAAGCTTCCGGCGGATGTAATTGGCGGAGCTAGAGAAATCACGGAGCAGGGATGAGTCGCCAGGTCGGGTTTATGTCCCAGAGAGTCACTCTGCTCCCTTGGGTTGGGGGAGGGGTGGAAGAGTGAGGCCGGGCGCGGAGGGGAGAGTCGCTGTGTTGTGTCGGCTGCAGTGGTCGGAGGGAGCTTCCGAGTGCCTTTCTGCGCGTGCAGCTGGAGCGGTCTGGGTCGCCGAGCAGGAGATGCGCGCGAGGGTCGGGCGGGATGGGAGAAGTAGTGTGTCTGTCTGCGCAAGAAAGGATGGCTTGTGGTGGTTGGAAGAGAAAACGAAGCTCACGTCGTCCAAGTTGCTTTTTTTGGCCTTGGGGGCGTGACTCGGGCGGGCCGCACGCACCAAGAACGCACTCTCAACATCTACCACTACAACTACAACTACAACTACAACTACACAACTTCACCATTGACCATTCCCTATTAACAGCATTGACAGACTGATGGATTGACATTGACGACGTGTCTGAGACTGCGGCATGGCGTGGTGATTGGCTGGACCCTTACAGACCAAGCCCACCGATGGTGTGCTGCATGCAGAGCTGCGTTCAGGATGCTGTTGCGCAGGTTCAACCGCCCGCCCGCTTCCAATCAGCGACTGTCCAGGGCCAATGGACCAGCAGCGATGGGCGATGGGGATGGCCTTCAGGAACCCCCACCGCCAGACTGACACCTCGCCATCCTGCTGTGACGTGAGACGACGGAGACGACGGTCTGCTCCGAGGAGAGACGAAGGCACCGAGAAGTACTTTTACAGCGTGTGTGCAACAGTGTCCGGCGGCTTAAGGCACATCCTTGCTGCCTAGTTTATGCATGGTCAGGGGCACTCATGACCGGCCATCTGCAGCCACCAACGAACAGTCGACGGGACCACGGAGCACGGAGTTATAGGGCGTCCTCCATATTGGACGGAGAGCTCGAGGATGGCCGACAGTGCTCGTAATTATCCTCAATCCTAGCTTATCCTCCGGATTTTCTGTCTGCCTCCGCTCTGTCTCTGCTAGAGTGTGTTCCCTGCCCGCCGAACCCGTCGCACATGATGTTCGATCTTGCATATTTTAGTGAAACTGGACCCGTACGAGAGAGAACCGTGTCGTCTATCTATGAGCACGCACTGCACAGGCAACTTCCAGCAGCAAGGAAGCAGAAACGGCCGTCGAACCCGTTACGCTAGGTTGCACGGCCTAATGGCACGTTGCTCCGCCAATCGTCATACTTCTGCTCCGTATATAAAGTATATATATCCGTATATATATATATAAATCGCCTATCGCCTGGAAAGTGCTCCTTCCCTGCTCCCTTTGGAACAAATCGGTGTGTGATACCCTGTTTGCAGCATCGTCAAGTCGAAAGATCTTAGGCCCGATTGGGGTTACATATGATATAGTCTTCGTACCGGCTTTCTTTTTCCCTCCCTTTTTCTTTTTCTTCTTCTGTTCCAACGGGGCCCACAGTACCCCAGCAGGCAGTCAGCCACACACCATCAAAAATACCTGCTGTTGGCGCCCTATTTCATTCCAGAACGTATACAGGGTCTGTACAGAGAACAGGGTACTTCATGGGCCCGAATTACCTCATCTTTCATTCCTCAGTTGCCGTCGTTGAATTGTCTGTCCTAGACAATGCATACTTATACCTGACCGAGAAGAAACTTCTGGTCACTCTCTTCCGGTTCTACCTTCAGATACCCTTCGTTTACTGGCTGATTATAACGCCTACCATGGGACAGAGCTTTAAACCAAAGTGTATCACTCAGTCCTGATATGCTTGCTTTTCTCATATTTTCTCTCATGACGGACAATGCGGTTATACACTTTTCTTGAAGTTGCCCCATGCGGCTCGTATTGGTATGGGGTTACTTTTTAAACAAAATGGGCCCAGACAAATGAAATACAGGCAGGCTTGTTGGTAGGTCGGTCTGGTTTAAGATGCATCTCTACGCTCCGTTCCTCTTCAGCGTCAGCCCGGCAGTTTTCTGTCCAACTTGCACTTTGCGCGCCCCTGAAGCGAAGATATACACTTGGTCATATAAACCCTTCTGCCTAAATCCGAAATTGCAAGGCATGAGCCTCTGGTAGATCACCGACAATACATACTCCGTACTGTTGCACAGCTCGCCAATTTCTTGGTGGTAGGGAAACCGCATAATGGGTTGCATGTCTGCCTTTTAAGATGGCAGACCGGGAACCGGACAAGAATCCAATTGGAAGAGCGGGATATGATTATTCTCGCAGCCCAGGAAGCGTGGTTGAACAAACACCAATCCTAGTCTGTCCCAGTCCTCCATTTCATTCCTAGCTTCGCAACGGGCGCACACACACAAGGCCCCTGCCTCGCAGCAAAGCTGATCTCCACACATAGACTCTCGGTTAATGCATCTAATGCATTCTCCCCATCTTGCTAACCTCTTATCAAAGTTCCTCGCCGGATTTTCCTTGTCGGTTCTTACAGGCCACGCGCATATTGCTCGAAAGGGTCATCGATATCCACCAATAGCAAGCCCGTGTAGCCCGTTTCTTGACACCCAGGCGATGCTCGTGTGGCAGGATCCCTCCCAATTCTGCGTATTTGAAGGGCCTCCCATGTCAGTCAGTGGAGATCTATTTCATTCTAGGATCTGATTATTTCTTGCCTTGCCCCCGGACCAATAGAGGCGTGTCCACCTGCCATAAATCTAGAACTTGTGCTGCCCGTCATCCTTCCATCCCTCCACGCACACGCTAAACATGGAAGTTTAGAAATTTTCAGCTTTGCGAATACCTGTGCCGCCCCATATACTATGGCTGTGACATACGTAAAAACTAATGTGAACGCCTAGTTCGACGTCAAAGATTCTATTGGAGGCTGTTTCATGACTACCAAGCTGGGGACGATCTTGGCAGGTTAAATATACAGACCGTCCCTCGTAAGACTCGCCTCAGCTGGAGGACAAGTCTGTCCCCGCCTCATTCTTCAACTTCCCTCTTCCTGCTTCTTTTCATGTGTATACTCTGCAGTGCGAACAGGATACATTGACCGCTCCGGAGTCCTATCCTACGAATTCACAAGGAATTACCTCTCGATAACTTTCAGTTCCGACTATTCGCCTACCTCGAGTTCCGAGATTAGCTCTGGCTGTAATGTGATAATGTGATAATTCCCACTACATACGATATCCGAGAAAGCGCGTGGCATACGAAAGGTCAACGGGCAAACCCTCTCCTTCGTCGTCTATGGTGGTCTGATAACCAGGTTTCTAATTCCCGTCGAGATAGTCCTCACAAGCGACGATACCACGCATTCCATCCTCGCCAACGAAACAAAATATCTCCATGGGAACAGGAGCGGGCTCTCCTTGGACCCGTCATATCATTCACCACTGGATTTTCGCGGTTTTAATGAGTTCGCAACAGCAGCCTATCTACCTCTAGTCGAGCCTAGTACCCACGATGGATTGTCGATCCGTGTCCTTTCGTTTTCACTCTGCAAGCGCTATGCACGACGCAATAGTGCTCACAGGGTTTCGAAAACGGGATGGTTCTCCATTTCTATGCGAAGTGTACGGGGCACTCCGTACACCGCCGTCGATAAGGGCTGAAGACCGGGTTTGAACGACGAGCACGCTCCGTATTAGGATATATAATTCACGTCAGCCCTACACCGTACACCCACCATACACCGGGCAGGGTTTTATATATCAACGATAACCTCTACATAGGGATTTATGAGACCTCGGCTGTTACCGTATACAACCGACTGTCGGCTTCTTTTTTATAGTAGCCCTGGCCTTAATACCAGCACCTTCTCGTGGTTATATGGGATAAACACAGGCGTCCTGTCGAACTCTAAAGCAGTCATCATTTTAACTGACCCACACAGCTCATAATTATACGGTGTCGACACTGGAACATGTTCTCATCAGTCGTCAGCTCATCGTGGCGCCAGCTACCGGAGCAGAGGTTTCTCTCTTCCGCTGACTGTAAAGTTCCAGTCGTGGTTGATGCGCCGATCTCCATCCTGGCTTCCGTCTGGTGAATCGGAGTGATTAACCTCCTAGCGCCCGAGAGCTGCATTTCCGCCTATCGCTAGTGCTTATCACTAATGAGATTTATTGAAAACTAGCAGTGCTTTTCGTGCATGAATGCACGTCGATTATGGAGACCGAAACCGATCCTTCGACGGATGGCCGTATAGATATCTGCCCCGAACTATGCACGGAGTCCGCCGTCCATTTGCCTAACTCGAGCTTCACGGGCCAAGAAAGTCTGTTTGCTGTGCCATGCTCCCGCCTCTGGGGTTACCCGTGAAGGTTTGAAGCAGTTGCACTTTGGATGGAGTCGACGTTTGCAATCCATTTTTATATTCATCGAGCACCGGTAAACCCTCTCTCCATAGATACCACCGCCTGCATCCCTCTCCCTCCCTGCAGACTCGAGGATGACACCAGAAGCCACCGAGAAGCGTATTCGACCAGGGATGAGCGTCGATTTTAGTTTCGGGAGATATGCACACACTAAGGTGCCTTTCCCGCGCCCCTTTTTCTTTTTTCTCCACCATTTTCCCAGGCCGGGCATCCTTATTTGATGAAGCCAGACTCGCAGAGCCCACTCAGCTTGTTCAGTCTGCAGGGAAGACGGGATATAGCGAGGTTTTTAGCCCATTATCCCTCTTGGGATGTTCTATCACATCCATAGGCAACACAGACGAGAGCACGCACTTTCGCCAGGCCTGGCCAGTACTGTGCATTAGACTCCGTAGGATAGGCGTGTTTAGTGTAGAATTAGCGACGAGTCGTGGTTGTACGTATATCAGTCCAGTGTCGAGATATATATGCCTTTCCTAACCGTGTATATTCAACTTTCCTGCAATTAAAGCCTCCGTGCGGGGTACAGCTGCGTGTAGGCTATCAATAGCAAGGAGACTGCATGTATATAACGCTGCTCGTGGGTTAGCAGAATATCTCAGAATATCAGAATAATACCTTGACTACCGTACTCCGTACAAGAGACTAGAAACGGATCAGAATTCAAGTCCACTTCAAAGAAATGTTGATAGCCTCACAGCCTCTTTCCTATTTATTTCACGGGCCATGTTATAAGCTAGGGGATATCCTCGAGTAGGACTTTGAGCGCCGTTCGCCCGGGTAGGTGGCCCAAAATGTGGTCAAACGGTTTATTCATACAATAGGGCAACGCCAGGCGTGTTTCTAGGAGCCAACAGGAAGTTCTCAAAGAGATGGAGTCTAGCTTATCCAGCAATCTTGCAGAATACGATTTCTCCTAGGGCGACTCTTTGTCGACGTTGTCTAGGACTACGTTGTACGATACTTCGACGTGATAGAACGGACATAGAAGAAGACTGCCAGCATATACCCTGATTCAATACTCCGTACCTTGGTCGCACCTTGATGCCTCTCGAGTCGCTGACGTCAAATGAAACCTGCCATGATATATACCCCTGCCGGACAGAAGTCATCTGGCCATATAATCCGGTGACAACATTCGAATGCACGAGGGGTCGACCTTTGGAACACCTTCTCGGAGTGCAACAGCTGAAACATATCTTGGGCTTCGATATATCGAGTGCTGCTCAGCGAGTTTTGATAACGAGTGAAATCTGCTACAGAATAAGAACTATTTTGTTTGTGTCTTTACTATCGTGACATCTTCCGCCTCGGGCCAAACGACATCCCTTGCCGGACAACGCGATAAAGGCCCCAATCTCATCACAACAGCTGTTCACTTGCCTTCTCTTTGGCTCCGGTGATACTAGACAGTTGGGGAACTTGTCTATAACCACGAAGAGACCGCCGCGTCGTGCCATGGAAGAGGCTGACGGCCGCAGCCATAACCGATGAAACGCCAATCCAAGTGAGATTTGAACCACGAGCGGATACAGACATCGCACATTACTCTGTACACACGGCCTTACTCCGTGCACGAGTCTTCGGACGGCTGAACGGGCCCTGGAGTTTCCCGCGGAATATGATGCTGGCACAACAGATGTCCACCGAATACGACCCCCATAGCAAGACAACCCTTCGGAGTTGAACTGCTGAAGAACACAGCCGCCAGAGTGAAAGTCTGACAGGGCCGCTTCGTCCATGGATATCACACGTGTATCCTCGACCCGAATATCAACGGGGATGGCATGGCCTTTGGACCAAAATATGCTTAAAGTGGTGGAGCATATACGTTCCAACGCCTGCTCCTCAGCCTCGATCTGGGCGATACTATAGGTCCAAAGCAGGAATTCACCTATGCATATATATATACATACGGAGTATATATGTGTGCGAGAGGTGCATGCATATATGTGCGTATTCCTGAAGTGCCAGATGTCCTGGAACGACACCCGAGTGGCTGGTGGATGTCGGCTCAACGGTCCCACCCCGGATGGTTAAGAGATGCAGTTCAGTCTGCAGACCGGCTCCGGGATGCGGGATGACCTCGATCGTAAGCTAAATTTGGCGCTTCGATCAGGAGCAGTCGACGGGATACTTATGAAACAGACGGGCGGCCCTTCCCTCGCAACCTTTCGACCTGCCGAGAGGATGTCTACCGAGGCGAGGGAGAGCTATCAGGCTAACTGCGGGCGAGGGGATGACGAACGAAGATGTGAAACGAGCATCGCTGCAACACTGCAACGCTACAACGCTGCATATAGATCTGTAAGGGTAAAATCCCGTCACTCGGCATAGGGCGACTATCAGAAAAAGAAACGAAAGGGAAGCAGGAAAGCTTGGACCTAGCCCTTTTTTTCTCTCGCCCGATCGCTTGATCAAGCAGCCCGTTTCTGCGGGCTGTATCGGCATGCCTGGGAGAGCCTGGGAGAAGGGAATATATAGAACCAGGACGACCAGCCCCCCCCCGCGGAGCGGCTATAGCAAATCGATATTATTTCCCCAGACAGCGGCACAGAAACAGCCACAGTTCTTGCAGATCACGCCGAAGCCTATCCCACGAACAGGCCAACTGGAGCTGTATATGCTATGGTAACCTGGTATAGAACGAACCGCCATGCCCTTGATGTATACTCCGTACACATCTCGGATAGCGACTCCGACCACTCACGCGGTGACCGGGAACGACCAGGTGAAGCGAGCAGCGCCGCGCCGTGGCTTGCTATATGCTTTGCAGGCCAGTTATTAATCTCCTTCCTCTCGCGACTGGCGGTCTTGATGCTGTGGTCTTTTCGGTGGAGGGAGAACTCCACATGCGACTGCGTTAGCCCAAACCGACCTTCCTCTTCGGGCAGTCCACCGGTTCCCACCTCGCCCATTCGCCTTTTGCTCTCGATCCTCGCTGCGTCTTACGATTTCTACGGCCGTCCTGGAGTGCCGGGTAAGGATGGGCTGCATTGGAGGCTCTGATACGGCCTCTTATACGGCCTCTTATACGGACCCTCCCCCGTCGTCTGCTTCCCTCCCTCCCTCTTCTTCTCCTTCTCTCTTTCCTTACCTCGTGAGACGATATATACGGAGTGCTCGGGCCTGGATGAAGAGCAACGACTCGGGTAGACACAGTACCGCCGACGTTACGCAGATACACGTCAGAGGGGAAGGATAGTCGGCATCTCACCATGGGCCAACCCACCAAGACGATACACGTCCACCGCCATCAGCAGCACCTGAAATGGTCGCGCGATATCCCTCCCGTCCTTACGATCGAGTCTGGAGAGACGGTCACCTTCGATGCCCTGGACGGCAGCAATGGCATGATAACGAAAGAGTCGACTGCCGACGCAATCATGGAATTCGACGTCGAGAAGGCGGATCCGGGGTTCGGACCCATCTACATCAACGGTGCAGAGCCTGGGGACGTCCTCAAGGTCGATATCTTGGACCTCCAGCTTGGTGACTGGGCGTGGACCGCTATAGTCCCCGGATTTGGACTTTTGGCCGACGATTTCCCGGAGGCAAAGCTCAAGATATGGCATATCGACCCAACCTTGCCCTACGTCAAGTTCAAAGAAGGTGTACACATCCGCAAGGCACCGTTCCTGGGCATCATGGGAGTTGCACCCGGCGTCAAAGGCGAGTTCTCTACCATCCCACCGCTGGAGACTGGTGGGAATATGGACTGTCGATACCTCACCGCCGGCTCCTCGTTGTACCTGCCCATCCGCACCCGGGGTGCCCTCTTCAGCTGCGGTGACGGCCATACCGCACAGGGCGACGGCGAAGTATGCGGGACTGCCATCGAGACTACTTTGACAGCCTCACTACGCCTGACGGTCTGCAAGAACCAGCCTTGGGTTACGGCTCCGCAATTCCAGACTCCTCCGCTCAAACAGGCACTGTCTGCGTCAGATATCAACTCGGATAAGGGCGAATACGCTACCATGGGCATCGACTCCGACCTCCTAGAGGCAACCCGAAAGGCAACCCGTAGCATGATCGAATGGCTTACATGCACCAAGAATCTAACGCGAGAGGAGGCGTACATGCTTACCAGTGTGGCAGGCTGCTTGAAAATGGTTGAAGTCGTGGACATGCCCAACTATGGAATCGTGATGACGATGCCACTCAGCATATTCGTGACGCCAGGTCAGCCAAACGGAGTAGCCCACTAATTCATGCATTTATTTGAGCGTTATGAACGTTAACTGGTAGTTTTTTTTTTCTCCTTCTGCAATCTTATGGATCATGTCACTCCCCACTCCGTTTCCCGTTTTCCCCCCATGTTCGTCTCCTTGTTCTCTGAATAAACTCCCATACCCTATCCACAATGCATAACATAATGAATATACCCCTAAAGCATGGATCTATAGCCCCCATGTCAAATAATTACGCCCACATATTTCCATCCCCCGGTCCCGCCGGGCTGGAATACCCACAGCTCGGATGCTAAACGGAGTTAACCGATGCCCCGTTGGGCCCCCTGTTTTCTCTCAGCGTTTCTTCCCATAAATGCCCGTCTGGGAGACATTCCCTACCAATATATGCGTATGAGATCGGCCTAGAGCGATCGAGAGGCAGCACCCGCATGTGTATGACAACATTGATGAAATCGATCGAGGAGCCCGGCGTTTCAAGGCCAGATACTTTTTGTCCGAACTGGGCATTCAATGACGTACAGATGATAAGCCTCCGGCGACTCAGGTCAACAGTTATTCGCTTTATCTTCCCTGCTTCTCCTGTTCCCTGGAAAGGACAACGCATAGAGCGCATTGATACAGCTGAAGGCTGTCAGGTTTGATATTGAACGTCTATGGAGTATACGGAGACGGAGAATGCCAACGACCTGCCTAAATAAGAAGGTAGTTAGCCTGGAATACTCTGCTGGATGTATAGAGATAAGCAACATCGACCGGATGGTATAGAACGAAGTGGAGCTACCCGTGTTGGAAGTAAATAGTGCTACGCTAGGGGGACGGATGCTCGTATAGAGTAACCAGACTTAAAAACCGGAGGAATAGCACCGTCAACGTGGGAAACGGAACCAATGGTAGGTGTTTTGGGTATAAATAGACAATATATAGCTAATTGGAAACGCTACCCTGCGTGCCTTTTGCCTATCCCGCCATTATGGTTTGATCTATATATAGGGGTATGAGAAGTGGATAAAAAGATCGAACAGGCAGACTGAAGACATAAACACCTTGGAAATTTGTTCATAATTCGAATACATGGTGGGGAATAAAATCAAAGGAATAAAGAATTAAAGTATACTCCATAAATAGCCAGAGAATAGAGATGGCATGTGCAAAATATAGACAAAACAAAAACGCTTTTTCTGGGTAATGGGCGAGATGGTTTACTGCATTTTGCGGATATATGCAACTGGACCTTCGTACACCTTTCTTCCGTGCATGAGGTACTGAACGATGGCAAAGATAATGACGCCTCCCCAGACGAGGGAAGACCAGTTCATGGTCTCGAGGGTAACCATGCGGCTTCCTGGGAAGAAAGTGAAGACAAAGCCAAAAGTGAGGTAGGCGGCGGAAAATACGTTGAGACCCATGCCCCAGCTGCCCAAGCTGAATCGTCGTGCGGGCAATGGTTCAGCGCTCATTCGGCGGTAGATGAAGCAAACAATGCTCAGCACGTAGGATGCGTAGAGGGACCCGACTGTGAGAGAGGCAATGGCGTTGAAAGCGGCTGTAGAGCCAATGTTGATCAGTGAGAGAAGGATGGTGACCAAAGTAGTGGCAAGGACAGCGTTGACGGGGATCTTGGATTTTGGGTTAACGTTGGCAAAGAAGTCGGAGAAAGGAAGAGCATTGTCACGAGCGAAGGCAAAGGTTTGGCGAGAGCAAGTGGCGAGAATACTGATGGCACTGCACACTTCAAGGACTAGGATAATGCACGCCAGGCCGGTGGTTGCAGCCTTGGATCCAGTAGCGGTGTAATATGCTGAGAGAAAGGAGAAACCGGTTGGGGGAGTAAGGATGGAATCGTTCACAGGGCCCATGGTGAAAAGGAAGGTGATCAGCATCAGGAAACCGAGACTGCCGTTGATGATGGCCGTGAAGACCATGCACCAGGGGACAACTTTGGATGCATCCTTAATCTCCTCGGCTGTAAGAGAATTAGCATCTCATCTAGAGGTAGGGAGGGTTCAAATTTGATGACATACCAATATGGGTAGCTCCATCAGGACCCAAGAAGGAGAAGATGGGAGTAATCTGGCCTACAATGACGGCAAGACCAACGGAGGACCAGCCACCAAAGTTGGTGAACTCGGTGAACACTTCTTTTGAGGGCGACTTGTCTCCCATAACCCAAAGAGTGATCATGGTAGCAAAGAAGCCGAAAATATGGAGGATAAGAATCAATCCCTCCAAGCTAGGTAGGTGACCAGCTGCGTAAGTGTTGACAAACGTAGCAATCAACGCAATGGCAAAAGTGAGGAGGGTTCCGTGCCATCTTTCATTGTGATACGCTTCACCGTAGTTCAAAGCTAGGAAGCCCTGGATGAGAGTACCGCAAAGGAAGCAGATACTGGCGAACCCGCCCTGCCAGCCTAGGACAGAGAGCCAGCCTATGCAAATAGGGTCGTCAGCTTTATCCTTAATATACGAATATATACGGGACTGGAGTGTATGCTACCTGTGATATAACTCAAGAATTTCTGATATTTAGGACTCGCGAATTCGGAGACCCAATGATACTGGCCACCAGATGTTGGAGAGCTGCAATTCCATGGCCATTAGCTAGAGATTCCTGGCCAGAGGGGGTATATATACCACTTACATCGAAGCAATCTCAGCCATTGAAATGACGGAGCAGAAGAAGCCAACAAATGTGGCGATGTACATGTACACCATACCAGCTTTGCCGCCGTTCACCAGTGCAAGAGTCGATGTGCTGTAGCCCGGATGTTTAGCCCATATCCAATAGCAGTCGCATTCTATCCAACGACAAGGGTGTATAATCAACGTACAGCAAGATCGATTCCCATGTTGCCATCAGAGTACAGGTGAAACCGAGCGTAGATAGGAAGCGGAAGTTTCTCTGCAGAAATAACCTGGTCAGCATGAATTGTCCATTTTATTCTGTGCCTCAAGCGTAAAAAGGAAGAAGAAGAGGTGAACTCACGTTGAATTGCTGAGGTTTTCCCAATCGGGACATGTCCTTCTGGTCGTTGTTGAAGGCATCGTCGGCGGAGTTGAAGCTCACGTCCAAGTCGCCTTTGCCGGTCTCAACGACATCTGGGCTGAACATCTTGTGCCTCCTTCTGTATCTTTATGTTATTATCCTCTTATCGGCCTTTTGACTCCGGCGTCTTCGTCAATCTGAGGTGGTCGAGGTGGTCGAGGTGGAGGGGGGGGGAGAGACGAGCACAAACGAGCGTGACGGCGAAGAGCGAGCCTGGAGAAGGCGTAAGATCAATAAGTCCTGACTTCTGAGCTCTCGTCCTCCGTCTAACTGGTAGCAGATGATATGGGAGCGGCGGCGGGAGATATATATGGACGAACGACTCCGTGAAGCCAGCGACTTTCTCTCTGGACTAGCCTGTTTGGAGAAGGTCGCATACCACGCCAGGTAGATATATACAAGGAGTCCCGCCGGCGGAAGAAATGCGCGATAGCGAGTAGAAGCTCCCGCTGCCGGGAGTGAGAGCGAGAGCGACAGGCCTGCGGCGTCTTGGTGGAGGCGTCCCCTTGACCAGTCCGGCTTCAAGTTCGCTCGTACTCCATATGCCATGCAAGCCATGGGGCAATTCGACACCTGCCTCTTGCAGCCTAGCACCGAGCTGGCTGCGTCTATTGCCTTTTGGTGGGATCAGATATATCTACGGAGTAGCTACGGAGTATATCGCGGGCTTCGTGGTGGGATGCTCAGAATGGCGCCGTATAGCTACCGCGGGCCGCATGGCTACATCAACGCTGGTCTGTGGACGACATATAATATTTAACTCCCGCTTGGTCCGGATGTGCTCAAGTGGATTTCACCCGCTAACTAAACATATAGCTACTGCCCAAGGCTGTGAGTGCTTCGTTGCACATACGGAGTACATTGCACGGCAGCACATATTGCCTGTGGGCGGAATACCCTTGCTGGGACCATGATGAGATGCGGCGAAATTAAACAAAGACATCAATATCGACATGCAGAAACAATGCGTAACGCATCTGACTTGGCTTGCAGTCACCATGCATCTATCTGTGCAGGCTCGATGCATCGGGTGTAAGGGTCGAATGTGGACATCCGACATGCATCTTGCCCACAGGATTGGATACAAGCAAGTGCGTATGGGCCATGGGGGATCTTCTGGATGCCTTCGAATGCATAAGATCAAACTCCAAAAGTGATTTTTCTTTTTTCCCTTTCGCTAACCACTTAACCAACTACCTTAAACTCCTTCCATAGAACGATTTCGAAGTGGTGGGAACTTGCCTGCCAATTGAAGTCATTCGAAGTCATGACCTAACAAATATATCGCCACGTCCACTCCCAAATGCCAGCATCAGAAAATCCATGCTAGGTGCATGGGGCAACTAGTTAAACAGCAGGCATATCCTTGACACCCTCCAAGGCATCCCTGGCTCGGGGTACTCCGGGTAAGGACCGTAATAAATGCGCAAAGGACGGCTTTTGATATGAGGGTCTGTTTCTACCCCCTGCACATACTGTTTTGGGCGGCCCTTTGTTCCGGGACTCTGGGACAACAGGGAATTTCGTCTGCGTGAGGGGTTGCATCAGATTTGTTTGAGCGGCAGGGGTGATGTCTTGAGATCTTCGCCGTGAAGCAACGTTACATTCGTTCGCTGTTAACTACGGAGCTGTCGATTGAAATGGAGGCCTCGAGAGGAGAAGCTGAGGGAGGAGGCCATTATGGAGCACATATCAAAAGTGACACCGACCCGCTCATGCATTGCATTGTTGCTTGTTCTAAGGACAAACACGCAACTCAAGCACAAGCAACGTCTTGGCCACGAGGAAAGTGGCCCCATTCAGATTTTGAAGATGACGAGGTCGGAGGATAAATCTCGTAAACGATCGTGATAGCATCAAACGCCATGTGCAGGTGGGGAGCCGTGGATACATATAAGAGCAAGGCATACTCCGTACAACATGGTGGGATCCAAAGTTGCCGTGATATATACGCCCTTTCTCATAACAACCAGATCCTATCGTCTTTATACGGAGTCTGGATGGAATAACTTCGTCTCCGAGCTTTGTTCCCACAGAAGCTTTAACAGCATCAAGCTTATAATCGATAGTCGCCTCGTTAGATCGACGGAACGAGAAGCCGTTCTCCACAGGGTGGATAGCGGCACTCCGGCCCTAGAATTATATGGATATTCTACTCCGTAGATGTCTAAGCATCTATGCGAGTGTTCACAATTTCTTGCGGTCGAGGTGACTTTGCATGGCAAATACGGAGCACACGATGTCTTTTTTAGCGAACTATCCATCCTTGCCGTGGAAGCCCTTACTTCCCTGTCTACTGGCTCTTGTCATCCAACAACTAGCCTAGCAGGGTTGCCGAGAGTCCCTTCGTCTCCTTAATAGGCCGCCACCTCTTGTCGTTGACCGCTCCAGCACACGATAGGCCAGCTGGCCAGCCTCGCTCCCATGTCACCAGCAACACCGGGTTGACGAGGGGTTATCGACGGACCTGGAAACCCCGGCATGCATTTGTGCGTGATGTGCAGTCCAGGGGCAGGCGATCGGGGTTCGTTTCCCCTGCGAGGAGCCACGTTGTGAGGTGGGATAGACGCGTTCAGAACATCAGCTCCCTTATATCAATTGCCGAACTCGCATCGCAATATGATGCCTTTGAACATCAACACGATTACATTGGCGTTGTTGCAGGGCGTAGCTCCACGCAGGGTAAGCTCAGGTCCATTGCAGCAAGCCGAACTTAGGGGTAGCTAACTTTTCTGGCAAGGCGCTCTGCAAGAATAGGTCTCCAGTTCTGTTGGCTGTGCTGTAACTAAGCTCATCCACCCGCAGATGGATCAATCAGACTTCAGGCTTCTTTGGTGATTTACGTATTCCCCCCTCCCCCTTTTTTCTGTTTTGCTGAGTACCGCTTTGTTAGCTTCAACGCCAGCCGCATCGGAGACTAATGCAGTGGCTCGTTTATTATTCCTTTTTGCTAATATACGGAGTATAGCGTGGACAATAATAACTAACTGCTGACGTGCCATGATTCTAGAGCTCAAGAATTTCATTGTCGCCCTGGCTAGACGGTTAGCGTGCAGCTGTCATACTGGAGCCTGGTCGATTTAAGAATCCAACCTTTGATGTCTAGATCAGCTCCACTAGTCTGTTTAATGGACACATATTGACCATGATTGGCCAAATCAAGGAGCTCCTCCAGTGTGACAAATGTGAAGTACGCACAAGATGTTGTAAATCCCTTTTTTCGGGACGCATCGAAAGAACGTGATTCGCTCGAGGTGTGATAAATCGACATCGCACACAGGGAACAAGATGGCGAATTCAACCCGACAGATAGCCTAGTTATTCCCCGGCATCGGCTGGTAGATGGTGATATGCAGGGAATATGCATGCAGCGTACGTGCGTAGGAGACCAGTGACGCTCTTGTGGCCAAAATCATATGGTTGTACTTACGCAGCATCGCATTTCGAGTCCAAAAGGGTATGTGCCACCGACCCGACTGAGTGTTCGCACGCATATACCCCCCGTCGGGTACTCCGTAGAGATGACAGGCACCGGAGCATCCGTCTGTTCACCGAGTCCCTTTTCCAGTACTAATGAAAAGCAAAAAACCGAATTGTTATCAGAACTGAGATGGGTAAAATCAAAACTACAATGGAGCGCTCTAACATGCTAGCCTCTTGGACACCTGGTTCATCCTCGTATCAGGTTGTGCGCACGCTATAACCGCTGCCCACTATACGCTTTAGCCTACTCCATACGGAGTTCGGATGCTCCGTACATCTCGGCGGAAAGCGTTATGGGCGATCAAACAGTCAAGTCTACCGTCCATACCTCAGCTCTGTGACTTCAAGAAAGGTCTCAAACTGATAGTAGAGCACCGGGAGTCCATAAGGTCTGTAGAGGTGCTATTTGTATAGATAGGAACTCCGTACTCGGGCTTGCCTTGACGCATGCCAAGCGGAGGGATCTATAATTAAGTAACATCCCGGTCAATCGACAACATGTACCGCTGACACGCAAACACCCGTGGATGCTACTTTGGATCCGCCGTTTCGCTTCTTCGGCTCCGTTTTTTCAAGTCGGTCGATACTAAGTAGCATAAGCGTAGAGGCAGCGTCCCCTGCTCCCTGCCGTTGCTATTGGCGCTCGCTCCCCTCCACTGGCACCAGGCCATTCGTGTTTTTGCCCTTCTCGCAGACACACCTTAACAGCGTTGTCCCCGCCGTACAAAAGTCAATAGGACACTTAGTTCTCATCAGCGCCATCACATACATACTCAGGCTTGTTTCCGGTAAATTGTTATCCACTTTCGATCGCCCTTGGTTCGGTGGGAGAAGAAGGGAAAAATGTTATGTATATACATACAATCACTTTAATCCATCTCCCAGTCTTGTCGGTCAATCGAATATTGACCTGAGCATCCGATCCTGAAGAAACACCGATCCGCAGAGGTCTGCGAGCGAGTCCGGCCTATTGATAACTGTTTGATAGAGGTCGTTCGCCTTGACGCTGCGATACGATGACCGGATATCGTGTTACCGACGACGAAAATGGGCCGTTGGTTGTTATATCGTCGGGGATCATGATGACCTACATGATCTTATGTTATCTGGTTAGGTTGTTCATGAGACTCACAATCAACGGTCCGTTTGGCAAGGACGATTGGGCTTTGACATGTGGATCAGTGAGTTTGCGCCTGGTTTTCTCTTTTCGCATAATCTGGGAAGAGCCTTTGATTGACGAGTGCGCAATTATAGGTCATTGCTATAGTACAGACCGGTCTGAAGATTTCAGAAGCATATTCCGGTCTTGGGAGACGGAGACATCGCGTTTCCCCGGGGGATATAGAGCGGGTTGAAAAGGTATGCGCATAGAAAACGAAAAGTAGTATGACGAGGACAATAGGGCTAATCGTTTCTGCCAATTTTAGTTGGCATATGCCGGCGATATCTTCTATCTTGTTGCACTCGGATTTTCACGAGTCAGCACCTTCTTCCTTATTGCTCGCCTTACTCGACAAAAGAATCATCTTCGTGCTGCAAATTTGGGTGCCGTGGGATCGCTGGTTATCAGTATCACGTCGGTCTTTCTCATCTGCATGCGCTGCGATCTCTCCATGCCATGGGATCTCATCACCTCGGGCTGCTCTCAAATGGTATGCGCCATCCACCATATCCAACGCTTCACCATATGCGCTAGGATGCTAATTCAAGCTTCTTCCTAGTACTCGCGATGGTATACCGTCGAGACCTTGGGCATCCTTGTTGAATTGTATGCGGCCTGGGTTCCCATATACCTCGTCTGGAGCCTACAAATGCATTTGCAGTCAAAACTCGTTGTTCTCTTTGCGTTCTCCTTCCGCCTTCCGTGAGTCCAGGATATGGTATTCCCCTAAACCCTTATCTCAGCTGCTAACCCAAAGTAGTGTCCTGGTAGCGGCGGGAACGCGATTATACTACCTGCGTCAGCAACAAATGCAGGAAGATTTCCTCTTCTATGGCGCCGCTGCCTCGGTGTGTCTCGAGGTGGAGCTCCACTACGGGTTGATGGCAGCCACGATACCATGCCTGAAACCGTTCGTAAAGCTGTTCAACACTGGATGGTTCGATACTAGAGCTATACAAAGCACTAGTGGAGGAGAGCAGTATGCTCTTTCAAATCTGACGCCCGCGCGAATAACCGTCACGGCAGACGACAAAGTCTTCAAAAAACAATGGAATGACCGACGACATGTGCGGCACCAAAGTTCGGGCTCTCCATCTTCTGCGGGATCTGACAGGATGATTATACGTCAGACCACTGCATGGGACGTTTCTTATGATACCAATGACAGGGCCGTATAATTTCTGGCCCGTTTCTCCTGTTTTATCCTTCAATTCACGATATCTCTCATTTCCCTAATTGGTGGACTGGTTTCCCTCGGTAATGATATGCAAGGGCGCAACGGCGGTCCGGGGGGCTTTTTCTTTATATATATATATCCGTTTTTCTCCTTCATTTCTTCTTGCGCTATCTCAAATCTTTAGCGTCGGAGGCTGCTTGGTCTAGTTTGAATAGAGGTCAAAGGATAGCGCCACAAGAACACCGAGAGGACTTTAAAATTGCAAAGTCTATTTTTCTGCTTTGGGGCTGCTAAAAGGCGGATGTTCGCAAGGAATTGTGTTTCCAGTGCTGGCTTTTGGATTCGGTTTATATGGGTGCGTCCTGAAAGCCATGTAATATATATTGTATATTTTGAATATACCCCTTGATGTCCCCTGGTTGGTTTATACCGCTGTGAAATCTCGAGAGCATAGAATAGTCATGATAGATGAAAAGCAATAGATAACGATTCAAAATGATGTCGCTGTCGTGGTATGTGTACTTGTCGAGGAGGACGCGGCAATGGAGAGTGGTTGATATCACGTGATAAAACACTTCGTCGATTATCATTTTGACCAGCGCCCTTGTATGTATTTATGCGCGAGCAAGGAGGGATTGCGCACGTCAACCGTTTATCAATTACCAAGAGCCTCTGAAGCTTCGTTAACCTTTCCTCCAGCTCCCCGGCAACGAGCTGTGCGTCGCATTTACACTTCACAATCGTTGCCTGGCGTGGTGGCCGTTGTCTGCCACCTTGTCCAAGCCCGAGTCTACTCACCCACCATAGTACGATAACAAGCAGGAAAAGAAGACGTACGCCTTTCTTGGTTACTCAAAGAAGGAGAAAATGCTTGCGAGGTCTTTACTTCGGTGCCAGTCGCCTCAGGCGGCGGCGTTCGCAGTCTCAACCAAACGGTTAGCTGTTCCGAGCATCAGCTGCACTCGATCTTATATCTCTCTACCCAGCTCGAAGCACAATTCCAGCCACCTCTCCCAGAATTATTCTCAGCAGCAACCACATATCCGCTGTCGAAATCGTTCCCTACTACGTCGCCACGGGAGATCGTACCACCCGAGCACCTCCAACCTCTCATCCTCGGAGAGCCAGTTCTCCCCAGAACAGATATCAATACTCTCACTCGCACTATCGAATCACGTCCCCAAGCTTGGATTCACGACTGAAGCCGTTGTCCTAGCGGCGCAGGATGCTGGTCATCCCGAAGTCTCTTTACAACTGTTTCCTCGTGGAGGGGAAATTGAACTTATCATTTATTGGTTATCGACTAGACGGGCTATGTTGAAGGAGAAGGTCGAGAGCGGAGAGATGTTTGAAAAAGATGGAGAGAAATTAAGCGTTGATCAGAAAGTAAAGAGACTGGTCGTGGAGAGATTGAAGATGAATACTGGTATAATTCAGCACTGGCAAGATGTAAGCTCGTTCTCCCTGGCATCACTTCCACTTATACTTCTACTGACTGGTTTATGTCAAAGGCCCTGGCGGTAATGTCGTTACCTACCAATATTGCCGCATCTCTTCACGAATTATATGAGCTCTCGTCCGATATCCTTTATCTCGCAGGTGATCGCTCCGTAGACTCATCGTGGTACTCAAAGAGACTATCTGTGTCGACTGTATATGCCACTGCCGAGATTACCATGACCGAGGATAACTCTGACGGATTTGCATCGACAGAGGAGTTTGTCGAAAGACGATTTGGTGACACGGACGCTATTACAGGAACTATAGGTGACGCGAAAACATACCTGGGCTTCCTTGGTGGGAGCCTTGTTGCGGCCGGACGGAGCTTGGGGATGAAGATATAAGGGACAACTCAATTTAAGTACGACCTTTCACTTGGTGGGTATCACAGATATAGTATTCTATGTAGGATAATTAGCGAGATATATGTATTAACAAGCGGGCGGCCATGGCGTTTCTAAGCGGAGTTAACTGAGCTCTCTATTATCCCCGTACACCCATTCTTGGTGTTTGTTACTCCATATCTTCTGTGCCTTCTCTTCGAGCTCCTTGACATCTCGAATCTGTGCATCCATTCCCTTTGCCCAACTGGTAAGTTCTCGGTAGGATTTTTGAATAACGGGTGAATCCCACCATGTACCACTGTTGCTAGTGCCACCACCGGCTCTCCTGCTTCTAATTTTAATATTGCTCCCTCTGGCCCTTCCGTCGGCATATCTCGCTTTGGATATCTCTCGTGCCCCACGTTGACGGATTTTCTCAACCAGCTCGAGGGTTCTCTTATCAAAGTCAACGCCATTCTCCTCCATTTCTTTCAGCAGAGCCACAATAAAGGGTAGATCGTTGTAGACTCGCCAGCGGAAATCAATCAATTCGTGGAAGAGTTCTTTTGATGATCCCACGATGAAGGACGCTCGCCCATGGGATCGGATGCTTTCAAATAACCGGGTTGTGATAGGGGACATTGGGAACTTATTTTGAAGAAGTCGTAGGGCGTGGAGGAGAGTGGCAGGATATACATGTCCAACAACGATGACAGCAGGGACATCTGGATGGATATCCATCTGCTTGCAGCGGGCATTGTTGCCCTTGTCCAGGCCGGCAGAGACATCGTCATCCTCAAACATATCCGTGGACGACTTTACCGCCGGACGGACGGGTAGCGCATCGTCCAAATCCGCTTGCTTCAGCATTGGAAATATCATCTCCTCGCATATTTTCCAAATTCCCAGATCACCTCTCCCGTCCGCCACAGCATCGTCGATCTCTTTGCAGATTCTTCGGGTCTCCTTTTGTGCTACTGCAAATGCAGCGACAGAAAGATCGACGCCAGCGAACTTCGTCTCGTGAGGTGATGACGGGTCAATGTTGGTGAACTGAAAGTTGCGCAGTTTATCGTTTACGCTTCTTGTCCCGGCTCGGAAAAGGTCGAGTGGCTGCTGGGTTTTCACTCGATACTTTGGATTGCTAATTTGACTCATTGTATCCATGACTGAGCTGAAGATATTCGTTATCTCTTGACTTTCTTGGCTGGAAGGATTGTCCTTTGGTTGTGTATTGCCATCGCCTTTCATTGCAGTGCAGCCCGTCCCCTTTGAACTTTGAATAGTAGAACCGGTTATGGGAGCTCCTGGCCTCCTAATCAGCTGTCTGAGGCTCGACTCGTACTCATCCTGGCTGAAGCTCGAATAGGGGCATCTCTTTGGGTAGCTCGCGGGCTGTCGTGTCTGCTGCAGCTGCGGCCGTTGAACTGGCGTCGTCAGGGTCCGCGTCAGGTAGAGGAAAGGTAGATGCGTCGATTCACGCCAGAATGCGGCCAGTCCGCAAGAGTTAGACATCCTTTAGGCCCGGGCTACCGTCCAACTGGCGGCGAGTCGAAGTTGTAAGCGTTCCTTGTTGTCTCGAGCAAAAATATAAATATATATATAAAAAAAAAAGCCCAAGGGAAACTTTGGGGAAGTTCTAGAAACCACGTGACCACGCGCCTTTCTTGCTTAATTGAAGTTCGCGTTTTCTTTGCAAGGACAAAAAGATTTAACGAGACAACGACCGTTTCCTCGCCCTGCGCTCCAAATGCTGCGTCTCTGATACCATTTATAACACCGGAAGGGACGCCTATCGTTGCGGGAAAATCATGTCGCCCATAAAGTCTGAGCCAGCCACGGAGATGTCCGACTTTGAGAAGCAGCGCGCGGCCAATATTGCGGAGCGCGATGCGCTTCTAAAGAAAATCAGCCTGGAGGCTCAGTCGGCAGGTCTCTTATCCAAGACACCGGCATCGAAAGGTACGCGATCGGATAAGAAAAAAGCACCACCGAAGAGAGTGAAGCGCGAAAGGGAAGAGGCTCCAGCTCCGCGCCGGTCTTCTGCTCGACTCGCCGGTTTAACTGCTGATAGCGAGATTGCGAAACGCAAGGCAGACGATGCCTACGAAGCGGAGAAAATGCAGATGGAAGCGAAAAAGAGACGTGTAGCCGGGGACTTGCGGATGGATGAAATTGGCGTAAAGGGGAAGTGGGAATATTCAACCTTGGGTTCTCTTGTTACAAGCGGGCCAGCGAAGTATGAGAGGACATTTGGCGAAGAAGATATCAAGAAGACAGCCGATAAGGATCTGAAAGCTATGAGAGAGAAGATGAGCGGATTGAATCTCTGGGATGCCTGGGAACCAAATAGTGCGTTTTGCCCTAAACATCTCATTGTACGGAGTGCAGACAAAATTATATCTATATATATACTAACTTCACTTCCTCAAGGGATTAAAATCACCCCTGAACGAATATATACCATGTTATTCCACCCCACTGAATCCAAACCGTTAATATTTGCAGGGGACAAGGTCGGGAATCTGGGCATTCTTGATGCATCGCAAGGAGCCCCTGAGAACGATGACGACGAGGAGGATCCGGTTATTACAACAATTAAACCACACAGCCGATCAATCGCCTCTATGCATGTACATTCTTCTAGCCCGTCAAAACTATACACTGCCAGCCATGACAGCTCGATCCGACAGCTAGACTTGGAAAAGTCTTTGGCTACCGAAGCTTATGTGTCTGATGGGACGGGCCTATCCGCTATCGACATGGCCCCTGACGACCCCCATACTCTTTATTTCGCAACATTGAACGGTGTTTTTGGTCGCTACGATACTCGTACGAATGGAACTAACGCGAATGGCGCCAGTACGGATGCCACAAGCTACATTGCAGATGAATGGCAACTTGCCGACAACAAGATCGGCGGTTTTACCATCTGCCCAACCAAGCCGCAGTATATTGCGACTGCGTCCCTAGACCGAACTATGAAAGTTTGGGATCTGAGGCAGCTGTCTAAGAAAACTCCCATTGCTGTGGCAGAGCATGTAAGCCCATTATCGGTATCCCATGCCGCGTTCAACAGTGCTGGCCAAATTGCAACCTCTTCATACGACAACACCCTCAAAATACACAACTTTGGCGCCTTGGACCTGAAACCTCGAAAACATACCGAGCCTCTGGAAATTGCACCTGATGTAGTGATTAACCATAATTGTCAGACAGGGAGATGGGTTACAATGTACGTTGTGTTATTCCTTTCCTATTACATTTTGCTACTGATACATTCCGCAAACTTATGCCATCAACATACCTTTCTAATAAGTCATCTAGTCTCCGACCACAATGGCAACCTGCCCCTCAATCGTCAATCCAGCGTTTCTGCATAGGTAATATGAATCGCTTTGTGGATGTATATACCTCCAAGGGCGAGCAGTTGGCTCAACTAGGGGGTGATGGTCTGATAACTGCCGTTCCAGCAGCTGCGGTCTTCCATCCTACTCAGGACTGGGTTGCAGGAGGTACGGCAAGCGCTAAGGTGTGTTTATGGATGTGATATATAAGTAATATGCAAAATCTTTCTTCTTGGCCGATTGATGTATACTACCGAATGTTTTTATCATACATCTCATTCTTGTCATGCTTAAACCTCGGGAGGTTTCGGATGCATTTTTTGTCAACGACCAAGTTATCACTCGCATCATCGCAATTTTTCTAGCCCCGTCGGTTATTTTTATATCAAGACTTCGCTCCTTTTTTCCACAAAAGATTAGAGGTAGTATTAACCCGTTGAATATTATGCAGATATGTACACGTTAGATCTCTTCGTAAATACCAACTCTTAAATACATGAACTGACGTCCAACCCGGTAGCCTAGGACTCTTCAAAGCGTAGAACGCGCCCAAAGACCAAAATGGGTGACGGCGAATTTCTACCCCTTTTGCTAATCACAACTGGAGAGTTTGTCGTTTGGCAGGCCAATCTCTGAACCATATATAACGCTCTTATGACGCTAATCGAGTCGTAATAGGCATAGGACTTTCTGATGTCTAGACCTCCAGTCTTCCAACTAGTCACAAGTCACAGTGTCCATTGTCGACCTATCACCTCCTTCCATCTCCTACCCGCACATAGTATCGACACTGACTGATAGATAATGATGCTTGTAGCTCAGCAATAGTGGCATGAACTTAGCTAGGCTGAACTAGCTGCGTAATACCTTTCTTCGTTTCGCGGATCTATCCACTATGGTGGATGGTACGGATACTTCGACGACGAGGCTGTTCAGCCGTCTCCCCGGCGTACAAGCACTTGTTGGAGTAGTGGATGATGAAGACGAGTTTATAGCCTCCCCTGACCTGGCAATGTTCGTAGCTGAATTTCCATTCTGATTGCGAATGCATGCCTCCCGGACCGAAAGGCCTAAAGCAAGGGCGACTTGCCTGGCCACGCTATTCCCAACAATCTTCCATTGCTGAGCAGCAGTTCCAATGAGGACCTCAGAGTCCGGAAACCCTTGTGCACGTCTTACTTCCTGGACTGTTATCACACGGTCTTCCTGCCAGTGCACCCAACGCCCTGTAAATTTGCAATAGGGGCAAGCTACAGTTGTAACCGTTGGAAACAACTTGCTAGGGTCAACTCGGGTCCAGGCTTTAGAGCCAGGGGTTTGCAGGCGGGCGGAGTGATCGGCGCAATTAATCCATCCTCGTGCTATAGCTCCTACCAGACCTTGAGCTGGGGGCGCTTTAGGGATACTTTCTAGAACCGTTTGTCTGGCCTTGGACTCAATTCGGGAAGGGCGATGATCAGGCCATGGTATAGACATTATACGTGCGGTATTAATCTTAGGTAGGTCCTTTGTGGCCTCACCGGCAGATATAAAGTCAAAAACGGGGGTACCCCAACGTCTCTCTCCAAAAGTAAGACCATTTGGAGCGTTCCCCAGAGCTCGTCCTCGAGTTCCCTCGGGGTGGGAATGGGTGAGGTGAGGGTGATCTGGGATATGAAGCCCTGGGGCTGCGATAACAATAAAAAGCCTAGATCTGCTCTGCGGTGCGCCAAAGCTCCACGCATCTAAGCTAAAAACTCGAGCCTGGTATCCCATACCGACAAAGGCACAGAGAAGTTGAGATAGAGGGTTTTGTTTATGTGATTTGCTTGCCATAAGCGTAACGTTTTCTAGTATCGCATATTGGGGTCGATATAAGTCAATGTAACTTGCAACAGACGTGATCATAGATGAATTGCGCATCGACTCTTCACTCTGTCTGTTGGCATTGGCAGAGGAGTAACCTTGGCAAGGGCTCCCACCGGATATAAAGTCTACCTCTCCTAGCTGAGCAATATACTCACTCTCCTTTCCAGTAATAGCCTGGAAGAGATAGTCATTGACAGAGCCGCAAAATAGCTTTAGATCCTCGCCGTTAGGGTGATTAGCCCTATATGTCAACATCTGTGGAAGCCCCCATTCTACTGCCCACTTGCTTTGGATGGCAGTTCCTTCTTCGAGGCCTCGATCAAGGGTCCCGCCTCCACTGAAAAGATTCAAAGCCTTCAGCTTAGGGAGCGATGTTGATTGATCAAAGCCCTGTTTAAATCCAGGAGGGGGTTTCATAGGGACCAGGTTATCGCCATCCTTGCAGAAGAGGATATAAAAGGCATCACCAGCCCCATCCCTATTATAGGGACAAGGGATGGTTTTTCCTTCAGCGAAAAAACGAATGTGGCAGTGTCTCTGGATGCAATTTATGGGAACTGTGCGCATGTTGTCGTTGCTGTAGACCAATTCATTGGGGCGACAGTTTTTCTCTCTGAGGTCTCGGCCACGACGCAGGAACACCCGTAGCGTAACCTCATCGAACCTTAGGGTGATAATCTCAGCTGGCTCAACTGTGTTTGAGAACTCTGCAAGTACGGTATCACCGATTTTAAACTGATGGGTGGGCTTCGTTGGAAGTCGGCAGTGACACATAAAGTCACTATCAACCAAGGTCGTGAAAGTTTCGTCTTTTGTTCGGTAAGTTTGTCGGACGAAAAAGCTATCTTGATTTTCGGGAAAGGCAAAGAAGTCTATAGAAATCTTTTTAACCACGGCATGGACCGGGATTCTCTGTTCATGGCAGTTACAATGGTCACTTAAGAAAAGCTCATTGTCGTATGGATAGGTCATATTGGTGCACACAGTATCAGTCGGGCGATATAACCAAATCAACTGCAGGCTGCCATGTTTGGTAAACCCTTGGACGAGTGCATACCACAGTTCTTCTTCGCCTTTCCAAACAGACAGGCTGTCCTTTTTAACAGCGACAACGTCTCCAACAAGGATATCCCCAGTTTCACTTGTCTTCCTTTTACGGCCGGATGCGGTCTGCCGCTTGACCATCTGCTTATGCTGCCTCTCGATTTCAGGTGCTAATTCCACGCGTTGAAGATGATTAGACCAAGGCATATCCTTGAAACATTCGTAGACAAATGGCGTGACCACAGTGTTTGTTATCACTTTAGGCTGTTCTGTAATAATAGGGGTCTGCGAGAGCCCAATTTCGTCCCAGAGTTTATGACGACTGAAGGCATCGGCGTCGACAGTGAAAGATTGGCCTCGCAGAAACTTCCCATGGGCATTGATAGCGTGTCTGAAATCTCGAGAACCATATTCACGTAACCACGACGTAAATGTCGGGTCATCCTTATGACAGCCAACTAGCCAGTCGTAGAAATTATCTTTAAACTGGTTCAAGGTGACATTTTCATGCCCGTCGGCGTGCAGGTAGTCAACGAAGTGTTTAGCAAAGTCGGCCAACCAGACAAAAAAGTGGTGGTATGGTTCATACACTGACGATGGCTTCCCTAGTCGATACCATATCTTTCCTTGGTTTTTGCAGTGGGTCGACTGGATCCAGATATCCGTTCCCACGGTATGCAAATCTGGATCCTCATATCCACCTAGGGATACGAGGCTGAACGAAATCTGCTGCAGGTATAATGGATCAACATTCGATTGCGCATTTTGTTCAGATCTAAGTATCCCGTCGAAGAAAAACACCGCCCCGCCCTCTTTATTGGCAACATCATTCAGTGGCACCATCCCAGGCCGTCGTTCTCCCCCAACCTCTCGGCTGTAGATTGTGAAATCATCAAGAGTAAAGCTGACAAAGTCTGAGCCGTCGAAGTCCTGGAGAGTACATTCTGGGTCTTGGAGTAACAGAGTGCTGAGAGCATGTCGTTCTTTGGAGATTTTATATGGAGGCAGCGCACCCTCGTACGCCGATAAAGGGCTAATGAGGGGTGGGCAGACTACCCCCACCAACTGCTGTTCTTTCTTAGCATGTAACTTGGACTGAGATTTTTCTGCATCCAAAAGTTCTTTGTTCACGGAGGACTCTTCGGTGGTAGGGTCCAGTTCGTCTTCCGAGAATATTGATGGGACGCCGGTTGACGGCGACGCCATACCGTTGCCGTGAAGTGTCGACAAGGGCAGAACTCCGTTGCGCAGGGAGCTCGCTCTATTTCAGCAGCAGGGAGCTCCGAATACAGAATCAAAACACTTTTCAAGAGGAGGAAACGGGCTCAAAATGCATAGTATCTTCAAATCATAAGTCAGCTGAGGAGCTTGAATTATCTGTTATAAAGCAGGATCTTTGGAGAAGGGGAAGCATCGGCCCGTATATTTCTAACGTACCGATGGCGCCTATCTTCTATCGAGGATGTATATAGTCTTGTTTGCTGCTTGTGAGAATAGGAGGTAGGAGTTAAGGGCGTTGCAGGTGGGATTGGTCGTAGCTGAGCACGGCTCAATTGAAGAGGAGGAAGACCTCTGAGCGACAGCTTCAGCGAGGGACCCAAAATCTGCCAGAGAGACGCCTCGACTTGAACGTCGAGCGTCTTCGTCGTCTCGAAGCTGAAAATGTTCGAGTCGCGTCGCGTAAGAGACGGGACATCACGTGATGGATATAGATATCTGGACTTCGAGGACGAAGAGTTAAACATGAATAAAGAACTATAGATTGATAGATGATTTGGCCTTATTCTGGCCAAAATGGCCGCTCCTACCAGCCTGCATGGATATAGCATAAATAAAACTGTGGAATTCCGCGTCTCATCACTCGAGAGTCTCCAAACGTGTGTTATATGCATCATCGTTTCGAGCTCTAACGAAGGAAAAGTGAGAGAGAAGGCACGAGCCTTAGGTGAGAGATGCAAACAGATAACTTCCTAGATGATGATACCTATCTTGCCACTGACGAGGTCTCACTCTTCACTCGAGTTGTGTGCCAGCCAGCTTTTCTCTGTTTTCCTATAAAAAGCCCCTTCCATGAGACGAGACGAAAACACGGAGGAGCAAGGCAAGCTACTGCTAGCACAGGAGCTGGTGAAGGCGAGAATCACAAAAACTAAATCTATCTGCATAATGGACGAGTAAAATAGAATAGCATGAATAAAGACACGAATGAGGAAACCACCAGGTTTTTTCAAAAGAATTAATCTTACATAGGTCAGCAGGGGAAGTGATAGATAGATAGAGAGAGAGAGAGAGAGAAAGTAGGAGATGGAGACGAACATGGAGAAGAAGAAAAGGAAGGAGAAGGAGATGAAAAATCGAGAAATTCGTCAAATGATGATGATTTGAGTCGTCAAGTAAAGGCCTGCCTCCCTTCCCCCTAGTTCCCTCACCCATTGGGTATATCCAACACCATGAGAAATGCACCACGTTATCCAAAAATCCCCCCCATCATCATCACCCACCACCGCACACACGGATGTTGAGAAAGCTGAGGTATATTTGTATTGTTATTTGTTGTACTTCCTCCTTCTTCCCATGCTGGTTAGCGCTCACATCTGCCTAAGTAGATGGACAGCCAACCCCGTACCCGCTCCCCTGGAATTTCTCTCGCAATATAAAAATGCGTAAGATGATGAATATATAAAAAAAGATAAAAAAAAATATAGGATGAAGAGGGAGAAGAAGACACAAAGCGTAGGGGATAGAATGATATGAGTGAGGTCTCCGTTGTCATGACCCAAACCCAAATGCAAGAACGATAAAAAAAAGGCTTCAACCAAAAAAAAAAAAAAAAAACCTCTGATAAAAAGCGCTGGGAATTTGCAAAATAAAAGATAAGGTAGAAATAAATGAAAAAGGACTTCAATCAGGGTTAATTAGCAAGGCTCAGGGGAATAAATGAACGAAATCTTCTTTTTCCAATCATCTCTCATTTCAAAAAGAAGCCGAGCCGGAGAAAGGTCAGCCATAGGGCTAGGCTATTTGTGCGTCAATCATATAAATTCATTTCGCGGACCCACGTCTGGCGGTGGCTGCGCTGATTCCCTCTCCTTTCCTTTCCGTCTGGTTCTGTCAACGAACTCAAAAAGACGATACTTCCCGGAGTCGCGAGACATGCCTGACTGTCGGTTCTTAGGCGTCTCTGACTGGGTTAACGAAACGGTGGAAGAGTTATGTAGACTTTCTGTGCTTTTTCGGGAGTCAGCGTAGTATTTAGGCTGCGTGAAAGTTGGGCGGTTCTGCTCCCAGGGGGCAGATGTGGCGCTAGAAGGGGTATCGTCGTCGGCATCGTCACTAATGCTAGCCTCCGTGGATTTCAGGTATGGCGTGCGCGGAAAGTAACCGATCGAGTTTCGATTGTTGCCTGCCGTGGTGGAGCTGACGCTGGTTATCGTGGACTCTTTACTCGGTGTATTGGCCTTGCTTGAGCTTTCCTCGTAGAAGGTACCAGACTTTTCAATTTGTTCGACAAGCTCCTCCCATTTCACCTCTAGGTTGCCGCTAGGTTGTTCTGCTTGCTCCGCCTTGTTCAGCGACTCTTTGGTTCGATTCTCTAACTCGATGCATAGCGAGTGAAACTTGAGGATGTTCACATCCATATCAGGTATTTCTGTAAGTCCACTTGGTGCAGCCTGTAGCCATACACGAGCCAAGCATGCAAAACTCCTCGCATTATCGATGAGGAATGGTAAGCTTGGGAACCCTTCTCGAGATGTGGGAGGTAAACGGCCGAGGATTTGAATAGGGGTTGCGAATGAGGGGTTAACGATCTGAGGTGGGCGTTCGGCAGGTATTGCGCATATTGAATCGATGAAATCTTTGAACTCATTCCGATGAGACATAAGGAACTTGTTCATGGGCTCCATGAACGGCTCCTTATTGCCGAATGTTGTTAAATTTGCAAGTCCCTGGAGTCCTTTGGCGACCAATGTCAAAGTTCGTTGAGCACGAGCTCGTGGATGTTCTGTAGACAAATAATTAGTTACTAGAGTTTCCTCAAGGGATAGATAGATAATATCAAAAAGTACCTTTTAAAAGACCAAATAGCTTTGGATTTAGGATCGCCGGGCAAAAGAACCGCAAGAACAAAAATCCAGAAACACTGCTGTATGTAACAGAGCGCAAGAAATCGCCATACCGATCCTCAGCACACGCTCTGATGTGTCGAAATATATACCTGAGCTCTGGTGGACACCGCGACGCCGACCCGGCAATCGACTGCCACATATTACTTGTCAGGATGATCAAATTGCGCCAATTACGCTCTAGATCTTCCTGTCTGCTGACGCGGTTCGGATCGATTTCACAGTCTGGATCGCTCTCGTCAATGTCTCTTATACTTGAGCCAATAGTTTCTTCAAGGTATTCCTTTCCAAGACGACGCATATGCATGTCTAGGGACTTGGTCAGGAGGGAGTTCCCACGAAAGAGCAGGTTGGCTTCGACGGTTGCAGAGCGGCCCAGGTCACGGACAAGGACTTCGCGCTCTTGTCCGGATTCGTAGGAGTCGTTTGAATGAATGCGGCTGGTATAACGGAGGCGACTGGCGGATGTTTCGCGGTGGAGGCCGTCGATTTCGTCTTCGACAAGCGCGGTAACCCATTCGCTTGCTTGGCCGGAGACTTGGAAGATGTCGAGGAAGATTTCGGAGAGTTGGCGGAGCTCTTGGGGTGCGAGCTCAGCGAGATGGACTGTAAGGCCGTTGGGAAAAGAATGTAGGAGTTCGGACATGACCTTGTATTCCTGGGACATGAGGACAACCGTTTCGTCGAGTTGGACGCGCATCAGCATCTCGCCGACAGGCTGGTCGTTATCGTCGAGGATGTGCCACCATTTCTCAGAACCGTTTCCGGGATCTAAGCTGTCCAGGGGGAGATCTATTCTGCCGAACGTGGTGTCTTGGGATGCTATTTCTACATCTCCTATGCCCGTCAACGGGTCATGCTCCCGCTCGCCCTCGGTGGGTGTATAGGTCCCTCTAGAAATAAGAGTCCAGTCTTTCTGTGAAGGATTGAGAGTCTTTACTAGCACTGTAGCGCTCGACAGGACAGGTGGGAGGTCATGGAACGTGAAATCTTCTCGCCAAAACGGCGCCGAGGTGCTATTCCTCACGGCGGTCTTGCCTCTAACTTCACCATCAAGAAGAACTTCGGCGTAGTAATCCCCGGCGGTTTGAGCATGGCCCTGTTGTTTAGAGGACTTTTTGCTCTTTTCGGATTGCTCAGCCCTTGCGTGCGAGAATATCTTCGCTTCAATTACACGGACATTAAGAAGGCGCTCGATTCGGAACATATCTGTTGTCGTGGCTGGGAGTGCTTGGGACATGGCTAGAGGGTGGGAACGACTGAGTTCGTCGGTCGAGGGAGGCTGTTCGGGCCCGTAGAGCTCTGGGATGGTAAACGCACGGAGCAGGACAAACCAGACCTCGAAGAGTACACGGCTTTCCATGGAGAGATAGATGGGCCGGGTTAAGTGGTCACTTCCGGCATGGACGGCATACTGAGGATAAATAGCAATGCAAAATTCGTCCTGCAAAACGGAAGCATCCAATTTTTGAATGGCACATCGCGAAAGCTGAGATAGCTGTATGAAAGATACAAGATTTGTCCCGGCCTCCGTAACAATCTTCATATGGCCGTTCTCTTGCAGCGTGCAATTCACCTTCCTCCAATATTGAGAGAGCGCTCGTTGCTGCTTGAAGGTCGATATCCGCCTCGGGGTGGGCGGCGGACAGACGCCCGACGCGCTTTGCCTATCCCAGAGCAACATCTTGCCTACTTTAATAATGGTGGCTTCCTTTTGCAAGGTGCTTTCTGAATTTCTCCGGCGGTCTGCGAGACGCCGTTCAGTTATGGCGACTGACTGGGGCTTAGTCATTTTATTCTGGACACCCTTTGGACGAATTGGTTGCCAGCAGAGGAGGGCTGCCAGCCAGGAATCGCAGGTTTCCTTCACATGGGGACGTAGGTGTACGCTAAGGGTGGAGGAGTGAGTTGAAACGCTTAGGTACGAGCTTTGAGTTTCTGCGGAGTAGAGAGTGCGGACGCGGCAACCACGGAGATCTGGGATGAGGGTCTTTGCCAGGCTCGGTTCACCTTTGGCCTGGTAGATGAGACTCCCTGCGGCAACGTTGATGGCACAGTATCCCGAAGTCCAGGCGGCAGCTCCCGAGATCCTAAAGGAGAGAATTCCGTGCATTCTACCGCAAGTAGACTTCATCAGATCCAGTATCTTGGACGAATCCGGGTTGAGGACGTGATGAGATACATATGGCCCGGGACTGGAGGCATTGGACGACGGCAGTCCCGGGGAGAGGGTCGACTGTGACTTGACGAAGCGCGGGCGCTGCCCCGGAGTCTGGATGATGGAGGGAAAGCCGATGGAGGAGATGGAATCTTCGTGGAGCGGCGGCCTGGGGCTCTGTGGGGAGGCAGAGGCTGCTACGTTGGCGGTGGCAGCGGTGGTCAAGGAGCCGAGTCTCATCCTGGTCCGTCCTAGGAACGAGCTGGGTGGCAAGTCGCCCCTCTGGTCCTCCATGGTGGTTGTTTTCGACCTGGCCCGTAGACTCCGTGAATCAGGCACGGGCAGCTCCTCGTCATTGGGTTTGTGTCCGGCGTGGAAGGGACTAAACTCACGCCGGCGGTCACGCGGCTTCGCGCGAAGAGTCCCCCGGGGTGAAGCCGTTGCGCTGGCCAGAAACTCGGCATCGGAGGCAGGCGAGTGGTTCTGAGCATCGGAGAGCGACTCCTCAGGGCTGACGGACCGGATGGAGGTTTCCCGGAAGTTGTCTGGATAAACCATTCCGTGGCGGTCCTTGGATGAAGATTTTTTGCTTGGGCGGCGTTCAATGGGTCTTGCGTATATGTCCAAGTCCCTCTGAAAACCGTTCTGGCGCTCAGAGTCCATAATCCTTCGTTATCTGAAAGCCGGCTCTACCGCCACTATCCACATATCAAGGACGAGAGGAGGTTGGCTATTCATCAGTGACGGACGGTTCACGTCTGGATTTCAGGCACAGCCAGTTGAGTCCAGGTCCGGGTTCAGGTCAGGTCCAGGTTGAGGTTGAGGTCAGGTTCAGGTCCAGGTGCTTGTTTGGAAGACGGACAATCGCAGTGAAATTTTCAAACCGGGCGACTATCGACCATCGACCGGTCTATCTCGAGGAGAAATCACAGGCGAGCAGCTGGGCAGCGGGAGGGTGATGGAGAGAGCCTGGAAGAGCATAGTTGGTCAGTTAAGAAGTTGACAGGCAAAGCGTTCCACGGCCGAAAACGAAAAAAGAGCACTCCCACGACGAGAGACGAGAGACGAGGCCACCACGCCCGAACCGGCGGTGCAATATACCTTGACAGAAGAATTCGGCTCGTCCTACATGTCCCGTATCGGATATCGAATTTTCCAGGGCGCACGACAGCCAGACGGGACTGGCCGGTAGCGAGGCGAGGAGCAGACCAGCGCGATCAGCGGGAGACTTTGAGGTTCAAGACAGAACAGTGGACAGTGGACAGAGAGAGAAGAGAAGGGAACAGTGAGAAGAGAGAGAGAGAGAGAGAGTGAAGATGGTGAAGCCGTCGGTTGTTGGAAGATCAGCCAGGGCAGTTCCCCTCCCACGTTCGGACAGCTTAGTCAGCACTTGGGTGAGACGGCGGTATACAGGTCACCTTTCTAGAAGACGTCGAAGGGAGGAAAAGAAACGAGCGACGGTTCCTGCGTCGGTGATCTCGACAGATGATGAGGGAAGATGAGAGATAAGGCTGGAGATGAGAAGATGAGAAGATGAAGATGGATGAGAAGATGAGATGTATACTGTCTATCTGTCGGATGTGGAGGACGGTCCTGGACAGTGGACGAGACGGCCTTTACTATACGGAGTATACGGACGCTTTGCTGCCAGAAGAGCTGCAACGATACTCTGAGTCGGTCAAGATGAGCTGTCTATATAGTAGCAGAAAGGGTGTTAGAGGATGCTTCGAGATGCTGCCACAGTCATACATCATATCCTACATCATACCTCATGTATATACTGTCTAACCTCATATGTAATACTGTCTGTATACTGTCTATATACTGTCCTTCCAGAGAAAGACTTGTTTATCTCGTAGCACTTTCTTCAACGTCATGAAGTCACGTGGCAGATATACAGGTTGAGCTTCAGGTTGAGATACAGTTAAGGATAAAGAGAGACAGTTGGAAGAGACAGTGAGCTTCAGGTTGACAGCGAGAGACGATCAGTATCATCTGTATAGCAGTCCGGCTGGCTTCATGAACCAAGGTACTTTCTACTTTCACTTCCCTCCTTGTGACCTTTGCACGGGACAACTATCTAAGCTTACAGCGGTAGACATGATTTCAACCTGCGCGGGTTGACTCGCTGTTCAGCGACGTTAAGGAATCTCATCCTCAAGCAATATCTCATACTTGCCGGCACCATGACGTCGAACCTGATGAGCCGCTTCATGCCCATAAACAGCAGCACCACCCCATCCATCTACGAGACCCTCCAGCAGTACGACAACGACTCCGATGGCTCAGATATCGAGCACCGCGCCGGCATGGCTGTCGACGAAGAGAACCTCGGAGACCAGTATGCAGACTACGAGCTCGAAGACGCCCTCGCGCAGGCATCAGACAGCCAGTCCCAGCAGAGCAGTCCATACTCGCGCCGGTCGAGGTCGACACGGGGGAAACGAGGGTGGGGGAACGCGAATATGACGGTTACTGCGCAAGGTGCTCGGGTGGAGGACGCCGAGGAGGCTGACGACGAGGTTCCAGCCTCGTTGCTGGTGGAAGGGAATGCCATGCCGTCGTCTCCCTTGCCCCCTCCGCCTCTGCATCCTCTGCGGTCCAGCGGTATAGGCGAGCACTCACTCCACCTCAGAGGTCCGTCGACGATAGGCCAGACACGAAACCGGTGGGAGACAAGGGCGCCGTCCATCCCCAGCCATGGCCAGGAAGGGCCGCCGCGTGTATGGGGGGTAAAGCAGCATGCTGGCCTGGCATTTGCGGACCCCAAGGAGAAGGCCTTGTGGAGGTGGGCAAACGTCGAGAACTTGGATAACTTCTTGCAGGAAGTCTACGACTACTTTCTCGGGAACGGTATCTGGAGTATAATGCTGAGCAGGACACTCAGTTTAATGTTGGTATCCCCCTTTATAGCAGGTTTAAAGATACTAACATGAATATAGAACCCTTGCGTTTGTGGTTGGCTTCACTACCTTTCTCTCCAGCTGTATCGACTATCGAAAGGTGCCCCATAGCAAGACGATGCCCCAGATCCTCATACCCGGATGTGTTCGCAAGATGTCCGGGTTCTCGACATTCCTGCTCTGGCTCTTTACCATATTCTGGATCGGTAAGCTGTTTCAATACGCCGTAGACTTCCGCCGACTGCGACACATGCAGGACTTTTATCAGCATCTACTCGGCATCCCAGACGCAGATATCCAAACCGTGTCGTGGCAGGAAGTCGTCAGCCGGCTGATGGCCCTCAGAGACTCAAATCCGTCCACCGCGGCCGCAGTGTCTGCCAAACACCGCCGGTTCCTGGGCAGCCAGTCCAAGCAGAGAATGGACGCCCACGACATCGCCAACCGGCTCATGAGGCGAGAGAACTACCTCATCGCTCTCTTCAACAAAGATATCCTCGACCTCACACTTCCCTTACCTTTCCTCCGTAGCCGCCAGCTCTTCTCCCGAACCCTAGAATGGAACCTCAACCTTTGCGTGCTAGACTACGCATTCAACCAACAGGGCCAGCTCCGGCCCCTTTTCCTCAAGGACACCCACCGCAAAGCTCTCAGCGACGGTCTAAGACGCCGCTTCATCCTGGCAGGTTTCATGAACATCTTTGTCGCCCCTTTTATCGTCACCTATTTCCTCATGCACTATTTCTTCCGCTACTTTAGCGAATACCAGAAGAACCCGTCCCAGATCGGGTCAAGACAGTACACACCACTCGCAGAATGGAAGTTCCGCGAGTTTAACGAGCTATGGCATCTATTTGAGCGGCGGACGAATATGTCGCGCCTGGCCGCGAATGAATACATAGCCCAGTTCCCCAAGGATAAGACGGTGCAGTTTGCACGCTTCGTTGCGTTTATTGCCAGTGCGCTTGCGTCTGTCCTTGCACTCGCGACCATCATCGATCCAGAGCTATTCCTTGGATTTGAAATCACGCATGATAGAACGGCGCTTTTCTATCTTGGTATCTTTGGATCCGTCTGGGCTGTTGCCCAGGGCGTCATTCCAGCTGAAAACCTGGTCTTTGATCCGGAACTCGCCCTCCGTCGAGTTATAGAATTCACTCACTACCAGCCCACCCACTGGCAGGGCAGGCTTCACAGCGATGACATAAAGAAAGAATTCGCTCTCCTCTACCAGATGAAACTAGTCATCTTCCTCGAGGAGATACTAAGCATGATCTTCACCCCGTTTGTTCTCTGGTTCAGTCTTCCGAAATGTAGTGATCGACTAATCGACTTCTTCCGTGAATTCACCGTCCACGTTGACGGGCTAGGATACGTCTGTTCCTTTGCGGTTTTCGATTTCAAAAAGGGCAACAACGTCATTCTACAGGACCGCGATGATGTGAATGATGGTGCGCGCCCGGCCGGCCCCCAGGGACTACGGAATGACTATTACTCTACCAAGGATGGAAAGATGCTTGCCTCTTATTACGGGTTTTTGGACCATTACTCTAGCAACCCGACAGCAGGCGGAACACACGCCTACATGCTGCATCGACGGCAGAATCCGCAGTCCACGGCTCAACCTGCAGCGTATAATAGGACAAACAGCGGCGATCTGGGTATGGATAAGTATGATCGTGGACCACAACGATCGATGCACCGTATGCCTCCCGGTTTAGGGATGGCGAATCTTACTTCCCCGCCGCGCGAGCCAGCTCTAGGAGGACCGATCTCCCCATTACCGTCAATGCTGCTGGACCCTCACCACCAACCCTCCGCCTCAGGATTCAGATCCATTAACCGCCCTCCAGGGCCATCATCGCGCGCCAGACCATCTCGTCAGACAAACACTATGAGAGACGCCATCCCCGACGCTGACGAGTCACAAGCCAATACTCCCAGGCTATCTGCCCAGCAGTCCAACACCCAGAGGCAGGCGCACACTGCATCCAGCAGCAAACTGGCAACGGAGGACAGCCAGCTAGAGGAGTCGTGGCGTATGAACCTGGCGGCCGACGTTGACGATGACGAGGAGGAGCACGACGAAGACATCAACGAGGTTGTCGAAGGTGCAGGAGTCCTGGGGCTGATCCAGCAGTTCCAGATGGTCGGCAATGAAGGACGTCGAGCCGTGGGCATGTGAATACTGCCTTGTCTTGCATACCGGGAGTTGGTTTTGGTGTTATCAGATTTATCTTGTAGTAGATTACAACCTCATACTCGTTAGAGTATCCTGGCGTCTGGAATTTGATCTTAAGACCTGTCTTAAGACCTGGTTGGTTTCTTTGTTGGCGTATGGCGGCAGCATCGATATGTACTCTAAGCCATCATCTAGTTATCACTTTATATTCGACAACATATCTACTAGTTATCACTTTATATTCAGCAGCATATCTTCTATCACTTTATGATGCGTATCATTCGCAGACCAGGCGAACTCCGTATCTTCCCCTGGAGATGCAACATCGACCTGCGCGAGCCCACTTAGTGCAAGTCAATCAGCCACCAAAAGCTAAGGATCGTGATTCCTGGACATTATAACTGCCCCCAAATTTTAGTATCTCCATGCCCTTGGGAAAGCCGAAAAGGTGAAGGTCGCTCATGCGATGATGTAGGAAGCGGTCGTCCATTCTCTCCATCAGCCTCCGGTTTCCTGCTCCTTTTTCTCTTCTTCTTCCTCTCAGCCGGGACAAGGCTTCATATACGACCGACCGGCCCCGGAACCGACGAGTTCGGGCACAAGAGCACCAGAATGTTTCGCTTTCGCCGGTATCGAGTCTACCTGATCTTTTCTATCATATCGATCCTCGCCATCATCCATTTCTCTGGGTTTGGCGAGTGGTCGTCCTCGTCCTTTACGCCCTCCGTCCCAGCCCTGAAGCCCGAAAGCCGTCCGCAAGCACCGGCTCAGGAGCAGAAACCAAAGCCAAAGCCTGTACCGCAGCCAGTGCCTCCGACGCTCAAGAATGAGCAAGATCCAGAGGTCCCGGCCCCTGAAAAGGGAGCGGCTGCTAAACCTACCACGCCCGTCGTGAATGGCGGGAAAGGATTGCCTACGCCCACGAAACCTGAGGCGCCCGTACCTCCAGTCGATGTGCCGGATAACGAGGTTCCTATGATGGGAGGACAGGGAAGACAGGACGTCGACGGCTCGGACAAGACTGGCGAGAGATGGGAGAAGCAACCAGAGCGTTTCCCCGTCGCCTCGACCAAGGTCATCCCATTGCCTACCGGAGCAGCGAAAAAGCTTCCCAAAATCCAATTCGAGTTCGCCGCTGAGTCGGCCGCATCCAAGGTGGCACGAGAGGAGAAATTGGTTCAGATCAAGAGTTCGTTGAAACGGTCGTGGGATGGCTACAGGAAACATGCATGGACTCACGACGAGGTACGGCCTGAGTCTGGTGGCTACCGGGACCCCTTTATGGGCTGGGGCGCTACGCTGGTCGACTCCCTCGACACGCTTTGGATTGCTGGAATGAGGGAGGAGTTTGAAGAGGCCGTACGGGCCGTTGGGAATCTCGACTTCAAGACGAGCAAGCGGAAAGATATTCCCTTGTTCGAGACCGTCATCCGCTATCTTGGTGGCTTAATCGGCGCATACGATATATCGGACGGGCAGTACAGGACTCTCCTGGACAAGGCCATTGAGTTGGCCGAGATCTTGATGGGTGCATTTGATACGCCAAACAGGATGCCGGTTACCTACTACATGTGGGCTCCGTAAGTTGATATGTTGGGCCTACTTCTGACTGCTGTCTATCTTTTCTGACATTTTTTCCCATCTTAGTGCATACGCATCGCAGCCACATCGAGCGGGCCATAGGGTTGTTCTGGCTGAGATCGGCTCTCTGTCAATCGAGTTTACTAGGTTGGCTCAGATCACACAGAACAATCGCTACTACGATGCCATAGCGCGCATCACAAACGCACTCGAGAAATGGCAGCCTGATACAAGCATTCCGGGCCTCTGGCCATCGTTCATTGACGCTTCTGGGTGCAAGAAGGTCAAGAAGAAACCGATAGTGCAGAATCCCGATTCTCTAAGAGACAGCCCAGATAATTCCGGGGCTCCCTCACATGCCAACCCCCACGGAAAGCGAGACGAGACCGAGTTACAGGGCCGGCCTTTGCTACCTGGTGAGGAGCCTGCGAATTATGAAAAGCGACCGTCTGTGCCGGATCTCAGTACGGCACCTCCCTGGAAAGTAAACATGCCTTCCAAGCCTACCCAGAACCAAGACCCGGACTTTGATGACGAGGAACATTGTGAAGACCAAGGCCTTACGTACCCTCCAGGAGTACTCAGTGCAACCTATACCGTGGGCAGTCTCGCGGATTCAGCATACGAGTATCTTCCAAAAACATATGCACTCCTTGGTGGTCTGAATGACCAGTATAAGAGTATGTACCAACAGTCCAGGGATGCTATCATGAAGCATATTGCTTTTAGACCAATGCTTCCAGACTCAAAGGACATTCTTTTCGTTTCAGAAGCAACCACCACCCTCATGGAAGGTGATACCAGGCCGTTCAGATACAAATATCGTGGTTCCCATCTTGGCTGTTTCGTTGGCGGCATGTTTGGTGTTGGATCCAGGCTCTTTGGTCTAACCCAAGATCTCGATATTGCAGCAAAGATGGCCGATGCCTGTGTTTGGGCATACAATTCTACGGCCTCGCATATCATGCCCGAGGAATTTACGGTTCTCCCGTGCGACGACGTGAAGGGGTGCGAGTGGAATCAGACCGCGTACCTTGACGATATATATAAAAACAACCAGGCCGGCATCGATTCACTTATGGTGAGAAAGAACAGTGAAGAAGCCGTTGTGAGAAATCCGACCGCCACATACACAGCCGGTCGCCCGATGCTGCCAACGCCACTTTATCCAAACAAACAGGACATGGCCCCAGTTCAAAAGACACAGTCTCCCACTGTAGGTCTTGCAAAACGGATGGCCCCAGACGAAACAGCTATCCCTGACCCAATCGTCGCGGATCCGACCAAGGCAGTTCCGGGTGGAGCTCCTGTAGCCACCTCGACCGCTGCCTCGCACGCACAGCTTGCAGAAATGTACATCAAAGATAGCCAGATCCCTCCCGGGATGACGAGAATAAACTCGGCGAAATATATCCTTCGCCCCGAAGCCATCGAGTCGGTGTTCCTCATGTACCGCATCACCGGCGACGAAACCTGGCGAGAAAAGGGCTGGGAGATGTTCAATGCTATTGAGCGTGCGACGCGGACGAATTTTGGCAACTCTGCCATCGCAGACGTCAACGGCGAAGCGACCATTTTCGAGGACGAGATGGAATCCTTCTGGATCGGTGAAACGCTCAAGTACTTTTACTTGCTTTTCAGCGACCCAGATGTGGTTAGTTTAGACGAATATGTCCTGTGAGTTTCCCCGTCGCCCTTTTCCTATATATAAAACCTTGACGAGCCTAATATATTTCGTAGCAACACCGAAGCACATCCCCACAAACGGCCCCTCGCCCGGTGATGTGCTCGCGTAGGGTATACGGAGTATATATGACGCCTTCAACTAGTAGACGAGATTGCGTCGGGTATATAAGCGTCATTCCGATCCTATGACGCTATTGCTATAAATCGCTATAGATTGCTATAGATGTGCTATATGCCCGGTTTGCGCTTTGTACAATCCGGCTTTTGGACAGATAGCTTATATACGAATTGTAATACAGTCTATAATTACCATTAAGCGAACAAGCTGTCAGGAAGCATAAGCTGGTCAGATATCTCATGCAGGAGAGGTCAAGGAGAGGTCAAGGAGAGGTCAAGGAGATGTCACCAGGCCATGCTGTTAGATATATACACCATGCTCAGTGTTTAGGTTAACCTTGCATATGTACGCACTCAGGACGCCCCTTTGATCCGCTTAAAGCCCCATGCTTGTCAATGTCGCGATGCAGCCCCTGACTAGCGCAACCGAACGACCCCTGGGGGTGATGCCCGAAACAACGGCTGTGAGGATGGCCAACCCCGTCTATACCCCGCCGGCCCTGTCAGTATCAGGACTGTGCCTAGAAAGATTCCAAGACACCTCAGTCCTTGTTATTTTGCCTTTCCGTCGGGATTCTGCGCAGAGATGCCCCTGGAACGGCGAAAGGTCGAGCGGGAAGATCCATATCTCGATCAGCAGGGTTCGGTAGAAATTGGTTAATCTCGTTTGGCGCCCCTGGAAACGTCCGTATATACCTACGATGGGAGAATATATATATCTCGATCATTCCGTTAAGTTGGAGGGAGGACGTATTTGTGCTGACCGCCAAAATTGTTTATTTCAATGACATAGTTGATCTATCTCTCCTTGGATAAACAACTCAGCCATAGCCAAATATCTCCGATTCTCTCCTTCACGGCCCGTTGTTGACATTAAATTCTTTATATACGCCATCTACGCCTTTTAATCCTTATCTCCCGCAACCGAACATTAAGGTCACGGAGACTCACCTTCCTATCATTAAAACAATCTAGAACAGAGCAGGCTCTTTGTTCCTTCACCGCAGAAATGGGTCTCAAGGATAAGATCGAAGAAAGTGAGTTGATGCTGGTATAGTTGTCTATGCAGCCAGCTAATATATCTACAGTCATGGAGTTCCGCCGCCTGGAACAGCGATATGCTCGCCGCAAGAACCGACACACTCTCACCTATGGCGCCCAGTATGTCGACGGAGAGTATGTCTACAGCCCCAGCAGCCCTGCTGTCTCTCCTACCATGTCAGCAGCCACAGTTCGGAAGCAGTCCACTGGCGGGAAGTCTTCGAAATGGGGTGGAAAGTAGAGATGCCCTTACGGATGCCACACGCAATGGAATGAGTGGCCTGGAGCCATATAATATAATGACGTGAAATGAAGCCGTGGCGAGAGCTGGCAAGTCATCTGCAGTGCTTTTGACTGCTTCTTGTGGGCGCGGTATCGGGGTGATATCGCACCTGGGGAGGATGAAGAGGGTGGTGGTTGTTTGGAGGAGCCGGATATTCTTCACTGAATAGACAGCACTGCGCTGTATTTAGCCAACGATAACGAAATAAAGCACAGTCCTTGATCAAGTAGCTGGATAATAACTAGTAGTCTACTAGTACTTGGTTTCGAGTCCTTCATCAGATACTGTCGAGGTTATATATCTTGTATAAAGGTAGGATTGCCTAAAGATGTTCAAAGTCTCTCATCACTCCTTAATGGACAGTGAGGTTCCCGATGGTCTTGTATGTTTATCTCCCTCCCTTGATAGGCCTTATAAAGAGTCTAAGCTAACGATAAGAGAGAAAATTGTCTATATATTACCAGTAACCATTTTATCCCTGGTAGACACATCGACAGTTGCTGACCCCAACCAGAGATATTTGGCAGCCAGCCACGAGACTGAGATGCCGACAAGGAAGATGGCATCGGTAACAACAAGATATGATCATACGGCCAAGAATAAAGGGGAGAAGAGTCGTCGCTTAGAGAGTTGACGGATATGCCCGGGGCTTTTGCGAAGGCAGCTTTCAATCAACCCTGGAGTATACATGGTTTACTACTCGTTTTGACCAGAGCATAGCCTGGCTGCGTTTAGAACACATAGATATCGGGATGTATCAAAATATCGAGATGTATCAAACATCCACGGTCGTACGGCTACGGAGTATCTCCATGCAGTTTGCATAGGCACAGTTGCGGTGTATATTTACCATCGAGCTTAGCTATAGCTTTGCACAGATTCCCCTGGCCCGGAAATGAGGGGCCCGTGTTTATTCTGATACCTTCTGGTGCGACATGGGGATGGAGGTTTCAAACGGGATCACTGCCCTGCTTGTCCGAATGCGAGGCATGCTTCGTCTTCCTGAACCCGCTGTTTCGGTGCGCTATATTCGGATCAGCAAGGATATCTACAAGGTGGACGGACTATTAACAAGGTATCAAATAGGCTATTATGTGGCGACCTGCGAAAAATCAAATAATTTACGGTCAATATGTGCACGGGTGGCTGGTACATCGGTTTTCGTGAATCTAAGTAGGTTATACTCCGTCGCAGGGGATTGCGGCGATTCACGGAAAGATGAAACACGCTCAACGTTCTGTGTTGAGGAAATAGATGGAAGATCTCCAGGGCGAGATGGCAGGCCGAGGGACAGGATTTGTAAAAGAAGTATGTAAATTAAGCAAATTATGTCTGTATATCCTCATTTCTTCGACTTCCTCTGCCCAATACCGCTTAATCGACCAAACGTCCCAAGCGACGATTTCGGCTTCGTCATCGGCCCTCCCTTTTGGGCTGTGATTGCATCGGCTCCTTGAGCTCCTAGGCGTCGGGCACCCCCACTGCCTATGAGACCACCGGCGGGAATCTCGGATAACTGCCTGTCAAGGCCGGTGTGGTTTGGCTCATATAGTGGGAGGGATGCGGTAGCCATAGCCGAAGCAGATATCCCGTTCCTGTCCAATTCAAGATCTCTCTGCGACCTGCGGCGCGACCTTCGAGATCGTTCCTGGACGCTCTTGAATTTATCAAGCAGCTCAACCCACCGGATCACGCTCTCTTCTCGAGCTTTGAGTCTTCCGGACCGCTCGAATGGCCCTGAGTTCGACGATCCGGCCGCCGCTTGTCTATATACGGGGTTAGCATATATAGGGGAAAAAAGGAGAGCTGATGATGGGCATGTTCACGGTCGCATTCCAGCATGTAGTAATCCAATATTACTGACACTGTTGAGACGATTTTTCAACGCCGCAAACGCCGAGCTTTGTGGCAGCAGCATAAGAAGACCGTAAAGGCACTTGTACAAATATGGATATTTATCAGGCTCAAGGAGTTGTAGGCGGAGGTCTTTCACCACGAAGGCAGGAAATGTTAGCCATATCTTAAGTCTGGGGCTCGGCGGAGCATGCTTACAGGTAAATACTGGCGATTCTAATAGCTGAACTAATTTGTCAATTTGGATCAACATATTAACTGTCATCTCTAATTCAGCACTAAATGGGTTGCATGGTTAGTAGGGGGGCCGCACATATCAAACCAGTCAGCCATTTATCTACTCACAATATTTGAAGGAGATGGTATGCCTGTTCATAGGCTTGAGCTAGTAGACACAGAGAAAATGTCGCTACGGAGTTGTGGCACCACGATCTAAACAGGGCAACGAAGAACAGTTGGCCATCCTAAAAGATAAAAGACGGGTTAACAAGCCCGGCACAGAAACATTAGTTGATAATATGCCTACCTTAGATTCTAGGTTTCTCAATCTCTTTCGGAGGTCGGCAAGTTCGGGGGCAGTGATGAGATTGTTGTTAAGATTTTGTACCATGATACTGGCAAATTCGATATCCTGCCAGAACATCAGCATTCCACGCCTCCGAAGAAGAGACGAGGTTTCTTACCTCTTCCTTTTCAAGACAATCCGCCAATGTTCGATATATTCGTTCCGGGCTGAGATTCATGCAAAGCTGCCGAATGATAAGATTGCCACGGCCTTCAAGGAGCTTCCTGTCTGTCGAAAAGAGTTGGAGTAGGTCAACCATAAACGATGCGAAATAGCTATCTTCACTATTTCGGGATATCTGGGACAGAAGTTGTAGGTCTCGAGTGACGACAGCTTCTGCTGGGTCTGAGAGAGTCTTAAGGAGCGCCGGAAATGTTCCATCATGGAAAGCAAGGACCTTACGCGGTGCTTTACGATGGAGCATAATGAGCCACGCTAATGCGGCAACTCTGGTGGCTTCATTCTCGTTAAGGAATTGGAGCGTCAAAGCGTTAACTGCGGCAGCATAGTCCAAATCCGATGTTTGTTCTGACGTTTGGGATGATACTAGTGCCGGGGTTGGTTCAGTCCTAGACTCGGGCCGCGATGGTTGTTTGCGAGCATCGCTAGACGCCGCAGACGCCTGTCTTGTGATAGGAGTAGGTGTTCTGCGGTCGTCAGCTTCTTTGTAATTGACGTGGGCGGCTGCCTGGACAGGAGATACTCGGGATGCCTCAGTTTGTGGAGCATCGTCCGATAGAGAGACGATATACTGCATGAGCGATGTGTTTGCGCGATTGGCTGTCTGGCGCACTTCATCCGAACCGCTAGATAGAGTTGGAAGAACCTGCGATAGAAGTCGTGGGACAAACTGCAATATATCTGCAGGGCTTATTTCGAAAAAGCTATCAATCCAGCGGAGGGCAGTTAACTGGATTTCGTCCTCTGTAAAGATATCAGCGTGAGTAACTTATGACCTATGACGAGCAGCAGTTATAAGATACAAATCAGCATGCACTTACCAGAGTTAGTATCCACAAAATTGACCAAAATCTCCAGTATCTTCGAGTGGTCAACATGGACATCTTGACCAGGAACCCAATCACCATAAGGATTGCTAAGCTGCTCCTCATTTGCGGTCGTAGACTCTGAGTCCGCAATAGCGTTGTCGCTCACAGGATTCGCGCCGCTCAAGTCAGAGTCAATACTCTTACTATCGCTCGCCGAGACTTTGGACTGCCCACTCTCATGGTCACGTCGACTTTCTGCAATGCCCTTCTTAACTCTCGCAATCCGCTTTATCTCATTGAGGAACCTTTCTAAAAGCCCCTGGGTTGCTGTATGCACGTCGCGATTTGTATCACTTAGAAATTTGAACAGGCCTCCTAGAAAGGCGGGTAGGTAGGTGACTAGCTCGAGGTCTGGTATTGTATCCAACAAGGTAAGCCACGAGACTAGGAAATTGCGAGCAAATGGATTCTGAACGTAAATTCGATCCTGAAGTAGAGGAATAAATTTTGCGAGTGAGAACGCCGTCGGTATATCTTCGAGCTCATCCACATCTTTTCCTTCCTCTCCATCTGATATTTCTGGACGAGAGACCTCTAACGCAGAAACGTAGGAAGCCGCAGATTCGGAGACAATATCCTTTATTAAACGATCAAGGAGTTCTGCGCCGTTCTTTACCGACAGCTCTGAATCGGATGCCAGCTATAAAATGGTTAGCAAGCTGATGTTATAGGGACGGACGAATGTGATGCCAACCTTGCACAGAGCATCAAAAATATCATTAAAGTAGAGCAGTATTTCCCCCTTGGCCACCTTTGCGATATTATACATGCTTTCACAGGCATAATATCTAACCCGTGCGTCTTGACCGGTAAAGCAAGCCAACACTGGAGGAACAATATCACTTAGGAACGGCGCAACTTCGTCCTAATCACCACGTCAATAACCATCCTCCTATACCCTCAAACCCCTTCCCCCATCTGGGGAGCACTTACAGATCCCAGAGCTATAGCCGCGGCAGCCAGACCTATCAAGCCTCCATTCCTAGCATGGGGTTGGTGCACAGCGTAGGCGTACTCATGGCAAAGCTGGTCAATTATGCCCTTAATTTTCGCATGGTCGCCCCTCGCAGTGGCTTCTCTGATAGCTTTCTCAAGCCTGGTAAAGAATCATCCCATCAGTTCATCGCTATCCTTCCATATGTCGACGACCAGGATGGGCCAAAAATGCGTACTCTAAAGCACCCTGTTTCCTCTTATCGTAAAGCTTATCGTTCAACAGTCGCTGGATCGACGGATCCATGTATATCGTTGCCATCGTAGTTCGTATGTAGGAGGTGGGTTTATTAAATCCGAGAGATGAACCTGCTCGCATGCTGCTATCGATTCATTGCGGACTGGCGTTGGTGGATTGACGGCGGAGGGGAGAGAGCAGCCAATTGCTGTATGGTACGGAACTCTGCTGCGGCGGTGAATCGGGCGCGAGTGAGGGAGGGATCAGCTGGTCGATACTCGTAGGCAAAGAGCGTAGGTCACCGGCTATCGAACAGTCTGGCTGTAACGACCTGATATGAAGCCCTTAAAAGCGTTGCGCTGTTGGGTCCCCTGATGGGTTGTTTGTAGCAGAGAACCTGAGCTGTGAGGTCGGCCTTTTCTAGTTGCTAGCCACTAATGACGACATCCCAGGCCTTAGCCAAGTATAAAAGAACGCCGATATAAACAAACAGCAGATGATAATATCCCTGGCTTTACAGACTCTGCATTCTATTGTTTATTCTTTATTACGTCAATCGTGTGGTATATATAAAAAAAATTGCCTTAAACCCTGCTCCATATATAAGAAAAGACGCGGACTCCGGGCCGCTAACCGATGATAACTGAAAATATTCCCCCAAACTAATGGCTGATATACTGGAATACTGCACTGACAGCCTGCTCAGTCGTCTCCTGCCTTAGCAACAGGTCCTGGATCTTACCCATAGGCCCCTTCTCGCCCTTGTTGACAAAATGGTTCCAAGAACTGGTGTCCCCGTAGAGCATCGCGGGCGCTTTGATATGCTGTGTCCCATCAGGCCTGCAACGTTTACACTTGAAGGTATCGTGTGTATCGCTGCTGGTATCCGGTTTGAACTGGAATAGCTCTCGTAGCGAGTCGAGACTGAAATGGCGTTCGACGTCCTGTGCCGAATCAACCACGCACGACGAGAGGGACTGTTTATGCGACTGACGCTGGAAGATCTTTTCTTCGATTGTTCCCGTGGCGATGAAACGGTAGACAAAGCAGTCCTTTGACTGGCCATCACGCCAAACTCGAGCCAACGCCTGCTGGTCTGCAGCTGGGTTCCAGTCGGGATCAAACAAGACTAGGCGGTTTGCGCCAACCAAATTGATACCACATCCACCGGCTTTACTGGAGAGTAGGAAGACGAACTCTTCCCCGTTCGGGTCGTTGAACCGGTCGACCAGCTTCGATCGTTTCTTGACACCCATGGTCCCGTCGAGGCGTAAACAGCCGTACGCACGCGATCGACAAAGGCGTTCAAAAAGATCTAATGTCTGCGTGTAGTTGCTGATCAAAACAATTTTGTCATTGGTGTCCTGCCGGATGCGCGCCAACATCCGGTCTAAGACCATCATTTTGCCAGAATACCAAGATTTCACTTCTCGGTCTCCCCTGCGGCCGTGGGAGGGGACCATGTCTTCGGGGAAGAATTTCTCGCTGCCTGGTAGGTCTTCAGAGAGGTTGAGGAGGTCAGGATGGTTGCAGAGCTTTTTCAAGATGCCGATTGCCTTTAACGGCTGGCTGCCTTTGCCACGGAGAAGGCTTTTGATTTCGGGACTTTGGATGAAGTGATTGTATAGGTCGAGTTGGAACGGAGCGAGGTTGCAGAAGACGACATGCTCGTATTTGACGGGGAGGTATTTGGAGAGAATATCGTTGCTTCGCCGAATAATGAACTTATTTACTAGGTTGAGGAGCTCCGCGAGACATTCGTTGCCTTTCTTCTGCTGTTCGTCCGTCCCGTCTGCATCACGGCCGCGGAGAATAGGGATTTCATATTTCTTGTGGAACTCAGTGCGTGACCCAAGGATGCCGGGGTTAGCAAAGTCTAGAAGACTGAAATACTCGGAAAGATCATTCTGGATAGGTGTTCCAGAAAGGATAACCCGTTTCTGAACGTTGAGGCGATTTAGCGCTACATAAGTTTGGCTGTCTGCGTTTTTTAGACGATGGCCTTCGTCGCAGAGAAGGAGTCCGATGTGTGTATCTCGAAGTTCATCTGTGTTCATTCGTAATGTTTCGTAGGACACAATCAGCACTGGTCGGACGACAGAACGGCCAGAGGCAATGGCCCATTGCCGTAGTTGGGATATCAGCTCTGCCTTTGATGCTTTGCCATCGATCACGAAAGGGTTTATGGCGTCCTTTCCCAGCCATTTCACTATAATAGTTAATATAGTACATATGCAGGTAAAATATCAAGAACTTACCTAACTCGTTCGCCCAATTTCCTACTAGTGTTGCAGGACATGCGATGACACACTTTTGAACTGTCGGTTTGCCCGCTTCGGGCGATTGTTTAAGCAGTGTCCACATCAACGTGATGCATTGCAACTATATAAAATCAGCCAAGCTCAGGAAGAAGGCGTGATAAAAACGTACCGTTTTCCCCAGCCCCATACCATCAGCCATAATGCAGCCACTGGCATTCTTATCGACCAGTCCAGTCGTACAGCGGTACAGAAACTACGAGTGTTAGCCAAAATCATCATGATTATATCACTTGCATAGAATAAACATACCTTCACACCCTCGACCTGATGCGGTCTTAATATCTTCGAAAGCCTCGGGTCAATAACGACAGGCACCTTCGGCCTCTCGTCCACATTCTTCTTAATCCCTAGTATCTCTGCCAAACTCTTATGCATCAATGGCTGATCTAGCACCTTCTTCGCCTCTTCTTCGCCGCCTTTATCTCCAGTAGCTTCCTCACACTCTTCTTTGGCATCCGGCTTATCGTCAATAGTTGGATCATAAAGGACAATTGCAAACTCCCCGCTTGGATCATGTAATGGTTTGACTACAAACGTCGCTCCACAACGCATCCCCAGCGTCGGTGCGGCGCGCGTGGAACCATAGTTACCGCTTGTCTTATCAATCAAAGGGATGTTAAATCGTTGACGAAACGTCGTCTCTTTATCTTTGACCTTGAACACAGGGAAACGATTAACGTCACGGTTTGCGAGGGCGAGACGGTCCTCATTTGTCCACGGCTTAACGGCGTCATCATCAACGCTGCCGTCGGCACCGGCGTAGTTCACCTTACGGCGTTTGCGGGCTGGTTTCTCGGACACGCGGCGGGTTTCTGAGCCAGGACATTTGAAGGGTTTGGAGAGGGCGAGGGAGTCCTTGGGCCCAGCAGAGTAAAGACGACTGGCTTTGGAGGGCGTCGATCCCGCGGCGGAGGGTTTGGGCCGATGCCTGTAGATGGAATGTGAGTAGTGAAGTCACTAGTATCCCGGATATACGTACATCTGACTGTCCAAAAAGCTGAGATGGGCCAAAACGTTGCCGTGTGGTTGAGCGATGAAGCTGTCGACGCGTTGTTTCTTTCTTCACCTCGACGCGTGCGATCGCCAAATAGGCACGACATCACATGACCTACTTTACATTGAGCCTCGGCATCTAGAACCCCCACTACATCCCACCAGTATATGAGTATAGTATAAGATAGACACTCTGTATAGAGAGATGCATCAATGTCAGCGGACTTCTGGGCTGGGTATCTCAGCGGAGCCGTGGGGATAATCATCGGCAACCCACTCGATGTGATTAAAGTGCGCCTTCAAGCCGGCACAGATGGAGGGACGGGGACGGGTACAGCATATGCCCGTCAATTCGAGTCGACAAGCTCATTAGTTCGAGGTACCACCAATCTATATAGGTTGTACTATATGTGACAACAACTGACTTGCATGATGCAGGTGCCGCAGCTCCGATCTTGACATACGGCGCTCTCAACGCACTTCTATTCACAAGTTACAACCGCACCCTGACCTTCCTAGCCCCTCGCGTGCAGAACCCTACGGATCCCACAGAGGCATCTCTGGGCCAGATATGGGTTGCTGGTGCGGTAGGCGGTATGGTGAGTTGGGTGATATCCTCACCCACGGAGCTGGTGAAGTGCCGTGCGCAGATGCGGCAAGGTACTAGCGAGGCCACGACGGTATCATCGTGGGGTGTTGCAAAGGATATTGTGCGTAGCAATGGGGTGAAAGGGTTATATTTCGGTGGTGGTGTGACCAGCGTGCGAGATGCTGTGGGCTACGGGTTCTAGTATGTCAACCTTGCTCTTCATTCAGTGTAGTAAGTACTAACAGGATAGTTTCTGGTCATACGAGCTATGCAAACGCATAGCTACGAAGAGTGATGAAACACCACATCAGACTGCAATGAAGATACTCCTGTGCGGAGGGATAGCAGGTATCGTGACGTGGGCGTCTGTATTTCCGCTGGATGTTATCAAGACGAGACTACAGACTCAGACACTGCTTACCTCGGCCCCTGCGGAGAGTGAGCCGCTTCTACAGTCACAAATGCAAGGAAGAGGGAGGGTTCTTGGGATGTGGGAGGTAAGCAAGGAGGCATATAGAACCGGGGGACTACGGGTGTTTTATCGAGGGCTTGGGGTGTGTAGCCTGCGAGCCTTTGCGGTGAACGCAGTACAGGTACGTCTTCGCCGTCCGTTCAGTAACATCGCATTTAGAGGGGCTAACCGAGTGTGGCATGTAGTGGGCAATGTATGAGTGGATGATGAAGCTGTTTAGTGAGAGACAAGTTATGGCAACAATATCGACAGGCGTCATTGAATAGTGTATAAAAGTAGCATTAGATATATATGATCTACCTATTATACTGACCATATAGGCGCTGATCTGTCGCGGAGGGTGTGTACTTTTCTAGTTCAGCCACTGCCGACATGTCTGGCATCAGCTTGATCGTATATCGCGGCCATACGGGATAGGATCAGCCTTGCCGTATTCCATCCCTTCCTCGTCTCCGTTCTCCGTCCGCCAACCCGCACACCGCGAGCGGGTTATGGCTGTCCGCGGACCCTGAAGAACCGACCACCGGCCATCGCATTCCATGCTGAATTTTTCTTCTTTCGTACTTCAATCGAATTCGGATACTCCTAACACATTCACACCTCGGTCTCAACCTCCATGGCCATACTGCTGTCCCTGGTCGTTAGGCCGTTATCTACAACCCCAAGCCCGATGGCCGCCTCAGCCGTCTTCTGGGTATGAGGCTCGTCACGAAGCACTCGGAGTCTATCAACTAGTTAGCTGCTACCCTTGTCCATGATACATCAGCGCAGAAGGGAATATGACCTCCGCTTATGGTTCTTCCCCTTCCTGTGGGCGACCATGTTGTATTCACTCTCAAACCACTTTGCGCACTCGACGCAGTAATGTTTTCCCAGACCTGGCAGGTCCTCGACGTCCTTGGTGCCGTGGAACTGGGCCAGGTGTTTGCGCGAGCGCATGTCGGCGGTGACCTGGTCATAGTCCCTGTTTCTATTAGAATGAATTGTGGAGGGTAGGGAGAGTTTCAGGGTATAAGACGTACCTAGTGCGACGCTTCGTCTTTGATCTACGGATAGAGCCCATTGTCGTGTAGGTATAGGTATCGTTAGAGCGATGCTGTTGATGGTGTTGACCTCCTCCGCTGCTATCAGCAACAAATTTCTTCATGGTGCGGGTAATCAGCTGAGTAAAGAATCCTATTAATAAGCGATGACATGGCAGGATAATATTTATTCCGCCTATACCGTTTTGGATAATAACTCCGGGTAGGGAGCGGGCCGAGCCTAACCTTGGCATAAAGCTCTCTCTTACTTTGACCAATCTATTCAACCTCATTATCAATTCGTTAAGACGCAGGCTACTAAAGAAATATCGAGTTAGGAGAGACGTTGGCTCAATCCCGAAGTAAATCAGCTGGTCTATCTTCTGTATTTTTAACCCTATCTCCATCGTCCCCTCTACTCCGTATAATCGTCTTCTTTCTCATGCCTTCTATCTATCGTTGTAGTTCTCCCGAGGTCTTCCCAATCGGGCGTGGTGAGACCGTCGGAGGGAGAAAGTCCGCTCAACCGGAAGAACAGATGATCCAGAACGCGGCGGAGCATGACGGAGAATGACGGAGCGTGGTGTCCCGTGACCCACTGCCTTCCGCCAGCCAATCAGAGCTCTCCGCTCTGCCCAGCCAGCAGATTTTTCCCCAGGGCCCACTATGACTAAGCTATATCTTGCTGACTCAACCTACTTCCACCTCCGCAGTTAGCCCCCCCACGTGATGTCCGCGGGCACCTCGGCTGGGCGGGCCTTAGTAACCGCGATATACCGACGCTCTCATTGGCCAGTTGTCCGCATACTCTTCCCGGCTTTCTTTAACCTCATCTTCTGCGACTTCTGCTTCTTCCTCTTCTTCTTCTTCTTCTTCTTCTTCACCATCCTCACCCTTCGCCCTCAACCACTCCACTCTTCCCAGCTCCATTGCTCGAGTGTGGCCTCGACGGTGGATGACCTTACCCTGATCTCTCAGTCGTGCTGGAACATCGACTCTCACCATGCTCACCACGCTCGCTCGTGCCGGTGCCTTGGTGCGTCTTTTCTTCCCCAGTATCTCCCCATCACACGCTTGGAATCCGTTGCTAACGTCCAGTATAGGCACCTAAATCCCGCCTCGTAAGTCAGGCCGAGCAATTGCTGGTCTCAGTAATCGCATTGACTAACCGCTGACCGTGTTGTGCAGCTTCTCGGAGCGCGGGGTTTTGCCTCTGCCGCTGACCTCGACAAGAAGGTCGAGATGACCAACTGGGAAAAGGTAGGACTTCAATTGCACAGTTTCTAGGTCGAATGAGGGCTAATACTCGTTTATAGGGCAACTACATCAACTACAAGTATGCATTGATCTTGTTTTTGTTGAATCTTACCGAGCTATATTAACGGACTTGGATAGGAAAATGGCCGAGAACCTCGACATTGTGCGCGCCCGTCTCAACCGCCCGCTCACCTTCGCCGAGAAGATCCTCTACTCCCATCTTGACGATCCCCATGGCCAGGAGATCGAGCGCGGAAAGTCTTACCTCAAGCTCCGCCCCGATCGTGTTGCCTGCCAGGACGCCACCGCCCAGATGGCCATCCTACAGTTCATGTCCGCCGGCATGCCATCCGTCGCAACCCCGGCCACCGTGCACTGTGACCACTTGATTGAGGCCCAGCTCGGCGGTGACAAGGATCTTGCCCGTGCCAATGACATCAACAAAGAAGTCTACGATTTCCTGTCCACCTCTTGTGCCAAGTACAACATCGGTTTCTGGAAACCTGGATCCGGTATCATCCATCAGATCTTGCTCGAGAACTACTGCTTCCCCGGTGGCTTGATGATCGGTACCGACTCTCACACCCCCAATGGTGGTGGTCTTGGTATGGCCGCTATTGGTGTCGGTGGTGCTGATGCCGTCGATGTTATGGCTGGTCTGCCTTGGGAGTTGAAGGCTCCTAACGTCATTGGTGTTAAGCTTACCGGTCAATTGTCCGGCTGGACCGCTCCTAAGGGTATGCTTTTTTATTTATCCCCCAATTTCGTGTTGTTAATACTAATTGGTCATAGATATCATCCTGAAGGTCGCTGGTATCCTCACTGTCAAGGGTGGCACTGGTGCCATCATTGAATACCACGGTGACGGTGTCGACTCCCTCTCCTGCACTGGTATGGGCACCATCTGTAACATGGGTGCTGAAATCGGTGCCACCACCTCCGTCTTCCCCTTCAACGACCGCATGTACGACTACCTCAAGGCCACCAAGCGTCAATCCATCGGTGACTTCTCTCGTGTTTACGCTGAGGGACTCCGCCCTGATGCCAACGCCGAGTACGATCAGGTCATTGAGATCAACCTCAACGAGCTAGAGCCCCACATCAACGGTCCCTTCACTCCCGATCTCGCTACCCCCATCTCCAAGTTCAAGGACGCCGTCAAGGCCAACGGCTGGCCCTCTGAGCTCAAGGTCGGTCTCATTGGATCTTGCACCAACTCTTCCTACGAGGACATGTCCCGCGCCGCTTCCATCGCCCGCGACGCTCTCAACCACGGCATCAAGGCCAAGTCCCTCTTCACCGTGACTCCCGGATCCGAGCAGATCCGCGCTACCATCGAACGTGATGGTCAGCTCCAGACCCTTGAGGAATTCGGTGGTGTCATCCTCGCCAACGCTTGCGGTCCTTGCATCGGTCAATGGGACCGCAAGGACGTCAAGAAGAACGAGGCCAACTCCATCATCTCCTCGTACAACCGTAACTTCACTGGACGTAACGACGCCAACCCTGCCACCCACGCCTTCGTCACCTCCCCTGACCTCGTCGTTGCTCTCACCATTGCCGGAACCCTCAACTTCAACCCCTTGACCGACAAGCTAAAGGGCAAGGACGGAAACGAGTTCATGCTCTCCCCACCAACCGGTGCCGGTCTGCCCGCCAACGGCTACGACGCAGGCCGTGACACTTACCAGGCTCCCCCAGCTGACCGTGCTTCCATCAGCGTTGCCGTCAGCCCAACCAGTGACCGTCTCCAGATCCTCGAGCCATTCAAGGCCTGGGACGGAAAAGACGCCAAGGGTATCCCAATCCTCATCAAGTGTGAGGGCAAGACCACCACCGATCACATCTCCAGTAAGTACTCTATACTGACACATTTACGCAATCAACCATATACTAATGACCTCTAGTGGCCGGCCCCTGGCTCAAGTACCGTGGTCATCTCGACAACATCTCCAACAACCTTCTCATCGGTGCCGTCAACGCCGAGAACGGTGAGCGCAACAGCATCAAGAACTTCGAAACCGGCGAATACGACTCCGTCCCTGCCACCGCCCGTGCCTACAAGGCCCGCGGCATCCCATGGGTTGTCATCGGCGACTGGAACTACGGTGAAGGTTCTTCTCGTGAACACGCTGCCCTTCAGCCCCGCCATCTCGGCGGTATGGCCATCATCACTCGCTCCTTCGCTCGTATCCACGAGACCAACCTCAAGAAGCAAGGTATGCTGCCACTCACCTTCAAGGACCCAGCCGACTACGACCGCATCCCACCAACTGCCATGGTCGACTTGATGTGCACTGAGCTCGAGGTTGGCAAGCCCATGACTCTCCGTGTGCACCCCAAGGACGGAGCCGCCTTTGACGTCAAGCTCGCCCACACCTTCAACGAGAGCCAGATCGAATGGTTCAAGAACGGAAGCGCCTTGAACACCATGGCCAAGCAGAGAGCGTAAACACCCTTAGCTTAACCCTAATGTCTTAATTCCGGTCAATAGAGGATTGAGTAGGACGTCTCCCTTTTGCTGCAATTATCTATTCTTAACCTTTTACGCTCGTCCTATTCTTCCCCTTTTCTTTTCCTATGTACTACATACCACCCCTCTGCCTCTTGCCTTGTTGATGTCTTGTTCATGCCATGTTGATGATGTGGAGGTAATTACCAGCAATTGCAACTTGTCTCTATTTCCCTTTTGTCAACTTGCTTGTCCCGCCTTATCAGAAAAGCTAAAGATCATGTCTGCGTGTCTGCATGTGTATATATACTGCTTCTTGAATATTAGTTCATCCTTTCATTCTGTTCTGCTCGTATCTTCTATACATCTCGCTTACTAAGGCTTTTGAGCCGAGGTTAATACAGAGCGCAGTAACCACTATAGACGTTATTACTTGTCCGATATATCATCGTGTAATATCTACATCCCAAGTATATGCAGAAGAAACGGCCCATACGTTCCTCAACATATATACAAGCTTCCTCCGATGGCAACTCAACTAGCCCCCCTCGCAGAGGTAGAAAGACTCAGTGCCTCCGTTATCAGGATACTGGGAGGAAACCCAGGCAAGGTATGTCTGGATATCTAGCAGCCTAGTCCGCAAGACACTGACGAACCGTCCAGTTCACACTGCAAGGTATGCATGCCCAGCTATCACAATAGTACATAAGGGCAGCACCAACCCAACGCTACCAGGAACAAACACATATCTTCTCGGCCGCGGACCTAAGCGTCTTCTCATCGATACTGGCGAAGGGAAACCCTCCTGGTCCAGCGCGTTGCAGAAAACACTTACCTCCGAGAGTGCAACGGTCTCCCACGCTCTGCTCACACACTGGCACCACGACCATGTTGGTGGCGTGCGGGACCTGAGACGTATCTGTCCTGATGTGCAGATATATAAGCATGACCCGGAACAAGGCGAGGGACAGAGCCAGATTGAAGACGGGCAGACTTTCAGCGTTGTGGGAGCGACGGTGAGGGCGATGCATACGCCTGGCCATACGAAGGACCATATTGCGTTTTTGATGGAGGAGGAAGACGCCATGTTCACGGGTGATAGTACGTATATAGTTCTACGGCTGTCAAAGCACGGCTAATTTACCTTTGCCGCAGATGTCCTGGGACACGGAACGGCCGTGTTTGAAGAGCTGAAGAGCTATATGTCTAGCCTGGAGAAGATGGGTAGCCGAGCGAGTGCTACTGGCAGAGGATACCCTGGCCACGGCGCGGTGATTGAGAACTGCAAGTCCAAGATAGCAGAGTACATCCGACACCGGCAGCAGAGGGAGGACGAGATCCTGCGGGTGTTAAAGTACGGGTCGCTCGATAGCAGCCAGCTCGGTGATACGAAGCCGCAACCCTCGGGCTGGACACCAATCGAGCTGGTTAAAGTTATCTATGTTGATGTCCCCGAGAGCCTGCATCTGCCTGCTTCCCACGGAGTGATACAGGTGTTGGGCAAGCTAGAGGCCGAGGGGAAGGTTGTCCATGACGAGCAGAGTGGCAGGTGGGCGTATAACGCTGAGAAGCCGGCCCTGTAATGCTGCTACATTGTATAGTCCTGGAGACAAACATACTCCATCTCGACGCTATAGTGGCAATCTGTTGCTTTATCCCAACCATGGCGCTTCAACCGGTGGCAACCAGGGTAGAAGGTAGATGTTTGTTGTCAGACATCCAGGATGCTACCATTGCCTCCTGTTCGCATGTAACACGTCCAGACATGCAGTCATTGTAGAATATGCAGCCATGTAGAATATGCAGTCATTAGAATACGATGCGACTAGAGACGACGGAGCGATAGCGCAAGTCTGACAGCCGGGCAGACTTCCAGCCTGCGAGTAAGAGTTTTCTGTAAGTACGCCGTGCGAGTTGTATATCTACCTGGATAGACTGCAACTCATAGACTTCCCATCTTGCCTCCAGTTCCGTCAATCCAGGTTAACTCTCGGTATACAACTCAACTGCTGCTTCGGTTCGTCCTCGTCGTCCCGTCGTCGTCGTCGTCGTCCTCCCCGTATAGAGATAGATGAGCTCGCTACTGAAGCGCCATCACCAGCTCCAGACCTCCCTCGTCCATACGTCCATCTCGTCCATCTCGTCCATCTCGTCCATCTCGTCCATCTCGTCCTCGTCCACTCATCCCCGTGAGCGTCCAGATCCTGCCAAGCTGGTGGCGTAGACGGTTCCCTGCTTCCTCCCCGCCGGTCTTATTTTAGCCCCGGTGCCTCGCTGCTCGCCCTGTCCTGGCAGTGGCATGAAAGACAGCTGTCCGCGAAGAGAGCAGCCTGTCCACGGTCGACGTCTTCTCGTCGCTCATCGCCCACCGTCAGTTCTTTATGCGTTGAAAAATTGACCGTTCCTGCGCCTGCTGTGGGGCCTCAAAAACCTCGTCCGTCTCTCTCTCTTCGTTTCGACGCTCGCCAGAAAGTGCAAGACCTCGCGTGAACACGTCTCCCGCCCCCGCGCATTGAAACAGCTGAAGCCGCAGCCATGCCGTCGGTAGAGGGCGACGGGGAGTCGAGGCTGCTGCTCGTCTCGAACCGGCTGCCCATCACCATCTCTCGCTCGAGCCAGGGGAAGTACGAGTCCTCGATGTCCTCCGGCGGTCTCGTGAGTGGGTTGAGCGGCCTGTCCAAGACGACGAAGTTTCAGTGGTATGGGTGGCCGGGCCTGGAGGTGCCGTTCGACGAGGTTGATGTGTTCAAGAAGAAGCTAAAGGAGGACTACAACGCCGTGCCGGTCTTTATCGACAACGAGCTCGCGGATAGGCACTACAACGGCTTCTCCAGTACGTAACCCTCATCTTAGACATGCTGTAGACTTGGTAGAGAAACGTATGCTGACCAGATGGGACGTCAGACTCGATACTGTGGCCCCTTTTCCACTATCATCCGGGCGATATCACCTTCGACGAGTCTGCGTGGGAGGCATATCAGGAAGCAAACCGGCTATTCGCCCAGGCAATCGCAAGGGACGTCAAGGACGGTGACCTCGTATGGGTTCACGACTACCATCTGATGCTGCTGCCTGCCATGCTCCGTGAGGAGATCGGAGACAGCAAGAAGAACGTGAAGATCGGCTTCTTCCTACACACGCCGTTCCCCAGCAGCGAGATATATAGAATCTTGCCTGTCCGGAACGAACTCCTGCTCGGCGTCCTCCACTGCGACCTCATAGGCTTCCACACATACGACTACGCCCGGCATTTCCTCAGCAGCTGCTCGCGAATCCTGTAAGTTATCTGGCTTATATCTTGCCGTATTCTACTAACAGTTTGAAGGAGTCTGCCCACCACTCCGAACGGGGTCGAGTTTCTCGGCAAGATCGTAACGGTCGGGGCATTCCCAATCGGCATCGATCCCGACAAGTTCACAGAGGGGCTGAAGAGAGAAAAGGTACAGAAACGAATCACAGCCCTGCAGCAGAAGTTTCAGGGTGTCAAGTTGATGGTAGGCGTGGATCGGCTGGATTACATCAAGGGCGTGCCTCAAAAGCTGCACGCCTTTGAGGTCTTCCTAACAGACCACCCGGAATGGATCGGTAAGGTGGTACTGGTCCAGGTGGCAGTTCCGAGTAGACAGGATGTTGAAGAGTACCAGAACCTGAGAGCTGTTGTAAATGAGCTTGTAGGACGGATAAATGGGAGATTTGGTATGTACCCTGCAAAACTTCACCCCATCGGTCAATATATCTTAACATGGTGTCTAGGAACTGTTGAGTTTATGCCAATACATTTCCTGCATAAATCGGTCAACTTCGACGAGCTTATTGCCCTATATGCCGTCTCAGATGTGTGCATAGTCTCGTCAACGAGAGACGGAATGAACCTTGTATCATATGAATACATTGCCACCCAGCGTGACCGCAACGGGGTCCTGATCCTGTCGGAATTCGCTGGTGCCGCCCAAAGCCTTAATGGAAGCCTCATCATCAACCCCTGGAATACCGAGGAGCTGGCTGCTGCTTACAAAGAAGCCGTCACCATGAGCCCAGAGAAGCGGAAACTCAATTATACGAAGTTGGAAAGATATATCAATAAATACACCAGGTTTGCGTTATCCTCTGCCCCATTCAATGTTGCCATGTTGAACTTCAGGTCTAATATCTCTATAGTGCATTCTGGGGTCACTCCTTTGTGTCGGAACTGACTAGGCTCCCCAACTGCGCCGAGAAGAAGGTTCATTTCTCGCAGGCCACGATGGAAGATAACAAAGTTATCCGGATGATTCCGCACACAGAGCTGCAGTGAGCTGCTTCGAAAGAGGGCTGCCCCCATACCCGAATCTCCTTTCATAGACCTTGCTTCGAGGCTTATAACTTGAGGCTGGCTCGGTTTAAACACTTGGGGACTCATTTCAAGCCCTCCCTCAGCTTAACTGCCTCCCTACTCTATCCTTGCTATATTCTTAGTGCCCCTCCATGATTCGATATTTTTTTCTACATTCATCTACTAGCCTTACAAACTGTCATCATTATCTACCTTATCTTGAGTTACGGAGTATACTGGCAGGCGCATGAACAAAATCTCATTTTAATCAAATATAGAAACAGCCGTTTCAGAAACATCTTCCCTTTCCTTGCTCTCCTCTCTTCTTGTTATTTGTCTATCGGTCTGTGGCATGAATGGAGCTGGTGGGATTAAAGATTTAAAGACCATGGCAACTGGCAGGCGGTTGGCTTGAATGGCGTCGAGAGAAGAAAACACAGCATCACCTCATTCTGTGGCCCAGAATTGGGGATTGGCGATATGCATTATCTATCCATGAAAATGATACTATCTACAGTTGGACATTTATAATATCGAACTATGGGGGATGTTAATCACCAGGACTGGATCATTTTAGGCCAGTATAGGGCTTCCCCTACAACGCTGGATGTATCCAAACGTAGTCCTGCTGCTCTCTGCTGCTCTACCAGATTATAGCCTGGCCCCTTTGAATGTTATACATTGCACGTATACTCCACCCCGCAGCGCAGACATGTATTACTGGGATAGTGGGACGAGCGATCGGAGACACGGCATCAGGGGCAATCAGTATGCCCAGCGAGAGAATAGTAAGAACGAAGCTGCCCAAGCCCATCGTAGTCCAGAGGCCCATTGATAGCGTAGCGATGAAGCTAGATCATTAATAAGAAGTAAGCTACCTTGTACTCCACGAGAATAGGGTATAAACTCACAAACAAATCATGGTGAAACATGCTGTAAACCTTTCTCCATAAGCCGTAGCTATTGTTCGAACCTTTGCAGCAGCATCGGGCTTTATATCTAAAATGGCGACTAAGCTGTGCATCCCAATCCCACTAAACATAACCCACGCCCCAGGATTCGATGTCCCACTGCCATCATATGTCGAATGCTTACTGACAACGTAGCCGCAGGCCCACATCGACCAGTAGAGTAGGCCGGTAAAGATGGAGTCCATAATTGGCCGTTCTTTGAGTCGAAGCGGCGGCGATGAATATGTCCATGCAAGCACAAGGCATAGAGCTATACATCCGAACACCTGAGGCGATTGGATCGAGGCAGGCAATGCAAGAAGGAGAACAACGATGGTTGAGACCTTGGAAGCAAATAATATATACCGATCATCGATCTTTTCAATAATGGTCCCATCTGCCCATGCTCTACCCTTGCGAGGGTTCTTTAAATCTGTATCCTGGTCGTAGACATCATTCACACCAAGGATAACTTTGTCGTATTAGCAAAAGACGAACAAACAAGCAGTAATCATGGGCTTTACCTAGGCAGAGGGGAAATGATAGGGCAATCGCAAGTATGACCTCCGGGACAGTCTGCGGATATGTGCCTGACTGCAAGATGCCCAAGAAATACAGAGTTGGAGGCCCTACCCAGAACAACGGCCGACTGACTCGAACAAGAAGTCCAAGTCGGCTGAGAAACGGAATTGTCGAGCCCATCCTTTGATTATGTCGGAGGTAGAGAAAAGTTCGCTGAAGGAAGATTGGTAGAAAACAACCCCCTCGAATGAACAATCAACAACTCATCAGTGTGATCAGTCGCTTCGCCAAGATATACAGCTATGACTATCCATTGACATGCAGCTATATATGCTTTGGGTGTATTTCTTTTTTCAATGGACAATTTCGTGCTGCAGTTGTGAGCAGGCATTGCGTTTCCTCGGTGAGATGGTATCTCAATTGGCCGCATTCTCCCCCTTCCACTCTATCACTTTTCGCATCCCATAAATCGTCCGTGAGGGGAACGGGAGCTCTGAAATTTGAGAAAGTGACACGAAAATCAGAAATGATTAAGGTTAACTAGCTGATAGGAGCTAGCAGTTGGAGAGTGAGTTAAAGCTGGAGTTGCTTTTTCAGAGACTGGGGTATCGGGTGCTAGTACAGACGTTTTTCTTCCTATCACAAATGTTTTAGTAGTAGCTAGATTCAGAATGAAATCATTACCCTGAATAAACGATCGATACACCATTGATCTTCTCGAATAAAAATTTATATACCGAGTACTATAACCACACGAAGTGCCAAATCTATAGTTCATTCATCTTCCTTTGTTTATCATCTTTTCTACGGAGTACTCCAATTCAGTCCGTAATGCACATTGCTGAGGTACCACGCAAGGTGTTGGAATTGAAGTGGGCTCAAAACATCCTAATAGACGTGCTTAAACAAGGTCCCCTCCCCAAACATGTTGCATTCATCATGGACGGAAATCGGCGATATGCGAAATCGCATGGGCTTCCTATCAAAGAAGGCCATGTCTTGGGGGCAACGGCACTCGAAAACGTAATATAACAACGATCTCACGTTTCTATACGAGCCATGGCTGACTAGATTACTTAGATTATAGAGATGGCCTCCAGTCTGGGTATCAAAGCTCTCACAGTATACGCTTTCAGCATCGAAAACTTTCAGAGGCCACAGGAACAGGTTGATCAGCTAATGCAACAGTTCAAGTCCCAGCTAATAATGCACTCTCGGCCTGGTGGCATCCTGGAGAAATGGGGGATCAAAATCCGTGTTTTGGGCCGTCTGGAATTGCTCAGTGACGATCTCAAAGAGCATATTGAGAGAGAAGTGAAGAAGAGTGCTACTAGAAATGGCGCGGTGCTGAATCTTTGCATTCCTTATACCTCGCGCGACGAGATAGCCAGGTCTATACGCAAGACGGTGCAGGAGCATGGCGGGCCAACAGCGGGCATCACATCTCAAACTCTGGCGAATAACATGGACATCTGCGATGACCCGCCCGTGGATATTCTGGTGCGGACGTCTGGTGTCAACCGGTTAAGCGATTTTCTGCTCTGGCAGTGTAATCAGAGCACCGATATCCAGATATTGGATATACAGTGGCCGGAGTTTGGGTACTGGGGGGTATTTCTGATGATACTCGGGTGGCAGAAAAGGAGGCCAGCCCCTGTAAAATACCAGGCGACAAAGAAACCAGGAGGGCGCATCCATACCTCACATATCTACTTTACGTTGCTGTTGTCTATCATCGTTCTTATCGTCCCGATTACCTGGGGATAGCATTTGCCATTTTATGTATGTATTTCATCCAAAGCATAGTTGGGCCTTGTCTTCCTTTCCTAGCATGGGATTCCTGTAGATCAGTCAAAGTAGTCACCAAATCCTCGGAGAAGGCCAGGTCAGACCAATAGTCTCGACACTGGCTCGTAAAATCGTAAATCGTAAAAGCGAGGTCTGATATTCAGCCTAGAGCTGCATGATTAGGTTAACCTTTGACTTCCCGCCAAAGCCGCTCCGCAGCTTGGCTGATCTGCGGCTATTCCATTGGCGGCTGATTATTGGGCTCGCTTAGGCAGGCGATATTGAGCCGTTGCAGATAATTATTGTAAAACCAAATCCTTCTTGGAGAATTATCCCGTTCTTGATGTGATTCGCGCTGCAGGAAGCCTGTGCGTGGCTCCTATTGCGAGCGAGTACGCTCAGACGAGCAGAGCTAGGGGCAATCTCAATTTTCAGCCTCGTGTTAGGATGAATGACTCTCGCCGTCTCATAAGCGAAGATAGGACGATCAGATGAAATGCAGTACATTATGCATATCGATAACCAACCAGCTGGCATCCACAGTCCTGCCACCTTTGGAAGCTCCCAAACGGTCATATTCCCTATTGATGCCATTCGTACCCCCAGGTGATGGCCATCTCGGTGTGTATCATCGAATCTCAGTTCTAGGACAGCCAGTTATCTACCATAGCAGCTATCTTGGTTTATTCTTTAGTAAAATAGGGAGTAGCAGCCTGCACGAAAGAAATCGGACTAGCTAGTCATGCGCGTAATGATGCCCGTACCATTCCGGCGGTCACACTTTCAGGGCGCAGAGTAAAGGAGCTGGCTCTTGACTAGGGGGAATTATCGTGCCTTATAAATTTGCAAGTCTCTAGCTCGTGGGCATAAAATAAGGAGAGAGAACCTCGTATTACGGAAGTCGACGAAGGTATGAAGGGTGAGCTATGCTATGGTATGGAGTGAGAAAAAGAAACGACTACTCCGTACATGCAATGCGGTCCAGTAGAAGCGCAACAGGTGCCATCAACTTCGGCCGTTGGCGACGATCGTTCAAACTACTGGGAGCGATGTGTGTAACTCCCAGCAGCCACAGCGGGTAGGCCCTGGCGGAGAAGAATATAAATTTGCTGTCATTGCCGCATAGTTCTGAAAACCTCAGGACTCATCTCTTCTCGCTCAGCTAACTCATCTTCCTGGAAAGTCACAGACGCAAACGGAGCCAATAACCCCCCTTTCAACCATGCGTTTCACCATCCCCGGCGTCCTTGCCCTTGCTATGGCTGGCAGCACCGCCGTTGCCGGCACCTTGCCTTCTCTCACCTGTCTCAAGGCACCTAGTGTGATTCAGGCTTTCGACATCAACCGAGGATTGGGCATCTGGCAAAAGGAGCTGTGCGACCAGGGGTGTGACATTCGGTTGTCCAACTACCAGACCCAGATCCGTGAGGTTGCCATCTATGCCATCAAGACCGAGTCGGCCAACATGGGCGCCTCCGAGCTAGTCCCCCACTACATCACCCTGCTCGATGCTTGGTTTGATCTGCTTATGAAAACCTGCGGAGCATCTAAATTTGGAGACGTCAACCTATGCAGCCCGGACGTCCCAATGACCCAACTTCTGCAGTGCATGAAATGGAACGCATTCCAAACAGCATGGGAAAACAGCGCTAGTATCTGGCCAATTCTGTCAACGCACTGCCAGAAGCAATACGATTTCTTCGCCAACGATAACTTCCTCGTAAACGTGGCCCCAGCTCATGCTCAGAAATTTGCCGCGGAACAATGCAAGAAAGTGTAAACTATGCGTTCGAGGATTGGGAGGGATGGTTGCGGATGGGCCAGACTATTCGTATCTGCAATATTAAGACCAAGAGGGTATCACAAGCAGACTCTTCTTAGCTTGACCATAGGCTGGGGGCTCATAGTTGCTGGACGAAGAGGAGAAACGATAGAGCTAGGCCGTAACAGAATAAAGCGAGAAATTTCATGTCCCTCACTTGTTGGCCTGAACTGTATATTTTGGACCTGGGGTCAAGTGTCAATATCGATTAGCCAGATAGGCCATTTCATGGCAGCCGAATGCATGGTCGCCAGAACCGAATATTCCGTGGCAGTGGGTTAGAAACCGACATCCAGCGGGGTTAGTAACTGTTTCCTATCCATTTCTCCTGGTTAGTACTTGGTAGAGGCTTCGTCTACACCATTAGCTTGGTTGAACTCCTATCTGGAGACCGGCGTAGTCCGGAGTATCCCGACGACACTTGAGGGGGTACTACCCCAGAAACCAAGCCGCCGTCTCCATGAAGCTGTTTCAACGTCTCCAACGTCTTCTCAGTAGTCCTGGATATCTTGTTGACGCGGTGCAAGTCCGAGAAAACGAGAAAACGCGGAAGAGGCCAACACGGTCAGCGCCAGGCCGACGTGAACACGTGAGCACCTTGAACTTCGCTTTCTCGTCTTTATATCGACGTTCATCGTTCAACCTCATCTCATGAACACAGAACACACGATGCCATCCAAGTGTCTGATACTCGCGCAGCCGTTGAGACCGGAGATATTTGAGGCCAGCAGGAAGTGGAAAACCGCCTCCCAAGACAAAGAATGCCTTGTACTCCGTACCCCCTGGCTGCTGGGCCGCGCGACCGAGGTTGCGCTGGATGAAACGTCGCCTGTGGCGGGACCAGCTAACAAGCACTGGACATTAAAACGACAAGGTTACATTCTCCGTGGCACCCCGCCTTCGCCACGTTTTATTCTCCCTAGCTAAGGGTGCACATTTGGGCGGCAGAGCAACGAGACACAGCGTGCCACTGGGAGACAAAAACGGAATACGGAATAAGCATTGGGGGCCATCAACCGGCAACCGGAGTGACAACATGAACTTCAAGAAGCAGACGGGACTTTTCTTGACGGCTGGGGATTTCCAAAGTGCAAGGATCCTCAGCTAGCTCTGTTTATTTTGGTGAGAGAAGATCGCTGCATGTTGGACGAATGGGGATCAATGCTGGGATAGACTGAACCGTCTTCCCCCATGCTATCCAAAAGCTTCGTGACGACCGACAGCGTAGCGCCGTCGGGCCAGTCAGCATGCAGCGCGCCCCAGGTTTTATGCATATTACTGCTGGCCTATCGCACGTATCGGCTCAATGCTTGGCCTCGAGGCGTTCGGGCAAGTCTTGGATGCAACCATGGTTCCATCTCCACCCAAATATCCTGCACCTCACGAGGCCAGGATTTGGGGACCGGGCCCGTCTCTAATCTGGGGTTGTCCGGACCCTATTTTAAAAAAACGAAAAAATTTCTATCGGTCTTCGCCTATTTACTCCTCTATGCTCTTGATGAAGTGATCGATCGGAGCTCTCTGCCGCACATACCCCCGGATTACTCAAAGCTAACTCTCGGCTGGTTGATTCTATTTAAGTTGGAGCTTGCCATCCAGAGTGCCCTCCATAACGTCTCTTTTTCCATCGTCTACGTGTGTGGTCCTCGCGATCAAACGACAGGTCCTCTTCCTCCCAATTGACCTCGCAATAAGACACTACTCCTTGCGCTGAACAAAGGGAGCGTGCTTATTCAACCTGCATGCTCCGCTATTAACGGAAAGCCGACCAACCCGCCAGTTCGGGCTTTTAACATCGCCCTAAGCAAGACAGATACACACATCAAAGGGCGGTCGGGAGGCAACTACTACAAAAGAGAAAGCCATGGAGAACCAGAATCAAGGTAACAAACCAACGATGGAAAGCTCCCAGTCCCCGGAGGCACCAGGCGCGAATCCGCCATCCCCGACATTGAACCCGGCGCATCAGCACCATGATGCACATCATGTCCATCCAACCCCCAATACCGAAAAACCTCCCGTCGGCGGAGCAATCAGTGAGAGGGGGATTTCCAACACTAGCGACCCTCTACATGGCTCCCATGAAAAGCATGTAGTCGAGAACGATGGCGACGTGGAAGGGGGACGTTCCCTGGAGGAGGGTAATCGGCGTAGCATATGGTCACGGTACAAGAAGGAGATCCGTATTGCGATACACTTAACTATCTTTCTGTTATTCACAGGGTGAGTCGATTCAATGGCTGTGTGTAGGGTAGAGAAGGTTGTTGGCCTTCTTATACATTGCCCTATACTTCGATACTGTGTAGATGATCTGCGTGTGCGGTGGTTGCGTTGGAGCTGTGCTAATGGTTGACCGCAGTTGGTGGATTGCCGGCTTGATTCTTCGCCGCAAAGACCTTGGATGGGTCGTCCCATTCCTCGTCTACCTCGGCGTCACTCTCCGAATTGTCTTCAGCTACGTGCCCATCTCCGTCGTCACCAGGCCCTTGTATTGGGCATGGACTCATACTGCGAGCCCCGTCACTCGCCGTATCCCCGAGAAACTACAAACACCTATTTCTGCCGCCGTGGTTGCATGCGTGATCATTATTGGAGCCTTTGTGTCCGAAGAATCGCAGGATAATACTCGGGCAAACCGTGCAATCAGCTTGTTCGGTCTCGTCCTGCTCCTTTTCTGCTTATGGCTAACGTCCAAGGACCGAAAGAAGATTGTCTGGCGCCCGGTCATTGTTGGAATGCTTATGCAATTCGTCATTGCACTCTTCGTTCTACGTACCCAGGTTGGATTCGATATCTTCCACTTCATTTCCCAGCGTGCAACCGACCTGCTAGGATTTGCATCACTCGGCACCCAGTTCCTTACCACCCCTGATGCAAAGAAAATCCACTGGTTTTTGGTTGGCGTGGTTCCTGCCATTATCTTCTTCGTGTCTTTGGTCCAACTCCTTTATTATGTCGGCTTCGTCCAATGGTTCATCGTCAAATTCGCAACCTTTTTCTTCTGGGCAATGCGAGTTTCTGGAGCCGAGGCTGTTGTCGCCGCAGCATCGCCATTTATCGGCCAAGGAGAATCAGTAATGTTGATTCGCCCATTTATCAATTACCTAACTATGGCCGAGATTCATCAGGTTATGTGTTCTGGGTTTGCGACCATTGCTGGAAGTGTGTTGATTGCTTATGTTGGACTGGGGGTTAATCCTCAGGCTTTAATTTCATCCTGTGTGATGAGTATCCCTGCGTCCCTGGCAGTTTCGAAGATGAGATATCCCGAGACTGAAGAAACCCTTACCGCTGGCCGGGTGGTTATTCCAGAGGACGACGAACACAAGGCAACAAATGCCCTGCATGCATTCGCAAATGGCGCTTGGCTGGGTCTCAAAATCGGTAGCATGATTTCTGCCACGCTACTTTGCATTATCTCCCTAATTGGCCTTGTCAACGGCCTTCTCACCTGGTGGGGTCATTATCTAAACATCAACCACCCACCGCTCACTCTCGAGCTTATTTTGGGTTATCTATGCTACCCAATTGCTTTCCTCCTTGGTGTTCCTCGAACTGGCGATCTCTACAAGGTCGCCCAATTGATTGGCATTAAAATTGTCGCGGTATGCAATATCTCTCCCTATCACTCCTACTTCCCTCAATGGCTCTAATTAGATATAAAATATACATAGAACGAGTTCGTCGCCTATACTGCCCTCCAGGGAGATGCCTACTACGCCGACCTCTCCCCTCGCTCTCGATTAATCGCCACCTACGCTCTTTGTGGTTTCGCAAATATTGGGTCTCTTGGTAACCAAATCGGTGTTTTGGCTCAATTGGCGCCCCGCCGTATCGGAGACGTGTCACAGGTAGCCTTGAGTGCTATGTTGACGGGAGCATTAAGCACCTTTACCAGTGCTAGTATTGCTGGGTTGCTGGTTACCGACCAACAGCAATTCTTCAAGCCTGTCAACATGACATCCACTTAGGATTTATTTCCCTAACCTTGGTGTCATCTTAACCTCCTTAGGCCCTTTTGTTTTAAGACTTACAATGCTACGTTACAGTAGTTACGCTATAATGAAGTAAGGCAGATGAGGCTTTGCCTTTGTCGTAAGGAGCACCCTAAGTCTGTAATAATAATAACACGAACCCCTATGTATTTCTATTTATAGGGTTGATCCCTAACATGTGCTTTTTGCATACCTGGCTTTCTCTCTAATATTAAGCCGAAAAAACGAAAGAAACCTGCCTCTCGTGTTGCGGTACGGGGGATTCTACCCCTGAACACCATATACGGCCAGGCTCTCCTCCCGCATTCAAGGTCGCGTGAGATTATACCTAATGCATTAATACGAATAAACGCACAATAAGCCTTTTAGTAATTAGTTTAGTTACATGGGCTTTACGTGCGTAGGCAGGAATATAACACGAGCTATGTTACCCCGTTTCTGAGCGGAATGTTTAGCACAGCCGTTGTACACCGTTGATATCACTACTTGTTTAACCATGATACCATGGTCCAAGGTGGCCAATCACCCCGGTGCACCCAGGACCCGAGAATTCAAAAGCAATATGAAGCACAATGAATGGATTAAAGAATTACAAAAGCAAGGAGCTCTTTATAAGAAATAAATCCACTGAATGCACTGCATGACTATTGGCCATGCTGGGCATAATGATAAATGTCATTTGTGCTATGATAACCAACATTCAAACACCAAGTCAAACAAATAAAGACAAAAAAAGACAACCCCATCCATCTTCCAGGTATCGTAGCTCAAAGGGACATAATTATGTAGCATCAAAGGAGCAAACTCCGGCCCACACACAAAAATAATCCAATGAAAAGGGAAAAAAAGAAAGTCTCTGCCCCGCCGTCCAATGATGCAACAAAAAAATCGTTTATATTAGGATTGCTCTGGCCGCTTTCCAGAGTCATATCGGCGTTGAAGCTTTACTCGCCGGCTTCGATATCGCGGTGTCGAGAAAGGACCAGTCTCTGGTATTCCGCTGGGTCTTTGTCCCACAGCTCGGCAGCTTGGCCGTTTAGGGGGCTTGCGCTAAAAGGGGGCAGGAATGTTAGCAACGAGATCAATCAATCAGGATGAGCTCAATTCATCAGACAGGTGACAACGAACTTATTTGGCTCGCCTAGAAGGCTCTGGAGACTCAGGAGTACGCTTTGGACGTTATACACGGCGCTCCATTTCTCCTTTAGGATATCGAGGCAGATTCGTCCAGAAAAGTCCACGTTAGGGTGGTAGATTGGGGTTTTGAACAGGACTGTGGGAGGAGCGTATGGGTAGTTTGTAGGAAAGGCGAACGAGAGCTTGAAGGTGAGTTTTTGATAAGGTGTATCATCAGGGCCGTCAATTGTAGCAGTCCAGCTGAGAAGATTTCCGTCTGCGTCTGGGAAAGCTGATATTCCCGGAGATGGCGACATCATCAGCTGCATGAGCTCGCTCTGGAGTCTGTATAGCCGGACAAGATTAGCTTGAGTTTCCAACGAATAGTACATAGTATAAAGATATACCTCTTGGTGACGCTCTGCGTGTCCGCCTTGGAGGCCGTTGAACTGAGCTTGGAGTTCTCGATATTGGACTGGCCTTCCGGAGCCGCATTCTGCGTGTCTTCGATAGAGTATTCCATAGTTTCGACTCGATAGAGGGCCACTAGGCTGGTTATCTGACACTGGAGTGAGATGGCCTAAGAGATCGGTATGAGGAGGTGGCGGAGAGATTAAATAGGGCAACAGGAAGTCAGGACCGTCGCATTGAAAGAACTCCAAGAACCCGATGTCTGACGCCGTGGTGTCTCGCCTGCAGGATATGTGTCGCAGCTGTCTAGGAGCGGGAGACGTTGGGCGGCTGCGACGAAGCCTTGTCGTGTGTGTGTTTTTGTTTATTTCCCCAGCAACGGGCGGTTTCCTTATCGATAGCGAAACCTCGTCCACTCAAACCGCGCGCGCAGGGATCGAGTTGAAACGCCCTTTGCTCCTCGTCCCCGCGTCGTGTCCAGACGGTTGAACAGCCTGTGCCAGCGACTGAGACGAGGCCTGAGTGCAGGATGTCCTATGCGGACTGGCAGTGATCTGGGTTTTGTAGTTTCACCATCGGTTGGACGACGCTCGTTTCTCTATGAAGCATTCACAGTTGGCGCCGTTGCCTGACGACCTGCCATTTCGCATAGTCTCAAGGACAATAGGACAGGGAGCTTATGCATGGTAAATAAATGCTTTGCGATTTTGGCTTCCACGTATCGTCTGACTTTTACGCGTTTTTTTTTAATTTACTTCTCTAATAACATGCTAATATGTGATTTCTAGCATCAAGAAGGGCTGCCCCTTAAACACGGATGGCCCTATTTTCGCAGTGAAATTTATCCACAAGGATTATGCTGCTCGCCATGGCCATATCACTGCGAAGCAGCTCCAGATGGAGGTGGCGTTGCACAAGCATATTGGCAGCCATGAAAACATTATAGCATTCTACAACACAGGCGAGAATGACATCTGGAGATGGATTGCGATGGAACTCGCAGAAGGTGGTGATTTATTCGACAAGATCGAGGCGGACGAGGGTGTCGGTGAGGACATCGCACACGTCTACTTCTCGCAGTTGGTTAGTGCGGTTGGATTCATGCATTCCAAGGGGGTAGGACATCGAGATATCAAACCTGAAAATATTCTACTTTCTGTGGACGGGAACCTGAAAATTGCTGATTTTGGGTTGGCTACACTATTTGAGTATGGGGGCAAGCTGAAATTAAATACCACGCTGTGTGGAAGTCCCCCCTACATTGCTCCCGAAGTTATTCGATGCAGTAACCGGGGACACTCGAAGGGTGGGGGATACAGAGCCGATGTTGCAGATACCTGGTCTTGCGGCATTGTGCTATTTGTTCTCCTCGTTGGAAATACCCCCTGGGATAGCCCTACGGACGAGAGCTTTGAGTTCTGTGACTATGTAAAGTCAAACTCGAGGCCATCGGACGAGCTGTGGAATGGCATCCCGTCAACTGCACTCTCGTTACTGCGTGGTATGCTGAAGCTAGATGTTACCAGTAGGTTCACGGTGGAGGATATCCGGAGACACCCGTGGTTTACACGGCGAAATAAGCACCTCTCAGCAGACGGAAAGCTCTCCAATCCAGTAAACCTTGCCACGACAATGTTTGAATCGTTGCACATCGATTTCACCAAGGATCCACTGTCTTCTTCACAGTCTCAGTCCCAGTCTCAGTCACGGCCGACGGATGCTGACCCCATGAGCATTGACACCGATATAAACGATAACCTGAAACCCAGATTTTCGGCTACCCAGCCCGAGAGTCCTATGGATGCCAGCCTCATGGATTGGGATGGACCACCTCGACTGACAACTGGCCTCCAATCGGCCTCCCAACCTCGAGATGGGATAACCACTGACCAGGCCATTCTCCTTGCAGAACAGCTACTGGAAGAACCATCAATGTCGCAATTTTGCGCGACACCCTCTGTCCCGCTTAGCCGAACCCAAAACGCACAGCGATTCCAGGATATTGTTCCAGCATCTGGCTTAACACGCTTCTTCTCTACCTGGCCTATCAAGATCTTGGTTCCTCGGATCTGCGAAGCACTGCAGCTTCTACATGTTCCCGCTGCGCCAAAGATGTCTACAGAGTCTGTATTGATACGACTACGAACGTCTGATGACAGGAAATGCCCACTTCACGGCAACATTTTAGTAGAGATGGTGTCCGAGGGACTTGTCGAGGTTGAATTTGTCAAGATTAAAGGAGACCCGCTTGAGTGGCGTCGGTTCTTCAAGAAGATTACTATTTTATGTAAGGATGCAGTTATGAAACCTGATCAATGAAATATAGGACGGAATTTACGAATTTCATTCTTGTTTGCACTTTTTATTTATGGACTTGGCCATAAATTGCGGCTTGGATATACTCTAGGCATCTATATTTTGGCTTTTTTTACCAATCCTTTCGTGCAGATCAATACTTCATATTTCACACACTCCCCTTGACCTTGTTCGACGGGGATATCACTGTTAATAACCGAGCATAACTGTCTATGAGCATCTATACTTTTGTTCAAGTCTTCGATGTCATCCTTCAACACGTGACCTGCTCTATATCTTTCAGTTCAACAACTTTCCTCGGATAAATATCTCCTCTAATCAAGGATGGATAAAGATCCTGCCGAATATATATTAACCGGTATTGAAACGAATATAGCTGGCTGCTAATATACTAACTATCTAGTTCAGTAAAAGTTTAGCTGCGGTGTGGCCGAGAGCTTCGGCTGTTTGGCAGCAGTACAATGGACAAGCTACCGGTAGAGCTTATTACGAAAATCATCCATTGTATGTGCCTCTATCATATCCATAACCACGGGCAAAAGAGCTGACGGAGTTCCTTGTACAGATCTGGGCCCTGAAGACCTAGCACATTTGCAGCTGGTATCAAGGAGCCTATGTGCTATTGCGCGTGACAACAATATATGGCGAGAACAGTGCTATCTAGTGCAACGAGACAAATATGACTACCGGCTGAATCTACGTGGGCTGTTTGGCCTGCCAAACCTACAAGACCGCTTTCGCTGGGCGAACTCGAGCGGTGCGAACGGATCAAGTCCGCCCACTTCCTCGAACCACGCTGAGAGTCATTCCATGGAGTCTGCTATTCTCTGGGACCCATCGGAACAAGGAGAAGGCATAGATTGGTATACCGAATACATTGCTCGCCATGGCCCTACGTCCATCACTTGGTTGCGGAACCCGGGCGTTGAAGCAGCTAATCGTGATTTGGCGCTTGACGTGAAAGGGATGGGCATCCTGGAAGATAGAAGCTACGGGGCAGAAGACCAAATCATTGCTCCTCTCGAGGACGGTTCTGTAGCCGTTTGGGATTTTAACCACGCTGATGATGCTAATGGGAAAGAGCGGAGGGGGAAAGCTATCAGATCAAGTCGTCCTACACTCTTGCTTACCGATCGCTCCAGGCCGATTGACACCCTTATGCAGTTTGGGGGTGCAGTTGAATGTGTCAGCATTGATTCTATTTCAAAAAGAGCATATATTGCCGTTGAAAACGTGCTGAATGAAGTTGATTTACACACCCTCCAGCTGATATCACAGAAGCGACATCCTCAGTGTGTATTTGCACTATCACAAGAAACGTCAGAATATCGTGCGCCTCTCACCGTTGCTACTAGGGATAGCCTGCATCTACATGATCCGAGATCCTCACCGGCTTATCATCAGCCGGACAAGTCTTTATCCCTGGATTCTAAATCCTCATTCGCACTGGCTACCAAGTCCCTCCCTTTCAGCCCCATGCCAGCTGGAACCGTCGACTACGCTGATTTATTCGGCACCGGCCCTAATTTCGTGCTTCACCCTCCGCTTCCGAGCATAAACTCGATAGTTGTAGCTGGGCGGTTTTCGAGTGTCCTCCTTTACGACCGCCGGAATATAGGACGTCTACAAGCCAGTGCACACTCTGGGGCACGTTTGTGTGGTTTAGCGGCCTTGCCATCCATTCCCAAACGATATAGGACGCCCGATGATCTCAGTGGTCCCAATCAGTCTATTATTGCATGTGGCGAGCATAAGGGCTTTGGTTCCTTGGAGCTATATGCTCTTTCTGCTCGAGATGCAGCTGGAGACTGGGGCGGTGCGCCTTCTCCCATGCTTGAAAACAGGGCCCTTTATCGAAACCGGCATATTTCAGTGCGTTCAAAGATTCTCTCCGTTGCTACTCACGGTGCCCGGATAGTCTGTTCCGATTCAAGTGGCAATATCAAATGGACGGAACGAGACGGGAAGACGATCATACGAGAGTTCGATATAAACGCCAGCTCGCCGACCGGTCCACGATATAATATGCACGAAACCATGGGCGGCCAGGTTCAACATATGGCTCGCAAGATCGTACCGACCAGGAGGAATCTTGACCACGACGAACTGCTAATCTGGACTGGAGCTCGCCTCGGACGAGTCCGCTTTTCCCGCCATGTCGAAGAAGATCCAGCGATCCCTGATGAGGCGTCGACTCGCGACGAAGAGTATAGGGCGGCCCTGGGACTGAGCCTGAGGGAGAGCATGCATATGAGCTGGCCCTGGGCATCGGACCTTACGTGATATTCAGCAACCTGCTTCCAAATGTATTAATAATGGCCTGCTAATCCAGATCCTGCACCCTGGTCAAGTAGTTCTCTCTCATGCCCTGGAGTTTACAAATGTATGACAGTCCATCTCGTAAGAAAGAAGAAAGAATCGCCATCTCGTCGACTTCTCGCCGTCGCGTATACAAGAAGCCGAGGTCCGGATAAGTGCCGGCTCCCTGTCTGCGCCCTGTGAAGCTGCCAGAACTTATTATAGGAACATCCTCGATATCTCACAGCAACGACTCTTCTATTTTGTCTCTCCAGATCCCTGAAACCAGCATCCTGATATATTCTTTTTATGTTCCGGTCCAACCGTTCGGCCGCCGAGGAACAGCCAGTCCTTTAGACTTTTTTTTCCGCTTTAGCTCCCCCGCGGTCGAGTATTTCGCCCTTGATACTGATAACCCGATCGCATATTTATAACCTGGATATCACCTGGATATCACCTGGTTATCACATCTTCGGCCTTGAGACGCCTGACTGCACCGAGTGTTATACTATATACCCTTATAACGACCTCTGCGCTGCGAACCCCCGCCCGAAATACGCACCACCAGCACATTCAGAATGGCATCGCCACAGGAGGAATTACAATTCAACACGGTAGAAGAGTCGATAGAAGCATTCAGTAGGTTCTTACGGCACTGTGAAGGCTCTGATATAGTGCTAACCCGGTGTGCTTTACAGGAAATGGAGAGTTCCTCATCGTTCTCGACTCGGAAGACAGGGAAAATGAAGGCGACCTGATCATCGCCGCAGAATCCATAACAACCAGCAAGATGGCATTTATGGTCCGACATTCAAGGTCCGTCCCATGAGGAAGAGCTCATCCAATCGTCTATCGACCGTTCTAACCATGCGCATCTATGTCTGTAGCGGCTACATATGCGCCCCTATACTGCCCAACCTGACCACCCACCTCGAGCTCCCTCAGATGGTCGCCCGAAGCACCGATCCTCACCGCACCGCATACACAATCTCGATCGACTCTAATGACCCTTCAGTAACTACCGGAATCTCTGCCCATGACAGAGCCCTGACATGCCGCACACTTGCCTCGTCGGACGTAAAGCCAGCCAGCTTCCGGCGACCGGGCCATATCCTCCCTCTCCAGGCGAAAATTGGCGGCGTCCGTGAACGCAGAGGCCACACCGAAGCTACCGTGGACCTCTGTCGGCTTGCGGGGAAATTCCCAGCTGGCGTGATCTGTGAACTGGTCGAAGACGGCGAGTCCTCCGAGGGCGTTGCAGAGCAGACTGGTGGTGGAATGCTGCGACGGGACGGCTGTTTGAAGTTTGGGAAGAAGTGGGGGATAAAGGTCTGTACGATTGAGGCCATGGTTGAATACCTGGAGAGAACGGAGGGACCTCTCCCCGTGGTCAATGGGAAACATTGAGAAAATAAAGATACCACCTTTTTTTTTTGGGTCATAGTTAGTTCTTTGGTATGGGTGTACTCTACTCCACTCGCTCTTTAGGCTGGGGGATGGCTTCATAGTGGGGGACTATAGAAATAGTTGCTTTGATTGTTGTTATATCTTTTAGAGTCAATGCAATAGATCAAGTTAGGAAACCATGCAAGGAGAATGGATAAAATACAGGGTGTAAAGGATAACGCCAAAGGGATGCCTGAAAAGTAATAAGGAAAAAACTCCTCCCAGAGGACTTGCCATCATTGTAAACCGATTAACCTGGTAGTATAAACTCCGAAACCCAATAAATTAAATGAGTTGTTTATCGATGCTATCTCTTAAGATGCGAATAATCTCTGAGAACACCGGCCATGTGCGTGTTTGTAGTCTTGCCGCTCCTGCGCGCTTTCTTGACTTTCTTCTGCTCTATCTTCGGCCTAGATTTGACAGCTTTGTGCTTGCTGGTAGGCGTTATTCCAGCCTTCTCAAGCTCCTCCATCACAGTCTGATGGTCGGGAATCTTGACCTTTTCCCAGATTTGGCAAAACTCAGGGTCGAACTTCTGCGAGAGGGAAGGATCATTTGCCCAAATCATCTTTGGATGGTTGTCCTTCTTATTCCTCGTCACAAGCAGCTTCCCTTCCTTTTCAAGACTGTTGATCGTTTCAACGATATTTGGCCAGCCTTCTCGCAAGTCCTTGACGCTCATCCCTTGCGCCGTCTTCTGGGACTGGAGATGGCGCAGGAGCTGGTCTGCTGATCGAATGTTATGCGGGGGGCGGAACCGGAAAGTTCCTTCGCCGTTGGCACCGGACGGATCGAACTCGACTTTATCGTGCGATTGCAGAATCCGTCTCAAGGCGTGGATGTATCCCATGTCATGACCCTGCCTCGAGAGAGACAAGTACGATTCGATATCCGCGAACTTCAGCGGAACATTCTTGGCCTTCATATGCTCTATGGCAAAGAACACCTGTGTCATGATATCTCTCCCCGTCCCCGTGTTGGCGGGCTGCGAATAGACGATATCTGCATCATGGCGTCTTGGAGTTTGAGCGGCAGGCGTAGAGGCCGTTGACGCTGGCTGTGGCGTAGAGACAGCGTTGTTCGCAATAGCCGATCTCCGGTCCTGAGGGAGCCTGCTGGCAACAGAGACAACATTATTGCTAAAGGAGTTTATCTGCTTCTGGAAGTACGACATGGCGGAGGTGTTGGGAGGTCGATATATGCCCTGTCTTCGCAAGGCAGCAGGCTCACGTTGACACCAGACACATCTACTGAGCAGACGAAATCACTCGCATAGCTCCCCCGCAGATCCTGATCCTCAAGACCCTGTTCGATGGCGAGTAGCTTCCGACAGCTAGACTGGATGAGGATGAGAGAGAAGAGAGAGGAGAGAGAGAAGAGAGAGAAGAGAGAGAGGAAGAAGAAGAAGAAGAAGAAAAGCGGAAGAACGAGAGATGCTCACGTGACCCCATACCAAACCACCTCGAATGGAAGAATGAAGCGGCTCGTAGTTATCGACCAGGAGTGAAGCTTGGAGATCTCATCAATCGCGAGCTTCACCTGCCGCTTTGTCACGTCTGGAGGCCTCCAGACCCTTGGTATATAGTGAGGGTTTGTCTGTGAATGAGAGATACTGCGAATACCTTGCGATTTGCACTTGTTTACATGGTAGTTCTTCCATGAGCTCAGCGAGGTCTCTGTTTTCTACACGGGTGCCCTTCGAGTTGACGACCGTGGATGGTCGCGAAGACGCGCCTTAGGTCGATCCTTTGCTCTGTCTTCTAGGAGACGCAGCCATGGCGACTGCCGCCGTTGATATTCCTTTTCTCTCCTCGCATTATGCGATCCCGGAATCCGCGTTGACTACCCTATCGGAGAATCCGACCGTCGAGCTTGTGAACCAGCTATTGGAGAATATTTCGACAAAGGCTCGCGAGACGGAGGAGCTTAAATCTGACAAGCTACGGCTGGAGGTAGAGCTTGAAAATGCTGTCCGTGGTGGTGAGGCAAAGGTGAAGGTGCTGAAGTCGTCGGTCGAGAAAGGCCTTGAGGAAGTATCAAAACTTCGAACTAAGCTTCAGGAATCAGGTGAGTCTACTGCCATATATCAGAGTCAATGTATATGCTTCTGACAACTACGACGGTACAAAAGAAAACACTCGATCCCAGCTTGAATCAGAAATTGGGACTCTAAAGTCAACATCTTCCACCAGCGAAGCAGAAGTTGGAAGCTTCAGGTCACGCATCGCATCATTAGAAGCATCGAATCGGGACACCCTTGGCCTTCTCGAATCCAAATCTACCGCGTACGACAAGCTTGCCGAAGAACTGTCCACCCAGCATCGTAAAACCATCGACCTTCGACGTGAAGTCACAGCTCTCGAGCAGAAGATACAAGCGGCATCATCTACAGCCGCCAGTACACGATTCCGCGAACAGAGCTTGCAGCAGGAAGTGGAGCTGCTGAAGAAGAACAATGAGTGGTTCGAGACCGAATTGAAGACCAAATCTGCGGAGCATCTCAAGTTCCGAAAAGAGAAGAGCGCTCGTATATCCGAACTCCAACGACTGAATGAAGAAGCCAATTCGAAAGTCGAAACACTGGAACGGAGCGAAAATGCTCTCAAACGTCGTCTAGATGACGTTGAGCAGAAATACGAGGATTCTCTAGCAAGTATACAACAACTCAAGGAAGAAGCTATCCAAGCAAGCGAATCTTTCCGCATCGAACTGGATAGTTCCTCACGCCTTGCACAGCTTCAACAGGCTGCCGCTGAAACCGCAAAACAACGAGTGCAGGAATTCCAAATTACGCTGGAAAAAGCTAGAGATGATGCCACCGAGCAAATTTCTAGGCTTCGAGCCGAAATTGAAACCGAACACTCTGATAAGGAAGCTGCCGAACGCCGTGTCGCAGAGCTAGAGTTGGCCGTTAAACAACTAGAAGCTGAAGGCGCCGCCGCACGACTACAACCCATGAGCCCCAGCCTGAATAATGGCGTTTCTACACCTCTCCGCCCTGGAACCCCTGTTGGTTCCTTCTCGCCACGATCTTCACGCGGCGTGAAGGGTGGGTTGACGTTAACCCAGATGTACACTGAATACGACAAAATGCGGACACTTCTCAACGCCGAGCAAAAGAATAATGAGGAGCTCAAAGCTGCTATGGATGAAATGGTACAGGATTTGGAGTCGAGACAACCAGAGATTGATGAGCTACGTTCAGATCACTCACGCCTTGAGGCCGCTGTTGTTGATATGTCCAACATTCTAGACACGGCCGGCAAAGAAAGAGAGGCTGCAACCCGGGAGGCTAGGAAATGGCAGGGACAGGTTGGCGGTTTGGAACGCGAAGGACAGATTTTACGCCAGCAACTTAGGGATCTTAGCTCACAAGTGAAGGTACTGGTTATGGAAGTCCACTTACTCTCTGCTGGCGAGAAGGAATACGACCGAGCAGATCTAGAGAGAATCGCTCGTGAGGGCATTGAAGAGTCAGCAGAGGACATGACAGATACCGGCCAGTTTATCAGCCGCCACGTAACGACCTTCAAAAACCTCGGCGAGCTGCAGGAGCAAAATGTCACACTTCGAAGAATGCTTCGGGACCTTGGAGACAAGATGGAAGGCGAGGAAGCCCGGAAAAAGAATCTTTCCCACCAGAAGGACCAGGAGGAACTCAAAGAGCTACGTGTTCGTGTTCAAACCTATCGTGATGAAATGGCAAACCTCATCTCCCAGACCAAGAGTTACATCAAGGAACGAGATACATTCCGCAGCATGCTTATCCGTCGTCGCGAAACTGGAGAATCCTCTGAACCCTTCTCCCAATCCCTCCCCTTGGGAGCTGCTCCTCCCGCACTGGATAGCAGTACTATGTCTGCTGCTCCGGGCCCCGACTATGCTGACCTTCTCAGGAAATTACAAGTTCATTTCGATTCCTTCCGCGAAGAAACAGCAACCGACCACTCCTCGTTGAAACAGCAGGTTAACGAGCTGACGAGGCGAAACAATGAACTCCAGAGCGAAGTTAGCCGCGCAAGTAGCCAACTTGCTTCTGCTATCCAGCGTGCCGAGCTTCTACAATCGAACTTCAACCTGCTTAAGGGCGAGAATGTGGAGCTTCAGAAGCGACATACCACCTTGATGGAAAACGCAAACAAACAAGACCTTCGAACGCAACAGGTAGCCGAGGATCTTGTAGAGGCACGAGGTCTCGCGGATAGTCTCACGAGGGAGAGCGCAAATCTCAAAGCAGAGAAGGATCTTTGGAAGAGTATAGAGAAGAGGCTGGTGGAGGATAACGAAGCGTTACGAAACGAGCGCAGTCGTTTGGATTCATTGAACGCAAACTTACAGTCTATGTTGAATGAACGCGAACACTCTGAATCTGAAAGTCGACGTCGCCTTCAAGCAACCGTCGAGGCTTTGGAATCAGAGCTGCAAACCACGAAACGTAAACTCAATGAAGAAACCGAGGAGGCAAAGAAGGCAACACTTCGAAAGGAATACGACCACGAGCAAAGCCAAAAGAGAATCGATGATCTTGTTACGAGCCTGGCATCCTCTCGTGAAGAGCTTATTGCCACGAAAACAAGTAGAGATCATCTGCAATCAAGGGTCGACGAGCTATCAGTCGAGCTTAAGAGCGTCGAAGAGCGGCTCGCGGTGTTGCAACATAAACCTAGCGCTAATGCTCCAGCTCCAGCTTCTGGTGATGAAACCTCTGAGACCGTTACTGAAAATCAATTAAGCCGAGAGCAGGAATTGGCCATTGAAGTTTCTGAGCTGAAACGCGATCTCGAGCTGGCCAAGAGCGAACTGGAACATGCGAAGGAACAAGCCGAGGACTATAAGGCCATTAGCCAGTCGACCGAAGAAAGGCTTGAGGCACTTAACGACACCAACGAGCAGTACCGTGAGGAAACAGACCGCCTCCTCGAGGAAAAGAATGCCAAGATTTCTGATTTGGAGAAACGAGTCGAGGAGATTACCGGTGAACTCGCAGCTACCAACAATGAAATATCGAAACTTCGGGACCAAGAGGGAGAGGCACAGCGCCGCATGGAGGACCAGAAAGAAATGTTGGAGGCTGAAATCAAGAGACTCAAGGAAAATGAAGAACGATACACTGCAGCTGCGCAATTCCATCAACAAGATCTCAAAGCACAAGCCGAAATTGCTCAGAACGCCCAACAGAATTACGAGAATGAGCTTGTTAAGCACGCCGACGCAGCCAGGAACTTGCAAACTGTTCGAGCTGAAGCAAACCAGCTCAAGCTGGAAGTGGTGGATTTGCGAACCCAAACAGAGACGGCCAAGAATAACCTAACACACCAAGAAGAGAATTGGAATGAAATGAAGGAACGATATGAATCTGAGATTGGAGAGTTGAATCGCCGTAGGGAAGAAGTTCTCAATCAAAACTCGCTGCTACATGGACAGCTGGAAACCATTACTCGTCAAATTTCCGCATTGCAACGTGATCGCGCCAGCATGCCCGAGAATACCGAAGAAGACGGCAATGCATCTGGTACTGATTTGGAAGGTCTCCAGGAAGTCATCAAATTCTTACGCAGAGAGAAAGAAATTGTTGACGTCCAATACCATTTGTCAACTCAAGAAAGCAAGCGACTCCGACAACAGCTCGACTACGCTCAGGGCCAGCTTGAGGACACTCGTCTCAAACTCGAACAACACCGTCGGGCCGAAGCCGATAGCGAGCATAACACTCTCAATCACAATAAGCTCATGGAAACTCTCAATGAGCTTAACCTCTTCCGTGAGAGTAGTGTCACTCTTCGCAATCAAATTAAACAATACGAGGCAGCTATCACCTTGAAATCGGCTCAAATCGAGGAACTTCAGCGGCAAGCCGAGCCCCTCCAAACTCGCATCCAGGAACTCGAGAATAACCTTGAAGCTAAGGATGGTGAAGTGAAACTACTCCAAGAGGACAGGGATAGATGGCAGCAGCGAACGCAGAATATTCTTCAAAAGTACGACCGTGTCGATCCTGTTGAAATGGAAGCATTGAAGGAAAAGCTTGCTTCTCTCGAGAAGGATCAAACCGAGGCGTCCGCCGAGAAGAGTGCCCTTCAAGCCCAAATTGACTCGTTCCCGGAGCAGCTCAGACAAGCAGAGGAGAAAGTTCAGGATCTACGTTCTAAACTTACCGAGCAGTTCAAAGCTAGATCGAAAGAGCTTACAGGCAGAATCAACGCTAAGCAGACAGAGCTCAATGTTGCTATTCACGAAAAGGAAGCTCTCCAGGTAGAGTTGAATAATACCAGAGAAGAACTCAATTCGTTGAAGACCAGTATATCAGAAAACCCGCCCGCGACACCTGCTCAAACTGGTACAGAGGTACAGGCAACTAATACAGCTCCGCCTATTATCTCCTCCGAGCAACCTAGCCTTGAAAGCGCGCAGAAGATAGCAGAACTCGAGGAGAAAGTAGCAAGATTGGAAGCAGCCCTTGCTGAGAAAGATGCGGAGGTGGATGGAAGGATCAGGGAGAGAATTGAAAAGATGAAGGAGACTCTGAATAACAAACTGGCGGAGTACAAGGCGGCTCATAAGGAGCAGGTTGACAAATTGGTTGCAACCTATCAGCAAGAGCTAGCAGCCAAATCTTCTGGAGGAGTGCCTCAAGAGCTTTCTGATAGTCAGGCAAGAGAGCTGGTGGCTACGAATGAAACCATCCGTGGCATTGTCAGAAACAGTATCAGGAATGCCTTGAGTCGGGAACGAGAAACCATGCCGAAGGAGGCTGACCCAGCTGCTATAAAAGAGTTGGAGAAGAAGTTCAATGACGAAAAAGAGGCTCTATTGAAGGAGCGTGAACAAAAGATTGGCTCCGCTGTCGAACTAGCCGAGAAACGATTGCTGGCCAAGGTCAGCATGACGGAAGGCAGAGCTAGGAATGCGCAAGCTAAACTTGAAGTTGTCCAAAAAGCTGCAACCGATACACCACAGAAGCCAGTTGTGGAGGTTTGGGAGGTTGCTAAAGTTGCTAGACCAGCCCCAGCATCCCAAGCTGCTACTCCTAAGCCAGCACCACAGACGCCCGCAGTCGTTCAATCCCCAGCTCCAGCTCCAGCTCCAGCCCAACCCCCAGCTCCTATGCCGCAAGCAGCTCAGCAGCCCGCTCCACAAACACCGGTAGCCCCCACGACGCCCGCAAAGCCAGCAATGCCAACTGAATCCCAGCCAACCCCAACCCCAGCTGAACGGCCTACCCAAGTAACTCAGGCACCCCAAGGACAGTCTATACCTCAACCAACCTCCCAAGTTCCTCAGCAGCAAGGTCCTACTGGTCCACCCGCAGCATCTAGCATACAAGCCCAAAGAGGTCAGCAGCCTCAGCAGGCCCAACCGGCCCAACAAGCCCAGCCGGCTTCAGGACTCCCCAATCGCCCTCCTCAAGCTACACATCACCCGGCCGCAGGGACAGGTCCTGGAGCACTTCGTGCCCTTCAATCAGGCCTACCCGTTGCCAGGGGTGGACGCGGTCGAGGCGGCCCTGCTGGCCAAGCTGGTCAGCCGCATAGTGTCGTCGGCCAACAAGGCCCTGGTCAACAACAACAACAACAACCACAGCAACTACAGCAAGGCCAGCAACTGACTGCCTCGCGAGGTCACGGCGTTCCTCGAGGCGGTCGTGGCCGAGGTGGCCAAGGACGCGGAGGAGCCCAGCATGTTCAGACTGGAAACCTGCCAGCCGGCACGGGTCAATCGAGTCCGAGGGGTGGACGTGGCGGACTGAATGTTCAAGCACGGCAATTTATCCCGCAAGGCAATAAACGGACAAGAGAAGATGGAGCTGAAGCACCTGATACAGGGAACGGGAAGCGAATCCGCGGAGGTGGTGCGGGTGCAAGCTAAATACCATCTGACGATGGCTTGACTTTTATACGCCCTTATGTTTTTTCTTCCATTTAGCATTTGTTCACCCAAAACTTACTGCATTTCGAAGCGGCAGAAGGTCTTCTCCCTTCATCTCAATATTTTCCTTTCCTTTTCTTTTTCATTTGTTAACAGTCGCACCCTTGGAATGGCTTGGCTACACGTTTCGTTTAAAATGCACTCCCTTTATTCTTTAATCATCCGTGGGTATGACGTTGGTTGCTCATGTATATTAATTCTTATCTTTATTCGGTACGAATGAACCCTCGATGTATAACTCTAGGCCATCCTCCATAATGACTTCACGCGGCATTAAATTCTTTAAAATGGGTATCTCTAAGCAAAGCAGTCAGTAACAACAGTCCTCCGGCCAATGCAACGGCCTAGCATCTGTAAGAATACAGCTTCGACAGCTTCATATCCCTATCTCCTCTTCCCAGCACCTATCCCAATCAGCCTCGTCAGGCTTTCTCTCTCCCGGTTCAATGCTACCAGCCGACCTGTTTCCACCAATCCACCGTTCATTCCATGTAGATTCCTATCGTCATCACCTTTTCCAGCTGCCCTTTTCCGCCTCTTCAGCTTGTTCCCCAGGCCTCCACCAGCCTTCCCATCACCCCATATAACCGTCCAGTCTTCAATTGTATCCCCTTCTGGTATCGAGCAAGATGTGCAGACCTTAGCATGTCTTCCCACCTTCACATCCTTGCCTAGAAATGCCGACGATTCGATCGCGGCGGCGGAATGTATATGGGAGCCTGCAGATATTGTCGCGAGGGGCCCGATGCTCACGGAATTTTCTATAATCGTAACAGTTTTCCCGGGAGACGGTGAAGACGAAGGATCGAGGCCGGCAGCAAAGTCAAGAGGCGCGGCGGTAGCTGTTGCTGACGGGGTTGTAGGAGTAGACAGGCCTGAGTTACTGGCAACAGGCCCTCCTATCACAGATTTCTCGCCAATAATGCATCCTTCTCCGATGCTGACGGGGCCTTTGAAGGAGAGGAGCTTTGCGCGCGGGTGAATAACAGTTCCTGCTCCCACGGATATCGGGTGAGTGCCCTGGAAGTATGCCGTTTCTGAGATCGTAGCAGCCGGATGGACGTTCAACGGTGGCCTGGGAATAGACGAAGCTGCCGTAGGCCTTTGAGCAGCGGATGAGGTCCTGCTCGCCATTATTTGAGCCCAGCGGGTATGGCGTAGAGCTGGTGTTGAAGTTGAGGTTGGAGATCAAAATATTAAATATCCAGCCAATTGATAGTCTACAATTATTTTATCTAGGATCAACTTCAACCAATAGTAAATAGCAACAGCATATGTCCTTTCGTTTCATCATTATAAATGTCGTAGTTAAATATACAGCAGGACGACGAGCTCACTCGACGAAGCTCCGCCCAGGTCATCTAGACAACACTGCTCTAGTTTAATTCCGTTCTTCTACAGGCGTTTCTTTCTGGTCAGTCGGGCCTATGCCTATCCGCCGTCGCCATTCCCAAACCCCTCGGTCGACCTCTTCTTTGGTTATTCCATCCTTAACCAGGCAAAACGTCACTCCGAGTTCTGTCTGGACGTTTTTATTGCGAGCTTCATCGTCAAAAAAGAGCATGTCTTCGTATTTCAAGCTGCTCGACTGCTGTATTCGGGTAAAGTGTTGCGTCTTCGTCCCCGGGTATATCTGTACATGTTCAAAGTAGTCCAGCGCACGTATCGAACGATTGTCAGCGGCCGGATTGTCTGTAAACGACGGGATAACGTGGAGGGCTTTGAGTACATCGCGCGCAAGGTCTGGTGCATGAGTACGAGACGCAAGACTGACTGGTATAGATCGAGCTCGACATGCTTGCAAAATCGAATGGACGGCTGGGTAAAATGAGAACGATTCACCCCATCTATTGAAAAAGCAGAAGAGCATTGTCAGAGAAGCTTCAAGGACGAGGAATTGGGTGAGAAGAGCAACATACCTATCCACGCAACGGGAGTTATTGTCCTTGGATTTTATAGGAGCACTGACATGGGTGTCTACCCAGAAGGGCCACAGGGTGTAATCTAAGTCAAAAACAAACAGTTTAGGCAGAGGAAGGCCATCGTTAAATGTGGTTGGAGCAGCATGAGGAGCTTCAAGGGCGAGTGGCAGCGGCACTTTGGCTGAGTTGCTCCCTTTATGCTTAGCCATGACCTCTGTGTTTATAGGTGGAATGAGATACTAAAAGGCGCCAGTTCTAGCGAGAGACCGTCTGTAAATCTGAATCTGAATTGCTCTTGTCTTTGCTATCTGAACTTCGTCTTCTTCTCGTCTTCTTCGTCGTCTTCTTTTCCCTTCTCCTTCGTTTCTTCTTCTTCTTCTCTTCCTCTTCTCCTTATCGAGATTATCGCGAGATTACATAAACATTACAGTCACGTGATGAATCAATTAGGATGTCCGAAAAGGGAAATATCAACTTCATCCTGAGAAACTGCACGAAATTTCACTCCATGGACGAATAAACAAGACATCCCATCGTGCTCAGGATCTTCCAGATCTGCTCACTTTCTCGTGCGCCACGGAATCTCAACTGCTGCTCCATGGCGGTCCAATCGCTTGCATACTTGACAACTCAAGCCTGCTGCTCCTTGCATAGAATACCCCCATCGTCGACAGCCATGGCCAGGATATCTCTCCAGATGTATATCGGCAGTCCAAACCGATAGCATGACCTATTGGTTGCTTGGATCTGCGGCGTTGTGCGGTCCCTGAAGCAACTTGCATATGACGGCTGCTGGGCTTGATTTGCTAGGTCCTTGGACGGAGATGTTTTGGCTGCGCGCTGCAGACTTGGGAATTCTTCGTCAATGTTAAGGGACCAGATTCTTGACGGTAGAGAAGACCGGCTGGTAGTTTGTACCCGTGAAGGTGATGCTGTATCTTCATCATAACTCCATTGAGATATGCCTTGGGGCCGGTTCTTCTCGTCCAAGAGGACCGCACGAGCAGTAACCAACAATTTAAATGCGACACTCCAAAGCTTCACACTGTGTAGGCTGTGTGATTCTAGAGCAGAAAGGAGCACCCTTTTCTGCACCCTTTCCATCTCAATTTGCTTCATTCTTAGCAGCTCTCGTGCTGTTGTTCGTCTGTTGTCATCGCCAGAACTATCATCCTCCTCTATATCAATTTCTCTAATAGTAGTATTAGAGCCTATTCTCTGGAAGGTCTCATTCCCGAGGTCCAGAAATCCTTTGCTGAGAGGGGTCAAATCGTCGTTCGGAGCGTACACAACCCCTATGTTCTTGCCCTCGAGTTCTACCGGAGCCATGCTCTTTCCAGCCGGAAGGTAGTTGAGAAGGGAGTCTGGGTGGTCATGAACCGTGATAATACTCCAGAGATGGAATGCGCAAAGGGGGGTGGTACATGTTCTAGAGAACACGAGATAGGGTACGGATCGAAGGCCCCTTTTACGCCCAAAGATTTGCAGTTCCGTTGGGCAGCCAACCTTTTCGGCGCTATATTCCGACACACCTGCTACTTGTGGTCAGCATATCTGTTATTTCTTTCGTCGCCTTTAAATGAGTCTGGTAAAAAAGACATTTAACTCGAGGCTATGTATGACCAATCTGTAACTCACCAGGCACAACGCTGGAGTCGACGAAATCAACCTCACTCTTCAGGTATATGCGTTCCAGGACATCAAATCCAGCGCTCCCAAGGCGATTTCCACTAAAGTCGACTTTCTTGAGGACGCAACAATTCTGAAACGAGCGTAGGAATGCACCCCATGCCTGTCTCTCGAAGTCACTGACGATACAGACACCATTGTTTGATATATCAACCTTTACCAGCGTTGTACTACCAAGGAAGATTATCTCACTCAACCTCATCATAGATATAACGCTCAACTTATTTCCTTTCAAGCAAAGCTCAGTGAGCCGAACCACTCCCTGTGGATACTCACTGTCGCGGTAGCTCATACACTCGATAAGGTCATCGATGAAAACTGAAAGCCCGTCATCTGTGAGATCCTTCCCCGCGAGGTCCAATTCCACGGTCGGGTCTCTGGCAGCGCTCTTTGCACCACTCGCTGGTGGGATTCGTCTCCTCTAAGCGGACACGTCAGCTATCCATGGATGCAACACCTATTTTGAAGTCGACGGAAGCTTACCAGGTCCTTTGAAACAATCTGCCCAACCCTGACTCCATATATTTTTCTCTATCAGCGCCAGGCTCCATGTTAGCTTGATATCGCAGCGTTTCTCCCTGCTATGGATACTTCAAGGTCCTGGCTTACCCCTGCATAGCTAAGCTTCACCATCTTCCCTCGCGAAGAGTAATGAGCTTTTTTCGAAAGACGGCTACCTAAGGCAGATATCACTTTTTAGCCAACTTGTTTTGCATGTTGGTCAGGGTTATCATTATAGCTGACGGGTAGAAAGGCTGCCCCCAGGCAGTCTGGATTAAAGAATGGCATCTGGATAAAATGGTTTTGCAAGCTAACTTACAGTCGGTTAATTCCCTTTTACTCCTGGATATGGCCACTTAAAGCCAATGAGGAGGTCCAGGTAAGCTTAGACAAAGAGGGCAAGCTCCAGGGGGTAAAATTCACCCTACACATTTGTAGAAAACATATGCCATTTTTCAGAGGGTTTGTCTTGATATGAGACGTGAAAGTAAATAAACAACAACCATGCTAGTGCTTAGTCGTCTAGTCGCTAAAACTACTATTCACTCAATTTATCGTGGCTGTTTCTTCTAGGGCAGGAGGAAAGAGTAAGAATTTAGCACTATAGTTCTTGATATATAGCTAGTTCTTTGAATAATATCAAATATGATTCCCATGTACGTTGTGGAAAAGCAATGTGCTCTCAATTAAGCTGGAAAAGTATTGTGTGTGTATATATTGAAGAAAAATCCTCAGTGTTGTAGGAAACGGTTTAAAAAGGGAAGATGAAACTACCATAACCCTCCGTATCTGTGCACAGATTTTCAGTAAAGTTGATTCACTGAGAAACAACATGTTAACTAGTAAAATTCAGCGACGTCCTCAAACTCTGCAAGGATCGAGGGATCGATGCCTTCCAGATCATCGGGTTGCTTGTCGCTGTATTGATGTTGAAAGTCGCAACTAGCATCCTCAACTAGAAACAATTGGTCGGTCTTAGCCTCCAGTTTTTCCTTTTTAAACGGAACTGATCTAAAAATATCTCGATCCTCTTTATCATTAGCCATCATTTGTTCAAATGTTCTTTTGTCCATTATAGGGGATGCGGCGAGGGTGGAAGGCTGATCTGCTTGCCCCTGACAAACACGGCTGTTAAATTGAGACGAGCTGCCCAGCGACAACACATTATTCTTAGTAGGGCTTTGGGTTTTAGACGAGGCTAATTCTTCCTTCCTTGGAGAGCGGCTCGGGGTATTTTCCGGTTTCTCGGGGGAGGTAGTATCAACAGGTTGCTTGTGTCCTTCTGTATTGCAATGTTCCATATAGTTGCCGTAGTCAGTTAGTTCATCTTGCAGAAGAAAATTAATTCCTTCCCCATCATTGGCGCTCATGGTGTCCTCTTCAACATATAAGTCCCCAATATTCTCAAAAATTGCATCATTGGTTGCAGAGACACTGGCAGAAAGCTGAGTTTTCTTCCGCTCGACAGGAAGATCATCATCGGATGAGAAGCTCCCATCAATTCCCATTAACGAATCAAATTCTTCAAATTCTTCCCTTTCCATTAAACTATGCTTTGTTGCCTTCTCCTTCCTTACATGAAATGGGAGCTGTAATGGGTCAATAGTATCGTCTGAGAGTGGAGGCTGGGTTCTTCGACTACTAAAACCATGGGAGGCAGTCGCTACATTCGCAACTCTCCGTCCGTTATCTTTCATTCCACTTTGCAATACTCCCTTGGCTCTGATAGGCTCCGACTTCGTAAGGTCGATTATCTCAATATGACGTTCTATCTTGACATTGTTTTTTAGTTTTCTAGATGTCGGCTGGAGGGCGGGTTGGCCTGAATGATTGCTCCGACCAGAAGCCTCCATAGCTTTCTTTGACTCTTTCTTCTTGTTCAATTTGGGCGGGCGGTCAGTTCCTTCTCTGCAGCAAAGATGTTTACATCTAGAAGAGAATTAGTTAACGGGTTTCTATGTTTTAGCTTTGGGTACGATATTACGCTGTTTTATCCTTGCACCGATGATTGCATGCCCATTTTCCATTATCAAACTGTACAGGCTCAGATATGACAGAGCTGTTACCCCTGCTTATCGTCTTTTTTACCTTGGTAGGTATAGACCGTTGTATAGAACTAGCAGTCACGAAGCCACTGGGTCTACTTTCAAGGATATCATCGAAATCTTCCACTAACATAGTAATATCGAGTCAGTCCACTATTCAGATTTTGGGGTTGAATCTTTCATACCTTCGGCTATGAAGTCACTATAATTAAGCGGATCGTCGCTGAGTTCATCATCCAGGTCTTTCTGTTGGCAAGAGGTTGCCGTTAACGCGTTGCTGTTAGCTTTCTCTAAGGGTTTCGTAGGCGGGCGGTTTATGGTGCTTGAGTTGCATTCTACTACGCCCCTACATGACGCAAATAACGATTTTGGAAGGGTCGGCTGAAGCTCTGCCTGTCTCATAGTTCCAGCTAAGTATCGTGAGTAACGGTTACGGTAAACTGAAGAGAACCTGGAAACCTTACCTATTTCGTCGCACATAACAGTGCAAACTATTGTCTGGAATGGGTTTGTTATTTCAGCCGTAAGTAATATTTGCTGCCCCTTTTGCAATTTGTTGGCGCTTAGTCGCATTGGTTAGTTTTGAAGTTCGGATAAAGGGAGACTGGGATAACCCACTGGATGCGTCGAAAATCTACAATGCGGCCATCCGAGACTTCTGCAAGGAAGCATACGTAAACCTGTCGTTTCTGGAAATAAACAGGGCATTTTTCGTTGAGAAAGCCAACATCTGCTCTGAACTTGACCCGTGGGGTTTTCCCAGGATTGATGTCCTTGTAGATAACGTTAGGCCCATGGTAAATTGCTAGCCCTAGATAACACTTACTTTTCCAACTTCTTTCAGGGAAACCCTTGGCTTTGGGAATTCAGCAACTCGAGCAACTAATTTCATCCCAAAGGGGGGATTCCTCGATAGCAAAGTTTCTATCCGCATAGGTTCTGCAGCCTCCAGCGCCTCGATATTTGTGATACCAGCATTTGCCAGTTTCCGGACCGCCACAATTCCAATTTGATCAATCTGTTTGAGCTGTAACACTGAGTCGTCCCAAGCTTTTGCGCCCAAGCTGCGGGATAGTTCGAGAGCATGTCTTGCGCTCACCGCGTCCTCGCGAGCTAGTTGGCAATCAATTATGCAGCGGATAATTCGGTTTATATGAACGAATACCATCCTTTTATCTTGTTGGAATGATAGTCTATGTTTTTGATATTGTTCATTAGTCGGTAATTCGACCGCACCCAGCTCGGACTGGATGAGAAGTGTTATTTTGTGAGCCGAGAGATTGATATCTGTTTTTATGGGAAATTTTATCCCAGCTCCCTTGTTAATTTCTTTATACAGAGACTTTTCGCCGGGTTTCAAACGTATATCTCGAAACTCGTCGGCTTGGGCGATGACAGAAAGCTAATAGAAACCTTCATTAGATACTAAGCTTTGGGTTGTGAAGAATGTTTGAACTCACTATTTCGGACATTTTTGCTTTGGGGGGAAGGGACAAGAAAAGTTTCATAGTCTTGAATTTCACATAGTATCGAGCCATTGCGTCTCCAAGTTTGGTAGATTTTAGTGGCGTCCCAGTTGTTACAAGGTCATTTTCCTGGAGAAGCTCTAGGTTCTTTTCGCATATCCTGTGTAGTAGCTCCTCCTCATCGGATCTATTGCTTCCCTCCTTTAGCTTGTAGTGGGTAGGATTTCGCTGCAGTCGAACGAAAAAGAATGTTCCTAAAAGCCACCTAACTGCTGATTGGATATCGGTAATAGTCCCGAGACCTATTTCGGCATTGAGGTGATCCGTTAGATTTAAATGTAAGCAGCTCTCCAGAGGTTCAGATCCAGCTACTAGCTTTTCGTAATACTCTACCCTCGCTTTTCGAGTTAGAATAACTCCCACTGCACTGTCGTCAAATTGAGGTCGCCCTGCCCTGCCCAACATCTGCATCATCTCCAGATCTGCATACTCCTTGCAACCGCCGTCTTGCCATGATACGGTGTTCTTTATAACAACCAAGTGGCATGGTAGATTCACACCAACAGCGAGGGTAGATGTGCAGCAAATCACATTTATTTGCCCTCTCAGAAAGCCCGTTTCAATTGCATGCCTATCAGTGCTATCAAGGCCAGCATGATGAAATGCAACTCCGGTAAAAGTAATGCCTATAATAATTAGGAAACCGGAGCTTTGGTACCAATCTTAGGAATATAAAAGTAGGAGCCGCACCTCGCAAATCAGCATTCTGGACTTGTATTGGTTTCGTAGGGCTGTTCCATAGCCTCTGAAGTGGATTAGTTGATGACCACAGTTTAGCCAAATTTTTTGAAGTCGTGATGGCCGAGTTTCGTGTACAACAGAAGATCATAATAGGCTTCTTGGACGAATGTTTGGCGAGAACTTCCGGGAGTCTGTAAATGGTTAGTCAAAGGTAATAGAAATTGGAATGCAATTGAAAATATCCGGGCATCCCACTTAGTCTCGCAAACCCGATCAAACGCAAAATCATTTCCATTTGATTGGTAACCATAGACAAATTTTTGCAATCTAACAGGGCGGAATTCCTCCCCAAACCGCTCTCTATGAGCTGGGAGATGCTGGTTTGTGGGGTCTTTACCCAGCCAAGTTGCAATATCTTCCGAATTTGGAACTGTTGCGCTTAACGCGATGAACCGAACATTGGAGTTCACTGATTTCATACGAGATACCACAGCTTCTAAAGTAGCCCCTCGCGCTTCTTTTAAAATATGAACCTCATCGATCAGGACTAATTTGATGAGCTGCATCAGTCTCATATGATCCTTCCATTTTCTAGTCATACTGTCCCATTTTTCCGGAGTCGTGATGATGATACTAGCCTGCTGGACACTCCTAATTTGAAATTGGTCAGTATCTCCAGTGAGTTCAGCACATTGTAGGTCCAGAGGACCAAATTTAGCACGCCAGTCACGGAACCGCTCAGAACATAAGGACTTCGTGGGCGCTAAGTAAATAACTTTGAACTGAGTGTCCTTGAGGTCAGCAGCAAGTTTACAAATGGCCAGCTCCATGACGACTGTTTTCCCACTGCCTGTGGGAGCTGAGAGAATAACATTATCGGTCCTATGGTATATCATTGGAAAGGTCTTGGACTGGATCGCATTGAAGACAGGAAAAGGAAAGATGGAGCGAAACCGGTCGGGAAGTACATGAGTGGATACAAGTCTGATGCCTTGTACTATTGGTGGCGCATGTTTGAGTTGCAGCTCCGAGGAATCGGGGGATTTGACTACGGCTGGTCGCCGGAAAGGGGAGAACGTGTCCGGAGAAGCAAGAGCCCCTGTAGATGGCCAATGTGGACTTTTGTAAACATCAAGTTCTTCTCTATGTGATTTCCCCTGGTGATTCTTTTTAATACCCAGGGATGGGCTCGAGGGTAGTTCTAATCCAGAGGAACTTGATGCTAGCGGGTGAAATGGAGGAGTGATAAGGGTATTTGCTATCTTAATTAGCATGGATCTGTAGTGCTGAAAGGGAGGGTATCTTTGAGGAATAATTTTCAGGGACTAGCATACTGCTACTGAGAATGGAAGAGCGCCCCCGGTGTAATGGCGTTGAAAATGGACCAGGGCGAGGCACCTGGTTGGTTTCATACATCGGCGTCTCCAGTTCATGTGGCACCTGTCCTAATTGTGAAAGTAGCTCTTTATCTATTGTCCATAGAAGTACTGATATCAGCTCATGAAGCTCACGCTTGCACACTAGCGCTGGTTATAGAACCTTCCTACCGAAAGCATCAAGGGGTATATCGTCGTCAGCAATACCAAGTTCATCTTCGGGTATCTGGGATTGATTATCCGGCCCTGTATAGATTGGACGAAGTGAACTTGGGTGGTACTCCATTCCGGCTGCGCTGGCATCTAGGCCTGGTGTTGCCCCTAGATCTCGAGTTGATTTGGCATCCGGCGAGCGGAATGTGCTTAAGAATGTGCGGAAATCCCGCTGTGAGCTATTGCTACCCATATTGACAACGGTCTTTTGTACAGAGTACAGGCTGATGGGAGCAGTATAGTAGAGTTTCGCAGGAGTAGCTTCGGGTATCACGCATTCAGCCAGCGACTCAATGATTCATTAGAAAAATCTCAAGTCCAATATAGAGCGAATATTCTATGCAATCAGCAAGTAACAGCTACTCTCGAAGCCGTAGAGAAAAGCTGGTTTGAAGTTGGTAGAAGTTGAAGCTGGTTGAAGTTAAGTTGAAGTTGAAAAAGCGACGTCAAAATTAAGTTCAGGGACATTTCTAGGCACCGTCACGTGATAAAAGTGTAGTTGCTCTTCGGACATGAATATAATGCCTGGTCTTATTGCTATGTAACTAGGCAGTAGTAAGGTCATTTCATTCTGTGTTTTGCCATTCCTGCCCTCAAAGCTAAAATACCGCCCCAAGCCGCCCCTGGTTCAAAGGAAAACGAAAGAATCGCTGAAGAACGCTCCCTCTCTAAGAATAGTTTTATACAATAAACCCCGAACAATGTGAGTCAACCAAAAGGGAACGAGGAGAGATGTTTGCTCTCGCAGGCAAACGTAATGCATGATAGGTTTTAGTAGTTAGAATTCGTGTGTAGCGTATATGTATAGTGAAATAGGATAATATACCCGGCTTGGAGGTACATAATTAGGTATCACGGCCTTGTTTGGGGAAGTAGGAACCTCGAGAGGAATGGACACGCGAGTGGTGGCGGTTTGGAGAGCTGGGCCGGGAGGTACTCATTCCTGTCTCGGATAGGAGAGGTGTGGTAGGTAACTTGATAGAGAAATCGTCGGGCGGTGAGACTGTGTCATCAATCTCTATCTTGGAGGGTTTGCCTGATTTCTCCGCTGGATGTACGCGGATAGGAGGAACGCGTAAGCCATTGATGGATTTCCCTGCTTGCATTCCAGGGAGGAAAATGTAAATTGCTGAAAGAACGATCGCAGTGCCGAGGATGAACTGGAGATGTGTGAGCATATCAATGCAATAGGGTGAGAGGGGAGGAAGCATGAAACTCACATTAATTGACGCGCTGAACTCAAAGAACCAGATGCTGATTAACGTGCTTAAGACAATGCTCATCCCTCCAGGAGCAAGCCTCAACCAGCTGTCTGAAAAAGTCATGCAAAACGAAGTTGCGATTCCTCCGACAGCTTGGGAGATGATCACTGCCCATACAACCCAGTTGTATCCTTGGAAGAAGCCAGCCTTGGCGATTTTCTCTCCGTCAGTGAATACAACTCCAATGAATAATGCGGGAAAGATCGAATATATGGCTAGCTGCACATTCCGTATCCAGATTGAAGTGGATGTATGGCTGTCCTTGAGGACTCTTTCGAACGACACCCCAGCGAATGCAGACGAAATGCAGGCTCCGATGGTAGCTAAAACACCAATATTCCCGTTTAGGCGTGGGTGAGCGAGCATCATATCTTCAATGATACCCTCGTAGGTGGCCGATCGTTTGGTCAGCTTGGGAGCAGCTTCTTCCTCGGCCCGCCCAACAAATATATTAGACAAATCAGTCAGCGAACGACGGATGTTTACGTGTCTGTGGTTATCCGGGTCCATCGGATCAGAGGAAAGTTGTAAATGCATGATCACAACGCCAGCTAAAAGAAGGAACAGAGCCGCCCATTTCCCAGGTGCGAGACTCCTGCGCAAGACAGCTACAGCAAATATTGCGCCCATAATGATCTTCAGCTGGTAGGTAACCTGGAAGCGGGCAGCTTCCAAGTTAGACATCGCAACATATTGTAACGAGTTTGAAATGGTGTAAAATATGGCAGGTATTGCTAGTTTCCAGCTATCGCCGGAGAATACTTTGGAAGAAAGGGTGATGAATAGAGACGTGGCGGTCGTAGAAGTGTGAGCCGCAAAAGAGAGCTCATACAGAGCAGCCGTAAGGGCGATTGCGAGCTTTACCACCTCGTTGAGGAAGACAGCTGTCGAAGGAGTATATCGATGTCCGCCAACGACGGGCATAACCCTAGAATAATGTAACAGCTGCAGCCCCCCAGTCAGCTCTTACCGCGCATCGTATCTCCAGACGGCGGGGCATCCATCTGCGCGAATCTCAAAATGTTCATACCAGTATATATGCCGAAGACTGGACGGTCAACTACACTCGAATCGAAGCCAATTAGTTAGTATAGAACCAAAGACATACATCCCAGCCAACGCCGAGAAAGAAAAGAGACTCATACCAGCACCGCCAGAAAGCTCCTGACCGGGATCCCCGTCCATACCAACGACCCCGCCTTCGAGTCTCTCGCCATCGCAGCAAAAGGAACGAGGTGGTGAAGGTGCAAGAGCGTGAAGTGCTCAACCGCGCTCACGTCCCACGATCAAAAGAAACTCCTCGTATCTTCAGTCAACCCGACAGCCGTCCGTCTGCATATACTCCGTATGGTGTTTCACTGGTATTCCGACCTCCGTTCGTTCGACTCTGGCTACGACAGGCGCAACGAGAGCTGAGATCGCGCAGTTTCAGGCAGCGGTCTGGTCTGGGTCTTTGAGATGTAGGCTCATCAAGCAGCACGCATAACCCCTCGCGTGGCCCGTTTCAGACTGGCGAACAGCGGCAGGGACGAAACAAAGGACGGCGAGCAGCAAACGAAGCGCAGCGAGAGCGAGAGATGCAGAGAGAATGCAGGTCGTTGGGTCGCAGCGTCGAAGTTGAAGCGAGAGATGAGTTGTCACACGATCCGATCTGGGCAAGGCCAAAAAAACTGAAAAAGAAACTTTTCGCTGCAGCTTCAGCTTTTCTTTTCTTTTCTTTTTTTTGCTTCTTCTTTCTCCTGCATGGCCAAATCCTCGTCACGGCGAGCAGCGCCACCCTGGTGGTTACGATCGAAGGCTGGGGTGTAGATATTCTCCGGGGTTGATGCATGTCTCTCCCTACGACTGGGGTCAAATACGAGTGAATGTTAGTATACTCCGGACGACCGACAAGACCAGAAAAGACATCTAGTATGAAGACGGCCAGAGGTGTAGGGATGGAGGGACTGCGATCTATGGCTTCATTGGATGCGCTGGGAAGGCTTCGCTTCCACCCACTCGCCGACGACCATGTTCCTGGTCACTACGGGCTTTATCAGCGCAATCGGGTGACGCGGCCGGAAGCCACAAAGTATGATTTTTCAGATGGAGATAGAACGATCTATATTGATATCGCTATGCTCAGGTAAGAGGGTAAGGAAATTCCAAGCGAGTGGATGGATAGATGCAGAAACGAAAAAAGGACGACCGACTCCGCCATGCTAACAAGATGATAGTACAAGGAAATTAAAAACAAGAAAAGAGAGAAAAACATAGATTGGGAGACGAGACCCAGGCAAGGAGACAAGAAACACCCCGATTTTGCTTCAAGCGTATCGCGTTAGTTGTTAAAAATATGTAAGAGATGGAAAGGAAAATGGCAGTAGAATGGAATAGCCAAAATGAGTGTAAGGAAAGCTCGTGCTTTCAGGGAGGTGTAAGGAGGTATATAGGAGATTAATGAACGATGGCAATGCCTGTGGCCTCGCTGTTCCAGCCCAACGCCCAGATGGGTATGTCTGGGTTCGTCTCAATGTCCTTTTCACCATCGTCGTTGTCGTCGTATAGAACACTCGTATTGGCTCTGTTTCGCAGGCCTTCTCTCACCGATGGCATCGATGGGGCCTGTGACAGGCGCGAGGAATGTCGACGGTGCTTGAACGGCCTGGTGGGCGTGAAGGGCGACGCCTGGCCGGAGGGTGGCGAGGGGAAGTACATGCCAGAATTTGTCAGGCTGATGATGGGGAGTCGTGGACTCTGGCAGCTTATATCTGAAGCTGCGCTCTGTGGCACTGAGGGTGAGCTGGTTGCATCACCAGCGATGGAAGGGGTAAGGTTCGGTATAGATCGAGGTGCCCTTTTCTGGTGAGGAGTCGGGGGAAGAGCCGGACTAAGGCGTAAGAAAGAAGTATCCGAGCTGTAGCTGGAGATACTTCTTCGATTTATCTGGACTGCGAGGGCCTTTGCCCATTCTTTAGTGTCTGTCGCGCTTCCAGCCGGGGAAAGGGTCTGTGGCATGGCCCCCTTGTTCCGTCTGATCATTTCCAGGAGGTATTCCTCCTGCCGAGTCACGGCCATGACCCGACTCCGTCTGCTGCCTGCCTGAGACCCTTGACTTTCGGCCGGCGAAAATTGAGTCTGTATACGGGGGAGTGTAGGCGGGGAGGTAGGTAGCAGCGGCTCAGGTATGGTAGGGACGCTAGAGTAATTCGACTCTGTCGCGCTCATGGTTGAAGGGTGAAGACTGGAGGGTCTCGATTGGTCACCGTTTTGCGACTTGGTTGTAGATCCATTTTTGACTGCTCTCTTCTTGGAACTGGATCGGACTCTCTTGATAGACGGTCGTCTGGCAGCCGTGACCGTCTGGGCCGTGCATATCTGGAAGCCCTCGTCAATCGTGGCGATGCTATCCCTTAGTTTTGTGGTATGGCCGGCCGGCTCGTCTTCGCTCTCGTCCTCGGAAGACGAGAGACAGAGCACACTCGACTCGTTCAGATTCGAGGAATTCAAAATTGCTCTGCTGCTCTTTTTCCGTATCCTGGGTCTGTCCTTGGGCTGGTCACCCGCAGGCTTATCCTTCTTGGTCACCTGGGAGTAGTCTGAGCTCGGATGGGCCATCGAGCTTTGTTTTACAGGACCTGCCGAGGTCTTGGGCTTCTGTGGTGTTCTGTGAGTGCTGTCATTGGGGACGGCAAGGTTGGTTTGGCTGGGTTTCGCAGACTGGACGCTGGGTTGACGAGACGGCAGGCTCAGTGAACGCCGGTCCCTCGTGAGTGGAGGATGGTCTCGCGACATCAACTGTCCATACATGACCTCGATCTGATCCCCCGGCCGGATCTCCTCGATGTCGTCCTGGCCATCGGGTCCATCATACCATGCCGAGCTCACTTTCTTTCGCTTGAAATTGGGGTCACGCCAGCCCTCGTACTTGTGATTTGCGGGACGCTCCAGCGAGGGCTGTGCCAGCTTCTGCTTCTCCCGCCGTTGCTGCTGCTGGTGGCTCTGATCCTTCTGCGGACTGAAGGCTTCCTGGAGCGGGGAATCGACTCTGTACTGGCGCAGAGGCTCCTGGACAGGCATCAGCTCGTCATTCTGCTGGTAATTCGATTGCATCTTCTCTGGCTTCCTCGGGTTTGGCGACCTGGTCAGCCGGTTGAGAGCACGCTGGGCGCGGTCAAACTTGTGTGTCTTATACATGGAGGCGTCAGATCCGTTGGAGGCCACGGAGGGAGGAGAGGCCATCCGGTCTGGAGACGGCGGGCAGGGACCAGATGCCTTGCGAGGTCTGGGGAAGAGTTTAGATAGATCAATCATTGGCGGTCTGTGTTTCTGTTTCTTTGCTTTCCGTGCGGTCAGGCCGGGCTCATGGTCCGTCGACAGGTCGGTATTAGACTGGCTGCTGGCCGGGTAGTCCCTCAAAGCCAGGTCCTGAGACGAGGTCCCGTTTGTGTAGTACGACCGGCTGGTGGACGAGTTCTGAGACCGGTTGAAGGACGAAGTGGATGGCGACTCGGATGGCCGCAGAGGTTCCTGTTTCGACTTTGACCTGGCCGTAGCCGTAGCCGTCTTTGTCGCCGTCTTCGTCTTCCTGGAGGACTGTCTCAGGAAGGGAGACGAGAGACGCGGGCGTACTTTGTGCTCCTCTGGCCGGCACTCTTCATCCAACCGCCCTGTCCGGTTTATGCTGTAGCCACCGGTGAGATCTGAGGCACAGCTCTCTGCTCGCCCTGGTCCCGGTTTCACTTCTGTATCCTTAAATCCTCCCTTGTGCTCCCTCCAGTCCAGGTCCAGGTTCAGATCCAGGTTGAGCTCCAGGTTCGGCGCCGCGTACGGGTCAAAGGCGCGGTCGATGGCCCCAAACGCAGTCTCCTGCCGGTCTCTCTGATGGTGATGCTGGTACTGCGAGACACTCGACATCCGTGGGGGAATATGCAGCGTCATATTGCTCCGGTGAGACATCTGTGGCTCGAGAGTGACGGTTCTCTGCAGCGCCGGCCGTATATTGGCAGCGTGGTCTATGCCAACATTGAAACTCTGTGTTTCCAGAATGGCGCGAAATCGCAGATCCGCCAACCATGCGAGAGCAGATAGTGGCACGGAGAGAGTCGACCAGGCGAGGGCTATTGAAGAATTAAAAAAAAAATAAATAAAAATACTGTACGTGTCTCCCAGAAACTTGGGGCGGCGGCGGGCCTAATATTGAAACCCTCCCAGACAGGCCTTATTGGGCAGGCTTTTTCGGCTCGTCGCACCTCGCAGGCGGAACCACGGTTAATACTCGATTTAACATGGGCCTGCAGCCTCTCCGAGGCGTTCTGGAATGGAGTTTGCCTGGTGCCAACAAGGAAAAGGCGGGATGGGGAGAAGAGAGGCTGGAAAAAGAAAGGAAAAAGGGTGCTAGAGAGAGGGTCGCATGGCCGTCCCCTTTCCTCCCTCCCTCCCTCCCTCCCTCGACGGTCTCGAAATATCTTACTTTGGCTCCGTGGGCTGGCAGGGATCAGATTCACTAGCTTTCACGCTGCGCTGCGCCAAAATAGCGCCAGAGAGATCGTCGCACAAATTGGAGATCGAACGACTCGAGCGAATCCGATGCGCGGCCTGGGAGGGACATGGGAGGAGGAGAATGATACGAATCACATCATCACATCGACGGCCGCTCCTATAACATAGCACACTCGTCCGCGGGGGGGGGGGGGGGGGGGGGGGACTATACAGAGTATGCCATACGGCTATCTTCATCGTCGAGATCTGGCCATTGCATCATGGTATGGGGCCCCCTGGAGCTGCCCTGACCCATATCCATATATATACGTTGTGGAGAAATATGCTCCGTACCAATGCTGGCTGGTCTGGGATTAATTAAACTGGCCTACCATGACGAGAAAAAATGGGCAGTCGAAACGCAATTGATTGGGAATGGCGGCCCCGATTAGCCGGGCTAGGACGCTGTTTACGAGGCGGGATTCCTTCCCCGTTGGCAACAGGACTCTCTTCTACGCTGCTCGAGATAGCTTTCTCCGGTCGACGGGGAAAGGATGGACAGGCTGCCGTGATGGCTGAGACGTGATGGACGGTGGCCGTACGGATCTCACGCCCTGGGCACCGCTTTAGCCAACCAGGCACGGGAGAGCCGCAAGAGCTAGGACAGAAAAAGGCATGTTCCGGCGTTAAGGATCCAACGCTCAGGGGGAAGGGGAGGTATAATTCTACGGTGATATGGGCCCGATTTGCAGGGTACCTTCAAACGTTGAGTATACGACTGCCTGCTCATAGGAGAGTAGCTATATGCTCTTACTCACATATCAATCCCAGACCGATATTGGATCGATTTTGGCAGCAATTTACTGGGATGCGCCTGATCCAGATGCCGGCCGAGTGTAATCGTGATCGCCCCTGTTGACAGCGCCGTTATCTACTCTGTGCATGTTTATATATGGAGTAACATGGCGTACCACGCTTCGATGATAGCCCTCACTACGTGAGATTGAAACACAGCTATTCTAACTTTAACGGCAGGTTATATCTAGGTTTGACAAGCCAATCTTCCGTGTCTCTGTGGCACCAGAATGCAGAGCTGGCTTTCAGCATGGTTACGCTCTGTCTCGTACGGAGTACCTCGTACAAAGCACAGGGGCCATTCTTGCATATCCTGAATCAGTTCCCCATACTCGTACTTCCGATCGCCAGCACCACCGCTGTCACTTCCGCCAAAGGGGCTAATTCGCATTATCCTGTAGAGGAGAGCCCATTGCTGAGCACAATCGCCGACGCCTTGACCCGACAGCTCGCTGAATAGAATTACTTCCCGCAATCCTAAGCCGTAGATCCCTGTGTCGGTGATCACGGCGAAGGCTCGGCTCGAACAAAGATGTTTGGGGATGCCGAATTCAACCCTGCTATTAACCGCTGCCATTATCACAATTAAACCAACCTCGCGATATCGACGAGGGATACAGTCTAAACCCAGCAGATATCGTTATACGATCGTCCATTAAGGATAATTTGGGGTAGAAAGCAGATCGAGCTCGCTGTTGAAGAAGCTTAATTCGACATGGATTTTCTATAGGCCTTGCTTGTATAGTTACTCCTGCATGTAATTTGTAGCTTGCGGTTTACTCCGTACTCCATAATTCGAAATGAGTTCGGCTCTCACAGGCAGGCTCATGTGAAGACCATCACAGCCTCCCCATCTCTGCCCGTTTCCCCATTTTTGTTGTATCTTGTATTTCGTGGCGAAGTGGCGCGTCGGGAAGATCGTCAAGCGTGTTTGTGCGCAGTGACGAAAACTAGACTAGACCATGGAGATTTCTCTGGAGATCTCAGCCTGAAAAACTCTACGTAGGAATAGTCTACGTTTTATTGCCTCCACGCTTCATATAAACCTCGTATTGGCGACTCCAGGCCGAATTGGGGCCAAAGCGCTTTACCCTTAATTCTGATCCATCGCCTTGGTAGCGTGCAGTCATTTTGTCTGTGGCGAGTAAGAGATGGCGAATCGGCTGAAGGAACAGCACAGGACGGGAGAGATCGTTTGGGACGATAGTTCAATAGATGGACGATCGTCGTTGTGGATTTTCGCCGTTCTAGATATAATGTTTGCTTCGACCAGATACTTGTATTTCACAGTTAGCCGACGCTACATACACCGTACAACACTAATAACTCCTAGCGACATGCTCCGTATGATAGTAGGATAAGATATGCCTATAAACATATAGAAACGGTCAACGGTGGTTAGCTGAAGACATAAACTCAAATTGGCGAAATATGGCATAAAAGCACGGGCTAGATAAGAGTTGGAATGAGGGGGCCAGTATCGATATTGAATAGAGGACAGGAAAATACGAGAGAAAGGCAGCTGACAGGTGTTGGCAATCAATAATCATAATTAGCAATGCTCAAGAGCTCTCCTCGCTTGTTGAATCGCCAATATCAATTGGATACGCCGCATTGCTAAGCTTACGCCGCTTGTACGGCTGCTCCTTCGCCGGTTCGTCATAGGATTCAAATTGCGAATCAGCAAAGACTGGAGGGTGGCTTCGTTCGCCACGGCCCCTTTGTTGCCTCCTAAGCTGCTCTTGTGCACGAGATGCCAGTGAATATTGAGAGTGTGGAGGGGATGATGGCGGGCTAGTGCTTGCCGCGTTATCCCGCGCAACCTGGGCCCCATTCGACATGGACGACACGCGCCGAGTTTTTGTTGCAGCTTGACTACTCACAGCTGCATGAGGCTGGCTTCCGCCGTTATCTTCATCTTCACTGATAACAATGGGCTCGGAGTTTAGCACGATATAGGTATCCAGGGGGGGTTTTCCCTGTAGATCAGTGTGATTGCCTAATTCCTTTTCTGACTTTCCACTCATATCCTTCATGGTCGAGTTTACCACGGAAGTGGCGTTGTTCGGTCGACTGTCAGGCGTTGATGGGACCATATACTATATAAACCGAGCTATTGTTAGTATTACTGTCTTCCCTATCTGGGCACATAAGCGCATAACCTACATGATGCGAGATTTTTGCTAGCGGATTAAATATTTCCTGCCTTAGTCGCCGCCTCGTCTCTTCCGAGTCTGGAACACGGAACCTTGGAAGGCCTTTCTCCGCAAATCCTCTCTGTTTTGACCCAGGCGTTGGTTGAAGGAAGCCATTCTTCCTAAGAAGTTCGGTAATCTGCACAACCTCGTTTCCACTGCAGTCTATCAATTGTAAGTGGGCTACCTAGGCTAAGAGAGGAAGCGGAACACATACGCAGCTTCTGAGAAAAGTCCTTGACTCGAAGTGGGTAACCTTTTTCTATAATTATCTTGAGCGCCTGTCGAAGCAAAACGAGAGTTTCAATTTGCCTCGAAATTTTGCTTTCGTCTGGTCCCAAAAGACACTTGTAGCACGCGTGGGTGGTGGGAATCTTCTCGTCGCTAGGATGTAGGAAGCCGTAACACGTTAGATGCTGCCGTGTATTGCAGAAATCGCATTTGAGCTATATAAAATGGATTAGAGTGGATGAAATGCCCGTTAAAAAAATGCCGTGAGACACGTAGTTACCATATCCATGTCCGGCTCGCCCCATCCACACTGACAACTAACCTCACCGTTACCGTTTTGAGGACCCTGGCCGGTAACTGGTTGAGTGAGTTGTGAATGGTTGATTCTTTCCTTAATCTTTGATTTCTGGATCTGGCTGAGGCACGGCTTGACGCTTGGATCCGCTTTTGGCGGGTTGGAGCTCAAGTGGGAAGCTGCCTGCGTGGGTATCAGTTCGCTGTCAGGAGACGGCAGTTCAAGCTATCAATTAACAAGTTAGTGATTTCAGTCACTTAGAAGATGTAGTCTATACCCGAACCATTTTCTGGAGCATGTTCTTCGTTATAGCATCCTGGCGCGTTTGCGTTGATTCTTGTCCTTGAGCTGATTCCTGCGAGCTATTTTCGCCTTGGCCTTTTGTCATAACCGGAGAGGATGGTCCTTCATCCTCTATCCCAATTTCATGCCCACGCTCCGTCCTTTCTGTATACTCGAGGGTGTCTGGGATCTGCCTCCCGCCTATGTCATCGCCGTCATCGCCATCTTCACGGGAACATTTGAGAGCGGTGACCTTGAGTCCAACACTGCACGTGGATTAGATACGGAATACCTTCTTGTGGGTGCGGAGCTCTTACCTGTGACAACCAGAATCCATGACACCACACGATTGTGTTTCCTTCTTCCACACATCATCTCTAGGGTATACTATATGGTCGTGGGTGGTGGATTTGAATCCCTGAGGCTCATATTCCTTAGGGCAATCTTGAGTATAGAACAGATGTATTTCTAGAAACCTCTTATCTATTGATTGGTTAGTGTAATGCGTGGAATGAAGAGCATCAATGTTTTGCTTATCCTTCGTACTTGGCAAGATGGGCAGAAAGGTGCTTAAAGTTATGAGCCTGCGGATTATCATCTCCAGGCCTAACTTTGCGGTTCGAAAAGTTTTCACCTCCGTTGAGCGTCCAGTTGTTTCGAGTGAGACTGTTTCCAGCCCACGGCTTAGTTCATGTACACCCCGCGTGTAGTTGAAAGAAAACGTGTAGCTTTCTAGAACGTGTGATGGGTTTTCCTTGTCAACAAATACTGTAAGCTGAACTGCCTCGAGGACATTCTTTTCCAGGGCGTCAAAGATGCCGTGCTCCTAGACCATGTTAGCTAGGATTCTAATAAAAGTCACCAGAAGGTAGAAACTAACAAGTAGATTCAAGACGCCATCAGCCTTTGCGTTGCGGTCTCGTAGAATAATCTTTAACGGTTGTCCACGTTTCCCAGCTTCAACAGGTGGATTAGAACCGCCGGCAACGAAGTCATCGTAGGAGACGTTAGAATCTGGCCGCTTGAGATTTAGAAGATCCCGTTCTCCGAAACACGACAATGGCAAGAATTCTCTAGAGGAACTAGAGTTAGAAATACATGTACTGTTAAGCTGGGTTAAAGCGTACCTGAGATAGAATAATGTCCCAAACTATCAAGTCAAAGTCAGCCAGTGTTTCGCAAGAAGCTACTCAAGTATCGAAGCACAACCTACCGAAGCATGTAGCATAATCTGAGCAAACGCGAGACTCTGCTGCTGCCTGAGTGCTTGTGACTGGCGTAGAGAAAGTGGTTTGGGAACTGTTTGGACGTTGACACCGCGTTGCTCCTGGCCTTTGTTCTGTGCTACAGACTTCGTTGCATGGGAGGCTGTGGTCGTTGCTCCTACAACCTGGCGAGCTGGCCTGTTACATATCGTCTGAGCCATGGCTGGTATCTGGCTGAAGCCGCCGAGGATGATGTTTTATGAAGTCTTCGAGGGAGGAAAAAGCGCGTCGAGGGCAGAGAATATCCCAATCGGGCAAAAGTCATGTGAATTCCCAATACGGCAAATTCTACCTCGACCTCAGAAATCGCCCTTATACACAGTAGTTAAGATGGTATTGACCTTAGAATGTGCATTGTTCATTGGGTATTGGGTATTTAGGGCGTTTTGAGGCATCCCGAGTCTACGGATAGAGCCATAGGCATGAGAGAATACGCGGTTTGACCGTGGTGTATGTACAGACCCGAGGGTTAGACATTATCCCAAGGCATAAACTAACTGGAAATAGGCCTGGACGTCGGCCCTTATCGACTGGGGTATATCAGATAAAACGTTATCTAGATAGAAGCTGCAGAGCAGGGAGCTCGATCCCGACAGCAATGACATCAGCCACCGCCGGGCTAGGAATAACGGACCATGAGGCGCAGATGAGGGTATAAAGCTGGCATCCGAGTGGACCGGACATGTACGTGTACATGTATGTGTACATGTCTGCGCGAGAATGGCCAGGAATTAACCGAATCAACACTCTTTTCTGTGTCCAAGGTCTATAGACAAATGAACGGATAAAGTCTTCGCTGCACGATAGAAGTTGATGCATGCAGGCTCCATGCAGCTGCTCCCGGCTCGACGCCGCCATAGCTCAGACCGCGCATTCGGGGAAAACTACAGACTCAGACTCAGACTCAGACTCAGACTCAAGACTCAGACTCAAGACTTAAGACCTAGGGCTTGGGGGGTGCCTGAGATGGCCGTATGGGACTGGCTGGGGGAGACAGTCGGGCTTGTCTTGGGCGTATTCACTATGCAGAGCAGGCCGCTGCTTCCCCGGTGATTGGTCCTACTCCCTACTTTGCTTCTGTGGGAGGAGCTTTCTTCTTTACTTCGTACTGCACGTGAAGCCAGGCCAAAAACCCACACAGATACCGCCCGAAGACGCCTTGCCAGGCCTTGCCAGGGTGACAAGGGACCCGAACAGCAGAGAGAGCGCCCTCTCGTCCTCGCAGCTTCACCAGCACTATCAGACTGCAACTCCCGGCGTCTCTTCCCCCTTTCCGCCCTTCCGCCCGTTTGTTTATACTTGGGGGGCTGCTTTCTATATATATGGGTGAGGCCCGGAGCGCGCTAAACCGGTTTGGGGCCCTCTCACCGCGCTTCTTGCTGCCAGCCACGACCGAGACGGTCTCGCCGCTTTCTCCTTCTTCCTCGCCTCCCCTCCCTCGGTCTTGATACCTGCTACTCCGTGCTCGCGACAGGTCTCTCTCCCGGTTTCAGCGTTTCTCGCACGCCCGTTATCGGTGACCCTTGTACGTCCCAGGCTCGCGTCTTAACGCCCTGCCAGAAGCTAACTTGCTCAGGTTGATTAGATGTGAAGACCTGCCGTGCACCCCTCGTTTCTTCACAGACGATCCCCCGGCATTTGGCTCCTATAGCGATTCCTATGTGATAGTTCGGCCTGCCCTGGGTATGATCTGAAGAAGACGACAGAAGGCCGATGCTGCCGTTGTCACAGACCGCTTGATCTCCCTAACCGCAACATCCACCCTTTGTCCCATCTATCTACCATCTTCTGGCTGTGTCACGAATCGATACAAAAAAAAAGAAAAGCACATATATCTATCCTCACCACACACCGACCACAGGATGGATAACTCGACGACTACCAGCATGTCTCCACTATCTGGGAAAACTACGCGGAAACCCGCCAACCCGCCAGCAAACGATGCCGAATCTTCACCAGACCCTGCCCTCTCACCCAGTTTCAACTCGGCATCAGACGATTCCATACCTTCAAGCGGCACCGTCGGCCAGTTCTCTTTTGCTCCGGCAACGCAGACAACAGTCGTGACCACCACCACGACCACCACTACCAAGTTTCCGCCGTTTGTGATGCGAGCTCCTCGCTTCGCCGGGCACCTAGACCCCAAAGTCTACCCTCTAGCCTCCATACCGACCCCGGAGCCGCTTCGAGATATCCGTTTTACCCTAGACGGGAATTCGATCATTTTTCGCGAAGCAGATGACGTTTCAGGCGCGCTGAGTAGAGTGAGATTTTTCAAGCATCTTCATGTCACTTACAAGCAAGTGAGCTATCTAGCAGTTACTAACGTGTCTAAAACAGTTTAACGAGCAGCAAAAATCATTGAGGTTCTCTGGGGCAATTCGTTCGAAACTTTCTGACGGCCCAGAAGCTAGTCAAGCTGACGCTATAAATTCTAAACCCTCTGTTCGCAATCGACCCTCGGGCTCATCGGACGTACGACGACGCCCTCTTTCTCCATCACTACCCGCATCTAATCCTGTAGCCAAAAAGCTACACTCATCAACCCATACTTCTTTTGAAGAACAATCACAGCAAACTGGTTTGACGCGGTTGCCTCTATCACGACGTTATGAATTACCCCAGCGGGATCTAGGGTTAGCAACCCCGGAAACAGAGAACACGAGCTTTTTACTTTGCAATAAAGGGAAACGGAATCAACGAACTCGCTCGATGCTTGGAAAGCAGTATCCGGAGGAATCACCTCCTCGTGCAGACCGTCAGCAGCAGGGTGCTTCTGGCATCGCGAGCCCCATGGTACCTTCTGATAAAGAAAGCAACGGTGATAGCTGTGGAGACGGTTTAGATAAGTCCCCGCTTCTCGAGAGGCGAACTAACATAGCTACCGTCCAGGCCGCTGATCGCTCTGGAAATACACAATCGAATAATGATTCGGCAGAATGCAACTTACAAAAGTCTATGAGAATGAGGCTACAGATGAAAACGCGACGTAACAGACAAAACTTACTTGGGTTGGAGTCCTCCGGCTCGCAAAATATGTGCCTGCCTAGCCCCAGCCTCTCGCCAATCGCTCTCATGAATGCGCAGCAGCTGGAAGAAGCCTCGGATTCGACGGCAGATGAAGGCACAGACTCTAGCCTCGACGAGCTTCCGAAACATAACGGTAGAGAGCTTCGTGCGAACAAGGCCAAGAAGATAATGGATTATAGCAAGAAAATTGCTGCAAGAGGCCGTGTGCCCATGTCACCAAACTCGTCCCTGCTGGATATGCCTAATATGTTGAATTCCTTCGAATCGATACCAGACGAACTCAAGTCGTATATGATGTACCAGTTCCTTCGCAGATGCCCAAAATCGACCCTCCATCTTGTCGCTAGTGTTGTTAATCCTGCGTTAAAGTGCGATTTCTTGTCCAACCTGCCCTTGGAACTCGGCCTGAATATTGTGAAATACCTTGATGTAAAGTCAATGTGTCGAGCTTCCCAGGTCTGCAAGAAGTGGAGACTCATCATCAATTCAGATGAAAAGACATGGAAGGCTCATTTTGTTGCCGACGGTTTCGTCCTTCCCGCTGGAGAATTACAACAAGCCATTGAACAGGGCTGGGGCTGGCAGTTCCCAATGTCACCAAGCGACGGCGAAAAGGATCTTCGCCTCTTGTCTTTCAAGTCGTCTGATAGTGAATATTCCTCGGCTAGCCCCTGGAACCCTGATACATCAGACTCCAAACTAGCCACCCTCCCAACCCCATTTTCCCCATCACCTCGTCGGCTGAAACGCAAAGCCACCGCCCATTTGAGCGGAAGGAGAACTGCCAAACGGACAGAAACCGTCCTTCCATCGCCAGAGGAAGATAAAGCTACTCCATGGTTGCAGCAACAATTTACCGCCAGCGAGAACCCATTCATCGCCGCGAACGCAGCAGCTTTGGCTTTGCCGTATGCAGACTTTGGATTGCCATCCTTGAAGAGTCTACATCTCTACAAATCTCTTTACCAGAGGCATCATTCGATAAAGTATAATTGGATGCGGGAAGACGCAAAACCATTACATCTCGCATTTCGTGCCCACGACCGTCATGTCGTTACCTGTTTGCAGTTTGATACCGACAAGATATTGACTGGGAGCGATGACACAAACATCAACGTGTATAACACCAAAACTGGAGCGCTTCAGTCAACACTCCAGGGCCATGAAGGAGGCGTTTGGGCGCTGGAATATTATGGCAACACTCTTGTCTCAGGTTCTACAGATAGGTCCGTCCGGGTCTGGGACATTGAGGCAGCAGACTGCACACAGATCTTCCACGGTCATACCTCGACAGTCAGATGCTTGCAAATCCTCTTACCTGTCCAGGTCGGGACACTTCCAGACGGAACACCAGAAATGATGCCTAGGGAACCATTAATCATAACCGGGTCGCGTGACTCCACCCTTCGAGTTTGGAAACTCCCAAAGCCAAAGGACCCGACGTATTATCAGGCCGGCCCTGCACAAAATGACGGTGCTTGTCCTTACTTCGTTAGGGTTATGGTAGGTCACACACATTCAGTCCGAGCTATTGCTGCACACGGCGATACTCTAGTCAGCGGAAGCTATGATTGCACCGTTAGAGTTTGGAAGATATCCACTGGTGAGGCTGTCCATTGCCTACAAGGTCATAGTTTCAAAGTCTACAGCGTTGTTCTGGATCATAAGCGAAACCGCTGTATCAGCGGCTCCATGGACCACATGGTTAAAATTTGGTCCCTGGACACCGGAGCAGTGCTATATAACTTGGAAGGGCACACTTCTCTCGTCGGCCTTCTCGATTTGAATGCTGGCCGCCTTGTCTCTGCCGCGGCAGACTATACGCTTAGAATCTGGGACCCCGAAAATGGCCAGTGCAAGAACACTTTAACCGCACATACGAATGCCATAACTTGCTTTCAGCACGATAGCCAAAAGGTTATTTCTGGCTCTGACAGGACGCTGAAGATGTGGAACGTGAAGACTGGAGAGTGCTTGAAGGACCTTCTCACGGATCTTAGCGGTGTCTGGCAGGTTAGATTTAATGATAGACGATGCGTTGCAGCAGTGCAGCGGAATCGTCTTACCTATATCGAGGTTCGTATACTGCCATAATTTCCCTACCCGCGATGTTTACCTTGACACCTAACATGTTGATACAGGTTCTCGACTTCGGTGCATATCGTGATGGCACCCCTCCACATCGACTTGGCCAGCGGATAGTAGTCGATCAAAATGGCGAGGAAACCAACGACGACGAAGCCAAACCTCCTCAAGCTGACGAGGAAGCTTCGGACGCCTAGTGGCCACGGCTAGCATACCTTATCAATTAACCAATACCCTCATACAGTATCTCACCTGTTACCTCACCCATCAACGTCACCTTTATTCATTTTCTCAACGCATTCAACGGTTTATTAGAAAACATCATTTCCCCCTTCACACTCAATACACCTTCAATTCCATGATACATCGCATAGCGTGGACGACATGCATATATTCTTCCTTGCTGGTTTCGCATACTCGGATACTGATTTTTCCCTGGTGATAATGGAGTTTGTTTCACTTCAGCCCATCCAAAAAATGGCGAACCAGCTCTTTTGTGTTTCATAAGATCGGGAGGGGCTAACTGTTTGTTTTGCTTTCATAATGTCGTCTACATACCCTTTTGCGCTTTATTCATTCAATCCTTGAGCCTTGAGCTCCCATATGCCGTTGTACGAGTAACACCTCTAATGTCGCATTTTTCTTGCATTTTAATGCCTACTTTACGCTTTATTCCCAAATTTATACAGGGCATTTATTAGCGTTTTAGCTTTCCAAGAGATTGTTAACCGCTTAATTATTCCCGCTCCCCCTTGTATGTTAAGAGTTCCAGTAGAAAATAGTATCCGAGATGATTTCCTCATTCTTTCTTGTAGATGTATGAGGTAAAGAATAATGTACAACGTATCCGGTATATCAAAAGGTACCCAACATGCTCGCTGTCCTATATACCCGCAAAGACCAAACCATATACTCCACCCGACGTAAATGAATATGAACCAAAAATAAAATAAAAATACAAAGCCGTCATGGAGGTCAAGGAAACGGATTACCCCTTGACGCCACCCGCACTCCCTTCTCCGCCCTTGTCTCCCTCTGCCTCTAGGCTCTGTTTCGGCAAGGAAATGGAAGCTTGAGATGGCAGATGATCAAGGCCAGCAGCCTGTATAATAGCCCACTGCAACGCATCGATACCCAGGGGAATCTTATGATGACCTTCGCCAACACGGATCTTCGTGCTGCAGGCTAGAATGTCGCCCAGAGGTGGAATCCCGTCATCTCGCGTGATAGGCGTCACCTCCTTTCTTATTTGCCGGACAACATCGCGGAACCGCTTAATTTTGGATGAGCTATAGCCCTTATGGTCTGTCCTGCCCGCAGTCAGAAAGCCATCGGCCTTACTGACGATGATTTGGTGAGGGACGGTAAATTCTCGGAGGATGGAAAGGACCTCTTTATCGGAGGTTTTAACGCCAGCTTTGGACTCGATTATGAGGAATACTCTCCTGAGCCTGTTGATATGGCCGAGGTCAGAAATGATACCGATACTCTCTAAGGGAACTGGGCGCCTACGTACTGTTTTCTTTTACTTAGATATTTCATCAGCTCATGCCCCCATTCCGGCCGACTGGCCTTGCCATATCCCGGGGAGTCAATTATATTGATCTTCGATTCGCCTCCTTTCCTCCCTCCAACTGCAAATGCATTCATAGTTTGCGTCCGGCCAGGCGTGGCTGATGTAAAGCAAATATTATCCCCGACCAGCATGTTAATTACCGAGCTTTTACCAACATTAGACCGGCCCATAAACACCACCTCCGGCGTGTCTGATTCGGGGATCTTGCGAAACAGGTTGGTAGTCCAAAGGTGTATAGGCGAATGCCTGGATTTGGCGAAAAAGTGCGTTGCATATTCTAACTGTTCTGGACCTGGGACTGCGGTGTCTCTGTAGGAGCAATAATCCGCGGGTCGAAGCTTTGTCCTCCAGCTAGGTTCCTTGACCGGCGATGTGAGCTCCTTTTTACCCGGGAATGCGCCATTCTTAAGTGCATCCAGCCTCGAACTGACCCTGGTGCTTCCTCTGGGTAGCTCTGGGAGTATACGGTTTGACAGGCGTCTGGAAATGCTGCCGAACGACGTAGGGCGAGTGGACATGTCTTATGCGCGGGTTCACGGAGTCAACTCCATCAGCGAGCGGGAGGATCTGCTGGGAAGGGTTAGTATATCGAACAGAGGCTCAGTATATGCGATTTGATGCTGAGCTTGAAGGATCGTGAAGCTCTTTTTCTTCGGCGTTACGGAGACAAACAGAACAAACAGCCAACATGCCAAGCATGACGATGTTGAACATCGCGAACATCGTGAAGACTTGTGTCAAATATAGCTAGATACGTTTGACGGAGAGACGATATTGCAGCTTGGAAGAGAAGGACGGTGCAAAGATGATCAACGCTGTGCTTGTTTTCAACAACAGCGGCCAACCGAGGCTGACGAAGTTCTACACTCAGCTGGTATGACAGTGAGGGTATACAGACGTACTGTTCTCATGCTAACACAACTATACCAGGACACGCAAACCCAGCAATCTCTCATCTCTCAGATATACAGCCTCGTCTCCCAGCGCCCTTCATCAGCATGCAACTTCCTCCCGCTACCCCCGCTGCTCTCGCAAGGCGCAAGCACCAACTCCTCCGGCAGCCATTCTGATGCCCCCACCCAGATCACATACCGCACCTATGCTACACTCTCCTTCATCCTGATATCCACGTCAACTGAGTCTCCACTGGCCCTGATCGACTTGATTCAGGTATTTGTTGAAGCCCTGGATCGCCTCTTTGAGAACGTCTGCGAGCTAGATCTCATCTTCGGGTACGAAACGATGCATGCTGTACTGGGGGAGATGATTGTTGGTGGAGTAGTGATAGAAACGAACCTTGAGCGGATAGTTCAGGGTGCCAGAGCACTAGAAGGACCGCGAGGGAAGAGGAGGGCTGTTGACAGTGCCAGTTCCGCGATCGGACGATCAGGAATTGCTGGCTTGGGAGTCCCTTGGAGATGAACGACTACTCTGCAGCATCTATCATTCAGTGGAATTCCGGCCTTGGCGTTTGGGTCTGGTTAACGATCAAGGATAGAGGACGGGCGTCTCCTGAGGCAAGTCGGGTGACGGATACGTGTTATCCGACTCATGATGCACGGCTTTGACGGAATCCGCCATCTATACGGTTTCACACACGCTACGATTGAGATACATATATCCCCAGCGCCTAGCATGAACGGCTGTCAGATTATTTAACATATGGATAATTGGTGCCAGCAGCAGTGGGTATATTTTTACAGAATACGGCAGTTTGACGTCATTTCGAGCTGGAAATGGAATAATATCGTTAAATAGCAACGTTCCAAGGCCGCCCTCCAGCTGCTCCCGCCCGCACTAGGCCTCGTGTGAGCCTTGAAGCCTCATGATATGACGATGGTTCCTACTGCAGCTGCCATTGGTGGTGATCATATCTTGAGGCCTAGCTTGGCACCCTTATGCTATATCCTTTGTGCTCATCCCGAGGTTACATATTTGGTCGATAGACGTATATCATACAGGATTTCTGGACATAATTACAAGCCGTGCAGCAGCTACGGGGTACTGCGCCTCTACCTATTAATTGCACACATGTGTCTGTACAGGATTTAACCTCTTTGAAGCTCCTCGTATTCACCTATAAATGCAACCATAAATTCTAGGCGGTGCCTTGCACCCCCGCAATCATCCTAAAAATGATCTCCAGAGTGCCTGAGGCTATTAATAGAAATTATTCCGAATAGAACATATTTTGATACTAATTTAATATAGCTGTGTGCCACACAATATAGATTTAAGGCAAAGGCTCAACCTTGTTCCCTTCTTATGTGCCAACCAAGTGAAACGACAAACTTATAGCCAAGGCCCAGCCGCATCTCCACTGGAACGCTACGGCCATGCATGCAGTGCTACATCATATAGAGAATCAGGCCGAGGATACGAGAGCATATGAAGTAGATTTCTCGTATACCGTTCACCCATTTCACGGGGAAAGTTGCGTTCTGCTTGGAAGGGTCCAAAGCTGGGCATTAGGCTGATCGCACGGGGAGCAGCTTTGATGCATAACCTATAAGCTGATAGTTAATTTTGGAAACAGGAATGGGTATCTATGTATATAAAAATGGATCTTGCCATCTATAAGAACTCGCAACTTTCTTCCTCTTACACAGCACTGTTTCGACCTTCACCACTCTCATCTAGTTAAGACAACGCAACGAAAGCCATGAAGCTCACTCACCTCCTTTCATATGCCCTTCTCTCCCTCAGTGGCGTGGAGGCCGCTACTCTGAACGGTGCCTGCAAAGGCAGCGGTGGTGCCCCTGGAACCTGCATCTCTACCTCATCTTGCACCAAAGCTGGCGGAAAATACATCTCCGATGCCTGCCCCAATCTCCCTGCAGACATAAAATGCTGCTCAAAGACTTCTTGTGGTAGCGGTGGTAACTGCCGCTTCACATCCGCCTGCTCTAGCGGAAACACCAAGTCTGGTCTTTGCCCTGGGCCCTCAGACTTCCAGTGCTGCCTACCTGCATCCAGCGGGGGCACATTCCCTCCACCAAAGATACCGGCTGTTGGCAGGTGCAAGCAGACAGCCGTCGACGGCGCAAAGAAAATCGTGGCTGCCAACCCTGGGAAAGTTAGGGAGATTTTCTGCATCCGAGACTGCCCTTGCCCAAGTAACAGTGAGCATTGCTGTGGCCTTGCAACCGACATGATGTGCACATCTGTCGCAGGTGTACGTTATATTTCCCCTGATCCGTTGGCTGCGAGCAAGTCGGCTCGAGGAAATGGTAGTTGACTAACATAATGGCTCTGAAGAAACGCGATCGAGACGCCTTTGGCCGTTCCATGGCTGAATGGGTTATGAACAACCGAAAGACCCTTAACTTGAAGTATGTCATCTGGGGTCAGAAGATCTGGAACCCATCCAGAGACAAGGTCGGCCCGTGGTCCGGATGGCGACAGATGGAGGACCGCGGATCAATCACCCAGAACCACTGGTAAGTGTTGTATCCAGATAGAGAGAGCCGAATCGTTTGCTAACCTGGTGAATAGGGACCACGTTCACGTCAGCTACAACGGTTAGATGTATCAACCATCTGGCAGATGTAGAAGATGTATATAGCCCACAATGTCAAGAATATAACATCTAGTTTATAGCCAACTAGCCTAGAAGCCTATTAATTTCAGTCTTTGTGCCTTCTTCCATGTATACACCATCAACCTGTAAGATGTAAATATATCGAAAATGTTTTCGTCCCGACTTCCCCTTTCGGTTTGATATCACGTGGACTACCCTAATAACGTGACTAGGGCTTGAAATCTTGGCGTCGGGCCCCGGAAAAACGTATCTGCGGGGGAACAAATTAATCGCACACAATCAACTTTGGCTTCAATTTCTTTCTTCGCACTCCGTTCTTCATCGCCAAACTACCAACGCCAACGCCCACGGTAATCTCGACAAAATGGTAAGAATTCAGCATCCTGCGTGATCCCCAGATCTCCTCCTCGACCTCCGTATGCCCCATTGAGAGTACTGCTCGAGATGGGAGTGTCCTGTCGACAGGTCTAATTCCGTCACACCGCACCTGATTCTTCGGAGTCGGTGCAAGAGGCGATGACTTGGCTTGAGGTAATGGGAGTTGCAGAAATGCGATGACCATTACCTCTTTAGAGATCAAAGAAGATGCGATGCTTAGTGAATGCATTTCGCTAATGTCCTCTTTTCTCAATGATAGCCTCCAAAGAGTGGAAAGAAAGTTGCTGCTGCCCCCTTCCCCCAGGGCAAGGCTGGCTCCAAGAAGGGTCCCAAGGTGAGTTTCATTCCCTTCCTTTGATGCTTTATTCGCCAATGCGATTTTGTGTGTATTAACTGTTTCCGTCAGAACCCTCTCATCGAGAAACGTCCTCGCAACTATGGCATCGGTCAGGACATCCAGCCAACCCGCAACCTTGGCCGCATGGTGAAATGGCCCGCCTATGTCCGTCTCCAGCGCCAAAGGAAGGTCCTCAACCTCCGCCTCAAGGTTCCTCCAGCGATCGCCCAGTTCCAGAACACCTTGGATCGTAACACCGCCGCCCAGGCTTTCAAGTTCTTGAACAAGTACCGCCCTGAATCCAAGGTCGAGAAGAAGGAGCGTCTCCACAAGGAGGCCACCGCTATCGAGGCCGGCCAGAAGAAGGAGGACGTCAGCAAGAAGCCATATGCCGTCAAGTACGGTCTCAACCACGTCGTTGGTTTGATCGAAAACAAGAAGGCCTCTTTGGTCCTCATCCCTAACGACGTTGACCCAATTGAGCTCGTCATCTTCCTTCCCGCCCTCTGCCGCAAGATGGGTGTCCCATACGCCATCATCAAGGGCAAGGCTAGACTCGGAACTGTCGTCCACAAGAAGGTGAGCAATGGATCCGTCTACTTTTAATATCCGTTATGTACTAACATTGTATAGACTGCCGCCGTCTTGGCCATCACTGAAGTCCGTGCTGAGGACAAGTCCGAGTTCGCCAAGCTCGTCTCCGCCATCAAGGAGGGATACAGCGAGAAGTACGAGGAGGCTAAGCGTCACTGGGGTGGTGGTATCATGGGCGCCAAGGCCCAAGCTGCCATGGAGAAGAAGCGCAAGGCCGTCGACAACGCCATCAAGATCTAAGTAATGTTAATCCCTTAGCTCTTGTGTCAAGTCACATCAGGTTATGGAGTTTTTGTCTCGGGTTCGGACACGGAAATGGCATTCAAAAGTTTTTTTCTTGCAGCAGCAAGCGAACTCCACCAGAATGGAAAGACACTGGCCAGCCTTTGTGGGGTCTGTGGTCTCTCCTAGTTTTAGAAATGAGACACCCTTTGCGCCCTCCCAAGACTTGATTCTTGATTGACCTCCCTTGTTACCTTTTTTTCCCTCTTGTCTTTATATTTTCTGCATCTTACATATACCCATGTTAATGAAACGAGGTCAACGGTTTTATGAAGGCAAGTGGATACTATTATAAGCTAGTCGTAGTAATCGTAAACCCATTTCTACCGATGCAATCATGATGCTACGTTAAATTCCAACTATGAGCTCTGCATTAACAACTCACATTCTATCAGACGAGTCAAGATAATATGACCTCTATGGATTGGCCACTGGCTACGACATAGCCAACATCAAGACTACGAGTATTTTTCGAGCCATAAAGAACAGGAAAAGGGGGAAATGTAATAAAAAAAAAAAGGAAGAATATTAATAATAACAATTGACCCATTGCCCCTTAGTTTCCCGTATTTTACCCATACCTCATCATGTACGCATTGAGAATTAAAATAGAAAGGGAGTGAGACTGTGCGGAGAATATGTCGAAAAATTAAATTATCAAGCTGAATGGGTATTTCATAAAACGAGCAGGAGAACGGAGCGTATTCGGGAAGGAGCATAAAATAGCCAAGGATAAGGGCTCCAAAGGAACAACTTGAACCTGTCAACAGGCTAGTGTGAAGGGGGCGGCCTTGAAAGGCCTTGTCTTGCCTGTATATCTGTGTGAGCAAGCTAAGTAACGATAAAAGGACAGGGCTGAATTTACCTTCATTTGCTCTATTCTAGCCTTCAACTGACTCGTCACCTCCGCTGCTCGCTTCCAATTTTCTGATGGCTCTGTCGATGCTGAAGAACCATCGCCGCCGACAGGAGTTCGCGAGGTTCTAGCTGGGCTGCCTCTACCAGAGGAATAGGACGAACCAGCTGGAGGGCTAAATTTCCTGCGGCCTGGGAACCCACTGCTTAAAGCAGGAGAAACCATACCGGTGTTCTCTTTCTCCTCGCTAGGGCTTGATGAGATAAAACTCCTTGGCCGCGCGCTTTCGAATCGAGATCCCATATGGAGACTGGATCGAGGTGTACCGTTAACACGGTGTCCATCATCTTGGTATATACCTGAATTGTCGCTGATACCCATATTCAAGCCCATGTCAGGGATGGTGACTGGAGGGCTGGTTGCTCCCGCCCTCATGGCTCTGGATAGTTCTCGTTTCAACCGTTCGATCTCCCGTTGCTGCTTCTGGACACTTTGCTCTGCAGTCTCCGCGTCACCTCTTGCTCGGACGAGTTGGGTTTCCTTGGCCTTTATGCTTAGGACGTCCCGGGTATGATCTTCTATTAGCTGAGCATTTTGATTTTGTAGTTCGTGGACCTCTGACGACAGTTTTAACCGCTCCGCTCGCAGATCGTCTATTAACTTAGACAGCCGTCCATTCTCCGCCCGGACTTCTTCCAATTCAGCTCGTTCGATAGCGGCCAAACCGGTGGGGAACTGAGCAACTGGCTGCTCTTGGACAGGCGCGCTTGGTTTCCCTATAGGACGACTGGCTAGGCCTCTGCCACCACCACCAATTCCAAATTTGGGAGGAGGAGGAACGGCTGCTACCTCTTCTAACGGAGGTGATACAACGCGACGTTGTGGGGATGCTGCACCGCCTGGTCCGCTAAGTTTCGGCCGCATTTTCAACGCTGAGCCTGGCGTAGAAAGGCCTCGACCTCCAATTTTAGGGACAGCTTTCTTTGCCGGTGCTGGTGAAGCGGGGGGTTCAGATGCTGCAGCGGGAGCTGCGGCGGGAGCTGCCTTTTTAGCACCCATGGGCTTTTTGCCCGTTGGCTTCTTCGCTGGCGTGGCCATGGTCTTTGGCGGGCCCATGATGGGTTTTGGCCTGTCCTTCGCTTTGACCTCCGCGGTCTCGAAGAACTCCTTGATTTTGGTCTTTCGAATTTCATCAAGCCCGTCCAAATAAACGTTCATTGCACGTTCGCCCATAATCTTCATGAGGGTTCCCAATACTTCGGCACCACCCGATCGGGTGACTTCACTTGAATCTGTGAGAAGTTTCGTTCCGGCCTCAGCTATCGACTTGACTTCTCCCTTTGAGGGTACATCTCTCGTGGCGCGTAGGCAGCGGACCAAGAACTTGAAAGTTTCCTGCTTCACTTGCGGGTTCTTATGTTTCAAGAACCCAAGGATATCCTCTAGACACTCGCTCAAACTGGTGGATAAAAACACGGCATCCAGTCCCTGGCCTAGCGCGGTCGATACGGCTGTCTTTTTCTCCTTCAGTCGTTCCATCATGGGCGGCATCACAACTGTTCGGTATTTAGCAAATCCCCTCCGAAGACCAGTTGCCATCGCACAGATTGTGTTTGCTGCCACTGTGACCACCAAGACGTTGGCGTCTTTCATGCACCTCCCCAGATCACCACAGAGCTCGTCGAAATTACCCTCTTTGATCCTTGGGACGTTAACGACTTTGTATAGGTCGTCCAAGGCATCCTTTCGATCTTTCCATTTAGATGACGCTAGATTCTGGTGAAGGTCCTTTGGTGCCATTGCTATTATGTCCACCGGTTCGACCAGGTCAAAAACATCGACATCTCCATCGTCCTCCGGTTCCTCTCCCTCTCCCTCGGCCATCCCATCGTCACCAGCGCCGGGATTCGCACTAGCCTCGGCCATTGCCGCCTGCTGTGTGCGAGTAAATCGTTCCTGTTTAGGCGAGGGTTCCTGCTTCACTTTCTCAAACATCTTCTCTAGATCCTGTTGTTGCACTGGTTTCAGGTCGTTCCAGAACGTAGCTTTTAGAGCCTCCTTCAGCCACCTGTAAAGCTCTACCGTCAAGTTCTGTGCTTCCGCTCTCACATTCTTGTCCGCATGGCCAAAGACCTTCGGAAGCGATTTCAGGATCGGTTTTGTTTCGACTATCTTGACTCCATAGTTATGATATATGGCGGTAAGGGCCCCTAGGGCGCCAGCGATTACCTTTGGAGTCTTATGTGAAAGCGCAGCAATAAGTTCTTCGATGACTGGCCCGGGGCTGTCTAATTCAATAAATAGCAATAGCGCTTCAAGTGAGCTAGCTTTGGCGGCAGGACGGGTTTGAGGGAGGCCTTTTTCAATTATTGGCCCAGCGGTGACCGATCGCGTCCTATCGGCGGTAGAGAAGAAACCATGAGCTCGCCGTACGTAAATAGGGAAACTGTGTAATATGGCGAGAAGCACTCACCTATTGCATGCCTGGTAGCCAGAGAATTTTAGAAAGGCGCAGTAGGCCGCCAGACCCTCCTGCTGTGCAGCTACATTTGAATCCGCAACCACGCCCTTCCAGAGTGACGGATCTTGTAAAAACGGTCGAAATACGGGTGCGTCTTCATCTGGAGAAATTTCGAATTGTCTTTTGGCTTCTTCGTAACCTTCTTTTCTTACTTTCCAGACCTAAAAAAGATGTAACCAAGGCTTGTGTTAATCGTTTGATCCGTGCAGCCGGGATGCGGAGTCGAAATTCACCTTGTGCGCAAATCTGTCAGGTAGAGGGAGAGAGGAGAAATCCTCTTGTTCGGCCATGGCTGTGTGTCGTAGAAGTGTCTATATGCTGGAATGTTGATTCAACCTATTTCTGGAGCGTTCACCAGTCAGTACCTGAAGAGATCAAAAAGAGACCCCCAAAAATAGGGCAGCCAGGGGTGCTGTGAATGACGTGGGCTGCTCAGCGACATTGCCAGCAGTGTATATTGCCATACCTGTCTAATAGATGCAAGCAAGGCCTCCTCTACAGGCTCAGTGGTGGGGAGTGTAGGAGTGTCGCGGCTGTAAATGTCTGATATACCCCCAGGTAAACAATAAGGGCAGCGCGGATAAACAAGGATCGGGAGCGAGCTCAGCAGCCTATTCAACCAAGCGAGAGGTAGACAGACGGCAGGACGGTTCAGGTAATGTCAGATGTGTGGTCGTTATCTCATGAGCGCTGGCATGGGCCGCTGGTGGTTGTAAGGGAGAAGATGAAGTCGCAGAGTGCGGAGTGTGAATTTTCCTATTTCGGTCGAGGAATCAACATGCGCATTTTCTCCCCTCCGAGCGCTTTTTCCTATCACCACAGTGATCACCTTGGCACCACCAAACACACACATATACACAACTACAACGTCTACAGCAACAGAGTTAACTCGGCTCTATCCATGGTTCGTACGTGTGAACCCTTGGTTTGGGCGTTGTTTACCTCTGATCAACCGCTAAACGGCAGTCAATAAAGCTTCGTCATCAGCCAGTGTTTGACTTGTATCTACTTCCTTGTCGCGCACTGAGCCGATATTACAAGGAACACCCATACAGATATCTGCTAGCCTCGAAGGCAAAGACTCATCGGAGTGGAAAGGCTCGAGAGAGCATTCAGGAAGACGTCAGGTCAGAGACGTACCCACGGACAAATATACAATATTGAGCCGAATGTTCATAGGAAAGACGGGGAGCAATACTTTTAGCGCCAGCACCCTAAGATGAAACCCTAAGATGAAAACCTAAGATGGAAACCTAAGATGGAAACCTAAGATGGAAACCCAAGACGGACAGAAGAATAAATTGGAGAGACGCATGCGCCGGTATAATAGTAGTATGGAGTATAAAAGGGGAACGGGAGGAGAAGAGCCAATTTGGACATGACATTACGGAATCGAAGCAAGAGGCGAGGCGAGGCGAGGCGAGAGACAGGGAACGCAGAAGGGTTTGGGTAGATAAAGGGGGCATACAAATACGTGGTAAGGGAACCGCCTGCATCGAAAGAACGCAAAGCAAAATAAAAAACGGGCTGGCTCGTGGGCCATATCTATAAAGTCAAAATCGTACCGATGTTCCAATATTATCATATCGCCGAAATCGATGTTCGTGTATTTCGTTCATCCAACGGCCCAGGGACATAACATAGACCAGGTATACCAGAAGACCACATTAGAAGCAAGAAGCGAGAAGCGAAAATCAAAAACTACAAAAAGCTAGCTCCGTCAAACGAAGAAACGGATCACAGATCAATAAGGTTGCTGCTGCCTTGTTGATTCGGACGTCCAAATCCTTGTTGTGAGCCATAGGCAGCATTGTTCTGTTGTTGAGGAGCGCCGGTGAAATTCTGCGTTAGGAACGGGTTGTTGCCCGTCCTGGAGGCTTGGAGTTGGTTGAGCCCAGATCCAGCAGAGTTAACAAAGACACCGGGCGTGGTATGCTGAGCGGGGATACGTAGATCACCCACGTTACCAAACGTATCTTGGCCGTCGCCGGCGGCAAGGAGGGCGTTCAGGCGGGCGTGTTGTGGATTTTGGGGAGCTTGTTGTTGGTTGTTCATGGGTTGCTGTGTGTTCATGGGCTGCTGCTGTTGTTGCTGCTGCTGTTGTTGCGGCGCCTGGTAGTTCATGATAGGATTATTAAATTGGGTTGCAGTTTTCTGTTCTGCAAGGGTGTTGAGTGATGGCGGCCCAGTATTTTGCACCTGTGACTGTTGAGCTTGGGTGCGTGTGAAGGAGGATGCAAATGGGTTGTTGGAACCAGTCGGAGCTGGCTTCAGGGCGTCAGCTGGCTTTTGCTGTTGGTTCATAGCCCAAGGGTTATGGGAGCCAGGTTGAAGGAGGTTGTCCTGCTGTTGCTGCTGCGGTTGTTGCTGTTGGTGTTGGCCGAAAAGATCATTTCCATACGGGTTGCCGGTGAAGGTAGTTTGCTGTGGCTGCATCGTAGGTTGAGGCTGCAGGAAGTTCTGCTGCTGCTGTTGAAATTGCGACTGGTCGAATCCGGTTGGCTGTTGCTGGAAGCCGTTCGGGTATCCGTTTCCAAAGCCTGTCTGCTGGGGCTGGAATCCGGTAGGTTGTGAATATTGGTTGTTCAAAAAGCCCGTGGTCATTGGCTGTTGGGCGTCAACAGGGTTGCCAAACCAGTCGACAGCGCCTTGCTGCTGGTACCCTTGATTGTAGCCAGTGGGTTGCGGCTGGGCAGGTTGAGGAGTCGAATCGTCAAAGAGAGAGGCAGCATTGCTCTCCTCGAGCTCCCGTCTTCGGAGTTCTTCCTCCTCTTTACTAAGTCTGATGGCTTTGGCGAGCTCGTCATCGTCAATCTCCTTTGATGCGTTCTTTTCTCTGCGCTTTCGATCCTCCTCTGCCTCGTGTTTGCTGGCCTCAATCGCGAGCCTATATTCGGCGTCTTCTTCATCGGTGGGACGGTGAGGGCGCTCGCGTCGTCGTGGGCGTTGTGCCATATCGCCGCCCTCGATCCCTCGCATGCCATCGTCCATGCCAGCGAACCGCGATTTCCATAGTTTCCTATCGGATCGCTCGCTTCTCAGGCGCTCTTCGTCAAGAAGCAATGATGTGAGTTCCTTCGCAGCGACTCGGACTATACACCGATTAGTAGGGTTGATGACATGTGTTCTTCCTATAAACGTACCATTCTGGCCAACATCGCGCCCTTCTTCATCGATATACTGGAACTCTCGGAGAGTTTTAATGATGTACAGGTTCTTTGTCGCCCAAGTGACCATCTGTTCCGATCCTTCGTGAAGGCAATAATCCACAACCTTTAGAGATTTCAGGACGTGTCGCCAGTTCTTTCCTTTATCGTTTAATCGCTTGTCTAGCATCTCCACGATTTCGTAGAACTCGTTCGGGCTAGCCGTAGACATAGGAGTTAGCAGCTACTCTACCCGAGGGTTCTAATGGTGTTATGGACATACCTATTAAACGTCAGAGCGGCAATTTCAGCCATCTCTGTGCCCGTTGGGCCCCAAGGATCGTTGCTTGTAGCTGAGTAAATACGTTAGCATCGTAAACGCAGACACCAACAGCAAGGACACCTGTTGAAGGCATTCCACGATAGAACCGTACCATTCCGGACCTTCACCTGCACCATAGAATAGCCCTTGGTGACATTCTTCACGCTCCTCACAACCTTCGACATCCTGGCGTCAACTGTCCGGTATTATTCGGGAGCTGAACAACGTAAAAAGTAGACCGTTATATGGTCGTCCTCGCCTATGTTCACGATATCTTCAGCAGTAATGACGCTGACAGGCTATAGTTGGTTGAGGTACGGGTGGTGCGTTAGGTATCCGACGGCAAGAAGTTTGCGCCTTGAACAGCCAATTTGGTCAAACAAGTTTGCTTCCGAAGCGAGTCAGCCGGCGGTATTCCTCTCCTACACGGGAAAAAAAAAGATCAGCAAGCGTCAGTTTCAGCCATCTCACCGCGGAGGCCCATCGAGAAACGCAGCGAGATAACTTACGCAGTCGGGCCGCGGAGCAAGCTGCCAAGAAAAGATGATGCCCGCTGGTTCTTAGATGCGAATTGCAGAGGCGAACACGACGAGGCGAAAACAGCGAGGATGCAGGATACCTTGCCAGCAGCGACGGGAGGCGAACAGGGCGAGGAGCAAGGTCGAGGCAGGTATGACGCTGGCGATGATGAATTTCCGCGAGAAGAAGCAGAAGAAGAAGAGAAGAAGAGAAGGAGAGAAGTGGCTGAGGCGTGGGCGGGGTGCTGACTAAGTTCCAGCCACAGTGAATATAGAAGATGGATATATAGATATAGATATAGATAGATATAGATGGAGGTAGATAGATATAGATAGATGTAAGTAGATATAGGTAGATGTAAGTAGATATAGGTAGAGATGTACGCTATGTGGCGGCCTCCTTCTCCATGGCCAGATATCGCTCCTCGGCCCCCTTTATACACTGGATATTTGCGCCTAGCTTGTTCAGAGTCTCGACATACTCATCATAAGGATCAGAGTCAAAGACGATCCCGCCGCCGGCCTGTAGATAGGCAACGTTGTCCTTCAACACCATCGTTCTAAGCGCAATGCATGTGTCCATGGCACCGTCGACGATATCCTTCCCGTCCAGGCTGGTGCGGTTATATCCAAAGTATCCGACGGCGCCGGCGTAGACACCACGCTTCTCGCCCTCTAGCTCGGCGATGAGCTGCATGGCTCGCACTTTGGGTGCGCCACTGACCGTCCCAGCAGGGAATATGGACCGGAACGCATCGAATCGAGTCTTGTCTGGTCGCAGGACGCCGGACACCTGAGACACCAGGTGCTGAACGTGCGAGAACTTCTCGACTACCATGAGTCGGTCGACCTGGGTGGTTGCCGGGTCGCATACGCGGTTCACGTCGTTTCTGGCCAGGTCAACCAGCATGACGTGTTCGGCACGGTCCTTTAGACTGCTGCGGAGTTCTGCAGCCAGGCTTTCGTCTTCCTCGGCCGTCTTTCCTCGGGGAACGGTGCCGGCAATCGGATGGGTGATGATTCTCCTTGCTTCCTCCTTGACGAGAAGTTCGGGACTGGCCCCAACGATCTGGAAATCGGCACAGTCAATGTAAAATAGGTATGGAGACGGGTTCACGGATCGTAGATGTCTGAAGAGGTTGAAGGGGTGAAGTGTGGTCGGCCGCGCAAGTCGTTGGGAGGGAACAGTCTGGAAGATGTCGCCCTTGACTATGTGCTCCTTTAGTCTGTGGACGTGGCTCTCGTAACCGGATTGCCCAATATTCGACGTATAGACCTGGTCCGGCTTGATTGGTGGCTGTGATGGAAGAGGTACCTTCGGATCTAGAAGCGTTTGGATCGTCTTCTGGATCAAGTCGTCTGCTTCCTTGTAGGGTCCTTCTATATCTGCTTCACCTTCAGGTACATGCATGTACGTTATGACCTTGATCACCTGGAAGAAGTGGTCGAATGCAATGATGGTATCGAATAGCATGAATAGCGACTCTGGTATGCCCAGTATATCTTTCATGGGGCGTGCAGTCTTCGGTTCGAAGTATCTGACGCAGTCATATCCCACATATCCAATTGCGCCTCCAGTAAGCGGTGGCAGCTTCAGTCCAGGAACAGTGGCAACCCGGTACTGTGAAACTTCCTTCTCGAGGAGCGGCAAGGGATCGCATTCCGGGCCATGGCCGGGACCAGATAGAAGTACCTTCTTGGGATCTGTAGAAACATCAAGGTAAGCCATACGCCTAGTATATATAGACGGGGGGGTGTATATACCAGCTCCGACGAAGCTGTACCTCCCGATTGTCTCCGTCGTCGCCGCACTCTCATAGAGGAACGACCGCTTCGAGCTTTCGATCCCATTAGCCTGCTATCGCCCATGAAGAAACCGAGCACTCACTTGGCAGAGATCTTGAGGTATGCGACTGTCGGAGTCAGAAGGTCTGCCGGTATCGAAGCAGTGACCGGGACCATATTCGGCGGGTTTGGGGATCCCTTCGACTGCAAGAGAACATCTCTCACCACGTCGAGGGACGGTTGAACGGCAGCCTAGACGCCCGGGTTAGCCTCTGTCTTCTTCATATCGCCCGGAATCTCGCCAGATATATTCGAGTGGCTCAGATAGCGTCACACTATGCGTACTATGCGTACTATGACTAGCGGGGGAAGAATCATACCCTTGGAGCCATTGTGGGAGCGCAGAGCCGTACTTGATCTCTAACGATATCGCTTTATCCAACGTGTCTGCCTACGATATGGCGTATCCAAGCAAGATCCTCAGCCGGAGAGGGAGGAGTGAGAAATAACGGCGGGCTGTGGAAAAGTTACTGGAAAGTCGAATAATTGAGGCTTGTCGGATCCGCAACTCAGTTTAACTAGCGGGACCAGCCATGGGAAGGTCGAGCAGGTCGAGCTATAAATACGCGCCCGCGGCCACTCAGCGAGCGAGAAACCTGGCATCGTAAGTTAGCGGCATCGCGAGTTTACGCTTCGTCAAGTTTGCAGTTTTGCAGTTCGTACGGCTCCGTATATTGAGTGTATATACATCGCTGGCTGGGGGCTATTTACACGGCGCATGAGGGAGGTCGAGGGAATGAACAGGTCAAAAAAAAAATTACATATGCAAGACAAGACAATCAAGGCCAACGCTTCACTCTCCTGCTCTCTCTGCTCTCTGCGATGCTGTCGACAGCCGGCAGTCGGCGCATCCACTCGCCGGGATGCACGCCAGGGCTTGTCGGACCACGGTCTGGTTTAGACGTCGCCGGAATACGGGAGAACTTGCAGCTCCTCATCGATCTCAGCTCGCAGCTCCCGTCCAGCACGGTTCTATCGCCTCAGGAATCGGGTGTCTTTCGCGACTCTTGCTCCACCCTGGCGAAGGCGTTGACTGCACATACGCAGGGGCACGATGGCATACTGGCACCGCTGTCTGATTGCGCGGGAGTACTGGAGGCATCGGCGCCGTCAGAGCAGGCTGAAGAATCGGAAACTGCACGGGAGGCTCCAGGAAACGACCATGAGCTCCTGAGTATACTGAACAGCCTGACCAAAGTAAACGAGAGCTTCCGGCAGCGGCGAATCGAACAACGCCAGGTCTATGATCAGTACCAAGCGAAATGTGAGGGATTATCAAAACGTATCTCGGAGCTGGAAGATGAAGTGGACACGCTGTATGTCTAGTCGATATCCTCTAAAAAAAAGGCTTACCCGCCTTGCGCCTTCAAAAAAAAACCTTTGATACACCCAGCGCTAACAACCGATTTAGTCAGCGTGAGACGTTCAACAACACGATAGAGCTGGAATGTATGCGCGGCACTGTTTCCGGGCTAGATTCTTGGTTAGACGATTGGAAACGCCAGCATGATAGCGAGAGCCATCAAAATCTAGCATTAAAAAGGCCAGCTAAATCACGAGGCAAGCGCTCAAAGTACTTTGAGCATCTGGACAGGCTTGAAGAGCAGAGGGATGGCCTGATAGATGGACTGAGCGCGTGGATGCGAGGGTGGAATGATGCGAACGACGGATTTCGGGGCCACCCAGGAAGCTTAGATCAGAATCGATAGGGTGATCCGACGCCCGTCGACTCTTTCGCTTGTACAAATAGGTGTATCATTATTTCCTTGTCTATTGTGGGTGAACAGACAGGCGGAGGGCAAGGCGGAGTTAACCGGCTTTAATGTGTATATTAGGGATCGGGAGACTTCTTTTCAGGTTAGGCTGTTATCGCTGAAGGTTAACGATTGCAATCTACGCGCGGAACGTTAGCATGGAGGATATCAAATACTAGGGGTAGAGATATATGTACCATATTACCGAAACCGAGCGCCAGTTTCTTTCCATGACTGTCCCATGAAAGGGGGCGGTCAAGCATGGATGCATTGCCGTTGGCGGTACCATTGGCATCATCCTGACTTGATTCATCATTTGTTTTCTCATTCGGTATAAGCCAGGTCGCCATCGGTGTACCCCCCCTCTCTGCATTCCAGATAAATAACTTATCGTAGCTGACTGCTGCAATAGCGTAGCCATCGGGGGAGAACGTGGACGAAAGCGCCGCCAACGACGGGCCGAGGAAAAGACGATGAACGCAGTTTAACGTCTTTGAAACCGAATCGATGCCCCATATCTTGATTGTCTCATCCATGGATGAGGTGGCTAAAATGAGAGCAGGGTCTTTCCCTGTCCCGTTCATTAGAGGCTGGGGGTGGGATTGAGGTTTTGGGTGTGGTCGGAACTCGAGAGATGTGATTATTCCGTGGTGTGCAGATTCGAGCTTGATATCGTGACTGGGTATCCAGATGTTAGACGTCGAGGTAGAAGTTGATACAGTGGCAACCACACTCGATTCCTTCCACCGTGCTGATTTGATGAGCGTCCACGGCTCCTGGGAATATTCCTCCCAGCGGAACGTTTCGGAAAGCTCGATCTCGTTCGTGACGTGGAACCGATAAATAGCCCCGTCGCCGCAGGCGTATACTTCGTTATCTGCAGACCACACAACTTCATAGATCGCTCCGTCGATAAGATGGCTATTGACGTATTCGGTAGCAGATATCTCCTTGTCCCACATGAGCAATTTCGACTGGCTGCCATCAGAGACAGTAAACATAATCCGGTCCCCATTCCCAGACCATCGTAGCCCCGATACCAATCCAGGCATATTAGGCAGAGACTTTGTCATCTTCCCTTGCGGGCTATAAAGGCTGACAGCGCCCTCAAAATCGGCGTATGTGGCGACGGCTAGAACGTTGCCCGCTGGCTCCCACTCCATAGCGGTAACATTTGCGGCATTGGTTAATATCTCATGACCCGGTGAACTAGACGAGCGCTGCCCTGTTAGCTTCCAAAGCCCGCAATATGACTCTGCGCTGGCTCCGACCAAAAGTGAATCGCCCGGCCGCCATGCAGTTTTAGTCACATGATTATCTGCGCCAACATCCAGCAAAACGGTGTCTGTAGTCAAATCGATGGCCTTTGGAGGCGCGATTTGAACACCAACGCTCTGTCCGTTCGTTAATGTATATACGGGAGTCGGTGGTGCAGACATCCCTACATCTCCGTCGGCATCAACCACTAGTTCGACAGCGGGTGATGATGGCCGAGATGGAGATTTCGGAGACTTTGATCGAGTTCCATCCTGCTGTTTATCAACCTCCATAGGTGTGCCAGAGTTTATTGACGCATCGCCTTCTTCGTGGTCGCCGCCGTCGCTAGTTTTACGGGTAGTTTGATCATCTTGAGCGTGTCCATTTGTTGAGGCTTCGGGGGCAGATTTGCGAGATCCAACGGTCTTTGGAGACGAAGGTATGGATGGTCCCTCGCCAACTGATCCGTTGGTTGTTTCCTGTTCACCGGCTGCCTGCGGCGAACTGGGTTTGGCCATAAGAGGCCCAAAAAAGGGTGTCCGTGACTCGGGTATTATATTTCCATTCTTGGTATATCTGTGAGTAATCGAGGTTCACTAAACGTCTCTACAGTCGGGATGAACATACCTGGTCTATTGATCGTTCGAGATCATGGTACTGAAGGCCCTTCTGCACTAACGATATAAGCGCGTGAGACTGTATGTACGGTGCAAATGGTAGATTTTGTGGATCGGGATTCCATGCCCGTTGGAGCATGACAGCCGCTTCTCCATGGCCTAAGACGAGGTTTAGCTTAGTCGCGAACGTCCACTACACGTTGATTCATGTTCAAAACAAACCTGATTCCTGCAAATATCTATGCGATTCAAGCTGTGTCAGCATTCGCGAGTTCCTCTTTTTTTTTTTTTTTTTTTTCTTGCTCGCGTGGAGGCGTACATAGCGTCACGAAAGGGATGGAAGCGAAACAGGGACTGGTAACTGACCTCCATATTAAATAATTTACGTGATGAGAGGTGAGCGCGCCGCCCGCCATGGCGATGATTTGTATACCACGGTTTAGGTCAGTCGCAGATGTTCCAGGGAAAAATGAACGTTGACCATATCATAAAACACAATAAAAACTCTTGGGCGCAAAAAAAGGTTGTCTGGAAAAGGCGAACGGGGATGCAGGCAGGGAATGCGAAAAACTGCCGCCGCTAAAAACGAGCGAGGCGCTCCGAATGGTTAGGTCGAGCCTCCCCGAGCCCTACGAGAAACCGGGGAAAGCTGTCGGTCGGTCAGTTGGTAGGGCAGGCAAGGCAGGCTGGTCTGCTGGCTGTCTGGCTGTCTGGCTGTGGTGCGCGGTCAAAGAGCGCCAGACAGAAGAAACGTTGTGGAGGCAGGGTTTCGCTGGTCCTAAGGACGGATATGTTCGACGCAGGAAGTAAAACAGGGACGAGTTGCGATGCCAACGCGGAGAGGCAAGGATTCAACCATTCACGATGTGCTGATTTGTGGAGGGTTGATCACGAAGCTGCTGCTGGGCCACAAGGTTGCGCAGCGATTGTCCGGTGGAGCTTCCGGGCCCTACAATTGGATCTGGCCGTCTCGCGCAAACTCGGGATGTCGTCGGGCGGTAAGGCTCTGCGGTTTATGATAGTTCTCAGGGCGGGCGAGGGAGTTGTCTGGGAGTCGGAGAATATGGCCATGCACCGCGGTGGAAGTTCAAGATGGAGAATGGAGCGGCAGTTCGCAGTCCAGCGCGGCTTGGCGCAGCCGTGGCGCGGTTTAGCCCCTGCTTAGATAAGCGCCAGGGACGGGAGACGGCGAGGGCGTCGATGGAGGTAGACGAACGTATGGAGGGTAGACGGGCGTCGCGAAGCAGCGTAGACGGCTGGATAGAGAGGAAAGTCGGAGGTTGCAAAGAGGAAGAAAAAGAGATGAGGTTGATTTGTCCCGATCGGGAATCTCCACTGGCGTCCTTGACATATCACGTGACTGTATAAATTTTTATGCCTCCAGCCTTGAACACGAAACAAAGTAGACCAGACGACGAGACGGCGAGACGACGAGATAGACGACGAGGGAGAGACAGATGCCATAGACTACCGGATACTTCTCTCTACACGATACACGGCCTCTCGGCTTGGAGAGACGGCGGAGGTCCGTCTCCAGCTAAACGACCATGCTGCGCATCAACATCCCCCCCGTCACCCGCGCGATCCTCACCAGCATAGCGGTCCTCTTCATCCTGCACACGGCGACGAAATACAAGCACTATGCCACCGAGGGGTCATCGTCTGCCCTTGCAGTGCCGTACCTCGTCGTCGTCCCCTCAAAAGTGCTCTTCTATCCGTGGACGCTGGTATGCGCAACGTTTGTGGAACAGAACATCGTCACTCTGTTGATCAACGGAGCCACGATGTTCTATGGAGGAAAGTATTTAGAACGGGCCTGGGGCTCGAGGGAGTTTGGGAAATTCATACTCGTGCTTGCTCTGGCCTCGAACCTGGCCATGACGCTGCTCTATCTGGGCACGGCTGCGGTTCGCGGCCAGTCTGAGATTGCGTATGTGGTCACCTCTACCCGCTCTTCTGGAATCAATCTGCTAACCATCTTGCCGAGTTTTAGCATGAAGGGCGTTGGTGGTGGAATTGCGGTCCAGTCGGCCTTCCTCGTTGCGTTTAAACAGCTCGTCCCCGAGCATACGGTTACCATTCTCCGAGGCCTCGTGAAGGTGCGAGTAAAGCATTTCCCGGCTATATTCCTCCTTCTCAACTTTATCGGTGCTCTCTTCCTCGGAACAGACGTTGCATTCCACCTCAGCTGGCTCGGCCTGTTGATCAGCTGGACATTCCTCCGATTCTTCAAATACCAGCCGGATCTCTCTGGAACCTCTACGGGCGGCCCAGGCATCAAAGGAGATGCCAGTGACACATTCGCGTTTGCCTGCTTCTTCCCGGACGCCGTGCAGCCACCAATCACGTTTGTTTCAGATCACATCTTCGCTCTCCTTGTGGCAATCCGTATTTGTACCCCATTCTCTGCGGAGGATGTTGCGTCTGGGAATGAACAGGCGTTAGCGCGTGGAGAGGCTGGCCTTCCAAGCTTGTTAAATAATAACGTCCGTGGGCCGCTTAGGTCTGGAAAGAGAGAGGAAGCTGAACGACGGAGGGCCCTGGCACTCAAAGCCCTGGACCAGAGACTACAGGCTGCAAGCTCGAACAAAGGGCCACAACCACCGGTAGCCCCCTCCGCACAATCATCTCAAACTCCAGCAACAGCCCCCACGGCACCGGCAGTTTCTGCTGGAGAAACCATGCTGGGCGAAACAAGCTACACTCCTGACCGCTCTTAATGATATTCCAATGTGCCCACCCGATGTCATGAACATTTTTATGAACCAGTCAGCATTAAGAATACCTACCTTGTCCTTTGGCGCCGTTGCACTTATAAACTGGTTTTTTTTGTCCTTGTCCCACTACCCTCTATACTGCAAGCCTGCAAGCCTTTTCTTTCTTCCTACGTATATCCATTTGGCGGATATATGTTTGTACATTTTCATGCTTATTATATTTTATTACACTACTTCTTTTTTTACAAGGTTGGGCCGATGCTGGGGATTTCCTGATATTTTTCTTCCTCTACACTACAAGATATCTAATTTACTCAGCTTCCTCGTTAATACCCCTATCCCGATGACAAGAATTTTGTATTTATTTGGCAAAGGGTATTTCTGTCAAGGCCATCTGATGTGCCTAACTCTAATATACAACCCAAGAAGGGTAACCAACTAACTCCTTGCCACATCGAGCACCTCCACGATAATTCTCAGCAGCTAGCATAGATGTGAGTGTATAAAGGAAATCAATAACGGAAAGGAAACAACCAGCATAAATTACAGGATAGGGGAAGAAACATAAGCGTAAAAGCGATTCCGTGGAAATTAGTCCTCCTGCTTTTGCCTAGCCACTGCAGCCTTTGCAGCCTCCAACATAGCTTCTTGGTCCTTCTTCGCCTTTCGAACCATAGCTACTCGCTGTCGATCAATCTCGCTCTGGGCATTCAATTGCGCCTGCAGCTCCATCTCCTTCTTATCTTCTTCCGCTACTTCCACATTTTCGGCTTTTGTTGCTGATTTAAATGCTGCCCATATCTGCTCCACGTCCTTGCCTTTCACATCGATCGTTTTAACAGTCTCTGATTCTGTAGGGGGTGGAGCGAAGCTGTCGAGTGCCCCTGTTCCCGCCACAGCCGCACCATCTGCATTCTTGGCAGAGTATATGGATAATATCGCAGGCCCGGCCTCGTCGTCTAATTGCTTAACCGTCACGCCCACGCCAGGATTGTAAAATTTTAATCGGGGGAGGCATAGGCGCCAGAATCTGCGGGCTCCATGGTGGCCCTCGTGCATATTTTTGTAATATGTGAGATGGAGACGAGTAACTTGGGGTATAGTCGAGGCTGAAGCGGCGGATTGGGAGGGTAGGACCGCGGCTCCGAGGCCGACTCTGATATGTAGTAGCTGTTCATTTCAATAACCATTTTTTTTAGCTTTCGTCCAATTGACTTCTAGTAGGCCATCTTCGCAGCCATGGGGACATCGTCTAAAATAAATTCACATACCCTCTAAATGACAGAATCAACAGTTAGCAATCAGTTTGGAGTTCATTCAAGTGTCAAGGTCATGGACGTACAGCTTTCAAAGCCCTCATCCTCCGCAAGATTGAAACCATTGTGACGGAATAAAAGGGGAAGTCTCCCACGGGGGCGATTGGCGTAGGATGCAGATGCGGAATAGTAACACGGAAAGGCAGCGCAGAGAGTGTCGATATGCTATTCCTCCTTGCTTGCTTCGTCTTCGTTCTTACTCGAGCTTCTCGTCGAATTTTGGATGAGCCGGAAAAAGTAAACTCCGATTCCGATATAGAAAGACCACACGTGACCATAAGATCTGAGTCAGCTTTCGACGATAAGAAAACCCCCACATAATCTTCACTGTTGGAGTGAATTTCACCGGTATAGAACTGCGGTTTGCGAAGCTCAATTAGAAGGTTTTTATTTTATCTTCGTCAGTATGGCCGCCTCCGCCTCCGCGGCCGCTGCTGTCGCGCTTGACAGCTCGAAAAACACGTTGAAACTCGAGAATGTGAGTGTTAGCTATCCTTGCAGGTACCCCCGCTTCATACTGACCGATTTCGCAGACGGAGAAAAGAGATACCCTCATTGCCCTAGAAAAGAAATATCAGGCACTATGGAAGGAGAAGAAGATCTTCGAGGTCGACGCGCCGTCCCTTTCGGAGATTCCTGCTCAGAGTATGTCGTCGGCCGAGCTCCACGAGAAGCACCCGAAGTTCTTTGGAACCATGGCATTCCCATATATGAACGGAACTCCCCATGCCGGACACAGTTTCACTGCTAGTAAAGTAGAATTTATGACTGGAGTTGCGAGAATGGAAGGGAAAAGAGCTTTGTTCCCTCTTGGATTCCATTGCACAGGTATGCCTATCAGGGCGTGTGCTGATAAACTGGTGGACGATATAAAGAAATTCGGCAAAAATTTTGAGAATTACAAGGAGGAAGAGGAGGTTGATTCTACCCCTGCCCCAACCCAGGAAGTAGTCAAGGAAGACCTGTCGAAATTCTCAGGCAAAAAGAGCAAAGCAGCCAGCAAAGCTGTTAAATTAAAATACCAATTCCAGATCATGATGGCTCTCGGTATACCGCTTGAAGAGGTTCATAAGTTTGCAGATCCCGAACATTGGCTTCAGCACTTCCCTCCCCTCTGGATAAGGGACCTTGATAGTATGGGAGCAAGAGTGGACTGGCGAAGGCAGATGGTAACGACCGATGTCAACCCCTATTTCGATTCGTTCGTCCGCTGGCAGATGATTCGTTTACATGAAATGGGCAAAATTTTGTATGGAAGCCGATATACAATTTACTCTCCCAAGGATGGGCAACCTTGCATGGACCACGACAGACTCGATGGAGAGGGTGTTGGTCCTCAGGAATACACCGCAATGAAATTAAAAGTTAAGGAGTGGTCTCCAAAGGCGAAGGAGATCCTTCAGGGTAAAATCGAGGAGGACGCAAACGTTTATTTTGTCCCTGCCACCCTCCGACCGGAGACCATGTATGGCCAAACCTGTTGTTTCGTCGGCCCTGCCATTTCATATGGCCTCTTCAAAGTAAAGGAGAAGGAGTATTATGTAGTGACGAAACGGGCAGCGTGGAACATGGCATTCCAAGGGGTCTTCTTTGACGTTAAAAACCTTCCCAAATCTCAGGATGAGCTGCCTCCGGTCGTTGAAGCCCCTGGCTCTACATTTGTTGGAACTCTCGTCGACGCTCCTCTTTCTTTCCACAAAGATGGCGTCAGGATCCTACCAATGGAGACCGTGTCCGCCAGCAAGGGAACTGGTGTCGTTAGCTGCGTCCCTTCAGACAGCCCTGACGATTTTGCAACTATTTCCGATCTTGCAAAGAAAGCCGACTACTACGGCATCCAAAAAGAGTGGGCTGAACTCGAAATTCACCCACTTATCGAAACCCCGACGTATGGAAATCTTACAGCCCCTGCTTTGGTGAAACAACTCAAAATCAACTCACCAAAGGACACTGTCCAACTTGCTCAAGCAAAGGATTTGGCCTATACCGAAGGCTTTTACAAGGGTAAAATGCTTGTTGGTGAATTTAAGGGAGAGTCTGTTCAAACTGCGAAAGAGAAAGTTCGCAACTCTCTAATTAAGAGCGGGGATGCCTTCCCTTTCGCTGACCCCATGGGCAAAGTCACCAGTAGAAGTGGCGATGACTGCGTCGTTGCATACCTCGGTCAATGGTTCCTAAACTACGGCGAGAATGATCCAGAATGGCAAAATGCCACTCTCAAATATGTTACCGAGGGACTGAACACTTACTCGGAAGAGACACGACATGGCTTTGAAAAGAATCTTGGCTGGCTCAACCGCTGGGCCTGCGCGAGAACCTACGGCCTTGGTTCTAAACTTCCATGGGACCCCCAATTCCTTGTTGAAAGTTTAAGTGACAGTACTATTTACCAGTGCTATTACACCATCTCTCACCTCCTCCACGCAGATAGATATGGAAAGGAGCCTGGTAAACTAGGTATCAAGCCTGAACAGATCACTAATGATATTTGGGATTACGTCTTCGGCAGACGGGACCTTGACGATGGTCTGGTCCAGCAAAGTGGAATCAGCAAGGAAGCTCTTCTGACTATGAGACGAGAATTTGAGTACTGGTACCCGCTCGACGTTCGGATCTCTGGCAAGGATCTTATTCAGAACCATCTTACGTTCTTCCTCTACGTCCATATCGCACTTTTCCCGCAAGAGTACTGGCCTCGCGGTGTGAGAGCCAACGGACATCTACTCCTTAACGGAGAAAAGATGAGTAAGAGTACCGGGAACTTCCTGACACTCAGAGATGCTGTCGATAAGTACGGGGCAGATGCTACTCGTATTGCCTTCGCAGATGCCGGTGATGCAATTGAAGATGCAAACTTCGATGAGACTGTGGCAAACAGCAATATCCTCCGTATGTTCACCCTCAAGGAATGGATTGAGGAAACAGTTGCGGACAAGTCTCTCCGCACCGGTCCAGCAGACACTTTCCTAGATAAGGTATTTGATAATGAAATGAACGCATTGGCTCGTGAGGCAAGGAAACACTACGCAGAGTAAGTTTGGAAATGCCCTTCGTTCCTCGACTGAACAATATCTAATGAAAACTATTCAGCACCAACTTCAAGCTAGCTCTGAAATCTGCCCTCTACGATTTCACCGGTGCAAAAGATTTCTACCGTGAAGTGGCCACGGCCTCTGGCATGGGTATGCACCGCGACCTGCTACTCAGATATGTTGAGCTACAAGCGCTCCTTATGTGCCCAATTGCGCCTCATTGGGCCGAGCACATGTGGCTTGATGTCCTTAAGAAGGTAGGTATCCCTATACAACTTTTCTCTTAATGAATAGGTATGCTAACAAGTGACAATAGCCGGACTCCATCCAAAATGCTCGCTTCGCCGATGTCCCTGAGCCATCCCCTGGTTTATCCTCAGCTCTACTTTATATCCGCTCAACAACTTCAAATATCACTTCCTCAGAGGCAACATTCGCTAAGAAGATCGCGAAGGGAAAGACCGTTAGATTCGACCCTCGAAACCCCAAGAAGATTACCATCTTCGTCTCCAAAAAGTTCCCTGCATGGCAAGATAAATATATCGATCTAGTGCGTGAAGCTTTTGACGCCATCAAGCTGACCATAGACGATAAGGGACTCAACGCCAAGGTTGGGAAGTTGGGTGAAATGAAAAAGGCCATGCCGTATGTTCAGGGGTTGAAGAAACGCCTCATCCAAGGTGGCGAGAAGCCCGAGGAAGTGTTCAGCCGTGAAATGCCATTTGACGAAGTACAAGTTCTCAATGACATTGTTGGAAATTTGAAGAAAGTTACGGGAGCCAAGGAGGTCGAGATCATCGCTGTTGAAGAAGGCGGAAGTGCAGGAACCAATACCGATGGCCAGAGAAAGGAAGGGTTGCCCCATGTCGCGCAAGGTGCAGTCCCAGGCCAGCCCAGCTTTAACTTTGAGAATATCGAAGTTGCTGCATGATTGCATATGGATACCAGCCGACTTAAGGTTATTCTTTTGTGAGATTTCTCTTTTTCTGTGCCATGTGGTAGTTGAACAGTGAGGATCAAGGGTGTTCGCTAGAGAGAATTAGTGATCATTTTAAAGAATTTAAATCGAGGCACAAAAGAAGGTTCAAGATTAGAACAAGGTATCGCTATGTTCCAAGCTGGCTAGATGCCTTGATAGAGTACGGAGGCACTATGTATTTATGGAAAGGATGTAGAGGGGAGATGATTGAAAGAAAAGAATGAAATCGTGATAATAGTTTAAGAGGGACATTGAAATATACATCCAAGTAAGAAACAATATAGCAGAAAGCCTTCCGTGGAGAATGAGATACAGATCTTTCCCAAAGTTCCCTGTTAAAAGGGACCAGTAAAAAGGACCAACAAACGGGAATATCCCATACCTTTTGAAAAGACGATAATAACGCCGTCGAAACTGATAAGAAGAAGAAAAGAAAAAAAGGGCCACAAGAGCATTAAACAGATACCTAGAAACATAAGTCTAATCTGGAGAAGAAAAACCGTCCCATGGTAAACTTTTTTAGAATCCCACCCTTTCCGTCCTTCTGTAGGTCATGTCAACGAAGACATTGTAAAAAAAGACAAAAAATAAACGAGATTAAGGATAAAAAGGTAAATGGGGGCTGGTATGTTCAATCACTAATTTCTAGTGAGGTGCGGTTAATATCTCTATCAAGTCGATTCTTCACTCGTTATCCGTTTAAAGTATGCTTTGGCCATTTCGTAAGAAGTCCTACGTCAACAAGGTTAGCCATGTTCTTCTCCAGCGATATATACACAGGATAATATGGTAAAGGTACGGGCAAACATAAACATACCAGCAAATAGCCGTACTCGGCATTGTCGCGATTATTCTTGGGCGCATTCCACGGAGGAACCCGGCCCAACCATACTGATTCTTAATGAGTTTTGCAGCATTAAACAGACCCTTTGCGGTTCTAGCTTCGGGGTCCTGGGCTGTACCCCTTGTCTGCAGGACAGTCTTGATGACATCCAGCGGCGTGGTGACGGCTGCGGCAACCGCACCCGCCAAACCACCAGCGATACAATGCGTGAAGGGGTCGTATCGTTTCGTTGGGTTCATGATTTTAGACGTCGATTCGTAGGCCATAAATTGGGCAGCGGTGAATGGAATTGTCATACACAGGGTTGTCGGGTAGGAGACATAGAAGGCACGGAGGCCTTCGGTTCTATAGACCGTTTTGGCGCATTGTACGAGGGTTCTGTGGGTTGATCCGTGGACTTGCATGCGTTGCTTGATAACTGTATGGAAGGGTTAGTTATATGTGCATTTTCTCAAATCTTTGGATTGATTCATACCATCGAAAGGGTTCATGAGCGCATCACTTGTAATTGTGGCAGCAGCACCACTCAGAGCTAGAAGCAATTATTTAGCAAGTATTCCAAGCCACTGTGCAGAGATAACTAACCTGCGGCGAGTGGATGGTGGCCAGAGCCGACATTTCCACCAGCAAGATCCTTCACGACCTCATATGTACCAAAGTATACGGCGTGGGCGGGTCCTGTTCCAGCACACAAAATTCAATCATCAGCTTCTGCTCGCAATTGTTGACCATGCAGTAATTCGCACGATCGAAGAGGGTAATATAGGACTATCATACCAGCTCCCACAATGACACTAGAAACACCCTTCCACAGCGTCCTCCAGCCTTCGATGCGTGAGATGGTTGATACGGCGTGGGTGAGGCCGGTGTAAAGGCCACCGGCACCAGGGTTCAGGACTTGCATTCGGGTCTAAGTGTTTGCAAACGAGGTTCAATCAATATTCAAAATGGACAAGTGTATATTCCTTCACAGAGTAGAGAGCTTACCTTCAACAAGTCTACCGGATACATGACCGAGTGTTCCTGCACAGTCGCAAACGTCAACACCTGTATATTCCCTCCGTCTCAAATGCACTGGGCTATAGAATACGTACTGCAATGCCGGCAAAGGCGCCTGCCAGCATGTTGTGGCTGAGAGTGTAGTTATCCGGGAGTGCCTCATACCTACAGCAGCACAGCGATAGTTAGCGAATTAACCCTACACGACTTCAACAATAAGGCAAGGATCCGAGAATATGGAAACAGGACGTACTCAAACTCTTCGCTGGCCACAGGATGGTGCTCTGTAGAAGCCATAAGAGGCCTGGGTGCGCAGCCGGAGCCGCCTGCTTCAACCGTGGCCTTCACGGTGACTGAATCTCGCAATCTCGCTAACCCGCAAGACGCAGACGAGACTCTTCAGCTGGACTATCCCTGGATCCGGGGGTGAAGAGACGGTGAGGTTGGGAGTCCGGGGCTGGGAGATGCGAAAGTGGTGATGGAGTTTTTTTGGCCGGAGCTGAAGAACAGGGAAGCGCAGGACGGAGCCAGCACCAAGCAGAGCGATGTCTCTACAGACAATGAAGAATGAAGGTATCAGACGCGAGCAGATCTTTGGACGGAAGATGAGGCCGGGGAAGCCGTTTGGAAGAGAATATCTACCAACTCTATCGTCCTGGCGCCCAAATTTTTCGGATTTCTTTTTCTGATCGGCCAGGGTGGACTTACAAATATTAGTCTACCAACGAACAACGACGGCGAATACAATATGGCAGTAGCTGTAAGTATCTACTTCTCTAGTCTCTATTCTCTACGACTAGACAACTTCTATTCTCTATGACTTCGACTTCTCTACGACTAGATGACTTCCTCTTCTCTAAGACTCCTCTACAGGCTCGGCCGAGGCGAGCGCCAACTACGACCTCGTACTGCGGATCAACTCGTTATCAGGTCGAATAGCGGCTTGCGCCCTTGACTGCAAGCCATGTCTCGAGCTCCCACAGCGCGGCATCCTGGTCTCGCGGCTGCGCCGGAAGACACGTAGAGTGTTATCAGATCCGGACGGCTGCTATCAAATCGACTGACACCATACTCCGTCATAGTCTCGGTCTACGGAGTACATCTCAGTCTATATTTACAGTCTCAGTCTACATTTACAGTCTACATCTATAATTATAACTACAGTCTCAGCTCAGTTCAGTCTCTCAGTATAGTCAACTGTCTGCGCGGTGGAGTCTGCATCTGATAAGAAAGCTCCGTGTTTTTGGCTCTGCAAGGATGGCCGAGCTCGCTCCCTTGCTCCTGGCCGTTGGCCTCGTTTCATGGTGGCAGGCATGGCTTGATCCTTGCATATACAGTCTCTTTGGACTCTGCCTGCAAACGCTTCTCTCGTCTTTCTCTTCTCTTTCTTTTCTTTTCTCTTTTCTTTTCTCGATCTGATAACTACGAGTTGGCACGTGACTAGGGACCTCGGCAAGGCGAAAGATACAAAGATACAAAAGGAGATGGATGAGATGAAAGATGAGATGAAAGAAGATGAGATGATGAGATGAAAGATGAGATGAAAGATACAAGATGAGATGAGATGAAAGAAGATGAGATAATGAGATGAAGAGAATAGAATTGACATTGACGGATAAACGCTCTCTAAATACAAGATGATGAACAAGATAGAAACCACTTCAGGCGCATGTATCCCTTCCTCTGTTTTTGCTCGTATAAACAATCATCATATGGGCCGTAAAGGAAATAAAAGGATCGTGGAGATGCAGCATGGTAACGCAGGGCAAAGTAGCATAGTAGATCGATGTAGGGCAAACGTATCGTGAGTCTAACGGGACTCGAAAGGATGGTCATGATTCGCTTTGGAAAAGGAAGGAGGGGAGATGAGAACCGCTATGAAGGATTGACGATTTGACTCCGTGTGAAATGGACAGATGCATGCGCTTTTTGGGGCAGGGAGAGGCATGCCGGGTATAATCAGGGGTGGAAGGTAACATCACGCCAACGAGTCTGAAATTTGGGTTCATTTCAAGTCTACAATAAATGACCATTCGCCTATATCGTTTGCCCAAAGATTAGCATCACTCATGATCGAAGTAGCGTAGGAGGAGAACATACCAGCCTTCAGATTCTCAGCCGTGTCGGACAGCAGTATAACTCGTCGCTTGTTACAGTACGCCGTCTTGTCCAGGATATCTACTTTTAATCCCGCCAGCTCCGAGATTGGCTTCTCAAACATCTCACTCAGGTTCTCAACGGCCATCTCGAGATCTCGCTGGTTATCCTCAAAGATGGCAGTCAGGTTATTCCGGGTAAGGTAGAAGGCGAACGCATAGGTCCACTTCAGCGTCTGTCGGCATTCCTGCAGCGTCCGTGACGCCGTGTCGAGGAACTGTACTTCGATCCAGGACAGGCCAGACTGGGACTGGAGGTTCACCATCATCTTCTCAGTCTTAAGGAACAAGTCTCGGTCGAGCTTGGCCGATTGCTCGTGGTTGGCGAAGCGGTTGTAGTAATGGAGATAGCGCTCGAGGGACTGGCGCGAACGAGTTTGCGAATCCCGCGCGTCGGTGCCGCCTTTCTCTTCGAATCGATTGCAGTTGTACCAGCTTGTGCCATGTTCGGACCAAGGACCAAGACACATCCAGCAGAATTCGTGCTTGCACTTTCGACATGTCATGTGGTTGCAGCCTCCGTTTTTCTCGATGGTAGAATGGCACTTTGGACATTCTTTGGTGTTGGCCGAGATCCAGTTTGCGGTTTCTGAATCGTCCTTGCACTTCTTTACCCATTTCTTCACGAGGGCACATGGACATGGCTGGTGGTCTCCCACATCGCATCCGAAGCAGAAGCCGAAGCTGCAGGTGCAGTATACTGTTGGGACAACACGGTTCAGGTCTCTCTCTTTGACGCCACACCTAATCGCGTATTCACAATTAGGGGCTGGACACCATTTCAAGTTTGGCATGTCGTCGACATAGGTCCGTATCAGTAGGACACGGTAACTAGAGGGACAAGAAGAGTCATTAATAACGTCGAAAAAAGAAGTGACATGCTTGGTTAATCCTACCGATCCCTCAGCGACTCCGAGACAAGTAAATCGAGAGACTTCGAATCAACGATCCGGTGGCACTGATCCTGTGGACATTCTATCCTCGCAGCCTCCCCTTCCTCTCTGATCTTCTGTCCTAGATAGTGGCTGTAGCAATCCACGCAGAATCTATGTCCACAACGCATCGCATAAGTCTGTAGGTCCGAACCATCCTCGCAGCAGATCTCACACATGAAGCCAGGCATGACTTCTGTCTTTGGATTCAATGAGAAGGTCGACCCAAGGCCTGCCTCCTCGAGTGTCTTCTCGGGGTGATCCATGTATGATTCTATCAATTTCTCCCTGTTCCAGCGGCTGAACCGTAGTAGGATGGCGGCGTTCTCTGCCGGCAGGCCAAGTATAGAGGAGACCTCGTTAATCTGCACATTTTGTTCACGCGTGATGTCTCCTGGGCTGAGAGCCGTGGAATCTGTCTCGTATGGTTGCCGTACGGGCTTGATATCCTTCTCGTAGGTGAAGGAGCCTCCAAGGTCGTCTTCAAATTCTGCAGAGCGGATACCAGTTAGAGCCATGTACGTGCAACATGTCGTGTAAACCGGCCAGACTGAAGAAAGTGAAGAGAAAGAACACTCTACTCACCGTCTCCTAAGCTCTCGTCATCGCTGCCCTGTGTATCTAGAAACGCCTCCGGGCTCGACGCATCGGTCATAAACTCCTCGTCCGAATCCATGCTTGAAACTGCTTTCCGTCACTTCAGATCTTATCAGAGCTCTTCTTCAAAAGGTACCTGGCACAGGTAAGGGCGTAGCACCCGCGTTCCTGACAGCGGCGGCCGTAGACACTGTTTCTTAAGAGCCTTCTTGACGGTACAGCCAGCTCTGGAGGATCAGGTCCAGGATAGCCAGGCAGTTATCACGTCTCTCCTGCAGTATCTCAGCTATCACTCCTCCGTCTGATGTGTTTTTTTCGGGGGGAGGTTGCTGTGAATAGAGCTCGGCTGGCGGCGTACACGGTCAAGTAGATATTAAAGTATCTAGCAGCGAGTGGTGGGGGCGAATGACGCCGAGCTGTTGAGATAGGCTGAACGAGCCCGACAGGCGAGACAAGCTATCTGCTGGATTCCAGGCAGCAGCTGGAGAAGAAAAGGGAGACAGACGATCCAGGGTGAAGAGGCAGAGGCAGGCTGAAGGGGAGAGTGACTGGCGGAGATCTCGTGGATGCGGACGTGGATGTGGATGTGAGGCCGGGGGGGATGCCAGGCTACAGGTGACTGACTCCCTTGTCTACGCCAGGCCACCAACAGAAGCACTCTCGGTATCAGCCAGGGTACGGAGCAGACGAGAGCCTGTTGGCTTGTTCTATCTCGAAGTTGTGGCTGCGCCTCAGGGGGACATCCTTGGTGAGCCCGCAGAGCCGCATGGGAGGGTGACTTGGACCGGCTATTGAAAAAGTGAGGTGAAGATGATGTTTATACGAGCTCAGGAAGTACTTCTAGTGTTGCTACGACTTGCTTCGCTAAGGGTTATATTATATAGTGCTAGTTAATCGTTCATGGGCAAGGCGAGCTCAAGCATCGCTTTCTTCATCGTCTTCATCATCGTCATCGTCTTCTTCTTCGTCATCATCATCATCGTCGTCGTCTTCATCGTCATCGCTATCAGAATCAGCCTCCAGCCAGTCTATGAAAGGCTTCGTCTGCGCCCTGACACTCTCCATGGCCGGCGTGCTGGTCGACCTCTCATCCTCCCACCACTGCGAAAAGGCTTCTGCATCCACAATCTCCAGGTCGTAGAGCTCCTTCGCGGTAAAGAGCAATATATTACCGCCCTTATTCCGCTCCGTCAGATCTTTCTGGAACAGCAGCAACAAGTCAACCTGGTCCGGCTTGTCGTCCTTGTCGTGGTCAAACACGATTCGCATAATCGTATCCTTGTACTTTGTAAAGACTTCGCGCACGGAGTCGGCGAGGCCAACGGTGCCCGCTTCCGTGACATGCTGGATGTATTTCATAAACGACATTACTACTGCACGGCGGACTTGGTGCTCAGAGGCGTTGGCGCTCATACGTAGCCCAACAAGCTCAAGCTGTACTACTTCCGCGCTAAGACCTTCTTTGAGGCCGTCGAATACGCTGGAGACGGCGTCGTGATGGAACTGGTCTCGTCCGTCATCGTCAGAGGCAGTTGTACTGACACTACCGGACCTGGAGCGGAAGCCAAAGCCACCGTCTTCTGACTTCTCCGATGTAAGAGTTGATATGGATGCGTCGGAGAGTGACAACTCGGCCATATTGTATACTATAGGGTACAACATTAGCAGACTGGATCATAATAAATGCCGACGCCAGAAACTCACATAGACCTGGGATAAAATCAATCTCTTCCTCGTCCTCATCCTCCTCTGAAACGAACTCGAATCCCTCGCCGCCCTTTCCAACGAGCTTCTCATCGTTCGGTACTTTCTGGTCGGCATCCCTCTGGAACTTGGTAATGCTCATGCTCTCCGGTATCGAAGTTCCATTAGAGATCTTGACGCCGTATGACAGCAACGCGCCAGGTTCGATGCGGCACTTGTCCCCGATAACCGAGCCGTTGGCTACAATGGCATGCTTTATCTCAGTCGCTTCGCCAACGACCACATCGTCCCAGATGTACGCTCCGTCAAGGACAACATTGTTGCCAATCTTGCACCTTCGGCCGATGACGCTGTTGGTAATGACGGCACCTTCACCGATCGTTGTCCCCTTGCCGATCACCGTTCGACTATGAATCGTCGCAGACCGAGCCAACACAACACCCTGTTCTTGGTAGACGAAATTTCTCTTGAAACTGTAGGAATAGCCAGGGAAGAGGTTGGTGTCTGGGCAGAGAGGGAAAGTCCATCGTCCTATCACATCTCGGCTGACGATATCATAGGCATGCAGATTTTGGACTCGTGTCGCGTAGTGGTCCTTCATGATGTGAGTGTGGATGGTCATTCCATTGAGTTCGTAGTCCTTTAACACGCCGTGCAGAAAGTGAGTGCGCGGAGACTGGTAGTCAAAGCTATCTGCCCACAGCCCAAGGACCTCCGGCGTGCAGATATCGATGCGGCAGTCATACAGGTCGTTGCGAACGTCAATCTCAGCATGCGCATCAAGGAGCTCCGGGTCTATCTCTAGGTTAGACGGTAAGTCGTATCCATCCTGCGGGTGATATTGAAGCTCTTCATAGTGTAAACACCTATCTTTGGTGGGATCAATGACAAATAAGGGTGCATCCGCGCTCTTGCGGACTCTATTCGATTCCCCGACTTCTCTAAGGATCATGGTCATGATGGCATTTCGACTTGTCTGTCGACGGGCACGATGTTCAATCAATGCTTGCTCAAGCGGAATATTGCCGATAATATCGCCGTTAACGAGGAGGAAGTCACCATTCATTAAATGTTTCTCGTGTAGATCGCGCATAACTTCTCCAAATGAGGTGGCTGCCGTTCTGATAAGCCGAACTTTTGTAAATGGTGATATGTCTGATTTCCACTTTGAGCCGCTACACAGTGATATAGGTGTTAGCCTTGCGAGTCCAGCATAATAGAGCCACGTAGAGAAGCATACTTGAGATAGGTTTCCAGCATATCGGCGTGTGCGCCAGCATATAGCAATATCTCCTCCACACCGGCATTGGAGAGAAATTCGAGCGTGTAGTCAATCAACAGGGTATTGGCAATAGGCAATAGACACTATAAGATGGTCAAGTCTCAGCAACGTCCATAGAAGCCTGTCGAGCTGAGCGCATAGATCTCGACAACCCCGCACCACCAGACAATACGCAAAGAGCTATAACGTACCCTGGGTTTCTCAAGCGTAAATGGTTCGAATCGCGTTTCGAAGATATCGGTGACGACCTAAGGCGAAAATAAGAGGCAAATGTCAACAACGCCCGTATAGACCTACTATCTAGGATACCAGGTTATGTGTATGCTTACCACGGCCTGAAAGGGCTGTTGTCTCTCATCTAGCATCGGGTCCCTACGCCTAGAGGCTCCTTCGCCGCGCTTCTTATTACCTCTAGGCGCTCCTCCGCCTCCTCCTCTCTGTCTCGCGGCCTTTGGAGGCATCGTCCTCGATCGCGATGGTGGGGGTTTCGTGGGACTGACTCACGCCCGCAGTGAGGGATCGACTGCCTTTTCTGATCGGGTAAAAGGGCGTCAAAGAAGATATGGCAGCTTGGATGAAGCTCAGGCGCAAGTTCTCCGTCCGACAGGAAGCAATTGCTGCTCGTTCACTGACCTTGATCGCAGTCCGACGGAACTTCCCTCTGGACGGCTTTTTTTATATATATGACTGTTACTAAACAACTACAAACGCCGATCCTTGCCTAGGATGGTACATAACCCTAATCTATATCGGGACTAGCGTCTGTTCCTGCCTCGTCCTAAAGGGGAAAGGAATAAAATTAGTCCGAAGAAACATGTGCACGTGATGTTTCATGTGACTTATCATGTGACTTATCATGTGACATAAATATAACTGACTAAGCTTGTTTACATTATTTAGGTAAGTAATGATGAGAAGGTAGAAAGGTAGAACAAGGATAATAACCATGGATAAGTGAAGAATGGGTACAGGATAGCGTTATACGTTCGATTGGGTCCTTTAAGCCTGGGAGTGGCCAGATCACAGGTGAGACCAACGGGTTAGAGGTGAAAGAAAACGGCGACTCCTGATGCTTTTGGTTGGTTGTGTGCCCATACGTCCTACGCCGCCACCCTCAGATACTCCTAGATGCGCGAGTACAGATAGGTCGGGCATGACGACGCAGGTGCTCCAGGTGTGGCTGAAGAGAGAAACAAGATGGCCCCAAACTTGTAGATCAACATGTCAGCGTGTTGCGATTGATTGTTGTAGGTAGTAGTTGGTGCTTGGATTGAAAAGTAAATTCCTTTGATGGTCAAAATTAACTGTCTGGAGGCCTGGAGTGTTGTCAATATCACTTCCCCGTTAGAGGCATACCAAGGTTTACCTTTATATCAGACGGTGAAATAATAGGCCAAATAGCACTCATTGGGAGACTCCATGTAGAGTAGCTCTCCACTATAACGCAGGCCCAGAAAATTACACCATTTCGAGAAGTATAAACGATGGAGCTATCATGGATAGCATCAGAGACACGATGCAGGAAGTAACATATATGCGGCACCAATTTAAGTCCAACTTCAAATGATATTTGAGGTGCGATCAGAGTGGTACAGCTGCTCAATGTAAAGACTACCGCCCTTGGTGGTATCTGCAGTAAAATCGCGGTTCAGCAGTCGCAGCAGAGCTGCAGCTTAGCGGTCTTTGTTCAAAGTATCTTCACTGCGCCGTGGTCGAGTCTCCGTGGAATATAAATACCCGCTTGATCGACTGCCGATTAATATATCTCGCTCAGTCGACTTCATCAAGCTATCACCACAGCACTCAGTACTATACTTCACTTCCAGAACCCGTCGAAATCGCACAAATGTTGGTCGCCAAAGTCCTCACTTTGCTTTCCGTCTCTGCGGCGGCCCTTGCAGCGCCCGGACGCCAGCCCATGGCCAACGACAGCCCCGTCCCGTCTACACAGGAGAAGCGGGCAGCTCTCGTGGACTGTCCCGAGGGATGGTGTCTCGACAATTCCACCTACTGCGACGCGGAGACCCGAACATGCAAAAAGAAAGGTCCCGGCCCCTGCGGTGCAGGCCAGTGTATCTCACACTGGGACGGCCCTCGATCTCCAATGGCCGAACGTGGGTTAGCCGACAGCAACTGTACTCATCAAGACTGCAATATGGAGGCTTGTCTCTGGATTAAGCAAGGGGGGAAGCATCAATGTGTGCCGAAGAAAACTAGAACTAGCAACCCAACAAAGACGAGAGGCGGGAGAGTATTCAAGGACAAGCGCACGGAAACCAGGAGGGAGTGTAAGCCCCATGGTCAGCCATGCAGCGGGGAAGGGGACCACGTCTGTTGCTCTAAGAATTGTGTGCCTAACAAAGATCACCAGTGGGGTATCTGCAGGTAAATGGCAACTCGGCAGCTTGAGCACGAGCACTTGAGCAGTGGTGAACAGTGTTGAGCAGTGTTGAGATGTGGAAGATGAGTTTTTGTCTGTAGAAGCCGCTTTAGTTACTGATCACGTGACATCTCCGTTCAAATTGGAATCTATCGTTTTGTTCCGACCTCATATGCAACTTGACAAATCTATCAATGAATAACAAATTAGTTATTCCGTATATCTCGCTCAGCTCGCTCGCTCGGGGTAAAAATGCTTCTTTCGGGCGTGAACCGCCTCCACCGAGGGGGCCAACCTTAACCTCCATCCTCGTCCCGTCCCGTTCCCTCCCCATCGTGCTCCATCCCATCCCCGTCGCATTGCGATCTAGAGTCACAGGGCAGGGCTAGACCAAGCCGCAAACTTCGCATCCACAGTCTAGAACAGGCCTTATTGCAGCCATCAACGGTTGACATGCATGGTTCGTATAGCAGGGGCCGTGCTAGGTGGCCGTTGGAGGTCGAACTCGAAAAGCTCGAGCTTGATACATCACAAGCAGATGGTCGCAGCCCGTCGATGTACCAGCCCTGTACCGTGTACTTTGACGCATCCCAAGCCCATGCTGCATATGTATATATTCGCTGGCTGCATGGCAGATTGAACTAGCTGGGCAGCCTTGAAGATCTGACTGGGCAGCCCTAGATTTGAGACAGTGATGCGGTTAACATAGGGAGAGGCAGCTGTTTCGAACCGAACTAATATAGTACATAATGCATATGTACGTGCACCGCTTGGATCTCCAGAAGATCATATGTGCTTTTGTTGACGTTGATGTTTTTTTCCCCCTTCGAATATCAACCAACTATGCAAAATACGAGAGCAAGACGGCTAAGTTCCCATCCAAGATGCATTCCATTACCCAATTAACGAGATAGAATAGGCAGAACCCGGCCAGCAGAGCGAGATTATATCATGCCATGCCGTGTATGAGAGAATATTCACAGTAAAAACACCAAGTCCACCAAGCAGAGCAAGCCACCGTGACCAAGTCCACTCCCACACACCTTGCCTACCCAATCCAAGTGCCCGCCCCGTCCGCTAAAATTCCAAGAAGAAAGAGAGCGCAAAGAAAAATTTCCAATCTGTCCTGCCCTGCGCTGCGCTGCCAACCTGCCAGCCAAAAAGTGTAGGTCCATTTTCCCCACGAATGCCCTGCCCTTGTCCTTGTCCGTCGGTTCGGGTATTAGTGGACGAGGGGGCCGAGGTAGAGATAACGAGTAGACCGGCGCAGGGAAGTGGGTGAAATTCGAAAACAGCAAATAAGAATATTAAAACACATAGGCCACCGTGGAATTAGAAACAAACGGAACAGGACGGATGGAATGGCAGAGCAGAATAAGAGGATATATAGACCTCTTTTCATAGACATACCATACTGACCCAGGAGTATGCATGCGTATCAATCACAACAAGGAATTTTTTTTCATGTACATCAATCGACAATCAACAATGAAGTAAAGATAGTAAAACGAGACAACCATCCAATCCCAATCCCCGACCTAGCCAAAAATCAACTGCTCTTTTATGTTGCTGGAAAACACATAATCCACCCATCCGCCTAAACCATGGGTCCCTGGCCCATTTCGTTCATCTGTTTGTTCGGCCGTTCGTTCGTTCGTTCGTTCGTTCGTTCATCAATCAGCGACGTCTTTTTTTTTTTTTTTATTCAGCCATCCACACCCAGCTCGGCCCGGCCTACCAAAGGGAGATAAGGAGAGGAAATCAAGACGTGGTGGAGAAGGAAGGTGGTCAGTGTAAAGAGACAGGTAGGTAGGCTTCAATGAACGAACGACGCGAGAAAAAAAAGGGAGGGGGGAATATGCAAGAGCGATATCGAAAGAGCCGCAAATGAGAATAATTGGAAACATCCTCCCACGCCAAAAAGAAAAAGGGGACAAGAAGGAAAAAGAGCAACAACTAACACCGTATATATGATAGGCAGAAAGAGAGAGAAAAAGAACAGCGACTACGCCATGCGACTGGTCTGCATCGGATTAACGACTGACGCCGGACCCTGGCCCGGGCCAGGCCCCGATCCCGGTCCTGGTCCAGAACCATGGTACATTCTCTGTCGCTTATTGTAGGAATTAACGTCCAACCCAGCCATATCTGAGGCCTGGCGACGGTGTTTGACGTGATTCTGATTATTTTGATTCTGGCTCTGCGACTGGCCTTGGGACTGAGGGTATTGCATTCCATTAGTGTCGAACGCGGACTGGCCTGCCTGGCCCGGCGTGATGGGGGAATTCTGCCAGTTCCCCTGTCCCATCGTCGAGGGAGAGTGTGTCGGTGATGTCTCGTCCTTGACGGCTTGAGATGTTGGCGGGAGTCCGGCGACGGCTACGGGCATGGAGCTCGCGAGTGCACCGGGACCCGGGCCCGCGGCGGAGGGTGTGTTGTTTGCTGATGGCGTCGGCTGCTGCTGCTGTTGCTGCGGCGGCGGCGGTGGTGCGTCCATCGGGTTTCCCGTAGCGGGTACGTTGACGTTGACAGCTTTTAGCGGCATGAGGTGTTTTTCAAGCATGTTGAGGAGCGATTGGCGTGTGAATGGTTTGGGGAGAACGTCGTTCATTCCTGCAACAGTCAGAATACATAGTTTTTTTTTATACATTGAGGGAAAGGGGTAATACCGTGCTGAAAGTAAAGATCTATATCGCTCGATCGGATATTAGAAGTCATCGCAATGATTGGTGTACTGTCGAACCGACGAATAAGACTGCAGGCAGAGACACCGTCGAGATTCGGCATGATGATGTCCATTAGGATAAGGTCGTATTTGGAGCCTTCCTGGATCTTGTTTACGGCTTCGAGGCCGTCGAGCTATTTACCGTTAGTACTGAGACAAAATCAAAGACGGGGTTTAAGACGGTTGCAAGGGATGTCTCACAGCAGTATCCACCACACAGGAGAAAGAATACAAAAACTTCCCGCCAATCTGTCGACAGGTCTGGTCGTCTTCCACGAGCAGGATGTGCGGGCTACGCACCCAGCCGGGGTCAGGATAAAGGCTCTTCTTCCTCCCATCTCCACCAACGGCGTACTGTCGCCGTATATCCGACACTTCCATATCCTTTCCTGGACCGGCGGCCGCGTTGGTGGGCAGGGAGTATGGTATATTATTCACATGTTCGCTATACATTGGATCTATGCCGTTGGTGGCGCCGACGGGGTAGACAACCTGTTCGAGCTCACCGTTCATTTTCGAGTAAGACATTGAAGAAGACTGCGCTGCGGAGGTTGGCGGCAGGCCGACAACACCGACGCCACCGACCACACCGCCGACAACGTTGACTCCGTTGACTCCGTTGACTCCGTTGACATTGACATTGTTACGCTGAGACTGGTCTAGCGGCGGAGTGGGCACGGCGATACCTTCCAGAGCAGAGAAATTGAACTGGTTTTCGGCCGTCATCTCGTTGAGTAGCTTCGTAGCGTGCTGTAGGGGGGACGAGGGCCCCTCGTCCATGCTGGCTACCTGTGACGGACTGAGGTCTGTCTGGGACTGGAACGTCATGGCGGCCGCGCGTGATTCCCGCCGATGCCGAGCATCGATGGAGTGTAGGTATGTGAGTATGCAGTGGACGACCTGATCGTGACCCAGGACCGATTTCTGCACGCGCCTGACCTCCTGTAGCATCATCTGGTGGTCGACCGTGAATTGGGTGAAGCGGTCCGCCAGGTGCTGCAGCTGCTGCTGCTGCGCGAGGAGCTGCTGGTTCATGAGGTCGAGCTGCTGTGTCGGGATCGAGTCATCGTTTGACGGAGCCTGTTTGCGCGGGGCAGGTGCTTTTCTGCGAATGTTGTCGAGAGAGTCTTTGTTATCAGCTTTGAATTCGGGGTGTTTGAACTCCCACGCCTGCCCGTATCATGTTAGGATTAAACTAGAAGAAAGTGTGATATTTGGAGGAACCCACGCTTGAGCCGTATGGCGACTGCCCTGTCTCTTCATTATTCTGGCGCACTTTGTGAAAGTCATACTTGTTCAGCTGGCGCACAAAACTGGCGAAATTGCTGTGTTTGAAATGTTTTGGTAAGATGGACTTTGTGAATTTCTCGCACTGCCAAAAGTGTCAGCTTTAACCTCTTCCCGAACGGCTATCCCGACTTGCTAACCTCTAACACGACGAAGCTGTCTCTATCGTCGCCCCATCGGACTATCTGCGCATATGACGGGTCCTCTAGCATCCTGTGCCGGTTAGTATATCCCAGCCGGCTGACCTGTGTAGTCGCGGGACTCACTTGTAAAGTTTTCTAACCTATGCGCGAGTCAGCACCGCTCGCCAGCACGTAGATGCAAGGGCGTAGATGCAGGGTACTTACAAAGTCGCTCGAGTTACCGGCCGAGCCGCCGCTGGGCGGTGGGTTGTCCATGGCGCAAGCTGGAGAGGAGAGCTGTGAGTTGACCGTGGGTAGATAATAATCGTTAAGTGTATATGTAGTCTTGAGGGCGGTCGGAGGCAGAGAGGCGGGCGTTGGACCACCAACAAGGATGTAAGCAGCAGAGAGCAGAGCAGCGAGAGACGATCCTGTCTGTCCTTGCCGGCCTGCGAGTCGAGGTACCGGTACGGCCGTGGACGGTACTCTTATATCTCGAGGACAGGACGGGGTCGAGTTGTTCGGCGGTCAGGTCCGGTCCATGTACGCCGACAGAGCTACCTCCCCACGAGAGAAGACTACAAGAGGGAGAGAGAACCGCACCGAAGAGAACAGGAGGAGGGAGAAGACGAGGAAGAGGGAGAAGAAGAAGAAGACGAAGACGAAGAGCGAGAGAGGAGGATGAAGAGAGACGAGCGTGGAGGTTGAAGTGCGGCGAGCCCAGCGGCCTAGCGCAGGCGTAGCGTAGTGGTGGTGGTTGAGATGAACCTTGTCCGGCCGAGGGGGCGAGGATGAGAAGATGACGAGAAAACGAAGATGAAGACGAAGATGAGAAGGAGAAGATGCGATGAGATGAGATGCGATACGAGGATGGACGAGACGAGGATGTTCGACCAGGGCTCATCGCTCATGGCATACATATATATAAGGACATCGACGTCCGGTGCTCGCTGGGATCTCTCTGGCTTAAGACGCCCTGATATACGCTGTACATGCAGACGGGATGGACGACGGGATGACGGACATCTCATCTCTCTACTCTCTGCTCTACATGCTCTACTTCTACTATACTTCTTCTTCTCCTTCTTCTCTACTGTACTATTGTATACTTCTACTATTGTAAAACTCTTCGTGATGACAGCTCCACCTGGTCGTTCCTCCACTGCTCTGTTCTGATCGCCCTGCCGGGTCTCGCCACCAGGTCGGGAGGAAGTTGCACAGCATGGAGCAGGACGGGGAATAGTATCTACTCGGTATATTTTATTTTATATAAAAAGGAAGCTGAAGACGTGGAAGGGAGAGAAAAATATCTAGTCATGTGACCTGTCTATAACATGTATGACTAATCATGATATACAGCAGGAGATGGAAGATACAGAGATGAAGATACAGATGAGATGAGATGAAGATGAAACAAAAGGATGAAGAGAAAGATGAAGTATAGACCAGGTAGCTGTAGCCCCGCTCTGTACAGGCAGCCCCTTGTATGCGGTACCTGGCCTCGTAGATAGCTGCGAGATGCATTGCATACGAGGGGACGCCACAATCAACGGCCAGCGCCTTGCTTTTTGGCCTGCCCTTATGGGGTAAGATTAAGCCGGAGGATAAGATGAGCTGACGGGGGGGAAGAGGGAGGAGGGAGGCCGTCGACCATGCATGCAATATCATAAGAGGCCGGATCCTTGTTGCCCTACCAGCGAGCGAGCGTCTCGCCAAGCAGCCTACTCTGCATCGACCTCATCCTCGGAGTCTCGTAGTTAGCAGGCACATCATATATATCACATCCCATTCACCCTACTCCAAAGAGACGGCCGTATAGACTTAAAATGCCAACGATGCTCTCCCGTCTCCCATCCCGCGCCTACCGACATGGCGCCGTGCGTACCTGTGCATTCCACGCCTCGCGCCCAAATATGGTGCAAGTCCAGCCTGGAGATGCCCTGCCGGACCTCGACGTCCTGACGGAGAACTCCCCCGGCAACAAGGTCAATCTAGCCTCGGAGCTGGCGGTTGGACGGGGACTCATCGTGGGGACACCCGGTGCATTCAGTACGTCCCGTCGGCTTCTATTTCGCTCTGATCAACGCTGACCTCTTTGTCCGTTAAGCTCCCGGCTGCTCCCTGTCGCATGTACCCGGCTTCATCAATCACCCGAGGCTGAAGGATGCAGGAAAGGTGTTTGTCGTGTCCGTCAACGATGCGTTCGTGTATGTATCTCTCTCCCGTTTGCTCCCTTCTGCCGTCTGTTGGGTACTGCGGCTCACTCGACCCAGCACCAAGGCGTGGTCGGAGTCTCTTGACCCAGAGAAGAAGAGCGGCATCCGCTTCCTGGCAGATGCGTCGGGGGCGTTTAACAAGTCCCTCGACTTGCTGTTTAGCTCCTCGCCCGTCTTTGGCAATGACAGGAGCAAGCGTTACGCCCTGCTGGTGGAGGACGGTGTAGTCAAGAAGGCCTTTGTCGAGCCAGACAACACCAGCGTTGACGGTACGTTCCCTACACCACTATTAAGAGAACATACTACACCACCCTTAGGAGAACATACTGACGGTGTTGACTTGTAGTATCGCGTGCGGAGAAGGTTCTTGGTTGATGGCTGATCACCCGGTGTAGATACTCTCCCTAGCCTGAGAACAAAACTATATGCATATCATCGATAGAACGAACCATGGGCCGACCCGTATCACATTATCCCCGAAATGGCGCGTAGTCGAGTACTTGATCCGCCATGTAGAACTAGTTGGCGCCCGTGGTTGTACGTACCTCTCCAGGATATCGACGGAGGTCGGTATGCGTGTACGCGCATGCTGAAGGTCAGCCACATTATGCTTACCTTTTCCATGCCGCGCATCAGCCAGTGTTAATTGGTCATTTCCATGGCAGTGAGATGTGACATGTTCCAGTGGTACTAAAGACGCCGTGTAATGGTGTAGATTGCTTAATATACAGGAACGAGAACGGGATAATATTTGATCGTCGTGAAAGGGAGAAATAAAAAAAATATGCTTATTTGACTTCCAAGGAAAAAAAATGAGGGAAAGAAAGAAAGAAAGAAAGAAAGAAAAAAGAACAAAGCCGGGAGAACCTATTGCTGTATCACTTTCTCCCACTGCTCGGGCGTATAGCACTTGGGTGTCCACGCATGGATAGCAGCAATCTCTGCCTTTAGCGCCGAGTTCACCAGCCGGTGTCGAGCGAGCATGGTCTTGTTCTCGAACTGCGGGGAAACGATTATCGCTTGGAAGGCCTGGCCGCATCCGCCTAAACGTACGCAACTGGCGCATTAGAAGGAATATTACCATATAAAGTATAATTGGTAGGACTGCATACCTGAGAGGTCCTCGATTTCTACATGTTGTGCCTCGATCTTAGTGGTGAGAATGTCTCTCAGCGACTCTGGAGTGACGGCAGGCGGCGAGGACGCAGAGGTGCGTGTCTGCTCTGAGGTGGCTTGTGCCATCGCGGGATTTGCTGCTCGTAGAGAGCTGAGGTGGTGGAAGGGCGCGGTACTTCTGTAGCTGGCGTTGACGCTTGTCCTGGTGCTGGCCCTGGAGGTAAGACGGAGGAAAAGTGGACGGGCGAACATGTAGTCTTCGCTTTGTCAAATCCGCGGCAGAAGGTAGGAGAGCGGGTATAGAGTAGGAGAGACAGGTATAGAGAGAATAAAGTCTTTGGCCGTGGGGAGGAAAGCAAAGACGAAAAAGAGCAAAATGATGTCGGAAAGTCGCAGCGCAGTGGATTACTAATTGCCGCGCTTTCTTCTCCTTTTTGCCGCGATGTGGGGGAAGTCGTGCCCCACTTTTTCAAGTTTGCGGTAAACAGAGGAATAACCGCCGTCATAACCACCACCATCATCACCGTCACCATCACCATTACCACTATCAACCCTGATACTCGAGCAGCCCTGCCAATGCTTGCTATTGCTGTACGGCAGACGTCCATGATGGCTACTTCATGCTCCCCCTTCTCCAAGGCGGTGGTGAGGTGCATGCAAAGAGTGTACGTAGCTGTCTTGCCCTTCCAGGACCATGCTAATTACTATCTTCTAGTTACCCAGAATGCCTTGCGGATAAGAGCTTCGATAACACCGGCTGTTAGTTGTTTCAACCTGTCTGGTTTGATCCTCGCTTATTGATGTACTGGCTGTAACAGTGCTGCTGGAAGCGCCGTTGAACCGTCACCGTCGATTGAAAAACTCGGTCCTCTTGGCAGTCGATCTCACAAAAGCCGTGGCAGACGAAGCAATTCATCGAGGAGATTCGATTATAGTCGCATATCGTATGTAACCTGTCGACGTCGTCGAGGGCTGCTTGAACGCTGCCCATCCCACTGGCATAGCTAACTCTGCATAACAGATCCTATCATCTTCCGCGGCCTCAAGTCCCTAACACTTGGCAACTCGCAGCAACAATCCCTTCTTCGACTGACCCAGGAGGGAATAAGTATCTACTCGCCTCATACCGCCGTCGATGCCACTCCCAATGCGATGGCAGACTGGCTATGCCAGTGTGCCGTACCGCCCTCGGTGCCCCGACCGACTACCGTCACCCTATACCCTAGCCCTTCGCCTCCGCCTGACCCCAACTTCCGTGACGCCGGAATGGGTCGGATGATCACATTCGATCGTCAAGTACCCTTGAATGAGATACTCCAGGCCATCGCTACAGGGGCATTCCCGACCTCGCCTTCACGGCTAGGCTTCTCCGTCGCCATCCCGCAAGGTAAAGCACGGGAGGAGATAGGGATTACTACCGTTGCGGCATGTCCTGGCTCTGGTTCTTCAATTTTGATGAAAGATGGTCGTCCGGTGGCCGATCTACTTCTCACGGGAGAGCTCAGCCATCATGATGCCCTGGCTGCTATCGAGGCCGGCTCAGTAGTAGTCACGCTTTCACACTCCAACTCCGAACGAGGCTTTTTACAATCCTCCATGCGCAAAATTTTAGATACGGAACTTAAAGCCGAATGGCAAAAGGCGCGCACTGTAGATCGTCTTCCGGCCCAGTGTGAAGAGGATAAGATGCTCGAGGAGATATTCAATGATAAGAGTGCACAGGTCGATGTCAGCGAAAAGGACCGAGATCCATACGACGTTGTGTTCTGGAAGGATGGAAATGCAGTATAATGACCTGCTACATTTTGCAAAATTGCATCTTGATATCTACGACTGTAATATAGCAATATAGAAGAATTGCGCCTGTTCGTCTGACAACCGACCAAAATGGCTCCATATACTAGCTCAGCAGAACTCTGATCTCGCCCGTTGTCCGTGGAAACAAGGCTCTCAAACTCCATTCCTGCTCTTCTCCAGATCCATCTTCGGTGGTAGATGCCTGCCCATCATTATCCTCCTTCTGATTAGCTTCATCGGCTCCAATGATCATGCTCTCAAGGAACTCAAAGTCGCTTGAGAAAGCCTCGACGGCTTCTTCAGTCACACTCTTCACTAGGCTAGGGCTATTTATACGTTTGAGATTCTCTGTTGCCTCAACCAGCGCTGCCGGTAGGAAATCGTCTAGTTGTTGGCTGGTAGCGGAGAGAGCCTGGGGTTGAAACTCTGGTAGACTCGAGATGGCTGCAAGGTTTGTGTTTTCTGAAGTGGCGCCTCCAGTACTTGTAAATGATGATGTAAAGGGGGCCAGGGCCTGAAGGAGTGTCTGTAGGCCGGAGCGTTGAAGGAGGAACTTGTGCTGGAACTTGTGAAGTTCGGCCCGCAAGTTGGCAAGCGTAGTTGACAACTGGCCCGAATGGGTGATGGCAGCGAATTCGTAGTGGGATATAGCTGATCGAACAGCAAGCAGGCAGTTGGTTCGAAATATTACCTCTGAGACCGGGTCCTTCAAAGTGGCGGCGGATTTTTTCGTCAACTCCAGCATCGGATCTAACGTTGCCTGAATGATTGGTGTGAATTTATTAGCTTCCTTGAACGTCTTGTTAATTGCTTCGTGGCCGAACGAGGAGTCATAAGCTTTCATGAGCGACGTTAGGTTCTCCAGACATTCAGTCAGATATTCAGGTGGGCTCGCGTCGTCCGGCGGTATGAGGCCAGCAACATCGTTTGAGGCGGTCTTCACGCGATCCTGCATCAGAGACTCGAAATGCTCCATCGAAAACCGCTGTAGGGACGCCAACGTATCTACTAGAGCCGACTCGGCTCCAACAAGTTTGCTGAACGTGGTTTCGTAGAATGCTAGGAGGTTAATCACTTTGTATATTGTGACTGGATCATCATGACCTTGCACTACCAATTCCACTCTTTGATGCAGCGAGCGAGCAACTCCACTCAAGTCTCGGGTGATAAGTTCCTTCAAGGCCTTTTGGCCGTCGAATACCATCTCCCCTTCCTCGACACGAGACCACGGTTCGCTCTTTATACCGGCTTCCATCCCCTTAGCAAGGTCATCTGCTTCCGAAACGAAGAGGGCCTCCAAGGCCTCCCTCTCAGAAACAGTGGCGGAATGTACCCAGGCGAGCATATCTCCAACATATCGGAGGGGGTCATGGGCAGAAAACTCGATTGGTTTTGTGTTCGCATCACCTCCCTCGGTAGACAAAGCTATCGTCAGAGCATGATGAAACGCATCGGAGAGGATATATTCTCGGGCCTCGGCGAAAAAATCAAGACAGCTATGGAAGAGACTTGGTCTCTCAGCGAGAACTCGGATACCTCTTCTGATCGCACCGCCAATATGCGGATCCTCCAGGTTCAGAGACTTGAATTCTTTCTGTATCCAATTATATAGCTTGAGAAATGCAGAGTTAAGATTCTTAGAGCTTTGCTCCATGATCTCCAGTCCCAGCTTCTGGTTTTCACTGCCTAGCAGAACCTCGCAGTCCTTGTGTATTTGTTTCGCTCGGCCCAGGACATCGAAGAACCGGTTATCGACTGGTTCTGCCGGAGAGGTCAGAACCTGCACATCTTCTTCAGAGAGAATAAAGTGCGTGTTGAAGGCATTGAGTAAGGCCTGTTTGGTCTCAGCTTCCTCCTTCTGTGTTCGAAGGGCAGATGCTTCTTCTAGCACCGGTCCGGTCTCTTGATGCGCTACTGAAAGGTGTTTTCGCATATCCTGACATATCGTATTAAGGTTGGCAATGACATCGCCGATGCGAGAGAGTTGCTATCCGAAAAGGCAAGTTAACCTACATTCTTCGTAGCAGCAGATAATTGAGGCTCACCTCGGCAACCCTGCCAAAATCCTGTATTATCTTGCCATTGGAGTCAATGACCTCTTTCTGAACATCAAGCCGTAGACTCCTTCGCGTTTCTGCAGTGTTTCGAATCCCTCTGCTATCCAAAGTCTCCAGGGCATCTCTGATCTCCGAATCCGCATACGATGCTGATAACGCGGAATTAAGGCGATTGGTCAGCGCCGTCTGCCGCGGAGCTACATTAGTACCAGATACCGGTGGCGAGGTCATGCCATTTGGAGAAGAGCCGGCAGCCACCCCGCTGGAGCGAAGAGCAGCCATCCTGGTTATCTTTGTATCTATATCCCACCAACCCTCCGTTGTTGTCTGGCGTTCTAACAGATACTACGGGCCGTTGTTTATCCGTGAGATCTATCAGCTTACGTAAAACCCAACTCCGACCCCTAAATTTTACCACCAATCAATCCTTCCATTACAAACCACAGTATCGCGGCCTGATGGGATATATATGTGCACTCCTTTAAGTTTGATGTACGCAAGGATGCTTCCAAGGCAGCGAGCATGCTTTTTGCTTTCATGAGAAAACGCCACCCGAGTCGGGAACAGATAGCCCGCGGATGGTTGGGAGCACCTACGAACAAAGATACCCACGGAGAATGATACCCAGGACGCGGTGTCATCTGTCCCGTTGCCATGCTCGAAGACGGGATGGATGTATACTTCTGGTCCGTCTTACAGAGTAGTTGCTGGACTTTGGAACTATATATCAGAATGGTTGATGAGGCTAGTGGTCACAGGACCTTATGAGTATGCGACTATTTGAGATCTCAACTCCAAAATTAAATCTGCGATCTCCCAACTTTTGAATTACCCCACGTGAGAATTCCAGGATAATCTTCCGCATCCAGACCATCTACCATGGGACTTTTGGTACAATTGGAGTGGCCGCCCAGGGGTCATTTCAGGTTTTGGGTTACTGAGCAGCTCCCCTTGGGACCCGTTCCCCTCTTCCAAATCGAATTACTATGACAGCAGAAAAACGGGGAGACTCTGTAGTCCTCTTTTACAGACGATATAACTGATCAACATGGAGAAGACAATAGTGCATTAAAGTATATTCATGGACTATTTGGTGGTATTTAACTCATATAGGTATAAAAGGTATGTTCGTTCAGTCTTCATAAGCTACCCAGAAGAACAGCCCCCAAGCCGATACGCCATGAGTTTCCGTTTATTTGGTGTCCATTCCAAGGGCACCCTTAACCTTCTCGCCACTGTGAAGGATGTGTTAGCCTCAAGCCAAGGATATACCTCGGGAGCCATGAGATACTTACATGGTCTGGGTAGCACCGCCGCTGTTGTTGTCAGAGGCACGCTGGCCCTTGTCGAATACCTTCTGGGCGGTACCCTTGCTGTCATCGGGTTGAGCACCACTAGATGATCATTAGTTCTATCCTAGCTAAGGAGGGATCGAGAGGGGGAAACATACCGAGCGATGCGGTCCTTGGTATCAGTGAAGGCCTCACCAATCTTGTCCTGCTGGGACTTGGTGGAATCGGGAGTCAACTCCTCCTGAGCCTCTATAAGTGGCAATGGCAGTTAGCATCGAGGTTGCTATCAAGAGGTTTCTATCAAGAGAAAGAAGGTGCAACGTACTGGTAAGGAAATCTTTGCGTCCAGCGTCAGCCATTGTGAATTGTGTTTTTAAGAAGAAGCTTCTTTGGTAGATGTGAAAGTAGATTGAAGTAGATTGGATATCAGAGTAGATGTTTGATGATGATGAAGGAAAAGGAGAACATCTCGTGGACCTCCCCCTCCTTTATATAGACATCGCCATGAGGCCAGATTGGTGCGTGAATCTTAATATGACGTATTGGCACCGCATCTCGACCCCCTCGATGGCACCGCCCGCCAAAAACCTGAATCCAAGGGTATGACGAGCATGCATGGGGCTTTGCACCCCTTCTGCTGTGGAGAGCTCACTTTGAACATTCGTGATGGTATGGAGGAGCAAGAAGAGCGAGAGTTCGCAGGGTTCCACCATGACGTCGTAGGAAGTCACATGTATGAGCCAAGACATGCTTAGTCATATTGCATCATCGTTTCTCCGGACGCCGACCGCCGAGGTTCCCTTTTGGGTCAACGGTTCGTGACTCCACCAACGACGACATCATCAACATCGTCATCTCATCTTCATCTTCCTCTCATCTTCCTCTCTTCTCTTCTCCCGTCTACTCTACTCCGTACAACTTTCTACAACGATCACTAAGGTCGGCGACATGGCCTCTACCCAACTCCGCTTATGACGATTACGCTTATCCTTTGTCTCTGAGAAGTCTCTACCCTGTTTTGTCCCTCGTACACCCTGTTCTTCTCTTCCCCCCCCACCAGCATTCGCCATCTCTCTGCCGCCACAGCATCCCGAATCGCCCCCCGCGCCGGGCCGCGTACCTCCTTTATAGCTTCTAAAGCTTTGGCTGTTAATGTCGGTCCCTGGCGCATCACCTTCCTGGGATCTGACCCCAGCCATCAGCCTGTTACACTCATTTAGCTTGGAAGGCTATCACCATGAACGCCCCTCGAGCCCAGACCAGACCGCGAAAGGGCCTGTTGATCGGAGCACGTTGGCCCCAGCCGATGTGGCAGCAGTCGAGGGCGACGGACACCATAAGCTAGGAGACTTTGACGCCCTGTTCACATTCCTATCCCAAGCTTCGCCACCCAAGCTTGGTGCTGGCTCTGGCACAGATCACGGAAGGGCGTCGGGCCAGATTGCGGGCAAGCAGAGCGTGCTGGAGAGCGCCACCGTGCTGGAGCATCAACTGGAACTGGCGGAGCCTCATATCAGAAAGATACTACTCAAGCGTGATGTCACCAAGAAGGTCAAGCCCCACCACTCTGCTTCGGCGACAGCCGGCGAGGGGCACAGTGCCACCGTCTTGCTGCAGCCGAAGACCATCCTTCGCAGACCTACTACCGCTCCTCCTGTCAATGTGCCCGCAATTGCTCCTACCCCCAGTGGGAAGAGAATCGTTGGGTCAACGATTCACGTCGAGGCACTTTTGACCGGATCTATGTTAGAGAGACAGCATGTTCTTGTCTCGTTGCTTACTGAAAAACACGCCAAGAGTAGGAACTACCTACATCATGGCAATCTACGTGAATACCTGTGTTACCCGTTGAAGACAGCGGCAGCGGGTATTCACGTATTTGTCGACATGTCAAATGTAAGTCGTGTGTCAAATCTATCATAAAATTGCTTAGTTCTAATTGTCCCCCCCCAGATCATGATCGGATTCCACGACTGCATCAAGAAGTCAAGGGACATACCTGTGACTACGCGGGTCCGTCGACTGCCTCTGTCCTTCCAAAATTTCTCTCTTGTTCTAGAGCGAGCCCGCCCGGTAAGCAAGAGGGTTCTTGTCGGCTCGGACCGATTTCCCGCCATCGACGAAGCAGAAGAGCTTGGTTACGAGGCGAACATTTTAGAAAGAGTCCACAAGGCCAGGCCGTCATCCCCGCGCAAGAAGACGAAACTCTTCAGCGGCGGCGGGCGCGGCAATAATGGAGGTAGCGGTGTTGGCAACGCTCTCCACGACCAGTCGAGCAGCTCTGAGACGAATGCCCGACAGCCCGCCGAGAGATGGGTGGAGCAAGCCGTAGACGAGATTCTACATTTGAAGATCCTGGAGAGCATTGTCGACACCGATACCCCTTCGACCATCGTCTTGGCGACCGGCGATGCCGCCCAGGCCGAGTATTCAGACGGATTCTTGAAGATGGTCGAGCGTGCGCTGGGCAAGGGATGGTCCGTTGAGCTGGTTAGTTTCAGCTCGATCACCAGCCGTGCTTACACACGGAAATCCTTCCGGGACAAATGGGGTTCTAGATTCCGGATTTTCGAGCTAGACGTCTATGCCGAATATCTGCTGGATCTATGACAATGCCGCCCTGTCCTCAAACACGTTTTCATCCCTGCTGCATAGCAAACTGGTGTTCCTGGTAAAACAGGAGGCCCCGTCGGTTTCATCAGGGAGTTAGCCGTGGTTGGCGGCCACGTTGCAGGGCCGTCGGACTTGCCCTATAGCGAAGGACTTTGTATGGAGACGGAGATAAAACTATACCGCTAGGCTTCCTCCCAATATGGAAATTCTCCGCGTGTATCTCAACACATCTCTACATAGCACAATATATAACATCCCTCCACAGGTTGTTCCCAACAGTAAATGCATCTCCGCAGAGCCCCTGTCAGGCGCGCATCGTACATCATGCACGCAGTAAATATCTCATACATCTTCCTTGCCAACCGCTAGTAAATTAAAATTAACAAGACATCGACAAAGATCATCGTGAAGCCGGACTCAGGGGGTTCACCACCGGCCATACGAGAAACAAAAGGCCGTACCCTTTACAACACGGCGATGCGATCAGTGTGTCCTAATTGGCCTTGTACCCGGCCAGCTCTCCGCAGCCTGCTGGGTACTTCGTTTAGCTGTTATATGTCGGGTAGATTGGGTTTCCTTCCCCCCGTCGTCCAAAATGTCTTGCAGGTTTTCCCGTCCAATCGGCCAGAGACAGCTCCAGGCCTCCAGAAACCGTGTTTTATGTGCAGCGTATGGGCTATTCCTGCGCTCTGGCCTGGAGATGCCTGGGTTGAAGATGAACATCGCCATGGGCTTGCTCAACAGCGTGAAGATATATCCCTTTGCTCCGCGCACTTTCGACTCCACTTTCCCTCCTGCGTCAGTCATGCCCGAGATGAAGAACTGAAGCCGTTACGTCTTTTTCTTACAACTTCCATCTCTTATATTCATCAGAGGCTTCTCTCTTCATCTATCCTCTCTTCATCTATCTCTCTGGCTCCGGACCTTGTTCTGAGCTCTCAGGCCGTGGTTTGAGCGGATGCTGGTAACTTTGCTTTGGGTTTAATTTTTAATCTTCCTGGCCTGGTTTTGCAGATATGGAGGAGGATAATGGATATGCCCTCACAGGGCTATATGGCGGGGCAATGAAGGTCTTGATACCGAAGGGATTCACAAACGTGGGGTAAGATATATATTCCTTTCCTCTTCTTCCTGTCTTCTCCTTCGCTCCGGTATGCAATATATGATTCCGAGTTACATCGCATGGCATCTCCCGCGTGGGCTTGGGTTATTGACCAGCCTTGAGCGGTCAAATCGATGATAGCATCAGCAAAGCAAACAAGAGACATCCTGCTAAGAACGGAGGGATCCCATTACAAAAGGGCCATTTATCCAATTCCAGATAACCAGGAAGTCTTCCGATCCACCGTAACAAAGACCAACATCATCGTCGAGCTGGTTGACCGGCTAGAACCCGGTTCATATACTCTGCCGGCAGAGACGGCGGCGCAGTTGACGGCCTCGAGCGCTGGGAGCGAATGGAGTACCTCTACGGAAGTTAGCAAGGAGGACCTGAGTGCCGTTCTATATCATCTCCATGATATGTGCACCGCAAACGGGGACAGCTATGAGATTCTCGACTCACCAAAGCCATACCCCGTCCAGCTCATACCTGCTCCCGCATACACCTGCCAGGCACTGGTGACCTCGAAGATAAGAGTCCCCGACAACCTGCCGTCGTCAAATACGTCCGCTCAGGCTTCGTCAGAACCGCCATCGTCCGGTTCAACAGCTACCGGTACGATAAACGAACGCGAATCAACCTCGACATGTCACTTTTTCCTTGTACGGCTGGCTCAGTATGGCACAGATATACTCGTCTGTATCAACGTGCCTCACGACATGCTTGAAGAGTCTGGAGTTCCCGGTGCCGTCGCCCAAGAGGAGATGCACGCCCATGGGATAATGGCAAACATGATGCGGTCTCTAGGAGTAGTGGATTATGGACTCTTTGGAAACTAATTACACCATATCTATTTTGAGAACCCTTTTCTTTCTTGTACTCCTCCGCTGACCTTGTGGAAGAGGACAGTGGTTTTTTTTTTTCTGGTAATGGGAAAAGTGGCTTGCCAAAGGAACAGAAACAACTGGCCTATGTAGATTAAGAAGGAAATCAAGTTATACTTATGCCTTCTCCCCTTCCTTTCCTGTTTTCGCTTCATTCGCTTGAATACTCGCTCAACGATCTAGTTTTGATCGATACACAGATAAAGACTACGGTATTTATTCACTACCATCAAAGGATACCATCAAGAGAGAAAAGAGATTTATCCAGTCAAATCGTACAAGGGGTACCTCAAACCAAAGAAAACAAGGAAATAACGGACACGAGTCGAAATCCAACACCGGTAAATGCCCTGTCCAAGCTAACCATATGCTCCGTCAAGTCGTCACTCACAAATGCTTCAAGCTTCCCTATTACTTCTACGTCTCCTTATTCTTTCCCTTCCCCCTCGGCTTCGGTTTAACCTGCAACAAGACCCCATCATAGCACTTCCCACAACGAACCTTAGCTGGATCGATGCTCCTTGAGTGTCGACCATACTCTTGCCCGCAGGTTTCACAGCACCACATATACTTATAATTGATCAGGTATGAGTGCTTGGTGTTAATCTCGACTCTGCAGGAGTACTTTGGATTGGAGTCCAGGGCAGTCTTGCACTCCTTGGCCCACTGTTTGAAGCTCGCACCATGCGGCTGGTTGAGAACGCCTGATATCATGAAGTTGGCCAGGTGGCAGTATTCGTGCGCCAGTGTGTTGAGTAATCGATCTTCCGAGTCGATTACTTTCTCTGCTAGCTCGATGGTGGCATTGTGTTTGATCGTGCGGCTGGATGTAGAGCGCTTTTCAGAAGGCGAGCTTTTTGTTCTGATCAAGGAGTTCGTGTTTGGCGGTGATACCATCGAAGAAGCGTGTGATGAGGACGTGTTTGGAGAACAAAGATTAGCAGAAGAAGAGTCGAGGACTTGTTGTTCCGTCGACTGTCTAGTCTTTGTGATAAGTTCTTTTTTCCAGGTTGCCCTGCCAGCTGTGGTGGCCAGTTTATTATTCCAGACAATATTCACACCACCGGCAGATTTGGTGAGCTTCAAGATTTTACCACCCGTCACTATGTTATCCAACTCATTGAAAAAATTTATAGCAAGTGCATGTTTCTGTTCGTCGAACTCGCGCTTTTTGGCAGCCAATGCCTTTTTCGTTGACGTCGAAGCTTTGATTTGTTTCTTTCCGGGACTGGAATTGTTCTTGATGGGGGAAGTAAATAGGGGCAGCTTATCCGAAGCGGATTCGGGGTCGGGAGTGCCTAGGTGCCCTGGAATAGAGACATCTGCAGTTCCGTAATCGTCGTCTTGGTTATCGGGACTTTGCAGCTCTTCATCTTCTTCGTCGTCTTCTGTGTCCGAGAAAATATCAAAGTGTCGCCGATGAAAATTAGGGGTTTGCATCTTTCGAGGGGAAAATTTATCATTCCACTGGTTAACAGCCTCTTGGCTCCAAAACGTATCAATGCTGGGCCTGTGTGGGGATGGGGGTATACGATTCTTCTGAGACTTTGAAGGTGATTTAAGGCATGGTTTTGAGGGTGATGTTGGGGGGGTTACAAAATCCATCTGCGAGTTCCTTTCCTGAGGAGACTCTGGAGAAGGCTGGGATGTCCTATTTGCGACATTAGTACTGAATGTTTCTAATAAGAAATAAACAAAAGTAGTTCGGGTTGCAAAGGCAGGCTGCTTACCCTTGAGTGAAATCTATGGCTCTACTCATTGTTTTCTTGGTAGGAGTGAGGTTTGGCTTCATTTTATCTTGCTGTGTGTGGCTTTTTGAAGTTTTAGAGGACGTAGGAGGAGGGAGTAAAGGTTTAGAGTCTGAGAGGAGGTTTGTTTTGATATCTGCATTTTGTCCTGTCTGCTCTTGGTCTGTAATACAACCTGTGTTGCTCCCCACACCTGTTGAAAACAATGGTTTTGCGGTGAAGCTAAGAGGGCTTCCAGCTATATTAGCCTCACAATTTTCATCATCCAAAGTATGCTGTGGAATTGAAGGGCGTAGTCCTCTTCTACCCCTGATCAGCCTCCTGCGTGGGCGATGCTCTGGTTCTGGCTCTGGCTCTTGCTCTTGCTCTTGCTCTGGCTCTGTGTCTGAAGTTGGATGCTTCTTGTCAGAGATAATATTCTCCTCTCCACTATCATAATCATCATCTCCTTCAGACTCTGTCCCTTCATAGAGGCTCAGAGATTCATTATCAGAAACAATGAAATCATCTAATGAGTCAAATCCATCAGACTCATCATTGTCACTTTGGCCAGCAATTCTGTCCTCTTGTTGGTCCTCGCTGTCACTAGATTCCTTCCTGGATGGTTCCAGGATATGAGTTGGCCTTTTCTTTCTATCCTGCTGTATCGCAATATCTGCTTTATCTGGCGTACTTCTCCCAGGCTCTTTCTCCCTCTCTTCATCTGAACCACCTTGTAGCTGTAATTGAGTAAACCTCCTAACCACTTCCTTTTCATCATCAATCCCGTTTTCAGCATCAGTCTGTGATATTTCCTCCTCATTTTCCTCTGTGGATTGGGCTAGGCGGCACACTTGACTGGAAGCCCCTGGTTGTTGCGCTTTTCTCCCCTTCTCTCTCTTTTTGAAGGTCAATGAGAGGTCAGTAAATTGGGAGATTAGTGTCCCCTGGTCATTCTTGTGCTTTTCTGCTGTGATGGTCTGCTTGGTGTTTTCTTCCTTTCTGTGTCCTTCTGCTGGATCATGGGTATTTGTGGATGGCGGTTCATTTTTCATGTCTTTGCCTATAGCTACACCCCTAGATCTGGCCGTCTTTTCTTTCACATCTTCCTTATCTTTGTCTTCAGGACTTTTCCTTGCTGTTTTCCTAGCGTCGTTTGGCTTTGCTATATACAGTCGTGCCATTGTGTCGGGATTTTGGGTATCTCGTGGCTGAGCGTAGGCAAAAGGGAAGATATATTAAATACTTTTAGAACAGCATTTCATGGAAATTAAATAATAGCAGACAGATAGTTGCTGAAATAGAAACACAGTTTTATTAATCGGAATTCTTTGATGTAGTTGAAGATGAAGTTAGATAAAGTTGCATACTTGTTGGCTGGGCAACGCTATGCAAAGTTTCTTCAACATCGCAACTCACCAATATTCTACCACGAATACTCCGGAGTATCTCAAGTACACACTTGTTGCAAGAGACATATTGAGGCGGCTAATTATGTACTTAATTATCAGTTCTGACACCATCGTATAGTACAAGTAGTCAGATAATTGTATAAGCCTCTAACAGTAATACAGAAACACTTAATAGTAAACAAAAATGGATCAATTTATCTGTCTGTCTGTCTGGATCTCCCATCACAAAAGCGTACAGAGGTAAAACGGAGTTTTCATCATTATTACAAATTCATAAGAAAGGGTGGGAATCAAAGCAGGTGCCGGTTACGATACGTACAGGTGATGTAGCAGAAGGAGAAAAGAAGAGCCGGGTGTGGCCATTAAGAAACAAAAAAAAGAAGAAGGAAAAGGGAATCAATTAACGGACAGAAAGGCAATGAAGACAAAGAATGGCTCAAGCATTTGGTTGGTTATGGACAAAATGGTACGGCTCGAGTAGTACTGAGATCTATAGTGGAATTGGTTTCAGAACGAGATGATTACACTGATCTATATCAAGATCATTCCAGCACCAGCAAGAACGGCACCGAAGAGATAAGCGCCAAACTTGACGAAGCCAAAGTTAAGGGCTGGGACGACGGTGGTGTGAGCAGCAGAGTGGGAAGTGCTGCTGGAACCAGGGCCGGAGGTAACGCTTCCGGTACCATCCTTGCCAGCCTGCTCGACGAGAGAGGCACAGTCGCCGGATGGCTTCTGGGCCTTCTGGGTGGTTGCGGCACCGTCGAAGTTGCAGGCATCGGCACCGTTACCCTTGGCGGTCTGGTGCTGGTAGTACTGGTCGAAGGCAAAGGAGAGCTTCTCGATGGGGCTGCACATGCTGTAAGCACCGTAGGAGCCACGAGTAGCGTCGGTGTCGATGCCCTTGCAGGCGTCCTTGTCAGAGCCACAGACGGTACCGAAGAGTTTGCCGAGCTGCTTGTCGGTGATGGAGGACTTGGCAACGCAGCTCAAGCTCTTGACCATGCAGGAGCAGAGAGACTTGTTGGGGGTTGGTGGGAGGTGCTCGCTGCTGGCTTTCCAGTCGGAGCTGGTTGGGCAAACGCTGAGAGCGGTGTTGGTGGGCTTGTAGGCGTCCATCTCAACACCGGATGGCTTGACCTTGGAGATTTGCTTCTTGAGGTTGTTGAAGTCGGTCAGCCTGGTGGCCTCACCTCCCTTGATCTGGACGAGACCTGCAATGGACCGTTAGCACGCTGTTGATTTTATTAAGGTGGTATGAACAAGGCTTACCGTAGTCGTTGGCTTCCTGGAAGTACATGTAGACGATGGCACCGCTAAGAACTGGGGTCATCTTTTCACCGTAGATAGTGCCAACCTCGGTGAACTTTCTGGGCTGAACCTTGTTGCAACCGTATTCAGCGAAGAAGACGGGGACGTTGAAGTTCTTGAAGTCCTTAACGACGACATCATATCCGGAGGTGGTGTAAGAGGAGTCTCCGCACCAGGAGTAGATGTTGTAACCCCAGAAATCAATGGATTCCTCTGGCTTTCCGCAGTTGAAGTAGGCAGTCATGTCATCACGGATCTCGGCGTCATCGTTGGTGGCATATCCAACACCCATTGGGCGGTAGTTCTTCTGCTTGATGTAAGCCTTCATATCACGGACAGCAGCCTTGACGAAGGCACTGGCGTCGGTGTTGGTGTTGTTGTTGGAGACCTCGTTACCGGCGAAGAAGCCGATGACGTTGCTGTGGGGAGCGAGGTCGTCAATGACGGAGGTGTAGCGTTCGTAGAGAACGTCGTCCCACTTGGGGTCATCACGAATGATGGACTTGCTGGGCTCCGAAAGATCGGCCACGACGTAGATGCCAGCATCTTGAAGCATCTTCATACACTGGCTGTGGTCCTTCTTGGGGTCGATGGCGTACACACGAATGGTGTTGGTCTGGAGCTCTTGCATGAGCGGGATGTCACGCTTGCAGGCCTCGGCGTCAGCGAGGGGGTCCTTGTAGCTGTCATCGGTGCTGGTACTGCCGTTGCTGGAGATTTCCTCTATTATGGATGTGAGTGGCCTGTCGACGATACGGTACCTGGAACATCGATCTCCAACTTACGCTGATAGGCAATACCCTTCATGAAGCTATAAAGTTTTCAGTTAGCAACCGACGCCAAGGTAGAAGAGTAGGACAGACATACAACTCAGTGCCATTGGACTTGTAAAAGAATTTGCTTCCCTATGATGGACCATCCCACCGTTAGCCACCTGCGAAGATGCCTGCGGGAAACGGCGAACAAACCTTGATGACGATGGGGTCGAGGTCTGCTGCAATAGCAGTACCAGCAACCAGGGCCGTAGCGGCCACGAAAGAAGAAAACTTCATGATAAAACGGCTAGAGTACGATAGACTTAAACGCGCATTAATGCTGGGGGGAGGATATAAGGCACGCGAGGACGGCCGGGGAGGATCAGGGTAGGAAAAAAAAAAGCGAGAGTAATTAAGAGCCGTAGCCAAAAAGAGCGTTACGAAGATGAAGCAGTCGCCTCGGGGAATGGAGAGAGAACGAGTGTGGTGAGTGAAGCTGAAGGCGAAGGTGAAGATGTCTTGAAGGTTGACTTTGGGGATGGATGATAAGGCAAGTCACGTTAGCGCCTAAAAGGGGGAGGTTGCGTATACCTGTGAAAAGGGGCCGCGTAGTCAGCACGCTGAAACATCACCTCTACCACTACACACTACAGCTACGACTACGACTATAACTATGGACTACAGCTACGACGATAACTATGACTATGACTACAGACACGACTACAGACTATTGACATGACACGACACTACACGAGATGAGACGAGACGAGACAGACGAGACAGACGAGACAGACAGGCAGACAGGCAGACAGAGACGTCCGGGCTATCCGTATGATACTCCGTCGGTCAACAGCTCTGGACTCGCTGCAGGCACCGCCACACGCTGGAGACGATGGATGGAGAAGACGAACCACAGTGGCAAGGAAGAAGAACCAGCAAGGAAGAGCGTGCGACGCCTCCGAGCCTTGAAATGTCAAACGCCCCACCCTCCTGGGATTGTGAGACACCGGTGGAGGCATGGAGAGGGACGTGAGGGCGGTTCCGCGAGAGTGATACGGCTGGATTACTGGTGATATATTACCGCCTTGATCGAGGGAAGTCTGCTCCCTGCCGGGCCTCGTTGGAGGGAGGAAATAAAAAGGAAAAAGCAAAAAGGAGCGACACTCCCGCGGCCCAGGCTGGCAAGATCTGGCGGTGGGCCGCCGATGTAAGTCTCCAGTGATATGCCTGCCCTTGGACGAGAAAGTTGGAATATCCTGACGCAGGCCAAACCAGGTGGCGAGCTCTCTGAAGTCCCGTCTGCGTGGTACATGTCCTTGCATCCTGTCTGTCCTGTCTCTCCACGTACGGAGCATATCCTGTTCGTGGTCGACAGGGCGGTCTGTCGGCCTGGCCGGGACACCAGCCTCGAGTGCCTGTGGCCTGCGCCATCCAGGAAATCATCCAGGAGTCGGTGGGCCAGGGGGAACCCATCATCAGGGCTAGCAGCTAACTAAGGGGCCGCCGCCATCTTGGTTGGCTGGGGGTCCCTCGCCCCTGTACCCATAGCCATGTACCTGTATTACCGTTACATACTCCCACAGTCTCTCCTGTTTATATCTGTAAATACCGTCATGTGTATTCTAGATACAAAAGAAACAGCGTTAAATACACGATCAGATCGAGGAAAAAGCGCCTGCTCGTAATTTACCCGTCGCTTTACTTTTTCTTTCCCCTTCGCGCCCGCTGCTAATTCGTGCAAAAGGTCGACCAAGAGGAAGAATCGACGAAGAAACGCCGTGGAAGAAGACGCGAGTGAGCATTATCCATGGACAGAAGAAAAAAAATAAAATAAAAAAAAAGAGTTACTAAAAAAATAATCTCCTGCAGGTTGATCGTCGACACGTCAAATCTCCTGCTTTCTGTATCGTCACTCTCTCTCCCACCCTTTTCTCCTTCACACCCAACTTCTCCCTCCTCTTCCTCTTCCTCCTCCCCTCCTCCAGAGTCACTCGTTTTGTCTCTGCAGAGTCTTCCATCACGCTCGTTACTGCTGGAAGGTGAGTGTCGGCTGCTCAACGATACGTGGTCGTTCTTGCTCTCAGGAGAGCCACACCAGACCTCGATCACTTCGATCCAACACGACGAAGACACGACGGAAGAGCATCTCTACGCCGACAATCGCTTGTCTAGCTACGTCGAATCTTGTTTAGCGACCTGTTTTAACGAATACATAACCCCCCAGAAGGATTTCTGTACAAGTCTACTGTATGGATACTTGTTAAGGTGAGTGGCCTCTTTTCTATCGATCGAGTTGGACTACGCTAATTGTCGACAGTTCTGATCGTTGCGAATAATCGACCATCTCACGATGTCCGCTCATCCGCACCCGCAGGGTGCCCAGCAGGACCACTATGATGATGGCTACAACGGACAGGGCCACGGCGATGCCTACTACCAGGATCAGCAAGGAGGAGCATACTACGACCAGTATGACTACCCCCAGGGCGGCCAGCACCCGCCGCAGGGAGATGGCTACTATGACAGGGCGTAAGTAAAAGCACTGCTACCACTGAATCCATATATATTTGAATTAGTCGGGTCATTAATTGAAATGGCTTTGCTCCAAGTGATTACTACAGTGGAGATTCTCAGCACTACCCGCAAGACGGGTACTATGACAACAACAACCAGCAGCAGTACTACCAGGACGACTACTATGACAACCAGTACTACGACAATGGAGCCGGAGACCCCAACCAGCCCCGTGGCAGACGCCGGCCTCACGACTCAGAGGAGGACTCGGAGTCGTTCAGTGACTTCACCATGAGATCTGACGCTCGTGGAGGTGACGAATACTACGGCCGTGGAGACGAACGGTACAACAGCTACAGCGAGAGCCAGATGGGAGGACGAGGATACCGACCACCGTCCTCTCAAATCTCTTATGGCAACCGGTCTTCCGGAGCAGCCACCCCGATCTATGGAACTGATGCTCTCCCCATGGGTACCCGATCCCGCGAGCCATATCCTGCGTGGACCTCTGATGCTCAGATCCCGCTCTCCAAGGAAGAAATCGAGGAGATCTTCTTGGACTTGGTGAACAAGTTTGGCTTCCAACGTGACAGCATGCGTAACATGTATGATCACTTCATGGTGCAGCTCGACTCTCGAGCCTCACGTATGACTCCCAACCAGGCTTTGCTTTCCCTCCACGCCGACTACATTGGTGGTGAGAATGCCAACTACCGACGCTGGTACTTTGCCGCCCATCTCGACCTCGACGATGCTGTTGGATTTGCCAACATGAAGCTTGGAAAGGCCAATAGACGCACCCGCAAGGCCAGAAAGGCTGCCAAGAAGAAGGCCGGCGAGGAGCAAAAGGACGAGGCAGAGACCTTGGAAGCACTAGAGGGCGACAACAGCCTGGAAGCCGCTGAATACAGATGGAAGACTAGAATGAACCGCATGTCTCAGCACGACAGAGCTCGCCAGGTTGCCTTGTACCTGCTGTGTTGGGGTGAAGCTAACCAAACCCGATTCATGCCTGAGTGTCTTTGCTTCATCTTCAAGTGTGCCGATGACTACCTGGGCTCCCCTGAATGCCAAAACCGAGTTGAGCCAGTGCCCGAGTTCACCTATCTCAACGACATTATCACCCCCTTGTACCAGTACTGCCGTGACCAAGGTTACGAGATTTACGAGGGCAAGTACGTCCGTCGTGAACGTGACCACAATAAGATTATCGGTTACGACGACTGCAACCAGCTCTTCTGGTATCCAGAGGGTATCGAGCGCATCGTGTTTGAAGACAAGACCCGCTTGGTTGACATTCCACCAGCCGAGCGATGGAACAAGCTCAAGGACGTCGCCTGGAAAAAGGTGTTCTTCAAGACCTACAAGGAAACCCGCTCCTGGTTCCATATGATTGTCAACTTCAACCGTATCTGGATCATTCACGTTACTGCTTTCTGGTTCTATACCGCTTTCAACTCTCAAACGCTCTATACCAAAAACTATCAGCAACGAGTGGACAATCGACCACCTGCTGCTGCCATCTGGTCGGCGGTGGGTCTAGGTGGTGCCATTGCTTCATTTATCAACATCTGGGCCACCATTGCTGAATGGTGTTATGTTCCTCGTCAGTGGGCCGGAGCACAGCATTTGACAAAACGACTTTTCTTCCTGCTCGCAGTGTTCGCGGTAAATCTTGGACCCAGTGTATACGTGTTCTTCATCAGCTCGAACTTGGAGAAAGACAAGATCGCCCTCGCTCTCGGAATTGCTCAATTTTTCATCGCCTTGGTAACCTTCATCTTCTTCTCGGTCATGCCACTTGGTGGTCTTTTCGGTAGTTACCTCAAACGAAACTCCCGTCAGTACGTGGCCAGTCAAACATTCACTGCCAGCTACCCTCGACTCAAGGGTAATGATAGGTGGATGTCCTATGGTCTTTGGGTTTGCGTCTTCGGGGCCAAACTTGGCGAGTCCTATGTCTTCCTGACTCTTTCGTTGAAAGATCCGATCCGCATTCTAGCCAACACGAAGATCAGTGTCTGCCAGGGTGATGTGATTTTGAAGGATTTGCTTTGCAAGTTCCAACCACAAATTCTCCTTGGACTTATGTTCTTCACCGATCTGGTCCTCTTCTTCTTGGATACATATCTGTGGTATATTATCTTGAACGCCATCTTCTCAGTCGCCAGATCCTTCTACCTCGGTGTATCGATCTGGACACCATGGAGAAACATTTTCTCTCGACTGCCCAAGCGTATCTACTCCAAGGTCCTCGCCACAACTGACATGGAAATCAAATATAAGCCAAAGGTTCTTATTTCCCAAGTGTGGAATGCCGTCGTTATCTCCATGTACCGTGAGCATCTCCTTGCCATCGACCACGTTCAGAAGCTGCTGTACCACCAAGTCCCATCCGAGCAGGAAGGGAAGCGAACTCTCCGGGCTCCAACCTTCTTCGTTTCTCAGGAAGATCACTCTTTCAAGACCGAGTTTTTCCCACCTCTTAGTGAAGCTGAACGTCGTATATCTTTCTTCGCTCAGTCTCTGTCCACTCCCATCCCAGAACCAGTACCAGTCGACAACATGCCAACGTTCACTGTTTTGATCCCACATTACGGCGAGAAGATCCTTTTGTCTCTGCGAGAGATTATCCGTGAAGATGAACCTTACTCTCGTGTTACTCTGTTGGAGTACCTTAAACAGCTGCACCCCCATGAATGGGATTGTTTCGTTAAGGACACAAAGATCTTGGCTGATGAGACCTCTCAATTCAACGGTGACGACGAAAAGAACGCAAAGGATGCGCAGAAGAGCAAGATCAATGACCTCCCGTTCTACTGTATCGGTTTCAAGTCTGCGGCTCCTGAATATACCCTTCGCACGCGTATTTGGGCTTCTCTCCGCTCTCAAACTCTATACCGTACCATCTCTGGATTTATGAACTACAGCCGTGCCATCAAACTTCTATACCGTGTTGAGAATCCTGAAGTCGTGCAAATGTTCGGCGGCAACTCTGACAAATTGGAACGTGAATTGGAGCGCATGGCTCGCCGCAAGTTCAAGATCTGTGTTTCCATGCAGCGATTCGCCAAATTCAACAAGGAAGAACGTGAAAATACCGAATTTTTGCTTCGCGCTTACCCGGACCTTCAGATCGCCTATCTGGACGAAGAACCTCCAGCCAACGAAGGCGAGGAACCAAGACTATTCTCTGCTTTGATTGATGGGCACTCTGAGATTTTGGAGAACGGACTTCGACGACCCAAGTTCAGAGTTCAGCTTTCCGGTAACCCCATTCTTGGAGACGGAAAATCTGATAACCAGAACCACGCTATCATTTTCTACCGCGGTGAATATATCCAGCTTATCGACGCCAATCAGGACAACTACCTCGAAGAATGCTTGAAGATCCGAAGTGTGCTCGCTGAGTTTGAGGAAATGACTACTGAGAATATCTCCCCATACACCCCAGGACTGCCACCAATGAATTTCGACCCCGTTGCCATTCTTGGAGCTCGTGAATATATTTTCTCTGAAAACATTGGTATCCTCGGTGACGTTGCTGCTGGAAAGGAACAAACGTTCGGTACTCTCTTCGCTCGTACTCTTGCACAGATTGGTGGCAAGCTGCATTATGGACATCCTGATTTCTTGAACGCCATTTTCATGAATACCCGTGGTGGTGTTTCTAAGGCTCAAAAGGGTCTACATCTTAACGAGGATATTTACGCTGGTATGAATGCCTTACTCCGTGGTGGTCGCATCAAGCACTGCGAATACTACCAGTGCGGTAAAGGTCGTGATCTCGGATTTGGCTCCATTCTTAACTTCACTACGAAAATTGGTACTGGAATGGGTGAACAAATGTTGTCTCGCGAATACTACTACCTGGGAACTCAATTGCCACTCGATAGGTTCTTGTCCTTCTTCTACGCCCATCCTGGTTTCCACATCAACAACATCTTTATCATTTTGTCTGTGCAGCTGTTCATGATCTGTCTTATCAATCTTGGAGCCTTGAAACATGAAACCATTCTGTGTATCGTCAAGAAAGGTGTTCCAATCACCGATCCACTGCTGCCAACCGGATGCGCGGACCTTAACCCCATCAAAGACTGGGTCAACCGTTGTATCTTGTCTATTTGCATCGTTTTCCTGCTGTCCTTCCTTCCCCTCGTTGTCCAAGAATTGACAGAGAGAGGTTTCTGGCGAGCGGCTACCCGTTTAGCTAAACATTTTGGATCCTTTTCGCCTCTCTTCGAGGTCTTCGTTTGTCAGATCTACGCCAACTCTCTGCATAACAACTTGTCCTTCGGTGGCGCTCGATATATCGGTACTGGTCGTGGTTTTGCTACTGCTCGTATTCCATTTGGCATCCTCTACTCGCGATTCGCTGGCCCGTCCATCTACCTAGGCGCACGGTCACTTATGATGCTTCTATTTGCAACTGCGACAGTTTGGTTACCTGGTCTATTATACTTCTGGGTATCCCTCCTGGCTCTCTGCATCTCGCCCTTCCTGTTCAACCCTCACCAGTTCTCTTGGAACGATTTCTTCATTGATTATCGTGACTATTTGAGATGGCTGTCCCGCGGTAACTCGCGCTCCCACGCCTCTTCCTGGATCGCTTACTGCCGCCTCTCACGTACCCGAATCACTGGTTACAAGCGTAAAATCCTTGGTTCCCCATCCGAGAAACTATCCGGTGATATTCCACGAGCCCATTTCACGAATATTTTCTTCAGCGAGATCGTCGGTCCATTGGTCCTGGTTGCTGTGACCCTGATTCCATACCTTTTCATCAACGCACAGACGGGTGTCACCGCCGATAAAAACCCTGATGTTAAGATTAAACCGACCAATTCTCTCATCCGGGTTGGTCTTGTTGCTCTGGGTCCAATCGCACTCAATGCAGGTGTCTGTCTTGGAATGTTTGCCATGGCATGTTGTATGGGCCCGGTTCTCAGCATGTGTTGCAAGAAATTCGGTGCCGTCCTCGCTGCCATTGCTCACGCATTCGCAGTTGTTGGTCTCTTGATCTTCTTTGAAGTGATGTTCTTCCTTGAGGGCTTCTCCTTCAGCCGAACTCTGGCGGGAATGATTGCTGTCACTGCAATTCAACGATTCGTCTTCAAGCTTATCATTGGCCTAGCCCTGACCAGAGAGTTCCGACAAGACGATGCCAACATCGCCTGGTGGACAGGTAAATGGTATGGCATGGGATGGCATTCTATGTCTCAGCCTGGTCGTGAATTCCTCTGTAAAATCACCGAGCTCGGCATGTTTGCCGCGGATTTCATCCTTGGCCATGTTATATTGATACTCATGCTTCCAGCCTTGTGCATCCCATATGTTGACAAGGGTCATTCAGTCATTTTGTTCTGGCTAAGACCAAGGTAAGCAGCTTTCCCTTGATATTTCCTCTGGCCATACATATACTAACAACTCGATAGTCGCCAAATTCGTCCTCCAATCTATTCCCTGAAGCAGTCGAAACTCCGCAAACGCCGTGTCATCCGCTTTGCCATCCTATACTTTGCCATGTTCTTCCTCTTCGCGCTTGTTATCGCCGGTCCGCTAATTATCAAGACCCTCAAGTTGAACTTGCCAAAGGACCTCCCACTGCAGTTGTTGCAGCCCACTGGCCTGAACAATAACGACACCAGTAGTTCTATCACTGGCGGTCCTTTGCCTGGCCAGGCTGAAAGCACCGATAACGCGAAGCTCTTCAGATTCTAAGAAGAGAGATCAATACTGCGTATTTCCGTCTCTTCGCCCCCAATTCACCTTTCAGCGTTTAAGAAGCGCGAACGGGTGTTTAAAAGAAAGACTCTTGCTTTGATCATTGTCGGAGGATTTGGTAGAAAAACAAACACTATGTACGGTATTTTCTTTCTCCTCTTATCTTGTTACGCTTGCCCTTTTTGGCATTTTGCATTTTCCGCCACCTCTTGATAATGGAACGAAACGCTTGTGTTTTTAGTGCTCTCCTTTCATCTGGAGTTGGATTGTGTCAGTTTTCTATTTTTCCTAGCCCCCATTGACCGGACAAACACCCCTAGGCCGCTTGGCCTTGTATTAGATTAATGTTCTATCCCTATTATGGTCCTCGGTATTTCATGTTTTTTAGCTTGAATAGCACTCGTAATTCAAATCAAATCTCATTCGATGTTTATATCGCGCTTTCAAGCTCCATATCATACCATTCCTTAGACTTTATCTCCCTTTAACAGGAATAATAATGATATCAAGATCACTTCGTTTGATTCCAACCAATTACGTAATCAATAGCCCTTCGAGGTAAACATTATATACATACGATTAGTCATCAGATCAACTATCGATCCATGTTAACCTTTGACCCTTTTTCCTCGAAGATCTCATCTCCCCGGAAAGACCTCACATACCTACCTGTCTACCTACTTACCGACCTCCCTGTCTTATACTCTAGCTGATCGAGGTACTCTCTCATTAATTGGAACCTCCTCCGCGTTTATCTTTGCTTGCCGGAGACTCCGCTCCGTGTCACCACTCCCTAATCAGTCCTAATCCCAGCCCAATCGATAAGGTTGAAAACGTACCACGGAGCAGAAATCGCAATATATTGACATGATGGACCTTCAGGAGACCCAGAAACTCACGCTCGAATACCTTCACATCCTAGCTGATCAATTCCAGCGCGTTCCCGGCTCAGCTATATTCGTTCGTTATATCAAGTCGAGCTACCAGAATGATCCCGTCCGTTCAGCGGTGGAGCTGTTTCTTTTCCTGTTTGCCGTGAGATATCTTCTCGCGCCAAAGTATTCAACTAAGCGTGATTTTGTCCCTCTGTCGGAGGAGGTATGCATTCCATTCCTTATTATACACTTGATTTTATGGACTGTTGCTAAGATGTTTGATTGGTGGTGTAGGAAATCGATGATTTAGTAGACGACTGGACTCCTGAGCCACTTGTCTCTGCCCCGACAGTGCAGGACGAAGAGGATGTTGACAAGCGGGTGGTGCTTACTGGGTGAGTTGGCATTATACAGTATTCGCCTTGGATGCAATGGATGCTTACTAGTTTTAGGGCTACTGGTCCAAAATCTAAGCTCGTCAACGGCCGAACTGTCACCAACCTTGGATCTTATAATTTCTACAACTTCGTTGCAAATGATACCTTGAAAGATAAAGCTATCCAGACAGTCCGGACATACGGGGTTGGACCTTGTGGGCCTCCTGGATTCTACGGCACACAGGATGTCCATATGCGGACCGAGGCGGATGTTGCGACGTTCCTAGGCACACCAGCATGCATTATTTATTCTCAGGCATTCTCGACGATCTCCAGTGTGATTCCAGCGTTTTCGAAGCGTGGCGATATTATTGTCGTTGACAAGGGGGTTAACCACGCCATTCGCAAAGGTATCCAGATTTCGAGAAGTACGGTTAGATGGTTTGAGCATAATGATATGGATGACTTGGAACGTGTCTTGAGCAAGATCACGAAGGAACAGGCAAAGAAACCTTTGACAAGAAGGTTTATCATCACAGAGGGATTGTTTCAGGACAAAGGCGACATGTGTGATTTGCCTAAGATCGTAAGTTATATGTTGTCCCACGTGGTTTTGTGTGTATATGACGGTGTCAACTAACCTATGGTTGCCCTACAGGTTGAGCTCAAACTTCGATACAAGTTTAGACTCATTCTCGATGAGAGCGTTTCGTTTGGCGTACTTGGCCGAACTGGCCGTGGAATTACTGAACACCAAAATGTCGACCCGGCAGAGGCTGATATGATCATTGGATCACTGTCTGGGGCATTCATCGGTGGCGGTGGATTCTGCGCTGGATCTAAAGAAATTGTCAACCACCAACGGATATCGGCTTCCGCTTACTGTTATTCAGCTGCCCTGACAGCTCTATTAGCCACGACAGCGAGCGAGACCATAGCCCTCCTGCACAATAGCCCTGAGCTTATCTCTCAGCTTCGAGAGAACATAAAGACCATGTGGACTCAGCTCGATCCTCGCAGCGACTGGGTATACTGCACCAGTGCGCCAGAGAATCCGGTAATGATGCTTGTGTTGAAGCCTGAGGTTGTCTCGTCGAAACGACTCTCCATTGAGGATCAGCACCACATCCTGCAAGACATTGTCGACGAGACGCTTGCCAATGGTGTACTGATTACCCGACTTAAGCCCGTTCCAGACGAGACGGCCTCGAAGCAGACATATGTTCCTCCAGCTCCTGCTCTCAAGGTCTGCCTTACCACCGGGTTGTCCAAGAAGGAGACGGAGAAGGCCGGCATCATCATCCGTCACGCCATCACGAAGATTCTTCGACAGAAGCGATGAACGGCCAAGCTGGCGAAAAACTTTTACCCCCTAATATTATTATTGTACATCCAGTTTTGATTCTTCTTCTCGCTGCCCGGCTCTTTTTCCTTTCATTGGGCTCACTGTACTCTTTCCCTAGATAATACAACATTTTTAATGGACGAAATGGACTAATATGACCAAAAGATTTGTCCCTACACTTTCCTCATCCACTAGGTTGGTCTCAGGGCTTGGTCCAAACGAGGGCAGCCTTCATGTTGGCACCCAGAGCCCGACTCCAGAGACAGTTCATATATACTGTTGTCTACCTCCCTGTTGGTCTTGATAGAATTCACATATGCTGTTGTTTATCTGTTTCTTCTATATCGACTCCCAACCTGATGACTAATGAAACGTGACCAAACTAGGAAAGGGGCAACAAAACAGCAAAATGGCCGACTTAAAAGTGTTCAACCCATAAGAATCTGACAATGATCAAGTTGCAACAGATAAGGAGGGGTTATACCAGATCATTGCAGAATTATTCAAAGGATATGATGACCATGGCTTTGTCTAAGTTGCTATAATTAAATAAAGTACAGTGACTTTGTTTAATATCCATATTTGCTATCACTATGAACACTTAGATAGAATTCCTCTCTAGGTAGAGATGAAATTCTCACTCTATATATACCCTTTGGCCTTGTATATCTTGTTCATTACATCGCTGAATTGATTATAGAACCATGGCTACCCCCTACTCGCCAGCCAGTCTATATAAGTGCTGGAGAATATATCCTTTATAAATTATGCATGTCTAGTATTACACTAGCATGAAGAAGCCGCACTTTCTTTAGTATACTGTAGTATAAGTGCCAGAGTAAAGGGCTAGAGATAGGGGAAGCTGAGAGTGATGGGTGAACAAGGCTATCTGGGCGAGATGGCCATATATCTCACCTCAGTATTCTCACTTCTCACTTCTCACTTCTCACTTCTCACTTCTCACTTCTCACTCTCATTCACGTCACTTCTCATCTGTTTGCCTTTACCTAACGCGTCTCTTGCTTGACTATTTAAGCTACAAGTCTCTCGCTTAGCTTCTGCGTGAACTTCTTTCCCTTCATCTACCCACACACACTTCTGCACGACTTGATATTATAGCAAACCAGCCTCAGCCTTTGCTATTGTTGAAGCTTCCTTCAAGCTACTGGTTAGTAGATTACTTCACACATTCTTTATAGAGTCTCTCTATCTTATAGAGGTTCTCTGTTTCATAGACTGGAACATGTCATATATATTCTTGTTCCAGGCCCGTTGGTGGATCTACTAACAAAGGTATCTAATATAGCAGCCTCCTTTCTTTGACTGCCATATCATTCAAATATGGTGGCATTAGACAAGATGAAGATTAGCTTCTTTATTCTTGCCGTCCTCTCATTTCTGAGCTTTACTGCTGCTAGACCTCGCGGTATGTTCTAGTTTATTAAGCCCCATATAACCCTAATCATTTACAGAAACTTTACTAGCTGCCTCTTTCTACTACTATTATTTAAAGCAATAGCTAACCATATTTGATTTATATATATAGACTATGTCCGTCACGTTGCAAAACGCGTTCTTGTAACTGATGTTACTGTTATTGAGGTTCCTGAGGTTATAATCTGGGTCGATAATACTGGCAGCACTGTCACTGTTGAAACCAAGGGACACATTATTACGCATAAGCCGGCTCAACATATGTTAGACAAGAATACTGCTACCACTACCTTGTCTCACGATACTCCTACTACTACTATAGTCCCTCCAACGGTCACTGATTTACCCCCTCCTATCTCTAAGCTGGTTCCAGAACCAAAGCCCACCACTGAGGTCAAACCTACTGAAGTCAAGCCTACTGAAGTCAAACCTACAGAAATCAAGCCGACCGAAATCAAGCCTACTAAAGTTAAGCCTACTGAAGTCAAGCCTACGGAAGCCAAACCTACGGAAGCCAAACCTATTGAAGCTAAACCTACCGAAATCAAACCTACTGAAGTCAAGCCTACTTATGAGCCCAAGCCAACTACCAGCAAGACCCCAGTTTCAGTCCTCCCAATTACGTCCGAGACAACCCATGAATTACCTGCCCCTACCACTTTACCATCACCTCCAAATGGTCCAGCTGAAAAGTGGTTTTCCGGAAACGGATTCGGAATTTGCTATGCTCCTTATAATGCGGATGGAAAATGCAAGTCCCAGGATCAGGTTTACGCAGACTTTGCGAAACTACATGACTATGGCATTGTTAGATCCTATGGTGTTGACTGTGACCAAATCGAGACGATGATCAATGCTGCAAAACGATACAACAAGAAAGTATTGCTTGGGCTTTTCACTATCCAAGATGTTGGCCCAGAGCTGAACACATTTATAGCTGCTGCAAAGGACAACTGGTCGCATATATATGCTGTAGCCATTGGAAATGAAGTGGTCAATACCGGAAAAGCCTCAGCTCATGATCTTACCAACGCCGTCAAATTTGCTCGTGAAATTCTCCGCTCCAAAGGATATACTGGCCCAGTTGTTGCAGTCGATACCGTTAATGCTATGATAGCCCACCCTGAGATCTGCGAAGCTTCTGATTTCTGTGCTGTCAACATTCACCCCTTTTTTGACCCTCATACCTCTGCCGCTGAAGCTGGCGAGTTCGTTAGAGACCAAGCTAAGGCGGTTTCTAATGCTGTTCACGGATCCAAGAGAGTTATTGTTACTGAAACTGGCTGGCCTCACGGTGGTAACCATAATGGGGAAGCCATTCCTACGCGAGAGAATCAGCACACTGCCATGGAGAGTTTAATGCAAGCCTACAAGGGGACGAACGGAGAATTGTTCTTGTTCTCTGCCTTTGATGACCCATGGAAGCAGGATGGATCGAATACATTCGGTGCAGAGAAATTCTGGGGTATCCAGTGAGGATAGCCTGCTCACGTACTCACCGTCGCCTTTATCATGAGGGTTAGGAGAGAGATGATCATGCAGCTGCAACAAGGAGAAACGAGAAACGAAACGAAGATGCAGAACGGAAAATATTAGAAAAGAAATGGATGAAACTAAGGGAAGAATATATGTTATGATGATACACGATATCAAACTTCCAGGGAGGAAAGAATAAACCCAGAGCAGTTGTTTAAAGGGGCATATGTAATAATTTAATATAGATTAACACCAGGAATGAGAACCCTTCGACCAACAAACCCTTATATACTTCTATTTTCTTACTGGGTTGCTAATATATTTGGTCAAGATATGACTATCTAGGATATTATCCTTTGTTAAATATCAGTTTGCAAGCATTACTGCTAATTCCTACCTGCCAACAGGTAAAGACAAAGAATACTACATGTTTTGTAAGTCAGGTACTGCCGTGTCTGAACTTAAGAGTGTAGACTGGAATTTCAAGGCGCCAAAAGAGTTTTCAGTTATATGTTGAATTAAATCGCTATGCAATAAGTACAAATGATGAAATTTATCCAGCCAATGATATCCGCCCCTTAGTTAATATGCGTTTTTTGTACTTGCTTTGAAAGTCCATTATCGATCATTTCGACCGGAATAGTCGGATTGTTAGGCTGCTCTGTCGAGCCATTTGTGTGTGATGCTGCATTCTGAGATGAAGAAGCCAAAGTAGAGTTGCCTTCGGTAGTTAAAGGGGATGTGGTGCCGCACTTGACACTAGCTGTGGCTTGGCCATTAACACCTTGCTGTCCCTGGTGTTGCTGGTGGGCACGCCAGCGCCTGGTTCTCGGCGGTTCTGGTTTCTGAGATGGACGGGTAGGTAGGCAGTGATGTGGATTGTGTGGAGGCGGAGGAGGTGGGCGTGTAGCTGAGTGTTGCTGTCGGCTGTGAGGATGAGGATGCGTATGGGAGGTTGCATGAAGAGGTGGAGGTACTGAGTGTGAGGATCTTCGAGGCGGAGGGAGAGCTGGAGGAGTGGAAGGATGATGATGATTACAAGCTTTGTGCGGAGCCAGCGAGGAAGGAAAGCAATATGAAGACGTAGACGCGATTGAATCGGGTGATTGAACCATAACCTCCTTTGGGCTTGAGCAGACTGCGTTGTCATCGGCTTTGCGAATAGGAGAAGAGGCTGCTGTATTTGCTATATGCTCTTGTTCTATCGAATGTGAGTTCAAGAGCCCTGATTCGGAGGATCCTCGACAGGCTCGTCGGGGGAGTTCTCCTTCAACATTCTCTTTTGATTCCGTTCGACGGCGTGCTCGTGAGCGGCGGGCCATCGGCGGCTCGGGCTTTTGTTTCACGGCAGGCGGACCTCTGTTAGGTAGAGTAACACCAGGTCTTTCCTTGTGCGAAGCTACCTTAGCGATGCTATGGGAAGAGGAGCGTGCAGACTCCAGTTCAAGGCCAATTGATACAGCGGAGGGATGGCGAACTGGTGATGATTGAGTGTCACGCCCATGGAGATTTTCATCCAAACTTATTTGAGGTGAAATTGGGGATCCCACGTTGGGAATTTCCACACTTCCTTGAGAATTCGTCCCATTATGGCCCTTCGTCTTCCCATCATCACTTGATATCGGCTCTGACAATTCTTTCGTAAACCAATTGGTTCCCTCAGATATCCAACTAACCTGGCTACAACGCAAGACGAGCCGTTTTGTTGTATCGTCCACTTCATTAAAGTGAAGTATCTTTTCGTAATTCTTATCGGCATCCTCCGGTATGTCAGACCACTGTCCCCTCACTAGCGTCGTGAAAAGTTTTCTAAGTTCCTCGCGTTTATCGTGTGGGGGATATTTCAATTGAGTATGCGCAAGTAGCGGGTATAGGACTCTCAAGTATGTATGGCGAAGTGGGGTTGCATCTTCAGGTAAATCATAGAGGTTACGAATGAGAATATCGACAAGAACGCGCAGGTCATTAGTATAAAAGTATTCATAAGTTGAGGGCGTCGTAAATAGTAAATATAAAAGCTTGAGTGTGAGCAATTGCAGAGAGGTTTCATCTGTTTCCACGATTAATATGAATATCCTTGGGAGGAGTGGATGGGGAACAATACCTTCGCGGTTAAGGAGAAGGATAATATTTTCCCCAAAAGTTTTGTAAAGACTACCATGCATTGATAAGATTTTCATTACTTTATTCGTTAGTGGAGCGGTTGTAGGTCTGTCTCCGACAGGATCATGGCTGGATACCATAAATTGCTCATTGAGGACCAGCTATATGCCAATCAAGTCAGAATATATACATCACCGGCTGCACAATAATAATCTGGGAACATTCTTACCAAGACACGAATCACAGGGTAATGGTACGGGTCGTTTAGTTCCTCAGGGGGTCCCTCAATAATTTGGAAAAGGTACTTTATAAACCCGTCGTCCACCGTCACTATAAAGTTATTGGGTAAGTAAGGTCACACCCTCAATAAGGTCTGATGGTCCCGGCCTGACGACTACTTTATAAGGTGGCAATCGATAACTCACCTAGATCTTCAATCCTGACTCTCTGGATCCTTGACATCTCATATAACAAATCCATCAACATTCTATGCAGGCTAGCTTCAACTCCACTGCCAGAATGGTCGTCGCCCCGTAGCGATTGTATCAACTCCAATAACCGACAAAATGCCCCCTCTTCACACATCATTTCAAATGTAGCCTCATTCTCACATCCGTCGAAGAGTAGGAACGACACTATCCCGAGTAGATTATCGTGTGAATCTTCCTATAGATCGAAAACTCTTGATTAGTTGGATGTTTCCTGGCCATCGTACTCGTACTTCTCGTTGAACGGAAACGGAATTGGAGCTATGCACCTGAAGCAAGCTATATATTATTTGTAGTCGTATATAATCGGCATTATTTGCGAATAGCGACGATGACAGGAGCCGGTCTGTGCATCGGCTAATGTCATGATCGATATCAAAAAAGTCATCTGTGGGAATTCTACGTGTTAGATGACCATATATGCTAACTGTGGCTTCTTTGGAAGGGCGATTTGGGTACCTCTGCAACTCTCGAGCAACGACAAATACGTGCGCAGTATGTCGTCAATTTCCTCATGTGAATCGCATTGATGCTTGAGAACGTTGTCTAATTCTACTCCCAGCACGTCTCAGTTAGCAAACCATACCAACAAGCGAAATAGGACCACATATAGAGTACGCAAAAAAGCAGTGTTATAAGAGAATGCTGTCTCACCATTCCAGAACTGATCTTCTGTTCTCAAATTGCTGGCTTCGAAGTCCATTCCTATGCTCGCGCATATCTGAATATTCGTTCACTATGGTAATTTCCCCGTAGAAATAAAGAGACAGGAAGTCAAAGGAAGATAGAACGCTGGAATAACGAGAAAAAGGGAGACTGAGCTCGCAGGACCGGGGAAATGGAAGTATGAACGAGGCGATCTGCCTTGATGGCAAGCCCGCGAGATTCTGGGGTAGAAATCCGGTCACTTGTAGATATTATGTAAGCGTCCCATGACCGACATGATTTCATAGTTCTCGCATCCCTGTAGTAAATAATGCCTGCATAAGGCTCGATTGCGCATGAATTGCATTTATTTATTATTTAGCAAAGAGGGATTAGACTGGCTAAGAGCTTCAGTGGTGATACCACACGGAGAAGAGCCTGGGCTGCCAGGATATCCGTCATATCTAAACATATTCTTTGCTTTAAATCGTTTATGCGTAAAATTCTATGAATATATTGAGAATGGAAAAAATTGTTCAATAAACTCCCGCAAATGGGTATAACTTCACCGATATCCTCCTTAACCATGTTTATTTTTCCTCTTCCGATGTTATTTTGACCTATATCGTGCCTTACGAGCTGGTGATATCCGTCTCTTGAGCTAATTCGTGATATGTTAGTTTGTTGGTTACGAAAGTAACTAATTCCAGGACAACTTACTATTCCACAGCTCTGCATATACGCCACCTAGTTCTAGGAGCTCAATATGGCTGCCACTTTCGACAACGAGACCATCCTTTAGGACAATAATTCGATCGCTATCGTAGATTGTGCGAAGGCGATGGGCTACGAAGACGCTTGTCCGCGCCTTGTCCTTTAGAATGCTGTTTATATTCTGAAGTAGCGCCTGTTCGGTATATGTGTCGAGGGCGGATGTCTGTTTCGGTGGAGGTTAGTAAACACATTCCATTCGTTTAAGTTAAAGATGCAAAAGGGGAAACGAGAGTAAACATACCGCCTCATCAAAGAACAGCAATGGTGGATCCTTTAATATCAATCGTGACACTGCTAGCCTCTGTTTTTCTCCTCCCGATATCATCATACCTCGCTCTCCAACAGGGGTATCATATCCTGCAGGCAATCGCTCGATAAGCTCATGGATATGGGCTCGCTGTGCAGCCCTTTTAACCTCTTCAGTCGTAGCATCAATCTTGCCATATCGGATATTGTGCTCAATAGTGTTATTGAATAAAGGAGTGTCCTGTGGCACAACTCCAATGGCTTTTCTTAGACTGGCTACAGTCAAGCCGCGAATATCTTGGCCATCGATCAAGATACGACCCTCGTGCACGTCATAGAATCGGAAAAGGAGGCGAAGGATAGTTGACTTCCCACATCCACTTGGTCCAACGATAGCAATTTTCTTACCAGCTGGAATTGTGAAGGAGACATTTTTCAGAATAGGTCTATCTGGAAGATATCCAAATGTAACGTTCTCGAAGCGGATTTCTCCACCCTGCCGAAGCTGTAAAGGCTTAGCGTCGGGAGCCTCTTTGACGTTAATGTTGACCTTTTGGAGATTGAACAGAGTCTCCATGTCCATCAACGACTGCCTTAGCTCACGATATACCGAACCTAGGAAATTTAGAGGCATCGATAGCTGAAATACTAACTGGTTAACCATGACAAGGTCACCAACCGTTAATTGTCCCGTAGCCACGCCATCGGAGGCTAAGTACATCATAGCAGCTAGCGCACTTGAGAAGATCAAATTTTGGCCGGAGTTTAAAAGCGCCAATGAAGTCGTGACTTTGATTGATGCGGCTTCGTATTTCTTTAGCGCTTGATCATACCTGGAAACCTCAAACTTCTCATTATTGAAGTATTTCACGGCTTCGTAATTAATGAGGGAATCAACTGCTACCGTTGCTCCCTGATTGTCGGCAGCGTTGGCCTGCTTTCGAAATTTCGTTCGCCAAGCCGTGGTCGTAATGGTGAATGCTGTATACGCCAACATGGTAGCAGCAGTTATTGCAGCAAACTTTGGGCCATATTGATATGTCTAAGAGATTGTTAGAGAGATTCAAGCCTTGAACATAAGCTAATATAAGGCGGCATACCAAAATACCGCAAACCATTGAGATTTCTAACGCGGTTGGGAACACATGGAAGACCATTGACGTCAACAGAAAGCTGATTCCTTTTGTACCTCTGTCGATGGCACGGGTGAGGCCTCCTGTCTGGCGGCTCAAATGGAAGTTCAAATCAAGTCTGAGGAGATGATCGAATACATCGCGCGCCACCTTCCGAATGGCCTTTTGGGCAACGCTTGCGAATACCGCATTTCGCAATTCTTGAAACAATGTTGCTCCAATTCTCGTTACGCCGTCTAAACTCATGCTCTCTAGTTAGATAACCTGCCAATGGCCGTTTAGGTAATCACGATGAGGACGGTGCATACATGCTATTATCATGGACCCCCCGACCGTCCAAGCAGTCCCGCCTATTGCTGCGAAATCGACATTCATGGAGTCAACTATGTTCTTGAAGTAAAACGGGACTTGGACGTTTAGAATCTGGTAGAAGTTAGCTAAGACTGCATGATACCATCTTAAAAATGTATGGGTAACAAACTTTTCCTCCAACGAGCAGAGATAATGCTATCCCAACCCGAAGTTTCGTATTCCAATCGTCCTTTTTATCAGTTAGCAAACGGGCTTTGAATGACCGCCAAATAAGTATTGTCTACCTTAGGCCAAAGGTACTTCGCCATTTCTTTCATGATAGCCCAGTCCACCTTCCTTTGCTCTTTGGATGTAACATTAGTCTCGGATAGCAAGGCACCCGGCTTCTTGCTGTCCGCTTTTGTGACGCCAACGACATCCTTCTTTCCTCCCGTACTCTTTACGTCGATGGTAGCAGTACTTCTTGTCGTTGGAGTTGTGGTAAGCGGCCCGCCCTTCTCTTGCGTACCGGCAGGTTGGTCCTTGGACAGGCTTCCTCTCGTTGTGAATGTGCATCGTAGTGCGCCATAGCGATTCGATCCCAGGTTGAGCGGGCTGGCGAGGGAAAGACGAGATCTATAAAAGTTTTGTGGCGCAATGCGACATTGCAATTGCGCGGTTCGCAGAAGCATGTCGTCTCAGGGCTGCGCGTCCCGCAACAAATGCAACATAAATATTCCCACGATTATCCAGATCTATCGAATATTCATGATGTCATGATAGGGCGATTCAATGGACGGACCTCGATCTGTAAGACTGAGCGTTAGAACGTGACCCTTTAATAAACATATGGCGCACTTACCGGAGACGCTGTAGAGCCCTCCTGGACGGCACAGAAGCGAATAATCAGCTTAAGACAATTATCCGAAGCTCGACAGGTTTTAACAATTCGGCGTTGCTTTTGCGTGATGATCGATTTCCCACGCTGCCGTTGACTTTATCGAGCTTGTTTGTCTTGTTTGTTTGCATCGTCATGTTTTCAACACCAAGAAACATTCCAGGGCATCACTGTCAATCGGAATACTTGATATTTCATAGCAGAGGGCAGGCATTGAGTTGCTGCTCAGCTTGCGGTATACACTATCGCGGCCATGAGGCGATCAATACCCAGAAGCGGAGTTTGGCCGTCGAACCATCTCAGGCTGAGTCCGCGATCCGGCGCGCAGAGACACATCCATATCCAAGCCATACCAAGCAGTCAACTCAATTCAGTGACGAACGGAAATTTCCACTCTGCTTCAACGACCACTAACTCTGCAATATCTCCCGGTTATTATATCCAGCCATTCATTTTTATCAAAAGCTATTGAGAATCCGAGCTGACCGATAATAAAGATGCCAAATTCGAAGTCGTCGGTTCGCCGTATTCCCTTCTTTCCGTGTCGCTCTCCGCATCCCAGAATCTATATACAAGGCGTGGAACCCTTGTGGGACTGAGTGGGAAGGCAGAAAATGTACGGTTATCATATTACAGGCGGACTCTTGGAATAAATGGCTAAATTGTTATGAAGGTTGTTTCTACCCTGCGGGTCCTAGAGCCATTCCGTCGAGCAGCACTAGGAATTCCGTTCTTATACCAAAGAGTGAGATATCCCTTCGATTTCCCACTATAATAGTTGATTCTAACTCTATGTGACTTGTATAGATATCCTCTGCTAGCCCCGTCTCTGCGTTGATTTCGGTCCAGTCGCCGATAACGTCACTTGCTCTCCTTCAACTCAATGGCACCGTGGATTGGATGTTGGCTCAGCGGAACGCCCTTCTTGCGTGGACTGGCCATTCGTTGACGATAAAACCGAGATTTAATAACCAATTGGTGTGTTAGCCATGCTGCGACCTCGAGATACTGTAGTTGAGGAGCAAGCTAACTCGTGAAGAGTTTGACACATTGGGGTAACTCCGAAGTGACAGGACGAGGTCTTATTGCATTGGTTGGGAAGGGCCAGATATACTCGATAGATTTGAAGGACGGGGAACAGTATATTGCTCACCCAAGGTATGTCAAGCCGGTATAAGTGTCACTGGCCGTCAACTAATATATACCACGATAAGCAACGTCGTCGCCTATACGATGACGCCGAAACCCCCACAGCCCTATAGATTCAAGTCGACAACGCTCAGATTCCAGGTCCCTAACCTTGGCGTAGGGCAGCGGCTATCGAATACCAACCTGGTGCAGAACTTATCCAAGTCGGACACCTGGATGGCAGCAATGAGAATCTTTCACACATTACGAACGTGGACGAGGAGAACGATATGGGGTGATCGGGTAAGTGACTTAACCATCCCGCCTTGATATTCAGGTCCCTTGTCTCACCATCCGAAATAGCTCTTTTTACAGTTCCATGGGCCGACGACCCTCCTCGTGCAATCTCGAGCTGCACGGATTAACGACATCCTAGCCGACCACGAGGTCAACGAGATTGCCGATGCGACTCCTGGTGTCACCAGGGCGGCTGTAGAAGCAACCGCTGTGTCGTCTGCAGAGGACACCGCGTCTCATCAGTCTACGACCAAGGGTGACCACCCACGACAGAGCATCGCCAGCGTTCACCGGGATGGGAAGGTCGACATCAAGCCAGCCGAATAGATTCCCTCCATAGCTGGCGGGTGCTGGAAGAGACAAAAGGAGGATTGCCTGCCTTTCTTTCAGACGGTCCGTGTATTATTATTACTATCATCATCATACAGCTCTGTGTCGATATAGCATGCATCTTTCTTTTACCTCCTCCCTTTGGCGCAGTCTAACTTACATAATCATATATGCCAAGATACACGCCAAGAAAACCTTATATATATATCCATGCTTCATCACGTGATTAAGGGGCTGATCTTATGTGCTTACTAATCAGAGGAATCGACGACGACCTTCAACCTCTCTTCCTCTATATCACACTTCCTTGCAGGGCACGACGTTTTATTTATACACACGGAGCATGCCTATTTATATACTTCCGCACGCTTCCACTTGTTTCAGGCGTTTCCAGTGGCTGCGGGTCATTTAGACGAGGCCTTCGATGACACCCAAAGACTACGCTCTGATACTGGGCCGGAAATTACTTACACTTTTCGCGACACGGGACAAGGGCTTCCCCCTATGCTGAAGCCTCGGCAGGCGTTTCCCCGACCACGTCATGGTACCGGATGGCCGCTACTCACAGTGCAGATAACAAGATAACTTGCTTGTCTATCTAGCGGCTTGGTGTGGAGTGAATATGGGGTGCAGATAGAACGTTCCTTTGCTCCCTTCACCTCATGAAACCCTCTAGGGGCCCCGAAATCCCCACGTCTCAACACGCGATCGCCCGGCCAGGGCCCCGTATTAGGCAATTGATGTGTCCAAATACTTGTTACTCGCAGATTCTTCTGGCATTGTGACGGGCGGCGATCTGGAGTCGCACCATACCGGATGAGGTACCGCTTCTGCTCTCTTGCGGATCAGGATTGACAAAGCTACTCCAGCAGAGAATATATAGATATATGCCTACTATATATATCAACGGTTCTTCGTCTCGCGTCTAGATCTCAGCATCTAGGCACAGATGAACGCTCGCGCTATGATGATACCTTATACGGCCTTTACGGCGTCTATACTTTTTTAAAGTCCCGTTGCTCCTTGCATGAACTCCACCGCACCTCTAGTAGCCGAGTCACTTGGCATATACTGAATCGCAACATCAGCCGGGGGTTCCTTTCGCCCTGAGTTTGGGCAGCACGAGGGCGATTGGAACTGTTTCTGGTTCCTGTCTCTGCCATTTGTGCGGTTATGGCCGGGTCCGGGCCCTTCCAGTATACCCCTATCAGATACGGTGCTGGATACCCCGAGACAGGATTAATCTCACACGGTCAAAACGGATCAATGCATGTGTAAAATGACTCGATGTTTATTTCTCAATGCTACGTTCCGTGCCTGGGATATAAACCGTCAGGCGTGACGGGGCTGGTTATAAAAGAATGGACCCCCTCACAGTCTTTCTCTCCTTCTTCTTCTTCTTCTTTCTAGAAATCATCCTCTAGACATTCCAAGCTCCTCTTCCTAAGCTCCTCTTCCTACATTCCCTCTCTTCAAGATGCGTTTCTCCGTTCTCCTTTCGAGCATAGCTGCTCTTAGCACTGTTGCTGCCGCAGAGCGTATCTGTGGAGCTATCCCCCACCGAACCTTTGCAAAGGAGTCGAAGGAAGCTCTTGCTGTTGCCTCAGCTTCAGGTCACCATGTCAAGGCCAACATCTCCGTCGAGACCTATTTCCATGTCATCACCGATGGCTCAAAGGGTGAAATTTCGGTATGACAGCTCTAGCATTGGCACTTGGGTAATTGTCTAATAAGTTTACAGGACGAGACTTTGGCTGAACAACTCGCTGTCATGAACGACAACTATGGACCTGCTGGCATCAGCTTCAAGCTCATGGACACCAGCCGAACCGACAACTCCAACTGGGCCGCTGGCGGTGACGAGACCGGCATGAAGCGAGCTCTTCGAAAGGGAACTTACTCCTCCCTCAACGTCTACTTTGCCCCCAACCTTGAGGGCGGCCTCCTTGGTGTATGTATATCCTTTTTATGACATATTAAAACCATGCCTAAACTAATCAACGTGTTATAGTTCTGCTACTTCCCCAAGGCTAGCCCCAGCGAGAACGACAAGCTTGTCGATGGATGTGTTATCCTTTCTGGCTCCGTCCCCGGCGGCGAGACGGCCCCATTCAACGAGGGAAAGACCACCACCCACGAAGTCGGACACTTTATGGGTACGTTCTCGGGCTCTAGCCACCACATGTTCCATTTCTACGGTATCTAACGTGTTTTCTACCAGGTCTCTACCACGTCTTCAACGAGGAGCAAGGAAACTGCCAAAAGGACGGTGATATGGTTGCGGACACCCCAGTCCAGGGTGAGAAGACCAGCGGCTGCCCACAGGGCAAGGACTCTTGCCCACAAGAGGGTGTCGACTCTATCCACAACTACATGGACTACAGTGACGAGTAGGTTCTACCCTATATCTATTTCACAAGTAGACCAAGACTAACTGTTCAATTCCAGCCCATGCATGAACGAATTCACCCCCATGCAACAAGCTAGAATGCAGATGATGTGGCAGCAATTCCGTGCTGGCAACTAAATTGGTCCAGGCGTGCATGATTTACGAGCTGAGCTTGTAACATTAGGATGACTCGAGAGTGATGAAGCGGTTCTTCGTGCCAGTGGCACGTGTATATAGTCTGAAGAAGGATCGAAAGTACATATATAACCCACCATATGGGCAAATTAACCTGTTTATACGACATTGCATCGTATCCAACATGGCATCGTTATCCAACCGTAGAGCGAACCTGCAACATAGGGTGTTGTGGTCTTCGATATAGATATGGTCCCTGGTGATATTGACAGGGACATGGATAGACAGGCAAGGGTTTAACAACTTCTCTCTTTGTATAGGATTTACCATATAACTGATCAACGTTTACCCCTTGAACCTGTCGATAACATCCTCCCAGTCCGTCTTTAAAAAGAAAAAGCGACTATCCGAAGATCTTCGCGGGGAGGAGCGGGGTAGTTCTCACCACTAAGAAGTGCCTAAGGTCTTCTAAGTAGCAGCATCCTCCACTAAAGACTGGTAAGAGCCTACAGTACCATATCTATACCATGGCTCCAGGCACGGCAAACATCTCTGCTCGCGTGTCGATGAGATGGCCCCCAGAGCCTGCGTTCGAATCGACGGACACGGTCTCGCTCTCCGTGGGCGGGTGGTATGTCGACCTACGGATCGAGCTTGAATCCGGGAAGATAGCTTGGGCGATGGCAGGGCAAAGGATAGTTGAAAGCGCATCACCGCGTAAGACAGACCTTTGACCTATACGTGTTGGAACTACGAACTCACCGGGACTGCTACCTAATAACTTATACCAAGACACAGCCGTCGTCGTCTTCACCCATGCCATCGACTCGCTCCAGCTCTTCGACACGGCCGACATAGGCACGTTCAAGGTGCTGCCCAACGGAGACGACTTCGAGAGTGGAAAGATGGCTCACCAGGATCTACCTGGAGCTCCGGTCCGCGAATATGAAGAGATATGGAGGAAGATCGAGCTTCCCGAGACCACACCAGAAGGACAGGGTTATTCGTGGATTCTAGAGTCTGAGGAGATGCTTCCTCCCCTATCGACCCTGGGACAGGACGAAAGGGAAGTCAGGGTGGCGAAGACGTTTCTGGCTCGCGTGCCAGGCCATTATATCGCTTTGGGACAGGCCCAGTGGTATAAGAGGGAGCAGCTCGACGGGGCATGGACGGTGACAAAGGTTGGGGGAGAGGTCTCTGGGCGGAGGGAGACGTGGGATGCCAGCACCGGACAGGACGCCGTCGTCAAGTACGCGGTCGGAGACGAGGCAGAGAGTCTTCCATCACTCGTAGCAGCAGCTGGCGAGGCTCTGGCATTCAGCGGAGAGGGAGGAGAGCTCTGGCGTACGCCCGGTCGAACTGTCATCGTCGGTGGCACCGGATTCGTCGTTCGTGCGTTTGAACCACGATGAAGAACTCTGCCTCTCCTAATCCTCATGACCGTGTAGTATACGGCGTAATAAGTACTGACAGATATACTCCTAGGTTGTTTGATATCAAGATGTCCTCCTGGCATGCATCTTGAGTATCAGGAAGTGTCGGCTCCGACCATGCAACAAAACAGGCCGACTGGCCCAATTGGTTAAGGCGCCTGACTACGAATCAGGAGATTGCAGGTTCGAGTCCTGCGTCGGTCATTTCTTTTTTTTTTTTTTTTCATTTTCTTTGTCTTTTTATATTCCTTTTTATATTCTCCCTTTCCTTTCTTTTTATATTCTTTTATTCTTTGAGCCATGCTTACTGTGACTAGAAGATGGCCAAGAGACTGTTTGGAGTGGACGATCTCAGGACAAGCGTCTGTTACAGGTCTGCTCACACACACGGCCAAGTCAGCCACAGTTTCACCATCCAGACACTGGTCCATATAGAGGTCGATCTTCCATCTCGACATCACGCTGCGCTTCGCTGCAGGGCATGGCCGTGAATACGAAGCCTTGATACGCCTTGGTCCCTTGGGAGAAACCCCTGGCATTTGGATCCGATAACGCAGCGTCTAGCCGCCAGCAGGGGCCGACACTCGATGGAACCCCTGGATGCTGCCCCAAGTGCATCCATATGATCGAAGTCCATATGATCGTGGCTCTCGAGAGGCCCTTTCTATTGCTTCCATGAGGCTCTGGCGAAGTAAGTTTGGCCGTATTTACTTCAAGCCGCTGGGTGGATTTGCCGACGCGGGAAGAAACTTCCTCGTTTCCCTGGTTCTTCTCTGGGGATAGGGTGCAGGATGATGCTACATCCTACAAACTCATGTCTCGAGCTCGAGCTTAACGCCCAACCCTTCCGCACATATACCCAGGGTGCTGAGAGCATGATTGACACCGAAACTCTGCCCAAGTTTCCCACTTGGCGGCTCCACGCACCCTGGTCCATCGCCATCTCGTTGGATGTCAACTTGTCGCGGACTCGCGGCTTGAACCCTGGTTCATTTCGCCCGGATGCTTAAAGCGGGTGTTTTTCGGGTGTTCGGCCAGTGGTCGAGCAAAAAACACCGTTGGATTGCGGCCATGCCTCGAGTGATCGCTTTTTCTTCCTCTGCTGGCGAGGCTGTTTGTTTATTTGCTTATTGTACCGTACCTTATACGGCGTGCGTCCGGCGAGATAAATCTATTACCTCACGTATTGCAGTAGCCCTTCCTTCCCTCGGAATTCCTCTTCCTGACGCTCCCAGTTGAATGGTGCGATTAGAAGAACAGAGTGAGCCAAAAAGTTCCAGCTCATCGTATTCACATACACACAAGGTCCGGCACAATGGGGAAAACGGCAGCGTATGATGATAGAGAGATGCAGATGTATGCTCGCTCGCAGTCTATCGGCTCGTTGGCCTCTACCATAACACAACACGCCTGGTTCGGAACCACGAACAACACCGCTTGGGAGAGCGACAAGGATGAGGAAAGTATCGTGAATGGTAGAAATCTAGAAGATGCTCACGGAATGGCTTCAGGCGACGAGACGGACGTCGAACACGGCCATGATATAGAGGCGCTGCCCAAAGATCCAATGATGGATCCAAGCTCTTATCCAGACGGCGGGACAGAGGCATGGACAGTCGTCTTTGGAGGGTTCTGCGCCTTGTTCGTCAGTTTTGGATGGATCAACTGTGAGTTTTCTTTAGATGTCAACGTATATCGGTGTGATGCTAACATTGCGAATAGGCGTTGGTATCTTCCAGGACTACTACCAGACACACGACTTGAAATCATACTCACCAAGCTCGGTGGCCTGGATCCCTTCACTCGAGCTTTTCATGATGTATCTTGTCGTATGTCTCGATTTATTGCTCCTCAAATTGAAGAAACAGCTAATAACATGTTACCAGGCACCGGCATGCGGCAAAGGGTTCGATAGTTATGGCCCACGATATCTTCTGATCGCCGGGTCAGCGTTCCATGTGTTTGGTCTAATGATGACCTCTCTCTCTACTGAATATTATCAGTTCCTCCTGGCACAGGGTATTTGCAGTCCCCTCGGTGCCGGCTTTCTCTTCTACCCAACGATGAACAGTACCGTCACTTGGTTCTACAAGCGACGAGCCCTGGCCGTGGGTATCGTTGCCAGTGGCTCAAGTCTGGGAGGCATTATCATGCCAATCATGATCAACAAACTTATCCCCATGATAGGTTTCGCATGGGCTATGCGTACTTGTGCCTTCTTGATACTTGCATTGTGCGCCGTTGCTTGCAGCTGCGTCAGATCAAGAATCCCACCGCATCCTACGCCGCTGGTGTTCAAGGAGTTCTTTACGCCCTTCATGGAGGTGCCGTTCGTCCTGCTTACCGCGGCAACCTTCATCTACTGCTTCGGCATGTTCTTGCCCTTCACCTTCTTGGTCCTTCACGCCAGGAGGTATGGCGTCCCTGATAGCCTTGCCGGCTACCTTGTTTCGATATTCAACGCAGCAAGGTAATGCTCTCCCTTTGTATCCAATATATCAAAATGATATGCTAACCTTATAATTAGCATCCTTGGCCGAACCATCCCAGGTTACCTAGCTGACCGCATGGGGCTGTTCAACGTCGTAATTATAATGTCATTCTTCAGTGTCATCGTGGTCTTTGCCGTATGGCTACCGTCTCGCGGCACCGCACCAGATGTACTCTTTGCAATCCTCTTTGGCTTTGCATCCGGTTCCCTCGTATCCTTGCCGCCCAGTCTTATCGCCCATATATCAGACGTGCGCAAGATCGGTGTACGAAGCGGAACCATGTTTGCCACGGTTTCTATCGCCGTATTGCTGGGAAACCCTGTTGGGGGATCCTTGGTCCCAGATGTCGCCCATGGCGATTATTGGAGAATGCAAGTGTTTTCCGGCTCGATGCTGCTTGCCGGGAGTATGTTTTTCGTTTTCACCCGAGTGAGGCTGGCTGGAACAGCCATCATGACGAAGATCTAATCCTCTAGTATCTAATCCCTCTGGTCAAAGGGGAGAAAATGAGGTTGGTCTGTTATATCTTTATATTTACTCAGCATCTTTGGGCGTCCTTGTCGGTTTATACGTATATACTCGTGTTCCGGTTTTTTATAGCATTTTAGCGTTAGGGAAGGGATGAAACGGTTATAATGAGGTTGACATGAAGGAACCAAGTCCCTCCCGCCGTTATGGCAGCATATATATTAATACAACATATGTTAGAAGTCATAATCACAATATATGTACTTGTTCTCCATGATTAGGCGCCGTTAAAGGTCGTAGAGGCCTCAGTACATAAGCGTTGTTCTGGTTGCCCGGACAACGAATCTGCGCCATCCACACAATGCAACACGAACAGAGCACAACGGAACTCGCCTTTCTCCTTTGCTGAGACGAAAGAGTAGAGACGCTCGAAGCAGAGCGATATTGCGCCCAGTGAACCGGCCTTCCCTTTCGTGTCTTCCCTTTGTCTTTTCGTCTGTTCTTTTTGCATCGCGGCGTTTCCCTTTCTGCGAGTCGATTCACCCGTGTTTTTGAGGCTCAACCAACTGAATACTGACCGAGACAACATTGACTTCTATCGCTAATCACTTTTTACGATTCTCTTTCTCTTGTTATACTCTTGCTCTCGATTTTCACTAGCCATTGGCATCGCGAACGAGCTCAGCCCTGACGGACAATTTGCAATTTCGCGGACGGACAAGGACAGGATCGCGAACACATCCAGAGAATCTTCGAACATGAGCGTTCAAGTCATCGCTCGCATCAGACCTCTCCTGAAAACGGAGAGGGAGTGCGATGTGATTGTTCAACCCCTGTCGACTTCACCCATATCGCAGACCGCGTTACAGAGTGGGAATGAAGCTATCTCGAAGTCCAAAGAAAACGAAAAGCCAGTGAAGGCGAAGAAAGGGAAGGGAAGGAAGGACGACAATACCGATACGTCGGGTGAGAAGGCGACGGTAGTTAGGATACCGAATCCCAGGAACGAAGGGGAGGACTTCAGCTTCAAGTTCCATTCGGTGTACGATGGCACTGCAACCCAGCAGGAACTCTTTGATGCAGAAGGTCAGTCTTGTTTTCTTCTATATTGCTCTGTTGGTTGGGCGGGGATGGATCTCTTCATTACCTTGGGATTAAAGAGGAGACATATATACATTATCAAAATATGGAATTTGGAATTAACTGGTTCTCCTTTTTGGCTTTGTTGTTGTTATTTCAGTGGCGCCTACTATTAAACACCTGTTCAATGGGTTTGATATCACCCTCTTCGCATACGGTGTTACGGGAACTGGGAAGACGCACACGATGCGAGGCGGCAAGAGTTTGGCGGATCGCGGTGTAATCCCACGGCTTTTGAGCGGAATATATAGACGCTGTCGCAAAATAGAACGGGATTCGGAAGGACGAACGCAGGTCGAGGTCGCCATGAGCTACTACGAAATATATAACGACAAGATATTCGATCTCTTTGAGCCGGTGGAAAAGAGGACTCCGTCCGGTTTGCCTTTGAGAGACAACGGGGTAAAGACCGTTGTCGTGGGATTGACGGAACGGCCTTGCACCAGCCTAAAGGAGTTTGAAGTTGTTTATGACCAGGCCAATATGAACAGGTCAACGTCTGCAACAAAGGTGAGATCATCGATGGTGTGATTGATATGACCCGTTTATTAACATTGAAATTTTGACAGCTCAACGCCCATTCCTCGAGATCGCATGCAATACTCTCTGTAAAGTTAACGGTGACCACTGGAGAGCAGATACGGGTCAGCACTGCATCCTGTATTGATCTTGCGGGCTCTGAAGACAATCGTCGTACGGAGAATGGCAAGGAGAGGATGGTAGAATCAGCAAGCATCAACAGAAGCTTGTTTGTTTTGGCGCAGTGCGTTGAAGCTATCAACAAGAAGCAGGCGAGGGTCCCCTACCGGGAGTCTAAGATGACTAGAATCTTAGGATTAGGCCAAAATAACGGCCTCACGATTATGATTCTAAACCTTGCTCCCGTCCGATCGTTCCATCTTGACACCTTGAGCTCGCTCAACTTTGCCAACCGGACGAAGAAGATCGAATCGCGAGAGATAGAAAATGAGCCGATGTTCAAAGGCCCGCCACGACCGGTAGCAGGCCGTCTGCATCCCGCAGGTGGCCCAGAAGCGAAGAGACAGCCTCTAAGACCCCTCGCGGCATCGATAAATGCCAACATTGCAGCGGTGACCTCTGAAGCTCGGAAGCCATCTGATGGCAAGCCGGCCAAAGCCTTCGCGGTATATACCGACATGTCCCAGGCTAAGAATACCGCCAAAGCGAGCATCTCCGACGCTCCCAGACGAAAGTCACCGTTGAAGCGGAGGCTCGGGAACGGCCTGCAGCCAACCTCTCGACCGTTCAAGGTTGCTCGAACAGACGATACCCCCCACCGGCATGGTATGAGTAGCATGTCAGCTACAAAATTTGAGGAGCTCGTCGAGAAGAAAGTTCGAGAGGTACTTTCCGCTCGCCAGCTAGATGTACCTGAGACTCAGAGCAAGTCTCATCAGGAAAGCATGTTGGCTCAGTCCAAGGAGATGAACGAGCAAATGCAGCGTCGGCTTGAGCTTCTGGAGCAGCGAATCGACGGGACAGAAGATTGCAGAGCGGAAGGATTGTCCTATCTGCTCATGGCCAAACAACACCAAGCCCGTGGTGAATATTCGTCTGCCTTGAGGATGTATCAGCTCGCCCAGCCGTTCTTCCCAAACAACGGAAAGCTGGCCCTCAAGATCGAGGCACTGAAAAATAAGAAGATAGCCAAAAAGGCCCTGTCGGGTGCATCAAGCACTGGAGAGAAACGCAAATACGGGGACGAGGATGAGCGATACGGGGGATCTGACGAGGAACTTAGTGAAGCAGAGCATACCGTTCATGCTTCTACTAAACAACTACGTCCCAAAGCCCTTTTACTCACCCGTGAGCCATCCTCGGGGCATTCGGAGGGAGTATCTGACGGAGAGATCTCGCCACGCTCCTCGCATATCCTCTCCGTGATCAATACACGAGACATCGAACGGATCAAGCTCCTTCGAGGAGTTGGAGTGAAAAGGGCAGAAGGCATCGTCAACTGTCTATGTGAGATGGACAACGAAGAAGGCCACGTCCGCCTTCACAGCCTGGCTGCGCTTGCAAAGATGAAGGGAGTAGGGTCGAGGACGGTCGAAAGCATGAGGAATGGAACTATTCTTCCTCCTTTGCGTCCGATAGCAACTGGTTTTCACATTTAGCTGCTGCATTAGCGAGGCGTTCCGGTATATGATATCTGCATATAGCATCACTTCCATTATCACTCAACATATTAAAGCTGCTGCCTAGAAAGGACAGCTCTAAATAAAGGACAGCTATCTAAATAAATATATAAAAGACAGAGAAATAGATCGAGTACGGAGAAAAGAGTAGAAGCGAGGCTCGCGCCGTGATTGGCCGAGGCCGTAGACAAGAAAGGCCACCGTAAACCCCAAGAACAAGTTGAATATAAGCATCGCCAACAGCATCAACACCCTCACCACGACGCTCACACTCGCAGAACAGCTTGTCCAGGGCCCACGGCGGCCTGACCTTGCTACTATCGTCCTGTCTACGAGAAACGAAAGCCTGCTGAACCGCTGATGTTCACTCTCTAGAAAGTACACAGTAGGTTCCCACCAAAAGCCCCTCGCCGCTGCCCACATGACGATTGATACTGAACGGCCCTTGACACAGCTATCTTCCCGCGAACCCCCCAGCACCACCAGCAGTATTATCCATCTATCCGCGCGATCAGAGGTTTGGGGAGTCCGTTCAGCAGTATAAATGGCAGCTCCGCAAGGGAATTACCCTCCACAGGGCCAGGAGGGCTACGGTCAGCAACCCCAGATCCAGCACCCCCAGCAGCACGAAGACCCAGCTTACACAGTCTCAGGAGCTCCTGGAGCGCCCAATGCCCCTCCGCATGATAGTGCGCCTGCTCCGGCACCCTCGCATGGCCGGAAGAAGCGTGCCTACGCCAACCAGGCATTCGATTTCGGCGTTGGCGCCAACGCAGCCCTGGGAGGCCAGCAGCAGGGAGGCGGCGAGAGCTATGGAGGATATCCTGCTCCCCAGCAACCGCAGGGATATCCGCAGACGGGCCCTTATCCAGCTCAGCAGCCAGCCCAGGCGCCGGTTGCAAGTTATCCTGGGCAGGATGCGGGTGTTTACCAGGCACCGGCTCCCGGTACCGCACACCTAACCCAGCAGATGGCACAGATGAGCGTGGCCGATCAGCAGCAGCAGCAGCAGCAGCCCGGAATGCAGCGACCTATGCAGCTGAATCAGCTCTATCCGACGGATCTCCTCACGCAGCCGTTCAATGTCGCTGAATTTGAATACCCACCACCTCCGATAGTGCTTCCCCCGAATGTAAGTGTCTCTCGGGGGATTTCTACATATCTGAGAATAGGAGGAATGGACTAATATATAAATAGACTAGTGTCACACCCTCGCCAGATGCGAACTGCCCTCCAAAATATGTTCGATCTACCCTCAATGCAGTCCCAACAACTAGCTCCCTCCTAAAGAAGTCTCGTCTCCCGTTTGCTCTTGTCATCCAACCGTACGCTTCCCTTCATGACTCCGAGGACGAGATTCCAGTTATTTCAGATCAATTGATCTCCAGATGTCGACGCTGTCGTTCATACATTAACCCTTTTGTCACCTTCCTCGACCATGGACACCGTTGGCGGTGTAACATGTGCAGCCTGACCAACGATGTACCGCAAGCGTTCGATTGGGATGCAGCAGCGCAAAAGGCACTGGATAGATGGCAGAGGCCTGACCTGAACCATGCCGTGCTTGAGTTTGTGGCACCCCAGGAATACATGGTCAGACCGCCACAGCCACTGGTCTATCTATTCCTGATCGATGTAAGCTATGCGTCAGTTACAAGCGGATTGCTAGCGACGGCTGCGCGGTGTATCCGAGAGAGCCTTGACCGGATACCAAATGCGGACCGCCGAGCCAGGATCGGTTTTATTGCCGTGGATTCCAGTCTTCATTACTTCACCATTCCCCGCGATGGGTCAGAGAGCTCTGAGCCAAACATGCTCGTAGTTAGCGACTTGGATGAGCCATTCCTGCCCATCCCCGGAGATCTTTTGATAACGCTGGCCGAATCCCGAGAGAACATTGAGATATTCCTTGACAAACTGCAGGAGATGTTCCAGAACACCCAGAACCCCGGGTCAGCTATGGGCTCTGCGCTACGAGCAGGCCATCAACTGATCGGCCCCGTCGGTGGTAAACTTACCGTCTTGACTGCCTCACTACCAAACATGGGATATGGCAGTCTTGAGATGAGAGAGGACAAGAAGGTCCTCGGCACAAGTAAGGAGAGCAGCTTGCTACAAACCGGCAACGCCTTCTACAAGAGCTTTGCTGTCGAATGCTCAAAGCAGCAGATATCCGTTGACATGTTCCTGTTCTCCTCTCAATACCAGGACGTTGCGTCGCTAAGCAACCTACCCAGATATACCGGTGGCCAAACATACTTCTACCCAGGCTGGAACGCTGCCAGGAGCGAGGATGCTATCAAATTTGCCAAAGAATTCTCCGACTACCTCTCATCCGAAATCGGACTCGAGGCCGTCCTCCGTGTACGAGCAACCACCGGTCTACGTATGAGCACGTTCTACGGAAACTTCTTCAACAGGAGCTCGGATCTGTGTGCTTTCCCTGCTTTCCCCCGAGACCAAGCATATGTTGTCGAGGTTGCCATTGACGAAACCGTCACCAAACCTGTCGTGTGTCTGCAGACTGCCGTCCTTCACACAACCTGCAACGGGGAACGAAGGATCCGAGTGCTGACTTTGGCTCTACCGACGACTCAGAATCTGGCCGATGTGTATGCCTCCGCGGACCAGTGCGCCATCGTAACCTACTTCAGTCACAAGGCAGTTGAGCGTACCCTAGGAGGCGGCCTAGACCAGGCTCGTGATGCCTTGCAGGCGAAAATTATAGAACTGCTCTCGACATACAGGAAAGAGCTGGCGGGTGGGAGTGTTGGTGGCGGCGGTTTGCAATTCCCTGCCAACCTGCGCGGCCTCCCTATCTTGTTTTTGGCAATGATGAAGAACGTAAGCACACACATATTCTTTCTAGTTACTTGAATTGCCATATTAACCTACGACGTAAAGCTTGGTCTTCGAAAATCCGCCCAAATACCTACTGATATGAGATCTGCCGCCCTTTGTCTCCTATCTACCCTGCCACTTCCGCTTCTAGTCCAGTTCATCTACCCCAAAATGTACTCTCTCCACGACATGCCCGATGACGCAGGTATCCCTCACGAGGGGACGGGAGAGATCGTGCTCCCGCCACGAATCAACCTCTCATCCGAGCGCCTCGTATCCCATGGAATGTATCTGATAGACGACGGCCAAACCCAGTTCCTATGGGTTGGCCGTGACGCCGTCCCGCAACTGATAAACGACGTGTTCGGGCTCAGTGACAAGTCTCAGCTAAGAGTCGGCAAGCAATTCCTGCCCGAAACAGAGAACGACTTCAACGAGCGTGTCAGGGCGGTCATCAACAAGAGCCGGGATACATTGTCACGCGGCGTCGGAAGCATCGTTGCACCACATCTATACGTCGTGAAAGAAGACGGCGAGCCCGGTCTAAGGCTATGGGCGCAATCGATGATGGTGGAGGACCGCGCAGACCAGAGCGTCAGTTTACAGCAATGGATGGGTTTGTTGAGAGAGAAAGTAAGTGCCGTTCATCTTCCATCTTCCCTGTCAAGGCCATGCTAACGTCTTCCCAGGTCATTCAGTAAACGTATTAGTACTAGACGGGTTGGTTTTCGCTGTCGTTTTGTCTCCGTTATTTCCATCGTTAACGTTGAATAATAATATGCAAGGATTAGCTCCAAAACTAAATATAAGATCTTCTTCGCTGCTCGATTTGATTTCCGTCTTCGAAGTGCCATCTACATTAGCCGCCCGTCTGCCATCTTGTAGCTTGAGCCGTATTCCTATAAATAACCATCCCCGTAGCCGCCTGCCAGTGCATACGTGCATCTCAGCTATTTATATGTAACCGCCCCCTGACGGGGATGTTCGTGTTTGAGAAAGCGCCTGTTTAGCCGCCAGTTTCACGGCCGGCGAGGGGCCCGTGGCGGAGTATGGCGATGCATCCCCTTAGAGATATAGAACAAACCGCCCGTCGCTCGCTCGCTCGTCCCCTTCGTCCTCGACTCGCCTCGAGCTATCGCGTTGTCTCTCCTCTGCGCCTCCTTGTTGCTCGTCCTCTCCGGTCTATCTGCGAGCCCGAGTCCGTAAGCTTTACCCCTCATCAATCACATTTCATCACATTCTTGGGCGAAACCCCTGTCGTCGTCACTCATCGACCAGTTCTCTCCCAGCATATACGGCGTATACAGCTGTTCCTCTGCGTGCTATCGACCCTGAGCTCCTGAGCTGTGTCCCGCTGCGTCCTGCTGTGCCGCTTTGTCGAGCTGGTTACGCCGTGCCGCAGGGTTGTATAAATATTGACCTCTCGTACCAGCCACCGCCAGATCCAACCCACCACGCCTGAACGACCAGACCGAGCAGCCTGCCGATTGACGCTGATTATACAGGCCCGTCGCATCTTGTCCTGTGTCCTTGTCGTCGATATACTGCGTTTCCAGTAGAAGAGACGCCGTCATCGACCCGGGAAGAGTGGAGATAACCGCCCCGCGCAGACCAGACGCTGAAGCCGGTACGTCAAGTGTCAATATTTCCTATTCTCTCCTCGACCGGCGCATAAGTTCTGCCTGCACTGGGGAGGTTGAAGTGTGCAGAGGAGTTCCGGGCGCAGTTTTACTGGACGGAAGTTCTGGTGGTGTTATTCAGGTGGTGAATAGCATCTGTCACCTATTCAGAAGGCTAACAATAGCTATACAATACAGATATCTTCCTCGACTTTAACCTCTCATCTCGTTTTACATATATCAGGCGCTTCCCTAATATCTCACGCATAGCTTCAATCCTTACGACCAATATCGAGACTTTGAAGACGAGGTTGATCGAGTCCAGTTTCTATACCCGCCATTTCAGCAGAGATCCTGGAGATCCTGCTACGAGCATACCAACATGGTTCAACCATCAGCCCCCAACGGAGGTTCGAGAAAGATATCGTTCAATGTCTCCGACCAGTATGACATTCAGGATGTGATCGGTGAAGGAGCCTACGGGATTGTTTGGTAGCTATGCCGTCTATCGTCCGAAGATATCCTTGATCTGACTTGGCTCACATACAGTTCCGCCGTGCATAAGCCATCCGGCCAAAAAGTTGCAATCAAGAAGATCACCCCATTCGACCATTCCATGTTCTGTCTCCGCACTCTACGTGAGATGAAACTATTACGGTACTTTAACCACGAGAATATTATATCCATCCTTGATATCCAGAAACCCCGCAACTTCGAGAGCTTCACGGAAGTGTATCTTATCCAGGTAGGCTCTATATCAGCTTGTCTGCTTAGGGAGGGTGTTCGTTTCATATATTAACATCTTCATAGGAGCTCATGGAGACTGATATGCACCGAGTCATCCGTACACAAGACCTCTCCGACGACCACTGCCAATACTTCATCTACCAGACCCTACGAGCACTAAAGGCCATGCACTCTGCCAACGTACTTCACCGTGACTTGAAGCCGTCCAACTTACTCCTCAATGCCAACTGTGATTTGAAAGTTTGCGACTTCGGTCTCGCTCGTTCTGCCGCATCAACCGACGATAACTCGGGGTTTATGACGGAATATGTTGCGACACGTTGGTACCGTGCTCCGGAGATCATGCTGACGTTCAAAGAATACACCAAGGCAATCGACGTCTGGAGTGTAGGCTGCATCCTCGCAGAAATGTTAAGCGGCAAACCCCTCTTCCCCGGAAAGGACTGTAAGTTTCCCTCACTTGCTTTCTTGAATTTAACCTAGTCGTTAAAAGCCGTGAACTAATTATCTTCCTTGTATCTCGCAGATCACCACCAGTTAACCCTCATCCTGGATGTTCTCGGCACCCCAACTATGGAAGACTACTATGGCATCAAATCCCGCCGTGCTAGAGAATACATTCGCTCGCTACCTTTCAAGAAGAAGATCCCGCTCAAGGCAATGTTCCCCAAAACATCTGATCTGGCATTAGATTTGTTGGAGAAACTTCTTGCTTTTAACCCCGTCAAGCGCATCTCTGTTGAAGACGCGCTGCGTCACCCGTATTTGGAGCCTTATCACGATCCAGAGGACGAACCGTCAGCGGACCCCATCCCAGAGGAGTTCTTCGACTTCGATAAGAATAAAGACACACTGAGTAAGGAGCAGCTCAAAGGTATGTCACCACCCACCTACTTACCCCCTATTTATACCATTCCAGCCAGCTAACCCCGGTACGAATTGTCCTTAGTCCTTATCTTCGAGGAAATTATGCGGTAGACGGTCATATTTTATCACTGTTTTTTTTTTTCGCAATATTTAACAATCTCTCTACACTTCGTTTATTTTCCTTTTTTAAATATTAAAAAATTCAGGAAATGCAAGCAACGTCTTATTCAAGGTACAACTGGCTGGGTCTGGGACTCCCCCCTTATCTTTTTATAGTAGCTTTTTACTATTGCAGTCTTGAATCAATGTCAATATGTTTTGAATTTGCCCATCACCCATTCTATAGACAGTATAATGTTCCATCCATTTGGAGTCTCTTCGCTCCTATCTACTTCGTTTAGATCTAACAATACATAACCCGTTGCCTGTCATAGGCGGTCCTGGTTATAGAAACTAGTGTAATCCCTTCCACTCATCTATAATCGGCCGAATACCTTCTCCCAATCCCGCAGGCGATGGAGTCCCAGCACAGACATCCGGCTGGACACCAAAGTTTGAAAGCAAGTGGTCCCTCGTTGTAGGGCCGATGGTTGCAATTCGATAGTCAAAATTTACCCATCTATTCGATGGTTTCCTCCTTGCTGGTGGATATATAGGTTCTCTACCTTCATCTGACGATGGGCGCTGGTCTATTTGTTCCGCTTGGCTGTCATCGAGAAGACCTAGATGTCGTAGCATCACCTCACAGCCAGAGGGCGAAAATACCACAACCCATATTATAGGTTTATGCACCGGAGGTGTACCATCCTCTCCGAGCATAGTGGCTGACTTTCGTTCTTCCTCCTCAAGGATAGTCACGAAATCTTGACCAAAAGACTCCATAACACCAGTCTCATACACGACCAGTGTATCAACCTCAATCCGTTTCTCTACATCAAGAGAAGGCGACATGAGCGTCTTCGGTATGATATCACGATGCTGTTCTCCAACCAGGAATAGAAGGGGTAGCTTTTCTTTCTTCTTCTCCAGCCGTGCTTCGTCTCCCTCTAGTGCTTGCGTTTGCTGACCATTATAGTGAGAGAGTATAAGGCCAGAAAGCTTCTCCCCGGTGCCTGCATTTTCTCCTATTACTTGGGAATGTGGGAAGTAGGAGTCGCATAACGACTTAAGTGATCTATATGTTGCTGGGCCGACGGAATAAAACGATAAAGAGCGGGAGAGATCTATAGTGTAGCTTTCTACATACGATAATTTCTTCCCATTAGTCTCATTTGGCACTCAATAGTGTCTATTGATGGGGCACGGGAAGGGCCGGAAAACATACTCCCTACCTCATCCTGGATCATTTTTGAAAACCCCTCCACTGCCCTCTGGCTTGTAAATATAATTCCGCCATATCGTTCAACCAATTCTCCTGAAAGTATCAAGTCTTTCACTTTTTGTAGATTATTGCGATTGAATTTATGTTCGAACACGGGAATGAAGCAGGGTCTATAGCCCTTTGAGGGAGAGAAGTATTCGTCATAACCATCGTGGGGAACGGATTTAGTTTTAAGGAAATATATGGGGATTTCTCGCGGAGAGGGTGACATTATGATCTGATATTGATATTGTTGAATTCATGTATGAACAATCGATCTTGGGATAAGATCCGGATAAGGGTACTACCTAGGTATACCTAGATAACAGCCCGCTTATCAGATTATGAGGTAAGCATGTTTATATCACGTGAAATATATCCTAGTCAGCGAAAATAGTAGACTCGGGGCACTACAGGGGACATTCTCGTCTAGTATGGAGGGCGATTGAGGGTAATATGCAAGTTACAGAACTAAGAAAATTGGGTGGCGTCGAGTCGACACTGTGTGTACATACATACAAGATCTAAAAGCAAGGAAATCAATAGTATAATACTTGTTTATTGGGAGTCCAGGACATGGAGGTATTTCTTCTCCTCCCTAAGTTCGCGCTCAGTGGCTGGTGGCAGGTCTGCGTACTGGGAGCTTCTGTATCCGAGCTGTAATTGGACGTTAGTATTCGAATGGTCTGATAAGCATTTGTAGAAGATAAGGAGACATACCAAGTAGTGGAAAGTGAGGGTATTGAGATCGGTTGGTTCGATGCCGAGGTCCTTGAAGGTCTTAGCAGTAGGGTCGATGTGCTGGTCAATGAATTCTCTTTCGACTTCGTCTGCAGATTTGATTGGCCACCAGAGCAGTCTGTTCAACCAGTAGGCAGCGGGCTTCATGATAGCCTTTGGAACGTTGATGTGCCGGCGCTTTTTGATGATTTCACGGTCAACAAGTTCAGAAATCTCCTTGGTGGAGTAGTTCTTTGGGCCGTACAGCTCAAAGGTCTGAGCGGTGGTCCATTCCTCCAAGAGCATAAGTTCGAGGGCACGTCCAACGTCAATAGCCTAGGGCATGGTTAGAATAGGTTCCCGCCGCCGATATTGGGAGAGTGCTTACATGGACTGGCCAATATCTCTCTTGCATATGATTCGACGTGAACACGTTCGTCACTCCGGCAAGCTTATGCAGAAGTCTATCCTCAAATCCAAACATTGGAGCCGGTCTCACGATTGTGGTTTCCGGGAAAATAGATCTGGCAACATTTTCACCTTGAGCCTTGGTCCTGAAGAACTCGGAGGGGGAGTCAAGACTGGCGTTGTGCGAAGAAACATGGACGTATCGATCAACGTCGTACTTCGCAACAGATTCAACTATCCGTTCTGTGCCTTCGACGTGGATATCTTCGTAGGAGAAGTTTCTAATAACGGTATTAATATATAGAGTGCGGCCCTTGGTTGTGCAAAGAGCTTACTTGGTGGGATAGTCTCGTCCGATCAAGTTGTAGACGATATCGGAATGGCGCACGCTCTCCTCAATCGACTGGGTGTTGCGGAGGTCATATTCCTAGCATCAAACTTTAGTATGGCGCACCGCCCATCGTCAGCGTTAGGAACCCATACCATGAAAACAACTCTTCCTAGATCACCGGTAACTTTCAAGTGACGTTTTGTCATCTCCTCCCGGTATGGAATGATCACGGTGCATCCTTGGCGAGCTATAAACCGAATCAGTCAACCCATCCACCGCGATATGTGCATCACATTTATCCCGTACCAAGTCTGTTCACAATATAACGACCCAAGAAACCAGTAGCGCCAAAAACGGTAGCGGTGTGGCCTAGAGAATATATCTTTAGAATCTATAAAATGGCCAATTGAACGCAATGGTTTGTGGATATACCTCCGAGAGACGATCTGTCGAGATGGCTGATGTTAGCGATTGCTCGGCTGTCCCATTGTCACCGCGCCGGGGCCAATCAACACATACCGTCCACCCTGCACCTTTATAATCGGAGATCCAGTTCGGGTAATGAAAACATCCTGTATGTTCCTTCGCTGGATGTGAGGTTGAGCCCATACGGGAGTCGATAGTGGGAGAGCGACCTTGGAGCTCAAGGCGCTCTGCACGGCGCGGCACTTCTGCATTGCGACCCCAATCAATGAACCATTAACGCCCGTCAAGAGCAAATAGTCCACCACAGGCACGGGCGGGTCACGGGCAAGGAATTGCGAGGTCAAGAGGCCGATTCGATGTGACCGACTGGTGCTGTCGTCGTGTTGGAGCGACAAATTGGTGGTTTGCTGGATGGGAGTCCGAAGCCGCCGCTAAACCGGATCTGGCAGGGACTCTGGCTGCTTTAAGAGCTGCTTATCCAATCGACACACGCGCATTACACTCTTCCATCAACAGTCAACATCAACATATCAACATATCAACACAATATCCAGTTGGCAGCTGACAGTGATTCTTTGGTGCTCGCAAGGTGCACACACGGCCGTTCAAGAATACGTCCGAAACAGGAGACCGAACAGAAGTGACAGTGTCGACGATCATCACGAAGAGGCATAAGCCATATTTGATAGCCATAGCCCGATGATCAGTCCTTAATGTCAGATATCTGATATCTCGAACGCATGCTCTGTACGGAGTTGCGAGGCAACGTATAGTGATCCTCGGACAACGACACCGAACATCTTCTACACGTGAACGACGGCAAGAAGAGTCCAAGTCAGTACTACACAAACCTTGATATCTGATTCTAATTGCGCGTGAAGCGGAATGCCATGAAACGAGTCGGAGGGCTGCCATTATCCATGGCTGTACAACCAGGAACATAGATCATGGCCCAATGGCAGACCATTGAATCCATACTTGGAGGAAAGGTCGCCTCCCTGATGGCAACTCCCGAAAAGGCATCTTTTCAAGAGCTACTTCGTATACTCCGTACGGAGCACCAGGTAGGCTTTTCTTCATCGGGTCCAAGCGTACCCTGTTAATTCATGTACTGGAACTGGGGAATCGATGTATCCCTCGCTTTATAAAAGTCAAAGTACTTTTTTATATGAACTATCAAATGGGCGAGGGTGATGTTCTCCGCAGCGGCAGGATTTAAGTTAACGAATAGAAATCGAGAAAAATCGACTACACTGAATATATGAGTTTATACATGTGATGGAACAAAGTCCGCGGTGTTAAAATAAACCTTCCTTCTTTTGCAGTAGATATCTGTCACTGAGGCATCATATATGCATAGTGCTTGATCACTAACCGATCTCCCATATAACGCCGTGCTTCTCATCCCAAAATGTATCAAGACATGTAAGCAACCAGTTTACAGTAACAACCATCCATCGGAGATAGGACGCCGATAAAACAAAGTAGGTATAAATAAACCGTCATGGTGAAAACCTCCCAAATAACCACCCAAAAAAAAAAGAAAAAGAAAAAGATAAAAAGGCAACGCCGTGTTCTCCAAGCGCTAAAAAGAATCAAATTTTGTTGCGAGAACGAAAGGATCATGGTTCATTCTCATAGTAGTCGAGGGGCCGCGAAGGAGTAATCTCGTAAGTCATGGTTACTTATACCCCGTGTACGGCGCTGTGGTTCTCTAGGGGCTGGTTCCTTGTAGAAGAAGCAGCCCCGCGTACGGTACTGGATTCCTGGCTAGCAAATCCCATGCGTGCTTGGTTATATGGAAGGGCCAATTCTTCGCTGCAACGGTCCTCAACGGTTCTAAGAACGGATAGCGGATCGAACTTGCATTTTGAAGTTTTGCTGAGCTGATAACTGCTCGTACCATTCGACGATGGGTTCTCGCTATCCTTTGGCGCGGAGTCCTCGCTTGTGATTGTCCAGGCTCTGGGGCTAAATATTGGCTTTATGCATGGCGCATTAATAGCAAGAATGGCGACGAACTGAAGGAGGCCATATGTTAGCACTTGGCGGGGGTTAAAGCGTAGAATGGATAGTACGACGTACGCTTTCTCGAATAGCCCATATAGTGCTAACATTAATACCATGGATGGACTGAATTGACAAGATGCATCGAAGGAGGGTTGCAATCATGATGAACACGCCACCGCACAGGAGTAGGCCGATGACAAGTTTCCTAGATGCCAGAGTTAGCCTCGAGATCAACGTTGCAAATTTAAAACAGGCCTTACCTTGTCAGTGGTATTCTTACCCTAACCAGGAGAGGTAAGGGTATGGAGAGGAGAAGCATGTCGGTGCTGTGAGGATAGGTTTAGTTTGTTATCCTAAAAGTTGTCACTGCTTTTCAAAGACTAACAGTAAATTGGTTGATGCAACAGCGATATAATTTGGAACACCTAGTGTACAGAGATCTATATTTCATCAAGTTAGCCGTCTTAATCTTGACCATGTATCGGCTCCGGGGACAGGTACTTACCTCCGGGGTATGGGGTAACCTGCCAGTTCTTCTCGATAGGGCGACAGTGTGTAAGGATAGTGACCATGCTTATACAATATGTGCAGGCACATACTATGGCAGCAATCTTCACCATGCGTTCCTTGTATAGGCCAATGCTGCGGGAGGCTTTAGCCATATATCCCGGCAGGGGTTTCGGGGGAGAGACAGAGAGAAAACGGCATACGTCAATCTAGCATAAAAGAACAGCATGCACGCTTTCAGAGACCAGATGAGGGTCGTATACATCAGCCAGCCGGCAAGGTTGCATTTGGTGCCAAATTCGAGGGTTGCGATCTCGTCCGGCGTAAGCGCATCTCGCTGGGCGTCTGATAAACCGATGTTGGTCCCAGTTCGTCCTATAACGCCGTGTCTTAGTCCATGAATTTCAGTTAACGCCATCCTCAACCCTCATACCTATCAGCTCCAGCATAGCAAGCTCTCCCTAGCTAACAAGTTAGTATTTGTTGTGGTTCCAGGGTTGACGGTAGAGCAATATGTTCTTATATATATGCCCACGGTTGGAGATATAAACTAACCGACCACAACAACAGCACCAGGATAATAAAATAATCATCCCCATGCCAATTCCAGCGCACAATTTTCAGACGAGCGGCTATTCGTAGTAAAATGACTGCGACTCCGATTCCATACTCCGTCCATGCCTCGTTCTTGAAAGGCGTCGACTTTGAATCCCACATCTCGCCTTTCTATGCGCAGTCTCGACGGGCAAGGGGTGACTCTATGGACCGGTGAGGCCCTGCTCCTTCATATCTTCAAGAGTCTGACGGTCTCGCACAGCTATCAGCTATCGTGTCGGCACATGGATGCGACGGCCATTGTCCAGGACTGGTATAGATAGCGAAGCCATCGCAGGAGGTTGACCCATTATTATACTCCGCACCGAAGCCACCATCCTGCCATGCATCGATCGGCCAGTTGCACAGCAAAAGCAATGCTCGAATCTCATGTGCAAAAGGGGCTTTTTGTTTATACATGAGAACCTTTAACCTTGCCAGAACCCACAACGTCCGTCCGAACTATTTAGTGGCAACGTTCCAGAGCGAAATTCCTCAGTCGCAAACATAATCGCCGTACCAAGAATAAAGGGATAGGCGCTCGCTATGTCAAATTAGATACAGGCAGATCGCAGATCGATCATGAAGGCTGGCATCAGGGACAGCCGGGTGCAACAACCGGCCAATGTTGGGGTCTCAGGACGCGCAGTCGCCGCGTGAAAGGGGAGCAGATATGATCCATAGCCTCGGACTCGACCTTCTGCTGTCAAAATAGCTAACGATCTCGGTGCAAAAGCAAAAGTCGAAAGTAGCCATTGGTCCGCAGCAAGCGTCAGGAGCTAGCAAAACCCTCGCCGTCGCTGATCATTGTGCGCATATAGGAAAGAATAACCTGATTTGACTGCCTGCAGGGCTGGGCCCGGACGTCAGTCAATGTTCGATTCGTTGCCAGTGTGAATTTTGCTTATTTCGTCAAGAATAGGATCGGCTGGAGAGAGATTTATCGACACATCTCCTATGCCCCTCAACAAGCATTTTTTATGGGAGAACATGATAAATAATACGGAGAATACGAGGTTCACAGGCGGCAAATGGCGGGACAAAAGACGATCTCCCTATTCTAGTTGTGCTAGTTGGACGGGGCATTTCTGGGGTACCAATCTTCGCCAGAGAGAATCGAAAACGAGAACGATCGAGTGTTGACTAGCCAATCAACAAACCCTGTCCGACATTTAAATAGTTGCATATTTATTTATGGAGAGACATCTACGGTGGGTTCGTTCTCTAGCGGGGTGAAGTCCGATTTTTCAGAAAACCCATCGCTACGAGAGGGAGCTCAAATTTTATACTCCGTACTTCCGTCCAACCTGCCCTCCTACTGAAGCATACGTGGGAGTTGTTTTTCATTTCAAAATTGAATATCGAAATATCCATCATGGCTCCAACTCAAGAGACATACGATTATATCATATGCGGGTGAGCAACGCTATCGGAATATAGCATGGATTGCGCTGACACTTATTCAGGGGAGGCACTTCAGGCTGCGTTATCGCAGGGCGTCTTGCAGAGGACCCGAACCTGAAGATCTTGGTCCTTGAAGCTGGACCGGATAGTGCTGACCTGGAGAATGTCCATATGGTGGGAGGGTGAGCAGAGCCTTCGTGTTCTCTATGCACTTCCACCTGCATACTAACTAGGAGATACGGAGTATAGCTGGTCCAATAACTTTGACTCAGAGACGGACTGGAATATCATTACCAACCCAATGCCTGGCGTGGATGACAGACAAGTCAAGCTAAGCAGAGGGCGGTTCCTCGGAGGCTGCAGTGGCTGTAATGGCACGCTGTGCATCCGTGGTTGTAAACAGGACTACGATGATTGGGGTCTTGATGGCTGGAGCGGAGAGGAATTCTTCAAGTGCATGTCAAAGGTGTGACCTACCCGGATTCCACCTCTTCGCTTGAGAATAGGCATGTGCTAGCTACGGGAGCGAGAAAAAGAAAACTAACGCTGATCGATGCATGGGAAAAGGCGGAAACATTCCATCCAAAGCCGTGGCTAGAGAGCGTGGAGGCTGCTCATGGCAACTCAGGGCCTATCCATACTGAGCCCCATGACCTTGCTCCAATATCAAAGCGGCTCATGGATTCGTTCATATCGAAGGGCATGCCGTTCGAGGCGGATATGTTCTCGACCGGTGAGGTGTCCCATGGCTGCGGCCATGTAGTGAGGACCGTGTATAAGGGCCTCAGATCGATAGCGGCGAACTACATCACGAAAGATCACTGCAGGGATAACGTCACTATCCTGTGCAATACCTCTGTAGACAAGGTCATTCTCGAACCCCACGAAGGTGGCTTTTTGGCGAAAGGGGTTGCCGCGGTCTCAACTGTCGATAACGCCCGTCACACATTCCACGCAACGCGGGAAGTTATCGTTAGTGGCGGCGCCTATTGCAGCCCTGCGATTCTTCTTCGATCGGGAATTGGACCAAAAGAAGATCTGGACAAACATGGCATCGCCTGCAAAGTCAACCTTCCCGGCGTTGGAAAGAATCTAATGGACCATCTTGTAAGTGGTACAACCATACCTACGGGAAAAAGAAATATACACAATACACAACTATGTGTATACACATGTCACAAGTCGATCCTCAACTATCATTCACGCAGTCGCTAAACGTTAGTATTAGATTGTCGCTATCTTTTACGAAGCCGAGGAAGGCTTAACAACCGACCACCTTGTCTATCACGAAGGTGCTTTTCAAAAATCCTATGCTCAGTGGAAAGAGCAAAAGTCAGGCTTTCTGTCCTCCTTTCCATTCGGCGCGTTTGCTTACGCCCGTGTCGACGATCTCTTAGCAAATGAACCGGCGTGGGCAAATGCACCCCGTGAAGAAGGGAGAGATCCCATGGGGCTCACCCCACGCCAGCCCAATATTGAGCTCTTCAACACGGAATGTTACGGTGGCCCAAAGCAGTATAACATATACCCAACGGACAAACATGCCTTCTCCCTGATCGCCGAACTTTTTGGCCCTAGGTCCCGTGGCTCTGTGACGTTGAAGTCTGCAGACCCCCTTGATCCACCGGCAGTAGACTGCAATTACCTCGATGATCCGCTAGATATGCTTGTACTCACTGAGGCTTGCAGATTTGGCAATGAAATCATTACTGAAGGCCTTGGAACCAAGGATGTTCTGAAGGGCTCTTGGCCACCAGAGCTGAAGCACCATACCTTCAAGACTCGAGAAGAATGGATACCCTATGTTAAGGAACATGCCACAACTTGTAAGTGATCTTGATATTTGAACCCTTCATGCTGTGCCAGCTCGTGTTAATTCTATTCGACACAGGCTATCACCCTGGCGGAACTTGTACTATGGGTAAACCGGAAAACCCGAATGCTGTCCTTGACGAGAAGCTACGTGTACGAGGAGTATCTGGTTTGAGAGTTGCTGATTGTAGTGTCATGCCTCTACTTCACGGCGGCCACAATCAAATGGCAGCCTACGGGATTGGCGAGAAATGCGCTGAAATCATAAAAAACGGGAATTAGACATAACGAATCACATTCCAGCAGGTGTGATTATTATCGAAATTTGATGCGATAATCCCACGAATAAGCAAGCGAGTAAATAAAAAATCGAGCCAATTTTAATAGTACTAGAATGAGACTAATAACCTAAAGACACCCTAAAGGCGCTCTCCACGAGCCATGAAGTACCGCAGCTCATTGGGGGGGTTTCCGTGCATAACCCCTTTGTCCGGCAGTAAATAATCGAATCTGCCGCCTACTCCTGCCCCTTCGAATTTCTGCTTCAGATCGGGGCTAAATCCAGATGTCGTGATCCCGTTTCCAACTTTAAGCGTGTGCTCCGTGAAATCCAACACCACCAAAATGCCACCAGGCGCTAGTCTCTCAACTAATCTCTTTAATGCAAAGTCTGGAGCTTCGAAGTGGTGAAGAGCAAATCCAATGATGACGAGATCAAAGTTGAAGTACTTTGGGTCCGAAAATTCCTGGGCAGGCGTTTCTGATAACAGGTTCCCCTTCTCGGCAAACATCTTCTCCGCCGGGAAGCCAGCGGCAGCTATATTCTTGTTATACTCCGCCACCATGTTCTGGGATACATCTATTCCTATGACCTCGGTCACATATGGTAGCAAAGCCTGTATAAGATGGTTAATACCTTCCGAACTCCTCGTCTGCCATCATACATTGTATGCACATGGGGTATCATACTCGAGTCATGGATCCTGCACCACATGCATAGTCTAGCATCCGGAACGATTTCGCATTGCCAGGAGTATCGTTCCATCGTGGGCAAATCCACTTATAGCGGTGACCGATCTCCTCGCCGATAATTCGGAGAGCTTCTGCGATTCGGCTTTCGTACGTACGGGCAGCGGCACTGGTAATACCGTTAGCAAACTACTCCGAGTCTCAAACGATAGCAGCATAAGGCCCAACGGAGCAGAATGGCCAGCCTGGGGTTCCCACTCGAAGTGTGCCTCGTTTTTAGCAGCTACATCTGACATTGTGTGTGGTTGAAAGGTTTGCTTGAGATGAGTGCAGTACAAGTAGAGTCCGAGCAAGAGCTTCATAAAAGAGTATATGTATTTGAATAGACTGGTGGAGGAGTGGTTGAGATGATAGAGGTCCAAATAGTAGGAACCAAGCTATTATTTATATCCTCCATCATCTAACGTATCTCCGGACGTCCCTAAGCTTCACACCCGGTATCAGTGAGTCAAGCATCACCAGCTCACCACCAGACGTTCCACCAGGGATAGCTTCGGACACATTCTCGGACACATTCTAGTACTCGGACACATTGAAGCCAGTCGGCGACATGCTTAGATAGAGGATCAGTATAGATAAAGCCATGGTAGAGATTGTCATTACCAATCCGCGGAGACAGGGCTGATCTCGACAACAGAGCATTCTTGCTGCTTGTTGTTGCTGTTGTTGTCTAAGGTGTACATCCTCTGCCTTTTGCTTTGGAGGTCGTGGAAAAGTTGACACGTGACCATGTCCTGCTTACTCAGCTGAGCTTCCTGCTACGGTTGGGCGCAGAGACCACTCAAGCTTTGGCTAAACATCGTCACCTTGTTGACGCCTGCGATGAACAACGCCTCCGTCCCAGCTGTTTTGATAGTGATACCAGGGACAGGATAGCCCTCGAACCTCACCGAACTCACTGCGTCCTCCCGTTCAACGATTAGCCACCCTTCTCTCCGCGAGTGACTTGCGTGACTTGCCTCTTTCGCCTTTACCATCTCGCTCCGTCAAACCCACCAGCCGCTCACCATGCAGGTCGACAAGATCCCAGACTTCCTCGCGGAGAAACGAGGAGAAGCTCTCGATGAATCCCAATCACTGCTCTTACAGGTTGAAGACTTCTGGGAACGGAAATTATGGCATCAGCTCACAAATGCTCTGATAGAGTACTTCTGTCTCCCAGAAAGTGCACCTCAGAGGCTGTCGTTCTTCAAAAACTTCATTCTCACTTTCGCGGACAAGATAAATCAGCTGAAGTTTGTCACACTGGGGTTGATGGCATCCACACAATGCAGCGGTTTGTGGACCCGTTCCTGTCTCGAGAATGGGTAGATTCGACCGCTAACGTTGGTGCGCTATGGCTAGATGACCAAGAACGACTTTCCTTTTTAGCATCATTAGCCAGCAAAGTTGATAAACCAGGGTCGCAAGATGCCCATGTGTACGCCATTGCGGACGTCGCGAGCGTTAAGCTACGGCTGAAGGACTTTGAAGGGGCCCGAAAGGACCTCGATGCTTCGCAGGCGGTGTTGGACATGTTTGATTCGGTCGAAAACGTAGTGCATGCAGCTTTTTACAAAGTTAATGCAGACTACTACCATGTAAGCGACGATACGTTTATATGTTAAAGGGTATATACTCCTTGCTAACACTGCAAATTTCAGGCCAAACTCGAGTTCGCTTCATACTACAAAAACGCCCTCCTGTATTTGGCATGTATCGACCTGCAATCTTTGGCACCGGAAGACCGTGTTGCAAGAGCATATGACCTCAGTGTCGCAGCACTCGTTTCCGATACCATTTACAACTTTGGTGAATTGCTCCTCCACCCTGTGCTGGATGAGCTAAAGGACGCCCCCCACGCCTGGCTTCGGGACTTGCTCATGGCTTTTAACCGGGGTGACTTGAGTGCATACGATGTGTTGGCTGTCAACATGGATAAAAACCAATTGCTTCAGCAACACAAGGTATTCTTATATCAAAAGATATCCCTTGCAGCCCTCACCGAGATGGTTTTCCGGCGTCCACCACACAACAGAAGCATGACCTTTGCTACCATATCAGAGGAGACCAAGGTTCAACCCAATGAAATCGAACATCTAATAATGAAGGCACTTAGCCTGGGTCTCCTCAAGGGGACAATTGACCAAGTTGCTCAAATAGCACACGTCCACTGGGTACAGCCAAAGGTCCTCGATATGAGTCAGATCGAGGGAATGCGGACAAGACTACGCGAATGGGACGCTGGAGTCAACCAGCTCGGCCACTGGATCGAAAGTGTAGGGAAGGACGTCTGGGCTGCATAGACTTTGGCCCCTAATCCCAGTTGTGTACTTTTAACTACGTCTTAGCTGGATTGCAGGCCAAAGAATTATACTACATTTCCCGACCTAAATCAATATACCATTGAATGTCTGCCTTTTCTTTTAACGCAAAGTTTTTTATTTATTTTTTTTTCGTTCCTTTTATAAGGATTCCTCTCACAACGGTGGCAACTAGATAACCCGAAATGACTGGAGGTCGTGTTAAACCAATTCAACTATGGTGATTATAGCCACAGTTCCCGAAACGACGATACTTGGCTTGATTCAGTGTGGGCCGACTTGAGTAAGTATTCGCCCATCTGCTTGCTCCTTCGCAAATATAACCCCGAAATGACATGAATGACTGACGGAAGAGACCGTTAGAGTGTCCATTGCGAGCTCATCACCCTTTCATACCCCATGGCCGCTTCTCTTGCACCTAAGCTCCACAATAACAGAACGATCTAGTCCAGATACACCAAGGACGCGGAGAGCAACAGGTGATCCCGGTGCAAAGTCCGATGCAAACGTTGCACCCTATATCGATTATTTCAATAAGTTAGGCTCCATATATTGCTATCATTGCCATGACAAGGGGACATAACTGGTGGCACTAGGATTGACGTATAAATGGGATAATTAACGGAGAGACTCACAGTTCGGAGATGCTTCTGCTGCTTTGACGGCTTCCATATCGTTTGTGGCTATGCCATACCATCTAACCCCCCTGGACTGACGCCCAGGAGTCGAAGAATATGCATTAGCAATTGAATAAGAGGGAATGGGGAGAATGTTAATTTAATTCAACGCACCCTCGAGTCCGCTTGCAGGGGCGCCGATAACGGTAATAGCCTGTGATGCAAGGTAGAGGAGTATAAATTGGGGCTTCATTTCTAACGGAAGGCTTTCTTCTTTGAGCTTTTGGGTATTGATAGAGTGGTTTTCCTTTTTATTCGACTTGAAAAGGCGAGCTGTATATCAGCTTATTTGGGGATTCTCTAGGGTTTATATACCCGCCGATTCTCACTACATAGAGGGCAATATACCATCATTTATCACAACAATATACGGAGTAGATTATCTCCAATAACTTGTTAGAGCGTCAACCTTCGTATTCTCCTCACATACCCCCTGTTGTAGCGTTGTCAGATTCCGACGCAGCTGAGCTCTGGATGGGTCTAACTCCAGTACCCTAGGCTCTTTAGATAGGCCACTATCCAATTGTGATCAACCCGCCCATATCTTCTAATACAGTATAATATAGTCGATATGAGCTGGAGGGTCGGAATAAAGGTTTTGGTGACTGTGTCAGGAGGCTGAATTTAGCTTCATAGTAATACATATGTGGACCTCCCTGGGAATGTTACACCAGCTGAAATTCTTCCACTGCTAACGAAAGAGGGAAACGGTAAACTGGCTCAGCCATTAGTTTACCTATGCTGCTGAGGTATAATTTAATCGAAAGATTGAAGTATTCCGATATGATGTTCGATTTAAGACAAAACCAGGGAATAAGCTAACTGCCCGCCGATTGGACACAGAGATCAAAACATTAATCTAAATTCTTCATGAATACACAAAGACCGCCATTCGCTTCAACTCCGTTCAAACAGTTATGTTAGCAGTGACGAGAAATTTAACACACAGCCCACGAGCCATGCCGGCCACCATATACACCAAACCGCAACCTGAGTCCACATTCCCCAAACGTTCCATCCAAAAGCTGCTTCGGATAGAACGAGCTCCACCGGTATATTTTGAGCTGTACATATGCCAAGAAGCAGAGCGGTGGGCGATATAAGGTTGAGGAGCAAAATCCCAACTGCAGTTTTGACTACAAGGATATTGGGCGTCGCGGTGGTTTCACTTTCTGTCCGTGTAAAGTTAATTTTAGCATCTTTGGCCGACTTGGATGCTTGAGGAACCGCGGATGCGGATGGTTCCGTGTAGCCAATAAAAGTGAGAGGAGTACAGAGAAGGCCAAGAAGTAAAGACAAGGAGAAGTTAAGCGTCGCGAGAGCTGAAAGGAATAAGCCCAGGAGGACAAGGGAGAAGGATTTGGTGAGGATGAGCTGTTGGGTTGTCGGCTGTAGAAAGCGAGCCACAAGTACTGCTATGACGAGGGGAATAGCGATATTCGCAACGGCAAAGATATAAGCTGCATAGGATAGAAGCTAAAATATAAATTAGTTTTGAATTCAATTTGGAGTTTTGTATAACGTAGAGTGCACATACCTGGTGAGGGAGACTGTTGAAAGCGTATAATGGAACTACTCCAAGGAAATGCAACCCAAAAACCAGGGCGAGTGGAAGTGATAGGTGCCTTTCTACAGTACCATTGTTGCCATCAACAGTGGTGGTGGTGGTAGTGGCGGTAAGCGTTCGCTTTCCCCCTCCCGATTTGTCTGAAAAGGGGGTTGAATGTAGATCTGAGGCTGCGTTTGCAGCTTGGTGTCCACTCTTAAGCCACAGACCGATTGCCATAATGGTAAAATTTCCTGCAATTAACATTGCGCTGGGAAGGTAGGTCCCGATGCTGACGAAACGCTTCGAATGCATAAGCAGGTAGAAGAAGAAACTTTGGTGGAAGTGCTCGAGGAGGTTGTTGATACTGCGAACAAGGCCCTCTATCGACCTTCCAAGTGCCATTTCGTCTTCCCACCCGTGACCTATGGTCTGAAAAGTAATTGCGTCGATATGATACGGGATGAAGCTGCTATGAACCCCGGCAGCATGGCCTAAACCCTGGCGAACCATACCCTTAAGCATAGTCTGAAGCCGTTTCTGATAGCTATTATCGTGGTTCCATACCTGCTGCAAATCAACGGGGATACCCATCTGACCGCGGGCAATGGCAACGGCCGTGTTGAACAAATCAAGGTTCGGTAGTTGTCCGTTAACACCATCATATAGGATGTGCAAGGATTCGAATCTGTGGTTCTGCGGGTGCTCAAATGCAATTGCGCCTTGTATTGCGCCGCTTTTGAGTGGGAGCGATTGAACGGAGGGCGGGTGCATATCATGATAGGCGTCAACCCAGGCTTGGGCCCCCGACTTGCTATCGGGGGTGATCAAGAAAATGATATCTTTAGACCATAAAGACCAACCTATTTCAGCCAACAGGGGTCAGTCGGGCATTACTTGAGGAATCGTATAATGATAGGGCCACTGACGCTTAAAATACCTCGCCAATGTCAACGCCAATGCAACTCCGTGGAGATTAAGTTCCCCGTCGACAGTTTTCCAAGCTGCTATGAGGACAATTGCTTCAGTTCCGTCTCCACGAGGGGCATGTATCACACTGTAAACATTTTGCCCCGCGTACGTATTCCCAGCAGATTGATATTCGTAGTTTTGTGTAGCAACCTTCAATCCTGATTCTCGAAATACGGACTGCAGCTTCTCAGAAACGCTATATTTTTTAAGAATTGGCGCAGTCAGCCCCTTATCCCCTCAATTGTAAGAATATTTGTTTACCGCGGAGTATACGTGACCGGGACAAAACATACAAGTTGTAATCGAGATCCTTCACAGTGTCGAGCTCCTGTCTATATGCGCGAAATATATTCTGCTCGCTGCCAGCAAAATATGTGTGCACCTGACCGGGAAGCAGGGCGTTTTCTGAGATGTACGTTTCTCGCGAGTATTCGTCCAGGGGAAGGAGGAGGAGCCATATTACCCCGACTAGAACGAAAAGAACGGAGATATAAGGCGGAAGCTTGTAGAGTGGCCGCGGGTCATGGCGGAGTTTCGCGACCAAAGTTGCTGTGGACAGTAATAATATCTTAGTCAATTGACAGAGCTGAAGGCGCCAATGCCAGTTTAGACTCACATATTAATGCCATGAGGGACTAGCCTTTCATGGATAGCCTCCAGTGAAGCCCATGCGTACAGTTCTTGTGTGGCGAGGAAGAAACGGCGGCTTCTCTTGCTCCTCTGCTGGATCTTGTCTCTTGTTTCTTCATGTTGCCCATGATGCTATCCAGACGCTGGCATAAAGTACGGCGTCACGTGATATAACTCCACCCTCCAGCCTTCTTCTTCATCTTCATCTTCATCTTCTATTCATGTTCATATTGATATCTTGACATCTCCGCGGCGCTTCAGTGTGAGGCCAAGACTGCTCTCTGAAGACAGGGGAAGTCTTTGTTATATCCAAAGATACAACCTCCGCCTGAAGGTGCTATGCAAATCTGTGTTTGCGTAACCTGGAATCGCGTATAGCGCATGCTGTAATGGAGAGCAGTGGGCCTACTGCTACCTATGTACGGAGTACGGTCAATTTATACCCCAACTCGATGCGCGATATGTGCTCTACTCGCTCGATTTCCGCTTACCTGCGTGTATTCGATATGGTCGGCTGCCAGCCATCAGCGCGGAACTGATACCATCAATGACCGCCTGCTACTTGTTAATATGTCACAATCACGATAAAGGACCGAATCCACTACTCTTTGTTTGCCCTACTATGGCTAAAGTTAGGTGCGATACCTACTGATTTGGAGATTTGACAATGGCCTGGCAGATGTAGGCTCCATGCTGGGGAATGTGAGATTCGGCCGTGGATGTAGGGACCCATGGTCCATCACGTTTATTGAAACAAAAAGCGCAACATAATACCAAATAGAAGGCTTCATGGAATCCAACTGCTATAAAAGGGGTTGTTTCATCCCTTTGCCAACGACTTTGACTCCGACTAACAACGAGCACAGCCCAAATTTAGACACCATCTTCTTTAACCCTTTATACCCGCGATATGAAGTTTGCAACGTCTTTCTTCTTCTGCCTTCTTTCCTCGGTTAACCTTCTGGTAATTTGCTAGGCCCAAGTCCTCGTTTAACAAATTATAGCTAACAATGGCAATAGGCCGAGGCGAGTCCAGTTGCGGAATATATCACAACTAATACGATGATATACACTGGTCCGGTTACACCAGGTGGAAAAAATGTGACCATTGAAGGCACAGCTCAACAGATTTATCATCAGATTCTAAAACTAAACCCTCGTTACTCCCCAGAAGACTTCTCGTCCAGGCCTGCGCTTAACTCCAGCTCTAGTTTGGAGAGACGGGCAAGGGTAAGCACCAAGTCTAAAAAAAGGTGAACCCCTTAAACTGTTTGATACATTGCTAATATAATGATATAAGGGGAGCATAATTTGCGATCCCAGCGGCGCACCGAGGGCCATGCGCAGTAGGATCGAGGAGGGTATTGCATACCTAAGGCGTGTTCCTCAGGGGTCGGATTGTAGAGTTCGGGGCAATCGTTCATGTAATCGAATCAGCTGTTCCTGGAATAGTGCTATCTTTCTCTGCAATGATGTGAGTATCAATGTGAGCTCCTTTCCTTTTTATAACGTATTAATATATTAATAGAATCCATACTGGATTGAACGGCCTTGCCCTATGTTCGGTGATTACGCCGAGAACGTTTTGCGCGAGTGTCGTCAGGCCGCTTACATGGTCGCAGGGCAGCAATTCGATACCGAAAATTTTAATATCTTGGTAAAATATGATCACTGCTAGATATAACTAGAGATTCAAGGCAAATGGGAAATACTTTCTTTCCTGGAGGGAAATGGTTAGGAAATTTTTTCTCAACGTGTCTTAAGGCCTGTTCTTGGGCTTGGGTTAACTGAGGGCACTATTTCTAGAGAGCACTTCTAATGGAGAGAGGTTTACATAGGAAGACTTACCATATAGCAACAACGTGTCTAGTCAAGCAACGCCTGTAGAGCACATATAACTCAACCAATTGAACTGGTGATTCTTGTTAATTTATTTAAACGGATATTTTCCTATGGGCTATCGCGGCGGTGCACACCAGTATACAGATAGACGATGCCGAACGGGTTAAACAAAAAGCACCAATACTTTCGTAATGCTTTACAAAAGGTGTTCTAGGTGTATTTTAGGCCGTGGCTATCCATCTCGGTCCAAATAAACGTCATGACCTCTCGACTTGTATATTGAGGCTGGCGGATGGATCGGCATACGTAATGGGCGGGTGAAGGATCATGGGCTTAGACCAATATCGCTGGTGGATTTGAAACGATGCATGAGGCCTTCAACCCAAAAATAAAAATAGAGGGCGGAATATAATGTTGTAGCCTTTTATACGAACTTCGACTTTGTTGATGCTTCCTCTCTTCTTCCCCTGGCCTATCACTTGTCTATACGATGGATGGCCAATCGCCCACAGCCAGCGTAGCCACGTCCACGAATGAGTATACGTTGACTACCCTGAGAACACCTTGGCACGGAATTATGTTTATTCACCGTTCAGGCATCATGTTTGGCCTGGGTTGAATATTGATAATATTTCCTAGACCCCTGGCCATTGAGGATTGTAACTAGTTCTAATCTGCATTAGGCGCTGACGCGGATGCTGTCTGGGCGGTGTCAACATTGTTGCCTCGCCTCAATTGTTCCTGGCCTGCGGAATGGGTTTTGGCATTGACTATAAGGGGCAGGACCTGTGTTAGGATGAAAGCCTATCTGTATAATCGTATATATATCTGTGAAAAGTCGTTATACCATAGGCATCGAATCCTCTTCATTATCTCCAAAAAAACAAACCTTTGCCATAGAACAATTCTGCACTTACCTTAAATTCCTACATGATCTTTTCTCTCCCGATCAAGATGCCTGGTGCCATTTCCGCAATCACAGCCATTGCCGGCCGTGGCGAAGAATTTAATGAAGAATTATGTACTTTCGAAACATGTGATATCGCTCTCTCCTGGTTCAAATACCGCCCATCTTTGCCTGCAAATGCAGTGTTCGCTGCTCTGTTCTTTATCTCCGCCGCCATCTTTCTCATCCAAGGGGTGGCCACGAGGAGATTCATCGGGTTCACCATCGCCATGGTTCTCGGGACCATAGGCGAAACGATTGGATATGTCGGCAGAATCCTGATGTGGGATAATCCGTGGAAGCAGGTATGTCCCCATGACAATAGAGAGTTGGCGTACGAAGATGTGCCGATGTCCATGTATCTCTTCGCCCTTTCAGAGTAGAAGAGCGGATAACTGACTTGAGTATGGCAGGTTCCATTTATGATTCAAATATGCTGCCTCACACTTGCTCCCGCATTTCTTGCAGCAGGTATATATCTTACGCTGTCTCGAATCGTCACGGTATTCGGCGCAGAAAACTCCCGTATACGCCCACGATGGTACCCTCGAATCTTCATTCCCTGCGACATTCTGGCCCTGGCGCTTCAAGGCGCGGGAGGCGGCATCTCTAGCACCGCTGGAAACGACGACAGGTCGCAAGCAGACCTAGGGAAGAACATCATGATTGCTGGCTTGATCATCCAAGTCGTCACTTTGACCGTCTTCATGGGGCTCGCTACCGATTTTGCCCTCCGTACCCAAAGTCGCATCCGCGCACTAGGCAGCGCTGCACTCGATTCAAGCTACTCCCATCTCCGAGCGTCCTCAAAATTCAGGTTTTTCCTCATAGCCCTCGCGGTATCAACCCTTTGTATCTATGTGCGAAGCATCTATCGCATTGCAGAACTGTCCGAAGGGTGGAACGGACCACTGTTATCCAACGAGGGCTTGTTCATTGGGATGGAGAGTGCTTTGGTTGTGGTTTCCGTGTTGGTATTGAACCTATTCCATCCCAGCAGGTGTTTCAAGGCTGGATATGATATCGACACAGCGAAGTCTGTTGATAACCAGTGAAGCAGTTGGTTCGGCGTGCATCCCTACCCCATGGTCCAGGTCCGTTGAGGGTTGGGGTCCTGGTTCTCGTAGCGGATATTTTGTTGTTATATGACCTCATCCAGTATATAATTGGCGTTTTAATAAATAGAATTGTGTCTTTAGCACTCTGCTGATATTGAGCGATCAAATGTAAGACCAGATATCTATCGTAGTCGTTAGCTACCTATCCTACCAGAACTGGGCGCTTTCGGAACTATTGCTAGTAGAACCGTTCCGACACCGTTCCGATAGCGTTCCAAAATTGAAGTCCTTGCAATGAAGGTAATGACAGCTATACCATTACTTTTGTTGACATGACTTCAATTTTGGAACCTCGTATCAGGTCGTTAGCTTTGGAACGATTGAACCAGCGAGCCCGGAAATAAGATTCTCCTTATCTCCGGGTCAAGGTTAACTAAGTCAGGGGCCAAAGTCAGGGGCAACGGTTTTGAGATCAATATAGCTTAGCAGTGAACAAGAACTTGAATGAGTATTGAATGGGCATCTAGTTGAGTGTTCAAACCATTAAATGAAAATTGTAGCCAATCTGACAAGCAGTAAATGAATATCTAAACAAGCCCAAACCAAATTTTGACCAGCGCCTTTGTCTTCAAGTAGAGACAAAATAAAATGCACCAGGTAGTAATCAATCCCTTAACAAGACATCAGTCTATAATACCATACTGCTTCAAACCTCCTGTTAATTTTAATGCTAGGCGGTCGTTCATTCGCCGTCTTTCGATTAGAACAAATAATTGGTCAAGTAGAGACCGTTGTTCAACTGGGATCGATATTGCCCAACATGGGCCATTGATGGCTGTGAAATCCACGGTACTAGAGCCATAGTCAAGGCCACTACCGCTAATTGGGGATGGTAAATACGAATCCCAGGGCCCCAGTAACAGCAACGTTTCGTTGGCATCACTTTGAGAGTTGGACTGTTGGAGTAACGGGGTATTTTCTGCTGGTGATATATCGTGGCTTAAATGTCCACCGACCAGAGAGGTAAATCGTTGCCAAATATTTGAAGAAACGTCCTGTAAAAGTGCCATTCCTGCCATAGACAGGGGCAGGCGTTGCACAGGCAGGCCATGGCTTTCCTTTTGAGATAGGGACATATCATTGACCTTGGCCTGCAGAGCCCCTCGTATCACGAGGATAAATGAAGAGCTTGTGGATGGGCTCAACAACTCGCCGTCACCAACCCTGTGAATGAGGGCACCTCCCTGTTTCAACGCCGCCGAGATAGGATGACCTAGGTATGGCGGGGACGAAAATTGCGGAAAGGGACCAACACCGTAGAGGTACTGATCAATCTCCTCGAAAACCTCTGCATTTGACATTGTGCCATTCAACGGGGAGGGAATACCCGAAGAAAGGTCGCGTATTGCGTCATGGAGATGTAGATAGCATGGCACCGCGTCATTTGGCCTCGACTCTGAAGAAAATTGGGGCCAATGGCATACGAGGCCACCCCTTGATAAGTCTGCAGATAAACCGCTACTTTGTCGTAGGCCAACAAATGCAAATGGGGGTGCTGAATTGGATGAAGTGCCATTATTATTGTTCTTAGCAATGTGCCTTTTAAACAGCTGGCCGATGCACGTCTCGGCTCGATGGACGTCGGTAAGGTCAACAATAACAAGCCGGTTCAAGCCTTGCTCTTCCACGATATCAAGCTGCTTTTCGAGTGAGGGTGTAGTGGCAAAGACTAAATGAAGAAGAAAACACACATAGTGTCCCTGGTTAGTGTTTGCTTTAGCCAGACACAGTATCATAATTTAGGGGATGCACGAACATAAATTTCCAGAGAGCGAGATAAGCTGTATAAAAGTGTTGTCTACACCACAGCGGTCAACAACAGCTCTATTCCAGGTCAAGGACTCTTCATTGCAAAGGTGGGTGCTTTCAGAGTTAGTGTTGCTAACTTCCGCCGAGTCAGTAAGCAACCTGCTCGTCTCTGGATAACAGTATGCTTGCAAGAGATCCTGAAGACTGATAGTGGCACTGCGAGCTTTCTGGTAGTGGAAAGAATTAGCTTAACATCTTTATCATCAGCTAGGATTGAAGCGTCACGTACCATATCGTGAAATTCCCAGCATAAATGTACCGCAAGGGCTATTACCAGGCCCATGGCGAATCCCGGAAGGAATCCTATAAAGGTACACGCGAGCACAGTGCCCAATACAATGGCCCATTCGCTCCATAGTAACTCGTGTGCTGAAGTCCAGAGGGCTTCAGTAATCAAATCCAGCCCGAGGAACAACACCAGAATTGAAGCAAGGATTGTTGGGACATAGGGTAACAGGTGTTTTGAAGTAAAGAAGAGAACACATGTAAAGCCGGTGACAGCGAGTGCTTCTGGTCTTCCACCACCTGCAAAGGTAAAGAGACGGGAGTTTGCAAGTACCACCAGGTTTGGTAATGAGCCGGTAGCACCAGCTAATAGGTTTGAAATACCATGGCCTATAAGCTCCCAGTTCATACTATATTGGGGCTCATCTAGCATCATTGCCATAGCTGGAATAAATACTGGAAGGTTAACCACGCCAATGACCACAAGCAAGACAATATTTTGGGTGGCTGCGTTGAGAGCACTCCACTGGACCATTGAGAAGTCAAAAAGCCTCCAGTAATTCCAGGAAGCAGATCCTGTAGCTGGGGAAGAGCTAGCTGTAAGGGAGAATAGCCATCCCTGACTTGCCAAATCTTCCATCCCTTCAGCATTTGCCTTGCCCTGAGCTGCAACGACAACCCAAAAGATTCCAGCAACAGTAAACACGAATGCAGGAACATACATCGCATGTTCTGTAAAACCGCCGGTCAATTTCGCTAGGCTTTTTAGGCGTAACGATATAACCAAGAACGCTGCCGGTAGTACAGATGCGATAAGGAGTGGCATATGTTCCTTTGAGATCATTTCTGAGGCCGTAGGGGGGAGTGTAAGCTGTAAACTAAGTTCGAATAGCGAGATACCAATTGCACCTGTAAAAGATCTTAGTATCTTTACATCGAAATCACCAGCTTCACTTTAATATACTTACCAATGACACCAGTGAGAACCGTATGTGGCAAATATCCAACCTATATCATCATTGTACATCAGTTCCCTATGACAACGAATACGTTGATCAGGTCTATTTTGGTACGTACCAGCCATCCGAGTCTGAATAGACCTAACCCAAGGAAACAAACTCCGACGAGAATGCTAGTGAGTGAGTACGCTGCAAGTACAGTTGGAAGCAGTTTTGGGCTCTCTTCGCCCAGCACACCTTGTATGTCGGAAGCGATACCACGAAGGAACGGCAGGATTTCAATCAACATGCTCCCTAAAGCGCCAGGGAACAAGGAGCCCCCCAAGGTCATTGCCAGCTGCGAGGTGATGGTGCTCATGATGTAGAGAGACATCGCTTCAACCTGAAGATTGGCAAAGGCTGGTCCTTCTTGAGCTGAAGGGAACACCAACAGCCCCGTTGACGCCGCGTCCAGTGCATTGAGCAGGACTCCCAATATCACGGACGGAACTCCCTCTGCAATTTTTGCCGGCACATCGCGAGCTCTGATGCGCTTTCGGCAAAAGATTATACGTCGTCGGGACTTTGTCGGTTCTCCTATCTGATCCCCCGACATCGTGTATAGCCAGAGATCCGAATTCTGAGAATAAGAAATCTACTCCGTACTATCTCGAGGAAGATTTGACCTCTCTGGACAGGGCAAAACTGAGCTTTTGGCGATGGGGAATCGGAAACGGACCGCCGCCCGCGGGGATACAGAAGCTGATTATCCCACGACTTGAAGAGTTTTTTTTGACTGCCGTGCTGCCATATAAGCACGCCTTCGGCAAGATCTTCTCTAAAAAAAAGCAAGCTTGGGGAGGGGTATCCCGGTGGATTAATTGTCTTTACTGGACCGGAAAGCAACGACTTGGGGATCAATTGGCCAGTCACGGCTGTGGCGTCAGCTCGCTCGTTCAATTCTCCCCCTTCTCGAAGCCTGCTGAGCGAGCGGGAGCAGGCAGCTCACGAACTTGCCAAGTGACTCAAATTTGGGTCGATATATGTGCATATGCAAGATAGATAATCTTCCAATATCCTTGCTAGCTTCGCGCCTTCAGCTCCAGAGGGCGCACCATTCAGCGATCAAAACACGAACAGACCGTGGCGACACTAGGAACGGGTAATCGACATGGTATTGCCACTGAAATCTCGGGAACTATACTCCGTATAACGATATAGCGATATAGCGTTGATTTAGCTCGCTGAGAAGCTATTTTAGCTGTGAGCTGCTCGAGTCATGGATGACCATTGGCTGTGGCCCGTTGCGAGCGATCAAAACGCAGTGTCTGTCTAATCCCTGATCTGGGTACCTGAACGGGTGTGAACGTCGATTTCTGTCTCGCCAAAGGGAAGGTTTTACTATTTTAATATGCATTGACAAGGTGGCTGCTCATATACTTGCTCGCTCCCACGCAGGCGTAAGCGAAGATTCGTGTATTGCTCGGAGTGCTCGGACAGACAAGTAGATGCTGTGCTCACAGAAGGCAGCATGTCAGACGTTTGCTAGGTGTCGCCACGGGTAGCACGGCTTATTGATTGACGGACTGTCTTAGCACTCAGACAGCCATAGATGGCTATTTGCGTCTGCCGGTGACGAACACATTCACATTGGCTGCCTGGATGCTGAGGCGCAGCTTGGCTGATTGGCTGCATGTCTTTAAAATTGGACTGCAGGGTTGCGGGTTGTGAGTTATAGATCGGCCGGTTATGGACCAGCTGGCTATCCTTACTATAACGATCTTGTCTCTCTGGACGGGCTGCTTTGTGAGAGAGATCATCAATGTTACTCAGATACGGAGTATCTACATGGAAGACGTTTATTCGTTATCAGATCGTACGTCCTGCAATATCAGTCTAATTCCAACACATCTATCGATCCCCCACCGCCGTGTTTTGCTATAGGGCGGCGTTCTTGTGTACATCATGCTTGCGGCCAAGGATAGGTCCCGACGGCGGACTAGGGGGTAGAAGTTAGAGGGTAGGATTGCGTCTAGAGCAGTGCAAGCAGGCCAGGGGAGTAGACTGAGAACGAACGGAAAATATGTGCCGCAAAAGAAACACCGGATATCCCATCCCCACCAACACAAGAAGGAATGTAAGAGTGGCTGGTCTCAGATTACAATACGAAAACTGGATAGCTCAACAGCAAAGGAACCTCCACCTTCTGTGGGCGGGGTTGGCCGTCGAATGTGCGTAATATGCCGAAGATTTGAAAACACTGTCGTCCAAAAAGTTGGGCCATTACTAAACCTAGACCAGCTGAGCTATCATACATATGGAAGATCCTGGTTTCGAGCATTCCTTCAAGTTAATTTCTTTTTCAATGGTTTTCTAGCTCAAATAACTGTTGGTTTCGGCCCGTTGATGTATATATATATGTATGACATTCGCTTTCCATCGAGAGTTGACAGAACATTTACTCGAGTAGTTGAAGAAAATACTTCCATCCCAGAAGGAATTGAAGCATCGACAAGATGGGAAAACAGTCTGTTCTCGGCGAGCTGCGAGCCTTCCGAGCTACAATTCCACAGGAGAAGCTTCGGGTCTGGGAAAATCCCACTGGCTGGCCATGCCTTCTGTATGCCCCTCTTCTCTTCATCAACTCTCTAGCTCTCTTTCATACATTATTTTATGTTTAGTATATCCGACTAACCATCCTCCTGCAGCAAAATTGCTCGTGACTGGGCCCTCATACTCGCTGCGTACCAGCTGTTCGCGAGATTCCCGTCAAGCCCAACATTCATCGCCGCGCTGCTCCTGATGTCATGGGGCCAGCGTGGGCTGTCGACACTCGCTCACGATAGCATCCACGGGAACCTGTACAAAAACAAGGTTAGTCTTCCCGTCCCTTAAAACAAAATATTTAAGCATAACTGCGGGAGGACTAATAATGTGGAAATGCTTGGCTGGATAACTATAGTGGATCAACGACCTCGTCACCAACGTCTTCCTCGCCCCAGCATTAATGAGCACCGCTAAGCTCCAGCGCGCTAGCCATAGCGCACACCATAACTATCTGGGCACGGAAGACGACCCAGATCACGGAGAACACAACCCGACGAGTCTGCGCCATTATCGTGTAAGTTTCTCCAGCCACTGTGGTGGTCCCGAAAGCCGGATCAACGCGCATTTGGAACTAAGTAATACCACAGACCGGCACCTACTGCCACAAATCGATGTTTTCGCTGTTTCTCTACGATGTCATGGACCCGGTCTTGTTTCTACACAGCGCTCTCGGTGACCTCAAAGCGGCTCCCGTGCTGCTAATTGGGTGGTGGGCGGCCGTTGGACTGTTGACAAGTTTCCTGGAGCCAAGCTATCCTCTACTCTCCTTGGGCAACATTCGCATAAATACTTTCGTCGTTCTATTCCATTTTGTGCGCTGCACTATTAGCTATGGCTTTTATGTTTTGCGTGAGATTATCGACCATTCTGGGCTCCCATCCAATGGCGTGTTAGAGGTTCGTCAAACCTTTTCCCCAGTTATCGCTTTTGAGTGTGCTAACGACCAGGGGGGTATATAGTTCACGCGCTCTAGTCCCTGGGGCAGTTGGTTTCAGAAATTCCTCCAGCCTCACGATGACAACTACCACCTGCTACATCACCTTCTACCAAAGGTCCCAATGAGCAAGCTACATGTTGCGGATTCATGGCTGATGAAGAATAATGAAGAATATGCCAAGGCAAACCGTAAGTAACCATCTAGTTGCGTGCGACTTTTGGGGGAATCCATGCTGACAGGACTAGATTTTGATACATATCTTGAAGACCACAAGTCACTGTTCCTGCAACAGCTACATAGTTGCGCAAATGAGTAAGACTGCGATCCGGACCGGTCAGATTAAAAGTTTTTGAAAAGTTTTACGAAATCACTCTCGCCTATACGGAGTTTATTGCGTTGTTAATTGGAGTACGTTAATCAACTCGGGAAGTTAGGATGCACCGTTATTTTTCCCCTACATTCGTCAGTCTTGTATCCTATTTTGATGCTGCTGCTAGTTCTCGATAGCATTACATATTGAGTCATTATGCTATAAAATTTCATGTCTATTTCCTTTTTACCGACAGATTGCTGAGCTGAAGCATACCACGGCTCGAGAAACGGATATCGAGTAAGAACACAAACCTAGAGCCAGGCCTCTAGATCGAGATTTCGACAAGAATGACCGTTAACTGAGTTGAAAGCCTGGGTAGTGTAATTTTAACCGGCTAGAAACGAAACAAAGTCGTAGAGACTAGGGCAGCAAAAAGAAATGTCCTTGAGGGGCCCGATGAACTGACTGAACGCTGGTTAGTATGGTCAATAATCAATGTCGTAGGGTATGTGGAATGCTAAAGCCCGCAGAACAGTTGCTAGTAGTTATTGATATTGTAATCCCAGCATACACTATTACCTAGGTATGGAGAGGTTCAAGACCATTCTTTAGGGAAAGCATGGGATCCATCTAGACATGATATGGACTGCGAATAAATTCTAAAATAGATGGTTCATTATTCAAACTAATGAAACATGGAACGATACCAATTCAGCTGCATAAGCCAACTGTTGAACCTGATACAATCCATGAGCGATGTATAAAACCAACTACAACATCACATTGCTTCTTATCGCAGACACAGCCGGTCATGTACCACGTGTCTATCGCCCTTAAGACAACGGCTTAGATACGTCAGCTGGGGGAAGAGTCTAATATGAGGCCTATCTATAGACATTCAATTATTCCCACCAGTATTCTTGGGTATCTTGACCTTATCTTGTTCCTTGATAAATATGGCTCCAGTTATGTTCGAGGTTATGCCAGACCTTGGTGGTATTAGTCTGACTGGGGATGATTGGATGTTTCAATTTTTTAAAGAGCAAATGAAACGATGGTGGGCTGTATCTACCTCCCCCACGCTAGGAGTACGCCGTTGAAAGCCACTGGCGGATTTTCGAGATATCATCCAGTGCAGTGTGGAAGATCACGACCCCGCGCATTAATCAGACCTTGATTGGCTAAAATCGACTAGTTGTCGATATTGTTGAAGAAGAACCGCAGAGGCAAATTGCAATCCTTGCTCACCACAGTCCCTATGTGGATAATAGAGCTATAGATCCTAAGAACAAAGGCAGTGAAGTGATGTCAGGCTTTGTAATGGACTTGAGGACCAAGATATGCTGAACGAGCTGGGTAGTTAAAGCTTTGGCTTTTAGGTATACGTGCTTCAACTCGTTTCTTCGAAATAAAAATAGTGCGAGAGTTCTATCCAACCAAAAGGGTTCATATACGATACCTAGGCCATCCTTTCATCCGAAGCGTGTATTTAGTTTAGGCGAACAAAATCCGAATGCTGACATACTGCATAGAGCCACTTTGAGGTAGATAGGCCGCTTCGGCTTCCGGGAGGCACACAAAATCACGCCTTGACCTTGATCCTGACCACAAGCCTTTGGCAGGTGAATGGCCCTCTGGAGAGCGTTCTCCGTGGGTAAAAGGTTAGAGTGATCTAGCCAACAGTTGCCTAATAAAGATCAATGATTGGTGCGAGGTTGCACCTAACTGATCCAAACTACTGTATGTTATCACTGCAATTTGCAATCAAATTATGTGGTAGACAAGGCTACAGCCCTTTTACCTGTGGTACGATGGTATACTGAATTGTGGTCATGCGGCGCATCGTTATGAAAACCACGAACCTCGGATGCCATAGATTCCGGTAAAGCGTGGGTACACTGTATCTCCACCTGGACTGTAACTAGGATCGCAATATCAGGACAAAGTTACTTAACCTTTGAGATAGACGAGGAAAGAAGGTAAGTTCCAGCGATATTGTGCCCGAGGGGTGACGATATGTTAATCATGCAAGCCAGGCGAACATCTAGTGGCTGTCTAGATCCAAATAGCTATATGCATGGATGTCAGACCCAAGCGCTGGAGGGAAGTCAACTCCTCTGGTGGCATGCATGAAGTACAGATTGATTCCTTTTGCCGGAGTCTTCCCGCGAGCCGATACCTACCGTAAACCTATATAGCGGTGACGCTGGATGACCTTGGTGGATTGAAATTGGAGAACGAAAAGAGATCCGCTGACTGAAATGGGATGGCTGTCGGATAGTCGGCGTGGAGGGAGGATTGAATGAGTCAACGGATACTTCGCACCCGTATAACCAAAATTGTAAAATCGAATGACATATGCCGAGTTGGTGGAGGTCGTGCATCATGAGGTCGCGCATCTTTGGCATTTGGGCTGCGGAAATATTAACGCTGGCGGATGTGCCGGCTAGATAAGCGGGTGGGCAGGCTAAATATCTCGTACCTCAAAAGTCACTTTTGTATGCAAGTCACAGCGGAGAGATACCTCCAGAGTACCTTCTTTGCTGTCGAAACGCCAATGGATATTTCCAGCATCCCACGGAGCTTCGGTGATTTTGGTCCGACCCAGCCTGCTTTGTGCGAGTGGAATCACCGACCGTCCGTGTCTTCTTTAGCTTCTCCCCTGGTTCATACTTCTCGCTTTTATACGGAGTACTCGGCCTCCTGAAGAGGTGTATGGTTGTCAATAGGCATACTACCGATGAATGATTTGGCTGGCCATTTCTTCCAAACGGCTGAAAATAAGGCTGTTGAGCGCTTTGGGGAGAACAGGGCTCCTTGCTTTTTCTTCAATGCTGTTCTCCACCTTTTTCCTGTGGAGCCGAGCATCCATAGCATCGTTAGTTCAACTGAAGCCATGCACACACACATTGTACATGACCAATAGTGTAAGCCGCTTTGGCTATAAAGAAGTCCTTTTAGTGTCTTCCGTGTCATCCGTTGGGTGTGGCATTTAAGGAATCTGCCAGTCGATTGGGAGCTTGGGCAACCAGCTCGGACAGGGACCTTGGTCTCGTACACGGCCTGGCCACCCTAGCATGCACTTCACTGCAAATAAGAGTTCCCCAGCCATCTATCGTCATATCTGTTTTGCCCTAACTCCGATGATGGAATCCTCCGTTTCCGGGGCCGAATATCCTGCGGGTTTGTAAGCCTTGACCTTTAATTGATGGCCGGTGTTCTTCACTCCCTTCCTCTGCCCTTGCCTTCTTAACTCCCTTCCTTCCTCTGGCGTATGGCATTTCTGGCTCCGAATAAGCAGCAGCGGCTTTCGTTCTTGCGGTTTCTAGTCTGTGTGTATATATATTAAGCTGTCAAGGCAGGCGCTCCTCGCCTACTCAAGCCCTGCCTCCCAGATTAGGCCACAGAGATCGACTATAGCTGTTGCGTCTCTTCACGTATAATTTTATTCCTATGCTGCCAGATCTCCGTCCGTTTCATCCCCACAGTGCTGCGGTACTGCTACTGTTTCTCACATCGGTGGTGGGCGCAATACCGCATGGCGATGGCCATGGGTCGACGGAGATGAGCGGGTTGAAGGAAACAGCATCAACTATGGCGGCTGCAGCGACAGCGAGCGCGGAAGCAAACGACACAGCCCATCTTATGAGTTATTTCCGGTACCAGAAATATCCTGGGACGATTCTGGCTCACATTATTTTGATGGCGATAGGATGGGCTATCGTCCTCCCAGTTGGTATGGAATCACCCATTGTTGAAATTGCACCTTGCACCCCATGTAACGAAATCTAGAATGCCCAGTTTTTTGCTAACAATGGAATTCGTCCTTGATATGAAGGCGTCGTATTTAGTGTTGCCAAATCCCGATATGCATTACCCACCCAGTTTGGTTTCCTGACTATCAATGCTGTTGGCCTGCTTTGTGGCATCATATATAGCAACCAAACACCAGATCTGTATGAAAATAATGCACATACTAAGATAGGTTGGATAGCGACATGGGTCATAGTCGCAGAGGTTGTTATGGGCCTGCTCCTTGCCTTCTCTGGAAACAAGAAGTACGCAGAAAATAAAATATATGAGAGGACGGCATTTCTCCCTGCCAACACAAGTTCGAATGGAGCCAGGCCCTACGCCCAGGACGTCGGTCGTCAGCATCGCTGGTCTGGAGACAGCGGCCAAGGCAGTGAAGTCAACAATTTTTCCCCTCGCAGCCGCTGCAGCTCCTTCGAACACGATAGGCAAGATGGTGAAGACCTCGAAATAGCTGAAGTTGAACTAAGAGATAAGTCTGCCGGCCGTTGGATGTATCCTTTTGGATCTTTGCACACATATTTGATGGCCCATTTTCCGCAGTTGGTTTCCCGGCGCGGCCTCGGTGTTTTGAGCGTGATTCATGTTATAATTGAGAGGACGATCCTTATCCTTGGATTCTTCGCCCTTACTTCTGGCGCCGTGGTCTATACAGGAATATTTGTAAGTTTATGCAATCGCTCCTGATACTGCTTCCTGTGATGGTCTTTTCAGGGGTTATCTAACGAGAATCCGATTAGCGAGGACATCAAATCTTCAACGGTCTTGCGCACTTCATCAAGGGCGGAATATTCATCTGGTATGGGTTCCTGACCCTAGGACGCTGGGTTGGTTGTTTCGCAGATTTCGGCTGGGCGTGGAATGTGAAGCCATCACGTGCCCTCGTAGGGGGGTGGAAATCCAGAGTCCCAACGGCCGAATTTACGGAATCTTTTGTTATATTCCTTTATGGCGCTAGTAACGTGTTTCTAGAGCATCTTGGTGGATGGGGAGGGCCATGGACTGCTCACGACCTCGAGCATGTCTCGATAACCATCATGTTCTTTGGTGGAGGCTTGGTGAGTTTCTCTTTCTGAGTCTGACCGTACCAAGTGGTGCCTAGGGACCCGGGCTAACCAACATCAACAGTGCGGAATGCTTGCTGAATCCCGGCGAATGCGCGACTGGGTCAATTTGACTGCCTTGGGACCGCCCCCTATTTTCCTCGACAAGGATTACCCTGCAAGTTCTGACGATTGGAGGCCGCCGAGATCCCAAGGGGTTTCCTTAAATCCAATGCCAGCCACGGTAATCTTGCTTTTAGGGCTAATGATGAGCTCTCACCATCAGCATAGCATGGTGTCAACCATGGTGCACAAGCAGTGGGGTATGCTATTGGTTGGCTTTTCGCTCGCACGAGCTGTCACCTATATCTTACTCTACATTAACCCACCAAGCTCAATTCTCCCTTCTCGACCACCGTCAGAGCTGGTCACATCTTTCTGCCTAATTTCTGGCGGACTTATCTTTATGCTAAGTGTATGCAAAACCCCCCTTCTTTTGAAGTAATCGTTTATCTCAGTTTCTGGGAATGATCAGCCGCTAATTTAGGGATATAGTCTTCAGATATTGTTGCCGCAATGGAATACTATGACCTCAACGCGATGATTGTCTTCACCGTTGGAATGGGTGCCACGGCCCTGGCCATGGCCTGGGAAATCGTGGTCATATCCCTGAAGGCGTGGGCAACGAAGAACTCGGCAATTTCATCCCCAATGCGCCGGGAATTTCAATTTCCAGAATAGGGAAAGGTAGCAGATCCTGTATTCTTCTATCTTGGAATGCAGTTTTAGCAAAAGCACTGCATTTAGCTGACATGACAGCGAAGGTGTTTGGCCCGCATTAAGGTATTTCTCTTGGTTTTTTGAGTCGTTATTAGCCTTATACCCTGTTTATATTTCTTCTCCTTGTCGTCCAACATGAACTTATGACCTCGCCACTCACCCTATAATGTAATTAGTACGTGAACATAGTCGATGGTGGTAATGATACCTCAGATAATCGTTGGAGAAGTATCGGAATAATAAATATTTTTAACCTTTGGAAATCCAAATTAAAGTTTTATCTTATCAGATCTGGATCGCATGGTTAATATCACGTGCATATAATGCTTATCTAATCACGTAACTCAACTTTTCTGACGCGGAATCGATCTCGCCTTCCCAGGAACTCCGGGGAGGAACGTCTTTTATACGTCCCAGTTACGGAGTTCGTTTATGTCGATAGCGACACTACTGGTAAGATATCTCTTGACGAAGCCACCGAAATTTCATGAAAAATCCCTGGAATACTCTATCTACACGTCCCGTTGGTCTAACACCTCCCTAGGGAAAGTACACGCTTCACGATCTCTAATCTCCGTTTCGGCCTAAGAAAGCGACGAATATCATGAACATTTAACGAATTGGTCATCTGCTTCTTTATATAATCGGTATAGATTCCAGCGACGTTCTCCAGCTACACCATACACCGTCGAACCATCAACACCTAAGCTCTGGGTCAGCTGTGCATTCACTGGAGAGCAAGAACTTTTGTCGTCGGAGAGAGGGATAGGACACGACACAACGAAGCGGAGCCCTTTCGCGGTGCTGCATCCATTCACCACCACATTATTGTCTGACTTAACCCGCGCGCCTCGGATTCGACGACTCGACTTTCGTTTCATTTTATACCGTTGCAGCCATGCTTTCCTTCGTCCCGTCACTTCCGTTCAACCCCGGGCGCCTGAGGTCCTACATATTACGACTCCCTCTTTTCACTCGACTTGCTATTCTATGCATCGTTGTGTTTTGGGTATTGAGTTTACAAACCGTTTGGGATGTGCCTAGATGGGGGGCATTAATGCCTGCTGAAATCGGACCTGCCGGAAGTATGTTATACCATTCGCCAACAGTATGCGCTGAGACCTTTCAGCGGCTACCAGGACTTATGAATTATCTGGATGTGTTGGCTAATCAATTTATTCGTGCAGTGTACCGAATTAACACATATCCGATCGTGCATGCAGGATTTATACATGCATTCTGGAATATACTGGCTTTAACGCCTTTACTGGAAAGATTTGAAGCTGAACATGGCACCCTTACATCTCTGGCTATGTTCGTTGGCCGTAAGTTTGATCAGTCTATGTTGGCAATATATATCATGGATGTCTAACCCTTCGTTTCTAGCGCTCTCAACGCTACCGGCTGGTATATATGTTTTACTCGCCAAGTTCGTCCTTCGAACTAATGTCGGTATCCTCGGTTCAAGGTATGTCACTTCCAGGCAAGCAACCCTCCTCACTCGACTAACCGTTTCCGCCTTAGTTCGTGGTGTTTTCTTCTCCTCAGTGCCGAAGCCATAAAGAGATTTCAAACCTACCCTCACATTAGGTATGTTCAGGCCATCCATCTACCCAGTAACAAGTCTTTCGTTATTCAAACTAATGGCAAATAGCCTGGGCAAATATCAAATCCCGACTTGGACGCTTCCATTGATTTTAAATGCTGTGGCATCCATATTGCTTCCAAATACAAGCTTCATCGGCCACATGTGTAGTATTGCTGTCGGCTATATCTGTAAGTGGCCACTCCTAGTATGCGTTATAACTTGCCGCCCTTATTAATACGTTTCTCCTCAAATTTAGTTGGACTCGGATATTTGAAAGTCCTTTTCCCACCCGAAAAGGTACTTCGTTGGATTGAAACGAAGTTAAACCTACTAGGAAGACTGCCTCATTACGTTTCTGTAGACCAGAAAACCTACGGCCGATATGGCATTCTACCAACAAACGGTACTGGTGACAGAAATATAAAGTTGAACTATGTTGGGTCATCTCAAAGGTTGGGCCCCTGATTTTGGCCCAAAACTCTTGTACGTGTAAGGATACGTGTGGAACGAACCTAATCATTATCAAACACTTCTAATTCAGCTATACTCTTAATATTTTTATTTATATCAATGTATGGTCAATGCGCATATAATAGAAGGCATAGAATAATTTTCATTCTACTTACCTGCAGCTTTCAACAGCTCCCCAAACCTGACACCCCCCTATCCCGCCATCCCGACCAAAGCTAGGCAGCAGCAAATGTACCAACGCAAGGGTAACGTAGACAGTATACATACGTGGAGGACGCGTTGGAGGATGCGTCATTCACCGTTGCATAATTCTTGACAAGTCTTTCTCTTCCCTCAATCTACTATGTATCAACTGCAATATTCTATTATAACCGAAAGCTAATGGTGGGTATGTAGAAATTAACATATTTGCCCAGTGGCTAGCCCTATAGTGTTAGAACCCGAGTTGAAGAATATAGAGATATGACCTAGCACAATGTACTAGGTCTTGGGACTAATATATAGCCATCGACGTAAAATCCACAAGTTGCAGCATAAGCAAATAATTCCCATGCCGTCCCAATCAATGGTTATATATGAAACACCGTAAGCCTAGAGAATAACTCACCATTGAAAAAGGGCACTTCACCGCTTGTACTTGCTTCCTTTACCTCTTTCCTTGGACTGGTTGGCTATAGTTGTTCCTTCTGGCGTGGAAAAGGGGAGAATGTAAACAAATCTCTTGAAGCCTCGGCTTCTCTCTGGCCCTTTGTCCATCACCTTTTCTCCATCTTCGATCAACTGAACACAAAGAAGAGGCAGTCAGAAAGGGGACTTATATTTGCCATGTTGACTTGGGGATACCATTGGGCAAAACGTGTTGATTTATTAAGAAGAGTTGAACCGTTTTTACAATCAATAGAAATAATAGTACGTGGAATAGCAAGTCTATATTAATCACTATCAATGGTATATCAAAGCCTACATACCCATTGATTGTCATATTGACACTCGTAGCATGAACATTGGTATTGTTCATCGACCTGTATAAGATGTGGATAGGCCTGACCGGACCGTCACAGTTTATAATAGTCTATACCAAACTTGGTAGTGATGGAAGAGGACGCCAGGAAAGCCATTTTATGTTCGTATAATAGTAGCTCAATGGTTCAGATGAAGTGATAATAGAGAGAAAGGCGCTAAGCCTATCTGGGGCTAGTGTTCCCGCGCTAAAAGCTAAAAAGTTAGAGGACATTACATAAGCCTGTCCAGTGATGACATCGCGTGGGTGACAGTTCCTCTTCCCCTATCGCATCTTGTTCTCCTTGTGTTCATACCGGCCTCGTCTTCCGTCTCGTATCTTGCTCTATCTTTCCTTTTACCCTTTCTCTTGATAGACAGAGATGTTGTAGGCTTGTCTTCGTCGGAATTGATACCCAAATCCCAAAGAATCAGCATCTGGTTTGCCGACGCTTCCTTCGGCTACCGTGCTCCTCTTCTTCTTCAAATTCGCTTCTTGACCTCCTTCATCAGAGATCTCAGAGAGTTTGATTCGGTTGTTTCATTTTCCGATATACCCTGGCTATCGTCGGTAAGCTGCTTCAGCTTCTAGGCCTTCGCTGGAAACGGGCAATCCTCTACCGCATTTCCGACGGAAGCCCTGACGCAAGACATCTGTCTATCTAACGACGAGGCTGCTTGAACAACCTTTACGGCCAAGATCTGAGGATGACCACCATGGCTACCATGTCTACTCCCCTATTCGAGCCTGCCTATGGCTGCGGTAAGGCTGCCTTACCACCGATGATGCAAAGGGACTCGTTTCTAACCGGGCTTAATAGAACATCTAAGGAATATTTTTGAGAAAGATACCGACGCTGCTACTCGCCTTGCGGAGAATTACACTAAACTGAACGGCAAAGGACCGTGGAATCCATCGCAAGTGCGGTTGGCCCCGTCTGCGAGGCGTGCATCTGGTTCATTGTTCACTCTGAAACCGCAATACCAATGCCTCCACTGTCCAGCTGTGGGTGTGAAGGCCGCACGCTGTGAGCATAGCTCACAAACAGGCCACATATTCTGTGCGTTCGCATTTGCCTGTTACTTTGCAACTTCTTTCTAACCTGTGTGAAAAACTAGTTGCCGACTACCGAAGCAAGCACGTTTTCTGTCAAGGGTGCGATGATCTGATTTACGACGTAGATTTGGAAAGCGTGTTGAAGAATACGACCGAGTCCATTGGTAAGTTTCATGCTATGTATATTCCATTCGAGAGTGGCTGCTAACTCCTCTAGTCTCGAGGAAGCGGAAGGTCGATAATATGGAAGACGACGAATACGCAAGTTACATTGCATTGAACACGAACAAGAAAGTTTGTGGCAAAGAAGGCGTTAGGGGCTTGTTCAATCTTGGCCAGACATGTTATATGAATGTCATTCTCCAAACTCTTTTCCATGAACCTGTCTTGACGGCTTACTTCCTCGGAAACGGTCACGGTACCAGCGATTGCCAAAAAGTGAATTGTTTCGGCTGTGCTCTTGCCGATGCCTTTGCAGAGTTCAGCAATGAAGAGAAAGATGAAGGATTTGGAGCCCTCAACCTTCTCCTTGCCTCATGGCAGAAATCCTCTGACCTTGCCGGTTATCATCAACAAGATGCTCACGAGTTCTATCAGTTCCTGGTAAACCAGCTTCACGAGAGCACTCCCGGCCACCTCGACTGCGATCCTACTTGTCGCTGCTTCTTCCATACGGCATTCTTCGGTAAACTACGGAGCACCATCACATGCGGCAACTGCGGTAAAGTCTCCCGTACCGAAGACCCAGTAATGGACGTCAGTCTGGACCTTCAAGTTCAGAAGAGGAAGCGTGCACTTGACGGTGGAGAGCAAAAGTCTGACGCCTCACCAACACTACAAGGCTGCTTAGAAGGCTATATATCCCCTGAAAAACTAGCGGCCAGTGAATATGGCTGCAGCCAGTGCAACTCTAACAAAGGCGTTACAAAACAGCTCAGACTCAGGAAGCTGCCAGTCATCCTATGCATGCAGTTGAAACGGTTTGAGCGGAACCGCTCAGTCTCGGAAAAAGTCGATACTAAGGTATCATATCCCGCCACTATTAATATGATGCCGTACACCACACGGCCAAAATCTCCCAACAGATCACAGTTCCAGTACGATCTGTTGAGCGTTGTGGTGCACATTGGCGATATCGATTCAGGCCACTACCTTTCCTACTGCCGGCACGGTGAGCAGTGGTTTAAGTTCAACGACGACCGGGTAACGGTCGTTACTGAGGCCGAGGTGCTGGGCGCCGATGCCTACCTGCTGTTTTATACCTTGCAGGCCTACGCTTCCTGCAAGTAGGGGGAGTGCTCTTAAGGGGCCCTAGAAGAGCTCCATGTATTTTTTTCTCTTTAGCTGAGAGAGGAGGGGGGGGGGAGGAGAAGGGGGCGTAAAGCGGTTTACATTAGTACTTAATACCAAGGATACAAAATTTAGATCTGTCAACCTTCTGCCAGCGGACACGTTTAGCCTTACGATGAAGGATGACGGTATAGCCTTATCTAAAGGGGCCGTATAGGCTTACATGAACTTAGTACCAAGGACCAAAATCGACCCCTTACAACGGCTCACATAGAGCATTATTTGCCGTAGGATGTAGCAGAAGCATCTACGTCTGTATAGAAAATATAATCAGGATAACAAATATATCAATGAGTCTTAGTGTGATGTTTGTTAAGCTCTAATTATGATGCATATGTCTATAAAATTATACGAACGTTGTTCCCGCGTATTTCATCCTTATCATGAACGTGAACATCAGCCAGAAGGCGTTGATCCTTAATTTGTTATCTTTGACTTATGCAGGGACTTGTCGAGGATATATGCAATCGACATAAAGTTCTTGCGACTAAGCCTTTATCATGTCGCTTCACAAGAAGCGTAAGAGGTTCTCATGGGTGTCAATCTGGAGGGTGTCCTAGCTGCTCTCTGGTAAAAAGACCAGTCACTTTTGACAACGCTGGGTAAGTTTGATAGCAAATCATACCTTCGACCAGTATGTAACTGGACTCTGCAGAGCAACATTTCTTGTTGGGGTAGTTGCAGTATGCAGGTGGTTGTAAGGTTGTAGGTGATCCCGTACGAGTTTATATCGACTGTTCTATTTCTTCTCCGTGACTGGTGTATCCTACGTCCGGTTTGCCAGTCTCAGCCTATACCTCTACCCCTCGGGCGTGCCAGTTTGCTCCCTCGTTGCCGCCCGGTTGACGAAGTTCCTCTAGTTGTATAACGGCCCGAACTCGAGCCACGGGTGGAGCTCGAGGCAGGTGTCCTTTTCGAGGCCGCAGAGGGTGTTGCGTACCTCAAGGACGATTTACTAGTGTTGGGAGGGTTATCGACGAACGAGGTATCCGTGGTCCTGCATAGATTAACATGTTAACCTGAAGCAATTTAGAATCTCACGACTGGCACGGCACGGCTTACAGGAAAGTGGTTTCGCCGTCGTGTGAGGTAGGCTGGTATTGTTGTTCTGAAGCAGCTTGCAAATCTAGTTCGTTGTCAATTAGCCTTGCATCGAGGTAGGGCGGTGGTAGCATAAAATGCGTGTATACCGTTCTCTTTCTCCCTTGCTTTTTCTCTCTCCTTAAACCGGGTAAACGACTCTGGAATGGGTGTCTAATCAATAGCTAGGTTAGATACGACATCAAACGCTACCAAAGCGTGTATAGACCAACGCACCTCTGGGAAATCTACACAGAATGCATTCATGTTGAGCCCATATAAGAAGCTCGCAAAGCTCTCGTTGAACCTCGCCAGACTCTCATGCATCAGCTGGAGATGGACGAAATTCTCCTCCAGATCTGCCATTGAGTCGGCGAGTTCAGCAAACTGCGGCTCTAGGCTGTTGATGGCCGGCCTCGAGGCGCCTGCACCGACACTGGCATTGTATCTGTGTGCATCGCGTAGAGAGGTCCTGGAGCTGGACCGGAGCGGCGTGGTTGGACGCGATGACGGCCGCGGACGAGAGGTAGACCGCGGTCTCCTGCCTGGTTCCATTATACCCTCGTCGTGGTATGCGAGACGGTGTGTAATATTATCTATCCCTGTTGCTATAGATGGAGTAAAGAGTTCGCATCTTCATCTTGAATCTCGATATAAAGTACATCCACATGGAATCACGTGAAGTCCCCTCCGGCGCATCTTTGAGATCGGATTCTTGGTCGCTGGAAACAAACCAGGAACACCGCAGAACTTCGCCCTCAACCCTTGATCGATCTGACTTTTCCTTCTCTCCTTTCGTCTCTGCCCCGGATTAGCGGAGTTCGTATTCTCTCTTTGCTTCTTCTTATTCCGCTCCCGGGCTCCTCTCCTGACTTCTCCCCCGCTCACTAGTTCTGTCCCCCCCGTCTATCCTGCCGAAATACATATGCGCAACCGACTCCCTTACCGTTCAGTCCATATATTGCATCAATCGCCCTTCGCATTGATCAGACCGGCCGTTCCTAGGCGTTTGGCCCGACCCCAGCTGCATATCCCTAGCCATAGGAATCCCCCGTCTCCTCGGGCACCGTTCTCCTCCCGCGCAGTTCCGAGGGTGCAAATCGCACAGGCGTCCTCCATCTGGACACTATCTCTTTCCGCTCTCCTTCTATGCGGTGGGCTTGCTCTTGGTGCGCTATATATACGAGCCCCTGAGCACCATCACCCAGCTCTCCCGGCTGTATCGTTACCGAAGCAAATTGACGTCCCGCACCTCTTTGACATAATGCCGGAAGAAAACCCCACCGGACACATTGGGAACTTGACGAAGGAGGAGGAAGAAAAACTGCAAGACTTTTGGATTGCGCTTCTCAGAGTCTGCGGGGTTGTTGCGAGCGACGGTTCGGACACAGATCAGCCGAATGGCGGGAGTGTGACGCCCTCTGATGCCAGCACTCCAGACCCCAAGAAGCCCAAGAAGAGATTGGGCATCTTTAGCAGGAAGAGTGAGAGTGTGAACGAGTCGCCATCAGACAGTCCGGCGAACTCAATTTCGAACTTGAAAATATGCGATGCAGAAGATAAATATGGCGAGACCAAGGAGTTTTTCGAGGCTCTAAAGGATACGTCTCCGGAAGATCTACGACTTGCGTTCTGGGACATGGTCAAACACGATCACCCCGATGCACTGTTGCTCCGGTTCCTTCGTGCGCGGAAGTATGACGTTAACCGCGCCTTGGTGATGTTGGTGTCCGCATTCAGATGGCGATCACAGACGATGCATCTCGATGACGACATCATGGTCAAAGGGGATAGTTATATGGAGGCGGAGAGTAAAAGCGAGGACCCGGCAGAGAAGCAAGAAGCTGAGGATTTTGCAAAACTCCTTCACCTCGGCGAGAGCTTCATCCATGGTACCGACAAGCTTGGACGGCCTATCTGCTATATCCGAGTGCGCCTGCATCGAATTGGGGCCCATAACGAGGCCAGTCTTCAGCGATACACCGTCTACCTCATTGAGACGTCTAGACTGCTGCTACAAAGCCCGATAGAAACTGCTGTATGTTCAACTTGTGGCTCTTTACCGAAGCTGTTTCTAATTACAATCAATAGGCCCTTGTTTTCGATATGACCGATTTTTCATTGGCAAATATGGTATGTACCGGCCCCTTTAACTTATTAACATCGATATACTAACGGTGAACAGGACTATGCCCCCGTAAAATTCATGATCCAGTGCTTCGAAGCCAATTACCCCGAAAGCTTGGGCATGGTTCTCGTGCACAAGGCACCCTGGATATTCTCCGGCATATGGTCCGTTATCAGAGGTTGGCTTGACCCCGTGGTCGCTGCCAAAATCCATTTCACGAAAACGACCGAGGACCTCGAAGCTCTCATCCCGCGCAGCAACATTCTCAAAGAACTAGGCGGCGACGACGATTATCAATATAAATATATCGAACCGGTTGCGGGCGAAAACGAAAAGCAAAAGGATACCGGTCGCCGTGACGAATTATTAAAGACGCGGAGAGAGATAGCCAAGGAATTCCAGAACGCAACGCTCTCCTGGGCATCTTCCAGGTCTAACCCTTCGACAGACGGGGCAGCGGACATACGCAAGACCAGGAATGAGGTGGCGGACAAACTCCGCACCAACTACTGGCAGTTGGATCCGTATATCCGGGCCAAGTCGATGTATGACCGTCTAGGCGCTCTCCCTCCGTCGAAGGAGGCCAGAGAACTATCGTCTACACCACAGATGTCGGAAAAGGCCAACGGAGAAACAGCTCCAGCGGCAGTCCCGGTAGCCGAACAAGCCAAGTTGTCAGCATGATCCTACCTTTGGCGTATATACATCTAAGTCTGGCGTTTTTCTTTCTCTTGTCTGTGCATATATGACTATCCTCGTGGTTGCCTGCGTAGGGTATTTATTCGCTCTCGGCACATCCTTATACTCTTTCGTGTGCCTGGGTAGATTTCGGAAGCAACATATTACATATCACGTATGGCGGGGGGGATTAATGGTTTTCGGTTTTCATTTGTTCTGCATTTCCCCAAAGGGGAAACAATATTGGGGGGCTGTACTTTAGACTTGAACTTTGGGACATGTTTGTTTTTCTTTTGTTTCTTGAATTGAAGTATGATATCTACTCGAGCACATATACTACAATGAGATACCCTTCCTGCTAAAGCACTATTTTCAACATAGAGTGGCGAGTAATTACATCTTGGCCTTGAGCTCTTCCCAGAGCTCTGCTAGGGCGGCCTTGTCTGCTCCCATGATGGGCCAGACAACGCCAAGACCCTGCGTTTCGTTTGGTTTTGGGATCTAGAGAGCCGTCAGTCGTCAGTTAATGCAGAGAGAGTGATAGTGAGCAGCGTACCATGTGAAAATGAACCTAGAACCAGTTAGTTAGCAATTGATTAGCAATTGATCTTCAACGAGCGGGGGGACGTACATGGTCCACGACCTGATGGGCTATCCTGCCGTTGTTCTGGAGGATGTTGAAGTCGGTAGCACCCGTGGCGAGGGCGACTTTCTTTGCAACCGGCTAGGATGGGAGTCAGTATCTCATCGGCTCAGCGGAAGGGCAAGAGTAGTTGACGCACCAAGAGCTCAGTGAGGTCTGCATCCGGGATGTCAGTGAGCTTAGCACCGTGGTACTTTGGGATCACAAGCTGGAGAGAACCGAGTCAGCATATGATGTAGACTGCCCGAGCCGGTAGAACTGACTGCATGGCCTCTGCTGAGCGGTTCGATGTCCAGGAAGGCGAGGACTCGCTCGCTCTCGAAGAGTTTCATGCATGGGATGTCACCTATCGATGTGAGTATACGGAGTAGAGCTGGATCTGGGCTTGGTTCACGCACCTTTGACGATCTTGCAGAAGACACAGGCGGCGGAGGAAGCCATCGGGAGTCTTATACCTCTGTCTTATATGTCTGTCTTGTCTTGTCGTGTACTGTGTCGTGTCTATGGAAGAAGTAGGTAGTGTAGTGTCTATGGTGGATGAAGTAGAGTAGGGTGTAGTGGGGAAATAAAGCGCGGCGTGCCAGGCTCGAACTCGGGCTGTCCCCGGGCCAGGGCTAGCGTATAAGGAAGTCAGGGGCGAAATGGGGAGGAGTGGGACAAACTAGCTCAGAATCCATTTCTTGCCTTTTACCAGAGATGGCCGTGGTTTTGCCCATGATACTCCGCTCCTCAATCTTTGAACCCCCTTATATCGACAACAGTCGGTCGATAGTTTTATTTTTTGCACCGGGAGTTTTGACTTTCCTCTCCCTGTCGACTCATGCAAAAAGAAACGAGGAAAACGGGTTTATGGGTGTCGAGGAGGAGGCAGATGGTGCGTGGCATCACCGGCTTGCGTGCCTACAGTGTACTCTTGAATAAGGATAGATATAGATGTGGATATAGATATATATGATGTAGATAGTAGATGGTAGAGACTACTCTGATGCTATTAGTTACGATCGAGATACGCCCTGTCAGTTACAACTTCGGCTTCGGCAGTCGTATAGTCCAACCGGCGTTTCTCCGCACCCCACTCGGCTCTATATAACGGTGATATATGCTGCTTGTTCGTGACATATTAACCACGTACCTACATATATATTGATACAACATGTTGACTACTGAGCTGTCTGAAGCAGATGTCTCCGGCTTGAGAGCCAACAAGGAGAGACTGCAGGACTGGATACACCATAGCTGTCAATGGGGATCGGGGGTTAGATGGGGAGAGTAAGCAGTCCAGTCTCCCAGCTGATATACTCCTTCTAACGCTTACTGTAGCCATCCAACCGAGACAGGCATGGCCCGTCTCGCACTATCGCAAGAGGACAAGCAAGTTCGAGACTGGTTCGTGGAGACGACCAAGGCACTCGGATGCAAGGTCACGGTCGATAGCATGGGGAACATCTTTGCTGTCCGGCCCAGCAGGAGAGCAGATGTGCCGGCAACTTTCATCGGAAGCCATCTAGACACACAGCCCACGGGCGGGAGATATGACGGTATCCTCGGCGTGTGCGCCGGTATCGAGATGCTGAAGGTCCTCGAGGAGAAAGGGATTGAAACTGAGGGCGGTGTTGGTGTCGTGAACTGGACAAAGTTAGTACTCACCCAGATGTTATATATCCCAAGCTGACGGATGAAAAACAGCGAAGAGGGAGCCCGTTTCCCCAAGAGCATGATCTCTGCCGGTGTCTGGGCCGAGAGCATACCTCTGGAGACTGCACATTCTCTCCTCGAGGTACCAACCGTCGCGTCTCTCCCATCGGCCGCATCAGCCCCTGAGTCGATGAAATCCGCTCTAGAGAAGATCAGCTACCTGGGCACCATTCCATGTTCATACAAATCCTCCCCCATGGCTGCCCATTTCGAACTTCACATCGAACAGGGACCTCATCTCGTCACTGCTGGCCAGCATGTCGGTGTCGTCACCGGAGTACAGGCATACCGTTGGTACCGCATCAACGTAACCGGAAGAGACTGCCATACAGGCAGCACTGCTTTCCGACACCGAGCTGATGCCATGTACGCCTCTGCAAGAATGATGGTTCGTGCCCGTGAAGTGGCTGATAAGCACGGCTGTCTTGCCAGCGTTGGAATAGTCGACGTTAAGCCAGGCAGCGTCAACACTGTTCCGGGATTCGTCAGTTTCAGCTTCGACATCCGTGGTCCAGAAATAGAGGATGTAGAGGTCGTGGATGCTGCATTGAGGAAGGAATTCGATGCTATTGCCGCCGAGGAAGGGAAGGAGATAGGTAAACCGTGCCGTGTAGAGTGGCAGCTTGACTTTGAAACTCCGGCCACGAAGTTTGATCCCAGCTGCATCGAGTGCGTTACCGAGTCAGCCAAGGCTGTGGTGGCCGATAAACCGAACCCGGAGTCTCTGTATAGAACTATTCGCAGTGGAGCTGGACATGATAGCGTGTTCACTAACAAGAGGGTCCCCACGAGTATGGTGTTTGTTCCGTGCAAGGACGGAGTCAGTCATCACCCAGAGGAGTTCTCCTCCGCCGAGGACTGTGTGAATGGCGCGTCTGTCATTTTACAAGCTGTCGTCAGATATGACCGGAGGAGATTCCAGTAGACTTATACAAAGCCTACCACCCTCTTTAGAATAAGAACTCAACCAGAAGAAATGAAAACCCATAGGGCCCTTGCTTTTGACGAAGAAAATGCCATTGATATATGTATCTAACTATCGTCATAATTGTAATTTTTGTTTTTGTTTCATATTCCATCATCCAATATCATTCCCATCATGCAGACAAAAAGGTAGATTTACATCTCCTTCCTGTCGAAGACGTTGATAGGTAATTTAAGAGGATGGGGCTGGGGCACCACCGCGTCCACGGCCGAATCCGCCACGGAAAGATGGGGCGAATTCACCAGGAGCACCGCCTTCCTTGCCCTCAGCGCCTTCACGGCGTCTGTAGCCACCGTCACGGTCACCACGGTCGCCACGGGGGCCACCACGACCGCCAGGACGTCTCTCGCGCTCTTCGCCGCCCATCATACCGCGTGGGGGAGCGTGCGAACGCTGCTGCTTGATGTGCGTGGCTGGCACAATCTCAGCTGGCAGGTGGAGCCATTCGCGGAGGTAGTCGAGACCCTCGGGGGTGAGGGTGTAGTAGTAGTACTGCCACGAGAAACGGGTCTTGAGGTAGCCTCGAGAAGTCAAAGACTGGCAGGCTTTGATGACCTGTATCATGGCCGTAAGTATTGGATATAGTATTATTTTTAACATCGGAGACGTACATAGAGGTTCTTGGTGTCAATGTCGGTGTGTTTGGGCAAGTTGTAGTCCTTCTTGGCCACGAGTACACCCTCTGAAGAAGAGAATTAGTTGGAAATCCCTTTTAAATATGACGGCTAGAACGTTGCATACCGCGGAAGAGGTACTCGTGGATGAGCTTGCGGTCAGCCTTTGGAATAAGCCTGTAAATCGACAGTTAGCGCATGTGCGGCTCTGCATGATGCGAATTCTCTACTTACATTGTCGCGAGTTCCTGGCGCTTTTCGGGGAATCGCTTTTGACAATGCGATCTGTAGTTAGTGGTGCAGGTGGTTGATGTAGGTAAACCTCTCGATAAGCTGGATAAAAAGTGTGTAGGGAAAGTTTTAGGGTTCGCGAACAACTTGCCCTAATTGATTATCTAAGAATATCACATGATCTAGATGGCTCACATCACGTGAGCCCAGCCCCGAAGCTTCATTCGCGGTTCTCAAAGCGGCAACATTGAAGGACCGAAAGTTATCAACCTCGTCTTCAACGGTGATATCTATTCCAATTCACGTCTGAGTGTCTTGTTACTAGTTACGTGACTAGATAAACGATACCAAGTGTTGCATTCTCTAGAAACTGCTCGATCAGACCTCTCACCATGGCGCCATCTACCATCAACGTCCTTCTATCATCGTTCCCTGGGCTGTCACTCCCTCCGACCTTGGCTATACCTCTACCATCGACTTCATCTATCATAGACCTCACCGATAAAATAAGCTCGTATCTGCCTTTCCCGCTTACCGCCCAGTCATCGCCTCTTATCTTGACAACCACGAGCAACAAGCAAGTTCACCTCTCCTCGCCAGCCAAACTTACCAGCCTCATCCCAGAAATCAAAGATGACGAACAAAATGCAACATCCACGTTCCTACCTCTTCGACTCAGTGTTCGTGTATGCGGAGGCAAAGGTGGTTTCGGCTCGCAGCTCCGAGCTGCCGGAGGTCGAATGTCCAGTCGACGAAAGGGAAATCAGGATGCGAACACCGGGTCTAATCGAAATCTCGATGGCCGTCGCCTACGGACTATAAAGGAAGCGAAGGCGCTGGCTGAATATCTTGCCTTGAAGCCGGAGATGGATAAGAAAGAAAAAGAAGCGCGAAAGAGGAGGTGGGAAGCTGCTGTTGCCGCCGCAGAGAAGAAGGAGCAGGAGATCCGCAACGGTGAAGGGAAAGGCAAAGTCGACGGCGCCTGGATGGAGGATAAGGAAGAGATGAGTGAGAAGGCAAGGGACGCTGTGCTACAGGCGATGAAGGGGGGAGTTTGGAAGGACAACCTTGCTGGAAATTTATTGGGCAGCTCGACACCTAGCGCGAGCGGGAGTAGTGGTAGTGGAGGGTCGGCAGGCGCAAGCGAAGACAGCGATATGGAAGATTTCGATGAAGATATCACCCCGGCTGAAGCAGCCACAAACGTGAAGAAACCAGTCCGGCGGTATTTTGGGTTCGACGACGAGGATGACGAGGATGAACTAATGTCAGATGAAGACGACGAAGCCGGTAGTAGTGCCGAAGAGGATATCAAAGGCAAGGGGAAAGCAAAGGCCTGACTACCTGCAAAACTAGTCGCTACTCGTCGTTGACTTCGCTGTTGTTTTGTCTCATTCTGGCGCAAATATGAGTAATGAAACGGAAACGGCACAATTATGAATAGCCTTTTGCCTTATGTGTAATATTAACACTTTACTATGAAGCTGATCACTCTGTATCTTCTGCCATCTCACTGCCTTTACATCAAATCCGCGATATCTAGTTCCATATCGGACCTATCAAGGGTGGATCCACGGCGATATCGGAATAATGATATTCCGTCGATAAGAAAGATTTCCAGATCCAATCTTCAAGACAGCTTTTTGCAGAACGAGCTCTTCCAAACCGTCTATAGCATTCAGGGCAGAGAGATGAATGCGCGATGATAATTCCTATCTTTAGATCTCAGTCTCGAAATACTCTACAGCGCCTACTCCCGCTTTTTCCTCGAAGGCACACTCCTGTCCGCTGTTTTTCAGGATGGCGCGCTCTACAGCCCTATAAAACATCAACCACACGACCAAAGACCTCTTTAATTCCGAGACAGCAATGGTTATATAACTCTACCGAAAGCACTGAGGTTGCTGCTCCAAGTGTAGATGCATGGGCGCTTCCCAAAACGTGTCATGGTTGCGGCGCATTAACACAATGGGTATACCCTGAAGAGCCTGGATTTTATACCGTCACCCGGAAACCAGTGAAAAACTACATTCAACAAATCGTCAAAGATCAAGAGCCAGGTGGAAGTGTCTTGGTCAACCCACAGCCGGAGAAGAAACCCGCGCAGGAATCCAAGGAAGCAGAGATCCCACTTTGTGATCGATGCCATAATTTAATAAACCATGGCAAGGGTGCTCCTATACCATACCCTACGTTATCTTACATACGCGATCTAATCGACGAATCTCCTTTTCAAAACAATTATATCTACCACGTTCTCGACGCCGCCGATTTCCCACTCTCGGTGATCCCGAGTCTTCAGCGATATATGCCAATACAACCGCAGCGCAGCCAGAACCGCAGATCACAAGCACAGAAATACGGATCCAATCGCCGTCTTGCCGAGATCAACTTTATTATCACACGAGCTGATCTGTTATCGAACGTGAAACCGCAAGCAGATTCCCTGATGCAGGATATGGTACAGATACTACGGGAAACGTTAGACCGCAGAGAGCATGGCATAAGATTAGGGAACGTCCATATGGTTAGCTCGTACAGGGGCTGGTGGACTAAGGAAATAAAAGAAGATATTTGGAGGCAAGGCGGTGGCGTGTGGATGGTCGGCAAGGTGAACGTCGGCAAAAGCAAACTAATCACATCCGTCTTCCCAAAGACAGTTCCGCGGTACCAGAGGAAAGTCCGGAGTCAGGGCGGCGTGACGGTCGTAGGACGTTCTTCCGTGGACGAGGTCGCTCCTCAATTTGAAGAAGCGGAGAGTGACGAGGCTGGAGCAGCTGTGTTACTACCGCCGCTTCGAAAAGAGGTCCCGTTCCCCAATCTCCCAATTGACTCTTCTCGTCCGGGAACCACTGCTTCCCCTATCAGGATACCATTTGATAAGCATCGCGGCGAAGTTATTGATTTGCCCGGTCTTTTCCGTTCTGGGCTCGACGAGTTTGTACAGGACAATCACAAGTCTGACCTGGTGATGACGAGCCGTCCGAGACCAACCCAGGTATCAATCAAGCCCACCCAGTCACTGCTCCTTGGTGGCTTGATAGAAATCAAGCCACTCGAGGAGAGGGAGGTTGTGTTGGCAGCTCCCTTTCTTTCCCTGGAGGCCCACGTTACCAGTAAAGACAAGGCGGCTGAGATGATAACGCAGCAACGACAATGTCCGACTGGAAATATCGCAAAGGAAGGGATCGGAGAACAAATTACTTCTGCGGGGATAGTCGAGTTGAAATATGATGTCACGAAGAAATACGCAAAACCGCTAGCCTCAGGAGAGCTATCTCCGCTTTACAGGGTTATGGGGGTTGATATTCTCATCGAGGGATGCGGATGGGTAGAGCTTACGGCTCAAGTCAGGACAAAACACCGAGATCCCTATGACTTCCCGAAGGTTGAGCTATTCAGCCCTCTTGGAAAATTCGTTGGTAGCCGGATGCCACTGTGCACTTATGCCTTTAACCTGAAGCATCGAGCACAGAAAGAACAAAAGCGTCTGGCCAAGTCGAGGCGCCCTCCAACGAAGATTCGCCGTCCGAGGCGCTGAAATCTTCATGCCATATACTACTTTGGAAGGCTCCGTCGTTTCCTGTTTTTGACTAAATTCTCAAAATTTGTGCATGGAGCGGAGTTTAGCAGTCCCTTTCTTTCTTGTACAACTAGCGATCTGGATAATCTGTATTATAATTATAGAGATGTAGGATATAGCGAATATATAGAAGAGCCCAGTGTCGACGACGTTCGATGATCAGGTCATTTCAACTAAGACAAGGGGAGATCTCCACAGAATACGACGACGGATGGCCAGGGCAGTCTGTTTCCTTGCTTCTTCTGCCACCAGGCGAACGTCATGGCGCAGACGGCCATCCACCAGTGTAATTCCCAGTATCGAGATATATTCATCGATGCCGTCCGCGTTGTCGTTTTCTGGTGACGTTTTTTCCCGCTGACTAACTGAATAAAGCGGCGCGAGGTCCCGGTGTGGCGGCGTCTGAAATGATGTACTTCCGCCGAAGTTCGAGAAAGGCCGAACCGGGCAATATATCAGAATCACTCGATGCACAGTCTGATATTCAGCAGAGTTCGGGTTCCTCAAGCCGTCTGCACCCTTGGGTCTCCTGTTCCCGCGCCTGATCTCTCCCTAATTCCATCGTCCGGCTAAACGCCGATATCCCGCAGAGTTCAACTTCCCACTGTTGAAACAGTGGACCTGTGTCGACTGAACCAGAGATCGGGCTCTTTCTTTCTCTCCATTGTGTGCATTTCTTTTTTAACCCTCTTGTGACCGCCTATACCGAATCCGCAGGACTGTTTTCCAGTATTCTTGATGAGCTCTGAGTGCCCGACATAGACACATGGGGTGAGAAAAGTCCTGGCATGCCCACCGCCGCCATGATGCGTCCCAAGCCTTCGTCTTCTATGCAGAAGACATACGATGACAGTTATTTGATGTGCTCTACAGCTGTCTATTTTGAGGGCCAGGTATTATTCTCATTTCTTTTCCTTTGATTTTCCGAAAGCTATCAATGCCCCGCAATCCGCAAATTCCGGCTATATATCTGACTGGTTCGGGGGAACTATCTTTTGCGCAATGGACCATGGGGGAGCTGTATGAGGTGTATTACCTTGCTAATATCCTTTTTTTTCTTTCTTCCTAGAATAACGAGTCAGAGGCATTACGAGCTTGGAAGTCTGCGCTAGACACGATTTACTACCACAACGCCCATAAAGTTCCGTTGACATATGTCCCCAAAAATGATACGGAGCGAGGTCTGCAAGATGCTTTGCGCGAGTTAGAACTACAGTGCAAAGAAAGAGTAAGCCTGTTAGAGACGTTACGAGAAAGTCGCAAGGAAGCCGGCATGGACCCTGATCCAAAGACTACGCCAATTTCAAAGGGGAAACTAGAAAAATCACGACCTCCAGTGACTGGACCGCAGAAACTAGGTGGGAGCACCACGGGTTGGATTGGAGGCGGAACCATTCCCTCCATAAGTTATCCTGAGCTGTCACGGCCGCCGGCTTTGCCACCTCGCCCTACAATGCACAGTCAGTCAAGCTTGAACTCGATGACACAAACACCCCAAAGCAGTTCAAGTGATGTACGTGGGCTAGGGCTGGATTCCTTGCCATCGCCGCCTATACTTCCGGTACCTTCGTCGAGGGACGATATGCATCGGCAGGCAAATCCGGAGAAGAAAAAGACGTTGCTCACGACTCTGCGTGGTAAGGATTCAAAATCATCATCAGGATCGAGCACACCTCCTCGCAAACATTCGAGGCCAGCTGCTTCCAAAGCAGCAGGTTTGGCTTGGAGCTTTGTCACGCACTCGGGCTCGTCAAAAAATGCGCAAGCTTCGTCTGGAAACGAGTCCGCACCGTCAACTCCGCGTAAGAGTACATCAAGTGACTCGGGCTCCCGGAGAGACGCTTTACCCAGTCGACATTCTATTGAAGAAACCCCAATGTCCACCCGAGGGGCTTACCGCTCGGATTATTTCTCAGGGCCTCCCTTAACACGGAGAATTTCGGGAGATCATGCGGCTGCAAGCTTGGCTGCTGGTGCTGCCGCGGCAGCCGCTGCTGCTCAAAGACCTACTGAAGGAGAATCTCATAACGGTTTCCTCGACCCTTCCCCTGACCTTAAGGCGAACCCATTCGATAAATGGAAGCAGTCGGATACAAAGCAAGATACAGGGTATAGTCCCACTCAGAACGGGAACCACAGGCCGCCAATTTCAACTAGGAGCTCGACCGTCGAACTCCCGCGCTCTATCCCAGTTTCTACTAACCCTCAAACTCGCACAAACAAGGCAGTTCTGGATGACGCTGGCCAAAGACGGGTTGTTAAAACCAACTCTGCTCCATCCAAACCTAGGCCAAATGGAAAGGACGTTATTCGAGATGTCGAGACCAATGGCGAAGACTCGCCCACCGATGGTAGAGCCAGGCATCTAGCCTCCCAGACTCCGGTGACAGCACAGCGTCCGGTAGTTGGGCAGCAAAGAGTAGTATCGAAATCTAATAGATTGTCGGTAGACACACCTTCTCAGGAAGAAGTTAGGAACGTGGATGAAGATGAAGATGCGTTAACGAATGAACTTGGTTACGACCAAAGCTTTGGAGGAGTAATGAGCAATTTGCCTAAGGGGGTTGACAGGGAAGCCGCAAAGCAAATTCTTAACGAGATCGTAGTCCGTGGAGACGAAGTTCACTGGGATGATGTTGCCGGGCTAGAACCTGCAAAGAAAGCATTAAAGGAGGCCGTCGTATACCCTTTCCTCCGGCCGGATTTATTTATGGGACTTCGTGAGCCAGCCAGAGGTATGCTACTCTTTGGACCACCGGGAACCGGCAAAACCATGTTAGCAAGGGCGGTCGCCACAGAATCGAAATCCACCTTCTTTTCGGTTTCAGCCTCCAGCCTAACGTCTAAATGGCACGGAGAAAGCGAGAAGCTTGTTCGGGCTCTCTTTGTATTGGCAAAAGTGTTAGCTCCGTCTATCATTTTCGTCGACGAAATAGACTCCTTGCTCTCCTGCCGTTCAAAGGCTGGTGAAGCGGAGGCCTCCCGAAGATTAAAGACCGAGTTTCTTATCCAATGGTCTGATCTACAACGAGCTGCTGCGGGCAGAGAACAGTCTGAAAAGGAGAAGAAACTAGGCGACGCGACGCGAGTTCTAGTCCTAGCCGCAACAAACATGCCTTGGGATATAGATGACGCAGCTCGGCGTCGGTTTGTTCGTAGGCAGTATATACCACTCCCAGAGGCCGAAGTACGAAAACTACAATTCCAAAAACTACTCAGTCATCAGAAACATGAGCTCTCAGATGATGATATCAATGTAATTGTCAAAGTCACCGACGGTAAGCAAACAACCCACGCAACCAATATGATATTCCTCGTTCAATCAATATCTAACGTTTGCTCTAGGCTTTTCTGGCTCTGATATCACTGCCCTTGCGAAAGATGCTGCCATGGGACCGCTACGAAACCTAGGTGAAGACCTTCTTCAGACACCAATGGAACAGATTCCTCCTATCACATTCGGGGATTTTGAAGCCTCCCTATACTCCATTCGGCCCAGCGTAAACAAGGAGGGACTAAGTCGATATGAGGCATGGGCAAAGGACTTTGGGGAAAGAGGGGGTTAAACCCTGCTTATTTCGAGTTGCTCCCCTTCTCTTATATATATGTTTCTCTCCTTGCATTTTGTTGTCTGGAAAATATTCTTATCGTTATCTGTTTGTGAGGTCCTATGAACAATGTTGTTCATCTCGACTGTTTGGAACTGCATCGCATGAGGTTTTCGTTGGCGTTTCACTCGGGAGTTTCTCCTTGGATCTCGTTCGCTACGCCATGGTGTTAAGGTATGGGACAGAGATGGGTTCGAGGGGCATTCTCGTTCGGTCTTACATTGGGTTTCCTATTTCTCTAAGGTTTGGCATGGCGACTGCGCCTGGAGGGTGCCTTAAATTTATCATTCTATGCAGCGAGAGTAAAAGAAAGGTCAAGGATTTATGCTCTTATAACTACTTTTTTACTTGCTCATTATGTTAACTGATATCATTCAAATTCTTGCCTGATCTCTAGTATTGATAGTCGTAAAGAGGGCAGGGCAATTTTTGAAGCTATTATTAGTTAAAGGGTCAGGTAGGTATTCAACCTATTCAACATTTTGATTCTTAAGGATTTGATTTTAATATACAATATTCGTGCTATGAACTACTAATACATTGAACCTTAAAGGTTTCTATGTCCGTCAAGAGGACTGCAACCGTAATCGACTTCTAACGAAAGATTATAACAAAAGCTACCATGTCTATTGGGCCACGTTCAGCTCCTTTGCGCCCAGTTGCCTCTCCTCTTCGCGCTCCAATCTCTTCATAACTCGTTCCCTGATCCTCCCAATCTTTACCTCTCCCGTAACTTCAACATCGGCAGCTTGATCTTTATCCAACCCCATCCTCCTAAGTCTCCTCTCCTTTCTAGCGTTTAGCTCCGATTCCAATCTTTCCGAATAGGTCATAACGGGAGGCCGATCCTCAATTGGTGTTCCAAACGGCACCACAATCCTTTCCACCACGTGTCGGACATGTTTACTCACACGTCGCCCGCTCCAGAATTCAATTTTATCACCTACTCGTAGTGAGTTGCGCGGATCAGAGACCTTGTACGTCTCCTTTACAGCAAAGCGTTTCTGGACTTGTTTGTTGAACTTGATGTTTATATGTTCCACGCGAACGGTGCGTTGCATACGGCCGGCGGAAATGACAGTACCAAAGCTACGGCTTACGCCGTGCGGAAGGGGGACAGATGTCGGTGGAGTGGTTGTTGTAGGGATTGAGTCTGTGTCTGGCACCTGAGATCGGGCTGATGGATAAGTGGAAAAGAGCGAGGAGCGCGATTGAGCGGGTGCGAGGCCATGTCTAGCAAGACTGCCTGTTGTCGTTGTTGCTAGAGGTTGTGCATGCCGAAGGACCGAGGATAATGAAGGGGCAGCCGATCTAGTGAGCGATTGAGAGAATGGCATTCCGCATATTCGAAGAAGTTGGCTGCTTGTCGAGGAGTTCATGATTGATCCGGTCTCGTAGGCACGCCCACGGTACGGCCTCGTGGAAAAAGTAGGAAGTGCGTCGTTTTTGAAGTCAATGCAGCTGTATCTGGTGCAACAAGCACAAATTAGACGCCTTCAGAAGGGTGAGAGCGAGCCGAAGTATGGTTTCTCCAAGCGCTCTGTCTTTTGTCTCTCAGGATGCATCGAAGCTTCAAAATTTTGGAGGTTAGTATGTCACGTGATATTGAAACTCTTAGTGTGATTATATAATCATATCTTGCGATAATCGTATGAAAATATTGTTCATAACTCCAAAGCGATTCCTCTACCAAACATATTCCGTGCGCTTCAGCCTTCTAACAAGTTCCCAATTCGTGAGCCTCCGGGTTGGGTAAAGCACCCCTCCATCAGGAGCTATGTCTAGCTCATAAGGCGACCACTCCTCGTAGTCTATGATATAGCTAATTGAGAGGGTATATCTATTAGGCAACAACTCTATACTTTCATGTTAGGGATCGGAGGCATACCATTTTTTGGCTTCTTTATCCCACAATAGATTCCTTTTTCCAGGGTTTATATGCCTTACACCATGCTGAGCCAACGTCCTAGGCCCCCCGACACCAGAATTAGCCAAGGAATGCAACGAAAGGTCAAGTAAGGCTTCACTTACAAGAAAGAGTCCAGAAATGCTTCGCGAAGTTCATCGCGCTCCTCCCGAGACAAATCCCAGAATTCCAACGGAGAGTTGCCTGGCAACCTCTCCATAAGGGTATATAAGATATTCCCGCCTGGAAGCCACATACCTTCAGTTTGTGTGGTAGATAACACATCCAGGAGCTTTGGAGATACCGGGCAATTAGAGGCTGTTAGCTTCTCTAAGCACTCTACTTCTTTTGGCCCATAGTTGAATGCCCGGGGTGAGAATATCTCCTGGCTAGGGTTTGCTGTCTTGCTGGGACCACCCTGACCTAGTAACCTGAAGATGAAGGAGAAGCATCAGTAAACTTTATACAATAAATGAAGACAGAATCTCTAAAATCCAGGATAGAAAACTCGACTTACTGCATATAAATTTTCAATATTGCAACAGAGTGAGAACTAGGCCTATATAATAGAGTAGTTTCGAAAACTCTCATAACTTCAGATTGTATTCCATGGAAGGACACACGACGCTCTTGGATTTTCTCCTTTGAAATCCAAGCATGTTCGTTGGGAGTCCCTTGTTCAAAAACGACAGTCGTGTTTTTGAAAGCATCGAAGTAGATGCCATTAGCGGGAAAGCATACCATTGCAGGTGAGGTGATGTTTATAAGTTCCTTTAGTTGTGAAAAGAGAAAACACTGTGATTGGAATAAGATATAACGCCCAAGGCTACAGAGCCATGCATCTTCGCATCTTCCGTGCGATTGGACCAGATACAGAGTAGTTATGCACCTGTAGCCTGAAGTAAGTCTCTAAATATAAAAGGGAGATGTGTTGTTGCATAAATATATAGATAAATGCTTTTATATTTAAGCTTCCCAGGAGTTCCACTGTCTTCCGGCTGCTATTTAGCGGGGGAGTTGCTGCCTGGCAACTACAATACCGATCCTGTTCATATCAAAGACCATTCCCTGTCTTCACTCTTGCTTTTATTGAAATTCTCTCATGGAATGATTTATTGCAGAAGGTTAGGAGTAACAACATCTATCAACCTATGAGAAAATGGACCATCTTATAGATACCAAGCAGCCTGGTGAAGATGATGGAAGTGAGGTTTCTGATTGGGAAGTAGAGGATGGCATACCCCAATTCAAAGATCAGTTCATTCAGCAATATTTACACGGAAGAAGAGCCTTGATTCAGGAAGAGAAGAAGCAGAGACATGGTAAACAGCAACCTGGATATCTGATTCCGCTTCTTGAACTCGCGGATCGGCACCTTCGGATACGTCCAAGGAATTGCTGATGCTGCATATCTATCTGACTGGGCTGGATTGAATACTGATGGATCTCTTATAGATGCCAATTTTCTAAAATGCATGTCGCCCTCTGCCAGAGAAGCATGCCGAATCATTTCCCATGTTCGAGACAGAGAACTAAAAACTGTCTGGACTAAGGATGCGGAAGAGAATATAGCTAAAGCGGAGGATACGGTGCTTTATCCAGGAATGATGTTTCGACTGGCTAGGGACAGGATGGAGGGTACTGATCTATGGAAGATTGTGAAGAAGATGCCCAAGGGTGAGTCTCCTCGATATCCTAACTGAGGACTATGTGATGAGAGGCAGAGTAATTAGCTAACTATCTGGTCTAAAGGAGCTTTATTACATGGACATTTGGAGGCTATGGTTAATTTAGATGTGCTTGTGGATCAAGTAATGTCTTTGCCTGGTATGCACATTGCGTCAGATAGGCCACTGACAACAGGAGGAAACCTCAAATATTCTCCGCTGCACTTTCAATACTTTTCCAAGCCACAGAACTTGAGGGGTGTCGAGAAGCCTGGATCCGACACTATTAGCATCTGGAACTCAGCCTATAAACCACTCTCATTCATCCCAGTGAAGGAAGCAGCGGATCAGTTTCCAGAGGGCGGGGTGAAGGGGTTTCACGACTGGTTGAAGGGAAGATGCACGATTGAAAAAGAGGTATCACTAAGTCATCACCACGGATGTGCTGCGATCTGGGATATTCTAGACCAGAAATTCCAGGTTGTAGACGCAATGCTCTACTACGAACCGATATTCCGCGCATGTCTCAAGCATATGTTGGCTGAGCTAAACGAAGATGGCGTTCGATATGTTGAATTTCGCCTGGCTTTCGGATTTGAATATCGCCGTGATAGATGCGAAGAGCCCGACCCTACCTTTGACTCCATATTCGAAGCGTTTGAAGAAGAAATCGAGAATTTCAAAGCCTCCGAGGCCGGCCAAGGGTTCCATGGAGCTCGTATGATATGGACGACCATGCGGAGTCACACGAACCGTGATATAGTGGAGAGCATGAAGGAGTGTATAATGACGAAGCTGCAATTTCCCGAGCTTATCTGCGGCTTCGATCTGGTAGGGCGTGAAGACGACGGGAGAACTCTGGTGGATATGATTCCTGTCCTGTTTTGGTTTAAAAAGCAATGTGCGGTGGAAGGCGTGGAAATTCCGTTCATGTTCCATGCAGGGGAGTGTCTGGGGGACGGAGACGAGACCGACTCAAACCTCTACGACGCCATCCTCCTGGGCACACGCAGAATCGGACACGCATTCTCTCTCTACAAGCACCCTCTCCTGATCGACCTGGTCAAGGAGAAGAAGATCATGGTCGAATGCTGTCCGATCTCGAACGAGGTCCTACGGTTTACCAGCTCGATCATGTCTCATCCGCTGCCGGCCCTGCTATCCAGAGGCGTTGCCGTGTCACTCTGCAACGACGACCCGGCGATGCTAGGCCACGGTAAGAATGGACTCACGCATGACTTCTGTCAAGTGCTGAACGGGCTAGAGAACGTTGGTCTCTCCGGCCTTGCTACCATGGCGGAGAATTCTCTCCGCTGGAGCTGCTTTGAGGATCAAAAGAACGCAGACTGGCTGGCAGACATCAAGAGAGGGATAACCGGGTCCGGGCAGAAGGCCGAACGCATCCGGAACTGGAACGTTGAATTTGAAAAGTTCTGTCAGTGGGTGATTCTCGAGTTTGGTTCCGATGCTCCGGACGAGGGCGAGGAAGAGGGCGAGGACGAGACTGAATAGGGAGTGTAGGTTAACGATGAACTCTAGATGATCTTCCTGCAGCGAGAGCATCGGATACGCTGCATGGTAGCTGTTGTCTAGATATAATATTCATATATCAGCCCGTAGCGATGGTCGTAGTATCGCCTGAGGAGGTCATGATGGCTGTTTGCCCTGTTTGGCTGCCTCGATCACGCCTGAACTCTGGTTGAGGGAGCAACCTACCACTAGACTCCGCGAGCTTCATGTGTAAGCGTCATGGAATCGCTAGTCGTAACCACGGCATCGCCCATGGCAAATCATGCCTGTAGCCTCACCCTCAAGGCACTCTGGTCCAGTTCGCACACACGAGAGAAGGGGAGTCGCCGACAGACGTGGCAGCGTTCTCTTCCGTCCATGAAGATGCAGCTCCAGGCCGCCGCTTGACCATCTATAACCACCGTCCTGCTCTCTACACCGGAGCAGCCTGTCTCAAACGTCTCTCTCAGGGCTTTCATCCGGTCTGGCACGTCTCAGCTAACCTTTGCCGGCTTCTCTTTCTGTCCTGCCTAGGGCTTGTTTGGCCGATCTGCTTGATAAGGCGTTTAGCTGTCTATATATTTGTTGAGCCTCAAAGCGCATTTTATTCCTTAATATCTACCCTCTATCCATACGACTCACCTAGCTTCTACCACTTTCAACCTTACCCTTACGATCTCCGGTTGAATACGCAGCTGTCTCTCCTCCAGCAGAGCTCAAAAGCGTTGACCGTCTCGCCTTACCGTATCCGCCACCCCGCCTTTCATATCTAGTAGCAATGCAGACGGCGTTCTAGGACGTTTCTTCATAAACAGTCCGTATAAGAAGGCCAGCCAGCTTGTCTTCGGCAAGGACCGAATTATGTCGTACTTCCTGCCTTCGTTCTTCCAGAAACGGCTCCTCAGATATGCCTTGTCCCGCCTGGAGATCGTCGATACAGATGCACTGGATTTGGATAGCCTGGGTATAACATGGGGTCAGCGAAGCACATTTGAGTTGAAGGATGTCGGTCTACGGTTAGAGGTATGTTGGATGTGCCCTCTGTCACCTCGCTGGGATGTGGTTGTCATGTCTGGATATACATATAACTGACTGGGTATGATATTCTCCCACCTACAGAAACTAACATCGACCATACAACTCCCACCTGAGTTCATAATAACCAAGGCCCGCGTTTCGGTGGCACGTGTGACTATACCTGCAGATATCTATGCCAGCGGCATCATCATCGAGTCTGAAGGAATCCAGCTTGATCTGAAGCATGTTCCAAGCAAGCATGACAGTAGAGCACAGGAGAAGAAACAAGAAGGCCATGCGGGAGGTTCTGGCCAAGGAGATGGTCATGAAAACATCCTACCGTCTACAACCGATCTCGCCCAGTCGTTCCTAGAATCCGAACCCGTTGAAGAAACCGCAGAGCTCGAGGCGGCGCTGACATCTCAGTCCTCCCAATATATCCAGCAATCAGATATCCTTAGTGACGATGGATCTGAAGAATCTGCGCTTGGGTTGCATGATGGTGTCACTTTGCCCGGATTCGTTGCCGGCTTTATACAAGGGGTCATAGATCGACTACAGCTAAAAGTTAAAGATGTTTCCGTAAGAGTGGCCATGGAGGTGCAGCAGGATGCTTTCCAGAAACCTTTATCGTCTGTGAAGATGAAGCCGATAACTGCCATGTTAAGCCTCGGCGAGGTTTCCATTGATGGCGTTGCGCCGCCAGGATCACAGGACCCAACACTGAAAGCAGGGAAACGTCGGATGGTCTTTTCGCAACTCCATGCTTTGCTAGTTTCTGATGAGACTTTATTCTCGAATTACTCTCGCTTTTCTCCCCCGGATTTGGCATCTCCTATCTCCAGGGGAAGTCTATCAAAGCAAGAATCGATGCGGAGTCAATCTTCGCTAGCATCAAATCTTGGGTATGGCAACCCCTTGGCACAATCTACGATCCTGGAACGATCATCTATACTTGACGAGCCACTTGAACAATCGGATCAACTTGAACAGTCTCAGATCCTGCAAAAATCCGTCTCCTCGTCAAGTGATGGTAGATTTGACGATGCCGATTCTGATATGGAGGAAGAGCCAGAGTATAGGATCGAGCCGCAAGTCCGACCTTCTCGGCTCCCTGACATTCAATTCAACGAAGATGGAATGGGCGCCTCTCTAAACGAGGCCCTTGAGTCTAGTATCACAACTGATACTTCAGATTCGGCTTCCTTACCGTCTGGATCCGCTAGCGATATCGCACACTCAACGACACAGCTTCCTGAACATCAAGTTATACCCGATATTGAAACATACGAGGAGGACCGCCATGTTTCGAGCCATAACTCGCCAGATTTATCCATGTCAGTGTCAACGCAATCGTTCCATTCACTTCAAGGGGAAGAAGAGGAAGACGAGGAAGAGGACGAACCCTCGACTCCAATCGCCTCCGGAAATCCAGGCCACTGGGCAGAAGCGAACCCTGAACATGACGAGATGCATCAAGACTCGAGCCCAGCTTCTCCGGATCGCCAATCCCGGGAATCTAGCAGTAGTCCTCCAGCGTCCGCGCATCCAGATGAACTGTCAGAGTCCAAGATATTCTCGCCTGAGGAGGCTCGCAGTATGTACTTGAGCGTCATGAGTGATGAGTCTGCAGGGTCTAATATAATGGGTAACATGCCGGGTGCGTGGAGCCATCACGGCTCGGAGAGCGCCGTTGGGGAATCAGAGATAAATGATGCTAGCAATGCCGCTGTCCAGGATGGCGAGGAGCAGTCTGGCACCACGCCTACCGGGAGTGTCGTATTTGAGCCAGTGCCTGACGAGGGTACTGGGTCAAAGAACCTGCCTGGCCTTGATGGTTCCTCCCAAGAACAAACTAGTTCCCTCAGAATTGATCCAACCTCAGACGTTGTCAAAAATTTACTCGAAATTGACCAAATAATTGTCTGGCTGCCTCCTTTGGGTAGGGACTCTACCGAGGAGCTATCGGCCGAGGCACAAATCGATCCTATTCAGCGTATGCGGGATTCATCCTTGGGCTCAGGGCAGTCCTCAGCAGCCCCAAATTCTCCAAGAATACACTTTTCAGATAGGGTTCGTCGGGACTCGGCTTCCTCTGCCTCAATGTCTTGCCATCGATCCAGTAATGCTCATATTGACGAAGATAATGACATTTTGAAGAACATGAGAAAAGTGAATGCCGTTGAAATTAACGTTTCATCCATCGGAGTCAACCTCGATATTGCTTGTGGTTGGCTCTTGGGAAAGGTTGGCCAGAATATCGCCCAGTCTCTCAAACCCAGTACAAAAGCCAGTAAAGCAACCGTGGAAACCTCAAAATCTGCCGTTGAGGAGAGCCATCCAGTTCCGATTATTGTCGATATCTTGAGCTGCTCTATAAAGCTACTAGAACATCTTCCTGGTCACTCCTATTTGCCCTGGATGGCAAATTTAATATCCAACTCCCCTAAAACTGACCTGGAAGATGCCATGTTACATATTGATGTTACTGGTATTGGATTTCAGTCATTAACGGCGGAGGGGACGACGAAAACGCGCATCAATATTCAGAAGTTCAGAGTCGGCCACTTATCTGAGGATATTATATCCTTTGACGAGGGCCTGAAAATGCGTGAATCTACAAGAGATATCCTCTCAAACTCGAGTAATGATATATCTCTTAGCATTGTTAAAAGCCCTGAAGTTTCTCGTCTTACCGTCAATACCCTTCCAATCCATCTCTCGCTAAACCTGCAAAGACTGGATGAGACACTTAACTGGTTTGGCGGGTTAAGTACCATCATCGAACTCGGTAATTCTATTGCTTCTGCTACCACAGTTAGAGGTGACTCGCCAGATCCTAGCCGTCGACCACGAGCGGTGCATTTCGCACAGCCTTCTGTCGCCTCTAAAGAGCCACCAAGCACAAGTTTAACTACTTGGAAAGTGAATTCCAGAATTGGCGGTGTGATCATTCGGGTGCTTGGAGAGCAATGTAGTGTTAATCTCGAGACCTCAGCAGTAAAGCTGGTTAGCAGATCGGGGCTTATTGCAGTTCAAGTTGACAGGGTGAGGGTGACAGGGCCCCATTTTCATCACAGTAACCCTGCAGTCCGCACAACCTCCCCGGCCCTGGTTGCACTTGATAATGTCCGATTGGAATTCCTGTTTACTCCGAACGAAACCGATCTGGATCGCCTATTGACGCTCCTAACTCCATCAAAGAACAAGTACGACGACGAAGATGATATCATGATTGACACGCTACTCCGACAACGGCGTCAAGGCTCTGTTCTTAGATTAACAATTGGAGGGTTAACAGCGAACATTTATTCTCTACCTGCATTGCAGCCTTTATCACGTCTTGCTGAGGAGGCATCGAAACTCTCCAGGGTTGCTAAGTATCTTCCCGAGGATGACAGGCCAGGGATGCTTGCATTAACGTTAGTTCGAGATCTTGAAGTTAACGTTACTGTTGGAAAGAAGGTTGGCAAAATTCGACTGCAGTCAAGAGATGTTGAAGTTGGCTACGTTAGTTTTCCGTCGCTACTTGCTACCCGGGTCTCAACTGTTGCTATTTTTCGAAACGAAACTGAAGAATTGCTTGGACAAGCTGTTCTCCGAAAATCCGGCGAGAAGGAACTCGAGAGCGCATTGCCTATGGTTATGGTGAGATACATAGCCGAGGAGTTGGAGCCAACTATCAAAGTGAAACTTTTCAACACTCGCATTGAATATACGGTCGACTCTATAGTAGCAATCATGGATCTTCAAGAGGGCAAAGTGTCTGCAGAAGACATCGCCGCCAATATGGCACAGTCAGTGGTCAATTTTGCTGAACTACCGATACACCATGGGGCAGAACTTGGTTCTTCAAACCATGCCTTAGCATCTGCGGAGCCTTCTTGCGAAAGCACCACCCCACTAAGAGTGTCTGCCACCCTGAAGGATTGTCTAATCGGTCTTGCTCCTCGCAATTCTCCTGCCAAGGGTTATGTGGTATTAACGAGTGTTGAATTCCATGGAATAATGCAAAACGAGCTCCGTTCCGAGGCCACTTTGAAAGTTGCCAAGGCATCAATGATGATCGTGGACATAGCAGAGGAAAGGGAGCCGACGAGAACGAGTAGCCGCCGTAAACGATCTGCCACCTTAAGTCCTCAAGTCCAAAGGCTAGAAGAGTTAGGCTATGTTTCCGTCTGCGATACATCTTCTGCCCAAGTCTCCGTTAAAATAATGCAGCTGAAAGACGATGGCCAAAAGTCCCTCGATGTGGAACTAAGGGATGATCTTTTAATACTCGAGACCTGCGCTGACTCTACACAAACCCTCATTGCAATCCTCAGCGGGTTATCACCGCCTACGCCACCCAGTGAGGAAATTAAGTACCGCACCGAAGTTATGCCTATAAAGGATTTGCTCCAATCCTTTGCTGGTGATTCGTTTGACGCGAGGGGCAAGGATAAACCTGATCTCGTTCATGATGAAGGCACAGGGGAAGCCGATAATGACATATCGGCCGTTGAACAAGAATACATTAGTGATTTCTTCCCCTACCATGCGGGTGTGGTGAAAGTGGGGTCGGATGCTGATGCTGTGGGTGGTGAATATGAACTTCTCGTAAATAGTTCCCATTCAGCTGCTCATGTATCCCCAGGCCACTCCCCCCTAGACTTTGAGGAGGATCATTTTTCCAAAAAGTCTGCCGTTGGAGGTACAGCCCATAGATGGGATGCGTCACGGAACACATATAACCTGACGAATGAAGCCTATCTGCAGGACAGTCCTCTTAGGGTAAGGGTTCGAGATGTCCATGTCATATGGAATTTATATGATGGATACGACTGGTGGCGAACCAGAGACACTATCTCCAAGTCTGTTAAGAATTTGCAGTCCCGAGCCATCGAGAGGAGAGCTAGAGCAGCAAATAGACGATTGTCGCGTGACCCTGAGGAAGAAATGGAACCGACCATCGACGACTTTCTGTTCAATTCTGTATACATTGAAATCCCGTCAAACAAAGATCCCCGAGATCTTACCCATGACATCAACCGCAATATTGATGGCTTAAGTGAGACGGGGAGCTATGCAACCACGTCAACTTTGACGGGAACGTCTACCCAGGATGGGACTGGTAGGCGAGAAAGATTAAAATTGGCACGCAGTCAACATCACAAAATGACAATCGAACTAAAAGGCGTTGCTGCAGACGTGGTTGTCTTCCCATCCAGTTCTGGGGAGACCCAGAGCTCTATTGACGTTCGGATTCATGATTTAGAAATCTTCGATCATATGCCAACATCAACATGGAGGAAGTTCGCCACATATATGTATGATATGGGCGAGAGAGAGATTGGCACGAGTATGATACACATTGAGATACTAAATGTGAAACCAGTAGCGGAGCTCGCTGCATCCGAAATTATTTTAAAGGTTAGTTTTCACCGCCCCCAAATTTTATCGTTTTGATGATAAAGCTCACCATACTAACCCAAATACCAGGCAACCGTTCTACCTCTCCGTCTTCACGTTGACCATGATGCCTTGGACTTTATGACCAGGTTTTTCGAGTTCAAGGATGAAGCTGCTAGCAAGGCCGCATCGGCTCCTGGAGAATTACCCTTCTTGCAACGGGTGGAAATCAACCCTATACCGATACGACTTGATTTCAAACCTAAAAGGCTTGACTATGCTGCCCTTCGGTCAGGCCGAACAACCGAGTTAATGAACATCTTCGTTCTAGATGAAGCGGACATGGTTCTTCGTCATGTCATAATATATGGTGTTTCTGGGTTTGAAAAGCTCGGGAAGACGTTGAACGATATTTGGACGCCTGATGTACGGAATAACCAACTTGGAGGCGTCCTCTCTGGACTTGCACCCGTTAAATCTCTAGTCACTCTTGGTAGCGGCGTCAGAGATCTGATTGTAATCCCGATAAGGGAGTACAAGAAAGATGGCCGAATCGTCCGAGGGCTTCAAAAGGGTGCATTGTCGTTCGCAAAAACCACGACAAGTGAGCTGATAAAAATTGGTGCTAAATTAGCGATTGGAACCCAGAACGTGCTGCAAGGGGCAGAGGGCTACCTCAATGGCCCTGGAGCCGGGTCTTCTGGCCGAGCAGTTCAGTCGTCCACTACCGAAGGACCCGATGATGATGACGAGCCAATTGATGTAGGCGCGAAGCAGCAGATCTCCCTTTATGCTGACCAACCGGTTGGCGTCGTCCAAGGTTTGCGTGGAGCATACGTGGGTCTTGAGCGTGACCTCAGCGTTGCGCGAGATGCCATTATCGCCGTTCCTGGAGAAGTGATGGAGACTGAGAATGTCACTGAGGCAGCTAAGGCAGCGTTAAGAAGCGCACCGACCATCATACTTGGTCCCGCCATCAGTGCTGCAGGTGCAGTTGGTAGGACCCTTCTGGGAGCCAGGAATACTCTAGACCCAGAGAACAAGAGACGAGCAGACGAGGTATGTGGTATTCCAACCTTTCGTAATAATTGGCCGTGGCTAACGAGGATTTTATAGAAATATCGATCTCTTTAATTTGCCCCCTATTTCCTTTGTTGTCACTTTTTTTATATCATCGTGCGTTTAGGAAACTGGCGCGATGAGAGGCATGATTGCAGTTTAAACGAGTTGTTGACACTTACGATGGCATATTGACCGCCCGTTTCCTTTACTCTTCCTTCTATACATTTCCTTTGCAGAATGAATCATGCATAACGGCCCAATAAATGGGGATTGGCGTAGGCTACGGAGTTCTGAACTGCGATTCTGCTTGGGCCTATTTAGCGTATTGGCTATTTGCCAGAGATTGACTCTTTTCTTTTATATTTCTGCGTTTTTGTGGTGCATCATTGATGCGAGCAGTCACATTTTCATATCTAATATCCTAGCTATGTTGTTGATGTTTTACCAAGATCTGTCCCTGATGTACGCAAGCGTCTGATATCTATTCCTATTTTACTGCTACGATTAACCTGATTGATGTATAGAGGGAACTCATTAAGATCGTCGTGTTTTTTACTCTCCCGTGCCTTGAGATATAATAAGAAATGGACGTATCTGTAAATTGTTGTCGAACTGATCGGGCTTCCCGTAAACCCAGGCCAATTTACGATCTAGCAACCCCTTTTCCTACGCGTAACATGGGAGCTCATTACTACACTGCCATTTCATAGTATGCTTCATTTTCACATGTTAAGTGTTACTATAGGATCTGAACTATCCAACAAGCGATTGGAACAAACATACCACACCCGAAATGGAAGACGCCTTGCATCTACAGCCGCGCTCTAGGCTAGACGAGTTTCACATTTCAGGGTGGTTCGGCATGCCCGTTGAGATGTAGACGGCTCACCGTGAAATAAATCGATCAAGGGTGCCTCACATATACTCCTCAGCTTGGACGAAGGGCTCGTCTGCGGTGATCGATATAGAGCTGCATGGTCAGCCACATGCAGCGGCCATGCGGTGGGTAAAAGCGGCTTGTTTCAAGGCTATGCACTCGACCAGATGTACCCTGCCATAGAGCAAGGGCGCGAGTGTGACATCGACCTGCACATGCCTGCTGCCTGTAGCTCTTGCGTGTCTTCACATGTTTCTTCAGCTGTATGTAATTTGGAGGTGCTAAGCCTCCCCCACGATGCATATATTAGGCTGTGGTGGAGGGTGCCGACCTGCTATCCGTTGCACTAACGGCCCTGCATATGGAGGCTAATCTCGAAGCTCAGCCATTTGCTGCCACAGCAGCCTTTCGGGTTTCTACTGGCTGGTGAATGTCGGGGATCTATCTTGGAAGCGGCCTAAGTTCGAGCTGGGACCATCTGAATCGATATGTCCATGGCACGAACGGCTGTGGAAACTGAATATTGGCGGAGTCGTGGTTATTGGTGCCTCATATGATTGCGTGCAGCGACTGTCGGGAAGGTAAATCAGCCAACCTGGTAACCATCATGCGTCAAAGCCCGAGAAGATGGTGGTGTGGATAGATTAGACGCAGAGAAGACGGGAGACGAAGCTTGCTGGCCCCGGCTGTTTCGGACTTGTGCGAAGACAAACAAGCCAGATCCAGATCTATGATCCTCTCCAGCATGCGAAGTGGTGCAGAGGACCCTCTTCCTAGCAGGAATGGATCATGAGTCGCCGGCTGGTGATGGGGACATGGTTATGGTCAGGGGCAGGCCGTGATGCTGTGACCGTAACTTGTGGGAGGTTGGTGCAACGAGCGAGTATCCCGCTCCGTAGCCCGGTTGCGCCGCATCGATAGTCAGTAGCCACGTAGATATCCCGTTACTCGTTACTTCATCGGCGTCGACGTTTCATGGGAACTATGTGAACCTATGTAACATGTACGGAGTATGGAGTAGCTAAGTGGTTAGGTAACAAAAAGAGAAGGTCATGTGACGCAACCCAAAAGAAAAGACGAGACGACATCCGACGACGAACAAGACAAGGGAAACAGAGAAACAGAAACAGAACAACCTCTTCACGGCCGGTTGAAGCAGCCGGACACGGTCATGAGACACACAAAAGTCGAAACCCAGATCCCGCCTCAGCCTCTCGTTTTGCCTTTTGGCTCCCTGTCCAGCCAGAGAAGAAAACGCCGTCGTGGGCTGTAAGTGGCTGAGATGCGCTACGAGGATGCCTCTTGGTAGATCGATGCTTGCGCCCTTCATTGGCTAACAGTCGAACGAGTCGTTCCCACTCGTTGCTTTTTCGCTGCTTCTCTGCCCTCCACTCACATCGTCGAGATGCTAACCGGGCCAGGCGAATTCATACCCAACTTCCGCGCTCGATCCAGCGACTCACAGCGACCAAATGATGGCTGTCGTGTTCCCTGAGGCAAAACGAATCAAAATATCGAACCCAGAGGACTGGCTGATACCCTAAGCCCACTCGGCGGATGCGGTGGTGGTGTGGTGCCTCTCAGGTACGACACGTACGAAATGCTACGTTAGGAGATGGGAACCCCATCCCCGGCCTGGGATGGGCAATGTTTTTTTTTTTTCATAGAATGGACTCTGTTTTGTTTTTGTTTTGTTTTTCTCCCATCTAAGCGTGAGGGTGTGAAGAATCCTGGGTCTGCATTCTAGGGTGCAGGGTCATGCTGATGCGGGATTCGCTGGTAGCTTAAGGGTTTATTTTCTTGCGCTTCTGTTGATACTCACCTCACGTTTGATGCATTCTTCATCGTTCTCTTTCATGTGAACATACCTCGCTGTCACCGTTGTTTCAATTAGCAGAAAAGCATCAGCTGGGATCGCTTTATATCAATCGTTATATCTCTCATATTTTGGACCCGGGGTTTTCAATCATCCTATTGCAAGCATCCCTCGAAGTCTGCGCAGTGGCTGGCCATTGTTACTTCTACTTTATACAAACGACCGTTGTTCCATTTTAGTACTTGCTTGGTCCTGGAGCATGCGAAAGATACATATAACCGGCCTACCAACATCCTGTCCTTGGCGATAATTCACGACAAGATATATCCCGCCTTCCCGCTGTCGTCTATCAAAAGACACGGAATACCGGCTCCTTGACGAAGTTTGATCCCAATTGAGGCTGGTGCGAAGGATTTACAGCTTCATCATTCCGGACCTTATCTACCCAGGTCTATACATTCACATCAGTATTATATATTTTGAATCCGGCAGGGTGGACTTCTGGGCCTGAATTTCGTGAGAGTCTGCGCGTTGATGAGATCTTTACCCGAGCAGGATGGATCTAAATCAGGTTACGTGGGAGTCACTACTCTCGATGGATGAGCCGGCCGTGGGCGAGGATACTCAATCTGGACTGAGGCAGTCCCTGCTGCCTGCACCGCTGCGCATAGGATCTGTTTCGACCTCACCGTCCCAATATCAGACGCCGTCTCCTCCGCTTAGCCCAGCTCCAACTCTCCTGGTATCCGTACAAGCTGCTGAGCATACCCGTTCTATGTCTGGGAAGCTTTCCTTGCATGAATATCGCAGGAAATTATCACATCCAGATGTTGACGGAACAACTACAGTTCCGAGCAGGAGGTTAAAGCGAAAACCAAAAGCAGTGAATCTCAACAGCAGACAAGGAAATCATATCCCCCTTTCACCACCAGCAACTCCCCCACTACCAGTTTATTTTGCACCAAGCCCCCAGCTGTCCCCAGATCTGATATCAGAGCATCGTACCTTCAGTCCTGGATACAGCAACGCGTCAAATCCTCCCAGGAGTTGTGAGGTCTCACCAGTTGATGAAATATATCTGGATAGTGTGCGCACAACCCCTCAGAACAACTTGGCAAACAACTATTCATATGAAGTATCAACATATAACAAACCCCAATACAGGGCCCTGGTGAGTAAGTCTTATCATATTTATATATACTCTTCTGTCTTCTATAACCCCTTATTCTTTTCCTTCAGTTTCGCTAACAGTGACGCGTCAGACAACTTTGCGCGACTCCATTCGGCAAATTCCAGCCAGGTTCACTACGCACACAAAATCGGCATCTGAATCAGCATTACCTAGGACTCTTCGCCATAGAGGCGTTTCATTTGAGATACTAAGCCCTGGAAGACGTACTGACTCGGCCATGTCCCAAAATTCAAATGGGACAGTCAGTCCAGTAAAAAGTTATACACCAACCCCTCCGCGTATGGAATTTCCTCAGCAAGCAAAGACACCGCCTCCAAAAATTCATCGGCGCTCAGCTTCCCTAGGTATCGAAAGAAGATGCACACCTTCCCGTGCGCTGTTTGAGGATTTGCCTACAGCCCACTCGTCCATCACCTCAGGGGTAACCAGCAAGCACAAATTTGCGCATCCCTCTGGAGACACAGCTTACAGTGATGAGCACATACTGCCGTTTCCAGCTACGGCTACTGCTACACACCCCGTAGCCGTACCGTGTGATGATCAACCCTCATCACTGCCGGAAAATAAGACTGGCCATGTTGAAGAAAGTATCCCGAGTCATACGACAAACCGTGAGGCTTTAGAAGGGGTCTCTACTGTTCAAGAGGGCACAGACAAAGATTCACAGCCATGCCATTCTGAACGCAAGCCTAATAAGCTTGTGAAGCGTCGTCTGCATGCCACAAGCGACCGTTCTCCTGGCTGCCCTCGTATTCACCCAATAATGTCAACTTTCCTAAACCGCCGCCAACCAAATTTGCATGGTGCACGAGGTCGGATTGAGAAGCCGAAAACCATCAGAGATATCATCAATGGAACGGGTAATACGCGATCAGTATCCTCCCTCGACGAGATAGAACAACAAATTCAAATGACACCAGCAACGCAGTATCCCCAACTAGACTCTGCACAAGACGAATCTGATAACTTTGTCAACCACTTCCATGGGGCTCCTGCCACTCACCCAGACAATACGAGTGTTAGAGATGAAATCAAGACCCCCGAAGATAACTATAGCGAATCACCAAGTTTCCTGTCATCAGGACTTTCTCCAGAGGATAGCAAGCGCCTTGCAGAATGGAAATCTTTTATACTCACTGGCTCAACCGACCACGTTTCTTCCGAAGAACTTCCCAGAGACTTGCAAAGAACAAGCATATTTGGTCCCAATTTCTCCCGGCCAATGTCGACTCCTCGCTTTAGACGCCGTATATCTAACCGTCGGGCTGACCGTCGGCTTCGGGTGTCTTGTACGGCTCCCCCTACGAACGTTCCTCATTCCGGTCTTTCTGAACAGCCTGTCTCACCTCTGCGTTATTCTGGATACAACCAATGGCCACAAAAAGAGATGTATAATTTTTCACTATCCCCATCTCAGCCAGTATCCCCTATCGACAATGGGGCGTTCATCGGGACAGGAGCATCTTCTGTGGATTACATGGGCCCAGAGAGCAGCCAAGGTTCTCCCAGCAACAGGTTCAGCCAGCATACGGTATCGTCAATGGCATTAAGGTCGCCTCAGCGCCCCAAATCTATGTTACCTTTCGAGCCCATAGAGAGCAAAGACTACCATCCATTTTTCCATGCACATCTCGGCAGCCAGCGATCCAAGATGAAACAAAAAGAAATCTCCACGAGAACAGCAGGCCATAACAGAAACCGGAGTAATAACACCGTGCTAGATGTTGACAGTGATATCGAGGAAGAAGGAAGCTCCGAAAAGGATTGGGAAACAGTTACTGAAAGCCAGCTGTTCAATACCCGATCCAGAAATCCGATATCGCATCTTGAATCAGGAAGTAGTTTGGCTAATTATTCTAGTGCTGGGAATATAGCGAGCGGAGGTTTGATAGATATACCCTCACAATCGTCACTTCAAGGACGTAACATGCGATCTACCATGAACAGTAGGTCACATAGGTTCCGCAGGCCAAGCTGGATGCAGACCTCTAGCCAACGTCGAATGCCCGAGATCAGCGCCCCAAGCTTCCCACGACACTTATACTCGATGTCAGAGCTACCTACGGACCCAGAAGCGCTCTATAGCTCTGCACCACCCTTGATGGCCTCCACAACGCAGCACCCTGCACCACGAGCAGCATCATACTCCCATTATCAACACCCAACCCCCCTTAGAGAACCCCATGCGAACCCCTTCCGATCCACGCCCCCATCCCTTGTCGAGCAAACGAGTGGGAATTATGGAAAGGCCGGACGAGAAAAATCCGGCTTTGTGTCTGCAATTCGCAGCAGTAAGTTGAACTTTCAAGATAATAACAACAACCCATTCAACTCTGGCCTCAGAGCTGGCCCCATTAGAAGCTTGCACCCTTTACCCAGCCGTGCATCAATGGAAACCTCTGCATGGTGGACAGAAGAATCCATGAACACTATGAATTCCCGACGCTCCTTTCATAATGCCCCCTTTTCATCAACCACCAGAGGCGTGGGCCATAAACCCCCCCTTCACGCACACAATCTCTCAAATCACCATCAAACTAGTATTACTCAAGATATTCCAGCAACTGACATCATTAACAGTAAAAATCCCCTGCCTGTGACATCCCACACTGCGCGTCCTTCCTCACTTGCACCCCGAACGCCCCACGCGGTAGATCAGGATATCGAACTTGATAACCTTACGCGTACTCGCGATAGATCAAAAATCATTCAATCTCGCTACAGCTCATTAAGCAGTCTTGTAACTGCCGCCTCAGCCCCAATACGTGCACCTGGATCTCTCTATCTTTCTATCAGATCAGCACGCGACCGCGCCGGACACCACCGCCATAACCGTACGCTGACGAACAATTCAACATCAACGACGAACGAACAACTGCTTCCCGCAAGACCAGACACGCGAGCCTCATCTAGAGCTGAAAGCCAACGCGACTTCAACATGGACTATAACCCTAGATCTGCACGGGTGTCTAGTCCCATGTCCCTCTTCGCCATGTCGCCTTCGCTATCTAGTCGACCACCAACACGCAGCCAGAGCGCGAGCACGTCTAGAAAGATTCGAAACCCAAAGCCAGACGACCTTCTTCGCGAGCGTCTGGATCGGATCGAAACGGCTTCCATCGTGCTGTCAAACCATTCACCTTCGTTGCATGAGTCGTGTGTTCGTTCGCCCTGGACAACTTGTCAGCCAGCCAAGCAGTTTACCGTGAGCCGAGGAGCATCGTCCTTTTTTGCTACCATCGACGAAGAAACAGCCATTGCACCAGCGGATGCGTACTGTTCGACTTACGGACGCCATACCTTTCCAGAGCCGCCTCGTTTATCTCCACAGCCATACCGTGGTCCACGGCATCAGCTTCATCATCAGGAGCAAGAAGGAGGCTATTCTGGCTCCACTGGGGGAACAGCAACTGGGGGCGGAAATCTCAGCGCCCAACGCCGGGTTGGAAGGCAGCTTATCATTTTACTTTCACTTTTCGTGCCTTTTGGGTGGTTTGTGGTGGCATACATTGGGTTTGACGGCGACTTGGCCGATTCTTTGATCCGGTGGAGGTCCAACGGAGCAATTAGGGAGTTTCATGTTAAAGAGAAGTATTGGGCCAGCCAGTTGGCAGTTTCATACGCCGTGTTTACGCTTATTGTGCTACTTGTGGTGCTCACAGTCTGCTTAACCGCTCTGTGATGCCATGCCGTTCAGGATGTTATGTCGTTATGAGGCACGGTGGATGGAGCATGCACTTTTACATTTTTGTTTCTGTTAGATTTCTTTTCTCTTCCCCCCCCTTTTAATAACTAATTTAAGACAGCTGTGGGAGTTTTTCATGTCGGCTACAAGAGAGAGTTTCTGTTATGTTAGAAATGTACGAGTTTGAAATAAATATCATGTCTGGGTATCTCAGTTTTTTATATAGTAAAAAGATATTGTAAGGGTGAGGGGTGTGATTGGGTCTGATCAATCCTTCATCTGATTCATCTCAGCCACCTCCTGCTCTAGTACTGCGGTAACGGCAGCGAGGAGCAAACTCTTCCGCCGAAGGCCATACTGAGACTTGCCGAATTTTCTATTGGAGTTGAGAGTCGAGGTGCCGGTACCGTTATGATGGTTGTGGTGGTGGTGGTGATGATGGTTATGGTGTGACTTCTCGACTTTTCCCTTGCCTCCAGTGCCGGAGAAGCGACTCGATGTCACGTAGCCGTTGGTTGGACTGTGAGTATGGGGTTTAGGCTTTATTAGCCTTTTTCTAGAAGGTGTTCGAGAGGGTGGGAGGGAACTAGGATGCTGATCGTCGCTCAGATAGCCCGAGTCACAGGCCTCGCCGCCTGTGCTGCCATATGATGACAAGTCTCGTGAATGGTCGATGTCTCCGTCCAGTAAGATGGCGAGACGGACGGTGTCCGCTATCGAGGAGGAGGCGCACTGCAGCATCGAAAATTTCTCACGCTGATACCGGACATCGCTGGATCTCTCGCCCTCCTCTGCTGCTGCTGCGGCGGCGGCCGTGGTGATAGCGGAATCGGTATCGTCTACGACAGTGTTGACGATGCTTGATCGGCTGTGGGGCGTGGAGTAGAATATCTCGTTGGGCGATTTATTCCGGAGGGGCAGATTTAACTTCTTATGATCGTCTGGGAGGGAGAACCTGCGAGCATGAGGGTCCTTGGGGCTAGGTGGTGGGGAGGCAGAGTCGAGGACAGAGTAGTATGCTGACGAGCCGTGGACAAGGCCCTCGACGCCGACCATGTGTGGCGGCTGGGAGGATTGCAGTGACTGTGACGGCGTCTGCTGCTGCTGCTGCTGTGATGAGAGGACGGCGAAGTTCTGGTATTCTGCATCCGTCGAATATCTCGGAGGGGTTATTGGGAGCCAGCGTCCGTCGTCGCTGTCGCTGCTGATATCGTGGCTGCCGCCCGTCTCGAGCGAGTGAGCATGCAACTGCTTCGTCAGCGTGCCGATGGAGAACCGCTGGCCACGGTCTGGAGAGTAGTCTGCAGGGATCGAGGTGGGCGCCGGACCCAGGTGGTGATGGTGGTAGTGATGGTACTGTCTCGACCGGCGGTTAAGACGAGGAAAATCCCGCGAGTTCAAGGGCGAAGGGAGCCGGGGAGAGGGACACCGTGAGGACAGCGGGGAGACCAGGTTGCTGTCGCACTGGAACTGGAGGCTATCGAGGTCGTGATGGCCGGCGAGGGAAGAATTTGGCTGTACGAGCAGCGGCGGCGACGGAGGGGCAGGGAAGGAGAACCCCTCGAACATGGTGACGGCCGATATATGTTCAGGCAACGGCGAGAGCTGGCAGGGTCGATATACCAGGATATCCGCGATGTCGAGATAGATGTAAGAAGACAAAAAGATTCTTTCGAGGCCGTTGGGTCAGGGGAGGCCGTAGTATTTATGATTCATCCGATGTGACGGGTCCGCCCGAGGCAAGGGATAACGGATGTATATATACGGAGGACGAAATCTCCGGCGCATCAGATAAAAGAGCCGTGCTAGAGGGAAAAAAATCAGCAGAGTTCAAGCCGAGACCGCGGCCGGCATCAAGCCTCCTGGTCTCTGGATCCCAGCGGCAAATGAAGAGTGGACTGGTGGAGCGGCCACGTCTTTCTCTTTCACTCGTCTTTTCTCTTGTCCGTCTTGTCTCTCTTATCCGTCTGTATGTGTCTCTTGTATCTGTCTCTTTGTTAGCTTGTCAGCTGGATCAGGAGAGCGGACGATACATATATATCTCACTAGGCAGCAGGAAGCCAGAGACCCTTGGAGTTTAGGCCTGGTGCGGCCGTCGTTAGTCACCGAGTTAATATTTAGACTGCATTAGGCCGGTCTTTAACGCCCCCGGCGAAGACAGTCGATGGAGATGGGATGCGGCGAGGTGGTTGGAGGTTGGAGGTTGGAAGTCCAGGGGGGTCAGCCTTATGGCAGGGAAGGGCCAGAAGCGGCAGAGCTGATATAAAAAGACATCCCAGCCCTTGCGCCCTTGCAAAGGCGACGAGGATGCAACCTCCCTGTCTCTTCTTCTTCTTCTCGTCTTATTCTCGTCTTCTCGTCTCTTCATCTTCCTCGCTGCAGGTTCCAGGCACGACGGACAGCGGCTCCCCCATCCTCGTATTCGCTGCATTCTAGAACGAGACGGGAGGAAGGTTAACGGTAACGGTGACGGTTGAGGGTTAACGGTTGAACGGATGAATTGCAGTCTATAGTTCTATATGCTAAATACAAGAGAAACATCCTTGCCGGGCAGGCTGGTGTTCTTCTAGGAAAGGTTGGACGATGACCAGCATCATGCCAGAAAACAGTACAGTAAGGAACAGGATACATTAATAGACATTAGTCGTCGACACAGGAAATAATCTCTTCTTTCGGGTTTTTTCTTTTCTTTATTCTCTTTTTTTTTTCTTTTTCTTTTTGTTTGCTTCTTTCATTTTTTTCGGTTTTCGACATAAATATGCAACTCCCCAACTCCTCGCTAAGCGAATCCACGTTTACCCCGGACTCAAAAGGAATAATGCAGTCATGCAGGCGATTGTTTGCTCGGGCTGATTTTGCGGGTTTGGTTCTCTGGTTCTCTCGGGTTCGGACATATATGGCTTGCTCGCCTAGGCGCTGGGCTTCCGGGCGGCCTTCTCCTTTTCGTACACGGCCTTGAGGACATCGACTCCGATGCTGAAGCATGGCTCGACTCCCAGGTCCTTCAGGATTGCCTTGGTCTTTCGCTGGTCAAGGGCGAACATGTTGTGGCCGACCTCAAAGTATTCCTTCAGCACTGTCCATCGGATCTCCGCGCCGGGCTCGGTGTCAATTCGCTGCATGCCGTTGAGCCAGTCGTCCTTGCTCAGGATCTCGGCCTTCACATTGGGCTCAGACTTGATCTCTGCCATCATGTCGACGAGCTGGGGGGTCTTGATCGGACTCGGGTTCGCGATGTGGTGGATGGTGGCGATATTGTCTTGACGGCTGAGACCGTCGGATAGCGAGAGGGCACGAACGCACTTGGTCATGTAGTCGATGGGGATGAAATCAATCACAAACTCGAGGCCGCGTTGGCCGATCTTGGGGATGCCGTTGGACTCGACGATGCCTAGGACCATGCGTCGGGCGAAACTGTCGTCGGGCTCGATCCCGTTGGTCTCGGTGCTGGCGGTGATGGCGGAGGCACGGTAGATCGAACATGGGATGCCTCGAGCGGCAGCCTTCTCGATGAGCATTTCAGATGCCCAGCGCGATTTAAAGTAGCCGAAGCGACTGTTGCCCTCGGGTGTGAAATGATTGGCGCTGGTCTCTTGGGTGACTGGGCGGCCTCTTCTCTTGCGAACGGTTGTCTGCCATGATTGAATGTGCATCACGGACCAGGTCGACAGGTGATGAATATGGGTCTTGAAGCGACCTAGTGTAGCGAGTTCAATAATTTCGCGGATGGGCTCAACGTTAAAGCTTCGAAGGTCGTCGTAGGATTGAAGAAGCGAGACATGGGAGGCGAAGTTGTAGATGGACTGGATGCTTTGGCCTAGCTCTTTGAAGTCGGCCACCGATAGACCAAGGCATGGGTACGCCATGGCACCAGGAACACATTTGATGCGAGAGGAGACTGCTTCACGGTCCGGGAAGAATTGCAACAGCTCCCACTGCTCCATCACTTTGAAGACATCCTCAGAGGACGTTGGCTCCTCGAGCCCGAGAACGTGGATCGTGATCTGGGGACTTTCTCTGAGAAGGGTAGCAAGCATATGGATGCCGTGGAAAGATTCGACGCCGGTAAGGAGGACATCCGTAATTTCAGAGGGGGCGATATCAGGCAGTGTTTGGTCCAGAGTGTATTGAGGAGCGTCCACCAATTCAGTTTCCTTCTCCCAATCAATTTCACCGTCGGAGGCGTCCTTTGACTTACTCCAGATGGCATGGGCGATACCCATCGGGGTCGGCTTTTCAAACATCATGGCGAGGGTTGGAGTGACTTTGAGGGCGCGCTTGAGCTTAGCCTGTAGTCTGAGCATGAGGATGCTCTGGCCACCGAGCTCAAAGAAACTATCATTGACGCCAATTTCCTGGTCCTCGGGGAGCTTTAAGATCTCTCGGAATCCTTTCAAGACGGCATTGACAAGTTTATCATCGGGTTTATCGCTAGAGTTTGGTGTTTGAGACTCGTCGGTTTCGCTTGGGGCAGCAGGGAAGGTGAGTGAAAGGTCGCAGTTGAGGAGGCGTTGGCGATCAACCTTTCCTCCAATAGTGACGGGGAGAACATCCAAGAATTGATAACCATTAGGAAGCATATAGTTGTTGAGGTGGCATCCTGCCTTGGTGTTCAGGTCAAATGCAAAGGCTTGCTTGCTCTTCTGGTCGGCGAACGGCTTCTTGGTGACCACAAAGGCAACCAGTTGACGACTGTCGGTGATGTCCTGGGGGTCGGCTGTTGTGGGCGAGCGAGCAACAACAGAAATATCAACAATTTGTGGCTCTCCATTCTCGTCCTTGGATTCCACGAATAGTCTCTGCTCAACTTCGCCTAGATCGATACGAAATCCTCGGAGCTTGATTTGCTTGTCGCCTGCAATACGGCCGTGGAACTCCAAGCTTCCATCAGGGCGGAATCGACCCTTATCACCACTTCGGAACATTCTTGTCCAGCCAACCTGACGATCTTCCTCGGAACAGAACGGGTCAACCACGAATGAGCTTCTATTTGCTTCTGGTCGGTTAAGGTATCCGAGGCCAACTTGAGCGCCTCCAACAACAATCTCACCAATGAATCCAGCTGGGAGGGGCTGGCAGTTGTTGTCAAGGATGTAGTGTCGAGTATTTGCCATGGGGAACCCAATTGGGATGCTGACTTCGTCTTCACTAGGATATTCAACATTCTGGATGGTCGTTTGCACGACAAGCTCGCTGGGACTCCATGTGTTTAGGACAACGGCTGGGGTTCCAAGGTCATAGAATGCTCTTGCCACACGAACTGGCAATCTCTCCCCAGCGAAGTAAGCAATTCGGTACTTGCGGATGTTCTGAAGACTTGGTTTGGCGTTTTCAATGAGAAGGGCAAATTGAGTTGGCGTAAAATAAGTAACGGTAACCTGAGAGGACTCCATATATTTGGCGAGGGCAACTGGGTCCTTTCGAGTCGAGGCGGAGGCAACGCAGACGCGGGCGCCGCAGGTAAGTGCAGAAAAAATTTGAACAATAGATAAATCAAAACAAATAGAAGAATGATGAAGGAAACGGTCTTTGGCGGTAAATTTATAGTCGTGGTGCAGAGTGCTTAGCATCTGTTGAGTGTTTGACTGACTCAAGATTACACCTTTTGGAGTGCCTGTGCTTCCCTTTGAACACATTAAAATCAAATTTCACTTTCAAATTCATATCGTTTCAAGAGAATGAGATGCACATCCTAGGAAACGGGGGAAGAAGTACTAGAGAAACTTACCGAGGTGTAGATCATGTAGAAAGGATCATCGTTCGCGGTCTTGTGTGGCGTCTGAGTAGATTGTGGTTGCTCAGAGATAGCCTCGATAACGACGGACTTCAAAGGGGTAGCAGCTTTGCCGGAAATCTCCTGAGCTCTGGATTCAAGTTCTTGCTCAGTGAGGAGAAGTTTCATCCCCGAGTCATTGGCCATGAAGGAAAGACGCTCAGTTGCGAAGCTGGGGTCAAGTGCAACATAACCACATCGAGCAAAGAGACATCCAAGCATGGCGGAAATTGCATTCACTCCTGGGGTGGAAAAGATTCCGACTTTCGAGCCGGCCGTGACTCCGTTTGCTTCAACGGCCGCGGCAACCTTCTGTGCTTTCTCAACAAGAGCTTTATAGGTAATGCTGCCTCCGCTGGAGGTCTCAATAGCGACATCATTGGGGTATTGACGGGCAATATCGAGGATGCGGCCAGCGACAGATTGGTTCTCCCATGTGTTCTTAGTGAATTCCATGGCGAAGAAGTTGTTCTTCAAATGAGAAAGCTCCTTTGGGCCAACCATAGAGATTTCAGAAACTGGTTGACGATGGTCGCGGATAGCGCTGTTCATGAAGGCGATGAAGTTGTCCAAGAATCGCTCCATCTCTGGGTTTCCGTAGAGGGTGCTGGAAAACTCCAGAGAAAGTTTAAGGCCTTCTTCGGGGTCTTCTGTGGCCTCAAGCTGCATCTCACTGGCAGTTGGAACATCCTTTCCTCGGATATCAACCATGGTAAAATCATCGGTGGTGTAAGTAGGAATCTTTCCGTGCATCTGGTAGTTCACAACAACTTGACCCAGAGGGAAGTAAGCTGGGTTTCTTGGAACCCCAACGGCGTCAACAATAAGGTCGAATGGCACGTTTGAGTGGGACATGGACTCGAGGATAAGGCCGCTCATCTCACGGAGGAGACTCTCAAAGTCAGCCTCGTTATTGGTAGAGCATCTAACTGGAATAACGTTGACGAAAAATCCGATGGTTTCGCTGACAGATGGGTGAGGTCGGTTTCCATCAATCATGTGGATAGTCAGGTCATCCTGCTCTGTGTAGCGGTAGATGAATGCTCTGAATGCGGCCATGAGGAACTGGGCCGGGGTGATTCCTAGACGTGCACAGATTCTCTTCATTCTCTGGTGAGAAGCCTTCTTCAATAGACCCTGGTGGACGCTTCGCTTGTAATCGTTGGACTCTGGTCGCTCCGCCTTTGCGAAGGGAAGCAACTTGGTGGGACCAGGGAGATCTTGATACTTGGCCTTCCAGAAATCAACATCTTTTTGCTGTTCCTCAGACTTCAGGCGGTCATTATGCCACATGGTAAATTCAGAGTAGGCGGCGGCAGGTTGTTTAACGCCGTCAAGGTCGTCACCGTTGCGCAGGCAATTGTAAAGGCTGCAGACCTGGTCAAGAAGGGATTCACTGCTACCACGGTCGAAGGAGATGTGGTGGACGATGGAGACGATAGCAAACTCCTCCTCACCGGTTTGGATAAGAGTGCATCGGATGTTTTCTCCATTCTCGATGTCGAGAGGCTCGTGGATTTGCTCGTCGATGAAATCTTCGATATCAGCATCGACATCGTGGGCATCAGTGAAATCAAGGAAGTTAAGCTCCACTGAGCAGTCATCAGTGACCATCTGCTGGGCAAACGAATCTCCTTCAAAGTAGGCAGTGCGGAGAACATCATTTCGTCGCTTCAGCTCCTCGAGGGCCATTTGGAATACCTGAACATCTGGCTTGCCCTTGATGGTGGCAATTAGTGGCAAGTTCAAGAAGGACTTGTCTTCGATCAAGTTATGGATGAACCACAACCTTCTCTGGTAAGTGGACATGGGAACTTCGTCGTCGGCTGAGACCTTGAATGACTTCTCACCAAGTGGGTACTCTGCAGCATCTTTGGCATTTGAAGATCGAACAGCACGCTTGGAGGTTTGTTGCTTGCTAGTATCCTCAACCTCAGCTTCTTCCAAAACAATGGCTTCTGAGACTTTTTCAACCAGGCCGCGGATGCTTGAGCTGCCAAGGACATCAAATAGGGCAAGCTCAACACCAACAGTCTTGAAGAACCATTTGCGGATTTCGATGGCCACAATACTATCGAGGCCATAGTCTGCAAGACTACGGCTGGGCTGCACGTTTTCAATATCGATAGACAAGATTAGAGCAATCTTTTCAATAAATGCCTCGATTAAGATGTTGAGTCGGTCATCAGCAGTATCCGCAGCGCGGAGAAGAGCCATTACGCTCTTCTGAGCCTTGCCGAGGTTTCCTGAAGAGGTAAAGTCGTGGTTCCGATAGATGTTCTTCATGCGGGGGCCTGAGGTCCAGTAGTAGTCAGGGCGTCTCATATTGAGCCCAGTTATAGTTTGATGGGCATCGAAGCCATTGCTATCGAGAGTCTTGTATTGATCCCAGGAAACGGAAGTTTCAATCTGAGTGAACAGTTCCTCCTCGTTGACCGGGTCATATCCAACTCGTTCCATGACAGCTTGAAGCTGAGCATCTTCAGATACAGCACCAATACCAACAACCATACCGATATCCATAGTGGTAGCTGGTAGCCCATTCTCTCGTCTGTATCGGCAAATGGAGTCAATGTAGGAGTTGCCAGCGGCATAGTTTCCTTGGCCCTTGGTTCCAACGGCACCAGAAAGGGACGAAAAGCAGACAAAGAAGTCTAGAGGAACATCAAGGGTGGCCTTGTGGAGATTATAAGTACCCATGACTTTGGGCGTTGTGGAAATTCTCCACTGGTCGAATGACATCTTGTCGAAGGGGGAGTCTTGAAGAACCATGGCAGCTTGGAAGACACCGGCAAGGTTATCCTTGATGGTCTGGATACACTTGTTGACTCCATCAAAGTTCGATACATCAGCCTTGAAGACTTGAACATTCACCTGTCGATCTTCAAGCCATTTAACAACTTCCTTGGCTTCAGGCTTGTCAGCACCAGATCGGGAAAGGAAAGCCAATTGTCTGGCTCCTCGGCGGTAAAGCCACTCCGCAAGTTTCTGACCAAGACCACCAAGGCCACCGACGAGGAGATATGTTTTGTCTGCCTTCAGAGCTGCTCGGCTCTCGTTGGTGTTTGGTTGAACAAGGACCTGGTTGTCATCTCCTGGAGCGAGTATCACTTTACCAGCGACGTTTCCGAGTTGGAGCATGCGGAAAGCCTTTTCAGCCTCGGCATATTGGAGTTCAACAGTAGGAATTGGACGAATCTTTCCTTGCTCGAATAGCTCGCAAATCTCTTTGAATAGTTTGGTGGCAATCGACCTGTTGGCAAGGTTGAACATGGTAACTAAATCAACACTGGCGAAAGTGGCGTTCTTTCTAAAGGGGTCCATCTCAATCTTGCTGTTTTGGTGAATATCACGTTTGCCGATTTCGATGAATCGACCGAAGGGAGCAAGACAGGTCCATGTAGCGTGGAGGAGTTTTCCAGCAAGGGAGTTAAGGACAACATCAACACCCCAGCCATTTGTAAGACGATGCACTCCCTCAACGAAGGTATCATCACGAGAGTTAAGGATTTGCTCATCGGCGAGACCGTAGGTATTCTTCAAAAGATCTCTCTTGGCCTGAGAACCAACGGTAGCAATGATCTTGGCTCCAACTAATTGAGCAACCTGGATGGCCATCTGACCAACACCTCCGGCAGCAGCATGGATGAGAACAGTTTCCCCTTCCTTGAGCCTAGCAGCCTCAACGAGAGAGAAGTAGGCGGTAGCAAGAACTAGAGGGAAGGAAGCGGCCTGGCCAAATGGCATAGAACCAATCTTAGCGCAGTAGCACGCTGGGTTGCGAGCAATAGTTCGATGGGCACCCTCACCAGGGCGGAGGGCGACAACGCGGTCACCAATCTGGAATTGTTCGTCAGGAACCTTGGATCCCTTGCGGATGACTACACCAGAACATTCATCTCCGAGTTTGTAATCCTCAATGATGCCCATACTTAGAGCAATATCACGGAAGTTGATGGCAGATGCCTTAACGGCGATCTCGAGTTCATCATCTCGGAGGGGCTCATCGGTAATCTCAGTATCATCAGCGAATGAGAGAGTCTCCAAGAGACCAGGGCGTCCGATGACCAGCTTCAGTGGCCTATTCTTTTGGTGCAAAGGTTGCATGGTTGCCTGGTGGTTATAACCACCTGGGATCTTCGAGTTCAACTCATCGTTGGCATGTAAACGGGACACGTAGATTTGGCCATTTCTAAGGGCAATTTCCTCCTCATGGAGACCCGGGTTGAGCATTTGAAGAACAAGGCTCCCAGAAAGATCACCTTTAGCGGACTTAGTGATATCAAGAATGGCAATTCTGAGGTCTTCAGTTTCGTGGCGGACGGAGCGTGCAAGACCCGGGAACATGGCTTGCTCTGGGCAGGGACAATCCATGAAAGTTCCCTGACTGAGCCAGACAATGTTGCGGCTCGCATCGCTCGTAAGAGACTGAACTGCCTTGAATTCGTTCAAAGCCTTGGATGGATCATCATAGAAAATATTCACGTCAAGGGCGTATAGTGAAATAATGTTGTTATCCATCCTTGTGCCATTCCTGAGGGATAGGAAGTCTTTCCTGGTTACAGTAGCGGAGGTGGACGATTCAATCCTCTGAGCAAGAGCCTCAGTTTCGGCTGATGGGTTAGTTGGCATGAGAATTGTCAAGGTGTCTGGAGTGAACAAAGATTCTTCACCACTCTTCACGACAGTGACATCTGGGGTAGACCATAGTTGTCGGAGGCCATCAGCAGCTGGGATATTAGGTGACTGAGAGATAATGAGGCCGTTCTCATTGAGCTTCTGGACATCAACTGCTTCAGCCGAGGCGGATACGATGATAACGTCGAACTTCTCCTCCTCTACTGGGGCTTCGAGAGACACAAGGCCATTCCAACGCTCAACAAGTGGCGCAAAGCTTGCCTCTTCAGCTGAGCCAACTGGAACAACAGTCAACTTTCCAAATTTGCGTCTCTCGCCGTTGGAGCCACCAAGCTTGTTTAGGATATCCAAAGTAGAGGTGTGGGAGTCAGTATAGTGGAGGAATCGTAGGTTAGGGTTCTGATGAACGTAGAGCTCAACGATCTCAGGGGTGCTTAGCTTTTGAGCTTGAGCAGGAGTCAAGAACTCAAAAGCGGGCTTCCACTGGATTCCGAAGAAGAGGGTTCGCTTTTGCTGGTCATCAGCATCGCTTCCAAGGCTGGTGAGTTCTAGTCCTTCAATATCAGCCAACAGCTTGCCATCCTTGGATTCAATACCAATGTTGCTGATTGCAACACGGGGGCCATGCATCCAACTATCGACGGCAACGTCGGCCTTGAATCCATCACACTTGTACTCCTTGCGGTTAAGAAGTCCTGAAATTTTTAGGGAGCGCATGAAGGTTGGAATGAAAGACTCCGTGATACCATGACCCAGGAGGCCCTCAACTGCAGCGAAGATTGGGTGCAGGGAGGAATCTAAGAATGTTGGGTGGAGGACGCTGGCGCTTGCATCATCAGGGCTTGTTGAAACCATCTTGGGCTCCCACGTTATTTCTCCAGTGGCAAACCCTTTACCGCATTCCACATTTCCATTGAGGCACTGGAAGGCTGGACCGTAGTGCAAGCCAATGGTTGCCAGTCGTTGGTAATATTTGCTGTGAGCAAGAGTTCTGTTACTCTTGGCTCGAAGCTCTGCAGCCGGGGCGCGCTGCTTAATGCGGTGGACAGGCTGTTCTTGGCCCATCTCTACCTGAATCAGACCAGTACAATGTTCTCGCAGCGCATCACCATCGAAAGAGAAAATGGCAAATTCTTTCCATGTCGAGTGAACAGTCTTAGCTGATTCAGTTGCAGGGCGCAGTTCAAGCAAAACTTCCGTACCCATATCGCTGTTGCTAACCATGAGGGCGGATTTGATGGCGATGTCTCGGAGGTGGATCTCCTTGATTGGCTCTTCTGGATTACCCAGGCGGATGGCAGCCTCAATAGCCATAGTAATATATCCGGCACCAGGGAAAACAACCTTGCCGGAAACAGCGTGGTCCACGAGCCAAGGCATCTCAGCCAGGCGAAGATAATTGCGCCATCTTGGGCGGTCTTCGAGGCATCCAGGCATCTGAGCACCGAGAATCTGGTGTCTGAATTTGCGAAGGCGGTGGCTCTTGATGATACGGGTTTCAGACCAGTATCTTTGGTGGTCCCATGCATAGGTAGGGAAGTCAAGAAGCTTAACACCACTGTCAACAGCAACAAGATGGTTGTTGGCATCAATGTATTTATCTTGGTTAACAGCGGGGATATCGACTGGGTAACCCATAGCGAACAGTTGACCAGCAGCGCTGAGAATACTGTCATATGCAGCAACCTTTCGATCGAGAACACCAATGTATGGCAACTTGATGTTGAGAGAGTTGAGGGTTTGGTTAGATGGTCCCTTGAGAGCAGGGTGAGGGCCAACTTCAACCAAAACATCAATGTTTTGTTCATCATCCTCGTTGAGCACGATGCCGGTAAGGGCATCAGAAAATTTGACTTGGCCAGTCATGTTGGCAGCATAGTAAGCTGGCCCCATGTTCTGGTAGTCGGCAACTCGAGCAGTGACACTGGAGAACATGCGAGCAGTTGGTGGCTGTGGAGCAAATCCAGGGTGGTTCTTCAAAGCACGCTCATATCCAGGGGCGAGTGGAAGCATATGGTGACTGTGGAAAGCCTGGCCGACTTGGAGACGGCGAGCAAAGACCTTGCGTTCAGAGAGCTTAGCTTGAAGTTCAACAACGGCATCCTCGTCTCCAGAGACTGTGAAGCTGGTGGGACTGTTCATAGCAGCGACAGCAATGCGGCCAGCATATGGTTTGAGCTCATTGGCGACTTCAACTTCAGTCAAACCAACTGCCATCATAGCACCAGGCACACTGTCGGAGCTTGCTGCGGCATTGCCCATGTAGAGACCACGGTAGTAAGCAGCGACCATGGCATTTTCAAAGGACAAAATGCCGGCGGCATAGGTAGCAGCTAATTCACCACTGCTGTGACCAACAACGGCCGATGGGCGTATTCCCCAAGAAGCAAGGAGGTTGATAAGAGCAAGCTGGAGGGCGGTGCAAATCGGCTGGGAGAATCGGGTTTCAGTCAAACGAGAATCTTCCTGGGATCGGAGAAGTTCGCCAATGACTGTCCAGTCAGGTTTATCGGGGAGGGCCTGAAGGATATCGTCACACTTTTCCAGTGATTGGCGGAAAAGAGGGTTCATCTCAAGCAGTTGTCGGCCCATTCCCCACCACTGAGCACCTTGACCAGTGAAGACGAAGCCAAGTCGGGGCACAGATGTCATCTTGCTGGCCCAGGCAGCAACAGGAAGTGGTTCCTTCAAGCTGCTGACAACAGCTTCGTTAGTTGCTCCAAAAGCAAAGGAGCGGAAATCGTGCATGCTTCGCTCAACGCTAAGAGTTGTAGCAAAGTCGGCAATGCTGATATCTGGGTTGGTTTCAAGGTAAGCGGCAAGCTTGTCGGCCATCAACTTACCAGCCTTGTCGGAGTGGGACGTGATAGGGGTGAGGTATGGGCGGCCCTTAACCATTTCAGCATAGTTGTTAGGAAGGCTAAGTTTGGTAGACGCTGGACGAGTGTATTCCTCCATAATGATGTGGGCGTTGGTTCCTCCGTAACCAAAACTGTTGATAGAGACACGTCTAGCCACGCCCTCAGGGACAGTCCAATCCACAGCTTCGGTGGGAATACGAAGCTTCCATCCCTTGAAGTCAACTTCGGCGTTAGGAGCATTGAAATGCATGTTTGGTGGGATTTGGTGGTGTTCCAAGGCCATTGTCGCCTTCATAATACCAGCCAATCCAGAGGCTCCCTCAAGATGGCCAATGTTTGTCTTGACTGAACCGATCCAGAGGGGTTCTTCGCGCGTAGCGGCAAAGACAGAGCTAAGGGCGCGGAGTTCTCGAGGGTCACCAGCAGCGGTACCGGTACCGTGACATTCGACGTACTGAGTATCAGCAGGACTGAGGCCAGCCTCTTTGTATGTTCTTTCGATCAGGGCCGCCTGGGCCTGAGCCGATGGAAGGGTAATTCCTTGCTTCTTTCCGTCGTGGTTCGCACCAGAAGCTCTGACGATGGAGCGGATTTGGTTTCCTTCAATCTCGGCACGGGACTGTCTCTTCATGACAATGGCAGTAATACCTTCACCACGAACATAGCCACTACCATCCTTGTCTCCGTGACGGCAGCGACCATCAACAGAAAGCATACCAAGGTCGGTCATAGTGACGAAGATGTTGGAGTCGTAGTGGAGAGCAGATCCAACAACAATTGACAAATCAGATTCTCCAGTGCGGAGAGATTGGTTTCCAAGATGCAGTGCAACGAGAGACGAAGAACAGGCAGTGTCGATGGTCACACTACCAAGATTGTCAGTCAACTACCAGCTCTAAAAGACTAACTAATCTGTAGATGAGTCTTACCTGGGGCCGTGCAAGTCGTAAAAGTAGGAGATACGGTTGGAGAGAATAGCATCACCAGTTCCAGTGACGGTGTACTTGGGATAGTACTCCAAATCCTTGGTAATCATGGAGTTGTAGTCGTTGGTGAAACAACCACAGTACACGGAAGTCTGGGTGCCACGGATTTCGTCGAGTGTAATGCCAGCTAGTAATCGTTAGCCTTGTGATTCAGTCAGACTGCGTATGTGACAATTTCCATACCATTTTCCAGCGCCTCGTACACAACTTCGAGCAAAAGGCGTTGCTGGGGGTCCATGGCCTCAGCTTCCTTGCCGGAGATATGGAAAAATCCAGCATCGAACATGCCAAGGTCCTGGTCGAGGAAATAACCGTATTTGGCATTGGTCTGATTATCGTTAGAAGAGTGTCTTCGTGTTTCGCTTTCTTGAGAGAGAAAGAGATTAACATACCGTTCCCTTGTTGGTTCCTTCCGGGTGGTAGTAAGCGTCGACATTAAAGCGATCAGCAGGCATCTTCTTCTGCACATCACGCTTGTTCATGATGTTTTCCCAGAGCTTGGAAGGGGAAGAGGCGCCTGGAACTCGGCACGCCATACCGATGACAGCGCTGTAGTCATCGCGAGGAGTTGGCGCAGTGGTGGCGCTCGAGACGGTTTCATTGTCAGAAACGTAAGGGGTGTTAACACCAGAGGTGGTAGTCATAGTGTCCATTTTTGGCTGTTTTGGTTGCGAAAAGGTTAGTATAGACAGAGTGGGAATGGAAACTTAACCTGAGGGTTCTTGTAATTGTTTAGGTGCTGTTTGGTGGTTTCGAGGTCCTGAGTCGAGGACGAGGGTTGGTGTATATTAGGTACTAAGGAGTATATGTTTTGAATATACAATATCCAGATATATCGATATCGAACCGCTGGATTGTTGGGTGAGCACTGAAAAATAAGATCTATAAGGTATCTTCAATATGAATATTGAGATAAGAAGTGAAAGTGGAAGCGAATATCCCAAAGCAGTGAGCTTAGAGGGACGGTGTATGATAGTTATTATCAAGAAGAACACAGAGAGCACAGAGAGAGAACCAATCAGCCCGGCAATGATTTAATTCTGGAGGAAAATCACGAAGCCAGCTCGGGGCCAGAATGGGTATTTGACTTGTTCTCGACAGCTCAGCTATGCCTGCCATCTGAAAGTCTGACTAAGAATTGCAAGATGGTAGCAGTCGAAGTCGCCGTGCAGAAAAGGATAACGGGCTGTTTCCAAATGCCTATGGACTAGGTTCATTGGCCAGCTGGGTTAGTGTAGTGAGAGAAGAGGCCTGCTCTCGAGGCCAAAGCTTCTCTATCGGGCAGCTCGGGGAGGGTGGCCGCTAAAAGACCAGGGATAGTGTATTCAGCCCTTGTATCCTCGTGCTGGAACTAATGGAAAGGTACTTTTTTTGGAGAGGAAGAGCCCCATAGTCGAGGGATCGAAATCCAAAGCGACATTCTTTCTTCATGCATGGGGGGAAATAATAATCCTCAAACCTTAGTCTCGCGTGGCTCTGCCCCTGCCATGAGGGTCTCCATATGGATAGTCCACAGCTTCGATGCATGGCATAAAGGCTGAAACCACTCACAGCAAGGCTGGAGGAACGCTGCACCCATGGCTGTAAATCCTCCGCCAGGGCTCGGGGTCGGATCCCGAGTACTGCCCCATCCGTATTTCTGAGATGGCCCATAGAAACTAAATATGGATGCCACGCGAAACGAATCCTGGTAGGTATCCGGTAGCGGGATGTGTATTATTCCATGATGCTTCGATCAGGAACAGCGGGAGCCCAGGATCGGCCGAGTAACGTGGAGTAGCACGGAGAATACCGGCCATCTACAGTGAATTCAGGCCGGTCACTCAAAAGACAAGCCCATGAAGATCGATCTACCAGCGAGGGCGAAGCCTGCAGGGGAAACTGGGGCCTGTTGCAAAGGCTGAGGATGAGGCTGTCGATGTTGTTGTTGGCGTTGTTGTTGTTCTTGACGTCGAGGTTGGTGATGACTAAGCCGAGACATCTCGAAAATAGCAAACTCCTTGACATCGCGACCTTTTCTTCTTTTCTTCTTTTCTTGTTGCATACTGCTTACCATGTGGCAATCGCCTAATCGTTCTCAGCGCACGCTTTGGCTGACACGAGCTTACTGCAGGGGATCTAGATGGCCTCTCGTATAGTGTCAGTTCCCTCCGCACTCAATGGGGGGCAATGATAGCCAGATCTCCGCAAATTGAAGGGGAGGAAGCAGGAAACAGACTCGCTTCCTTCTCGCTCTAACCAGAGCTGGCCTCCGAATGGGCGAAGATAGTAAGAAGCCCATGCATATTTTTATATGGCCGTCAGGATGCAGGCTGCTCTCATACCTCCTTACATATCTGCCGCTTCGAGCACATGGAGATAATGAAGTCTTCGTGGCTATCAATAGAGTCCAATGTCTAGAGTATATGTACACTCCAGTGTACTCCATGCTATCGGCAATGCCGTAAAGAAGCCACAGTCGCTCATAGAATGGCGGCCCTAGCGACGAGCTTAACCAGGGATAGTGAACCATTCTAGCCAAACGTCTACTGATCACCAGCCGACGATCTCCTTTGCTCAGCTTTGCAGACGTTGCCAAGTCCCTGTAATAGTATGGCGATCTGGTTCATGGGATCGCCTATAAATTTCCCACTTATCCCACGATAAAACTACACTCCTCCTAGTATCCAGTACATACGACCACAGGAAGTGGAAAACAGAGCTTCCCGTCCGCTCAGCTGTACTTAAGCCACTTGCCGGTCGGTTAGTAGTTGGGTGGGTGACCACCAGCGAATCCCGACTGTCGTATGTTTTTGACTCTTTTTTTTCTCCTCTAGAAAGATCTCGCTTTGACGGTAAAGGGTTGACGATGGCTGTACTTGGTGATCTAGAGACAACCGTTATTTCTGTAATTGACACTGGGACAACTACGAGATAAGAATAAGACGAGAATAACGCGAGTAGAGGATGGCTGTCCTTGTAGGGCCCAACACAAAACTTTTACTGCCTGCCTCAACATAGATCAACGCTCCAATCATGCCCCTATCCCAAGTTTTTCAGAATCTAGATGCTTTGGCTCTGTCAGATCTCTATTCTTGGCGAAATCATCGAGTTTAATGGATGCCCTGCGCTTGGATGTGAGTATATACTTTGCGTAGGCGCTACTAGCGCGTACGATGCTGGCCAACGTTCCCTCTATTCCTCCATGAACAGGACGTGAGGATATCTGAAGGCATGCAAGAGACAAGAATGGCCACAACTTTCCTGTTACCTTGTAGATGACAACAAATCCCCCCTCGAGGAAACCATAAGACCTGAGCACTCTATACTTATAGCCCTCGAGAAACTTACCCCTATCCCCTTACAAAGAAGGTAAGCATTCAACAACCTTCAGCTCTATTCTCAGGAGCTAATGAAGAACAGAATCCACTGCACGTCCAGCCGCTTGCCACCAATTATCTTCAGTTAAACCTTTATTATCGTTCTCTCTGACACAACTATATACGGCAATTCCCATATCACCCTTTAAAAGCAAACATGTCTTCGCAACAAGCTTCATGGCAGGAAGAATGGTACCGAGTCTATAAACCGGAACTCGACACGGCAGCATTCGATCCTCTCGATCCTGTCAAACGATACCACGAAGGCATCTTTGTCGAACTAAACGCAGTTACCGGGAGTGGAACTTTGTTCCACGTAACCGGTGACGTTATAGGGGCTAATGGCATGAGGTACGAGGAGAGAGAGAACGTTATTGAAAAGGATTCCATACATTTGCACGCCTTCCCGCAGGTCGGATGGGTTCTGAAGGCGGATTTCGAGTCGGGAAGAATTAGCACTATATTGCAGGCCTTACCAAGGCCGACCAAACAGCAAGGCATAAATTTCTGGGAAGTAGACCCTATTACAGGGCGTCATGAGATAATTTGGACGAGGCAGGATGGGGAGCGCTACGGGCCTGGCGAGCAGCAACGTCCCATCTTCAAGTGTAACGAATGGACGCACCAGTACGCAATTCCAGCATTGCGTGATGCAGGGATTTTGCACGATTCGGCTTCAGTTAGTTAGCTTCTAGACTAAGGGAGAAGAATTGGAGGTATATACACTTTATGCAGGCTTCGTACTAATAACCCCGATAATCCTTATCGATCATACGCATTATGGCCAATTCAGCAGGCCACACTTGAAGAATCTCTTGCGCTCGCCAGCACCAGTCATCTTCCCAGTATTCAAAATTGATCGGGGAAGCTGCACGAAAAAATTCCCAAAAGTCAGGATACCAGCCTGAATTTGCCCAGTCCACAAGTACAATATCAAACAATCGTCCACCTTGGTTATTTTGGAGGCTGCTCGTATTCTCTGCAACTATAATATTCTTCTGCTGAACATCTCCGTGCGTTAACGTTGGCCGGTGTCCCTGAAGGACACGAGCGAGATAGGTTTCATAGAAGCGAACTTTGAAGTCTGGTCGATTACCGCGTTTAATTAAGGCTCGAAAATTCCCCACAAGGCCAGCAACGAAGGCATCTTCGCTATAAAAAGGCCCAAGGTGCCTCTTGTCGGCTTCATGACTGTAGAATAAGTAATCCTGTACGCTACCACCACTTAAGCTTCCATAGAAATCGGGCCATGGACACTCAGCCTGCCGCAGAGTATCAAACGTCTGGCGGAGTTTAGTGGTAATATCATCCTTCTCAGACTCGATTAATGAGGGCCAAATTTTATCAAGCTGTACTCCTGGTGCGCGCTGCATTACCAAGAAAAGGTCGACAGAATCGTAAAACATCGCATATAACCGAGGCGCCGGAACCTCTGGAACATATCGTTCAAGATAGATCAACGCCTGGCCTTCGCTGATGTTTATCATACTGCCAAACTTGACAGCAATCTCGTCATTTACCGCCACAACCTTGGAGGAGTAGCATTCCCATAGAATATTGGGGCATGCTCGTATTTCATCTGTAGTAGGTAAAGGTAGAGAGTGGGAATTATTCTTAAACGGGAGAGTAACAGGTTCCCACATCTTGACTGTGCAGGTGTAGAAATCGCCAAGTTGAGGGCGCAAGACCTGGAGCAAGGGGGAAAGGGATGAGGTTGGGCCTTGGCTGAGAAATTTGTTTAAGCGCCGCCAATCATTTACGTTACCAATACATGATAGTACTTAAAAATACTCGGTTTAACTAGCCAACGCGCGTTTTATCCTGTTTTATTATTACGGTAAGCGCGAAGGCGCTAAAAGGCCCCTATTTGTGCTGCAGAAACATCATTCTAACATAAATATCATATATATATTCGCCCGATGTACCAGAGATAATAGGCCCTGCAGTCCGACTAAATTGGACTTGGGATGACCCCTCCGAGTTCATCACAATTGATGCAAAAGGTGCGGTGATGCCAGGCGCAGGCATGCAACTTCTTAGTATTTAAAGCGATTGCAATGAATTTTCGAGCAAGCCTCGAGTGCTTTCACCTGTATATACGGCAACTTGGATATACAGCAGTGTTGCTATCGTGGGTTTGCCGTTTTGGTTGATCGCGCCGTGGTTGTCCGAGGGGTTTTAGGTAAAAGGCTGACTGACAAAATGTTGAACGGAGATTCGGTGTAATACTGCCTGATCGTACGAAACACGTTAGTCAACTACGCCGTTTCATTAAATATCAGTGTCAGCTCTCCATCATCGAACAAATGCTACGCCCGGCGTTTTAACGCCTGTTTCAGCTGTAGCTGGCATCTCCGCGATGGCAAGATACATGGCCGTATGAGGAACATAAATAGGAGCTCAATATCGTGTATTTAGATGATCAGTGCTTGATAGATTGAAATCTCATAGATTGCTCCAGACCCACCTGACCAATCAAATCAATCAAATATCTCGTATCTCAGACAAAAGGTAGCAGGTTCCTGGAATCAATAAGGGCCACGAAATTCCCAGCTTGACTATTACCTCTCATCAATGCTCTCTACTGAAGTGCGGCATATAGGTATCTGGGATGTTGAAGGCCATGAAAGGAGGTCTTCTTTCAAACGAAGCAACGTTACCACGATTATTCAATGTCATGTATTTGCTCCTGACTTCCAAGGCATTGACATGCGCCACCACATATATGGGCGAATCAAAGAACTGATCCTAAGATTTGCGACTTTCCATGCAGAGGCAGCTACCCTCTGTCTCAGGACGTGGCCAAATCTTATAAAACAACCAGTACTTCGATACGCTAGCATTGGCTTTACCGAAGTATCACTCAAAAGTATCAGCGACAACAACCTTTCTTTCACTTTGCGTGATAGTTTAATATAACTCGATGTAGTGTTTAATAGCTAGCTCAGACAGTTGGGTCATATTAGTGGGTATCATTCATGATATTGGAGGCTGTTGACTGGCATAACATAATTATACGCCGTCCATGGATGCAGATGAGCTCTCATGGATGAAGATGGAGGCTCAAGTCAACTGCCGAGTGATTGATGACTAAGCACATCAACAAAACTTCGCGATCGGGTTTAGGAGGCGAACGACCAACATAGATTTAGCACCATGATATCAAACAACATATCGCACAAAGTCACGCTGCTTGCGTCAACAAAACATGCTCTTCATTATTTGGTGGAAGAAACCCTTTAGCTACGACATAGCAACCAGTTCCTTGGCCAATCTTGTTCCTGAAAACCCAGCGACATGGCAAAGGATGGCACGTCTCGCTTGATGCTCACCTTGATATGCTGACCTGCTATCGATAGGAATTGCTCCCCATGGCTTCATGCGGTGTTTCAGGGCGAGCGGTTTATTCTCCGTCCGCCCCAGCCATAATGGCAGGTATAATGTACATGCAGTTTGGGTAGAGTATGGAACACGAGGCTGTCCGTAATGATCCGTTAGGCGTCGGCTTCTCAATACGCCTTCGCCGCTCCCTTCACAACGTGGAAACAGGTTACAGGCCAGACCATCTCCAGAGCAGCATTTGAATCGGATCAATCGTTACTTTAATATCTAACGGAGCATTTTTTAAGTCTAATCCCCCCATCTACGTGTGGGTGATAAAATTAGGCTGATATATTACCTGATCGCATTCCGCCTTATTTAATAATGGCTTGTTTTTTCCATTGTCTATTTTGTACGGAATCTGGCTAATTCCTACACACTTCATTCTTTCATCTTACTTCATCATTCGGTGGTCTCTCGCCTGCGATAGACTTCTAGTGGTTATACATCACATTCCCCGTGGAACTTCGTTTTGCTCAACACTAGGTCATAATACTGGCCGCCATCATGTTCGTCGATTACCTACGAACGGCCTTGACGCAGCCGATCAATATAATACCAGCAGTTATCATCCTCGTCGTCATCTTCAAGGCTCGAGCATGGTACAATGACAACGGAATTCCTTCCGTCAAATCAAATATACCAATAATTGGAAATCTTCTTGATTATGCTAAGGATATGGAAGGATATGTTCGAGAATCTGGCAAGAAGTACGGACAGGTTTTCCAAATCAATCTCCTCCTAACAAATACTATCTGGCTCAATGGTCCTGCCTTAAACAAGGAGTACCTTTTCGCTCGTGAAGTAGGTGTTCTCTATATACACTTAAACGGTGAATCATTAAACCAAAAGACCGCTGTCTAACGTATCACTAGGATGTTTGGTCGTTCGGTGATGGGATGGGAGTATTCCTTAACAAGGTCGTTGTTCCAAACTTTTTCGATCAGCTCCGTCTCCTGGTGGGATCCCTCAGCCGAGGAATCTCTAACAATGCAGCTATCGCACATTACACCAACCTGGCCGGCATTGAGACCGAGAAAGCAATTGCAGACTGGGCAGACCGCAAGGAGCCCCTTTCCCTTTTCAAAGACACTTCATACATCGTGCACAAAATCATTGTTCAGTGTATGATGGGCCCAGATTTTTACGACGCCGCAGACGAGCTTTTCGACCTACTCCACGTCATGGAAGCGAACCTTGGTAGCATTTGGAACTTCATCCTTCCAGAATGGCTTCCTCACCCAACTGCTAAAAGACTATGGGCTGCTCGTGACCGTACCAGCGAGATCTTCAAAGTTCGCCTTGCTGCTCGTGAGAAGGAGCCTGAGAAATGGAAGAAGGAACTAGATTACATTTCCTATACTCTCCGTGACCCAGTCACTGCACATTTGAAGGACAAATATAGTGCCCTTCACACGGTGCTGATGTTCGCTGCCCACACCAGCACAGTTGCTGGTGTTGCCTGGACCATCATTGAGGTACTTAACCCCTATTTTATTTATATTATATACTTGCGGGCGTTGTCATGCTAACCTATCCCGCTCACTGCCAGCTCCTTAAAAAGCCTGAATATCTCGAACGGCTTCGCAAGGAGCTCGCTGCCAACCCAAACCCAGATAAATCCGAGTTCCTTGGTGCTCTAATGAAGGAGACTGTCCGCCACTATGTAGCATTCAATGACCTTCGTTTCACCCGTCAGGCCAAGACGCTTGCTAACGCTGACTCCAAAAAATCGATCATCATCCCAGCAGGTACTATGGTCTCCATCTCACCTTATATCACTCATCACGACCCTAGCATCTGGGAAAACCCTCATGAATATCTGCCAGAGAGATGGATTGAAGATCCCAACTTGCAGAAGAAGATGAACGAAGGAAATAACATTCGCTACTTGCCTTTTGGAGCTGGAAGTCATCGTTGTCCTGGCGAGAGGATGGCTTTGATGATGATGAGAACCATTGTTGCCAAGATTGTGATGACTTGTGATATGGACTGGCCCGCTGGCGAGGCTAACCAGAACACCACTAATTTGGACTTCGGCAAAATTGGAAGCCCATGGCTCAAGGGTGACATCCGTGTTAAGATTCAGCCCAAGGCAAAATAGGTTCTTTCTTCTCATCTGATGCGCGAAATATGGCTACACGAAATAATTATATCTGTGTTTATCTTAGTATATACTGATGTTCTACTAGCTTTTTAGTTTCATGTCTCCATTCCTCCCTTAAAAAAAATGATCACCCTTTCATTTTCAACTTCCTCATCAATTACATGTCAGCAGTCTATAGTTCCCGCATTTTTTCTCGTGTTATGCTTTTTCCCTACCTAGAGAGCGTTGTCATATCCAACTATATATAGATATAATTGATTCATATTGCCTTTCGACTGAAACATCCCGTATACTAATGTAAATATATTCTCCCGGTATTGTACGTTTTACAAAAGATCAATTCTTAAGAGTTCTCCTGGGCTGGAAACCTATTTAGAGCTGGTCCAATTGCCCCATGTTCCCCTAAACATAGTTTTTTATTCACAAACCCACATCCAGTCCCATGATCTTTTCTACAGTTTTTTTCATGAATTGTATCTATCAGAGCTGGTTTTCGCCCACGTTTACATATATGTCCATGGAATGCTTCGTATTTCTTCTCATGTAGGAGGTGCGGCACAAAACTATGGCTTCACCAATAACAAACCCTTATGAAGTTATTAATTGAACCCTCCTCTGTCGGCCGGAGTGACTAGTTATGAAGAGCGGATAGTAAAGCATTCGTATAATAACCAGCGCTGAAAAGCCAAATTGGCTAATATCCAATCGTAGAAGCCAGACTCAGCGTGCTGCCCTGGATTTTAAATTCCGCGGAGGTATGTTGCTATACACTATTCGTTGATTTAAAAACATCTTTTCAGCTAGACTCGACGGATAAGTCTGATACGAGCCATGCCCACGCTCACCCAAGAATAAATCCACTGCCCCTGCATATAGTACGCAGGACGAAAAAATCTAGACCTTTTGTCCAAGTATATCCCACTTTTGCGCTTAGAGAGGGAACAAATTGATAGGATATGTATAAGTTGATTTCTATAGATATGTACAATTATTGGTATGGTTAACATCAAGGCTATAGAATGTATCAGAAACAAAGGAATGCCTAGCCCCAATGTGGCCAATGCAGTAGTGATAGAAGACATTAATGAAGATATGGGAGGCAGTGATGACACCACGCACGGGAAATGATAATAAGAAATAACTAGTCACGGAGGTCAGCTAGACCAACCCTGTTCTTGTCGAAGTCGAATAAGATAACCTTATCCTTGGCAAAATTTTCACCAAGGTTTCCAATGATAAAGCTTTCTCCCTGGCCAATAACACGGACATTGAGAACACAGACATCCTTGCCGTCCGTGGTCTTAGCCTTGGAGACATAGTGCCTGGCTTCGATGCTCCAGACTCGGCGCCATTTGCCAAATTGATACTTGACTGCTGGGAACGAATCGATCTGCCCACAGTCCACAGAGTAATAGCGTTGCTTGCCGTTGTTTGGGGTAGTGGCGGTGGTAAGGTTGACAGGCTGGCCATTGGTAATAGAAACAAGGCGCTTGTAACTTGCGATGGATAAAGCGGCACCGCGGCCGTAGCTAGCGTGGTCAAAGACTACTGCAGAGCCTGTGGTGGTATTGAGAGCCTGCTCTTCATTACCGATAAAGTGCTTGGTGACGGGGATAGACCAGTAGTTGTAAATAGCTGGGTTATAGATAAAGTCGATTTCGTTGACAATAGGGAAGACAACCGTGTTGATCCACTCGATTCCTCTCCATCCGATATCTCTATGGTGGTAGCCACCAAGGGTCTGGACGGCGTCGTTTCCATTGCATCGCTCCTTCGGTGGCGACTTCGCACCTGGCTCATCACTATAGCAATAGATGAATGAAGTCATTCCAGAGTGAAACTTGTCTTGTTGCAACATCTGATAGAATGGGGCCTGGACGGAGGCATTGTCTGTCTTGAAGACTGGAGACATGCCAAAGATTCCACTGAATGGATAAGGGAACGGGGCTTTCCAGTTCTGCTGCGAAAGCTGAAGCGTAATCCGAGCCTCCTCGCTACCAACACGATAGATGTCGGAGGCAAAGACCGCCGTGAGATCCTTGTCCATGAAGAAATGGTTGGGGTTCCATGTTCGAGTTGGATACAAGTTGGTCTGGTTGACAAGAGTCGTTGATTGCGTCTCGTTGAACAGTCTCTGGCCGGGGGCAAGGCATCCAAAGGCGTTGTTGGTATGGTTGCATTTGGTAGAGACGGTATATGGGCCGATCCAGGTCCAGTCGATGAAGAGCCTGGTTGACTGGGCAGGTGTGCCGATGGTGATCAAGTCTGTGTTGAAACCGTTCGAGTACAGCTTCAAAGGCAAATCAACCATCTTCCCATTTCGTTCACTAGGTGCTGCGCTTGCTTGGGGGAGAGCCGCAACCCCAAGGGCGACAAGGGTAAGGATGCCACGCATCTTTCCAGGGGTGATATTGCTGTATTCGGGGAAAAATGAAGCGTGAAACAATGAAAGTAGGATGGTCTCGCAGGCCAGCACGAAACTCGGTGAGAATTAGCGACTGAGTCGGATGTCAGCCTTCAAGTACTCGAGACGGTTTAAAAAATCTGAGAGACATCAATGAAGATCGAAGGATGCTTCATTGTAATTATATCTGCTCCTGTCCAACACCAAGCTCCAACACCAAGTAGCCACCACCGTTAACTCCAGACACTATGCATAGGACGGTCCTCAATAGAAGCCTCCGCGCGGAGAGAAGCCATATCTCGATGGCTTGGGGAGCGGGTTCTACGCAAGAAATGTCCGCTGTATATCGGGCTGGCGATGGTTGGTTTTGGAGCTTGTAGTCGACATAAGCGACGTCGCTAGTAGGTATCAGATACTTATTTATGGGCAGTAACTCTATAGAAAAAGGAAGTACCTATACATTAGTAATCACACGTGACCTCGTCTCTTTCAACCTCCATCCCTTCTGCTCTTTTGCTCTTCTTCCTCCTCTCCTCCTCAACATCAACTATCACCATCTCCTGCGTCACGATCCTCTGAACTCGTCCCTGCAGTGAGACAAGGACAGGGGACACGGCAGTCGACGAGGTCTACCCCTGCACCGCCGCCTTCGAGAATACACGGCCGCCATCGCGTGGCTTCCCAAGAAATCATCCATACTTTTGGCCTTCAAGCCCCCCTTCCTTCGTCTCCCATGCAACGATCTCCACGTGTAGAAGCTGTCACAGAACGGCCATTACTCATCCCTACGCGATGTAGCTTGTGTCTTAGGTCTGGCCAGTAGCGGCATCTGTACCTGTCGCCTACTCTTACTCGCCTCTTATGGTTGATTTGGAAGAGGGATATCGTGCGGCTAGTCTTCTAGTCCAGCTGTCCCACAGCACCCATAACCTGATAACCGTACATTTATTTGTCCAAAACAACCGACGTACTGCCATCCTCAGCAAGCATGACTCCTAGAAGGATTAACATAGGAAATAGGCCGCATTTATTGAGGAGAGAGCCTCTGCTGAAGTCTTGTATTAATTTAAGCACCTGCCCGCACTTCCAAGGACCGGACCGGCTCCAAATTAAATCCAATATACATTCATTTCTATCCTAGATCACCACGCAAGATTGAATCATTGCGTCCAGTTCATCGTCTACACTTTGTGCAAAGCCAAGCAAAAGCAATCTATCCTCTTCACTAGACTCCTACATTTGGCCCTTTTCCCCCTGAAGAATTATGGACACCATTACTCTCCTTCAGGGCGACCCTGACTCTAACCTGACGCCTTTGATTCTCGTTCACGCGATTTCTGGCCTTGCATTGCCATACTTCGCCCTCGGCCCTCTCTCCGAGATCGAAGAGGATCGCCCTGTCTATGGCATCTCTTCTCCAATGTACACATCGACCTTGGCAAACCCATTGAATGGCACTTTGTCACAGGTGGCAGAAGAATACGTCTCAACTGTCCGTCGTGAGATCCAACCTTTTGGCCCATATCTCCTAGGTGGATGGTCGATGGGTGGAATGATTGCTATGGAGATGGCAGCGATACTCCAGGCACAGGGCGATGAAGTACCACACGTCATACTGATCGATTCAGTAAATCCAAGATACTTTCCAAAGTTTCAAGACAAGAAGCAACACGATATCCAAGCAGCAATCACATACAACGCTATCGCTACACGTATGAACGCCCCTGCGATCCCACTATTTCAATGTGGCCTCTTTGAGGATGACTACTACAGCAGCAGTGGTGAAGAGAGCAACAACGACAGTGACAGTGAAGAGTTTGCCGAAGAGCTATCCGTCCCTGAAATGCTAGGAAGGATGAGAAAACATATTCACCAGGGACTTGGTGTGCTGGCTTCACAGGGAAGCAGAGTCGATGAATTTGATTTCAGCGAAACAGAGGTCACCTTGATTAGGTGCACCGTTCGCGAGAATATAGATTCCCTGGTCAATGAACGCCGCAAGATGCTGGCCCAGAAGAGGTCTCAGGATAATACACTACTATGGCCCGCCGAATCTTTCAAGTCCTTTAACACTCTGACTATTGACGCAACACACGATGGATGCTTTGACTCCGAACACGCTGATGAACTTACATATCTCGTTAAGCATGTGTTGGACAATCTTGACTACTAAATCGAAAGAAAAACGCCGCGCAACAAGTCTCATACGAATGCACGAGTTCACAAATCGCGCTTCTCTTCACATATTAACACTCGCTTAATTTCATCTTCGTCAATATCAAGAACAGACTCGGGAGTCTGTGATATCATTTCTACTCTCTACGGAACTGTGTTTTCGGAGGTCCTATGCACACCATAGCAAAAAGTGCATACTGGAAACATTCTTATCTCAACTGGCAAGCATCCAAACGAGGGTCTCGCAAAAATCACGCTAATACTCATGATATATCGGATTGCGGGTTGATATACCCTCTATGGAAGTTCTTTTGCAACTGTATTTACTGGCTGAATAATCTTTTTTTTCTATTTCCGCTTGGGCATCAATTATCATAGATTGGATAGAGCAAATAAACACAGCTATTTCTACATGATACAATATTCATTAACCGAACCATGGTGCTACGTATTTCTGGCTCTGCTTTCGTACGTAGCCGTTTATTGGAGGTATCCAATCTGCGTACAGTCTCGTCTCGTCTCGCTTCAATGTTCCTATCTCCTACCTGCAAGAACACCATATGCTCGTGTACTTTTTTCGTCTTGTCGTGTAGTGAGCGGAGTTAAGCCATTAGTGGCCTCTAACCTCCGTGTTTCAAGTGATAGCTCCTCGCGATCTGACAAATCCCACGCTGATGTTCACGCATGCCACTGATATGTATGGTTCTACTCTAGAGACGAAAACAAGGGGTCCAAGACGGGGATATAATTTCCGACCACACACTCCACAAATCAGAGTGTGAAATGATGCAGTGCGGGTAGACTGAAGGCCTATATCAGCGCCTTAAAGAACCGGAATCCCTATATACAGTTCCTTGCTCCCACGTTCTATATCAAGACCAGGGCCAGCTGGACTACGAGCAGACGGATACTTAATCCCTGCGCATCAATGAGGATCTCGGTTCCTCATTATCTAGCAAATGAGGGATGAAAAGGGATTTGGCATAATTAAACGACTAGAGGTTTTCTAGATTCCCTCACGCCACGTTGTAGATGGAGCACCACGCCGTGCAAGTCCGTTCTACCTCGCGTGTTGAGGCTGAGATGCCGGCTATCATGGCCCGCGCAAGAAGGCAATAAACTAGAGATTACTAATTAGTTACTCGATTTCTGTAGGTGATGCTGTCGCATTGGGTGTTTTTGGCCTGTTGGTTTTAAGCGTCAGCCTCGTGGCCATTTCGTCGAGATGCAAAGTGTTAGAATCCCTTCGACCACTACAAACATAACCGGAGTACCACCTACTCCTTGTATCTCCAAAAAGGGATCTAACGTTAGTTATAAACGTCCGTAGAGGTCGACACTAGGCTCCGGAAGTATGTATATTCCAGTACTTTGCTTCTCCGGTAGTGAACGGGGCGATCTCAATTTGTACCTAAATATGGAAATATTCTCTGTGTTTCAGCCTAGATCACCTTATAAAGGCCCTTTCTAGCCACTGAATAAGGCCGGAGAGCTGGTTTTAGCAACGGAATATTCTTTCTGAAGGAGTACTCCGTAGTAAATTTTGGATTCTTAATCGGCTGAAAAAGTTCCTATATCTTATCTCCCTTCTCCAACTTAGCCCTCGCCTTTCCCTTCTTAGCTTGTTCGTCTTCTACATCTGGCCCAATCATCCACTTGATTCCTAATTCTGTGTCCAAGGAGACAGGCTTAAGCATTCAAGCTTCTTCTTGCATTTGCCACAGTCTACTTCAACACTCTCCTCTGCTCAAGCGAAATAAATACCAGGCTGAAATCCAAAATTGCCAAAATTTTAGCAGCTTCAACCACCGAAACAATGGCCGAAACCAAGCCCCAAACGCCAGAGCGCGTCCAGGTTGCGATATGTGGAGGGGGCATCGGCGGTCTTACCATGGCCGCCATCCTTCGCCGTCTCGATATCTCCTATGTCGTTCTCGAACGATATGCGGAGATAACTCCTCAGGGAGCCGGAATATCACTTGCCCCTAACTGTCTCCGTGCTTTAGACCAACTCGGTATCTTCGAAAAGTTGGCTAAACATTCACAGGAATTGCATGAAGTCCACATTTACAGAAACAACGAGTTTTGGGGCTCTCAGCGGTTTGGAATGACCAAGGAGGCGTTCGGATACTATGTGCATAAGATGGAGAGACATCAATTCCACTACTTGCTACTCGAGGCCGCAGGAGGTAACGATGTTGTCCGCTTGGGCTTTAACGTGAACGACATTGTCGACGAAGCAGACGCACCCTATGCCGTTGTCAAGGCCGAAGACGGTCGTGTGGTTCATGCCGATATCATTGTCGGGGCCGATGGAATCCGAAGTTATACTCGTCGAGTGGTGGGTTCCCCGGAAAGGTGCATCGAATGAGCTTGTGGCGCTAACACAACTGTCCGCATAGTTAGCTGAGAAGATTGGAATGAAGGCGACGAACACTATTCGCTTCACTGGCAGAGTCCACATGTCCGGATACACCAAGCCTTTGACACATTTGACCACCAAGGACGAGGGAGTCGCGCATTGGTTACTGTATGATGACGCGATTCTCACAACCTGGCCATGCAAGGACAACAGGCAGTGGTATATCGGTGTTGCGGTACGTTCTTGACTGTCGCCCAAAATAGATGAAATTGGAGGCTAATAATAAATCAAGGGAGCGAGACTAAAGCCAGGCGAGGTGCCCGATCGGTCAGTGTGGAAGGGAGCCACTAAGGACACAGTGAATGAGGTATATGGAGAACGGTTCCATCCATTCGGCAAAGAATCTAAGATGAAGACAAGTCAGTATAATCTTCTGTCCATTTATTAGCGATATGTGCCTTACCAACATCTCGAAATAGTCGTCGATGCTTCAGAGCGTGTTACCGCCGCCAATGTCTTCCAAGAACTCGAAGTTCCTGAAATGGTGAAAGGAAGAATCGTTCTCGTTGGTGATGGTTTGTGCTCCCCTATTTTTATTTTTTCTCGCGCTGAGATTAGGTGCTTACTAATACTCTTTGCAGCCGCTCATTCGATGACTTCATTTTTCGGCCAGGTAAATTAAGCTTAATATTCTAAATGTTCCTTCTCCACCCCATCCACATTTGATTAACGATAAAATATAGGGCGGATGTCAAGCCATTGAAGATGCCGTGGAGCTCGGCAATGCTCTGCACGAACACTTCCATCTCAACGACCCAACCGCCTTCGACAGATATTCTGAAATCCGTCAGAAGAGAGCAAATGACCTTATTCAATTCTCTGAGAACTTCGCAAAAGTGCATACCGCGAGACTTCCATACGGGCTTGGGCCATTTGTGCGGAAAGTGCTTTATAAATACCTCCCTACCAGCGTTTGGGTGTGGTATTTCACCTGGCTATTCAACTACCAGCCAACTATCAAATACCCTTTGTTGGACATTCCTGCCGGTCAGGCTGCTTCAGCAAAGTGAAAAAGGGGTTTGGATTTTCTACACAACCTAATATATAAAGCGGTTCGTTTGCTGAAGTCTCCACTTAATGATCTGAACTGTTATCTCTTCTCTTTTTGATGTCTGATTTTTTTAATATTTCCTTTCCTGGCGTGGTTATCTATATCTTTGCAATGAGGAGAACCTGCCTTTATGATATGCATTACATGTTTTCTATAGATTAGCTTGTTTGGTTATGTAGATTCTCATTTGATATTCTTCTATTAGAATAAATTATACCAACTTTCAACGGCACTTATCGTATACTGCTCATTCACTGCATATTTTATATCGACGTCAATGAGTCACCTATACCACTCCTTAGCCCACGAACGATTTGCAACTGCCCATACCCACAATGCAGGGCCCTTACATTGGCATCCACGGAATACACAATGAAAACAATGTAGGAATGATATTTCTTAAATAACATCTCCCAGTTGTGTGTACTAGTACATAAATTCTCTACTGACTCGTAACACAGCTTTAAAAGGTGTTCAATGAAACGGACCAAGAAATTATATCCATCCGGCCATTCTAATACAATTAGAAATCTCATTTTCTGCAGCTGTCTCAATGTTGGGGCACTTGGGTATTGCGGCCACAATTTATCTTTTCATGAAAAGATTGATGTTTTGAGCCGCAACGTTGTAAATTGATCAATCTCCATTCATATGCCTCGTTATTACATTGAATAGTTTCCCCTTTTATCCATAAATGGGATGTCTGCTTTTGTACAAGTAGCCACTATATAGTCTATCCGACGCTGATTTTCATGTTTCACCTCCTGCTAATTTCTTCTTTAACTATTATTAAGTAATATATATCCATGATACTGCCTGGTAGAAGGAGGTCTCGTACTCCGATAATTATAGGGATACTCCTTTCCTATGACAAACTGTTGCCAATCCCATCCCATAAAACTCAATAATATCTGAGTTTGTCAAAAATACGAAGCAAACCTGCCAATATTCAGTTGTCAAGTTAAAACCGACATATTGAAGCTCTTATTTATGTTGAAAACATTCATTATTGAATCCCGGAATGATCGCTACTACCATGGAAAAGAAGAGGTATGCAAAAATAGATAGGATTCAAAATTAGCCGTTTAACGAAGGCAGCCAGTGCAAGTCACAGAATCTATATTTGATATACATGAAACTCCTATATTTACTTCCACCGTATCCTGTTGCTGGGCATTTGAAATGTTATACGCACCAGAAAATACGACGGCTCACCCTCATTCTTATTACATGCTACATACATGGTCGCGTGTTCATAAGCGGGAGCCGCATAAAACACGTGGAGTGCAATGGATATTCAACCAAAGCGCCGATGCAATACGGGGTACCCAGCTACGAAGAGTAGTCCTGGCAAACCCTAGCCGTAAAGAAATGTCCAAGCATCAACCCCAAACACAAAATCGGTCAGAAGCATGAAACAGAAGCGGCCTGGATTATATTGGAGAGCTGATCTACCTCCAGAATAACGGATTTAAGATAACTTTAGAACAGAACGGCGAATCCAGTGCCTTATTATACACGGAGTGCAAGCTGGGGTTTCCTCGCGTGGCTAAAGTTCGGCGGAAGTATCCATTTATCCTTGGCATTTACCACGCGGCGGGCCGAGCTCCGAGCGGGCTCAAGCGCTGGACCAATTGAAAACCTACGCTAGGACCAAAATCGGAAAGGTGGATATATTTAGCCGCAACTTTAAATATATTAAGGTAGTTTAGCTAAGCCACTCTACATGTACATCCTCCACTCCGCGGGGAGCAACGAGCAACATACTCACTCCTTCAGCGCGAACACGAAGATTGACATACTCCATGAAGACGGCCGTAAGTAGGGAAAAGTCAAAATCTAAGTATCCGGCCGAGATGTATGTATTTTCACTAATCCCACTAGCCCTATTCGCCGGCGATCGATCTGCGGATCAGTCAGACTGTGGGAGGTTGATTGCTCTCAATAAACGTCTAAGCCAACTCGAGCATCTATCTCGAAACCATAGATGAGAACCTTGACACACGTGGCATTACTATATATCAAACACCCTATTGTAATTCCCCGTGAAGATCAGATAAAGCCTACTGAACATTCCGGAACTTCAGTGCTCCCTGTTTCAGATGCTGATGGGTATAACGCACAAACGGCATCCTTTCATTGATAATCCATACTATCTGAAAATGATTAGTATTGGCGTAGAAGCTGTTAGCACTCTATAGGCTGTTACGACATCACTCTAAACAACATGAGGAACTCGGCTGATGACCTGGGCTTTGTCATACTGGAGAGGCAGGTTTAATGTTGTTGTGGTCTTGTATCTCACCACTAAGGAGCTATCAGTCTAGCTACATTTGTATAATCAAACACGAGGCGTGCTTCCTTAATTGTGAGGATGTTAATATATCGGGGAACTATTGCAAGGGCGGGAAGTGCCACGCTTACATTTACTAATCACAGTTTTGCCTTCCTTGCCCTCGTGGTATTGAAGAAAGGTAGGAGCCTGAGTTCGATGAAACATGGGAGCAGGGAACTGGCAGATTGGTGCATGAGAAGGGTGCGATCCCTGAGTTCCACTTATCACAGAAGGATACGATGTGATGCTGTAATGTGATTTGGCCAAAGCTCCACCGTAAACCGATCAGGCTCTGACATTATACAAGGGGAGGCTGCATTTAACTCTATCACCTAGAGAAAACGTGGCAGGAGATGACGGTGCATTATTTTCCATACTCGCACCGTGCCGTCGATGACAATGTAGTGTAAGACTTATATTCCTAATGAGGCAAAAAAGAGGAGAGAGTGGCACTCTAGGCTGGCTGTAATTCTCTGTATTCCCGAGTAACTTCTAGACAAGAATAGATAGGGCTCAAGGATGAAAGTTCTCGGGAGCGAATTGAATTCGATAGCCACGCCGATGGCGTGTACCGTGTGTACCATGTGTATGTGTGCCGTCTGCCACGGCTTTACTCCCACATGGCATAAGATGAAACACTGAGTATCGTCTGGGCATAGCATCATCATCTTCCTCTCCTCTTAACCAAAGCGTAAAAAGGTTTTCATGGAAGAAAAGAAGGAAAGAAAGGACAAAATGGGGTGCAAGTTATCGGAGGATTAGGGTCACCAGCTGATCCCGCGAGCCCTATGAGCTGAATCCCGGACTCGGCTCACCCCTTGATGCGCTGAAGGGTTCCGACGCAGGCGTGCGTGGTATGAGGTAGATGAAAAATGGGAAAATTCACGAGCCTACCTACCACTCAGCCCCTAGACAACTGAGGCTCGTTGGCCCCTGATCTACACACGCTGTAACAACGCCAGCAGCCTTGCAAGTGCTCTTCGGGCACCGGCGTGCTTTGAAGCCATACCGATCCGCCTAGCAGTGTTAAAGGAATTACTTACATTGAATGCCGCCATCTGGGCTTAGTCTCCCTTCTTAGAGTAACGCCAAACTGTGGAATAAGTTTAGAGGCTGGGGGTAAATTGACTCGATGGTTTAGCGTCGCTACATTCTTCCTCTTTTCCAGCGACATTCTGGCCCACCTCAAGGTTTTCTCTCCCTTGCATTCTCGTTTCTTTTCTTTTTTCCTCGTCGCATGCGTCCAGCCCCGTTGATAGTTGGCTGCTTACGGACAGGGGTTGTCCGGCCCCTGTCTGCTCTGTTGTCGTACGGTTTGTTGTCTCTGCGCATCCCTCACTTTCTTGCTTTTTCCCGATTTGTAACAAAGCATGGGGATTTTCTGTTCTCCTTTTCCTTTTTCTTCCTTTTTTCTTTTTCTTTTTTATTTGCAAACCTAAATAACCTTACCTCGCGTGGGTGAGAAGCTGGGGTGGATATGCAGCATCGGACCGGGGGAAGGGTAAGGTATAAAGGTTGGCCAGTTAGAGGCCCCTTGCCGATCCATAACTCTCTCGTCATTGCAGTGAAGAAAGGATTTCTCGAGGGAACGAAGCAAGGGAACTCACTTCTTCGAGATACATTACATCAACTATATATTTACCCTGCCCATCTTGCATGAGGAAGTCTCTCCAGAAACTCACCAGCATAAACTACATATTTATCCTGCATCGCACTTTTATCTCTCCTCCTCCTCCATCCTGAATACACCTTCATCTTTCTTGATATATCCAGCAATCCAGCCGACACACACCCACAGCCCGGCATAGCCATTGATTGGCATCTGGGATCGAAAATTATTATAAACATAATAATCATAATCCTAATACATAATCGCCGCCAGAATACCTCACCTCTGGAAGGAGATAGGTAACCGAGACCTGCCAACTGCCCGACTTTGACTTGCATCCAAAATAATTCAGGATGAGTTCATCATCACACAGTGAGCATCCCCTTGATATTTCCTTGCCGTGCTCTCTTCACCCCGAGACAATAGTTGAACAGCTGACCAACAATTGAGGTTCTAAAGGGACTCCTGTGCTGAGAAAGAGCTGTCACTTCTGTCGAAGCCGAAAGATTCGATGCTCCGGCCAGAGTATCTGCGAAGCCTGCCAGGAACGAAACATTGATTGTGTATACGACCTTGAGGCAGCAAAAGGCCGGCCAAAGCGAAAACACACCGAGTCAAGGGACTCAAAGCTTGGTTTAGCCTCTGATCGCAACCAAGCTGGCAAATCAACCGGGCATGGCTCCCTTGATGGGAGTGGGAAGCCTTCCAGACAATGGGACCCTACTCTCCAGGGACCGCTGATGGGAGATGATCTCAAGGCAATGTTCCATGAATGTTTTATCAGCAAGGTCGGTATGCGTGCAACGATCTTTCAGGGCGCTATCGCAGCTGGCCACGACCGCCTGAAGCAGACCGAAGGCAGCTCTCACGAAGTTCCGCAGCGGATAAGCTATGACGGTCTAATGAGCTTCATGACCCGAGAAATTGTTGAAATGATATCTCTTCGCTTCGGGGACCTGAACTGCGAAGTGGAGGATAACTTTCCACGACGATACTGCATCACCAGCCTAGCTCGCGATACGACGCAGGAAATGTTTGACAACATAACTCCAAGGAAGAACCCGCTCAAGTCATACTCTTCGCACCGTATCCTTCAGCTTATCGACCTATGGTTCTCTGTTCACCCTTTGTCGTCACTGATCTCAAAAACCCTTCTCCTCAGTTCGCTCAAGAACAGCACCTACGATGAGGCACTCCTCGCTACCATACTCTCTGATGCCTGCCTCGTCCACGAGAATGGTCAAAACTATGACACCGAGGGACAGTTGCTGTTTGATTTCGCAACTTACCAGATCCAGAACCGAAGTGTGCTGAACCGAGACATAGCTTCGTCTCAAGCATTGATTCTTATGGCCTGGCGAGAGATCTGCATGGGAAATGCTCGACGGGGTTCATGTTTAACAGCGTATGCCTGCCGAATCGTCTCAGAGCTACACAGGGGTCTCAACCACGGCGTCTCCGCAAATGGGACCAAGTTGAACGGTATCGACGTTCGATACGTCGACGGTGAACTAATCCGGAATATATACTGGGTGTGCTGGTCTACAACAGTATGGTCCCTGATGCAAATCGACCAGCCATACAACCTTCTATTGCCGGAACAAACCCCTTCACAATTCCCCTTCGTCGACGAGTCAACGTCGATGACAATCAGCCTTGATCTAGCTTCAGACAATGTCTCCACACTAAGAGCACAATCACGAGCCTTGCAAGAGCTCTGGCCTCTTAGCCAGGTAGCTAGCACGGCTGCTCACATATACGCACTCTGCCCCAACCCAGATTTGAAAGATACTCTAGAAACAGTTGAGTGGCAAGCAAGACATATCCATCAGCTCCGTCGGCTTCTTAGCTTCCAGCTAGAGCTCCCTACTCTCTGTGGGAAGATCCGACACATTTTAAGTGAAGCCATTCGACAGGTTGAACTTGAGGTTACCCCTGGATCTACCCGGTCCGTGGTGCTAATCGCATATCATACTATGATTGTCCATATGCTATTCCCACAACGACAGACCTCAGATAGTGTGATTATTATGACTCCAGAGCGCATTAATGAGTTCTGTCAATCTGCCAATGCATTGGTCGCCATATCACACTCTATTATCTCGCCAAAGGCCACCACTCTCCTTCCTGGGCCTGGGCTCAAAACCAAAAGCGTTTCTGACACTTTTGCCCTTGGCCTTGATGCATGCAGCCGGGCGCTTGCGTATATTCACAGCCGTGCTACTTGCGGGCGTGATGAGTATCAAGCGATCATTGCTAAAAATAGGGAGCTCCTTTATCTTTCTCAACAATTGCACGATATTAGTCGAGGGGAGCTCTCTCGGGCATCATCAACGATGCGAACCATTAAGAAACGACTAAAGTTTGCAAAAGTGGTCTTCTCATCTATCCACGAGTCTACACCACCTTTGACACATAGCGATCCATCCCCGGTTGCCCAATTCCGCTCGAGAATCCAAAATCTTTCTCAGAGTAGCAGCACAAGCGTTTCAGGGGGTCTATCCCAGCCAGACTCCCCCCTTCCCGACGAACCATCTTACCTAGCTTCGATTCCTAATCAGCTATCCCTCGATATGTTTCTGGGGTCAGATACTTCTCCTGTTTCTAGTCAGGATGGATTTGATCCACTTCATATGCACACTGCCGGTTCGTCGCTTGCGACGCTGGACCACAGTGGAATGACATCGCCTTTTACTCCATCTGGTATGTCACCGCTACAGCCACCCAGAAAGATGCGACGGACTGTCAGTCCGCCCTGCTTTGATAGTCACGGAAGCACTAACATGTTTGAGCTTCCAGAGCCGATCATGTCAACCAAACCAGAGCATGTTCCACGAAGCTGCGTGTCGCCTTCAGTAAACAACGGGGCTATTTTCCGCCATAATGGGATGGGGTTAACTGGATTCGATATGGCCCCGAATGATGCCGGTAAGAAATTCCTTGGGGACCATGTGAATTTCGCCCAACCGTTGTTCATGCCTTCAGAGAATGATCCGGACTTCGGGGCTGGACCCCTTCTATTCGGGAGTCCTCTTGATACGAATGGCCATGGCGATTTCCATGGCATGCCTGACCTAACCTGCATGGAAGGAGAGAATGGTTACATGCCTTTGGACCTGGGTTATCTCGGTTAGATTGAAAAATACTAATGACGGTCACGGCAACCAACCATATACAAAATAGATGGGGAAAATGGATTATACGGGCGTTTGAATGGAATTGGTTTTTATTGGTTTTTTGGTTTTGTGTTTAGCGTTGAATGCATTGGACATCCCCTTTTCTATTATTGAACTAGATTTTTTGTCAGTTACATCCGTTCGAAATTATTTATTAGAGACGACACGTTTTCAATACCTCCACAAATACAAGAGACCTACGATATTTATATGATCCATTATAAACTGTTATATGGTTGAATTTTAGTGGAAACGGTCAGAAAAATGCGCACTGTAAAAATCGGCAGGGTTATCCTTCTAACAGAGCTATTCCGTCAAAACCAGGAGATATGGAGATAGCAAATCTTCCAGATCGTGTTATATGATACAATCTATGGTTCGTGGTGCCTGTGGGATCCCGCTTTTACACGAAGATATAATAAGCCCTGGGGGGTGCCTTTTGGGATGATTGGAACGTGGGAAGGATGATGTGACTCCTGCTGGATGCGGTGCAGCGATATCAACCTATCTGGACATACCCATAAACCAAGGCAGAGAAACCGGCGATATTGAATATGCATCAGGCCGATGCAAGGTCTATTAGCTTAGCAGCGCAAGGCAGAAAGGCCATGGTTGCAGACTGTATTGAAAAATGAAAATGACTAGAAAGCGGGAACATCTTAGTTGCTCTGAGATACTTGCATAAGTACGGGCACAGTTTAGCAACCCAATTCGTCTAGTGCTATAATTCCTCCCATCTAACCCTGTAGTTTCCCTAATCGTCAATTGCAATGTCAGGTTTCCAGGGCCTCGGTACTCCGTAGACCCTCTAGGGAAATATTGACTCTGGAAAATACACAAAGGGAATATAAGGCTTGGAACAGCTGAAAGGGGCAGGGGGTGTTCAAGGTCCTTGAACCAGTGCCGAGCATCCATCCTTGCCCGGATCCCCCAAAATATGAAAATAAAAACTCCAAATGTAGGATGGCATTATGCAAAGACACCCTTGTTCCCTGTAGGATAGGTTATAGTTCAGAGTTGCCATGCGCTAAGAAGAGACAGGCCCCCTCGCTCGAGAAGCCCTATCCCTTAGCCGATGTCGTCTAAGGTTCACCGCTAAGCGTGCCACCTTAGGATGGAAGAAAAAGAAAGGAAAGGAACGTGGGAGGAAAAAATGTGGCCATCAGCTCAAAGAACTTCCAAGACCGAGCTGAAAGGATCCTCCAGATAAATCAGTCTCCCTATACTCTGACTCTGCACGATCCCTGTATACCGAAAAGGGGTCGCGAAGTATGTTGAGTACGGGCGGATCAGCTCGGTGGTAATTGAGGCATGGAAAATAATGGATACTCATCATTCAGCCCTTATTCACGCCACACACGTTCGGCGGTCACGGCCGTCACCTAGAGCATAGCTAGGGCCCGAATGTCAAAGTAACCCCAAGCCACCGTGCATCCTAGACGCAAATCACCCTTCTGACGTAAAGCTGTCATGCTATTGTCGGATTATGTTGGTCTATATTGATTCAACGAGTCATCGCCCCCCAGAGCAGCGACGGTGCGAAGGAACTGTTCAGTTCAGTGCAGCCGCAAAAAGTGAAACAAATTCCAGTCAACAAGACAGGCACAGGACTAAAACATGCCTTTGTCGGCGAAAAATCACCTGGGCATACTTGAAGCCTGCACCCGTTTTCACAGCTCTGGCGACAATAACCATTTTCATCCTTGACTTTGTGCTTATGGTAGAGCGATGATTGGCTAAGACCCACCGCAGAGCATTATTCAATGCAAAAAAAACCCTCTTCTTTTATTAGGAGGTACGGGACAGCTATTAGTCCACGAGCAGCAACTGATACGGCCGGTATCAAAATAGAACCTATTACCGCGCCATAGGAGGGTATTCATCCTTCTCAGCTATCGTAGTTGTCAGCATTGATATCAAATCAAAATGTATTACGAGTTTTGGGCTGGGTATTTTCCGTAGCGAGACCGTGCATTTTGGAATCCCCCGCAGGAAGCCAGTGTGATGATGACACGAGCTTCAGTGGATTATTTCACCGAATTCGACGGTGTATAAACGGCGACCTCCGTCACGGAGATAGCGGACCGGCGTCAAAACCAAGCACTCATTAACCTCTAACACCAGAGGCTATGTATCAGCCCAACTAGGCGGCCGCTTTGCCGTCATAGCGGCATACCTAATCTATGGGAACAGCCCATATCCGAGCGTCTAGCTGGTGTCTAACCCATCAGAGTTGTTCTTGGTATTATCTCGATCTTGGCTTCTGGGCAACGCTCAAGGCTGGAATCCAAGCTGCAAATTTCTTTTCTCCACGGACCACTTCGTATTCATCTGAGCGAGCCGTTGGTTGTTTTCAATGTACATCCCGCAATCTATTTCTGGCGGGGGATCGCGAGTTTTCTCGATGACACTGTTGCTGTTGTCGATGTTGACGTTGACGTTGATGTTGATGTTGATGGAACGCGACCTCAGCTTACTGCCACTGGCTATACATGGCTTAGTAATCAGCAATGTCGTTCCCCGCCCACAAGATGCCGAAAGTCGCAAGTTCACCAACTTGATCACGATTACAGGATTGAGGTTGCGAATGAGTGTAATAGGACTGTAATACAATGGCCGCTCTTCTCAAAAAGCCCCTGAAAGTCGCCCTCGTGCAGTTGGCATCAGGTAAGAAGCCGCAGCTCGAGCTTCAACACTTGCATCTCAACCTATGGAGGAGCTAACAGTTCGCCTTACTAGGAGCCGATAAGACAGTTAACCTCGCCCATGCACGAACCAAGGTACTAGAGGCTGCGCGAGCTGGAGCCTCGTTGGTAGTCCTGCCGGAATGTTTCAATTCACCATATGGCACCCAGTACTTCTCCAAATACGCCGAAACGCTTCTTCCTTCTCCTCCATCCAAGGAACAGTCGCCCTCGTTCCATGCCCTATCGTCGCTTGCCCAGGAAGCCAAAGCATACCTGGTAGGGGGGAGTATTCCGGAATTTGCCCCTGAGAGCAAGAAGTATTATAATACCTCTCTTGTATTCTCGCCGAGTGGTGCTTTGATTGCGTCACATCGGAAAACCCATCTGTTTGATATCGATATACCTGGAAAGATTAGGTTCAAGGAAAGCGAAGTCCTTTCTGCCGGTAATAAGGTCACTATTGTTGATTTACCAGAATATGGCAAAATCGGCCTGGCAATTTGTTATGATATTCGGTTCCCCGAAACCGCTATGATTGCGGCTCGGAAGGGCTGTTTCCTCCTTGTATACCCGGGAGCATTCAACATGACCACAGGGCCCCTACACTGGTCGCTACTAGGCCGTGCTCGCGCAATGGACAATGAAGTTTATGTTGCACTTTGCAGTCCTGCCAGGGATACCAATGCCACGTATCATGCTTGGGGCCATAGCCTGGTCGCCAACCCCAAAGCTGAGATCCTAGCGGAAGCTGCTGAAAAGGAGGACATCGTATATGCCGATATCGATTCACAATCTATCGAGGAAACCCGGAAAGCTATCCCGATATACGACCAGCGCCGATTCGATGTATACCCAGATATAAGTAAGGGTGACATCAAGTTTGAGGAGTAAATAGAGGACGACCGAGCTTCACTGCCCACCTCTTCGTTCGAGTCTATAGGATGTATCAATATATCTTAAAAAATCCAACATCAACCATGCCATCAACGCGTCTATCTTCGTCGCTGTATTACATAATCTATAACAGTAACGCCAAGATATGTGTCTTGGCATAGACTTGTATCACGTGCACATAAACGAAGCTTACATAATAAGCGAAACACACCAACTTTGTAAATTCGAAACTGTGAACTTTGTGAATTGTTCGATCTCGACGACAGAAAGATACCCTTCATCACAGAGATTCCACAGCTGTCTCTGCAACGCGCAGTAAGTTGCGATGCTCTAGCTACCCCTGTGCAAATCTAGCTAACCGTTTGGCTGTCATAGAAATCATAATGTCGAGCGCCCAAGCCGGAAAGAAGGGAGGCCGTTCGGCCATCTCTGATGTTGTCTCACGAGAGTACACCATCCACCTCCACAGGAGAGTACGTTGAATCACACCCGATATACCATGCGCAATTCATCTGCACATGCATCCCTTCCCTTTGAGAAAATGCGGAAAACAGAAATGGGCTTCAGTCAAGCCGCGGCGAGGGGTATTATAGATTGGTAGTCGTGGACCCTGAATAAGGATCGCGATTGAAAGTCGCAAACCTCGATATCGTCTTGGTATACCTCGTCGGGCGTGGCTAGGTTGCTGGAATTTCATACTGCCTTGAGCTATGACTGTAGTTGGCGAGCATACCACGGCGTCAATTCAAGAGCAAGAGGAAAGATTCAAAAGAAAAGAATTAGTTTTATGAAGTCCACCGCTATGGCCCCAGAAAAATCATTGCTATTTTCTCGCCAAACGTTGAAATATGGGCATTTTGGACGGAAGACTGATTTATAATTTCTTGCGTGGGTATAGGTTCATGGCGTATCTTTCAAGAAGAGAGCTCCACGAGCTATCAAGGAGATCCGTGCTTTCGCCGAACAGGCCATGGTAAGTCCAATTTTCCTTATTCCCCCATTTTAGAAACCAGGCCGTGGACTAATGGCACTACGCATAGGGCACCAAGGACGTCCGCCTCGACCCCCAATTGAACAAGAAGGTCTGGGAAGCTGGTATCAAGGGTGTCCCATTCAGACTCCGTGTCCGCATCAGCCGTAAGCGTAACGACGAGGAGGGTGCCAAGGAGAAGCTCTACTCTTTCGTCCAGGCCGTCAACGTCAAGGACCCCAAGGGTCTCCAGACCGCTGTCATCGAGGATGCTTAGATTATGGATTGACATCTCAGGGTTGAGACTTCTGTGGAAGATGGAGATACCAAAAACAAAAAATAATACGACTGACAATGTGGATATAAGACTTTTTTCGTATCATCCATGAATATGAAGCATTGCGACGTCTACATGGCATGGAATGGGTCGTTTCATGTACCGGGTTGGCAGGTTGGCGTTAATAGTTTTAACTCTTCCTGTACTTCTCATTATTCAAATTTTGAAATCCATAAAAATTCAAAAATCAGAGCTGCTCCATCCATAATTTGTCATGGTGTATTGCCAATTTAAGGCAAACTCCTTGCTTATACCGCTGGGGATATCATGGAGGACGAGGTATAGCTAGATTCTAGGGAAATAGGTGTATTATAGCAAGTATTTTAAAGATGACAGGGCATTCATTTATGTATTTGGAGTTTAGGTACAAGTCGAGAGGCAACAGATGTACCTCCAGTGATCCGAGCACAGGAAAGAGAAAGAGGTATGAGGAAAATCTCCGATGTCTGTCTGTCTATGGTGGCTTCCAGTATTATGCAGTGAAACTATTTTTTGCTTCTTTTGTTATTAACGAAGGCGGGATTGGGCCGTGACGTAGAAGTGGCTGTAGGGGATAGGGACGCTATGCTTGTAAAATCGAGATTCAGGGCCGAAGTTAAACTAGTTTATGGATATAACAAGGCAAACAGGGAACAATTGAATGGGTGGAATGAGGGAAAATGGAAAAAGGATAAGGTATTCGAATAGATTGATCTGGGGGTTAGGGGGGGATTAATGTGAATGTGCTAGAAGGTGAAAAGCTTTTGTAAAAGAAACCGTCCTGGATAAACAAAAGGAGGAAGAAAGAGCCTATAAGGGAAAGGCGAATGACGTGCAAAATGCAGGTCTGCCGAAGTGTATGTATCCCGTGCGCCAGGTTAGGTTGTAGGAGGAAAATCTGAGTGAAAAGAAGAAGAAAAGGGTAACGAGTAACAAGTTCAATCAGTGTCGTTCAAGTCAGATAGTACATTCAAAAAATACAGATGAGGGAGAGGCATTGATATGGGATCGCCGAGAAGGTAAATCGAATCGTATAAACGGTATGAGCTAAGGGCGCTAGCGGAAGCGTTTTGCAGATACGTTTATTCAATCTCTCTTCTTATGCTTCTCCATAGAGTCTTTCAAATTGACAGCGCTTTCATCGGTTTTCACACGAAGCATCCACTGATGGAAACCAGATTCGCTAGCAACCAAGAACTGCACGTTATTGCCGTTCTGCTTGTATTCAATTTCTGGCATTAAGTGGTTGTTAAGAATGATGGAGCCACTAGGATCGGCGCGAAGAAGGATGCGAGACTTATTGTTCGTGCGATGCTTGAGTATACGGAGTATCCCAACACCCTTGACCTTCCAGTTTCCATCGGTGAGCTGGTAGCCGCGCGCGCGGCACTCAAAGACCGCATCCTCATCCTCTTCACCAGGCCCGCTACGCGTGAAGTCGACTTGTGCGTGTTTCTCCACTTCATCACTTGGCTCATTAGTGTTGTCTGTGTCTGACTGGGCTGGCGTCGTCGCTCGGCTAGGGTCAACGGACGTCACCCCGGATAATGGGAATGGTGCCAACATGGAGCCGCTGCCTGACTGAGTGAAGGAATTAGGTTTGAGACCAGCGAAGATATTGGAGGTGGGAGGCATAAGAGAGCTATTGTTGGTTGCGGTAGAGGTGGATGTGGACGATGGAGTAGCAAACATATTGGATGGTGCTGGTGCGGAGGTTGATGACGGTGCTCCAAATATATTAGAGGTAGGTGGAGGGGTGGATGTTGGTGATGGAGCACTGAATATGTTGGATGTAGCTGGAGCAGAGCCGCTGTTACCAGGGCTTGAAGCAGATGAAGGTGGTGCACCAAACAAGTTGGATGTCGGGGCTGACATAGCACCGCCGTTCGTTGAGGTCGAGGTGAATGAAGTGTTGGCGCCAAAGAGAACCGACCCACTGGGGGGAAGGTTTGCAAAGAGAGAAGAGGATTTAGTTTCCTTTGCTTTCGTTGGATCTAGAGGAGATGGAGAGCGGGTGCTGCCCATTCCGTTTGTTGAGCCAGTAAGAGGAGTCAAAGATCCGGGTATATTGAATGGGGATCCGGTTCTCGAGCCACCCAGGACGGAGGAGGAGATATCATTTCCGTCATTAACTAGAGATTTGGCTTCTTCAAGCGACTCTTCTGGCTGGACTTGACGCACAGGTTGACCGTTTCCATCGCGTTCAATTCTGTCAAAAAGACTGCGGCCACCACCGCCGTTGGACGAGCCAGGTGGAGAAACGGAAGGAGTGGTTGTCTTGTCCTCAGCTTGGTCGGCGTCCGTAGCCTCGTCTTCATCAGACACACTCTCATCAGAGCTAGGAGCCTCGTTGGAATCGGCAGATGAGCCACAGGACTTTTGAGCAACGAATGAGCTGGCGAATAGAGATAGGGTCTTCGAGGGGCTGGGTTCGTTGGTCTCGTCGGTCTCATCAGAGCTATTCGCAGCTTTGTCCTCAATGACCTTGGTTCGCTTTCCGGTCTTGTCGGGGGAATCAGCTTCTTCCCCTTCTACATCGGATGCCTTTCTCTTGTGTGAAGTGGCTGAGGGTCCAGAGACAGTCGAGTCACCATTAGGCATAAGAGCCTCCTTAACGGGAGAGGTAGCTTTATCACTCTGAGCAGTAAGTTGAGCGCGTTTCCTCTTGTCTTGCTCATCATACTCCGAGAAAGGAGGCTGTGGTGTCCATGGAAGCTTGCTTCCTGGAGGAATTGGAGTGTAGACGCTGACCAAAGGATGGGGATGGCCAATCATCTTACGAAGCATAACGTAATGGGCAATGATAGGGTCGAGGTCTTGACTCCAGCAGTTGACCGTTGCGATCTCTTCTTGGAAGCTAGCATTGAGGGCCGAAAGGCGCCAGGCGCGGAGGAATAGCTCACGCACTTCTTCGGTTGCGTTGGGAGGGTACTCTTCTTCTTCAGGACGGAAGTCTCTTAATGGGGTTTCGACCTCGAAAATGGTCTCCGTCGATGCATCTGCATATTGTGGTTTAGGTGGCGCTGGAACATCAGCTGCTTTAGCAGGGGCAGCCTGAGGAACAGCCGGAGCAGCACCGAAGGCTGGAGAAAATGGCTTAGCAGCGTTGGAGCTAGTGGAGTTCATGAAGCTGTTGAACATCGGCTTTGGTTGAGCCAGCGCAGGAGTGTTGGTCGAAACAAACAGGGGAGATGGCTCTCCAGGGGCCTTGTTCTCTGTCTGTGTAGGAGGAGCAGGCTGCTGGGCCTGTTCTTCCTTGGCTGGTTCAGTTGCACGCTGGAACAGCGAGCCTCCGGTTGGAGGTGTTGCGAAGATCGAAGGAGTCTGGCTTCCAGATGTAGCTGTAGCGGTGGCAGGCTTTGGACTTTCAGCAGGCTTTTCAGCAGGCTTGGTAGCCTGGCCAAAGAGAGAAAAGGCAGGCTGGGTAGTCTGAGCAGTAGTTGCAGGGGCGCCAAAAAGCGGCTTGGAGGTACTGGGAGCAGAGAACAGAGGAGTTGTTTCTTTGGCGGGAGAGGAAACGGCCTCAGGCTTTGGCTGAGCAAGGTGACCAAAGAGCGAAGGAGTTTCACTCGCGGTAGAAGTAGAAGTTGCATTCTTCGGCTGACTTAAATGACTGAAGAGCGAACCACCAGCGGGAGCGGCGGAGAAAGAAGCGTTCGCGCCAAAGATTCCTGCTGGCTTGGAGGTCGCAGTACTTGGAGTGCCCTGGGTGGTGTTGGTTTGAGTCGTGTCCGCAGGCTTTGCCAGCTGTCCGAACAACGGGGTACTGCTAGTAGGCGCACCAAACAGGGTGGAGGTGCCAGTGCCAGCACCAGCGCCAGCGCCGGTAGTTGCAGTTGCAGTTGCAGCCGCCTTGGGCTCGTCAGGCTTGGATGCGCCAAATAAGATGGAACCCGAAGTCGAGGCGGAGGCTGGGGTGCTAGCAGCGGGTTTGAAGGACCACGCAGGAGTTGAGGCGGAAGTAGCAGCGGTGCTTGCTCCCAAGTTGAATCCCGTTGCAGGAGTAGAAAAGGGGGATTTGAAAATAGGAGGAGCCGGAGCTGAGACGTTGAAGATGCCCTGACCAGAAGACTTGGGACCATCTGGAGACATTTGCATTGCTTCTGAACCCTTTGTAGGGCTGGTGATGGGCGCAGCTCCAAACATATTGGGAGCAGCGCTGTTGGTCTGTCCAAACATGTTGGGACCAGCGGACATGCTGAAAAAGGGAGCAGTGGTCGTCGGGGCAGCTCCAAACATTGGAGTGCTGGTCGACGTAGATGCCTGCCCAAAAAACCCTCCTCCTCCGTTTGGTTGACTTTCAGGTTTCTTCTCAGCCTGGGAAGCTCCAGGGATACTGAACATGTTTCCTTTGAAACCCTGGAAACCTGAACCCTGGTTGGAGCTCATGTTGCTGAACGGATTGTTTATTTGTTGGTTGTTAGATGATGAGGAGAAATCGAATGACGGAGGAGCTGAGGTTGTTTGACTACCGAAGAGCTTGAAAGACCCTGACGAGCTGTTCTGCTCGCCGCCGAAGCTGGTAGATAAAGATGGACCTTTGTTGGAGGCCCCCGTTGCCGCTGATGGCTGTGAGAAGCTTTGAGACTGTCCAAAATTGAAGCCGTTTGAAGCACCTGTCGAAAAGGAAGACGTAGGCACCACGTTTGGATCGATCGAGCCGAATGGGTTCGCAGATGGCTGTGAAAGTCCGAGATTTGGGGAACCGACTCTTGTCTTTCGTTCTCTTGCGGCTTTGATCCTGGAAGTGTTTTGTTAATGAACTGGACGAGTTAAAGAAGACAAATTATCAAAGAAGAATGCTCGAACGTAGTATAGAGACTGAACAGATGGATTGGACACAAAGTGATCAGGGAACTGAACTCTTGAACTTGAGAAATGTGAGATTTGGCCGAGTGTATGGCTGATATAAGAGGGCATCCAAGCTGAAAGCAACACCGAAAGGCAGCCAGAGTGTTCGGGAGGTTGGGAAAATCCATTCAAGGAGGGGAGAACTAGAGCTGGCAATGAGAATACCCATTGTTCATCCCTATTGTGTGGAGTGGTGTTGATATTGAAGCCAGTGTTATTGACACCAAAAACTTCGTGGTTGGATCCCCCAACCCAACACGAGTGTAAAGATCAAACTAAAGGATATACAATATATAGAGAACAACGATAGAATAAAAGCATCTACTTACTTTCTGTTGGCCAGCTGAGCAGCGGTCGCCCGCTTGGGCGCATCGTTTGAAGACATCTCTTGATCGAAGCCGGTTTCCTTCCGCCCTTGTGTCTCTGCGACTCGTTTCATTGACGATACTCAGCACGCTTTGTTACGAGTGCTTAACGACAGCCGACTATCTTCAGTCTATCTTCAGTGCTGGACTGGAGGTTATAGCAAACATGTATGGTCTCCGCTACAGCATCCAGGCCGCGACCTTCGTCCGGAGCGAAGAGAAGGGTGTGTATCGCCCAACGTGTCTATAACGGTATAGACGGACGGGAGCTACTTGATATCACTCGGTCGACGGCGAGAGAGGCAAGGAAACGAACGACCGGGCGAGGCGACTGTTCAGGGCGTCAGTATGGGCAGGCAGTCGACCCGGCGAACCGCGATGAAACGGCCGCAGGACATCAACGCATCGACGCGATGCGGACGGGACAGGGAACGTACAGCAGAGTGTCAAGACGGCGACAGATCGGAAGAGTTACGACTGCGAGATCGATCGTGTGCGAACGCGACGAGCAAGGAGTTAAGGGAAATAAGAGCTAAGAAGAGCTGGCGAGGTGTTGCATCTACACCAAGGTCGGGTCGCCGTCTGAGGAAGAGAATAGGGGAGAAAAGGGCAGAGGCAGGCCGTCCCGCGAGTCTGGCGTGTCTGGCTGCGATGCGATGGCCCGTCGACGTTGATGCTTCGACTTCTCTTCCTTCGTGCTTTTCTCTTTTTCTTTCGTTTCTCTTTTCTTCTCTTTTCTTTTCCCGTTTCTTTTCTCGTTTCTCTTTAGCCAAGCAGGTCACGTGATGAAGATGATGTGAATATAGAGATATAGATGAAGATGATATAGAAGATGTAGTTGAGATGTAGATGGATATAGAAGATGTTGATGAGCTATAGAGGAGATGAGATGAGATACGTATGGGTGTCTACGGTGAGTCGTGCAGGGTTGTGACTATGTGATAAGCAAAATGCTAGATGAAGAGTCTAGGATATGTCATTGAGCAATAATGTACAAGCAGAGGCCGACCCAGGACCACCATGTATATACAGACATCCTATCCGGCATCCACGGTATATACGCTCCTTCGACGGCTGCACTGAGCTTGGGTCGTCGCCCGTCCAGCGTCTGGGTATATCATCTTCCACCGTCCCATGCCTCCCCAAGTATGGTTGTCGTTCCGCCGTCAACGTAGACACGCTTACAACTTGGCCTTGGTCTTAGCCTTGCTGAGGATAGGCTCGATCTTCATGGCCTTCATGGCGTTGCCGCGGATCTTGAGCTTTCCGCCCATGAAGAGACGCTGGGCGTTGGCGGTGCCGGCGACGAGAGCGGCGAAGTCCTTGTCCGAGAGAACGAGAGTTACTGTTCGTCGTTAGAAGTGACCGTTAAAGATGATAGCAGGTAGACTCACCATCAGCCTTGCCGCCCTCTGGAGCAGCGCCCTTGCCGACGACGCCCTTGTCCTTGAAGTCGAGGTACCAGCTCTCGGTGGCGCCGGCCTCGTTGGTGAGAGTGAAGGCGAAGACACCCTTGGCGGCCTTGATGGCCTCCTCGCGCTCCTTGGGGGCGGCGGCGAGGGTGTCGTTGATCAGGTCAAAGGCCGCGGAGGAAGGGAAGGCGTCTGCAGAGATCAGGTCAGTATCGCGCTGCTATCGGCGAGCTGGCGGCGGGCTGGGCGGCCTACCGTTCTTGAGAGACATGATGGCGGTTGTATCGAGTATTAACCGGTGTATGATATGTTGTTAATGTCGAGTCGTGGAGGTCGATGGGAAGACGGAGCTGATCTTTATATACGGCAAGGTTTCCGTCTTCCCCATGGAAACTAAGACTTACGGGCCCGAGGAGCAGCGCATGTGAAAGTCGAAGTCGCGCGACTCCGATGGCTCGCTGGTTTCATCCGAGGGACGCTGAGCACACATGGGATACGTAGATCCACGACGTGTCGGTAGATCTGGAGTAGTAGTAGAATAGCAGTAAGATGTAACAGTACGATATAATAGTAGATATGTAGAATAGTAGAATATAGAATAGTAGAATGACACTAGATATAGAATGGTACTAGAATATAAATGATAGAAGATAGAAGATAGAATGAGAGTAAGAGAGATCGAGATAGAAATACTCCAGATCCAGCGCAACAACCGAGGTTCCCCGGACCCCAGGTGCGCATCAGCAACCAACATAGAAAATAACGAGTGAATAGTAAAGTCGAATGTAAAGGTTAGAAGGCCCGGACACGCATGACAGAAGCCCTCAGCAGCCGCCTCATATGCTCTGGTCCACACCACAGCAGCTCGCGCGTCCGCTCTGTCGCCCTCTGCAGCTGGACATGGCCATACCCTATCCTCGCCCCAGTGCCCGCGGCCGCTGCGACTCCTGCTGCTGCGACTCCCACAGTCGATGTGGCCTTGCCCTTACCCCATAGCCTGATGCTGGACTTGCTCCTGGAGCTCTTTCTGCGTCGGCTGGCCTCCTCCAGCACCAGTTTCTGCAGCTGCTTGATCTCCATGCCCGCCGCGCTCAGGACGAGCGGAACATCCATCACCTCTACCTCCCTGGCCGCCGGCTTCTTGGATGGCCGCGGCGGTGACGGTTTCGTCTTTTTCGGTGATGGAGCCAGCGGCGCCAGGGCGTCGTCCCATGTTCCCGACCTCAACGTCGTGGCGTCAAAGTTGATCTCGCGCAGGGACCGGAGGTGGTCACGTATGAACAACGACACCTGCGATGCGTCGACGTGAACGTTCTCTATCTCCAGGGTATGCAAGGAAGAGAACTTCAACGTATTCAAACGCTTCGGGCGTGCAGACGAGAATTGGTCTTTGTCTCTTGCAAGGCACGGCTCTGTAGATAGAGAGATGGGTGACGGTCCCCTGGCACCCAGCCAACGGAACTTGAGACGGTGGAGATGCGGGAAGCACTGGATGTACGAGTTTAGAGACCTCACATGGTCCGTGGCTTCACCGTCGGCGTACGGAAAGGAATCCATCTCAATGTGCAAGTTGGTGATGCGTCTCCAGCGCTTGCAAGAGGCAGGAGACGTCCCGATCCCCACGGGCGTCGGACGCAAGTAGAGCAGAGCGCCCGGGTGCATGGGCAGAAGCGAGAGAGAGGTAAGCCGTGGCAGCGGGCAATGCTCAATCGCGCAACGCAATGAGATAAGTGCATAGTCTACCACGCTGCGCCGATAGCGATGGGGAGCCGACTGGTTCGGACATGAGAGGGTAAGCTTGGTCAGAGCATGCAGCGCACTAAATGCACGCGTGAAGGAAGGAATGTTGGTTGCCGCATGGAACAGCGGAGGGTACTGTTTCGTCAGCAGGTCGGTCATCTCCCAGGTTCCATACTTGGGTCCGCTGAGCCGCGATGAAGACGGGTAGACCTGTGGCGTATAGATGAAGGTCTGCTCCTCGCCGGTGATCGGGTCCAGCAGCGGTGGTAGAAAGGTCGACGGCGAGTGCGGGATGGTCAGCGTGAGTGACTTGACATGTCTGCCAATGCGGTCCAGGGCAGCCATGCGCGCAGGCCGGGTGAATGTGCTGCTGCGAAAGGAGACAGATAGCTCCGCGAAGAGCAGCGGCTCAGCGTAGATGCTGAAGTCATGGCAGACCAGTCGCAGACTGGCGAGGTCGTCCCTGGACATATGCGACAGGAAGGCATCGCGAGTCAGGTCGGTCGACCAGAAACGAATGAAGGATGCGCTGGGCAGCATCCTGAGTTCAACTGCGCTGCTGCCACCGGCGCTTTATATATTAATGCGATTATCGTGATTACTCCGTAGACTCGCCCTGAACACGTCAGTTGCTGCGGCGTCCGCTGAGGGATCAGGCGCAAAGCACATACCACTGGACATGCATGTATCAGCCAGGTATAAGTCTATAAGTTTCGGGCCTCGTGGCTTAATTAACTATCGTTCCTCTTTTGAATCATAGATATCATTAAAATCGTATATCATCAAAGTATGCCAGATACTTTGTTCATAGGAATAGGGATCGGGATAGGGGGTATATAGTAAAAGAGGAAGATGTTTCGTTGCATGTTCGAAACATCTTTCACCGGCGGGGAAGAGGGAAAAGCAACGGCTGGGTCCATCCGTCTGCATTCTACGCTCTGGCCTGGTCTAGTCGACCTGCAGCATCGCGACGGTCGTTGGCTGGCGGTCAACAACCTGCACCGGTTGCCAGGGCGAAGGCTGAGAATGCAGGAGAAGTCGTGGGAGAAGCGCGAGAATATCGCGAGCACGGAACGACGGTGAAGCGTCTCCGGGTGTCCATTGGCTGGCTGTATACGAGGCGCGTTTGCTAGAGTTTTGCCCGGGATCTTGGTGTTGATGCTGAGCGAGATAGACGCGAGAGCGCGTTAAGTGGTTGCATATACACGCTCGGAGGTCGCGCCGGCATCCAACTGTTGAGACTTGGCTGGTTCGGTCGTCCTTGTTAACCGTTAAACAAGATTCTGGGCTTTGTACTCCGTTCTTTTGGACTCGTCATGTACGGAGTAAACAATTCGCGTGACAATCTACCGTCTCTATGTCAGATGATATCCGCCAGGCTTGTATCCTTCCACGTCCTCCATCCGACTCATGGTAGATCCTTTTGGCGTCCAAAGACAGTGGTAGCACAGAAATACTGGTTGGAAGACAAGTTGGTGTCGCGTCGCTGGAGGTTTGTGACGAAGCAAAGGGTCCAACTCTGCCAGCTGAAGCAAATCTCCAGCCCACATTCATTGTCTTGTTGATGCGCAGGAGTTGTGGAAATACATGTCCGGGTGAGCCGGTCGACCGTTATAGAGTCTCTCTCTATGGGAGGAAGCTCCTCCTTTGGGTCTCTTGGAATATGGAGATATTGAAAAGAGCCCCGTGTAAGGTCTGACATAGTGATGGCAGAGGTGTCGTCATGGCATGCTATACAACGTCCCTTGTCTATATCCTTCTTCTAGACAGTTTCAGTATCGTCTCATCATCTTATAAGGATAGTTATTCGACTGTCTACCCAGGCAAAAATGAATAAATACAAGAAAAAACACTTTGTCGTCCTCTCTTTCCTCTTTCGGACATAACGTGATACCGAGTCACGTGAGAAAGAACTCGCGATAAAATTGATCCGAAGACTTACTAAGTCATGACTCAGCAGAAGTCCTTCCAACCTTGGAAGCCTTTAATTGGCTCATCCATGACAGCGACGTGCCAGAGATCCTCCAAGTTACTCCGTATATCTCGACCAAGGTCAAGTCCAAAAATACCAACATTGTTTCTCTCTTCACTTCGACGGCGTCACTTTGACGGCTGCTTTACTTTCACACTTCTGGTAGAAAGTGTCAAAGGTGTCATCTTCTCCATACAAGGCCCTGTAGGTAATCCTGGCATAGCATTTTGCTACCACTGCGTTACCATCACAGCCCACGCATGTGTAGGCATACGCGAGCGTTAGCCAAGTCATGATGAGACGAGCCTGTAGAAGTCCCCATCGTTTGATCTCCAGGGCGCGGCTCCCACGCGGTCGTGGAAGGCTACCGTTCTCTATGACGTAGCCAAGCGACGCCAGACCTTCTAGTGTATAGGAAATAGTTGTAGGTACGTCCCCTCGTCCCAGATATAGACCTGCAAGGTCAAGTTGGACCTCCGAGATCTCTATACGGGGTTCCTCGAGAGCTGGTCGAGGGTACGTATCCCTCAATTGAGCAATGCTAGACTCAATCTTGGCCGCGGCTGAAAAGTCCGTCGGTGCCAGTTTGAAGCGGCTACAGAGGCGTAAGGCTTCCGCTTTCAGGGTTTTCCTCTCACCCATAACGTGGTTTGCCGTCCCTTGCTTGTCGTGACATAGGACACAGTTGCAATCGAAACCTAAGTTCCGTAAAAATTTTCTGCGCTGCTCATAAACATTACCATTTGAAATATAGAAATTCTCGGTGATCTCAGTCCCTGGCTCGAGGTCCTGTGTTGCACGGATTATGATCATGTCGCCGATGAAAGTGCGATGTGAGTTGCTAAGACAGGAGTGGTTGATAAACGATGCCATGGGCCATATTCCATACGAGCAGCCCCGGCCTCCAATCCGAGCTGGGTTTGGCTGCTTGTGAAGGTGATCTGGGAGAGATTGAGCGGAAACCGAGACGGCATTCAAAGCTATGATGTGTGCCACGAGAAATCTAACCCTTGAAGTCAGCCTACCATACTCCGTGCAAAGTGGAGGGTGATCGGTCCTTACGTGTCAACAGCCGGTCTACCATCCACCTCAACAATGCCGCCGGATTCGTTTGGCATCTGACAATAAAGCTGAGTAATACATGATGCTAAAGATGGGTTTCGATATAGCTTCTGAATGACCATTGTGAGTAGTTCTTGCTTTAGTGGCTCTGATTTAGCCCCAATCCAGTGGTACTTCTGGTTGCTCCGTCGTACTATTGTGTGGCCAAAGGCATGTGCAAATGCCTTTTCGCAGAGTAACAAGTCGCCAACTTTGACTGCTGCCGTTGTGAATAGGCCACGTCGTCTCCCAGCCTTGGGCAAGCCTGGCTCCAGTTTGCCAATGTATGTAGCGTACTCTAGGTTCGGCGTGTTACAGGACCATGCCTCCGTGTACAGCTGTGTGAACCGGTAACTACCGCTCTCCTGCTCCATGATTCGGTCCGCGAGCTTACTTTTCATCGTTACAAGACCCGGGTATTCTTCAGGAATTTGCATACAGTAATTCAGACATCCTCGATACCGTTGGAGGTTGTACAGGGCTTGGGCCATGTAGTAGAGAGCACCCTGCGCCGTCGCCGGAAATGACAGCGCCATTGCTGCGTCGGACAGAGCAGCATCGAACTGATTTGTTGCGATAAAGGCAGAGGCTCGATTCGATTTTATCATGCATACCTCATTCTCGCTCGGGAAGGTCTCCAGGGCTTTGGTATAACTTTGGACGGGTATCAATACCTTGAAAATCCGAGGGAAGTCACTAGAGAACATACCAATCAATCGCCTGGTAGTACTGGAACTGTCCTGCAAGGAATCCCCCTTTCATATTCCAGGCCATGGCATAGTCTTCATTGGCTAAAACCTCCTGCCTCCACGGAGCTGGCACCTTCATGTCATATATAGGGAAATATATGGCGTCGCAAATGTGATCGATACTGATCCCGACCCTTGAATCAGTCAACTGCCGATAAAACGGCTCTTTCAATATGAAGACACTTTCTTGCGGGAGACGCCCTGCCACGCCGCGCTCGTTATGGTGACACAGCCGAACGAGGATAAAGTCACCAACTTCATCTTCCATGTTGATAGCCATCGTGGAGGTGAGCCCTACTTCCGAGAGGGACCTCAGTAGGAGGTAGCCACCGCCATTCCGCGTGCCAAACTGGAGGTTCCGGATCATGCATTTGTATAGGCTCCGCAAGGGGGTAGTAGACGGGGGGTAGTAGGTAGTCATATTGTTCAATACAAAATACTGGATAATAATTCGATAGTAATATGGATATATTGATCAAGCCATAAGGACTTGAGAGCACTTGTAACCAATTTGATCCATCCTGTGCTGGAGGAAGGAGAAAGTCGTATGTTTATTCCTGGTCCGGGGAAAGAATGAAGGCAGGAGACATCATCCCTGCGTCCCTGAGTAAAGAGTCCCATAAAAGGGTCCGTGTATATTTTATAAGAGATGTTGAGTTCCATATTTCGACCGTGGTAGGTACTTCAAGCCTCGTCTTCAAGTATGAGTGTATCAACGTCGTCAAGCCCCTTATAAAGCTATATAAGAGCACGTCTTATACTAGCCTTTAAGCTTGTCCTATCCTTATCCTGTCCTCTGATATTCTCAGACTTCCTTAGACTTGTAGCTTATCCTAGACAAGCATAGGGATATCATTGAACGCGTTTGAGAGAGAGACCGACGTCCTTTATTGATCTCCGCTCCCACCCTTTGATCTCATCCTCTTCCATCAGCGTCATGTCATGTCATGTCATGTCAAGTCAAGTCAATATCAAGTCAAGTATCGTCAAGTATCGTCAAGTATCGTCAAGTATCGTCAAGTCAAGTCAAATATCAAGTCATCAAGTCAAGAAGTGTTGTATGCAGTGTGTTACAGCCGCGTCAGGCTTAGTCAGCTTATCTCCAACGTCTGAGGCTTTTGCCCGCTAAGAAAGCCAGAAAGAAAGAAGAAAGTCAACGCAAGAAGAAAAACGCAGACGGCCAGCCGTCATCTTCTTCGACTGCGGACTTCAGACCGAACAGGTGCTGGCGATGCTTTTTTTCGTAGAGAGTCGAGGGTGAGCAGGTGTGCCGGTGAGTATTTTTGACGTAACCTCCCAGATGTCCCTCTATATCGTGTCTGAGATAGCCTCTGTCTGAGATAGCCTTAAGCTAACGTTTGACGTGCCAAGTTAAACGTTTTGGTCCCTGGATAATTAATTCTAGGCTGTGACATCCGACACAAATACCAACGCCCAAGTTTAAGCCGCACCATAGGGCTTGGTGAGCGGAGGCGCCGGACATAAGGACGCATAAAATACCAGGATCGCTGAGGCTGAGATACTGGCCCTGTCTCAATCTTCATCGACATGGACTCAGACGAGCTCGAGGACAACCTGCTCCTTCAAGCGACCCTGTCGCCAAACTCGGAGGACGGCGAAGAGGATACCTACAGCCATAGCCATACGGCTGGCAGCCACAGCGCGCGCTCCCCACTAGTATTCCAAGCCGATCGCATGAACCAGACGACATCACCACTCAACCTGGTATCGTCATCATCATCCTCAACCTCATCTCGTCCACCCGCCATAGCTATGGAAGCTGGCCCCTCGCGGAAACGTTCACGCGCAATCTCCTCCCCTACTACCTCTGCTGCCGTTCTCCACGACCCAAAAACCCGCCGACATGCCTCTCCCCAGCGAAATACCAAGCCTGCCAGCCAGTCCGGATCTAATACAGGTGCAGACTCTGACTTGCTTGGGCTTTTCGGGCTCGAGGGAGGCGATGACATAGGCGCACTCGAAGAGGAACAACGTCAAGCTGAGACCTGGCTTCAGGAACGTCGGGAGCAAGAACGCAGAGACGAGGAGTTTGCGCGTGCCCTCCAGGAGACTTGGGATGAGATTCTACCGCCATCATCAAGGTCCGATGATCAGGACGATACATTATTTCAACCTCGACCGCAGGTTCAACAGCTAGGTCAAGGGCGAGTTCAGGAACGAGTTCAGCCGCGTTTCCCACCACAGCCGCAAATGCAGAGGCAGGCCCCGACGTTTGATTCTAACCACGGACAGACGAGAATGATGCCTCCACCTGTGGGACCAGCGTTGAACGCTACATCGAAATATGGCTGGCCACTGCCCACCGCTCACGGCAGCCTCGCTATCAATAAGAGTGCTGGTAGCCGTCCCACTGAATCTTGGAATAGGACAAATCCTAGCAGTCGTCCCGCAGAATCGTGGCAGAAGACGAGTTCTAGCAGTCGTCCCACTGAACCCTGGAATAGGACAAGTTCCAGCAGTCGTCCCGCCGAATCCTGGCAGAAGACAAGTCCTAACAGCTGTCCCACTGAATCCTGGCAGAAGACAGGTTCTAATAGCAACGAGCAATGGCGCAGTTCCCCGAAGAACTATATCGAACTGAGCAGCGATAGCGAGGTCGAAGAACTCTTCTCCGTGCTCTCTGGAAAACCTCCCGACCCCTGGGAAGCACGGAATCGTTCTAATGATCTGCCTATACGCCCAAGCCCGAACCCAAATCCCTATGCGAACCCCAATTTATCTACAGCGGCTAGCCAGCGATTACCTAGTATTCGTGCTTTAGAGGAGAGGTACCAACAGAATTTGAGGGATCTTCAGATGGGTGTTTCACCTCTCTCGACCGTGCCGCAATATCTGCAGCCGTATATGAGTCGCTCGTGTCCTCCCGGTTGTGCCTGCGGGGGGAAGCTGCCGCACCCGTATAGTCCGACAAGTTCGCAAATTGATACCTTACGGTGAGCTTACCATGAACCTTTACGACTCTCAGGTATTGCAATTGCTAACAGCATCAGAAATATGTACGCTTCCGATGGGCTGACGCCCGATGAAATGAAGAAAGAACTGAAATCTCTCCTCGAGAACATTCGTCCAGATCAAGAACTCGACCTCAACCGTGAAGGAACCCCAGAAGCGCTCAAATTTCCTCTCATGGAGCACCAGAAGCTAGGTCTAGCGTGGATGAAATCCATGGAAGAAGGATCCAACAAGGGTGGTATCCTCGCTGATGACATGGGACTCGGGAAGACAATACAAGCTTTAGCCTTGATGGTTTCGCGTCCCAGCACCGACCCAATTCGCAAGACAACTCTTATCATCGCCCCCGTTGCTCTCATCCAGCAGTGGAAGAGAGAAATAAACCGCATGCTCAAACCAGGAAAGGAGCACCAACTCTCCGTCTTCATCTTACACGGAGAACGTAGAGCAATCACCTTCACCGACCTACGCCGCTACGATGTTGTCTTGACTACCTTTGGTACACTAGCGTCCGAACTAAAGCGCAAGGAACGATGGATGTTGTTTAAGAAGGATAATCCAAATGCCTACCAAAACCTATCTACGCCGACCGAAGAGATGCCAATACTCGGCGATGAGTGCAAATGGTACAGAGTCATCATCGACGAAGCGCAGTGTATCAAAAACCGCAACACCAAGGGCGCTCAGGCGTGTTATGCTATCCAGTCAATCTATAGGTGGTGCATGAGCGGAACTCCGATGATGAATAACGTGCAGGAACTCTTCTCGTTGATTTGCTTTTTACGCATTGGGCCATACAATAAACTTGAACGATTCAATAGCACATTTACCCGACCGCTAAAGAATGATGAAAACGCAGTCCAGAGCGTCGCAATGAAGAAACTTCAGGCTTTGCTCAAGGCAATCCTTCTCCGCCGCATGAAAACGTCAAAAATTGACGGCAAGCCGATTCTCCAACTTCCGCCTCGCGTCACAGAAAAGGTCCATACCATATTCAGTGAGGACGAGCACAGTTTCTATCAAGCTCTTGAGACACAATCCCAGTTGCAATTCAACAGGTACCTTAGAGCTGGCACCGTTGGGAGGAATTACTCTAATGTCCTTGTCCTCCTACTTCGACTGCGGCAGGCTTGCTGCCATCCACATCTAATCAACGATTTCGCAGTTAGTACGGGCGCCGTGTCAGAGGAACTTGACCTCATTGCCAATGCCAAACTACTTGATGCCACGGTAATTGAACGTCTGAAGTCACAAGAGGCCTCGGAATGCCCCGTCTGTATCGATGTGGCTGAGAACGCTGTAATTTTCTTTCCTTGTGGCCATAGTACCTGCGCGGAATGCTTTGCAAAAATCTCCGATCCGTCTCAGGGGCTGGTGCAGGGCAACGACGGCGTGTTCGAGATCAAATGTCCTTCCTGTCGAGCCAAAATTGACCCCAAGAAAGTTACAGATAACGCGTCGTTCCAGAAAGTTCATGTCCTTGGCGAAGAAACTGATGCTGCTGAGTCTGGCAAGCCGAGTACGCAGGCCGACGATACCGAGGACAGCGATAGTGATAGCGATGATGATAACAGAGGTACACTTAATGGCTTCATCGTCCGCGACGACGATAGCGAAAGCAGGCGGAAGAAAGGAAAGGGCAAAGCCAAACCAAAGAAGACTCTTGCGCAGCTCAAAAAGGAAGCCCAGCGTAACGTCAAGGCCAAACGCAAATACCTTCGCACCCTTGATAAACGCTGGGAGCCTAGTGCCAAAGTCGATAAGACGATAGAAATTCTACAGTCGCTGCTCGATTCAGGCACAAACGAGAAAACGATCATCTTCAGCCAATTTACCTCCCTCCTCGACCTAATTGAAGTTCCCATTAATCGCCGGGGCTGGGTCTACCGCCGCTACGACGGCAGTATGAAACCCGCAGATCGCAACGAATCCGTCCTCGACTTCACTGACAACCCAGAATGTCGTGTCATGCTTGTTTCTCTCAAAGCAGGGAATGCAGGGCTGAACCTCGTCGCGGCATCCCAAGTGATTATCCTTGACCCTTTCTGGAACCCATATATTGAGGACCAGGCGATTGATCGAGCCCATCGTATCGGGCAGATGAGACCTGTCATGGTTCACAGACTTCTGATCGAGAATACAGTCGAGGACCGAATCATTGCGCTTCAGGAAAAGAAGAGAGAGATCATCGAAGGTGCACTAGATGAAAAGGCTAGTACTAAGGTTGGAAGATTGGGCGTTAGAGAGCTGGCGTTTTTATTCGTACGTATATCCATCCCCTTTTTCTTCATGGGCTGGTGCATGGTTGATTTCTCTTACTGATTGGTCTGCCATCCCACAGAACGTTCCCCAGTAATTCAACCACAGGCCTCATATACGCCACCCGCGTTCACCACAGTTGATGTCAAGCATAGCTGCTACATCCAAAGAAAAATAGACAAAAAAGCCACTTAAAGTCCAGACATGCAGAGGAAAGATCTAGACAGATTTAGGCAAACTCATTCTCGGATTTCATAGACGTGATACAACGTTGTCTTTAATAGCTTTCATTTGCGTTCTCATTGTCGCGTTCTCTTTCAATTTCCCAACCCTTTCACTTTTTTTTTCTTACGTTCAATTATCCTGTCACCTTTCCTTCCTGGCGTCCTACTGTTTGTTTATTGGATGGCTAGGGCTATCTGTTTGGGCTTGGTAGGGCGGTACCAGTTTTTCTTTATGACGGTTGTTTCGATATCCCCTTTTATTCTCGGTCATGGAGGTTTTATTCGGTATTCGGGTATGGTCATGATTTTCCTTACTCTCCACGTCTAGTCGCAACTAAAGACAGACGTATCTTGGGCGGAATATTTGCAGTGCTCTTTATATTGTTTACTGTACTGTACCTCTATGCAGCTACTGCTTTCGCCTTGTCTGTTTAATAGCGTTCCCTTTTCTCACTTTCTGCCTCCTTAACTTGGCCACAAAGACTCGTGTTTATAGAAAAAAATTCGTATAGAATAGATTGGTTTGAGGGACCCAAAACAGGGTCACGCTGCTTATTTGTTCACTCTTCTCCCTGGATACTTTGTTTTAGATGTCTTTCTTTATTAATGGTAACGCAAAGATGACTCGAGGCCTTCTATATACCCAATCTTTATGTCGTTTCTAGTGAAGATAGTGGAAACTAACAAATATGTACCCAAGGCAATAGAGCTACCATAGAATTCCCATTAGCGGATATATTGATACTACTATTGAGGCTATCACTATCACTACAGCATACAAGTACTAAGCTATTACTAAAAGGGACTTTATTTCATGTATTTTGCCTCGTAATTTTGATGTTGAAGTTAATGCTTGCCATCAGTCTAAAATGTCACCCATGTTGGACCTGTTGTGTATGTATGTTTTGTTGCCCGTTGATTGTGTTGTTGTACGAGGTGTGAAAATGTATTTCTTTGTTGCAGGTAAGTTTTGTGATGCTTTTTTAATTCTTCTTCTTTTATTCGCTTTCTTCGTCAAGTCATTGTTTCTGTATTACATCCCGTTCCAAACCCAATCGTACCCACACGCAACTGGCCTCAGCTCAACAATAGCTTGTGAGATAAGTAGGCAATCTTCCAACTGTTCCTTGAACGACCCAGTTTAAAGATCGGCGTCCTCTTCGTCTGGCAGAGGCATGGAAGCGGCCACCTGCATTTCCTGTTCTTGTCTCTTGAGCTCTGCGTGGTCGACAGTGACCTCTGGAGGAGCAAGGGCAATACTGGCGGCGAAATCCTGAATTCAACATGTTAGCTAGCGTTTATACACATAAATCGGGAATAGAATACTTACCAAACCCTGGTTTCCGACAAGCTTTCTGGCCAACCACAAGAATGGCTTCTCAAAGTTGTAGTTGGATTTAGCGGAGATGTCGTAGTACTGAAGGTTCTTCTTGCGGTGGAAAGTGATGGTCTTGGCCTTCACCTTGCGCTCCTTGACATCGACTTTGTTTCCGCAGAGAACAATTGGGACGTTCTCGCAGACACGGACGAGATCACCTATAATACATCAAAAACGGTTAGGCGGGTACAGCGGGATTTGGAGCAGGAAAGAATAGGAATCAGCCACTTACGGTGCCAGGATGGGACGTTCTTGTAGGTGATACGGGAGGTGACATCGAACATGATGATACCACACTGGCCGTTGATGTAGTAGCCGTCTCGGAGACCGCCGAACTTCTCTTGACCGGCAGTATCCCAAACATCGAATTGAATGGAGCCCAAGTTCTGATCGTGGCATGGTTAGTATCCGGGTTAAGTCGTTTTTACCACCTCCTTAACGGCAGGCTGCTATCTGGTAAGGCACCGGGGACGTACGGTTTGGAATTTGAGCGGGTGGACCTCGACACCGAGAGTGGCAATGTATTTCTTCTCGAATTCACCAGTAAGATGACGCTTGACGAAGGTGGTCTACCCAGAACGATGGTTAGTATATGGTTCTCGGGGCTTTGATATAAGTGTGCGCGTGGGGCATGGTGGCATAGTCAACCCCTCCAAGATATAAGAAGGGCAACGAGACAAGTATACAACACTCGCGCCAGGGTTTAGACTCACCTTTCCAGTACCACCGTCTCCGACAAGGACGAGCTTGAAGGTGGGTATATTCTCTTCAGCCATTTTGTATGCGGGGAGGGGTTATCGGCGAGAGGTGCCGGCAATGAGGGGGGAGAGAGGTCTCAGGTAGCAGGCTCTGGAGGCAAACGTGAGTCGAAGATGTATCTGCCCTTGATAGCCAAGACAGATAGCTGAAGTCGATGCTGGTTGATGGGTATAGAGAGGTTGCAGAGGCGTTTAACGGCTGCGATATCAACTTGAACACAAAGCCCAAAGGAGCAAGGTTGGGTTGAAATTTATCTAGGCACGTGATTAGCCCTCGCCACACGGAGGGGGCTGACTAATCGACGAGTAAGATGAACGTTTATTTCGTACGAGGGTTTTGACCTTCACTACAGACAGAGGATGCCAGCATTTATAGGGCAAATAAACTAAGGAGGAGGCTGCTCCTTTTTCTTAGCATTATTAATCAGTATCATACATGAAGCGTGTGTATTCGTAAGCAATCATTGCTAGCCTGTGAGTCAGATATAGGGGCTTATCAGACGGGCCAGTGAGATGTCTGGTTTGCAGCCTGGCATTTGCCCCCGACAAATCACATAAACAGCTAACATTTATCGTGCCGTGGAGGCTGGCATGGTTTATAATGGCAGCAGGTGGCATCCAAGCAGGCCCCTGCCTCCCCAATCGCGGCTCGGAGTGAGCCGCAAGGTAAGCTGGGAACTTTCTTCCTCGGAGCTCGACCTTATCACCTTGACAAGGACGGGGAGCTAGCACGAAGACAAAGGTCAGTTACGGCCCAAGTCAGGCATGGCGGGTCAGAACACACCTCTACATTATTTGTGATGACTGTCGCGATTTTGGTCAAGTTCTCATGGTTGGCCCAGGTTATGTTGCCGAAGTTGCAGACTTTATCGCCAGCCTTCAGACCAGCTTTGGCTGCAGGACTTCCATCCGCCACACTGTTGACTTTCGCAAATGGGATCCCATCTGTTTCACCCTGGGTTCTGCCCTCCACCTCCCCGGCGGCTGGTGCTGGCGGGCGGATGGCTAGAGGTGTGGAGGCATTCCCGTCCGTATCTTTTATGCTAGCAAAGTACGCAGCTATGCCTTCTTCGACCTTCAACATGACAGCCTTATAATCGTTTCGTAGACGTATTATCCTTGCTCTTGTGGTCCGTACTATTCCAGACAGGCCGTTAGCGAGATGGCTATTAAAAACAAGCAGAGGCGAACCGCTGTACTCTGTGCAATATCCAGATCTGCTCTCGGGAATCCATCAAATGTGATCAAACTCGTGTTCATATCAACTCCATGCTACGAGGAGTATATCCGTTAGACCTCTCTCTGTCGCAGTTATAGAAACAGGCGCAGATAAGCCAGGAACTAACGTACTGATTTAAGAACCTCGCCGAGAACCTTCAACTCTGCTTCCAGTCTTTCCTTCTCGTCGAAAAGCTGTGTCAAGCCAGCCTTTGATAGATTCGCGTTCGTAGAGCTGCTGCCGGAGACGGGGCCCGAAGGCACCGTGGGAGTGTGAATGTCGTCCATCGGAATGCCCATGGTTCGGTCAGGAGTCCATGGTATCGCTGTGTCGCTCGTGGGTTGACGCAGTCGCAGGCTGGAGGGGTTCGTAACTCTCGTTTCTGAGCTCTCGATGACCGCATTTTAACTCTTTATGGCGGGCATCAAACGCCAAGACGTCAACTCGTCATTAGTCAGCCAGTTCTCTATCAAACTCAGGAAGAGACATAGCAAAGCATCCATGATACAATATCTGCTTTATTGTAATATCTCTGTCTACAAGGTGTAATATTTAACGCTATACAAGTATGCATCTTCACATAAAGCTATACTTGATTGTTATATCAACTCTTCTTACACTCCGCTAGTCAAAGATGGCTCAAAGATGGCTACAGATGGAGCACATGTCTAGGCTGTCAGTGATATACATATATATCAAATATGCAGCCATACAAACATGACTTCTTCCATCTCCATCTTCCTTTCTTAACATCCATCTATATCTTGCTTAGTCGTGATGCGGCTTTGGGTGCTGTGGTGCTCTGTTGCCCCTTCCCCAATATGGGAAGAGGACGCTCGGTGAAAAGAAAAACTTCTCACAGCTCATCTCTCTCCTGTTCATCACTCTCATTCCATCTTTTAGGTCTTCATTTTGTATGCCTTTCACTCGTTTTGTTTTACTGGCCATGTTTGCTATGCCTCTCTCCTTCATTTTTACACGTTAAAGTCCCGTGCAAGTCATGGAAACCATAGAGGTCACCGAGCTTGTGGCGGATATCCCGCTAGAAGAGCCAGATATCGTTCCGGATATCCCCCAAGACGATACTCGAGGCGAAACGCAGCTTGAGGAAGATGCCAGACGGCCCTCGACGGAATCTGGTGATTCTATCGCCCCCGTCAGCCAAGATGGCTATAGTTTCAAGCGCTGGATGAGGAGCATTCGAGCCAATCGACATGCTATAGCTAGCCCCAGAAACTATGTCATGGGCTGGCCTGACGATGAGACAATGGACGAGAGTTACAATAGACCTGCCGGCAACTATTCGGAGAGCGTGCCGGATACTGCCTCAGTTACCTCCTCGGCACTCCTGCGGACAATGGAGACAGCGAGTGTAAGCCAGGCAACTATGAGTGTGATCAACAGACCACGCACGAACACCATGACTAGCACCAAGCAGGGTACCAGCGTGTTCTCCAATTCTGAAGCTAGACGGTCGATCGATAGCAATCGGATGGCGGCTACACTTTCTCTTGATGAGGCTGCTTGGAATCGAGCTGTCCAGAGACGCCAAATTATTCAGGAGTTGGTAGGCACAGAAACGGTGTACGTGTCTGGGCTGAAAGCCCTGGGTGATGTAAGTCGCTGCCCTTGGTACCATACCAGCAAGACTTCTAGGCACATATGCTTACCAAGTATTCCGAAGGTCTTCTCAACAACGGTAATTAGCCAAACGGGAATCGGCCGTAGTGTGGGGGCTCTGTTGCGGCTACATACGACGTTTCTCGACGCACTCCGCGCAGCTATCCCTCGTTCTAGTCCAATTGCTCCCCTGTCCGCATCCATGAAATGGATGACGGGGAAAAAAGTGATTAAGAAATTTAGTCTTGACCTCCATCGAAAATCAATAACAGCCCGAAGGCTTCGAGAACCCATAGAACACCGCATTAAATCATCCAGAACTGTTGCCGCCGAACCTAACGAAGCCGGCAAAGTAGCCGAAATCCTAATTTCAAAGGTATACAAAAGGCGATCTCCCCATTGCTGTGCGCCGCTAATGTTCACCAAATTTATAGCTCCCTAAGTTCAAGATATATGAGGACTATGGCATCAAGTACCATCTAGTGTCGCAGGAAATTGATGATCTTCGAAAAACCGTCAACTTCCAAATTTGGGATCATGGTACCGAAGCGCTCTCCCGATCTGTAGCGCCCTTGGAGTGCCAGGAACTGAGCCCAAATCAAGCACTCACTATTAATGACTTGCTTGCCAAGGTTTGATACCCCCTTCCAACCTGCCTTGCGGCATATATGAGCGTTAACACGCCTGATGTAGCCAATACAAAGAGTGTGCAAGTACCAGCTGTTTCTATCAGATTTATTAAAATGCACACCATCATCGGACTGCCCGGCAGCTCGTGAAGCTCTTGAACTTGCCCACCAGTGTATGATCGATACAGTTCAAGAAATCAATCGAGCTACTGGTGACCCGATAGCCAAAGATCGTATGGCAAAGACCTTGCTTCTACAGAACAAGTTGGACTTCACTGACTTCGTAAGTTACCGCGTCTTCTTGCCTCAAAATAAGCTAACCATCCTCCTCACAGGGAAAGGAACGGGATATTCTTCGCGACTTTGGCCCTATTAAGGTATGCGGAATTCTCCACGTTACCTACGAGACCTTGGAATCGATAACTGGAGATTACATGGTATGTGCTCTCTTCAGTTCGCACCTTCTACTTGCCGCTGCATGCATCGAGCATCGCAACTTCACCGTAGTTGCCATTATTGGTACGACGAGGGCAAAGATTGAGAGTGTAGACGAGAAACCCGGTTTGCCTCATTTCCAGTCCAAAACTGATCCCAGGACACAGCAATACTAATTATGAAATAGGCTTGCAATGCCTGAGAACGCCTCATTCCTGGAAAACGCTGTACGTGGCAGGAGGTTGTACCTTTGAGCTGGTGATGACGGCGTGCTCTACAAAGGAGGCAGTTCAATGGATGGACCAACTCCACCAGAATATAGCTCCAGAAATCACCGTGGACACGCCGAAAATCGGTACAAAGGTCAAGCTCCCGATCAAACAACGCCCGGTAATAACGATTGACGAGACTGGCAACATCGTGCAGCCAGTCTGTAAACTCGTCCGTATCAAAGGAACAGAGGCAGTCCCACGGTTGAACCAACCATCTAGCACATCACTGTCGAGATCCCCAACTATGTTTATGAACCCCATAGTCACCTTAACTCCAAACCGTCAAGACAGGATGCGGATGGAGCGATGGCTAGCCAACATCTGGACATGCGATATCATTCCATACCCCGGGATGCCAGGTCGCAGCGAGTACTTCATCCGAGCCCAGGCCGGGTCCTTTCTCCGAAGCCTTAGCAGCCGCCGGCCGTTTGCACGGCGTTCAAGCAGTATGACCACCACCACAACTCAGTCGATCACCTCGCCGCCCAAAGGGGGTGCGGGCATGGATGATACCGATATGACGACTCCCACAAGCCCCATCTCCAAGTACAGCACCCGGGAATTCGACGACATAATGGACATTAGTCCAAGATCTAGGAGCTCTTCTCCTGCACGTACGCCTCTGTTGACGTTGAAATATGGTCCTATTGCAGATGAGATGGTGCAGCACGAAGCTCAGGAGAAGGACTTGAAGGAGATTAAAGAGGTCAAGGAAGTCAAGGGAGGAAAACGGCCGAAGTGGAGTGTCTCTCTGTTCAAGGCCCCGAGTAGGTCTCGCCGGGCATGGCCGGTTGAAGTCTGACCGCTAAGGTTGAAAGATGAGGGCCAGGCAGTTTCTTTGCATAGCTCATGAAGTCTAGCAGCGATGGTAGGCAGAGGCTGATATGACCGCTTCTAGATATTTATACTTACAATGGCAACGCAAACTCGGATCTTCCTACTCGTACATACGTTCACTGAACCAAAGTGCCGTTCACTAAGCAGTCATTCACTATCCACTCATCAACAACCCTGCGGGATCTACTATGAGCCAGGTCCTCCGTATACTCCGTAGATGTAGAAGATGGAAGAGGAAGAAAGAAGCGTGACGTGACCGCGCCAAGACATACCAACGTGACGTCATAGCTCTCCACCCTGTGGAAGAGTGACATCCAGAACTGCCAGGAAACAGGACAGACGCCTTGTATCTCCAGCCAGTCGAGCAGCCAATTCGCAGGCCACGATGGAGTCGCGGACACCCAAGCTGACGAGTATGCCAGCGATCCGGAGACACATAAATAGAGACTCTGCTGCTGCTCCCAGAAGCTCGAATAAAACACAGTTCCAAGTCCATTGAGCACCAGACGAAGAACACTACACCTACATCTACATCTACATCTACCGTCACATCCTGCTATACAGCTCTCTTTATACTTTCAGCAATTAAGACCAGGCAGATCCAGCCACAGAGTTTGCCTTCTCAGCCTTCTACCCCGCCTACCTATCTACTTAATCTCGTGTTGAGCCATTCGAGGGACCCCCTAGAGCTCTCCATTGAACCAGAAGCACAAAGCTAGGAAGAGACGAAAGAAAACACTCAAACACCAAACAGACAAGACACGATACGATAATCATGGCTCGCGGAAACGTCGGAGTTTACAAGGTCTTCTACAAGGGCCAGACTGATGATTTCGTTGTGTACGTTGACGATGTTGCTGCTGTTAAGCAGTGGAGGAAGGACAAGACCACCCCCCTAGCTCAGGTAGTTAGTGGATGGAAGATATTCATCACACACCGGTACGTTTCACTCCTGTCTACCTCCGTTGCTCCTCTCTAGCTCCAGATACGGGCTTACAATCGGTTTGGTTTGGGTTTGACCACTAACATTTACCTCCATGATACAGACACGGCGCACAAGGCATCCACGATGGGGCCAGCAAGGCGACATTGTCGAACGAATTCGGAACGTCAGACGAAACGGCGTGCATTACCAAGATACTGGAGAACGGAGACTTGCAGGAATCTGAGGTGAGCATGACAACACCAGCTCAATGTAACCATGTATAACCAGCAACTAACTATATAATTGCAGGGCACCGAACGAAACGGATCAACCAACGACTCCAAGGGTGTTTTGTTGACCCGGTAAATAGGGTTGAATGAGAAGCCGGACAACCACGAGATATCAGAGCCGGCAGTCGGTTTCCATACCGACCACAATTATGTATAAAATCATATCATGAGCTGTGCATCAGTTCATTGTGGCTACCTTGATAGCACAGAGGCCCGGCATAGGGTATATCGTGACAGGAATACGTTTGTTCTATGGGGAGAAGACAAGCAAGCTTTACACGGCTCTTGACGGCTATTACTTTTAGTTACTTGCTCTTGTATACCTAATATCGATATTCAACGAACATTTATTGAAACATGCTTAGTCCCACAGTAGAACTACAAAAGAGTGTCATTCAATTTTTGCTTTGGCAAGGTAATCATTCAAATCATAAACCAAAAAACCGGGTATAAATTCAGAGTATTCAATATAAACAACGCTAAAGGGCAATAACAATTATACATAAGATCTAACGGCAAGTGGTAAAACAATGTCGGCAAATAAGCTGGGGCGGGGGGGTTTCCAACCATACCGCTGTCAAAACAGAACAGGGGTATACAGGTGTTTATTAAAAAAGGCGGGTAAATCGAGAATTAGAAATGTTCCTTCCAGAAGTTGAATTTCACTTCTTTGCTTGTGCATTCCTTCGTTGCTTTTTTGACTTGTTTAGCCGCCTGGTTTGGACCGCAGAAGTAAACTCCAACATCGGCTCTGCGCGTCGCATCAAGATCAGCCATGTACGTGTGGTTCATTATACTAGCACGCAGAGCATAGAAGAAGCGGGCAAAATCTGGGCGACCGAATTTGGTGCCTGTCCTTAGTTCAGTAAGAGGGTCAAGTTCTTGACCGACTGAGTTGAGATAGATGTTGGCAGCGGTGTCTTCATCGAAACGTTGGGTGAGGTAGGTGTGTATACGCAAAAACTCCTGTCCGGAGCTTGCTTTTTCGGCGGACTGTGCTTCTAGCGAGGAAAGGAGGGCTTGGAACCATTCGAATGAGCTGGTATCTTTACAAATCCAGATAAATTCGACTCGACGAAGGCGGGTGGGTGGATTCGGGCCGGCCCGGTAGTGCCAGATATCCTTCAGAATGGATGCCCAGGGTGTCACACCAATGCCTGTGCCGATGAGGATGGCAACATCGTTACTAAACACATCTTCGGCTGGTGCTCCGTAAGGGCCATCGATACGAATACTCGGCATAGTCTGACCGTTTTGCATGGCGATTTCATACATGCCAAGCGGATCGAGACCATCGATGTCCTTTGCCTGTTCGGGACCGCAACCCAGTCGGTTTCCGAGTTCTCGGGTAAAATCTCCCACTTGTCTGATATGGATGCTTATATATGGGTCATGGGGGCACGAAGTTATCGTGAACGGATGCCATTCCGTTCGTGAAACGTCAGGGACTTGGAGGAACAGCCATTGTCCCGGCTTGTAACGTAGGCTGGGTTTGCGGAATTGAATTTCCATGGCATCTACACGCATGTTAATAGTGGTTCACGTTGTTAGATCGTATGGGGGTACGAACCGTATGGATGTCGAACCACTCGGACAATTTCAGTGTCCCTCGCAGCACGTATTTCCCGATATAATCTTTCAATGAGATAGAGGCCACCGCCCCAGAGCTCCCATCTCCACCCCTCATAACCAATGCAATGGTCCCAGAACTGCTTTCCAGCGAAAGGGGAGATTGGGTCTACAGTATCCCGTACAAAACACCCGGTAGCATGGGTATATAATGCGAGCATGAATGGGATGAATAGGTGATGTGTATACCAGAATGTCTCGTATGACTGCTGTCTGATCCTATGATGTGAGGTTGTATACATCAATAGCATACAAAGAAGCATCACATGGCCGGTGATACCAGCCACTTGGGTATAGTGTATCTGAACAGCTGCTTCAGGACGTGTTTGGTATCGCTCGATGTTAAAGAAGCTGTTTAAAGTTAGGAATTTTGAACCTTGCCAATAATACTATCATAAGAGGGCAATTGTACTCACTTGACGTAGTGTGCTACTACATGTATCACACTGAAAATAAGCAGTGAATATGCTATCTGACGGTGGAACCATTGCGATTCATCGAGAGGCAGCCATTTCAGCTTCGGTCTGACATATCTGAGAAGGGTCCTGCACATGGGAAAGAGGATAAGGGCTGTGTCTATCGAAAGCACGAAGCCGGCCCCTCGGGATATCCAGACCGAAAAGGTAAGCGAATTCAGCTTCTCAAGCCTCGGATCGGTCACTTGTTTCCACCTATACCACGAGAATAGATGTCTTGTTAGCTTGGTTTAAACCGGTAAAATAATCACAAATCCAAAGGAACGGGTTGCGGCATACCATCCGAATGCAAACAGCCCTATCTGCAGGCTGTAGAATATAAAGTAGAACAGTAACTTGGAGGGATTGAAATGTGACCTCCATTTGGAAGAGGTCTTTTTTGTCATGGTGACCGTTTAACCTCTTTCCGGATATTATGTGGGTTCGTTCAGAAGCGGAAAGGAAAATCGTAAGAAATGTAACATGCAACGCTGAGAAGAATAAAGTCTTGATGCCGGAATAGTAAACGGGAAAGTCGTTAATAGAGGTCGTAATGTATGTGTAGGGAGCGGAGAAGCCAAAAGGAGAAAGACAGGCAGTGGTTTAGCGCAGTAGTCGATAGTGATACGGAGTGCGATCGCAATATTGGTATAGCTGTAACGAGGGCGTAGTCGTCCCCAGAAGGAAATGAGCGTGCAGAATGTCGATGGATATGTCCAAGGCCGGAGGGAGATTGCCTATCCTCCAGCGTGCGTATCACAGCAGCGAGCTGCCCACGACGCCGTAGGGACGCAATCGAGATACAGTGCCGCAGTTGTCACCCGCCCTTGGTATATTGTCCTCTCCTAATCCGTCCTGTTATAGCCCTGTTAATGGATTGCTGTTTTTGTGAAACGGACAACTCCATGAATCAGTTATCCCAGCAGCCAACGTTCAATAGCTGCAGTCGGTATATCCGGTTTCACTTCCCCCACACCGGCCAGCGTCTATTCAGTTTTTTTTCCTCCGGTATGCCAAAAATAGAAGCGCCCTTCCGTTATTGAATATCACGACAGCTGTTCCTGTCTGTCTTCTCTCATATCTCAAACATGTAGTGTTTTGGTAAGGCGGTACGGCGGGTGCGGTAGGTGCTTTGTGAACGAATCGATCGGGCGTCTGAGATGGGAGCAGAGTAGGAGTAGGAGTTTTGGAATTTCCCAAAGATAGATATCGGACAGCCCTGTTTTACGTAAAGGGTCTATTCGATCGCTTGATTCGACTGGGTGCAAGCGTCCGCTGGATTTGGGGTCGGAAATGGTATGACACGCCAGCCGAAGCGCCAGCTTTTTGCTGACAGAGAGCGGTTAAATTGATGGCCCCCCTGGCCTCTAGGCCATGATGAAACGTGGTTGGTATATTTTATTCCCTTGGACTTTTTCGTTTCTATTTTCTCTTTGTCTGATTGCCTGTTGAGGGAATAAAATATACGTAAAAATCGCTCGTCTTGAAAACGGCCTTCTCAATGAGCCAGACCAGATGGATGGCTTGTTGTTTTTTTTATTCAGAGGGACAGGGTGGACCGACGCTAAACCTGTTGCAATTGACAACAGACTCAGCCTGTGTGTATTTTGGGACAATAATGCAAGGATCGAGAGCCCAGCGAGTAATCCGTGGAGAGAGTGTTATGGCTGATGATGCCAATGATGCCAATAGCAGAGTATAGACGGATCAAGCAGCTAGACGGCGAATGGACCGCCCTTTGGCCTTCATACAAGTCGAATTCCTCTATATCCCTGCGGGGACGCCCGTCATTTCGCCGAGCGTGCAGCCGGTCGTCCCACAGCGGCAATGCTATACGCAAAAGACAGAGCTACTCCGTACATCGTCGTGCTATGGACAGAAGCCCACTTGGACAGAGTTCGTAGGCAGTTTACCTTAAAAGCGCCACAGGCCAATGAGGGTGTGAAAGTGGCTTTTGAGGCCTCTGCGACCTTTATGGAGATAACCGAAGTATCGAGACTTATTGGCTCCCAGCACTCAACGCTACCCGTCTATACGCCGCGAGGGCCTCTTACGGGCATTCCATCCTCAGCATGGCCGGCCAACGGGCCCTCGTGGCGGCGTACTCGCTTCCAGAGATCGAGAGACGAGGCAGAACCGGCTCTCGTTCCTCCTCTTGCTCCTGTTCGCTGTGCTCTGTGTTTCCAGGGGCATCGACCGCAGACCGACTATCTCCCTGGGCACTTCCACTCCGCAGCAAGAGGATTTAGAGCGAGCCTATCATCTGCGTTCTGCAACCGCCCACGCTTGCCGGGATGATGCTTGGCCGGTAGAGATGGATTTTGTATGGCAGGATGCTCCATTAAGGTACGGAGTAGTGTGACATCGATGGCAGCCAGAATGCTACGCATCAGATGTACCGTAGCTACCAACAGTTATGTGGCTTTCCACTGGCTGTTGGGTTCACAGCGAGATGATAGACCTCGAGGACTGATCGATCATGCGCTGCATCCCTTTGATCAAGTCGTACGTGCACCGCTTGAACGTCTTCTGCTATACAATGAGTGGTTCGTATATCTATGTATCGTGCAAGTAGGCGTCGCAGATCCACGATCGGGCATCCGTGTAGCTATTGGCGACGGGCAGCAGCATCTAGAAGAGCTGGCTGATCGGACCGGCGTAGATGCAGGAGTAGACGCCATCCAGCGTGGTTTATGTGTGTTTATTTCCATGCCGATGTCTTCCAGTTGGCGTTGGATCTATGCAACACGATATAACATCGACGTATCCCCTTGATTCGCCCTCCGAGGCGTAGCAACTCGACAATTCTATTATTGGCCCGAGGACGAGCTGCAGACGGCTGTGGATGCGCCGGGATCCCTGCTGCTGGCCAATTGCTGCGTCTTCATGCGTGCCGGCCGTTCCTCGTCACATCCCAGGGATACGATGGGACGGACACTAGGCTCGCTTGCATAGTTATGGGCAAAGTGTCCTGCAGGCCATGCAGAGACATGCAGAAGTGTGATATCTCGCTCCGTTTTGCAGCTCACTGCCAATTATAGATACGCCAAAGCCAGAGATGCTGGGGGGGATGCTTCCATTGGCCGGGGGCAAGCCTGTTGCACTTAGCACCGTCCATGGAGGGCATCCCGGCCGACTTGGAGGCGATGTCGACTTAGCCGCTGTCAAGGGTTGTCTTTCTCCTGTCAATATCTATTCAGAGTCTCCCGGCCTAGTGACTACATATTGACATCGGACGACATCGGATCAGTACATCGACTACCGCAGTGGAACACGAGCAGAAAAGAGACATGAAGCGTAGACGATGACGGTATGACCGTTCTCAGATCGTCTACAACATTGAGATGCTAACTCACAGCCAGAGAGAGGAATAGCGAATCGACTCCTCGTACTCGCACCGGATGCGCATCAGCATCACCATCCATCACAGACTTTGAGATCTTCTCCTCGACCTAGTCGGCGAACCAGAGACACACGATACACGATATAGACATCGCTCTTTGTTTGATCCAAGTCGTGGTTGCTGGCCATCCACATCTACTCTATATCCAGCCTCCCAGTCACTTTAATCGCTCAACCGCAAGCCTAATTCTGAGGTATATATCCCGTCTCGCTCGCAGAGGCCGAAGGGAGAATCATCGAAAGGCCCCCACCCTATTCCATCTTGTCACCATGGGCAAACTTATCAAGAATCACTGGGCTCGTCTCATCATTCTCACAGCGGCACTATGTACGTATGCCCGAGGACGGTTGATATGGGTGCAATAACGCTAACGAGACATTTAGATCAGCTCGCGGCCGGCATACACGGATTCTTCTGGCCCAAGATATTCTGGGACTTCCTCACGAAAAACCTCGATCGGGCCGTCAGGCCGGTTCCAATACTACAGATCATAAACGTTCTGCTCGGGCTGCTGGCCCTGGCCTGGGAATGGCCGTTAAAACCGCTCGCGGGAACGCTGTTCCACCGCAGCATCGAAATCAGACTCTTCATCCTCCCTCTCAGCGCACTGGCTTCGGCCTTGTTATACCAAGGCACAAATCCTGCGATATATTATGTGATTGGAATGGCTGTCTACTTTTGGGGATACAGTGAAGGAGAGGTACGTACCCTTATGTTGCAGTTATAACGCAAGAATACTAATCGCTAGGTATAGACTGTATGCTCCGAGCCATGGACCTTACCAAGACGACGACCTATGCCCATAGAATCAAAGGTATAGCTGCTTATACCAACCCGTTAGAACCCAGTTGTATATATCCCCGCCCCTTTCAAGGCATCAGCGATGGCCTTTGGTACATATCTACCCTAATCTTGATCGACTAGTCCTTGATCAAACATGAACATTATGCTGTATATTAAAGCGATATTTGTCGGTGCACCTTAGCGATTAACGAATTAATGCATATCTACGATTTTTCTACTGATTCTTTCACATCGTTTATTAATTGCCGTTTAAACTGTTAAACTGTTGACTTGTACACTGGTGAGACAAGCTTATTTCTGACACCGCGACGCAGGAGTACAAATATCGGCAGCTGGATTGACGATGTCACGGCTGGTCATATATGTACAATTTGGCTCAAATTTGCGGCAGCCTTAGCTCAAACTGATGCTGAGATCTGGTTGGATGGCCAATTAATGGTCTGTCGCACTTGATGCATCCATTATAAAAGTCTTCATCTTCATATCCACCATCAGCTAAAGATCAAACGCAAAAAACCCCTCGATATGCTGGTTAAACAGTATTCTGCATGACTTCGTCGTTCAAGGAACGCTGTGCCGTTTGTGTGTCCATTGGATCATCTGCAGCTATGTCGGAAATACCCTCCAAGCCATGGCTGTTGAATTTCCGGTCTTCAGAGATTTTCATCGTCCTGGTCGTCTCCATCGCCATTTTCGTGGTATGTGACGAGCTATGGTTAGCAAGGACCGAGAGATGAGAATTCGGATGTGATGTTAATAGTTTAACTCTAGGATGTATTTATCTACAGCATGGTGAGAGTCTCGATGACTAGAGAATCCGATTTATACACTAACGGCGCTGATAGATAATACCCATTATCCCTAATGCTCTTGTCGACCGTATCGGCGTGTCACCACATGATGGTGCGTACTCTGATGTTTCAATAAGCCTATGGAGTACTGATTCATTTCTATAGCCCAAACCTGGATGTCTATCCTTCTAGCTACCTATGGAGGAGCTCTCCTAGTAGGATCCCGTACGTCTCTCTTCCTTATTCTCAAAGCATAGTTGCTGACCATATCGTAAACAGCCATCTTTGGATATATTGCGGATCGCTCCAGGTCACCGAAGGGCCCATTTGTCGTTGGCCTTCTCGCTCTGGCCGTGTCAACGGCGCTGTTTATGTTCGCCAGGTCGCCTGCCTGGTTTGTTATTGCCAGAGGCCTGCAGGGTCTCTCTGGTGCTGCCGTTTGGGTTGCCGGGCTCGCCCTGGTTGTTGTTACCGTGGATGAGGAGCGAGTCGGAGAGGTCATGGGCTATGCAACCATGGGCATGACTTGGGGGTCTTTGTTAGGCCCGGGCCTAGGAGGTATCATGTATGAAAAGTTGGGCTTCCATGGGGCATTTTACCTACCGATTGCACTCATTGCTTTGGATATCTTTTTGCGCTTTGCCATGGTTGAACCAAAGGGTATGGCCGTCCCTCCGTCTTCTTCACATCTTTCAAACCCCCCGATGCATCATGGCTAATGACAGGACGAATAGTTGCTGGACAGTGGAAGCAGAATGTGTCAGGACGCAACTCTCCCTCTACCAAAGGGACAGACGAACGCTCGCCGTTAATATCGCCCCCAGCACCCGCTGAGCACAACTCGAACAAAGTGCCCCAGATCCTCCAATTATTATGCCATAGGCGCCTTCTGGTGGCTTTACTGTCTGCTCTTGTTTGCGCAGCCACATTCTCGGCGTTTGAGACGGTAATATATGCATACACTCCTCACCAGCACTTCAACGGGTCTGTCTTCTAACCTCACGTAGACCCTCCCACTCTTCCTAATCGAAAGGTTCCATTGGTCCCCCAGTGGTACAGGGCTGATATTTCTCGCGATTTCTATTCCGACCCTCATCGGCCCGCTGATCGGAACCCTGGTCGACAGATACGGCGCCCGTATCGTCTCCGGCATAGCCTTCGCATTCTTAGCCATGTTTTTGACCTTACTCCGGCTTGTGCAGCACCCGGTAACTTCAGAATATGTTCTCCTGATCGGCCTACTAGCTGGTGTCGGCTTCGCAAATGTCGCAACCTCCTTATCCTCCATGATAGAGGTCTTCCAAACAGTCTATCAGCCCGACACACTTCCAGCCAGTACTGCCGGGGCCAACGCAAACCCGATTGCCCAAGCATACGCCCTGTTCAACATGGCCTTTGCAGGTGGGCAGCTTCTTGGTCCAATTATGGGCGGATTCATAAAGGAACGTGCAGGGTGGAAGGTCATGACCCTGGTGCTAGGCCTGGTGGCAGCCGTGACTAGCATTATAGTTGCGATCCTTGGGGGAGAGGGGTCGCCCAAGGGCAAAAGTCGAGAGCCTGAAGACGGAGTGCCAGCTTGAATATTGGCGGGCTGAGTTCAAAATAAAAAATAAGATGGGTATTCATAAGGTTGGTTAAATAGGGGCATGCATATTTTTGTTTGACTTTGACAGATGTATAGATCTACACCATGCTATACTAAGATGTATCTCAATGTAAGATAGATATCTGATTGCTATTAAAGATACTCACTCCAGATATATGCTGTTTTGCTTGGAATATAACCATCTAATTTTTAAGGCTCTCCCCATTTTCATTGTGGCAAGAGTTCTGATATGTTCCGACCAATATCCAATTCAGGGAGCTACACACGTTTCAATTCATAGCACAGCTAGTTAACTATTTAGTTAACCAGAAAGTGATTTTATCCCTTGATATCGCTAATACCGTCTAGCTATATAGATATATCGGCCTTTACGAATGCCAACCTAAGTCTTCTTACCTAGGAGTCGATTAGTTACAGTTTAGCATAAACTTCTCTTGCCCGGAGAATTATAAAATTTTCTTCCATCACTGTACTCCGTACGCTATCTTAATTCTTCTCCCTTTTTAATATTAATAAGATATAAATAACTGAACGAAGTTATTTAGATATTTATTGCTAAAGTTATAGCTCCCGTCTGCCGATTCAAGCTACTTGTCACGGCGCAAACGCTTACTGGATTGAGGCTTGCTGCCTGGCTGCGGTGGACAGAGCGATCATCGGCCAGCTCGTATTCAATCCGCCGTGTCATTTACCGTCTTTTGAGCCTCATCTACCCTATATTTAAAGGCTTCGGCCAGCCGTTGACGGTTGGTAGCTTCGACCGTTAATTATTCGTACAGTGTCCGGTCTGAAGCAGACCAACCGTTGAAACGATGCCATTTACGGACGATGAAGACGTTCCCCGGTCATTCAATGGAAGTCTGGACAAATACATCCATTCACCAAATGGGACCCCCAATGCGTCTCCAGTGAAGTCTCTAAAACGAAAACTGGACGGCAAAGAGGACGAAGAAAAGGACGAGAAGAAGACCCCAGCACGGGTATCGCCCCGGAAGACACGCTCGTCGAAATCGCTGACGCAGTCTACTCTGATATCCAGTCCTTCAAGGCAAGGTACACGGTCAGCGCCTCCACAGACTGGTAGGGATTCCAACAGCGATGGCACGGAATCGGGGACAGGAGCAAATGCGTCGTCCGCCTCGACTCCATCAAACGGCCCTGTTTCTCGCCTCCGAGACTCTACCCCGGAAAACCTCGTTCTATTGCTCATCGGCGTCAACCCGGGAATCATGACAGGCCAAACGGGACATGCATACGCTCACCCTTCGAACCTTTACTGGCGTCTCCTACACTCATCAGGGATAACCAGCTTCCGCCATCCACCATCTGATACATACAGGATGCCGGAACTTTACTCTATCGGCAACACAAACATCGTGGTTCGTCCTACCCGCGACGCCAGCCAGCTATCCAAGGCAGAGATGAACGCAGGAGTCCCTGTGCTAGAGGAAAAAATTGGACGATGTCGGCCAGAGGCCGTATGCTTGGTTGGGAAGGGCATTTGGGAGGCTGTCTGGAGGGTCAAGCATGGGAGAAATATCAAGAAAGAGGAGTTCAAGTATGGATGGCAGGACGAGTCAGAGAACATGGGGCGTGTTAGACCGGTGCTTGGAGGTAATAGTGAGGATTCATGGTTGGGTGCGAGGGTTTTTGTTGCGACGACAACAAGCGGGTTGGCAGCGTCGATGAGCTTGCCGGAGAAACAAGCCATTTGGAACGAGCTGGGTACTTGGGTGAAAGAGCGGAGAGAAGCAAGGGGGTTTGTTTTACCTACCATGAGCCAGGCGTTAGGGTCTTTGGATAATTAGATCTTGACTATTTTTCATAACTTGCGCGTTGGATTATATAACGCCTATATTCATTTAACCAAGGTTCAGGAAGAGAGTATGATATGTTGTGCCTTTGTGATATACAAAGACTATATTTATACCGGATGGGCATACGTGATACCAATCAACCCTCATCTGAACTTTTATCATCTGGCATGGTAATCGGAGGTCTCTGGCCGAGACCATCATCGGCGGGCATAACCTCGGCCTCGTTGTCTTCTAGCCATTCTTCCAAATCAACATGGACCCTCAATTCTTTCTCTACCAATACGTTGAAGACTTTTCTCAGTTCATCGAAACTCATTGATCCTCTTAGATGTGGCTCATTGTATGCCAGCAATACCAGCCTTTTAGACCAAGGGCATGCTCGAATAGAACGGAAGAACACTTGTCGCGCCTTCTCTTTCTCGTCGAGGGTAAGCTCAAATTGTACGTAGAGCTTCCATAGCGCAGCTGTGTGCTGGCCCGACTGTGAAGATATCGCCGCCTCAAAAGCCGCACGCGCAGAATGAGCGGTAGATCCTGCAGAGACCCCTCTGTAAAGTTCAGAGTAGATGGAAAATAGGTGAGGGATTAGAGTAGATTGTTTCAGAGGGTCGGCTGTGTCGTCGCTTCCATGGGGCTCAAGAAGTTGGCGGCCAAGGACTGAGCGAACGCGATTTTCAATCCGAAATCGAGTCTCATTGAAAGCAAAGAGGCTTAGAAAGATTGTATTTCGTGGAAAAAGTGAGACGCTCCTACTTAGCTCTTCGCGAATCTGGGCAGGTTTATAAACACGGTTTTCCGTGATATGGTGATACAGTAGCCGAGATTTGACTTGGTGGATTGGCTCCAAGAACATCGTCTTATCCAGCTTCTGGGTCTCAAGGCGCTGTTCTGCGTCGTCGTATATTTTTATTGCCGCTGAGATTTCTTGGCCTTGGGTAAGATAAATTAGAAGGGCTAAGCAGTCAGTAGAATAACTGAACATCTCGGGTTTGCGAAAGGTCAGCCCGTGAGCTTGGATATTGTCTAAACACTATTAAGACGTTAGTAAGTAGAAGTTTTCGTAAAGACAACGTGAGATACATACTCTTTTGCTCTTCAGAAACTCAGCTGAGCTGGCTATAGCCTTCCAATCTCCGGCGGTTGATAAAGAGGTTAAATCCAGGTTGTTATTCGGGATTGCAAGCAATAAACGAATTGCTTTCCCATAACTCTGGCTGTTAAGGGCCTCCCAGACCCAGGTGTGCCAAAGGGTGATACAATCTAGGGTCGCCTCCGTAGCAAAGCTCTGGCTCATAGAAAGGGTGGTGGTCCACACTTTCTCTGCAGTAGCAATTTGACCGTTTCTAGCCTCGATCAGTGCGTAAGCGTTGTATAGTTTGATATTCGAAGGGTTAGATTTGAGAAGCTGTTTAGCGTACTTCTTCGCCTCTTTGGGGTCAATACTATATTCAAAGGCAATAGTATATGCTGCCAAGTAGTCGCTGTCTGGCATTCTAGACACCAGCATCTTTAACGACCGTCGAATCCATTCAACATAAGCGCAATTACTGCCTTCTAAGTATGTAGATTCCCACGATTGAAATGCGGGAAACCAGTTTCTCCCGTCACCAAATAGGGTATCAATATCATTTCCAAACATTGGGTATGGGAACGAGAATGGCACATATTGATCAGGATCTCCCTCCTTTTCAGTAAGAGCGGAAAACCATTCCGGTGAACGTTTGTCTGCCTCATCAAGATTGCGGTTGGAAAAGAACGGATCTACATGCCAACTTGCAATTCTCTCACTATCTTCATGGGTTGTTTTCGGCAGGTGACAAAATATCAGAAACGCGTCGACAACTAAATTCGATACTTGGGGATCAGAAAAGCGAACGAGAAAGTCGGCTATATCTGAGAAGAGCACTACCCGGTAAGGGTCGTCTTCTTGCACCTCGTCGAGTGTCCTGGCGGGCAAGAACGAATATGACATTAAATCATGCTCAAGCTTGCACCACGAGCCGAAAACATCTTTGGCATCAATTTTCGGTACGTCGGGGTCGGACTTTGGATCTGGAGTATCACCATCAGCTTTACCCCAGCCCTGGGACCCGATTTCACCGATTCGCGGCATCTCGCTCTCCCAAAACTCGGAAAATGAAGAAAGAGCTGCTGCTCGATCAGTCTCCGGGTTGAGACCTTGCGGACAGCAGAAATTATATTCAAGAAGAGCTTGCCAAAGGCCAATTGAGTGCTCGGTGAACCCTGCTTCTCTCATAAAAAGGCTAAGGCGTAGTAGGATGTAAAGGCTAATAATCTGTTTCTCGGTGCTGTCGGGCTGCCTCGCGTTGACCTTCAAACATTCCAAGAATACCGATCGACATTTATCGTAGGTAAAATTGGTAAAAGTGGTTTGCTGGAAGTCCAGGTATTTGATCCATAGAGAGATATAACTCGAGTTTGACTCCAAAACCGACTTCCATTTGTTCGATAGAGTCTTTTGATCCCAAATTAAGGAGCCCTCTTCAATCATGCCGAGCAGTAACCTATCCCGAGGCGCATTATGAGGCAGGCTCGCCAATGCCTTTTCGTACAAGGACACCTTTATATCTGCAATGCTTCTCTTTTCTGCAGATGTAAACTTCCGATACCCTTCTCTGTCTGCAACGCCCACCATATTCTCTTGGTGATTAATAAGTCTGAGCCAGCCTTCCATATTATCTGGATGCTCATTCACATTACGGAACAAACTAGCATTCCGCAACCTGGGCCCTTCTCCTTCTGATTGTATGCTCCAGTCTGATTCTATATCAGTTTCGGCATCAGAATCTCGCCCAGGCTTAGCTTTCCCTTCGATCGACCGGTAGTCAGGAAGCTTCTCTTCTTCTGACACTATATATGCAGAATCAGCAAATCCATCCCCTATACGCCTTCGTTTCCTACTCCCGTCTTCTTTCAATGGGAGGAAATCTCGTTCTAGGTCTGGGGCCCCATTCGAGCTGGGCAGCAGGCGTCGAGACTTTGTGGATTTGGAAGCCGATCTCCACAGTGCTTTAAGATTCCGTTGCGCCGTATCTTCTGTAGCTCCTCTTGAAGTTATCACTATCTTTGTATCACTGCTAAGATCTTGGTCGATGGTGTAAGCTGTAGAAAGACCCAGCACCCTTCCCGCGCCAAAACGATAGTACCGGGGGATATCGTACTTATGGAGGGACCCATAGATCAACGTATACGGATCACCCGTGGCATCCAATATGTAAAGGTTTGAAGCATCTGGAGTCGACCGGGGTTTCGAGCTATCTTCAGCATGGTCGTGTTGTATGTGCCTACTAGAGCTGGCGCGCGATTCTCGACTCCTCTCTTTTGCACGACGTGAATCATGGTGTCTCGAAAGATCGGATGACTTGCTGGTTCTCACACGATCGCCAGCAGCCCGTAAAGATTTCTTTTCGTCTCTGCTCTCGCGATCTGTCTGTGGAGGCGCTGGCTGCGGTTTGAAGCTTCCAAATTTTGGGATCTGCGCTTTTCCCTTCCTCGCAGACGAATTAGTCTTATAATGCCGCGTAGATATATTAGAGCTGCACACATACCTTGCCCTCGCCAGAATCCATGGCTATCGTGTTCTGCTATATTGCTGTCGTCGAGCTCGCGACCGCGAAGCTCATTTATATATCGCGTGGACTTTCCCTTCTTGGCGCAGGGGAGCCTCGGGAAAAACTTCCCTTTCCGGGCCAGAGAATTTTATACTCTTCCGCGCGCATTCGAATTTCAAGATCATTCAGTTCGACGAGACCAGCTTCAGACCTGCGCAAGAAGAGCTCGCTTGCGTTTGGCTGCTGGGAGGGTACCTGCTATTATGCATTGAATATCTACGTCAGCATATAATCTTCCGCCTTACTTTGCACAATGGCGTCGTCCCTCGCCGCGCAGCTGTCGCAGGTTGCGGCTAAAGCAACCCATCAGTTTGATCTGAAAGCTCAAAGATCAGCCCACGCGCAATCGTTGATATTCGAGAAGAAAGTCGCTAGCACACAGGATTTTGAGACGATATACCAGCTATCCTATGAAGGGTTTCAGGAACTATGCACCCTCGACGCCCGCTTTCAGCCCTTCCGACAGAATCTTTTCAGTGAGCAGAGCAAAGTCGAAGACAGAGGTCAAATGACCGCAAGCCAGAACAAGGATCTAGATGCCATTATAGGGGAATTCCTCGCTCTGGTTGGTGGCCGTTTACTTCTCAACCCAGCAGTCAAGGCCGTGGACTGGCTCATTCGTCGATTTCGGTATATACACCAACCTTTTTCTGCCATGCGATTATACAGTGTAATCTGACATTTTCTTATAGCATACACGAATACAACACTGGTCCTCTGATTCTTACGTTCTTGCCATACCATACAACTCCTCTTTTCCTCAACCTCCTGTCTATACTACCAGATGACTTAACGCCTACGTTCAAAGTGCTATATCCATACAAGCGAAGCCTGACGCTACCTCCACGACGTCCAATCGTACACAGCGCAGCAACGAACAAAGAATTTTTCTCTGCCCTGAATAATTATGTTATACAAACGAGCAAGGCTAGGGCCCATTACCAGGGTCTCATTTCTTTCTGGGCTGGCATCACCGCAGAGGCCCTTTCTGCAATGCTTGATTCGGCGCAATCTGGTAGAATGGAAGTCGAGCGACGGAATAAAGAAGATGTCTTGATCCGTATGTTGCCAACGCTTAGCACTGGTCTCTCGTTGAAAAAGGCGCCACAACTTACAGTTGCCTGCTACATGCTCTGTGTTGTTCTGGCGAATAAAGGATCTCTGAGCGACAAGGCCATTGATAGCTTAATGGAGGCAGTGGCCGGGTCTTGGACCCCGGACACAATTGCTTCAGGGTTCACTTGCCTGTCAGTGATTATACAACAAAAGGACGAAGCCCAGCTTCCCAAACCTGTGATCAAGTCAATTATTCGGTTAGATAACGCGGTCGATATATTTGCTGGTCTCGGTGTAAACCATTCCATCGTCAAGCTTCTCACTGGCTTGGTGAATGTACTTACGGATAAAGACGAGGGAGGACTTGCAGCTCCATCTTTATCGCTTGTTAATCAGGTTCTGCAACGAGATATACTGGGCCCAAATGAGAAGACACAAGCAATATCTGCTCTCCTGAAGGCCGTGGACGAATCTCATCGAAAGGACTATATGTCCGAAGAAGTACGTCAACTAACTTCAGACACGCTCGCAACATTTGTCGAATCCAAGGACCTTGATCCTCTCCTTCAGAAAGCGATTGTTGAATCCAGTGTTGATATAAAGGCCATAGAAATGGCGCTTCAGCCTGCCATTGATAACAACATGGGCCCAGCAGAAATAGACGAAGTTGAAGATGTTGAGATGGGAGATGTACCCGAGAGCCGGCTCCAAGACGAAGAATTCGCAAACGCCGTTACATCGCTGTCTCAACGTCGAGCTCAGAAACCAGATAACTTTCTCGTCGAAAATCCTGCTTCCCTCTTCAGCGAACTAGCCGTTGCTTTCACCCAGGCTACAACTGCTGCGAATAAATTAACCACCTTCCTCAACCTCCCTATCCTACACAAAAACACAATTCTCAGTGACCCAACTTTCCTCTCTTTCCTCGTGCGGTACTTTTCCGGGCCTTACCCCCCTCTAGCTCGTGCCAAAGCTATCAGTGTTGCAACAGCCTCCATTGTTGAAGCAGGTGACAAAACCGTTGACCTACAGGCCGTTATTCCGTATACTATATCGGCCCTATCTGATATATCAACACCAGTGAGGAGAGAGGCTGCTGCACTACTGACTGCCATCGATAATCAGTTTTTGGCATCTAAAATTGAGGGCTCGCCATGGGGTCAAGGTTGCATCTATGGTGCCAACGAAAAGTCAAAGTCAGTTCAGTGGCTTTCTTGGAGGGATGTACACAAATTCGTCAATCAGGGGTTAATGCCTGACTTGGAGGAGTTTATACTTGATTCCGCCCGGATTGCAGAAACGTTCATGCAGGCAATCCGGGGGACTACGCAGGATTCTTCCAAAGACTCAGACGCAGAATTGAAGAAGTCAATTCGCCGCGATTTCTTCTCGTTCATTTCCTCTCATATTATAAATACGCCACTCTTCGCTATAAAGCTCAGGCTCTTAAAGATCGTCAACCGCATCGGCAAAGTTGGGCCTACTCCTCGCACTCAGTTCCTATCTCCTTTGCTTGAACAGTGCAGGTCAATCGACTCCGACAAAATTAAGCGCATTGAACTCCAGGAGCATGTATCCATACAAGACTTGGAGCAACAAACCCTCTCCGTCGTTTATCAAAAAGATCCAACTGCCACCACCTCTCTCCTGTCGTTGCTGAAAGAAGACCCTCAATCCACTAGGTTATCGTTTGTCGCAGCCGTTTTTGCCCGCCTAAAGGATATCTGGCCCTCCCTGAAGGAGGAGAAGGAGCTATTTGCTTCTGAGAATTTGTTAGACATGTGTCTTTCTCCTAACGCCCAAACTGAGGAGCTGGCTGGCTTTAGTAGAGAGCTCCTTCGATCGGTGAACTTGTCAGGCCCAGTTATCACCAAGTTTCTCAGTACAATCACCTCACCCTCTTGTGATATTGACTCCCAAGCGCCCGCCCCGAAAAGACGGCGAACGAGCCAGAGCAACATGGTTGCTATGAACCCGGCTAGCCGAGAGGAGGCAAACGTTCCTCTCCAGAGAATTTCCTTTATTCTTGAGTTAATCGATGGGTCACAACCTGAGGAATACCCTGAGCTGATCGGAGGCCTATTTCAAACTCTTGCCATTGTTCACCGCTTGAAGTTACAGGTGCAATCGGAAATGAGCTATCTTCTAAGCCTTAACCTAGGCATCCTGCTTTCTATAATTAATAAATACAAGGTTTGTTTCCCTCAATTCGCCTCTATCTTGTAGTTGCTAACTGTACATATAGGGGTCACCAAAGAAACTCGACACGTCGGTCATTAGGGCAGATCTAATAATTGACTGTGTTCGCACGTCAGAGAGCCCACAGGTCCAGAATACGGCTCTCCTCCTTGTTGCAGCCCTCGCCACCGTCGCACCGGAAATTGTTCTTCATAGCGTTATGCCCATCTTTACCTTCATGGGATCAAATGTTCTTAGAAAAGATGATGAATACTCGGCCCTTGTAATTGACCAGGTAGGTACCAGCCAAAATACTTCATTTGGACGTCAGGGTTATTGACAGTTTTCCTTCCTAGACCATCGATCAGGTTATTCCTCCCCTTGTTCGCTCACTCCGAGTTCAAAAGAGGGACGTCGTTATGGGCACATCGGAGCTTCTGCTGTCCTTCACAACTGCATATGAGCATATCCCGTCGTACCGCCGTCTCAGACTATTCGAGTCGCTCGTGAACAAACTCGGCCGGGAAGATTTCCTCTTTGCGGTCTTGGCAATGTTAGCAACCAAATACGGAATGGATAGGGATGTGTTAGTCACAATGACTGCCCTTGCGTCAAATGCAGAGGCTCAACTTCAACTTACTGTAAGTTCTTTACCTTCCAATCTCCTGGTAATGTTTTACTTACCTCTAGCTAGACATACGCCCGTTATTTGAGTCTCGTACAAGATGCTTTGCAGCCAAAACCGACTATATCGCGAATTCTTCTTGGGATTGGTAGCGAGGATGGAAGGGAGCCTCACAAGGTGGCAGTTGATCTCCTTCAGACGCTATCTCATTTGCTCAAGTTTACGTCCCTTGGTAACAAGATGGTCCAATGCTTTGAGTCAGATGAGACAGAAGACGCCACAAAAGTCCATGGTCTATTTTCTAGTATCTTAGAACGGCTTTTGGCTCTCGGTGAGGCAGTTCGTTCCATTAAACCCATAAGCGACGCGTGTGGCGACGCCCTTGCTACCTTGTTAGGTACCCTCTCGCTCGTTGATTTCATTGACACCATCGAGGTTCTACTCAAGAGACCAAAGGACGACCTTCGCCGAAAGGTTCTAAGGCTACTTGAAAACCGACTAGAGCTTACCAATGACAGAGACAGGGCCTCCCAATTAAAGGCTCTCTCATTCTTGTCTGTGCTCGTTGGTATTGTAGAGACGTCGCCTGACATACTCCTTAAACATGCAGCGGTTGCATGTATGGAGAAGATCTCTGAGAAATATGGCAAGAAAGACCCCGAGAAAGTTGTCGAGGCAGCAGTCGTTGTGGCTGGGGACAAATGCATGGGACAAACGGATAGTCGCATCCGTATTATGGGTGTCCTGTGTCTCGCATCTATGACGGAGGTTATCGCAGATGGCATCATCCCCATCCTTCCAGTGGCCTTGGCCCGTTCCTTGGATTTACTTCAAGGCAGTATGGCAACCAAGACACGAAACCCCGAGCTTCACGACGCTGTATATTCGCTACTCTCTGCTTTGCTTGTTCATATCCCTTATATGATCTCACCTGGGGATTTGGATAGGGTTTTGCAGCTTTCCGCCAACTCAGCTCGCGCCGGCTTATCACAAGATTGTGATGATAACCGCCAGGATACCTTGCAATTATTGGCGAAACGGGTCGATTCAAAGGAAGTATACAACACTGTTGAACGTAACTGGGACTTTTCCGTTTCACAGGGCTCCAGGGTAAGGTCAACCTTTCCACGTATATATATTAATGAGACTAATCGTGTGCAGGCTGCCAAGGAAGCTCTTGAAATTGTCAAACTTTCCATCGAGAAGCATCCGAAATCAGACACGATCAAAAACGTTCCTGCACTATCTAACCTTCTATGGAAATTTTTCGATTTCCGAAGAGCACAATGCAGTTTGCCCACCGGTGACAGATTTGATGGTCAACAGATTGATGATATAGAGTCTTGCATCAATGACCTGACGATAAAGATGATATATAAGCTGAACGATACTATTTTCCGTCCCTTCTTCGCGCAACTTACCGAATGGGCAACGGAGGAACTAGACAAGTCTGACATACCTGGCAAACAAGCAAGATTGACAACATTTTATAGGTTCCTAGAGACGTTCTTTGGCACCCTGAAGGTTTGTGATTGGAAATTACCTCATCGTCATTGTTCCATACTAATCAGGTTGATTTCTCTAGTCCATTGTCACTGGCTACTCCAGTTATATCATTGAAAATGTTGTCGATGTATTGAAGAGTATACAGCCAAATGTAAAGGCACATCAACCTCTATGGATAGCCGTGATGCGCACGCTTCGAAGCTCATTTGAGCATGATCAAGATGGTATGTCCTCAAATCCCATTACCCGATTCATATGTTTAAGGTAGCCCGGTTTGCTAACTTACATCTTTGAAATAGAATTCTGGCAATCACCAAGCCATCTCAGCTCGATTTCTAACCATCTTATCAACCAACTATCCATGGCTAAGAGCCAAGCATCGCTAAAGCTGGTCACAGCTGAGGCAACCCCCAGCATTGTTGCACTTGCCATCGCCGCAGATTCTCCAGATAATCAAAAGGAAATAAACACACATATTATGAAGTATATGCGTGCTAGCGGCGGCAGTTCTGACTCCTGCAGAGGAGAAAACGCGTTCACCCGTCTTGCAACGGTGAAATGTGAGCAAAGCCTGACTGAGCAGCTAGGCGAAGAATGGCTTGCATTACTGCCCGAGATGTTGCCATTCATCAGCGAATTGATGGAAGATGATGATGAAAATGTTGAGAGAGAAGTTAGGAAGTGGGTTTTGATGATCGAAGATATCTTGGGAGAGAAATTGGATGATATGCTGGCGTAAACACGCACGCGTGATATGAGGGAAGTCAAATGAATAGCCTCTCCAGCCAGGCTCCTTTTTTTTCCTTTTGGCGAATTTTTTTAAAGGGCAAAATACCCCTTGGGCGTTTTATTTGGTTAAAGGCTTAAAAAGGGCAGAGACTAAAAGCATAGCATGTGCATATAGAATGAAAATTCACGTTCGAAAATAGAATGAACCTATCCGTACACATTGGCCCTTCATTGTGGTGGAGGGTTCAAGTCCAGCCCTTCGACAGTTAATTTAAATGCATCATTCCGCGAGTAGCTCCCTGCGACATCAAGCTCCAATCTGCCCCTTACACAATCATCAAAGTCGACCTCGACTACCTGCAGACTCTCCTCGTCTTCGTCGGTAACATTCCAGATAGGGCCGGCCAACACCTTGCCAGAGGGACTAATGATGCAGCCACCTCCTCCGGTGACGATAGAGTCATCGGAGCCATCCTGGTCTGGCTGTTTGATGTCATTAGTCACCCAAGAAGGCAGTTGGCTACGTTTTAAACACTGGTTAACACTGAGGACGACGGTGCGGCCCTCAAGGGCAATGGTTTGCATCAGGGGTAGCCAGGTATCGCGGCCATCCGCCGTGGGAGCGAGGTAGAGATTAACGTTCTGCTGGTAGATAGCCTGTCGAAGCAATGGCATATAGTTCTCCCAGCATATAGCCGCTGCAAGAGTGAGTTTGACGCCATTGATCTCTGCAGTGACGGCTTTCAAAGTTGATGCTGGCCCTTGGGCCCAAACCAGTCGCTCAGAGCCAGTCTATATAACAAGTTCTTAGCATACATCCTGCACCATAACCTCGCCATAGATAATATAAGACCTTATCAAGGCCGTTTATGAGGACTCACTGGCATGACCTTTCTCCTTTTTCCTAACATGCCATTCTTGGGGTCAATATATACTGCTGAACAATAAAGGCTTCCACCGCATCTCTCGATGGCCCCTACAACAAGCAGGACACCAGTTTCTCTAGATACCCGCTCAAGGAACTCTCGAGTCCCGTCACCTCTATAATTCTTCCCCTCGGCGACAGGCAGCTTTCTTTCAACCCAGTCATCTCCGCTGGGCACTGGAGTATCGCCGAAGTCGACGGCAGCTTTATAATATTCAAGGTATTGATCTCGCCCGGTATCATTGCGAGACCCAATTGCTGCCCCGAAGTTACAACCTCTAGGGTATCCTCCTAGATATCCCTCTGGGAACAGCAGGACGTTGGCACCGCGGCTTGCTGCCTTGGTGGTAACCTGCTCTAGAGCACCGAGAGTCTCAGCGAGCGTATCTCGAGTACGGCATTGCGCGATAGCGACCTTGAGCTTCTGCGACATCTTAATCCTGTCTGTCTCCTTTTGAGTTGAAATATTTGTATTTGTCCTAGAGGTAGAAGAGATGCGAGGGATGAATATATTCTTGTTTTGTATAATCTAAGAGAGTTGAGCTCCCCGCTCTAAGTATTTATACCGAGGAATAGCCGGCGTGGGGTAGAGCAAAACACCAAGTATGATGCAGCAGAATGAAGTGGAAGATAGAGCATTAAGTTCCCCTACGAGAGATATAGGACGAACTACAAGAGCATGATTGTACCGACGGATAAATTACGATTCCAAGTTCCGTGTGAAGTAATCGGAAGGGACCGTACTCAAAGATCGTCGACTGAATGGTTCATCTTGTCTCATACAAATCACCAACATCACTAGGATGAAAGATGGATGCATCCAGCTCAAGATCAGACGATTGGAGGTACATGCTGACCGAGCGAGGCAAGAGACGTGTTGATTTATGATCACTTTCGCACAGATTGATGTCAAGAGCTAGCCTACTTTGCTGTTGAGGCAGCCCTTTCTGTAAATATTAATTGTATTTAAAAATTTTCGTTGAAGCTCTGCACAAGATTGCCGCCAGCAAAAATCGGGGCGGAATGTGAATTAAACTGATGGAGAGTTACTGTACACCCCTTTGCACCGTCTCTGTTCCCAAATCCGACGCCCTGCATGGAAAATTTCATTAATATTGTCCCGCTAAAGCATTTAGTAAGCCACCTTGGTCCTCATGTCCTGTAGAATGAATACGTTAGATTGTGCCCTGCCTTGCGCTATGGGGTGGAAGAATATACTCACCGATATCTTGCGCTCGATCTCCCGCACCGACCGATCGAGCTCTCCTGCAATCGCTTGCTTTTTATCATTTGGTAGAAGGAAGTAAGTCTCACACAGGTCTCCGTCGATGATGCCCTTGCACGGAGCATAGTAGCCTCTGTATATGAGATGATCGCGTCCGGCTAATGGAGGGTTCTGCGATGTAAGCTGCATCTCGAGGCTTTGGAAGAAATCAACGTCATCACGGGTGACGAATGGAATGAACATTCCAACTGTCCCTTGGAGACCAGTCCAAACAAGGATATCACGGCCACCAGCAACTAGCTGGGTCTTCTGGATGCTTGTGGGTATGTCTTGGGAATAGAAGTGCGCAACCAGGCTCAGTCTGTTAGGTGCCCCCTGGAGATATTGTCGTTCGTGTATTAAATGAGCACCAGAGCCGTCTTCGTCGGCCTCTTCAGATGCCTTCGTGGGACATCGGAGAAGCCACAGGTTACCGAATTTATCACCTCCAGCGACGGTCTCATAGTCCACCATCGTTGTGCACGTGGTCCAGCGGGATATGATATCATCAGCAAAGGGGATGAGTTTGTTCTCCTGGTATTTATAAACCACGTAGGTAACACTCTCCTGGACATCACTGACAATAATTCGGCTTCCTTGAGTCTGGAGCCCGACAATCACACGCGGTGTTATTTGAGCTTGACATTTTCGCAGTAACTGCTTCATTCCAAGATCGTATATCCTCAAATCAGGACCGACTCCAGCGAGAAGACGACCTTGGAAGCCGAGGAGTGCAAGTGGCGGCTCTTCCACCTTGGTCTTGTGTATGAACTCCAACTCTGTCCCTTCTTCTTGGAATCGGTAGATGTGAATGAAGCCACAAGTGAAGGTACGAGGACTGACAACCATATCTTTACCCGTTCCTACAACCAAGAAAGTTTCGTCCTCTTGACTTGCAAATGACACTGCCGCAATGCTCACTGCAGCCTCATTATCTTCAAGTTCAACCTTGGACATGACTGCCTTGGCATCGATTGGGTCGACGACTTGGATACATGAAGCCCAGTGGTTGGTGCCTCGGGGGTAGCCAAAGTCTTCTGGAGGCAGTTCGGCATTATCGCCATTTACTGCGGTTGAATCACTGAGGAGTTTAGCTTTGGTAGAGGGTGAGAGGACATTGTTATCAGATCCGATAACATAAAATAGCGGATATTCGGGGTGTCGAACGAGGCTTCGTGAGGTGTAAGAAAGAGGTATTGACTCTTGAAGGAGGTTATTATCTAGTTTCTCGATGGAGAAGATGCTATGCAACCGTGTCAGTGTCCATAAAGTTAAAAATCCACGGGTAAATAGAAAACTTGACAAATTTTTGCTCAGTAGGAACAATTGGAAAAATAGTGCAATCCCCATGCCAATGCAGGCTTTCGGAGTAAGTCACAAATATCATCATGCAAAAAAAAAAAACCTAATCTGGGTATATTAATAAACAAAATACTTTGACGTACCGTAGGTTTTGGCCCTGGATTCCGACCATGCCTTCAACGCACTGTTCAGAGGAGAAGTTCCAACTCCACTCGAGACCGACATAGTTCAAGGGCGTCAGTGTAAAACTCTTCGTCTGGACGTCGGAGTATCCAAGCCAAGACCGGGAGCTAAGGGCCAAGACAGCTCTCTGTTCTTTGACAGAGACGCTGAACAGCTTGACTGGTTTGATGCCGAGGAATCGCGTTCGTGTATCTGACAGTTCTCCGGTAACTTCATCGAGCACGGTACGCAAGTAGATTCCGGAGTACAGTCCGATATGCAGATATAATGTCGAGCCACCCGAAGTAGAATCGATCATTGACATGATGGAAAGGGCAGATGGCGCAGAAGTCAATGCTTGAACTGATTTGTTTTCGAGGGTTGACTCGGGATCAAGACTGAGGATTCGGACAGTTGAATCGTCGCATCCAACAGCCAGGAACGAGCTTCTCACTCGTCCCTCAGGAACTTCTCCTAAGCTCAGACAAGTGACAGTGCCGGACATTTGTCTTTTCTCGTCATATTCTGCAAGGGAGCCATCGGTATCCATTTCGAAATAGACAATCTCTCCTGAACTCAGAGCGATCGCCACCTGCCTCTCGTTTGTAGTAGCAGCGACGATAGATCGATGTTGTGGAGCCGGCCACTCATTAACTCTTTGGTCTGCATGAATATGTCGGATGCCCTTTGGATGAACTTGGATGAGAGACTCCTCTCCAAGTTGCTGCACCGCTAGCGTCGGGGCAGATGAGAGGAAGCCAGTATCAGTGACCTCCTCCACGGTCTCACCAATGCTCAAAACGAGAGTGCCGTTTGAGAAGGAGAGAACAATGTATGCATCGTAACGGTCGTTGCGGGTCAGCTTTGTAGTCCAAACCGCCGACGGGACACTAGGTAACTCTGACTCGACAATCTCGGAAACCTCAAGGCCGTGCTTTAGTGTCCTGAAGCTACTTCTAGCACCAGTGCCGCACAGCGTGTATAGCTGAGGCGCATCCTCCTCTGTTAGGTTGGCGATGGAGCAAGACATCAACGGGTTCAGAGAACCGATGCTTTCTACCAGGTTCAAGTTTTCTGCGGGTCGTGGTCGGAAGTAGGCAGGAGGTAAGGGTTCAGAAGGGTCGGCGGAGCAGTCGTCGCTAGCAAATTCGATCTCGTCGTCATCGTCTCCGAGCTTCTCGAACTGGTAGAAGTGCTGGTTGCCGGTTTCGCTGGCGACAAACAAGAAACCGCTTTTGAGAATACACAAGCTTGACGCCAGTGGAACGGTGTCAAAGTACTTGAGCTTGAGCCTCTTTACTTCGCCGGTGGGCTGTTCATTCTCGTCCTCCACCATTTCCATCGTCAGCTTGAACAGGTCACCGTCCTCAGACTGCAGCAGGAAGAAGAATGCTCCACGCATTTTATGCATCACTCCAGCGGTAATGCAACGCTTCCTCTCCGGGTCTTCGGTAGGGCCACGCCTACGGGGGATAGGAACCCGGAACGCATCCTGGTTTGAATGTCGGTAAACAACGTTATCCTCCGCACAAACGAGGACACCACTCGGGCCATCAGCCCCTCCGGGCACCTGGAAGAGCATGGACGCCGTACGATCGACCGGATCGGCCCATTTCCTGACGACGTGATTCAACCCAAGGTCGAGTTCGTAATACACGAGCATCTTCTCCGTGTCTTCATACGCCTGTCCCGTGGGGTCCTGGTCGACCTCGGTGTACTCGACCTCCAGCGCCGCAAAAATAGGGTTTTCGTAGCCTACATCGAGCGCGGTGAGGGCGAACACCAGCGTCTGCGGCCTGTGTGCCTCTAGCGGCGACGATATGGTGAGCTCAGCCTGTGCATTTCGATTGAGAACGTAGACTAGCTTGTTCTTCTCCACGGACGCGATCAAGCAAGCTCTGCCCTTGGGGTCGACTGCAAGATACTGGCCCGGAACGACGCGTCGAATGCCTGATTTCCCAAAGGTCTCGAGGTGAATCCTGTCGAACCGGTTTTGCGCAGGCACATACTCGACGATGGTGATTCTTCCGGAATCAGAGCCGATAATAATGTAGTCTAGGCAACGTATACTCAGCACAGCTCACGCATAAACTGCTCCCCGATCGGCGTGTTTCCTACCCCAGGAGCTTTATAAAAATCACTAACTGGCCTCGAATGGGAATATAAAGCTTCAGACATACCTTTGTTGCTTCCGGCGAGCCTGAACGCGGCCAGCGACCTGATGATGCCAAACACATCCTGGGAGAAGAGCGTCTGGACCTTGCCCTGCGACGGCTCGGTGCGGTGGATTGTGAGCTTCGATCCCGAGGCAGAGACGATCTGCTGCTCCTTTGTGCCTGAGAACTGGCCCAGGATAGCCTGTGTGATAGCTGTGGGAGGCTGGATGGTGAGAGAGTACATGAACATGGACGAGGTGGTCGCCATGGCTGCTCAATCGACCGGTGCAGCTGTCAGAACTAATTGGAGCCACTCATGAGAGACAATCCATTGCCTAGCTTCACCACGCTGATGGCATTGGTGATATTAATATCGATAGTGGTAGTGGTGATGTTGGTGTAAGTGAAGTTTTGTGGTGTGTTTGGGAGAAGTTTCTTTCCTGTTCCACTCGGCTCTGGTGGCGCTAGTCCGACCGCAGCTATCACAACTACAACTTACAACGTACAACATACAACTTATACAGCATACAGCATACAGCATAACATCACAGAGACAGAGAGAGACAGACAGAGCATAGGTTGACGATAAGAATAACAACGGAACGTTACGAGCTGGACGCTAGACAAGAGACGAAGTGCCCTCGTTGGCGAGACAGCTCCCCGCCAGATAACTCGAGATGGCGGAGAACGCGGGAGGAGAGGATGCTCCCTTTACTTTTCACGTCAAGTCGTCGGCAGAGCCAAAGTACAGTCTCACGCTGAAGCCGTCGTCGACCATCGCCGAGATCAAGCAGATTCTCACCGGCGCAGAGTATGCGAATGTCCCCGCAGACCGCCAGCGGCTGATCTACTCCGGGCGCGTCCTGAAGGATAACGATACGCTCGCCTCTCACAAGGTCAAGGAAGGCCATACGATCCATCTGGTCAAGAGCTCTGCAGCCAGCCAGAGTCAGCAGTCTGGGTCATCGTCTTCGCAGGCGCAGGGCCAGACCGCCAGCAGGACGAACACTCCATCGACAACAGCTCCCCCGGCCGCTGGTGTCCCAACCAACCTCGCAGCCGGTACGGGGAACTCCATGCTGGCTGGACTGACGGGAGCCAGATATGCCGGCTTCTCTCAGCTTCCCGGTGCTGGCATGTTTGGTCCAGACGGAGGAGTATGTATATCTATATCAGACAGAGTGCAAAGTACATAGTGTAACTAACATTGTCTACAGATGGGACCTCTACCCGACCCAGACCAGATCCTAAACATGATGGAAAACCCTCAATTCCAATCCACGATGAACGAAGCTCTCCAGAACCCTCAGGTCATTGATATGATGATACAACAGAATCCGATGCTCCGCGATGTACCCAACGCCCGACAGATGCTGCAGTCTCCAGAGTTCCGGAGAATGCTCACAGACCCGAACATGTTACGGTACATGACACAGATGCAGAGAGCCATGGGCCAGGGCGGTGGCGGACAGTCTGCCTTCCCTGCACCAGGCGTCACCAACACCACCCAGCGCGAAGGCGAGAACCAGGACGCAGCCGGGAACCAAAATACAGGAACCCAGCCCCCGCCGTTCAACCCTTTCCTCGGCATGCCTGGCGCCGGTGCCGGTGCTGGCGGGAACCCGTTCGCCTCGTTCCTGGGCGGGATGCAACCACCGGCAGCACAAGGCGCCGCTGGATCAAATCAACAGCAACAGCCAAACCCGTTCGCCTCTCTATTCAACCCGGCGATATTCGGCCACCAGCCAAACCCCAACGGCCAGGGACAGCACGCCCAGAACCCGTTCATGCAGAACCCAGCTCTATTTTCTCAGCTTATGCAGGCTATGGGTGGCCCCGGAGGAGAGGCAAACAGCCCGCTACATTCCATGTTTGGCGGCGGCCAGCCAGCTCAGCCGGCGGACACCCGTCCACCAGAGGAGCGATACGCAGACCAGCTTCGGCAGCTGAACGACATGGGGTTTTTTGATTTTGATAGAAACGTTGAAGCCTTACGGCGGTCTGGAGGCAGCGTCCAGGGCGCGATCGAACACCTTCTGAACAGTCCATGATTTATGTATTTCGAGCAACGAATTCCACGATGTAAAGCCTATTAATGCATTTCTTCCTCTCATCATCTTATCACTTTAACATCGGTAGTCCTTCATCTCTTCATCTCTTCTCTTATATGTAGCTTCTCTCCCACAGCAATGCTGCCGCCGTCAGCACCGCACCACCCCCTTCCCACCAGGCCCCGAGCCTCCAGACTCCCCCGTACCCCCAGAAGACGGACGCCGTAAGCAGACGCATCGGCACTGTAAGCACCATGAAGGCTCGGTTGCGCTGGTAGGCTGCCAGAGAGTAGTATATCCCCATGGCCACGGCCGCCAATCCGTTTCCCTGCACCGGCGGAAGGGCTGCAGCTGGAAGACCGAACGACTCCAGCGCCGCAAGTGGCCAGAGGAGGTTTGAGGCCCCGAAGATGAAGGATGTAGCGGCGAAGGCGTAGATGGAGAGCGCAGACGCGGTGGGCATTTTTAGTCAACAAGATGAACAGTTAACGGTATCTTCTCACAGTTAAGATAGAGATGTAGATATAGTGTAAATGTAGTGTAGATGTAGTGTAAATGTATAGATATAGAGCTGTCCTGCTGTCTGCGGCTTCCAAGTCGCATCTCCAAGTCGCATGGCGGTTAAGATATCTCTCCGTCCTGGTCGCACATCGATGTTTCACCCGCCGCGGGTTTCATCCTGGATCTGGCGACCGCTCGATCTCGTCTTCCCTTGTCCATTCGCTCGTTGACTCGGCTCTGTAACTATTCCAGCTCGCGGAAGAGTTCCCTAGCAAGTCCACGCGGCTTCGTCCTTCGTTAACAGGGTGCATCGTCTCGCTTGCGGCGGATGTAGTCGATGTGAAGCTCGAGATGGACTTCAAGATGCCGGCGTATCTACTCTCGTTTTTACTTCTCTTCTCGCAGGCCACGGCTTTCTACGTACCCGGTAGGTATGTTTATAGCTATGCGAGTGACAGACGCTGACGGGAGACACAGGATACTCTATCGATACATATCAGGATGGCCAGAGAATCCCTGTGCTGGTGAACAAGATCTTCTCAGACAGTTCGCAGCTTCAGTATGCCTACTCTGATCTCCCGTTCGCCTGTCCGTCTACCGGCAAGCTCGGCGGCCAGAGTGTCTCTCTCAACCTGGGCGAGATCCTACGGGGTGACCGCATCGTCGTCTCTGATTTTGAGCTGGCCATGGGACAGAACGTCGCCTGCAAGCCGCTATGCACTCGTGAGATCGGACGCAAACACGTCAAGTGGGCGAAGCGGTTGATATCTGACGGCTTCGTTGCGGAGTGGATCGTCGATAACCTCCCTGGCGCGACCAGCTTCACGACCGTCGACAAGACGAAAAAGTACTATACCACCGGCTTCAAACTGGGATACCAGGCGCTGTCGTCGGCCAGCAGGAAGCCGGCGTACTTTATTCACAATCACTTTACCTTTGTTATTCGGTGGAGGGACGCGCCGCGCGGAGATGGGCGCAAGGTCATCGTCGGCTTTGAGATTTATCCCAAGAGCATAAATAGAGACGACAGGAAGCAGGATGGCTGTCCCAAGGACGTACATACCCACCATAACGGGTTTGATCTATACCTGCAACCAAACAACACGAGGCTGGCTCAGCAGTATCCTGGCTCTTCTTACCTCCCAGAGGAAGATGACGAGGTCGACGATGGAGCAACGCTATCGATCCCTTACACCTATTCGGTCTTCTTTAAAAAGGAGGATAACGTTGAGTGGGCTAATAGATGGGACCTGTATCTATACAGCCAACAGGACGGTACGGCAACACACTGGCTGTCCCTTTTGAACTCCTTGGTCATATCCGGTATTCTCAGCATCACGGTGCTGGTCATCTGGCGCCGTACGGTTTATGGAGACGCCAAAGGCCGAGGTGACGGTTCGCTAGAAGACGGCAAAGCAAGGCTGCGATCTCGCAAACCCAGTAGCACCTCGCCGGCGCAGGACGAGAAGTCGTCTAACGGCCTGCTTGATAATGGCGATCTCTCGGACGAGGACCTCTCGTCTGAGGATGACTTTGAGGAGGCTGCGTCCTGGAAACGACTCCATGGTGATGTCTTCAGGACACCGGCCTATAGCGGTCTCCTCGCACCGTTCGTTGGGTCAGGGATGCAGCTCCTATTCATGGCGATCGGGTTGCTGTCCTTGAGCTGCCTAGGAGTGCTAAACCCGAGTTTCAGAGGCGGCTTCATCAGCGTTGGTGTTGGCCTATTCATTTTCGCTGGAGTATTCTCTGGATACTTTTCTGCCCGGCTATATCGAACATGTGGTGGACAGAATTGGAGGAAGAACACGTTCATAGTAGGAGAGCCCCCAGGTTCTCCCCTTTAAAGATGCATGATCCTTTTTACTAACACTCCTTATAGACAGCACTCCTGTTCCCTGGCCTCGTGTTTTCCCTGATCTTCGTTCTAAATCTCTTCGTCTGGGCCCAAGCATCTAGTACAGCTCTTCCGTTTGGCACGCTGGTAGGCCTCCTCACCCTCTGGCTGCTTATCCAAGTCCCACTTGTATATGCTGGAAGCTGGTACGGCTACGAGAGAGCGAAGCCCTGGAGCCATCCGACGCGTACAAACGCCATTCCACGACAGGTTCCAGTGCAGCCGTGGTATTCAGGCACGGTTAGGGGCATACTCCTTGCCGGCCTCGTTCCGTTTGCCGTCTTGTTTGTGGAGCTGGTCTTCCTATTCCGCAATCTGCTACAGGACAAAGCCGGATATTATTACGTCTTTGGCTACCTGAGTATAGTCTGTGCTCTGTCGCTTGCTTCAATTGCCGAAATGGCCATCATTACAACCTACGGGCAGCTTTGTGCGGAGGTATGATACACTCCATCCTTCTACCATTCTCCTACTGACTCCTTTACTTAGAACCATCGTTGGTGGTGGCACAGCTTTATGGTCGGCGGAAGCAGTGCAGTCTGGGTCTTCCTGTACTGCATATGGTACTTTTTCACCAAGTTACATATCCGCGGATTCATTTCGAGTCTTCTATTCTTCAGCTACAGTTTCCTCGGCTGCGCCGTATATGGCTTATTAACCGGCACAGTAGGGTTCCTGGCAGCGTATGGATTTGTACGGCGGATATACAGGTATGTTCTCTCCCTTATTCTCGCTTTAGGGTTTGATTTCAGTTCGCTGACATAGATATATCTAGTTCTGTCAAAGCTGATTGACAAAACTCTCCTCTTCCCGCCTACTCCTTTCATACCTGTAGGGTATTATTTTTGTCCAACCAACATGGGTAGCCTTTCACACCTTTCGTTGTATGCCTTCTGTTACGGGCCACTTTCGCTCCCATTCAATTTTTCTTTGCACCTTAAATGTTTAATGTCGGATGCGTTCCAGCGTTCAGGTGATACACCACTATCCATCCCCTTCCGTGTCAACCTTTGTAACACTTCTTTGATACCAATTTTTTACCCCCTCAAACCCTCAGCTAAGGTGTTAGTACCACTCGAAAAAGCTCGTTCGTTCTGGCTCCTTTCATTCTGTCCTATTTTTACTCGAAGGCTCTAGTATTTTAGAATGTCAAGATAGTTGATACCAACACTCGTCTATCCCTAACTTCATATCCATGGAAATGGGTTCCTGGGCGACAGTTATGTTTAGGTAGACCCCTTTATTCTTCACAATCCGATATACCACCCGGTCTTCTATCTTTTTTTTTAGAACGATACAGCAAAACAGGTACAACGATGTGACTCAAATTTAAATTCTAGGCGGGGGTGGGGGTGGGACAGAATAAAGCAGACAAATCAACGGAATAAAATATGCATTGCAAAACCAACCGAACGCCGTATGTACTAAATTTGGGTATCCCAGAGTGGTAAAGTAGTTCCCAAGAAAAAGAAAATGCAATAAACAGAAGTAGCACCATCTATCCCCACCTCGCCAAAGACTTTTTTTCGGAAACGAGGAGCAATTTGTTTTGCCTGTTGCGGCTGTCCTTTATTTGGAAAGGGATAAGACCCCTGGCCATGCATGTCCATACCAGGTGAACAGGAACTATAGCGAGATGTATCCTTCGTGTAGATCATCTCACTTCCCGCGCGGCGACGGCAGCAATGTCATTGTTTATATGTGCTGCATCTGTCGCTCGTTGGTTTTGGGTGTCTGTCTCGAACAATCGCCTCCACCAAGCCGGAGGGTCTAGGGGCCGAACTCCTCCGTACATGGATGGATACACATCCGTAAAGTAATACCAAATATGTCCAACCACGACCCCGCAGATTTCATCCTTTGGAATCGTTCCATGCACAACCAAGCTAAACGCCATGAGAACAAAGGGGAGATATGGAGCTGTAAAGACGAGGAGGCCCAAAAAGCTTAGTCTCGTGTCTGGATTCCGTCGGCCCCAGATGTACACCAGGCTAGATGAGAGAGAAGAGCCGAGGAATGGCAGCGAGACGAAGGGTGAAACGAGGAGTAGTATCGAGGTTGCGTATAGGAGTAGCCAGGAGAAAAAAGCAGGAGAGCGGCCGGCGGATTCTTCTAGTAGCCGGGAGTACCGTTGGAGGAAGAAGACGTGGAATACCAGGTCCAGGTTTAACGGGCCAAAGTAAAGGAATGTGGTGATGAGTCGCCAGTACTATTCATTCATCTCAGTCAGAAACCTTGTACCCGAAGGACGTAGTGATAAGTAATAGCCGGGGGGCGAGGAGCTCACCTGCGACTTGATAAACACCGAACGGAAGCTGTAGAATAATTGATAAGGCGTGAGAACATGCAATTGCACCAGCACAGAGGTTGCCACTGTCGCAGCCGTCCACCACCTCGTGCAAGGTGGCATCTCAAAAAACCACTGCTCTAGAGGGAACTGCCCGCCCTGTCCGGCGTTGCCCCATATCGCCGCCATAGCTGTATACGTATGCGCGGTTGGAGAGAAATCTATCAAGAGATAAAGAGTGTCAGATGCGATATGCACCTAGCATATCAGTTGCAAGAAGGCCGCATGGAACCGAGCACTTGCAGAGGAGCAACGCAGACCATATACTGACGGTGATGAAGCCAGCTGGACGTTTTGATAACTTGACGTATTTAAGCCAAGGAGAACTTGAGCTCGAGCTTATCTGGCCGAGATGACATAATCACTACTTGTCACGTGTATATATGACATCACGTGGGTTCGGCTTAATAATATTCCGACCCAGTAGACTAGTCCTGATATAGGTTAGCGTCTATGTCGCGTGACCAACGCGTGAAAATGTCTTGGCGTGAGCTTTGGCCAATCAGCGAGCTTCTTTTTCCTCTGTCGCGTTTTCCCATTTCGAGATGGCTGGGAGAAGACCGAAACTCCTTCGACGTCTTCGTCTGCTTTTCCCCTTTACCAGCCACCGGAGCCGCGAGTCTTTGTTCGACTTATCTCTTTACTCTCAGTATCACTCCGTATTTCGACAGCTGCTTCGAAGACACTTTGTCGGGCTATTTCGCGTTTTATACCCTCCCGCCTCGAGGAACAAACCCAGAGCCACGATATTTAAATATTGCAGCATCGAGCACGCACTTCGCATACAATTCATCAGATATAGTCAATTGAGCCCGTACTAGCCAGAGACAACTGTTAGGCCACGCGCAAACCTATACCGGACCCCTAGAATCATTTTCTAGGTCGTCTATACCCCGCGATCCTAGGAAGCTATTGAATTCCACCAAGCTCGGTTAACGAAGTCGGCGGAAGCTTAGAGATGCCGTCGAGAGTAGAAAAAGGCGGCAAGACAGTGCCAGGAGCATCGTCGGTAGCCAGGAGGACGAGTGGTGGAAATGCCGGTTCAAGGGGAGGAGTGACAAAGTCAAAGGCTAGAGCAGCCGCGAGGACTTCAGACATACAGCGTATGTTGATTTCTCAGCCTATGCGCAACTCTCACGGTCACCTAGTTAACGTAAAGATTCTCTAGCTGGCGATCCACTACCCGCAAAGCGCAAACATCGCTATCGTCCTGGAACCGTTGCGCTAAAGGAAATCCGCCGGTACCAAAAGTCGTGGGATCTACTCCTCCTCAAACTCCCATTTGCTCGTCTTGTCCGTGAAATAGCCATGGACCTTCTGCCCTCAGACGTAGGCCAGGAGCTAAGATGGCAATCACAAGCAATACAGGCTCTACAAGAAGCAGCAGAAGCCTTTTTAATCCACCTCTTTGAAGATACAAACCTCTGCGCCATACATGCCAAACGAGTCACCATCATGCAGAAAGATATCCAGCTAGCTCGAAGGATAAGAGGTGCCTGGGGTGGTCTTGGCTGATGGCTACAAAGGCACATTTCATCTTCGTCTTGTTTCCTTTCCGTCCTATGATTCCCCCTATTGCATGCATTGCTTGTTTTATCTTTGATTTTACTTATTCTTCTTCTGTATATGCATATTCAGCTACCCTGTTTTCTGGAGTTTGGGGCCCGGTCTATTTGGCGGGTAAGGGGGTAGGCGGAAGAACCTCACCCCTAAAAGGAGTTGGAACATTTGGTAGCTATTTGGTGGCTTACTGCGCTTTCGTTTATTTGCATTCCTACAGCGTCTTAACCAAGGGGTCCCTTGTTGAAGGTTTAGCCCTTTATACTTCTATGCATTTTTGTTGGTTTGTACCTAGAGCTGCTTGCTTTGCTGAAGGACATTAGCATGGCGTCCACCTGATGGTAATATACCGTCGATGTGGATATAGATAATTAGTTCAACCAATCGTATATATGTTCTGTTCGTCAAAAGTACATTCCTATATACTCAGTTGAGATACATGTTACTATTAACCAAGGTATCCCTCTACAGCCTTTCAAATCTAGTCTATTAGCATGCTGAAGCTTAGTTAATATATTAGGAGAAATGCATAGCAATCCACTCCATTCAATATTAGATAGAGATATACAAGGGGTGGTACAACTTAAAATACATTATACAGGTAAAAATGAATGCTGGTTCAATATTTAGAGTCCATCTTCCTTCTTCGATATGCACCGTCCAATCCATAAAATCAGAAACCACCAAAACGAGGCAATATGCTTTCAACGCCATACCGGATATAATATATCACATTATATTTGAACAGCTCTCATCTTCATCTCCCATTAGCGCCAGATTTACCATTTCCATTTCCATTCCCATCGCCTCTCGACATCTTTAGCGCTGGCGGTAACGCCTCCAATTGTTTATCTGCTTTGTTTCTCAGCGTCTGAGCTTCTCCCGACTTCCCTTGTCGGTCTAAGGTCTCGGCTAATAAGTCCTCCGTAACGCTCATCCATAGTTTGTCATCTGCTTTTCTTGCCATGGCTCTAGCCGCCATCGCGCTCTTTTCGGATTGTTCGCCAACCACCCCTCTGAAATATTTCCAACTCATAAAAGTTAATGCGACGCAGGTTATTTGACTGTTTTGAATCGCTGTGGCAGCTTGCAGCGCCTGGTGGAGATCACGTTTTGTTTGGATAGTGGATTCGGTGTGTATGGTTGCGCTTATGAGAGAATGCGCAGCTCGGATGTATTTGTTCGGGCTACTCTGGCAGTATGGCCCGACAGCGTTTAGAGTTTCGACGGCAAGTGGATGGTCAGCCTTCGAAGGATCTCGTAAGAGAAGTACGAGGTTCAAATTGGCTAGGATTGATGTATCACGATGAGGACTGCTTCGTGGGGCTTTATTGCTTATGTGAGCCAGGGAAAACATGGGCTGCCGGAAGATAGACATTGCTGCCGCGATATCACCAGTTGCTTGGTGAATGATACCGCGGGCATATTCTGCCAGGCATTTTATATCGTCGTTTGCCATTTCCCCTAGCTCAGATAAAGTATTTCTCACTTCTTTGAGAACCTTATTCGCTAATCGCCATTCTGTCCGAGAACAAGAGAGGAAAGCCTGCTGGAGGAGCATATTGCAATATAAGGTCCTCCTCCATTGGATACGGGAGGACGATGACATGAACGATTCTGAGATCCCCTGTGGAGATGCAAGACTGGCTATAACACAAATTAATTGGCAACGGTAGGTAAGAGGAACATAGTAACTAAGGGGTAGCCCACCTTTCATCATCCCTAAGCCTTCCTGAAGATACTTCTCTGCCTTGTGGCCGTCTTGCGAGTTTTTTGCGCTCAGGGTGATAGAGCTGAGGAAGTAACAGAGAGCGTAGAGGTCGTGCTCTGGAAGCCAGCCCATGGTTAATTCGAATGTGTGGCTAGCATTTCTATGCTCCCGTGGCGACGCTGATTCCATGGTTCCAGCGCTCATCGGGAGAGTGAATGACCCATCATCCCTCCACTTTGGATTATGGATATCCTGATCCATCGACTGTTGCATTTCTTTGAGTTTTTGGCTAGACTGGTTGATATCGTATTCGAGAATGCTACAGCATATGTCCACCATTTGGATGACTGAATTAAGTTGGGGTATATTGCGAACTTCAGGGTCAAGCTGACGACTTCTGGCAGTAGCAATTGCTCGTTGTGCGTGTTCAATAGAATCCGCAATTGTGGACTGCTGTAGATGAATCAACGCCTCAAGAACTGCTGCTACCACTGATATCGCCTTATCCCTGTAGGATGTCGCTAATGAGGATATTTTTTGAAGGTTATGCAAAGCACCAACTAAGTCTTGATGCGGAGAAGGGGATAGAGAAATTGAAACTCGTAACAGGCGAAAGGCATATTCCCAGCCGACATGTCGATACCTGTTTTAGTTAGATCAAAAATGAAGATTCAACGTCTATAGGGGAAAACCCACGCTTCAATATCACGGATAACGCCGTCGACGGTTTTGATTGCGGCTTTCAGGTTGGATTTGGATAATATCCGGCAGAGTAGCTGCTGCATGCCGTACTTGAGATCAAACATCCGATTCTATACGATAAGCTGGTAAGCCGAATTCTTTAGACTTAATATCGATATGATCACACACCCTTTCACATAAGTCAATCTATAGATAATTAGCCCTTGTACTAAGCAGATAGTAAAGGTATCAAGAAAAAAAAGATATACAACTGGCAACATACCCCTTTACTCAAGATTGTTTCAGCTTTGGTATCATTATTCGTCTCTTCATACAATATCTTAGCGAAGCGCAGTGTGACGAGAGCCTCTGTTTGAGGAGCCAGCCTCCAGTTCTACTTACGTTAGCATTTATACCCAGAAAAGTGCTATCATTCTATCACCAAGTCACTTGGTCACCTAGATTAAAGACAAACTGGAAGACTAACCTTTAACAGTGCCTCCATACACCGTAAACCTGTGGCAACCAGCTTGTAATATTGTTCCATTTCCCGCTGATCCCTGGAAACCGCAAGTAAAGTAGCTTGGCTATGAGCAGCGTCAAGGTATTCATCAGCTAGCGCTAGAAGCAATACCTGATAATCCACAGGTGGCTTCGCGTTCTCATGCCCTCCATCTTTATGCTGGGATGACGGTTTCGACCCCATTACTTGCGGCGAAGGTCGAGTTTGCGATTGGGGTCTCGACGGTTTGGATTCCTTCTGGGTATGACCAGCACTCTGTGCCTTCAAGGGCATTTGAACCATTGGCTGCGGGTACCTTTGGGCCGAAGAGTGTGTCTGTACCTGGGGAGAAATCGGCTGCGAAACTTGCCGGGGAGCTATCGACTGAGAGTGACATTGTGGAGGTTGTGTTTGGGGCCGAGGTGGTAGAGGGACGGGGTATAATGCATGCGGAGAGTTATAGGCATTCACAGGTCGATTAGGCATCGCGTACGGTGAGCCCGGTGACACCACAGGCCCTCCATACTGGAAGCTCGCGTGCGGCGGAGCGGAATAGTGGGGAGGAATTGGTTGAGATAGCGAAGGGGCGGGAGCGGCGAAGTCGTGCGGCCGTAACGGAGGCTGCAGCAGCTGGCTTTGCACCAAATGAGCTGTATACGCCGGAATTACGACCTGCGGATAGGCCTGGGGAGACTGCTGGTAAGATTGTTGCGGAGGTGTTGCTGGCGGCGGAAAGGACTGTTGTGGTGACTGAGGTAGCGGGTACTGGCCATTCTGTCTATAAGCCATGGCTTACAGCCAGTAGCCCGGATATAGGGCCGGGTTCCGCAACAAACGAAATCTACACCTCGCTCACTTCATCCCCTGAATGCTCGTTCCCAAGTCGCGCTTCTTTGATATAAATTCCGCTCGTCGTGAACCCAGCAAGGAGAATAATCACGTGATGGTATTGAAGCAGAGGCTTGGCATGTTCTTGGCAATTAGATTGCGTTCCTCGGCTTTAACTTAAAAATAACCACCATTTCATACATTATAGACACATTATAGACACATTATAGACATAATGAGATCTATTCGGGGTTTATAGATGGCGAAACAGGGGGTCATTACAATGTTATGCAGGCGAGGTGGTTTTTGAATTGTAGATGCTTATGTAGGGGCCCCAGATTTTTGCGTGGTCAAAAGCCCTACGAGCAAAAATGGGTGTTCTAGTTGGTATCGATTCGCAGGATATCAGCCATTGACTAGGTTGCTAGCGCTCTATCAGAGCTTAGTGTATGGTCTTAGAGAAAACAAGTTCCTTCCCTTCTCCTCGGGATCTTTCAAAACGTATCCAACCCTTCCAATAGGTTCGTTGTTTGTATTCGATAGTTCCTCTAATGTACGGTCATCAGCATGGTTAGCAATAAACCTGTGATCCGTGCTCCTCAAGAGGCCCACGATATATGCGCACATTGGGCTCCCATCACGGTTAAACTCCACAGTATAGGTCTAGGCTCAAGTCAGTACGAGATAACTAGCGGTAAGCTAAAGTGGATAGAGGTTACCTCAATTGCTGCTTCACCCTCTGCTTCAGCATCAACGACCGGAATGTCAACATCGGTCACAACTTCAGGGAGAGGTCTTTCAGTTGGATAAGGGGAACCGTCCTTCCTCCGGCTTGATGAAAGGCAGATGGCATGCTGATAGCTTATCACGCCGCCATTTGCGAGTATTAGGCCATGCCTGGGGGCTCCCGTGGCTTTTCTGAGCTGCCGTACCATCTCCGTAATCGCCTATATCTACCATTAGTGATTTTCTACCACTTTCTTCCTCACAGCTATTTAGCTTACATGCATAGAATAGTTGTTTCCTGCACCCCCAAAGGATGTCAATCCACCCAGGAGAGTGATAGGCTTAGAGCCTTTAACAATAGGTAGGCCTAGATGGTGGGCAGCAAGTTTGGGGACGATTGGAAAACATCTATTCAATAATATGAGCATCCATGTCTCATACCAATAGGCCATTATATCTTACGAGTAAAAGTCAAACAGGTCCACGTCTTCTTTCCTAAGTCCAGATGACTGTAAGGCTGCATCTAGAGACCTGGATATCGACGGGCTGGAGTAAAAGTTTGGTCGTTCCCAGACTAGACAGGCATTTGTCAGTGTATGATTAAACTTTATAAGTGCTTGAAATCATGCAATATTTGGCGTACAGTTGCCACTATCCTCGGTGCCCGCACCGCCCAATGGGTAGATCCATCGATCTTCTGGTACTCCAAGTTGACGAGCGTTGTCTGTGGTTGTTAGAATGCAAGCCGCGGCCAAGTTAACGGTATTAAATGCATTCATCAATAATGGATCTGGATAGTGGGTAAGCTGGTGTCACTGGAGATATTTCTAAATACCGCAACATACAAGGGTAGCAGATCATCCTATTCCTTCCCGTGATCGTACTCAGAGATAGCTCTGTTTCTGCGGGTTTCCCGTAATTCCAAGCAAGAGGCTGCTTTTCTGCAACCAGCGAGAATTCAGCATATAATTCAGCAGACTCTTTAACGTTTTCCTGCATAGATTGCTTTCGATATGCTCTAAAGCCATTCTCGTACAGCGGATATACATGCAGGGGTAGCCCAACGGAGTGGATAGTCCCAATGTCTATATTAAGTATTAGTAAAGTATTTCCAGGTGGACAGGTTACTATACTGACTCTCTTCCTTTCCTGGCCCCTTTGGCCGGAACACGTCAGGGACACCCTCAGCCGGTTTGGTCCAACTTGATGGTGGAGGTTTTCCTGCCCGGGAGAATGCATCCACTTCCAATGCTCATAGTATTAGTAAGCCTCCAGAAATGGATTACTTAGAAAAGTGACAAAACGTACATGATGCCAAAGCCTCTCCTCCAGTCACTATCGCTATCTTGCTCTTCCCTTGTGATAAGCGACGAGCAGCATCGTCGAATAATTTCCCAGGCGCGTTACCTCCATGATGGCTATAGAGCTTGTGTTGAGGTTGAATACCCAGCTTATCTGATAGGAGGGTAGGGAGATCCAAATATCGCCAAGTCCAAGTAGCAACGACATTCACGCTGTCTATGCCAGATTGAAGCTCCCTGGAAGCTTCTAAGGAAAGCCCCGTATCAACAATTGCCTTGTGGATAGCGTTGAGCATTAAATCCGCCGGTTCGACTGCATCTTCGAGTTTCCTTGAACCATTTTTGATATCCCCCACACCAATGACAACTGGAGTCAAATTCTTCATGGTCATATTTACCCCTGGGTCTGACCTTGATACGGCCAGGTTCAAAAATTTGCCTGTCAAGGACGAATAAAATGGCCATTGACCGAAGGCATAAAAGTAGAAGGGTTAGAGAATGCGGCCTGACCAAAGATAGCCATACTTCTACCGAGGCATATATGTTCCATATATACTCGGCAAAAGCGTCAGCTCCACAGCCGATGATGATATTGGCTCTCATTTTGAGTTTGCGATCTACTAGCCTGCCATAATGCTGGAAGACTCTGGGACAAAACGGCAATGCATACAGTACCCTGCATGGCCCGGCGAACGGAGACCGAGATAGAAGAAGATACTGTCAAGAGTGCGTTGAAAAGCCATCCGTTTACTAGAACCGTTGCAAGGTGAGCTGAGCTTTTCTTCAAAGAAAAGGCCCATTTCATCTTTGCGTTTTTCCCCATATTGATTTGAGTGGTAGCATTTTATGCACGTCGGCCATGAATGAAATAGGTGTTGCAAGTGGGGAGTCGGCTTTGTCTGGCCTGTACCCCCACACTTTAGAGACACAAGGTCCATAGTCTATAATGTGCCTCTAACAAGTCGCGATGCGGCCAACCATAGTAAACTCCATGTACTCCGCAGCCGTTGAAAAGGTTCGCCTTTGTACTTTGTTCGCACATATATTCGACAAGGTGAAACACGAAAGTCCGAATTGCCGGATCAGGCACACGCACACGTGAAGGTCACGTGAGTCACCCCGGATTTTATAGATTTATACCTTGATAAAGTATAGCATGGAGAAGTTCTTCACAGGTATCTATATAGGTGCATAGGTTCGGGAGTACATGAACCGAGAATACAAGATCTAACAGTATGGCAGTTTCACCGACTCATGCTGCTTGGATATAAAAAATTCTAGCTGTCTATGCACTGATGCTATGAATATGGGTGCTGAATCGGTTTTGAGTATAAAATCTCATTTCTATCTTGAGCGTGATACGAATTCCCGGCCTGTTCTTAATCCCGAGGCCGTGGCTGGTCGTAAGATTTATCGTTCATCATTTAGAGTACGTTGGGCTTGAAGTGAGCCATTGAGAAGTAACGATCTCAACAACGCAGTGAACTGGCGTTGGAATGGACTTCCGACGTCCTAGCAGCCTGTCGGGGCTCTTTACACATATGGCCATCAACATCTCGTATGATCATAAGCATTCCAGAACAAGATCGACGATGCCTAGATATATATCCCGGTCGACGTCGGCTGTCTCTAGGCCAAGTCCCACGACCAACAATCTCTTCTCATCAGGGGACTTTGCAGCTATAGCTGTCGCAATTTGGCATGCATAAAGCTGACCGACAACTTCCCAATCGCCAGATCGACCACCAAGTAAAGGAGTAGCATTGAATTCCGGCCGAGGGAGGAGGCCATCTTCCTGATTCGCGAGTGTATTAAAGCCACCAGTAGGGCCTGAGATGTCTAGCGGGACGTGAAGCTGCAAAAGCATTAGGGCATTGTGAAGAAAACGATTCACTGGGGTTTCTTTACCCATTGTGCTAAGCGTCCATTCTGCGTCACGGTCACTAGAATCTTGTCTTGAAATGAGATAGCCATGACATCCGTCGGCTGCCCACCGACTACACCGGCAGCCTGTTTCGTGGAACCAGGATATGGCGCATGTCCCAAATTCGGGATTAACGACTCAACGTCCACCATCTCGACCTGCGATTTTGACGACATGTTGACCGCGCGCTGTGCAAGAACTTTGGAAAAAGAACCAGGACAACGACAAAAGAAGACCAAAAGGAAGCTCAAGAACAAAAATTATGTTTGCATGTTTTGCATGTATGATTAGCTAATGATAGACCCACTTTACTATCTTATCCTTACCGCCTTTGGTGGCAGAATTGTTTAATTTTTTGGTTCAAGCTCGATCTTTTAGTGGGCGGAAGATGAAGAATTATTAGATCTGCTGGTAAATTGCTGCATAAACATGCCTAAATTTGTTCCGCGACAGCGGAAACACAAGGCTCGGGATAGGGAGAACCAGCCGAAACAACCACAAGATACCAATGCTGCCGAGGTAGCTCCAGTATCCAAGGAGGAGAAGGAGGAGAAGAGGAGGAAGCTGAAGGAGGAATTGAGAGCTCAGCAGTCAAAGATCTCTGGCAAGAAACAAAAGCGACTGGATAAATATATTGTATGGGCCTTGTCTGAGATTTTTTCCACCGCGGCCGCTAACTATTTCGCTAGGACACCAAACTAAAAAAGGACGAGAGTTTGGCCCTTATCAAAAAACTTGCGAGCTCGAAAATCGATACAAGCCAGCTAAAAAGCTCTCGTGATTTGGCGCGATCAAATAAACCGCTCTCGAAGAAGCCATTGCAGACTTTGGATGATAAGCAGACTGCACCAACCTTGTCACAAGAAGGACCCGAAAGCTCTGACTCTGATGATGACCTTCCTTCGTCACGCACCAATGCTCACCTGCATGGCGATACGCCTGTGAATCCTGCGATTGGGAGTGGCCTAAAGAGGCCTTTGGAAATTGGCGATGACGGACGTCCCATAATAAAAAGGCGGAAGAGGGCACCAAAGGTTAAGCCAGCTGAAGTCCCCGAACCGCCATGGGAAGGGTTTGATTCGGAGTCTAGTTCGGATGAGCAAGAAGAGGCTCAGGCTAGCTCTACTGGCAATGGAGAGGAGTCAGAGGATGAATCTTCGTCAAATTCGGAGGAAGACAATGAAGCTTCATCGTCTGATAGCGACACTGAAACAGAGAAGAGAATCAAACCTCGCCAGTCTGCCTTTAAATCATGGGCCGTACAACAAATTAACGAAGCAGCCGGGTTTAATCCTAAAGAAAATGCAACTGCTCCCACCCTCCCGCCACAAGAAGTCAAGTGGTTCAAACCAAGAAATACAGCCGATGAAGAGGAGCCACTTCCTCAGGAACTAAAGGTTACAAACGGAGACACCAGTAGGAAGGCTTTCTCTATTCAGATTGATAGACCGGAACATATCCAGGCTTCCCGGATAAATCTTCCGGTCGTTGGAGAGGAGCAGAAAATTATGGAAGCCATCCATAACAACCCTTGTGTGGTGATATGGGGAGCCACAGGAAGCGGCAAAACCACCCAGCTTCCTCAGTTTCTTTTTGAAGCAGGCTATGGCAGTCCCGACAGCCCAAATCCTGGAATGATTGGCATTACGCAGCCAAGACGAGTAGCTGCTGTTAGTATGGCAAAGCGAGTGAGCGACGAGTTGGCGCAATATTCCGACCGGGTGTCATATCAAATTCGATTTGATTCCTCGGTTACACCTAAAACTGCAATCAAATTCATGACAGACGGTGTCTTAATCAGAGAGGTGGCACAAGACTTTTCGCTCTCGAAATATTCTACAATCATCATTGACGAAGCTCACGAGAGGAGCGTTAATACTGATTTACTAATAGGCATGGTTAGCCGCATTGTAGATCTACGGAAAACCATGAATGCAGAAAACTCTTCGATCAAACCGCTAAAACTAGTTATTATGTCTGCCACCTTACGGACTTCTGATTTCCTTCGAAATCCCAACCTCTTCCGCAGCGGAACCCCGCCCCTAGTTCAAGCAGAAGGTCGGCAATATCCTGTCACCATACACTTTTCCCGCCGTACCCATCGAGATTATGTTGAAGAATCGTTTCGGAAAATTTGCAGAGGCCACCGCAAACTACCGCCTGGTGGTTTCCTTGTCTTTCTCACGGGACAAAGCGAAATAAAGGACCTCTCAAAACGTCTCAAAGCTGCGTTAAAATCTACACAAACTTCTGGTCACTCCCAAGGCAAGGTTCAAATAAAGCCATCTGAAACTTCGTTGGAAGCTGACGACATTGACTTCGGCCGTGGCGGCCAGTCCGCTACTGCGTTTGATGGTGAGGATGACTATGATAGCGATATTAGCATCAAAGGTATGGATGATGACGAAGAGGACGATGAATTTGACGAGGAAGAAGGTGCCGTGGATTCAAAGACATCCGTACATATTCTCCCTCTATACTCTCAACTGCCCACAAAGGAGCAGCTCCGAATTTTTGAGCCAGTCCCCGAAGGCTCTCGACTTATAGTACTTGCTACGAATGTTGCTGAGACCAGTTTGACTATACCGGGAATCAGGTACGTCTTTGACTGCGGACGGTCCAAAGAGAAGCAATATGATCTGTCAACAGGTGTCCAGAGTTTCCCAATTGGGTGGATCAGTAAGGCGAGCGCTAGCCAGCGTGCTGGACGTGCTGGACGTACGGGACCTGGCCATTGTTATAGACTCTACTCATCAGCAATATACGAAGACTCATTCGCAGAGCACACAGAGCCAGAGATACTCCGCACGCCAATCGAAGGTGTTGTTCTGCAAATGAAACATATGGGTCTTCACCGTATCATTAATTTCCCTTTCCCTACGCCTCCAGATCGTGTTGGACTTGCAAAAGCAGAACGCCTTCTTAAAAATTTGGCGGCTTTATCTGCAGACGGACAAGTTACAGATGCTGGTCGACATCTCACACTATTCCCCCTGAGTCCTCGATTCGGCAAAATGCTACATATCGGCCATCAACATGGCTGCATGCCCTACACCATTGCTCTTGTCTCCGCACTCTCCGTATCGGAGGTGTTCATGCAAGAAAATCAACTTGATCTGAACCCTACGAGACCTAAGGGCGCTGATGATGACGAGGAGGAGGATAAAGTATACACCAATGCAGATCGACTCGAAGATGATGCCAGGGAACAGCGCAGAAAAGATTATCACAGAGCGCAAAGGATCTTCAGCAAACATGACGAAAAGTCAGACGCAATGAAGTTCCTCACGGCTGTTTGCGCGTATGCATATGCTCCAGATGGTGATCAATTTTGCTCGGAAATGTTCCTTCGCCCGAACGCGATGAAAGAAGCGTCACAGCTACGCCGCCAAATCTCTAATCTAGTTCGGATTAACAACCCCAACTTGCTAGGCCAGTTCGAACCTCGCTTGCGTGAACCATCTGAAAAGCAGATACAGGCTTTGAAGCAGATAACGGCCGCGGGATTCATCGACCAAATTGCTATCCGTGCAGATGCAGCTCCTGTCCGCCCTGAAATGGCCAGAAAACCACGAAGAGCCATCGATGTGCCATATCTGACGCTATTTCCATCACGCGACAGTTATTCCTCTGAGTTAGAAGACAGGGCTGTTTATATACACCCTTCCTCTACCCTCGCTAAACTATCGTTAAACGAACTCCCACAGTATGTCGTATATTCCCATCTTCAACGGTCTACGGCATCGCATGTAGGTGATAACCCGAAAGTGCGTATGTTCCCATTGACGACTGTGAGCGGGCTTCAGCTCTCTGCCCTCGCACAGGGCACGCCATTAATTGATTATGGAAAACCAATTGGGAAGATAGAGTCTTTGGGTGGTTCGCCAGAAAAGCGAGAATGCTGGGTGATTCCTTCACTTGTTGGGGAATCGGGCAGCACTGGCTGGCCGCTACCAGCTAAAAAGGTCATCCAAATAAAAGATAAAAAGCGTGGATGGATCATTGACCGCTTCATTCAATAGTGGAGAATATGCTCTTCCTTTGATATATACCGTCCCATTAGAGGGTTAGTTATTCCCACGTCTGCGCATTAGGAGCACTTTCTTTGATATATGGATTCAAAGGGATGAATATAATGTCTTGTATCAATATCAAAATATCAGTGTCTCCCAAGCGAGAACAAAACTTTCACGTTCGACGTTGCAAATACCAGGGCCACCAAACACCAATACTCCGGGCCAAAAATGCCAGTAGCAGCTCGTACAAGAAATAACCATCAATGTAACATGCAATATGGTATCAATCAAAAAGCAACACCACTAGCCAGACATTTACCACCGTCGACCAGAGTCTCTCCCATCATTATATCTATCCCTGCCTCCCCTATCCTGGTCTCCTTGACGACCGGAATCCCAAGGCGACTGTTCCCCCTCTCCCCGTATCCCCAGTGCCTTTCGTAACCTCTCGCTTTCTTCAATTTTGGCCTCCGCTTGCTCGTGAACTTGGTAGGTTTTAAACTGTTTGCGACCTTTATAACCACCTTTCTCATCATGGCCATTTGATTTCCGCTGCCCTCTTGACGGATATGGTTCATAGCCAGAATGATCTCTGTGTCTCGCGTCTCGAGAAGGTCCTGGTCGATGCCTACCCGCCATCTCATCCTCCAATTCCTTCGTTAATTCCGCACGAAGTTTATCAAGCCTCTCTTCTATCTCTTCTTCTGACAACTCAACTCTCTTTGTCCGCGTCTCCTTGCTGTCGCTATCTTGCTCTAAATCTTTCTTACTCCCTGTAGCATGTTTCTTATTCTCCTCAGCAATCTTCTCGTTTTCCTCTTCAAGCCTATCTCTTTCTTCTATGATTTGGACTTCAATGGCTCTTCTCCGGTCGTGCTCGAGAATCTGTTTGTCCGGTTGCCTTTGCTTAAAGCCTGCATCACTGTGGCCGTTCTCCCCGTATGATGCCGTCGGGGCTCCGTAGCTTGGATCGCGAGGTTTTAGGAGTGATAGATTGCGCTGAACATAACCCGACGTGCCACTCCCACGAGGGGTGGTAAGACCGACGTTTGAACTCATTCCCGTATGTTGGGAGGCAGGTATAGTAGTGATATTTGTTAGACAGACGATAAGAAGCGGCGCAACTCTGATCGTGAGGTGGCCTAAAAGAAACCAGGAAAGCAACCGCTAGTTCAGGATGGTATATGCTGAGGATTTAGTCAGGTTATTGCTCAAAATATGGGTTGTCGGTGGCCTCACTGTCGTGCTGGGCTTGTCGCTTGATTATCTTGAAGCTCGAGAAGCTTTCGCTCATCAAGATATGAACAGGCTTGGCATGATAACTTATCACGTGAGATGGAGATTTATGCGCCAGCAAAGATTTTTAAGAAACATGACTTGATATAGACACCACACGACCATTAGCCTCTATTCTTATTATACAAGAGAATGGGTTATTAAAAATATCAGTATATCCAACAAATGAAACCCAGCCTAAGGATAAAGTGTAAGCGAAAGTACTGAAAAGCCTGCCTTGGGTGTATTTTCCTGGGAGAAACTCCAGCATACGAGGAAATAAGCATATGAGTGAAGTCTCATATATATTCCATTGTTTGCCACGGATCAGACCTTGTTTGCGAGTTATGCCCATCCAAAGATTTCTCCTACGCTAATTGTGCTCCATCGTACACCGCCAACTGCGAGGAATGTAACTGCAATGTCGACCACGGCCAAGACTACAGCGCCCATCATGAAGCGCGGACAGAATATGCGATACAGCATAAGATGTCTCCTAAGCCAACCAGCCCACATTGTTGTGGCTAAGCTGATGGTTGCATAGTACAGCATGTGAGTTGCTGATGCCTGTGCAACATCACTCAAAAGTTTGTTCGTGGGAGATGACTGCAGAGGGGCCTTTTGTGGATCGCCCTGCGCAGGCGTTGGGGATGAAGAGGTTGAGGCATTGGATGGTAGTTTGGAGGTTGCACGCGATTCTATCGGCCGTTTCCAGAGCACTGTGAGTGGGACAGCAAGGGCGGATAAGATTTGGGGTCCAAATGTATTCAAAGTCACAAGGATAGGGGACCATGGGTATTGGACGGTCTTGAGAGGGATGAATGCGGTTTCCCACTGAATGCTGCTAAGAGTAGCTTGGTGGCCTGTTGTGAAATAGTGGAATGAGCCGAGTAATGCGAGAATGACAGGTCCCGTCGCGGAGTTGGTAGTAGTAAGTTTGTTTGTGTCTAGAATCTCCATGAGCGAGAGGATTTGCCAGATTTGGAGGCCAACGGCGCCCCCGCCCATTGGCTTCTGCAGCAGGATTATAGCGAGCGTAAAATTGACTAGGAGCAGGAAGTAGCGCGTGCCGTAAATGTTTGCGTAGCCAAGGATCGTGACGGAAGTTTTTGCTTCACCCGATTGAGGGCCCTTGGGGGTAACACCAATGCTAACACATGGCTTGGCCCATGCAAACGTCGTTGTCCCAGCGGCAAATGCAATCGCGAGTACAACCTGAGCCAGGATCATGCGTGCTGATTTCAAGTGCTCCTTCTGAATGGAAAACCAGTCGCCGTCATCCGCTGCATCAAGCGTCCAGTAGATTGCGACGACCAGTAGACCCATTCGAAATGCGAAGCCGATCCAGAAGATAGCTGATCCTTCGTACGACTTTGTTCCTTGATAGTATGATCGAATTATGGCTGGGAGGAGGAGTGATAGGAAGAAAGGAATTAAGAGTTGCAAGGGAGAGGATGTCGACGAATTGTTGGATGCGTAATATGTTGATTGGCAGTAAGGCATTTGCTCCTCTCTGCAAAGCCGAGACATTGACGCAAGCCTTCCGAGTAAAATGAAGACAATAGAATGGTAAAACCCAAGGACCTTATCTTCACTGACCTTTTGCCTCAACGAGGAGAAAGCTGCCAGTACGCCAAAAGTCGTTAGGAAAAAGAGAAGTATCTGGTCCTCCCAGATAGTATAAGAATTGGACGCAAACCCAATGGACTGCGCAATCGTAAAAATAAACATCAACCACCCCCATAAAGAGTCAGGGCAAATGCTTCCGACCCTGAGCTTGCTGTTCAATACAATCGAAACGGTGGCGACCATACCGCCCAACACACACCAAAGTACTATACTTTCAAGAAGAGGTTTATCCAGTCCGAGCCCAACATGTAGCATCGCACCGCCAGCAGTGCCAGCTAGGGAGCCGTATCCGATCCTTTGCAATAGTAAATATGTGATATCTGTTCGATTACCACGGATCGAACGAGCGTAATAGTGTAAGAATGTCACACCGGCAAAGAGTATAGCAATCCCCTGGGCCATGCTGGGGACATCGAACTTAGCCCACAGGCCCTTACATACGGACAGTGTAAGGCGCTGATACCTGCGGTATACCTCGTAGGCAGTCTGATACTGACCTTTCCTATTCTGTCCGTTGGCATGGATATCAGCCCAGCTGTGTTCAGCGCGCGTCCATTGTGAGAGGGGAGCTGATGTCTGGACAGCCTCGTTCCCGCGAGCCTTCGCGTATTCATGTTGATATCGTTTGATTTGGGCAGAGGCGAGCCTATTTACCGTTGCAAGGTTGCGGAAATCCTGGCCTGTTTTTCCAGCGAATGCCTCCTCGATAGGAGACCCAAGGTTATTAAATGGGATTGGTAGCCCGAGGAGCAAGGAGAGAGTTGGAACTAGATCTATTTGCGGGATGGGACGTTCCTTTGCTGTCTGGGGAGGTAGTAGGTTATCGGCGGCGACACGACCAAAGACGCCCTTTTTTGAATACATCCATAGCGCAGCTTCGATTTCATCATCAGATTCGCCTCCGTGGTCACCCTTAGGATCCATTCCATGATCACCCATCACAACCAGTACCGTCTTGTCGTCGATTGCATCTATCATTTTACGAATAAGCGTGTCCATCTCAGCTAACTTGTCAGCCATGGCAGGATGGTCTGGCCCATATCTATGTCCTGCGTGATCCACGCCGAGATAATGGCCGATCAACACATCCCATTTCGTAGAGTTATCTGCATGTAACAAGGGGAAGATATGATCTGTCACCCCGTTATCGACAGTGAACAGATCCCATACATTGAACGAATCGTATGCATGGGTAAGCTCTTCCTCGAAATATCCTGGGAATAGAGCATGCCAGGTATCGTCTCCCAAGTGCACAACGCGTTTCCCAGCAGACTTTAACTGCGCAATGATGTTATCCTCGTCAATAGCGGTTCCCGCAAAGTTCGACCCAGCATCAATAAATGTCGGCAAAGTACCTGTTGTCAGACCCTTAAGGCGTTGTAGGGTAGTCGTAGGCGGGTCCGCAATGAACGGCAGTAGAAACGCATCATTCGGCGACTTGACAGCTGTCTCGTAGAAGACGGGGATATTATTGTGAAATAAACGCGGCGTCTGACCGTCGTTCGTCGCCTGGAAAGGAACTGTAAAATCGTAACGGAGGGCGTCGATGATTATGACCACGGCTTTATCGAATGTCTTTGGGTGCCAGCATCCTTTCCCGGCGCCGTCCTTGGGAGCATCGATGCCTAGGTTTATTGGCGCAATGGCATCGGCTTCGTCCTGTAGTGGCAGCACGTCGCATTGGGATTTATCTTCCAGCACAAGCCGAGTTAATAGAAACCCTTTCGTGAAGAAGTATATTCCTGTTATATGCACGAAGCTATCCCAAGTATAATCCCACCATATTAGTTTCAATTATACGTATCTCCCCATCCTCCGGTATGGTGGCCGACTTACAAGAACCATCCTAATACCAGCATTACCCCTATATGTTGAATCTTGAACCTGCTCTCCTTCTCCTTATTCCGCTTTGCATCCTGTTCCTTCGTGTCCTTCGCTAGCTCCGGCTGGCTCGCAACGGGCCTTTTAGCAGACTGAATACCCTTCTTGGCCTCCGTAGCACGTTTTGCTTCCTCTTCAGCAAGAAGTTTGGCGAATTTTGCTTTTATTTCTTGGTATTCGGAGTTGGGCTTCGAGGAGGGGGTTTGCGCTGCGCCGGCTTTTTTGGAGGTGTTCGGTTTCATGATGATGCGCGCTAGGTCCAATGGAACTGTGGTAAAGCGAGGATGACGCTTCGTACGCCCTTCAATGGCGATATATCGATGCGAAGAGGATTAAATTATGCTCTCCGCCGTTGTGCTGTTATGATGTAGTTGGAAGAGCTGCGCGCTCATCGCCAATCTGCCTCGTATTGGGTCAATTGATGTTTCCCCCCCTTTCTGGACCGACGAGAAGCGAAATCGCCTACGTATATCAGCTCTTAAGATACCGCAAAGGCACAACTGGCAGTTAGTTGACGGTGGGAGTTGGGGATGTGTGTTCGCTACAAGTTTATGTCAACATTCGATGGTGGACGGTTTGATATCACGTGGTTTTACGATAGGGAGCTCGATCGATCAAAGCATAAAATAATTAGAGGTTGATTTACTAGCAAGCGTAGCCGAGATACAAACATTCCGTTTAACGCGCAAGTTCAGCATAGGGATAGGGGCGATGATGGGGGTAATGGGAGAGGGTTGTAAGTAAAATAAACAGACCAAGCTTCAATCTGAGATTAGCTCTCTCAAACGCACCAACACCGCAGTAGGTCGACATGATCAAGAAGTAGAAAGAAAATTCATCACACCAAATGAAATATAGAATAAAATGAAGATGAGAAGAAGAAGGATAATAATAATAATAGATAAAGGAAACAGTAGAAGGGGTATGCCACAGGGTTTCTACCCACACCCTAGGGACGTTTCAGGGCATGGTGGGTCATGACAGGGAATGTACAGAAACAAAGGTCAATGAAAGTAAAGTAAAGGTGAAGTAAATCCAGGTTTGCCTCCCCAGCCAGTGGAAGTAAGCCAAGGAGTGTTGAGTTGGATAAGGTAAGGTGAAAAGACACGGCTGAGAATTAGCGGGTGTTGGTAAGGGTGGTAGAAAAGAATGAACGCTCAAGCGTCGTGGTCATAAGAGGGGCAATCACAATCAAGAAAATAGAACGTGAGAGGGATCCTTTTGTTTTTGGCTTTCAAGGTCTAAACGAGTATTCGGGATCTATGAATACTGTTTAAGATCTCCCTTTTCCTTAAGGCCTCCCATCCTGTCGAGGTCTAGGGACTGGAATCGTTCGGCGCCATTGGATTGATATGGTGGCAGGTCCTCGTTGCATGGCTCAAGTCCGATGCCACCCTTCTCGCCTATCCTGACGACAACGACGCGGCCAGACGTGCGCTTGCCAGCAGCATCTTCCTCTTCAGGGAAGGTGATGTGGATTTCCGGGACAGGGCTCGATGGCCGGCTGGACGAGGAATCGACCAGGCCACGCTTCTCGTCGACCACGCACTGGCCGTAGGAAGTAGTGGTGATGGTGAGACGGCGGTGGTTGGCAGACTTGTCGTACAACGGGAGTTCAGACTGACGTTTCTGGATGCGACGTCTACGTCGGAGGAACATCAGAACACCGACGAGCGTGATGGCGAAGAGGATGATGGCAAGGAGCGCGATCAGGAGGTTGACGAGCTTAGGGTTCAAGTCGCTGCTACCATTCTTCTCATCGTCATCGCGCCTGAATATGGTGCGTAGGTTCTCCATGGATGTTGGTGGTACTTTTAGAAATGTGATCTCGGAACGTATGATAAGCGAGAGTGGCTGGTAGTAAAAGAGCGGACAGTGACGAGATCAATAGTATCAACGAAGGTATATCTAATAGCCTAGACGGCGGTTGGAGGCGAATATGGGCTGCGATAGAGTGTCGTCTGTGGTATTCGATAGAAAAGTAGCACACAGCGCTACGGATGTGAAAGAGTCGTCGATGTAAAAAGAGCGGGTGGTTTAGAGTAGGAATGAATGGACAGTGAGGCGGCCAGCGAAAGAATGAAGCTGACACCCACTAAGCAAGGAGGAGAAAGTCGAAGTCGGAGTCGAAGTCGAAGTTCCAAGGTCGAAGTTGTCGAAGTTGAAGTTGAAGAGAGAAGCGAAAAAGAGAGAGGAGAGAGAGGGCGTTTCCAAAAGGGGGAAAAAAGGCGGCGAAGGCCCAGGGGTAAACAGCTCTAGTCCAGATACGGCAAGCGTCCCGAGAGCCAGCCAATCGGAGAGGAGAAGAGGTCTCCTCGGTTCCGGCGTTACTAGAGACCGAGCCAATGAGAGATGAGAAGTGCCGTGATCGGCTTAGTCATGCATGCTCCGCCAGCTTAACTCGATTAAGCATCAAGAAAAGATAAATATAGACATATAACAAAGTTGAACAGACAGACCGATATATGACAGGAAGACAGAGACAGACAGACGGACAGGCAGACAGGTGGGGAGACAGGGATCTATTTAACAGGCAGGCCCTTTGGCGCCGTGCTCCTGTCCAGAGTTGTTGCTCGAGGGTCATCCGGTTGTACAGGGGGGGGTGCGATTGGCCGACCAACCCTGCCAGCATTCCAGGGAAGCGCCCGCTGGCCGAATCACAGGCTTATCACCAGCAACTTCGGTGACGGCGAACTCTAAGGGACCATCTCTTCAACAAGTTCATGCGCCGGCCACTATCACTTTCACTTTGCCGAGATACTGGCCAGGAAAGATGGTGGAAGACAACGGTGTCTACATCTACGGGGGGTACTCTCAGCATCCTTGCGCTGTGCGGAGTACTCCGGAGTACGGAGTATATGGTTGGCATGACAGTTGGATGGCTTAGAGATGGGGGATGAAACTGCTCCGGCCCGATTCCGTTGGATACCTCGCCATCGACAGCCAAACCTCTCATCGGACAGAGGGATGCAAGCCTAATACCCGCAAGCCAGGCGTGTCTTGTCGAGAATAAAATCCCTCGTCAAGGCCCCTGCTAGACCTTGATTTCTCGAAGCACAAAAGCCAGAAGTTTCTTCCGTTCGTCCAGAGGACCCAACAGATCTTGTTCTGGCCATCCTTCGTTCGCTCTTTTTTTGCTTGGGCTCTTTTTTTTTACTGGGCTGGACGGAGATTTACGACGCACAGAGTACTAATAAATACTTCCCTGCTCCCAAGGTGCGTTTCTCCACGAGTCCAGGGGACTGGGATCCTATTTATATCCTCCTTGCCTTTGCACGGGGGGTGGCCAAATCGTCTTTGCCCGGGTTCCGCTAAGCTCAGGCCCCTATGCAAGGGGTAAAGCGTAACATTAATTGAGTACTAATTGTGAACTGCAGTTTGTCGGGATACATAATCGCTTTTTCGTTATCATTTACGGAGCATTCTTTAACAGCCGTACGGAGTATGGAGTTGTGACTATGGACTGCTCTTTGTTAGGGCGTTCGTTCTACCCGTCGGCAATCTCAGAGATGGTGCGATCGTCGGTTTAACCACAAATGGCAGACTCCAGCCATTAGACAGAGTACGCCGTATACTGTTCACTCAATGAATTTTCAGCTCTGCCTACAATGTACGGGTGTAGTTTAATGCCGCCAATTAAATAACTCTGGAAGATGCCGAGTTGTCAAACTATAGCTTATCAAGTGATACATAGAGTAATGGGCATGAAGTAAGAATCAGCCGCGCCTAGAATGGACTTCCCGACGCATCCAGAGGCCGTGGACTCGGAATATCATGACTGTATCTTATACACGGCCTGACACGCCATCCATCATAGACGCTATTGGTGCGGACTGGAGTATGGTGATGTAGACCTGCTTCTGCTGTAGCATCTCGTTCCTTGTTCTTGCTTCTCCATACATGGCACAGACATGCCTTGCGCCTTGCATAGAATATGTGGGAAGATAGGGCGTAGGGCTGTTGTTGCTTCTAGATATCATATTTATGTGTCTAAGACATGCAGGAGTCAATCTAGAATATGTTGAGGGCGATCATTAAAAGCTTGGAAGTACGGAGTAGATGGGAGGAAATACCTGCTTTATAAAGTCCTCCGTACGCCCGTCATGCATCAAGGGAGGACGAACATATGAACACGAACATAAGATGGAGCTGATATAATCGTTCCCAAGAGCTCTCAGAGTTGCCTTTCTAGTAGGCGACTTGATCATGCTCCTTTCATCAGCAGCGCTGTACCGGCGTTACTCTATAGTTCACTACTGAGCACCATCGAGTACTATCGATCGACGCGGTGGCTTGAAATCAGTCCTCCTCTCTGTACCTGCTTGAAACCCTGTCTGAATAGCGAGAGGATAAAAACAAAGAAAGACTCCTCTTTTTTCAGTCGGTTCCTGAGCAAAACTTGATTTCTTTCTTTTTCTTTTTCTTTTCTCTTTATTTTTTCAGCCCTTTACCAGAGATCAGCCGTTCACAAAAGCGAACTCGGGAATATGAAGTCATCAATACCTGAGGGAGAAAAAGTTTTTAAGTCAAACCTTGGTTGAAGCCAGGAAAATTCCTGAAATTTAAGTCAATTTAGGTGCCAGTCCGGGTCGTCCGCGCAGTGTCTGTCCTCTCGTCGTCCAACTCAGAATCCATCCCGTTGCTTTTTACTAGTGTGAATATTTCCCCAGAGTCCGACTGGTGTTAAACCAGGCCGCTAGTGCTGACTGGCTCTCGTATTGGGATTTTATGTAAGAGGGTACAAACTGACGATCACGAAGACCTCACCTGTCTTTCCGCACTGGGTAAATGGGTAATGTGTAATGTGTAATGGGTACGGATACTCCGTAATGGGCAATGGGCAATGGGCAATGCTGTCGTGTGCTACCCACGTCTCGCGGGAAACAATCTATGCATCGGTCCTTGAACACGACACGGCACGTTGTACTGTTGGCGGCAGGGAGTTCGGGGCCAAAGAATAGTTCAGTAGTTCCTGGCGGCTACTAGCCATCCTCCGTATCTGAGATGTACAGGAGTATAGTTCATGACACGTATGCCATCTCCCATCCGTAACAGCTCGGCAGGAGTGACGAGACCGGTGACCAGCGACGAGCAGCCAGTTGAGCGGCGGAGTAACTGTTGGACGTTTGACAAACTGCATGTAGGTACTCATGTGTTGCCGTTAGGCGAGGTCAGTAACCGTACGGCGTAAACGATATAGCAATGCCGGTACAACACATGGATAGAGGATGTATATGTGAGTAATGATAGCACGGCATCCCCAGTCCACCATCGCCATCTCCAGATGTAGCAGCCGATTCCACGCTCGACCGGACAAAGGTCACACAACAAACACACTCACATAAACGCTGCCTGTCATCGAGGTCTCTGTACAACTTGCTCCGGGGGGCCACTTCCCAACCGTATAACAGGACACAGCACACAAGACAGAGGGACAACAGAAAGAGTCAAGGGTGAGTTGGCGTATATTTGCTTCTTTGTGGATCTCTAGTTTCCCAGGATCTAGTGGGCCCCTAATTCGACCTTAAAATGATCTGCTGGGTGGGCCGCTGGCCCTATCATTTAGCCCCTGCGAAACTAGTGCATGGCGAGATATAAGCGTACGCCTGCAGAGGCAGCAGAGAAAAGCGGGAGAAGCCAAAACGGCGACCGCAGAAGAAGGGGCCAGGGCCAGGACCAGGACCAGGCCCCAGGTCCGCAGGTCCGCCGGGCGAGGGTGGCGGAGAAGAAATAAGAAATGGAGAATGGGGGGGAGATCCAGATATGGCTGCGAGAGGACGGGTCGCTGGCTGACCGTGAGACGAGTATAGAAGATATTCGCCGATCCGTGGCTCATTGGCCTCCGCGCTGCTCCCCCCGTCGCGATTGGCGCGAATATATACGGGAAATCCATCCCATCCGCACCTCCATCTGCCCCCGTCCCCTCGAACGGCCGGGCTGGGCTGGGCCACGGCGAGATGTGCTCGCAGCAAAGGACGACGATGTTGCACACAGCGGGTAATACCCAGGGCAGTGCAGCAAGGTATTCCCCCTACCCTCCCGGCATGACGCTCCTGATGCGCCTAAGAGCTCCCCTTCCCGTAGTGCATATTCCGGAAGCCCTGAACCGTATATCATCCATCCCGTTTAGACGATGGAAAAGTGATACGTACGGCGGGCCAACTTGGCTTTGCCGCTAGCTATCTTGGCCTGCGAGAAAAACGAAGTCGTCTGTTTCTAGCCGTAGTCGTCGTTGTCTGTAGGTCTGATGGTCTGCAACAAGAGCAGTCCAACCAAGAAGTCCAACCAAGAGCAGTAAGAGTAGTAAGGCCAGGAGAGCAGTAGAGCCGATAGTACTCCGTAGTCGTCTCGTTTGTCCGTATCACATCTGCGAGTGCTGGTAGACGAATCCCTGAGATAGCTTAGAGTTAGGCTTCTCGATAATCTCGATTCTTCCCACAATTCGCCCGCGAGACCATCGACTCTCCCTGCTCGCCGTCGCTCTGTTCGCTCTGTCTTGTCCTGCTCTGCCCGTTGCCTTTGTACGCCGTGGTTTCATACGCTGTGCTACCTGCGTGGGCGGCTTAGGTTTTTTTCATCCTCCACATCCCAATATCTATTCTTTCAGCCAGCGGACGCTGAAACGCAGACAGACTGAAGAATCTCCGTCCAGGGTCGAAGCAGAGGACGAGCGACGCCCCGGCCTAACCTCTCGCCTCGCATCATAACCAAGACGGACGGAGCCTGCGGTGCCATCATGTTTCCGTCTGTGTGACAGCTTCATGCGCTTTTGACCTCTCTTTGTCCTCCATCTCGTCCATCCCGTCTGCTCCTCTGAAACAGCAAACGTCCGCACGCAGCAGCAGCAGCAGCAGAGAAGTGCAGCAGAAGCAGAGAAGTGCAGAGGAAGACGTTGTCCTATCCGCATCCGATCTCCCGTATATCCTACGCCGTCGACCTCGCAAGCCTGCAGCGAACAAAGCTTGACCGCTGTAAATAGAAGCTCCGGCAGCTCAATCCCTCCCAACGGCCCCCACGAGACTCAGCTCGACTGCTTCTCATATCGCCGTCGTCGTCGTCGTGTTGTGTTGTGTCGTCGTCGTCATCGTCTCGCCGTTTGATCGTTTGATCGTTGACCGTTCGACCGTTGGAGGGACGCTGGATGAACCGTCTACAGGGACCATCGAGACTGGTCGCGCTTCCAAGGCGTATAATGTGAGCAGAAGACGTGAGTCGGGTTTCTTGTCTCTGCTTCTTCTGCTTCTTCTTCTTCTTCTTCCCTCCAGGCGGCTGCTTGCCGCGATTGTGCTGTCAAACGCATCCCGCTGCCCCATTCTGCATTCGGCCTCCTCCTACATCTACTTCTTCTCTTTTTCTTCCTCTCTTTTTCTTCTTCTTCTTCTTCTCTTCTTCCTCTTCTTCTCTTCTTCCTCTTCTTCTCTTCTTCCTCTTCTCTTCTCTTCACCTCATCCTTGGTTCGTCTGGTGAAAGTTTCTCATTCCGCGGTTCGGGCTCGCTTGTACCGTGTCACTCGTCATTCTGACGCTATAGACCTCCGGGTCATATATCTATCCTCATACCCTTCTGTACATGATACTGTTCTCTTTACTCTGCTCTCGAGGGCGATACATACGTCTACAGCTCCAGATTCACTGCTCCTGCTAATCGTTACCTCTGCAGTGACTTCTTATTAATATTAATTCCATTCACGCATCAGGTTCATCCTGCCCATGCCCATAATCGCCAGCAAATAAATCCCCGCCTTGGAACATATTCCTCTCGCCTTTGTCTATTCTTCCAGCATATTCAGACCTCGATCCTGCAGATAACCCGCTAGATACACCTGTTTCCTGTTCGATACATACCCTCATACATTCTTCACTTCATACTCTGTTTATTCAACCATGGCGACCCTAGGAATGTCCAACGGAAGCGGACAGCAGCCGGTAAGCAGCCCAAGACCAGCTCATATAACTGCCATAGCTAATGGACATCCAGGCCAGGACTAATGGTCGGAACTCTACTCCCTCGTCTGGCTATCCAAGCGAGCGAGCCTCTCTCACTCAGACATCGGCAGCCTTTGGGAACGGAGGCTGGAACAGCAACATCTGGGCTCGCTCTCCGCTCCCTAGTCTCACCAGCTCCATAGCGGAAAATGTACATGCGAAAGGTAGCTGCTTGCAAGACTTGTCCTTTGTTTCTGACTCCGGCTGAACTAACTTCTTTCACTAGTAGCTTCTACCAGTGCAGGCGATGCAGTGACTGGATCCCGTTCTCTTCTGTCTTCGTCGGAGGTGGAGGGTTGGGCTGGCCCGTCACTCCCGTGGAACTGCTCTCCAAGTTCCAGCTCTCACGCATCCTCTGTGAACCCAGGAGGCAACACACCTCCAGGTCACTCCGCGAATGTCAACCCCCTCCAGCATCCTCGTGGCGAAGCCTTCTCCTATTTGGCGGCAACCCAGTCTTCTACTCCCAGCATGGTTACCAATACCCGTGGCCCGAACTGGAGTCACTTTGCCTCGACCTCGAGCGCTGCTCCAGCGTCAAGTACAGCTTTCGACAATGGTATCGGAAGAAACAGTCACCACGGCAGTATAAATGCGGGACACAGCTCGCTCAACGGAGGCCTGATTGCAGCTAACGGATTGCAGAGTCAGGAGATGTCCGTGAACCCGTTCGACCATGTCAATGCCCTTCCTTTCCGAGAATCTACCAGAGCAAACGACCAAGGCCCTTATTTCCAATCTGCGGCAGCAATGAGCCTGGCTTCCATGACTCCGTCTTCAAGTCACTTTGGAGCTGGGACCCCGCGTCATTCGATTTCTACAGGTCACGGCAGACCTAGCTTGGCAGAGGACGAGCTTGTGGCCGCACTGTCCAGAGTCGATATGTCAGTTGCAGGTGGATTGGCTGAGCAACGCCAGCAAACACTCCCTCCTAGGCCGTCCTTCCAGCAGCGTGCATCGTACGATGGTATGCTGACTAGCGCTAATTCCCTCGACCTGGACGACAACCGCAACCCCTACGCAAATTACTCGCGAGATATCTCGTCTCCCTCTGTTACTCTGCCTGCCCTCATCCGAAGACAAGAACGGGCCCATCAATCGATCGAACAGCAACGCAACTCTATCACTGGTTATCACTCCAACGGCAATGGTCAGGTCATGGAACCCATGGGTCAGGGGATGTATTCTCCCAGATACCGTTATACCACGAACGGCGGAAACCTCAGCCAGGAAGAACAAGCTGAGATGTTAGCCCAGGGACTTCACAATCTACAGCAACAGCAGCATGAACAGAACTACACAGCTGTCGCTATGAACCAAGTGCCCAGTAACATCAATTTAGCTGCAGCGTATAGATATACCCCTTTCCAGCAGGCCCAAACCAACGGTATGCACCAGGTGGTACCCTTGCCCGTCTACCCTGTGAGCGCATTTACTCCGGTCTCGGCACCTTCAGTTCACAGACCTTCAACTTCAGATCAAGACCCCAATCAGGCAACCCGTAGCCCAGTGCTGCAAGAGTTCAGGGCAAACAACAAGGGCAACAAACGATATGAACTAAAGGATATCTACGGCCACATTGTCGAATTTTGCGGAGACCAGCATGGTTCGCGATTCATTCAACTTAAACTCGAAACTGCGAACAGTGATGAGAAGGAGCAGGTTTTTAAAGAAATCAGGCTGAATGCTGTACAACTCATGATGGATTTGTTTGGCAATTACGTTATTCAGAAACTCTTCGAGCACGGTAACCAAGCACAGAAGCGGCTCCTTGCTATGCAGATGCAAGGCCATATCTTCTCATTGTCTATACAGACGTATGGGTGCCGCACGGTTCAAAAGGTACGTTCGTTCTTCACCAAGCTATTTTACGTCTTAGACTAATAAAAAAATCTAGGCTCTGGAACATGTTCTCGTCGAGCAGCAAGCCGCGATGGTTAAAGAGCTTGAGGACAATGTAATGAGATGTGTCACAAACCAGAATGGAAACCACGTCATCCAGAAGGCGATTGAGCGCATACCCAACCAACACATCCGATTCATTATCGATGAGTTCCGTGGCCAGATTCAACGCTATGCCACCCATACCTACGGCTGCCGGGTAATCCAGCGCATGCTGGAGTACTGCCCGCTCCCGGACCGTTTATCCATCCTTGCTGAGATCCATGCTTGCAGCCCGAGCCTCATCTCTGACCAGTATGGCAATTATGTTATCCAGCACATCATCGAGCACGGAGAAGAAGAGGACAGAAACAAAATAATTTCCATCGTCCTTGGACAGGCAGTTCATTTCTCCAAGCACAAATTTGCAAGCAACGTCGTTGAAAAGAGCATCTCGTTCGGCAGTCTAGAACAGCGTTTGGCGATCACCCGAATTCTATCCGCAGTTAACGATAGAGGAGAGGGTCCTCTACTTGGCCTCATGCGCGACCAGTATGGCAACTATGTCATCCGTATGTACCTCCCATTCCCTCGTAACTATACTTACAATGCCAGTCTGCTAATCAATGGAATATAGAAAAATCCCTGAGTATGCTAGAAGGCGCAGATTACAAGATGCTTGTTAGCCGAATTACACCATTGATGCCTCTGCTGAAAAAATGCAGCTATGGTAAACAGATCGCCGGGATTGAAGGACATCTCAACAAATATGATGGTGTGTCGAGTGCATCGGCGTCTTCACCGGTCGAAAGCACCAAGTCGCTCGGCCTAAGCGTTGACAACAACGCGAATAGCTTAACATACACGCGCGACAACAGCCCTGTATATGACTTGTCCCCCGTCACCGCCGACATAAGCTCCCTCCCAAGTGCGAACACTAGTGTGCTTGAAGAGAGTCCTAACGACATGACGAAGGAGGAGGATGACAGCACTCCTAAACAAGGAATGCTCTAATCCTTTTCCCCCCTCCGTTTCGAGGCCATACTTGATCACTTCCGATTCAGTCCAATCCAATCCAAACCAATCCAATCTAGCGGGGCATCATGAAATTTGTACACTTAATCTAATCCACCACCTTTCAAATAATGGAAACGAAAACGAATATATATTTTTTAGCATGGGGTTCAGGGAAGGGGAAATCAATCGTCGTCGCTCTCGGTCGCTTTTTTGTCCATCACATCGCATCGCATAGTGTCGCATTGCAGCAAGCAACAATTTGCCTATCCAGGCTCCCCGATTAGCGCTGACTTATGTTTCAACGGGTATAAATGGCGGTTTCTCTCTGGTTTCTCTTCTTCTTTCCTTCTTCCCCCCCTGCTTCCACCTACTTACCTACCTCGCCCTTTTCCTTTCTTATACAGATTTAAAGATATATTTTTTCTTTAATTTTCATATTCTTCACCCATCTCACCTTTCAAATCCCTACCCTCAAACTTCGCATTACTTTTCGGTTGCAGTGACTTCTTATCATTGTTATTGCTCTCATCATGGTCTTCAGGGAGTTTCATTTGCCAGTTCAGGGAATTTTCTTTCTTTTCCAACGGTGCGAACTAACGGTGGAAAGGAACACGGGCTGGCGTCAAGGCATTCTTATCTTTTTATTTTTATTTCACTCACGTCTAGTTCTATCTTCTACCTCATCCTTCACGGTGCTCGGCATTATCTCTTTCGCGATATTCTTTTTAAAAATAACCCCTTTTAAGGGTGTGACGAAATTCATCCCTTTTTAAACATCTCATGAAACCGAAAAGTTTTTCTTCTTGCAACCTTGTCACTCACCTCTTACATTATTTTACTACACACGACACAGGTATAAGCACTGGCACTGGCATGGCACTGGCTTGGTATCGACATACTCCGAACAGAGTACATCTACCTCCTTTGATCCTTTGAGCACACATCTCTGCCTTGCCGTCCTTTTACTTGTTATCTTTATAAATGGCCGCTTTGTCACACTGCTCTCCGGCTTTTAACATACACTAATTTCATTTCCCGTCATTAATTGCTTTTTTTTTATTTCAATATTTCAAATACGGGCGGTTATTGCCTTTGTTCTAAATAATAAAATCAAACCTAGACTCGCTAGTTATCTCGCTTATAGCTAAATAGCCATACACAACTCGGTTCCAGGGCTGAATTTTTACTATTGATTGATCTTAGTGTTCAGTCGGCGTTCGGCCAGCCTTCGATGGGCTATAAGTGGTTTTTTTCGTCCTCATGCAAGCCATGTAGCACTGTACCGATGACGTCAGGTTCATAGGCCGAGATGGGCTCAAATCATGGTCATAATGATCCTTCAACATACAGACTTGGATCTCACCAGGATGACCAGAATTCATATTCTTATCCATGGCTTTCTACATCCTGTAACCATGTTTCGCTTCTAGGCCCGAAAATTTTAAACCTACGATGACGCATACATATCACAGTATGAGGAGGTATTCAGAAACAGCGTTTTATTATATTGTTTATAACACGGATCAACACTCAACGAAAGAAGGCCTAGTTTTTTTTTTCGGGTGTTCATCTCCTTCGGCAGGGAGTGTCAACATGTAAAAAGGAAATCAAATCACAAAAACTTTTTAATCCGTTATCTTATCAGGGGGGTATACATTAAAATAGAGCTCATTGTAACATGTGTAACATGGGGATAATATATTATTGCAGGAGTAGAAGTGAATGTGGAGGTATAATATATCGTGATATTCGGGGTTTAACGAGTCCAGCGCGAGAAGTCTAAGCTCTGGAAAGCGTTGTAGTCCATTGCAAGGTTGCGTTCGGTGCCTAGGCCACTGCGTAAACTTGCGTCCTCGTTGGGAGGTTTGGTATTGCGTCGAGAGGCCGGGTATTGGCCGTCATTGTTCGGACCAGAGTTGCTGTTGACATTGCTGTTAGATACAGCGTCCGGGGTAGTGATGTCGATGGAAGAGCATGCATATGCGCGGTCCCGGAGACGACGGATTTCTCTCAAACGGTTTTGCCATGACGAGATATATTCACCACCATGGCTGCAGACAAGAGAGAAAACAGATGCGTTCAAGCCAATGATTCGGACGAAAGCAGCGAGATTCTTGCCGGAAATGACCTTTGGAATTGCCGAGGCTGATAATTCGGGCATACCAGGCTTGCTCAACACTTTGACAGTATAAAATCTTCGGTTGAAGTCATTTACTGTGAATTTCCCTTCTATTTCTTTACCAAGGCCTACCGGAGAAGCTGGAGTTATCACAATATCCACAAAGTTGAACTGCGTCGAGATAGTGTTGAAGTCGAACTCGGAGCCGGAGCGGTTGAAGATGATGTTTACGAAATCGTTGCCAATGTGCTGCTTTTTGTTTACACAATGCGGATCCGCTGTCAAGTTCGTGGGCATCATGGTAGCGACGTGGTATATAATTTCGGAAACTCGATCACGCCAGGCGTAAATGTATTTGCCATCTCTTTCAAAATGGAGGCCTTGAGGATTAAACTTGGGGTTCTCGATGGAGACTTTGGTCCCGAGACTCTCAATGAAGAATTCATAGTCTGGACTGCCGCATTCATTGGCAAATATTTCTGTCTCATCAGTTTGGCCTTCGCCAATATATAGAACTCCAATCTTATGGCCGTCAACGATACTGTTCCTATCAAACGCACCAATTGCCCGCCGAGTAAAGTCATCATCTGGTAACGGGAGTGGCTGCAGTGGAGTAGGGGTGGGGAATGCGGATGCTGTCATCTGGAGAAGAGCATGGCTTGGCAAGACTGAGGTTCGTGTTGAAGCATCGTCAGAGAGAGAATATGTCCCAGGATTTGTTGGAATTTGATGAGGCAGAACTGGCGCGGTCCGCTGCTGGAAGATAGAGTATGTAGTTCCGGATGCCTGTCTTTTAGTGACTTGGTTTAAACCAGAGGCGCATGCTGTTTCGATCGTCACGATACTGGTCCCTACAATCCAAGTCCTTTTCACAACTGGACCATCCGAAGGCGAAGGGGGGAAGTTTTCGAATGGAATGGTGTCTCCTAAATCCGAGTATGCAACTCGCTGCATCATGTCAATAAATACCTGGCTCTGCTCTTCGATGACTTCCTTCCCCTGCTCGTCATTGAATACCAATCGCTTTGTGATCCAGCCGACGTGATTTGGGCGATCCTGCAGCTTGAGGGATAGGAACCAAAAGACCATGACGTGGTATGTCAGATGATAGACATATCTGGCTACGTTCTCCCCACCATGGAAATCGATGGCCTCTGTGGGGGGATTTGAAATAGGATCTTTCGAACCATTGCTCACTCGCGAGGGCATGGAGACAGATCGAACATTGGCAACTTCTGCACTCTTGTATCGCTGTTCCCTGGAGGTTTGAATATATCGAATGCAAATTCCGAAAACAGTCCTGATCTCTTCGTCACGAAGGTTGACATACACCTCAGGTAATCGAGCGAGCAGAGCGAGGAATTCGAGGATATGGACTGCGATATGAGATCGGGTGATGACCTTGGACATTTTGTCAAGGATCGCATTCAAACACTTGGTCACCGATAGTGGGATTTCGTGACAGCAAACGCTAAGTGCATGAATACATCCTCGAGATGTGCCTTCCCAAGATCCAATTCCATACATGAACGCACGAACAATCTCGTCCTGCTCGCCTTTAGCAAAGTGTTCGTGGAAACTAACAAGCATAGTTAGAGCTTCTAGGAGGCATATCGCAATATCCTTCTTCTTTACTCCTGTCCAACCGAGTGGTTCGGGGAAACTCTCGTTCTTGATCTGTTCGCACAAAACGCTCCGTAGCAGCTTTACCTGGGGTAATGCGGCTCGAAAGAAATCTCTATTGGCAAGCTGTGCACCAACGTGCGCAGATACGTAGCTATAGATATCCCAATCTTTCTCACGCTGAAGTAGCGCAATAATGGCCTCAACCCATATGTTGATTTTCAAGACGACATTGGTGTCGTGTTTATGGTCTTCTTCAGTGCATGAGCTCTTGAACGCGTAAACATTACTGCCCAGTTTGAGAGCTGTCACGTCAGGCAGCTTGTTTTGTTCGTCAAAGGTCCAGATTGGTGCAACCCATCGAGATGGGCGGCGAGACATGGTACGGGGGCTATGGAGTCCCAGTGGGGTAGTTGATGGATCTTTAAGAGAAAGCCTGCTATTTGGAGTTGACGATACATCGTTTTCTTTCGCTGCGCGTTCAGTGGATGATTCTTCACTGACACTCGACTTCGCAGTCGACTCGGCAGGGCGTAGCAAACCAGCCGTCAGGTGGCTATTGTCGATGGAGGATGCAATATGGATAATACCAGATGTATCACATCGGAGTCGGAAAAGAAGCCGGAGCGCAGTGAGGCGACAGTCGGATGGCCGTCGTGTTGACAGTGCAATGTCTATTAATTTTTCGTAGGCTTTCAGAGCAACCTGAGACTTCGTTTCTAACCCTTTCAAAAATATCCGGATAATGCCCAACGTCGTTGCGTCGCTCAAGGACGGCGCGAGAGTGTCCGAATTCAAAACATAGTGCGGCACTGGATTGGTGCTAGATGGAGACATGTCCTCTTTGTTGTCGTCCGCATTCATCGGTTGGCTTAGAGTATCGATTATGAGGTTGAAGGTGTCTTCGTCAGAGTTGGCTGTTCCATCAACGAGGAAGGCCACCAATTCCTGGAGAAACAAATATGAATCCTCGTCGGCAAAGTCCGTAGTGAGAGCGCGAACAAGACCTTCATTGAGAAACAACTCGGGCCCATCCTCACTAAAATACGCATCTCTAAAGGTTGCTAAGGCCAAGATGCGAGTCTCTGGAGCCTTGTCGCGAGCCAAAATGTAATCGTGCACTAATTTCCACGAGTAACTAGACCAATCGTCTGATGTGGATGGGTGGCATAGCTTCTCGATGCCCATCAGACGTATAGCTAATTCTGACTGAGAGTGGCTCAGATATTTATGAACGTCGGCCAAGAGACGCCATGCTTCTAGTTTTTGATTCTTATCCAACTTTGGCCACAAATTCTCGAGCGAGGCAGCGATCCGGGTAAGGTTGGCGACTATGTTTGATCGCACATCGTCGGCCATGGTGGATTTGGCAGGCACAGGTGTGGCGAGAGGAGAGATGTTTGAAGCGGGCGACCCTGGCGTCGTTATGTCGATAGCCCGCTCCGAACAAGCCAGCATGACATTGACAAACTCCGACCAGTCGTGTTGCAGTGAGACTGGAGCGAATTCGCCTTGCAACACGTTAAGACAGACCTCTAGGATATCGGTGTCGATGCGACCATCCTTTCGGAGCGATGCGTGGTGAAGAGAGGTGATAAGATGGTCGAAGGATATGGTAGGCATTCCATCTTGGCCGTATGCAACAAGCAGATCCCGAAAGATGTCAACAGCGCCTCTAGTAACATTTAGATTCCGGTCAGGCCGCTCCGACGTCTCTAGAAGAAAGGTGTGAAGGGTTTCCACCATCACCGGCTGCTTGCCAGACTTGGCTAGGCTGCGAACTGCTCGCGAAGTTGGGCCAGCTAACGACTTTACCGACGCATGGATGCTGCACAGCACCTCGAGTAGAGGGATGAAGCTAGGGTCGGGTACGCCTGAAGTCGTGATTATGGCATCGAAAACAACCAGAGCATTTTTAATATCCACAGCGGCGCTTGTCTTTCTGCAGACAGTGAATATCTGTTCAAGAACGAGTTCGATAACATCCGGGCCAGGGGGGTGTCGTTGCAAAGTGACAATGTCGACAATCAGCTGAAACAATTCACCCAAGATGGTCTCATCAAGGGTGGCGCCATTTGGCCTTTGCCCTCTTGCCCGCTTGAGTTTTGATCTGATGGTGGCTGTTTGCTCGTATAGGGGCACAATCCAGGCGGCGATTATTCGCAATACGGGCTCGTCAGTGAAATCGAATTTCCTCCCATAGTCTGACAGTGCGATCAAGGCCTTTATCCGGCGGGGAATCACGTCTGGCTGTGACGGTCGCGAGATTGAGGAGAAGAGTATCTTTCGTCCGGCCAACGACAGGTCCTGTCGGCTGGAGACACTTTCGAGCAGGACAGAGCCAGCATTTCGAGCTTCCGGAGAACTCGGATGGTCGATAAGATAGGCGCCCTGTTCCCAGACCGCAACCACCTGGTCACCGCTGAAACCGTGTAGATACCTCACCGCCCTCTCTGCCTCGTCGACTGCAGCCTGGAGCGGCTGGTCCGCCGATAGGTTGTGAAGAATGGTGTCGAAGCTTGGGGCAGTCGACGCATCAGACGCACTCGTGGCCACACTTCCTCGATGCAGGGACTCGAAGCCAAAGGTCACTCTGCTGCCTCTCCTACCTTCCATGTCGGGCGACAGGGAGCCTCCAGCGTTTTGCGCATGTAATACCGGCGACTGCGACTTGGGGCGGCCCACCGCGAGGGTCTTGAACACGTCGGCGAAGGATGAGGTAGACGGTTTGTTATGTGGCGCTTGGGGGACATCGTCGGAAGACATCCGCCCTGACGGGCGAATGAGTCAGGGTCTTGATTGCCAGGACGGTGAAAGACGGGGTAGAATTGGAGGCTGATTCAGGCTGATTCACTGCGCTTGGTCGTGATTGTATGAATAGAAGCGTATTGTTGCTATTGATTGTCCAGCTTGTCCAAAATATAGCGACACGGCAGTCCTAGGTACAGATCAGCATTGTGCTAGATTGGCGGGACAGAACTGTAAATTGGCGTTAGGTGTGTTAAATATTGGCAGCGGTAGGATCGATATAGCGACAGCCTGGCCGTGACCTGGTCAGCAGCTGAATCAAACAGATGACGCCTTCTCAATGGCCCTTTTAACTATATCTATTGGAAGGGGGAGAGAAGAAGGGATCAGTCCACGCCAAGCACACTAGGAGGGATAGACAGCAGCCGACTAACAGCATGCGGGGGAGCGTTCGCTTACCAGCCAAAAGAACGTATAAATAATTAACCGCAAGGGGTGGTGGTTGGGGCGGCGGCAGAGGATGAAGCCAGAGAAAAAGCAAAGATGTTAGGCAAAGTTGTCGGAGGTGAAGTTGCAAACTCGCGGATCGTGGCAAATCCGGGGAACGAACCTTCCTTGCCGCCAAGACTTCTGCTGCCTCTTTTGGACATCCGGGCCATCTTTTTCTCCGATGGTCACGGGACATGCTTACATAACACAACTCCCCGCTTGTTCTACTGTTTGTTTTGACCAAGAAGATTTTATATCCTACTCCGTGTATCTATAATAACTACCATACCTATAGTCTCGGGGTCCTGCGTCCTAATTGACAGGTATTACAGTCAGATCTGGGTCTGCGGATAGCCGTTCTACGCTTACTTGTACTGCTCACTTGTACTGCTTACTGTTTTACGGTCCACGACCCCCGCCATGGCGAGCAATCTAGCTCCAATTGCGCAGCTTCTAGAGGCGAGCTTGGATCCCAGACAGCACAAGCAAGGTTGGTGTCTACGGCCCTTCCGTGTCTTGCCATAAACTAACATGCTCCGTTGTTCCTACAGCCGAGGCGGCGTTGAAGCAGGAGGAAGCCAAACCGGGATTTTCCCTCCAGCTCCTCCACATCACAGCGTCGGAGACGTTCCCATACAACACCCGTCTCGCGAGCGCCCTTTGCTTCAAGAACTTTATAAAACGGAATTGGACGGATGAGGAGGGCCAGTACAAGCTTCCGGAGAACGATGTGGTCACCATCAAGCAGGAGCTGATCAGCTTGATGATCTCGATGCCCCCTGGCATACAGTCCCAGCTCGGAGAGGCGGTCAGCGTCATTGCGGACAGTGACTTTTGGGAAAGATGGGACACCCTTGTCGATGTTTGTTCCTCCAATGTGTCTGCAATGGAATAATTCACAGCTGACCCAGCGTCTAGGACCTGGTTTCCCGACTATCCCCCGATAACATCAAGTCCAATATCGGTGTCTTGCAGGTGGCTCACTCCATCTTCAAGCGGTGGAGGCCTCTGTTCCGCTCCGATGACCTGTATAGGGAGATAAATCACGTTCTTGGCAAGTTTGGGCTACCATACCTGGCACTATTCGAGGTAAGCTCTCCGAGCCTGCCTTGTATATCTACAATACTGACCCAATTAGTCACTTGATGCATATATCGAGAAAAATAAAGACAACAAGGAGAATCTGGCCCTAGGATTTACCCAGCTTAACCTCATGGTCAAGCTGTTCTATGATCTATCCTCGCATGATCTGCCGCCAATGTTCGAAGAAAATCTGGGCGCCATTGCAACATTGTTCCTCAAATATTTGATGTACGACAACAAGCTTTTACACACAGATGGTGATTCGGAGTCCGGCGTTCTGGAATTCGTCAAGGCGGGCACCTTCGAGGCCCTTACTCTCTATGTTCAAAAGTATCTCGACGTATTCGGCTCCCTCGTTGAACAGTTTATTGGCAGCTCGTGGAATCTGCTTACCACAATCGGCCAGGAGACTAAATACGATATTCTTGTCAGTCGAGCCTTGCAGTTTTTGACCTCCATTGCAAAGATTCCAGCCCATGCAGCAGCCTTCCAGAACGAGGGAACCCTTGGCCAGGTTACAGAGAAGGTAATCTTGCCCAACGTTACTCTCCGAGAGTCAGACGTCGAGATGTTTGAGGATGAGCCAATCGAATTCATCCGAAGAGATCTTGAAGGTTCCGATAGTGATACCCGACGACGGGCCGCTACCGACTTCCTGAGGCAACTCCTTCAAAACTTTGAAGATTTAGTTACCACGGTAGTGTTAAGATATGTCGACCACTACCTGGCGGATTATGCAAAGTCGCCTTCCGGCAACTGGAAATCGAAGGACACTGCCGTTTACCTGTATTCCTCCATTGCCGCTAAGGGGACTACAACGGCAAGCCACGGTGTCACAACCATCAACACCCATGTCAACATCACCGACTTCTTCCAAAAGAACATTGCATCGGATTTGGTTGCAGAGACCGGTGTCCAGCCAATCTTGAAGGTCGATGCTATCAAATACCTTTACTCTTTTAGAAGCATTATCACGAAAGAACAATGGCGAGAAATCATGCCCCTACTAGTGAAGCATCTCGCCTCTTCAGATTATGTTGTCTACACTTATGCCGCAATTGCCGTTGAGCGAGTGTTTGTCCTCACTGATGCTTCCGGAGCCCAGGTTGTGCCAGCAAGCGACATTGCTCCCTTGGCTGGACAGCTTCTAGAGCATCTCTTCCAACTTGTCCAAAAAGAATCATCCGCCCCTAAAGTTCAGGAGAATGAGTTCATCATGCGATGTATTATGCGAGTCCTGGTGGTGATCAAGGATGGTGCCGTTCCCCAGACCGAGTCTATCCTCAATCACTTCATCAGAATTACCCAAATCATCAGCTCCAACCCAAGCAATCCACGCTTCTACTACTACCACTTCGAGGCACTGGGTGCACTCATCAGGTAAGATAAACCATCTATACAACTGGAACGAACAGAGCCTAACCATCTCATAGATATACTGGACCTTCCAACCCGGATAAGCTTGGCCAGGCTTTATACGGCCCATTCTTTACCCTTTTACGTAATGATGTATCAGGCGAGTTTCCCTCCTAAAGACTATCGTCTTTTGGAATACCTTATAATAACGCCTTGCAGAGTTCATGCCATACGTGTTCCAGCTACTGGCTGCCTTGCTTGAGACAAACCCGAACGGTCCATTCCCAGCCTACTTCGAAGACATGATATCCCCGATTCTTGCGCCAGTTATGTGGGAGCAGAGAGGAAATGTTCCTGCTCTCGTCCGTTTACTGTCAGCTATCGTACGACGTGCAGGAGACCTTTTAAGCAAAAACAACCAAATTGAGCCAATATTAGGAATATTCCAAAAATTGGTTTCATCCAAAGTCAACGAAAGCTATGGGTTTGACCTTTTGGAGACTGTTATTTCGACTTTCCCTTCGTAAGTTCCTGAGATGGATATCCCTGGGAGAGACTATTTCCTGAAATTCAAACCCTGACTTCCACGTTTTTCTAGGGCCATGTTGCAAAACTACTTCTCCACCATTATTCAAATCATTCTCACCCGACTACAGAACTCGAAGACTGAAAATTTCTCCCTACGCTTTGTCCGGTTCTACCATTTCCTCTCCGCCCACCTAGAGAATGGATACGGAGCCGATTTCTTCATCCAATGCACCGAAAACATCCAAAGCGGGTATGTTTTCCTTCTCATTAGCTAGCGATACATTCAAGAATGCTGACTTTCATCCAGTGTCTTCACTCCGATTTATCTCAGCATCATCCTTCCAGAGTCTAGAAAACTTGCTCGACCCCTTGACCGCAAGATCGCAATTATCTCGTTTGCCAAAACACTCTCACACTCCGAAGCCTTTGCCTCTCGTTACAAGAAGGGGTGGGGATTCACCTGCGAGGCACTGCTTTACCTTCTCGACCAACCCATTCTTCCCACTACCGGCGATGATATCGTCGCCGAACATGACGTTGAAGATATGTCCTTTGGAGTTGGATTTACCCAATTGACCACTATCCGAATGCCACCTAGGGACCCTTGGCCCGAAACAGGCCCACAAGTTGGCCAGTGGGCTGCTACGTACTTGAAGGAGGAGAATAAGAAGAGCAACGGGAAGATCCAGACTTTTGCCCAAGAGAGACTGAACCCTCAGATCTTACCTGGCTTGGCCAAGCTTCTTGCTTAGTCTTCTCCCAATTTTATCAAAGATTCATGTATTAGACGGACGTTTTACGAATCTCCTGAGTTTGACAAAAATATAAATAAATGATGGATGCACTTCCCCTTTCTTTTTACAAATGATCGTGTAGTAGAATCTAGTTGGTTGTTTGTCTGGAGTTCAAAAATAAATAAATCTATATCCCTGAATAATTGATCCAACGCCGGCAAAGAGAGAATTTATGTTACATGGTATCCAACAAAGACGCTAATTTTAAACAACCACCACGCGCAGTCCGCTGTAAACGCAGTCGAAGACGGGAATCTATGTTCTGCGTTCAACGTCCGTCATTTTCCGCTTTATCAAACGTAACATCACTCTTGCTGGTGGCCTGTTCCTCAACCTCAACCTCACCCACCTCGTCGATCTCGTTCTCACCAGCTTCCTCTAACCCAGCCTCTATCCGCTTCCTTCTCTTCTCTTCCTCTAAGGCTCGATACTTCCTCTTGCTTTTCTTAATCTTACTCGCTTTCCTCTTCTTCTTCACATTCGTTACAATCGCTGCTCGGCTCTGGTCACCCTTCTCGAGTAACTCCACTTTCTGGGCTAGGATCTGCTTGGCAATTTTCCGATTTTGTGACTGGGAGCGAGTTGCTTGACATTTTACCACGGTGTTCGTGGGTATATGTATGAGTTGAACGGCGGAGTTGGTTTTGTTCTATTATTGTTAGTAAGTATACTATAAATGGTCTTGTTCAGGGGATATTTCTAATATAAAGAAAAGGGTGGTCAAATAATGCTAATGAGCGATTGCATAGATAATAAATGGTAGGGCATTTGCTTTAGTCTGAAGGGTATCCGATCATGGCCTTGCTAGGGGCAACCAAATTATATTCATCTTCTATTTGTGCCAATAGTTCTTAAATACACCATGGAAGGGTATCTTCAAAAACATCAAGTAGAGAGATATCATAAATAACAACGAGGGCTAAGAAAATAGTAAAAATTCTTGACTGACAATTTTTTGCCCTCCTGGTCCGGAACCTTTGAGGTAGCTTCCGGATATCTCCGAATCATCTAGTGAAGGGCGAGGAGGCATTTGCTTTGCTGATGCAAGCGGCGAGACCGAAAAGAAACGCATTTCACCCTCATAGTGTCGAAGCTGCCATCGAGCTCCATTTGATATTTGGCGTGATAAAACTCGACGATATGCTTGTAACATATTGTAGTCTATGAACAAGTGATGAGCGATTGGTGTTTATTTATCTCATTTCATGTCAGAATAGGAATAATTCAGCTTCCCAGCCAGAAGCATGCTTCTTTTCTCAAAGTATAAAGCCTGGAGGTACCTGAATATTAAATGGTATAACCCTCTTGATGGACGCGGTTTCGATATAGAGGCAAGAGGTTAAGGAAAAGGAAGAGCTGACTCAGCAGGGAGATTGTGCTTCTTCCCGACCTTTCGCTGCATCTTTATCTCTAACATTCAACAACAGCAACTCGAGGCTACGACGATAAATTAATCCTTGGTTCCCGGACATATACAGAATCCACCCTTTCTCCCTATCTCTGATCTACCTTCAGCTTCTATCTTACGGCAAAACTCCATCCCAGCGAGCCCCCTTCTCAGCTTCTGCTTTAAAGGATTCGAGTCGCATTGAGCCATGTCGCAAACTACAACATCCCCTGGGGTATTTATGTCCTTTTCCCGCTGGCTTCGACTTAAGAACTACCAGTATGAAGTGACATTCTCACTTTACATGCTTACCCCCATAGAAAAAGTGGTCTTCAGTACGTGCAATTGACGCTTCATGCTCCGTTCCGCGGATGCTCACCTCCTTATCGGATAATTAAACTAACAACGAGACTTTTCGTTACTTAGACACTATACTTCTCCTCTTCACCTCCATGTTGGTCACTGCTGCCTACATCTACCTTCCAGACCATGTCCTTTCTCTATACCGGCACATCAACTATTACTGGGCTGGCCAGCCTGTCGCGGATCAAATCGCATCACATGCAGCAAACATGAAGCTCTCTGCGGCAGCGAATGCGGTGGCCGTCTCTGGAGGAAATGATATCATGTCCACGGCTACTCGTATCGCGGAAGCAGCCGCAGCATCAGCCGCCGGCTTTAAGGAATTATGAGCATATTGATTTTTGGAACGCATACGAGCCTACGGACTGATTCTACTGCCTATACTATACGATTTTAATTGCACCGCCGTGTGTATAATTTTTCTTCCAAGCCTCCCTCTTTGCATGCTCTTGTTACCGCAGATGCATTTTTCTTTCTACTTCACCCTTTTGTTGCGAGTTTATTAATATCCTCAATGTTCGCGGATGCTAGGTTCTCAATGAGCCGAGATGTAGTATATTCCCTTTCTTCTCTTCTTGTATACACTATACTAGCTGTTTTATGGGGGCTTGTGCCTTCACACTCATTACACTCATTCATTGAATTTAGCGCCAGCCTGGGTCAGTGTTCGTCTTAGGGGCTCACCCTTCCTAGATGGAAACTTGACGATTCTCGGTTTCTAGCTAGGGGAAAGATATGGCTGAGGAACTGGCAGTCTTTTGTTTAGAGATGAGATTATATTTACACGTGGCCATTCGTACACGGGTTTTACTGATATGTCGTCCGAATGAGTCTTTTTATTCCAAGCTTGAAATGTAGCTCATTCATTCCGATGAACTCCCCTCCATCCGTTAACGCCTGCAATGTACAAAACGTATATGATACAATATGCAATTCTACCCACCCATAGGTGGGCTAGATTCCCCCTTTCTTCATTCCGTAGAGGCTGGTGTCGATGAAGCCGTAACATTCTCCATTTCCTTTTGGATTCTTTGTCTTTCTAGCAATCGTTTCGCTCTCTGTTCGTTCATTCTCGCCAATTCCTTTTCTATTTCGCCCTTATCTGTAGGAATCTTATGGGAGTTTTCCGTCTTAGGCCAGAAGTCCGGGACGCTGAAACGTTCTTCTAAGTTGGTACCGAAATAGTACATCCATCCTATGGGGAATCCGATGTAGAGGCCGAACTAAATAACGACCGATATTATATTAGTTTGGTGTTTAACTAAGCCCCTGTTGATAGTGTAGAACGGAAGGGAGCGAAGAGTGTGAGGGGCTGTTCATGCTAAATACCTTAAAAACCTCAAGGTTTCCACCTTGTAGTCTGCGAAGAAGATTGCTGAACATGGCTCTGTAGTTTTTCTCTCCTCTATTCTCCGAACTGGTTGGTTCTCAATTCCCAACGGGAGCCGACGGGCTTGCACGAGCTAGAAGCTCTAATCGGTCTGGCAATTGGAGCTAGGCGATAGTTCGGAATGCGATGATAATGCAACGTAAAGTGGTCTCCGGTAATCCTCTGGCGTGTTTCTGCGTGCCTTGCTCCAGTTCGTTCTTCTTCATCCAAGTTGTTCCTGTATAAAAAGAGCGACCACTGGAGATCTATTGCTTAGTCATGGTTTAACCTCGGTGTTCGGGGAAATGCTGTTCCGAGATGGTATAAAACCAGGCCAAAGGATCTAGATAAATCAAGTAGAAAGAGAGCAACCGGTTAGAAGATTCGGCTGAAAGAACAGAGCAGGAGTCAGTATCACAGACTCGAAGCTGCGGCTGCAGCCCTTTCAATTGCGTATTATCATCAGTTGCATCCATCTGAAGTAGTCAATAGCTTCTACTGCTGCTAACTTCGACGCTGAATATCAAAACCTCAAACATGGAGGATGCCCAGGCAGTGAGGCAAGTTACAGCGTCAGCAGCTGAAGAATTTACCCGAAGAGTCCTCGAAAAGAACAATGTCCCTACAGCGAATGCGTCAATAGTGGCCAAATGCCTCGTGGAAGCTGATCTCCGTGGGGTTGATACCCATGGAATCAACAGAATCCCATCATACATGGAACGCATTCGCCAGGGAGTACTGGATCCAAAAGCATCTCCATCGTTGGATCAAGTCACTCCGGTGGTTGCGCGCATCGACGGCCACAATGCATTTGGCTTCGTGTCCGCCTCGATGGCGATGGATCGGGCTATCGAAATGGCTCGAGAGTTTGGGATCGGCATGGTTTCGGTCTACAATTCGAACCACTTTGGAATGTCTGCGTCTTTCGTCCGACAAGCCGTGGAAGCCGACATGATGAGCTTTGTTTTTACAAACTCCTCGCCAGCCCTCCCAGTTTGGGGCGGAAAGGAGAAACTTATGGGAGTCTCTCCGATAGCATGCGGCGCACCATCGGGACCAAACTCTCCTCCTTTCATTTTGGATATGGCTCCCTCTGTGGCGGCAAGGGGGAAGATATACAAGGCCCATCGCAGAGAGGAGACTATCCCCGAGGGTTGGGCATTAGACGCAAACGGTGCGCCAACCACTGACCCCGCAGCTGCTCTCAAGGGAGTCATGCTACCAATGGGTGGTCCCAAGGGTTCGGCCCTCTCTATTATGATGGACGTTTTCTCTGGCGTGCTTTCTGGCTCTTCCTTTGCTGGACATGTCACGGGCCCATATGATCCGTCAAAACCAGCTGGTGTTGGCCACTTTATAATGGCTCTGAAGCCTGATTTGTTCTTGGGCTTGGATGAGTTCAAGGAGAGAATGGACTATTTATACCAGCGCGTTGTGGGCTGCGAGAAGATGCAAGGCGTGGAAAGAATATATTATCCTGGTGAAATTGAAATTATCACCTCGAAAGAAAGGACAAAGGACGGCATACCATACGTCCAGGCGGAGATTGACGCTTTGAATAAAGAGGCGGACTTGGCTGGGACTGGCCACATAGAGACGATGGAATAGGCGAGGCACCTGCAGCAGAATGAGACTTGCGCTGGCCCGGCCTAGTTTTAGAAGTTGTATAGATAAAAGAAACACGTTTTAATTCTAATCTAACTTTGCCACCAGCTTTATTGGATATGAGATCTTTTGCCGGTTGAATTCCCAGATTTTACCGAAATGTCTTTCGGCCCTGTTCTACCGACGGGGTTGGATTTATGAGACGTCTTCCTCAGGGTCTCCCAACGCTGCCAGCCGCTCTCCGTTAGGTCCTCACGAGGAAGCAGGTCCCGAATTCGAAAGTATCTCAGCAGCTCCAAGTCCAAAACCCATATAAGCCAGCCACTCTGCCTTATGTAGGTCCCAATCTCAAACCACACAAACCCGTAGACCATCCCAATAATGCTTCCAGCCAACACCTGTTGAGGGGTATGGTAGTTTAAATATATCCGGCTTATCGCGACCATCATAGCCCCCGCGCAGGCGAGTGAGGCGATGCCGATACGCTCGAGAACGCTTAGATATCCAGACAGACTCGACGAGGAGGGAGAGTGCCGGAAAAGAAGAAAAAGGGTGAAGAATACAGCAAAGTATCCCATAAACTGAGAATGAGACGATGGCATCCCGTATCCTTTCCCATCCATTTCTGTTGTTATGGAGAAGCTAGTCAGAGTAAATTCGTATATTACGCATAACTGTAGTGTTGCAAGAATAAAGAAAGAGAGGGCGATTCATACGATCAGGCCTCTCCTGTTTAATCAACCTCTTTAATCCGAAATTTACGACTTCGCATGATAACTGTCCAGCAAGCATATAGATGATTTCTATTTCACGGGTTGCCCACGCCAATGACACATAGACAATGATCAATGCCTGTGGAACAAGTGCGAGAAAAGCAGAGAGGTATGAGATGGGATCTTCAGGGTTCTAGATCAAAATGCTCTGGTCAGAACTAGCTCTCCAGAGGATTAAAGAGCCCATACTCACATAGTGGACATGTGTCAATGACAGAGATGCCAACGGGACAAATCCATCAGCCATTTCGCCTATAAACCTCTCTCAATATTTATAGAATAATTGTGATAAAAGTCGAACTTCCTAGGGGGTAAAGGGGAATAAAAGAGAGAAAACCAAACAGAGCAGCCAAATATCAACAGTCCCTATTCATAATGGATCATATGAAATATATCACCAGCTGTGTCCACCACAAACGAACAAACTGGCGGTGGCTGCTCTGCTCTGCTGTTTTGTGGTGGAGGGCGGAATGAGAAAAAGGATGCCGCGGTGTTGTCGGTGTTCCTTATCGATAAGAAAAGTGACTGGATCCTCGGTGAGCCAAAATAGTTAGTTGAACCAGCGCCGGAGAACAATTCTGAAGCCCAACAACTGGCTGAGAACAGTTATATTTTATCCTGTTGCTTTCCCTTTCACATAGAAAGCCCGGAGTTATCGTTCTATACCTTGCATCTGCGAAGACCAGCTACGATATCCTGCGTTCCACCGTCTACTCTGGTCCCATCCCACCCATCACTGAGGGGCAGACTTTGGATTCAAACATCGAGACTCGCGGGTGGCTCTACGGTGTATTCGACTAGCTCGGAAGATATATCAAGTTTATAATACGAGATCTTGATTACTCTGTTATACCTTGGCTGCCCAGCCTACGTTTATTCCGAGGGCTCTGTTTTGGGGCGATGGATGAAGATACGGACGATGAGAGGAGCCAGGAGCTTCAGTCTATTGCGGCGATTTACCCGGAGATCGTCGTTGACCCTAACTCGCCATTTAAGGCCTCCTTGACACTCCCAATATTGCCTGTTAACCCCATAAAAGCCATATTTCGACGATCGAACGAGGAGGCCAGCACCGCATGCTTGCCTTCGCCTCCCCCATCCGCCGAACCTAGCGATGTAGAGATGGGAATGGATGATAGCAACGGTGCAGCAGCAGAAGGGGACCCAGTGGATAACGAAGTATACCACCTCTCACACCTGCCGCCCCTCAGCCTGGGGATTGAGCTCCCCACAGGATATCCGGCCGAGAAACCACCGATCTTTTCCATATCCACACACCTTAATTGGCTTCCAGCGCCAAATATCAACAAACTGATCGAAGACGGAAAGACACTGTGGGAGGAATCTGGAAATAATTTGATCGTCTTTTCATACATCGACCACCTCCAACTTGCAGCGGAGGAGGGCTTAGGGATAAGCAATGACTCGAAGGAAGTTGTGGTGTTTCCCCAAAGCATCAAAATTAGCCTCCTAGATTTCGAAAACAAAGCTAGGAGGGAAGAGTTTGAACAAGGAACTTTCGAATGTGGAGTTTGCCTTGAGCCAAAGAAGGGCAGGGTGTGTCATAGAATGCAGCGCTGCCTACATGTGTTTTGTGTTCAGTGCCTTCAAGAATTTTATCAGTCGTGCATTAACGATGGCGACGTTGATAACGTGAAATGCCTTTTTCCAGGCTGCGGAAAAGATAAAGCCGGTGGAGATCAATTTGGGCCACGCAAGAGGCAAGACCAGACCCTCAAGCCTGGCGAGCTAATACAAATACCACTTCCACTAGAGACGGTGCAACGCTTCGCCCGGCTTAAGCGAAAGAAAAAGTTGGAGTCAGACAAGACAACGATCTATTGCCCTCGCCAATGGTGCCAAGGTGCAGCCCGTTCAAAGAAGCATCCAAAGCCCAAGGATTTGATTAATGACGAGGAAGCTTCAGATGATGAAGAGGAAAACGCAGTTCCGTTCGATCCGCTAGGCGCAATGGAGCAGCTGCCTCCCATGTCAGAACGCCTGGCTGTATGTGAAGACTGTTCGTATGCTTTCTGCAGTGTTTGCAAGAAGGGTTGGCATGGTCCAATGAGTGTATGCTTCCCTCGAAGAGAGATTGAGCTTTCAGCGGAGGAAAAGGCATCCGAGGATTATCTCGACATATATACTTCGAGATGCCCTACTTGCGCAGCACGATGTCAAAAGTCGATGGGATGCAACCATATGATCTGCTTCCAGTGCAACACCCATTTTTGCTATCTGTGCTCCAGCTGGCTCTTTGCGAATAACCCATACGAGCATTTCAATTCTGAGAAGACATCTTGTTATATGAGGTTGTGGGAGCTGGAAGGCGGTGATGGAGAGGGGGCTCCTCTGCACATCGAAGATCCTGATGTTGTAAATGGGGAGATTGAGATGAGCGACGACGAAGATGACACCGAACACCCAATGCCCGTGCCACCTCCTGCCCCCGTACCACCGAGAGCCATACCTCCAGTGAACCGAAATCGCCGACTACCACCATTAGCAGAAGAAATGGGCCCAGCAGGATTGGGGTTACGGGGGGGTGATGGGCCGCATCATAGACACCGAGCACCGCCGCAACGACAGGGTGCCCACGATAACCAAAATGGGCCTGTCAATGGCCAATTACCCCCCGGCCAGATGCGTGGGTTGCAACGGTTTCTATATCTCGTGCAGCATGACCAAGAAGATGAATGGGATAGCGATGAAATGGACGATGACTTTTGACGCAAACTCCAATTCCTGGTCTCCAAACTTGACCTCAAGGTCACCCATCGAGTTTTGACGAGAAGCTCCGCAAATACGCTCTAACACAGGCTTTCTCGCCATCCTAAAGAAGTAATTGCCCTTAAGAGCGTTAAACTGTTGCTCTCCTTGTGTAAGGAGCGCAGGAACCTCATAAAATGAATGAGACGACAACCATCTTACGCATTTCAGGGTATATGTGGTACGGCGCTTGGTAGCCTCGGTACCAGTTATCTCAAATTTTGAGATATGCCTCCTAGATTTCACCCTCTCGAGACTTGAATATTACGCGCAATAATAGCCTTTGGGAAAGGTTAGCGAGTCCTCATCCTTGGTGTGGTACCACATATGTGTTATGCAAGCTGACTCAATACATAAATGCAGGCAGTCTCAATACTTAATAGTGAGATCTTCAAGACGGCATTTAGCTGTGTTCTAATTTAATGCTGTCTTTCATGTATTTATCTGAAGCCTCTAATGAATTTATGACAAAAAAATAAAGAATTTCAAAACATTTAATCGGGATTTTATTTATCCGAGTGCTTAGTAATCAGTGTTTTAACGACTCCTGTTATCAGACGATGTGGACATATATCAGAGAACATATCTGCTTTAACGGTAGAATAAGGCGTGTATAGGAGACTGAGTGATACGGCCTGTGGAATCTGGACATGGTTACTCACCGTGTTTAATTGATTAACAGGTACCAAGTTGCGATACCTAACTTCATATGCCAACGAACTAGGTATACCTTGAGGTGGATTTGGACCTTGATGGTTTGCCAGCCAGCCAGTGTTTATATTGTTTAATTGTCGACAGAATGGAACCTATTGAGAATACCGATCAAGATGGAGCTGGTGAGGAACATATCGTACGCGCAGATGAGGTCGACAATATCGGGATAGACATATCCGCGGTCCCTGATGAGCAACTGATTGCGGATGCCATTTCAAGTATAAAGCTTCCCGAAGAGAGCCAGCCGAAAGTTGATGAAGCGGATGGCTTCGACGGCGCATCTCTCCCGCAGCGGCACTCACAGCCTTCAGCGCGCCCTGAATTGCGACGCGATCGTGTTGCACCTCCGCCACCGTTGCAACCACCACCACCTGCTCCTGTACAGCAGAGCTCGGAAAATCAAACAGACTCAGTCAGTCTTGCTCAACTACGTAAAATTGTTCAAGACCTGCCGAAATCTGATCTACCATCTTACGCCTTCAAATATGACGACTGTCAGCCATTCCCGGAGGAGATTAATGAATGGTTCGGAGACAATGAATGTGACAAACTTATGCTTCTGGGCTGTAAAACCACCTTCGAGCAGACTTGGTCGTCTTTCTGTCAGCCCTCATCTGACAATGCGGAACGTGATACCTGTTGGGTAAATGCTAGCGACCAGGCCAGGACAGCGTTTATGGAGAAGATGATTGGGTTTTTTAGTAGTGCTGATATTTTTGCTCGAATCGAAGCTTTGGAGAACATCGCATATGCATTGACGGGTATCTGGGTTACGACTGCTGGAAGGGCGGCAGAGGATTACCCTTCGGACATCACTGAGAAGGACGCGGCAGAGACCCCCAAAGAACGATCTATGCAAATTCATTGGATGGTTAAAAGTGTTTACATCCTACAGCAGTCCCAAGGAATACAGGCTTTGCTCGATTATCTACGGCGATTTTTTGATAAAGATCAGTAAGTCAGCTCTCTGGTGTTAGGTGCTCTTTGACCTAAATTCTTACATGAGGGGCGGTTGCGTAGGGCGTTTACTCAAGAAGATTTAAAGGTGTTTGCAAATGAGAATGGCACGACTGCCTACATTGCGACTCGAGATAGAGAGGTCAATCTTCTACTCACTTGCCTTTATACTGTTATTGAGGTCGCGCGAAGAGAAGAAAAGCAGGACTCTCCTAACTTGAAGTTGAGGGATGCTATTGGTGAGACCATCGGATCCAAAATTACTTTCATTCTGGAGTGCCTTGCTGACTAGGTTAAAATAGCTGCTTTGGCTCCAAATCTCCCTGGCGCGCTCGTTGAGATCGTTGCACGGCTGCGATGGGAGGATCCTTCTATCTTCCCACTAACAAGAGTACGTTATCCGTACACTGATGACCGTATAATATCTAACAAATTAATCCAGATTCTTCTTCTATTTTGGAAATCCATTCTCCTCTTATTCGGTGGCATTGAGCCATTGAAAAGGGCAAAAACTATCTTGGAACCCGCATATGAAGCAACCAGCCCAGGAGGCACCAAAACCTCAGACGTTCCCACACTCACCGCCTCACCACTGGATTACCATTTATTTAGGCAAGAGATCACATCTAAATATCCAGCCTACAACCCTCCACCGCCGCTAGTTCCATTCGAATTGGAACACAACTCAGTTCTGCCACCCCTCCCAACGTCATTGACTCGCAACTCTTCCTCTGTCTTGTTCTCTGGGGTTGGCTCTACCCTAGCAAGCAACAATGATTCCATCCTCCACCAGTCCGTACACATTGCCACTCCTGCTCCTTCCCCGCCGCCTTCCCCTGGCGGCCCAGGAAAAGTTGGGAAAAAGCAAAATTACCAAACAAACCAGCATTTTCCATTCATGTATCCTCCTCTGGATGGATCGAGCAATAATATTGGGGGGAAAGGCTCTAGTGATCTTCAGGACAGCCTTGTTGGTAGGAAATGGGAGGGTAGCGATGTCCCTGCATCAATCATTGAAGCCGGCGAACTATTCTCTAGCCGAATGAGGATGACAAGAGCATTAGAGCAACTCTGGGAAGAGCGAGAGGCATTCATGAAATATGACCGTGGATGGGATGAAAGGGCACCGAGTACTAGATATCGCGATGAAACTGCTGCTAGCGACCCAGAGGCTCAATCTCGAGCCGATCAATCGCCAAGATCCCTCAAACAAACGGATGATGATGATGTCCAGCGACGTTTAGATGCGGTTGAATCTTTCTACGTAAGTTTACTTTACGGCTGCCCGTTGGATTGTTTCCTAACATTTTGAAGGTTCACGCGCTTCCAAATCTCCAATCTTTCGTCATCGTGGTGCTAAAGGAACTATTAACGAACATAACTGCCATCGCGAGTAAATCGAACAATGGTGACAATGGCGATGGCCGGGCAGAGTACGTAATACAAGATCCACGTTATAGTCGCCCTTCACTAACTCTTCAATAGAAATTTATTAAATGGTCAAAATCAAACATCAAATAAAAACCGTATGCCTGAGCCATTCCTATCAACAAAGCAATTGCAAGAAGCTCGGTCACGGGAAATTAGATTTGAAGCTATTTCCGGGGCAATTATCCTACTTCTAAAGTGGTTTAAACGATGCCGTAAGCTGATCCTTGTTCCTTGATGGTGATATACTTCTAACAGCGTGACTAGATATCCTAAAATTCGAGTACCTATCACAAATCCTACTCGATTCAAACTACATACCTTTAATACTAAAAATGTTCATCCACCAAGAAGTTGACCATGCTGTTGCCCAGCCCCAGGACCCGCTCATATCTAGGTAGAGTTGCACTACTTACACTGTTCAACTGGCTTTAAACAGGGATGCTAATCGAATTTATAGCTTTTTTCACTTCTGTCATGTCCATTCTGACCAGCCACCAGAGCCCATTCCGCCACTAGAACCTACAGAGATTGCCGATGATAGTAGCGAAGATGAGGCAGCTCCACCTCCAATACTTCGGCAGAGCCGCTCTAGGATATCAATGCTTGAAGAGGCTTCCGCAAAATCAGCCGCTGCCGAACAAGGCAAGGAGAATGCTAGACTTCTCGAAGTTGACGAACTAGGATTCCCGACGGCTCCCATCGAGTCGGGGCCTATCACTACTTACTCATTCCGAAATTTCTTCTCTGCCATCAACTTTCTACACATTATGCAGAAGATTACCCGTGACAAAGCCCACAGATGCCTGCTGCTTGTGCAATATAAGTGTAGCGCTGTGCTACGAAAAGGTCTTAAGATCCCTGACCCACACCTTCGTTTGTATACTCTCAAGCTGTTCAAATCGCAGGTCCCCTATTGTGGGCGTAAATGGCGGTTGAGTCATATGAGGGTGATTACGGCAATTTATTTGTACTGTCGTCCTGAACTCCGCGATGATTGGCTTGCTGGCGGTGATGTTGATGCTGAAGTAGAAGAATCTCTCCCTATGGAGCAAGCTTTAAGAGGATTAACCCACTGGTGGCACGTTCGGCAATATAAGGATGTCCTATCTGCCGAAAACGGGCAGCCATTGGTAGAGGAAGAGCGTGATTTCTTCACTCGAGAATTGGAAAAAATCGGCTGGGGATGGTTTGGGGACGAGTTAAGTAATGGCATTGATGAAGACGGAGAATTTGCACCTCATATTGGAGGAGGGCCCGATTTGGAGAAAGCCATTCAAATGGAGGCTTGGTGATGTCATTCTAGGTTTATACCAGTCGAGTGGAAGAGTGGAATAAGGGGGTTTATGAATGATGTTAATATACGTGTATCGAAAACTCCTGTTGGCTTGAATTAGATATAAACTAAGGAAGTGGGAGTTGGGTTTTAGTCCACATGAAATTTGCAGGCCACCCTGTCTTCTTGTCCATTTACCTTTCCCTCCCTTGTTATTTTCTGAAGAAACGATACTTTTTGCAGATAAGAGACAGTGATGTCAACAATCTATAAACACAGCTCATCGCCCTGCCTCCCATGTCAGCTATAATTTGAGCCAGGCTAGTAAAAATCAAATAAAACAAACGCCACGCAATATCAACCCCCTAAATCCCAATTTATTTTCTATTCAGCTCCTGTTGCCAATGCCCCTGTTCATAGCAAAAACGTCACTGAAACAAGTAAAATATGTCAAGTAAAGAGCAAAAAGATTCGACTACCTTTAGTCACAACTACTTTCCTATAGTCATTGCTAGGTCCCTGGAAAGTACAGTGACCCGTTAATTAGCTTCAAAATTATTTGGTGGTTACGACTCTGAGAACTGTGCGTAGCTGGGCCGACTATGGCCTCAGAATAAATGGTTCGTTTTTATCATAAGCCATCTGGGCTTCTGGTCCTCTGAGCTCCTTTGGCCAGTCGTAGTAGAGCTCATAATGCATGATTGTATGGTCGCAATAGGTCAGGAAGAGGCGATAACGACGGGAGTATTCAATTCCATGCCATTTTTCTCTTTTAGGTCCTGAATTGAAGGGTGGTTGGACATAAGGATGGTTTCCTGGTAAATCTGATTTACCTTGTTGGTTTTCAACTGGTTGTGATTGGGGGCCAATACCGTTGCCCTGACTTGGGGAGCTGTTGGGTTGTGAGCCGGCAGGCATGTTAGTGTGATTATTAAATTTCTGGTTATCAATATTTGCAGTATTCCTTTTGGAATATATATCCTCATAATCATCGGGAGAAGTTTCGAATGGGATTAAATGAGAGACAACTGGGCTAACGGCGATTCCAAGTAATGGGCAAAGAGGTCGAAGCTGGCTGCGTTCTTGGCTAGCGAATGGTACTATTCGATCGATTCTGAATACCTTGCCCTCGCGTTCGACTTCCGTAAGGCCCATAATTGCAACCCTTCCTTTCTGGGAGGCCGCAACAACAACACCGAGGTCCGGAATTTGAATAGCCATGTTGAAACGATCGGTTGCTTCAATAGACTGTACAGGGTTTGTCACAACTTGTGATAAAGCTGCACGGAAAATTACCGATGGACCGGGAGAAAAGGGCCCAGGCAGCATACGGATATGGGACTCTGAGAAATGAAGAATTGGAAAATCACTAAAAAGGCCGGGGTCTGGGTGGTCATCCGTCAACGGCCCTCCATTATCATCAAGTTTGGCTGGTGTGGGTTCCAATATTGGATCTCCATCGGCATGAGGTCCAGGCTGTAGTACATCGCTTTCACTCTGGTCACCTAAATCCGATGAATCCTCATGGGTGGAACTATCAGCATCGTCTTCACCACTATGAGATACCAATTCATCGGCCATATCCACATCTGCATCACCATCGATAGCATTGTTAATGTGGATATTGTGCCCATGCGTATGCGTGTGTTCCTCATCTTCATCTCCGTCGTCATCATCCTCATCATCTTCATCTTCGTCGTCGTCATCATCTTCATCGTAGTCATCTTCATCGTAGTCATCCTCCTCAGATTCACTCTGATCATTATTGCTACTCTCAAACCCGAGTGGTGGCGCACTAGCTTGAATATGGTGTGTTGCATAGTTATGTGTGTATGGAGAAGAAGCATTGACCGAGCCCCTCTGGACTTCAGATGCAGAAGGGCCGTCATGTTCCATCCCCATTTTCTCATTAACTGGAGGCCGTGATTTACCGTGGCTGGTATTTGTAGATTTAACTACGTCGCTCGAGCTGTCATCTGAGTCATCAGAGTGAGTAAGAGGGAAAAGCTCATCAGGCGGAGGCCCTTGGTTGTTATGTTCGTTCCTAGTGGAAGTTCGTGGAGAGAAAAAATCATAATACTGAGTAGCATCGTGGACCCTACCGGCTAGGAAACTTAGATCGTAGGGAGCCGCCTTGTTCGGGAATCGGTGGGGAGGACCGCCACAGGCTTCGAAAAGGTCTTTTTTCATCCGAAAAGACTTGGGATCAACGGCTAGAACATTCCAGCCCCGTTGACGACTACTGATTCCGGTATAAATTAGCTAATCTTCAAAAAATAGGTTATGTTTTGTTTCACTTACTCGTCGAATAAATCGTCAAAATGATGGTGGTCATCGAGGGGGTAAAAGTCCCAGTGGTTAACTGGACGGAAGCGTTCCCATATCTTCCATACGAGGAGTTTATTATTGATATCTGTACTAACCAGCCAGTCTCCATGAGGGTCCAAATCACAGTTTAGGAATGAGACGTTGGGTATATTCGCTATATGCCCCAATAATGAGAGCCGAATGTTCTGGGAACGACGGCGTTGACGTGACCAGCCCCTGAGTTTGACAAATTCTGAAAGGCTGACGATATGAACCCAGTCATTGTTATAAACCTTTGGATTCGTCGTGTTGGAGACAGACGACTTCCCCTCGGCTGGGTATGACATCTCCGTATCATCGACCAACGCAAAGGCAAATATCGTGATGGTTGTCGTATTGGAGCTCACGGCTATCATCCTGGCAAACTTATGAATCGCCAAGGCCCAGGCACTCTGTGTAACCCACTCACTGAAAAAGCACTCTACTCCGTTGCCAACTTGGACAGGGTCGGTATCTTCAGCACGACGGTTTTCAATCGCCCAGTAAATACGTTCCGTCCGGTAAGCGACCACATTTCCGGAATCGGTGGCCAAAAGTAAAATTTCATCAGAGCCAAGGTCACCAACAATGATGTGATTTATGGCATGTGGACTCATAGGAGCAATATAGCCAGGGGAATCAGGCCGTGCCATTTTGGGAGTTAGTATAAGAGCTGGTCGCGAGCCAATAATCTGGCCACGGCTAGGTTGATACACGTGTATAAGGCTGGAGTATGCAACAAAGTAGAGGTTCCTCCTCTGGGACAAGGCAGTCTAGCAACAGTATCCAACAGTTAAGAAGGAGTGCATATAGAAGATTTTCAAGGGCAAGCAGGCTCACCAGATTATTGCGCCAAGTGGCAACGATAGGTGAAGGGCTGTTGCGCCTGGTTAATGTGTTTTTTGTTAGCTACTGTACAGTTGAAACTGCTGTGAGTATAGTATATGTTGGGCAGTAGCATACGGGAACTGTAGCCACGGGTTAGCGAAATGGGACATTTACACAGGGTGTGAGGGACTCTGGAGAACATACGCGCTTATTCCCCTGTTCGACTCCATGTGGCTCAACCGTGATGCCATGGTCGGCGTGTTCGTCGACAACCTTTGTCCAGACTGGGTTGCCCGCAGCGGTATCACTGGGGAAATTCAGATCCATGTTGCGCAGTCAAGCCAGGCATTTGGATATTTCAAATAGAAGTCATGTGCATTATAACGAACAGACTAGGCTTTTTAAAGCACTATGAGACGCAGATGAGGACAAGATACGGCGTCGGGCAAGCATCCTCAGAGCAGGCGACAAATGTGGTGGGGGTCTTGCTATTGTCCGAATAGCCAGACGAGCAACGGCGAAAACAACTGGATCTAGTTGCACCTGGGATACGCTCTCATCCGCTGGTCTCCATCACCACAGTCGAAAGCTGCCAGCACACCGGGGTTCAGGTTGCAAGCGCGCCGTGGATGAGGCTGTAGATGCAACCTACGTCAACTTTTCTTGCGTCGATGGTCGGAAAAGTAAAGTTGAACATGGTCACGTGCTCACTTTATTTCCCCGGAAGGGCACGGGTCCAATAACGGTCTGTGCATGAACTGTTGATCACATGATCATATCTTACGCCGTTTTGGGAAATCTGACCTTCAACTTTTACAGACTTCGAGGAGAGAGAAAGAGAGAGAAGACGAGAGTTCTCCCTTTGAAAACATCTCACGCAGAGCAGCCAACATGGATCTCGTATCTACCATTCGGAAAGAAGGCAGCAGGTAAGTCGCAGCTCGTTCAGCTTCCGCAGCGTTTCCCTGGGCTAATAGCAGATGGCGTTTCTTAAAGAGGCGGGCAGACGGAGTTCAAATGGTCAGACGTCAAGGACTCGAGTCGCCGTGAGAATTACCTTGGCCACTCCCTTATGGCACCAGTTGGCCGGTGGCAGCAAGGTCGCGATCTCTCCTGGTACGCTAAGGGGGAAGAAGACCCGGATGCGGCAAAACGGGCTCGAGACGAGGAAATCCGTAAGATCAAGGAAGCGGAACAGGAAGCCATTGCTCGGGCACTTGGACTGCCAGTAGCAGCAGCGTCAGCAGGCGCGAATGCGAATGCGAATATGACCCCCCTTGGAGGGAAAGAAGTCGAGCGAGCAGTCCTGGAAGGGGCAGCTGACAACAAAGGCGTTGACCGTGTCAGGGGAGTCGGATTTGGTGGCTTCAGCGGGAGAACGCTAGCCGGAGACGAGGTTGAGAAATTGGAACCAATGGGGGACGTTTCTGGCAATCATAGTCGAGCTAAAAAAGCCAATGTCGACGGTCGAACCCGTAACGACCATCAATCGGATAGGAGGAGGGAACGCTCGGGAAGAGACGACAGGGAGCGAATAAGGGAGCATAGGAGCAGGAGAGACGAGCGTCGTTCGGACCGCCATGATAGGAGGAGGCACCGCCCCCATTCTCCAGATCGAGAGACCACTCGGAGGCGGCACTCAGCTTCACGCTCGCGAAGTAGAGATAGAGAGCCACGAGAACACCGGAGTCACCGCAGGCGTAGCCGGTCGCCACATGCATCCTCTCGACATTCTCGAGATGATAGGAGACGAGATCGTTACGACAAGAAATGATGAATCAAACGACTCTTTGCATATAAACAATATATCAGGATCGGTTTCGGCGTTTGGGGGACTCTTTGAATACTCATATGCATAGCCTTCAGGTTGCTTTAAATTCGATTTGTATACTATATAACATTTTCAAAGATCTAATCTATAACTCTTCCTTCGTACCCGATCGGGCATTCAAATCGGGCATGGCCATCATTTTCACCACTAGGCTGGTCCATCCAGTGAAATGTTGCGTCCGCTGGCCAATACCAGTGTCGGGGTTGTACTGCTCCCAAGCAAAACCAGTTCTCTTCCATTCCTTGAAGACATTATCTACTACGTTTTTGCGTAATTTCGTGTACATCTCAGATGCTTGTTTCTGGTGAGACCCTGAAACCTGGGCGATATTCTGTATGAAATAGCGGGGTTAGACATGAGCATAGAAAATATGTATATGAGGATCAGGAAACGTACGTGGAGATTCTTGAGGACCAAATAATTCATGTTAATCCAAATAGGGCCCCTCCAATAATTTTCGCCTGTTCCAAAAAATTCGTCCTTTTTGCTAAGACTTCTAATGCCGTAATCACTCCAAAGCTCATCCGAATCCTGAATGAGGTTCAGAATATCTCCAAGTCTAGGGTGATTAGCGTCCATAAGGCCAGCCATGAAAGGGAAGATTGAAATATATCCCTTATGGCACACATGGACGCTTTCTTCGTAATCATCGATAGTTGCATCACAATAGGTCTTTGCATCCTTATCCCAGTGGAGGTCATCGATGTTCCTGAGGATCGCTGTTTCGTATTTACTAAACTCCTCCACGTCTGCTGTCTCACCCAATGCTTCCGCAATGCGTCGCAGCGATCGTGTCATCATACCCATCCAGCTTATGAGGTCAACATGGAGCTCCCCCGGGTGAGGAGGTTGCGGCCTAGGATAGTCATCCAGACCTGAAGTCAAGATATGTTCAACTGTGCGGCCCCTCCATCGGTATCCTTCCTTTGTTGAAAAGGACTCCCTCTCATAGGATTTGAGATCACCCCACTGGGTTTTCCTAAACCAGAAGTAATGGCGTCGAAGGAGTGGGTAAATGGAACGGAGGAATGACTCGCTGAGCTCCTTGCTGTCGGAGTACTTAGAATTAGAGCCCTGGGGCTCGGCTGGTTTTCCAAGCGCGGCCTTGTTCATGAATTCCATAAGAACAAGGAACAATGTTGGCGGGTTCGCATAATGCGGGTATTGGGTTCTAAACTCGCTTGGAACTTTGCTTCTAGCTTCAGGTCCTAGAATCTGTTCTCTTCCAATCCACCCGTCCTCATCCATGAGGTTTAGCCAGCTCTTGACAATTTGAAGCCTTTAGCTAGTTAGCACTCCTTTGTATATATGATAGGGTGGTGGCACAAACGTTAAGTCAAGGTCCCAGTCTATAATTGGCAATAAGTGAAAGCCTTCGTCCCACAAGAAGCCCCGGGGGAAAAACGGCCGCGAAGGAACTGAAGTAAATAGTTCGGAAGGGTCTCCAGGAGTGAGCTCCGCACGGGCTCGTGCCTCAGCTGCCTCTTCCCAGAAGCCTTCACCTTCTTCATCATATTCAGGTGCATACGTGCGGTCGACGATTGAATCCCCATAAAAGTAGCCGATTCCGCCTACCAAGTTAGAAAGCATTTCCTTTGAAAATTTCAGATACTCCGGAGAGTTGAATGGGGCAAGTGGTTTGAATATCTTCTCAAACTTTCGAGAGAAGGAGAGAGATGCATCCTTGATCTCCTTCGTGACCATGGAAGCTATAATATGCGTTAGAAACAGTGATCACTATATGCCGGGAGCTGGGTATACGCACAAGTAAGTGGCTCCTTTGCCGTCGCTGATGAAAAGAGGATATCAAACTACGTGTGTACGTTAGCGACCAGTAACTATTCAACAGCATGCTAGGAAAAGTGCAAACCAACCTCGAACGCTCCATGGAAGACCTTTTGTATATAATGAGCATTCCCATTCCCCTGGGTATTCGGAAGCGTGAAAATTGCAGGCGGAGGAGGTGGGTTTTCCTCGCCATACTTTTTCATCGTGGCGTCCACTGATTGTTTCATTTGCGTGAAGAGTATGGCTAGTCAGAAGTACGTAAGTTCGACTGTATTTCAATCGTAGCAAATCAAAGGGTGGTGTCGTACTCTTCCCTTGCCAGAGTGCTTCCGGCTTTACATTCATGCTTGATACTATCGTCCTATCCAACGGCTTATCGTCATAGCTTGGGTGCATCCGTTCTGGGTAGACATTGGTATCTGGGCCACGGGTGATATCAATTGTGAAATCCCCCAAATCCATGGTGTTTCCGGAAAGTCTGACATCTCCTTCATATCCTAGCTCACTAGGTTCGTTGCTCACGCCCAGACTTCCCAGGCCTTCCATGGCAGCATAGAAGACCAACGTCGTGGGCTGGTCGGGGGAGGCATCGGGACGGGGTACGCCTTTAATGCGAGCACCCCAGCTACCGCCATGATCTCCCCCCGGGACCTTGATGAAGTCTATGGTAAGGTCAACGGTATTGCGGGAATCATGTACAGTCTGTCTGCCACCTTTCCGAATGTCGTACTCTTCCCAGCCATAGCCTTCCATCCCCTCATTCTGCTCACAGGTATGTCTGAAGTCTATACCAGGTTCAATCAAGTTAGCAATTGTTCATTTGTATTCTCGATATATCCTAATCGACTCGAGCAAGAGGAAAGTTCACTCATAACATGGGATTACGTACTATCCTGAGCAGTTCTATAATCATCGACTTTCGCCCATAATAAACCCATAAGCAAGCTCTTTGGGATCCGTGGACGCACCCCGAAATATAGATTTGGGCGATATGGACCCCATAGCAGCGACTGGTTTAACGCCGTGTCAACAGCGAGGGCGGATGAATCCTCTGCGGTAGCCAGGACGCCAATCTGGCTGCAGCTCGCCAACGCAGAGAGGATACAAACCCAGGAAAAAGAAGACACAACGCCCATGTTGTATACTCTCCCGGCCTCGAGCGTGTTACCGGAGCATAGACTGAGCGAACAAAGGTATCAATGGGCCGGCCCTGCCTGTCCATCTACTTCTTGGAATGTTGACGTCTTGACGTGTCCTGGAGTTACATGTCGGAGATACGATGGTCCGTGGATGTTTTCTACCCGGCGAGGTCAACTTCTTACATCTACTTGAAAGTACGAGATCAAGTTGCTTCTTAGACAGTACTAGATCAGATATGGAGGATATAGACTTGTTGAAGACTTTCTTGTCTATTAACGCGAGAGTATATGCAGTGACGTCATCCTACGACCAGTCGTGTGAGCTCTTCCTGTGTTGAGTGACGAGTATTGGATTGATATACTACTCGAATACTTGAGATGCTTTTTAAGGGATTGGGATCGAGATCGAATTGATAATGCCACATGTTTATAGCACCTTACGGGGATCCAGTTCAGAAATATCCGCGCTCTTAGCCTGGCCATCGAAGACGAATTCGCTCATCAGCTTCCCCGTTGCTGGTGCGTTCTGAATGCCCCAGCAGGTGTGTCCTGTTGCAAGATACAGCCCTTCTATGCTGGTCTTTCCAATAATCGGACTTCCTCGATCACCGGTGCCAACTACGTTGGGGAGATAGCAGGCCTGCCGAATCATCACCTCTCCATCTCGTAGCTCATCGGATATGTTCGCAATCGCGTCAATGATATCCTGGCATCTGGGCGGGTCAACCTCGACATCTGCTGTTGACGACGGCAGCGGGACCAACGTGTCGCCCTCCCCGCAGACATATACGGTGTTATCTGGTCTGGCATAAATTTCGGGGCTTGCTGCAGATACCTTGCCAGACTTGGACTGCTCAGCTGGGAGTGTAATTTCGGTAAATAGCGTATATGCAGAGACCGGGCGTGTTGGACGGAGTACAACGCTATGTGCGCGAAGAGCCTCGATGGGGGCCTGCGGGAATATCCTTGGTGTCCAGGGGCCTGCAGAAACAATGATATCCGTAGCTTTGATGGATTCAGAAGCACCGGTGGCGTTGTTCCTGTATGCTACTGACTTGACGTGGCCTGTCGGATGGTCGATAGCGGTGACAGTGCCTAATATCACTTTCGCTCCCTTCTCCTCTGCCAGCTTTGCCATTGATGTCGTAAACAGATATGGGTGGACCTGTGCAGTAGCTCCTTCATCTCCCATCCGTTCATATGCCTTTAGCACAGCAGGATCAAACCAATCGAGATCCGCCGGAATCCCAGCAGCTTTCAACGTAGCCATAGCAGCATCGCTTCTTTTCCCCAGCGAGACGGCCTCGCTGCCGGATTTTGACTTGCTCGCCGGGCTTCTGGAGCGGCTATCTGCAACGAGTTGCCCGCACCCGACTTCTCTGTAACCCCATCTATCAGCTCCGCCGTGCTCCTGTGATAGTTCCGCGTGCAGTTTGTAGCTTAACGGAACGATGACTTTGGGGAATGCCCAGAGGGCGAGTAAACCCCCGGCCTTGCCAGATGCCCCGCCAGCGATCTCCGAAGCCTCAAGTATCGTTATCCGATGTTTCGACGGGTCGTAGGAAGGGTGTCGGGTCAGGAAGTACGCGCTGCAGCATCCAATTATCCCACCGCCTGTTAAGAGTATACGTTAGTCTGACATTTGAGATGCGCTGTGGGAGCAGGACAGCAACGTACCGACGATGACGATGTCCCTCTCCTTCTGGCCAAGGTCTGCCATTTTTGCGTCCTACCGTAAAATACTAATAAGTTGATAGTTCGTGGACTGAGGTTTGTATGAAAGATGTTTCTCCTGTCTGTTGGGCCGAGAAGGAGATGCATGTTTAGTCAAGCCGATGCCGACCATGACCGAACCATCTATTCTCCCCCCCGCCAACAGCTTGATCCATGCCCCTGGCCGGTCAATTAACTCGCAAAAACCGTGGCTCGACGATGTAGAAAGTAGATTCGGGTATATTTCTCAATGCTGTAATTGCTCTAATCATACAAAAAGGTGGTCATGTCCCCGGGCCGAAGGTAATTAGAAAGGCAGCAAATTGGTTGAAATAATTCCACCGTTCGCCCTAAATACCCACATAGAAATATTTTCGCTCAGAATGCTGGAAGATGAAAGATGTAAATGAAAGAGATCTCACAATGGAGGTACCATTATCGGGATGGGCTCAGAGGTTTGTTGAATCCTCCCACACGGTTCATGTACTGTCTGTACTCGGTCTTCTTCTCCTTTCGAACACCGGAGACGTTGTTCCCGGGGACTTTAGTATTTTGCGTGCTTTTGAAGGACGAGAATCCCATTGCCTTCATCATCGCTTGCTCCAGATTGTCAGGGTCGTCCTTGGGGTCTATTTCCATCTCGTCCTGTCGGCTCGGTTTCGTCGACGGCCGTGAAGGTCCCGGCACGCCATTGGGTTCTTTGCTGTCTCCCCGGCGTCTGCTATGCTTTGCATCTCCTCGATCGGGTACAGGCCTGCGAGGAGGTGATCGTGTGCGGACCCCACGTCCGTTTCGTGCGGGCGAGCGTGATCTTGAAGGTGACCGACTGGACGTCCGCTCACGGTGTCTTTTAGGCCGGGAAGCATACTCTATCCATCATGGCATATCAGCGAGTGCGAGTGGGAAATAGTAGCTGCGATTGTAGGAGAAGAGGGTAAGAAAAGAGCTGAATGATATACATACCACGTCGCGAACTGTGTCTGTCCCTACTTAAGCTCCTATCTCGACCTCTCCCACTTCGGCCATCTCGGTCAGTGTCTCGCCGGTTTTCTCGTGGGTAATCTCGTGTCCGCCTATCCCTTGACCTGCTCCTGTCCCGTCTCCTGTCTCCTCTGTCCTGGGATCGAGATCGAGATCGCGCTCGCCGTTCCCCTCTGGAGGATCCATTTCTGCTGTCTTCGTCCTTGCCCGATGTCCCTTTTCTTGAAATACCGCCAAACTCTTTTGATTCGCCGTCAGACCGTGTGTTATTATCATTTAAATCCCACATCGCTGTGCTATCTGTCCTTCGTGCGCGTTTGGCCGGTGGCTCAGCCATGGTGTCCGGTATGGGCGGGTATGCGGTGCGAGATGTCAAAACGAGGCAACCTCAGGGCCACTAGATCTTCATGCAACCGTCTGGAGCTCGTAGGGGAAGTGTAGGTTGCTGCTTGATGCTGGTTGAAGTGCTTGTTCCAGCGCTGAACGAAGCAAAAGAAAGCAATAAACTTATACGGCGGAGGAGAGGGACCAAAAGTGCTGTCCCTTCTTTTTTATATCTTTCTTTTTTGGCGGGACAAAACATCTACATACGAGGACAACTGGACATCACTACGCGGTGGAATAGGATGATACGGCGATGTCTTCTAATAATGTCTCTCATCGCCGAACCCATAATCTACTACTCATCTCAAAGCTGCTGAACCTCCGAGAAGGCGCGGCACCATTGACACTAGTTCAAGACTCGCTAGAGCAGCCCGCCGCTCCGCTGCTGAAGGAGTACATTCGACGGACTAGAGTACTTTCATCCCCCTCTCAGAACTGTGATTTAAAAGCGACTGTCTGACTATTGTCCTCCGCAGCTGTCCAAGGGACATGTGACGTTTATCTCCTTTGATACCTTGACCCGTCCGGCTGGTGTAGATTCGTTCATAACTACCAAGGGAAAGGCGTATGAAGAGATCGCGAAGGAGGTGGTTGCATCGTATCCCTCATGTCAGCCCGCATGGAACCAGAATATTGCCCCAAAAAGTAGGTAATCTTCTAACAGATGTTTGGTCCTGTCATCTGCTAAGAGTATCTGCCAGGATGTCTCGTCATCATCGACTCGATGCACCCTCTGCTTTCCCCCAGAGGCGGCGTAGACCCGGTCTATCTGCCTGAATATCTCAGCTCGGTGCTGGGACCTCCATCTCCGCATATGCAGGCCTCGCTTGTCCTGGTGTATCATCGCCATATATCTCCTTCGCTCAGCTCGAACCCTTATGCGCCATCCCCGCTATCACTGTTGACATACCTTGCCACGACGATAATTACAACCCATTCGATCTCCCAGATGCTTGCTCGGAGGGCAGCTCTGGACAGGAGCCTTGCGCCGCCAGTTTTTGGACTAGAGGAAGAAGTCGATGGGGTTTTAATTGGGAGAGTAAACCAACACGCCAAGGGAGAACGTCATGATGGTATCGTGATGGAGATGGAGCATAGACGGAAGAGCGGGCGAGGCATAGTCGAATGGTATCTTCTACCTCACGCATCTAAATATCACGCCAAGCAAGCTACGGAAGTGGTGATTCTGCTGGACGACCACCCACTGTACAAGCGGAAAGATGTTGAAGTGAAAGGGGATTCCTGGGAACCTGAATCGACCTTTGAGCTTGGGTTGACAGAGAGACAACGGCGAGATAGGGATAACGTGGTGCTGCCTTATTTCGACGCGCAGAAAGGTGATGGCCCCGGAGAAGGCGGGCGGATCCTCTATGATATGGGCGAAGAAGACGATTTTGACGAGGAAGAGGACGAAATTTGAACAGCCCCGTCATTCGTTCGAGAAGGCACCCAGAGTTCTCCTGCAGCTCATCCAATTTCCAGGTTCATCCACACTTGTGTGGTCTCTTCGACAATTCCTGCCCTGTCTGACCAAGAACTAAATAAGAGAAATAGCTCGGGCTGTCACGGCTTTACACGCTAAGCTACAACATGGATGAAGCAATCCGACTGAAGGAGAATAGCGTTGCCGTTTGGAAGGACGTGGTGTGTGTCATTATGAATATTAATGCATGCACTAGAAGAACCGCCACCAGATGAGAACGATAAAGATAAAACCAACTCCCGCAAACGGACCATACTAGGGGACTCGTTAGTACCTTGGGTGCTAGTGCAAGGGAGGGAAACAGTCAGCCCTTACCTGTTTGAGCAGCAACTCCCAGTTTATTCGAACAGCCGCCTTCCGGTATTTCTTACTGTCCTCCCGCAGCCTCCCCGACATTTCTCCCATGCGCTCCAAGCTGTCACCCCGATATAAGAGATCTTCTATATTCTTCGTCATAACCTTGGTCACATCCTTGAGCTCATCATTCAGCTTATCGATGTTCTGCGACGCCCGGCTATCTTGATACGTCTTCTTGGTGCGCTGGATAAATGAATCGAACTCGACAAAGGCGTATGGCCGTAAGTTAGAGGAGAGATACTGTGTTGGCGAATAGGTGGTGAAGAACTCTGCCGCGATATCTGAGAGATATGTGAAGGCGAGTTTGCGGGGGTACGACTGGTCTGCGATGCACAGGAAGCAGATGTCATCCTGGATAATGTAACTAGACGTCGACCAGTCAAGTTAGCAACCGCCACGAAAATGATCATATCGCCCTCGCCCTTTTCTCTCTATATCCTTTTCTTTTGGGGGTGCGTCCATACTGTAGACTGTAGTGCCCTGAAGATATACTGGCTTGTTGCTCCGAGCTGCGATTTAATCTGGCGAGTATCTCCTTGGTCTGCGATTTGACCTCTGAGAGCTCTGACTCGGCCTGTAAAGCATCTGTTAGCACACCTATCCACTCTAGTGTTATTCTCCTTTTGTAGCCAAACACTCGCCTGTTCATTGTCCACAGAAGCCGCCAGCATGAGGCCTAGAAAGTGTTTCACTTAGCCACCCACCCTGTCCAGACGGAGAGGAACACCCACCATCTAGCCTGGAAATCTGCGTTGATTTGACCATATCGAAGACCCTTATCGTTCTCGCACTCGGTTTACTGTCTGTTTGTCGATAGCTGCCTGGAATAATTGCACAGCTTGAAGCCAGATTGTTTTTTTTCTACTTGAGCTTCTGCGCCCGTTTATTTACCCCCATGAAGCGCAAGGCGGTGGCGGCCGGCAGAACTAGCTCCGAGATAACGACGTATGTATAACAACAGCTTTCTTCCCTTTATTCTTCTGGACAATGCAATGATGCTAAGCTGTGCACGCGAATAGGGGCGTAGAGCTGACGGCGCCGTACGATGCGGCTCATGCGAAAAGGTCGAGCCGATCTTCTAAGAAGATGTCCTCTAATGGAGCCAAAGCGGCCACCGCAAAGCGCAAGTCCGGCAGGGCCACCAAGAAGAACCCCTGGAGCGATGAAGACTTCGTGACCACAAGCGATAAATCGCCGCTTATTGACATTGATCTGGCTGTACGTGATAATCCCTTAAGGAGCTGTCGGGCTTTGGTGACGAATTCTTTTACTGATATACAACAATGCGTAGAAACTCCTTGCTAAACCGGAGGCATGGACATGCCTGGACGAGGCAGAAAAGAAGGAGATTCTTGCTCTTCTACCAGAAAGTGTACATCCTGTACACGAACCGTCTGCTGAGAATCCGGATGGGATCATTCCACCCTTATCGGAGGAGTTTCTTCGGTACTCAAACGTTTGGCGTGACGCAACACGTCAATTCCAAGTTGACCTACAGAACGGAAAATTCGACCCCCAGTGGTTAAGCCAGGCGCAGAAAGCAAGAGAGGAACGAGAAGCAGGCAAATTTGATGCCCGAAAGGAACGTGACTTTGAGGCATTCTGGGGACAGAAGCAGAGGTATCACACCGATGCTCCGGCCGGCGATAGCGCAACGGTCAGCTTCCAAACCTTGGTTGCCGATGGCGTGTTTGAGGTTGGGGATGTTTGGAAATACTCTCGAGCTTCCGGCAAGGGAGCTAAAAAGATCTTGGTTGAGAAGGAAGTTGCAGTATGTCCTTCACCCCCTCGCCCGTCTTTGGCCGTATTTAGCTCATCAAAAGCCATCATATAGGTTGTCAGCGTGGATGGAAAGACCCTTACATTTGCCATCCCTCCTGGTCGACGTGTGATGTTGTCTTCTACCACCAGGGATCAGCCAGAGACGCATGCCAAACTAGAAGCCAAGCAGGAAGCTGGGCCGAAGGTTGAACCTGAACATAAAGCTGAACACAAAGCTGATCCCGAAGAGAGCGCATCTAAGGAGAAAACAAAATCTGTTTCCCCTAAACCTCGAATTCATGATGAAGAAAAGCGCAGTGTTGCCCAAGAATATATCGAAGCTAACAATCAAGCTGGGTTTACCTCGGAGTTCATAGCTGAGTTGAATCAAATAGCGGCAAGTGAGGATCAGAGGAATACCAAAACGATTGCCGGGAACTCTCTACCCATTTTGGCCGACATAAAAAGTGCCGCAACGACTCACTCACCAATGGACATTGAAGCACCGGAGACAACTCTGCCTGAACTTGAGCCTGACGCAACGAACGAGCCCGATGCTGTTTATATAGATATCGAGCCTACTACTGAAACCGCCATACCCAATTCAGCAGACACAAAAAGTGCGCCCACTACTCAATCGCTGATGGACATCGATGTACCAGGGACAACTCCGCCCGTCGTTGAGCCCGACTCTAGTGAGAAGCCTAATAACGTCAACGGTCAGGAGCTGGCTGGAAATCTAATCAGTGAGGATTCCGAAGACGACAGTTGCAGCAGTTTGTCTGACCCACCAAATGTCATAGAAGAGATAGACGATGAGGATTTCCACAACTCCCTACAAGAATTGGGATATGCGCCCCCAAAGGGCGTACCTAGTTATACAAGGCCTTGCGTTCCCAACGCTCAACCAGTTATACAGCCCACGGAACCCGACATGGTTGTTGTAGAGGATCAAAAAGTCAGCGCTCCCTGTATTACAATCGCTGCGCAACCTGCCGATCCCAGCTCAGAGGTACCAAATGACACGATTACCCTCCCTCCTGGTGGTGATGGTCGATCACCTGCGGAACTCGAACCACCAGCCGCAGAGGTACCGGATGATACGAACCATTGTCCTCCCACAGAACCTACACCGCCAGTCACAGAGGTACAATACCGTAACAACACTTGCCCCTCCAACACTCAAACAGCTCTACACCCCGAAACACCTCATCTGGTCATGGGAGGCGATGTGAACGACTGCGCTTCCAATCCCCCAATGGATTTGCAAGTTCCGGAGCCTGGTTCAATGGAATCGGACAAACCGAACACTTGCTCCTTGAATACTTGCGATGATCAACCCGAGGAGCCATCGAAAGCACTACCATCGAGGGCAGTTGATGAGACAAATACCACCTCCTCTGCTCCTCAAACTAGTGTATCTGCAGGATCCAGCAGTGACAACCAAGTGATATTTCCTGATGTTGCAGGACCTATGGCTCTATCCCGGAAAATCCATGAGCTCGATGGGCGAGAAGTATCTAGTCGGATTGCAAATGCATGGATGCTTTTCCGCTGTATTCGAAACAATCAGGATATGGGAACTCTCTGGGAAGTCCGCCACAGTTGGTACGTGCGATCTAAACGTGGATGAGGATCTATTAACCGCGTCCCACGAGCCAAAGCTACAGACTTTGGCATGGATATAGAACATGGATTCAGTCGTATCATACTTGTAAAAAAAGGAACAAATATGATTTATGATGTGCCCGTGATCCCTGAATTTGCGTGTTATGACGCATGCTTTGGCTTCACGGCCTGATCCCGCTTGGGTTTTAGATCAAGTGCATAGCCTAACAGCATATTGGCGGGGATACGGGATGGAGTATGGAGTACTTAACATGAGCTTTTTAGCAATTTATGTATAATGAATACGAATATGCACGTAATATTTCACTCTCGGAGCCCACCCGCTTTATATAGATGTTGACGTCAACCAAGACTACACTGATATGTCCAACTCAGGCCTCTACCTGAGCAACGGTCTCCTCGTTCGTGACCCTCGTTGGGCTCTCTGTGCTATTTATATCCACGGCACAGCTACACTCGATAAAGTCTTCCAGCTCCTCGCTGACAGTCTTTAGCTTTTCCTTGACGCACGCCACAGATTCTGCACCAACGATATGCCGTGCTGGCGGGTTCTCGTGGCCTCCAATCGCGGTGACTGCGTGCATAGTTTCTGCCATTAGCATTTCTAGATGCTCTGACCCAAGTGGCGGATATAGCGAGACACCGTTCGGCGACGAGAGAGGCAAGGTATGCTCGTTACTCTCCTTTGACGACTCCTGCTTCACGCTACCGGGAGATGAGGTCGATGCCTGTGATGCCGGAGAGAGATGCGGTGACCGGCCGTACCCGCTCACACCCGGGAGCTGGGAGAGGACGCTGTTCATAATTCCTCGGAAAAGGGGTGCATGGTTCTGGGTTGGTGAGTAGGCCGCGAGCGGTGGCACGCTGGTGACCAGGTTGGACAGTACTCCGGTCTCAACGCTACTTTGGAGGATTGTAATTCGGATATTGAACGGTGCCACCTCGTATGCGAGACTCTGTTATATCAAAAAATTAATTTAACCATGCAGGACTAGGCATTCACGGCCTTGGGGGAGGGTTGGCATGCTCACGTCACAATAGCCGTCTAATGCCCATTCTGCAGCGCAGTATACCCCTAGGCCCGGTGTACCAATATGTCCAGCTATGATTAAAGACGCCGTCAGTACTCCGTCCTTACGTAGTAGGAATTAGACAGGGGCCGGGGTATATATGACATACTTATTCCACCCAGAACCATGAGATGACCGGATCTCTGGAGTCGCATCTGCGGGAGAGCCGATTTGATTAAGTTCACGGGTCCAAAGTAATTTGTTTCAAACTGGTCTTTTAATAGCATCCTCGCACGCTCAGAGGTTGCAAGCTCCTCGACAGATCCAACGACAGCTACAGGAGTCAACATTAGCAGGTGTTGGAATAAGATCGAAAGGGGTATATCACCTTGGCTGGTACAGCAGAGAATGATATCAATCCTCCCGTATTTGCCTATAGCACCAGCAATAGCAGCTTGACAGTCGCTCATCACCCTGTAGACAACCGAGATAAGCCCATGTATTCACCCAAATAGGCAAATGGTGTTAAGTTCGTCAATTTATATCCCCCGTACCTGATATCAAGGGTCACCACCGCCAGCCTCTCTTTCCACCCGCCGGTATCTTTCCCGGCCTCTGCATTCTCCAGCTCTTCGAGGAAGCTCTCAAAAGCGACGAGCCTGGGATTCCGTTTCTCAGAGTCTACCGGGGACCGGCCGCAAACCACATAGTCGCCATGCGCGAGTATCTGGCGTGTCAGCGATATCCCTATGGCCGAATCGCCGGAAGAAAGAAGCCAGACTCGCGGATTCTCGTGCGCGGGGAACTGAGATTGACCTGCGCCTGCGCCTGCGCCAGTGCCTGCTTGGTTGTCCATTATAGATTCACTTTGCGCGCGGATTGACGGCCCATCTCGAGGTTATGCGGAGGCTCGAGGTTGCGTGGAAGGTCGACTCCCACGGCGAGTGTATATATATATCATGCTATGTCGGAGTTGAAGCGAGCGCATATGGTGAAGTAGTTAGTTCTCTTATCGGGTCCGGCCTTACTAGCTGTATCCAAGCCCCAGGCGATAACGTAAAAGCAAAAAGTAATCGTCCTCCAACGTGTTCTCCTGAGAACTTCCTCCCCCCCGTCCAGCGAATTCTTCCACAGACGGCCGAACCAGCTTCGCATATCCGATCTCTAGGTTTCGCTTCGCCAGCCAAAATGCCGGAAGCGCCCAGAGCTAATGCGCGGGACGAGGATACCGTGAGTTTTGCACTGTTACGGCTACTTGGACCGCTGTCGTTACCGCCACTAACATGAGCTCTCTGCAAGCTGTAGTCGGCTCTTAAGCCCATGCTAAAGGGGTTTATTATGCTGGTGGTCTCCCAATTTGTCTTGTCGAAGGCGATGAACTACTGGGGCTCGTCGAAACCCGCTGCCGGTGGTGCTGATGGCGCCGGCGGTGCTGTCCAGAACGCGCTCCCGAAGTTCGCTGAGAGACCAGACCAGGATACGATTACAAACGGGAGTTTTATTCCTGCAAAGATCCTGCCGATATGGGAGACAAATACCAAGCTGGACATCGCCATACACGTTACGCCGTCGACTACGTTCCCGCTTCCGAAGGATAGCAAGGTGCTAGATGAGAAGGATTTCAATTTTGGAGACTCAAAGGAAGCCAGGGAGATCAGCACCACCCTGTTCATCCCCAAGGCTGTGCAAAACAATGAGACTCTATGGGCTCATTTCTTCGTCGCACTTGCTGGCCAGCCACAGTATTCAACGGAGAAGGATTATAGCTCTGACACGGCTTATAACTTCTCGTACCCGCTCAACCAATATCTTCCAAAGAAGAAGTCTAAGAAACTCCGGAACCTACTTGATGCAGCGGAAGAGACTGAAGTCGTGGAAGAAGAGCCAAAGACAGTTCAGATTGGCTCGTTCTATCATCCAAACGTCACAGTGTCGCTGATTCCCGATCAGGGTGCTATGAATTTCCAGACTATCCATGCCTCCGTTCGCCGATTCGTTCAACTCGAGCGGACTGGTGCCAGGGACGGCTCCGGCCAGGTTGGATGGTATTATCCAACTTTCTTTGTAAATCGCTTCTGGCAGCTCAGAAGCCATATGACCGAGCTCAACTCTACTGTTAGCGAAGTCCCGTTGCGTATTACTCTGAACCACGTCAAAAACTGGCAGTTCGCTATCATGTCCAGTATCGAGGACGACTCGAAGCAAAAGCAACACCAGGCCGCTTTTGGTGGATCAATTCCCACAACCTCAGGTGACGGAAGTGAGGTTGAAATGATCAAGGAAGTTCTCTTGGATACCAATATTTACCTTCTTATCACCACCGGAGTTGTCGGTATTTTGCATACGATTTTTGAAGGTCTTGCCTTCAAGAGTGACATCGTAAGTGATAGCCGTCTCCCATCCCTCCTAGCGCATTTTGTATGTCAATGGGTTGTACTTACTGAAATTTCCCGTTAGGCCCACTGGCGCCAGAAGAAAGACGTCGTTGGAACCTCAGTCCGCACCATTATTGCAAACGTTTTCATGCAATTGGTCATCTTCCTGTACTTGCTTGACAACAACGAAAACACCTCTTGGATGATCCTTGCCGGACAAGGTTTTGGTATTGTGATCGAAGCTTGGAAAATCACCAAGTCGGTCAATGTTCGCTTCCGCCCTCCTCCAGCTGGATCATATCTGTCGTTCCTCCCGTATATCATTGTCTTTGAAGACAAACACAAACTCACCGAAACAGAGAAGAAGACCCAGGAATACGATGAGATCGCGTTCAAATGGTTGTATGTCGCTGCCGTTCCTCTGTTGATCGGATATGCGATTTACAGTCTGATGTACGAGACTCATAAATCATGGTATTCGTACGTCATCGAGACGCTTGTCGGCAGTGTCTATGCCTATGGATTCCTCATGATGGTCCCTAGCTTGTATATCAACTATCGACTCAAGGTATGCGAACCCCACTGGCAGACTAAAGAGATAATGATCCCGTTTTTAGCTAACTGAAAGTCACAATAGTCTGTTGCACATATGCCAGGCAAAGCTCTCACCTACAAGTTCCTAAACACATTCATCGATGACCTTTTTGCATTTACCATCAAGATGCCAACCCTACACCGCATCGCCACTCTCAGAGATGACGTGATCTTCTTCATCTGGCTTTACCAAAGCTGGAAGTACAAGGTTGACTACAAACGAGTCAATGAATTCGGCCAAGGAGGAGCAGACGACGAGGAAGAGGAAAACAAAAAGAAGAATGAGATTACCCATCAAAGCGAGGAGAAGACCTCCGGTGATGATTCGAAGTCTGTCGAGCCATCTACCCCCGCAGCCAATGTGGGTGAGGCATCTTCATCTGCGAAGGCGTCATCAAAGGGTTCGGCGCGGAAGAGAAAGTAGGTAGAGCGCAAACGGGGTTCAACCTGACCGGGCAATTCCGTACAGGGCGGCCATCAAGCACGTTTTTGCCGCCATCAGGAAGATGCTGGAATCAGAAGGTATCGTAAAACCATATATACGAACAATCGGTTAATATCCCTAATAGAGTCCGCCTCTCGATTTGTTGATAGCAATTGCACTTTTCGTCCATATATTGCCATATACCTTGTCCTTAAGATGCAATGACCCATGGTGGCTCCCTGCTATATTGTGCAATAGTTCGACATGTATACAAAAAACTTTCAGGCTACCAGGTATATTAACACGTAGATAGCATATGTAACGTAGAGTAAACACCGAACCTTGTATTCCCTGATAATAGTCAATATACTTAGCCCACCCATGGCACTTGGACAATTCATTTAATAATAATGAGCCACACATGTGGCATACATGGACAATATACCATGGTGTTTCAGTTTATAGGCCGAGGCCCTCTGACCCACACTCCCTCTATTGCCGTCACAAAGCAGACGACAATGTTGTGGTATGTTTCTTCTACGGAAGTCCGGAGTATGGCCTAATGAAAGAGACGAGATGATAAGGCGCAGCTTGTCGTATCCCGAGACGAATATATCCCTCCCGCCGCCCCTGTGACTACAAGATTGAGAATAGTAAGATCGTCGCTCCCACCCCTGTGAATACCCGGGGTTTCTCTCCACACTCTCAGAGACATTGGCATCACGACAAAACTCTATGCTGAGAAGACCGCAAGAATGCCACGAGTAGTTGATTAACTTTGCCGGTGTTGGGGGCGGGGATTGCTTGCTTCCCTCATAACTCTATGTTGGGCGTTCCAGGGGTGAAGCAGTCAGTAGACACTTTTCACCTTCAAAGCGTGCATGAAGACGATCATCATTACCATAATTCTGGGAATTTCGGGTTTTTACATTGGGTCAGCAAAACGGCTGGGGTGTGTGTAGCCTCTTGGCCCCATTCCGAGGAAGTATAAGCCTGCATATACAAAGCGGGTGCGTTGTATACATGCGTTATCTCTCTTGGTTTGACTTTGGCGGGATTGCATTGCCTTTGATACCCTTGGAGGCTGGGTGGGCATAATAGAGTGGTACCCTTCCCCTGACCCCAGGAGAAACGCTGGGAATCCGCGGCTCAAGGGAGGGCTACCCCAGCGCAAAAACGCACGATATACTTCCTTTAGTGCTGAGCGGGGTAAAAGAAGCAGAAGAAGTCGAAGATTGGAGTGTAGATGCCCAGCTCCAGCTGCCATTCCCTTATGCTAGAGGGCACCCGGCGCCCAGGACGATCTGCCATGGCCTGGCAGCAAGGCTAGTCCGCGACGTTGGCTAGCACGTTATGCTGACGGCAGGAAGACGAATCAACGCGCGGAGTGCCCCTGGCTAACGAACGGATAATTCGACCACATCCCGTAGAGCTGGAGCGCGCGTGGTTAGTTTGGCAGGCAGGCTTCTGGCCGCTAGCTATTATTCCGTGTCCTCGGGAATGCAGCTGAAAACGGCCAAGGGGCGACCATATCCCTGCAGCAGAGGCGAGAAAGTATAATATACAAGAGCCAGCGCGCTGAGGGGAGCGTATACTCGCGATGGCAGCGCAGAGGCTAGCAGAAGCGAGCGCAGGGGCGAAACAAGGGCGAGGGTTGAAGAATGCGCATAGCAAGTTAAAGGATGAAGATGAAGACACCGGCCAAAGATACCGCGGTCGTTGTGGTTGCCTTTTTTAATATAAAGAAGTCACATGAGCAGGATATCTTGGCATTGTTTATCTCCCGGGTTAATAATATCCCGTGCCAAGACCGGATTAAGCTCGTGGAGCGATCGCCCGAGGATCTGCCGATCCATCAACATCTCAATATCAATATCAACATCTCGACTTCATATCTCAACTTCATCATCATCATCAACTTCATCATCATCATCACATACATCTATCATATCAGATATCATATATCAACAGATATGCGCTAGATGCAGATGAGGTGGGTGCGAGATCTGAAACCACGGACGATGGCTTGGCTCCAGGTTACCCCAGGTTCTCCATCTCGAACTGCTAGCCTGGGCGTCATTTGCGGCTTCTTTCTCGTGGCTTCTTTCGGAGATACAGATCTCCGTGTTTGTTTCTTCCATTTATATACCTGGGTCACCGGCGTGCTGAACGTGCCGACCGCGTGAACCTGTGCTGAGGTCGTAGCTTAGGCTGAACGCACATGGGCCCGGGGTCGGGCTTCTTTCTTTTTCCGTTTGCTTTCCCTCCCCTGGGGCTGGCATATTAATTCTGCAGCTAACAGTTGGCCTAGCTCACCTCCATTTAAAATGGAAATTAAATTTTCAAGAATGATTGTCACGGGTTTTTAACTTCCGTTGGCGAATAGAGCACCACTTGCCTGCAGAACAGCGTCTCCACGTCTCCCCTCCTCCCTCTTCCTCACCCCCCCCTCCTATCTCAGATAGCCCGGTTGCTGTGACTTGGCACGGACTGTATATGCTCTGAGGCTGCGGTCAGGTGGGAGGGAAGACGGCTGGCTTGAACCACGGAGATGCAACGTTGCCACGAATTGGGTCATTCTGGGCATGGCGAATGGAGGTTTGCGCTCGCGTATGGCCGGTAGAGAAACACGAACCTGTGGTCTATAGCGGAACTCCGCTATCGTTCTGTGCCACCCAGTCTACACATGCAGACGACTTCCTGGAAAAGTTATATAAACCCAGTGCTTCCCCCGCCGATCTGTTTATTTCAGTTCGACATCACCCCTCCTCACTATCCATCTGAGACATCAGCTGCTTCCTTGCCAAATATATCAATATGAAGACTTCCGCCATTCTCGCCGTTCTGGCGCAGGCCCTCATTGTCACTGCTCAGCCAGTCGAGGGTGACAGAAACCCAGGCACTCGCACCCTGGACCTCCCCAACTTCCCTGGTGGCAGCTTCCCAACCCGCGGTGTTGAGAACCGCGATCTTCCTCCAGACAACGGTGGCGGTGCCGCTCCCGACCCAGACAAGGTCCAGATTGTCGGCGTCACCTATGGCGGCACCGGATGCCCCGACGGAACCGTCGCCCACGTTCTCTCTGACGACCGCCAAGTCATGACCCTCATCTTCGACCAGTACGTTGCCCAGATCGGACCAAACGTCAACACCAAGGAGAACCGCAAGAACTGCCAGTTGAACATCAACCTCCGATACCCCGGTGGCTTCCAGTTCTCTATCTTCTCCGCCGACTACCGTGGTTACGCCAACCTCGACAAGGGTGTCACCGGTGTCCAGAAATCCATCTACTACTTCTCTGGCCAGACCCAGCAGGTATGCATACTATAGTGACTTATATATAACTATATACTAATACACGATCTAGACCTCCACAAGCACCACATGGAACGGTCCACTTGACAAGGACTACATCCTCCACGACGAGGCCAACCAGACCTCCACTGTCTGGTCTCCTTGCGGAGCTAACGGTGCTTTGAACATCAACTCCCAGGTCCGCCTTACTGCCAGCGACCGCAACGCCCGCGGTATCCTCACCAACGACTCTGTCGACACCAGCTTCAAGCAGATCGTCCACGTCAGATGGCAACAGTGCACCAACTAGATCTCCTAGGAGACTATGGAAGAATTCCCAGCAGCTCGATGATAGAATGCAACACTTGAACAGTCAGCGAACTTTCTAGCAAGCTCGCCAAATGTTCTTGTCGAGTCAAGCTTGGGTGGTTTCCGCGGCTCAGCCCTGGCCCTGTACTTATTTACTATTCTTACATTGGCTGACTCGCTTTCATTATTTTTGAAACCCAATTACTTTATCCCCGTTTTCATACTTTTCCCGATTTGCATTCATGTATCTAAGTGTCGCTCAATCGCCCCGTCTCTAAGCCATCTGGGCTTAGCTGCTATTCCTTTCTTGTTACAGAGAATAGTCTAGGATGCATAGATATACTATACCTTCGTTTGCGAAAATATCTTGGGCCTCTATCTCCTCTACCAATTCATGCTCGTAGTAAAATTAAAAGTAGCGACCCAATACTCAAGAAGTGTCCTGATTATATAAGCAGGATTTAAACGTTCGTTCCTGAATTGGGATGTTTCCAGGGGCATCGCGTCTGACGCGCTATACAACAAATCAACGACCATAATCAAGAATTAACGGGTGCTTATGCTACAATGGCTTGGACGTTAGAAGAGGCTGTAACACAGCTTGAGAGTGGTAAAAATCAAATCCCTCCACGTTAAAATGAAAAAAAAAAATTTACAGGATCACGCTAATTGCGTCTAGTCGCCAATGTCCCTCCAAAGCAACGACATACAAATGTTGCAGAGCTTACGAAAGTGATTGCATCTACTGCGTATGAATCAGGCCTGGGGACTAAAATCTTGGGCCGGATCCTAAAAGTCATCGTGTCATCCAGGCACCTTGATCAATCAACTGTGACTTCAATAGTCAAGAATCTTTACCCATCTGAAAGAGTTCCATCCAAGATCGTAACCAGAGTCATTTGCGTGCTGGGAGCCACCAAAAGCAAGCCATCTCCAGCTACACAAAACCTCCTTTTGAGATGGCTCCTCCTTGTCTATGATAGTCTGGCAGATCAGGCTCATTTGTGGAGATTTTATAGTATCCTCTTTGATAATTTGGATATGATCAGTTTACGCCGTCCGATATGTCATATCCTGTCACTTATCACACGGCGGAAACACGTGAAGCCATTCCGGATATGGGCACTTCTGGAACTGATACGAAATACCGGTGGCGATGAAAGAGAGCTCTGGGGGTTGCTGCGGGTGTATAAAAGCTATTATCCTGACATCATTATCGACGATACCGCTATACCTCGTAGGAAAGCTACTTACTTCTTCAAACATCCGGACCCGGAATGGACCGCTCATATGAAAATGCTGCAGGAAAAGGCTGCAACCACTACTTCCCAGGCAGCCCCAGAGAGTTTCCAAGCCATTCGTCGAGACGGCGTCAAAAGAAGCCGCATTGAGGTTGTAATACCAGTACCCAAAACTTCTCGAGTCCGGCGGGGTTTCACCTCACTAGAAGAACTCAGCAACGTGCGAGACTTTGTGAACAAGCTGGATAAAATTGAGCTGCCCAACCAAATAGCGTCAGCTTTAACGGAGCCCCTGACCCAAAAATTCCTGCTCCTTGTTCAGAATAAGGAAGCCTTGGAAAGGATGGAAAGCTGGCTTACAAGCTTCTTCGAAGATGAATTAGACCAGCTTCATGAGGAAGGGCAAAATCCGTCAGAGGAGCTTGGGCTTGCCCTTGATATGTTGGTTCGATATGTCAGATACACCAAGGCAAGTTTTCGCAAACCAAAAATAAAATAAACAATTTTAGAAAACTAACCAATGTTACCCTTCATAGTCCTTCCCTGAAGCCGTGGATAATTTCCTCCAAACTTACCTACCAGTATGGGATGGGATAAGCAATCGAACAGTGATACTTGATCTCCTCGAATATGTACCCATTCATGATGCCGGACTTTACGGACAGTATCTCCTCCCGCTTGAAAGTGCGATTTTGGATAATACTACGGAGTCTAAAAGTTTGCTTCTCCGATATTACGCCGCATTGATCCGCCGTTATGGCAGCATTCTTCGGTCGAATACCCCCGTTAACCAAGCACTCGACCTGGCGACCATTATAAACAGGGCGGAGTTGGTATCATTGACTTTACTCGAATGTCCAGTCACCCCCGACTTCGAAGAGCCCAAGGCTGAGAAGTCTTCTAGCTCATCCATCATTCAATTCTACGTACAGCTGGCTGAGTTATACCTCCATGCGCCCACCAACAGCCTAATACGGTTGAATACTCCGCCTCCTGAAAGCGTGTATATTCTCTTATTCACTCCCATCCTCAGCCACCTCTCGTTGATGAGCACCGTGATAGCGAACTATAAATATTCCTTTGAACAGTCCCTAGCAACTACAGCATCCGCTGATGGTTCCTCTAGGAGGCCATATCCAGACGCTGTGGTAACTAATCTTAATGGACATGTGCTAGATGTCTGCAACTTACTGTGGCGCAACAGGGGATTAAATGGCGATGAGCCTAATGCTCTTGGCTGTCTCGTTAGAGAAGAAGTTGCTAAATTGCTCACCGAGTATATCCAGGGGGTGGGCGAGGACCTAGCAAAGAATGGCAAAAATGGTGGTATTTACAGGCTGCGACTTGCATCTATATTTTCCCTGAGCCATCACACTGCGCTATGTGGTATGTCAGCGATGTGTTTCAGGAATTTGGAGTCTAATGCAGGAAAGGACGGGCAACATGTGTCGGCACGGTTAACATGGCCGGTAACGCAAAAAGCGCTGAATGCTTTGAACAAAACAGGTGGGATTAAGGTCGATTGGCAAGAGTATAGGCTGAAAATGCTAGAGTGGTTGGACGAGCATGGGTCTGGGGGAATCGGGCGGCTGATGAGAAATTCGATGATGACTCTGCGGCAAGGGTAGAAGTAATCCAAATGCGGCTATCATTAAGTCGATATATCCGGGCAATTAACGTAGATATCCTGAACACTGGGGTCGTCCCGAAGTTCGTTGACTATGTTCTCTACCGTGCTAAGGGCCTCTTCAGATTCGATATTGACAAGCGTGTCCTGGTTTGGATCCCATATAATATCGATACTTTCTGTGATCAAGTCTGTAGTAGTAGAAAGCTTGTCAGCTACCGATTTTGTAGCTGTATGCTCGGTGTAAACTATGAGTCGATTATCCTCATCTCCCTCTACATCGGTTGCACCGGCATCTATTGCTGGTTCGAGGTATTTATCGACGTCTAAGTCGGGTTTGCGTTCGAACACGATTTTTCCCTTCTTCTCGAAAAGGTAGCTCGTAGGGGTATTTGCTCCTCCAGAACGCTTGATGATTGCTCGTATATCTTGTAGGGCCCGGGCTTTTTGATCTGTCAAGCATTCAACCACGACAGCAACTGATGATGGTAACATTCCCTCAATGGTGAGAGATTCCAGGGCCGTTCCAGCTGTATTAATGCCTTGTCCTCTTGCAATTGCCGCTTCTATAGTCGGTTTAGGCATTCCGCTCCGTTTAGCGTTCGCTATCACAAGAGCAAGACGGGGGTTTGACTTCGGGTCGGGTCCGTATACTATCAACAGCAATTGGGAGTTTAGCCCAACGACACGTAGAAAAATACGGAGCAACAGGTAAAGGATAGCGTACATTTAGATGCTTGAATAAGATCTTTACTGAAAATCTGACGTTCTTTGCTCTTTGCAGCGTCATTTTTGCCTTTATCATGTCGGATGGTCGACCAGCGATTGTGTCCCGATTGAAGTACCGGGCCGCTTGATATATATCGACAGCTGCTGCAAATCCATGGCTGTTGGCTCCGAGAGCTTGTAAGAAGCTTGCGGCCCCAAGTTGCCGCCATCGTGAAGAATCCGGGGAGTAATGGATATAACTAAGAAATTTATGCGAGGTCTCCCTGCTATCTTGAAGCTCGAAGCTTGGGGGATATCGGCCGTAAGTTAGTCCGGACCCGCGATCGTGGGCGCAACTTGGATAACGTAGCTAAATAGTTTAAAGCTGAGCATCAGGGAGAAGTAGATAGCATGCCTTGAACGATATATACATATAGGATCGATGTCTGCTTCCGAAAGTGCTGTTAATCAGCCTACCAGCGATGATTCCGCCCCGTCTCGCACCGAACTCGACATATCGAAGCTGCATGCTCTCCCCTCCGAGCAGCAGGACCTCTACCTCCTTACCTTCACCTCAGACCTTGTCCAGTATACTGTGACTCTAGACAAGGAGACACTATGCGCGCAGCAGAACTTTATAAAGCAAGAACTATTTAAAATCCTTCGGCTCGTCTCTCCGGTGCCAACTCGGGTAATTCGAAATGGCATAGGCCGCTGTTTCAGCGCTGTGTTTTCAAAAGGGAATAGGGCCAGTCTTTTTGATACCGTTACGGAATTGATAGGGATTCTTAATGCCGGAAAGAATGAGGTTGATTTGAAAACGAAGTTCGCGGCCGCCGTGGCTTTGGGGGATATATTCGCTGCTGCAGGCGACGGCGCTGTTGGTCAATCAAGTGCCACCTGTTCAGCAATACTTAAGCTTCTGAAGCTGGCGCAGAACAATGCCGGGCTACGATATTGCATTTTTGTCTCGGTGCGGAAGGTTATAGTTGGGGTTGGCGCGCCAATTGACGAAGTTACGGCTCGCGATATATGGAAACATGCTCGAAATGCTGCGGTTAATGACAAGGCGCATAATGTCCAGGCGGGGTCATGCTCATGCCTTCAGGAGCTAGTCAAGTCTACTCCGTACTTCAGGAACACCAATGATTACGAGTATTTGAAAACTACTTTATGGAAAGTTATGGATAGCCCGGTTGCTTCAGTGAGGCATGGGGCAGCAGGTTGTCTCGCAGCTTTCTTAGTGAGAGCTCATTCTGCCGTTCCTCTCTTGAACTCAAAGCCTGCCGCCCTCCGGCCGAAGAAACAGCTCAAAAGACAGCCCACTGATCCCGTGGATGGCGATATTATGGAAAGAACTCAGTCTCCATCAGGCCGCAAGACCGACAATTCACTGTCATTCAAGATGGGTGACCTGCTATCACAGCTTTCGGCCCACTACTGTAAACCATCAACGGGAAACCGGGCTAGGGCTGCCATTGCAGTGTGCTACGAACTTTTACTTAAAGATTTCGGTGGGAAGGTGGTCGAGGATTATTATACCCAGATTGCTGATCACTTGCTTAGCACTCTTCTAAACCATCCAACTGTGACCTATAGCCGGTACCGCCTTCTTTTGACCCGGAAGTTTGTCAAGCATATTTTGGAAGATGTATTAGGACGTGAAATGCTACGTGAAAGCAGTCAATTGAACGCAGCTAAATGGATTTCCAATGATATCCTCAAGGATTATCCCCAAGTGGTCCAAGAACGCCGAGAGCCGAGCAAATATACCCTCATAAGTGCGCTCAGCGCACTATCTTCGCTTATTGAATCTCTTGGATCCGCCGCGGCGACAATCGCAGACTCCTGCCGCGAAGCTTTACTTCAAGTTCTGCAGCACCCGAGTTTTAGTGTCCAGGTCCATATTTCCCATTGCATGCGCAATTTCGTTGTAGCATGTCCTCAGCAGCTACTTTCGTGTGTGACAGTGTGTATGAATAGCTTAACTAGAGAGTTAGGTCAGCTATCATCGATTCGCATGTCTGCCCCCCGCTGTCTAGGCTATGCACATGCGCTTTCCGCCATGCTAAGCACATCCCGGCTTCAGCCACTATATGGTTCCGTTGATGTTTACGCACAGGTCCTATCACAAGCTACTGACCTTCTTAAGACAAGTGGTGATTCGGAGCTTCGAGTTGCTAGCACACAAATTCAAGTGGCCTGGATTCTAATTGGAGGTCTGATGCCCTTGGGCCCCAATTTCACGAAAATACACCTCTCACAGCTACTATTGCTGTGGAAAAATGCTTTGTCGCCCCTAGCAAAAGAGACGCTTGTTAAGCGTGGCCCTTTGGAAATGAGCTTCCTAGCCCATGTCAAGGAATGTGCTCTAAGTTCTATCCTCGTCTTCTTGGAATATAATAGTAAACTTATTACCTTGGATGGATCAAAGAGGATCGCTACAATGCTGCAGAGCACTCTTTATTTTTTGGAACACCTTCCTAAACTAAAGTCCGTCGAAGATATCTCTCAACGTCTATCCCCGTCGCTACAACTAGCAGACTATGCAACCCTGGTCCGTCGGCGAGTATTACAATGCTTCACAAAATTAGTCAACTTGAGCCATCTCAACCCTATGGATAACCTACCACTCTCTGGAATACTCGGTCTAGCCATCTCTTGTTTCGCGGATCCGGATGTCACTTCTGCAAACCCCTTAGAAACATCCATTGCTGCATCAACGGCCAATTTTGATACCTTATGGGACCTTGACGACAATTTTGGGTTCGGAGTTACAGGTCTTGTCCGAAATTTTATGCCAGGGCAACCAAAATCTGGCCCTTTCATTAATACTAGCGTGACTGAAGCAACAAGCCACCCAATTGACGCTTCTGTAAGTTTTGCGTTGCCCCCATAATTAGTATATTCTATGCTAACGTTGAAAGTTGGCTACACCAATGTGCCATGCAAGGGAACATGATCCAATTCTTTTATACTTCGCCAAAAACGTCAATTCTCACTACCTCCCTGATCCGCCCCCAACCGAAGTCGTTAATTCAGCAATCGAGCTGTTTTCGGTCACCCTTCCACTACAGAATCCAAAGGTCCAGGAGAGCAGTGTTGAGCAAATTGCAACCATGCTCTCATCTCATAGTCTGAATCGAAACCCAGGCAGAAAGGCCGCTATGACCGCAAACATTGCGATTGCACTTTTATACACGCTTCGAGTTGCCGTAAATGAGACCCCGTGCCTTCCTGGGAACTTGAAGCATGTTGCTGTTGAGAAGATTTTTCAGGAGCTTATACAGGTATGTTACACCAAGAAGTATCCTTTAAGCATTAAACTTATATATTATTAGAATTTTATAACCAACCCCGATTACATTATTCGGATTATTGGATTTGAGGGTCTTGGCCGTCTATGCAATAACTCTGGTAATGCCTATACAAACTCGGAAATAAATAGACTTGTTGATGTCATCGTCGAAAATCGTGATCCGCATGCCCGTGCCGGGTGTGCAACTGCCTTAGGATCTATACATGCTCAAGTCGGGGGAATGGCAGCCGGCTTCCACCTGAAAACTATTGTGGGTGTCCTTATGTCGTTATGCAATGACCCGCACCCCGTTGTGCACTTTTGGGCCCTGGAAGGGCTTGCCCGTGTTATAGACTCTGCGGGTTTGACGTTCTCGGCCTACGTATCGGGTGCTTTTGGAATGCTAGCACGGCTATATGTTGCAGATACCCATAACCACGAGGCTCCAACCGTCGGTACTTCAAATTTTGAAGCCGAGTTTTCGACTCCATTGGCAATTGGCCGGTGTGTGGATGCACTTGTCAACGTGGTTGGACCTGACCTTAGGGATGTTACGAAAACGAGGGACCTAGTATTCACTATTGTCAAGGAGTTTCAACTAGAACGTGACGCCCCCTTAATAGATGTCAGTTCTCAGTGTCTCGACCATTTGTCACTCTATGCACCACAGTATATGGATTTCTCGGGTTATGTCCAATGGCTGCAAAAGGAACTAGCCTCTACGGATAAACAAGTGCAGCAAGCTGCGGTTTATGGGTTAAGCAATCTTATGAAGCGGGATGCCGACCGAGTCATTCAAACTGCATCGCCAACTTTCGAGGATGAGTTATGGATAGCAATTGATAATGCTCCGGAAAATAAACTTCTCAGGGATATTATTCGAAATTGGCTTCAGCAGACAGGATTAAAGAATACTAAAGCCTGGGTCGAACGTTGCCAAAAGGTCCTCACGAAAACTCGCGCTAACCGCGATGACATGCTCTCCCCGCCTCCAGTCACTGCTACGCCTGCTGGAGGTCCTGATCTCCCAGACGATGAGGTCGCCGGATTCGCAGCCGCAGTTGCTGGTGAAAACCGAGAGACTAATGATACATCCGCGGGTGGACAAGAACTACTTAAATGGCAGACGCGAAATTTTGTTATTGGGTGTCTCAGTGAGCTTCTAACGATGGTCCAGGCCGAAATATTGCCGGATCAAACTATTCCGGCAGAGGCTGCATTGCAAGAAAGAGTTGGTGACATTGTTAGGATGGCGTTTTCTGCCTCGACAGCGAATGTCATAGATCTACGTATCTGGGGACTGAAAATTTTAGACCAGGTTTTGAAAGTGAGTTGAGTATCTACTTGAACACTTAGAACGTTGCTAACTTCTCGGTGACCAGCTGTTTGGACGAACACCTGACCCTGATTTTGCCGAAGCATCACTCCTTGAACAATACCAAGCCCAGATTGCTTCTGCGTTAACTCCAGCATTTGCTGCAGATTCGTCTCCAGAACTTGTTTCCGAGGCAATAAATGTGTGTGCAACATTCGTTGGAACGGGAATCGTTACCAGCGTGGAACGAATGGGTCGTATTTTCAAACTTCTTGTCGTAGGACTTGAAAACTTTGCCAGTATGTACCGTCCTGTCCTTGCGGAGCAACAAATGCTAAACGGCCATCAGATAAACCGGATATGACAGAAATTGGAGATCTCAAAGGACTCAATTCTAACGCACGAGTTATGGCGAAGCTAGCCTTGTATTCTGCATGGGCGCGGTTACAGATTGCCAGCAGTGAACAGAACTACCTTGTGGCTATCGTATCCCCTTATACCGCAATGCTAACCCCATTGTGGCTCTCTTCCCTTCAGGAGTTCGCACGCTTAAGATTCGAACCCGAAATATCTAGTACAATGGATTCACTAAGGTTATCTGACAGCCCTGATGATGTTTATGCAGCACTCAATCGGGAAATCCTTCTGAAGGTATGGGCCTTACAACCCGTGTGGAAGTTCATTGTGCTCGCCAGTTTATTAACTTTATATTTGATTTTAGTTTTATCAAGATTCTTGGTTAAATTTTGTCGATGCCATCGCTAGTCTGGTAGAGAAAGACAGCGATTTCGTCTTTGATGCGTTGAACGGGAAACAGGATCTTCAAAGAGCGGAAAGCCCCAAAGACGCATCTCCTCAGAATGGCGAGGGAAAAGCCAAAGGAAATCAAATTAATTACCGTGATGAACCAGTGGCCTTCTTCTTCGTCCTCTTCGGGCTAGCATTTGATGCTTTGGTTAGCCAGAGCAGCACTCCATCCCAAACCCTCGAAATCCTTCAAGCTTTGCAGAAAATACTGCATCCCTCTGTTGCCGGGAACGCAGTCTATCAAGATGCCGTGTTCTCCGAGACAATCGACACGTTGAACAGAATGGTGATGACTGAAAATCTAGCTATCCAATCGGTCATTGTTCAGATTGTTCGAAGCCTCTCTCTTCACCATCCCTCGGCAACAAGAGACAGCGCCTCCACAGAGCATCTGTCGGATGATATTGAACAGCTGTTCGAACTTACCCGCAATATCATACTAGTTATTGCAGGCGTACTACCCAATCTCGGGGAATCATCGCCTAAGTCTCGATCAGACGTCTCAGAAGAGTCAATATCTCTCATTCAACATTCCCTCTCCTCCCTAGTGGATATTACATCGGTATTCCCGGCTATCATCCGAGATGACCTTCACACGTGTATAGTGCACATATTTACCACAATTTTTGCCACTGGTAGCTGCCAGGCGGAGATTGTGCCTAAAGTCCTTCCCATTTTCAAACGCTTCCTCCAAAGGTTATGCCAATCCCGCAGTCCTCAGACTAAAGAACCAACTGCCCAGGGCGATGAGGCCATGAGCGTTAGCCGGCAAGTTCGGGGCTGTTTAACCAGATTCTTAGGCATTTTAACTGTTGCACAACGCCGAGAATCCGACACCTCTCTCCTCTGTGCCAAAAATACCCTTCTTGGTATAACAATTCTCTTAATAAGCACTAGCTCGATTATTCCACCTCAGGACCCGCTAATCTCTCGAGCGATGCAAGAAATGCTTGAGTGTCTTCAGGATCTGGGCCTTGGGAGCGTTGCAGCAGGCTGTGTTCGCTCCCTCCTTCTAAACCCTGGTCCACGGTCTGCAACGGATGATGTGATAGCCCGTTTTCTCTTTCCCCGACTTCTGGCCTTTGTGACGCAGACGCCGATGGGAAGTGACAACGAACCTCCAATTGACCCTGAGAATATGAAATCCAACGTTATCCAAACTCTGGTTTCTTGCGTTGGCTCGTCAGCAATTCCAGAGGCTGCCGTCCCCACCGCGATGTCGTTATTGATCCCAGCTATATTAGCACGAGCTAAGTATGAAGGTACCATAGTTTACCAGGAGACAGCGACCAGGTTACTAGAGCTTGCAAAAGTGGATCAGATTTCTTTCAGGGGTTTCGCAGCCAATATGGAACCAGAGTCGAAAAGTCTTGTGGAAGAGGTTTTCAAGACAGTTGGGCCAAGAGAAGACACAAGCAAACGAAATGATCATGGACAGGAAAGAAATGCTCCAAGTATCGCTTTGCGCATGGATTTCTAAGGAGGTTTCAACTTATTGGTTTCCTACTGTTTCATGAATTCATGAATAGCGGCCTAGTGCAATAGATATCCTATGCTACTTTGAGAATTACTTATTATTATTCCATGTATAAACTATTGAAAATTCCCATTAGACATCGTCGATGTCAGACTCGCTGCTGTAGCGCAAAATAACCCCAATACTGATTTTAACTTCCAATATGCCATTATCTATGATAGCGTAATTGTCACTTCGCTTCTGATGTTCCGCAATTGTATATCGGTGTAACTGCTGCCATACACAATATTCATAGCAGGTTATTCAGCAAACAAGCGGGAACAAAATCGACCTTCTCTACAAAACTCCATTAGTGTTAACTGAAAGACAGAGGAGGTTGTGGGGTTGGCAATCCAAAAATATCCGTATGTAGTAAATTGGGCAAAATATATGACAAAATTCCTTGCAGCTTTTAATTATTGTCAAGGATTACTGTTTCGTGACTTGAACAATGTCACCAATGGCAACCTCTTCAGATTCGGCAGCAGCTTTCTTCGCAGCCTCATGTTGCTGAACCTTGTAGGACTGGTATCTTAGAGCAAGTATGATCATGCCTAAAGGTAGTTATTAGCAATGTCACCATACGAACGTATTTTAGCCGAAAATATTGAGGGAGTAGGAACTGAGGGTAGGGGGGCTCCTCACTGGCGCTAGTAGCAATGGCGATGACGGCCCTGCGAGTAAGAACCCATCTAAGCCCTTCCACTTCGCTCTTTCCATCACTATTAAGAGATACCGTGATCTGATAGTTCAATTCTTGAATTTCCGTGTCAATTGACCGCTGTAGTTCCCTGGTTGAAATTTTCTGGTTGTTGAACATTTCTTTCAAGTCATCCTTTAAACCAGCCAGGTCCTGTGTCAGGCGCTGGGTCAAGATATCCAACTCATGTTGTATCAGAGCACGTCGGGTGCGTTGAGATTGTATTTCGGTATTCCGGGATGTTTGAATAGAGTTTTGTAGTTCAGAGCATGCCGCTCGGAAAAGATAAATCTCGTTCTCGAAGTCAGACTTGGATATGAGCCTCCCGCGGGTAGTCTCAAGATTTACCGCCAGTAATTCGTGGATCGACTTGGCTATTGAGATTGATTGTTCTTCTGTGAAGCCGCCTTTACTCAAGTCCTTCACTAGAGTATAGGTATCGAAATGATGGACGTAAGGGTTTGGACTAGGCGGAGGCTTGTGCCCATGGACGTGAATATAAGGCTCCATTGCATTGGCTTGGGGGTGGTCCGTATCCTTTTGGGATTCAGATCCTGACATTTTGTACACAGAGCCTAGGTCGTTCTGTGATGGAGTATCGCCAACGCTACCGCCAGATCCGATCTCAATTAGGCCAGGCGGTTCACTGTGTTCAACACTCCCATCATGGCCCTTTTCTGAAGCTAACCCGGCGGCCGCATCTTTAGGATGGGCCTTATCGGATGGCTGAGCTCCGGTATCAGATGCGCTTTGCTTAGGGGGCGTTTTTGAGGTGTCGCCAGCAGCTTTATCCACCTGTGCTTCTCTCTGCTCTGCATCTTCTTTTGAAGTCGGACGTTGATCAGACCCTGCGCCATCCGCGGCGGGTTCAGAGGGTCGCAGTCGTGGTTCTACAGCCGGGCCATAACGCTTTTGAAAGCGGGTGTCTTGTTCACATGCGCGGCTTGAGTGTAGCCCCGCGGAATGGGTTCTCTGCGCTGGACAACGAATCGATCGATAGGTAGTTGGCTCGCATGCTCGTACAGACCGCAGGAGGTTCGGATAGAGAAAGGGAAGCCTCTGATGTGCCATTTTGATGTCGCGATAATGTAAACATTAGTTGGAGTGACAGGCATTAAAAAGTGCCGATATCAACAGGAATTATCCATCACGTGACCGGAGGTAGATCAAGAAGAAACGCCAGAACCCCTTAACTATACATCCTGTTACTCTGCTGCTCAGAAGACTCAGCATTGGAAAACCAAAGACGACATATTTGAACTGTGGTAGTCACTCAAAGCTTACTAGAAAGGGCTATGAGCAGCGTTGGCAGCGTTTATTCAGCCTGACAAAATTTTTAGAGTGAGACTATCGACTTGAACCATGAAAAATAATTTAAGTATATGTATATATGCCCTCTATTAACATCCAAGTAACCCGAATAGAAGCTGGGTTCGCTCCCAGTATGCATGTGATCTCTTCCTGAGAGTTTCCATCATTTCCTCCCCGAGCTCCAAATCCTGCTCAAGGATAGTGGTCGAGCTGCCTGAACCAGCAGGGCTTGATTTTCCTGTGGGTGCCGCCTTGAGTCCCATTGCATTGTCTAGGTACAGCATATCAAACAGATATTGTATTTGGCAATCCCGTTCGATGGGTGACTTCGTGGCACTTTGTTCCGGCTCCTGCTCCTCCACCCCATTCTCGGAGGAGCTGGTTTTAGCCTTGTCCGTGTCGTCTCCAGAGCCGGTATCAAGGGGCATGTTCAGTGATTTCTTAAACTCCCTTTTCAAGGCAAGCACAGCACCAGGATTCCATAAGTCTGCCCCTAGGCCATCCATTGCAAGTACGAGCTTGCGTATTAGTTTGAATGCCGCCGGAGATGGTTGGACTGGTAGCTCTGGCTTCCCTTCCCACAGTGTCCTTCCAGGGCATCTCAGGGGGTTCTCACAAGGCTTCAACTTCATCATATATGTTGAAAGTTGGGACACGATGTCCACTGCAACAATATCGTGCAAACCCGGTACAATTTCCAGTGCAAAGTGTTGCTGGTTCCCTTTGAATAGCTCATTCGGTATCTTGCTTTGAATTTCACGAACAACGCGGATTAGGAATACGGCTTTGGATGCTTTCTGTGGATCGGAAAGTTCACTCAACACACTAGATAGCGTGTCTTGCAGCGATGAGAAGCCTCTCTCAAGTGACTTTTGATGCTCTTCTTCAAGCAGAGCAGGGTTATGCTCCCTCAATATTCCATTTATGTGATCTATAACATCCTCATCGCTGTCGTCTTCAACCATATCCTCCCAGTTCTCACTTTTCATACCGTTAATTAAGCCGGCTCTGGTTTGAATTGCATGGAGCCAACCTTGGTATAATTCCAAAATTTTCAGGACATTAGCTTCTCTGCCTAGGGTTCTGTTGACGATCTCCTCCTTGAAGTTAGCTGCACCCTCGGAGAAATCAAGAGACGCAAGCTTTGGGTCCCAGAGGAGCGACTTTTCCTTGTTAATTTTCTCTACCGAAGGGATGTCGTTGATGATGGATGTGATCTCTTTTCCAAGGGAGACGAGCCCTTCGGATTGGCCCCTGAGAATCGAGATTAGCTGGTGATTTATTATGTCCTGTAAACCCTCCAGTATTTCTAGGTTTGAATGCGTGCGCGTTGAAGTCTGAACCAGTAACCACGACTCTAACAGTTGTCTTCGCAAATCCAAGATATCCCCAAAATCACACAAGCCTTCCAGTTTCAACTTCGCTTGTGAGGAGAATATTTTGAATGTATCTTTGGACCACGTTTTTAGTTGTCCATCCCTTTCCGATTTGGGGGTCTCGTTATACTTAATCCATGGAGTAAAGTGCTGAATATCTTGCAGTATCCAGGGCTTCAAGACATCAATATTAAGCTCGCCCAGCCGCAGAATTTCCGGGTCGCTAAGAAGTGGTTGAGTCGTCAACTTTTCTAGCACTACTGCCAAGGGTCCAGATAGTAGGTGGTCGGTCTGTCGTAGAGTTTGCAGGTACAACTTGAGGGCAAGTAGAATTCCGTTTTTCTGAGAATCCTGTACTATTTGCTGGCCGATGGCGTGCTTTCGTACCTCACAGAAATGGCGTACCGCATCGTTCGAGGACGAGCTTGTAGCTAGGCAAAAGGTAGATAATGCTTCTATAAGCCTATCTGTGGTAGTGTTCACGGCAGCCAGACGTAGTTTCACTCGGCTCAGCAACGTTCCCCGGAGAGCTGCCAGACTCTTCTTCAGGTTGTCCACGTATGGGGGCACACTCTCACTCTGTGAAAGGGCCTTCAGGAGGAGTCTCGATATCACCAGCAGCTTCGCGGCAAGTACTATTGAACCGCGATTCCGGATTATCTTTACAACTGAGTTGGTGCAGTTTCTGAGGAGAGATAGGTGGGCCGTAAGCAGTCGTCCGTCACTAACTATTCAAGCGTCAGCCGCATTATACTCCGTACAGAGCAGATAAGTCCACCGAGCAATTCTCCTCTCACCTGTCTTAGATCCACCGTTATTTGAATCGTTCGTGTGGTCAGTCTTCTTAGTTATAGCCCGAGGATTGCATCGTCTGCCAATGCTAGACAATGTAGATTCAACCTGCTGTATATCCTTATTCATGTCCACGATGGTCTGCGCTGTTCCGAGAAGCTCCCGATACTTGACACTTCCAGTATAGCCGTACATTAGCAACGCTCTCATTGCGTATATAACCAGCGACACAAGTTCTCCGAAGCGCAAACATACCCAACGAGTGACCTCAGCTTGTCCCTGTTGCTTTCGGCATCCCTGCGGAGTTCCTGTTCGGCGCGCCGTACAGTCGGGATGGGGAACTGAAACGCCTCCTCCCACGAGTTGAGGGTGATCGCATCTGGTATATCCGCCGCCATCGTGGTGACCGGTCTGATGCGCCTGTCTCAGGCTTCCCCAGCTGGCTCATCGACTTTGGCTTCGCTGTCAACTTCTTGATATCCGTCAACATTGTATCATCACGTGATGTGACGTACCTTTCGAGCGCTAGCACCAATCGGAGTTTCGAGGGCTTCGGGATGCGTCATAGGAAGAGATCAAGGGAATTTTTTTATAGGGAGGACATTTGTTGAATGGAACTGTCTTCGTCGGCAGGTTACAGAAGACAGACGAGAACTTATTCTTTGCTGGCCGATTGCACCATGGCTGCCCCTCCTACAGGCCAAACTGCCCCGCCATCACAGAATTTACTGGCGTTCCCTCCGTTAACTAGGTCGCATATACTCCATTGCTCATATCATGAATGGTATTCTCTGTACGTGGTATATCTATCTTTATGGCTTGATACTTGGATAAAACTAATCAGAGTATGATAGATATCGGTCTATATCCCCGAAAGCTCGTCTGATTCGGCTCTCGGAGCCATTTATAAACTATATCAGGGCCGATGGGATAATTCTTCCGCCAGATGAAAACAGCCTGGAGATTTCAGATGACGACAGCTGGACCGTGTCTACATCCGAGGAGGACAACAACTCAGATCAGGACGGGTCTGACGCTGAGGATGATACCTATGACCCGTCACGAGAGTGGCCGGACGTGCATGCTGAGGTGATAGCCAAGATCACAGAACTGGGTGGTCAAGTATCCCCGAAGCTCAATTGGAGTGCGCCGCGCGATGCAAAATGGATACTAGCGACGAACGATATGCAATGCAGGACGGCTAATGATGTCTACCTGCTACTTAAGAGCAGCAACTTCATGAATCATGACCTTGATCATGCGTTTGACGGCTGTGTCCCTGAGCCTGAGCAAGAACAAAAGGACACCTCTACCCCAGATCAACTGTCAATTCCTTATCACCTTGTGCTACGCAAATACTTCAACGTCAATACCTCACTCGAATTTCGGTGCTTCGTCCGCCATCGACAACTGATATGTCTCTGCCAGCGTGACCTAACATATTATGACTTCTTATCTGATATGCGAAATGATCTACTCAGGGTGATCCAGTCATTCTTCGACCAAAAGCTTCGTGATACCTTCCCCGACCCAGATTTTGTATTCGATGTCTACGTCCCTCCGCCATACAACCGGGTATGGCTAATTGATATTAATCCTTTCGCCCCAAAGACAGATCCCCTCCTTTTCTCCTGGCAGCAAATACTTAGGATTGGCCAAGAGGTAGAACGGAGCATGAATGTCAATGGCCAAAGTAGTGACATTGAAGAACAGGTTGTTCGGTTACATATAGGCGACCAAACCTCATCCTCCGTATCAGAGACACATGCCTCTCTAGTAGAGGATGAAGGAGATAATGACGAAGACTCCGATATTGAGGAGGTCTCTGAGCTGCCGTTGTTTCTTCTCCTGTCTGGGGGAAACCCTGCTGGAACGAACATGAATGCCGCTCAATATTCGGCGCACAAGCTTCCAAAAGACGTAGTTGACGCCTCCAAGGGAGGTCCTGCGGGAATGAGTGAGTTTCTTGGGCAGTGGAAAGACATACTTGAGGGGAGAATACAGCCGGATACTAGAGACGACAATGATGAATAGCGATGGAGAGAGGAAAACAAGTATGTACTAGTATACCTCAAGAGTCGAGCTAACTGATTTATTATGTACATGATTCATAAATAGGCCCTCTAATCAGAAAATATATATATAAAAGGGGAAGTGTAAAAACAAGCCAGGTTGCCGCCCAAACGTTTGCTCTAGGATAGTATGAAATAGCAACATCTAGTCTATAGCTTATGTCTCTTCTGGCCGGAAGCAATCTTCATAAACTCGGCCTGTGGGATGCCCAGTTCAAAGCGCTCTAGGCCTCCGAAAACCTCGCGGACATTTTGCCTATCCAAAACATCTCGGTCTGGTGCGCCGATTAAAGCCTTAATCTTCAACAAGCTGTCCTGGTTCAGGTGTGTTCCCAGGGTCATATCGATTTCGTGCAGAACCATCTTCAGGAAGCCATCCGAGTCGTCTTCCTTGCCGCTTGGAGAGGTGAAGATCTTGTTTACGAATCCGGTCTGCAAGAGCTCCTTTGACGAGATACGTTTGCTCATGATAAGAGCCTCCTTGGCCTTCGCGATCCCCATCCGTCTAACGAACGCATGGCTGGATGCTCCCTCCGTGACCAACCCGATGGAGGAAAAGGGTGTGAGAATATAGGAGTGAGGAGTGGCATAGATGAAGTCTCCGAACGCGGTGAGGGCAGCGGAAAAGCCGACGGCTGGTCCGTTAAGTGCGACAACCAGGATCTTTGGATGTGTGTAGAAGGTATGTGTAAGATCGATGTTATTGGCGACGAATCCTTGAACGACGTCTCGGCGTCCATCTATGTTATCACTTTCTTCAGAAAAGCTTCGTACGACGTCCGCGCCCCTGGATTAAAAGTTATGTTAGAATCGTTGGATCCCTAGATGTTTACCGGCAAGGGTGGTTCACTTACGCCGAGAAGAAACGGCCGTTCCCTGTCAGGACTGTGATATAAATGTCATCTCGAGCGGCAACTTCCCGCATCTTTTGGCCGAGGAGATAGTAGTGTACGGCCGTCAGGGCATTGAGCTTCGATGGCCGGTTCAAGGTGATGATGGCTACACGGTCCTGGTAGGTGACGGTCACCTCGTTCGTTGGGTACGGCATCGTGAAAGAGGGTGTGCTGATCAAGTCGACAGACCTTGGAGACGGCAGAGACGAGGTAGTAGAGAGGTTATGGCGCTGTTCCTGGGAGATATTCGTGGCGTGTATAGGCCTATACTGGACAACTAGTCACTGGGCGGTCATATAAGAGTTCTGGAAAGACAACGGTTCACAAACGGCGAGGAGTGAAATGAGATAGCCGAAGGAATATTTATCGCCCCGCCTGTGAACTGCTGGAGCCTCGAAGACGAGGTCGACTCCATCTTCGACGGGTGGAAGAAGTTGAGATGGAGCCGAAAGCTGCGCGACCTCGGCATCTCCATCACGCCCCGTGAAGAAACAGCCGCGGCATCTTTCTGCGCATAGATGGAAGTAAACAGCGATGCAAGGTCAGATCGTATTCTCAACCTCCATACGATATTTATCTAGCTACTTATCGTATCCAGGAATGCAGCCCAGCGACGGTATTAATAACCTGGGAAGTTCTGATTCATCCGAGGCCGACGTTTCTGCTAGCTATATTTAGTTTAAGCTTAGATTTAAAGGCTGATCAATTGACAGGGTACAGTATTACATTATTTTGTCTATCTCATACAAATAGAAACAACATCATGATCATTAAACATTAAAGCGTGAGTCGCCACGGGGATAGCAGGTTCGTCTAGTAAACCAAGGGAAGGGTGTGAAAAATATCAGTCGACATCAAAGGCCATCTCTATCTCTCTAAAAGGGTCAGGGGTTCCGGATAACCCTCATCGTCTAAAGCATTCGTCGCTGGCTTAGGATGTTGCAAATATGTATTTATCGAGGCAGTTTTAGATCGGTCCGGTAATAACGATCGTTGGAATGTTGAAATTCGGGCGTGTTCTAGTAGAATTGTTGTTTTGTGAGTTATGCGCTGGTTCCATGTCACCTCCCTCTACCACTGGAACGCGCTCTGAGATATGGTTTGCAATATACGTGACCATAGATCCAATGTGGCCTGAACCTCTCCAGTAGCCCTCTTCACACGAGCTTGTCTCTGAGTGCTGTAAAAGGTCGCACATACGCCGAAACGGCTTCCGACATCCAATGCAGAAGAAGATGTATCCTTCGCTAGATGATAAGGGTCGAACAAATGCTGCAGCAAGTTCCAAAATATCATCATGTTCTATTCCGGATGAGCAGTTTCCGGATTCAAGGTGATTAAACATCGCTGAAAGAGTTGAAAAATCCTGAGGGCAACAGTAGCAAGTAACCCCACGAGGTCTATGTTTGAGGGCATGCTAAAGAGAATATAACCTGTTAGCTTTGTGGGTATATAGTGATCAGTATCTTGGGTTTAGCATACTCCATTAAGCTCGTGCGCGTTGGGAAAGTATTCACCACACGCAAGGCATAAGAAATGTCTAGAGGTATTATGTTGGCGTAATCCGATAGCTGAAGGGGCAAACCAGTGGCATGGTTCACAGTATAGGTGGAAGATTTCTAGATGACGCTGCAGGCTGTTGAAAGTCTCAAAGTCCCTCTTGTCCGGGCACAAATGGCAGACATTATGGTCAATAGAATATCCTATATGCAAGTCATAATATTTAGCTGAAGAATAGCTAATATGACATCTGTTGCAGAAGTGTCGCTTGCCAACGCGTTCCATATCCTCTATCAAAGACCTGGGGAGCTGCCTGCCGCCTTTAAGGTAGCAAGGATGTGCTGATTTGAAGGGCCTCTGTAGACTGCACTCGTGCTCTACACCACGAAAAGTAACAGAGACTGACCCGGTAACTCGTTGATTCCAGGTTCCTTTCACAGTACTGGAGAGCCAACGTTTCAATAAAAGAGTAAGACGCGTCTAATCAGGAATTAGACAGGTTTTTTGTAAGAGAATAGCAAATCCAAGGTGTCAGAGTGAAGAGTGAGAGTGAGAGTGTTAACAGGCCAAGAGACTCTAGTTATCACTTGTGAGCTTATCAAGCTTCACTTTCATGGAAAGTCCCAGCATTGAAGATGGCATATGCTAGGTGACGGAGATTTCCAGGAGAAGCCATAGCACGTCAACTGAACTATGGCCCATGGATATAATATAACCAGATATTGGTATTTTATGACTATTAGAGAGCATCCCGTACAATGAATCAAAAGATGGACCTTTTACTCCAAGCCTCCTGATATAAATTGCATCCTCGAAGCGTTTTTGGTCGTTGAACCGAATATAAAACGGCATGTCACGTGACCCTAAGCTAGAGACGAAGAAAAAATTATCTTTTCTACCCCAAACTGTAATCGAGAAATCAAAGAGCTTCGAATTTCCCCGATCTTGTACAGCAGACCAACTCGGGGTTGATCCTGGGTTCTTAGACTGCCCTGATGGCTTCAGACGAAATTGTCTGGCAGGTGATTAACCAGCAGTTTTGCTCCTACAAACTCAAGTATGTATATCTTGTTTTCCTCGCTTGATTGATTCTTGAAATTTTTTTAACGATTTGCAATTATAGAACCGACAAGGGCCAAAATTTCTGTCGCAATGAATACAATGTTACTGGATTCTGCAATCGCCAGTCTTGTCCATTGGCAAACTCTCGATATGCGACCGTTCGATCTGATCCGAGCACTGGTGCTATGTACCTTTACATGAAAACAGCTGAACGCTCCCATATGCCTAATAAGTGGTGGGAGAAGATCCGGTTATCCTCGAATTACGCAAAAGCCCTCGGACAACTCGACGAACGCCTGATATACTGGCCCAAGTTTTTGATTCACAAATGTAAACAGCGTCTTACTCGACTTACTCAGGTTAACATACGGATGAAGAAGCTTGCCAAAGAGGAGGAGCGCCTGGGTGAAAAACTGGTTCCAAAGCTTGCTCCTAAAATAAGGAGACGAGAGGAGACGAGGGAACGAAAAGCAGAAGCAGCCGCGAAACTCGAGCGGGCTATTGAGAGAGAGCTTATCGAGCGATTAAGAAGTGGAGCGTATGGCGAACAACCTCTCAACGTGCAAGAAAACATATGGAAGAAGGTTCTTAAGGGCCTTGAGAGGCAAGGAGAAGGCGAGCGTGACGAAGACCTCGACGAAGGGATTGAAGATGAACTGGAAGAGGAAGAAGAAGAAGAAGGTGTTGGAGAAGTTGAGTACGTCAGTGACCTTGACGAGGACGAAGACATGGAAGATTTGGAGGACTGGCTCGGTGACGATAGCGAAGACGCAGGCAGCGATGAGATGGACGACGACGACGATGACGACGAAGATGAACAGGATAGCAGCGACGAGGCCAGCGGTGAAGAAGACCGGAAGAAGCCTACAACTGGACCCAAGAGGAAACGGCCTGCACCGCCTTCCAGACCCCGTAAGAAGGGTGCACATGTTGAAATCGAGTACGAGACAGAAGCTCCAGCCAGGGAATCTCTTTTTGCATGAACATTGTACGGTTGGCTACAGAAAAGTGTTTTTTTTTTTTTTCTCACGGATGGTATCTGCATGGAGTTTGGGATCTGCTAGGCGAATGTCTTTGTCTACGATGTTTATGTATAGGACTTTAAGTATTTTAGTATCATTCGAATACTCCGTATTGAACGCATAGAAGTCGGATTGCTGCTTTATATCTGTTATTTCACTATCAATTTATCTTAACGCTGGCCAACTGTATAAACGCCTGACCATGTGACAGGGGATGAACGTTAAGGCATCTCGGTCTTGTAAGGACTTCAACTTTCCCCATTGGTTTGTTTCATGCTAGAACATCTAATAAGAGCCGCATAAAGTTGATATTCAAGCTTCTCCTGCTTGAATTCAATTCCCAGCCTCTCTCAAATACAACTTGTCCTCTCCTAGGCGGACTGCCATCACCCCTCCACCCCTCGTCGGCCGTTTGACGGCTATTCCTCGTAACCGCTGCTCACGGTGCCGGTTTCACCATGGCGTCTTACTTCTCATCCATAACGTCGATATCTAATCTCAGCACCCGCTTCACCTCTCTACGCCGTGCCATATCCTCTGACGAAACCGACGACCCTGAAAACGAGGATCTCTCACACATCTCCAACGTCCTACGAGCATACTACACCGAGAAGGGCCGTGGATTGCCTCCCTGGTTACCCCCAGACAAGAAGTCAGCAGCCACTACTCCAGTCATTGCGACGACCCAGGCGTCCTTTCAGGGCTATGGAGGTACACCGTCCCAGCCTGGGGGTCGTGGAGGTGGTTTAGGAGACCTATGGGACGATTCGGGACGATCGCAACAACCACAACAAGCTACAGGAAGTCTTCGTGCTGGTCGAAGCCAGAATAACATGATAGGCCACCAAAATTCGATACCAGCGTGTCTGAAACCCTCTCCGAACAGCTTACCACACCGTCCGGCCACCGCTGGCTTGAGGTCCCAGGGCGGGGCTTATGACCGCACGCCTTCACCAAGTGCTGGAGGTCGTTCTCAATCCACAGGCGGCGCAAGGCCTCTTCCTAGTCAACGCGCTGGGTCATATCAAACTTCTTCCGGTGCGCAACTATCACGTCCAGAGGGGATGGATCGAACATTATCTGGCGCTTCAGCACAGGACAGACTTCGTGCCCGGCTGCATGGGGGAGGCAGTAAGCCTCCTTCCTTTGGGTCTAACAATTCGTTTGATTCTGGCTCAGGTGACGGAGGAGGGTATTCTAGATCTCCGGCACCAGGCCAGCGTGGTGGCTATCGATAGCTTAGCGATACTTAGGGAGAATGATATCAAGAGGAAGAAGGCATAAAAGCCGTGTCTTAGACATGCCGGCTCGTTTCTCAGGAGTTTTGGTTGGAATTATGCATTATTCTCTTTTCTCTCATTTATTGGCATCTTATTTATTTGTTGAAGCTTTATTCCCCCGCCTCGATCATTTTAATCATTATCCATGGTGCCTATTATGTATATACCAACCCATCCAACGTGAAGCACCAGTGTTCACGACGTGCCGTCAGCCGTTAGCTCCCCTATAAACAATATGGCGTTATGGTGTCTTCGATGTCCTAAGTCTATTTTGCTCCAATACTAGTTCATACATTCGTGAAAATAATAGCTGGGATTAAGAGACAGGTTTCAGGCCGGGTATATTTAACAGGACATTATTATGGAGTAAAACGAAATCTACAAATTTATCATGCGAACACCCATGCTCGGTATCATACACCAAAAAGTGCGCCGGTCCAAATCACGGTAATGTAGTATATAAAATGCCAACCCAAACAGATATCATAATCGCGGAAAGGTGTATAAAGCAAGGAGAAAAGCAAGGAGAAAAGCACAAGGAAAGGTAAAAAAAATAAAAAAAATAAAAGCGAGGACCGAACGCGCCGATAGATTAGACCCTGAGAAAATATAACTCGATATATGGATGTTTCCGGGCTGCCACGCTCACCCACGCACTTTGCGATAGCTCGGGGGGCTCCAAGTGCGGCTGATCAACTTCACAGCCCAAACTGGTATAAGTGAGACGGCGCAGATAGCACATACTTTCCATGCCCAGCCCCATGTAATAACGTACGCGAGATCGTAGTAATCGCCGAGGAACGGGACGGTGGCACCGTAAACAATAGCGGTGCCCACAATGCACATTATCATGACGGGATGCCATGTGGTGATAGAAACAGCAACCATAATGAGCTCATTCAGCACTAGGGAGGTAAATGAGACGCTGACTAGTCGAGGACCTGTGATTTCGCCAACGAGGATTTGCGCAAGGCCTTCGATCACGGCGCCCTGATACACGGAGACGAGAACCCATGTAAAGAAAGATCTATAGCTTAGGCTTTTTCCGGATTTCAGCTCTTTGTATAGTTCTGGATAGAGGTTTGCTAGACCCTCGTCGACATCGCGGTCGAGGACCAAAGAAAATACTGGAGCGTTGGTGTAGATTGTTGCATATCCCACAAGGAGCCAATTGATAAACAATCCCTTGGGGTCAAAGTGGCTTGCAATGCTAAACATAGTCTGGCATGCACTGATGATCAGACCACGATGCATAACGAACTGAGCCAATTTTGCTGATCTCTTGTATGAGTTGCGGCCGTGCCAGAATAGCAGCTTCGTAAGATGGTGGAAGTGCGTTATACTGAAATCGGCAGCAAGAGAAGCCTGTCGACCTTCTTTCCCAACAATTCCAATACCGACATCCGCAGCTTGGATCATAGACACATCATTACCGCCATCCCCTATACAGCAAATGCGCTTTTTGGTGTGCTGCCGAATCAGGGTAGCTATTTCGGCCTTTTGCATCGGAGAACAGCGACAAGCGATGACTGCCGGAAGGCGTACAGCGAGGGTTATAAAAGGTATGCGAAATTGAGAAAGCATTAAACCGAGTGATTCACCGTCAATCAGTAGACATGATTCGGTCTTGTTGCGGAGGAAGTCTAAGGCGTCATTTGCTGCATCCATATCTTTCAGTTTCGTAACTGTATTGATCACCTGGCCACGAGAGACAAGTTTGGAGGATACTGCAACACAACGTGCGGTTTCAACCTTGTCTCCAGTAAGCATCCAGATTTTAATGCCAGCATTTCTAAGCAGCTCAAGAGAGGGCTTCACATCCTTCTGCAGTTTGTCTTCAACACCTGTAACGCCCAACAGCTCGAGGTCCCGCTCCAAGTAGTCTTGTGCTACTGCTGCCATTAGATTGTCCCTATCGTTGAGAGACATGGATGCCTCCTTATAGCTCTTAGAAAATTCATGGTACTGTTCAGGGGAGAGCTTCTTCCTCCCCACAACCAATGTTCGTAGACCTTCGCGGGCCATGTTTGCGGTCTCCTCATCAAGCCAGTCATTTGCTGCCACTATGGACGACATCACTGTGTCAGCACCCTTCTGGAAGAACCAAATCTCGCCTTGAAGTTGCGGTGGGCAGCCTTGGTGTTGATCTGAGGAGAACTTAATTATGATTCCCATTCGTTTACTCTCGGACGTAAATGGAAAGACATCCAGAATTTTGGCTTTGATCGATACACCACCAGTGCCAGTCACGTCGAGAACAATCGATTTCCTATCCCGATGAGACAGTTTGAGCCCAACCTCCTCTGTATATTTAACAATGGCGATCTCATCTGGTGAAGAAGCCTGGTAAGTCGTTACTACTTCACCATCTTCTTCCTCTTTCGTTGGCGTGACGTTGTGGCAGAGGGCAAGGGCTAGTACCAAATCCCTGACTCGCGAACTTATTTCACGTCTTGTCCTAGTTGCTGGACCCGAACCTGGTTGGGTAGAGGGATTATTAGATGGTAGCAAATCGGTCCCACTTGCGTGTCCGGTTGCTGAAAAGCCCTGGCGGACAAAGGAAGCAACCTCCTCCATTGCTTCGTTAGCATAGGACACAGTGCCAACATGGATCTTTTTAAGTTCCATCTCTATTTCAGTGTTAGCTATGGACCAGAACGTGTCTAGGGCTGAGACGCTTACCATTTTGAGTCAAGGTACCCGTTTTATCAGATAGGAGGTACTCAATCCTTCCGAGGTCTTCTGGGATCGTGCTCGTGCGCACAATTGTGCCAGGTATTCCCTTGTCTCTCTCGATAAATCTTCCATACACCGTTTTCGCCATGTCAAGGTTCACTCGTAGACTCATGGGGATAATAGTTGAGAAAAGAATAAGATAGATCATAATGGCAATGTACCACTCCTTGTCGTTTGTGGGTTCAAATCCTTCTAGGGCGACAAGAATCACGGACAAAGATAGGGTCACAACACATAGAATCTTTGTTAGGCTGTTTATTTCATGTTCGAGGAGCCCAACCTTTGAACGGGATGCAGAGGTTGACAGGGCAGACCTTGTCTGTGATCCTGTATAGATAACGGCAGCATAAGTCGTTGTATTGGATGCTAGGACAGTGTTCGCCCAAGCAGCATTGTCAATACTCAGTGGAGCAGCCTGGGGCTGTGATAGCTGTTCATCCTGCTTCCCGCTTCCTTCAACCGCTGGATCATAGGGTTCAGATGGAAGCAGCGCTAATTCGACCTTCCCGACAAACTCGTTGACGTTTTTAGCTGGAGTGCTAGCAGTTATTCGTATTCTATTAAATTCGGCCAGTGGAAGACATTGTGTGAGTGGCGATGCAAGTCGGAGCTTCCAGTCCGTTTCACCGTCTAGCTGATCGGTTCGAATGAAAGTCTCTGCAGAACTAGCTGCCTCTATAGACGCATTCGTTTGGCCATCCTGGGCGGCACCGGGAGCTTCGTCTTCTCGCCCAGCATCGTCGACGGGGTTGTACTCAGCATCGCCTTGGGGACTTGGTGCCGAGTCCTGCCCCTGTGCGTCAGTGGGTATGGATTTTAGTATAACGACATCGGCAGGGAGGCGCCGGTCCTTCCCAACTTTCAAAATGTCGCCAACCTTGAGATCGCGGGACTTCTTTGTGATTTCCACTGGTTCAGGCCATCCAGGGGTTTGGCTTTTTAGAGCCCCGCGGTGGGAGGCTCGTGACGATCGGTCAAATGACATCACATTGTATTCCTCCGAGTTTGCTTCAGCATCCCTTCGGCGACGGGAGATATCGTCCAGCGCTTCTTTGCTAAGGGAGATCAAAACGACGAACGAGAGCGGTGCAATGTATGATGATATGTAGCCAATCCGTAGAATGGGAATTGTCTGAGATAGGGCCACAACAAGGAAGTAGATGTTGAAGAAGAAGGAAAACTCGTTGTATAGGGTACGAGGGAGGAAACTCCATGGGGTATATTTGGCGTTCGAGACAACGTTTGGCGGATAGCGTGCTTTCTGCGACTGGCCAACGAATATTTCCCGAGGAGGTACTTTGTTGGCAGAATTGTCGGATCCAGTCCTCCTTTTTAGCCGATCAAATACTCCTCCTTCTCCGCGATCGCTGTTGAAGGCTGGAAGTCGAAACCTGGACCGCAAGCCCGAGCCAGCTTGACCGGACGCCTGTTGAGACTGCTGCCTCCGTTTCCCTGCTGTGAGAAGAGGTGCATCATCATCCGCCGAGCTCGTCGTTCCACGGGTAAGGTGAGCCTCTTCGTGCTCCTGGTCGTAAAGCAGGCCGTCCAAGTCATCATGCTCGCCTTCATGCTGTCGAATGTCCCGTTCCCACGGCCGTTTGTGTGACTTCTGCCGTAGCTTTTTCAAGGAAACCGCGGGGCTATACCAATGCGAGCCGTCTGAGGTCCTCCGGAACCCGTCATTCTCACCAGATCTCGGGCTCGAGTGTACTCCGAGCTCCTCTAGTTCCAAATCATCGTCTTCGTCCAAAGAGGTTATCGAGGCCCGTCGATCAGGATGTGCCGAGTAGGAATGCGTGGGCATCGTGCTAGCCACTCAGTATTAAAAGGTATAATCGTCAAAACAAAAGGAATAAAGAGCCGTAAGACAGCGTCGGAGTTGCTATCTCGAGGGCATCATATCCTAGGGGTGCTCAAAATGGCCTTTCCCAAGCCATCAACAGCCCTTATAAATAGCCAAGCTGTCAGCCTAATGTCAGCCCAATAACGTAGATGAATCGTATATCACTCTAACACCGTCCAAACACCTCTGGACTCGCTGGTTGTTGTGTTTCCGTCAGAGACAGCGGCGTGTTTGAGGCATCAACATTCTATCTCTTCCTCCGCTCGTCATCTAGGTGGCTTCGACTCACGTGATGATCTCCCTTTTGTGGCGCGTGGTCCCGTGATCTCGGCCCGATGTTTCGCCGTCGCGCGTCGAGAAAGCCCGAAAGGAAAGCTGGCAAGATTTTGGGACTTCAACGTCGAAGCCTCGCCAGGATCCATCGACTCGCTGTCCATAGAAGCATACGTTCTTGGGACTGTGTCCTTGTCGCCATGGTCGGCATATGCATTTGAATTCAGCGTTGTTTGTTTCAAGCTCTCTTTCGTTTTCGTTTCTACATCGCAAAAAGTGAGTGGAAGGCCATACTCTTACGGGCCCCCTTTAAAGACCGCGATGCTGACGGAGTATCATGGTACAGGCTGATTCATGAACATGTCGGACGATTCAGTGCTCAGCCAGCCTGCCGAACCGGGTCTCACTTCTAGCCATCCAGATTCGCAGGAACCCTTATCCGTGCCAACGGAAAATATAGAATCAAAACTCCCTGTCGAGTCACTTACACCCCATGGCCACCTGCCCTCCGAGACCCAGGATGAGCCACAGGCCGCCGAGGCGACCGTCGAGCACTCAACCGGTGTCCCGGGACTAGATGATACCGCTGTCACCTCAGAACAATCTGAATTATTAACACTCTTGGAATCGGCAACTCCGCAGACATCTCAGCCAGACACTTCAGACGCTTCAAACGCTCCGGAAAATCCTCCTGCGGTAGAGGATACAACTCCGGCTCACTCTGAACTTCTCACCACCCTGGAGTCGGCCACTACAGAGAATCTTCAGCCAGACGCTCCAGAACACCCCCCAGTCGCCGAGGATGTAACTCCGGCTAACGTGGAATCGAACCAGCCTGAGGAACACCAAACAGTCGAAACTGCTGGAGAACAGGACAGGTTAATCCCAACGCCCACGGCCGCCGACATTCTCGCGCGCAACGATATCGTTTCAAGGACTAATTCGTTCCCTGCCTTCATTTCAAATGGTGAATCGGCCGAACACAACACCTCCGCTCTTGGACCGGATAATGTCGCTGAACCGCAGCAGGATATGGGAAACGATACCACCTATGCTCCTCCTGCGGAGCCTGAGGTTGTTTCAGAAGATCGACGCTCCTCGTATCCCTGGAATGATGACGCGCAAATGGAGGCTGAAGGTGAAGATTTTTTCAGCCAAGTTAGCACTCAGACGAAGCCAATATATATTCCTCCAGAATTTGCCGAGTCGAGGTTCGAGGAAGGCTTGCCGCTTGTGGACAACAGTAGCCAGGATGATGACTCGCCGATCCCACAGTCGAACCCGAATAAGCCCCTCGATTCCGTATTTGGAGAAGATACGGCAACGGAGGAAGATGGATTTTTCAGCTCCAATTCAGCTGCGGCAGAACGGTCGCCCAATGCACCCCCTGCGTTGCACCGAAAACAGACATCACAAGTGCTAAGTTCCTTAAAAATGGACGACACCTTTCAGGGAGACGACTCTCCTATCGAACGTTCATATGCTCAGGGACAGCAGTTCCCTGACTCTGGGGAAACCACGGATTCGAAGCATGATGCCGCCGAGCCGGCGAGCCTGGATGAAAATGACCTTGCGGAGCGATGGAAAGCAGAACTCGATGATGACTTACTTGATGATGAGCTACTCGACGACGATTTACTTGATGATGAAAATAAAGTGTCTGAACCCACCCAGGCTGAGCAACCCCCAGTTGCGGCACAGCGCTACGCTCCAAGCTCGTCAGGATACGCACCCCAGGCTGCTCCTGTACCGGCTTTAGTAAACCCCTACGCTCCACACCAGCCATCCTCTTCGTCGATGATCGAAGGCATAGCTCCCGCTATTTACGGGGAGCATGTACAGCCCATTAGCCCAGTTGGTGGATATGCAGAAAGTTTTTCGAACCAGTCAAAGGCTGGATATAAGTCTCCTTACGATTTACCCGATGATTTACAGCCAAAACGTCGCGTTATTGCACGTACAACATCTAATATCAGCCTGCCATTTCAACCCATGCCAGGCTCACGGCCTTCCAGCTCTTACAGTGCAGCACCTCCACCACTGGCGCCTCCAGTAGCATCCAATGCTGCGTATGTTCCTCCGCCTCAACCCTTGGCTCAACGCCCTGCCGCGAGCAACTTTTTTGAGGAACTTCCAGCGCCCGCTCGATCGAGACCATCTACAAGAGGAAGATATGCTCCTCAACCTGCGGAAACAGCCCCGGGACCCTCGATGATGTCGCCGCCCGCACAACAGCACAATGAACCTCAACCCCAGAGCCAATACCAATTGCAGCCACCTGCAAGAATGGACCCTTATGCGAATGTCCCATCCCCTGCTGGCCTAGGTGCCCCTAAGCCACAGCAGTATTCCGCGAAACCTAATGGGAAGCCAGCATCATCAGCCCGTTATTCACCTGCTCCCCCCCTATCTAGTAGTGCTCCTAGTCACTCGTATCTGCCCAACCACGCGGGCCCATACGCCGCAGGAATCACACTCCCGTTTCAACCCAGAACATCGAGTCCATTAGCACAGCACGATTCCAGCCATATTAGATCTCATGGCCAGCCAGAGACCCCTCGTGATAATAATTTTATCAACCATGAATCAGCACAGCTCTTGTCGCCTCCGAGCACCCATGGCGACTTTAACTCCAGGAATTATAGCCCGACAATGAACGCAGGCTCCTCTGCACAATCCAGCATGCCACCGCCTCCAGCCCCAGTACGGACGTCGCCGCCTCGTAGGTCACAAACCCAGTCCCCTGGGAAGCGGATATACAGTCAAGGGCAAACAGCAGCGCTACAGGACAGCTCTCAAAGACCTGCATCTGCTCATGCTCCTAGTGCTCCCGTGCCCACTGCTCACGCCCAACTTACTCGTGCTATGACCGTCGACTCGCATCCAGCGCCTGTACTCGAGTTCATTCCTCCAGCTGACAATCAAGCGCTTGATAATTTGGAACGTTGGAAAGGCGCTCCTATCGTTAAGTTTGGTTTCGGCGGTGTTTTGATTAGTTCATTCCCAAAACGAGTTCCCATGTATTCAACTGGCCAAATTGCCCCTCGCGTGAAACCCGTTCCTGGAGAGATCAAATTGCGTTCTATTAATGAGGCTATTCCTGAGCCGGCTGTGAAATTCCCTGGCCCTCTAAAGTCCAAATCTAAAAAGAAGGAAGTTATCACCTGGTTATCTAACATGATATCTAGCTTCGAACATGAGGAGCCGCAAGGCTTCGCGCAACTTACCCAGGCGGAGTACCAATCCAAGCAAGAAAAGATCCTGCTTTGGAAGGTCCTTAGGACACTAGTTGAGCATGATGGCGTTCTTCGAGGAACGCCGGAGGTTGAAAAAAGCCTTCGAGGGATTCTTTCGCCCATCACTCAGCAAGACGATCAACTAGCACCCACCATCGGCTCATCGAATGAGCTATTTGGCAAAGCAGAACCGGCCAATGTCAATCTTAATACAATTCAACATCATCTTCTCCTCGGGGAACGTGAAAAGGCTGTGTGGAATGCTGTTGACAATCGCTTGTGGGGCCATGCAATGTTGCTATCTTCGACTCTTAATCCATCGATCTGGAAACAGGTTGTTCAAGAGTTCATTCGTAGGGAAGTACGATCTGTTGGTGAAAATACCCAGTCACTTGCAGCTCTCTATGAAGTATTGGCTGGAAATTTTGAAGAAAGTGCCGACGAACTAGTCCCCCCATCTGCGCGGGCGGGTCTACAAATGGTAAACATGCGTACAGGTCAAGGGCCAGCAGGAAACGCCCTTGATGGACTCAACAAATGGCAAGAGACTCTGAGCTTGATTTTGAGCAACCGCAGCTCACAAGATGACCAAGCTATACTGGCCTTGGGCCGGTTGCTTTCGTCCTATGGAAGAATTGAGGCTGCACACATTTGCTTTTTAGTTGCTAGATCGAACGCCAACCCCATCTTTGGAAGTGTCGATGACCCAAATACTCATATTGTCCTCATTGGTGCCGACCATAAACGATATCCATTTACGTTCATGGCTGAGCCAACCTGCTGCTTGCTTACCGAAATATACGAATTCGCTACCTCCGTCTTGACAGCGACCCCGTTGCATGTCCTACCTCACCTCCAGGCTTTCAAATTACAGCATGCTTTGACTCTTGCCGAAACTGGCCACAAGACGGAAGCCCAACAATACTGTGAAGCTATTGGTGCGTTGCTGAAGGCGGCAGCGAAACTCTCGCCGCATTATAACCAGCGATTCTTCATAGAGTTAGAGGAGCTTTCAAACCGTCTCCGACAATCGCCTGGCGATGTGGCATCTTCCTGGATGTCGAAACCAAGCATGGAGAAAGTGTCTGGCTCGATGTGGGCGAAGTTTAACAGCTTCGTAGCTGGAGATGATGCAGGCCCTACTTCATCTGATTCTCCCAAGGCTCATGATGAGCAAGGCCCATTTGCGAATATCGTTGGCACACCACCAATTAGTCACTCGCCAGGTGGACCGGAATCGTACGGTTCATATTTCCCACAGCAGCAGCAGCAACAACCGGTTCCCATCCCTACCTCGAATTCTCGCTATGCACCCAACAATCAATACGCGCCTTTCTCCTCGCCGGATCAGCTTCGTGGTCGCCGTTCTCTAGACTCGCAACGCTCCCCCTCGCGTGGTGCAACAGGACGGTCATACTCCCAGAGGCGCCATTCACAGGATCCATCAACCACATTGGAAGGTAGCTACAACCCGATCAATGCCGGTCACGTTTATTCCCCATCAGGGATGGCGCCTCACGCCGCAACGCATTCTGCACCATTGCCCACGCACTCGTCCCTCGCTCCGGTTGAGGAGGCTAGCTCATCTCTAGCTCCAAGCACTACCTCAGAGAATGCTCCTGGCCTAGGCGTATCGGCGCCAGGTGCCAGTCCATTCCAGTCCGCTTACCAGCCAGGCAATAATATGTACACACCTCCCTCTCAGGGCTCCCTTGGGGGATATGAACCGCCGTCAGATGGCGGAGGATACCAGCCGCCATCTTACGAACCACCATCTTATGAAGCTCCTGCAGATGAACCAGAATCGGCTGAGAGTGAGCATTCTGAGGAGCAGAAACCTAAGGGTAAGAGCTTCATGGATGATGATGGCGATGATCATGTTGCCAAGGGCCCAGCAAATGGAGTGGAAACCGAGCGAGGCCGTAGGGATAGAGAAGCGGCGGAGCTTGTCAGGAAGGCCGCAGAAGAAGATGGTAAGCTTTGCCAAACATCATCAAGATATACAGTAACTAATCATTTTTTTATAGCCAAAAAAGCACCAGTAGACCCAAAGAAAGGCTGGTTTACGGGTTGGTTCGGGAAGCGAGACCCAAGCGCTTCCGGTGGCCCTATCCGTGCCAAATTAGGAGAACAGAGTTCCTTTTACTTTGACGAAGACCTTAAACGATGGGTCAACAAAAAGGACCCTGATAGTGCAACGGCAGCTGCACCGGTCTTGCCTCCTCCTCCCAGAGGCTCAGCGCCCGGCAGCCGGTCTGCCAGCTCTGAACAACGACCACCAACCTCTGCATCCGTTGCGAGTGCCCCCGATGCACTCCCTATCCCACTGGCTCGAGGATTGTCCGCGCAAGGCCCAAGTTCGCCGTACGGCTCGGCCCCTCCTACATCTTCATTGGGGGTGCCGTTCTCCAGTAGCCCTGGGCGCTCATTCTCTGCCGGAACTCCACCCACTGGGCCGTCTTCAAGGCCCAGCACTGCATTGAGCCATGCAAGTTCAATCGATGACTTGCTCGCAGCTCCACAGGCCAAAAAGGGAGGCACGCTCAAAGGTCGTAAGAAGGGTAGATATATCGACGTTATGGCAACGTCGTGAAAGACTCTTGCTTTTGATACTCCCTGAACCATGAACGGCCCATGCCTCGTGTGGTGTCTTCATTTAACAACTCCCTCCTACAAACCTCCATTTTTGTTTTCCTGATATCTCTCAGGCTCCTTTTATATCATCGACCTGGTGTCTGTTTTGCTTATTATGCGTTTCAATTCCTAATTTCTATTTGGCTGTCTTAGTCTGGAGGCAGTTTCTTGCTTCACTCAATACCCTTTTTTAATTACACATTTCCCTTGAGCAACTATAAAACCTTCTTGGCTGCGGCTACTTTTTCTTTCTTGCATGTATCTATTTCTGGTCTTAGTTGGCTGACGTGTACTTTTATCTTCACTATTCTTAATACATTATTAATCATTCTGCTCATATCAACGTTAGGCAGCATATGAATTTATATAATAAGTTAGACACGAATCCTCTCCTCCCATGCTCCCAGGAAGATAGACATAAAGGATAAGAGCGGTCTCGTGAATAAAACCTATTAGATATGAAGAAGAGTCAGCAAGAGACGGTAGACATCAAGCTGAAGGTTGATGAGCACTCACAGGCAACGACTTTTGGACTCAACCTCCCAACACTCAATACACGGCCCCAATCTTTCCCATCAATCCTCACTTTGGCCCATCCTTCCTCGCCATCCGCACCCCGGGCTCGCATCCGTTCACTGGGGAGCTGGGCAATCTCGTTCTGGGACATGTGTGCCGGATCAAGCGGAGGGTTCACCAGACTGGTCCATACGCTAGAAATGCGAAGCGCATCAGTAGCAATCGCCAGTTTCAACGAACCGTGCATATTTGCACTAAGTTCCAACTTGGGCCCGCTGCTATGACTTCCACCCACTAGGCCCGCCGCGTTGCCGTTGCCACTTGCATTGACATTTCCCGATTTGCTTGACGTAGTGTCCGTGGCTAGCTTTGTGAAACGCTCTGATATGCTTTTTAGCTGTATGAGGCTGGGGAGAATTATGTGAACGTCCGGATCGCGACAACGTGGTTCGTGCAGTCCTTCGACCGTGGATGGATGAAGGACGCGAATGGGTATTTCCTGTGTGACGATCGTCTCACGCTCCCTGGGCCCATCTTGTAGGAGTTCAGCAGCAGGTATTCCGGTCAACGCAGCACCGCCGTCTTCGAGACTCTGGGTGTTGCCTGCAGCGTTTCCTCGCGCCTCATCGACCCCCAGCGCGTTTTTCCCAGGTGTCCATGACGAAGTCACCACCGTCAGGGCGAGCAGGGGCTGGTTCCCCTTTTTTGTTAACCGTAGTTGTGCAGAGGTAGCGCCAGTGGCTGATTTTAGCGCACGATGGAGGGCACCTATTGGCACCTCCAGATTGATGACCTTTGCAACCGAAGAAATAGAATATGAATCGAAGACAGTGTCCTACTCTCGTCGCTTAGTCGTCCGCCGTGATCATCAATTCTGCTTCTCTGCTTGTTATACATACAATCGGTAGTTGAGCCCAGACCTGAGTCCCCTGGTCAGGAACGATGGAGAAGCGAACTATCTCATCTTCCAGCCTCACCCAGCAGACCTTGCCAAGTGACGATAGGGAGGCCGTGAATTCTAGCAAGGATCAGTGGTGCTGACGCGCGTAGAACGGGTCTTTGGTCTGATACTAACTGGAGAACGTAGCTACGTTTGTGAGCTGGCTTTTGAAGCGCATCTTGTACGATTCATCATTCCTGGCCTAGCCAGCAGTAAACTCCTCTGCAGGGTATCTTTTCTCGTAGCTCCTTTATCTCATATCCATGCAGAGGCCCGTCTGCAGTTTGATATCGTTTGATGTCCTGAGATGCAGCCAGCCGCAGAGTTTGTATAAATGTCCGATATCTGAAACAAGATCAAACGACCAGCGGGTTCGGCAAGATCTAGATGCTAAGCAGGCTAGACACTGTCTCAGGTATTGTTTTTTTGTTTATCGCAGGAAGAACGAAAGATGATATGCTGTGGCTGTGGTGATCAAATGGTTTAGTCAGTGAAGCCACTCGCGAGGATCAATCTCAACCACGTAACTTTTGCTTTGCCAGACTGCATATCTACACACAACCTCGACTTTCAAGGCCCTACAACCGTGGCTTGACGGCCATTGACAGCGCATTCTGCAGCTCAGCTTCAGGCTCAGGGCATTTGGATCGTTCCACCTTGCACCACTGGAGACTGTCTGCTCGTCAACACCGGCGGAGGCCATCAGGAAATGCTCGACGGACCTCCAGCATCTTCTACTGCGATGGCAGATCACCAGCATCTATTCTTACCTGCTATCTAATTCTAAAGGAAAGGAAGACTATCTGATATGATCATATACTGTCGCTCTCTGCTCGTGCCGGTGTAGTTCACTCGTTTTCTCAGCCATGTCGACGTCTCCATCCTCTGTCTCTACCATCAGCCCTGGCGCCGTCTAAACGCTGAGCGCCTTCGACCCTTCGCTTTGGCCGGTGATATCAGAAATATCAGAGCCGGCGATGCTCCTAAGCCATGTCACAAATGGCGAGATCCCCGTTTAGGTCTCTTGACCCGGCAGTCCGCCTCCCTCCGCGTCACTCGCGGGCTCACTCACGCTCTTCGCGCTCGACGTCTCGCTCCCCCGAACGAAGGGCCCAATTCCTCTCCCATCAGCTTGATCCTCTCCTCTCCGACCTTTCTCCAGAGACGACGCTGCAAGTTCTCTCTGCAACCGATGCAATACCGATAAACAAAGATACTCCGCATAGTGTTTTGGCCAAGAGCATATCCGACGTCTCAACCGTGGATCGCGCATTCGGCATTCGAGCCGCCGTGGCTGCCCAGAAACTGAATGAATGGCATACCGAGGTCCTCTCCTGGCTCTGGCCAGAAGACAGAGATACAGATAGAAGAAATGGCTTTCTTCCGCCTGGGAACTGCCCGGAGAGCACCAGCGTTGGAAATGCTGCAACTTCCGCTATATCAGAGACGGAAGCATACTTTGGCTGTCTACCAGCGAGCATTCTAAAATTATATCAAACCCGGATTATGGAAATAAAGGATGGCATGGAGGCCCTAGAGGTCGAGGAGCTCAAAGAACACGTTCTTACGGTTCACATCGCTTCACGATCCCGCCCACCATCTGCTGCCAGTACCATGTCGACAAATTCACGCCTAGCTAGCTATCTGAGGCTGAGTGATTTCACCGCAGTGATAACAGCAACAATACTCCGGGCCCTCCCTGTGTTATCTAAATTGAATAATTTACTCAGCAATTGGCATTCTCGGCTCCTTGTCCTCGGCCAGGTCCCCGGGCTGCTCCGGGGCCTCCGGGAAACAAAACAGGCCATTGATATTGCACTTCGCCGCCTGCAGGAGGGCATGCTACCGGAACTTAATAACCCCTTATTCTCAAGGGAATCATTTAGAGCTAGCTGGAGAGAGCTGCAAAGTATGGTCTCTTCACTCGGACGACGGATAGATGGAATGCTCGACATCCTTGAAGGAAGGGAAGATTCCCTGCCGGACACATGGATTGATGAGATGGAATCCATCGAGGCTAGGTTTGCTACCTGGGCGTACGAGGCAGAAAGAAGAGCAGTGCAAAACGAACTGAGATGTCTATACCAACTTGAAGTCAACGAGTACATTTCGCGGAATGCTTCCAAAGAACCCATGGAAGACACGTTAAAGGACTGCACTTCGGGGAATGTTGCCGGAGACATTTCTAATACAGATACTGCTCAATTATCTCCCTCGCACCCTGAAGTAAGGGTGGAAGATCACACTTCCTGCCGTGGTGCAGCATCTTCCAATCTCCAGGCTTCTATCCCACAAGCCATGCATGTCATTCAGGAAAATGAGGAATCCCAATCTCAAACGACAGTACCACCTGTTGTCCATGCCTCTTCAACCGTAGATACCCAGGAATATTCTACCTCCAATTCACTTCCTAAGGATCGTGATCCTATTAAGATGGCAAAAGACACCTCCATCATAATGCCCGATAACTCCCGCCCGATAACGCTGTCTCCCAGCACCCAAGCCGAGCTTTGTGACGACGCCGAAGTTGCCGGGAATCCAAGTGATGTTGGCACCGCTCTATCCGAACCATCACATACTACCCAACTCCCTCTACATGATGGCACCGGTAGCGAATACATCGCTGTCAAGCTGAGAGAAACTATTGTGACCGAGGATGCAGAGAGCTCAACGTCAAACGATCACAGGGACATGTCGCCTGATACCTCACCTGCCCCAATTATGCAGTTGGCCGGCCTACGAAAAAGACCCAGTAAACGCGAGAAACCCATTCCTTCTAGACTACAACTGATACCATCAGGGTCAGACGCAACTATCAAACAACGTGACTCGATTATCTCTATTAACTCGTCCAGTGGCTCAAGTTTCGTGTCGATCAGAGATGATGCTGACATAAAGGCTGCACAAATTGTGAAATCTCCCAGGACTCCGGCTCATGTCTCTCCTGACTTCAGCTCCAGTGGTTCGGTAATACATCATACCCCAGAGGCGGCCAAGGACGGTGCTTCTCGACTTCCGAGCAGCGAATCTTCGTCTCCTGAAGCCCAAACCCCGCCATCCCTGCGGTTGTTTGGGAGAACCATGAGTTTACCCTTGGCTCGTTATATCAATGATGAATCCGGTTCCATATATGGGCAGGATAATATTTACCATCCGAATGACCAGCCCCATGTCAGCAATCCTTCTGTCGAATCTTTGGATGTATCACCAAAAGGAAAGGTATGTCTAGTATATACTTCCCCAGTTTTGTATACTTGCTAACTCCTCTATGCAGCCTCACGATTCCGCCTTTGATCGACGCGGAAGCTTAACCCCTGGTACTCCAGCGAAATCTGAACTGCGAAGATCAGTCTCGTCTGCCAGCATTTCTTCCTCCCCTCGTTTGAAGGAAAAATTAAGCCTTGGTCGACTATCGAATTACATGCGAGTCCCTCATTTACGGCGTAGCGCAAGCTCTGAGCCCCTCTATCTTGAAAAATCACCAATATCTATTGGCTCTCCCGACACTAGTTTTGCGTCCACTCCTCTCAAGCCAATCAACCTCCCTTCCAGATTAAGCCCTCTCCCCCGTTCATCATCTCCGGAAACACCAAGCACCTGCACAGAAGGTGACTCTCCAGAACATATATCGCCTCTCCTAAAACAAAGATTCCACCCAGCCCTCAAAACCCCCGTCAAATCTTCACATGATCAACTAGATGACAGGATACACTCCATTTTGGACACTATTCCTACCAAAATCCGTTTAAAATCTGCCGTTAGCGAAGACTCTGGTGATCGCCCTATGAACGATAATTTACGGGTCCCCAAAAATTCAGGACGCACTCGACCATCTTCTCCTACACCCTCTCGTTCCAGCACTCCTACGCCATCTCTCACCCTAACTCCAGCATTTGGACGCTCCAAGCGACCACGCAACAACCGTGGGCCAGATGACGTCCGGCTATACCATCTCCATAGAGGAGGTAAAGCGGCTCCCGTGAAACTTTTCGTGCGGCTAGTCGGAGAGACTGGCGAGAGAGTAATGGTGCGCGTTGGTGGCGGCTGGGCAGACCTAGGAGAGTATCTTCGCGAGTATGCTATGCACCACGGGCGAAGAGGTATAATAGACGGGCGATTTGAGGTACAGGGTATCCCCGTCGTCAATGCTCATCCTCGATCTACCACCCCCACAAACGGCCGTACCACTCCCGTGCCTCCTTCGAGACCTGGTTCCGCCCTAGATGTCCGCCCCGGGTCTTCACTACAAGTCCGCAAGCCACGACGCGCAACGGGCTCCGGTGCAGACCTACTGCCAAATCTAACCGCCGCTAATATCCAAAGGCTGTCTGAAGAGGGTGTCAGCCCCGGTAACTCTTCCTTTCTATCTTCACAGCGGCGCCCCTCAGTATCATCCGCTACATCAACAAGTATCACTTCAGCCATAGGCGATAATTCGTTTAACACCACCCCATCCCACCGCTCATTTTCTACAGTCACAGGTGCAGCTCATTCAACACCGCTTGGCCTAGCCGGCCCAAAACCACGATCAAAACAACATACCATTAGCCCCGAGAGTGAGGCATGGGTTGAAGATGTCATGGGTCAGGCGAGGAGAAGCTCGTCGACACTCAGGGCACAGCGATCAATGACCGCTATACGCAGCAGTTCTGGGGTCCTTCGGCGAATTCCAAGCGGAACTCTCAACGAACAGAGCCCTACTAATAACATCGCGATGAGTAAAGTCCGGAACGAGAATAAACTTCGAAGCGCGAGTGATATGGGGAGTGTATCACTCAACAAACGCGTCTTTTTGCGTCGACTAGGCAAAGAAAAGGAATAAATCTATACCACCTTTCTTCCATCTAACGTCGAACATCCATTCTTTATCACCATTTTCGTTTTGTTTGATTTCTTTTTTTTTTCTTGGGTTGCATGTTGCGAGTCACTTCTCGGACCGGCGTTATTAAGATATCCATTTCCACTTTCTATTTTTATTTCCATCTAACGCAACGATTGAATCTCTTTTAATCAACACACACTCTTTGACTTCTCTTTTTTTTTCTATCATTGACTTGGTTGGTTACCTCTGGATTCACCTTATTTCAACATCTTTGCTTCTAGCGATTTCTTTCTATTGATATTGGTTTAATGCCTCTTCGATCCAATATTCCTTTAAGCATATACCCCTGTTGTCTCAAGTTAAAACTATTACTCTTATTCGTTTGAAATTACGATTCGTTATATCAAAATCAAAGGCTGTATGGCGTAGTATAAAAAAAGAGAGCATCCCATGTCGGCAGCGATAGCTATAATTGCAGACCTAAGTAACCCTAACACCAACCAGAAAGAAAGCCGTTAGATATAGATCAAGCAAGATGTTTATAGATCATAAATATTAAATAATGGCCCCAGATCATGTCATTGCATCACAGACTCCCAGATAACCCATGTAGTACTAAGAGAAATAAATTAATACAGATAATAAATGAAAGAAATTCGTAAACCTTTGCATCTTAAAAGGTGTAGGGCGAGAGTGAGAGAGGATGCTATTCCGTGCATCCATTAACAGTGATTATTTCATCCCACGACGGCTATGTTCTCGAATCTCTTTAGCATCCATAACTTCCACCTCTCGGCTGAGGAGATTTCGAAGCTGAGAAGTAATTATTCGGTCAACGTTTGTTTCCTCAGACTTAGAGCTTGCCGTATTGGCGGGGGTTACGCCTCCACCAACTCCTGGCTTAGCTCCGGTGGTCGTAGCTGAGGTACCTGCGTCAGGCGATGTGGAGCTGCTTGGTTGAGATGCCAGCCGTGTTGTTCGTTGCCGAACTGGCGCTTGTGGGAAGTTATACTTCTTGTCAATAGCTTCAACCTTCTTCTCAAAACGCCGGAAGAGAGCCTCTGCTCTGCTTAACGTTGGGATTAAGTCGATTGTATTTGAGAGTTCGTTGACTATTGATATGTTAGTCTTATAACCCACAGTTGCACACTCGTAATAACTGCTTTGGAATGACATACTGTATTTCAAAACCTCGTCAAAATGATGAAGATGCGCCATGATCACGTCACGGTGTTTCTCCAGGATGGCCAAAGCAACGAATATGTGGAAGTTACTAGACAGATAGTCTGTCCATAAAGTTTCCCAAAGTCTCAGGCAGTCGACCCATTCGAATTCACGTTTGAACCAGACTAGCAGCATTCGGAAGAAAAAGAAAAAGTTGGTGCTTTCCGCCTTCTGGAGATGGAGGTAGAGCTTTGGGTCCATGAGTTGAAGGAGTTGGTCCAGGGTCATAAGCTGTTGGCGCATTCCGGATTGATCCCGGAGGAAGTTTCGTTCCTATTTTTTTTTTTTTGTTAAGGTCCTGTGTTTTCCAATGGAATGGGTATATGGATGCCTACCATTCGGTTCATGAATCCAACAAACCCCCAGAATGCGATTGCGTCGTCCTGCATTACAGCATATATCGGGCTTAGCAGATCACTCATTCCTTGTACGTAGCCAAGGTCAGTGTTGTACTCGTTGTACGTGAGTAGCATATCCTTCATCTGTTCCAGATGGACATTTGTGCCAGTCTCTGCAAAGGGCGAGTCTGGATCTGGGTGTGGCGTGTCCTCCCCAGCGAAAAGCGGGATGTTGCGGTCTGTCCTGTGAACATCTTTCTCTGCATTACGAATACCAAGGGATGGTTTGTAGTTAGTCATCTGAGAAGATGGTGGAAGACAGACTGTCAGGCAAGGGAAGTGTCTTACCAATTCGATTCTTCTGCTCCCTGAACCACTCCTGCTCCTCAGAGGTAGAAGTTCCGTCAATCATACGCTCCCACCAAGCCCCTTTCAGGCGAATGTATTCATCTCGTCTTGAATTCATGATAGCCTTTCGTTCATCCTCGCTGCTATCCCAGGAATGAAAGCCTAGGAGGAATAACCATGCCTCTTTTCGAACACCGTCATTCGGTTCAAGTCCTCCATGGAATATTCGCTCCTTGGCCTCGTCAACAGTGATCTGTAGTTTTCCGGTCGTCTTATGGAACCACCCGTTCCACTCTTCAAGGGTGACTGGTTTACGCTTATCACTGATGCTCATCTGTGCTGCTTCCATGTCAAGAATTTCGAACTCTCCCACGGAACTATTTTCCATGGCGAGAACGTCGTTTGCTGTCCATATTCGCTGATTGCGCTCGCGTTCGCTCTGTTCCGCGATACCCATTGCCCAGCGGGCAAGATATAACCTAGCGCTGTCGAACTCATCCTGCAGCGTTTGAACTTCAGGATTCCTCATCAAGCGCCTCATTTGGGGAGGTACTCTAGGATTGTCCGCAATATCTTGAGCTGTTCTGCGGGTGAATGTTGTAATCTTGCTAAACTGTTCAAGAACCATCCACCTCGTTTCCTTTAGGGCCTTTGTAAAGGGGTCCATTGTCGCATCTCGAGGGGGTTTGCTGGAACTAGGCTCACCGCCCGATCTTTCCATCTTACCTTTGGCTTGCCCAAACGCGGTCTTATCTTCATCAGTTGGGTTGATCAGATAGGCGCTTGGGTCTTCACCTGAACGGTGAACTTCGACATATCGTCGTAGCCATCGAAGCACCTCGTCACCTCCCCAGAACATACTCCCATCGGAAGCAAAGGGGTCAAAATTCTCCTTTGTCCGCTTCTTCTTTTGCAGTATTGTGGATTCACATTCGCTGTCGTGGAAGAACAATGCAGGAAAGCTATCGCCAGCCTTTGTATTGATAATCACACTACCAAACCACCATCCCAAGCTCGGTGGCCGAACCAAGAGTGAATATATACGGGAGAGTGGGATGGCGAAGGCGTATGATCCGATAGGACCCAGATTGCTCTCAGTCGTGGGCAATGGCGGGACAAGGTAGGACGTCCGTGGAGGCGAAGAGCTGTCTGATAAATCTACTTTAACGTAGACATTGCGCTCGTCTCCCAATGAGGCCTCCGGCACCCAGGACAATAATAGTGAGGATGGGTCGATCTTTTTATCTGAAAGTGGAGAGGATGAGGAGCTCTCGGGAGGGACAGCAGAAGCAGGCTGCTTCTGTTGAATCAAAGCAATAAAGCCTGGTATATTGTCCTTTGAGGATGCGCTTGGATGGACGTAGACCTGCACCAACCAGTTAGCAATACACCTCACAACGGCCTCTCCGTCAAAGAACGCACCTTGCTTTTGGAATAAAGCAGCTTCACTCCCTTTCCAGATCTTGTATGAGTAACCGTGTTATAATCGCCCTCCTCGTCGTCGCTAACATCGTAGAATGACGCTGAGGGGGACGGAGGCGATGCCGGCGGGGTGTGGTTCGCAGCCATGGTGCTGTGAGGGGAAACCGGATGCGCTGGATCAGCTCAACCCGCGGTCATTCTCCAGAGCGTGAGAAGATGAGATAGACTGCTATGCCGTAGGTATGATAGCAACGATATATAGAGAAAGCGACCTTTGCGATGTTGAACTGATAGCCCCAAACATGTGACGTTCTTCACCTATGACGCCGCCAAGAAACCGCTTCTCCCAGGCAAAAGTTCCCAAGTTTTCCTTGCGCTCCATCGCCTTAAGTCCACGGTGTCTACAGGCAACAACATTACAGGGCCTACGTACTGCAGTGGCTGTGGCATCTACCAGCGGCCGCCAGAGCTTTCTATATACCGTAGCTTTTGAAAGGTGCCTCGCGCGGCGAACCGCGACCACAACAGCATATGTCATCGGGCACTCCGGCAATAACGGTCATATAGAACGGTTTATTCCCATAACATCGCATATATACGGAGGAGTAGTGTCCGCTATGAAGATCTGCTCTTTGCCATTTGAATGTAAATATTTGTTATTCGTCTTAGCGTATATTCAGAGCCTGATTCAACTTGTCAGTCGATTCTCTGATCGACCTCGAAAGGTTGTATAGAGCGCCTTTGTGTTATATAGAACACCTTTGGCGAGCTAGACCTCGAGAACTGCCCCTCCTTAACTATGAGAGTCGCATTCAATCCCACTTTGCACGGATCAACTGACGTCACTCAACAGACACGTCTTGAAATCTTCACGGTCACTCTGTGTTGACACACTGTACGACGTGAAGAGCCGATCTCGCGTCGGTATCTGAATACCGGGTGAAGAGCGGGTTTATAAATAGAAATCCATGTGGAAACTCCGATGTAGAGTTTATAGAGTCGTAGCCTGGGACCGAAAACCTCGTATTTCTCTTTCGAAATTCCACAACTTCCGCCAAGATGGTTTCTTCTGCGAGCGGTACGGGAACACTCTAAATCTATTTTTTGATACCTCTCGAAGATAGACAGAAGGTGGGAAGGTCGAAGTCCACGGAGACGGCACGGGAGATCGTATTCTGGCAGATGTACTCCGTAGAATGGCTAATCCAGGCCACAGACCAACGCACAAGGCTGCTAGGGGTTTCCGTTTACTACCTCGAGTAGTATCATAGTTGAAGTTAGTATCAGAGCTTCATAAATAACTACCTTGGATAGTCATGGAGGCGTGATGGTCATCCTTTGGTAGATTGAACCTGTGGAGCCTTTATCCCTTTCTTCAAGGTTAGCTGATTCGGTGATGGCTCGAGTTCAAACATCAACTCCCGCAGGCCGTACTTCAAGCCGTCTACTCCGTACTCCATAATCTCTAGATCAAAGGGCCTTGCCATGGTCCTCAACCGCGTTTGTCTGTTTGACTTTCTCGAAGTGGCGAGTCGTAGACAACGGACGTATCAGTGCATATCATCCCCGTTCCAACGATGCAACATCTCTCCTCTGCCGTCTGTCTCTCGGTGTTTGGTCTGTTGCTTCTTGTTCGACGTTGTCTCTATAACTTGCAGCAAAAATAGAAGAAGTAGAAATTTGCTTACTTAATACGCGGAAGTATATCGGCCCGGATAGAGTTGATTACCTAATGTCAAAGTCATCGCGCTTTCGTAAAAAACGACGAAAAAGCGAGTTTGCAACCAGAAAGAATCGCATTTCGCTTTCATCTATTAATGGAGAGACAGAGAATAAAGATCGAGGGAGACTAACGTCGGTAAATAGAAAACATCGTTGCGGTAGCCTGTCCTGTTCATGTGACTTACTCCGGACTAACTGGGTAAAAATAGATCCTCGGAGTGGCTTGGTCGCTGGTAAATATACGCTGGCCAGGCTGAGTTTCCTACAGGCCCATACACCAGTTATGCACGTACAGGGACGGATGAATATGATCCCTATCCTGATTCCATCCTGATCCTGGCCGGCTGCCCTGCTTTCCTTCTCTTCTCTCGCTGCAGCGTCAAGGGCGTCTGCAGCACATGCATGTTAAGGGGTAAACACAGCGTCAACTTCGACATGGCCTGGCAGGCTGCTCTGGTTTCTGATATATTTAGGCCGGTCGTATTCCTGACAGGAACGGCCTCGGAAAAAAGTGGTACCCCAAGCCGCAAAGGGCGAAGTCGCGGGGCCTTTACGGAGAGAGATCCATCAGATGGAGTTCCTTTTCCGTGTTTGTTGGTCGAGTTATGGAGTACGGAGTAGTCAACTTCACATACTTGCCGGCCTGCTCGCGCTGAACCTCACGAGCGCCGACATCTTCTAGACTTCCACGGAGTGCAGTAAAAAGTGTTTCGATGTACCTAATACTTGGCCATCCACCGGGTACAGGGACCCCCAGGTCCAATATTTACCAGGGTTCACGGGGCTGGCAGGGTTATTGGGGGTTAGATTGAAGAATGGGTCACCTTTCCTTGCTCTCACGTCCATATCTGGCAGTGATATAGCGATCCCTTGCACAGGCCAGCGGAGGTTTAACGCAGCAGCCTGTGCACTAAGCATAAGCCTTAGTGTGATTGCTCCCGCGCAATACGGGCCTTACACACCTTGATCGCCGCTTGTTCCCAAGTGGAGGCGTCCTCGTTGCTTTTTCTGAGTTTGTTCGGTTCAACCTGTCTCTGAATCAGCTCCCACACTACCTATCCAACCCGTAAGATTCGCTGAGAAATACGGGTGACGATGATCAGAAACGGGCAATTATGCGATCGCCTATTCATATACTAGGCGTTTCCCCGGTTCTGAACATAATATGAAAAGAGCTGACATGCTGCATTTTTGGGGGGGCTTATCGTCAATAGCCCTTTTTTTTAGCTATCATTCGTCCCTTGTAGCTGCATGCAGGCACTTACATACACCCCAATCTATATCAACCAACAGCCCTTGCCCTTGTCCTACTTTTGATGTGATCACTGCTGGGGTGGACAATTTAGTGGCGGCTGCTCCCTTTTCTCCAGGGGCAAACGAGACGTGCCGCAGGATAATTTTCATAGATATCATGAACACATTCTCAGTTACTTGGTATAGTTCAACGTCCACCGTCTGCCAGTTAGCTTCACTCAATAATAATTATATTTCATTTTAGGACCCAACTTCCAACAGTTACCGTTCTTTATGCTCGTTGGGTTTCCCCTATTTCTTCAGGCCAGACTTAAGACCCAACTCCACGGATTCGCGCGTCTATTTCTTTGATCGATCCGCCATCGCAATTGCATTCGTTGCTGTGTCACCCTGCAATCCTTCTCGTCGCAATACCTTGCGTATCTAGGCATTTTGTCTTTCTATGATTGGGGATTAGAGTTACTCGACGAAGGCGCAAAACGAAGGTTATGAGAAATATCTAAGCATCGGCTGCAAAAAGGTCGGTTCTCGATGCTCCCCCAACTTTTTTTCTGTACTTTTCTCTATTTCCTTTCTCTGGAACTTCAACAAGTTGCCTTTTTGTGATGTGACAATAAAGACGGTGGCTTTCTTCCCGTCTTGTCCCGCCCTTGAAGCCTGGGTCTATTGCGCGTCGCTCTTCTGGCTGCAGCTATCCATTGTCTATGGAGACTGGCCATTGCGCGTGAGTTGATTTGTCTCATTTTCTTTCGAATAACCCAGCAAGAGACGAATCATCTGCCGTGGCTTTTTGAAATCTTCCACCTAACATCTTCTCTATCAATGTTTGCGGAAGAAGCTAGTGATTTTCTGGGCGTTCAAAACAATGAAACCCGGGGGTTAGTGGCGGCGGGATTCCATTTAAATCTACCAGACACTGGGGATGACAGCAGTTACCTGCAGCTATTCTTTTTGTCACCATTCCGATGTGCGCCGAAGCTAACCTGTTGCACCGACTATAGAGGTGAGAAACGGCAGCCATGACGATCATCGTACGGTCAGAGAAGTTCGATAACTTGGTGCCCTCAGCGAAGAAGATGAAGAAATGGCAGGGTAGACAGTCAAGAGTCAGTATGAACTGGACCAAAGATATTTCTGCCAAACTTGAGACCAAAGTTCAGAGCAAAATCCACCTCGGTAGCAAGGAAAAATCGAGTATCATGGCTACCAAGACCGTTGGCCGTTCAGCGACGACGAGCACAAGACCTAGAGTCCCGCCTCTACCTCCCTATTCTCCCTTGGGAGGATTGCAAGAGCTATTTAAGGAGGTTGGAGGGACGCTTGGGCCTGAAAAGGGTCCAGAGGACGAAGCAGAGGAAGAAACCGAGCTTGTCTCACCGGTGACGTACACATCTAGATCGTGTGTCGGTACTATGGGCGACAGCGTCGACGACAGACTATGTGACGACGACAGCATCTTCTGCCAGTCTCCGGCGACAGTGACCACCATAGAAACTGGATTCAGCAGCTGTATGCATAGTTTGCATGGCGCAGCACATGAACCTATTTCGGGCGCAGCAACTCATGCGCCAACAATTTCCCCATTGTTCTATAGCAACTCCAAAAGAAAACAGACAATATACCTCACCCTCGATAGCAGCAACCATCCAACTCCCGACATCAGAGTGCCAACATCGGCAACCTGTTGCTCAGCAACAACAACTTGTACTTCAATATACCCCTGGTCCTCTGTCAGTTGCATCGACGAAGAAACCCCGCGGAATCTCTCTCCAAAAGGCGCCGTGAATGGCCCCTTTTCACTTCTCGATACGGTAGATGCAGCGGCCTTTGAGGATGGATTTCGACCGACAAACCCCGTCTCTACAACGCTTAAAAGGAGATTAACGGTACGCGAATCGAAGATGAAGGCCCTACCTCCTTATCCACCGCTACCAGAGAATGTGAACGCTCAAAAAACCGGACAGTCACTCATAAAACGTTCCAAGGAGGCCACCCGTCCTAAACATTCACCTAAAGCACTAAGTCTCCCCCAGATACCACAAGAAACCGATTTCGACATGCTTGACAACACATTCCAGAAACACCGTCGCAATATCTCGCTATTCCCGTCCTTAGAGGAGGCTGCAGAGGACCTAGAGGCGCATCTCCTAACTATACCATCGGCCAAGGAAACACAGCCACTCTCGCGAACTCGTTCACCATCCCCGTTCCATTTAGAAGGAGCCATTACCGAGACTCAGAACCAAAAGGAGATTTGTCCTGTGCTTCAGAGTGGAACGACTCCAAAAATGGATTCAGCACGCAGCAGCCTTGATCGTCTTCGCGAGAGTATAGCCTCGAAACAGAAGGTTCAGATGTCTCATACTAAGAGCCCGAAAAACGTACAACTAGGGCTAAAAAGCAAATGGACTCGTCTATCTACATTCTCAAGGCGAGGAGCAGGGAAGCCCAAACCACATCTCCAACTACCTCCCCACAAGCTACCACCAATGCAAACAACGGATTTTTCTAGTCCGGTAGAAAAATTAGATTTCGGGTTGAACGTCGATTTGGGCCTTCCAGCAGGCTTTGCGGAGCTTGATGGAGAGCCATCACCGCGCGAAGATAGCATTGCTACAAAACCTACCAAGCGCATGTCTCACCCACCGAAACCTTTAGCCGAGAGCATTATTCTCCGGATTTTCGAAAGCGTGAGCTATTTCGATGACCTGTTCAATTTGGCGACAACTAACCGAGCGTTTTACCGTGTTTTTAAACAACATGAGCTGGCGTTGGTCCAGAATACCTTGTCTCGTATGTCTCTACCGGCATGGGAGCTGCGCGAAATGAGCCCGCCATGGGATGACGACGGTATTGCTCGTCTCGGAGTTAGCGTGAAAGACGAGCCCATCCCCGAATATACACCTCGCCTTTACCTCCAACACTACTCACGAGACCTATACACCATGGCCGCTCTAAAGTCTATGATCTTAGTACATTGTGAGAGTTTCCTTCGAGTGGAAACCTCTCGTGCCTTGGCTGGTCTAGATGAGCAACGCTCAGCAGAAATGGACGATGCGTTCTGGCGTGTCTGGACATTCTGCAACCTTTTCGGATGTGGGAAGGGAAGAGAGGGAGACATTGAAGCCCAGGTTGATTGGCTCAGAGGTGGTGTCCTTGCCGAGTCTGATACTAAGCCATCAGCCTCAATCTTCAGTCCTATGCCATTTATAAGCAATCTCCTACTCGATCCACCACAAGGCTTTGCTAAGGGGAACGGTGGAGGTTTAAGCTCTGATCAGCTATGCGACATGTCCGAGATTTGGACTTGTCTCGTCGCCTTGCTCGATGCTTTCCATGGCAAATGCAAGGAAGCTCGCAAATACGGCGTCTTCGACGATAAAGGGGTAACTCCAGGTGATGTCGCGCGGGAGGAATCTTTACTAGGTAAATCTTGAACTTGATTACTACTCTCCCTGCCTCAGAGTCATGCAACTAACACTCATAACAGAGGACTGGACTCAGTATCTCCTAACCCTAGGGCCTTCTGCTGTTCTTACGCTCATTAGTTTCGGCCCTTCTACTCCTGTAGAACAGAAATTCGCCCGCGCCAAATCACTTGGCTGGACTTGCTGGCAAGCTCCCACAAAGTCAGAGCACGAACCCAGCCGTCTATTCTTCAAGGAAGCCGTTTCACGAGTCTGCCGCGATCTTCCTTCGAGACCAACCTCTCTCTCTTCCTCCAATCAGTCGTTACTTTCACCAAGAACTTCACCACAAAGCTCACGATCAAAACGAAGCAGCCAGTCGAGCATCGGAAGCCAGAACAGTGCTCGCCGCCAACGGCAAGCTGGGTTTGCAGCTGAGTTGCGCCAAAGAAAAGTATCCCTTGATACAGGTTTAGGGATTGCCAATGCTATTCCTAACTGCGATGAGCGACCAACCCCTGTCTCTGAGGAAGTCGTTCATAGATTCATCTGCTCAGAGTCTGGGACACCCTATCTCTTTCCCACCCCTCCAGCGCCACCAATATCTATCGCAAACTCAAGAAAACCCTCTTCCTCGCCTTCACCACCAGTATCACGGCCCACTCCACCACCTCCGGCTCCTCCAGTAGAAGAAAAAATTTCCCAGGGCCGCCAACCGATGCCTTCTACCAGTCATACTGCGCTGTACTATTCCAATGCCCAGGATACAATAATTCCGGATCCCGCAGACTTAGCTCTGCAAAAAATGGTGCACGAGCTAGGATTCAACGAAGAAGATGCCAAATGGGCTCTTAAGCGAACGGATACTGGCGAATCGGTCGATATAAATGCCGCAGTTCACCTCCTCCTTGTTAAATCCAACAAGGCAAACATTTCGTCTGTGGAAATGGGGCTGAGACAACGAGAATCAAATATTCCGCAGACGCAGTCAGATGAGATCTACCGACCGACTTGGAGGTGGGCGTGAGTCTTCTATATCCTGACGCCGCTCCTTAAGCTGTCCCATACAGAATCATGACATATAATACACCATACATATAATACACCATAATAACCGGATGTACACTATGTTGTTGATCCTAGATATTTTTTTTTTATTTCATTTCTTCCCTTTTATTCTTCTTATTGGATTTGTTTCATTTAGGTCTCTCTTCCCTTATACCCAGCGCGGAGTTGTTTTTACACTGGTGGCTTCAAGGCATCTATATACCCCTTTCCTTTGTCTACTTGTTAAGTCTCTCGTTTGTTTCACTCTCTGGAACTTAGTGGAATCGTACGGCGCATGGGTGACTATTTGATTTAACTCTAGAATTCTAGAATGTCGTTACGTGTGTTTTATATATAAAAGCTTTTTACCCCATGCTCCAACGTCGGGTGTGTAAGCTAATGAATAATATAATAAACTCATGATGCAATTTAATGACTCTCTTCACTTTCCCACTTCCCGATCACCTCATCTATATTTCTCAATATTAAATAATATGGATGGATTTAAAGTGCATATCCTAGCTCCATCCATCTTCCACTGTCGAACAGCCTCGTTGTAGTTGTTAAAAGTATTTAGCCCCCAAAACTTGAGTTTTACAGGGACCCCAAGGTGACTACATGTAACTAGCTGACAGTAAGTAAACAGCTATCCATGTCTATCCCCTGTAATGGAATGAGGGTGAGTAATCAAATTGCAGCTATGTTGGATGTTGATTGGAGTTGGACTGGCTCACGAGCTCATGCTAAAATCATGCACTTCCTATATAACTTTGCCGCTGTGACATTGCCACAGTTGAGTTAGTCATAGCCGCCCATCCGGAGCTTTGCATAACTGTGCCTATTATAATACTCTATATCCATATACAACGTTGGACTAGCATATAAACACAAATTTTCATATTACTTTTACCAATTTATTACAAACATCCTTAACTAGTTATGTACCAAAATTATGTCTGCCAGTAATTCCAAGTCCGTCCATAAACAGCTTTACCAAGCAAGCGTAGCAGCCAGCCCATCCATCTCCCTCTCATAATTCCTATGCAGCGAGATGTGGTAGAAGAACTTCCCCAAGAAATCAGTAGCGTCCTTGAATATTCTGATACCCTCCGTCAAACTCTCGGGTTCGTGCAATTTACAGCTAGTAACAACACCATAGCTCTCCACGACCCCGGCAGAGGAGGAATCCGCAAACTCAAGCTGCGGCACATCGTTACCCAGCACCTGGGCGAGTAGGTTGACCGCATCACCGGTGGCACCGATGGCCTTCAGGTGACCGAATGACTCCGCAATCCAATATCGGATCTGGCCAATCTTACCCAGGATTCGGATATGCTCCCCTCCAGGAATGAAGGTCGCGTCGAACATGGTGGATCGCATACCGTCATATTGGTGGTCGGGGGTAACACCCTTGTCAGTTTCTTTATGCTGATGTGCCGCAAAGATGGGCTGGCGTTTGGTTCCAATGATGAAGGGCAGGGCGCCAGCTGCTTTAATCGCTGTTTTGGCAGAGACAAATGCCACAGGATCATATCCATCTCCGATTAATATGGCGATACGTCGAGATTTAATTGTTGGAAGGTCTGTGACAACCTGAGGATGGTTCTCGTTAATCTCTGCTTGGCTGAGATTAATCGACTTCAGCCCCTTGTTTGGCCGAGGGGACATTTCTGGCGTCTCTGCTCCGACAAGAGGCGCAACAGCCTTCGCAAGACCGAGATCGATTTCAGCTAAACGTTCAACCACTCTGGTGTAGACAGTTGGGTCATCGCAGTGATCCAATTCGAAGGCAAGGGCATTATGAACATGCTGTTTTTCGTATGGTGAAAGCGAGTTATAGAACAGCTGAGCTTGATTGATGTGCTCGCGGAACTTCTTGCTGAGAGTTCGCTGCTTGATGCTCATTATCTTTTCTGGGAAGGAATGGAATCCACCCTCCGCAACGGCTGCAGGAGGACATGCCTCGAACCTGTTCGGCCAGTAGTTGACAGTGCCCTGCGTAATTTTGTGACGCATTTGTCCATCTCGGTTATGGTTCATGACTGGACAGACTGGACGATTGATCGGCAGTTCCTCCCAGTTAACTCCAAGACGGGAGATCTGGGTATCGAAGTAAGAAAAGTTTCGACCTTGCAGGAGAGGATCGTTTGAAAAATCGATACCCGGAACAATGTGGCTGGTACAGAAAGCCACTTGCTCCGTTTGAGGGAAGAATTCGTCAATGTTACGGTTCAGCTCCATCTCACCGATATATCTGACTGGGACCATGTCCTCTGGCCAGATTTTAGTTGCATCAAGTATATCAAACTCGAAATCATGCTCCTTCTCTTCAGGGATCACTTGGATTCCCAGCTTCCATTTGGGATAGGCCTTATTGTCAATGGCTTCCATCAAGTCCTTTCTGTGAAAATCAGGATCCTGGCCACAGATCTTGAGAGCTTCATCCCAGACCAGTGAATGGACACCAAGCTCCGGTGTCCAGTGGAACTTCACAAAGTGGCGTTTCCCTTCCTTGTTGATAAACACATAAGTGTTGACCCCGAATCCTTGCATCATACGATATGACCGTGGAATTGCTCGATCAGACATGGCCCACATGAACATATGGGTTGCCTCCGAGTGGAGATACACAAAGTCCCAAAAGTTGTTGTGGGCTGTTTGGCCCTGAGGCACCTCGTTGTGAGGCTCTGGCTTGACGGCATGCACTAAACAAATATAAATTAGTTTACTGAGAAAGTACAGAGCAATATGAGCTGCCTACCAAAGTCTGGGAACTTGATAGCATCCTGAATGAAGAACACGGGGATGTTATTTCCCACGAGATCCCAGTTGCCTTCATCAGTGTAAAACTTAACGGCAAACCCACGAACATCTCGGACGGTGTCTGCGCTCCCTTTACTTCCTTGGACGGTGGAAAACCGGACGAACACGGGCGTGGTGCGAGAGGTGTCCGTTAGAACAGCCGCCGAAGTTACGTCTGCAGCACTCTCAAAGAGCTTGAAATGGCCGAAAGCGCCCGTCCCGCGAGCATGGACAACACGCTCTGGGATACGTTCGTGATCAAAACGGTGAATCTAGCATTGGACTCGTCAGCTATCATAGGATAAGGGTCAAGACAGGAGAATGGACCTACTTTCTCTCGGGCAATCTGATCTTCCAGCATTGACGGGCCAGAGTTCGTGCTATCAGAAGCCTTCAGCCACTCATCGGTGTTTTCGACCTTTGTTCCATGATCGGTCGTGATAGATCCAGCTGCGTGGATATCCGTGGTGTCCTTTGCAAGGTCTGCCAACTTTTTGTCCTGAGGATACAAGCCCTGGAGGGTGTCCTGCACCTTGCGTATGCCTTCACCTACCTTCGACATGACGAGCAATGTATATAGTAGAGACTAGGATATCAATCGAACAATTGGTATCGGAGATAACAAGGTCGAGTCGACTGGTATAGACGGTCATCAACTATGTATAGATGAGCCAGCTCAACCAACAGCAAGTGGCAACAAACAAGCCTTAAGAATAGCGAGCATTGCTGCTTAATCTGCTTGATCTGACTGGCTATCCATAGGTCGGTTTATTGTTGACCTGGAGCAACCCTGGAAGTATGCGACGACGTCACAATATGACGTTAGAACCATCCACATCAGGATGGCCTGGCGTGCAGCAAACCGGATCTATCAGCTATTGCAAGGGTTAAATAATATAACGGACAAGCATTGCAGTGTTTCCCTCTGCATCCTTGATGATTCCGACCACTCCGGCGTGTCTAGGTGCTTGATGGATGCACCATATTCGGTCTGAGTTCGCCAGCTTTGGCGTACATGGACTGGCCCGACCACCACATCAACACAGAGTAAAAAGATAAATAAAGTGAAGATAAAAAGGGTAAGACGTAAAGAATATAAAAAGAATAAAGAGCAAAAAAAGAAGGCCGACGTCGGACGGATTCGAACCGTCGCCCCCGAAGGGAATTGATTATCTGTTTCAGAATGGAATCTTGAAATTCTAGTCAATCGCATTAGACCACTCTGCCACAACGCCTTGTTGATGTTAGCTAAGCCGCGCGACTCTATATCACCCTCAGTTAGTCTTGAACATAAGAGTAAAAGAATAGATTAATAGAGCAGATTCATTCTATCATTAAAGCGCTTTATAACGTGTCCAGCCCAAGGTACCTCCAACATATGCTTTTGTGCGTGCTTATTCGAATAGGTAGCGTTTTATTTACTTATACCAACCAAACGGCCATTATAATACGGTCCCTGGCGTGGGAACCTTTGGAGGGGCGGCCGAGGGGACGGGCCCTTGTCTGCTGAGAATCCACATGAACACAAACTGGATCATGTACGAGTAGATAAAGAGGAACTGAGTCCGCCTGTTGCGCTGCGATCGGGCCACGGTCGGCATGGCCCCGCCGCGCATGGCTGCGTCGGTAGACGAGTCCGGTAGGAGGACGTATTTTAGCGATCGGAGCTGGTTCCACTGTTAGTAATCTTCTCCTCTATATGTATAAAAGGTATACTGACGAGGAAAAATGCGTTGGCAAGGAAGGTATAGATGAACACCGTCCAGCCCACCCAGCCTCCGGTGCCTTGGCCGGGCGTCAGCATCTCAGACGCACTCAGCGTCACTATGATACCGACAAACTTGTACCCCGAGTACGCGACCAGGTCGAGCAGCTGGGAGTCGTTGTTGATATTGAGAATATACATGGCGACCTTCAGACAGACGATCTCAAATATCACAACGGCCAGAGCAATAAACGTGATCGAACGCAGTATTTCAGGGTGAAAGTTGCCCCGTAGACCAGCGAGTACCGCCGAGAGCAGGATGTATGTGACCAGGGCCATTGCCGGAATATACATGTCGGGCGAGTTCACGTCGTCGCGGGGAGGGAGGTACATTGACGTGTACTGGGCCTGGCTGATCTGGCCGCTCGCCGATGCCGCCCCGGCCATGCGGCCCTGCTGGCGGAACCACGGCTTGTGCCTCCAGGGGAAGAGGACGAGAGCCAGCTTCTTGAGGACGTATGAATTGGACACATTGAAGTAGTGTTTTAGAGCAGGAATCGACACATAGCGGTTTAACTAGGCAGATGTTAGTACTCTGTTATGTCTGATAACAATGAACTATCCCTACATTCTGCTCCATATACTCCTGGCCGGCCATCACCGCGCTCTTCCCAACCTGGAAGCTCATCTGGGCAGCCGGATCTGACATGAAGCCTCCGAACCCAGGGGTAAACTGCCCGCCGCCGCCCTGGGCTGGGTTTGGCTGGTAGGGGTTGTTGTATCCGGGCTGCTGCTGCTGCCCTTGCTGTGACTGCTGGGAGACCGGCGGCGGCGGCGACCGCATCATCGGAACTGTAGAGACATGCTGAGGGATGGGGTGGTGGAGGGGAGGCGACTGGGCCGGAGGGGGTGCAAACGACGAGCGATGCATTGTGGCCTGAAGCTGTGTGTTCGTCGAAGCAGATCGGTGTCGGGGGACTGTAGCTCCCCTATGCTATCTTCTGGGTCGTCGGTAGAGACAGAAACTGGGTGTTCGGGCGGTTAGATCGGTGGCATGGCAGCGTATGTGCTGTTGTCGAGCTCGACGTCGTCTATCTCGAATAGTTGTGTCCCTCGAACAAGTTGTCCTGGTGTTGTTGTAAGTGTATAGCGTTACTTGTCAGGCTGATAGGTTTTCCCAGGCTTCGGCCCTACATCAAACAGTCCTTGATGGTCTAGTGGTCATGATTTCCGCTTGTCATTTCTCAATAAGAGGATAACAAGCGCGGGAGACCGGGGTTCGATTCCCCGTCAGGGAGTTCTTTTTGCCCTTTCTTTTATTCTTTTTTTTTTTTTTTTATTCTCTACTTCTATCCCTTCTTTTAATGTCTAGACAGAAGATCATTGATAGGAAATATTTTATGGTTGTCTTCATGGCTATAGTATATTGTGTCTTCTCTACAAGGAACCTGTTATGTTTATACGGAGTACTAGGAAAGGCCGATGTTCTTGACATCTCAATATATAGACCATGTTACAACTTTAGGAATAAGGATATCACTGCAGTCCTTACATCTTCTACTTCTCTTGAACTATCACTACTTCTCTCAAACTGTCATCATAACGTCAACTTCTAGGACTTCTATGTCAACTTCTACAACTTCATTACTTGCATGGAGTGAGTTTAAATAGCACCACGTGACCAAGCTATCTGATAGGCTGAATGTTATCGATCGAGATAGAACAAAAAGATAAGTTCACCACTGCACCAGACTCAGGAACAAGCTGTGGCCGGGAAAAGATAGAGTATCAAGATGTTGGACGCCTTTGAAATTATAACAACATCCGGAGTTGTGCTCTGGTCAAAGACATATGCGCCCGTTGGCACCCACATCATCAACAGCTTGATCAAGGATGTTTTTATCGAGGAGAAGACACACCTGCAAGACTCCAGCGTCGACAGAACCGCGCGGAAATATAGCAAGGAGCAGTACACTCTGAAATGGACTGAAGCAAAGGGATTTGGGCTGATATTCGTTGTAAGTTCTGCAGCCTTGTGTCTCTCGGGCCAGATATGCTGATATTGATGCTGCATAGGCAGTCTACCAGTCCCTCTTGCACTTGACATGGATCGACGAGCTTCTGGAGAACATCAAGACGATATTCTTAGGACTATACAAGGATCAGCTTAAAGGGACACGGCTGAGGGTCGTGGATTACCCGTTCGACAAATACTTTGAGCAGCAGTTGAGAGAACTTGACCAGACCTCAGAGCTCCCGGCAGAGGACAGGCGCCAGCTAGGGGTGGAGAGCAAAAAGGATGCGCTTACAAAAGCTGATACGGGGGGGCCGCCGCCGCCGCCTGTTCCGGGGCTCCTTACGGGTGAGTCTTCATCTTCTACTATGTACTGTCAGCTATTAACCCCTTTATAGCGCAGCGTCAAGCTGTGCCAGCGACGGAGGTGCTGAATGATAGCACACCGTCTCAAACCCCCGAAACATCCCGGCCCGTGACTCCGAGTTCCCAAGTCATCACTGGCAAGTCCGGGCCTGGTGGCCGGGCTTCTCGCCGTGCTCGGAGGGCAGCCAATGCGAATACCAACTCTGGCGCGGAGGACAAGGCCAAGAAGCCTAGTAATGGAAAGTCTGGGGGGAAGAAGATGAGAAAATGGGGTCCAGACGGCCTTGCGGACGAGGATAGTGACGAAGTACTAGACTATTCTGCGAACGATACCGGCACCACGGAGGCAGCCCCCGCGCCAGTTGACTCTATCGATCGCGAGTCGTTTGGAACAAAGACTCAAAAGGGACAGTTTGTTCTCAAGGACCTAGGGGATGAAATTCATTCAATTCTTAAAAACGCCGACGAGGAGAAAGCCAAGGCTAGCAATTCGTCTACAGGGGTGGTTAACTCTAGCCTAGGCGCAATCAGCAGCCTGTTCCGCAATGTCGTTGGTGGAAAGGTATTAACAAAGGCTGATCTGGTGAAGCCGTTGAAGGCGATGGAAGACCACCTGCTGAAGAAAAACGTTGCTCGTGAGGCCGCCGTCCGTCTATGCGAAGGTGTCGAAGAGGAGTTAGTCGGTAAGAAAACCGGGAGCTTCCAGAGCATCGACTCCGCTCTGCGTGCGGGAATGGAATCTTCTCTTCGCAAAATCCTCACCCCTACCTCTTCACTTGATCTTCTCCGCGAAATCGAGGTGGTTACGTCCCCCACGAACAAACAGCAACCCCGTCGACCGTACGTTATATCAGTCGTCGGAGTAAACGGTGTCGGCAAATCCACCAACTTGAGCAAGCTATGCTTCTTCCTACTCCAGAACAACTACAAAGTCTTAATCGCAGCTTGCGACACCTTCCGTTCTGGCGCAGTCGAGCAGCTTCGTGTCCACGCACGAAATCTTAAAGAACTCAGCGCGAGAGAAAACGTTGGCCAGGTCGAACTCTATGAGAAGGGATACGGGAAAGACGCAGCTAACGTCGCGAAAGACGCAGTCTCTTTTGCAGCTACCAACGATTTTGACGTTGTCCTGATTGACACTGCTGGTCGTCGACACAACGATCAACGACTGATGTCTTCCTTGGAGAAATTTGCTAAATTCGCCAACCCGGATAAGATTCTAATGGTTGGAGAAGCGCTGGTTGGCACCGACAGTGTCATGCAAGCTCGTAATTTCAATCAAGCCTTTGGTGCTGGGAGAGGTCTCGATGGCTTCATCATCAGTAAATGCGACACGGTTGGAGACATGGTCGGTACCCTGGTCAGCATGGTACATGCTACTGGAATTCCAATCGTCTTTTTGGGTGTTGGCCAGCATTATGGTGACCTGCGAGGACTCAGCGTTCCTTGGGCTGTTGAATTGCTTATGAAGTAATGATAACGAATTCGGTTTATTCTACTTTGCCCCGCTAGTCCTTTAGAATTGTCTTTGGCCGCTTGAATAAACAATGAAAGCTTCCAGGTATACAATACAGTCTAGATTAGTTCTAAGAATGCCTCAACTTCTATTTTTCTGTTATTTAATTTTAAGGATAACGATATCCTTGTAGCTATTAGCATATCTATGTACCATGCATGGCATTGTAGCACCTACCAAACATCCATGCTTATATACAGTGTCACCTGTGCTTTTGTGCATAGCTTTCGATGTCTAGCTATGAATTTTCAAAAGATGAGAAAGTAAAAACCGAAAGAAATTCGTAAAATCGTACAAACCCCGAGGTATGTAAAGCATGCCAACGCAACAGGAAGCCGAAAACACCGGAACTTTTACCATCCGACTGTCTGCCATGGTAGTATATACTTATCCTATTTACTGCTAAACCTCTTCTTCATCGTCAGACTTTCCGCAATCGTCGTCCTCGCTTCCCCACCCATCAGCCTCGAGGTTTCGAGAACGAATACCAAGACTAAGGAGGAATCCAACGAAAGCCACTCCGCCGAAAACGCCAAATGCAAGTGCTTCTCCTTTAGGTTGCACCTTAGTGGCCAATGTAAAAAGACTTCCAGATAGGAACGGCCCAACGGCACGGCCCGCAGCAGAGAGGGTTTGGGCAAGTCCGTTAAGAGAGCCCAGCACGGAGTGATCTGGTGCAGAGTTGGTAATCTGTATGAGAAAGTTAGTGACGCTGCGCTATATGTATATATATATTTCCCAGAATGATAGCAAGGACCCAAGCACATACCAATAGCAACGCGCTGGTTAAGCCACCAACAGTGGCCACGGTCTTGATCAACAACACCACACACACTTCCACGGCTACCATGAGGTTTTGCTTCGATAACGTCAAATTCATACTTGCTCCATCCTTGTAGCCAATAAACGGCATTAAGATGAATGACGCAACGAAGCCAAGTAGGCCAGCTCGATAAGACCACCTATTGCCCATCTTGTCACGGAGTTTTCCGAATACACATATCTGGAAAACTATAGTGACGATCCCCGCGAAAGCTAGCGAGATGCCTATCTCCTGCGGGTTAAACTGTCGGCCTGTAGGAGGGGAGGCCTGGGCGAAGATGGGGTAGAGCGAGTTGAATGAGACGTTTGATAGGGAGAATATCAAGTAAGTAAGAAGCAACAATATCATATCTCTGTTGAAGATCTCATCTCGGTTAAGGACTTCGTTATGAGGTCGGTCATGGAACATAGGAGTGACGGTCGAGTCAGAATCATCATCATCATTGTCACTATCGAGGCATTCTCTATAGGGTCGAGCTCCATGGCGGTTCGGGTGGCGGAAGTAATCCGCATCGGTATCATTTCGCAGGTATGTTGGCCGGGATGAGCTGTTGAATTGCCACAACCAAGTGAACATGTGACGGAATTTCCTGTAGATCCGGGGAAGCATCCGCGCGCCTTCCACACTCTCTTCCAGGAATATAGACGTGACAATGAAGTCACTGATTAGGATTGCGGCAGATACGAGGTTAGGCATAAGGAATGGGTATCCCTGGCTAGTTGGGGTTTTGGAGACAAGAAGGCCGCCCAATATTGGGCCAGTAATACCTCCAATCCCATAGATCACCGGCAGATATGTAAAGGCTCGTGACTGGTTACTGCGATCTGTGATTTCGCCCAAACAAGTGGAAACCACTCCTTGGTTCCCGTTCACCAGACCCATGAAGAGTTGAACAATGATGGCCTGCCATAGTGTTTTACAGAAGCCAAAGGCAAGGAAGCAAAAAGCAGTAAGGATCGTTCCCAGCAGTATGACCGGCTTCCGGCCAATACGGTCTGAGAGCCAACCCCAGAAGAAATTGGTAGAGAACTGCGCGAGCGCAAAGGCCGACGCGATCGTGCCGACATACATCCCGACTTCATGGGCGCCTACCTCCGGGAAGGAGGCTGCCATAGCAGGCAAGTATGGGCTTATGGAGTTGAGCGCTGTTTGCTCGCATAGGGCGATAAAGGCCAGGACCGACATCTGCTGAACAGGTATCGGCGTTGCGCTCGGCGTCTCGGCATGCTCGCTAGCATTGTTGTGAGACGAAGATTGGTATGAGGACGCAGACTCAGCGGAAAGAGGGCGGCCGGCTGACTTCGGCGGTGGTGTTGAAAATGTCTGGTAGTGAGGGGTGGAAGAGGCCCGTCGGTCCTTTGGTGGTGGGAAGCTCGACATGATGGGGGGAAGGCCGAATCAGGTGTGGATTATGCAAGACGGAGGGAACGTGCTGAGAACCGCTAACAGATCGCTCATTAAACTCGAAACAAAACGCCTGGAGGCGTTTCAGGTCTCAGCCACTTTACATGGCCGTCTTAGTCTGCGCGCATGGCAGGTTGTATGCAGCGGCGGTAGGATGAGGAGTGAATGTTCGGAGTTTGCTGAAGTCGAAGATTACTCAAAAATTATACAAAAGTCCAGCCGCGCTAGTCTGCTTGGGGCTAGAGCAAATCGGCAATCTTATCTGATGGCATCAGCTTAGTCAGCGGGGAAACCTGACCCTTTTGTGATATAAACATTGGGAAACCCTGCAAAGAGCACCTACACCTAGCCAGATCGGAGCAGGCTAGATGGTTCCATTCAGGATGCCCACCATCTGCTCTTTTTGGTTCAAAGCATCGCGGGTGGTCCATCCATCGGGACTACCCGTCAGTTCCTCCCTCCCTTGCGTCTCATGACCAAACAGCCTCCTTTCAGTATATAAAAGGCCTTCTCTTTTTCCTGGTCTTTGCCCTTTCACTGTAAGTCATTACAGTCAAGCGCGAAGACGGATACCTTTGGACCTTTTTGATATCCTCCTACCTGTGCATGATCAAGCCACCTCACACAATGCAGCACGAGAAGGAACAGCTTATCCAATCCCTCCGCTCCCACCGTATCAATACCCTTATGGAGCTACGCCGGATAGAGAAGACGCTCGTACCATCCGGAAGCTCAGATATTTATGAACCTCTGGCCACGGCATGGCTATACTACGTCAACTCGAATAACCTCCTTAGCGAACTGCGAAGCCTTACCAAAGACTATCCATTTAGTTCAGAATGTCTAGACGAGGCCAAAGCTCTAGTCATCCAGGATCCGGCAAGTTCGCGGAGTTGGAACTACTGCTGGCTAGTCCTGCAGAAGATTCAAGACCAGTAAGCTCTCTGTGGAGTCCCGGAGAACAGTAAACATGTGATCATTTTGCTATCACGGGTTTATGGATGATTGATTCTTTTTCTGATATATTTCTTCTCCAAAGGCAATTGATCTCAAAGCATGCTTGGGCAGCTGCAGCAAAGCCCGAGATGTGGGGTGGCTGTACACCAGATTCTGGAGCCATGGAGAACCTTGCAAACGTTTTGCTGAGCGAATGGACACGTGTGGTACACCTGATGCTTCGCCATTGGGAATTTCCTCCTACACGGTGAATTGTTGCACTGGAACGAGTACGAGTCGGCCGCTCGTCACCGCCACGGCGTTGAATCCCATATCTAGGGAAGGTTCCGGGGAGCGCCCTGCCTAAAACTCTCCTTTTGGGTCTGTGCCTGCACCATTTTGTACTTCGTACATAGGATGTACGTATGTATCTGCCCTGGCGCTTGGTCTCACACCCCCTTAGTTATGTGGTATGCGCCGGCTTTCATTACATCTGTCAGGGTCTTTATGCATGTTGGATGGGAGCATGGATGTCCACGTTTAGCCGTCGGATATTCCTGCAAGGGTCAGTTATGCCGGTTGTTGAAAGGTAGACGTTTCTTTCGTACAACCAGCGGCATTCATAATGGGCCGGGTTAGTATTATGGACTTAATAGAATTTTCGGGCAGCGAATGGATCCGTTTAATCTAGAGTTATCCTTTCTTTTGCAGTTGCGCTCGAGTCTAGGTCCAAATATAGCCAATTAAGGTCTTCTTCACCCATAGATTGTGGGCGAGTAAAAGAAGAGCGTGGCCTTCCCGTAACCTTGATGAGGCTAAAGCCGTAACTAACACATTGATAGCTTGCAAGTCACTGCAAGACAGAGATACCGGCGGCTGTAATCTCCAACATAGTCTCGTATCAGCTCGCAGTTAGGCCTCATTTTCTCAGCAATGACCTCTTCGGCGTTTTCCTATGTTTGTCAAAGCTACTGTGTAACAACAACAGTGACAAGGATCCTCGCATCGGCTATGCCTTCCGCCCACTTTATCACAGATCAGTGGTCGACTCCCTGGGCTCCCCCGCATGTAAGGGCACTCTGAATGTGCATGCATGTATGGAGATGAAGCCGTCCAGTTCATGCAGCCTTTCTGCGGAAGCCAGGATATAGCTGAAGACCGTTGGAAGACGTGATTGTATGTGCTCTTTTCACGTAGACCCTATATGGATCTGTTGTTTTTTGGTTTGAGAATTCTCGTGGGCTCTAACAAATAGCCCTTTCGGATCTCGTTGCTAGCGGATGCCAGGATCGGATTGACAGGCACGTCTTCGTCCATGCTACCACACTTCTTGACCGTTTAAGGAATAATTCCAGGCAGGCTGATCCAAATCGGTCCATGCGCGTAAGGGCCGTCGTATTCCATCCACTATACGAAATGGCGTTTCTTTTAATATCTTCGGCCTCTTTGCTTTTGTATGATAAGCTTGCTGCCCTCTCGAACGGGCATCACAACTCCTTCACTGGCCAGCTAAAACAGGCACAACCTAGCAAGCTTAGCTTAGAACCAGGATCTATCTGCTGAAGGGTGCTCGTCCCTCCTTTCTGGTGACCGACGCTCGGCGTGAGAGGGTCGAGATGACTCTGATGGCCGTTGATGAGCATGAACCTGATGCATGAGTGGTTTCCCCTCATCATTAAGCTCTTGGCCGCCGGTCGGTCACAGTTGACCGCCGATTCTGTGGCGGTTTGTTGACAGGGGAGACCCGGCTTGCATCGACGAGTAAGTGCTTATATACGAGTTAAGGCAGATGAAACGTGAGAAGAGCGGTCCAGGTGATGGCTATGCCAAAGCAAATGTAACATCTGATTCCTGCAATGGGAACAGGTGAACAATCAGTATGGAGTATATGGGTGAGAATGTATGTTCAGCCTCTAGGCCGGGTTCAGGCACGGCTGGAGAATAGCACAACTAGACTCAGGAATCGATATATGCAGGTGATGTAAGTAATGTACGGGAGTAGAATGTAGAATTATTGTTATTATTATTTCAAACTATAATTAGGTCGAGGTGTTGCTGCATGTCAGTTGCATCTAGCAAACGATTACGGACAAAGCCAAAGCTATAGCCTAATTCTTCGAGCTGTTAGCACGCCGAACACTGCATAAGAGCTACGAATCATATTCAAAGGGTAGGTTGGTTTTCAGCGATCTTGGTAGAAAAGGTGATATCACTGCCCGGAGGCATCAAATACTATCTTGTGCGTGTATGTATCATCAGGAAACCGAGGGAGGACGGGGAGGTCGTATATTTACCTTGACAGCAGAATCAACGCAGACCGAGAGATGCTGGTGGTTAGTCATGCATTGTGGATGGCCGTCAAGACAACTCAGCCGGTAGCTCCTAGTATTCTGAAAGCCGTTAGCACGCGAATCGGGATAAGAATCACAACAGCATCAATCGAACGAGGACAACAATCAGAATATGTAAGAAATTAAATATCACGCCGACAATTGCTTGAGAATGCTCTGGCGGGAGATTCACAAAAGCCGGATCAACCGCAAATTACCACATCATAGAGAGTAGGGAGGGACTAAGAGTGTCACTTACTTATTAGTGCATCGTCAGTAGATGCAGTATCATTATGATCAACAGTCCTGCTGTGACAGTTGTAGAGACGAGGAAAAGATCGAGGAGGAGGAAAAGATTTTATGTAAGACCGCGAGGGCGCTAAACCGAAAGCGTCAAAACCCACTAAGCGGATGCTAAGCGAGGCAACTTTTGTGGGCGACGCTGGACACATTGAAATTCGCGATACCAGAGAGTGTTCAATCGACAACGACAACCCGACAACCCCATCCACCCCTATAACGCCCTTTTCGGTGGACAGTGAGCATCTCCCTTCCCGCGCGCCTGTCTGATCACCGCCGACTAACCATCCAAACCGCCAGGACGCCTTCGCCATGCCTCAAGAGATCGATGTTAAACCCTCGACATGGAAGCTTGTCGAGGTCGGCAGAGTCGTGCTGATCCGCAAAGGCCCTCATGCAGACAAGTTGGCTGCTATCTCTGAGATCGTAGACCACAAACGCGTACGTTTTTTATCGATCCCCGGTCGGCAGATTTTGCGACTCGATAGCTAGTATTGGAAAGGGCAGGATGCTAATGATTTATCTGTGTTTTATAGATCTTGGTCGACGGTCCCTCCAGCGACGAGGACAAGGTCGTCCCACGCCACTCCATCCCCCTTGCCTACGTTACCCTCACATCTCTCATGGTCGAGAAACTCCCACGAAAGGCCGGAACTGGTGCCATGAAGAAGTTGTGGGAGAAGTCTGGCATTGATGCCAAATGGGCCGAGACCGGTTACGCTAAGAAGAAGGAACAACAAGACCGACGACGCAACTTGACTGACTTCGAGCGATTCAAGGTCATGAGACTGAGAAAACAGGTTCGTTCTCTATATCATGGCATATATATTCGGAGATATATGCATGTTCTCCGGTGACAGAGTTGGGACACAATTTGCTGATATTTTCTCGACATCCATAGGCTCGCTTTGCTGTCCAAAAGTCGCTATCTAAAGTCCGCGCTGCTTCGTGAAGAGTGAAGGGTTGACGATGTTCGGAGGAATGACGTGTTGAATGGAATTCTTTTGCTCCAAGAAATGGCAAAGGTCCCCCGTTCAAGAAAGGATGTTCAACTGTAATCAGTTTCAACTTGAGGAATTGAGAGCAGATTAATCTTCAAACCACTTTATCCCGATTAGAAGGAATAATACTGGATCTCACACAGGCTTCTACTATGGTTTTACGAATTTCAGAAACAAAACAAAAGAACGTCCTTTTTATGCTGTGACTGGCTGTGGTATTGATTGTAATAAAAAAAATTCCATAAACTCGTTGCATCAAACGACTTCTTCCTTCCATCGAGCCCTTATCAGTCTCTATCATATGTCGCTATGTACCCGCCGTATGCAAGCCGGGGTAACGAGGTCAATTGGCCTAGTTATTATCTACATATTGCCTCTGTAAATAAGGACTTTAAGGATAAGGAAGAGACCTTTATATCAGTCGTTATCCCAAGTACCATCGCATACAAAGTTGGCCGTGTAGTACATGCGTTGAGATGATGTGATTTGTGTGTAGAAAAAAAACCTCGCTAACGGGATTGGGCGATGCCACACATCAAGAGGTTCCAAGCTGTAGCAACAACATAACCAAACCAGCACAACATCGCATACTCGCATCATCCTCCAGGTAAGTCCAATTTAACGCTGTTATTATTTCTTTTCCCATGCGGCTAATCCGGCTTCGAGTGGGAAAAAGACTAACGCTCGCCCTCTGCGGAATTCTAGACATTACCCGTTCATCACACATCCTCCATACAACATGGCCAACCCACGAGTAGAAGAGCTCCCCGAGGAGGACGTCAAGGCCACCATCGAGGACAGCTCCGAGTCTGAGGCCGGTGACGATGGTGCCGAAGAGCTCAACATTCCTGGCGGCTCCGGCGTCACCGTCCTCTCCCGCAACGAGAAGAAGGCCAGAAAAGCAATTGGAAAGCTTGGATTGAAGCACGTCCCTGGAATCACTCGAGTTACCCTCCGCCGACCGAAAAACGTAAGAATGGCCCTGGTCCTGCGGCTTGGATATCAATATACTGATGCGTCTCTTAGATCCTCTTCGTCATCAACCAGCCCGATGTCTACCGCTCCCCCACCAGCAACACCTGGATGTAAGATCATGCCATTGCCATACCCGCTACAGCCTGGCGGTGCTGTAAATGTTACAATTTGAACCAAAAGCTAACATATCTATTTGTAGCATCTTCGGTGAGGCTAAGATCGAGGACCTCAACTCCCAGGCCCAGGCCTCTGCTGCTCAACAACTCGCTGCCAGCGAGAGCGCCAACGCTGCCGCCGGTGAATCCGCCGGTCAAGAGCCCATAGATCTCGGAAAGGGCAAGGCTGTCGAGGCCGAGAAGAAGGAAGAGGAAGACGAAGATGACGGCGAGGAGGTCGATGACACTGGTCTGGAGGCCAAGGACATTGAACTTGTCATGGCCCAAGCGAACGTCTCAAGGAAGAAGGCTGTCAAGGCCCTCAAGGAGAACGACAACGATATTGTCAACTCTATCATGGCGCTGAGCATATAATGTCTCCGTATCATAAGCGGTGTTGGATTGACCATTATACGTGCCTGCTACGCCCGTTCGACGTGTGCGATATCAAAATGCTGTGTCCATAAAATAAGATTACAACAACTTGATGTGCAAGGCTTTTCTTCAAGTAAAGAGTACCTTCATACAACCCGGAGCTGCGTAGGACTCTACAGAAACTCTTGCACTTACCTCTATATTGATCTACATTGATAGCAGTAATTGTGTTTAACATACTTTTCATACGATCAAGTGCGCCCACGTACATCTATATCGGCAAACAGGATGTCACTCTACCCACGACCTGGCTACTTTGAGATAATAGATGATTTAAATATTAAATATATCCACGTCTATACAAGTCTATGTCAAGCGACCGAGGGCTACGTGTCATGTGACCTTCCACGTGACCAACTTTGTCAACAAGTCTGAACCTCATCGGAACCGCAGGAGAAGAAGTGAAATTGCACGTCTCGAAGAACCAGACACACCACATCCACGCTCACAATGGCAGCCACAGTACGTGATATCCCGCTTCTGCGAGATGGCTCACCCTTTCTCGGCCATTATCCTTTCCATTGGATTGATACAACGGACTGACACGCAGTAACAGCGGAGCGCTGCTCTCAAACTCGATTGGGCCAAAGTAGCCCAGAGCCTTGGGCTCCGCGGCCAAACCGCTGCCTCTCTCCAGGCCTTCAAGAAACGCAATGACGACGCTCGCCGCAAAGTCCAAGTCCTATCCGAGGCCCCCCAGACCGTCGATTTCGCCCACTACCGCAGTGTGTTGAAGAACCAGGCCATCGTTGACGAGATCGAACAACACTTCAAGTCCTTCAAGCCAGCCACCTACGATGTCAACAGACAATTGAAGGCCATCGAAGCCTTCGAGGCCCAGGCTGTCAAGAACGCCGAAGAAACCAAGGGTAAAGTCGAGATGGAATTGGAGTCGTTGTCCCAGACCTTGGACAACATCGAGTCCGCTAGACCATTCGAGGACCTCACAGTCGTATGTTCATCCCAGACCTCGTTGATTTCTCATATGGAACGATTAAACTGCCCATCCCCCCCCCCCTCGCGGTTTACTCTGTGTCTGCTCAGGCATCACGTTGGATACCCGGGGGTGTGGGGGCGGTTTTGGCCCGACGTGATATATGGCTTTGCCGCACAAAGAAATACGTTACTAATGCATATATTTCCTGATATTTAGGACGATGTTGCAGCTGCTGCCCCAGAAATCGACAGGAAGACCGCCCAATTGGTGTCCAAGGGTATCTGGATGCCACCAGGCTACAAGGTCAGTTCTTCCCATCTTATATCAAAAGCGACTTTCGCCACTACGACTATTTCGTGTAAGGTTACTGACCCGTCTACGTTAAACAGGAGAAATACGGCGACCTTGCTGTCATGTAAAGTTGCACATCGTTACCAAGTCGCTGCTACAGCCTGCACCCGCGATTTTCTATGTATTTTTGGTATTCTGTGGCTTGAAATACTTTCTTCACAGCACCCTGGCGCTAGTGAGAGGGTGTTGTCAGCTGCAGCTGTATAGAACCGAGAGTTTCAAATAGAAGCATGTTTCCTTTTATATCGCTTTCCACCAAGACGTAACCCGCCCACCTCTAAGATAACAAACATATTGTTAAACACACGACAATATTTATATTACCTTTCGGCGTTATCTTCGTCAAAGCCGTATTGTTCCTACCGTAGGTATAACGTCAGCCAATTTAGTCACCGAATGACCAGCTAGTAACAAGTCCTCCCATCCTCCCAGTCTGCACATGCAGCCACCTCGTGTATAAGGCTATTGCCCAACTATGAAGCCGATACGGAATGACGAAGAAGCACCCGCCCGTCCGTCCATCCAAGACGAGGAAATGAGGGGGATATCTGCATGATCGGGATCAAAAACGACCCAGCAGCCAGGCTCAGCCTATCCTTGTCCAGCGCAGAGCGAATGAAAACAACCACATCACCTGTTCCGGGCCTCCGGATTAGGCCCCTATCGTCAATAGACACCGTCATATAGGGAGTCTGCCTACGTCAGAATATGGAGTGGGAGTGTGTTTGATAGGTGTATCTTGCATTCTTGCCGCACTATGCACGCAGGGCCCGGACGCCAGATGCCATAGACGGTCATAATGAGTGGTTAATAATACCTCATGTTCCTGTTTCTTTTTCTATTATTTACGCCGTTCTTCAGGCCAGGGATAGATAAATTCATATACCACGTCAGGGCAGTGCTCCACACTCCATAATGTGTTTGTCTCTAGCATGTTCTATATTTGTGCTTCTGCCTATATAAAGTAGCATCTTCCTCCCTCCCCCTTGACTCTAGCCAACTAATACAACGTGTTCGCGCATGATATTCGCAGAACTATACACCCCAAGGACGCCTGATGGAACAGAGAGAGGAGATAAGATACTGGCATCCTTGGCTCTAATTGAGTGGCTTGCCGGTATAAACACGCGAGCCTCCTCCAGCGGCGTATGATATGCGATTCTCTAAGCCGAAGCTTCTAACTACACCTTCAAAACCCTACCCCCCAAACAGTGCAACATCAACCCATCTCACATTCCTCGCGCCGAAACAAAGGGAAAGGGTGGATATACATTTATTTGAAATCGTCGAGCACAGCCGTTATAACTCAGGGGACTGCCAGCTTGATAAATGGATATACCACCCCCAGAACGGCCGGCAGGCAACCGAGAGATACAACTCAGACGACGGGCCCCTATTGAGTTGCTGCCGGCCGAACTGGTCCATAAGATCTTTTTCCAGTGTCTAGAATTCAACTTCCCTCGCGCCTCAATACACATTGCCAACGCTCTATCCTCGCCGATCCTGTACACCTGGCTCATCCGTCTGGCGTTTAGTAGCTGCAACCGCTCGACGAGATCCGATAACATATATTCATCACATCACTTCCTACCTCAGCTGGACTACTTTTACTTCAATCATGTCGAGAGAGCGGAAATGCAAACCGAAATTTTGAAATGCAAGTGGTTAACAGCTTCGTTGCTGCGGAGGTGCCAGAGAGATTATGTCGAGCATGTCATCAAGGAAAAACGCTCGCAATTCCTCATCTCGCCAGAGGACCAAGATATTCTTTCAAACTTGGACCCATATTGGCAGACCATAAACAGACTCGACCCTACACCCTTGGGCAAACGTGGAAAGGGGGACTTGGTGATACGAGCCCATGACTTGGAGAATGATTCACCTTGCAAAATTGCAATCTGGTTCGGCTTTGGGGCCTTTCAGATCCGTGACCTTAGCCCTGTATTCCAAGAAATTGATATATTTCGCCTACCCAGCGCTCCTCCTTACCCGGCAGAACCATGCAGAATGCCAGATCGGCTACTCTCACCCCCTTGGACCGAAGACAAGCTAGAATTGCTCACTCTCCTTTCATCAGACGCTTATATAGATGTGGGCTGGCCACCTGACAGGTCCAAGGCGGTGTTGAGGAAAGTGATCGAGGACAGGGAACTTAATGCTTTCAAATGCTTATTACATTTGCATATCTGTGGCAAGAAACATAGATACCCGTCCCTTTGGCCCGTCAGCCATAACCATTTCAGGATAGCTGCCAGACATGCTGAGTCGGATAGGGATCCGTTTTTGCAGTTGTTGTTTGACGAACGGAAGGAGAGCATCCCTCGGGATGATAGGTCTATTGTAGCATTGATGGAAAAATACCAGAGGACGAATTTGTGAATTTTCTGGTGTATCTTAATATATGCTGCTCGTAGTAGTGGTATTTCTTTGTGGTGGAGAGTATATGGTATCTAATAAATACATCGGTGTACATATGAAGCAGGCAAGCATATCAAAGAAGTGTGAACCAGCCGTTCATGGCTAATAGGATGCTGCAATAGGTGAAAAAGTGAGGATGCAATGCCAAACTAAAAAAAAAAAAAAACGCGTATGAAAAATGCAGATCAGTATATGCAACGCCGCAGCGAACTCCAGGTATCATTGGGGAAAAACGTGAGAAATAAAGGGGGAAAGAGAAAAAAACGGGTTATCGTGAGGCATGAAAGTAGAGCAATGTAGTAGGGTAGCTAGTTGCGTAATTAGAGATTAGATGGGAATGAGCTGGCACTTTACAGAACGCAGGTGCCTGATTGGACGAAGGGTTTAAACCAAGGTAGAGAGGTCAGAGAAAAAAGAACGTCTGAGAATGTTGCCTGGAAGCTTATACTTAAGCCCGTCACCCCCAGGAAACACTTCTTCACGCGCGTCCGTCTTATCGTCGAGGACGAGCTGCACAGCCCATAATAGGGGGATAGTCTTCCAAGCCCGTTTATATTTCCTGTATGCAGCCTTCTTCGAGGAACCTAGAAAGCCAGACGCATTGAGTAGACCACAGACAAACATGCTTTGATTCGAGCTGTGAATTTTCTGATATGAAGGAAGTTCTACCATAAGATCTAGGAGCCATTGGTAAAAACCGGACTCATAATTCTCGGCGCCATGGAGTGCCCATTCCGTGATTTCCGGGTTGTCGTATGGGAGCGACTCTGCACATGCGCGGACGAGAGTCTGTAACATCTCCGGACCTTCGCTATGACGGACTGCAGTGACAAAGTGCTCTGGTGGGATTTCATAAGCCGAGTTAATGAAGGAGAGCGTGCTTCTGAATGCAAACTCTCGTGAGCGAACGCAGTATTCGTCCAACTCAAGAAGGCGTTGCACAGTTGTTGAATCGTTTTCAATGATAGCCTGGCGAACCCCTTCATGAAGCACATCTCGTGAGAATGGTTGGGTAGGTTCGGGGTCCTTCTCGGGGTGTAACAATAAGCGTAATAGCCGGAAGAAATTGAGTTTCTCACTAACAGAGCCGCCATCGGGGGTCCATGGTCGTCCGTCTATTACTTTGCTTGGAATTACAAAGACATAAGCGAAGGCCACGGGTATATCAGAAGTCTCGGGGAGTTTCGAAAGGGCATGTCTCAGGGACTGGGGAGCACCAGTAGGTTCTCTCAAGTTGAGATTGTCTAAGTAATTTTCTAGGTGTCGGTATTCCATCTCTTCCATGATTTCTTCAATATTGACACTCCCGATTTTTGCCTTATGGTAACAGTTGATTCGAAGACGTGTTAAATCAACACATTCGACGACGCAGGAGGCAATTAATTTAAATGTTGCCCAATGGCAGTTGAGTATCTGAGACTGGAGCCTTTTCTTTTCTTCAATAGGCAGAGGCCTATATCCAATGGGGCGGAATCTTTTCATTATTTCCTTCTCACTGAGGTTGAAAAGGTTTCTCGTTTGCTCGTTCATATTCCCATTCTTCATAAAACCTTCTTCATCTGGGTCCTCCCAGATCGCGAGTGTTGCTATGCAATGGTAGATCCGTGGAGTGGATACTGCTTGTGCAAGCTGTGGTAACACTTGAAGAAGGTTGACTTCTAGACACTCGAAGAATATTTGTTCTAGAATTTCCGTGGGCATGGATTGCAGGGTATTTCGCTTCGAGCTAGTTATTCTTCCATCTGCAATTCGGCTTTTGCTTCCCTGTTTGCCTGGGACTTGTTTGGTGTAGATAATATTGTCCTCTCTCTCGGCATTATCATCCGCTTGGTCAAGTTCTGAATGCGGCTCGCTCCTCCTGACTGCTGGACTCGCATCATTGCGTTTTCTCTTCTTGCCACGGACCTTTACCGGCGTCAATGTATGGTCGATGGGGCCCTCTAAGGAAGAACTAGCCAATGGAGCCATATAGGCGACTAAGATTTGAACAAACAAAGGGAAAACCAGCGAGTTCTAACTCGCGTTGCCACAGGCTAAACAGCCAGGGGTAGCCAGTGCGTTAAAGAAGGTCCTTGAAAAATCAGAGTTTAATGTCTTTCATGGTCGCCAACAGGTATTCCTCCGTTCTGGTAAGATTGCGTGTGAGCGCGTGGCCGGGTATCACTAGAGGCAAAGGAACTTCTGAATACTTCCAAATATCCTCAGTTGATTCTCACTTGCGCATCGCTTTCTTTTTGAGCAAAAGTTAGTAAATTTTTGAGTTCGTATCACGTGATAAACATCATACCTTACCTAATCAGCTGTATTTGAATTCCAATTGGACCTTGAGGTTGAAGGTTGGAAGGGCGTAGGAGCAGCAGATTCGAAGATGAATCTTTCTGAAGGAAACAGGGTTCTGGATACTTGGAATCAGCCTCTTCCTAATCTGATAAGATATTCTTTTCATCCTACATGGCGAGTAGACAAAGGCTTACCGTTCTGCTCAAGGAGATATACGAATGAACCTCACTACATGGGTTGCTGGCCATATGGCTGCTGAGTTTGATGGTGAGGCTCATCAACACTTAAGCACAAGACGTTTCTCCGTATTCTTCTTTGTTTTCGTTGGTTTGTTAAGCGTGGCATATAAGGCAGAAGCGGAAATTCGGCGTTGAGGATCGAGGGCCAACATTTCCCGAAGGGCAGACATTCGTCGAGGGAGCTTTTTCCGTAGGGTATCGATCTGGTCCCACCAAGTCATGAACTTCTTTCGCACTTTACTGTCCTCCATGAGCCTCCGAATGGGCCAGCCGTTGGATGGTAGTTGTATATGTCTGAGAACAAAAAGCATAGTGACGCCAAAGGCCCAGATGTCACTGGGCTTTCCTCGTTGCCTCACGAGCAATTCGGGTGGGGTATAAGAGGGTGATCCGCCGTCACTGTAACGATGTTCAAACGTAGAGAGACCAAAATCGCAGAGCACAGCTCCACGCCTATTATCTCCAAGTATAATATTATTAGGTTTTATATCGTGATGTATAATACCCTTTTCATGGATATATTCCAGAGCACTACTAATGTCTATCCAAATCCGGGATTGCATCTCCTCCTTGATAATCGAGAATTTATCAGTATCGACATACTGGGAAAGGTCCAGCCCTTCTATATATTCAAGAAATAAGGTCAGGTCAGGAGCACGGAAATCGAGAAGCTGCACTATGTTACGCTAGACGAGGAGGTTAGCAGGATATATCAATAAATGTAAGGGGTGGTAGGACATACATGTTTCAGAGCCTGGAGCACTTTCCTCTCATTCTCCCACATATAAACGGCGTCTTCTATGTCTGGCTTCCTGCACACCTTGGCGGCAACAACACGCCCAAAGCGCTGAAGCTTGAAGACGCATGTTAATCTGGTCTCAGCAACAAGGTCTAGCTTAGGAGAGCTTGCCTTGCACGATATTACCTTCGACGGAGCTACCTCCGATTTGATTCGTTTGTCGCTGTGAAGGACATCTGCGGTGTCTTTGCTGGCTCCCTTCTTTCGTCTAAGGGACTTCGGCGTTCTAGGGATTGCCGGGCCACTTAGTAGTTCGCAAACACCAGCCGGGACAGCAGAGTGGGTATTCGAAGAGCTACTGGGAAGGACTTTCAACAGAAACTCGAGACCAGCTCCAAGAGTTAGATGCATAAGACCAGGACAAATCCGCAGTCGATCCCCGGGCAGAATCTCATAGTCCTCGCCGTTGACGACATTCTTGGCAGTAAATCGAGATGTCGACGAATTACGGAGAAGTATTGCATCGTCTTCATCATCAGGTATCGCGATAAGTAGGCAATGCCGAATATTAACCCAACACTCATCAATTGTGGTCTGGAGCTGTATTTGGCACGACTTGTCGCTCCCCAGGACAAAGTAGGGATTATCTAGATTTTCGTATAGACGGAAGGCGAGCGTTTTCCCCCTGTTTTTCTCACAGGAGGGTAAGAATTCTGTAGGCAACCCAGCCAGTGGGATTGTGCCAACATTATCTCGATTCCCAGGGAGATTCAGAGACTCCAAGGCAGAAGTTGAAATGGGGAGTAGAAGAACGCGTGTGTGGTACTCGTCTGACTTGATCGTTTCAGGCTCGGGGGAAGGATATGCCATGACTGTAATATTATCTTTTTCTTTAAAACAATTATCCGTACTATATATATTCTAACGCTTCATCATTGTAAAAATAGTTGTAGAATTGCATTGTCCTTATAAAGTGTCGCTGTTTAGACTGGGGAGAAAATGTTCGTTTTTCACGCTCTTTTTGTGGTTCAAGCGCGACGCGGGGACAGATCACGTGACTACTTCGTGTCAAAGATGACTTCTCCTTTAGCAAACCTGAAGGAAGAGAATCAACAACATCGGCGGCTGTTATACATTATCCGTTGACTCACGCTCGCGACACCATGTTGGCCCAAAGACCGCTGACGCCGCCGTACACGGCCTCGCGGGACCCGGAACCGACGCAATACAATATTCCGCGAGAAGACGACACGCTCTTAGCAGAACTTTCCGGACGCTGCAACACACAGCTCCAGAGCAGCCTGTCGAAATCATCATTTCAACGCATCGCGAACGAGGTCGTTTCAAAGACCGTTAGTTCTGGCTCGGCTCAGGACACCAGAGATCTCGAACCTCGCATCCATTTTACTGTTTCCAAGACGGTCCAGCAGCTTTCACAACAAGCTACCACCACCGTCAACGGGATATATTTCGAGCTTACAAAGCTCCTACCGCCACGACTACAACCATTTCTCCTCAACTTCATAGGCAAGGAAGCTAGTGAAGAAGACCGATATACTTTTATAATAAATGTGCTCCCGTGGGTATTAAAGAAGCTACGAAAGCCCCCGCCTCGATCCGGTACGTGATAAACTACATCGATTCTTGTTTATTTTAATATATACCCTTGGGCATCTAGCGTCACTTTAACAACCTCAAATGGGAAATAACGGCATGCTAACGTGGAACAGGGGCGCGAAAGGGTGGTTTACCAAGACGAAGCCAGCGAATAGCCAATAAACAACGACAAAAGAAGTCCGGCACCGGACGAGTGGATAAGGCGGCGGCTATGGCGAACAAGATTAAAAAGAGGCAACAGAGGGGGAAATAGATATAAGGTCGGACCCAAGAAATTCGCTTATTGCGAAGGAATGGGTCGCTGAATATCTATAATTCTTATTTTTTCTGAGACTGGCAAAAGGCGAGAATCCGTCTCTCTGGCATGTATTTGCCAAGGGTACGCCGGCCAGGAAACACACCAACCCCAACGAATGGGTGTTGGTCTACCGTGGGCTCCTGGGGGATCTATCTGTCGGAGTGGTGCACCACAGATGCAACTTCGCACCACGTCTATCGTCCTGTGTTTACACAGTTCGCGGACAGGGGTGCTCAAACATAGCCAAGTTGCTAATGTTTAGCAGACTTCATATCCGTCAAGGAAGGGAATGGCTTCCAGTTGACGTTGCGAGAGAAAGGAAACGATGGCTAGTAGTTTCTTTATGGATAGTAACCCTTGGCTTACCCAAGGAGTTCTTGAACCATGATACTACAAGGCCTCAGCTCCTCGATCTCTTGACTCTTGACTCTCGTCTGTCTTAAACAAGCGGGATTTGATTTGATGGTGGATTTGCAGGGCATTGGGCCTTTATTTGACGCCTCGTGAGGAGTTGCAACCTGCTTTTAAACATTTGTTCTTGTATATTTTTTTGGGAGCCATAGCTCCGCGTTGATTTTGTGTGCTCCTTTATCGGAAAAGGATATACGGCGAATTTGACAAGGCTGCTCACATACGTGACCGTCTGAGTTAGTTCGTTCGTTCGTTCGTCTTGCCGTTAAGAGGGTTTTTTTTGGGGGTTGCTGCGTTGCATTGATAGCGTTTTGAAGATTCTAACACATGGAAGCAGAAATACATTGGAGTTTATTACGATAGCGACCCTATACCGGTGTTCAAATGCCGGCCGTAACTCGAGGCGACACGAAGTTTTCGCTTTGATGCCATGACGCTGGTGACGCTGGGCTGATGTCAGCGTTCGTTAAGATAACCTTATCTCCACGTGGTGGGTTCAACATGACGTCACTAGCAGTTGCAAGCATCAGAAAAGTTCATCATCCTGCAGCATTGGGAGGGATAAATCCCTGAATTGCCTGTTTCCCATCTCGATACCTTGGAGGTTTTCTACGTCACAGAGGCGTAAATCCTAGTTCTATAACGGGTCTGTCCTATCGAACGCCATGACGGCCCCCCTTAACAGCATACCCCGAGGAACAGGATGGAAGCGGCTCACCCTTCACGATGGATATATAAACTACCTGCATTCCTCGCTGTATCGATAGAATTTCTCCATCAACAATCAATCAACTTCAAACATCTACTTTCCTAAGAGAAACAAGAATCCTCTACCACACCACACATACTACATAACTAGAGAACCGTACCTTGTGCCGAACAGCCGTCCAAACTTCCCGAGAACCGAACCCAGTTTCCATACCAAACACATCTACCAAACACACACACACAACCCAATTTCTATCCGCAACCATGGGTGCCGTCGTATCATGTGTAAGTTGATAATCTTTGGTATGAAATCTTTGGTTTGCAGAGCCATGGCTAACATAGATTTTAAATAGATTGTTGGCGCCTTCCACGCAATTGGTCGAGCTCTCATGACCGTCGTTAATGCCATTGCTGGCGTTGTAATGGCGATCGTCAACGGAGTTGTCTCAGTTCTCCGAGCCATAATTTCCTTCTTGACTTGCGGCTGGTGTTCAAGCCGAAGATCGAGAGTCGGCGGCCACCACGGTGGTGGTTTGAAATCTCACCGCCATGGTCACCACACTAAACGGCCAATGATGAGTTCCGTCTAAAGATAAATTCTGGGGTGGGCTCAAAGGATTTGAAGAGGCGGCGTCGTCTGGGCGAGACATATTCCGAGATTTCTTAATTTTTTGTTGATATTACTGAAAGATGTGCGAACCTGACCACGATACCCCGCGGTTGTTTCTGATGGCTTAATGAAAGTGGACTCTCCTTTTGTTGCGTATTTCTTTTAATGATGTATTATATTCAGGACGACTGCAATGTCAATTCAGTATTTCAACTTCCAATACATTCACATATTACCTAAAATTTTCTGTACCCCGCCTATCTTCCCAAACAAAGATGGCTGGTACCCAGTCTCTACAACCCCCTGACACATGTTCCATGCCCCCTCGCCATCTTCCCCTTTCCCTTGACCCTTCTGGATCGGATAATCCAATCGTGGCGGGATCTTGGTCTGGATAAAGGTTCTATCTTCACAGACAGCTTTAAGATTGCTCAGGTTCCTGAGTCCTTCAGCGCCGCCGAACCTCCCATATCCGCTATCTTTCACGCCGCCAAATGGTAGCCCAACAGCGTAGAATGTGCCAAAGTCGTTCACTGCAACCATACCTGCGTCTAGACGGGAAACACATTTTTCCACGTCCGTCCGATTGTGACCGAAAACACTGGCACCAAGGGCATACTTACTGGAATTTGCTATGGAGATTGCTTCGTCTACTGTTCTGGCGCGCATCATCACGAAAACAGGCGCGAATAACTCGGTATGCGCGATCTTCATCTCAGGGGTTACGTCGACTAGGAGTGTTGGCGTGAAGTAGTGGCCGTGGGGATAATCAGGATGGTCGTAACGTTTACCTCCACAAATTAACCTAGCTCCATCCTGCACAGCTTCTGATACCAAGCTTTCTAGGCGCGCGAAGGATCTGGTAGATATCTGAGCACCGACATCCGGGGCATGAGGAAGTTTCTGAGTTTTTGGGTCACCTCTCCCGTCAAGGAGCGCAGACCCAAGGCGAAGGGCTTTGATACGTGGTGTGACTATTTCAAGTAGATCGTCGTATACTTTAGGCAGGGCAATAATCCTCTCCGTTCCTATACAGTTCTGACCAGCGGATTGGAACACTGCTCTCATCATAATAGATGCAATGCTTGGGAGGTCCTTTTTAGTCTTGAGGTCGTCAAGAATAATTGCGGGATCTTTCCCACCAAGCTCCACGGTGACAGGAATCAGGGCCTTTGCAGCTGACTTGCAAACTTCATGGGCAACAGGTTTTGATCCAATAAAAATCAGATGGCGTAACAAGGGATGCGAGGTCATCGCATCTGCGTGCTGAGGTAGACAGATGACGGTCTGAACAAGATCTTTCGGGTGGCCACAACTGACAATTGCACGTTGGATAATATCACAGAGGAAGATAGAGGACCATGCCGTGTGCTCGGATGGTTTCACAATGACGGCGTTTCCAGCGAATATCGCACTGATAACTGGAGATATCAGATTATGGAAGGGGTAGTTCCACGACACGCAAGCTCCGACCACACCAAGCGGCTCATATCGAACAGTGTTCTTCTTGTACATCATGAGTAGATTTGTCGGCCGATGGTCCGTCTGTAGTGACTTTTCACCATGTTTGATTGTCCATGTCAACTTATCAGCCGTCACCATTATATCTCCAAAGCAGGCGTCGACCTTTGTTTTGCCGGAATCAAGGCAGCAGGCGGTTGCGATTTCATCTTGATGCTCGAGGATATACCTTATCAAGTAGCTTATCAGTATACGTTCTGGCAGTTCTCTTCATCAGGCGTAATCGTCTTACTTCAAGAGTGTTCTCAGAACCTTTCTCCTTTCTGCAAAGCTCGTTCCCCTCCATTGTGAATATGCAACTGAGGCACGCTCGAATGCGCTATCGATATCTTTGGGCGTTGCTGGTTTTATGCCGTTCTCATCACCAAGCAGGCGGCCGTCGGCGGGACAATAGCTTAATATCTTCTTGTCATTGAATCTCTATGTAGCAGAAGGGAGCTGTTAGTAGATGCTGGATAGAGCTGAGCCTGGGCCGAAAGACAGCTTACCCCTGTTGTCCCCTGAGACTCCAAAATCTCCCTAGAGTCTTTGCTGATATTTTCCCATGCGACACCCTCCCATTCCGGGTTCAACTCCTTCGGCAAAGGTACGTTAAACGTAACTGGTTGTTCATCTTGTGCGAAAGTATACGAAAGGAGGAGCTTCAGCGCAAAGAGCGAGGGGATGATTAAGGCGAGAGGGGTGAGCAATTGTGCAAAGTTGCCATTCAATGCCTCCTTATATATTTCCTGAAGGTATTCCATCCTCTTAAGCGGCCCTGGAGGCGTGTAGGACGCTGCGGAAGATATATTGAAAGACGCACGAGATTATTTCCTGGGGCAACTTGAAGCTATTCCCAGTCGCCAAGCCATCTGCAAAGTGGAAAAGGGTGAACATATTTAAACTACGCCTCCATAGATCGGGCATCAGTATAGAAGTTCTATTGCAATATCTCCAGCGATCTATATGAAATTAAAACCAAGTCGATATTTCGGTTATATTATACCCTCGACCTAGAGGACACCTTTTTGTGGTGAAGCGGCTTTCCTCTAAAGGCTCTCTGGCGTACCCTTGCTTTCGTCTTCCAACATATCGCCTCCAGGTTTCCTTACCTTGAAGCCGAGTTTTGTCTGCTTCAATGGCCCGCCTTTCCTCTTCCCAGTTCGCTTTACGAGGTGGTCGATGATACATCCGTCTCCCCAGCCTTCACTGTTCTCGCTGGTGATGGCCCTACACCGAGGACAAGCCTTACCGTGCCGTATAAACAGCTGGTGCAGCGAGTATTTCAGATGATCGGGGATTCTCACCTCGAGGTGGCTAAAAGCAGTGATCTCGTTGACCCTATCCGGCGGAACCCATCCAAGCCACTTGCTGAGGCGGAATACATGCGTGTCGACAGCGAAACAGGGCCGTTGTAGGCAGAATAAGATCACACATGCTGCAGTCTTGACGCCGATGCCAGGGAACTTGACAAACTCCAGCATCGCCTCGTTCTTGGACAGGGAATGTAGATGGTTGAGGGAGAGTACATGTTCGTTTGCTAGGGCGATTTCATTCTCCTTTTGCTGCTCTGTTTCGTTGGATGAACCAGGAGCTCGCGCGAGATCCAACCCCTTTCCCTCTTTCGATTCAATCAATGCATCCCTCCGAGCTTTATTCTCGTTATATACCATTTCAAGAATCTGCTTGATATACTTGCTCTTAGCCACTCCGAGACCACCGCATTTCATCGCTTCGTAGATCTCTTCTGCCGAAGCCTCGCGGACCTTGTTCCAGTCGACGCTTCCTTTCCCAATACCTTCGTTGAGGATGCCGAATCTGCGCACCAGGCCCTGAAACGCCATGGCTGAATTGTTGCCAGTGGTAGCACCGCTAAGAAGCGTTCGTATCAGTGCGTCGAGGATACTGGGTACTTCCCCGCAGCCTGATACTGTCAATGAAGGTGCTGGTATTGCTTTCGGGGCTATGACCTCGCCGTGAACTGAGGATAGGAGCTTGTTGACCTCCTCGCATTCTTCGGCCGTAGGATGCTGCCATTCTGGGAACGGACTAATGCCAGGCGTCAGGCCGTATGGGTTTTTAGGCACACGCTTCTGGCGAGGCTTCGATATAGTCGTTTGATCTGTAGGTAGTAGGCTGCTTCTATCTAACTGTGATACTTCAAGCACCGGACGGGCAGCAAAGTTCTGCGTTGAAGTCGCTAAATCGGCATCGAGTATCTGGATTCTACCGAGATTATGTGGTAGCTCATTAATATCAGGAAGCGATAGGTTGGCGGCTTTCCTGCGAGACGATCTTGCTTTTGTTTCTGTCTTCCCCTTGGCTTTCTTTGCGGGAGAGGGGGCAGGAATATTTGCCGTGGCTCGTCTCTTCGGCCTGGCTATATGTTCAGGGTCAAGGGAAGGCCGTGAACCATCTATATATGGACTGCGATGATGTGAAGGTGCTGCGAGATTGCCAGTCTCTGTCGTGATTATATCATAGCTATCATGGGCTAGGAAAGCCAGCTTGCCCTTGCTCTTTGCCATGGTGACTGGAAGAGGCGGCTTAAGTATCTTTCTGTTAGGGAGAGATGGCTAAGCGGATAACTGGCTTGGATAGTAAGTAGATGATTCAGGTGCAGATGGATTTCTGTTTGTTTCTCGTTTTCTTTACCCTGTGTGTTTTTTCAGCGGAAATATCCGACTGGGAATGATATGAAAGTTGAAAGAAGCAGTTTATCCTAGAAAGGCAAACGATAATGACAGGTAGTTTGCAAAGAAAGAACTGCAGCTGGCAACATACGGGTACTCTGCCCATTAAATATAGGATTCAGATAGAGTGAACAAGGGTATATACCATTCCCTTTATCCAGAGTGATGGAGATGGTCAAACAAACCTAAATGCTGGCATATCCAAATCCATGATGCAACCATATATTCCGCCACTTATTGTTTAACTTCACTGATCCATGGTTCAACAAGTTCACACATTATGCTTAAAGGCAAGTAAGCTTACGGGACAACGAATATTTTTTCTAACCATGATAATGAAATTTATCCTTTTTTAGCTATCTAATGGCTGTGCTGGTGGATATTGGTAACAGGGCATGCATAACAGGGACATAATACACTATCCCTTCTAAATGGAGTGTAGAGACAAAGGACGCCTGGGAGGCAGAGATGGTTTGTGGGGGTATGTGCTTTGTATTTTTATTCTGTCCCCTTTTATCCCCTATCCGCCTGCAAATTCGATGCAATGTGCAATGTTGCTGCTTAAGGGCCTGGGGTTCAGGGGCAAGGTCAGGGTAAGGGAGCGTGGTAACCTCGCGGTATTTATGTGTCTTCAGGGTCATTCAACGTTCAAATCATAGATCTAGTAAGAGGAAAAAGGAAAAAAGCCAAGTAGAATGGTCCAATCCAGCGTAGCTCAATAATCGCCAAGGTTATGGATGCTAATGTCCATCCTATCCTTGACATGGGGCGTAGCGTCTCCCGCATCATGGCGGTTGTTGTTATTCGCTTGCGCCGGCGAAGACGAATTGGCGGCACCGGGGTTGGGGACGTCCACCGGCCTGACTGTCTGGGTAACGAGCGGCTTACCGTTCTCATCCAGGCCTACTTTACTCGAAGCTAGGAGCAGATTCTCCTGGCTAACGGCCCCGTTCAGCACGGCGGTTCTTGCACTCTCAACTCTCTTAATCTTTCTGCCTTCACCGCGAATTTTCTCCAAGTGCTCAAAGTACGTGGCTGAGACGGGAGTGGTGTATGTGCCATTAAAAACACCAACTTCGAAATTCACGGGCTCTGAATGGCCGCTTTCAGTGCATATTTCAGCACAGGAAGCCTTAAGATCATCGAGGGTTTGGTAGATGACTGCGTCCGCACCGATGTAGGCGGTGATGGCCTTGAGGTCACGATCATGAGCGACGAGTTCTTGTGGAGAGGCTAGATCGATGCCGTAGATGTGGGGGTGTCTATACTGAGTTAGTGATGCATTACTATGGGCGTAAAAGAAACGATGAAGGAACGTACGATATCTCGGGAGCACAGCTAGCGAGTAAGACACTTTTTGCCCCGGCGTCTCTCGCCATCATGACGATTTCTCTACTTGTCGTGCCACGGACGATACTATCATCGACTAGCAGGACATTTCGGCCCTTGAATTCGGATGCCATGGCGTTCAACTTCCTTCGTACTCCCTTTTGTCGCGCTTTCTGCTCTGGCATGATGAAAGTGCGGAACACATATCGGTTCTTCACGAAACCTTGTGAGTATGGTTTATCCAAGAATCGCGCGAGGGCGGCTGCGGAAGTGTTCGAGGTTTCAGGCACAGGTATCACGACATCAATGCCCTTGATGACCTCTGGGCCAAGAGTGTCGACGATTCGTTTGGCCAACTTTTCACCCATGCGCTGCCGGGCGCGGTAGACGCTGATTCCATCAATGACAGAGTCCGGGCGGGCAAAGTATACATATTCAAAGATATCAGGCGTATAGTTTAGCTTTGGGTGGACCTGGCGGAACACTGGTTCATGGCCCTTTTGAATAATCACAGCCTCACCCGGCATGATATCACGGTGGTTAGTGAAGCCTAGCTGGTCAAGAGCCACGGACTCGGAGGCCATCATGTAGTCCATACCCGGACCGCTGCGAGAAGGCCGCGAGCCGAGGATCAGTGGCCGGATACCGTACGAGTCACGGAAGCCGAGCACACCGAATCCAGCCAACATGGCAGTGCACGCCCACCCTCCCTCAAGACGTTCGTACATCCTGCTGAGGGCGGCGAAGATATCCTCCACATTAACACGCGCTTTCTTGGTCTCGTTTAGCTCGTTGGCAAAGACATTGAGCATCAGCTCACTGTCACTGTCTGTGTTGATGTGTCGGTGTGCTTCGTAGTCGAGAAAATGCTTTAGTTCTGGGGCGTTGATCAAGTTCCCGTTGTGCGCGAGTGTGATGCCGTAGGGGCTGTTCACGTAGAAAGGCTGGGCTTCGGCGTTGGCACTCGATCCCGCCGTAGGGTATCGAAGATGGGCAGTTCTGCGTACGGGTTAGAAATCGATTTTCAGCTCATCTAATGCGAGGGAACGTACCCCATAAATCCAGGCAAGTCTGCAACCCGCTGACCATCCTGGAAGACTTTGCCGCACATTCCATTGCCTGTGACGACGGCGACTTAGAAAACGGGCTATAAAGGTAAGATATATGGAAGAACTCACCCTTGCACTGGAAGATACGGCCAGCAGACGCGCAAGTGGCGATGCCACAGGCGTCCTGACCGCGATGCTGGAGCAGGTACAGAGCTTCATGGAGGTCGACGCTGGCGGCCTCGCTCGTGTTGGCGAGGATGAGGGCTAAGATACCGCACATCTTGCTATATCCACCAGTTAGCAGAGTATATATATAGAGATGTTCATGCTGAGAAGTTGTGATAGTCGGCGCATTCAGATATATTTGGATTTATCCACAGATGATTTTTCAGTAGTCTAACATCCTTTTCCATTTTGATTCATCCTGCAATAAAGAGAGAGGGAGAGCGTGTGCTGAAAGAGATGTCCATACCTGGTTGATTACCGCGATCCTAGGAGTAAGAGATAGAGTCGTGTAGTGGCAACTGGCACTCCTATGATGGCAAACTCATTGTGGGATAAGCAGCGCAGACAGGATCAAGCGGGCAGAGCAGATATAGTGCCCTGAGCCAAGCGAGTTCACAATGGCTGTGAATGTGAAGTTGGAGTTGAAGTTCATCCTGAAGTGAGAATTTTTTTTATTGAAGACTAAAAAAAAAAAGAGAGATAAAAGACTAAAAAAAGAGGAGGGGGATGGAGTGTATTTTAGTATTGACGGTACAGCCGTTGGTATTCTATCAACCAGTAGGAAGAGGGCAAAGGCTAGGGCATGTCCAGTTTTGGTGTTAGGGCACGAGATGTGACAGTACAATACGCGGTTAGAGGTGGGTAATTTAACATCGACAGCAAAACATCAAGACGAAGAACAACAAGATGATGAAGATGAATAAGATGATGAAGATAGACAAGATAAAGATGAAGATGAATAAGATGAAGACGAAGAACAACAAGAACAGATGAAGATGGTCAAGATGAATAAGATGACGAAGATGAAGGAGATAATGTTAGTAAGAGACATGAGATGGACAATGCAATGTCAGTCAGTCTTATACCTCTATGGTGTTATGTGTTGCTTATAAGGAGAGCAACACCAGCCTGCCTCTAGCAGCGATGCTAGAGCTATCTTTGCTTCTCTGCTTTCTTCTGATACCCAGAAAGATCATGATGTTGCCATCCCTCGCTACTCATCGATATCTCAATATGGATGTCGAGGTCATCAATCTCGATGACGACTCTGATAATGACAGCACGACGAGCAGTCTGACGATAGGACGAGGCGAGCTATCATCCCCAGCGTCGTCTCCGTCGCCGTCGTCTACCTTTGGGCAGGATGATTTCATGACAGATGAAGATTTCGAGGCATATGTGTCTGGCATATCCGGTGCGGTTCTGTCCAGTCCTACACCAGCAAGACCCCGAGCCCTAGCATATACCGTCCAAAGCCCTACCAGGACCCCAATCAGTGAGATCAACTACCAGGGCCGGACATACAAGCTAGGGAAATTCGTCGAGCTCCACGATGGCACCTTTCTACGCCTCAATCGCATTTTCCATTCAAGCGAGGGGACTGTCATCTTGGGCCCCAAGTTTGAACGGTTAGAGACGATGGACAGCCTCATGCCGGATAGAGTCAACGAGCTGTGCTGGGTAGTTGACCTTGGGGACGTTAACTCTACAGGCCAGCCTCACAGCGAAGAGGTCAAAGTCCCTCTCTCCATGGTGCGTCGTCCCCGCATCATCAGGATCACCAATCACCCATATACACGCACCTCGGCCGTTCAGAATAGAGACGATGGTTTACTATTCTGTCGAATTAAATATACCCGGAAGTGGGTGCGTATATCAACTACGTCTAGTCGCGGTGCAGCTCGCATCGTTGAGGAGGCCATCACCTATCTCGCGCCAGAGGAGTGCCAGACCTCCTTCTCCGTTTCAAAGCCCTTTCTACGAGAGAACTGGCGTGGCAGACCTCCAGCCGGATCTGGACGACAACCGCGAAGATATACGTTTGGTGACGGTTTCTGCGGCGCCGGCGGGGTCTCTAGGGGCGCACAGCAAGCCGGTTTGAAGCTGGTATGGGCATTCGACAAGTCACTGTCTGCAATGAACAGCTACAGAGCCAACTTCCCTTCCTCCCTGGCCGAGACAAGCGATGTCGCCGACTTCTTGACAAATGACAGCTCTGATATCAGAGTAGACATCTTGCACGTATCTCCACCCTGCCAGCCATTCTCATCTGCTAAGACGATAGCTGCGGCACACGATGACGCCAACGAAGCGTGTCTATTTAGTATCTGGCGGTTGATAGAAAAGTGTCGTCCCCGGATAGTCACCATGGAGGAGACCAGCGGCCTAAAGGAACGCCACAAGGAGTGGTTATATGCTATTATTCACACCTTTGTCGAGCTAGGGTATAGCGTGAGATGGGGGATAGTCAATTGCAAGGACTACGGGGTGCCCCAGTCGAGGAGAAGACTGGTCATCCTAGCCGCTGGCCCAGGAGAATCTCTCCCGCCTTTCCCCCAGCCAACTCATGGAACTACGCCTGGCCTTCTGCCGCTACATACCATCCTCGACGCCATAGGGGCCATACCGAGCACGGCGCCTGACCACGACTTGGAGAGAGCCGAACGACCGTTCCACCGACCACCGTACGATCCGCGCCAGCTGGCTAAGACCCTCACTTGCTCTGGCGGCGACAACTACCATCCATCGGGGACGAGGACCTTTACCCTACGGGAGGCCGCATCGCTGCAGACGTTCCCCATCCAGCACGTCTTCTGTGGCCCAGGAGTGATGCAGCAGATCGGGAACGCCGTGCCTCCTGTCCTGGCTAGAGCCCTCTTTGGCGAGGTCGTCCGCTCCCTCACGCACACCGACCACCCAGAGACCGTCATCATCGACTGACCCTATGTCTTTATACCTATGTCTATATCTTTTTTATATCTTTTTTATGTTCTTTTTTATGTGTTTTCCTACCATGTGACCGCCGTATCCGGCTAGCCTCGGCCTGTCTCACTAACTTCTCTTCTTCTGCTCTTCCTCAACTCCAACAACTCCAACTTCTTCTTCTTCTCGTCCTATCTCCATCACCAAACTCCCAGAGGTACGTCTGCCACCCTCAATTCGTCGACCTGGCCGGTTATATCTGCAATTGAGTGCTGTGCTGTTGTGTTGCTGTGCTAAGAATACCTGCAGATGTCTGCCGCTGCTCCGCTCCGGCGCCTGACCTGCGCCCCACGCTCGCTTGCCCTCAGAGTCCGTCCTGCGCTCCCTCTTCGATCTATCCGCTTCCCAGCTTCAGCTTCACCCAGACGGACTTCTGCTCCCTTCTCGACCATGGCTGCTCTCTCTTCTGCTGCGCCTGTCGCCCCGGCTGCGGCCCGCGACTATGACCCCGAGATCAAGGACATGGCCTCCTACATCCACAACCACCCAGTCAACTCTGAGCTCGCCGTGCGTTTATACCCCTCTTCAGCTATATGACTATGCAATTCTAACGAGATGTAGTACGATACCGCTCGCTGGGTCTTCCTTGACACCCTCGGCTGCGGTCTTGAGGGTCTCAAGTTCGCCGAGTGCACCAAGCTGCTCGGCCCCGTCGTTCCAGGCACCGTCGTTCCCAACGGCACCCGTGTCCCAGGAACTCCCTACCAGCTCGACCCAGTCAACGGTGCCTTCAACATCGGTGCCATGATCCGCTGGCTCGACTACAACGACTGCTGGCTCGCTGCTGAATGGGGTCATCCATCCGACAACCTTGGCGGTATCCTCGCCGTGGCTGACTGGATCTCCCGAACCAACCGTGCGGGAGGTTCTCTCGGTAACGGAAAAGTGCTCAAGATCCGTGATGTCCTCGAGGCCATGATCAAGGCTCACGAGATCCAGGGTGTCCTCGCTCTCGAGAACTCCTACAACAAGGTCGGACTCGACCACGTTGTCCTCGTCAAGGTCGCTACCACCGCCGTCGTCAGCAAGCTCATGGGCTTGACCGAGCGTCAGACCGCTGATGCCATCACCCAGGCCTGGGTTGACGGCCAGTCTCTCCGTACTTACCGCCACTCTCCAAACACTATGTCCCGTAAGTCCTGGGCTGCCGGTGACGCTTGCCAGCGTGCCGTCAACCTCGTCCTCAAGGTGCAGAAGGGTGAGCCCGGTATTCCTACCGTCCTCTCCGCGCCAGTCTGGGGTTTCTACGATGTCCTCTTCAAGGGCAACAAGTTCGCCTTCCAGCGCGAGTACGGCAGCTACGTCATGGAGAACGTCCTCTTCAAGGTGTCCTACCCAGGTATGTACATTTCCTTACCTTGTATATATGAAAATCATGCTGACTGACCGTCACAGCCGAGTTCCACTCTCAGACCGCCATAGAGGCCGCCACTAAGGTCAACGCTACCTTGAAGTCGATGGGCAAGACCGCCGAAGACATCAAGGAGGTCACCATCCGCACCCACGAGGCCTGCGTTCGCATCATCGACAAACAGTTCAAGCCCATGGACAACTTTGCTGACCGTGACCACTGCATCCAGTACATGGTCGGCACCATGCTTGCCTTCAACCGCCTGGTTGCTAGCGACTACACCGACGGCTCCGAGGCCGCTACCTCCCCGCTCGTCGAGTCCCTCCGCACCCGCATCCGCTGTGTCGAGGATCCTCAGATGACCAAGGACTACCACGACCCAGCCCTCCGCACCATCCCCAACGCCCTCACCGTCACCCTCAACGACGGCACCGTCCTCGACGAGGTTGTCGTCGACGCTCCTCTGGGACACAGGCTCAGACGCGAGGAGGCCAAGCCTGAGATCCTCGCCAAGTACAAGCGTCATCTCGAGGGACACTTCGATGCCTCCCGCGTCAAGCAGCTCATCGATCTCGGATTGGAGCAAAAGACTCTCGAGGAGATGGACGTCGACAAGTACGTTGACCTGTATGTTAAGGAGTAGCTGCCGCCATAGATATTTGGGATAGATAAATGTTAGTCACCTTGTAGTTAAGCGATATGAATTAATCAATTCATGCATAAAATGAGCCTATCTTTCCTCTGCCGAACGTCCTGAATAGCCGTTTTTTATATTATTTATTTATGTGCTGGGGGGCTAAGCGCCGAGGTGCCGAGGTCCACAGCGGTCCCTTGTCGGTGCAACTTCGCTTTCTCCTCTTTTTGCTCTATCCTCAACGCATCCTCACATCCTTACCCATACCCGCAGGACCAGCAACCATGAGCAGACCAGGGCAGCTCGTTGGCTCGGGAGGACGTGGTGGAGACTCCGAAACGTCCGGGGTCGACTGCATTACTTAGCCGTGGGCTTGCATTGTGCTCAATAAAGAGACAGTGTCTCTTTGTCCTGGCTGTCCTGTACCTCTGCGCTCGTGGACAATCAGCTACTACGCCCTTCTGGACGACAACGACAACACTCCGAGGTAGCCCTGAGAAATGGCACTGGCCGGTGAGTTCCCTATCTCTCGGTGAGTGAAGACAGCTGCTAACGGAAATAAAAGCTGTTGTCGCCGGCGGAACTGCGCTGGCATATCTGAATGGAAAATACCAGCTGGTCTCTGATATATCGTCCATCATCTCAATCAAGCGAGGCGAGCGAAACGCTGCAGCACGAGGTATGTCATTATACCTGAGCTGAACGTGAGGCCGTTTACTAACAGTTATACAGTGGCTAATGGCACCGTTTGCCCATGGTTCATGTTTGAGGAGACGGTCAAGAAATACCCTTCTGTGAGCGCTGTATGGACGCGCGAGACATCCTATACCTTCCGTCAACTGCACGACGTCGCGTGCCAGTATGCAAACTACTTTCGCTCACAGGGCGTGCAGCCAGGTCAACTTGTAGCCTTGTATCTGCAAAACTGCGCTGACTTTCCTGCCATCTGGCTGGCACTGTGGTCTATTGGAGCAGCTCCAGCTTTCATCAATTACAACCTTGCCGGACCGGCGTTGTTGCATTGCGTAAAGGTTAGCAGTGCAAGTCTGTTAATCGTTGATGATGATGCTGCGTGTAAAGGAAGGATAGAAGAGGAGCGTACAACTATCGAGAATGAGTTTCATATCACTCCGATACTCCTCGACGACGAGTTCAAGAAACACATCAGCACCTTTCCTACCGTTGCCCCCGATGTCTCTCTCCGACGTAACATGGCTGGTTCATTCCCAGGCTGTCTCTTCTATACTAGCGGCACCACCGGACTCCCGAAGGCTTGCGCGTTCACTCTGGAGCGTCTCAACCACCTCTTCGGCACGCGTGCCCTGCGCGATACCCCCGGCGGAGCTGATAGATGGTATAACTGCATGCCCCTTTACCATGGTACCGGAGGCATCAATATGATCGTCGCCCTCGTAGGTGGTGTCTGCGTTGCGCTCGGCAAACGTTTCAGCGTCTCCTCTTTTTGGCACGACGTTATCGACTCGAAGTCCACACGCTTCGTTTATGTAGGAGAAACAGCACGTTATTTGCTTGCTGCACCTCCATCACCGCTTGACAAAGCTCACTCCGTCATCTGCGTATACGGTAATGGTCTACGGCCGGACGTATGGGAGAAATTCAGAACCCGTTTCAATATCCCTACCATTGCAGAATTCTTCGCCAGCACAGAGGGCATGTTTGCACTACTCAACTATGACTGTGGGCCCTACCAGGCTGCCTGTGTTGGCCATCACGGCCTCATCCTCCGCAAACTACTGCATAACGTCTACGTGCCGGTAGCCAACGACCCAGTTAGGGGAGATATACTCCGTGACCCAACCACTGGCTTCGCCACGCGCAGCCCTTACGAAGTCGGTGGAGAGATTCTCGTCGCCATCCCTAACGAACAGGCTTTCCAAGGCTACTGGGACAATCCATCCGCAACATCGAAGAAATTCGTGCGTGATGTCTTTAAAAAAGGAGACCTGTACTACCGATGCGGAGACTCTCTGCGCCGCACCAACGACGGACACTGGCACTTCCTCGATCGTCTGGGCGATACATTCCGTTGGAAGTCAGAAAACGTCTCCACGGCCGAAGTCGCAGTAGTGTTGGGCGAGTTCCCAGGTGTCGCTGAGGCGAATGTCTACGGGGTTACGGTACCGAACCACGAAGGCCGGGCTGGCTGTGCTGCACTCTTAATTGAGCCAGAGGCATTGGCAGGGTTCAAGTGGGATGCGTTTCTAAAACATACTCGCGAGAGGCTGCCACGATATGCCGTACCTGTGTTTGTGAGGCTTGTGAGTGCGTCTGAACATATACATAACCACAAGCAGAATAAAGTCGGGTTAAGAGAAGAAGGGGTAGAGCCAGCTAAGAGAGGGACGAAAGCTACTGGTGGCAAGGAGGATAAGATGTTGTGGTTGATACCGAAGATGGATACGTATGAGGAGTTTGGGGATAAGGAGTGGGAGTCTTTGGTTGGAGGTGGAGTTAGGCTATAGACTCTTATGATGACACGGAATAGAACGATACGTAGTTATTATAGATAAGGCTTTACTTGATTCATCGCTGAGTCTTGAGATAGTCACTATCTTACATCTTTAAGCATCTTCTTTGGGTCTTATTTCGTAGGTCAGGCGTGCTTAGTTTTGTTCTTAGGCTTGCCCTTAGGCGCCTAATTCGTGGCGTAGACGGAAGATGCAGGTCTATTTTTGATCAAGAGATTTATTCATATTTACATGCTCCATACTCTAACGTCTCGCTGTAGGGTCTGCCCTCACATTCCATGGTATACATACGCTCGACATCATCAAAAGAATTTATACCTAACTTCTTCTACTACAATCAAAAGTCTATATATAATCGTTAGTAAATATCCCATCTATAGAAAAATATGTGGACTTACGGTCTTCGGTATTGCCATCACCCATACTCTTGTTGGAGCTGCTTCCGCTAAGGATGGATCCCAACACTCCATCGACATATGGCGCTCCACTCCATTTCTGGTGTGTGAGGACATCGACGCCCATCTCCTTCTCACGCTTCTGCACCAGGTTCACGTACGACAGCATGCCGTTGTCTTTGAACCCGCGGGACAACTCAGTAGCCATGGTGGCGTTATAGTGCAGACCAGCGAGGGAGATGAGTTGAAGGATGAATCTACCACATCAATTAGTTGAATATATCTCCCTGCATGTCATGAATGTTACTTACCCGTGTTCTGCCAAATCCCAAATAAACGACTTCAAAGTTTCCTCTGTAAATCCTTGTCCCATCCAGTTGAATGACGGGCTCAAATTGTACACCAGTTTCTTTCCAGGGTATTGCTTGCGAATCTTCCCGGCAAAGTCTGCGGCCTTGCTTACATTGGGGTCTCCCGTCTCAACCCATAGGAGGTCTGCGTACGGTGCAAACGAGATGGTGCGCTTGGTGGCTGCCTCGTTTCCGGCTCGGTAGTGGTAGAACCCTTCACGAGTGCGTGGGATGTCCCAGGACCAGAAGACGGGGTTCTTGGTGTACTTCCCGGCCAACTCGCGGCGGGCGGATATCGAGAGGTCACGGTTCTCCTGGACGTGAGATTTGTATTCATTTCGGGTAGCTTCAGAGGCTCCTTCGGAAATGAGGTGTTGGTCCACAGCTGGGAAATGTTAGTAGCTTTCCAACTTATATATATAAAAGAGGAGAGTAGAAGCTCACCTTCGTCAAAGGTAACAAGTTTGTGCTTCTTGACCCACTGGGCCTCGAAGACATCAATATCACTACCGGATGCACCTTCCAGCTCCATCTTCTGTAACGTCTCGGACAACGGATCACCATCCTCGGTCACGCCGAGGATGAACTCATGGTCTCGTACGTCGATGGTACTGCTGAGAAGCTTACCGCTCTCAGAGTCGGTTCGTGCAATAAGCAAGTTCTCAGTTCCCATCATATCCCACTGGAAGCGGGCAGCTACTAGTCTGTTGATATGTTCTGCAATGGGTACGAGGACTTTGCCAGCGAGATGCCCGCATTTCTTGCCACCGTGCAGCTGGTCTTCAAAGTGTACGGCCGCAGCACCGTTTTCAGCGAACAGTTTAGCTAGTTTCATCACAGCTGTGAGGCCTCCGTGTCTAACATTATAGAGTAAGCATTTATATCATGTAGCAGAGGATGGCTGAGCGCTTACCCGGTATCACCGTCTGCAATGATGGGACGCATGTAGTCGATATATGGGGTCGACTTGCGTTCCTCTGGTGATAGCTTGCGTCTGGCATCCCAATGCTTCCTATCGTGCATGTTCTGTGCCTTAAAGAGTCGCTGCACCTGGTTTGGTACCGTGTTGTATGGGTAGTCTCCAAAATCCGGGGAGACCTCGTTCGTAGAGGTGAGGAGCGATGAGCACGCCCATCCGGAGATATAAAGCACCTCCTGGTTTGGTGCTTGCTGGGTCATCTGTACGGGATCAATGGCACCCACTTACACATAATCTGTTAGCCAGAGTTCAACCATTTGACAGAATATGAATGACCACCTACGAGTGTGAACTGGTTTCCCCTCTGCCGCACGTTCGTTCAGCAGGTTGAACAGCTTCCTGGCCATCAACGAGCTGGGATACGTCTGCTGCAAGGATCCACGCTTGCTCACCACCGCTTCGGCGGAGTATGGCCTCTTGATGCCTTCATATCTGTCTGAAGCCCACCACTCGTTCACGGCCTTGACCTGCTCCTCGAACAGGGCATCTTCGGGCGCACCGGCTTTCTCTGCAGTCGACAGCAGCTGGTACGAGTCTGCTGGAAGCGCCGACGAGACTGGAGGGCGCACCGGGGGCAGTTGTGAGGCCATTCGCAGGCTGGTGCTAGAGAGGAAGCGGATCGCGGGGAGCGCGGGTGTCGGCTTGCGGAGAGCTCGAGGCAGCTGGCGCGAGACGGAGCGAAGCATCGTTCCCTGTCTTCTCTCTTCTCTCTTCTCTATATCTTTGTATCTTTATCTCTTTCTCTTCTGTCTCTTCTGTGTCGTCTCATGTTTTCATCTCAAGTTTCGGCGCTTGAGGCCGACGAGATCAGGCCGAGGTAGTTTACCGCGGAAAACCGAGCCGTGCGCGAGCTTAAATTCACCCGCCCCAAAGGAACAACTTCTTGCCCTCCACCACCTCAACAGCATCAAGAACAGCCCATCGACCACTCCTCTACACCGATACAATGGCATTCACCGCGAGAGCTACGAGACAGGCGCTGAGGGCTGCCCAGGTAGGTCGATTCTGGACACTGGACGGTGCAATTGGCTTTGTTTGGCTGCTAACTCGGGCTGTAGAAGTCCTCCCGCCAGCTGGGAACCCGGTCCTATGCCACCGCTGAGCCCGACCTCAAGACCGTCTTCAGAGACGCCATCCCGGCCAAGCGAGAGCTCCTTAAGCAGGTCAAGGCCCGTGGTGATGAAGCCATTGGCCAGGTCACCGTTGCCGGCACCATTGGCGGCATGCGTGGCCTCAAGGCCATGGTCTGGGAGGGCTCTGTCCTGGACGCCAACGAGGGCATCCGCTTCCACGGCAAGACCATCAAGGACTGCCAAAAGGAGCTTCCAAAGGGCACCACTGGCACCGAGATGCTGCCCGAGGCCATGTTCTGGCTTCTCCTGACCGGCCAGGTCCCCTCCACCCCACAGGTTCGCGCCTTTTCCCGCGAGCTGGCCGAGAAGTCGCACCTCCCAAAGCACATCCTCGACCTCGTCAAGTCGTTCCCCAAGGACATGCACCCAATGACCCAGCTGTCCATTGCCGTCGCCGCTTTGAACACTGAGTCCAAGTTCGCCAAGGCCTACGCTGACGGTGTCAGCAAGGCCGACTACTGGGAGCCTACCTTCGACGACAGCATCTCTCTCCTTGCCAAGATCCCACGTATCGCTGCCTTGGTCTTCCGCCCCAACGAGATCGATGCCGTCGGCTCCCAGAAGCTCGACTCCAGCATGGACTGGGCATACAACTTCGCTGAGCTCCTCGGCAAGGGTGGTAAGGAGCACGAGACCTTCCACGATGTCCTCCGTCTCTACCTTGCTCTGCACGGTGACCACGAGGGAGGTAACGTCTCGGCCCACGCCACTCACCTCGTTGGATCTGCTCTTAGCGATCCTTTCCTCAGCTACAGTGCCGGTCTTCTCGGCCTCGCCGGTCCCCTCCACGGCCTCGCTGCCCAGGAGGTGCTCCGATGGATCTTGAACATGAAGGCCAAGATCGGTGACAACTTCACCGACAACGATGTCAAGGACTACCTCTGGTCTACCTTGAAATCTGGCCAGGTTGTTCCTGGATACGGACACGGTGTGCTCAGAAAGCCTGACCCTCGTTTCGAGGCTCTCATGGACTTCGCCAGCGCCCGCCCAGAGATCATGGAGAACCCAGTCTTCAGACTTGTCAAGAAGAACTCTGAGATTGCCCCCGGTGTTCTCACCGAGCACGGCAAGGTAAGCATCATCGATCATCCCCAAATTACTTCTTGGTTTTTATCAAATACTAACAGCATGCAGACCAAGAACCCCCACCCTAACGTTGATGCCGCTTCCGGTGTCCTCTTCCACCATTACGGATTCCAAGAGCCACTCTACTACACCGTCACCTTCGGTGTCAGCCGTGCTCTCGGCCCACTCGCCCAGTTGATCTGGAGCCGTGCCCTTGGCCTCCCCATCGAGCGACCAAAGAGCATCAACCTCCAAGGTCTCTTGGACTTGACCAACAAGAAATAAATGTTCCGTCTATATACCACCAAGCCTACCAAAAAAAATTATATACCACTCTCGGGGAGGTTGATAAACAACTAAAACAGATTAACAACAAATAAATAGACAGGTGACGGACAGCGATTTACCATTTGTGAAATAGCGAGATTACCAAGGAAAATTGTATAACTAAATGGCTAGGAAATGTTGCTCTACCCACCTTTTCATACAGTTTCGGTTATATGTATTCTTTGTAGAATATCAAGTGAAATTTCATCTTTGAGGCTGTGCTCTACTAGCTATTACCTACGTAAACCGGATTCCATCTCCCTTTACTCCCGCACCAACACTGGGGGGAACATCATCTCGGCCCGTTCCCCAGGCACTCTCCTTCTTACCCAGGGTAAGCTCTAGCGTTCCACCATTTAAGAAGAATTCATGCCCGATCCAATTACGCTTATAATCCTTTCCGTTCAGAGTTGCCCGCTGAATGTACGTGTTCTCGTACCCACTATCGAAGTTAACAGTACGTACCGTCGCCGTCTTCCCAGTCACAGGATGTTCAATGCTGACAGCCTCAAAAAACGGGGGCATGATGAAGTATACGTCTTGTCCTGGGTTGGGGAAGAGGCCCATCATTACGAAGACAGTAAAGCTTCCCATTGCACCCGAGTCGTCGTTCCCAGGTACCCCGGAGGTCGTGTCGTTGAAGCGTGAGGGGATGTAGGTGTGTGCTCGTTTAGCAGAGAGGGCAGGACGGCCGGCGTAATGGTATAAGAATGTGGCGAGGAACGATGGCTCGTTGCCGATGTATAGTATTCCCGACTCGTGTAGATAATCTAGGCGGGAGACGAACTTGGATGGGCCGCCGAGGAGATGAATCAGTGTTGACATATCATGCGGCACGAAGCTAGAAAGATAGTTAGCTTAACCTGTAATATATATTAAACCCGGGATGCACACGAACAATTGATTCTCCCATATGCCAGACTCGTACGTCTCCTGCGAATTCGACGTCAAGGAGCAAAATTCCGCGATGTTACTGCAGAGTATCGGGTCCTGATAACCCCATGATCCATTCTGGTATCTGGGTTGGAAGAATCCAACAAAGCCTGTATCCTTCCCGTTGATAAATGAAGTCTGATCTGCCTTGAACAGGTTTTGCCAATTCCCTGACCTATCAAGATATTTATCATATCCTTTGCCTAGTTCTTTCCCTAAAACCGCAATACAGTAATCGTTATATGAGTATTCGACGGTCCGCGAAATACTGCGTGTCGTTATTCCAGTGCCTAGATAGTCGAAGTCTTGTGCAGGTATGTAGCCGACAGATTTCCAGCTTACCAGTCCCCCTCGTCCTTCAATGGACCAATCTGGTGGTTCATTTTCGGCATCGTTGACTACAGCCTCGTATGCCAGGTCCCAATCGATGTTAGAGGTGATATTCTTGACATATGCATCGGCTATGACGACGTCGGCGTTTGATCCACTCTGGGTATACCCCTTGCATAAACTCATGCGGCAGTCTGGTAGCCAGCCTTGGTGCTTGTAGGTGTCGAGGAGACTGCGTATCATTTTGGCGAGAGCCTCTGGATCGATGATAGCAAGCAACGGCAGCTGCGAGCGGAATGAGTCCCATAGGCTACATATAGTTAGAAGACAGGCCACGGAAATGTTCATTTCTTGCGGACATACCAGTAGAAAGAATCAAAGTATGGCTCGTCGCTTTTCCAGAGCGGATTCTCTCCCGTATAATCCTGCGGCGAGATCATAGTTCGATATATTGCGCTCCAAAAAGTCCGCTGGAAGCTATTGCTGACACCTCCAGGCCGCACTGAGACGAAACTCAGTTTTTTTCTCCACGCGCTTTCAGCGTTGGTGCGAATCTTATCAAAATTCCAGTTGGGCCCTGGGATTTCTCTCTCCGCGTTTTGACATGCCTGAACTTCGCTGATGAAGCTCGTGCCTACACGAGCACTCACCTGGGTTCTATCACCTTTCGATGCATGGAACTGTACAAAAGCACCGGCCTTTACATAGAACAAATTGAACCCGCGGCCCACGGAAAGAGATTTGGGTCGCGTTCCGGCTCGGTTGCTGATATATATTCCGGTATCTTTGGCCTGTGCACCTGCGAAATCAACGCAAACGAAGGAAGTGTAGCTCCCAAGACCGAAACTGGGTAGAAATGTTCCATTCGCCTTAACCCTAAGGCTCCCCTCGTCTACTGAAATCGCAGCATTTTGCCTGGAGTCCTGTAGATCAGTCAAATCCACCAGCACTACTGGCGAGTTTCCATTCGCATCCGCGTTGTTTTTAGGAAAGTTGAAGTGGTATAAGGCTGTATGTTCTGTAACAGTCATCTCCGCGCTGATGCCATTCTTCAGCTGTAGAGCAAAATATCCAGGCCGCGCTTTCACGCTGTCGGCAACGTAGTGCACCCCTCTATCCGCTTTCGAAAATTTACACTTGTTCATATCATCATCTGGACACAATTGGGGCACGAGAGGGAAATTTCCCATAGATGGCTTGCCGCCGGTGCCTGAGTCGTGCATGTGTGAGAAACCGGTGACATTGCTACCGTCTCCTGTGAAGCCACCAAGATTTTCGCTGCTGTCGACGTCTGCTACGGCTTTTGCCATGCCATATGGCAGGCTGGCTCCAGGGAAGACGTGTCCGCCATTAGTCGTGCCTATTAGCTGGTCGACGTAGTCGAGGACGTCACTCTTGTTTTGCGCAGCAGACGGAGAAAAAAGGAGGCAGAGAGCCAATAGCAAAGGGTATCTATACCGGACCATGATAGCCATTACCTCAATTCATCAAAAAACACGGAAATTGAGGACCCTGCTTGTCTCGCATCAACAATGCAATTGAGAGCAGTCAAAGAGAGTCAAAGGAAGCATAGCACGAGATACCTCCGCACTGCGGAGAACCTACCTTGCATTACGCGTGGGTACATAGCACAGGAACCTGGTGTAATGCTATGCAAAGCATCATGCCGGCTTCTTGTCCGTTAAACAAGGATCGCCAGCAAGGAATTAGGAGGTTTGTGGTACATGACACCGTAGATCATTGGTGGTTATCGGTACTAGATAGTGGGATCATCCCGCGCTACCTGTACATGGACTAGTCCCTCGTCTAAAATGAGAAGACAGACACTGGCGGGTGTCGTTCATCGTACTCTAAAAGTAGTGATTCATGTTGGAGATGGTTGATATTTATTGAGATGATCTTGAAAACCGATAATTTATGAAACGCGGAGCACTCCGGTTACAAGGTATGGTGATCCACGACAGGGAGACCACTAACCAGCAAACGTGCAGCCCTGCGTGGATCCGAATCGCTCAGGCTTTGGCTCCCTGTTAGTTAGCTAGCTTATCAGGCTTTGGTATCATGCAGCAGTCAATATCTCCAAGGAGGGGTGATACCCGGTCGACATCTCTCATAAGTCGATACTCCGTATATTGGAGACTCACCCGCCATGATCAAGCCGATGAGCAGGCTGATGAGCAAGATAATGGACGTCCGCGAGTTCAGCCTTGGTTAAACTGGTTAATTGTAAGTTAATTCAAGTTAATTGTGAGTTACTTTGGAGAAAAGTCGAAATATATTACCCAATTAGGAACGTAGCTGTAATCGATAAGGAAAATTTCAGCTTCTTACGTCAGCACGGCTTCGCCCCTCGTCAGGATGAAGTCAGAATAAAAACATGGGAGACATAATATATTTTCCCTCCAGCGTTCTCTCAACGGCCTGAGTCGCGGCTGTTTCTTTTCTTTTATTTCCGTCTTGTACTGTTTCTGAGGTTCTGTGCCGTCTTTATCTTGAATGTGATATTGGGTTGGCCTGCTTTTTGTGCGTTGGAACTCGCCACTCCTTTTTTTTACACATCCTCGACTGGTCGGGCCTCAATTATAAAATGCCCCTCCTCGAAACCGCATCAATGCAATCAGAAAGAATCATTCCCGTGGCCTCGAAAACCACGGACGGAGCCATTGGGGACGATGTCGCACAGCTATTGAAGACCGTCTTCGAGGCGCAGACCACCCAGCAGGCGTTGGACGCTTCATACGCCCTCACCAACCTCCTAATCAGCACCGGCAGCGTTCGATGCCTTCAGAAATTCAACGTCATCCAGGAAATCAAGAAAGCGGCAACGGATAAGAAGAATGGCGCTAGGAGGGAAAGCTCCATGTTGATTCTCGGGGCCTTGTTCGAAAGATATCCGCTGGAAAACCCATTGAGTGAGGTTGTCTTCCTCCTCGAGGATGGCGGCCTGCTTTATCTTGCGTTAGACCTGCTGGCGGACAAAGGTGCAGTGGTGCGAGAATCGGCACAGTACGCCATTGATGCCCTATTCTCATGCCTAAAGGAGGAATCTCTTGTCCATGCGCTTTTGGAGCCCGTGTCTCGATACCTCAGCAAGGCCACTGGAAAGTGGCAGGGAACAGTAGGAGCATATAAGTTGCTTGAGAAAGTGGCGAAGAGAGCTGAGATCGGTACAGAAAGCAAGGAGAAGGAAGAGCTGAAGGACCACCTACGACTGACCCTCGGCCACAAGTTGAAGGATTTGATTCCCATCGTTGAGAGTGGAATGCACGACTTGAAGGCGGAGGTTGTCAAACAATCTGTGAAGACCATGCTTGCGCTGTCGACTGTTCTTGATAATGACGATGTTGCAAACCGAATTCCGCTATTGCTGAAAACCATGGAGAAGCCATCGACCGAAACCCTCCAGAAGGCCATTCATGCGCTTTCTCAGACCACCTTCGTTGCTGTTGTGACATCACCAGTTCTCGCATTGCTTACTCCCCTCCTTGAGCGATCCCTCAATACTCCAACTACCTCGCAAGAAGTCCTCCGCCAAACCGTTGTAGTCGTTGAGAATCTTACCAGACTTGTTCACGACCCCATCGAAGCTAGAACTTTCTTGCCCAAACTGAAACCCGGTGTGCAGCGTGTCAAGGATGGAGCTTCTCTGCCAGAAGTACGAGAATTGGCTACTAGGGCCATGGACGTCATCGATAAGGCTATGGGCAACGATGAGAATGGTACTGCTCATTCCGGCGCCACGACAGAGCAGGCTGAAGCCGTGCTTGATGAACAAATGAAGCCATACACCCGCTTCAATCAAACTGACGAGAAACGTTTCTGGGAGCTCAGCAAGACTTACATCGCGAACATGGTCCGAGACGACGCCAATTCCCGACTTATCGAACGTATTCCAGTGTGCGTGGGCCCGTACCTTCGCTCTTTCGTCCCCAATGGAAAAAATGACGAGATTGCAGCTGCTGTGAAGGCTCACTTCCTCGCAGAGGATGAGCGTAGATTCGGCGTTCCAGTCAAAGAAGATGACGGGGAGATCGAAATTGTCAATGCTAACTTCTCCCTTGGCTATGGAGGTCGTCTCCTCCTCTCACATGCCAATCTAAGGCTTCTCAAGGGCCATAGATATGGTCTCTGTGGTCGTAACGGTGTTGGCAAGTCTACTCTCATGCGCAGTATTGCCAACGGCAAGCTTGAAGGCTTCCCCCCACAGGATGTCTTAAAGACGTGCTTCGTTGAACACAACCAGGGCGAGGACGCAGAATTGAGTGTCTTGGAATTTGTCACGAAAGATCCTGAGATGGCTGCTGCCGGTGAGGAGAAAATCTCCGCGGCTCTCAACGAGGTCGGTTTCACTCCAGGCCCGGAAGGCAGACAGCAGCAACCTGTTGGCTCTTTGTCCGGAGGTTGGAAGATGAAGCTGGCTCTTGCCAGAGCTATGGTTATGGAAGCCGACGTGCTTCTTCTCGACGAACCTACCAATCATTTGGATGTCGCCAATGTCAAGTGGTTGCAGGAATATTTGAAGAAACACACAGAAGTGACCAGTTTGATCGTCAGTCACGACTCCGGTTTCCTAGATGATGTCTGCACAGATATCTATCATTACGAACAGAAGAAGCTTGTTCATTACAGGGGAAATCTGGCGGAGTAAGTCACTTCCATTATCACGAGTAACCTGCTTTATATACTAACAGGTAACCTTAGTTTCGTTAAAGTCAAGCCAGAAGGGAAGAGTTATTACACTCTTTCCTCTGTCAATGCTAATTTCAAGTTCCCACCCCCTGGCATTCTATCTGGAGTCAAGTCGTCTACCCGCATCATTCTCCGAATGACCAATTGTTCATACACCTATCCTGGCAGCAGCAAGCCCTCTTTAACTGATGCAAGCTGTGCTCTCACTCTTTCCTCCAGAGTTGCAATCATTGGTGGCAACGGGGCTGGAAAATCTACGTTGATGAAACTTCTTACTGGTGAAACAATTCCACAGACTGGAAAGGTCGAAAAGCACCCTAACCTCCGTATTGGTTATATCAAACAGCATGCCCTAGAGCACGTGGAGATGCACATGGAGAAGACTCCTAACCAATACCTTCAGTGGAGATATGCAAATGGAGACGACCGTGAAGTCCTTATGAAGCAAACTCGTATCCTCACCGAGGAGGATAAGATGCAGATGGCCAAGTTGGTCGATCTAGGTGATGGGAAGGGCCCGCGCAATATTGAAGCTTTGATGGGAAGGCAGAAATATAAGAAGACCTTCCAATACGAAGTGTGAGTTTACATCTTCCTCCCCCAAATGCGCTTATAATATTCCATGTACTAATTAGTCATTATTAGTAAATGGAAGAACATGCTCCCCAAGCACAACACTCAAATATCCCGCGAAACCCTCTTGGAGCTTGGATTTCACAAACTCATCCAAGAATTCGACGATCACGAAGCATCCCGTGAAGGTCTAGGATACCGAGTTCTCGAACCAAAAGTGATCTCTAAACATTTCGAAGACATTGGCCTCGATCCTGAAATTGCCAACCACAACGAAATTGGCGGCCTTTCTGGTGGACAAAAAGTCAAGGTTGTACTTGCTGGAGCCATGTGGAACAACCCCCATTTGCTCGTGCTCGACGAACCTACCAACTTTTTGGACCGTGACTTCTTGGGCGGACTTGCCGTTGCCATCCGAGAATTCAAGGGTGGTGTTGTTATGATTTCCCACAACGACGAATTCGTCGGTGCTCTGTGCCCAGAAAGATGGCATGTTGAGAACGGTCGAATGACACACGCCGGCACTACCGCCGTCGCACTCGATCGATTCGACGACCAGTCTCGCACCGCTAGCACTGTGGCTAGTAGCGTTGTGTCCAGCGCTGCCCCGTCCGCCGTGAACTCAGGTGCGGAGGATGGAGGCGACTTGAAGTTCAAGGCTAAGAAAAAGAAGAAGATGACGAGAGCGCAACTCAAAGAGCGCGAAGTCAGACGCAGGCTGAGGCATATCGAATGGCTGAACAGCCCTGCGGGAACGCCACATCCTCCTGACACAGATGACGAAAAGTGATCTCTATCTCCCTGCATCTTTTTTTTTTTTTTTTTTCATATTTTATTAAAAAGTACCTAATTTTTGCTCTTCTTTATGTCCCAAGATCTCATGAGTTATGCCTTATTTTCTGTGCTTTGATATCATTTCTTATACATGATCAGATCCCCTGCTTATCTATCGATACAGGGCTAGATGTGGGTGCAATTATCAGATAGAATATATGGATCATCGGCGTCTTTTCTGGGTTTGTTTTTGATAGAGTGCTAAATTAAATATAAATTGGATTGAATCTTCATCTGCCAAAATGCTAAGTTCTCACGCCTGGATGCTTGGATGCACTTCTTGTCTAACTGTATTGGATTCAATGTATTCAGGTTGGTCATTTTATATTGAACGGTTTAACAAAAAAAAAAAAAAAAAACGAAAAAGAAAAAGATAGAAATTGCGACAACCGGGATGATTCAGCCGCCCCCAGAAGGAATCTGATTCTGTCCAAAGCCTGCAAAAACTCCCAAGAACCTCCATGAAAGCCCAACTCTCCCGAGTCAGATGCGTTAACCTGCCATCACGGAAGAGCAGCCTAAGTCAAATTCCGTCCAACTTCTCCATCTAGTTAGCTAGTTAACTAACTAGAGAAATAACAGGAGGCGGTCTATCTTGGAATGTTATCAGCCCCCTTCGACGAATGCACAGCATTCCAACACCCCTAGTTGAATAGAAATAAGGTAACTAAGTGAAGTCAATTATGCCCAGGAAGTATGTATGCCGTGCATGCTACATACTCTGCAATCCGTACGGACGTGCCGCAGCTGGCATGTTCGTATGCCAGCACCCATGATTGGGGTATGGCACCCCTATAACGATTGATTGTATAGATGGATCCGGACTAAGCGCACGCAGCGGTGCATTTTTCTTCAACTGTTTCACTTGTCCGGAGGGCTCAAATCCACAAAGATGCAGGGGAAACTCTTCAACCGCTGGTCTCCCGGGCCCAAAACCGGGGGAGCAACCCTATATCTCGCGCTTTTATGATCAGCATCAAGCGTATGGTCCCTGCACATGTTAACGACCATTTGCTCGCCTTAACCCTCAGCTTCGAGAAGCCCAGAAAACATGTCCACGGCGTGTGGATCAGGAACCCGGATATCCTAGCCAAGGGAGGAAGGTTATTCTGGAGAGGAGCAATTAGGCCTTCTAGATAATTACGAGAATGGGACTACAAACTGCTCCGTATTTTCATCGTCCAACGGTATATTTTTCTTCTTTCACAATCATCCTCATCTCTTACTAGCAGTAGACTAACATGGGTCATTCGAGAAACTTGCTTGAACTGGCGAAGCGCGATATACTCATCCTACCGTCGTATCTATGGCGGGCCTCGGTAATTGTGATAGATTATTCTCAGAGCAGACCATGCAATCGTTATTTTTATTACTGGCAAGGCATCTTCCATCGCGCAGGTTCGGCCTTGTCTATGACTTTGGGTTTTCCGGATTCTGCATATTGCAGATTCGCCCCAGGCTGGCTTCTTCTACGGAGAGGCCATGCATCATGGTTTCCAGCAAAGGCAAGGAGCCAGTGTTTCAATAGTTATATTGGATTCTCATAGCTATGCGCCTTCATCCGGCCTTGAATCAACTGCGTGTCAAGTCGGTGATGCGTGAATCCGAATCTATACGCAAATATAACTAACGGAGCTGTTAACTTGCGGATTATACCCCGATACCATCTGGCTCCAACCCTATGGTTCGCTATACTACTCCACATATAATATTATCTCAGTGGATCATTAAAACCTGTGGAACACAGGCTTTGGATCTATGGCTCTCCTTATGTACCAGGCTGACTTTAGGCTCTGATGCCGACGTTTATCTACTTTCTAGAAAGATATATAAACGGGAATCGAGACGCCTGGTCAACTTCCCTGATTCTGAAGAGTCAGAACAGTCGGTCTTTTAAGTCACTCCCTATCTCACTCCTGTGCCATTCCTTCTATCACCCCTTTTCAATTATCCCTTACGGTAGTCTAAGATGCATTTCTTCACTGCCCTCACTGCTCTCGGGGCCATGGTAGCCACCTCTACAGCTGCTGCCACCCCAAATGCCCCATCAAACCACTCTACAATCGATATCAAGCTCTCTGCCACTGATAACACCATGGTCAAGGCCGTTATCACCAACACTGGTGACCACGCTTTGAACTTGCTACAGTTCAACACCGTCCTTGACAAGAACCCAACCCGCAAGTTCAAAGTCTATCAGAATGGTAAGCCAATTCTAACGAGCGTATAGGATTTTACTGATTATATAAATAGGCACTGAGGTCAAATTTACCGGAATGCTTGCCCGCTATAAGATGACCAACCTCTCATCCAAGTACTTTGCTACCCTTGGTCCAAAGGCTAGTGTTGAGCGCTCCTTTGATATTGCCGCCACCCACGATTTGAGCAAGGGCGGAAAGATTACAGTTATGGCCCACGGCACTATCCCCACTGCTGAAGAGCATGGTACTACTATTAAAGGATATACTACCTACGAGTCCAACAAAATAACTATGGATGTTGATTCAAAGAAGGCTGCCTCTGTCGTTCAAGCTATGGGTATCGTCAAGAGATCTGGATCCATCGATAAGCGCAAATCCGTGTCGATCAACAGACGAACCAACATCGATACCTCCAGTTGCTCTGAGGACCAACTCAGTGTTCTAGAGACTGCTCTTTATAACTCTGCCGCCCTTGCCCAGGCCGCTGCTGAAGCCGCTCCCTCAAATCTAGACACTGTTGCCGAGTATTTCAAGGCCACCGATCGCCGTACCGTCAACACCATTGTTAGACGCTTCCAATCTGTCGCCAGTGAATCTACCTATACCAACGATGGAAGCACCACCTATTACTGCAACGACTCTATGGACGGCTGCCAGGAAGGTGTTCTTGCATATACACTTCCCTCTCAGAATGTTGTTGTTAATTGCCCAATTTATTATTCTGACCTCCCAGCACTTGCAGAGTCTTGCCACGAACAGGACCAGGCCACTACCACTCTCCACGAGTTTACTCATAACTCTGCCGTTGTTAGCCCCTTTTGCGATGATTTGGGCTACGGTTATGACCACGCTACTTCCCTCCCTGCCTCTTCGGCGATCCAGAATGCCGATACTTATGCTCTCTTTGCCAATGGTATGTTATATCCTTTTGATCTTATGTTTATGAACCCGGCTAACTATATTCAATAGCCATCTACCTTGGCTGCTAGAAAAGCTTTCCCCTGACTGCTCTAGAGCTGCCACGAGAACAATTTACTGTGGCCATTTTCGCTGTACCCTAACTATGTACCTCCTACCCTCCTGTAAATACGTTCGTTATGTATATAATACAAGCAATCAAGGGCCGTATCTCGATCTCCTTGGATATAAATACTCCCTACATTCTCGTTGATTCTCAGACCGCGCTGTGATTGGCCGAATTTACATTATTACCAGCCAACCAGAATCCATGGCTGGTTAGCCGTCGCTTGTTCGCGCATTTAAAGCGATATCAGTCTGCTAATCACGATATAAGTCCGATATAAACCCTTGGGGGGCATTTCATCATTCGATCTCCCTAGTTCCTTTGAGTAGCTTAGAGTTGACGGTTAGATCGACAGGTTGGTAAATATTTTCAAGTACAGAGTAAATAAGGGTGTCACCAAATGTGCTAACACAGATGGCCTTTGGATACCATTCATGTAACTAGCCTTGCTGGAGATATTTTAGACAGATAACTGGCTAATTTATCGCTACCTGAAAGCTTTATGACTACCTCTAAAGGCCTAGCCTACTCTGACATGATATTTATCTCATTTGGATGCCCAACAGCCGACATCATCTCCATCATTTAGGGGAATACCACCGCAATTATGCCACTAGGTGCTAACACCTTCTACCAAAGAAACCACTCTTGACAAGCATGTTTGGGGTATATCGATCATGCAATGTTCTATGCGTCCCAGGTAAAGTACCTCGACACCGTTTTCCTCGTGGAGCCTTCCATCATTGACATTCCTACCAGGCATCTCAAACAGAGACAGGTCGATATCTGGACAACATCGATAGAGCACAGCGCTCTCACATGCGTTGTCCACTCTAAGCCGCGCCAAGGGTGATATCGCGCCCAAACGACGCTCATCTCCGTGAGATCTCGGCGCGGATGCAACACTGGAAGAAAATGACATCATGGCGCTTCATACGGTTGTATGCCGGCGAAAACTCTACTGGGCCACTGAATCTCGGTGGTTCAGCGCTCTCAACCAGGATCCGGAGGTCTCCTGGGGGGTCAGACTGATCCTTCAAGCTGCAGTGCATCGTCGGCCTCCCCTCTGCGTCCTGAAGAGCCGAAGAGCAACGACCGCCCAAACCTGAGCCTACGCGGCGGCGATATCAGAGTTTGTCAAGGCAAAGCCATATATAAAATCTACTCCACCGGTATAAATATCTGCTGCCCGCGACCAACAACGAGCCGTGGAATTTTCTGGTCTTCTCCACTCTATTTTACTCCAAACAGGTCGCGCGACAGGGGTGGGACGGTGCAGCGAACTGACTTGAATCTTTTTTCTTCAAATATCAACTGTCTTCCTCCAAAGTACGGCGTACGGAGTACCAGTGACGACCTCCTCTTCCTGGCGACGGAGGGATTGTGTATACGGGGCGACATAACCAGAGCAGGACAGACAAATTGAAGTCTTTATTCTCTTTCATTGTTCTTCCGCATCCGTGTGGAAATACGACAAGCTTGTTTTCGATCCTGGAGCTTCGAGATAAACAAAATCAACGCCTGGTGCATCCGTCGCCTCATATATCTGTGAACTGTTATTATCAGTAGCACCGTTTACCGCCCAAACGCGACAAACAGTATCGAAGATAACCTGTAAATGGGTCATTAAACTGCTCCTCAACAGTTCGTTACATCCGCCGCCCGTGATACCTACTTCCCACATGCGACAACCCGGATATTAATCTTGAGTCTTCCCAGCTATAACTGCTCGCATCTCTCGTCCTTCAGAGACAGCTGCCCATTATCCGTGAAAGATAGGTCCTGAGGGAGGGAAATAAACCTGTCAATACCGGTGCATCAAAATAAAATCCCATAGACATGGACCACGAAAACATCGGCCCAAAGGCCGAGAGATATCCGTCTCCAAATTCGGGAGATGAGAAAGGGCCAATTGATAGCGATGCCGCCAAACTTGCGGCCATGGGCTACACCCAGGACATGACACGGAAATTCTCAGTCTTGTCTCTCCTCGCTGTAGGGTTCTCTCTCACCAATTCGTGGTTCGGCATTTCTGCTTCCCTGGTTACCGGTATCAATTCAGGCGGTGCTGTTTTGACCATATATGGAATTCCATGGATCGCATTTATCTCTACTTGCGTGGGCATCACCCTTTCTGAACTTGCCAGTGCTATGCCCAATGCTGGAGGACAGTACTTCTGGGCCAACGAGCTAGCTCCCAAGAACTACGCCAACTTCGCCTCATACCTCACTGGCTGGTTTGCCTGGGCTGGGAGTATTTTCACCTCTGCCAGTGTAGCCCTAGGTCTAGGAGCAGCAGCTGTTGGCATGTGGCAGATGAGCCACCCAGAGTTGTAAGTCGTGGAACAGATCACTAGAAACACTTTCCCGTATACTAACATACTACCTTAATAGCATTCCGCAGCCATGGCATACAGTCGTTGCGTACCAGGTGATAAATGGATTTGCCTTCCTTTTTAACTGCGTCGGGAAACTTCTCCCAAAAATCGCGACTGTCACCCTTTATACCTCCCTGATCTCCTTTGTCACGATCCTTATAACTGTCCCTGCGAAGGCACCAACACATCAGTCTGCTAAATTTGTTTTTGCTACGTTTATAAACTCCACAGGCTGGAAGCAGGATGGTATCGCATACTTGGTCGGTTTGATCAATACAAACTGGGTCTTTGCCTGTCTCGACGCCGCAACACACATGGCAGAGGAAGTCGCAGCTCCCGAAAGATCAATCCCCATCGCAATCATGGGGACAGTCGCAATTGGATTTGTCACCGCCTGGTTCTACGTGATCTCCATGTTCTTCAGCTTAAACGACTTTGAAACCGTTGTCAAGTCCCCAACCGGCGTTCCAATCCTCGAGCTATACTTTCAGGCCCTTGGAAGTAAAGCTGGCGCAATTGTCCTTGAATCTCTCGTCCTGGCTACTGGAATTGGTTGCCAAATTGCGTCTCATACATGGCAATCTCGATTATGCTGGTCATTTGCTCGTGACCGTGGCCTGCCTTTCCACACTTCGTTAGGCCTTAGCAAAATCAACCACAAACTTGACGTCCCATTCGCCGCTCATGCATTCAGCTGCACCATCGTTGGCTTGCTAGGGCTCTTGTTTCTAGGTTCCTCAACTGCGTTTAACAGCATGGTCACCGCGTGCATTGTGTTGTTGTACGTGTCCTACGTTATCCCCGTGGTCTGTCTACTCATCAAGGGTCGAGATAATATTAAGCATGGTCCATTCTGGCTGGGTAAAATCGGCCTTGCTGCCAATATTATTTTGCTCTGCTGGACACTCTTTACTATTATTATGTACTCGTTCCCTTCGGTCTATCCCGTCACGGCTGGAAGTAAGTCTACCACTCCCCCTTTGATCCATATACGAGACCTCTTCCTAACCATTTCTTAATAGCTATGAACTATGTTTCCGTCGTCTACTTTGTAGTCATAGTCATTATCATTGCCGATTGGTTCATTCGAGGTAAACGGGAATACCGTGGACAAACCGCCAGACACGAAGAAGCAGAAGTGCTTCATCGACGTGAAAGTGTTGTACAATAGTAGTTGCCGCAATAGTGGAGTCTTGTTATAACGTTATACAATTTTTTTACTTATTTTATGTTCCTCTCCAATGATACGCATTCGAGATTATGCCCAACAGTATTATAATCATAGTGCTGTACGCTCCTATTGCATGGAAAGGTCATAACATGTTATTTCGTAATAGGGTAGCCATCCAACCTAAAGTAAGGCCTAGGGTATCAGCTCTCAGGAGAAAACACTCCAGTGAAGAGTGCAGCACCAGTGGAGTCGATAACGATAGAAAAGACAAAAGGTCTATTGAAAATTAGATTTTTCGGAGTCCTAATACACCTCATCATCATAACGGCAGTAGATGCAGCAGCTCGAGTGCCCTTTTCGTCTAACGAGATAGCTGTATTGTGCAAAATGCTTTGCACCACATTCCCTCCCATGCCCATCTTAGGGAAGTCGCCCGGGATATGGAAGCCAATCTGTCTGAAGAGAGGGAGTATATCCATTCCCGATGACGTTTCCATTTTCGGGAACCCAAATCTATCAAACTTTTCTGAAGTGAATCGGTTTTTCCCATGAAGAGGTGGGATGGAAGATAGGACTTGTTGCACGGACGTGCCAGGATGTGGAAGATATGCCATAAACGATGTTGACGCAGCTGGGCTACTAGCCTGGTATGGTAGCTGAATTGCCGTGTAGTTTTTTGCCTCGTATACTAGAATATGTTCATTAAGCCGGAACATCATATCCACGGGGCGAGTTTCTGACTCTGAGACCTGAAATGGGTATTTTCGTGTAGTGTCTTTCGGATTGAATTGTTCTTTCCATGTCCCCTTGTAAGATAACGCGTTGACGAGAACAATGTGGGACTGTAAAACGCTTTCTCTCTTGATCATATCCTTAATCATACCCATAGTGTTATTAGTGATCCAGGTATTGATCGTATCCAGCCCATCAATCAAGCGCGGGAACTCCGTATTCGTCAGAACAGCAAATTGTTGGAGAAAGCTGGCATACTCCTTATCCAACTTGGTCCCCTTTTTCGCGAAGATTGCATTAGCCGCCGCAGTGGTGTCTTTGCAGTCTTTAAGACTGAGATAAAGTGCATCGAGTGATTCCGGCTTATCAGACCCAAGGGCAGTGCACATCTTCTCACTCTCTGATGGTATAGCAGCACCAGCCAACATAGCCAAAGCTATCCCTATAGATGCGGGGGACACGATAATCCCCCCAGTCGGGATCTCCTTGTTGCAGGCGAGTTGCAGCATCTTCAACCCGAGGTCGTTGACGCTTGCGAAGGGGCCTGGTCCAGCCATGATACCGAGGATATAGAGTAGGTGAGGCTGGGTAAAGGAGCTTGTATTGCAAGATAAAAAGCTACGACTGACAATTTAACCTGGTATACGATTGTTTGCTAACAGCGTAGATGAACTCCTCTTTATTAGAATCAAGGGAGAGGTCGTCCATATATATTTAAAATGGGCAACGATGGGAACAAACTGGACAAACACGTGAGACGACCGATGTCCTCAACTCTCGATCTTCGCTTATAACGGCACCAATGACAGCGGAAAATTCATCTCTGCCGCAGAAGCAAATAATGCTTCTGTAGACGAACTCGCTTCTGCATCTAACTTATAGGTGCATTCACCTATCGGTCTCAGCTGTTGAAACTCAATATATAAATACCACTGGGGCAACGCTGATGGCGCGTTGTTTATTTATACTCTTTTACCACCACAGTCAAAATACTTACCTAACGATAGAGCCGATGGTTTTTTGGGAGAATGGTTCCGTAGTATCCGTGCTGCCAGTTAGCGTGTAACCTCACGTCTAGGACTTTGTCCGTCGAAAGTTATATCCAATGACTCTCGAATATAAGCTGGTGAATAATAACATGACAAACCCTAAGTATGTGAGTTTTATATGGAACAACATGATGATGAGCAGAGCTGATGCGTCATAGCAGTTACCTCTATATCTCGCCACATGGAGTATATACATACACCCTTTGCAATGTATATCACCTTGGACATCTTTGTTGTCCGCTTCGTCTCCAGGCATTATAATTCGGCATAAAATCCGGGCAATACTCAAAATACATACACAATTTATGCTCTGGAACTACCAGTTTCAGAAGACTGTGCAGCTGCTATCCAAAGTAAGCCCATTTTTAGCTCAGTGCGCTAAACAACGTGCCGGATTTCCCAATCCAGGCGATGAAACCGAGAAATCAGGTTTAAAGCTGATACAAGCTTTTTAACGCCGGAGAACCCAAATTAGACGAATGCCTGGCCATGAAGCATTTGGATAAGCCAAAAGCCGTGAGAAACTCGGCTCCATTATGGGTCAAGAAGAAGAGATCCCCAGCCCTAGTCCTTTTAACGATACCTACCCTATTAGCGATAATTGTTATACTCTTGACTTGGGGGAGCCCGGACAATCTCAAGCGTCCTGAACTAGAGCATAAATACCATGTGCCTGATGGGGTGAGTTTGCTCCTTTCTAACACTATACCATAAAATTGTCCCTCTTTTCTTACCATCATTGGTTTTGGACTCATTGCATAACCTCAAAAATGGGGCATTACAACTCAAGCAGATTGCTTTGCTTTATGTCGAGATTTTGTGGAATGAATTCAAGTGAGTAATAAATGGATACTAATGCTCCGTTATTAGATATCGCCAACGCGGCATCCTATGCCGTCGGGTAAGACAGTACCTGGATGGAAGGACAGCTATTACAAAGCCCAAGCTCTGGTTAACAATATGACCCTTACCGAAAAAGTAAACATCACAACTGGTGTAGGTTGGCAGATGGGTCTTTGTGTTGGGAACACGGGTTAGCCCCCAGGCCGCACGACCACCGCCAGAATATACAGTCTAACCCCCTCGCAGGTCCCGCCACCGAAGTCGGATTTCCATCTTTATGCCTTCAAGATAGTCCCCTAGGGATACGCTTTGCCGATAACGTAACCGCCTTTCCCGCTGGCGTCACTGTTGGAGCAACCTGGAATAGGGACCTTATGCGCAGAAGGGGCGAAGCCTTGGGGAGAGAATCTCGTCGTAAGGGAGTAAATGTCCTTCTAGGTCCAACCATGGGGCCTTTAGGGGTTCTTCCAGCCGCCGGCCGTAACTGGGAAGGTTTTGGCACTGATCCAGTTCTTCAAGGGATTTCGGCTGCAGAAACCATAAAGGGGATTCAAAAAGAGGGAGTAATTGCAACCGCGAAGCACTTTGTCTTGAATGAACAGGAGCACTTCCGGCAGCCGTATGAATGGGGAATACCTGACGCCATGTCCTCTAACACCGATGATCGAACCCTACATGAGGTATATGTTTGGCCATTTGCGGAAAGTGTTCGGGCTGGTGTTGGTAGCGTGATGTGCGCTTACCAAATGGTTAATAACTCATATTCATGCAGTAACAGCCGCCTTTTGAATGGTATTCTAAAGGATGAGCTCGCATTCCAGGGGTTTGTTCAGTCTGACTGGTATGGACAACAAAGTGGCGTCGCAAGCGCATTGGCTGGTTTGGATATGGCAATGCCGGGAGAATTACTTCGCTCTGACCCTGGAACTTCTTTCTGGGGGGCTAATCTAACTATGGCTGTTCTGAACCGCTCTGTTGAAGTCGGCCGATTGAACGATATGGCCACTAGAATTGTCGCTGCGTGGTATCAAGTGAAGCAAGATTCATGGGAAAGGCATCCTCCGGATGGAGGAAAAGATGGCGGGCCCAACTTTTCATCTTGGACGAAAAACAAAACTGGCCATAGGCACGAAGGCAGTGAGGATGATAGGGAAATGGTGGTTGTTAACCAGTATGTCAAAGCAGCCAACGTGAGAGAAGATTCCCATAGCAGCCTAGCCCGTGAGGTCGCTGCTGAAGGCACAGTTCTCCTAAAAAACGAAGATGGGATTTTACCTCTATCCACTGAAGGTACCGCTTCAGGGAGAAAAACGAAGGTTGGGGTCTTTGGAGAGGATGCTGGCCCAGGCCACGGGCCAAACTCCTGCCCTGATAGATCGTGCAATCAAGGCACGCTTGGGTCTGGATGGGGTAGTGGCACTGCTGACTTCCCCTACCTGATAACGCCATGGGAGGAGATTAACAAAACGTATAACCACGACAACGTTTCTATATCCGAGTACCTTTATAACGGTATCCAAGATGAAGATTTGGCCGATAAAGACTTGTGTCTTGTCTTTACCAACGCTGATTCAGGCGAAGGGTTTGTGTCTTTTGAGGACATTGACGGGGACCGAAATGACTTGTTCCTTCAAAAAGATGGCAACAACTTGATTCGACAGGCCGCAGATAAGTGTGGGAAAGGTAAAGGGAATACTATTGTGGTTCTTCACTCAGTTGGTCCCGTAATATTAGAAGACTGGATCGAAATGCCCGGAATCAAAGCTGTTGTCCTAGCAAACCTCCCCGGGCAGGAGAGTGGCAAGGCTCTTGTGGATGTTCTATTCGGAAGAGTTGATGCCAGTGGTAGATTGCCATATACTATTGCAAAAGACGCCGAAGACTACGGTCCAGAGTCCAAAGTGCTATACGAAAGCGAAGATTCGGTTCCACAGAAAAATTTCAGCCAGGGGTTATATATCGATTACCGGTACTTTGATAAGAACAACATTACCCCTCGATATGAATTTGGGTATGGCCTCTCATATACATCTTTCCGCCTATCAGATCTCAGAACGAGCCTCCTACAAAATAAATCCACTACCCCGAGTTCAAAGTCTGAAGTGAACGTAACCTTGCCATCATATAATGAAAGTCTTCCAGACCCAGATTCTGCGCTTTTCCCTAAAGGATTCCGGCCGTTATCGAAATATATTTATCCATACCTTTCCTCTGTTGATAAAGTGCAGCAGATAAAATACCCATACCCTACTCGACATCATCCTGAAGAAAACATTTCACCCGCCGGAGGCGGCGAAGGGGGGAATCCCTCGCTTTTCGAGCCGATTGTTAATGTCAGCCTATCGGTAAATAACACCGGGAAACGGGCTGGTAAAGCAACTGTCCAGCTTTATATATCTTTCCCACCCAGCGTTAACGAAACTATTGACATACCCAAGGATACCAAAAAAGATGCAGGTAGCCAAAATAGCAAGGACGCAAACAACATAAAAGATACCAAAGTCATACCTATAGATTTTCCTGTCCGTGTGTTGCGGGATTTTCAAAAGATCGAGTTACAACCGGGTAACTCTGCGAAGGTTAACATGTCTCTCACGCGAAAAGATTTGAGCTACTGGAGCATTTATCAGCAAAATTGGATAATGCCTACCACTGGCAAATTCAAGGTATGGGTCGGGCAGAGTTCAAGGGATCTTCCATTAACTGGTGAATTTTGAATGGCATTTGTGCAAACAAATTAGCTCAGGTCTTAACAATGATACCCCCTAGTTTCCTGGAAATAATATTGTATCATAGCATTTATAAATTCGGAAATGTTTAAAAAATTTGTGGCGCTATATATGTACGCCGGACTACCCAGCCTGATGCTTCAGATGTTTGACTCCGGTTACCGTACAACTTATTCCTTGCCCAATTCCCTATCCATGCTACTTCGCAAATCCATCGAAATGAGGCTAGGCGTTAACCCGCGTAACTACTATGGAAATATGTCGGGTTAAAAACGGAATGACCCCAGTGATTTTAATTGGGGAGTATCATCTGGATGTAAATCGAACCTTAGTGACACACTGCATGCATGCCGCATGGATACTCCGGGTTTCTTCCATACTGGATGCATGGCAGTTCATGCAATATTAATGCCAACCGTGTTTCTCGCATGGATGCTATAATGTAATATGCGCCTACATTTCCAGAAACGGCTAATGCTCTACCTAATGGTTTCTCCCATCTACATACTCCGTACCCTTGATTAAATTTTGTTCCTGGCTGCATCGTACCACGTATGTTGGCGGTTCGTGCGGAGGATCACTGTGCTGTATGATTTATATTGGGTATAAATAGCAAGCAATCCCTGGCTAGAAATTGACTTCTTCCCGTATCCTTAAATATTTTGAATACACCCTAAGTTAACAGGCATAATTGCCCCTTGGTACTGTCATATCTATCTCTGGAGATAAGTGCCTAGTTTCTCAATACATACCGAGCCAGGATCAATAAAGCCCCCCAAAATGGCACCAAGTGCCACATCCTCACATTTTGAGACGAATGGCAGTGCTTCCGCCCCTTATGAAATCGACAAGGGGGCTATGTTCAATGGCTATCGTAGGAAAATCAGGGTACTCACCATTGGTGCCGGCATCAGCGGGATCATGATGGCCTATAACATTCAAAAGCTATGCGAAAACGTCGAGCATGTAGTATACGAGAAGAACGAAGATATAGGAGGCACCTGGCTTGAGAATCGATATCCCAACTGTGCCTGCGATGCCCCAAGCCATGCGTATATGTATAACTTTGCTCCAAATGTTGGTGACATGTCCCTTCCACTGTATATACTTCCATGAGAAAACTAACCAGGGAAATATTGCTAGCCCGAGTGGAATAATCTCTATTCTTATGCACTGGATGTCTGGGCATATCTTGATAGAGTATGCAAGGTCTTTGGACTGCGCAAGTATATGACATTCAATACACGGGTCACAGGCGCATACTGGGAAGAAGATCGCGGCCAGTGGAGGGTGACTCTCTCTCAAACAGGGCCAGATGGCACCCAGAAAGACATTGAGGAAAGTTGCCATGTTTTGTTGAATGCTTCGGGATTCCTAAACGGGTATAAATGGCCTGATATTCCGGGTATAGAGAAGTTCAAAGGAAAGGTAACATTTCGAATGGCTCTTGATGTGTCACTTCTTCGTGTTGATATTTGAATTAGGTGATTCACACTGCAGTCTGGCCAAAAGATTATCAATCCGACAAGTGGAAAGATGAAAGTGTTGCAATAATCGGGAGCGGAGCGTCAAGCATCCAAACAGTTCCAGGGATGCAGCCACACGTAAAGCACATGGACGTCTTTGTGAGAACAGTGAGTAAAATCCCAGCAAATCAAATGAACCAACAGACGCCCCTATCATGGGGCCTCGGATGCTGCCTTATGGTAGGAATCTCAGAAATTTGATATATATATTTATGGCTTCATTCTTTGGATAGGGGACATGGTTCGCCACCATTGCTGGAAACAAGGGAGATAATTCAGCCTATTCAGACGAAGAGAAAAGCAAATTCAGAAACAGCCCAGAGGCGTTGATCGAGCATTGCAAATCGTGGGAGGGCCAGATCAATAACATATGGGGAATGTTTTATAGCGGAAGCCCAGGACAGGAGGCAGTTCGACAGCAGTACGAAAAGCGCATGGCCGAATCTATCAAAGACAAGCGTCTATTGCAAGGTCTGGTTTTCCCCTTCCTGGGTTTAAAGATATAAACTGACGTCGATGGCGGCTCAAGGCTTCATGCCGACCTTTGGTGTTGGGTGCCGAAGAATCACCCCTGCAGATCCGTATGTGAAGGCAATCCAGGAACCCAACGTCGACGTCCATTTCACTGCCGTGTCAGCGATCACGGAAGATGGGCTGATCGGCGCAGACGGCCTCGAGAGAAAAGCGGATACGATCATTTGCGCCACAGGATTCGACACTTCGTACCGACCCAGATTCCCATTCGTCAGCCAAGGGGGCGTTGATCTTCGTGAAAAGTGGAAGATATGCCCGGAGTCGTATCTCGGCCTGGGAGTCCCAGGGTAGGCATACACATCCCTCATAATGGCTGGAGATATGGCTAACTTTCAAGTTAGATTCCCCAACATGGTGTCGTTCTTTGGGCCGACATGGCCAGTCCACAATGTAATGCATTCTTCCCTGTTATATCTCAACTTTTTCATCCCTGACTGTTGGTAGGGATCGGTAATTGGCCCGCTCCTAGAGGCAGGCATCTATGCTGTCAACCTTATCCGCAAGATTCAGAATGAAGAAATACACTCGATCAGCCCGAGACAGGATGTCACAGACGCCTTCAACGCGCACACTCAGGAATGGATAAAACATACCATCTGGGCTGACGACTGCCGCAGCTGGTACCGGAACAACGAGACAGGCCGGGTCAACGCCATATGGCCTGGCAGCTCGGAGCATTTTATCGAACTGATCAAACAACCCCGGTACGAGGACTATACAATCACTTATCGCAATAAAAAGAACATGTGGAGTTTCCTCGGACTGGGAAATGTTCCTGCGAACGTCATAAAGGGTGTCGATCGAAGCCCGTATATCTCAGTGGATGCGATTGACCCTGCATGGCTGGAGGAAATACAGCAGAATGGCAGATCAGACATGCATAAGACAAGCAGAGATTGAGCTTGTACTGAGTAACTTTCACCATTCCATACTCTATCTTGAGAAGAAGAAGAAAATCAACGCTGGATTTGCCTCCGGCAATTAAGCTTAAGCTCGTGGTGGTCTCAGCCGAAAGTTGAAGCTGAAAGCTGAGAGTTGAGCTGACATCGCGATAACCGTTTAAGGACATGTCTTACATGCACATATCGTAAGTTGCGTCGTACATGCATCCAAAAGTTGCATTCCATGTATATACTCCGTAGAACTTCGAGAATTTATACGTCCCGCCTCTATCAGCCTCTCACCCTTGTACTTCGGCATCCCCACCGTGCTAAAGGGCCATGGTTGTTTCACCTCGGTCCTCCATTGCCACAGACCACGGGATTGTGCATATGCGGAGAGCTCGACTTCGTACCATTGGATATACAATGACAGATGGAGACGAATCTCCGATTCGACGAAGATGGACTGTGGTACGTAGTGGATACGAGGCAGGCAATGGAGTACAATTTTTATATATATAATCCACCGGCCCTGGCCCTTGGTTCCCTGTCTAAATTTTCATAACTGTCGCTACAGACTTTACATCGAGATATCCCTATTCAGGCAAGATGAAGACATCTTTCATCACCGCGTTTTTGCTTCCTCTCCTCGCTCTCGCAGCTCCGGCTCAAGAGGGATACTCGGACGCCCCGGCGAACATCCAGGTCACAGCACGACACCCAGGCCGGGAACATGTCGACAAGTTGCCCATGCAAGCTGCCGGAAGAGCATTCTGGCTAGGCGGAACGCCAGCAACTTACTGCCCAGAGATTGTCGGCGCTGGTTGCCCACCAGGAAATGCTACCGTTATCCTCGGACTGAACAGCATGGTAATTGATAACCTTTTTCCTCCTGGTAAAGAGAGGCGTATTTGGAGTCCCCTCGGCTAACAGTTCAACCCAGAGCGTACTTGTCCCCGGCGGCCAGCAATTGTACGTCGAGCCAAGTGGTAAACTCGGCTTCACCCAGGCACACTCCGCCTCCATCCCAGAGGGATCACACATCGGCGGCTTCGCATACAAGCGCATTGGCAAGAAAACCGGTAGCTTCTACTTCGCCGGCTGGGGAGCCACTGCATTGATGGCATGTCCTGTTCCAAACTCTATGTTTTATCAAGTTTTCGCCAACATCAAGAACGCCATGGTCCCCGGAGGAGATATTAAGCAGTGTGTCGAGTTCATTGGAGTGGCCGAGGCGTACGATGGTCGTGTCCCCGCCGCCTGGCAGTATACCTAGATGGATCCTGGAGAATAGGAGAGTGGTAGGCGTCTTGTTTAAAATTTCTTGTTAGAGGTGTTTTATAATCTTATATTTGATATTTTAGATAGCAGAGTGCGGCATCCTTCTGCTGAGCCTAGCCAATGTCCCGCTAACTGAGATCCTGATTGTCCCAGGCGAACCAGTCGAATGTGGTGTCGAAAAAGGGGTCATTTGGCCAGGTAAATCGATCATCAAGCAGAGCGTCGAAATTTTCGCCGCTTGAAATGTTCAACCCGTTTTTCGGTGATGTTAGGTTCGTGGATAGCTGTTGATCCAAGCGTACTTCCTGGATTGGAACATTTTCCGTTGGTGTACTTGACTCTGCCTCACCTCCAAAGACGCGCATGTTAGCCGTGGTTATTGTTTTAATTTTTTGAATGTCTCCTTACCTTGGGAGTCCAGTATTGCTCTGGCATGCTCTACGATCCTCGCCGTGATACTTTGTAATTTGCCTGCAAGCGAATTTCGTGAGGTCAACTTCCCCAAGAATAGCGGCAGATGCTCAATCGCTTCTAAGAATTGTTTGCTCTGCTCTAAGTTGGCATTGCTTTTGATCACAATTTCACCCCAGAGGGTCCCAAACGCGGTTAAAGGACAATGTATATATTGCCATAGGAGACATGCATACGGCCCTGTCTGGGTTAGCACCATATCGCCGAGATTCGGTAACATGTTGAGCATTTGTTGTGAGGGAAGGATGGACTGTGATCGCATCTGTTTGCTAGATACCGTGAGTAAGACTAAAAGGGAAAGGTAGTGGAAGCGGAGAGTTTGCAGGCCGAAATCAAACGGGACAGCATCATTCGCAGTGAGCAATGGTTTTTCAACAAGTGCAGCGGCCTCAAGAACCTGGAAGGGATGTATCAGCTGCGGCTTTTCATAAAAGTCAACGGAAGTCCTAATACCTCCGTTGCCTGGCGGTACCATAACTCAAGACTCTCCTTGACTGCGAATATTTTATCAGAATCTTGTCCGTAAAGGCTATGCCATGCATCGGCCATTACGCGCGATAGTAGATGCATCTGATACGTATAGTGCGCCTCGAACAAAACAGGCCCCGTCCTATCAGCGGGACGATCTGGCTGGAGGCGTAAGAGCTTGTCCAGTGTAGGCAAAGGGGTATCATGCCCCATTTCACGATGGAACGCCGGCGCCCTACACAAGATGAGGGCTAACTCTTTATCTAGCATATTTAAACGCCAGAAGAGTGCAGAGCGCAGGTTGCTGGTGGCAGAGTCGAGGCGCCAGTGCGTGATGCCCAAAGCTTGCAACATGATACACGCTTTGGTGACCAGCGACCAGCAAACAGAGGGCGTCATAAACTCCTCAGCGTAGCAGATCAATATGAGTAAAGCCTGAATACTCGAGACGGCTGGTTCGATCAGCAGCCTCACATCGTTGAATGCCAACCATAGGTTGCTTCTCAGTTTCGACTTGGTCGATGTATCCGGTGCGTCGTTGCTGGAGGACTCAGCACTCAGCGCGATACTATAAAACATGACCAACCATGCTCTATCTTGGACCTGATGCGGACGTGATGAGGCCAACTGATCTAGCACGTCTGGAGGCACCGAGGTGAGCAACAGTCTTTCCTTTTCGAGCGTGGCGATGAGTGCTATACAAGATAGATCGTGAGCAGAGCCTGCTTTCAACATTTGCTGTCGAGAATAACTCACTTTCCAGCCAAACACGAGTTTGATCCTCGCGGAAGACGAAGAAATCAGATGCTGCACCATCACTTAGCTGGTCAAAAGCCGCCGACCCCTGCCAAGCCGCCGCGTATTCTTCCAGCAGCGCCGCGATGGCCTTGATAGAAGGATGACTTTTGCCTGGCAAAAGCTGCTGCAAACGCTCATATGTTGTTCCATCACGGTCACCGCCGTCTGATCGGAGTGTAGAAGGCTGCTCTGAGACGCTGCGTGACGCGCTTGCTGGCGTCACAGCAGTTTCAGCAGGGAGTCGGTTGGTCCTGTTCTGCTTTCTGGCGCGACGGATCACTCCTGAGCGAGAGTAGCGACAAGCAACCCCTTCTTCTTTGCAGCGTTGACATCGTGGACGGCCTCGGGTGCATCCAACCTGCAGATACAAAATGTTAGGCCAACGGGCTTCCCTACGCGGGCTCTCCAGCTGGAGGTCGAACCTTGCGCGAGCGACATGAATCGCACTTGGATGGCGCGCGTTCTTGATTAGCATGGGCCTACAGCAATAGAGGGGATGTGTGGGAATATACAGAGTACTGTGCAATGGCTTCGGACATTTCTTTCTTTCTTTCTTTCTTCCGGATGGTTGAGATCGAATGCAATAATACAACAGGAAGACGCGCGGAAAATACAAGAGTTGGTCTTTACTTAACCTCCGAGCATCCTCCGTAAGCGCCGGTCACCTCTATCTCAAAGTGCCATGCGCGGAAGTTAGGATGCATGGCCAATATCCCCCGAGCAGAAGAAATAGAAAAAACCAGGAACATAAGAAGACTTTCTCCCTCTCTATTTAAATGGCTCTCAATACCCATACAACCGTGGCCTTGGTTAGCCCTTTGGAATACTTTGAGGTTGTGGAATACCATTCATATCGACCAGACCATGCCTTCCCCAAGTTCGCCTTACAACGCCGAAACGGCGACGGATAGTTCTATAGATGTGGAAAAGTCGGCGGCCGATATGCCTGTTCCAAATGCGAAACCAGAGCCTCCCAAGCCTACCGAGAAGACTTTCAGTCTAAAGGTTATTCTTCTTTTGATCTCGGTTCTCCTATGCATGTTTCTCGTCGGCCTTGACAGAACCATTGTCTCCACGGTAAGTGAATCCCGGCTGGGCCTGATATTTACCACGCTACGAGACGGCTACTGACACGATGTATAGGCGGTACCTACAATCTCCAATGAATTCAATGCTTTCAGTGATATTGGCTGGTACGGTAGCGTGTATTCCTTAACCTGTTGCGCGTTCCAGCTCGCCTTTGGCAAGATATACGCCTACTTTTCAGTCAGGGCTACCTTTTTCGCGAGCATGATCCTTTTCGAGGCTGGCTCTGCTCTCTCCGGAGCTGCCCCTTCCTCGATAGCTTTTATCCTTGGTCGAGCGATTGCTGGCGTTGGTGCGGCAGGCATTTTCGCCGGAACTGTAGGTTTCCCCTGGCATTACTGTTACTTGGCCCAACGGCTAACCGAAGCTCTTTAGATCATGGCTGTTGTTTACGCAGTTCCCCTTGCCAGGCGACCTCAAATTCAGGGTCTCATGGGTGCCGTCATGGGTGTTGCTACCATCCTGGGTCCTCTCATAGGCGGTACTTTCACCACCAAGGTGACTTGGCGATGGTGCTTTTATATTAATTTGCCCTTTGGAGCTGTCGCCATGGTTGCTGCCTTCTTCCTCTTTGACGTCCCTGACCGCGATTCAGCCAAGCTGCCTCTTGCGAAGAAGCTGGCTCAGCTTGATGCTCCCGGTACCGCCCTTGTCGTTCCTGGTGTGGCCTGTCTTCTCCTGGCCCTTCAGTGGGGTGGCCAAACGTACGCCGTAAGTAAGCAGCAAAATTAAAATTATGAGAGTCATACTAACATTTATCAGTGGGACAATGGCCGCATTATTGCGCTGCTAGTCCTCGCAGCCGTGTTGCTTATTGCATTTGTTGCCTCCCAGTTTTTGCTCCCAAAGACGGCGACTATTCCTCCTAGCATCCTCAAGCTTCGCAGCGTCGCTGGCGCGGCTTGGGCTACCATCTGCATTGGCTCTTCGCAATACATCTTTGGTATAATCACCCCACTTTCTTCAATTACCAACGTATGCTAACGACAAAAACAGTATACTACCTGCCCATCTGGTTCCAAGCCATCAAGAATGTTGCTGCTGTGGACTCCGGTATCCGTCTCTTACCAATGATGGTCTCCGTCATAGTTGCACAAATTGGCGGCGGATTCATCAATCAAAAGATCGGATACTATACGCCGCTGGGCATTTTCGGAGTCACTGTTATGTGTGTGGGCGCCGGTCTCCTCACAACTCTACAGGTTGATTCGAGTGAAGGCAGCTGGATTGGCTATCAAATTCTTTACGGTATCGGCATGGGATTTTGCTTCCAGACATCAAACCTCGCGACACAAACTGTTCTTCCCAAACCACAGGTGCCGATTGGTATGGCGCTGATGTTCTTTGGCCAGCTTCTTGGTGCCGCAGTATTTGTTTCTGTTGGCGAGAATGTGTTAAGCAATCAACTTCAGAAACGACTTTCTAAGATCCCTGGGTATAATCCGGCATTTATTAGCTCCGCTGGTGCTACCACTCTGATCGATTCGGTACCGCCAGAGCTGCGTGGAGTTGCCCTTAGCGCATACAATGAGTCGCTCCGAAGAGTCTTCCAGATCGGCTTGGTTATGTCTTGCCTTGGTGTTCTTGGAATCTACTCGTTGGAGTGGAAGAGCGTCAAGAAGCCAGGCAACCCCGGCGCCGGCGGACCGGGGGGGCCTCGTGGATCTGGTAGCACAAGCAGTGACAAGCCGGGCGAGGAGAAGAAAGTTGCAGAGCCCGGAAAATAAGCAGAGATGTTGTCACCAGAGCAGGCTAGGAAGAAGTAAAATAGAAAGGTAAGAGTGCAAAACCAGGGGTTAAGCACAAACTCCGCATGGACAGGACAAATACCTGTCGTTCCAGAGAATTAGATAGCGTTTTGGACTTTGAGACTTAATACCCCTTAAGAGGTCTTATAGCCGATAGTGGTCTACTTACTTAGCCGTGCACAAGCCTCCAGGCGTTAAAATATTATTAATAATAATAAAAATAATAATAATAAGTATATTAACAAAACGAAAAGCAATCTATGCAAACAAGCAAATAATGAGTCTAATGCAATACTCACTTCTTCTCTTCTCCATTAGCCATCTTAGTAATAATCTTGTCGCAGAATGTCGTCAATGACGTCGCATTCATGATATCAAGCGTGGTCACCAGCGCACCCAGCTCCGCCCTGACCCAGTTACGAACCTCAACCGCAGCAAGTGAGTCGATGCCATACACAGCTAGCGGTCGGGCCGGGTCCATTGGCTCTGCCAGTCGCAGCATGCGGACGAAGCATCCATTCACCGCCTCTACCGTCGCCTTTTGTATCGCCGCCGTATCTGTCGACTTCGTTCGAAGAAGGAGTAGGAGTCCCTGCACCTCCGCGTTCCCTCCTCCGCCGCTTTTAGCTGCAGCATCGCCACCACCATGGTTCTGGCTAGTAAACAGAGCAGAGAATCGCGCGTCAGACTTCAGGATGGAATCAACAGGCTGCGGATATATCAGGCCCGTGATCATCTGCGCTCTAGAGGCAAGGCTTGGTGGCGAGAGTTCCTGCTGTTGCAAAATGGATAGATATAGGATTTTACGCAGCAGGCCGTCGTTAATGCCCTTGAACGTGCGCCAATCGAACTGCTCATGTAACTTCGCGTTTTCAGCAATCACACCAGCATCCTCGATGACGCCGAGGTCCACGGAGCAGGCGCGCTGCCCACGAGCCTGGCGGAAAGCAGCAAAGGCGTCTAGGAAGACGTTGGCAGCAGCGTAGTTTGCTTGACCGCGATTCCCGATAACACCGGAGATACTGGAGAGCAATGTGAAGAAGTCGAGGTCGAGGTTCATAGCTTCAGCGGCGCTGTGCAGATTCCATGTGCCTTGGATTTTGCACTGAACGGCCTCATGATACTCTTTGAGAGTCATAGAGTCAAATGGCCGGTCCTAGAAGAAAAGAGTTAGCTTCTTGGGCTTGTTTTGAGGTGTGCGGATTGCATAGCATATCTTACCCGCAGGACCATTGCGCCTTGAATAATACCGGCAATAGGCACCTTGGTCTCCTGGAAAGCCCTCTGAACATCGTCCGCCACCGTGACATCGGCTGTTAGAAGATCAATGTGGGCTCCAAGCCCATTGATCTGCTTGACAATGTGCCGAGACTTGTCATCCGCATATCCACTGCGCGACATTACCGCGAGATGCTTTGCCCCAGCCTTGGCCAGGTATATGGCGAGGGAAGCACAGAGACCTCGGAGGCCACCAATAATAAGATAGCAGCCATCGTCTCGGAAGGAGAGATTTTTAGGAGATCGTCGGATCTATAAACATATCAGTTTCAGTAAGTGACCTTGTAACATCGTGGCATGTTATAAAGCGCTAAGTTGGAGATCAATGCTTACAGGTGCATGGATCTTGGCGTCGGCGCCGCCATCAGACAGCACAATCTTCCCCATGTGTTTGCCCGATCGGAGAAAGCGGATTGCAGATGGAATATCTGACCATGAGAATCGGTGGATGGGGTTGATAGGTGCGACATGGCCGTCATTTATAAGCTCAAACAGCTTGGACAAATGCCTAGCAACGAGTGCATCGGGGGCTCTCTCAGGAGATAGGTCTACGGCCCTGAAGGAGATGTTGCGGTCGAACGGGGCCATGCAAAGGTTCCCACGATCGAGAATGTCCTTCTTGCCAATCTCGACCATGATGCCTCCATCTGCTAGAATACGGAATGATTCATCCAACATGTCACCCGTCAGTGAGTTGAGCACAACATCCACCCCAGCTCCGCCGGTGGCCGCCAGAATCTCGGCAGCGAAGTCGGTGTTGCGCGAATTGAAGATGCGGTCATCGCTCAGGCCAAACGTCGACCTGAGGAACTCTCTCTTCTCGGGGGTTCCAACCGTGGTGAAGACGTCAGCACCAACATACTTTGCGAGCTGGATGGCGGCAATGCCCACGCCACCGGCAGCGGAGTGGATGAGGAGGCGCTTGCCAGCAGAAAGATTGGCGAGGTCAAACAGCGAGTGCATGCTCGTCAAATACACAACGGACAGGGTAGCCGCCTCTTCAAATGACATGTTGGCGGGGATACGGTGCACTCTGGCAGGTGTCGTCCGCATGCGATTCGCAAAGCATCCTTTACCAAAGAGAACCACGCGATCCCCTGGTACGAAATCCGACACGCCGGAAGCAACTCTAGTAACGACCCCCGCGGCCTCGTGTCCTAGAGCCGTCTCATCACCAGGAACAATGCCCATGGTCACGACTACATCTTTGTAGTTCAAGCCAGCGGCGTAAACTTCTACCTCCAGCGTGCCGTCAGCCAACGGCGAAACCTCGGGCTCTACCTCGCCAAAGTGCACAGCGTCAAGGTTGCCGAGTCGTTCACAACGTAACGTCACGAGCGTCTTGCATGCATGGATGTCTACCACTTCGGTAGGACGCACGCTTAACTCGTCACTCTGGACTGCGGTGAGGTTCTTATCCGGCAAAAGACGACTGATGCACACGACACCACCACGCTCGACAAAATCTAGATCTCTAGGAGCATCGGGATCAGATACCGCGGCGCAGAGCTGCTTGAGGCAGGTAGAAATAGCACCAACGGTCGCGGGCCCAGTGGCGCTCTCCACGTCAAGAGTTGCAAAGTCGAGCTGCTCCTCTGCGCGGATGGTACGGAAGAGGCCAACAATAGCCGCTTTGGTGGGATCCGTAACGGAGAGGTGAGCCCCGGTGGTGACCCACAGAAGCCGGCATCGCTGGCGGGTGAGGTGCTTGATAATATCCCACTGGCGGTCTTCAAGACGATCCATGACGGTGTGGAAGAGCTCATCGAGAATGATGACCACTGTCTCACTGGATGTGATTTCCTTCAGGGGATCGGAACCGCGGTACACAATCCATTTATTCTGGGAGAGTGTGTCCGCTACCTTGCCAATCATGCATGACTCCTGCTGCATCGAGGGGCCAAGGAGGCTGACATGGGTGATCGACCCGTGCGCTTCATCTCCAGAGATATCTTTGCGAACCTGACAGATGCAAACATTTTCACCCAATGCTACCGTCTTACCGAGGCGTCCAAGCACCGTTTCGTTGAAGCCGATGGCCAGAACGAATCCTCCCTCTCGAACAGAGATGCAAAGGCTGTCTATGATGTGCGCTTCTTCGGCTTCTGATTTTGAGATTGCCTTGACTATTGCCAGGTCAAACTTGACGTCTGTGGCGACAGCTGCTGGTTTGGATACATTTATCAAATGGAACTGTGGGCTTGGTGAATGCGCCGACATGCGCTCCTGAGCACCAATCAAGGTTTTGGGCTCAAGCATAGCCAGATGAATCTCAGAGCAGGCAGCTCTGATTGGATTAATAGTCTCCATATCCTGAATCCAAAGACTGGAGGCGTCTTCGGGCGTCATGTTCAGCTCTAGGACTTTCAGGTTAGGCTTCTTGTGCGCAACAAGGTCCAGGATATTTTGAGTAGACTTGTTTTTGAACCAATCTTGTGCTTCTGATGTTTCACTTGCCATCAGAAGCGTGATGTCTGCATCCCAGGCCACACGTGTGAATGTATGAGCGGTCTTCTCGTCATCGGTGGTTTGGATCTCGGCTGAAGCCAAACCCTTCATTTGGAAGAGGAAGGTACCGTCTTTAGAGTTGTATACATCAACGTTGGTGGCGTAATTGCGAGGGTTCTCAGGATCACCAACGCCCAGAAAGCTGGCAGTAGAGTTGGCCATACCCTCAACAGGTAGGTCTGAGCCTGCCTCGATGACGATGCTGTCAATGATTTTGGGCACGAGCACTGAGGCCCCAGGTGGGGGCAAGTCACCATTCCACAGGGCCGGAGATGCGGCCTGGAAGCAGGCATCCATAACTGCAGGGTGTAGTGGATAGGATGACTGACCATCTGGGATGGATGGAGGAGGCTCAAGGTTAACCATAGAACGAGTTTTTCGCTTGCCTACTGAGGCCTCGAGCATCAGATGCTTCTGGAAGCATGGGCCAAAGTTGTATCCCATATCGGCCAACGCCTTGTACCATACTCGCACAGGTGTCGCGAGCTCAAGAGGCGCAACCTCGCCGGGAGCGGCCTTGGTGTCTTGGTAGTCAGTTTCGATGCAAACAAGCCCCGAGCTGTGTATATTATCGATGTCCACACCGTCGTGCACAGAGCACACTCGATATTCATACCAAGATCGCGTCGTTCCGGTCTTAGCGGGCGTAAGTGCCAGCGTCAGCCTGGTATCAACATCCTCTTCCAAAACCAGGGCACGAAGAAGCTTCACGTCGCGCAGTCGGAAACGGTAGCGAGCGGGTGCCTTTTCACCCCACTGCGTCACCATAGCAGTCTGATACATGGCTTCGACCGCCATGGCGACATATCCAGCCGCAGGGAACACGACATCGCTGCCGAGTTTGTGGTCTCGCACCCATGGAATATCGGCAATCTTGAGAACCTTTTTAAAAACGGGTGCCTGCCAAGCAGTTCCGAGTATCTTGGAGCCAATGAGGTCGTGGTTGACGAATTTCTTGAATCTCCAATCTTTACTAGCCCTCGTCTCGTGCCAATAGCTGGTTGAGTGGTTCCAAGCATAATTAGGCAGATCAATAACAACCTTGGCGCTATGCTTCTGTATGCGGTTCACCCGATTCAAGTCGACAGAACCGCCAGCGAGGAAGAGCTTTCCTGCAGCATCGTACAGGGGGAGCGTTGATTCAGCACCTCGCTTCAATGCTGAGGTGTACTGCGCTTCACCAGCAGGGCCAGAAAGACTCTTCTTAATCTGTGTAAGCGGACCCGATAGAGCGTTGCTAGGTCCGAGTTCGATAATAAAGTCTCCACCGGCTTCCGTGTCACTCAACAACTCGGAAGCGGCCTGCGTAAACTGCACGGGGGAGACCATATTTCTCTTCCAGTAAGCCGCATCAAGAGTGTCAGTAGGCAGTAGCATCTTTCCCGTAACAGAGCTGAACATTTGGATGCGTGGTTTGCCGTCAAAGTTTGGCTTCTTCTCGAACATTTCATCGTTCAACAACATGGCTTCGTATACCTCCCCAATCTCTTTCATGTGGCTTGAGTGATATGCAAGGTCAACACGAAGCGCCCGAGCGAAGTGGCCATCAGCCTGCAAGCGATCACTTAGACTCTTCAATGACGAGACAGTTCCCGAAATGGTCAAACTGCTCGGGCTGTTGTAGCAGGCAATCTGAACCCCAGCCTCATCTGTTCGTAGATACTTGCTAAGTACTTCGGGCCCAACGCCAACCGCAAGCATGCCCACGGGTTCAGAACTAGCGCCGACCTTCTTGGCTGCCTGGCCACGGTAATAGGCCGTCTTGATGGCATCAGAATGTGTCATCAGACCTGCTGCAGCCGCGGCCGCGATCTCGCCGGATGAGTGGCCAACAACTGCCTTTGGATGTATACCCCAATCCTCCAAGACTTCCATCAGCGCAAGTTGCAGAGCCGTCACGAGAGGTTGAGAGAACTCAGGCTGTCGCAATGCATCTCCGTCTCGAGGCTGACTTAACTCTTCAAGAAGCGACCAAGAAGGCGGCTCAACAAGTGCCTGAAGGACCTCGTCCAGCTCTTGTATGACCTTCTTGGCCAATGGGAAGTCATTGACGAGGTCTGCTCCCATCTGTGACCACTGCGCACCTTGACCAGTGAATACAAATCCGATACGAGGAGGGGACGGCGCCTGTTTTCCAAAGACCAGGCTCTCGTCACTGAAAGTGGCCTTGCTTGAACGTGAAATAGCAAACCCCCTATAATAGTGCCTAGTTCTCCTCTCCGAGAGTGTGTAGGCTAAGTCTTCGACGTTGATAGATACCATAGGATTGAGAAGATGGGAGGAGAGTGACTTGGTGTAATTTTTCAGGGAAGATTGATCATTGGCCGAAAACACCAGTAGCGTTGGAGTGGGCTTGTTGCCAGTTGATGCCTCTTCCTCGTCATCATCATCAAAAAAATCAGTCGTTACTTGCTTGTACGATGATATATGGCGGGAAACGGAGCTATTCTCAAGAACCGCGTGTGCGTTGGCACCTCCAAAGCCAAAGGAGTTCAGACTGGCACGTCGAATAATGGATGTGCCTGGCCATTTAACCGACGTCCTGGAGGCTCTAACACGAGATACCTTCCAGTCAATGTTTGGGTTTGGCTCAGTGAATGTCGGGTTCCCGGGAATGATCCCGCTCTCCAGAGCCAAAGTTGCTTTGAGTAGTCCGGAAAGTCCAGCAGCGGCTCCTGAGTGACCGATATTGCTTTTAATAGACCCGATCACTAGCTCCTGGCCGTCCTCACGGCCTTGGGCAAACACAGAGGCTGCGCCTCGCACCTCTACCGGATCTCCAGCGAGGGTTCCAGTTCCGTGACACTCCAGGAATTGGGTTAAGTGAAAGTCTTTAATACCAGCGTTCTTATAGGCTGTCCTGGTGACGGCGGCCTGGGCATCGGAGCTGGGATTGGCGATACCCGCGGTACGGCCGGAGGCATTCGCGGCTGTTCCGCGGATCACGGCTCTGATTGGGTTACCATCACGTATGGCGTCGCTTAATCGTTTCAGGTATACAACGTTAATTCCTTCGGCTTTAACATATCCATCGGCCTTGGCGTCAAAGCTGTGGCATTTGCCCGAGGCCGATTGTGTCATATGCATCATGCCAATCTCCTCGTTGTGTTCAGGCGTGAGCCACATATTGGCACCTCCGACGAGCATGGCATCTGCTCCAAAGCTGTCGAGGTAACGACATGCCACATCGACTGAGACCAGACTGGCTGAGCACGCGGTATCAATCGTCATGCTGTGAAGGAAGTTAGAATGGGTCACTGCAAACTAAGTACGCAGTGAACAAATCGGGAGAATGCTTCATGTACGTACCTGGGACCATTTATGTTCAAAAAATGGCTCACTCGGTTGCTTAAAATGGACGAAGCAACACCGCTCGTAATAGAGTCAGCCCTGTCTTCGGGATCGCGATTTTGGATCGCGTTGTAGTCTAATCAGTTAGTTACCAAATTTTGTCAGCCCCTGTTTTAGTAACAAAGAGGTTAGGCGAAATCAAGACATACCGATGAAATTTGTACCGACGATAACACCAGTCCTGGTGCCGCTCAGTTGCTCCAGAGGTACTCCCGCGTTCTCGAGACATTCATAAGCCACCTCGAGTATTTGGCGTTGCTGAGGGTCCATGGCAATGCAGTCGGTCCGGCTGATATTGAAAAACTGACCGTCGAAGACTTCGGGATTCACATCCTCCATGAACATGCCGCCGGGCGACTTCATGGTCCGCGGCCGTTTAGTTCCGTCGTAATGGCCAGCAAGGCTAAACCTAGTCTTTGGCGGTTCATTCTTAGCGATACCGCCTCGTTGTAGAAAATCCCATAGAGCTGTGGGAGAGTTGCTGTGGCCGGGGAGACGACAGCCCATGCCAACGACGGCAATGGGCACCTGGGTACGGTGATCATGTGTATGACCAGATCCACGCGCTTCATGGGACAGCACAGAGAAACTCTCATCGCCAGAATACTTGCTTGTCGTCTCAGAGTCTATGGGACTAGAAAGGATTGTTGGAGAACTGGTTGCCATTGTATTTCTGTCCTTTCCACACAGGCAGGATAATTTAATGAGGAACCTAGAGGCAAAACAAAGCCGTTATTTTTCGTATCAAATAACTACTTGTGAATGACTCTAGCATTTTGCCGCGGAGGCTACTCTTATTATCAACAGCGATTTGGCCTGCGCCTCACTCCAAAGATCAAAATACAAGCCTCCCCAAACCAATCTTAGTATCGTAAACGTATGGCTCCACTACTTACGTAGTTAAGCGTTAGAACGAATTGCCAAAAATAGTGTAGTGGCCCCCTGTCGATTCGGCTTATAGGTAGAGCCCACGTTGCTTATATGCATGAGAATACTCCGTAATAACCAGGAATTGGCAAATAACTGGATTTAACTGGGAGAGTTGCGGCCCGGCCCTGCTAACATGCTGTGACCGGGAGCTTAGCTGCAGCCCGACCCTGCTTACATGCTGTGACCGGAAGCTTAGTTGCAGCCCGACCATGCTTACATGCTGTGACCGAGAGTCGTGAACATAGTCTGGCTACTGAGTTCTTGCAGCATGAAAGCCAAGATTGCTTATCTTTATGGTATCGATGCTGCCTTTACATAGTTAACCTGAAATTGTGGCATAGAATATCAATATTCATATCTAAGCTCTACCGCACTTCTACTGCAATTGCTGCTCATTCATACACGAAGCCCGCATATAACAACACCATTAAAACAGATCGCAGTCATGAAGTCCAGGGAAGACGTTGAGATCAAGACACTCGACGGGCTTGTGCTCCGGGGGTATCTCTTCTCGGGGGCTCCAAGGAGTCCCGCCATCATCATGACGCCAGGGGTATGGAATGGACGAGCGGTCCCCGCTGTGAGAAGCCATCACTTGCAATATTCAGAAGCTAATTAGAAATTTAGTTTAACATCGTCAAAGAGACCATTATCGACGACGTGGCTGAACACTTCCATGCCGCCGGCTTCACAGTACTGAGCTACGACCCGAGATCAGTCGGAGCCAGCGATGGTACGCCACGAAATGAGATACACCCAACTAAGAATATGGAGGACTATTATGATGCCCTCACTTTTCTCAAGGGCCAGCCTTCAGTAGACCCAGGCCGTATCGCCTTCTGGGGCTACTCTTTCAGCGGGATGGTGGCCCTGTGTTCTGCTGCGCTAGATAAGCGCGCCAAAGCCGTCATAGCTGTCTCCCCGCTGACCATTTGGGAATTCACCAAATGGCGCCAGGTCCTGACAAAGTCTATGAAGGACCGCGAGTCTCGCCTGAGTGGGAACAAGCCTGTCTACCTCCCCATGCTGACCGACTCAGGGGAGCAACCGGCCGGCTTTGGAACCGGCTTCATCAATGAGAACGTACATGACATCATCGCCAGAGCCGTCGAAGTCCAGCCTACCTTCAGACCAGATACGACGCTAAGTAGCTACTACCACATTGCGGCCTTCAAACCCTTCGAGCTCATGCGCTTCGTATCCCCCACACCCGTCATGGTCGTCAACGGCTCAGATGACCTGATCTCGCCGACTCAACTGCAAAGGTCGTTGGTTTATGACGTCTTCCAAGGACAGAAACAGCTGCTCACTGTCCCAAACAAAGGCCATATGGACATTTTGAGCGGGCAGGACTCCATAAAGGTGTTTGACGCCCAGGTGGCATTTCTTCGTCGCGTTCTGAATTAACAAACACCTGCTATCCGGTCCATGAGTCTGGTTTGGGGTTTCCAATGGCTGCAGAGTAGTTCTATAGATCTTCATAGTACACCACTTCGAATCTGACAGCATCATATGGCACAAAAGGGAAGAATTACTGTACAAATATCTAGAGGGCAATACCTCTCTGAACCCTAATAGTGGTCATGGCGGTGTGAGGAGTGTAGTTGTTGGATGTTGCCGACCGCGCATGAGCAGCTTTATGGCAATAGTTGGACCGGTAATAAGGCTGGGCGTGCGAAACATTATCTGCATCTTGTTTGTCACCGTAACGCAAAACGTTGTAAAGTGGGAGGTGAAGCCCACAGCTAGGCAAAGACAGCAACACACTTATTGGTCAGTCCTTGGGAGTGTGTTGAGATGGTATCAAGGTAGTAGCAGTATATGTGCAATTCCATCAACAAGAACGTACATGTCTAACCGTATCCGTGCCAAGTATAAGTAGGTTTTAATTTATGGCCTGTAAGTAACAACTTTCGCAATTTCGACAGAATACCATTCATCACGTCTTCTAACATGAAGCTATCCCACGAACTGTCCTCACGTACATCAGGCGCCACACATCTCCAGCTTCAAGCTTTCACGATGACCCGAACGCCTTTGCTTTCCAGCCTTGGCACCGGCACCACAAAATCCAAGACAAAGTCGGCATCACTTCGAATGGTCTCAAACAGCTCCAGATTGTGCCGACGGAAGATTGTGGCTAGGGCGACGTAGAGTTCCATGTATGCCAGGGACATGCCCAGACAGACTCGAGATCCACGGCTGAAGGAGACCATGTAGTTGGAAAGAGGCTTGACCCCATCCGGTCCTCTGGGGTTATTCAGCCATCTCTCGGGTTTAAATACGAGTGGTTCCGGGTAAACATCTTCATTGACGTGTACGTGGAACGCATCCATGCCCACAGTAACGCCTGGTGGAATTACCCAGTCGCCGTACTTCCAGGCGTGGAGGCGGTTGACCCGCGGAATGCGCTGAACTTGGCCATATGAAAGGCGCAGACCTGCGCATGTCTGTTAATACCTGGAAGATTTAATTCAGACTATGTAGATTTGGAGCTTACTTTCAGATATGATACCTGACAAATATGGCAACTTCTCAAGTTCGGCCCACGAGAGGATGACGCTAGGGTCGGGCATAGCTTCCGTCAATTCAGCTTTGAGACGAGCTTGGATGGCAGGCTGGTCCAAGATGTGAAATGTAGCGACAGTTAGTGCCCATTTAGTTGTCTCCATTCCCGCACCGTTTAGACTGATGGCTTCGTCGGTTAGTCTTCTAAGGGCCAGGTCGCTTGCGGGCAGATTGGATGCAAGAATGCCGTGAAAGACGGTGGAATGAGACGCGTCAATGCTCTTTTCATTTTTGCCCGACAAAATGTCCCTGATCTGATTTCTAGTTGCCTTTTCCCGCCGGATATTATTAGCGTCCAAGCTCTTCAACGACAAACACACTCCAATGCCACACTTACGATTCGGTAGTCTAAGAGGGGCTTCATTGGCGGCGCGAGAAAGCCCAGTATGCCCTCGGGAATCCAGTCCATGACGTCGACGAGAAACTTGAAATGGGCGTTCCAGTGAGAGGTCCAGACGAGGCTCCGCATACCTAGGGAAAGTGGTGACTTGAATTCGGGTGCAGCGGAGCAGTTTGCGGAACGGTTGAAGGCCAGGTCTGTAATGACGTCGCACGTCATGCTGGACCACATATCTGAAACGCTGATGACCTGGCCAGTGCCGGCATACTCGGTCGACAGACGGTGCGAGATGCGCTCAACTATTTCCAAGAGCTTGTCGTTGAGGGTGCGAATATGTTGTTTAGAAAAGAACGGGGACAGAGCAGCGCGCCTCTCGCGATGCTGCTCGGCCAAGCTCGTACTGAAGGTTGCTTCTGGGATGCCGAAGCGGTACTTGAACTTGGGTGGCTTGTCCATGGGCCTGGATATAGTGCTGCTGCAGTAGATGTCGTTCCAGTATTCGGGATCGTCTATGTGCAGCTCGTCCGGGTTGATGCGGACAATAGGGCCGTACTTTTCATGCATCCGTTTAATCTCCCAAGTAAACTGGCCACCGGTGCCTTTCGCGAAGAGATCATGGTACACTTCATACCAATGCGTCACGGCCGCCAATTTAGGGCCGGGGAATTTCGCAATGGGCGAGAGGTAGAGTCTGTAAACAGCCAATCCGAGGCAATACAAGACAAAGGTGCCGGCCAGGACGGAAGCGAAGGAGAGCATGTCGAGATTTATGGGGATCCCACTCATGGAAGTGAAGCGCATTGTGTGATTCATGGTGATGGATTTGCGCAAGTGACCCTCTTGGATGGAGGATTACCTGCTCCAGTAATGCAGACGGCACTCAAGCAGATATAAATGATTACCAGAGCATGCTCAGCCCTCTGTATCAATTCCACCAAGACCAAGCAAGGGCTGAAGAGCAGCACGGCGCCGTTACCATTTTGAAAGCCACCAAGGATCAGCACACAATCCCGTCGGCATGTAAGCCGATGGATGTCAGAGTAAACGAATAGCTACATGCTTACTTGCAGTAGGCAAACGGACAAAGTGCGATAATACTTGTCTATCTACACCCATGTAGTTAGGTTTTCGGTTGGTTGGCCATCTCCTCGAGCAGTGGAATGTTGCAAATTAGCGCGAAACGGCCGCCGGTATATTTTTCCGAGTAACGTAAGCCACCACCGAATGACCGCTACCACCCAATGACCGCCCCAACAAAGATTCATGCGTATCAACAACAACCACTCGCAACAGCCGTAATATGGTTAATGAAGCTGCAATTGCTTTAGCAATTGCAGATTTAAAGGCCCAAGAAGCCCCTAATTATACCCAGACTGCAAAAAGATACGGAATCGATCGAAAAACGCTCACACGGCGGTTTCAAGGAGTCACTACCTCAAGAAGTGAAGCAATATCCCAACATCACAAGAAGCTTACAACTGCTCAAGAAAAAGAGCTTTTAAAGCATATAAATCGCCTATCTCTACGTGGCCTATCTCCTACACCTCAAATACTCCGGAATTTGGTATATGAGATAACAAAAGAGCCTGTTGGGTTGAACTGGGTGGCGCGGTTCTGCGAGAGATATCATAACCAGATAAAGAGCCTTTATTTAAAGACTATCGATCAAAAACGCAAGGTTGCTGATAACTCCTCTTATTTTGCGCATTACTTTGAGCATGTTAGTGATCAAATCGATATCAATATCTTTAAATACTGACCTCTTCCTAGCTTGAATTGATGATTTCAAAATATAATATTACTCCAGAAAACACCTATAATTTCGATGAAAAAGGGTTCCTTATTGGCCTAGGTCAGGCAGTCAAACGTATCGTCCCTATTGAGCAGCTTAAACGAAAGCAGATAGGTGCTATTCATGATGGAAATCGCGAGTTTATTTCTCTTCTTGCTGCCATCTCTGCAGATGGTGAAAGGATTCCTCCTACACTGATTTATAAGGGAGAAGGAGATCTACAAGATACATGGCTTGATGATTTCAACCCTCATGAGCAAACAGCCTATTTTGCAGCCTCACCCAACGGCTGGAGCAGTGATGACTACGGGCTTAGCTGGCTGGAGATATTTAATAAGCATACGAAGGCAAAGGCTGATAGAGGAAGAAGGCTTCTTATTGTTGATGGCCACTCCTCTCATATCAATATGCGCTTTATCGACTACGCAGATAAAAACCGTATCCTTCTTGCAATCCTTCCTCCGCATTCAACTCATCGATTACAACCATTAGATGTTGGAGTTTTTGGGCCACTGGCTAAGGCATACTCCCAAGAGATCGATACCCTTCTCCGTTGCAGCTATGGGTATTCATCAATGAGGAAGAGAGATTTCTGGAGGCTCTTTTATACAGCATGGTGTAAAGCAGTAACACCTGAGAACGTTAAGGCTGCATTTCAAACAACGGGTATCTACCCCTTCATGCCTGAACAGATATTAAAATATTTCAAACGAAGACCAATTACCCCTCCAGACCTGGTTGCTCCTCCTACCCCTACTACTGTTCGAGGCCTCCGCCGTCAAATTAAGAAGGTTTACCGCAGGCAATCGCGCCTCTCAATCAATATTCAAAAGGTCATTCATGCTAGTGAAAGACTGGTCTTCCAGAATGAGATATTAGCCCATGAGAACAGGTCTCTTCATGCAGTAATACAAATGGAGAAGAAGCAAAGGAAGAGAGGTAAAGCAATGGGCTTGTTTGATAAGGAACGGGCTGGCCAGGCGCAGTTCTTCTCTCCGTCTAAAGTTGAAGCAGCCAGGCAACGGGCTCTTAATATAGAGCATGAAAAACAAGATAAGATAGCGCAGGCTGAACAATCAAAGCTTCAGCGTACAATTCAGAAGGATGTTAAAGCCCAGGAAGCAGCAGAAAAGAGAGCTCAAAGGTTGATAGAGCAACAGCAGCGAAAGGAAGCCCATGAGGAGGCTCGTAAAGAGGCTGCAGCGCAGCGCGCAGAGGCTGCGATTGAACGGAAGCGTAAAGCGGGTGAACAAGCAGCGGAACGGATGGCCAAGAAGGCCAGGAAGGCTGAAAAGAACGCCTTAAGCCCTATCTCATTTTCCCGATTAGGAAAGAAGAAGACTTCACCTACGAAGGTGGCTCCAATCGATCCTATTCCTTCAATACCACCCTTCCTATCCCAACCCCGGGCAAGCCGTTCCGGGCGAGTTATCAAGCCCAACACTCGTTTATTTTCTTAACCTTACTAATTTATATGTAATTTGGAACCCTACTATCGTTATTTAATAGCTAATTTAATTTGTTATTTACGTTGTGTTGAAATAGGTTGATATTTAATATATGCAGCGATTTGGATGGGGTGGCCAAAGCGCCGGTCATTAGGTGGTGGCGGTCATTCGGTGGTGAACCACGTTACGTCCTTACAATACCTATGCTTGGCGCTTATGCTGGGCAGGCTGCATAAATATAGTTATTTGTTAAATGTTTCACTGCTCGAGGAGCGTACACCCTATTATATAAAATATTTGTCAAAGGAGTACATTGCCCACCCCTGCCACCTCCACAAGCTAACAGGGGCCTGAGTGGCTGAAAGGCCAATCAAAAAATCAGATACAGTGATTTAAATAATAACACGACTCTCATATAGGGTGGGGTCACAAGTCACTATTTTACAGAAATTACCCCTGATAGGGTGTACTCCGCATGCTCCGCAGCAAGTAAGCAAGAAAAAATTCATTAGTCTTGGCTGCGTCTACATGATAACTATAGTTCGGTTTAGAAATCCATTTCTTGAAGCTCCTGCGTCTCCGTGCATGGTACGGAGTACAGTTCGGCTTAGAAATCCATCTCTTGAAGCTCCTGCGTCTCTGTGCACGGTACAGTGCGGCTTAGAAATCCGTTTCTTGAAGCTGCGTCTCCGTGACCAAGAATTGGCTTTCCATATCCTCTCTCGTAGTTATGGTCTTGCTTCATATAAAAGAAACCGTCGTGCCATAGGCACAAAACTCCAGGACCAAACCACTATCCCTTCTCCCTTGTTTACCCAAACCTCTCCACCATACAACCATGGCCCCCGCGACTGTAGTCCTTATTACTGGTGCTGGCAGAGGCATCGGCCAGGCATTGACCGAGGCATATCTCCTCCGACCAAACCACACCGTCATCGCCACCGTGCGTGACTGCACCGACCCCAAGTACGACGCCCTCAAAAAATCTCCCGTCGGTAGCGGCTCCCGGCTACTCCTCGTCAGCATTGAGAGCACGTCGAATACGGACCCGGAAAAGGCCGTCGAGCAAGTCAAGGCCGCAGGAGTTGACCACATTGATGTTGTCATTGCCAATGCCGGCGTCGCCCCTCCCTCTGAGCCGTTTGACACGCTGGATGTCAACGACCTAACCCATGCCTTTCAGGTCAACACTGTCAGCACCGTTGTTCTCTACCAGGCCGTAAAGCCGCTATTGGAGAAGTCCGCCGCACCAAAGTGGATGTCCATCTCGAGCGCCGCTGGTTCCATCACACGCCTAGAAATCCACCAGGCCCACGGTGTCGCTGCTTATGGCAGTTCCAAGGCAGCCCAGAACTTCTTCACTCAGTATGTACTTTACCTTTGGGTCTGATGTCTGGGGTCTCAGGTCTCAGGTCTCCGGCCCCCAGATCCTACCGGCAGTCACTAATCGACGTCTTACACCCAGGGCGCTGCATTCAAAGGAGAAAAATCTCATTGCATTTGCCATCCATCCCGGGTAAGTCTGCGTCATTGCACATGGCCGCGCTTCGCGTCCAGTATTTCCGCTGTAACTAACATGGCATGAACACAGCCTGGTCCAGACCGAGATGGGCAACGCGGGTGCGCGAGCTATGGGAATGGAACAGGCTCCAGACACCATCGGCGACAGTGTTATGAAGTCTATGAACATGGTAAGTCCTGTACTCTTTGAGAGAATTCTCTGTGTCGGCGAGTTGACCTGTTACTAGATTGATGCTGCTACCCGTGAGAACACATCTGGAAAGTTCTACAACGTCATTGACAGCTCTGAAATCCCCTGGTAGGTTACAGAAGAGGTTATTTTTTTGCACGCATGGCGGCATATATGACTTGTATGATGCCAAAGAGAGAAACAGGCAGGACGAGGCATTCTTGGTGTTTAGACTAGGATACTGCAGTTTTACACGAGAGTATAGACACTATATACCAACGATGCTTCCTCTGCCTCCTCTATGTTTATCCCACTAGTAGATTGCGTGCTGTAGAACAGGGAGTGCCAATAGAACGTCTTCCATTTTTCTCTGTATGCAGTGGCATATTTATCAGTTAGAGTGCATAAATCGTTGCAAATACTACAGTTTCGGATTTTTGGATTTTTGATATCCCGTGGCAGGTTATAGCGATAACTATTGTATAGCAGCTAGATATGTAGGTCGTCCTCCTTTCTATACTACGGAACTTACCATGTGTCTCTTCTTGGTGCGACTCGACACTTCCCCCCTAATATAGCGTTGCGCAAGGGTTGCAGATTCAGCCGTAAAATCCACTCGCCGTGAACGGGGCAGATCACCATTCCTGGTTGCGGCCGGCACGCTACTAACTACGGTGGCCTCCCCCTGTCGTGGTTTGGAAGTAAGAGGCGGCTTGTTCCGTCCAATCGGGCCTGGAGGTAACTTAATCCCCGTTAAGGTTAAGACAGGGTTTCACAGCCGCAATGCTTATGTGCATGAAGACCCTGACATAGACGGCCTTGGCAATGCTTACCTGCAGAAGCCCAACGCCGCCTTGGGGCCAGGGCAAGTAGGGCAATAGCAACATCGGGCAGGCTCTGCGTTGTCCGCCTATGTTGTCCGGTCCAGCAGTCGGCCATACGAGCTGGAAATTAGAACAGCGAGGCAGGAGGAGCCGGCGTAGAAGGAGGCCGCAGACACGATTATAAGATCGGCGATGCAGCACGCATTAAAAAGTTAGAAAAAGCTACTCCGTACCGACAAAAGAACCATGCACCTGTCCATGTACCTGTCTATCGCTTCGTGCTTGGTCCTGGGACTCGCTTCCGGTGGGGCGATTAGTGGAAACGTCGTCAAGAGGGCTGCATCATCATGTCGCTATCTGCCTGGCGATGCGGAATGGCCTACACGAGACGCATGGGATCGCCTGAACTCGACCGTGAGCGGTCGACTGCTCGCCACAGTCCCCATCGCCCACGTGTGCCATTCTCCTGATTTCTCGCAAGCCGCCTGTAGCAATATCACGGAACGATGGGATTTGCCAGGCCTCATGTACTTACGACCCTCAAGCGAATAGCTAAGCAAGCAAGCCTATTTACCTTTATGCAAATTCACTGATGTAATGATGTATAAATAGGTCACCTGAACCCGCCGAGATCTTGTCAATATGGTTTCAGAACCAATCTTGCACTCCGTTTACCAATATTTCGACACCGTGTGAACTGGGCAACTATGCCAGCTACTCCATCAATGTCAGCCACTCCGATCATATTATCGCGGGACTGGCCTTCGCGCAAGAGAAGAACATCAGAGTGGTTATTAAGAACACTGGCCATGAGTATGATCCCCTGTGACCGTGACCCCCTGATGAGTGCCGCGCCATTATTGTTCCGACGTGCTGATTGTTTCTTTTTTTCCCCTCACTATCAGCTTTTTTGGCAAGAGTACAGGCAAAGGCGCACTCTCTCTCTGGACTCGCCATCTCAAGTCCCAAGAAGTGATTCTGAACTATCAGTCAGCACTATATGCCGGCCCTGCCATCAAGTTCGGAGCTGGCATTACCGGCGGCGAGGCTGCCCAGTTTGCGGCGAAGCACGGCTATCGTGTCGTGGTCGGGTCATGCGCAACGGTGGGCTTGGTTGGAGGCTTCGCCCAAGGTGGAGGACATTCGTTCTTGTCCGGGCTCTACGGATTCGCCGCCGACAACGTATTGGAGTGGGAAGTGGTGACAGCCGCGGGTGAGCACATCATCGCCACTCCGGAACAAAACACGGATCTCTACTGGGCGCTTAGTGGTGGCGGTGGGGGCACCTACGGTGTTGTCATCTCTATGACAGCGCGAGTGTTCCCTGATGGTAAAATTGCTTTAGCCTCATTGTCTTTTGATTCGGTGACAGCTTCCGGACAAGACCGGTACTGGAAGTCAGTCCACGTCTTTCTTCAGCAGCTGCAGCCGCTCGTCGATAACCACGGCATTGTGGCCGAGTTTATCATCACAAATGACACACTGACTCTCTTTGGCATGATGGCGCCAGGATATGGCCGCCATGGTCTCACCACGCTCCTACGACCAATGATGCGGGCCCTCAAACGGACTGCACCTGGTATCACAGAAGAGGCAGTGCGATTCTCTACATCCGACAGCATGAGCTACTCTAAGCTATATTCCAAGACAGTGGAGCCTCTGACCATGAATGAAACGTTCCCCCCCGCCGTTGGAGGCCGCTTTGTCTCACGGGCCAACATGGCGAGCAACACGTCCGCAATTATTGACAGTTTGCGGGCCACCACATATGGCGGGAAGTTCATCGTTGCCGCCACGGCCCTGAACGTCAATGGGTCAGGTCGCGAGGTCGCCCCAGTGGCAGACAACGCAGTAGAGCCTGCTTTCCATAGAGCCTTCATGAGTCTCATTGTTTCTGCCGCTTGGACGCCAGGCCGGCCATGGGCCGAGGCCATCATGCTACAAGACGAGCTGACCAACGTCATCATTCCCACGCTCGAAGCCGCCACCCCAGGGACGGGTGCGTATATCAACGAGGCGAACTGGCAGCAGCCGGATTGGCAGAATACCTTTTACGGAAACAACTACCAGAGTTTACGAGCTATCAAAGCCAAGTATGACCCGAATCATCTCTTTTACGGCCTGACTGCTGTCGGCAGTGAGGCTTGGGCTCCGGATGCAAGTGGACGTCTTTGCAAAACCGGTCTGTAATTTCATTGACCTGGGATATAGCGAAAGCAGATGACCAGGTAACTAGTCGCACATGTTTGATAGAACTGAAGATTTCATTTTATAGTTAGTACATGTTTATATTCTGTAATTCCTTTGCATCATTCCCGCTATCGCTCTATCCAGGCGTGCTGCTTACGGGTGGGCACACAGTAAACGTCAGATTTGTAGATGTCCCGTCAGGTGTTGGCGAGGCTTTAGGTATCTCCTTGACAGGCTTAACCCAGTTTGCCAAAAGGGTGATACCGCCTCTGATGACGGCTGGTACTGGTCTAACACTCCTGGACCTATTACCAACCGGGCTTCACAGCCAACACCAGACAACCGTAGCGAGAATCCACTCTATGCGAACTGCCACCCACCGCACGTAGTAGACGACATATAATACTATGTATGCCTAAAGATCGTTGACGGTAGTGTAGAGAAGCTATCCAAATATAAGCGCAGCACTACGCGGCTGCCAAGCGGAACCGGGCTGATGGCCCCGCCAAGAACCACAACTGGAACCGGCAACCGACGCGGGCCGGCCCGAAAGGAAAAATCGATGTGGGCCATACCGCTTTGGGATAGCCTTCAATGGAGTGGATACTTATTACCATTGAGATTATGTGCAGGCTCGGCTGAGCTTATATGCAGGATGAGATTGCCTTGCTCCGTATTGTATATTAGTAATAACAAGGGGTAAGATGCTGCTTACAAACGATCTGGGTTTGTCATCACCTCGCAGTGTTTTCACATGTGCCAGAGGAGTATATAGCTGCTGATTAGCAGTCCGTCCTTCAATGTCTCTGAGAAGAGGTATCTCGGTTCCAGCAACACTCCTCCTGAATCTGCAGTGCCGTGTGTGAGTGAAGTGGTTACTTAGTGCACAAGACTTCCTCCGGAGCGGGTAGGCGGCCATGGTATCCTCTACTGCCAAAGAGCTTCAATCAACACAGGGCGTATCTGACGACACCTCTCCATCGAACACTTCACAAAATGCCTCCCCCGACGAGAAGGCCCTGGCAACAGTAGCAGCTTTTGCAGAGGAGCAATCCGACAGCCAGAGTCAAACTCAGGGCGGCGAGCTCACATACCCAGCAAGCCCAAAACTCATCCTTATCCTTATCGCCTGCGCGCTGTCCATCTTCCTCGTCGCTCTCGACAATACCATCATCTCTACCGCAATCCCCCGTATCACCGATGAATTCCGCTCTCTCGACGACGTCGCCTGGTACGGCAGTGGCTTCTTCGTCAGCATGGCCGCTTTCCAGAACGTATGGGGCAAGGGATACAAGTACTTTGGCGTCAAGTCGGTCTACCTCGTCTCGATCCTGCTGTTCGAGGTCGGTAGCATTATCTGCGCAGCGGCGCCGAGCTCGACCACCTTCATTATCGGCAGGGCCATCGCTGGTGTTGGGGGTGCCGGAATTAGTACCGGGAGCTATTTGATTGTTGCCCTGAGTGCGCCGCCAAGGAAGATGGCCGTAATGCAGGGAGTCATTTCGGCGAGCTTTGCGATTGCGAGTGTGGCCGGGCCGTTGGTTGGCGGTGCCTTCACCGATCATGCCTCTTGGAGATGGTGAGTGTGCATCTTTTGAAGGCAACGAGCGAAAGAGCTAATCATGTCTACCAGGTGCTTCTGGATCAACCTGCCCTTGGGAGGCGTGGCATGCGGCTTCATTGTAGTCTTCTTCTCCACCCCCGATCATGGAAAGCCTGCGCCCGCCGCCCCAAGAGAGAAGATACTGCAGATGGATTTAGGGGGTACCTCTCTCCTCCTTGGGGCCGTCATCTGTTTCCTCTTGGCGATGCAATGGGCAGGCGTTACCAAAGCTTGGGGCTCCGCCGATGTAATTGGCACTCTGGTCGGCGCTGGTATCATCACGATCCTCTTTATGCTCGTCGAGGTCTTCCTCAAGGAGCGTGCGGCCCTGAACATGCGCCTGCTGACCGCCAAACCCATCGCCATCCTTATGATGCATCAAATCTGTGTGTGCAGCTGTTTCTTCGTGATACTATATTACCTCCCCATTTATTTTCAGGTCGTGGCCGGCGTCAGTCCTGCGCAGTCCGGCGTCCGCATCATCCCGCTGCTCGCTACCAGCTCCGTCTTCGCCATCGTCTCAGGGGTCATCATCTCCATGACAGGCGAGTTTCAGCTTGTCATGATTTCCGGCAACATCCTGGTTACCATTGGGAGTGGGTTAATGTACACCCTCGGTACTGACTCTCCCTCGCGCGAATGGGTTGGCTATCAGCTCCCCTTGGGCATTGGCCTGGGGCTCAGCGTACAAGTGGCCATCATTGTCTGCCAGTCCATTGTGGATCCATCCGACCTGTCTTCTGTGTCTGCCATCGCTTTATTCTTCCAACTGCTTGCCGGCGCCATCTGGCTGAGCGTCGCGCAGGCACTGTTTGGTAATCGGCTGATACGCTCACTGACCAGCGCGTTTGGCTCGGCTCGAGCGCAGGACCTGTTCCGGGTTGGCCCGGTCGGAATGAGAGACTTGCTGCGCCCGGATGAGTTGCAGATGGCGATTCAGGGGTACTTGGATGGTTTGAAGAACGCCTACGTGGTGTCTATGGCGCTTGGGGCATTTGCGTCGTTGGTGGCAATTGTCGCGATTGTGTTGGACCGTCGGTCGTTAGGTGTCAGATCGAATCGCGAGCAAGCAGGCGTCACTAGACTTCCGGGCACGCCCAAGTAAACCAATAGGATTGTTTACCTATGAAAAAGGAAAAAAAGACTGTCTTCAGTTCCATTTGCCAACTCAAGCGATGACGCTGCCAACTGAAACTTGCCTCGAGACTGCGTGTAAGTCATTATTATTATTATTATTATTATTATTATTATTATTATTATTATTATTATTATTATTATTATTATTATTTTAACGCCTGGAGGCTCGTGTGAAACTATATTCCAATAGAGTTTGAAAGAATGCTTCTCATTTGTTGGTAAACATCTGTCTCATCTCCTACAAATATACTCAGCAGGAGCTCCTATTGTCCAATTTAACAGCGACTAACCCGATATACTAGCATGACAAACTCATTAACTCGTTCGCTAGGTCAAGCAGGCTCCTTATTAGTTGCGTTGTGCTTAAGCAATAAGACGGACGAGTTGGCACTCATACTAGAGACACTCAAGGTGCTATAGTTATCATCGTTTTGCACCAGGGCCTATTCTTTATCTAAAATTCTCTATTTCTATAAACCAAAATTGCTTCCCTCTATGTTTGTGTCTATACCAAAACTGCAAGCCCATGGCGGTAAACTGTTTCATTGCTAATTCACTAGCATCAGTGAGGTTCCCTACAACACACCGCGCGATGCTGCTCGGCCCCCTCAAGAAGCAACTTTACAATGTTTTCGTGCCCCCCAGAAACAGCGAGATACAATGCGTTTTGGCCGCGCAAGTCGCATATGTGAGCACTGGCACTATGTCGAAGTAATAGGGATACCAAGGCTTCATCTCCTAGTTTAACGGCGATGTGGAGAGCCGTATATCCGTCCTTATCACGCTCGTCCACGGCCACGTCGGCATGTTTCAGAAGTAAAGACAAGATACCGCGGTTGCGCGACTGCACTGCCAGGTGCAGTATGGGTGATACTGCCGCGACTGGTTCAAGTGAATGGTTATTCGCTAGACCTGACCTCGTTACACTTGAGTAGCCGTCTTGTGGGGAAAAGGTCGTATGTTGGAGCTGCATCGTCATTTCGCGTTCTTCTCGTTGTCTGGACCCCTCGGTCCCGTCCTCTGTGAGAGATGGGTGATCCACCACTGAGAAGGGAGTACGAGAAATTTCTGATGGGTTGGGGGTTGCATTGGTAGGTTGAGCAAGCAATTGTCTACTTGCACCTTCGCTCATATATGCAGGTGTTGAAACATGACATTGCGTCGTCGCCGATGGCATTTCTGAAGAGATGACGGGTACATGCTGAGCATAGGCTTCGTGCCCCAGTTGTGCAGCCAGATCGGCATAAGCCCCTCCGGAGTCTGTCATGCTAGAGGAGTCTTGATGTGTCACTCCGCTCAGACCGAGTTGCAACATGTCCCGGTTGCTCAAGAACCATTCTGATTCTTCAGCAAACTCTTGATTGCCCACAATGCACAGGCGACCATCAACTATGTTCCACTGTGGAGTCCACGGCTCGTCTGGTGAACTTTCTTCGAACGTCTGCTTGCTCGAAGCCTTCTTTTCTAAAACCGAAGTGTGAACTGGGGCATTGTATTTCCGAGGTATTTTGATTGATAGGTATAGCTATGGTAAAGGCACTGACCTCTATATTTGCGTTGTGCGATCCGATTCTGCAGCCTCCTGCGCGTGGACACGGTCGGCTGTTTGACTGGGATTGTTGCGCATGGCGATTCTTCAGAGGCGATTCCTGGTACTGCGGCTGCCGCCTTGTAGTCATAAGACATGCTCGCCGATAGGTTGAAGACTAGTTTGGTTTCCGCAGCGCAGTGGTAGTGAGTCGGGGTTGTGCGGTAGGTAGATAATAACAAATAGTACGGACTTTCTATTGGTCTCCGCAGTTCCTGGCTCGCTCTTAGCCGTGTACATGGGACTTTGATACTTTTGTGCAGTTCTTATTTACGGAGCGTTCCTTTATAAATTAAATCCCCGGCAACCGTATTCAGTAGAGCCGCCTTATCATGTATGTAAATGAATGTACGTAAATGTCAGCATTTGTGTCAGATTAAATGTGGGTTTGATCTTTGTGGGATGATCTCATTGGTAGATATCTGTTGAACGGAGATTCGGTGTAATACTGCCTGATCGTACGAAACACGTTAGTCAACTACGCCGTTTCATTAAATATCAGTGTCAGCTCTCCATCATCGAACAAATGCTACGCCCGGCGTTTTAACGCCTGTTTCAGCTGTAGCTGGCATCTCCGCGATGGCAAGATACATGGCCGTATGAGGAACATAAATAGGAGCTCAATATCGTGTATTTAGATGATCAGTGCTTGATAGATTGAAATCTCATAGATTGCTCCAGACCCACCTGACCAATCAAATCAATCAAATATCTCGTATCTCAGAATATCTATCTGTCTTGATCCTATGTAGCAAGCTGACGAAAGAGGATTCTACTTATGTTACAAGAATCAACTAAAATGAGAAAACTTCTATCTATATACAATGCCGCACTGATAGATAATCTGATTGGTATCAGGTTCGCGCTAAATTAGTTAGATCTTGACTGCTCAAGCGGCATCTGCAATCGGTTGTTCAACAACTAGTCTCTTCTCTCGTTGTAAATATCAAATGTTATACACAAATGAAAACTCAGCTTGTTCGCCCAAGTCTGATAGTTATAAGCCCAGATTTGTACCTTTTGACCCTCTCTACCAGCTAATAAACGCGTTAAGCTTCGAATTACCTTCGTTATCCGTTGCTAAAACAATCGTCACGCATCTCACTCCTTATTCTGTTCCCTTTATAGATAGGGGCTCTTCAATCTAGCCATACGGGGAAATGGGCGGGGCCACTGATAGAGTTAGGGTTAGGGTCTCAAGTAAGATGTATACAACGGGTATGTGGATGATGAGCTCGCACGCGAGTTCCAAGGAGTACGATCGATATGGGTAGCTGTGTCTCCTTTCGCCGGACTTATTAGAGAATAATAGGTGCATATATATTATTAATACAAAAGTGTGACGTGATCGAAGCCAAGCGCCGAGGCGGAGAACCAACTCCTTACGGAGAAAGAGAAGAGACCATTTCATGTATATACCGTGATTGATTGATTGATTGATTACTTCATTATGACGTCTGCATCCCGCAAGGGCGCTCTGCAACTGTTACGCGGCGAGGCTCCGTCTCTCGCCTAATTAGGCAATTTCTATGTACATGTGGGTAATTATAGACGAACAAGCAATTGCTTTACTAAGCATTATTTTGATATACGCCTCAAGGCGTCTCCTCTCGTTGCGTTGCCCCCTACGCGTCTCTCTATCCCAGCTGTCCTGCGTGCGTTGTATATAGCGTGATGGTTTCTTATCACAACGCATATACGACTTACGCGGAGTCAATACCCTGTCCCGCAGCTCTTGGTTCTTGGTGTTGGGTGCGTACGCTTTGGCACCACATCTCCCTCTATATATCTTCTTACCCTCTACTTAACTTTAAAAGCCCTAGGCTCCCTCTAAACTCGTAGACTATGGCTCTTGTACTAAAACTGGTTGGATAGCTAGTGATATCGAGTTATCAGCTTCCCCCACGAAGGTACAGAGTACAGTTATTTATGTAGAAAACCTGGTATCTTGCTCATTCTATATATAAAGTGAGGGAAGAAAAGACGACGCGAACGGCAGGCTCCATAGAATAGTATGCTTAAAGTATAATAACCCGTAGTATAACCCTATAGTCATCCCTTTACTCCGTACTGGCATGGAAGTACTACAAGACGGCGAGGCCGGCTGTGGTAACCTGGTATTTGGAGCTAACTTGCTCTAGATACATTCCCGCTGGTAGTTACAGTTGCATTGCAGCGGAGACAACAAATTGAGGCAAATGTTCGTTCTTCGAATGGGTTCTCGAGCAAAACGAGCAAACAAGTGAAATAGTCCGCACAATCCTACAATGCAACTGAGCCAACGACAGCTACCTCCTCATCACCCTGTCTGTCTCTTGTAGTTTTTCGGATTATCGCCTGGTACACCGCGGCCACGGGAGGCAAGTGACCCAGACCCATCACTGCATAGGACTGGCCCCCTTGCAGGAGGCATACATGCCTTCTTAAAGCCTTTCTCGGCTGGATTAGTGAATACGTTAGAGACGGATCTACGGAAGCGTCTTTGCGAACTGTCAAGGTCTATTGCTATTGTGGAGCGATTACGAAGGGGATAATCGTGTAATATTACTCTTGGATTGAAGGGGGGGGGGTTGCTGCATATGCCTACCCCGTTGTCCGGATTACGACTCGGGAATCGGGCTATTTGCCTGTGTTATACCAATCTATCGACTTGCGATGGGTTGAGATGGATAGGTTGAATGAATAGTTAAACAGTTCCACTCAGTCCCTTCCACATTGCATTTTATGCCAGACACTTCCACTCTACTGTCTGTCTATAATTTACCCCATACTTCCTGCCCTTCATACAACTTTCACTGCTACTCGATACGGTTTATAAGAACATGTCGACACCCTCCTCATCCTCCTCTACAGCCTCATTTGGCATGGTAACCTATACCCCCCCGGCCGAAGCCCAGGACCTCCCCAAATTCAAGGCCATCTACTTCGGCAACGAGTTCCCTACAGACGACCTATCAACTCTCCTTCGCCGGCTACACAACCGCGGCTGTGGATGAAACTCCAAAACAGCTGGATGATATTCAAGCCCGGGAGAGCAACCCGTCTGCCAGTAAGATATTTGTCAGTGCCATCAGTGAGACATCGGTTACTGTCAGTGGTCCCCCATCTCGACTCAAGGTTCTCTTTCGCAATTATGCTTCGTTCAGAGATTGCAAGTTCGCGCAGTTGCCGGTCTATAGACAACTGTGCCATGCGGCTCATATTTATACCCGTGAAGACGCACAAGGTGCCATTCCATCCCCTTTCCTCGCTCCCTGGTTCAGGCCGATCGTGCCCATGGTGTCGACCAGTTCTGGCCTACCATTTGTTGCGTCGACTGCTGTAGATCTATTCAAGCAGGTAATCTTCGAAGTCATGACCAAGCAAATCGTTTGGGACAATGTCATTCGCGGTGTGGCAGAGGAGGTGGTCGAGAGTGGTGGCCAAGGGTGGTGCTCGCGATGTGAACATAAAGGTGTTTCGCCATTCTCTTCCTGCTCAGCAGCTGTCGAGTGCGTTAACATCCACCATTACCAATCTCCCCGTCGAGACAGACGACCTCTTAGCATGGGTCACTTCTGATATACGAGAACTACCCACCTGGAAACACCATGCAGTCAAAGATTGCCATCGTCGGCATGTCGTGTCGTATGCCAGGTGGTGTCATCGATACGGAGAAGTTCTGGGATCTTTTAGAGGCTGGGCTGGACGTTCATCGGAAAATCCCCGCTGATCGGTTTGATGTTGACTCTCATCATGACCCTTCCGGAAAGAGAATGAACACCAGCTACACGGGTTATGGATGTTTCATCGATGAACCAGGACTATTCGACGCGCCTTTCTTCAATATGTCGCCCCGTGAGGCTGAACAAACTGATCCTATGCAGCGATTGGCTATTGTCACCGCATATGAAGCTCTGGAGCGAGCAGGGTATGTGGCTAACCGCACACCTGCTACCCATTTGAACCGCATCGGCACCTGGTACGGCCAGGCCAGTGATGACTACCGTGAGGTCAACACTGGTTAAGAGATCAGCACGTACTTTATCCCTGGTGGATGTCGTGCGTGCTCCCGGTCCTGGGCGGATCAACTACTTTTTCAAATTCGTTGGTCCCAGTTTCGACTGCGATACGGCGTGCTCGTCTTCATTGGCTACTATCCAGGCAGCCAGTACTGCACTTTGGGCAGGCGACGTCGATACAGTTGTAGCAGGAGGCCTCAATGTGCTCACAAATTCTGACCCCTTTACCGGTCTCTGTAACGGTCATTTCCTCACTAAGACGCCCAACGCGTGCAAGACCTGGGATTGCACGGCTGATGGGTATTGCCGTGCTGATGGTGTCGGCTCGATTGTGACGAAGAGGCTGGATGATGCGTTGGCAGATAATGATAATATTCTAGGCGTCATTTCAGCAGCGGCAACCAATCACTCTGCCAATGCTGTTTCTATTACACACCCTCACGCTGGCCACCAGTCTGACCTGTATAGACAGGTCATGGCGCGCGCAGGCATTGATCCCCTGGATGTCAGCTACGTCGAGTTTCATGGTACTGGCACTCAAGCAGGCGATGCCGAAGAAATGGAGTCTATCACAAATGTATTTGCCCCGATAAAGGGAAAGAGGCGGACCTCGAAGCAGCCGCCCCATATTGGTGCTGTCAAGTCAAATGTCGGCCATGGAAAGGCTGCTGCCGGTGTGACCGCATTGATCAAGGTCTTACTCATGTTGCAGAAAGGCAAAATCCCTCGCCATGTCGGCATCAAAGCCGACATCAACCCCGGCTTCCCCAAGGATATGGGTAAGCGTAACTTACACATTCCATTCGAGACCACGGGATGGTCCCGTACACCGGACAAAAAGCGCATTGCGGTGGTCAACAACTTTAGTGCTGCTGGTGGTGACACTACCCTTGTGCTAGAAGAGGGACCAGTGAGAGAGAGAATTGGATCGGACCCTCGCCCTAGCCATGTGTCACTGTGTCTGCAAAGAGTAAGATATCACTCAAGGGAAATATCCAGCGGTTGATCGCCTACTTGAACAAGAATGGCGATATGTCACCGGCCGATCTTGCGTACTCCCTTACAGCTAGACGACACCACCACGTTCATCGTGTGGCAATTAACGCAGCAGATGTGGACAGCCTCAAGCATCAGCTTGTCTCCAAGCTGGATGGAGTTGATTCCATGAAATCCATCCCTACAACAGGGGCACCACCGGTCGCCTTTGTATTCACTGGTCAAGGCGCTGCCGACAAGTCGATGAACCTGCAGCTGTACCATCACTTGCCATTCTCCCGGTCTCAGCTCGAAATCCTCGACCGCCTGGGTCAACGGCATGGCTTCCCATCGTTCATTCCCGCCATTAACGGTAGCTTTCCGAAAGACCACGCCTGGTCGCCGGTCATCACCCAAGTGGCCCATACTAGCATTGAAATTGCATTAGCTAAGTATTGGGAAACACTTGGTATCAAGCCTGAAGTCGTCGCTGGACATAGTCTGGGCGAGTACGCGGCTTTTGTTATTGCTGGTGTTCTCTCAGCTAGTGATGCCATTTTCGTTGTTGGTTCGCGTGCTCAGATGCTCAAGTCGCTGTGTCCAGCTGGAACACACAAGATGAGGCCAGTCAAAGCGTCAAGGGCAGAGGTCGAGGACGCTGTCAAGGATCTTCCGTATGATCTTGCTTGTGTCAATGGGCCTAAAGAGACCGTTCTCTCTGGAACAACGAAGCAGATGGAGGCTGCGTCTGTTCCGCTCAAGGAGAAAGGATACAGGGTTATCTTCCTTGACGTTCCATTTGCCTTCCACTCTGCCCAGACAGATCCAATTTTTGATCTCTTCGAGGAGACGTCACGAAAAAGCGTCCTCTTCCGCGCGCCCACGCTGCCCATTGTCTCTCCCCTCTTAGGCAAAGTTGTCTTCGACGAAAAGTCGCTGAATGCCAAGTACCTGCGCCGCGCGACCCGCGGGAACGGTTGATTTCCTGTCCGCTTTGCAAAATGCGCAGGAGACATCAATCGTAGACAAAGACACTGTCTGGATTGAACTTGGGCCTCACCCAGTTTGTGTTGCGTTCATCAAAGCCAGCTTCGATCAGCTGGAACGAGAAGAAATACTGAATTCAGTATAGGGGAGATTGGGCGCTAACCAAGGGGAACACCTTCTATGATGCCGAAAAGGGAATCAATCGACAGGTTGCCAACGCGCCCGTTTCGAGTCTCAAGACTACGACTGTTCAGCAAATCATCGAGGAGAAATTTGAGGGGTCGTCGGGCAAGATTGTTATGCAATCCGATCTCATGCAACCTGATCTTCTTGCTGCTGCTTACGGAACACAAAATGAACGACTGTGGTGTTGTTAGATCGGTGAGTGTCGATCTTTTCCATCCGCTCTGTTGTTGTACTAATCATTTAGTCCATCCATGGCGATATCGTCTACACGCTGGGTGAATACCTCTATAAAAAGCTCGTCCCCAACGCCAAAACCGTGCATGTCGATATCACCGACTTGAAAGTCACCAAGGGCCTCGTGGCGCAAAGAAACACCAATGGGCCGCAGTACTTCCGTGTCACAGCCACAACAACTAATATCAATACCGGCGTGGCTGACTTCGTCTGGGAGAATGTTGCCAACGATGGTAGCGTTTCTCAGCCATTCGCTACCTGTCGTATCCTCTATGGCGATGCCAACGCATGGCTCTCAGCGTGGAGTCCACTGGCCCACCTCGTGCATGGTCGCATCGATGCCCTCGAGCGTCTTGCAGCAGAAGGAATCGCCAGCCGCTTCTCGCACAAGATGGTATATACCCTCTTCGGAAACAACCTCGTGAAATATGCAGACAAATACCGTGACATGCAGGCCGTCGAGAGGAGCGAGTTTGAAGCCTTTGCAGACGTTACCCTCAAGCACGTCCATGGCGGAGGTAACTACAACGTTCCACCTTTTTCCATCGACAGCGTCGCCCATCTGGCTGGCTTCATTATGAACGTGTCCGACGCTAGCGACACGGCTAATACGTTCTGCATGACACCGGGATGGGATATTATGCGCTTCGTTCGTCCTCTAGTCGCGGGCCATAAATATAGGTCCTATGTCAAGATGATTCCGACCGATGATGATCCGTCTGTATACCTTGGAGATGTGAACGTCTTCCAGGACGGTGTGATTATAGGTATAGTCGCGGGGATTCAGTTCCGCCGCTATCCACGTATTCTCATGAATCGTTTCTTTGCTGCGCCAGATTCGTCGATTGTGAAGTCTTATACTTCTACTGTGCCAACGTCGACACCCGCTGCAGTACTTTACAATGCAGTAGTTCCTCCAGCATCCGGAGATATAGTAGTTCCGTCCCGAGTCACGGGGTGCCACCGGATCCCCTACTACAATATCATTTTACTATTAACCAATTATAGTAGACTAAGAAGTATGAGAAATATAGTTAGTTAAAATGGTGTGACTATATCTAATACCATCACTCTATATACATAAAGAAGACCGGAAGTTGTCCGTCCTGAAAATTGCCCGAAATCGGCAGTAAAATCACGTGTACTTGATGAGTCAGCGACGGCTTAAGCCCGACTTTTTGAGCCTCGGCTTCTCTTTTTCCTCTGGTCTTTGGGGGAAAAGCACGCGAGTTTCAAGTATCAGACATTGAATATCGAGCATCAAACGTTGAATATCACAGATACAGCAACGGAAAAGAGGCAAAGTCGGACCTGGGGGAGATCCAAGTCTAGTGCTCCTGGACAGGGCGTGAAATATATGCCGATGACGTCTAGTAGCGTTGTTTTGAGAAGTTGATCTAGCTGCGGGAAAGCTCCGAACAAACCAGGGTGAAGAGTAAATGTCCGCAGATAAGGTACATCTGTATGGAGTAAATGGCTCTGAAGGTCAGGGAAAATCGGCCGAGAATGGTCAGCTATGTGTGTTAGCATAGTTATATAGATGGACGGGAGAATAGTCCATGTCCAGCACTCTTGAGCCGTATACACTCAATACTTCCCCAGTTCCGTCACAACCTGGCTATCTCGACCGAGCTGGCGTTGTCTCTTCCCTTTAACCGCGCCGCCACTCGGCGACAGGTGCCGTAAACTTGAATGCGTGCGTCGTTAAGGTGTCCATCGTCGGCTGGGTTCCGAAGAGAAAGTCAGTTAATAAGGCAAACAAGTTAAGAGGGATGCAGGCGAAATGGAATTGGAGCTGGATTTATAGAGACAGTTTAACATGTGCCGCGGCTATGGTGGACTTTCTGGCGTTATCTGTATATAAAGACATAGCTCCATCCAGCATTCCCCCGTCTCCCTTGACTTGTCTTTACATCAACCAATACGACTTGCTGTGAACCAGGCTATATAGCACCAATATATACCAAGAGATAAGACAGATAATATAGGAAGCAAGATGACTTCTGTTGAAGCTCAGCTCAAGGGTGTTGCCATCCTTGGCCCCCTCAACGACCAAACTCGCAAGATCCTCACCAAGGACGCCACGGCTTTCCTTGCCCTTCTCCATCGCACATTCAATGGCACCCGAAAGGCCCTGTTGAAGAGACGTATTGACCGTCAGGCTGAGATCGACAGAGGTGCTCTCCTTGATTTCCTGCCCCAGACCAAACATATCCGTGAAAATGATACATGGAAAGCTGCTCCTCCTGCTCCCGGGCTCGTTGATCGTCGTGTTGAGATTACCGGACCTACCGACAGGAAGATGGTTGTCAACGCTTTGAACGCGGATGTGTGGACTTATATGGCCGATTTCGAAGGTGAGAGGAGTTACATATCCCTATTAATGAGTATAATCTAAAACATATATCCAGACTCTAGCGCTCCAACATGGGAGAACATGGTCAATGGCCAGGTCAACCTTTACGACGCCATCCGTCGTCAGGTCGATTTTACCCTAGGTGGAAAAGAATATAAACTCCGCACTGATAGGAAACTCCCCACACTCATTGCCCGTGCTAGAGGCTGGCACCTTGATGAGAAACACTTCACCATCGATGGAGAGCCAATCTCCGGTAGTTTATTCGACTTTGGTCTCTACTTCTTCCACAACGCACAGGAGTTGGTCAAGAGAGGCGCCGGCCCATACTTTTATCTACCAAAGATGGAATCCCACTTGGAAGCTCGTCTGTGGAATGACGTTTTCAACATTGCCCAGGACTATATCGGCATGCCCCGAGGCACCATTCGAGGAACCGTCCTTATCGAGACCATCACTGCAGCCTTTGAGATGGACGAGATCATTTATGAATTGAGAGATCACAGCTCGGGATTGAACTGTGGACGATGGGATTACATCTTTTCGTTTATCAAGAAGTTCCGCAACAACCCTAACTTCGTCCTCCCTGACCGTGCTGCTGTTACCATGACCGTACCATTCATGGACGCATACGTCAGACTTTTGATCAAGACCTGCCATCGACGAGGTGTCCACGCCATGGTAAGCCAAACTCCCCTCTTTCCACCCGCCGACCCAGCATTTGTCTTCCAAGTATTCCATAATACTAACATTTAATCAAAACAGGGTGGTATGGCTGCTCAGATCCCCATCAAGAACGACCCCAAGGCCAACGATATTGCCATGGAGAGCGTTCGTGCCGATAAGCTCCGTGAAGTTCGTGCAGGCCACGACGGAACTTGGGTTGCTCATCCAGCTCTTGCAGCAATTGCTAGCAATGTCTTCAACGAACACATGCCTACCCCTAACCAGCTCTTTGTCCGAAGGGAGGATGTCCATGTCACTGCCAACGACCTCTTGAACACCAACGTTCCAGGAAGCATCACCGAATCCGGTATCAGGAAGAACTTGAACATTGGCCTTTCTTACATGGAGGGATGGCTCCGCGGTGTTGGCTGTATCCCAATCAACTATCTCATGGTTCGTAAAGAATAATTACCTCTTCCTGTTGCCGAAATAACCTCACACGGGCAATTGCTAATTTAATAAATAATAGGAGGATGCTGCTACCGCTGAAGTTAGCCGAAGTCAGCTCTGGCAATGGGCCAAGCACAACGTGCCCACCGCTGAAGGAAAGCGAGTCGACAAGGCATATGCCCTCAAGCTCCTCAAGGAGCAGGCCGACGAGCTCTCCGCAAAGGGGCCAAAGGGCAACAAGTACCAGCTTGCTGCTCGCTACTTCTCTGGCCAAGTTACCGGAGAAGATTATGCTGATTTCCTAACCACGTAAGTCCTCGCTATTTACTCATGAATTATTGAAGTAGGGTAGCGTTAACTAACATGTGGTTCCGTATAGATTGCTTTATAACGAAATTTCTGCTCCTGGCCCTGCCGTCAAGCTCTGATTTAACAATAAGCGAAATAATGATGCTGTTCTAGGGGGGCCATTATATACATACTGGTATACCCAAGGGAGGGCCTGCAAAGTCTAAATACTTCCATCGTGTAAATAATTCTCGTATACCTTTGAAGTCTGATGTACAATCCAAATGAGAAATTGTATACCATCCTTGCTTCGATCTCCTATTGTTTAGATATGGAAATGAATTCCATGCGGGCCGTAGGAACTATGGAAGTATAAAATGCGATGTTTAGTACATTGATTAAGAGGCATTAACTTAGAAACAGGGTCCAAACTTCAAGTACGAGTCTCATAACTGAGCTCATTACCTTTAAGAGCGCTCGATCTATGTTATAATGTGTGATTCATAAAAAATAGCAGGCTGATAAATAGGTAATTTAGAAAAAACGCGCCATTGGCTAGCCAATCTCGCAAGGCAACGTTATTTGGTATTCCCAGACCTTGTCATCTCGCTCACATCACTCGTTATATCATCAACAGTAGAATTCGATACCGGATTTGTACTGTAGATCCCCTCGGCATCAAGCTCTGTCACTCTTCTTGGTGCAGCTCGCCCGTAAAAGGGGACGGTGGCAGATCCCACCGTAGAAGAAGGACCCGCAGAAGGCGCATAGTATCCCAGAACCGACCTCGATGCTGCTGCTCTGGCTTCATCATTTCCATACGCTTCCTGCTCCTTACATTCTGAATTGTAGGCATTAGCTTCGCCAGCAGCCACAGATGGCGTAGTCGTGGTCTTGGTTTTTGCTCGAAGCATGATCCATACAACGCCGATTATAACTGCTCCGATAATTGCGAGGCCGCCGACAACACCCCCAATAATAGCGCTCACTCGTTTTGATACGCCATTCCCATCACTGTCTCCTTCCTTTGGGTTACCTGAACTAGTAGGCTGGGCACTGCTGGATGATAGAACGGTTGAAGATGACCGGGGTGAGAGAGTGGAAGTTGAAGCTGAATCGGATCGTCTTGTAGTTGAAGAGCTGTGTGCTGGCTGCGTATAGTCCAGGATCTCATGTGCTCCACATTCCTTGAGGGTATAATATATCGAGCAGCATCCAACATCAGTGCAGTATGTGTTGACAGGACAGTATTCTATTTAGTAATGTTACAAAAAATATTCCAGCGCAAACATTAAGGTGATGAAGGATATGAGAAAGAATATCAGGGATAATAGGTAAGATAGAAGCAGTGGGAGAATATGATGGCATCGCAGGGTAGGAAATGAGCGACGTACTTCCATCGGAGCAGCAGGTCTCGCCTATATCGGGATTATAACATCTGGTTTCGTTCACGCAGGGAGCATTTCCTGCTCCACAAGACGTTTCGCAGTTCGTAGGCGGCGGATGATATGTACACTGGCTACGAGGAGCAGTGTCTGTCGTAATAGCTATTATACGACGGTGAAGAACCTCAACGTCTGCCGCAAATACAGCGGAAATAAGGGCGATAGATGCAAAAATCCACATGTTGCAGGGCTTCTGGGGAAATGAGAAAGAGGGATAATATCAACAAGGAAGTTGAAGAATCCAGGGCATTGTAGTTATTCCTAACTGCCCACGTTCATTGATAGCCGGATTCAGTGAATGGTAGCATTGGCGCTATCAAAGACCTCACCGGCAAATTCCAAACACAAAGAAGTACCATATCGTTGAAGAGGTATCACTGATATGTTCCATCTCTCTGGTATATTCTGCTGTCGACTCCAGCAGCCTGATTTGGCTTTCAGCCTGGGAAGTGAGGTATCATCATTCATATATCTATGTCATACCCGCGCTGAGCAATTTCGAGTTGAAGCCAAATCGTATACTCCGAACGAAATACGCCATGCAGGTCGAGAAAGCTCCCGAAGATTTAAGCATGGCACGCTACCATACTGATTCAGCCTCCTATTTACCCAGGACCTTTCTCCGGAAGCCATTCGCATTCGTATTTTCAGCCCGTTCGTCACTGGCTAATCATCTCTTTTGAAGAAGCAAATACCTTCACATATCACGATTATTTCCACGCAATTTCCTCTTAAGTGCCGTGATCATCTATGCGTTAGTCCGTTTGGATATAGACGGGGGAGACGGAGAAAGGCTTCAGATCGCCTGGATAAGAATCAGCCACAGGAAGTTAGATTCGCTGTCATGTTTTCTTGTTCTAGCCGGATATAATCGGCCCTGGGCATCATGTCGAGAATATGTATAGAAACAGTTACATTTTGCAGGGGCCGTCACAGTTATATATATATTATGGCGACGGGTCAAACAGCAACAGCAGCGGGCTGTTCGATGTTGGTTGGGCCTAGCAAGGGACGGGATTCTACCACATAATTTAGCCGATAATATTCCACAAGGGAGAAGAATAATATTATTGGAGAACGGCCCCACGGGTAGATAGCTAAGAGAGTATTGGCCTATACTGATGTACAATTAAGACGCGCCATGCGGAGTATAGAAAGTGGCCATACCAAAATTGAGAAAAAGGCATCATTTTTCCAGCCAGGAAGAACCTAACAGTTGGTTGGGGTGCACCTGTGGAGAACAGAGCCAGGGGAGATCTAGGCTAACAGGGTTGATAGGCCAAGGACAGTAAACACCCCTGAGACCTGGACATATCGAGAGGCCAGGATTGTTGCGGTGGTACAACAAACACATGTATACTGTCCAACACGGCGTACAGATAAATGGCCCTAATATTGCAGCGTTTAATGACGTGGAGGCTCCAGGGCGCGCCTTGGCTATATGCCCATGATTAAATGGAAGGCCGAGGAGATAGGGGGTTGCATGTCTAAGATTGGCATCAACGGTCTAATTAGGATGAACCAAGGATGTTGTAAAATAGCTGGATTAAATTAGTAAAGTAATAATATTTATAATACCAATATAGACAGTGTATGAAAAACGAAAAAAAGGGTATATCGAGTATCTTATAGATATGTACAGAGGAACGCGTGCTTCGAATCTCAGAATAGCCCCACCCGTTCCCCCCCTTCGCTGTCCAGGCTGATGCTGTGCGCTGAAGTGTGTACGCCAAATAAATGAAATAGAATCCCCCAAAATATCAACCCAGCGACGGCTGGTCAGGCTCCCGCTCCGGAACGGGCATATATATATATATATATATCCATATATAGACGTGAAGTTAAATTGGCATCAATCCAAGGCGCTTCTCGTTGCTTCAAGCAAGTCTGAAAATATGCTTTTGTAGTGCATGAAATATTAATGTACCGGGCCAAAGAAAGACCCATGGTAAGGTATATGTTGGTGTTATGAGTCGTCCGCGGGCTTCCGGGCATATACTACTGTTCCTGGTAGATATGCGTTGGTCTTATAGTCCCGCAGTGCTGCTCGCATCTGTGCTAGGAAAAGCTGGGCTTCGTCATAAGGCCATCGTAACGACACCGTCAAGAGCCGTAGCATGTAGCCTTCAATTCCGCCGTGTAATCGTACCTGGTTCCAGCGACCAAGTTCACGCAGCTTTGGATCTTTGCTCCACCTATATTGCCACCCGGTTAGCACGCCGAATCCTAGTTGAATTATAGATTAGATAGTAAAAGAGGGAAGAAGAACGAACCCGTTCATCGGCCATTTGTATTCTACCTCAACAACATCAACGAATCCAGCTCGTTTCAGCCGTTCCTTGCTCTCCTTCCAAATGGTGAAAGATTTGCCAAAGGAAGCCCCAGCTTCGACCACTGTCTTACCCCACAGGGTATAAAAATGTTTCGGCCCGACCGTGTCATCATCTGAGATGGGCTCGACGGAATGCTCGACGATTTCCAGGTAGGCGCCCGGCTTCAAACATTGGAAACATTGCTGGAAGAATTCATCCCAATCCGGTATGCAGCCAAACATTTCTCGTACGTGGATGAAATCAAAGTGATTTTGGGGATAGGTCCAGGGACAGAGCGTGACATCGTCGACTTCGAAGGTGCAGTTTGGCGGGAGGAAGGTGGGTTGTATGGGGGATAGGTCGACGCCGGTGACTTTGGCACTTGCGTACTCATCCGCCATATCACTAGAGGAAAATGTCAGACTATTTGATCACAGTATGAAAATAGAGTTCGGCAAATGATTATATATACATACATTGCCCATATGCCCGTGCCTGTGCCGACGTCGAGAATTTCCTAGTGGTTACATATTTAATTTAGCATCAATGCAGTGTGACAATTCATTAGGCGAGTCGTGGAGGCGTGGTGTGCAAATACCTGTGGATTCGAGATGGGTGCAAGATGCAGCCTTCCGTCTAGGGTCAAAAGGTACATGTGGTGTGCGAGATCTTGTTGGTCGTTTGCGACTTCGTCGTTGGGGCCCTACAAAGGAAGGTCAGTCAAACACAGATTGACTTGATATATGTCATCATAGACAAGACTCGAGCGTTTGTTATGTCCGACACGACCGGCATGAAAGAGGCAGACTGTAGCACTAACCCAGTAGGCCCCGTCACGATATGAATGGTAACGCCGACCGTTCTCATAGCGATATTTGGTTATATATGTTGAGAGCGTCTTTGTGTCGTCGCCCATCTGCACTCCCCCCTCGTCCGCGGAATCCGCATACGCTTCGTCGAACCCGTCATCGTCGCTGGAGAAGGACTCTGCTTGCGGCGACAGTGCGCCGGAGTCTGATATCGGTCTGCCTTCGAGTGGAGGTGAGAGTGGAGGTTGAGGTTGGGATGGTGATGAGGATAGCGATGATGGGTGCTGTAACTGCCCACTATCGCCAAGCGACTGCTCGTTTTCGTGAGAATCCATCGCTCTGCAGTATATTTCGACACATCGACGGATATTTCCTCAAACTAGAGAGCAGCGTTCTTGTCGTCGTTGGATGGGCAAAGGGAGGAACCTTTTCTGGCGGCGGACGGCGGAGTTGAACAATGGACCATGGGACTTTTAGCCTGAGGCTTAGGGCGACGATCCTTGCTTGCCTGTCTTCTATAGAATCAGCCACCAAAACTGACGGCGTTCCTTGTAGCTGTACGGCGGAGTAACTATGGTGTAGGGAGTTCGCGCCGTCTCTTCTGTGCGTCCGCTTTATACTTTCAAGCCATCACCCTGCGTTCGGTGGCTAAACGGAGGTTCTGCAATAACATTCGTGATATTGATCATGCATCCAACTTGCCAGCCCGGCTCGTGTTGATCTGGCTACTATGGCACTAGGAAGCCTATCAGCATTCGCGGTTATAGTCCCCTGTCTAACTCTATTCTCGCCGTTTGGCCAGGTTGAGCCTGCAGAACACACCCGGGGATGATGATTCTGGTCTTCGGGAGGCAACGACAGACCGGTTGTCAATATGCCATCCCTCCAGAGGGGAGTAATAATGCATAATGATAATATAGCAGTGGCCATTCCGCTGCCCACCCCGTATCAACGAGTCATGTCTCCACGGCTTGATGGTTTGATGGCTTGACGGGGAAACTTCCTCTTTCTCCCCTATAAAGTTTGCCGTGAGACGGGTGAGAAAGCCAGCCAGGGTTGATCGGGGGCGCGATGGTGGAGGAAGAGCCCATAGTCGGCTCCTGTTATGATATCCACAATTTTGTCTGGCTTTTTCGCTTGTGTCGACGTGTTTCTCGTCCGGCCACAGGCTTCATCATGGGCCTCACGGGCAGGGCAAATACGACGTCCGTATCCACCCCCCTCCGCCTCTGGCTTTCATGCTGGCCCACGGCAACGGCCAGTGGCACAGGAGAATTCCCTGGAGAATGAATATCTCCACCCGGGAGCCATGGGATTGGGATTCTGTCCCCCAAGTTTTGGCGTTCCTGTCTACTATCAGCCTCCAGACTATCTGATGGCTCGAAGATGGGGGAATACTTGTCTGTGATGGAGGATAGAAACCTTCCTGTCGTCTCAGGGGCGTCTGCCACTGTTCTCATCATCGGGGCCGGTGAGTCCTCCCATTTTGTTTGTATCCAGGCGCATACCTTCCAGGGCATAATTCTGACATAGTCGGGGACCTAGGGACAACCGGACTGGCGCTGGCACAAGGGTTTAGAAAGGTGAACCCCCCCATATCATATCTATAAATATCGGTGTGACCTTCATAGTTGATTAACATGATCGATCAAAGGCCGGAATCCGATGCACCATCTTTGAGAAGCACGAAAGTCTCCATGCACAACCAAGGGACTGGAATATGGGACTCCATTGGGGGGCAACCGCCCTACAGGGAGTCCTCGATTGTGAATCCTGGGACAAGATTCAGACCGTCCATGTCGACCCAAGTGCTCCCGTGGCGGACCACGACGTTTTGAAGTTTATCAATTCGATGACTGGCGAGCCAATGTCGGAGATACATACCTCTAAATTCTATCGACTACGCCGAAGCAAACTCCGCTCTCTTCTCGAGCACGAACTGGATATCCGATATAAGAAAGTATTGAAAAACATATCGATGTCGGGTGACGGCCGGACCGCAACCGTTCATTTTGAAGACGGATCTTCCTATGCTGGACAGTTTGTTATCGCTGCTGATGGAGCACGCTCAACCGCGCGCCAGCTTCTGCTGGGGAAGAATAAGGGCGCCGTAAGACGTCTTCCATACGCAGCAACCTTTGTACATGCGAAGTTCACAGCCGAGCAGGCGTTATACCTTCGTAGTTTCCACCCCCTATATATTGCCGGTATTCACCCTTCTGGATTCTTCTCTTTCTTTGGCATGCATGAAGCCGAGGACCCTGACAGACCGGAAACATGGACTTTCTTCTTTTATATCTCCTGGAAATATAGCTTGGAAGAGCAAGACAGCACAGCCGGCTGGTCAAATAAACAGAGACTGGATCAGGTCAAATCATTTGCCAAAGACTTCTGCGACCCTTGGAAAAGTGCCTTTGAGTGGATTAGTGATGACCATCAAGTTTGGTATATGGGCCTGACTGACTTTGACCCTGGCTCGAAGGGCCATTACTGGAACAACCATGGCGGCAGAGTGACTCTCGCTGGAGATGCAGCGCATGCGATGACATACCAACGCGGACAGGGGCTAAACCATTCTGTCACTGATGCCGCAAAGCTTGTAAATGCCGTCACTGACGCGGTATCAGGTCTCTCGTCGCAGGCAACCTCGATCTCAGCCTACGAGGACGAGATGATAGCAAGAGCAGGGGGCGAGGTCAGGCTGTCTACTATTAATACTGAGATGCTTCACGACTGGGAACGGGTACTTGCATCACCAGTATTGACATCGGGGATGAAGCATAAACATAAATGATGGAGAGCAACGCGTTATGATGGTTATTGTTTCATGATGGTTGGTAATTTTGCTTTTAACTGCATGTCCTGTTTAGCTGGTTCTGTATATAATCTTGGTTCTTGTTTGGCGTTGCGATGTTGTTGATATTGCTGTTTGCTTTCGGCTTTGGATAGCTGGATTAGAAATTTCATCTCATGATGGCCCCCATAATTTTTATCCTAAATCTAGAGGAATATTATTGCAGCCATGCCATCCTCCATCCCCTAGGAAAGTAAATAAGCAGTATGTTCGAGAATTGATCAAGAATTAAAGATTTTAGTATTCAGCGTACACGGCTCCAATGCCAAATGCCAAAAGATAAAATGGAGTAATGAGCCTGTGTCTAAAGCGATAGGACTGTATATGCACCCAATGAAATATAAGAACAAAATAGAAGTATGTATGACAGCGAAAAAAATAGTCCTAATATGAGACGTGGGCCAAATCTGCAAAAGAATGAGCTGTGTGTTGTTAACAAACATTCAGCGATCTAACTATTGCTGTTTCACGGCCGCTTCTGCCTTGTGAATAGCCGCTTTAGCAGAATCCGTAGCCTCGTGGGTCATATCCTTGACGGCCTCCTTGGCCGAACCGTCTAGGGACCGCCTATAAAGGAAAATTCGGGTCACTTGTGTCAAGCCAACACAGCCAACGAAAAAGTTGACAGTAGCAAGGCTGCATAGAATTGAGTTTGTCAGCAAATATTCGATACCAATGTAGGCTAGCAATTCAGATATGAGGGAGAATGGAATTTATAGAATGCTTACAGGACGTTTCTAGGCTTGATGATAAGGCACCATCTGGTCCAGATTGCTCCAGTCGCCATCAACGCGCCGTTTTGAGTGAGGGAAAGCTTCTCAGCAGGTCGGGCCAGATCAGAGAGACCAGCCAAAACGAGAACCCACTATAAGACGGTTCAATGAGTTAGCCGTTGAATTGTCTCCTTGTTTCCAGTGTAGTAATCCAGCGAGGAATGGATGGGAATCTTGAGAATCGTGATTAATCGACGAACCTTCATAACAGGTGCCCTAATTAGTAGACAAGGTATTGGTTAGCAAGCTGGTATTGAGCAAAACTGATGTAACAAGCGCAGATATAGGGTATCATACCAGAAATGGACCGTCTTAATTCCAATGGGACTGTTCCACGACCGCTGCAGGAAGCTCTGTTGGGCTGCTCCGGCCTCTGTGCTCTGAAATCGTCTAGCTCGAAGAGCCTGGGCTCTGAAGCGAGCAGTCGCATTCTGAAAGGCGGTTCTTGAACTCTGGAAGAGACGGAGTCCGATCTTTGAAGACATGTTGAGATCACGACGTCGAAACAAGAGGGAACGTTAGAAGAGAGAAAACAGCAGTCTGAAAACCCGAATAGCCTAGAAATGCAAGAGTGGAGAGATACAATGTACAATGGAAGAAACAAAAGCCCGACTGGTTTGTGAATGCGCTGGAGTTCGCGATGACCTCTAGATCCCAACGCTCCGCATTTCTCGATTTGGCGCTCCGGTTTCCGCAGGCAAGTTTCTTAGCTAAGCACTGAGTCATCATATAGTCACGTGGATAGAGAGATGGAACATCGAAACGTCCAAGGAACAAAACGTAGAGAAAGGCGAACGCAAGCTCGAGTTACGCTCAATTGGGTCCTCATCTCTCTAGACCAGGCACCGAGAAGCACGGAGACCGCTTAAGTGAGCGGAGGATTGCTATATACACTCGTCACAATGGCCTCGAGATACGCCTTCAGCACCGGTTTGAAGGAACTCCGGTTCCTCTTCTGCCATTCCTCTGCACACGGCGATGCTACCAGGTGAGAAGCAAGTTCCGCTGCGCGGTAGATTCATGCTATATTGATCGAGTCAAAGTTGACTAATTCCTGCTTCTCGTCCACTAGAACGTTCCTCAAACGAGCATACCCCACCATGAAGAAGAACAACCCATCGACACCGATATTGATACGGGAGGCACTCGATATCGAGCCAAGGGTATTCGCTAGATATGGTATGCATTACACATAAACTGTCCTCGTGTATGGTGAGTCAATATAGCTAATAGGCGGTGATTCACAGAGTTCGGGAAGGAGAAACAGGAAACGCTCTTGGGTATGTTATTTACTTATCCACTTGATATTGGGCCCTACGTGAAGTTGGAATTAACAATCGTATAGGTTTAACGGATAAGGAGATAGAACAGAAGGTGACCGCCCTCGTGAAAAATCAGGGACAGCCCGAACAATTGTGATTGTACACTATTTCTATTTACGAACCAAAGCCCTTTGTTTTTCACAACTTCTCTGTACCTATACCAGCATAAAGGAATGGAACTGGAATAATAAGCAGTATTCCGAAATACATATATCAAAGTTATCTACCTATTTGGCGAGTCCGGAGACAACATCAATATCAGGCCAGGACATCTCCAAATCGGAACTGCGCCCAACTCAAGCTACCTTCCTTCAAAGTCCACAGTCTCTCCCCAGCATCGTTTTCGGCAGCTCCAGCACCAACGTGGATAGGCAACAGATGTTCAAAGGTCGGATGAGCCTGTCGCGCATCACTTCGAAGCAGCAATTCTGCCAGTGCCTTTTGTCTTTCCGCTGGGGGAGTCACTACCGCGTCTTTCAATGCCTCATCAAAACTAACGGTATAGGGTAACGGGCTTGGATCTCCTGCCGTAAAGCGGAAGTCCCGCAGATTATGCACCGCCATTCCAGACACTATCACCTGGATATTCTCATCACGCAGCTGTGAAACTGCTTGTCCCAACTTGTAGTGCTGGTCGGGATCTTCGCTATCAAACAGGGACACCTGGACAACCGGAACGTTAAGAGGGTTATCCTCTGGGTCGAATGCTAAATCCTAGGCGTCAGTTTTGGGCATCCCAGACATGATTTCGAAAAGGAGGTTTTACTTACCACACTTAAAGCTTACCCATACGCCATGATCTAGTCCCCGTGTAACTCCCTCGGCCTTCATGCCGGCACTGTGAATGAGACTGATCACCTTCTCCGCAATCTCTTTGCTTCCCGCATGGGGATACTTCTCCTTATAATAATGCGGTGGGAATCCATAAAAGCTATTTCATCACCATATCAGTTTCAAATCTCTATTTTGATCTAACTATACAACAATAGCAAACTTACTCGTATATCAACTCCGTAGCCTCGGCTGTATTAACCAGGATGGTATCACTTTTTCCTTGCCAGTGAGCAGAGAACACTACAACCGCCCGTGGTTTGACCTTTCCAGTGATCTCTCGGCCAATTTCTTGCAACTTCTTATATGCCGGATGTCCATGGTTGTACATGACATTAGGCTAACGATGAAAAGTTAGAGACATATTCTATGGCTGAGACAGGTAAAATGGGTAGAAACTCACGCCGCCATGGCTTAGGAAATACACTGGAGTTCTCGCCATCTGTATTATCGTTGATACACAAGCTCTCTTGACGATTGATGGACTCCGTGGGTGCAACAGAATATATATACTGCATACTGTGACACGGATTTATAAGTGTGACAAATCTAAGCAATGTCTTATCCCCGAAAGTCCGAACCGAGCATCGCTCTTCGGGGATTAGGTATGCTTATATACGTGATGAGAAACAGCGTGGAACGTAAGAGAGTACTCTATTGGATTAGCTATGCAGTCTATATATATATCGGGCGTTGTCATAGTGGTTAAACGTAAATAGAATGCCATTAATTATCTCCTAGTCCAACCCCGTATCCAACTACATATGACATTGCTAGCGCTTGCAAAAAAGGGAACAAAAAGAAATGGGTAGGAATACAGCAACAATCATCACGTTTATACCATGAGTCATGAAGAATTAGAGGGGAAGACGGGTGTTCAAAAAAGGGGGGGATACCCTATGGTATGTGCAAGGGGAAAGGACAATTAATCCCCGCCAGGGGGGTCAAGAGGGTGTAAATATGAAAATGATGTGAAACCTGATAATCAGCGATCATGAACTCTCCAAGGCATGCAAATAAGTCTAGAGAATACAGAGTGCAAGAAGCTATGCATGGGATATCTCGAATAAAAAAATCACATAACAATGCAATCGCCTTCGTTTTTGTTGACGGCAGATCTAGAGACGCGAGTTTTCTGCATTTTCGCACCGCCTCGACGGAGCTCCTCTAATCGTTCACGAGCTTTCAGGAAATTTTGAGCTAGATGACGGCGGGTTAGATTAAGGGTGTCTTTGGTAATGAAAAAGGGGGTGAAAGAGGAGGAACCTACATGATGCTTTCCAGTACCACCTTTTAGCATCGTCAAGATTGGTGGGAACACCGATACCGACTTCGGTGAAGTAACCCATTGCATACTCTGCCTTGGCTAATCCGGCCATGGCAGCTTTGCGGGCCCAAAGGTATGCCTCTGTGTCGCTTTGTTGCAAAATACCTTCAGCACCAGTCAGGTACCATCCACTGAGAGACAATTCACTCTGATGTTCTCCCTGCGCGGCGGCCTGGGTATACCAGTAAATACTCTGTCGAGGGTCAACGGGACATCCGACTAAGCCATACTCGTACGCGGCACCAAGGCGGTGTTGAGAAAATTTATAGCCCAATTCACCTGCTTGGTGTAAGAGTTCTCGGGCGTAATTCTCGTCCTGAATGATGGCATTGTTACCCTGAGGGTTCTCGTAGAGTAGGGCTAATTCGTGTAAAGCGTGCGGGTTATCCTCGTCTGCTCGCTCAGCAGCACGTTTCAGCCAGGAGAGCGCTTCTCGCGGATTTTTCGGCTGTCCCAATAAACCCTTTAGGAGAATCATGCCCATTTTATACATTGCAGGAGGGTCACCCAAAGAAGCAGCACGCCTATACCACTGCACTGCCTTCATGGGATCACGTCGGGTGCCTCCGCCCCCTTCTTGTCCCATCTCGCAGCAAACAGCAAGTCGATAGGCTGACTCTGCATGACCCATTTTCGCAGCGGACTGGTACAAGCCAAATGCCTCTTTCGGGTTGACTTCGAGTCCAAGTTGTCCTGAACCATAACAATCCGCCATGTAGAACATAGCTGGCGGATATCCTGCGCTAACGAGCTTTTTGGCAATCTTATAGGCATCCAATGTATACCGTTCCCTATTCTTAGCCTTTGTCTTCGCGTCTGCTCGGCCGTTGTCGTCTATTAGGTGGATAGCGGCTTCAACCAACTTCTTAACCAGGACAAGTTGCTGGGCGTGGTCCGAAGGGTTGCTTCGAGCAGCCTGTTGGAGAGCATGTAGTTCGCCTAATGTGATCGGTTGGGATGCACGGCGATCGTCTCCGCCGTATGATGCAGGAGCTTGACTAGGCTGCGGCGTTGGCACCGGTTGCGGGGTCGTATACTGTCGAACCGGTGCTGGTTTTGGTCCTTGCTCGAGCCCCGGGCGGAATGGAGTTGGGTGAGGATGGTGTGGGAGGGCGTCTGGGTTTTGATAGCCGCCGTACTGGTCTTCACCTGGCCGCGGCCCTCCATACTGCGAGTCATGGGGCGGATATGCCTGTCTATTATCATACTGGCCTCTACCACCATTCTCAGGCGGAGGAGGCCCATATTGCTGATAATGTTGGGGAGGATATCCGCCTCTACCGCCACCGTAGCCACCGCGTTGTACTGGAGTCATTGATCGGGGGTCCTGTCTGCCGTAATAACCATCACCGGGCTGCTGGTGGTTGTAGCCTCCGTTGGCATAACCAGGCGAAGGAGGACGGTCATGCTGATGGTTCGCAAAGCCATTCTGAGGACCCTGTCTTTCCTGAGCAGGCTGCGGAGGAGGAATTCCTGCCGTAGGCTTATACGCAGCGTACGCAGGTTTTGGCGCCGCATCTTGCACGGGTTTATCAAACGGGATCAACGTCTCGGCATTTTGCGATCCGGCATTATCGTCAGACATTGCACCAAAGTTGGGCATGTCCGGTTCATTCGGCTCGTTTGGCTCTGTGGAGTCGTAGTAGTCGTTGAGTAGATCCTCAGTCAGATAGTTCAGGTCGTCATCTCCCTCTACCTTGTCAGCAACCTGTGCCTCTGGCTCGGTGTGGTTCGGGTGGACTAGCTCCGGCTTTACGCCTGGAGCAGTTCCCGGCCTAGATGAAACGGAGTTTGTGTCGGGGCGGAGGGCAGGGCTAAGAGGCCCCGGGCTCAAGCAAGGATCTTGCCAGGTGCGCTGGCCGGGATATAGAGGTTTCGGTCCTCCCGTGGACATGTTGACAGGCATGGTCGCACTTCGAGAGGGCGGCGCCATCTGAGGGCTCTGTAGGGCAGGAGGAGCGGTATGGTGTGTTTCAACACTGAGGGGAGCTGCAGGCTTCCTGTGTATCGGCTGGTTGTCACTCGGTGCTCGGTAAGAATTCAATGGCGGAAGAGGTTCGGAGTAATGTGTCGACGGCGGCGGACGGTTCGAGTTTGAAGTATGTGGGCGTACAACCGGCTGCTCTCCACGACCGTAGTTCTGGTTGAGTTCAAGCGCACTCATCTTCTTCTCGAGTCCGAAATCTATCGAATTACCGCGCTGCCTCGGTGGAAAAGAGGGAAACGGGTTGTCGAACGAGCTCTTCATCTGAGGTTTCGGAGGAACTGGTATACAGTTAATATATAGCCCTTACTTTCATAATTCACATTCACAGGCGATGCTTACCCTGATTTGAATACTGCCTGACAGGAGGCGGCTTATTTTGAAGTCTTCCCGGCCCAGGAGCAGGCCCAGCTCCCTGAGGCGGTTGCGGAGGTTGGTGGTGACCGTTTGGAGGGCCGCCTCTGTAGCCCTGCGGCGGCGGAGGCCCTCGAGGAGCCCTGTTCTGGGGGGGAGGGCCTTCTTCGTACATCCCACGGCCGCCTCGAGCATAGGGATCTCGCTGGCCGTAGCCGTCGTCGTAGTTCATCGGCCGGCGGTCGCCATTTGCACCAGGGGCATGAGGGAGTCGTCTATCTGGCGGCGGATACTGCTGCGGCGGCCTCCCTCCATACTGCGGTCCTGGGCCTGGAGGAGGGCCACGGCGAGGCGGAGGGCGAGTCTGGTAGGCCATGACCGCGCTATCGCTGTCTCAGTGCTAGTTATCGCTGTGCTCCGGTGCGGCTCAATTTTCCAGTCTCGATCTCGATCTCGATCGCGATGGCGATGCGCCGCCCCGCCAAAGCGTAGTGATTCAGATTGAGTGATAGAGAAGTCCAGTCTTCGCCAAACCGCACACCATCTGCTCCGAGGGTCTCGACGAGAGGTTCCAGCGAGGACCAGAGAGGACTCGAGCCCAGCAGAGCACAGCAGGCAGGCGTTTCTAAATATACAGCGCCTCTAGAAGCCGGGAGAGCGAGACAGCGCCCGAGAGAGTCCGGCCCAGGGTTCGAGAAGGGGAAAACGCGAATGCAGGAAATCGATAGTGCGAGCAACGGTTGCAGCGCCGAGCCGGCCGTTAATATAAATAAGTGAGTCAGTTGGTCGAGGGCCTGACAGGGGATGGGATGGCTGATGGCCGATGGCTGCGATGGCGATGCTTGATGGTACTAGGCGGACCACGCGACAGCCCTCAATATGTGTATATCTATGTGTAGGTGTGTGTATGTGTATGAGATAGAGTATGGATATGGATATGGAGATACGGAGTAGAGTACAGAGTAGGTATGGAGAGAGATGGAGATAGAGGTCAGACAGGAGGTTTGAGATGCGCGCTTACAGCCAGCTGACCAGCACACGACCAACCAGCCTCTGGCTACGGAGTCTGAATATATATATATCTCCCTCTTCTACATGCATGAACCTGTCGCGATGACGGCCTAGCAGCCAGATCAACCGTCACATCGCCCCGTTTAGCCATCCAGCTGTGTGACCAACCCAGCGGCAGCGTCATGGCCCCTGGCAAAGACCGTCTCTACATCGCGCTGTACCACCACAAGCGCGAAGGAGTGTCAGTATCTTTATCCCTCTGTTCTTCCTCCCCCTTTGCTTTTTCAGGCTGGCGCTAATTCGCTTCGGCTGCTGTCAGGTACCATTGGGCATATCTCGTATCGCCCAAGTCCGCCCCTGACAGCCCTAACCGGACGGTGAAGTACCATGTCACCAACGTCCTGCGGCCGGCGGAGGGTACCGTCAGGGAGGAATGGCGGTACGAACGGCTGCCGTTGGCGGAAGTCAAGTCTCCCAGGCTGCTGGCCAGGCTGCTCGTCGGTAAAGTAGTGAGCTCGAGGGGAGAGCTGGACCGGTGCCTTGATGGCGTCCCCGTCGTCCAGGATGTGAGCGAGCGAGCCGCCGTGTGCTACCGTCTAAGTCTATCTTTCTAACGGGGAGAGACGTGATAGGATCCCACCTGGAGATGCCGTACGTGGGCAAGACACGCGATGGCTGAGCTGCAACGGAGCAAGGTTCTAAGTATGGCCGTCCTCAGCCTATCCATCCATCCCCTGGGTGGCTTCTTGTCTGACATGAGTGACAGGCAGCTCGTCAGTCACCGACTGGGACGTCATCGAAGCTGAGAGTCGGGCTTACGTCGAGAGGAAGAGAGACGAGGGACGCTTCAAGGTGGTCATGGACTCGATTCCAACTTACGACCTTGTGCAAAGACGAGAGATCGTGCCTTAGGCTTGTATCTTCGCCACTGAGAACTGGATATAACTAACAGTATATGTAAAGTCAACTGTCATTCTAAGCCATTTCTACCGAGAACTCTCTCTTATACTAACAAATCTAGGCTTAGATACTTAACTGACCTCGCTAAATCGCCTATAGCTCATCAATCATATCTTCTCCGGACAAACACCCACATTGATATTCCTATGTTCGACTGTTGAGTAACACCATGGACGTATCTTATCAATGTCCTCGATATAGAAGATGAGAGCGTAACATTGCAGCAGTGCGAGCTCTGTAGATTCTATGTCGTGAGAAGCGCTCGTTATGCCTTATTCTTAACTGTAGACTCGTAGTCAGTAGTCAGTATCTGCATATGGTAGCTATGGTAAGATACTTATCTCCTTCTCTTCTTCTCTCTCTCTATATATCCTTCTTCTCTCTTTTCCTTCTCTCCTTCTCTTCTTCTTCTTCTTCTTCTTCTTCTTCTTCTTGCCTCCTTCCTTTTTCGTCTTCTCATCAGGTGACCTCATGTGACCTCATGTGACTGAATATGACCATGTGACTCCACGTGACTAAGATGAAAGGAGCAACGCCAAGACATCCTCGGACTCAGCCCTTTTAGGCCGGCTTACGTACTCACAGCAAGAAAGACCCAAAGAGCGAGAGAGGAAGAGCGAGAGAGGAAGAAAGCAGAAGAAGAGACCTGACCTTCGCCTTCATCAACGCCGGCGCCCCCGACACATCTGCCATCTTCGCCTCGACGTCTTGCGCAGCTCCGGACACCACACACGCGTCGCCAGTCTGCTGTTGAAGTTGCCACCTGTCTCGAACCCGCCCGATCGCAGAGATAATATCCAAGGCTCCGTGGCCGCTGCGAATCCAGCTGCCTTGACACAAGACTACAACCACCGACCACGACCATCAGGAGCTCTCGTTTCGTCTACACACACACTCGTCGCCATGGCCGATCGCGAACAGCCCTACGACCCGTACATCCCATCTCAGTCGAAGCCTGCAGGTCAGGATGGTCCGGCTGCGGGAAACCAGAGGACGGCGGCACTGCAAGCTGTAGGTCATTTGCTTCCTGTTTCGGGTTGTTTCGTGTCGCTGGGGGCGGGAATCAGAGGAGAGGCAGCGTCTGGAGGGGAACAGCTCGTGTAATAGCCCGGGAGACGTTATCTATGGGCGTCTTGCCAGCTGTCTTGCTCTTCTCTGCTTCTCGCTCCCTGGTAGACTATATCAGGGCACTCTTTGCTGGCTAGCTCTTAAACAACGTCCCTACGAACCATGCTGACAGATGTTACTAGCAAATCGATGACACCGTCGATGTGATGCGGGAGAACATCAACAAGGTCTCCCAGCGCGGTGAGCACCTCGACTCCCTACAAGACAAGACCGACAACCTGGCTGTTTCCGCACAGGGCTTCCGCAGGGGAGCCAACCGCGTGAGGAAGCAGATGTGGTGGAAGGACGTCAAGATGCGCATATGCTTGATCGTCGGTATCATCTTACTGCTCATCGTCATCATAGTTCCAAGTACGTTCTCTAAGCCTCCGTGTGCTTCTATATATAGAACCCTGCTTACCGTTCATGCAGTTGTCGTAACGAAGAATAAGTGATTTATGCACGACCTCCCTCTCAAGTTACATCCCCTTCGCCTGTTCGACAACACGGCCGCGCACCGTTTTACCGTCGAAGCCATTCAACCAGCGAAGTCTCACCATCCCATCTCATGAATCTCCTTCTATTACTCCCCGACGTTAAATCCGCCACTCGTGTGTTCCGATGCCTGTCTCGCTGTCTCATTCCGGCAGTGGAATCGGGTTTCCTTGGTGCTCGCTCGATGACCTCTTTTGATATTCTTAATACCATGATTTTGCCCGCTCCAAAGCAAACAAGCAACCGCCCAACCACCTGGAGTCGCCGTTATTAGGGACAGGGTATAGAGGGTAGGGCCGTGACTGGATGCTGCCTGACACTTGGTCCCTTTCATGCTTTACTGATATCCCCCTGTTTTTGCTTCCTTTTTGGCCTCGACAACACCGTAATATGTTAAATAGCGACAATTATAATGGCTGTGCGTGTTTGTTCTGCTTTCTCTGTTTCTGCTTCTATTTCTATTCCTGTTTCTGCTTCTGTTCCTGTTTCTGCTGTTTCGTTCCTACATGTCCTGTTATGTCATGTCCCTGTACAAGATGAGCTGCAACTGTTTCCTAATGCCCTCAACGTCTTTGATGCTGTAACTGGACTTTGACGTAGTTAAAGCTGCACCCTTGATAGACTCTATGCATCTACTCCAAAATCCACAGCTGCACTATAAAAAGCAACGCTATACTTCACCATGTAAGATCTACGCCAATGGCAGTGGGCCGCTACACAGGGAACAGGGCCAGCAAGCTCCGGGGTACATCTCCCCAGCATCATTAACTCTGCAGCTATACATATATATTATCTCTCTTATACTGCGGGATACTCGTCTTTAGCGGTCCCTGCAAACTTCTTTATATTACTTTTCAGCTTCTTATCGCTAAAACTTCTTTATCGTGTTCAGAGCCGAAATCGGCTGCGGTGAGCGAGAACCCAAAATTCTTCCCACCGCTTGGCCCACCCCCGGGGACTCTGCGCGACCTGTGAGTAATTCGACTTCCACCGCAACTCCGTCTTCTTCTACATCTTCGCCGTCGAGAGACTCTTCACTCACTGATACCATAGCCTCCAGGACCGCTGTTAGAAGCTGCTGCATGCAGAGTCGGACGATGTCTAGCTACCTCACGCGGAGAGCTTGCTCCAAGCTTGCTGCCGGACGTCTTGCTCGCTCCACAGTGCTGGGGTCTCCTTGTCGACTGCTACCGGCCTCATCGATAGCATTGAAGCATTCAGCACCCAGCCAAAGACGCTGCTATACCTCTTCTCGATACCAGCCTCATCTCTCGACTCGCTCGACCGTCGTTCAGCTGCTCAGCAACATCGGCTCGAAGCGAGAGGTCCAGCAGTACCTCTCCCACTTTACCTCGGTCTCATCCCAGCAATTCGCAGTGATCAAGGTCGGCGGTGCCATCATCACTGAACACTTGCAGACCTTGTCCTCGGCACTGGCGTTTTTGAACCATGTTGGACTCTACCCCATCGTCGTCCATGGTGCCGGCCCCCAGCTGAACAAGATGCTCGAGGATGCCGGTGTGGAGCCCCAGTTCGAGGATGGAATTCGGGTCACGGATGGAAAGACGCTGGCGTTGGCCCGGTCACTGTTCATGGAGGAGAATCTCAAGCTGGTCGAAGAGCTGGAACGGTTGGGCGTGAGAGCCAGACCGCTTACGACCGGTGTCTTCTCGGCGGATTATCTGGACAAGGAGAAGTATGATCTGGTTGGGAAGATTAATGGCGTCAACAAGAAGCCCATCGAGGCTGCAATTGAGGCTGGATGTCTTCCCATCCTGACTTCCATGGCCGAGACGCCCGAGGGCCAGGTGCTCAACGTCAACGCGGACGTTGCGGCCGGTGAGCTTGCTAGGGAACTACAGCCGCTGAAGATCGTCTATCTTGCCGAGAAGGGAGGCCTCTTCAACGGAGATACCGGCGAGAAGATCTCGGCTATCAACCTGGATGAAGAGTACGATCATCTCATGAAGCAATGGTGGGTTCGTCACGGAACTCGTCTAAAGATAAAGGAGATGAAGGAGCTCCTTATGGACCTCCCGCGCACGTCCAGCGTTGCCATCATCCACCCAGCCGATCTCCAGAAGGAACTGTTCACCGACACCGGTGCCGGGACCCTGATCCGACGAGGTAACAAGGTACTCACCAGGAACAGTATCGATGAGTTTGAGGACGTCGAGGCGATGAAGAACGCTCTCGTTCGTGATCGTGAAGCCCTAGATGCCAGAGCAACTGTTGACCGGTACGTCGAGGCCCTCAAGGGCCGAGATATCAAGGCTTACTCCGACGAGCCCATGGAAGCCCTGGCAATCGTCCTGTCACCCAAACCCGGCTCATCGTTGGCTCATCTGGCCAACATGTCCATAACCAAGGCTGGCTGGTTGACCCACGTTGCCGATAACGTTTTCACCAGTATCCAGAAGGACTTCCCCAAGCTGGTATGGACCGTCAAGGAGGATGACGAGAACTTGTCTTGGTTCTTCGATAAAGCTGACGGTAGCTTGAGCCGTGACGGCGAGGTTCTCTTCTGGTCCGGTGTTCAGGATGCGGATGAAGTCAAGAACCTCGTTCTCGAGTTTACCAAGAACGGACGTGATATGTTGGGGAACCTCAGTCTAGAGTCTTCTCTACAGGGTAACGCTACGCAGGCTCCCAGAGCGCCGTCTGGCGGCCTCGCTTCGGCGGGTGCACAGCAGAAGAGAGCCTTCTCAACGGCCAGCAGCACATCTACTCTTCGATCGTTCAGACAGCAAGTAGCAGCCAACTTCTCCTCAACACGATCATACACGACCAAAACCAACCCCAATCCACCACTGGGCAAGAAGAATGCATCCAACACCAAGCCTTCAAAGGTTGCTCTAATCGGTGCCCGTGGCTATACAGGACAAGCCTTGATCAGCCTGCTCAGTGCCCACCCATACATGGACCTGGCACACGTTTCTTCCCGCGAACTCGCAGGAAAACCTCTCCAGGGCTACGAGAAGCGTGAGATCATCTACGAAAACCTCAGCCCCGACGACGTCAAACGGATGGCCGAACACGGCGACGTTGACTGTTGGGTCATGGCCATGCCGAACGGCGTCTGCAAGCCTTTCGTCGACGCCGTCGATCAAGTTGACAAAGAGAGGGCCGTCATCGTTGATTTGAGCGCTGACTATCGGTTCGACAGCAACTGGACCTACGGCCTACCTGAGCTCGTTAGCCGTTCTGCCATCGCCCAGGCCACTCGTATTTCGAACCCGGGATGCTATGCCACCGCAGCCCAGGTCGGTATTGCGCCATTGGTCCCTTATCTAGGTGGCCAGCCCACCGTGTTCGGTGTCTCAGGTTATTCTGGCGCGGGAACGAAACCAAGCTTGAAGAACGATGTGAATCATTTGACGAATAACATCATCCCGTACAGTCTCACGGACCATATCCACGAGAAGGAAATCGGTATCCAGCTCGGTGCAGAGGTCGCCTTTATTCCTCATGTCGCCGTCTGGTTCCAGGGTATTCACGTAAGTTCTTTCTCAACTTCATCCTCGTTAGTTCGATGTAAATACTAATTATCTATAGCATACCATCAACATCCCGCTGAAGGAGTCTATGGCATCGCGTGATATTCGCAATCTCTATCAGGACCGTTATGCAGGTGAAAAGCTCGTCAAGGTTGTTGGCGAGGCACCTCTAGTCAAGAACATCTCGGGCCGCCATGGCATCGAGGTCGGGGGTTTCGCCGTTCACTCCAGCGGCAAGCGTGTCATTGTCTGTGCAACCATTGACAACCTGCTGAAGGGTGCTGCTACTCAATGTCTTCGTATGTCACCTCTCTCTACCCACCTACCTACCTACCTATGGTATGCTCCACCGAAGTAAAATTATATGCTAACCCGCCCCTTCTATAGAAAACATGAACCTTGCTCTAGGATATTCCGAATACGAAGGTATCCCCATGGACAAAAGCAGCTAACTGATCTCTCTATCTACCTCACCAATTTCTTAAAAGCCACCTAGACCCCGTTGCAGCCATAGATTTCTTCCATTCCGATCTTCTAGCTGAACGCTCGCGTTTCGTCTCCCGTTCCTTTCATTTTCCTCATATTTCCTGTTTCGCCTTCCTTCTGCCTCCTTGTGACCGGCGCCGTCCTTCTCGGCTTATGCTCATGATCTGCGCGTATATCCTTCCATTTTCCTTTGGGATTCCTTTTGTGTAAACTGTGCAAAATACATCTGTCTGTCCGCTTCTAGGTTCGTGTCTGAATCATGTTACCATGTACTTTTTTCCGTTCAGCCTAGGCTTTTTCACAGGATTTCTTATTTCCTCGTTCTGTTTTGTAAGTAGGGGCTGTGAAGCTCTTATTATCTAGCATGCTGTTAGATAGTTGAGCGAGGGTTTCTAATAGAGTCCTAATTATCAATTTACTCCTTCCGATAGATATCCCAACCCTTGTCCCTGGCAGTTTTCAGCTGATAATATCAAGCCCAAAAGCTATGCCTGTAGTTCTCTATTCATCATGACCGTATAGTGCATATATACCCCTATCTATATCCTTATATCCTTATATATATAGGCCATCTGGGGGTTCTGCCACTTCACTTCCCAAAAGGGAACTCGTGGTCTCTCCGCCTTCTGCCCTCCCCCTCACTTCCCGATTCGGACAGCGCGTTTCCTTTCTTCTTTCTCTCGACTTCATCCTCTTTTCTCGCGCTGTCTACTCTCTCTTCCTCTTATTCTCTCATCATATACCTACTCGTCTCGAGATAGAGCTTCTTATAGCTCGTTAGACAGCCATATAACTACGATTTGAGGCACGGTCAAGAGGCTTAACACGATGTTCTACAGTCACGAAAGTGAGTGCCCTTCTGGTTTTGATTTGGTAGATATACAGCATAAGAGAGTTGATTTAAAGATGTCCTTCTATATGTGTTCTGCGGATTGTTGCTGACATCCTCCTTCTGCCTATACTAGTTCTCACGTCGCGTGAGCATGGCGTGGCTACAGTCTGGTGGGTTCCTTATCGCCATTATACAGGCAGAAGAGCTTTTAAAAACGTCACTAACCAGGGGCGGGTATTTCAATAGGCTTATTGCGACACTCGGCGCAAAGTCGACCACCAGAAAGGTGAATAGAAAGGCCATCTTAGACGTGGACGTGCCCAAGGCCTGTGATATGATTATCCGCCCAGATGCCCCAATGGCACTAAGATTACAAGGAAACTTGCTGTAAGCTTCGATATTGGCTGTTTACTCTGCACATAGCTAAGCACGATATGACAGTTACGGGATATCAAAAGTTTATCATCAACAATGTGGATACGCCCTCATCGATGCCGAGGCGACAAAGGATCGGATGAGGACCATGTTGAGAGTTATTCATAATGCCGGGCTCGATCCAGATGCTGGAAAGGCCAGGTGAGTATATGCGGCCTTGGTGCGAGTTAGAGACTTGGTAACAGTGATTTTAGGCCAGATCAACTCGTGCTGCCCCATGATCCAACATTTATCCCAGAGCTTATGCTTCCAGGGCTAAACGTCGATCTATCGGCCTTAAACCTGGGTTTGGAATGGGACTCTCCTCGTAAATCCAGCCTGATACCAAGCTCTTTACCACGCTCAATGGCTTCCAATCGGTCCGCTGCTGAGCAAGTGCAACTAAACCTTCCATCCTCAGAAATCGGTGGTATTCAAATGGCAGACGGGTTCGGGTATATGAGTGAATTGAGCAGTGCGATAAAGGAGCCTCAAGTAGAACTTCCGCCCTATCTTGGTGATGAAGCAGGCGTACTATTGCAGCCAGACTTTGAATTTGATGGCGATGGAAACATAATAGAGCTATCCCCAAAGAAAGCCACAGAGCCCCATGGCGGTGGGGAAAGTGATATCCAAGTGAGGGATGACCGTCTGAGCGTCATGAGGAATACAGCCATCGACTTCCATGACGATGGCAACCAGGTGAGGCGAACTTGAGAGCTCTGGTGAGATATTTATGTATACTAACCCCACCGCGTAGCTTGATGGAGATATCCAAATGCCTGATATTGATGTGATCCAGGGCGGGAGAGCTGGGGGTTTGCTGGCATCTGACGGCCCACTGCATGCGCGAGAACAAGGGAGCGATCCTGACTACTCTCATATGCACGATATATCCTCAAACCCGGGTGAAGTCAAGGCACGCTTCAGGCAACGACATCCAAGGATGTTCGGAATAGACGAGCCCGCCGAGCTCAGGAACTCTGACCTAGCACAATGGAATTCAGATTATGCACAAAACATGGTTGCTGCCGCCAAAGCAAAATCGCACAACAAGCTTATTACCATTGCCAAAAAGAACGCTGCCTTCTGGGTCTTGGGCTCAGGAATTGGGGCGGTAGGTGTCGGGCTAGGAGCAGGAGCAGTGCTACATCCATTAGCTGCATTTTCCGGCGACCAGCTACTAGCATCGTTGACAGGTGCCCCTTGCAAGCAGAGGTGTAGAAAGCGAAGCCATGGTGAAACGGATACCAACTATGACAGTGACGGATCTGCGGGAAAGAGGGCTCGCGCGAGAAATGGCGACCCTGAAATTGGCCTTAATGAAGGTATAGAAGCAGACGATGGCCCCGGTCTGATAGTTGAAGTAGGTTGCCCGTAAACTACCGGAAGGCAATGAATTTTATACTCTAACATAGCTGTAGGATATCGAGGTCGGCCGACGGGCACCGGCGCCACTTCGTGATGATGATTTATCCCACATGCCATGGAACATCACAGCGTCTATAAAGAGCTCAGCTCGGGGTTCATCGGTGTACTCGCGCCAGATTTTCGCAAGCGGCGGTCTGTTCTCAAGCATAGGAGGGCCACGTTCTATCGTGAGCCCCGGACCAGATGGCGCCCCGTCCATTGCCAATGCAGCCTTTCGTCGAGGGAGACTCCGAAGTGCAAGTCCACTCGCTGGCCGCGGAGGCATGCTAAACATCCAGCTGCCAAGTGATCAGGATGTCGATATGGACACCTTTAGTGGAATAGACGCAGCTCAGTTCATCGACGAAGACGGCCAGCTCGGAGAGCAGCCGGAGAAGGAAGGTGTCCAGAAGCCCAAATGGCTGAGTAGCAGCCTTGACCAGGAAACCGTCAACTTCTACGAGTATCTGAAGTCTCGAATTGAGGAGGACCTAGAGGCCGGAGCTGGAGTTCCAGGGGTATCATTCACCTCGCTTCTCCCCCCCGAATTGAGCTCTCGTATCATCGCGACACAGGCACTACTGCACGTCCTGACCCTGGCGACGAACGGGGCTCTTCGAGTGAAGCAGGAGGTTGCCAGCAGTCCAAGGAGCGTGCAAGACACGGGGGACATCTTTATGGTGCTTGGTAGCTGAACACGCGACTCACATCTCACATGCATGCAAGCAAGTGCCCAGCGACCCGGTTCCTGAAGACGTCACATATAATCTGACACATTTGACCATCCAAATATATCTATCTGCACTTTTAGTTTCGCATTTAAGGGGAGGCTCTGCGGAGGACGGTTTCTATCTCAGCCATGTACCTATTAGCTATGCATCTTTAATGTCCATTTATGCTACCTTGTCCTTACCTCCATGTCGCCGTCCTGCAGCTCGCCGCGTCTCAAGGGCCACGAAGCGACGCAGATTTGCACTGCCACAAGGGCTTGGCGGAGGACCCCCGGCCTGAAACAACCTCATCCTCCGCGCTCTTCGTCTCTGCGACTTTCAGCCAAAGCATCAACAAGGGCGAAGACACACACCGCGCCCAGCTTCACTCTCGCTTCTTCACCCTCTGGTCAGCGTGAATAGTCTACGGCTGCCACTGCTCGAACCCGCGCCCTCCGAGTCCTCCTGAGCGTTAGGCTTGGCAATCGTCGTCAGCCAAAAGAGCGTTACCTGTTCCACTGAGATCCACCGTCCAGGCGCCGCGTTTCTCAATATACCGTCCCCAGAGACATCCAACGGGGTTACAACATACACTTGCTCGCCGTCATCGAACACATCTGAGCTCCTACCGTGCATCTGTCGACTCTGAATACCGACTTGCCCCTCGAACTGCGCCGTGTTTCACAAGTCGAGCCGTCCGCCATTCGCTCTCGTCGCTCAGATGACCTGAAGACATTACGGACCTCATGCTTCATTCGCTGGTTTAATTATTGAAATCAACCTCGCCGACTGTCCCTCGTTTATAACCATCGTCTAATATACGCCGTTTTCAACCGTTCTCCCATTCACCTTCTCACAGCAACCATGCTATCTTCATTTCAGTCTCCCAGGTCATGGATATCTCTCTTGACACCGTTGCTAGGGGCCCAGGTGGCTCTGGCATCGATTAATCTAGACTTGGGAAGCGATGGTAGGTTACCTATCTCACCTTTGAATAAATAGGAGTAGTTGCTAACCTGTGCGTGTCGTGGTGATAGCTTCCATCAAGAAAGCTGCAAGCGATATCGCCTTTGGAATGGTATCTTACTATACCGGAAACCACACCGGAGATGTCCCAGGCAATTTGCCAGACCCATACTACTGGTGGGAGGCCGGCGCGATGTTCGGAGCTCTCATAGATTATTGGCACTACACAGGCGACGACTCCTATAATAAGATCACGCAGCAAGCAATGCTTCACCAAGTCGGAAAAGATAAAAACTATGAGCCTAACAACCAAAGCCGCAGTCTTGGAAATGACGATCAAGCGTTCTGGGCTATTACAGCAATGACCGCTGTTGAGACTAAATTCCCTGACCCTCCACCGGAGGAGCCGCAGTGGCTTTATCTTGTCCAAGCGGTATTCAACCGTCAGGCAGCGCGTTGGGATGAAGACACCTGTAAGGGAGGACTAAGATGGCAGATTTTTACTCTCAACAATGGATATCACTATAAGAATGCGATCTCCAACGGTGCTTTCTTCCATATGGCCTCACGCCTGGCGAGGTACACCAACAATGGCACATATGCTGAATGGGCTGAGAGGGCCTGGGACTGGATGACTGCCGTCAAACTTATCAGCCCAACCTACCAGATTTTCGACGGTACTGATTCTGTCGACAACTGTTCCAGCATCAACCATATTCAATGGACTTACAATAACGGTATCTTGCTCCTTGGTGCTGCTCACATGTACAATCACGTAAGTTCTTTTTCAAGGCCCCGTTCCCTTTGTTAGTGCATATATAAGTAATTTAACTAACACATTCACTAGACTAATGGAGATGCCAAATGGAAAACTCGTCTCGACGGTCTTATCACAGGCGCCGGGGTCTTCTTCTCACAGAAAGAACCAAAAGGCGTTATGATTGAAGTCGCCTGCGAAGCCAATGGGAACTGCAACAACGATCAACGCTCGTTCAAAGCCTATATGAGCCGCTGGATGGCCGCAACCATGCTATTAGCGCCACACACCCAGGAAATCATTCTGCCTCTGATCCAGGCATCAGCAAAGGCGGCAGCCCTGCAATGCAATGGCCCCAATAACGCATGTGGCCTCTACTGGACCAAAGGCGCAGACTGGGGTACTTCCAAGACTGGAGTAGGCGAACAGATGTGCGCCCTGGAAGTTATTCAATCCAACCTCTGGAAAAACATCAAGGGTCCCGCCAACATCAAGACCGGTACGAGTAAGGGTGATCCGAGCGCTGGTGGTGGCCCTGCAATGAAGCAACCATCAGTAATCGACACTGGAGACAGAGCCGGCGCTGGATTTTTGACTACTATCATTCTACTAGGCATTGCTGGTGGCGTATGGTGGATGGTATCATAAAGATATTCCCTTCTGCTTTTCGTTTCCTTTCACATGTACGTATGCATTTGCTTTTGGTGATCTGATCCTTCATCCAAGCTATATCTTTGACTTTTTGACCGTTCATTTTCTCTGTCAACACCAACTCACACACACATGTAACCCTATTGCGTCCCAACTTTGTCGCCCAATTTCATATTATCCGTTTCTATTCCCATCCCTTTACCCCTTTCCTTCACACCATCGCTGTTTCTATCGGAGAACTGGAGTGTAGAGGCGTGGCTGCGCGTCTTAAGGCTATTCATGATTTTGTTTCTCGTTCCCTTGCTTCGTTACTCGTCTGAAGATATTACCTTTTCTCTTTGTCATTTACAAGTCCAGGGCACCCTTCCTAAAGTAAATACTACACTTATGCTCATGCTTTGCCTGTCTATGCCTATTCTGTGATGTCAAAGAAAGACTTTGCTTTCTAATTAATGCTATATCTTAATACATTTTATGTATCTCTTATATACATGAGTGGAATATTCCAAAATAAAACAAAATATACTGTCATGGATTGATAAAATGATGCTCTTTAATGTCAAAAAACCCTTAAAATACACCTGTTGACAACGCCTTCCTTGGAATTTGACCTTGACTTTAATATATAGTACATAGAATTTCATAAATAAGGTATCACCAGCTACGGATCCCCGTTGGCTATGAAACCAGAACAAGGCATGCATTATACGAAGCGTCGTGGCATGGAGGGAGAGGGAGTCGAGAGTGAACGTAGCCCATTCCTGGTTGCCAACTTGGTAAGGCATCCAGGTCACCATAGAATGGGAGCTCATTTGTCCATGATTTTGATGATATCAGTGAAATGGTCACTTCTCCGGTTTTTGTTCCTTCTCGGATACCTTAATAGCTTCCCAGACTGCAAACACATTTCTGTCAGCCGCATGAAATCGAGAGATCAAGGTCCGAGTATAACCCAACCACATTATGTAAATTATAGAGACGTACTGTTCTTATCTGACTTTGCATGTTCCTTCAAGTTTGTTACAAAATCGTTGAACTCCTGTTGCCGCCTTTCTCGGTTCTCCAAGTTCCGCTTTTGTAGCTCGGGATTGAATCTCTGTAACGGTGAATTTTATCGAATTAGCCATGTTATCTCAGGCGGAATGGTGGTGTATTCGCTCTATCAACGGGAGGCGGTTTGGGCGACACGCGGCAAGTAAGGCATGCGCATACCTTGAATAACTCTTCCTCAGTAGGTCGCACGTATTCTACCAGTGCTGGACCGCCGATAATCAGTATCGAGCCTCTATATTCTCAATAACTGTTAGTTGTCTTTCTTGTATTGTTAACAGGTTATAAGATAGATGTGACGCTTACCCAACCAGCATCTTGGTCCATGCCCGAGCCGACCTCATAATGGATATACGGTACTTCCGTACGGTCCGATATATTAAAAGAGTGAGTAATTGCAATAGTCTTGAAGAAACAAGTGTTCTATCTCGACCTCTTCATTGCGATTTTCCTGGAGGTCAAGCTTATCCTGGCTATCTGACTTTATTCCATTTGTGGCTAGCGCAAGTTCTTCCTCTATCAACTCGAACGTCAAGCCATGAAGAAGCGTTAACCAGATAAGTTATAGAGAGTGATAGCATCTTGCCTGGCAAGAGGAATTATACCAAAGAGTCGTCTCTAAAGAACTTATGATATCCTTCAGTTTACTCATTATAGGTTGCTACCACTTCAAGAACATCGACAGGTTTCTGGCAAGGCCGTAACCACAGACAACAGCTAACTCTCCCTCGGCTAGGCTAATATGAGCTAAATGCATGGGTTTCGCAGTAGAATAGCTTTTGTGGCTAGTCGGATACCTTTTTTTTCGGTTTCAATCCCTTTGAAGTGCTGAACTTGAGGCTTACGATAGGCGATGGCTCAAAATAAAGCTGACCACGAGATTGACTCCGGGGAAATGTGGTTATAGTCTTGCAAGGAGAAGACTCCCAACTGTCTGAAGAAACGTTTAGGTAGCTTCAAAACATCTGGCACTGGCTTCAACGGTTTTTAACAAGACTTCTGGAGGAGACTGGAATGAAGCACACCAGCCGAGGAATAATGGATATATGTGAATAACCCTTGAAGGGTTTATTACTCCCTTCTAGAAATTCTCTTCCTATCTATCTGGCCCTCTACTAATAATCTTACTAGTTATTACCACCCTTTTATCCGCACACATCTCTCTCGTATCAGTCCACGGAGTATCTACATACTTACCTAGATACTAAGGAAGGAGAGGACGTACATATAAGCTAGACAGGCCTCAGTCAGGTATATGGCTCTAAAATGGAAATTAAAGGAATGCCTCTAGGCAAATATTCTTGTTAACAGGAAGATCCAAACACTTAGGCCCATGCTCTCTACTTAGAAGAGGATATAGTTCAACAGGATGGTAACGTTTATTAATTATATATATTTAAAGATTTCAAGACAGATTTATACACTAAGATCTAGTGTGGTCTATTTCGGGTTTTTGCTAGACTGGCCATCTATAACACGGTTGCTTCATGCAGCAAGGCTCTTAGGAGCTTCGGTTGCTGGTCCCTCAGGAGTGACGTAGGCCTAGCACAAGATTAACAAGGGTGGTCATGATTAAAATATAGATGCGAGGCAACTTACCCTGGTCATACCACCATCAACGACGAAATCTGTGCCATTGACAAAGCTGCTCTCGTCACTAGCGAGGAACACAACGGCGTGCGCCTGCTCGACAGCCTCTCCAAATCGGCCGGGCGGAAAATGGATCTCACGTCTGAGGCGTTTGGGGGCATCATCACCGAGCCAATCTTGAAGGAGAGGGGTGCTATTGTTACATATCAGCAAAGCGGTATCTCATGAGTTGTTTTGGTGGGAGATAACTTACTTCAATGGGGCTGGGCATAGCGAGTTGAATCGGAAGCCCTCACGGGCATGAACAATGGCCAATTCCCTGGTCATGGCCAGGACGGCTCCCTTACTCGCAGTATATGCAAGCTGTGGCGTGGCACTGCCAACAAGAGCAACAACGCTAGCAGTGTTAATGATACTGCCCTTGGTCTTCTTGTTCTTACGCAGACTGGCAACAGCATGTTTGCACCCGAACCATACACCCTTCACGTTGATGTTTTGAGTCAGATCCCAAATCTTCTCTGGGGTATCAATAGCGTCTGCATCATCGGCATGCATAATACCGGCATTATTGAAGATTATATCCATCCCACCCCAAGAATCCAAAGACTCGATCATGGCTTTGACGTCAGCTTCCTTGGAGACATCACACTTCACCGTCTCTATCTTTGAGCCAGCTGGAACTGCCTTCTTCACTTTGGCAAGCGCAGTTTCGAGGGCCGGTTCGGATATATCTGCCATGAGAACGGAGGCACCCTCTCGTGCAAAGAGGATGGTTGTCTCGAGGCCAATGCCACTATAATACAGCCGGATTAGCTCCAATCTTCTCAGGAAGAAACAGGAAGCCGTGGACTATGAAGAGCCGTCATATCTCACCCTGCAGCACCGGTTATAATGGCATTCTTGCCCTGAAGTCGTCCTCCGCCAGCCATGATGAACGATCGAGTCGTGATGCGGGGGTGTGCTGTACTCCGGGTTAGATTCAGGAAAACCTACAGACACTCCAGCCAAGGGAGGCTTCTAACACTGCTGTACTCACCAAAAGCCGTATAGATTGCCAGAGTAAAGCAAAGATGCTGTTGTATAATGTTGTTCCAGCATTCGGAGAAGCGCGACAACGAGCGCGACAACGAGGGGCAGGATGAATCAGCCGAGCCGACCCCACTCGGTGGAGCAACTCTATATGATATAAACATAAGCTTCTGCCAACATCTTTGGAGTTTGTTCTATCAAGTTTCAACATCTTGACCATTCTGCTGATGAGGGCTCGTTTGTCTCTGTCCGTTGCCGCTGTGCTGTACGGAGCATATTTTCCTAGGCGGGCGCTGAGGAAATACCCCTCCTGGTCATCTTCCTGGGGAATGGAATTATGCGGACCAACGCGTTCACCTTCAGGGTCTATGCAATGCAACTCCCGAGATATTGCCGCTTGTTGAAACTGGGATTTTTGATTACATTTACCGATCCCTGGCTGCATGCGTTGCCATGTCAGTTTAATGCTAGGGACTATATTTGATCAATTATACCCGTGCTCGTTCATGTGGCCTCCTTCTTTCTTAACCCACCATCCATTCTAGCCTCATGCCTTTTAGCAAAGAGGACGCCTCCAGGACTATACTAAGGAGCGCGGTTCGAGAAATCTGAAGCTGAATCAATATAAAAAACAAGACGATAGAGCGGGACTCGCGGAAGCGGGATCTCGTTTCCCCCGCATCCCCATGGCATGCATGGGGCCAAAGACTTTACCCAGGCACTGGAACCATTTACATGGTGCAATTGATATCATATGGAAGCGTGCAGAGAACCAATGGATTAGTGGACTTCTCATCCGTTCTCCTCTTTTGAACCTGACCGAGGATCGCTTGTTGGCGACGACCAGCCTGAATCCAACAATATCGTGGCCTATATTGCATATACCTATCTCTAATAGAGTAAGGTATGACGCTGAACTGGGTCGGTTTGGCTTCATCCTCGCTGAACCCCGACTAAACCCCCGACCAAGAACCCCGAGTATTATTTTATGATGGCCCGTGAGCTGCAACCTGAGCATGGGTTGACCGGCTAGACAGAAGTCTGGACAATTACAGGGTGATATCAACCAAGTCAGGGTGCCATTCCAATATCTGGGGCCTTTCTACCCATGAGGATCATTTATATTCAATGTGCAGGAAGTAGCAGCCAACACGCATTAACAGGGACTCAGGTAAACCCCTCACCAGAGTTGATTCCTAACTAAGTTAACTGAACTTGATATTTGGAATAGGACAGACATACGTTGTACATTTTGAGTATCGGAAAGATTTGTTCCCCCTGTATTAGCGATCTACTAGATCCTAGTAGTTAGGGGGTACGTCGACACTGATATATATGGAAAGCAACATGTAATCCCCTGTGCCGAACGATATCTATTTAAGAAAGCTCAATAGGCCCCCTTGGGTTTGGCATCTCCCATCACAATTCACTTTCTCAAACACATCTAACTCCCATCCGTTCTTCTCATAGAGAATAGTTGTCACCATGGTGAACATTTACCAAACCCTGGGGTTGGTTCTCAGTGCTGCAGCTTTCCTAGCTAATGCAGCTACAATTCCGTCGACGGAAGAACGTGCCGTCCGTAAGGTGATTCCTGGCCCAGGAATGCCTAGTTTGGAGTCACTTGGAGTCACCTCGGAAGAGTTGTATCAACAGACTACCAGCACAGGTTAGTTCCCGGATTTTCAGCTCGAGATATGTGCTGACGTTCTCTCAGAGGCCTTCAAGGCCATGGCAAGCTTAGCAACTCAGGGACAACCAAGCTGCCTCCTCGGGAGGTACTGCACATACGAAGACGCCCTAGCCTGTCACCACTACCTTGCACGACTCGGTACTCAAAACTGTACCGTCGGCAGGACCATTGTGATAATGGTTACCGCAGGGAATTGTCGATTTGAGGCCGTCAATATTGGTGGTAATCCCTCAACGACTTCCCACTGGTAAGTAGTCTGAGAACCCTAAACCAAGCACTGTACATATCATGCTAATGGGTCCCTCTCCCCATCAATAGCGTGGATGTTGCAATTGGGACCTCATGGATGTTCGCGCATTGCCGTGTCGAAAACAGTATAAATGGTAAGAGCCAAGGCATATAAAACTAGGTAAATCGTTTTGTTCCCAGGCTGACACATAGTTACTAGGTGCAAATGCTGCAAATGGCAACGGAGACCTCTTTGTGGTAATCAATCACATTTAGGAATAGGCTGGCAAAATTAGAAGACCACGGTTTACCCTGCAAGAGCACTGTGTTTGGTCTTAATAATGTATTATAAGCACGGGAAGTATCAGATGTGCAGTATGGCGCTGGCTGGCCCATGGTATCACCTTCTTAGTTAAATATGATAAAATTTTGTATACAGATACTTGAATGTTTGCGCTAAAAGGAAAAAGGAGGTACCCGTTGGATATATCGCACTATATAACCGCGTACAGCCCCCTTGTTGAGATAGTGATGGTTATATATATTAAATAGATAATGAGTCAGTAGTTAGGTAACTACTTACTAGCTATACTCAGCTACTGGCAGCCTCACTACAAGTAATCATTATATATATCATAGTAGCCATAATTACTAAAACTATCTAGGTATAGTACAAATTAAGGATTTAATAGAACAAAGTAACGCCGGTTGCCTTTTGTTCAAATAGAGTAGTTATTTATTACTCTCACTCAACAGGCATACTCTGAGGGTCACAGGGGTTCAAATCCAGCACCATTTTGTTTTTACCATTGCTTGCCATCGAAGTGGTCGGTTTTTGTGGAAGAGAAAGGTCAGATAGGTCCGAATCCTCATCAGCCCAGACACCGAACATCTCGTCGTCCTCATCGTCTGTTCTATAGCTATCATCCCGAGGTTCCGCGGCACCAGCCATCGCGGCAACACGCTGCAAAACCCAGTGGAGTTCCAGAAGGTCAGCATCCGGGAGAGGAAGGCCAACTGGGTCTGTAGTTTCTAGGACAATTCGGCTACCGGTGGAGATAGGCAGCCCAGTTGTCACATCCCATAGACCTACAACTCCACCAGTACTATCCTCTCTAAGCTGTACAACAGGTGCGGCGAAAGGCTCTGTGGACACTCGAAGTGACTGAGGGTCGTCAAAGTGAGGTAGCCACACAAACATAACAGTACAGCTGGTATTGTCCTCGCTGCTTCCGAGATGTTTAAGAGCAAAGTAAGCCTTGCCCTGATAGGCATGGACGTGAGGTGCTAGGCAGAGAAGGTTCTTTGGGGTCTCGGTGGTAGCTTGAATCGCACTGAGCCACCGCTCGACCTTTTCCTCGGGCCAGAAGATCTTCAAGACCTCCCACGGACTGTACATCTGTGACCTCGCTTCCTCGGTTTGAAAACCTCGCATGGCGAAAGGGAATATATGAGCTACCTCGATAGGTTCGCCAGATTTTGTGACGACACATCTTCTTCGGTCTCGTTGGCGGCACTAGCCCCCGTCAGCATGTAGGAATAATTTCTGATAGACAAACAATCTAAACAAACTCACAAGCTCGCTCTGTAGTTGGTCCCTTGCATCCCGTCGTCGCTTGAGAAAAGTGGAGGGCAAACCAGACACATCTGGTCGGGTTGGGGTACTGGGCTGGGGCGGGGTTGTAGTTGTCGAAGTGGCTCGGCTACTAACTCGCGTCCGTTGCGTCCCTAATGACTATCTGTTAGTATCATTCTTTACGTGACGCAATAATATTGCTATCATCCAGCAGATACACCGAGGGAGGACTTACAGTGCCGCAGCAAATTGCTTTCCTGGAGAAGATACTCGTAGCCTGCCAGACCTGCCTTGGGAAATGGACTGTGCTTGACGCCCTCCACGATCCGCCGTAGTGACCCAAGATCTGCCACGCGTAGGCAAGCCCACAGTCCTCGTGAGAACGGAGTGCTATCGACGAGGCCGTCCAGTTCGTTGAGCAAACTCGTTCGCTCTGCCTTCTCAACCTCATTATCATCAGAAAATATATTCACAGGCTGCGGGTCCATCACTCCTGTCGAGTGTAATGCAAGGCGCGATATCACAAAATGCGCGGGGGAGGATGAGATAGCTTGGTGATAAGTGATAATAGCTAACTAGCTACCCCGATTTATCAGATAGCGTTCTTTTATATTAAAAATCGAGTATATTGTATTATATTATTGTTAATATCTACTTATAGTTCTGAAGGCTACACCACATATCACATGACCGTAGATAAGCTTCCGCGATAACGGCGGAGGGGAGGAAGTTCGAGCTCGGCGGACAACTTGCAGCATCATAATAATTATAGAGGGACGGTGGCCTGTCTGCCATTGAACGAGTGCCTCTCGTTATTGTTAGAGCTTGTCATTCACTCATCTGGTTCTGTTTTGGCCTATTCTTACGCTCATACGCTTTTGGCACCGCATTCGGGGTAGCTGAAGCCCACCAAATGGCCGCTGGCACGGTATCCCTCGATAGCCTCGAGAAAGTGCTCGCCGATGACACCGAGGTCAAGGTCGCCGGCTTCGATGCCGACGGCATGCTTCGTGGGAAGCTTGTCTCCAAGAAAAAGTTCCTCTCGATAGCCAAAGACGGCTTCGGATTCTGCTCCGTCATCTTTGGATGGGATATGCACGACCAGACATACTTCAAGGAACTGGCCATCAGCAATAAGGAGAATGGATATAGAGATTTGGTCGCGATCCCAGATATGAGCAGTTTTCGGAGGATACCGTGGGAGGACGATGTGCCGTTCTTCCTGGTCAGCTTCTTCGACCCCGAGACTAAAAAACCCATTTCAGCTTGCCCGCGCGGATTGCTAAGAGCTGCCACTGCTGGACTGGAGAAGAAGGGGTATAAAGCCATGGCCGGAGGTATGCAATATCTCTTTACTCCGCCATTGGACAAGGTCGATGCTAATACGCCTTGGAAGCGGAATTCGAGTTCTACCAGTACCGTGCACCAGCGACAAGTGATTCTCTAGAACGCAATTCTACAGGCACAGCCCGGTTCCTCAAGGAGAACCAGGTTACGGACTTGCAGCCGCTGACAGAGGGTATGTTTGGGTATAGCTTGACCAGGACAGTGCATAACCAGGAATACTTCTATAAGATATTTAATACATGTCGAGAATTTCAATGCGACGTTGAAAGCTGGCATACAGAGAGCGGCCCTGGCGTTTTCGAAGCGGTATTTTTTTTCTTCTCGTTCCCTGGACCTAACTTGAAGAATGCTAATAAGTTACCAGGCACTGCAATTCGGAGAAGTGAAGGGAATGGCCGATCGAGGTGGTTTATTCAAGTGGGCATCCCCAAATATGAGCCATGGGCCTGACCTGAAAGTATATTAACCCCAAACAGATACGTTGTCAAATCAGTCGGATCAAAGTACGGGATCACGCCCGTCTTCATGGCCAAGCCCCGCCATGGTCTCCCTGGAAATAGCGGCCATATGCACGTCTCCCTCGTCGACGAATCGGGCGCAAACCTGTTCGTCCGCGACTCGCCCGACCCTTCTTCGCCATATCCAGATATCGCGTACATCTCCGACCTCGGACGACATTTCCTCGCCGGAATCTTGGTTGGACTACCAGATATCATGCCTATACTTGCCCCAACCATAAACTCGTATAAGCGACTGGTAGAGAATTTCTGGGCTCCCGTAACAGTCTCGTGGGGTCTCGAACACCGCGCTGCTTCCATCAGGGTCATCTCGCCGCCAACCTGCAGCGGCAAAGGGACCAGGTTTGAAATCCGTGTGCCTGGTGCCGACGTTAATTCGCACTACGTGCTGGCCGCCATTGTCGCGCTTGGGTGGCGTGGTGTGGAGAAGAAGCTTGATATTCCCATTCCACCACTACCCAAGGGCGAGGATGTTGGCGGTAATACCGACAAGGGTGAACGCCTGGCGAAGAACCTGAAGGAAGCCGTTGTCCGATTCACGGCCAAAGAGAGTGTTGCGAGAGAGGCATTCGGCGACGAGTTTGTGGATCATTTCGGTGGGACGAGAGAACATGAGATTCGGCTCTGGGAGGAAGCAGTTACTGACTGGTATGTTCATTTTTTCCCACCTTTCTTTTTAACCAAGGTGTCACTGTTACGCTGGGCTAACGAACTGTTCCTGTTTTATAGGGAGGTAAAACGATATATAGAAACTGTGTGATCTGGCGTATATATACGGAGGTGTTTTGTTCGGCTCTAAGACTACTGTTCTCACGAATCTATCTATACATATATTCATACGTTACTTAAGACTGCCAGCCTATTCCTCCAAGGTCAAGCACATATAGCCAGGCAAGGCGTGGTCGGGCTTTGTCTAGCCAAGCAGTCTACCGGTTCCATATGTCTGGATACACTTGTTACCAGTTCCATATGCCTGGATATACTTGGATCCATGGAACGACAGCGATCTCCCGAATACCGGCATTCTGTATCGTGTTTCCCCCCAGGTTCCTGTTTCCGGGTATATGTCTTTCCAAACATACTGCCATACTGCGGTCGGTATATACCAGCGAGCCAGTTTCTCTGACTAAAACTAAACCTTGTACCCAGTATTTAATAGGCCATGGTATTAGTCAATAGCTCAGTCGTGGTTTTGGGTTTATCGCCAGTAGTTTTATTTTTTGTTTTTACCGCGTACAACTGGAGCTAATTACTGCGAATACACGACTGAGAACCTTAATCGCCCTGTCCCATCGGCGCAGCTAGTATTTAACGCCCAGGTACGGGGTACGGAGTACGGGGATGTTAATTAAGTTGGTCCCTTACGGTAAATATAGAGCCATGGGTGGGGATGTTTGTTTTACGGCGGGAGTATCACGTATGGAGTGTCCTGTACGAGGTATGGGGGTGTATGAGATGGCATTTGCATTAAAAAAGTGGACAAATGTTAGGGCAGGTTCATATAAAAAAACGGCAATCCAGATAAAAAGCTCTTAGGGCATATAATAAGAAGCGAAAACAAATAAAATGTGAAGTGGTATCAAGAAGAGAAGGCAGGAAACGAGTAAAAGGAAGAAGCTGAGCGAGAAAAGAGGCAAGTGGCAGGCCTGGGAGAATCAAAAAACAGGAGAAGGGGATTAAAGACGAAAGACGAAAGGGGAGGGACTATGGTGTAACTGAGAGGCAGGCAAAGGACAAGACCTCACTGTCAAGCCAGGCACCCTCAGGGGCATAAGATATATAAGTTGCGCATAAACGAAAAAATAAAGAATAAAGCACCCCAATTTCCCTTCCATGATGTAAATAGGACCAATTTCCATACCGGCAGAAGCATTACTAGAGTCATTCCAAGCGTTGGACAGAGAAGAGTTTGAGCGACGCGGCGCAGTGGTTGTTTAGTTGACGCGGAAGGCATCGAGTATTACTATAATGCATGTTAACTATCCAAGACTAATCCCAGATTGATGCCATGACGACGACAGATGACGTACCTTCTGAGCCACGACGACAGCCACTTCCGATCCACATGATCGTGTTGACAAAGGCGTAGCGTTCGTCGCCTGTTTCCATGGATATGTTGACGCGGTATTTATAAGTGTTTGGGTTGACGGAGTCCGCAACGGTAGGATCTGCGACCTTCTCTAGAATCTCTTTGGCGCCCGTCATCCAGCCGTGGGTTTTCACCATGATGAAGGCAGGCGGTTCGTCAGAAGTCTGAAGCAGATAGGACGATTTCATGCTTGTGGCGAGCTCCTTGACTATCACTTGCGAGTCCTGGCCGCCGGGCTGTACGGAGTTAGCGGCGGTACAGACAACAGGGGGCGAGTGTATGCACGGAAACCTACCAAAACGACGCCCTTGCCCCATCGGCCGGCCCATTGGCCGCCGACGAAGGTGACCCAGTCCCGCTGGCCCCAGATACTGTGGCCAAGCGAGACAGACGGGTTCAGCTTGATGCTCATGCGGAAGTCGAGCTCGAGAGTGGGCGCGGGGAGCTGCAGGGACCGAGCAATGTCGCCTTCCGGGAAAGTATGTTGCAGATTGTTTGCTGGAATCGAGTCTTTCATGACATTGAGATAGGTGGGGCACTCCAGCAGATGTTGGCGTTGGCGACTGGTGTTTTTCGCGCGTACCTGCTGGCAGTATATGCATTGTACAGACAAACACTATCACAGTAAGCATGCATCTATAAATATATAAGTAAAGGTATTACCTTATCCTCCTCCTTTGCGCGGAACTCGACGAAGGCGGCGTGCACGTCGTCGAGGGGCGGGGCGGGAAGACTGGACGTGCTCTGGCGGTGTTGCTTGGCAGCCTTGGGCGTGCCGTGGGGGCGTGCCTGGCCAGCGGGAACGGGAGGCGGAGGAGCGGAGGGCGGAGCGGCCTGCGATGGGAGCGACGGACGACCGGGCAGGCTTGGCATGGGCGTCTGCATCCCGCTGGCGTGCGGATTGACTCCCGTAGGCATCATCGGCCCGTTGGTCGAGGGCAGCGTTGCCGTCGCTGGTCCAGGGCCGCCAGGGCCGCCGGGCGGCCCTCCGGGAGCACCGCCATACCCGTTCGCACCGCCGGCAACTCCATTAGGCTGCTGTGCCTGCTGCTGCTGCTGCTGTTGCTGTTGCTGTTGTTGTTGTTGTTGTTGCTGCTGCTGAGGCGGCGGCGGCGGCGGCGCGGGCTGAGCGTGCGGGTTGTTGTGGCCACGCAGGGCGGGACACTCGAGCAGGTGCTGTTTCTGGCGGCTGGTGTTCTTCGCGCGGATCTGCTGGCAGTAGATGCACTGGACGGAGAGACACTGTAGAGCGGACGAAGATATATATCAGTCTCGAGTATTGGAAATCGTCCCGTTTGAGTATTACCCGGGGATACATGACAACTGGACTGAAATACGGGCAGGTTTCACCTTATCGTCTTCCTTGGCGCGAAACTCGACAAACGCGGCGTGCACCTCCTGGTCGACGGTGCGACCCATCGTAATATTCGAGACAGTACGAGGGAGCAGCAGCGAGGGGTCGACGACCGACGACGTCTTGACGGCTGCTCGCTGGCCTGGGAGAGCGAGAGGATGCACACTGGGCGATGCGCTGGAGAGCTCGGCGATGCTTGCCTTGCGGGCGATGCTGGTGCGATGGGAGGGAGAAAAAAAGGGCGATGGGCGAGGAAAACGGAAGAAAAACGAGGAAAACAGAAACGGAGAAAACAGAGAAAACGGAAGAAAACAGAAACCAAAAACCGTCACCGCGTCAGGGTATTTTACGTCACGGCGGCTGACTAACCGCAACAAAGTGTGTATCGCTGGTACCATACGGTCACTTACATACGCCCATACATCCATACATACACACATACACATACACATACATATACACATACACTTGATACTCCTTCTTCTACTACGACTTCTTCTATACTTCTACTTCTATGATATGTTGATATGATATGATATGTTGATCCTATGATATGTTGGTCTTGCTGTTGATACTGGTGATGTGATATGTTCTGAATCTTGATCTCTAGTGGTGAAAACTCTTCTTGGCCCACAAGGATAGAGAGATAGGAAAAGGGAAAGGAGAAAGGAGAAAGATATAAGGAGAATAAGATGCCCCGGAAAAACAAGAGTAAGCAGCGAGAGCCAGTGAGAGAATGCAGCTGACGAGATAGGTGGCCGGACGTCCCCCACGGACTTTGCACAGTCGCTCGAGTCTTCCTGCCTGGCCGACGGGGAGAACTGGATAACGGCTCCCTCACTCAGTCAGCCAGGACTCGGGTTCAGCCCGGATGTCTTTCTCTCGGTGTCGACTCACCTGCTGGCCAATCCAAATCTCATATCCCCCAGTCTCTTCAGGGCAGACATCCTCCACGACAGCTGGGGGGTCTTGGAGACCACGGCGGATAGAGAGAGCAGTCTGCCAGAGAGAGATGTAGCAAAGAGAGACGAAACACGTCCGTCTCGGCCCGTCTTTCTTGGATTTGAACTGCAGCGCGTGGTAGTGAGGAGGTTGATACCCAGGAATCCAAACCTCGACCCGGCCCACGACCAGACCTGCCATCTCTACAAAGGCAAAGGGGACCAGGACGATGTTCACAAAACATCCTATCTGGCCGTATACTATCCCCATGCCACCTCTGAGCAGGATATGCCGTTCTACCACCCGGTCGTGCGTGGATTTGCCCTCCTCTACTCCCACGACGACGGCTCCAGCAACGGTGGAATCATGTCCCTTCACTTCCTCCCTTTCTCCCCAGACATCCCATCCACCATCCCCAACCGTCTCCATCGAACCCTTCTCAATCTCCTATCCATACACATCCGTCTTGCCTCGGGACCGTCGGCAACGTCCCACCCAAGCGGTACACAGCCCAGGCCGTTCAAGGATAACTTGATCCCCCAGCATACGGTCCAGAACACTTACACGAAACTAAAGTCAAAATACGCGCCCAGTCTGGTGAAGAACTGGGTAGAGGTTACAGAGCCGTCCAAGCACGTGTTTGAAGACCTCTCGATTGCCGCGTTTTTGATCGAGCTGTGGAAGACCATGTATCATTTGCCTGCATCTGACTCTACGCTCAGAGAAGAAGAGAATGGGCATGATGTGATGGGAGGGGGACGTCCTGAACAAAAGACTGGTTTTCCTGGGTTCGTCGACATCGCATGTGGGAATGGTGTGTTGGTGTATATCCTTCTCTCGGAAGGGTACGGAGGCTGGGGTTTTGATGCCCGTTCTCGCAAGACCTGGTCGATTTTTCCTTCCTGGGTGCAAGAACAGCTGAAAGAAAGGACGTGTGTGCCGCAGCCGTTTAAGGATGTTCTACCCCACGCGTCTGATGATAACGGTTCAACTATCTCCGGCCAGTTCAAGGATGGCACATTCATCATATCCAATCACGCAGACGAACTCACTCTCTGGACTCCGCTGCTTGGGATCATATCCAACCCGTCTCAGCCACTCCCATTCCTTGCCATACCGTGCTGCTCTCATGGCCTGTCGGGTGCAAGATATCGCTATCCGCCTCCAAGGGGTGCCCTTAAGGGAGGTCACAAGGAGACTACTGAAAATGAACAGTCAAACGAGAATATTGATGATGAGCACCACGACCATAACTCTCAGCCTGAAAGTGGTGATCTGAAAGCTCTGCGTGCGAAAAAGCTTGAAGCTCAGAAGAATCCAGGGTCCCTTTCGTCCACATACGGCTGCCTGACTGCTAAACTTGTCAGTATAGCCGAGGAGGTAGGCTACGAAGTCGACAAGACACTACTGCGTATTCCTAGTACGCGAAACATCGGAGTGATCGGGGGGCTAAAGGCGTGGCAGGCCGTTACCTCGCTTCCTAACACTGCTTCAATCGACGAGCCGGATAAAATGGCTGCTGACGTCGAGGAGCGTAAAGAACGTGTCCAGAAGGTTGTGGAAAGAGAGACAGATAGGGATGCTGGACTATGTGCCTCTGCAGAGTCATGGGTTGAACGGTCGATGGGGTTGAATAAAGGTCAGGGAAGAGGAAAGCTCAACTGTAGAAATGAACATCACGATTGATTATCTGGTCAGGCTGGCGACATGACATGATATCTTAGAGAAGATATTAATAAAATAGAGATGAGAGCCATGACTCTAATGACAAATAGTATTTACACGAAATATATCCAAAAGTACCACCTAACGAACCAGGTACATGCAAGTCAAATAAATAACAGACCGCCTCCAGATAGACCGCAGATAGACCCTTACTAGTAATCACCCAACCATCGCCCTTTTGCCTTTGGATCTTTCTGACTTGCCTCGCTGCGCAATAACGTCCTTCATCCGTAATACGCACCGTCCAAAGTCCAGCTGGCTGTAATCCTCCGGCATGTACTCACCGCTGAAGATACACAGCACCGTCATGCCAGGTTTGTACACCAACCCGCTAAGCAGCTTGGGCGTGATAAGGAAATATTGGCCGCCCGCAGTCCCCGAGTCCGCTTGGCCACCTGCAATATCAACCATACGTTCATGAACCATGCGCTCATTTCGTGGGTCCATACCCTGGTTAATCTCGTCGACGACCCTGAATGGCGAGGCAGAGAGCGATTGCAGTGCCATGAGATAGAAAATGGTACTGACTGCTCGCTCACCACCGGACTGACGATGGGAGTCAAGTACAGAGAGCGCCTCGTGTTCACGGAACTTGACCTGTATTTTTATCGACCATTGATCGAAGTCGCTCCCGCTATCTGCATCGTTGGGTCCCAAGCCTTCACATTTATCAACGGTTACCTGTCCTGCACAACCTATGCGGGCGAAATTGTCCGCGAAGGCATCGCTGATTTTAGACACGATCTCGTCTAATTTAGGCTCCCATTTGCCTCGTACGTCAGCAATGTGTTCTTTTAGTTCGTTCAGCCTCTGTTCCGATCCAGCAAGCTGTTCTTTCAACGCATCAATACGGGCTTGTCGTTCTTCGAACTCTTGTATGACATTGCTGCTTCCTTCGTGTGTTAGTTCTAGCCTAGCCTTTTCAGAGTCGATATCGGCTTCAAGCTGCGCGACAGTGTGTTGCTTGATCTCTTCGCCAACCCCTCTAAGCCCAGGTGTTGAATGCATACTGCCAACCACAGCGCGTGCCTCCCTCTGGCAATCTTGAAGCGTCCTCTTAGCTTCAGTCCACCTTCGTATCACGTCTTCGACTTCTGCGTCTTTGGCCGCGAGAGTCTTTGTAACTTCAACGTTTCGCTCCTTGAGCGTGTCCCAGTCAGAGTAGGCTTCTATGGCCATGATCTCCACATGTGCTAATTCCTCTAGTATTTTTCGCAATGCAACCACGGCGTTCTTATAAAGGGATATTATTAGCTCATCACAAATTAATGAGAATGATAAGGATCTATCCAACTTACCGAGTATTCAATAGCTACTATAGCTTTGTCAACAGCAAGACCATCTTGCTTACCTCGTAATGACTCTACCCGATCCCTGATTGCCTGTATTCGAGCATTCACAGTCTTCAGTCTTTCTTTTTGTTGCGCTATTAGGGACGTTAGCAAGGGCTCTTGTATAAATTCAAGTATAGACAAATTTACCAAGTCTCGTCGGGAGAGATCGATAATTCACCATTGCCGACTGCTTCTCTGCCTTGACTCTCTCTAGCTCGTTCTGTTTATAGGACGTCAGATCATCGTTCTTGCTGCCATCAATCATAGAGTGTGGTATACCTTTTCTTTAGAGATTGTGTCATTCTGCTCCTTTAGGCGTTGCAACCCACTCCTTTCTTCCTCACCCCTAGCGACTATCTCGTCCACCTCGCTATTCCATTCAGTAATGCAATTCCTCAGGTCCTGTTCGGTTGACGACGAATCGACAGGGTTGTTGGTCCACATCCTAGCGGGCCATAGCTGTCTTACCCTAGTTGTAGTTGCACTAGGACCATATTCGCGTCGACGGACAACTTGATAGCTTTGTTTTCCGGCAACCCATGTGCTGATATTACTGCTCTCCATCGTACGGTACTCTTCATCGGAAATGTCTCTCAGCACGACGGCAGTTTGATGGAATCTGTTCTCACTACACAACATAGCTAGAACAGGCTCCGGACCAGACATAAAGTCCTTTGCCCAACCGTCGAAGTTCAACGACCGAAGCTCCTCGTCAGATACCGGCGGGTTCAGACTAGACATGGATACAGTACATGTCTTTATACTTATATCGTGCAGGTGTAGTTCGTTGTTCAAAATACCCTGTAGAGTTCTGAAATCCGCTCGGCATTGGGTGGTAAATGCCATGAAGTCATTTCTCTGCAAAAGCGACTCGACAGCACTAGCATATCTCGCGTCCTTTACAGAGCACTCCACAACTGGAGGGCCGTACACATGCTTCTCAAACCGGTCTGGGTTGTTTTTTATATATTGCCAGGCCTTAAACGAATCTTCAGATATTCGCCGCAACTTTTCTTCCTGCTGACCGGATTGGGATTGGAGTTCTTGGAGTCGGTTTTCGGCGTTTTTAATCTTGTCCCTGGTTGTTTCCAAGTTCTGGATGGTAGTTCTCTTTTTGAGTTGGATTTCCCTCGCCTTGTCTGCTATTTCACGCATTTGGCGAACACAATCACGCTAGAAAATGAGGAATTAGCAATGCATAACTATCGACGTAACGGACGGAAAGGAGGGGGTTCTCACTATTTTCTCGGTATATGCAGCAGCATCAAATTCCACGGAGCTCTCCTCAATTTGACGTTGGAGCTTGTTAATGCTCTGCTGAACTCTCTTACACTCCTCCAGCTGACCTGAACCACTTTTCCTTTCGGCGTCTATCTGATGGGTCAGGTTTTTCATTTGATCTTCAATCTCGACCATTTTGTTCGAGATACTTGTTGCAGTCTCTTCACCCCGTACGACAAGAGTTCTCTTCTGTTTGAGTACGGCCCCGACTTTAGCACAATACTCCGCTTTCGATTCGACGGCCTTTAATGCCGGTTTTAATTGTTCTTTCAACTCCGCTTGCTCGCGGAGCAACCCTTGCCTCTGTTCCTTGAGGGCCTCAACATCCCTACGAGACTGGTTATACCGGGGAATTGGTCTTAGGAGTTCGAGGTATTTTAGTCGTTTCTTTATCTCCTCTCGTTGTTTCATCCTTTCCACGTCTTCACGCTGCATTTGCTGGCGTCTCTCCAAGCCTACCAAATGCTCCCTTTGGCCGGCACCATCTTCCAGTAATCCCTTTTGTCCCGCACGTAACTGTTTTAGACTTTCATGCCACTCTACCATTTCAGGTCCAGCGGTAGCCCGTTGTGTAGAATGCAGTAGCTCCACGGGAGACAACGCAGCAAATTCGCTGACCTTATCCTGCGGTAGAAATTGACAGAGATTGTCAATCTGTATTGAGAATGATCTTGCAAGCGCTAGCACCCTAGACTGATTCGTTGCCTTTCCATTTATCATAAACGTGCTCTTGTTGCCCTCACGTTTTATAGTTCTGCAGATGATGGGGTTTCGATTCATGCCATCTCCGGCTTTGAGCTCAATTTCAATAGTAGCTTCGCTGCAGCCATGTTTAACGAACTCGGCGACCTCTTTACCGCGGCCCAGGTGCTACAAATAACATAACTGCATCAGTGGCTGTTCTCGCAAAAGCGATATCCAGGCTGGGATATTCTCACCGTTGGGCCCCATCCCAGTCCTAGGCATATAGCGCAAACAAACGTACTCTTCCCCGTCCCGTTGGGTCCGATCACCATATTAAGTCTCGGCCCTGGAAAGCATTCGGCAGAGGTATAGGTTACAAAATTCGTCAATTTCACTCTCACAATCGAGCCAGGTCGGTGTTCAAGTGGTTCTGCATTATTTCCTCCTGCAATTCCATTACTTGACGAGGCCGCGTTTTGAACCCCAGGCGGGGCTTCCGATGCGCCTTCGCTCGAAGTATCTGAATCCCTAGAGTCTGCTTCTGGTGACTCGTCGTCGTCGCCATCATCATCCGAGAGAATGCCCGCTTTTGTCTCAGAAGCATCGCTCTCATTACCATCCCTCCCAGTACTTAATCTAACGCGTTTGCTGGCATTTGAAGCTTGGGAGAACGGCGTGCCATCTCGGTCATTTCTAGACGCTTCATCGTCGTCGGAATCAGATCCTGCAGCTCGTCGCCGTCGTCTGGGGGGAGCTAAGCTGTCTGGCATTGTGCAGGAGTCAAGTGCTGTCAGCGTTGTACCATGACGTTTGATATGTTTTTCGACTTTGATAATTTGTATGTTGGAAGTTCAGCGCGTCGCGATCGCGCTAATCCGCTTTTGGATAAATTGAACAGAACTTCCGTTATATACACACCCCCTTAGTCGAAATAGTAGTAATCTTTTTGATTATAGATAATATTGTTGGTTATATGTACATATCGTGTGATATTTGGTGAAATTATATTGGAGTATTCTTTTTATAACAACAAAGAATGGCGGGAAGCACTGCTAATCACCCGGCCAGACTTGAGAAATGGACAAGAACTGTATCCCCTTGGATATTGGTACAAGACAACCACACAGTATTTGAACGCCGCCAGGAATCAAACCTGTCCCATGGACCCCCGTGGTATATGTCAAAAGTAGTCGTTCCAACCCGTTGCGCCGTAACTCCTAGCATACCCTTAGAATAAGAAAAAAAGCCCCATCCAGTGATTTTTCATATGACGTCTAAACATGACTCAGGTACCCAACCCCCCCCCCCCCCCCCCCAATATGTAGCTAAGCCATAACCGATAATGAGCCGAAAAAGGTGAAAGGTAGAGATAAGTTGTGGCGTTTGCAAGAGTCGTAAAATTGAGCGGACATAGCGTGAGCCAAAGTGGACCTTGCGCTGGTTACTAGTCAATAGTAAGGTGGCAAACTTTTGCCCGCTAGAAATAGTTCCCATTTGGCAAGGTCATGAATATGCCGATGAGGATGATGGTTACGGCGCTTCCCAGTGTTGTTGAGCGGACGATAGTCATAGTCTGAAGTTGGCAGAGGGTTGGGTCCTTAATTTGTATCGACGGGTCAAAGGCTTTGCTGAAAAAGCCTCTTTTTCGATTCTGTCGCATCCAGGGTTCGTCCTCGTAGGAATTAGCAGCCCCAAAGGCGTCAAATGCTTTCCGATTAAGTTGGCAGGCGTTTTTTGGGGGGTCATCATTTTCGCCATGGATCTCCCATGGGCGTAGCTGCCGCTTATAAAAACAGAGGAATAGCTGGAAGATATAACATTAGGATTATTCTGCTAATGGGATAAAAGGGGATCAAAATCACCGAGACTAAACATACCATACAAGTTCCTTCCATGGCAGCAATCAAGGATGCAATACCGGGAAACAGAAGCATGGCAGAAAACATCCTCCAACCCCGATGTGCCTTGCTAAATACCAAGACGATGGCGAGGGCTAATCCAAAGGCAATAATAATCATGCTGACGACGCGAGCACATAATAGACGGTTGCGGTTGCTATTGTTTAGCGACCATCGGATGAACTGTGGATGAGATTGCTGACGTAGGTTCCATTCAACTTCTTGGAGTACACCAGCAAAGGCGGAGGGGTGAGTGGTGACAGATAATGCTTCCATGACTATCTTTCGTTCTATCGACGTTAGATTCAACTGGCGGGGCGCATTGTCTAGGATGTAGGTTGAGATGATTCGGTTTATTTCTTTGCGGTATGGTTGGATAGTAACTAGGAGACGCATATTTGTTAGCAGGCGCCCGCTCGAGTGACGGGAACTGGGTGAGGTGGCAGTCATACAAGGCTCGAGAGGATTTATGCCATCAAAAGCACTTGATTCGTCGATGGATTCCTGGCATTCAGACAACTTCAAGCCTGCATCCCACTCAAGCCATTCCCCGCGGGAAAGGCTGCTGGTCTCAAAATCAGCATGCGAGCTGTTAGGCCGTGTTGCGAAGGGCGTTAGGTCGTCCATTTCAGTCTCTGTGACTTTTGGGAAGGCCGGGATTGGCATGAAAGCGCCGACGATAGAAGGAGCCCGTTTCGCCCTCTCCTTTGCTTGATTGTTGCGACGAACCACCTTTTTCCGTTGTTCTTCGGTCCATGGCGGCGACAACGCCCACATAGATTCAGAGAGGCTGGAAAAGCGCTGGATATAGTCCCGATACCACAAGTAAAACTGGAGGTTCTCTGCTGCGCGCTCAACATAGATGAGGTAGTTCATAAAATCGACCACACCACACGGCTATATATTCAACGTTAGTAATCGTATCGCCTGGAAAATGAAGCATGTCTACTCACAGAGCAGGTGCAGCCATTAACGATCATCTCAAAGGACAGGGCCTTCTTCCTGCTGCCGAACAGGAGGTTCTTCCACGCAATCCATCTCGCTGTTATTGATGAGTACTGAGGCGATTCACCGGGCCGCACGTGGGATGAGCGTGGGCCATACTTCTTGAGTGCCATCTTGACAAGATAGCATGGCGCTGAAGGCAATGAGCGGCAAACAAAGAAATCACGAAGAGAAATCGAATAAATCGAAGAAATCGAAGAAATCTGGAAGGTTGAAAGGAATGGATCAGGGTCAAGAAGTGCAGCTGAGGGCGGCGACTTGGCGATCTTCACAACCTTCGCAACCAACCGGTGAGGGGGGGTGTACCCGTCCGCTAGTATTTTATTGCTACGAGGTGGAGATATAGGCGAAGAGTTCGGGGTTAGGCGAGACGACTTCGTCCCCCAAGGCTTTCCTTGCAAGGATATCGATCCTCTAGCCTAGAAAGCCTCTTAAACCTAGAGCGAGGACAAAAGGATCACGAAGATTTTAACCGCTGCTGGATTATCGCATTAAGAATTAAACACGACCGTGCTTCAGCAGGCGAGGACTCAGGCTGCATAGTTGTTACTAAATGTTTTTGTCAGTACATATCGGGGCGATGGGAAGGTAAACCCTAAACCCGCAAATCTCTCATGCTTTGGGCAAGTGTTGAACACCTCAGAAGCAAGGGACCGAGACCCTGAAAAATCGAACTCATCTCGCACCTCCTCGACCAGCCAGGCCCCGGCGAAAGGGGGAACCGCCCGGCGGCAGGACGGACTCCAGCATGGCTCCGGCATGACCATGACTCCAGCAGAGAAAGGGTACTCCGTAGGTGCCGCGGTGTCGTCCCGGACGGCCACTCCGGGAAAATCAGCACCACTTTCTTCCAGAACAAGCTCCCAACCAAGGAAACGGTGCTTTCCGTGTAGCCTGTGAGATGCGCGGCATCATCTTTCGTACGACTGTTACGGCCCCTATTACTCATGCTGTGCATCACCGCGAGACCGGTGACGCCAATGGAATCAGCTTGTCTGTCGCTCGGAGCCCGCTGATTCGGTAAGGATAGTCCCTGCATATGACGGGGTCTTCTGACTAGCCAGTGAACGCTAACGCCTCCTATCAAATAGTTGGTTTTGCTCGTACGCAGGAAATTATTCCTGAAGAATCGTCAACCAGGCTCCTTGCTGGCTCCACGGCGCGGCTTGATGGCTCGCTGGGCGTAAGTGGCTTGCCCAGGTTTATCAAGCGACGCGAGCAACACGAGTTATAGTAATATCGCCTAAACTCAATACCGGCCCAGCTCGAGGGTGACCGGGATGCGCTGTGGCCTAGGAGCGTATCCTGTGGGGTTACATCGTATAAGTAGGAACTCGTCTGCCGGGGGTGAGAACTCCGGAGCAGACACACGATAGCTCACATGCTAACGTCGTTCCTGGCATCAACTAGCTCAACGTCGTATAGTCTTAACTGCGTAACTGTAATCGTAACTGTAATCTTATGCATTAACTGTAGTCTTTGTAGTCGCATGTGTTGAAGTTGAAGTCGGACCCGGATGTCCCAACTTGGAAGTTTTATATTGGCCGACGTTATGATTATGTAAGTTTATTAGTAAGATATTAGCTAAGGTGTTACATAATATATTAGTCACTCGGTGGCCACGGAGATCACATGTCAGGGCAGCCCAAAGGGGAAACTCGCACTTCTTCGAGACTCGCGGGTCACATTCAGCGCGCATCTGACGAACCTTTGTAGCTGAAGAGCTGTGCTGGCGGGTTTTATATAACGAGATATACCCAGTTTCTGCGTTGGCACGACCCCGCGGCGGACGGATCAATGGATGCCATGTCCTGGTCGTCTACTGATACATTTTATACTCCTAGCGCATCTTTCAAGCTATGTCTGTGCATGGCCACCCCGATCCAGCACCAGGAGCATCAGCGGCATCAAAAGCATCGGGAGCGGGAACGGTGACCAGATGGAGGCCACAGAGCGGCCGTCCGACCAGCAGCACGCTCTTACCGTCCCCCATTGCGTCCCTCATCAGCCTGGTGACGCAGTCGACCTCGCTATCCCTGAGGTTCTGGACATATCTCGGTAGTTTTGCGATCAATAGCGCCAGGGCAACAACTCTTACCGGGCTGGAACTGAGTAGAGCCGTAGTCGAGGGTATCCTGATCCGCGCCGGACGGGACGTCGTGACCCGTAGCAGTGATGAGCATGGGAGGTTTGAGGCAGAGTCACTTTTAGAGCGAAGCGTAAGCCCTGTCAAAGCGCCATAATTTTTATGTACATTGTACCCAGGATAGCTGATATTGATTCACAGTTGGCGACTCTGCATACAACTATTACTTCTGCTTCCTTCTTTGCATCTGCGAGCTTCCATCTCTCCTCTGTCACCCTCTCCTCGGTGACATCATTCTCCCAGACTCTCCTCTCGACCCTCGATGCAATTCTCGGGTCCACCGAGTCCTCCAGGGCGATTGCTGCTATCATCACTCTCATTCGACGTGAACTGAGAAATCCGGAACTAATCCCACCTGGGGAGACAGTCGGTGTTGGAGATTTACTCGTTGGTTCTGTGGGATTTGTGCTACTACAGCGATGGGGCCGGAGAAAGACAGGTAAGGAGGTAAGACTGAATGGAAATGAGGAAACGATATGGGATGTCGTCATTCTTGACAACGGGTTGAGAGCAGATGTTGTTGGCACTCACCAGACGGCATACGGAGAAGACATTGAGGGAGCTGATTCCTCGTCTATACGGCCTTCCTCGTTCCTTATACCCGATGTCACAGGTGGTGATGAAAGCCTTGACACTGTTGAACGAGGAAATGCATCGTTTACCCATCTCAGCCACCTCGTCCCCCACGTATCTCTCTCCGCGGATCGTCAACATGAACTCGCTGACGATGAGATCCGTCGTTATATCGTGGAGCAACTACCGCGAGGCTGCCATGCAACGATAAAGACCGACACAGTCACCGCAAGGACAATCACAGTCGACGTTTTTGACTCCGGCTGTGTCGACATTTCTCCACCACCCGGAACTACAAAGGTTGAGGAAAGAATACAACCAGAATACAATCATGCCATAACAGGCTCGGATTTGACTAGTGAAGCTCGACCCAAACATACGGTCGTTTTTAGAACCGTATCGAATTCCGTCCAGGACTCAGAGTTGCGTATACCCTCTCACGCAACCACTCCAGAGTCACAGTTCGGCTGGCCGCAGGTGGATGCTAGAGAGAATATTTACAACGACGACGCACACTTGACGCCGTCAGCCAGCATCGAGTCTAGCCCCCGAATGCAGCCCAAGCGCATTCCCCGTCGACGGAGGAGCTCAGTATCAGATACGAGTGGCTCTGAGACCCCCAGAAGCCTCGGAACAAGGTCTTTTGCACGCATCAGTAGCAAGGTGAAAGCCAACGCAGAAGACAAGCTCGGTAATAAACTCTCCTCGAAGAAACTGTCTAAGGGGAGCGGCCCGAATGCAGCGCAAGGCATCTCCCCCAGGACCTCGTCAGCTAAGGATAATAAACCCCGGATAAAAAACACTCTCAGTAGTTTCCAAAAGGGATTAAGCTCCAACAAAGAAAGGGACCCGACAAGCAATAAACCAGCAGCGAGAAATTCGACGGTGTTGTCAGATGCTACAAATAGGATCCGGCCCTTGTCTCCCCAGAAAGGAAAATCCGCTCCATCCCAAAGGAAAATGGAACGCGAGGCCTGCTCCAACGAGACTAACCCAGGAGGATCGCTAGCATCCGGCCGCTACTTACTCCGCGAGACGAGCTCTGAGTCGTTCATTGCTCAAACGGATGCCTATTCCATTCGCTCTCCAGAGGGACGGTCCAGCTCACCATCCCTTCCAAGGGAGCATATCCGTAGCAGTTCTTCCTTGTCTAGAGCGAGGTCTGAAAAAGATATGTCTCTCTTACTCAACTTCACTAGCCGTCCCGCTACTCCTGCAATGTCTCGTCGGAACTCGTCAAAATCCGCGGTTCCTAGCATATACTCTATCGCCACAGGGTCAGAAACTTCCCTCCTGTTAGCACCTCGAACAGGCAAGAGTGCATACGATGGCAATTCCGCTCTCTCATCTCTTTCACGTACTGGTTACGTTCCAGGACTTTACCCTTCTAACAATCTAGTGCGTAATATACGCCGCTTTTCTCGCTTTTCGTCTGCATCATACGGGTCAAATTTCCTTAGGGTAATGGGGATCTCCAATGCTGCTCAAAAGCTACATCAAGACCCAGTAGACCATCATGAGCATAGCTCGTTTTCAGACCACACAGGGCTACCAACTTCGACCATTTTACTTTCGTCCTTTGTCGATCCAGCCGGCGGTACCAACTCTGCCGGGGTTCCATCTGAAGGCTTTCCGTTAGTCCATTATTTAGCCTTAGATCACGAATCTAAAGCTGCAGTTTTAACGCTGAGAGGTACTTGGGGGTTTGAGGATATTCTTACCGACATGACATGCGATTATGACGACATGCATTGGCTGGGCAGGACCTATCAAGTCCACAAGGGAATGTTAGCTTCTGCGAAGCGTCTACTAGAAGGTGGCGGAGGCAAAGTCATGGCCACAATCAAATCAGCCCTGGAAGAATTCCCTGAATACGGCGTCATTTTCTGCGGGCATTCACTTGGAGGCGGAGTGGCTGCGCTCCTTGCTACGCTGATATCACAGCCACAACACCCCGACTTACCGGGCCCATCATTCGTCACATCATCGAATCAAGCTCTCACTGGCCTCCTACCCGCCACTGCTAATGAAGGTACCCACAATACCCAACAGCAAATGGGCCAATTTTCCCTCCCTCCTGGCCGACCGGTTCACGTCTATGCATATGGCCCACCTGCTGTGATGAGCCCATCACTCCGCCTAGCCACTAGAGGATTGATTACCACAATAGTCAATGGGCATGATGTTGTACCAACCCTTTCCCTAGGTGTACTACATGACTTCCACAGTGTTGCCCTTTCTTTCAAGCGTGATGTTGCCGACGCCAAATCTCAAGTAAAAGCTCGAGTATGGGACGCAATCACTCGCAGCATTGCTAACAAGCTATACATGGATAACCCTATTTCAGTTCACGCAGGTGATGGTCTTGGGGAAGATTCATGGGCGTGGAATACACTTAAGTCTCTGCGAGAAAGTCTGACGGCCACAAAGCTGCTACCCCCGGGAGAGGTATTCGTTGTCGAAACGATGCGTGTCTTACAACGCGATGCCTTTACGGGTGATGTGGTCACTGCAGACGGATACCCGCGTCTTGGCCGGCCTGCCACTCGGGTTCAATTAAAATACATCCGAGACGTGGAGAAGAGATTCAGTGAGGTTAGATTCGGATCTGGCATGTTGTTAGATCACAGTCCAGCAAGGTACGAAACTACTTTGGCAGTACTGGCACGGGGTGTCCTTGAAGATTAGACAACTTTTTTTCTTCAACTCCGTCTTTGCATATATTTATAGGATGACTTATACGAAGGTTCTTTCTTTTCTTTTTTAACCCTGGTTTTGGTTACACATTTTTATTCTGCCCACTCTTGTGAACAAGTAACGTTTGGAGCATTTTATATTTACGATTTTGGTCATTGCATGGCACATAGAAAACTGCACCTACACCCCCTTCCATGAAATTGGCGTTATTCGAAATACCCTCTTAGATACCTCAAATATAGCAAGTTACACATAAACATAACAGAAAGAATACAGATAAAACAATTTCGGCCTCATTAGGTTAGGAACATGCCATGGACATTAAACGGTCCTTTTAAGACTGTTTTTATATAGTGCTTAAATCTATCGTAAAAATACATATTGCGATATAATGAACCCGTGTTTAGCGCAACACCCCGCCCGTTCTCTCCCTCTAGGTAGACAAGTTTGGACGTGATGTGGCACTTCGTTTCTCTTATGCTCAAATCTTTCAGAAGCATGTTGCAGCCTTTGTATAGTAGCTAGGAACCCAACTCCGTAGATAAAGATACCAAAAGCCTGTCACCCCCAGGAATAACAGCAAATCGCACTTCACTGCTGCTTAGGCTGGGTTGTGCTAACACAGTAGGGAAGCCGGAGTCTATAATCCAACACTGGTGCTTGTTCCCCCGGTTGAGCCATTTCAGCCCTTTGTCCCTGATGCGCAACAACCAGCTTGGGGAAACGTCTTCCTATCCGGGTAGGTAGGCGATGAAGCTGGGCTTCGAGCTGTGATTCAAGCAATATGATTAGGAAGGGTTCTGGAACAGAACCAAGTGTCCCTTCAGCCCTGCCTCTCGTTTCGTTGTTGCAATTCCCGTGGCGTCCGCCGTTGCTGTTGGTATAGCTCCTTCTGTCGTAAGAGCGCTGTTTTTTCAGCTTGCCTCGCTTCAAGTGTCTTGATTTGCCCCTCTAGCATCTTCCGTTTCGCGACTAAATTCTCCCTCACTACCATAAGTGTATTAATTTTCTCCTCCGGTGTAGCTGCCATGCTCCGTTTGACTCGCTAAATATACAAACCCCGTTGTTAGCTATGGCTCGCCTTAATTGAATCCATATAAATGAATAGAACAAGTGGTTGCTCACCTCCTGTTCATCCTGGCTCATTTTTAGACTTGCACCCCATATCGCTCCGGTAGCTGTGATTATTGCAACTGCGCCGGTCAATATCTTGTTTTTAGCCTGCGATGAGAAGACCATGGTCCTGGATTTCGAGTGATCACACGTTGATGTATGATTTCATTCGTTTGGGGAGCAAGTGAGCGAGTTCATCGGGTGTGATTGATTGTTGTCTTTTTGATGTCGAAGTCTCAGCTAATAAACACTTGGTCTTGGCAACGGCCTTATTTACAACCTTCACGATCACAACCTTACTAACAACGAACAACACGCACAACGCGAAACCTATAACTCGCCATACCAAGGATAGCTTGCTACCCGAAGAATACATACCCACATAACAAATCGACTGAAAATGAATTCTAACCACGGACAATCGACCCTCTCTCCAGCCAAAATGCGGCAATACTCCCACCTCCATGCCCAACTAGCCCAGCTCAACGCCAACCTAGCTGATACGCAGAACCTCATGCGCATGACGAGTGCTCAAGCAAGTGATCTACGGTTTCTAGGCGGATATGTAGGAAGCCTGTTTATGGGCGCCGCGAAAGTCTTGGGCGAGGAGGGAATCAACGGGCAGGATCATAGCAACAACAAAGACAAGAGAGATGGAAGTAAAGAGGGCGAGGCCACGCGCGCGGATAGTGAGAGTGGTGCTGGAGAGAATGACGACGAGAGCTAGGGTTAAATGAGGGGGGAAGTCAATCTACAGTGTTAGATTTGAACCGTCGATACGGGAGGAACAATACGACCAGTACTCCCAAGCTACCTAGTCAAGGTGATTTTCTGCCTTCATGGAATTTCTAGCCTTCCATGTCACTGGCTGTGTTGGCAAATTGCCTATAGCATTGGATGCGGAGGTAGATGGACTAAATTGGGCATCACGATGCTGTCGAAATCGATACGACCAGGAGCCTAAAGTACACCAGTGAGGTGAATCAACGAACCAGATCTCAGCATACGGCAGCCATTGTTGAAGGGCCTTACTCACCAGGGCATTTCGAACATCCTACAGGCATATCCCTTGAGCTCACAACGGTAACTGGTTATTCGTGGAAGCTCTGTCACCGGTGATTTTTTCGGTTATTCAAAGATACCGGTTGGCGATTAACCGTATCTCTTCAAAGGAGGTGCTATTGATATGCAGAAAGATTCGTCCCAGTGAGATATCCTTTTCAGGATGTTTTCTGGTCGTATTTGGGGTTGAATACTCGGCCTCATCGAATTATCAACAAGGTAAACCAAGCATCATTCCAAACCTCTGAACCCACGGCTCCTGCCAGGCCTCCCATAGTGGTTGGGTAAAGATTGGTATCTTAGATGTCGAATTAGGGTGGTTGAGTTTAGTTAGGAGCTTTGCTCGGGCGATATGCTACTACGTTTTGACCAAGAATGTAATGACTTTGAATAAAATAATCAAAAAAAGGTATTTCTTTCTATTTCAGAAAAGTAATAGTAAGTAATTAGTAGCAGTTGCAATGCACACTGTCAATCCATGTCAAACAAAACCAGATAATCCGCCAAACACATTTAAAAAAGGACAGGAAAGAAGGGGTAAATGACCCTAGCAGGACTGCAGCAGTAAAGGCTTCAAAAAGGGCAAGTGTTCAAATGCAGGGAATGAAAAAGATAAACAGAAGAACCAGACAAGACAAAATCCCATGACGTTGATGATTACTTTCCCTCCCATTCGAGTACCAGGCATGGCTCCTGGGGTCCCTGCCCACTCCTTTGTTCAGCTCGTAAAATTAAATGGCAAAGAAACATAAAATAAAAAAGGAGAGACGAACGAAGGAAAAACGCAGGCGACGATCCCAGCCCCTTTTTTTTGTGGAGGTGCGCCAAAGAAATCCCTGGTTCTACCGATGGGTATATCGGCATTTTTGATGGAGAAGGTAATAATTACTTCAGTATGTAAGCTAGTAGGAAGAGAATAGGGATCGAGACACAAGTCGATTGGGTAAAAAAGGAAGGGAATAATAGCTTGTGTACAGAGAGGGAATTAAATGGCTTAGAGAAAAACACAGAACAAAACATTCTCTCCGTGATGCAACATGAACAAAAGAAACAAGAAAAGCAAATAATTTTTGGGTAATGCCGATGCGTAGAGCAAGTAGGGATTTTTTTGGTTTGAATACAACCAGAGGAGTATTATTGTAGTAGTAGACGCCGGCGGCTGGTGGGGGAGGGTTTTCTGTCCAAAAAAGATGTGCCCATTGAAAATGGGAGGCGACGTTGAAGGAATGCTGCTCGCAGCTGTAGGGGTCCAGAACGTACCCCCGAAAACGGGACGTTATTAACGGCGTGTTTTATCATTCCAAGATGGATTCATGCCAGAATAAACAGTCTGGGAATTCGGGAGAGAGGGAGCTGGGGGAAGGCCGAAAGTGCGGGCGGGCGAAAGCTAATGCGAGTTATGTGGTGAAGGGTATCGTTAATGGGACGTCTATAATTCGTGTCGTGAAGGGGGAAAGGTTCGGTCGGCGAAGAACAGGCTGATACGAGATTTATCGGATTGCAGGTCCACGATGGTGGGGATCAAGGCTGCTCTGGCTACTATAGGCAGAATTCTCTGAGTCGATATGCGCGCTAGCACCACTATCACCACTCTCCCCGCTGGCGCTCGCACTGCCCGTCAGACTTCGAATGTTTGGAGGACCTTTGGAAGGGTACGAATGATTGCTCACCCCGACATGTTGCTCGACCTGATGCGGCATTACAGCATTCCCCTGACCAGGCGGGTGCCTTGGTACAGGGGCTCTCATCATTCCTGGGGGTGATGGCCTCCCGTTGTGGCCCATTCCATTTGGTAGCGGAGGTGGCATTTGGCCACCATCATGGCCTGTAGTTGGGCGACTCATCCTCCCATTTGGGTGGGGAGGATGGCCTGGAGACTGGCTGGTTCTCCGGCTTGGTGGGAAGGGACCGTGTCCCATCTCGCCAACGCGGGCAGCTGTCAACGAATTCGCCCTTGATTCGTTGTGCATCTCTCTCCTGTCGACATTTCCGTATCGGTTGGACGAGTAGCTCATCATAGGGTTGTCCAAGAGCGAGTCATGCATCCCGGGTATCTCTTCCACTATCCTCGAACTTGCACGATGTCTCCCAGCGCCAAAGTGTCTACTGAAAACAGAGGGAGGGCGTGAATTGTTCAGTTCAGGGTTCTTGCGGAATTCTTTTTGTGGCGCTGTCGGGGTTTTCCTAGTCCTTTTAGAGGTTACGCTCATCATGTCAAAATTATCAGGGTCAATTTGAGGCATAGGTGGGCCACGGTGGTCCGGCACGTCATAGCAATCATCGTCATCGTCATCAAACCCGCCTCTAGTCGATGGTGCCCTTCCGCCGCCGCGACGTCTCATTTGCATTTCTTGCTCTCTTAGTGCTATTTCCCGTTGGCGAAGCATGAGTTCACGCTCCTTCAGTGCCATACCATTTGGTGGCGGCCCTCCATTCATATGGCCGTTGTATCCGCCATGCTGAGATTGGGCGTCTTCGGGCCCATCTTCGTAGAGTACAAGATGACTGAATTCATCGAGGGCCGGATCCTCGTAGGAAAGATCACGGGGAAGGCCCTGTTTAGGGCCTCGTGGGAGGTGACCATTTGCCTGAGGAGGGAGCGGTCTTGGGTTGTTGCCCATTGAAGAGGGTCCTCGGCGTGGTGGCGGCGGTTGTCCTCGATAATTTCCTCCGCCTCGAGGGGCGCCATTCATCGGTGGCCTGGGAGGAGCGGACGATATCCGCGGTGGGTGTATGGAAACCGGTGATGAGGGTTCGGTTGGGGGTTGGCGGTTTTGGTTCGTAGTATTAATATGATGCAGCATTGCATACAACGTCTCAATACGAGGGATTTTTACACCATTCTCGGTCGCCATCTTGACTGGGGTTCCAAGGTAAGTTTCAATTTCCATTGGCCGCCTAGCCTGGAAATCCTGATACATAATGCTGGGGTTCTCTGACGGAACGGTCATTGCCTGGATAGTCTTTTCCTTGAAGTCGTCTGCAAAGCTGCATCCTTGTGATTTTGCCAGAGTAATCAACTCGTCGAGAACGTCGGACACCATCTGGCGTAGACCGACTTTCTCTAGCAGCTGACTATGGTTCGAGGTCTCGAATAGCACACTGAGAGGGTAAAAGGCAATCGGTCTAGGCCAAGTCAGCATAACGGACCTTGTAGAGAGTAGAATATTAAGACTTACCCGATCATACGATCGTACTGCTGCTGGAGTATATTTTCAGATACCTTGCAGTTCACCTGAGCTGTGCCGAGGGTTATGGCCAGGGCAGCAGCCATATCGTTCTGTATCGCTGTTGGAATCATGGCGTTTTTCGACGCCGGACCCACCCACATATCGGTGGAGGATGTATGTTCAAACTCGCTCATACCAGTCTGAACGATATCGACAGCAGACACTAGCGAAAGGACAACATTCTTTGGGAACCGCTGTTCCAAGTGAGCCTCGATGCCTATTGTGCTAGTTGTGTTGACCAGGATACAGGTGTGTTGGGGGGTGACGACGGATTCGATAACACCAGCAAGGTCGTAGACATCTGGAAGGGCTTTGACGCAGAGAATCACGTAATCGAACGACTGCTCTATAGCCGCTCCTTCCTCTGGCGTACGGACAACTGTTGTATCCGAGTTAACATGGGGTACAATTTGCCTGGGTCAAAAAAAGAGAAGATATATGTACCATGTCGAGGCTTGAAGCGTTCGTTGCCAAAGACTTTCGATCTGAGGGAGAGTAAAAGAAAAGGTCAGTCCAAACCAAGGTACCACAGGATTTTATAGGGAGAGAGGGAGAAGAGTCCGGGTGACATACTTGAAGGAGACGCCGTATTGCTGTACGGTCTCAAAGCTCGACTTCCACACCAGCGTCACATCGCAAGAATGCGTAGCCTGTAGTCTCCAGGAAAGAAAGGCTGACACCGCATTTCCACCAACTATAAAATAGGATGTCAGTCGGCCCATCACAGAAACGCGGTTATCAAGATGCAGCTAGAAAAGCAGGACGTGTGTGATGCCAGGGCAAGGAACTTCCAGGTTTTCCTTTCCACCTTCGAAACACAGGATTCTGGTTGGGGCTTGCGAGGTGAAGTGAAAGCAAACTGGCGAGAGAGAGGAAGAGTGAGAGTGAGAGAGAGAAGTGAGAGCTGTACCTGATAGAATGCGAAGTCTCGGAGGCGAAGGGGCCATTGGGAGTGTGCAGCCAGATGTCGGGCGGGAAAGAAGCAGCCCAGTCTGTACCGCCGAAAATGCACAGCACGTTACACACTGCTCTCCGGACGGAAGCTGCAAGATGGATTGCAGGAGGTGAGGAAGAAGAAAAGAAGAGGACGGGTCTCCTTTGATCGCAGGGAGTACGCAGGCGGGTTGGTGCTCGTGCAGTGTATATAGACTGGCTTTCAACGACTATCTCATAGCTCCGTCTCCCGCGCGCGCAGGAGTTGTGCAGACGGACAGACTGTCGGGACAGACACGGCGAGTCTCGGGGCCTCTGCAAGATGAAGCTGGTCCGCTGGATCCGTCGACGGTGGCTTCGGCCGTCCTTCGTTCGTTCGTTCGTTCGTTCGTTCGTTCGTTCGTTCGTTCGTTCGGGGTCGTTTGAGAGGCCTAGGACGGCCAGGAACAGGCGAAAAGAAAGCAAGCAGGAAAAAGAAACTAAACGAACGGAAGATCAATGCCTGAAAAGTAAAACGACTGGAAGCTGGACGACGCAAGCAAGCGTTCGATGTGATGCTCGAGGTGAAGGGGACGAGATGGCAGAGCGAGAGATGGACGAAAACTTGCGTTGGTCGGAGCGGGCGATTGAACTTTTGGCGGGAACCCGCGAGCAAGGTAGCGATAGGGCGTATTACGGTTACAGGAGGTGTCTAAAACAGTGATAAAGTAGAGGCTACACCACCCAAAAGCCAAAGTTACAGCCTGTAATGTCCCGGTAATTACGCGATCGGGCGGGCTATAGGTACCTTGACTCAGATCGTAGTCTACAGATAAGCAGGGAATCTTGCCAAGTGCTGTTTTAGTTGGCAAGGCCGTGGGAAAAAGAAAGCATTACGGAGTAACCACGGCAGGTTGCTTTTTCCGGCTTCATCTGGCTCCAGAGATTTTCAGGGTGAGGGAGCTAGTAGCTGGAGCTTGCCCGGAGACCAGGACGATGATGGATGGTGGTGGATGGTGGATGGACAATAATGCAGAGTACCACCACGTTGCTGCAGACCACAGCTCGAATATCAGTTCTGACGTATGTCGGAGTATACGCTGAAGCCCCTGATGTCAGCCATCGTACGGAGTACGTAGATGTACGTAGACGCCCTCTGCATGATCCGTACTCCGTACAAACAGTGTAGTATGGAGTGGTTCACTCGAGTTCCTGACAGCCTTATCATCCATCGCGGCGAGACTCTGTTTCAGCAGGCATAACAGTGCCAAAACACGCCTGGCATCAAACACAGCGTACGGGACTGATCGCGCAGCCGGTACGGAGTCGACGGACGCTGCCAGATGCTAAACTGGCCCGGACGTGTCTTGCCTTTTCTCTTCAACGGGCGTCATATAATAATACTCCGTACGGAGTACTCCTTGATGGACGACGGTCGATGGTTGATGAGCAGTCCAAAGAGACAGGTGGATCACCCCGTATGTCTATGCTGGTGGTTAGGGGGGCCTTATCCGTACATCGTCCTCATTATTGCTTTTGCTCCATGACCATTCTATGCAGCGGCCTCTTGTAATAATATCCCTTTTTTTTGTGCGCTTCCCTTCTTGACGTGGCGATTTGCCTAGTGATGAAGGGCTCAGGCACCAGTTACCTTCTCCCGTGTGGTGGAGAATGGCCCAGACAGGCACGCACGTCTTCAACATCCTTCCAGCTCTTCTTATTATTACAGCCCCATTCTGCGACACATGCGTGCTGCAAATGCGGCAGGACGGAGGAGCTGTCTGAGGTCGAGAGGGAGCTCTGTACGACAGACGCGACAGCACTTGCAAGCCCATCAGCCCATCAGCCCATCACTCGCGCCAGACACGGTGAAGAATGCATGAATGCTCCCCCTTCGCCCTCTGTTTCGTCTTCGCCACTGGCGTGCTTGACTACCCAACGGGACGAGGATGTGCTGGCGTCAAATCGACTCGTCATCGCCGCTTGTTATATGGCTCCGGTATTTAAATTAACACCACGGCCAGCTCCATCGCCGTAATTTACTGATGCATGTCCGTATTTTTCTTCCCTGCTCGAATGCCTGCTGCGTGCCTGAATATCTCTGGAGGGTCTAGGATCGAGTATCTCGTGCCAGCAGGCTCCTCCCTCATACCGTAGAGTAGAAACAGTGACTATCTCTGTCTTCATGAGTTTTTCAACAAAGATAATATTTTAAGGGCGTTATTTCAAGGTTATTACTAAGCGCAACGGCGTTATATTTATCCGATGACTAAGCAGTACATATATGTAAGCCAATGACGTTATGCGATGGTTTGGGAAGCCATGGGGATCCGATCCGGGAGTTTAGGGGGGAAGTGCTTCCTTTTTCCTCCCCCTTGCCTCTTGCGATTGTGCTGTGCTGCAAAGAAGCAAATATAAAAACCAATCTCATATCCGCTTTTAGCGAGATTACTATTTACACGCCTATTGGTGACATTTAGGACCCTGTGGATATATACTTTCTATACATTTCAGCTCAGACGGTCGATCGCGGATCGGTTGAGGCAAGCATGGCCCGTCTTGATCAATTGCCGGACGACATCCTCATGTGTATCATCGACGAGGCGTGGGAGGGCTGGGAGGACTGGGCTGAAGACAACTACATTCAGGAGGCCCCGCAATTCCACTTCCAGCGTAGTCTCCTCTATGTAAACAGTATGTTTCCCTCTCAATTGAAAAAAAAAGGAAAGAAAGAAAGAAAGAAAGAATTGTTTGACCCCTTGAGGCTAATGGAACATTATTCTGGTTTAAAGAGAAATTAGAAGACACCGTTGAGCGTTGGATGTACGGCCGGATCAGGCAATATCAAAATGGCCACCAGGACCAGGCATCATGGCTGTCCTTGATGTTACCGCGGCCAGCAAAGCACCTCTTCATGCAGCTTATCAAAGACCAGGGAGAGGATGCCATGGAAAAGCAGTATGTGTCTGTAGGAGGCAACAAGGTCTTAAATTCTGTGCACAGAGTTAATAGGTATCTCGTGAAAGAGGCCCTAAACACATGTCCTGAACGTGATATCCTCGCTGTAAAGGATAAACACGAGGAAACCCTTTGTGCATTGGCCGCTGCGAATCTCGCCAGCGGGGATCTAGTGCCCTTCCATGACGCATTCACTAAGCCTGACGATCAATTCGAAATACACGCAATTGAGATGGCTTTTGAGATGAAAGTTGATCCGAGAGAGCCATGCAGCGTTGGCGGAATGATCGCCATCCGCGAAGGCGACATCCCCATGTTAACTCGCCTTTCACAAAAGAAGACTTTCGATGTCAATATCGACCACAAGATCTTTGGCAATCCCATCCTGGTAGCCGCCCAAATGAGGGATCTCGAATGCATGAAGATACTGCTGGCGCTGCCCGGGAAAACATTCTTATATAACGGGGCGGAATTTAACGCCTTACACTTGGCTGCCAGAGGAGGAGATTTACCAATGGCCAAACTGCTGCTAGAACATGCTGATGAGTCTCTTTATCCCCCCGATCAGGAGACTACAGCGTTATTTCTTGCGGCGGAAAAGGGCCATCTGCCTATTGTGGAGCTGCTGCTTCATGGCCTAGACCCGCCACCCACCACTGAGGATATCGATATGGCTGCAGTGGGTGCTACCAGTGCAGGACATGAAGAAATCCTAAAGCTTCTGTGGAAGCGCAGTAGCCTACCAAGTACCATGGGGCAAGAATATGGCATGGCGGGTCTATGTCTTGAGGATGGAGATAGTGAAGACAGCGATGTTGAAAGCGACGGTGCTGAGGATGAAGGTATTGGCGGTGGTGGGGATTTTGAATTCGAGGACATGCCTGACATGGAGGCTGGGACGAATTTGGCATTCTGGGCCACTAAAAACGACCATGTGAATATTCTCAGATTCATTCTTGACGCCGATGATCAGTTCGGGCCCTACTCTCGTAGTACAGAGAGCAGTTCAACATCGCTGTCTAACGAGGGACAGCTGAAAGAGCCCGATTCTGGACCAGAAAGTGCAGGATATAAATCGTGGAAGCATGAGGAGACACCCAAAACCACCTCCAAGGCCAAGAAGTCCATTGCTCGGTCATGCTTTCTAGCTGCCGCGAAGTTTGACAGCGTAAAGGTAGCGCAGCTACTTCTTGATCGCTTCGAAGACTTCGGTAACATGCAGTTTATGGGCAATACGAGACCATTAATATATGCTGCAGCTTTCAGCGCGACACGGGTAATGAAACTCCTACTTGAACGGGACGACGTCGACGTCAACCACGCCAACGTAGTAGGTGGTACTGCAATATCCTATTCGATACGACCTCCCATAGAACCAGTCTACAGAGTGACAGATGAACTAGAGGCGCTCAAACTTATGCTGACCCGAGAGGATGTTAATGTCAACTGCGCTGATGAGAATGGCGATACTCCTCTGATTTGGGCTGCTATTGCAGGGGATCCCCGTATGGTAAGGGCGTTATTGTCTCGTAAAGAGCTTGATGTCAACGCGAAAAATCGTTACAGTGAAACCGCTCTCTCACGCGCTATCCTCCTAGAAAACACCTCTGTCGTCAAGGCCCTGCTGGCCCGAGAGGATATCCAAGTCAATGTGAAAAACAAGCTAGGCCTAACTCCATTCCAGATGGCAGCTAAACTTGACTACCCTGACATCATGCAGCTTTTTATCAACAGGGCCGATGTTGATACCAAGGCCCAGGATACCATTCCACACAAGGGAAAGGATAGCATCAAGGTCTCAGAGGACACCGATACTGCACAGGAGACCCTGGATGAGGAATTCTGCTGTTATGCTTGCTCGTTTATACACCCATCAGCGCATGGAGTGTACAATGGGCTTGTTCCTGGATTCTCGAGAGAGGTTTGACGTCGGATTGTTTTCCTTTAGCGTACCTCTCCTAGGCACGAGTCTAGGGACAAGTACAAGGACAGGCGTAAGGACATGTCTAAGGGTAGGCGTAATGGTTATGGATAAGGGTAATCGGAGGGTGTTTTTATTGATAAAAGTTCAGTCCATCATGGGCTTATGGTAGGGAGAGATCTTCGTCGTTCGTGGTGTTGTTGGTGTTTTCCTTTTCTGGGTTAGGGCAAGCCGACGCACGATCATTCGCTGAGTCATCGGTATTTAAAAGTTACTCTGGATTACAGTATTGATACGTTTTGAAATACATTAATTACCAACTCTGAAATTCTTCTTGAGATACAACAAACATTTATACCGGGTCGAAGTATATACTATCGAACAGCCAACGGACATCAACAAGTCTTACGCTGACGCCAGGATTCGTGGCCAGGGTTGGAGGGATAGGGGCGGCAGTTCGTCTTTCGGTGCTTTCACGGCCTATCACCCCGTGTGTCTGCCCCTAGCCTGTTAGACAAAGCTTGATGCTGGTCATACAGTCCATGTTTCTAACAAGCGGGATCTCGAATTTACAACCTTGACCCTGGCAAACCAGATCAATCACGATGGTTCAGCCCTGGCATGGAAGCAGTGTGATTGGACTTTTTGATTCAGCCGCTGAACCGAGTCTAAAGCTTACCGTCGTCAAGAAAGATACCCCCACAGACAAATGACAATTATCCAAGTCCACATACGGGCCATGGCAGGCTACTTTGTACCATATACCCTTTTTGACAGGCGTACCACGTCCTTTGTCCTGACGTCTCCATTGCCCCAGAGCTCTAACTCTAGGATACCACTAGAGTACGGAGTACTATGTGGGGGATGGGCTGCTGTACACAAGCCCCTTGAAAGGAGCCCCCCATCTACGAGAAAAAAAATACATACTAGGTCAATATATAACCCACAATACCTCAAATCTCACTGCTGGTCAGTGCCAGATATGTTCTATAAAACAACCTAGTCCTGTCTCCACCTAATCGCGACACATGTGGAACGCGATAGGGTAGAACAATGTCTTGAACACAAACAAGCTGCGTGTATGCTGCAGTGCTTTGGCTCTGTACGACGAGGATATTACATCAGTTGCAAGAAATCAATACATCTAGAATCTCCATGGGACTCGGCAGCATCGATACCTAGATTATATCCACTTTAGTTCTATACATAATATGGGCCATGGAACCCCAGAATTCATATCTTCATATCTGTGGAGGCTGTCTAACCTCAGGATGGGAGTACGAATGTTTCTCTGCAGTGAGTCCGGATCTACCATAGTACGTCTCCGATCTTGTGGATGACATGTGCCATACTCAGTGGGTAGTTACATGTCTGACCTAGGTCATAATTAAAATACAAAAGCTATGACGTCGAAGATCTATCAACATTATATTGCGCCTATATCTGAAATATAGAGTTGAGGTGCTAGCTTCTGAATCATGGATATGGGAGAGGATATGATTAGGATACTCGAAGGCCGATAAAATAAGAATAACTACGGAGGGAACGACTATAATGGACCAAGCCTATCATCATTTTATAGAAAGGCAAGGACAAAACACAAGCCATGCCAGTTCACCTCCCTTTCTCTTTACCCACATATTATTCTGTTCTACAAACCTAGCCTTTTCTTTTGGTTTCAGAATTAAGGAATGGCAAAAGATTACACCATAGGAGTTTCGAGGACACTGTAAACTTTTCTTTCTTGCGTTTTCATATCTGAGAGTTGGTGTAGAAGAGTCCTGTTCCACCAGTGGAGTACAAGGCGCAAGTGAGACGAGCTAGTACAAAAAGTTCAATGAGACAGTGCAGAGGTCGAAAAAAAGGACGGATGACCAAATTAGTAGCATAAAAAAAACTGGAGACGAAAACCACTGAAATTCTTAGAAGCGAATACCTAACGCGCCAGATACGAGACCCCGGATCATTTTGAGAAACAGATATGCGTCAGGATTGGATGAGTCGATCGACGCTTTTCAAAAGCATCATCGACTATGCCATGTAAGTGCTGGCATCAACACCTTCCTCGGGGTATTCACTATATATGCGTGTAAGTAGATTTGAAGCTAAGTTTAGAGGTTCGGTAGTATGGAAAAACTTACGGAAGGGCAACCTCAAATCTCTTCTCAATGTCTTTCAGTACCTGCAGGTTTTCCTCATCGCTGACGAACGAGATGGACAAACCCTTGGTTCCGAATCGACCGGCACGACCGACTCGGTGAAGGTACGAATCTGCGTCGATTGGCATGTCATAGTTGATAGCCAAGTTGATTCGTTCGATGTCGATACCACGACCGAAAACATCAGTGGCGACACAGATACGCTTGTTGAATTCCTTGAACTCGCGGTATCGTTTGATACTTTATAAGTAGTTAGCTACATGTTTTATACAAGGAAAATAGACATTGGTCAACGTACCGTTCTTCTTGGGAAACACCTGAGTGAACAGCAATACTGGGGAAGTTGCACTCTCTGAGGAGTTTGTCAAGCTCTGTTGCACGGACGGTGCTCTTCACGAAGATGATAACTTGATTGAACTCAAGGTTGTCAAGCAGCTCGTTCAGTTTTCGGTTCTTCTCAGTTTCACTGAGCTTGATGTAGTATTGTTGCAGACCGTGCAGGGTCAGCTTGGTATCATCATCAACGTACACCTCGAGGGGGTTTCGCATGAATTTCTTGCAGATTGGACGAATCTCCTGGGCAAGGGTGGCGCTAAACATCATGACTTGTTTATCAGCGGGCGTGGAACGGAAAATCTCTTGAACATCGGCACGCATATCTAAAGCAAAGATTGGTCAGTCTTCGCCTAACAGATTATCCTCGCGTGGAAGGCAAGAAGGCAATACCTTTCTGGTCCAGCATCTTGTCACACTCGTCCAAAACGAATGCCTTGATATTGCGTAGAGAGAGTTTCTTGTCTCTCAGAAGGGCGTTCAATCGGCCGGGAGTACCAACAATGATGTTGGGGTGGGTGTCCTTGGAGGAGAGGATCTCGATATCCTTCTGGATTGGCGTACCACCGTAGAACACCGCAGTCTTGACATCAGGCATATATTTGCTGAATCTTGCGTATTCATCCTTGATCTGGTAGGCCAACTCTCGAGTAGGGCACATGACCAAGATAGAACAAGTGCCAGGAACTGGCTCAAGCTGATGAAGAGTGGTCAGGGCGAACACTGCAGTCTTTCCGAGACCAGATTTGGCTTGGCAGAGAACATCGACATTGAGAATAGCTGTTGGGATGCAAACTTGCTGGACTGTATGAGGTAGGTGGCAGATTATGTTAGATTGATTCGATCCAGTTTCAAGAAATACGCATGGTGAAAATATCCGCCCATTCCGGTTGCCTCAAGAGTGACAATGTGACGGAAGAGGAAAGTAGATATCCCTTCCCCGCATGGAAAAGAGCGAAGCCTGAAGGCTGATATATATAATACTCGGAAGAATGCAGGATGCACGCAACATATAGGCTTATTTTGCAGGACAGCACGAGGGGGTAACTTCGGCTCGGAGAACGTCTCGATGAATTCAAGTTTCCCACGTTCGTTGATACCGCCATAGGCCAATTCTCGGTTTTCCTTGTGGCGGTTAGGCCCGAAGGAGACCAGAAGCAGCGAATGCGACCTTGATTCGACACAATTCTTGGTCGAAACACCACAAAATGGGGGCCTGAGGGCCGTCTATTTGCGCGACAATAAACGTGTTTCCACGGTGACTTTTTTTATTTCCTCGAATGTTTCCCTCGTGCCGCCTGCAAGCTCGAATCGGCCAGTTTTCTCTTTATTCCAAACCGGGAATGGGCGGATATTTTGGTTGGATTTCAACAGGAAGGACGTGGGAGAAATGTGTAACTAACCCTCCGATGGATGTTCGAAACCGCAATCGGTGATCGCGCGTAGAAGCTCTGCCTTGAGGTAGAAGTCACGGAAACCGGTCGAATGGATACCAACATAACTGCCCTTCTTGTCGGCGCCGGCTCCAGCTACAGTCAGGTCGCCCTTTTTAGCAGCATCGCCGTTGGCAGCTGGCGCAGTTGAGGCAGCAGCTGCATCAGTGGTCTGGAGTTCCTCGTCGGAGTAGTCGATGAGATCTTCTTCGGTAGCCATGGTGTGAGGTTGATGTGTTTTGGAGTCAAACTTGTTGACGGGAGGGGGGAAGATTTCGCTTTGAGGACGGAGAATGCTGTCTCCGACGATATACAAGGCGAGGAGTAAGCAGCTAGGTATCCGAACCAGCTACTCGAAGGTGATTGTAGATGAAGAGGTTTGATCTGAGGGTCGCTGAAAGGTGGTGTCTGCGGTAGACAAAGATGAAGTCGTGGAGCTGAGGCGCGAAAGTTGAAATGGGCGTTGCCTGTTTTGGCCGCCCGGAAAAAAGTCAGTTCCAGTCATGTGATATCCGTGCCACTTAGTCATCATTTTCATTCACTTCGCTTCGGCTTTTGGGAGTGAACGGCTTCAATATAATAATATCTTCATCATCGGCGAGCGACAAGCATGGCTAAGAAGTCTCAGAAGGCGCAGAAGGGCACGGGAACCCGAGTGCAAAACCATCTTCACGCAAGGATTGCATATCTATACAAGGCCACAAACTACTTGCAGACTGCTACCGATACCATGCGCGAAGAAGTAGCTAGCGATACCAGCCCTCTGCCTGAGCGTGACGCTCTAAAGGGATCTCACACCGGAGTCAGCAATGAGAAGGGACCGTTCTCATTCATTGCCCGTCAATATGGGAGCCAGCTTCGTGCAGTGTCGTTGAAATCACAGTTACGGCTTGACCGTGATGTCAAGCGATCCATATGCAAGAGATGCGATTCCTTCCTGAGACCTGGCTTGACATGCTCGGAGACAATGGAGAACAAGAGCCGGGGGAGGAAGAAACCATGGGCCGATACACGAGTCGTTACATGTGGGTTTTGTAAAACTCAGAAGAGATATCCTCAAGGCATTAATAAGAGTATCAAGCTCGCTGCACGACAGAAACCCCAACCGCCCAAGGAAGACGAACATCACAACCAGAGGTGATGGAATAAATGAATGGCGGGCTCGCCACTACTTTCGACATATCATGCTGAGTTGGAGGCCAAGCTCAAAAGGAGGTCAGAAAGCATACTGATCAGGGAGAAGGCCAAAACGGACAAAATATTATTCATATTGCCCGCTTATTTGGCAAGGATGAAAGACATCGTCCTTGACACAGACTAATTCTCCGAATCAAACTTTATACTGTGAGTTTTCGTCTATAAATCAGCAAAAACAAATAACACGCCTAACTGGCAATGCAGGCCAAGCCATTCAGCTCCAAGCTATTCGACAGAAAAGCAACCCCATGACTCCCGGCCAGCATATCGCCGAGGACACAGGCGTCGGCCTACTCCGTATATCGGGGGTAATATCCTCCTATACACCAGCTACCAATGACGACAGCCACTTGACCGGTCGGTCCCGGTCTTATTTTACTACGCCCAAGTGTTCAGAATGCCGTAGCTGAAGGTTACTATATATGTGATTTATAGATAAGGAGAAAAACGAATCGTTATTCTATCTTATCATTCCCATAAGAGCCAAACGAATCAAAAGTATTGTTCATAATATTTTTCGGGTAGAGACCAAACGAGATGGATGTTTAAGAAAGGTAGCTTGATTTCGTTGGGGTTGTGTGGTTGAGTAGTTTTATTTATCCCTCAGTTATATCATTTATTCGACTTTGCTGTCAAAGTTCTCGCCCTCAACTAGCTCTGGGATATCATCGTCGTCCTCATCGTCCTTCTTGCCTTCTTCCTTCTTCTGCATGCTCTGGTAGCTCTCAGCTAGTTTGCGGAGGGAAGCAAGGGAGTCAGGGCCAAGTTGGTTGAGGATACCAGGGACAAGTTCGGTCAGTTCCTTCTCCTCACCGTTACCGTAGATGGCAAACGTGTTGCTGGGAACGGAAGCTTGGACTATTGGGTTCAACGCGGTTAGTATATCCACGAACAAAAGAGCATATAATTATGATATGTTACCTTTAGGGGCAGCGAAGTGGATGACGTTTCCGTCTTCCTTGAACATGTTAACCTCCTCGATCGCCTGGATGGGCTGAACGTTCATCTTCTTCAAGGCAGTTTGGAGTTTCTTGTCATCGGTTCCGGTGGACTTGTGGACCTTCTTCATCTTACGGCGGGGAGTTCCCTTTCCACTATACGAATGGCATAAATCGTCAGTCAATCCTAGTCATAACTTCATATCTTCGCATCCATCAATGAAATGTCAAAAATCCCCGCCCCTCCAACGTTCACCGACACAAGGCTCGGTAGTGGGGTGATTTGTGTATTTTCACGAGGCCGAAACAATGTCAATAAAAAATTAAGCAACGTACCCTAGAAGCAATTGACACACATGTTAGTGAATTGACATTAATATTCGACACATAACATCATATATAAAAGAAGCGAGCTTGCTAGAGTTCCCAGCACGGGCCAGATGGCCGAGCTCCAATATTGATATAGAAAACGGGAAAACCGTGCAAGGACAACGCCAGAGACCAAGGAGAACATACCAATCCGCACACTCTGCTGCATCTTCTGTAACTTTGCGAGATCCATGGTGAAAATCGAGTTTCTTCCTTCGTCCTTTTTTTTACTTTATTTTCTGCTTCCCAGCCTAGAATTTCCACCGAGGTATAAGGATGCCGACTCAGGTATCCGGAAGAAGCGTAGACGAGACGATCGAGAGCGTCCGAGAGAGCGATGAGCAGGTAAGAGACGTTAACGGGAGAAGGGTCTAAAATAAAAACGATCGCAAAGACGAAGAACGTCCATAATGATACCAATTAGCTTCATACACACATCCAATCAGGGTTATTTGTGGGGAGACGGAAAAATCGGGGGCGCTGGTTTTGCCTGTGTTTTGCAGAACCTGAGCGCGCTCCCTGGCGTCCCTTTCGTCCCAGCAATGGGCTCCGCGAGAATTCAACTTACAGTCTGGGCAGATAGATATGGTCCTCGACGTTTCTGTTCCAAGGTCGGCAGCAAGTTCGCTTTTGGCCTTTGGATGTTTGAGCACCCGCGCCAAGCCCTGGGTTCGGTTGGCGGGTTAATCCGGCCTAGCCCTAAACCCCTTCCAAACATGGAAATCAGCTTCGTCAACGGATACATGACAGATATATACAAAGATATATGGACGACAGCGCGAGTAACGGTATATAAAATGAAGATATACAGATGTATGAACGACAACGTACAAGTAACGATATATGACATGGCAGATATACAGATATATGGGTGAAGATATATGAGTAAGAGTATTGACGATCATCTTTCGGCGACCTGCTCCTCCGACCACTCCCACAGTCGCCGTGAGGTACCCTCGTCATGGACAAGCTGGTTCTCCCACGCCTGGATGCCGACTGGCGTATAGTACTCTCCATTGCGCAGCTGACTCCTCTCACACCCAGCAGCCCATAGATGGTTGCATGCTCCATTCTTCTCGCTGGAAGCAAAGGGCTTAATCAGACCCAGGCCATGTTTGATCACGAAAGTCGATGCCTTGCCCTGGTCGTACAAGGCTGTCAGAATGATCCCAGGATGCACCGAGACGCTCATGATATCTGGGTACCGTCTTGCCAGCTCGGATGCCAGGAGGATATTGGCTGCCTTGGAGATCCCGTACCTGGTCCACCTATTGCATTTTAATAGCTCGTCCGTTGAAGTCATGAGCCATAGTAGTGCTGACGGCGAGGATGGGGCCATCTGCCAGCCTATGGACGAGACAGACAAGATACGCACATCCGATCCGGGTTTAGATGCGGTTTCTCTGAGTGTCGGTATCAATAGCGATGTTAGTAGGAAGTGGCCCATGTAGTTTGTACCGAATTGGATCTCGTATCCATCTTCGGTCGAATAAGGGTCCTGGCCCATTACTCCTGCGTTGAGGATGAGGGTATCCAGACGGTCACATTCCGCGGTGAATAATCTAGCTGCTTCCCGGACAGATGTAAATGACGACAGGTCCAAAGGTATATGTCGAATGTCCACTGGTTGCGTTAGCTCTGATTTGATAGCTGCGATGGCTTTCTGTGCCGTTTGTCCATTTCGAGCAGCCAGGTATATTCTTGCGGGACGGTGCTTTGCTAACTCGCGGACCGTTTCCCTTCCAAGCCCGATATTCCCTATTCTATACCGTAAGTAGATGAAAAGATAGACTTGGGAGTAACGCTATGTATTAACTCACCTCCCGTAATCAAAATGACCTTCCCGGACTGGTCTATAACATCACGCTCTGGCCGAAAGCCATATCCAAAAAGCTGGCGTCCAAACTGATGAATGCCCAAAGCGAGCAATCGACACGTCTCCAATGGATGAGCGAGGAGGATATTGGCAAAAGAAAGCAACGCAACCAACTCTTTGAAGGTAGATCCGGGACTATTTTCCGGTTGCGGCTGTGTTTCATCCGTCTTTCTTTGGCCGGGAGTCGAATCATTTGATGGGATTTTACCCTTGGCTCTATGTGTGACCTTGGACATATTGAGCTTACTTTGCAGGGTGGTATCCAAAACGAGGCTGGTAGATGGTTATGATATATAATCAGCGCATTTCTATCGACACAACACATGCTTAATATGTAGATATATTAGTATCTTGGATAAAAGCCAGCGAGGCCGAGGATCTCATTTTCAGGGGAGAAACTTGAAAGTTGATGTTAGCGTCAACTTTCTCCCCGTCTCCAGATGACTAAACCTGATTTTGTACTTCTACTTCGATCTCACCGAGGTAGCGGTGCTTATCGTGATGACGATGGCTAAGCATGATGTAGGACAAAACTTTTGAAGACGTCGTCATGTTGTAAGCCACTGGACTCTGACACGGCCAACCAGCTATCACTCCCCACACTTACACGACTATGGTGCTACGACTTATACTACGAGTGGAAAGATGACGAGGAGTGGAGAGCAGTTATTCATAATGGGATGTTGTAAATGAATGACTATATACTACATGATACATCGTTTTGCTTTTCGCTTTCGCTGAATAGCACATTCTTGCTTTATCTTCATTTCCCCGAGACGTCACTTCTTCGACCTTCCCCTTGGAACTCTTCTTTCCTTTCTCTTCCCCACCATCTTCTGCTATCATAGGGTGCTGCGTCGATATCATTCGACTTCACCAGCCATAGCTGACTCAGACATGTGGGATAGTGTATATCGCAAGTCCTGTCTAGATAGGCTTTGTATATGATAGTCTGGAGGAAGGTATGCTTTGAGAGTCATGTAGAGACTCGACATCCTTCACAGATTGTGTGTGGTAGTTGATTCTACCCTGCCAGAGGGGTGATCAAAAAGATGTAAAGTGAATGTAATTTCACAAGTTGCAAGCCTCTTTCCACCCGTTCAGCCGACATGGGTGGCTCTCTGAGCAGCACGGCCACTGTGGCAACCTCTCTCGTGGCGCTTCATGTTACTCCTGACACTGAACGCCTTGCCACAGCCCGGACGAGGGCAGCGGAATGGCTTCTCGCCCGTGTGGCTGTGGGAGTGGATGCGGAGGCTGGAAGGTCGGGAGAATGCCTTGTTGCAAGTACGGCAGATGTACCTGTCGTGGTTGAGTGGGTAGGCGGCAGTGTTGGATGGAGGGAAGTAATGGTGGTGCTGCCATGCGGTGCTGCCCATCTCGCCAATGCTGACCATCTGGTGGTGATGGTGCTGGCTTGGCTGCTGTGGCTGTGACTGAACAACAACGGAAACTGGCTTAAAAGCCGGAGCAGCTGCAGGGTAGAACTCTGGAGACGAAGCCTGGTGGTCTGTAGGAGACGTGAACCGGGCCACGTTCGAGTTTGCAGGAGATGGATAGCGGCCCTCGGAGAAGGAAGAGCGGTTTGAGTAGGAGACTCGAGACATTGGTCGCTCGGTGGGAGCGTCTGAGGCTGGGCTGGTGAGGGTGGATGAGCTGATGAGCCCGGGAACCTGCATGGTCGAGGTTGAAGAAGCGCTGGATGCAGATGGAGAGCGTCTTGTCTGCTCGAAACTGGATCCAGGTCGCTGTGGTGGAGTGGGTGGGAGTATCATCCGGTACTTTCTCTCGGACCTCTCCTCTTCCCAGTCATCGGATCTTTGCCGTTCTAATCGGGGTTAGCAGAGAAATTGTATACATGTCAAAGAGTCAACTTACTGGCTGAGTGAGGTGGTGAGATGCTGTCGATTCCCTGAAAGAGGGTTGAGATGGGTGGCAGCGAATATCTGGTAGCAGGCTCATCCTCTGGGGTGGCAGGCAGTTCGAGGATGCTGGTGTATGGAGATGGAGTCTGGGTTGGCTTCATGCTCCACGACCGCTGTGAGGAGTATGAGGAGCGTCGAGGTGATGGAGGCTCATAGTTGGTGACTAGTTGAGAGAGATTCATCTTGCCGTGTGTAGCAGGCTGTGCAGACAGGGTATAACGGTCTGATATGCTGGCAGGCAGTATGGTATATATATATATATGTATATCTTGCCAGAGTCAGGAGCTCAGGGGTGAGAGAGATATATATGACAAGGAAGAAAAACAGCGGGCTAGAAGGATAGAAGTAGTTAACCAGGCGGCTTTAAAAACGTGTCGGGGCGAAAAGGCATGGTGGGCAAGGGTGGGTGTTTAAACCATCCCAAGAGCTTTAAGGCTTAAAGGTTCCAGTACAAGGGATCAAGGACGAGCTGACCGAGAAAAAAAAAAAGAACCCTCGTCTCTACTCCTCCCTCAATATTCTAACCCATGGGGTCAGGGATAGTCGATAACACGCCGGCGGAAACCTAGTCTTCGCCCCCGTATTGCAATTACATGGCGGAGACACGTTATTCTTAGATTTGCAAAAATGGCGAAGAAGCATCCATCCGCGTTACTAGCGGATTACGACGCAGGTTGATCAACCGGACTTTCTTCCTTATGGCCGGAGGAGAGAGAAAGTCACGAAGTAAAGCTCGACTAGCGATTTCAATCACGGCCAGGCGATCTTCGGCGGGCGCCATCCCATCCCCAGCGACGGCCAGCAGGGTCCAGCACTGCGTTTGAGCATCGACAGCTGGAAAATATCTCCGTCGATATATAGTGACAAGCGATTGACAAACGCCGCCATCGTATCTGAAGCCACAGATGGAGACGATGCACAGATGGAGACGAAGCAGAGATGGGGAAGACACTGTCGCTCAGCCGAGAGTGCGATCTACACGAGTACGGTCTCGGACTTCGATCAGAGCCAGGAGGATCGATCATGCTCTTTTACCGAGACGCCTTTCGATCTCAAGCTCAAGGCATACACATACATAACCGACATCGGGAAGATGATAATTAAAAGTGATCAACAGATGGGAAAAAGAAAGCAGGAAAAAAAAGAACATTGCTTGACGCTTCGACTTGTTGTCTTGGGCCTAGTCTGAAAACGCGGCATTTCCTTCACCCACACAGCTACTTTTGTTTTTGAGCTTCTTCGAGGTCTCGAGATGGCGGCGGAAGGAAATATGATCCGTGCCATTCATGTTTTTTTCCTTCTTTTCGACGATGGAGGATCCCAAGGATAAGCGTATATTGTGGAGCGTGTGGCCGGTAGGCGTTTAAACGAAGCAGAACAGCAATATCCACACTCGTCACAATCACATCACATCGCATCGAGCCGGTCATCGGATGGAGAAATGGTGATAAACGATCGCTTGACCAGAGAACCAAGCGAGGCAGCCTGCACTTTGAGTTTGTCGGAAGCGAAAGACACAACAGGAGCCACGTTAAAGAGTGGTGGCTGACACCCAGAACAGGATGCTGGAGACGGTCGCCTCGTGGGAAAATCCTGCTCTAGTCCTGTCCCGGTTAAGGCACACTCGCATTTTCAAGATCCAACGGGCTACCAGATTTGGCCGAAGCCTATACGAGAATGTAATTATAGCCTTGAAAGAAAAAAGAGGACATATACGCTTTCACGCTTTCCGTATGGCGGCCTCTCGCACAGATCGCCCTCGCCCGAAAAGGTGAATATATACCAGAGTATGCAAAAAGAAAGGAGACGGAATTGAAAAAAAGGGAAGAGGGAAAAAGCAAAGGTACATCTATACTTTACCCATACCATGGAGAGTTCGATGGCCGGGGATATGTCAGGCCTGCCGCTCTGAGTGGCTCGTCACTCGCGAACCATGATTCGAGATGCTTGCCTGGCTGCATCAGCCATGCCTCGTTTCCCTCCTAACTCGGGGAGCCTGAGAGGGGGTTGATCTTCTGCTGAATGATGCAGATCCACGCGATGGCCACACATCAGACGGCACGCACGAGGGAAAACAAAAGAAAAATACCAGCAAAAGGCTTCTTCGGCTGTTTTTTCTTTGTTTGCTTTTTCTCCTCTAGGCGACCCTTTTGGCTGCTCTGGCTCTGTGAGGCGTCCGTTTTCTCGGACGGAAGATTTTTTGCCGCACTTTCGCCTACCTCTTCCTCGGGATTCTAATTATATCCTGCAGAGGCAAAGAAGGGGGGGAAGGCCATATTCGCATATTCGCCTTTGGGAAGGGGAAGGAACTACTAGTTTGAATGAATGATTGCTTGATGGACCAATAGACGGCAGTTATGGCCATCTGTAATAGAGGTGATATAGGGGTGACGGACCTTATTTTTGATTTCCTTTCGGACGTAAGGTTGTTCGAGGTCGACGTACGGAGTGCCTATCGAGTCGTTGGGTTCAATCGAGATGAGATGGGTATGAAACATCGCCCTTGTTAGCATTCCAGCGGTGGCTGTCTGGGCAGCCAACCGTCAGCCAACCGCCAACCTTCGTGTGATTCCTAACAGAGATCATCATCTGGTACATTATCTTCAAGATCAGCGGCCAGTACGCTAACAGTCCTCTTCCCGCCGTCACACAAAGGGGTCCGTCTCTTGTTCTTCGTCTTCTGGCTTCTGGTGGGAAATGAGATGCTTACTCAAGACGTGCTAGGCGGTTAGGCCTGCCCGGGGAGGACGCCCGGGCAGTGGATCACCTGATCGACAAGTGGCCCAACCATCACTGGCATTTACCTACACAGCACTACTTGCTTCTTCACCTTCATCAAAGGAGAGAGGAGGGCGGTCCGGGGAACAACGCCGACCTGTAGGCTGGCTGATACGAGACCAGACAGTGAGAGATGCCAGCCTCAGGGCTCTATACGTAATTAATCAAACACCTCCGCACGAAACACGTGAGACCAGCCACACCCCCCTGAGAAAAACGGTGAGGGTGCCATGCTAGTATCTCCAGACATCCAATCCAGACAGGAGAGATCGCAGAGTTTACCCGCCAAGCTTTATATGAGGTTAGCAGTCGGGCATTACTCTTCGCCGAGATACTGATACTACTCTTAAAAACTGCACATATGATACAAGATACTACATAGTATACTCCGTACGGAGTAGATATACGTACGGAGTAGATACTGTATAGATGGTCAGTGCCCGTGTGATCGACTTGCAGATTGGACCAGCCGGTGTTTCATGGCGCTTCGCCTCCACGTGAAAAGTGGGAAGATCACCACGCATTACGTGTATACATCTCGTCCTTTCTCAGCATGTTACTACGGGGTATGAGCAGTAAGTGTATGCTTGTTCCCTGGTTTCCTCATGGGGCGCATGGTTCAGTAGTTCTCTGGTTCCGTCCTCATCTGGCAGGTCGAAGCATGAGGGGAGAGCTACTTCTGCCTACACCTAAACTTGTACGACGCAGCAAGTACTTTTGGGCGGGCCAGATCGGGTCGAGTCCAAGCGGCGGTCTTGGCAGGAAAGCTTGTTCTGCAGGAGCCACTGTCTCATTGGCCAATAAGCAGCGAGCAGCAGTTTCCTTTTCCCGTAATTGGTGGGGCAACGCCGCATGCAGAAAAAGGGAAATATCGACCAATCAGAGCATCAAGAATTCTCCTTCCCTTTTTTCTTTTTCCACCTTCTTTTTCTTTTCTTTTTCTGATTCTTCTTTTTTCCCTTTCTCGCCGACGCTTTGATCGGCGGGAGAAGTCGGGGATCCTGCTGATCGCCTCAACAGTGTGTTTCATCTTTGTTGATCTCCCTCCTCATCAGATACCTCACATATACACTCACATAGTACACTTCTTACATAGTATACGTACACATACGCATAGACGGCTGAAGCCACGATAAGAAGAATCAGGTCAACGTAAGCGCAAGGCATCTCTGATCTGGCTTGTTTGCTTCCTCCTAGGCGGACTCCGTTGGCGCACATGATGGGATCTAAACTCTACCATCGTACCTTACTTTTCTCTCCTGACCATCTCTCCGTCGACGGGGGTGGTCAATACGATATTTAATATTAACAGTGATGCTATTAATATCGTCTGGCCCAGCTCCCTTGTCCCTGCTCTGTTCCCAACGGCGAAGGATGGACTAGACAAGCGTGTGTCGGCCTCGAGTTCGTACGGAGTTCCCTAAAATCGTCTTGGGTTAGGCTGCTGGGTTTAGGGTGAGGATCAGTGGGTAATGCGATGATGGAAGGGGGGGAGACGTAAGGAACCAACCCAAAGAGGGCAGACTCGTCTCATCTCGCCCGATGCGGCCAGCCCAGGTAACATTACCCATGACCTGGGCCTCTCTCTGTTCGTCTCTGGCGGTCTTCCGGGGGGGGATGGAGCCCCTGGAAACATCGGTACGAGAAGCAACCAACAAGACCAGAAAGACCAAAAAAAAACAAAGAGAACTTTATCCCCATTCAGCCTAGGCGGAATGGCGGTTTCTAAAAATGGGCACATCCTTTCCGTACAGACGAAATACACAGGGGTAGCACGGAGAAGGATAATGTCTATTCTCCCTCCCTTTTTCCAACCAAGAAAAGAGAAAAAAAGAAAAGAAACATACCAGGCGGGGACCTCATCCTGATTGCCGGGAAAAGTAAAATTGCGATACTTGAGGTAATTCGTAACGTGACGATCAAGATCGTTTGCGCCGCGGCCGGGGAAGCCGCGGTGCTTGCCCCGATCGGCGTGATCCCTGAGGGCCGAGCCTGAGCCTGAGGCATGGCTGGCAGGCCGGACGAGGACGAGCATCATCTTACATGATGCTGACACGGGGCTGGCAGGACGTGGAGCCCTTGACCCTGAACATGTTTGTCGAAGTACGTACTGATACTGCCATGGATTGAAACCTGTGCACCTTGGTGGCCTCCCGTTGCATCGAACTGCTACCCCGTCACCCACTCCGTAGTCCATAGCCCAGTCGTAGTCGATAGTCCCGACCCTTAATAGAACATGTCCGTCGTTGATAGTCCGTCGTCCGTGTCATTTCCACGTGTGGGCGGTTCCATTCTCCGCCTGTGACGCTTGGCAGTTCGATGGCAGTTCGATGGCAACTATGCATGCATGTATTCTATATGACACGCTTTGTTTGCCTGTTCGCCTTGTTGCAGAATAGGCTTGTTTTGATCCCCACCAACGGCCAAACGTGGCTGGCCTGGGAAATTGCACAGCGATGGCGTGATATTCTTGGAAAGTCTCCCCTGAGCAGTATACAGAGTATAGCCGGCGAGGAGGTAAGATGAGGCTTTGGTCTCCCGCCATCTAGACGGCTATCTGGCTGCGGATCATCGGATCATGGCCAGAAATCACAGGTGTTAACGCGTTGGCGCATCCACCTCATCCACCTCATCGCCTGGGCTTCAGCGGCAGCCTACTGGTCTCTCCAGCTTAGTGTCCAGTTAGTGTCCATTCTTTAACTGTGTCGCTTCACCTCTAACCGGCTTAGGCAGGTTGCGCTGTGCATCCGTCGTCGTAGAGATGTCTGTGCAGGCCGGAGAGGATGAAGGACGGACGGATGGAGATGACCAGCTTCTCCACCTGTTCTGGCTTCTAGTCCTTCTGGTGGGAATTAATTCGGCGCCGAATCTTTATTGTCTCTGTATGGCCATCATTATTTGTGTATGCCGTGAATAGAGCTATCGAGTTGGTAGTCTGATCAGTGTCGTATAACTAGCGACCGTCTCTATTAATAACTCCTGCGTGCAATAGCTCGCAATCCTTCAACGGCCTTAGGCTGGACGTACTCGCTTGTCGAGCGGTCGAGGACGGCTGCCTCCTTTTGCCTCCAACGAGAAAACAGCAGACACAGTCGTCCGTCCTAGCGAAGGCCAACAGCAAGGTTTCCTCTTCTTCGTCCGTCGAGTTGAGTTTCCAGAGGTACCGCCAGTCAGGTAAAGCTCGCGGACGGCGGGGAGGGACGAGGCCAAAGTATCGTCTTCTCTTCTTTGCTTTTTCCCCTTCTTTTTCGCTCTCCGGTGGTGTTTTCCACGTGGAAGCGGCGTGGGCAGGCCAATCATCCGCTTGCTGTGACATATCTCGTATTTAGCCTCTGTATGTTGTATTTTATATTCCTTTTTACTCTTTTTTGTAATTCTCTTTTATTCTTTTTCAATACGGGTGGCGTATGAGATTGCGTACGGGCCAGTTTACCTTCGATGAAAGATGGAGCCGAGGAGGCACAGAAAGAAGAAAAAGAAGCAGAAGAAGGAAAACGAAGTCTATCCATTGCTTAAAGCGAGCACTGTTAACGCGGGTCGAGAGCCACACCGCAAGAGAGAGATAGCTGATCGACGAGGGCGACGTAAGAGGGAGCCCGGTCGTCCAACATCTGCCAGCATTCGCCGTGTTACGTCGCATGGCATGGGCATGAACAGGTCGCAGGAGCGTAGCATGGCCGTCCATCCATCATATAATGTTGGTCACGGAGCCTCCGTTGTCGCATCAGGACACCGCATGTATGCAATAGATTGGCCCAGAGACTCACACACCCAGTCCACACGTGGATTATCGCCTTGCTCGCCCCCTGTTTGGCAATTCTGTACGGCCCGGGGTCGACGGCCTATCACCAACTCTTCCCACCTTCTCTATGCATCATATCTGCATTAGCTGGGAAATAATCTGTATGACCGGTATGATCGTACAGCTGGGTTATTTTTTTATCTATTTATTTTTTATTATTCACCCCTGCACTTCACGTGGATTCTCTCATGGCAAGTAGACAGGCTGGACGGATAGGACGCCATATCATAGGCTGCCCGCCTCGCTACATGCAGCTGCTGCGGTACTAATGTACGTATAGAGTAATAATCTTATGGGTAAATCAGCCGGCACATCTTCCCTTGGCCAAGGCATACCGTACCCTTGGAAGGATGATGTCCCTGCCAACTCCCATCCCTCCTATCTCCTAGCTAATATCATATCCCCTCTTATACTCCGTTCTCCATACCTACTATACAAGCCTTTCGAGGGATCAGGTAGGGGTTATATGCCTGAGGCTCGGCCTGATGTTCGTCCTGCCTGATCCTTTGCCGTAGTGTGAAGGCTGTACGTACATATGCCACTGGCCACGCTGTCAGCCCATGCAGTGCCATGCCATCTCGATCCTTGCCCAGCTAGCCATGTCCGTATAAGTATCATCCGTATCCGCGTAGCATGGCCTCGTGCTACAGCTTTTATCCTTTTTTATCTTTTTTTATTGTCTTTTTTCAAATAACGGTAGAAGTCAATTTCCAAGAACTGTCGACTTGGGACAAAACGAGTTCGAACCCCAACTCCGGTCCTCAGGTTGCCTTTTCGGGATGCGGGAGGAGGGTCATTGGCGCTCCCGATAAATTCCCAACCTTGCGCCGGTCCCTTCGAGAGATCTTGGCCCATTCGGAGTCCGACAAGATGAACTCCGGATGGAGCCCTCTTTTGGAGACGTTCGACCGGTTTGTAGGTTTATATGGACTCCAGAGCCCTGCTATGCCATGCTATGGAGTGCTATGCAGGGTAGATCTGTGTTTCGATCCTTCTCCCTTGAACCCGCGTACTCCGTGGGATGGAAAATGTAACGGCCTCGTCCATCGATGTCAACAACCCCTAGAAGGGCGTACTCCGTACGGAGTATAAGGAGTACGGAGGATACGGGGGGGGAAGGGCCTGTTTCAACATGGGCTGTTGATGTTCGGTGTAGATATGTGGCGAGTTTGGTCGTCACTTGTTCACTCTTCAGCCTCCTCTGTCTCTCATTCGCATTGGTCAAAGCCCATTTTCATCCAAATACGAATAGAAAATCATGAAAAATAACACATGAAGGAGACTGCCTCGGCCAATGAGGTGTTCGGCCATGGTTTCCTTTTCAGCCTAACTGCTCTGTCCATCCTCTCACCACCCTGGTCAATAATGGAGTTGTTTTATTTTATGGTTTTCCCTGGGGTAAACGACATGGAGGATGCCTGTTATAGGATCGCCTCCGGGGGGTCGGTCAATCCTGCTTTCTCTTCCCATTGGCTTTTCAGGGTCAAGCTCGAGATCTATACTTAGCTGTCACTGTTACCGGATATGGCCATTGGTGAGATTAGGCCGGTGCTGCAGAGCCGTCATTCCGTAAAACTTTCCACAGGCTATATTTATATATAGCTCTTATATAACCACTTAGTAACCTTCTACTAAGCAGGTGTTTTGAATCCGAGCACGGCGTATAAAGAGATGAATCCCGGCATTACCCATCGTCCTTCAGAGTTTCTTTCCTTGATCAGTCTTGAGTCTGATGGAATTGGAGAAAGCATCTTCATTCACGTGCCGTGTTACGGGATGCACCCCTATATCCAGTTCAACTCTCTCTCTGTTTCTATCTCTCCCCGCTTTGATGCTCCGCTTGACGTTCCCTCGCGGTGGTCCTCCCTAATTTCCCTCGACCATGTTGCACCCAGCTCGGGGATGCGGAGATCAGACGAGAATACACGGGCCGGCCCAACTAGTTCCCACCTGTAACCATTACATCGGTGATGATCAAGGTATGATCTCAGCGCAACTGCAACGTATATATACTATAAGCAAATTGTCAGTTGTCAGTCAGCACGGAACCACCGATGATAGACCATAGATTTCCCCATTGGGCTTCCCTTGAATGTCCATGCCCTGTTTTGCTTCTTCTCATCGGCTGGGAGAAATGTGTTTATTTAGGATTTTTGAATTTTTTTTTTTCTTTCTTTCCCAACACATGGACCTCCTTGAAGGCCATAACTAACCTCCCTCCCGCATGAGCTACCCCCCCTCTACTTTCAGCATTTCCTTCACGTAGCTTGCCATCATCCAATCGACTGTCCAGGCTAGATAATTCTTCATGCCTCGGATGCAGATCGCTCATCTATCTGCTGAGCGATACGCCTTTTCGCATGCAGACATGAGGCTTTTCTCCTCGACGTGGCATAAGATTCTGCAGCTCTCCCTGCAGCTTGCTATCGCCGTGATTTGCTGGGCCGCTGCTCATCTCCTTCCCGTCGCTTGGCTTCTCCCCATGTGGTGGTGTTGATGCTGATACTGTGACTTGTCTGACGTCAAATCCTTGCCGTAGACACACCACCCTCAAAACGCCAACATGTTGCTTTCCGTATCTCTCTCTCTCTCATTTTTTTTTTCTTTGGCCCACCCATGGTGATTTCTCGGACACGCTGTTTGCACTTGCGGAACATTAATAAGGGCGTTTCATTTGTTTTCCCTTTTAACCGATGTCTCGTCGATCTGTAAGTCCAACGTGGACCAAGCAGGGAAGATCGTTCTTATTTCTTCCTCCGGAACCGATTTACCTACCCTTATACTTCTTAAAATAGCCACCCCTTGCCCTGATCACGATATTTCCCTCCCCCATCCAACATCCTAATCCTAACCCCCCATCCCCGGCTGAATCTGTTACCCAATGTTTATTTCTTCTGTAACACCTGACGTCGTATACGTCTTTTTTTCTTCTTGGGGGGATATTAAACATTTCTTTCCTCCTCCCTCTTGTCGTCTTTTCTTTTCCACAATCGGGCAGGTAAGAGTGTTTTGATTTAGGATTACGTCTGAAACGGGGGTGAAGAAATCGGCTAGGCTGACTTTATCGATCGCCTATCATCTCCGCATTTAATAATCGTGATGGCTGCTATTTTTCCTTCCTGGCTATAGGCTATTGGGATGTATGGAATGGAAGTTGTTTCCGATACCAATGGGCGTTTTCGTTCAATTGGCCAAGTCACCGGCCACCTACCGTATACTTAAGCTCTCCCTGGGATGTGATAGAAAACCCATGTACTTAATCCGCGATGACGCGATCATGAAATTTCCCTGGGTGATGATCTTCACATGCAGCAATCCTCCAACCATGCGCTGAAATCGCATCCCCAGGCTCACTTGCAGAAATCACCCCCCTTATCCAACGCCAAGGGCCATCTCATATGTTATCTCAGATTGCCATCCATCCCTACTGTTGCATGGGGACGTCGATGTCATCTCCGCGTTATTCCAACACGTGGGCAGGGGACAGTGATGTGCTGTCTCCGCAGGCCCTGAGATATAGGGCTTAGAATATAGAGTCCTCTGAAACAAGGGCTTGGTGCAAGCCGGTTGCTGACTGGATATATCGATGATCAGTCACTGACAGCTAAGTATGATATCTCATAAGAACATCGGCAACCAAAAGGTAGACGGGCCATGCGATGATCTTAAGCTCTGTGTTGGGCCCAAGGCTGTTTTGATGGTCTCCAAGGCGCATACCGGCATTTCATCGCGGTCTTTGATGGCATGAAGTTCTCCTTTCTGAGTCTGGCAAGTCACGTGGTCTCCCCCGCAGAAAAAAAAACATCGCTCACATCGGCGATATTTGGCTGTGATATAGAAGATCAAGCTATCGCCATGACGTATGCTTCTGAGATGTAGCTCTGTGGAGATGTCTGTAGATGGAATCATATTTGCCATCGGGTTGTTCGGAACGCACGTACTCGGTACGTCGTTGTGGTTGTTGTTGGGCGTTGCAGACAGCAGGCTTTGGATACCATTGTCCTGCTGAAGCAGGATACCAACTGTCAAAACTATACTTGACGCCGTGGCTCAGTATATGGAAGTTAACGTCTGAAAGCCGACTCTTTTATAGAAAATTCTAATTTCTATGTTCAAATCATGTTGCAGGTCATAATCTGTGCCACCACTTGTGATATGATATGAGCGATATGGAGGATGCTATTGCCTACCAGCTCGACGAGAGCGAGCTTTTTCACGGAATACCATATCTCCTATCTTTTTTTTATCATTCCATACACTGATGGAATGATGAAGTCACGATGGACCCCAATATACCTGCCCCGTTTTTTGAGTCGGGAAGGAGAGATGGCGGCCCCCTGGGTTCGCCTTCATCTCGATATACAAACTCCTCGTCAGATTGACAGTGACACATGTGTGACAAGCTACCCGAGAGATCAGAAAGTCATCTATGAACGTTGATATGGTCTACAGTTAAAGAGGCTGCGGCTGATACTCGTCAGTTTCAGCGAGGTTCATATCCTCGACCTGTAGCGGTTTACAGTATCCTGTTTTTCGACTCCAGCAGCTTCTCTTCGTGATTGTTCAGATATACCATACACAATGGGGATTTTTGCACCCTATATATCATGGAATGCTATCATTCTACTCGGTTTACTACTCTACCCCCCTCCGCCAGTTCTTGCTAGGTCTCTTGACAACACTGAACAGCAGAAAAAGGGGGTAGGACTCGGACATGAAAACCTCCCAAACAACAGGCGGCCATCGCTCTATACAGAGGACTTTGGCGACTGTATGGGCAACTCAATGATCAAGCTCACTCAGTTTAAGGCAGCATATTATCAGGATAATCTAACTGTGGTGTTCCACCTGGATGGCCATACATCTATACTGAACGAGTCCCTGATGAGTATGACTCCCATGTTGCCCGTCGATAATTATAATCATACAGCGTTTAAATGCTGACATCCCTAGTGTATATCGGTTTGTTCGCATATGAGAAGAAGGGGTTTGACTTGATATTTGATCCCTGTAATGCAAACATATCCAGGTGAGTGGTGACTACAGTACCCATGATAGAGTTATTCGATGACTTAACACGATAAAACGATGCAGCCTCTGCCCGATAACTACCTCAAACCGAATCCTAGACGGCGGTTTTATCCCAGTTGCCCCCTCGGACGTTTCGGGAATTCCACCTCTAGCATTTAAGCTACCTGACTTCGAGGGCCAAGCCGTTATTCGATTCTACTCTAATTCCACGCAGTCGCAAATAGCATGTTACGCTTCAACATTGACTAATGGCGTCACATTATCACACCCACAAGTTGTGGGATCCATCATTGCCTCGCTAGTCTCGGTCACATTCGTTTTGTCTATCGCATCCATCGTGTATGGGGAGGATGTAGAGACTATGCGGGCTCACTATTCTCACTCTCCATCGTTGTTTGTTGCCTTTACCGTCCTCCACCATATCTACTTCACGGGTGCCCTTACTTCAACTTGGCCTCGCTTCTTGACAGCTTTTTGGTCGAACTTTGCGCCGTTCGCCGGGATGATATATTCGGAGTCAATGCAAAACTCGATAAATAGAATGATTGGGGAAAATGGTGGAAATATTCGCGTCCTAGGAGCCCACCCCATCAGTGCTGGGTTGCCGAGTGGCCGCGATATAACAGATATATACAACGTATCGTCGTCTAGTAACCGCCCTAGCATCCTTAACAATGGGTTGTGGAAACGTGCGGCCCAGCAAAATTATCGTATTGCCGCCCCTTCAGCTCCTTCGAGCCCAGAGACTTTCGAGTGGCAGCACGGAAAGCTTCTTGATCATGGGCTTCCACTACTGGGGAATTATTCCGGGTTCCCCGGGGCCCTTGCCATGCAGAGAATACCAGTCGCAAGTGCGTTTACCACAGGGCTCATTTGGTTCGTGGTGCTGCTGGTTATTCTAACGCCTGTGATACCTGCCATCAAGCTGACGATTGAGTTACTTATCCATTGGAATGCCCTAAAGGGGCGGCGGGTACAAAATCTAGCCTTTTTCCGAATGCACTGGCTAGAATATACGGTAGCCATGTTACTACGGTCCCTACTGATCGGGTTTGGAATGATTATGTTCTTGGCCTTATTTCAGCTCGGCTTCGGAGGCCCGCCTTCAACTAAGGCGCTTGCATCAATCACATTCATTATATTCCTCGTTGGGTCGATGGCAACCATGTGCTATTTTCGACGGCGCTCCGAAGTATCCCCGGAGAAAGGCCGCTTCATTTTCGGCAGAAGATGTTTACTTAGGTGGTTCCCTTGCCTTGCTCCTAGGAGTATGGAGAGAATCGCGTCGATTGAACCTTCAAACGAAGCCGTGCCTGTTTATTCTTGGTGGAAAACTCATTTCCATGATCAGGACGAGTCTAAGTTCCTATTACGGCTCGGTTGGCTGGCAGCCCGCTTTGAGGGCGGGGGGTGTCACTTTGTGATATGGCTGGTATATGAGTTTCTTCGCGCATGCGTCTTAGGAGGCTCTGCTACACAATTAATCTTTCAAACTATGGGGATAATAGTTATCGAGGCTCTGTTTACAGTATGGCTCATAGCCATAAAAAACCCTTTCGAATCAAAACGGTTGAACATCATCACGTATGCCCTCTCATTCAGCAATATTTCTTCAGTCTTATTGGCAGTCCCTCTCCAATATCAATATGGGCTGGGCAGAAGACCCTCCTTTGTCATCGGCATAATTATAATTGTCATCCAGGGGCTCCTCGTTACTCTTCTGATGGTATCAATGTTAATCGGCTTCGTAACTAGTTATATATCCTTCACCAGACGCCGTGGAATCCCAAGTGAACAACATTCCTCTCACCCGATACGACTGAGGTATCTGGAGCATGTTGATAGAGGAGACAGTGGCAGTCTGAGGCTGCCTCCGTCTACCCCTTCGCCAGGAGCTATATCACCAAGCTCTCGGGAGACTGGGTTTACCGTTCATTCTGTCCGTAGGTGTCCAAAAATTTCAGATGAGAGCCCAACACCCCATCGAGATCCATCCATACCGATCTCCTCGCAACGAAATTTCTACCCCCTATCTGCACCTTCATCCCATGAATTAAACCCATTTATCTCCTCCAGCGCCTCGGTTTCTGGTGCCTCGGCCTTCCGAGATTCAGACTCGTTCGATCCGTTCAATGCCCCCACCGTTACAGACTCGTTCGATCCGTTCAATGCCCCCACCGTTACAGACTCGGTGCCTTCAGGATTCGGAAATACGGACTCAGTTGAACGCGATAGTGACTTTGTTGAATCTTTCGAAACTAGACTCCGCAGGATGACATCCATAGAAACTGCACTGTCACGATCGACAGGCAAACAAGAGACGAGCGAAGATAGCTTATGCCTTACGACGTTTGAAACTGCGGAATCCGATTTTGACCCTCTGGTGGAGTTTGTGACAGCCCCGGAAACTATAGAGAGACAGGATACTACTCACTCTCAGCACTAGACGCCCAGTTTTATCAGTTCCTTCGAGTTTTCATTTTTGTAAACTTATTCTTAGTATACGGGCTATGTTAGAAATAGAAGCACATAAGTCAAGCTTTGGAGATATGAAACCACGATCGTGTGAAGTGGAAGCCGTTATTCGATCCTATGATTCTAACTGGTGAATGAGTTCATAGAAACTCAATCTCGTTTGGTGTATGAAAGCTGTCATGTTAAGCAGTCTCGAGCTAAACCAAGCTTTCCTGTTATATATAAATTAAGGTAGCGATATAGTTACACCTTTCTAGTGCTGCCATGCATATACCTCTCTAGTTAACCCTATACCACTTAGTTATCTATTAAGTATTCTGCATAGTGTCACGGAAACTTGTTTAGTTAAAGATAACCTCTAAGAGAATACTTTAGTTAAGCTGGCTTTTAAAGATATCTAAGAGTAGGTTAGAGGGTAAACCTAAGGGGTAAGCCTAGGGCCAGGCCTAAAACGTAGCCTAAATAGTAAAAGGTAGATCAAAGAGAAGCTTTTGGGGGTAGCTTAGAGGGTAAGTCTAGTACTTCTTAACTCTCGTCGTTTCATTACTATACCATGACGGCGTCGACAATCCCGTTTTGTGAGATGGCTGATGTACGAGTATCACCATTGTATACATATTCACTGGCAGGCTTAATGAAACCGTAGAATGTTTATCTTCAATACTTACCTTCTGGCTTAGTTATCTTTTATTCCATCGAGTCACTTACTTTTAGGGGGAATACCTTTACTAGAATAAAGAAGTCCGGCGCCATACTTAATAGTTAGGAGGTGGACCGGAGAGGTGTGAGGATAGCCAGTGAGTTGTGGCCGTATCGCTACCCTTTATTTATTTCCTTGACGCGTCCTTTTAACAGATCCATACCTATTGAAACCCGAGTATATGCTCTGAATAAGGTAGATGTGTGAACTAAACGACGATCGTATAACTGTCAAATATATGCTAAGAACAGATTTTTGAAGCTAGGCGTAACTAGAAAGGTACTTAAGCATCCAAACCTAACCTTTCCAGTAACTTATCCAATTTATTTAAAAGGTGCTCATAATTGATAGCATCCCTAGAAAATTCATCACCTGCATCCTGGCCATCCAGAGTTCGGATCACACTCGTGGGATTGGGTTCCCCATTCTCTTGTTTCTTTAGAACCTCCAGCTTAGCGGCTTTTTGCTGTTCGCGGCGTTGAATTTTTTCGACTAGGTCTACCTCACCAGGCAATTTATTGAACAACGTAGGTGGTCGTGATCCGGGCCTCTGCTCTACCTGATGAACATTTTCCTGCTCAGGCTCTAACATGTCTATTCCGGAGTCCTCAAAGCGCAATCTGAATCGTTCAGAAAGGTAGTAGCGAATATCATCTATCAATTCAATAGAGTCTGTTTCTTGCCGCTTTTGGATGCGCTCAGCGGACTCGATGACTAGCTGTTCAAACTCGGGGCTGTCGATGTGCGCTTCTAGCTTGTACGCTAGGTATCGGGCGGCGAATTCCTCTAATCGTTGTACGCGCATCAGCCAACCTGCGCGAATTATTTCATAGACGTCAATAGGGTCGTCGACATCGCTTTGCTCCTCTCCTTGTTTTGCTGGTATAGGTTGTTCGGCGCCCTCTGGTGTAGGCGTATCCGGTGAATTGCGTGCCAGCGAAGCTATATTTCCGCTACCTAGTGTACTGATGAGAACTGCTGTCTTCGTCTTTAACTTCTCAATTAAAAGCAAATCTGCGGCAAATAGCACATCGACCGCGATTTCGAGAGGGAAATCCGCCTTTTCCGTATACAAGAATCTAAGGACGATCTCTAGCACCTCAGGCGTGCAATCGATTGATACGATTTGCAAGTGGTCCGTCACCTGGGCTTCGCGGAAGCTAGAGGAAAACATGACGAGAAAGAATTCGGATCGGAGTAGCATAGCTCGGTGGGCAGGGAAAATGACGGATTTCCTTTTAGATCTTCGCATAGGTGGGCTCATAGATAGTTGCGAGAAGGCGCCTATGGGTATTCCCCCATTACCGTCCGCGTGATTTGGCTCCTGAGCTTCCTCAGCTTCCTCTATCTCCTCCTCTTTTACCTCATCCTCATCCGCTCGAAGGAGAATGTCGGCGAATATGGTGTTATCCCGCACCCACTTTACTTCGTTTGCTTTGTTTGTGTCAACTGTCATTTTGTGTTTGATGATATTTTCATTAAACCATGTTTCCAGCTGGTTACGTCCTTTGCTGACTTCGTCTGATCGTCTTTGTCTTGCGAGTCTCCGATCGCCACTTTCCAGGATGGTATCAACGAGACTGCGGAGTTCCAGATGTTTGGCAATCCGATCTATCCCCTCAAACACCTCTGACTCGGTAAATCCACCCGCGCCAGGGCCAGATCTTAGATCTCTGGGAGCATCCCCAAAATATAGGTACCTTATTCCGGCGCTGAATGCAGGAGGCGGAATTGTACTTGGTAATCTCCATGTAGTGGCTTCTGGAGCTGCGGAGAGTTTCTTATGAAAATACGGCGATCGGGCAGACAGGATAAACTTATGGAGATGGAAAGACTCGCCTGATGCCGTGACCTCGATGTCTGACGTTTGGGGGTGTTCCCTACTCAACAGGGATGTTACATGGGCTGCAAGAGGCTGGAGAGGATCCGCCGACTTTGAATAGTCGTATTCGAGAAGGAGATTCCGTATCTTGGAATTTAATGCATTATAGAGACACCTACCACCAACAAAGGCCACAAGATGAGGAATTAGCAATTCGTTCTCAGGCAGCTTTTCTTAACTTGAGGGAAGCGACAAAGTATCCATGGATCCATGGGCTAAACAAGGGTTTAAAGGGGGATAGGCACACCTTTCGCCTTGGAAAGTGTCTCGTTCACACAAAGCACCAGAATCAAGGAGAAGTTGTACAACTTCATAGTGACCACAAAGACTAGCCTTCTCATTCAAACCAAGAAAGAAACCAGAGCAATTGTTACCCTTTTAGCTCTTCTTATAAAACAATCATATTGAAGGGGAAAGAGAAGGAACCTATTCCACTCTCCAACCTGACCAGGAAGAAAAAAAGAGGCCGACAGGCAGCCTTGGGCTACTTGCCACCGTGCCGAACATTCCCGACAGGTTGGAATAGTGAGGGCTTCACTCACCAGTATTAGAGGGGTGCAGTCAAATACATCTCTGCCGTTGATATTTGCTCCCTCAGTTATCTTCTCTTGACACGCTTTGAGATCGCCTCTTCGACACGCCAGGCATAGCTCCCGAAAGGGCTTACTCAGGTCCAACGGGCTGTCCTCCTTGAGCTTCCCGGCATCGATCAGCTTCCGCTCGTTGAACAAGCTGGTCTCCAACTGATCTTTCCGCAACAGCTGTGATTCCGGCATCGCTTCCATTCTTCGACTCTCGCTGGCCGCCGCTGCTCTGGCTTATCGGTCCTCTCTATAAAACGGGCCTGTATAGAGAGAGTCCGCCAACAACAAAAACGGACGTCCGAGTGGCAGAAAAGCTTATCGATAACGGGCGGCTCTAAGGTATCTCCGATCGGCCAATCACAGCGAAGTTTTACCCACACCGCTTTACCCGCAGAACGCTAATCTGTTCTTGTCCTAGCGTCCTTCCCCGTGACCGGTAGCCGCTGGTGACTAAGCCGGCGACTAAGCAAGGGTGCCGCTGGTTGCTGCGCAACGAGCTCAAGGCCAAAACATTGAATTATAAGGATAGGTTGAAGACTCTTCCTGTGCACATCTGTGTTTCCTGCAGCTCGTCCCTACTCGAGGCTCCCGACGCCAGTACTAACATAAACAGGTTGTTCTCTCGTTCATATTTATTCTTGTCTATGCATTGATCCTTCTTGTCCTGCGTTATCTACATCTATAGTTCAGCATGGCGATCGCATTGGCTGAAGCTGATAAATATGAGCTCCTTGAAAGAATAGGTGAGTGATGGCCCTGGCAGCAGTTCTATTATATTCTAAGTAGTGCGTCGTAGCTAATACACAGTCACAGGAAGCGGTTCCTTTGGTGTGATCCGGAAGGTTCGGAGAAAGGCAGATGGATTTGTATGTCACCTTTCTCTACGATAAAACGGTATATACTGACAGCTGCTCTAGATCCTCTGTCGTAAGGAGATCAACTACGTCAAAATGTCCCACAAGGAGCGTGAACAGCTTACCACCGAATTTAACGTCCTGAGTTCCCTCCGACACCCAAATATTGTCGCATACTACCACCGTGAGCACCTCAAAGCGACACAGGACCTGTACCTGTACATGGAATATTGTGGTGGAGGAGATCTTGCCCGCGTGATCAAGACACATAAGCTGGCGGGCACGTATGCGGAGGAGGAGTATGTCTGGCGTGTGTTTTCGCAGCTAGCAACAGCTCTCTACCGTTGCCATTATGGTGTTGACCCCCCCGAAGCTGGATCCAATGTGCTGGGTCCATCTCCTAAATCGTCAGGCTTGAAAGGAAAGCAGGCCCAGGTGATGATTCTTCATCGAGATCTCAAGCCAGAAAACAGTACGTTTGCCCTTATTCCTCGTTTACTTTTATGATCGCTAACAGAAAATCTAGTCTTTTTGGGAGACGATAAATCCGTCAAGCTGGGCGATTTCGGTTTATCGAAACAGATGAGTTCACACGATTTTGCTTCGACTTACGTGGGCACGCCATTTTACATGTCCCCGGAAATCTCCGCGGGAGAGCGATATACTCTGCACTCTGATATTTGGTCAGTGGGCTGCATTATGTATGAGCTCTGCAAGAAAGAACCGCCATTCAACGCCCGCACGCATGTTCAACTGGTTCAAAAGATACGCGAAGGGAAATGTGCACCTCTACCAGACGTCTATTCAAGCGAGTTGAGAAGCGTCATCTCTAGCTGCTTGAGGGTTAACCCTGACCATCGACCGGATACGGCAGCCTTGCTCAAACTGCCTGTGATACGTCTAATGCGAAAGGAGCAAGAGGTTTTTGAGATTAGCAAATCTCTAACGAGTAAGGAGGAAGCTGCAGCGCATAAACTCAAGGAACTTGAGCTACGCTACGCAAAACTAGAGAAGGAAAAAGCAGCTATGAGGACGGAGCTTGAAAACACCGTCCGTCGGGAATGGGAGGTCAAAGCGAGACTGGAGATTGATCGTCAAGTGCAAATGGAGCTTGAGAAGCTTCGTAGGACATTTGAGGTCGAGGTCGAGCAGAGAGTCGCCTCAGAGATGCAAAAATACAAGGAAGAGATGGCTCACAAACAGAGCGTTGGAGTTTCCCAGCTCGAGGCTGCCCATAATTCCTCTATGGGATCGAGTGATGACACTGACTTCCCTTCATCCACCGACTTGAGCGAGCTTTCTCTCGACCCCCCTACCCCTGAGCAGAAGAAGGCAGCGAGAAAAGGAAATCGCACTCCTTTCAGCCGCTCTAAAACCACGATTGAATCTCCCATGGATGTTCAGATGGCCGAGCCATCACCAATGTCGCTTGCCTCCCTGTCATTATCACCGCGCCGGACTGCAGGAGCGTCGGCGAAGAATATTTTTGCAGATGGAGGACGTATGAAGCCCAAGTGGGATACTATGTACTCCGATGATGAAGACGATATCCCCGACCTACCGTCACCAACCCGAGCAAAGGTCCAGATAGACCCGAGCAAGGCACCTCCTCGACCACTCCTACGCCAAAACACCACAGCTATGATGCAGAAGCTTAGCTCTCAGCCAAACCTGTTCCCTGTAAGCAAGCCGGTGTCTCGTCCAACTCAGCCTGCCAACTCGGCTGCTCCCCAGCATAACGAAGTTCGCCATCCTTCGACAGAGAATAGAAACAAATCACCGCAGCATCGCCTGTCCAAGATCCCGTCATACAACAATCTAGCGCTTGAAGGTTCGCCATCGCGCAAGACGGCCATGCTGCCACCTCCACCGAAAGCAGGCTCCGGCCCTGGCGGGGAAGAAATGTTCAAAGCCATAATGCAGCGAAATATGGGTGGCCGCTCACTGGTTGAGCTAGCGCAGGCTCGTGCTGGTGGCCGCTCAATCGATGAAGTCAAGCGCACCGCGGACACCAGAATCCCTGCCACCGGCGCATCTGCGCCTGCGAGCTTGACGGCTAATCAGTTCAGATCCACTGAGCAAGATCCTCCCGCGACCTGGGACCCGGAGAAAGACGAGATGCCCAGCCCCTTTTTGGCTAGAAACAAGAAGATTATCCGTAACTTTCGATGAGCCCAAGGCTGAAAGTACGAAATAACGTGAAATGATTGATTGCATGTTTCATGTTGGAACAGAAACATTACAAGGTGGCCTGGTCTGGCTGGTTGGATTTAGGGATAGAGCAAGGCAATACCCTTTTTTTGGTTGGATGCTGGATAGACGTTGGAAGTTCTTCCGGCTGCGCGATACTGGAGACTCTCTCCTTTTCTTTACAACTTTTCATTTCGATATCACTGTCGGCCATATTTCGTATTGTGTCATTCCCTACACCCCTACATTTCCTTTGTTTTTTCCTTTGTCGTTGATATCCTATATTTCGGTCTTGGTTGGAGTAGCATCTGCATGGCGTTTTATTTTTGGTGTGAACGGGCGGATTTGTACCAGTCACTCTCGATTCTTATGTCTGTTTCCTTTTGTCTAGCAGCCAGCGATAAAATAGGGCGAGTAACCTCTGAATCTATTTATTCTGTTGGACTTCTTGTTCGATCTTCCATCCATTCCTACGTCATAACTGGGATATTCTTCTAGCCGAGGTTTATCTGCATATGGGTTTTAGCGCAACCCTGTCCTCGTATATATATCGGCGGAGAGAATGCGACCTCATACACGAGAAGACTAGAGAAGAGAAAACACCTACTCCTTGACTTCATCTCATAGTGAACAGCGAACACAGGATTGCATCCGGTAAAACTAAGACATCATGGTAAATACATCCCAATTGTCCGCGGGTTTTGACCAAAGGGCCTGCTCTCCAGAGTTCTAACCATCGTGTCGTTACTTAATTCCAGGCTTCCACATCCGCAACTCTGGGCCTCACCCAGCCAAGCATAATCAAGTACCTATACGCCTCCGCCGTGCTTCTCCATGCCGCGGACACGTATATCTTTTACACCGGCTCCACGATCCTTTTCCCCAACCGCGTACCGTTCCTTGAAAGCGCAATGGCGCGATTCTTCTGTCGAAACAGCGGCAATCTGGTTCTTCCATTTGCTCTGAATGCCTGGCTTTTGCGGGACTACCATATCCGGAAAACCCACGTTGGACGTGTTGTCGGCTCCTGTTTTTTGTTGTACCATCTAGCTACTCTGGGGCTTATTAGCTGGAGTGCTTTCTTTTCTGGCGGCGCCGAGTATGAGTTGGCTAATGTTTGGGGGATTTTGGGATTGCATGCTGGTTGGGGTGGTGTTGCAGCTTGGGGATTGCTTTGCGCGTGAGCGTCTTATGGAGGAAAGGATCGATCGATAATTATGCACTGCACTATACTGAACAGATAATGTCAGTTCGTTTAATTTCTGGAATTGTAAGGACGTGGAGGAGCCTTACGCATGATGATGGGATGGGTGAATATCTGAATTCAGTTTCTGCTTCAGGCATGATAGATCGATGGGCAGGTCGAGAGTGTTCAATTACCCTCATCTTCAACTTCTTCGATTTGTACAGACTTGAGCTCGCGGTTGAACCGTTCCTCCTCTTCCTCGAGGGACGAGACAGCAGCCATTGCAGTCGTAGTAGCACTGTCTGTCTTCTGGTCGGCAATTCTACCACTCCCACCCGTAGCAATATAACCGGCCTTCTCCAGTCGATCCATCTCCTCAGGTTCGACGAGCTGTCCCTCTCCCTTGACGGCAGCCTGTTTCATCCTCACCGTAGTCGGTACAAACTTGTTGATAGCTTCCTTCTGAAGGTTCCTGATCACAGGTGCTGATTCGTAGACGGACTTCATTTCTGGTTGCTGAGGCTTAGGAAGCAGTTGGTGTATCTTCTGCTCCCCGCCAGTGACCGACTCTTCACCTTCACCAGAATTGGCATTATTGGGTCCTCCTCGCCGTCGTTGGAAGTGTTGACGAGGGATCGGGGGAGGTGTGTCCTTGGGCATAGGTATTCGTCGAACGCTCTCATCCGTCTCGCTGCCACTACTCTCCTGCTGCCTCCAATGACGTCCATCATGCTGTCCTTCCCTTCTTCTCTTTCCCAGCACGTTATGGCCCTGGTTTCTGTCTCCGTCTCTGTCTCGACGCGGTCCGCCATCTCCACGTCCAAACACGGGCGCCTTATCTCCAAGTGCCTCTCTCGCCTTATTGACAGCACGTAAATCTCGTTCTAGGGCCTCGAGAATCTCCTTCTGCTGCGGCTTGAGTGGTTTCCCAGGTTCTTCGGCAGCTTTGAGGTCGTCTATCTGTCGCTGGATCCGATGGGGGTTGCGCCGTGCTAGCTTTTCATTGCGCCGGCTCTGCACCTCTGCTTTGCCCTTCTTGAGCGCCTTTTGCTTTTCAAGACGCCGTTGAGCCTGCGCAGGGTTGACCGTACGTTCCTTATCTTTGGCCATGGCGGAATAAACGGTGCGTTGGTGGTGTTGGGCCAATATTTGTTTAAATATATAGAGCTGGTAGTGCTTTTTTTGGTGGTTGCTAAGGTCAAAACCTTCTAGCTTCAAGCAAATCTACCACGAAACTACTACATTCAACGGAACACTACGACAGCCACCTGGATAAATTCTTCTATACTAAAGATCCGCGCCAGGAAATGATCAGACTGAATAATCTGCCTGGCTATACCTAGCTGCATGGCATCAAGGAGGGCTGAGATCCCTGACAGGCTGAGGAGGCTACGTAAAAAACTACCATCGCCATGTTTAAATGCTTCAATTTCATGCTGCAGGAACCAAGATGCGTCGAAAAACAGACAGGCGGAATAAGCCATGGCATCTCAAGCACGCCAGGCCAGCCCTGAGAGCTTGCCCATGGCCCCTATAGAGTGAGACGATGCGTAATCTTTAAGAGACACGCGATGACAGGAACCATGATACGAAGAGCAATGAAACATATAAAGTCCGCTTAAGGTCTCTGTTCACCAGGAGTGGTAGCAATAGCCATAAATATACCAATGATGTTGGTTACTATCTTACCCGATATTATATCCAGGCACTTATGGCCGTCTTTGTTCCGGCAGCAGTAACCGCCTACTATCCTCTCGAACCACGTTGCTAAAAGAGAGAAGGACCTCATTAAATACGGCCTCCTCGGCGAAATCTGGCTCTTCTACTCTTGGTTCGTGGTTGGTGTGTTTGTCCTCAATCTGTCAAGATATGCGCTTCTCGGGGTTGAGGCGGCGATGCTCCAAGACAACTTTTGGCAAGTCGGCAACGCCATGGGGCTCTTAATGCACTGCGGTACCAGTTGGAGCGGACCCGGAGGCTGGATAATAGTCCCCAGGGGGATCTGGACGTTAAACCATGCAATAGACTCACCCATTACCAACCTTGGTCAGCCATTGGAATCGAACGGGCTATACAACATGTCCTTCTTTTCCATCTTGGGTCAAGATGGTAAGCCCATTCAATATGGTGAGACCTCTCCGGAGATGACCCAACTGGTAGCACCGCCAATTGGTGTCCGTTGCCTTCGCACCTCAGCATTCGGCCACGCTATCATCCTGCCAACGTGACCTCATCGCGAAAGGACAAGATTATCGGCCGGGGAGTGGTTCCTCTGCCAGTGCCTGCGGTGCTATTTATTATATGGGCTGTCAGTAGTGCGACGCTGGGTCTCCTTTATGGGTTTCGTCGACGGTGGTCGGAAGTACTGGATGGGTATAGCATGTTCCGTTTCGAGGCGGATTATGCAAATGAGATACGCGATCAACCACAGTTCTCTAGTAACCGCAGGTTTGACCAGTGCGATGCACTACGCGCCTTGCCCGGCCTCGTGGGCGATTCGCGGGTGCGAGAGGAGGTTGGACATATCAGTTTGGTGAAGAGAGGGAATTTGGCGGAGGGGGGGAAATTGTACGTTTAGCAAAGCCTCTTTCCATGTAGCTGTATATATTCTCGTCCTATTCGTGCAGCGATGGATCGCTGATGCAGGAAATATGCAGCTCGAAAGGTCTACGAGGCACATTAGACGTACGGTAGGCCTGCCGGGGCTGGGATTGGACGGCCATTTCACGTCGTTGTACATAATATCTGCCGCCTCCCGGCCTGCCATTGGGCTGCATTTCATTGAGGAAAACACGCTTGAACGTCTGGGGTAGGAATTGGAGAAAAGCAACGGGACTTGGGCGTTTGTTGCTGCGTAAGAGAATGGCTTTGCCTCACGGGTTGGGCAGCTGTAGAATAGAAGTCCATCCGCCGGAAACGTATAGACAGCAACGTAGACCGTAGACAGAGACAGAGACAGAGGCAGAGGCAGAGACAGAGGCAGAGACAGAGACAGAGACAGTAGACATCAGAGCCCTTGTCCGGTTACCAGGTCTATCTTGAGGCTCTGCATATACCGAAGAGCTTGAGCTCCTCACGGCGGAAGATATCTGTAGCCCGTATTCGACATGCCAGACGATCGAGAACGCTCTGCATATGCTCTCCCTGCCGTAGATGATGTACGCTGTACGCTGTATGCTGTAGGAGTCTCGTCGATTGGCTGGATGCTATGCATTTGCGCCCTGCGAGAGAAGGGTTGATATAGCCGCTGAGCAGCCTGAAGAACCTGCGAACGCATTAAATACTGAGCCGACGGCGTAGAATCGCTCACCTGTAAGAGTAAACACCTCCGTCTACCCGGCCATCGACCGCGTTGCAGCCTATGGTCGCATCTCGGCCGCTGCCCCTAGATCGCAAGCGTAGTGATCGGTGATCAGACGAGCGTCCTGTGTAGAATACTGGCAGCTTTCCTTTCCTTTCTTTTTCCCGTTTAGGATCGCCCTTGAAAAGCGCCCGCCCTTGGGTTCTTCGTCGCTCTGCGATCTGTATTCTGACCTGTACCATTCTGCTCTGCTTCCCGTTGCTTTTCGCTGTCGCCTGCAAAGAAAGCTTTTCCAGCTCGCCGTCGCCTGTCGCCGCTCCTGTTCCTGCGTCGTGAATCCTCGGCACGTCTGCCAGCGCCGATACTCGAGACGAGAGAGGACGAGAGAAGGACAACGAGAAACAAGACAGCGAGAGAAAAGAAACAAGAGAAGAGACGTGGATTCACGGGGTGCTCCCTGTCCGCGGCCACTGTCCTGCTCCCTCTCCATCCATCATGAACGGCGCCCTCTCCCACATATCAGTCTTAATCCAGCTCCCTGACGGCGTCTCTATGTTTTGAGGAGCATGTCTCTGATATACCAAGCCCATCCCCAATGTCCGTATCAACGTCTATTCCCGATGCCCGTCTTGGCCTCACGTCTGCCGAGTGGCAGATGGTTGTGCACCAGCAGCAGATCGCATTACAAGGGAGCCATAATGGCAGCATCGCGCGGGGGAGGGGGATGGCGAGGAATAGCAACGCCAGCTCGAGAGCAGCCAGCGCCGCGAGCACGCAGGGGAGGTTGCTCCTGGATCCCGACAGCCTCCAGGCCCTCTACTACCAGCTCGACCACCTTATGAGGGACATCCAGCGGAGGATTGACTATGTATGTTTTATATTATGGTTGTTTCGGACCATGGTCGGCTTTATTGGAGCAGTGAAGAGCTAACTCTGTGCTGATCTAGTTGAACGAGCAATCCGAGATTTCAATACAAAATACCTACGACCAGGCAGGCAATGTCGTTGCAGATGCCGATAAGGAAATCGCACGAGTCAGGCAGATCATTCTCTCTATCGACGAGCTGGAGAATGAATTCGATAAGATCAGGCGCATCAGAGACATTGTCAAGTCGTTTCGCGCCAGGGTGGAAAGCCTCGACAGTCGACTGGAACATGCCCAGCGAAGGAGACGCTGACACGCAGAGAAGAAGACCAAACCATCACCTCATACACCGACATACCAAGGACATACCTCTTATTCCGACATTTTTCAACTTCTTTGACATGTAGCCTGACGATGAAGACGCAGTTACGACCTCAGCGCGCCTCTATAAAATTGCGCCTTTATAATTTTTTTTGTACGATGACTATGACGGAACGGCTAACATTTTATTTTCACCTCCTTCCAACCCCTGATTGTTCCATTTTTTACCTATTTATTGCTTCATCTTTGACCGGATTCACACTTACTTCGAATACGCGCCCATCTTCCGACTGCTGGATAGTCCCCTATACTCCGATTCATTTTTGCGACGCCAATCTAACGCTAATACCTCGCCTCACGTCGATACGACTGCTTCTTTCTTTTTTGATTTCTTTTTTTTCTTCACTTACTTGCTTTTCACGCATTCTGCCTTGCACCTCTCCCAACCTTTCGCTTCTTTTGCCATCCCGTGGTCGTTGTCCCCCTTCCCCCCCAGCATCTATACCGATATCTCGATCCTCGCGGATCCAATCACATTCCGGCCATGGAGGTGCTTTGCGCCGGATGGACTGACAGAACATACGCTCCATCGTGCCACATCGCATATTATGATGTGTTTTTTCAGTCTTGTAGATAGCTCATTTTGTTCGCCTTTTCGTCCTTTCTCTCCGTTTTGGCACTGCGCACTCGCTACTTGCTTTCTGCTTCCCTTCGATATTGATGCGGTCTTTATATCCTTCTTGGTCTGTAATCCTGTTTACTGTTTTGGAGATATTCCTTTTTCCTTTTTTATTCCCTCGGTTACTCGGCTCACTTCGTCTGTCACCCGTGTGTTTGTTCTTTTTACTGTTCTTCTCTAAAGATTGGTACATGCCTCACGGCAGCACATATGCCTCTTCTTCCCGTTGCCTATCTAATCATGTTTTCTCCCCCAACTTGCCTATTTACTTCTACAATCTTTCCGCCAGTTAGGGCCAATGGTTACAGGAGTCGTTTGTCTGATTGCGGTACTGCTCACTGCACTCCTCCATGCCATGGTGATGGCTGTCTCATGTTCAAAGAGAGTAGCTAAATATTAGCGTTACTTGCAATCCACAATATAATATACATTTGAATAGTTCATGCAGTAATCGGCGGCACAAAGAACTCATCTACCCATGACGAAGCAGCTGAGCTCAATTCTCCAAACTGGTCTCATCTTTCATCCGTATAGATGAAGTTTTGACGTCGGTGATAGACCACGTGACACGACCTTCCCGACGTCATTGTCAAGATAATTTTTTACAGCTTCACCAAGCAACGCGACAGCTTGCTTCCATCGACTTCTGGCAACGCAACTGACGGATCCCTGACGGTCGCGTAACTTTCCTCTTACTTGATCAGACAAAAGCGATGGAATACCACTCGGTGCCGCTCGAAGAGCGAGCAAAAGACGAGAAGGGAAACACCCTGCCATGGGGCTATGTTTACAAAGAGTAAGCCGTTGTTTACCCATTCTACCTCGCCCTCACCTTACCATATTATTGCCGACGAAGAGAGCTACCCTTTCTCATCTGGCCTCTTTTGTCAACCCTACGTTTGTCACATTTAGAAAATCGTTCTAACACTCAGCCCCGTCTAGCGAATCCCGAAATCCACGAAGACCACCAGAGGAAACAGGCCCATTTGGGAAAAGGAGAAACACACGCTACGGTTCTACGAGATCAGCGACACGAACTGGGACACCTGCCAAGCGTGAAAATCCAAATGTCGCTGAATTCGGCAGGCTATTTAGCTTACAGCAAGAGGAGGAAGCACAGCAAAAGTTACTCCCATCCAACAACACAGCTTTGAATGACGCGGCGACGAGGATACCCTCTGATGCGGTTGCCACCGAATGTATACTCTATGGCTATAGAGACAAAGGCTCCGAGTGGAAGGTCATAGACAAATTTGAGCGCATCTCACAAGGCTATATCTGTGAAGACTATTCTCGCACAGACCCAGATATCTGCCCTAAGTACCCTCAATTGCTGAGTGGAGGCGATGTTGTGATCCGTCCGGGGATCTCAGCTGATGCCAACAGGAAATCGAAAAGATATGCTGGCGGTTCTCACTGGATTAAAGTGACCTTTGACTCTTTCCCCGCCGCTGACCGGGCGTGCCACTTCTCTCCGCAAGAAATTGACGGCTGCCTTGTTCACTGCGAGATATATCATGGTCAGGGCCCTCAAGAAGACGCCCCGATACTAAAGGAGGCTGCAGAACAACACTCCCGATTAAACTCAATCTATCCGACCCTCACACCGTCCACATCCTCTACCTTACTGCAGTCAAACGAATATGATCGCTCAACTTTACCCCGCTCATTCACCTACCAGCAACAGTCTGGCAGTCAGAGCATGAATTACGAGGCTCCAGCGTCTGTGCAGTCCACAGCAACCGCTAGCTCTGCAACAGTCTCTGGCCAAAAAGTAGATACAAACACCCTTCGCCAGCGTCTCACTCAGCCTCAACCCGAACCCGAACCCGAGGTAAAGCAGCCCCAATCTGAATTTATGACACATATACCCACGGTCCGACGCGCTGTCGTGCGTCCGGCATCTGAAGCGCTCCCTCCCCAACCATCCGTCACAGAACGAGTGATTCGATCTATCCCGATCCTAAGTTGGTTTACCGGTGACATCGTTGGCGATGGACCAGCTCTACGAGAAGATGGATCCTTTGATGATCAGAAGTCGAATCTATATTGGCGATTCTGGTACATGGTCGACAAAGTCCTTGGCACTGATTTGTGCGGCTTAAAAGAAGAATTATAATTTTTACTTCACCCTCCGACATGACCACTCTACATCCATCAACCTAATTTCTTTAACGACACTGGGGCCGTTCTTTTATGTGCCTATTCGGCCTCCAATTAGACCATACGACCCGATTTGCCCATTCTCAACACGTTGTATCTCATGCAATATCCTTCGAGCTCATGCGTATGATAGCTCGCACTTACCTTACTGTGTTAATATCATTTCATTTTTCTACTTCATGTGACCTATCTCCTATGTATTTTCTCGAACCGACCTGCTCACCGCTTGGAAGTTGCCGTGTTTATGCATGTGCCGTCCCACTCCCTTTCTGGAGGCGAGTTAGGGTAGTGGTTGTACAGGAAACGGCTCGGGCACTGATCTAAGATAAGGCTGGACGTCCCGTTGAGACCATATTTTGATGTTGTTTCCTTCTTTGTCCTGTCCCTCCCGCGTATGCGAGATAGGGTAAGGAGGGTGAGCTAGACCTATGATTAGATTTTATGTGTTCATTCATGATTGATACCACTATGGAGCGAAGTCCCTTTGAGATGTATAAGCTTCTTTATGCGCTGCGCTATCTACAAGACACCTATCCGGAGAATAGCATGAAATGGAGAAACAATCCACTTTCGAGTCTGTTGCTTCTAAAAATATATATCTAGTCTTTATCAGCTGGTATGGTCCTCAAAAAAGAGGTGGAATTAGCTACATCGCGTTTCCAGCAACTTTGACCAGCCAAGGAAAAGATATCTACATCGATTCTCGTTTGTTCCCCCGGACGGCGATCGATCTCGGAATTACCTCCAGGGATCGCCCGGGCTCAGATCTCGCAATGGCGCTACATAGTCCACTTGATCGTAGTGGTGGCTGTTAGGATCTACTAACTCAACCCAAAAGGTAGCCGAGCTAGTGAATTGTCGCATTTGGTGGTGACGGGTCTTGTATACGAAGCGAAGCTCAAACAGCTCGTAGATGTTTCTTCATGATAGACTATTGTGACATTGTGACATGGTGATATTGTGATATTGTGATAGGTATTGTGATACCCTGGCTAACCATCACGTGAATGTGGTATATAAATGGACATCCCCTTCGTATATACGGAGCATTTGACGTAGGTTATTGGCCTTGCCGTTTCTCATCCCTGAGAGAGCGGCTGCAGCCTTGCTAGCCCATGCAGGGCATGGGCTTCACAGTTACATCGGCAGGGGGGATGGCTTTCGCTTTCGCGATCGCAGGCGAAGCAGCGGCCCGTAGGGTAGCACAGGCTCGCTGGCTTTCCATATCTACGAGGCTCTGACCATGGTCTACAAATTATAACTATCGTTCATCTAACTACAGAGTAGTAGTTTCGAACAAGATCAAGGCCGTCCAGTATCGCATATAACGATATGGGTATCATTGTCAACATGGAAACAGACCTCAATCGCCGTGACCCTAGGGTGATGGCGATGCTTGTTCCCCCTCTACCTCGTACAACGCCCGAATTCATCGCCGCGTATGATAAATATGAAGTTATCATCTCAGGGGTACGTTTGATTACACTTTTATACTGGGGAACTATACGGAGTATAACTCCCCTGGTAATAATGCGCTTTAAACTATCAATTATCCTTGACCGTACCCCTACGAAGAATGCATGAATGGAGATGAAGACGCATTTGGCTGACTTGGTTTATTGTGCGTGGTTGATTCCAGGCCGGTCCTGCAGGATCATTGCTTAAGCTGCTTCTCTCTCGGTATGGGCTCGGAGACGAATCAGTTTTATGCATCGAGTCCAAAGACAGTATCTTGAAAGCCGGCCAGGCGGATGGTATACAGCCCCGGACAATGGAAGTTCTGAAGAGCATGGGGCTGATGCATGAGATTTTGACGGACGGTTGTGGGGTATGGGAAGTTGCATTTTGGAACCCCATACAGCAGAACGATGCAGACTCCGGCTGTAGCGTCGACAAGACAGAATCAGGCATTGAAAGAACGGCGATTGTGGACGATGTCGCCCTTCCAGCTCGATACCCACATGAAATCACCCTTCACCAGGGTAAAATAGAGCGTATCCTAGAAGATGATATGCTTCGATACTCAAAAGGGGGTGTCCAGCGATCTACCACTTTGCTTGATGTACGGATTGACGAGAAAGGAGATCCGGACTTCCCTGTCGTTGCTGAGATTGAGTCTGCAAAGGATGGACGGCGAACTCTTAGGTCAAAGTATCTCGTTGGTGCAGACGGTGCACACTCAACCGTCCGACGCTGCATGGGGTTGAAGCTTGAAGGAGAGACCACAGATCACATCTGGGGTGTCATTGATCTCATTGTTGACACTGACTTTCCAGATATCCGAAGACGAACTGTTGTCCATTCTGACGCGGGGTCTATCATGGTTATTCCTCGCGAGCAATCTATAACGGGAGATTACATCACTCGGCTTTACGTACAGGTTCCCGGTGACGTTAAAGTCAATGAACCTGATATCGCAGGCGATGGTACGAGAGCTCGGCGAGGACAGGTTACTATGGAGAGTATCTTGACACAGGCCCAGGAAGCCATCAAACCGTATTACATTAAGCAGAGAGAAGGCACGGAGATTGAGTGGTGGACTGCATATCAAATCGGCCAGCGAGTTACCAATGACTTTGCAATTAAAGACTCGGTCGGAAAGCAAAGAGTGTTTATCGTTGGAGATGGTGAGCCTTGAGCCCCCTTTTTGTAAATCAGCACGGTTGAAGTTAACATGCCTTTTTTTCTTAGCTTGCCATACCCACAGCCCAAAGGTGAGGTTATCTTTTATAAACGGTATTATTATAACCATAGCTCTAACCAATGCTTCAGGCCGGCCAAGGAATGAACGTCTCCATGATGGACTCCTTTAATCTAGCCTGGAAACTCGCCTACTCCGTCAACGGGCTAACACCTTCCTCCCGTTTCTCCCCTAATCAAGCAGACAATATCTTAGACACCTACCAGACAGAACGTCACACTATTGCACAGCAGCTAATTGAATTTGACAAGTCGTTCTCATCTATGTTTTCTGGAAAGATCGGCTCAACCGATGAGACGGGTACAGACCTCACACACGAACAGTTTCTCGAGGTGTTTAGAACGGGCAATGGGTTTACTAGTGGCTGTGGAATTGAGTACCCCGAGAGTGTCGTGGTTAATAAGTCTATGAGTGAGAGGACTGTGATAGGAACGGACTATTTGGCGGGTATTCTGAGGCCCGGTAGACGTTTGTTGAATGTCAAGCTGAAGAGACATGCCGACGGCTGTCCGCGGGATATACATGATGGTTTGTCCCTTTACCTTTCCATAGCTACTATGAAATGGATGCAAGCTAATGAAATGAATAGAAATCCCAACTACAGGCGCATTCCGTATTTTATGCCTTACGTCAATGGACCTGCTTAACCCTAACGGAAAATCAAGCCAGGCTATAACCTCGCTCTGTGGCTTTGTTGGGGATGTAAGCCGCACCTACTCGTCCAGAAACCTCTTGCAATTTCTCGCCATCTATCCTCGGGCGTTGGTGGGGCTGTCGCCATCTTCGCCAGCCAAGGCAGTGCTGCCTACTTCATCGTTCGTGTGGAGCGATGTGCCCGCTTTTCTGCATGAGTGGGCGGAGATGAGGGTCTATTGCTCTGCTATCAGTGGCGATGGGGATGCATACCGACAGTATGGAGTGAGTGAAGATGCCGGTGCCATTGCCGTGATCAGGCCGGACGGATACGTCGGTGTTGTTTCATCATTAAGTGCGGAAGGGGTGGATGCAGTAAAGAAGTATTTAGGGGGATGTATATGGATGGCAGAGAAGTAGGTAGTAGGTACTAGGTAGCGGAATACAATGACTTGAATGATGTAAAAAAATATTTCATTTATATATTCGTGGTATCATCTACTATGTACGTGAAGGGTAAAAAGTACGAGAGAAAAAGAAAATGGGAAAAAGAAGTTAGAACCCAAACTCCTCGACATGCAGATATATACCCTGAGCACCTGTGCCCTTGTGTACAGCTCTCTCATCGGACAAGGAGACAACGTTGCGCCTTACATCTGCACTTAGCCCATGGGGTCCACAAACGACAACACCGCTCTCCCCCTCGGCTACCTCCAACATCGACAAAATGATTTTGTTGATATCCGGTCTACCCGAGGTGATGCAAGCTGGCGAGTCAACAGATATCCGTTTCTCAGACGCATAATGTGAAGCTGGACTGGGCAGATCCGAATCCGTCGACGGAGTACGCTGCAGGTGAAGGCCGGCAGCATGAGACGACGGACTGGAAGAAGACAGATGAGGATCCGAAGTGAGATAGATATTTACATCGAGAGTAGCGACGAATTTCCCATTTGCTGCTCGACAGTCTTCTAGGTCCTGCATGAGGGATTCCAACTCATTCTGGAACCAGGAGAGATGGGAGCGGGAACGGATGGCCCAGATGAAGCGGACACGTTTGGTAACGGGTGCAACGCTGGAGAGATGTTCTGCCTTCCACCCTTCGACGATGTCGCGGAGCAGAGGGACGGTGAAAGTTGCACCCATGCTGCCGGCGAAGAAGACCACGCTGTCGAACTGGCGGAGGGGCCGGATAGCGCCGTATGGTCCGTCCAAAGTAACCAGACGAGTCGAGTCGGCATTCTCGGAGTTGACGTTGGCAATACCAGTAAACTTTGCTGCGTGGTTGTGGATGGTCCGGGTGGCGCCCCCTTCGGCACGGATGAGGAATTCCATCTTGTTGTCTGACGGGAGAGAGGCGATGGTGAATGGATGGCTTTGGAACGGGAGTAGGGTCGGAACTGATAGGAAGACATGTTGACCTGGCCGCCAGGAGGCGACTGGGTTGCGGATGGTGACCTTGGTCACGTCTCCGGCCAAGGGAGTGAATGTTGCATAGTTTGCCCACAGCGAGGAGGAAGAAGTAGTAGTAGAGGACCGACGGAAGATGGCGAGGTTTGTCCATATCATGACCGCCCACCTGGCAACACGGTCAAACACGACGAGGGCGATCGACACCCACACCCACATCTTGACCTCATTGGCAGCATGCAACCAGGCGGCGGCAATGAAACCCGAGAAAGTGAGGACATGGGAGAGGAAGAAAAGTTCGTAACTCCACCGTCTAACAGGCGCCATGGAGGCAAAGAGGATGAAGGTGAGTATGGACCAGGCGGCGATGCCTCTCTGTGTCAGGGGGTCCGTCCTGACTTTTGTAGCGATGTAGTTGAAGCGCCCCCAGCTGCGGAACCAGAAGCCCATATGCACCGTGGCCGTCAGCCAGAGCGTCCTGGCCGTCCATCGATGCAGCCAGTTGAGCCGTTCGTAGCTGGAGCCCGTGAGAAACCCGATGATGTTCCTCTTGCCGGCCAGCAGCAGGATAAGTGGTAGCTGGGCGACGGTCATGAAACCCGTCCGGTACCCGACGGTCTCCCACTGCCACTGGTCCATGGTGTTGAGCTTGTAGAAGCAGAAGACCATGACGGCGATGAAGTTGGCGAGGGCCAGACTGAGTCTGCCGAAGGGCGTAGGCTCAAACTCCCACCGTCCCATCTTCAGCGGCCCGGTGCTTGCGGACGAGTATTCTCTCGTCACCGCTGTCATTGTGGCATAGATGTTGAAGACGAGCGACTTTGGCTTGGCCGGCGTTCTCGTCGTGTCGGCGAGTCTACTCTCGGTCAGTATCGTCTGTATGTACAACGGTGGTAGACTTACCTCTGCACGGCGACTATCTTGTTGGCGATGTTGCAGGCGGTCGCTATGCCCACTGCGGTCCCGACGACCGCCCAGTACATGCGCTGCATCTCGAAGTAGGACGGCACCCCGTCCCCTGTCGGCGCCGCACCACCATGATTGTGCGACATCTCTATCTATATCACTTTGCAATCATGATATAGTAGAGAGGATAGAGAATAGAGAATAGAGAGTAGAGAATAGAGAGTAGAGAGTAGAGAGTAGAAGTAGAAATAGAGAGAGGAGATGAGCAGATTACTTAAGAAATCAAGAGTGGTCCTTCTCCACATGGCCAGAAGGCTAAAGATAGATAAGGTTATCATGCATAATAATCTGCTCATCTCGATATCAACTTCCTTCTTTTCCGCAAAAGCATCAACATCGCATCCTCTTCTCTAACAACACCGAGAAAGAGAAGAGGATAGAGATCAAAAAAAAGAGAGATGGCACACTCGCATGGCTCGACAGACCCCAACATGGCGGTGGCCATGGTCTTCCAGAACATCCCCGCAACACCGCTGTTCACACTCAACTGGACGCCCCGAAGCAGCGGCGCCTACGCCGGAACCTGCATCTTCCTCATCGTCCTCGGAGCCATCGCCAGAATACTCGCCGCGGCCAAGTCGATCATGGACCGGCGCTTCCTCGCCGCCGCCAAAGCCCGCCGATACGTCGTCGTGGCAGGGAAGACATCAGACACAAATAAAGGCTCAGAATTGGAGTTACAACCGACCAGTGACGATTCAAGCGAGCAGACGACGGGCAAGCTGATAAGCGCCAAAGGAGTCGAGGAGAACGTCCGGGTGGTCAACGCTGCCGGAGGGCCGCCGGTGATGCCGTGGAGGTTCAGCGTCGACTTGCCCAGGGCCGCCATGTTGACGCTCAATGCCGGCGTGGGCTACCTCCTGTGAGATCCCCTTTACCTCTCTTACCTGGTATATATGCTAATGGCAGCAGGATGCTGGCGGTGATGACCATGAATGTCGGCTACTTTCTCTGTGTCCTCGTGGGCATCTTCGTGGGCGACCTCGGCGTAGGTAGATACGCCCACACCTTTGACGAGCACTGATTTCTCTTCTCTTCTCTCTCTCTTTATGTTCTTCTCATGTTCCCTTCTTCTCTTCTTCTCTCCATGTTCTCTCTTCTTCTCTTCATCTCTCTTGTTATCTTGATATCCTCGTAACTGTAAATAGCGAATACGACATCCACGTGACTTACTGCTTGCTTATTCTCACGTGACTGCGCAGGATTGAGCAGATTACCTAACCAATCAGCAGTTCCAGTTCCCTTTAAAGTGCCGATGGAGAGGTACCTCGTAGACCATGTAAAAACAGGTGGGCGGCCATGTACCTCGCCATGCCATGCCATGCACGGAGCTGTCACTGTGATGGTGTAGCCGGAACCGCGGGACAAAGAGGTTTGTGGTATATAGGGAGAGCTCCCCTGCTTCATTCTCCGTGACATGGTGATATCAACTGTGATCTGTTGAAGTTAATTGTAACGATGAAGCTGCTCACGATACTCCCGCTGCTGCTCCCGCTCGCGTCTGCGCACTTCAACGTCGAGGCGCCTCCAACCCGCGGCGGCAACGAGGACACCCAGCCGTCGTTCCCCTGCGGCGGCCCAACCCAGCCATCCAGCTCGCGGACGAAGATATCTCTCGATGACCCCAAGGTCGCCATCGCCATGGAGATGGGCCACGACCAGGCCGCCGTCCAGGTGCTGCTCGGCGTCGGATCCAACCCGGGCTCCAACTTCAACATCACCGTCCTGCCGACGTTCAGGCAGATCGGACTGGGCGCCTTTTGTCTGCCAGAGGTGAAGCTGACCGAGGAGGTGCTCGGTTTCAAGCCAAAGGAGGGCATGGACGCCACGCTCCAGGTGCTCAGCAACGGTGACCCGACCGGCGGACTCTACCACGTATGTCTCTCTTCTTCTTCTTTAGATGAGAAATGCTGACAGGATAAAGTGCGTCGACATCACATTCAGCAGCTCGGCAAAGTACTCCAAGCCAGACTCCTGCAAGAATGGCACCGGTATCGAGGCCTTCCCCTTCCAGGGCGACGCCGCTCGTCGAAACGCCAACGAGTCCACGCCCAACGGCCAGCAGCAGCCAGGACGCGGCGGCTCTGGGGCTGGTGGCTCGCCGACTCAGACTCCCACCCCGTCCGGCAACATGGCGCCCATCCAGACTGCGGCCTGGGGAGTCCTGGGTGCAGCCATCGTCGGAGGTGTTGCGCTCTTGTAAACTAGTTTAGATACCCAGAAGGAAGATGAGACTGATAACGGCGAGGCACTGGTTGTGATATAAATATGAATACAGATTGCTTTCTCGCATCCTTCATCCTTCGCCCGTCTCAGTCCGCACGTGATATGGAAGTCTAGCTTAGTAAGATATTAGTAATAGATAAGAACTTATCGCGTTCAAGATGAAGATGAAGAAGAAGAAGAAGACGAAGACGAAGACGAAAAAGAGGAAGACGAAGAAGATATCTCCAGGTTGCTTCATCTTGAACCGGGCAGCATACCACAGACATGGCTTCTATAGCACCCTTCGTGGTTCCCGCCCTTAAGAGGCACACGGCCACCGTCATCATGGCCCATGGACTGGGGGATACGTAGGTGCTCTGCAACGATTATATGCCTGATGAACCATCTAACGATATAGTAGTGGAGAAGGCTGGTATGGTAGATGCATTCTCTCTTACGTGAACACACATTGACATCCGGCGAAGGATGATGATTGCCAAAAACTGGCGACGACGTGGCCTATACGATGAAGTCTCCTTCATCTTTCCCAATGCGCCCTCCATACCCATCACAGTGGTATGTCTCCCACTTATACCTCACCTATGCATACGCGTTGTGCTAATGACCGATTACTATAGAACGGCGGCATGTCCATGCCCGGATGGTACGACATCAAAAGCCTCGCTTCCTCCGTATGAGATACCCCCCCTCGCCTACACCATAAACAGGTACTAACACCCACCCTCTAGCTAACAATGGAGGAATTCTTCGCACAACGCGACGAACCCGGCATCCTAAAGTCCCGCGAATACTTCAACACCCTCATCAAAGCCGAGCTCGACAAGGGAATCAAGCCATCCCGCATCGTATTCGGTGGATTCTCCCAAGGTGGAGCCATGGCGCTGGTCACTGGTCTTGCTAGCCCCGAGAAACTAGGCGGTATATTCGGCCTGTCGTGCTACCTGGCCCTGTCGACTGAGCAGCTTAAGAAACACACCCCCAAAGGATGGCCGAACCAGAAGACACCCGTTTTCATTGGCCATGGAGATATCGACCAGGTAGTCAAGTTTGAGTATGGAGATATGACAGCAAAGATCTTGAAGGATATGGGTGTCGGAGTGGAGTTCCATAAATATCCGTACGTTATATCTTGGTATCTTATGAATATGTGTTCGTGCTAATCCTCATATCAACAGTGGGCTCGGCCATTCCGGCGACCCTGATGAGATCCAGGATCTCGAGAAGTTCTTGGACCGTGTTATCCCCGCTGAAGGCGCAGCTTCCGCCTCCTCTGAGCTGTGACTGGGTGCTGGCATCCCTGGGCCTGGTTACCAATGGCTATTCACGCCAGCTGTTGGGCTTCTCCTGCTCATTCTTTTCTTCTCTGTGGGTAGGAAGTTTTTGGGCGGTCGTTAATCGATTGTGGCACGCTGATAAGTCTCCATCTGGCGTTCTTGCTGATACTATAAACCACTCTTGTAGAGAAACGCAACTTATAGTCTTTGGGGCGTGAGTAATTAATATACAATGATATACCGATTGATACACCAATGATGCGCGTAGTGATACATGTTTAACCGAGTGGATATTCGTAGAGTAAAACAGATGATAGGAGTGGGAAGGTACACACAACCAGCGTTCGAAGCTGGACTTCATTCTCCATCGCAGTCGTTCTCTATGATGTCTCGTCTGAAAGCAGCTTCAGTATTGCCGACTCATTCGTACCCAGAACTATTCCAAACACCACCAGTTAGCTTCCCTTCTGGCACAACAGACACCCAAGGGCTCTAGTTATATATTCATACCTGCTTTCCCGTTATTCCAATCAACAACCTATACCATCAATCGCCAGTCAGCCAACTACCCATGTCCACCATCGGTGACGCACCCATACTCACCACAGGCCTTATAAAGCTATCCGCATTCTCCTTCAACTTCTTCATCGCATCGGGTCGATCGGTAGCCCCTGATACTAGATCACCTGGCTTCCCTACTCCGATACCACCACTGGCAAGAGGCGACGAAGTCATGTAGTCCATAATCAACGACAGCTGGTCCGGCGTAGGCGGTTCCTCGGTGACATTTAGCTCGAATTCGGAGGTTCGTAATGGCGAGCCTGAAGAGGTAGTGGCAGACCCCTCTTTTATCGCTGTAGAGGCTCGTTGGAGGACATTTAGGGCTTTGGTTGAGGATGCAAGGGTGGGTTTGTGGAAGAGGGTGATTATGTCGAGAGTTTTATGCTGCTGGTGAGACTTCTATTAATGCTCTGCCCATGCGCTGGGGTTTGGAACCGAGAAGACTTACGAAGCGGAACATGATGAGAAAGTGAAACTGTAGATTCTTTTGGAGTTGTTGCGGTTGTTCGTAGTGTTGTATATGGATGTATGAAGGATGTGTTTTGATGGACGTTGGAAGAAGCTCTGTTCTGTTTATGCACCGCCTACGTCATCCCGCCCAGGGCCCAATCCCACCCCATGCTTACATTTACATATTCGCATCTTCAATCCTGCAGTCTACTTTCGAGCATACAGATATACATTGAAGCTAGTATGCATAATGATAATCAGGCAAAGGAGACTTGCGACAAGGGACATCCCGAAGAACCAGAAAAAATCACAGCAGTTTATGCGAGGTAACTAGGTGCACATCAAGAAATGAATTGCATAGGAATGGCAACGAGAAATTCGTGTGTACGAGAGGTTTATAGCATTTCGTTAAAAGAGGTATTTGACATAAAAAAAACAACGTGGGGCTGGGATAGTGACAGGAATGCGATGCTTGCGCGCCGTTTGAAGCAGCTACAGGTATTATAATAAACTTATGCCGAACTATTGGATGGGAGAGAAACTCGAAGTGAAGGTTGAATGGATAAGGTTAAGGGAGCCAGCTCTGGGGGTTATTGAAGAAAGACATGGGCAACAAGCGACCGCGAAGAGTCGGCAGATGGAAGAATCAGTTGAAGTCAGGTAGTTGAAGTAAGCAAGTACAGGCCCCTAAAACATTGTCCCGAAAGACCCGTCAGTTGGAATACCCTTTCGAGGGCTAGTGCGGCCATCATTGTCAATGACTGGTTTTCGATGCCTATTCGACCTTATTAGTATTTGTAACTCCACAAAGTTTTCTGAGTAAGGACCCGTACCTGAAAGTAAACCCGACAAATACACCTTTATTCATCTTCTCTTCGCGATCGGCCATATCTTCTAGTGCCTTTTGTTTATCGTGCACCTCCTTGTATTTCGCCATATCAGCCTCGCTCCCAAAATCATCAAAGTATCCGGCATCGGTTTCAGAGTCAAGGTCAGGAACAAATGGAGCCTTCTGCTCTTCCCTCAACGTGTTGAAATTCACCTCAGCGAAATAGTCGTGAGTGTGGATTTCGGTAATGTTCTTGAACCGATTCTCCTTGGCGGCAACGAGACGGGTGATAAGATCCCAAGTGCGTCTGGACAGGAAGTAATTCGGATCTTCGTATTGTGGTTTGCGTAACACATCCTTCCAGTGTTTGAGATTCTGCCATGTCTCATCCACGGTCGATCCGGCAAATGGTGGGTAGCCAGTTAGAGCCTCAAATAGCATACATCCCAGACTCCAGTAGTCGACCGTGAAATCGTACTCTTCGCCGTTAAGCACTTCCGGAGCCATATAATCAGGCGACCCGACAATCGACTTTGCATAGTTTACATCGAGCTTTCGAAGGGATCTATAGCCTTCACGTCTCTCGGCGGCAGATCGTTGGTCCATTGGCCGGCCAAAAGGAACAGTAGTCTTTCCCACTTCCTCCAATTTCAACCGCATAGACTCAATCTTGGTAGGGTTAAGCATGCCGGCTGCTAACCCAAAGTCAGTCAATTTTACGTGTCCAGTAGAGTCGATGAGGAAGTTCTCGGGTTTCAGGTCTCGATGGATGTATCCGAGGACATGCAGGGCATCGACACAGGCTACCATCTCTGCGATATAAAATCGAGCGTGCCGGTTGTGGAGAACCCCAGTGTTGTTAAGTAAAGTACGGAAGTCGCCGCCTGGCACGTATTCCATCGCAAGATATATCTGGGTATCATCCTGGAAGGCATAAAGTAGCTTCACTAGCCATTCGCTCTTTGCAGTCGTTAAAATATCGCGCTCTGTCAAAATATGTCGAATCTCGTCCAGTTTAAAAAGAAGTTTCTTGCTCATGACTTTCAAAGCGCACACTTCTCGAGTATCCTTCTTTTGAGCTAGATATACCTGTCCGTAGCCGCCCTGGCCGACCTGTGTAAGGATCTGAAAATCGCCCTGTCGTAGACGGGTCCTCCTCTTTCGAAGATTGGCGCGTTCTCGGCCCATATATTTATGCCGCGCAACTTCATACTCTGCTTCATCGGTTTCAGGGGGCGGCGGATAGGCCGCAGCAAACTGGGCGCTTCGGATTTGTCGGTTTTGAACGTAGCTTAGAAGGTTGAAATAGTGGTCAAGGAAATCTTCTCTCTCTGTTAGTACATGCTCAGATATCAGGGACGGGGTAAAACTGACAAAGCTGCGTAACATTGGCAAGACGTTTGACTTTCGGCTGCTGCAATTTTTCTAGCTCCTCTGCAGTCAGGCCCCTCAGCTGAGCTTGCGGTTTGCGCCCACCGCCGTCCGTCCCATCACCTGTTTGATACAGCTCCCTACGCGATACGGCAGCATGGCTCAGGTTGCTCGGTTCTTTCCCTGATCGCAATCCTGGGACTGGTGTATTCTCCTTATTCGACAGCCGAGTAGGGCTTCCTGGCCTCGCGTTAACTTCCGTCTGGGCGACGCTCTCATTGTATGTGGTCAAATCGTCAACTTGACCCCTCCCGGGCGACAATGTTGGTTTTCCGAAGCCTGTCTTGGTTGGTGACGATGGGGTAAGCTTCATCGCATTTTCGAATACATTGACGAGGCCTGTGGCGCCTGGCGGCACTTTGTTCTTGCTCGGGCTGCCTTGCGGGGTGTTGGCAGGACTGGTGAAGCCATGCTGCGGAGGGGTCAGAGGGCGTTCGTAGGGCTCGTTGCCAGAGCGGGTATTGAGCATAGGTGGGAGATGAGGAGTCTGTTTCCCCAGGGGATATGATGGTATGTTCGTATCCATCGCAGGTGAATTGGCGCCGTTGTTGTTGTTATCGCGAATGCCCCGCAGCGTTGCTCGATTTCTGTTCTCTCCAGCCGCGAGCGCTTGTTTTTGTGGCGGGCAGACAGTTGTTGCACGACACTAAGCTCAATGGCAAACTAGTATCGCAGGCTGTATTAGCGACAGCGATCTCGCTAGGGTCAGTTAAGCTGGACTGAGATCCGATGCTGCAAGCCGCCAGCCCGCAGCTTGGTCGCAGTCCAAAAAGCTGGAGATGTTGCCGGGGCAACTTGCTTAGTCATTGCCCCTGACTGTTCTCTTCGACATTCTTATAGACAGTCGGCTTCCTTATGTTATTTATACAAAGGCTAGGATACTAGGGATAGCCTGGGATATTCCATCTTCTTCATCTTTTACTCGCCATATCTATGGAACAAAATAAGTCTAATTCTATGCTTGTATCAATGATCTCAATCTTGGTACGGAGTAGATCTCAACCCTTTGTCCAAACATTATAATACATCTGCCTTTATACAGATGAGCCCTAGCATTGGACGAACCAGAAGGATTAATAGTTGGGCTTGAGGTAGGGGTTGAAGAGTTGGCGCTTAGGAGGCGCTTAGGAGGCGCTCAGGTCTCAGGTTGAGAGTCTACCTGGCCACGGAGGGAAACCCTTCCTAGCACACAGAATGTTTGGCTTGGTCCAATTATCGCGAGATGCTGGATATAAGGCGGATTTTGCAATGCACACTGCTTATCGAAGGCTTTAGCACCCCTTGTCAAAAATGGAGATCATGGGCTGATGGCTCCGTTGGGCATATTCTATGATTCTCGCCCGGTGATGATTATTTTCCCATACTGGATAGCATGGCTGACGCTTGACCAATTTGCTACATACATCCAGTATCTATTGGTATAAACATAACTCAAGGACGATGAGAGCTACAGACACCATTCGAGAAGGACATCAATCAATTACCATGATAGATAGACAGAAAAATTTTCCTATGTGCTCTGTACATAGCAACTTGATATGAGCCGTCCGGCGGCGTGTCCGCCTTCTTCCATCTACTTTGACGCCTTGCTGACTTATTATCCCTAGCCTCAGAGATATCGAGCAAAGTTTCGAAAAATAGCATTGGACGCACCGACTTGCCGGCCTTAATTATCAGCAGTGTGGTGTACCAGTTGCTTGGGTGATCGACCACGCCACGAAATCCTCGACGACAGAAGCGTCACCGCTATACTTAGTGAGGAGTGCGATCAGCTGCCAGGTGAGGGGATAGGTTGGCGTCCGCCGCTTCACTGACTGGGCAAACCACCCAAAACTGGCAGAAGCATGCCAGATGTCCACCAATAGCTTAGTTGCCTCGGAGGGCGACAGGCTCTGGGCACTACTATCCAAGCAGGAATCAGCAAATATATCAGGCTTGTTTCCCTCAAAATCCCAAAGGCCCATTCGAGGAGGCTGCGGGTGGTACTCCGTACTCCCCTCGAGCATAAACGCATGGGCGGTGAACGTCTCTTCCTGGATGATTTGCCCACATCGTTATGTTGTTACTCCTTTAAGGCCTATATCCGTATTCAATGGTACGTGATCGTAGAAGCCGTTCACGGTCTCAGAGAGGTTGGGAGAACAGCGTGTCTGTGGCCTGCTATAGGTCAGCTAGGCTAAGTTCAGCCATCGTGATGATTGTTGGAGCGAACTATTGTGGTGACATTTTGGGCCTCGACGAGCGAATGGTGCAGATCTTAAAGCCAACGGCGCGAGCCGGAGTACGGGACTAAGGAGTCATGGCGATCCCTTCTTCTTTCGTTAGTGGATTGGCTGCAGAATTAGTCGACTGATATTTCAGATCATACTAAATTCCGTATACACACCCAACTCGCATCAAACGAACCTGCTCTATGGAATATGAGATATCTGCCATAATTTGATATAGTTAGTAGGTTCATAAATGACCCGAAGGGTCCATATCATGGGAGAGTAAAATCAGTTCCTATACGGAGTACCCTGTGAAAAGTAACACAACCTACCAGAAAAACATTCAAAAGACCTGCATCCTATAGATCTTTAGCCGGTATTGTTGCGCTTGGACCCACCATAATGCATTGCTAGAATGCAAGGGGAGTTTATAATGGAAAAGAAATTATATCCCATTACCCATTTATGGGAAATAGACTAGTCCGCACATTTGAGAATATATCGCTATTCTCTTCCTTCAGGGAATGCAAGAGGTGTACAGAGTACTCCGTACGATTTGGTGGAGAACGGTTTAGTCCATTGCATGAGATTAGATATTCTCTTGTCAATGTTCGACCTTTGAAGTCTCCGCGTCACTTTTCACAGCTAATATGACCAAAATAAAAGCTCCCAAGAGGCCATGGGGCCATAGCTGGCGCTCTTCGTCAATTTTCAATATTGTGAGCATCATCACAGCGCTTTTTGCGGGTAAGGTTTTGAACAGCACTCTAAATTACCATTTAAATGACCACAGCTTCATATATAACTATACGAATGCCCGCTCATGATGTTTGATATTTTTAGAAACATTCGTCCATGGTTTTGTCGTTCCAATTCTTCCATACATCCTCGAGAAACGTAACAATGTTGACCCGGCGGATACTCAACAGTTGACTTACTTAGTTCTCAGCGCATATGGTGCGGCTGCAGTTGCCTCAGGACCTGTCATCGAACAGTTGACCGATCGAATCAAGTCCCGAAAAATCATTCTGGTGCTCGGGTTGGGAGTCGCGCTCATTGGGACAGCTACTCTTGCCACCTCCACGAATGGTATGAGAAAATAGGCCCCTAGTGTGTGAAATTCAAATAAATCTAACAGTCGCAACTGCTAGTCATTGATGTTTTTGTAGGTCGAACCCTTCAAGCGGTGGGTAGCACGACGGCACAGGTTGTCGGGCATGCAACACTAAACGATATGATTGAGCCCAAGAATATGGGTATGGTATTGGGGTTGGTGAACACCTTTATCAGCGTGGGTGCGTTTTCTGGCCCTGCAGTCGCGGGTTTCATGCTGGAATACGTTGGGTACTGGGCTACCTGGTCGACGGTACTGGCCGTGCTTGTGCTAGATATTGTGTTGAAGATTTTGATGATTGAAAAGCCAAAGAAGAATAATGAACCTGCCCGAGTCTTCGATGAGGAGAGCAGGGTCACCAGCGCACAGCCTGAAGGGGAAAACGAAAACAGCGCCCTACTCGGCGGTACTCCCGCGAAATCGTACACCTCCATAAAAGGAGTTAGCGACATCCAGACAGGCGCCATGTCTATGCTCTCCTTCTACCGAATAATTCTCACCCAGCCTATGGTGATTATTGGACTGGTGTCTTATATGACACGTTCCTCTCTGATGGCCAGTTTTAACACAACTCTCCCAACTCATGTGCGGGATGCATTCGGCTGGGGTAGTTTCCCTGCCGGTATGATGTTTGTCGGGCTTCAAGCGCCGGCCATCGTCCTAAATCCTCTTTTCGGGTGGATCCGAAATAGGACAGGCAACCAGCTACTTAGTGGAGTAGGCTTTATTCTGCTGGCTCCGCTATTATGGCTTCTTGGGGAGGTAGATCAAAAGTGGTTCCCATGGTCTGGTTCCGAAGATATGACCAAGGTTGTATATGTTGTCGTGATTATCTGTATAGGATGTGTTCAGACCCTCCCAGCTAGTGTTGGTGCAACGGAAATAACGTGTAAGCAACAGCGCATTCTCCTATCTAATTCCCCCTCCAGTCTTACGCAATGCATAGCATGCTAATATGACGGTACGATAACAGCGATAATCGAAAATCTTGAGTCACAGCTGCCAGGAATATTTGGGTCTGGGGGTGGCCACTCGCGCGGCCATGCACTTTCCAACGGGAGCTTCAATGTAGGACAACTCGTTGGGCCACTTTTGTCTGGGGTTTTGGCCGATAACTTGGGATATGACCGCATGAATTCAACTCTGTGTAAGTTTGTCCTTGTGCACTCCGTATAGCCCCCGAATCAGGTCCTGGTCATCATTGCTCACTATCATAGGCGCCATTTGCTTCGTCACGTCGATCCTAGCGATTTGCTTCAGGGAGAAGAAATGATCATTAAAGTACAGGAAGTACGTAACGTGGTTATTATGATGACGATAAAACGTATCTCAGATCTGGGTTTTCAAAGACGTTTTTTTAAGCTTGATTTAAGTTACGGTTGCTAGCTGTATTAGGAAGGAGGGGCTAGCTGCTGGGTCCCCCGGCTTCGGATCTTCCCCGGCCGCTTTTACGTAGTTATTTACCCTTCCTGTGCCTTTTTATAAGAGAGGGTACCTTTTTTATACCAATCGTCATGATTTCAATATCCTCTGTTATTATGTTCTCATGTCCATACCTCTTGGCTATCTATATTAACGTTTACTGGGGTTACCACCATGAGAACTTATGAATTTCTTTTATCTCATTTCCGAAAACTGATATTTTCATTACTGAGACCTATCACTTAAAGTTAGGACTGGTAACAATTGCAATTTCGATTGCTGGACCACCAAATCAAGGGTGGGTTATTTAATAATAATAGTCACGTTAAAAGAACCAGTGCTTGTTTAATCCTGAGTGATGTATATATTGCTACGCCTCGCCTTCAGCTCTCTGTCCAGTCTGGTACCCATTAACAATAGTAAAAGAAGTGGGGCGTAAATATAGACATCACTCACATAAAAAGCTAAGCCATACGACGTGGTGCTGAAAGTGATTTTGGCACCCTTTGGGAAGTAAAAAACATCTCCTGGAGCGGCTTTGACACTTTGGCCGGCCTCATCAGATATCTGAAACTCCCCTTCCAAGATAATCTTCATCTCGTCGTATGTATATGTATAGACGAGAGATCACCTTTTTCAAGTCGATAGATGCCACATGTTATTGGCTTTTCAGGGTTACTGCTTTGACTATCCACAAGAGGGCCTTAGCGAAAGGATGGCGGGGTATATCTAAGATAAACCAACTAACCTAGTGAAGAGGTCTCCTAGGAATGCGTTGTTGCTGGCGATCAATGGGGGTTTAAAAGTAGATTGAGCTTTGGGGTGGTGCTTTAGAGGAATTGGAGAAGACATTGGAATTGCAAGATATTCTCTTTATACCACTCAATAGTTGAATATACACTTAGCTAGAGAGGCTGTAGAGAAATATTAGAAAAATAAACTTGAAGGGAACTATCCCACAGTTTATATGCTTTCAGATTTGTTTCCCCTCAAGCAACCTACGTGATCCTCGAAATGGTGGCGTGGCTTCGCCTGGCAAATCAGTTATTATTGCCTATTGAGTTTGTGTACCAGTAATTGTCATGGCAGCCCTTGGATAGCGGGGTAGGTAAATATGAGAGAACAGATCGTTGATAGCTGGGTACTTTTACTAACTTGGGGAATTAATCGCGGGCCGCAAGCAAGTTCCGAATCTAGTTAATAGCTCCATGCCCCTAGTAATAACAGGGATTTAAATAAACCACTTCATACATTTAGGGGATGAGGATATAGTTCTAGAACCCTAATGATAGGCTACCTAGTAGATCTATTGTTGTGTGATTGGAGGGTAGCTGGTTTAATTTCAAATTAACTGAAATAACTGGCTCCAATTGCGGTTGGACTTAAAACATAATATCTGACCATCGCTCTTCTGTGCCTCTTATAAATATAACAGGTAGCCACCCAGATAAGTTAATGAAGCCGTACTCCCTAAACTTCCTCCTTATAGGTCTTATTCCAAAGAAAATCGTCATCAGGAAATGGGTGAATACCCATATATATACCCTTTTTAAATAAAACAATGAACAAAGATTTGGATATGTGCAACCAATGGAATATACAATACAGTGTTGGATAGTTGGCCGTTGAATCGTGATAAAATGAATCCCAAGCGGTGTCGAACTTGGGGGAAGGTATTCATCGCAGAATGAAGTGCTTTAATGTCTCGCAAACGAGAGAGAAAATCTACTTTCCGACGATTAATTGTGCCACTTTGTTTAAAAGTCAGGAGAACTCGTCTCTAATTTCAATGCCTTAGCCGAGAAGTACTAAATGGATATGACCTGTTAACACCGGTTTATCTCAAAAGTGTATTCACCAATGGGCCAAATTCGGCGGAAGATAGGAGATAGAGTTTGAGATACCTTCCCAACGCCAGTCATTCATCACACTCAGCCAGTGCGACTTCCCTCGAGCTGTTTTTGAGTACTCGATTCCATTGACACCCAGGTCTGCGGATCCATTTCGGGAGGGAAAGTGCGATGGCATCGTCGGAGTTGGCGAAGAAATTGGCGGGAATGATTCGATAAGCGGCATGGTTGTGAGTATGCGAGTATCATCACCATTGATGATATCATAAGAATCCTGCCCGCCGTGAACAGGATTTTCTCCGAAGATGAGTGGCTCCATAACACTGTCATGTCGACTACAGTTGCCCATTCCCGACGTATCAAAGGGGACTATATATGGGTCAAGTTGATTATCCGGCATACCTGCGCTATGGGCGTCTCGGCGTCTCCAAACTTCATAAACAACTTCAAAACATCGATCAACGTTGCCAATCGCCAGCCGTTGCTGCATAGCTGCCCAACGCTCCCTTACCCATTTTCTATCTTCCTCACTATCGACTTCGCAGCTAGCCGCCAGAAGAGGGAATATCTGAACCACTATTGTGCGTGAGCCCAATGGGACAGTGGCGAGGAGGACAAGAACTCGCTTGGCTATCTCACTTGCAGATTCCGATGGGATTTCGGGAACTGCTTGATGCAAATGAAGCAAAGTAGCCCAGCGATATGCCTGAGCAGTTTGAAAACTGTGCTGGACATCGGATGTGGGGTCCTCTGGGGGATTGAAATACCTCGGAGGAGTCCACTGCTCAACGAGCGTTTTGAGCTCGATTGCTTGGGATATTATGGCAAATGAATTAGTAGTTGTTTTGCGGACTTTTTGGACTAGCCCGGCAACGCGACCAATTAGTGGAAACAGTGTCGCCGCGCAACCCATCAGGGGGTCGACGTCATGGACACGCGGTGTGAAGGAAGGGGGAAATGGAATCTCGTCAAACCCAGTGTCCTCGGGAGACGTTAGCTGGGCGATGACTGCAATGTACATCCAGCTATTGTACAAGAACGTTAGGCGGGATTGATCACGTTGCGATATCGGATTGTGTCTTTGTTCAACAACAGCTCGATTGAATAAGACTTTGGCTCCGCGAAGATGTTGTACGCCAGTCGAGACATGTCTATCCCAGGTGTCTGCAAACGCAAGGGCCAGCGTCGTTGCCAGCGCCGCATCTGTTCTCATACTCTCTATGTCGACAGCCAGTGTCCGAATGCTCTGCCGCATGTGGTCCATACCAAGGTATTTATAGATGGGGTTTTCCTTGGTGGAGTGAAAGGCTGCCAGGGCACATACAGCGTGGAATAGTGCAGGAGATTCCCGGACTAGAGGGCCCACCGCCGTCCGCCATGGATTCTCAGTCATGCCGTCTTTAACTGACAGTATGCCACAGGTGCGTCGGTCAAACCTGGTAAGAAGCATTTCGGCGCTGTCGACATGGAAATCGATTTGTCCAGGAATGGATATTCCAGGTTCCCGAGAGTCCGAGACTGACGGACTCTGACGTTTTCGCTTCAGGCCAGTAGCCTCACCGAAGTCGTCTTCCCTAATTATTTCTTCGATATCGTTGCCTTCGGAGCTACTCTGTGGGGAAATAGATCTTGATTTGATTGCTTGTGTCTCCGATATAAGGTCCAGAGTACAGGGCCCCCCGATGTCAGGGAGGGCTCCTTTGGTAAGGGTGGATGTTATGCTGAGAAACGGATCGCTTGGGCCACATGTTGCAATGCTATGCTTGGTGTCATCTCCACGAATATCCAAAGACTCTAACAAAGGCGCTACCCGCAACTCGAAGCTTGAATCGCTACGTCCGGCCGGCGAGGGTCCATTCATCGACCGAGATAACTTCCGGGGAATATTTTGAGCATTGACATTAATGAACGGGCCACTGGCGCTTTTGGTGGCCGGCGGTTGTTTGCACGGATCCCCCAGTGCTCCGGTGTCATGTTTCTTGACTTTTGGTTTCGGTTTTCCAGTGAAACTCGACTCTTCGAAGGACCTCCATTTGAAATCTTTCTTATATCCCCCGCAGACAACGTTCCGCTTTTGACACTGATGGCAAGTAGGTTTCGTCTCGTCGCATTTAAGCCTTTTTGACTTGCATGTCACACATCCTATGAAAGAAGAGTCAGCACGAGAATCCCAGAGAAGAGAGGTGTTATGTCTGTCGATATATAACTCGATCATATCATCGAGTATTTCAGCCCGTAGTCAAAAACGCACCGTTACGACTCTTTGACTGCTTCGGTTTCTGCGGTCCCCGGCCGTTGGGAGCAGGTTTACCACAAAGAGAAGCTTCAGATGTAGCTGTCAAGCTGGGCGACATGTAAGCGAGTCCGGACTCGTCCTTTGTGTCGAGGGAGCAAGCAACTTCAGCTGACGATGTGTCCATGGAGCATAGGACAGCTTCCACGCCAAATCACAGGGATGAGGAGGGCATTGGCGAGAAATCTACATGGTCTCTCTCTCTCTCTGCTTGACGGTAGGCTTAGCTTGACTCGACGACCAGAGAGATATCAGACAAACAGCGACTGGCCTGCAGCTATATGGTCCTTCCAGCCAGCAGATATATATGTCGAGGGGAGCGTCCGTGTTGGCGTCGAGGAAGTTGTTGGTTGCAGCATTTTTGGCTGTTGGCTCAAGAAAGTGTGGTAACGCTGCCCCACAGGCCGATAATTCTCCGCAATACATGACGTGACGCCCAACTTACAGCTTCAGCCAGGGCGAAAATAGCGCGAGGGAGGAGCAAAAAGCTGGTGCGGAGCTGGTAACAATACAGGCTGATTACGATAAATACGCCGCCATCTCAACTTTCGCCCTTTTGCCATCGACTTTTCAGGGGTTCAACTCGATCCTTTTGTTCTGTCTTTGAACGCCGTGTATCGATGTCAAGAGTTGTTCCTTGGTCTTGATCTCCATAGTCTGTTTGGTATAGCTTTATCTTGGATGCATTCTGGATTCTGGTGAGAGAGCCGTAACTATGTAGGAATGTTTCACATCTATATTATTATCTACATGGATTATATGTGAGGCTCTGCTAAACCTCATATGTCTATAGTACTAGGATTATACCCATGTTCTTATAAGAAAGATGCAACAGTCAAATCATATCAACAATATAATAGACTTCATTCATGACCGTATAACAACGGCGAGCCCAGTTCCTCTCCTTTCCAGCTTACAGCCATACTCCGTATAGCTAGGTGTAATAAAAAGCCAGGTTTCTCCTTTAGTGAATTGGTAATGCGGCCCGTATTCGCTTGGACCGGCAGAGCTCCTCATATATCATATTTCTGTCTCTAGAGCCCGTTATAGTTAAAGGAAACGCGCAACAAAAGGACGAACCTTTTTCTATAGCCTCGGCTTATTAAGCAATATGGCATGTCACGTGGTATCTCGGTCCGAAAGCGGAAAGCGACAGCAACAGCCTTGAAAAGATATCAATTTTTGACAGTTAAAGCTACATTCCACATCAAACAATTATTCATTAAATGAGCCCGAATTACCAGTTGACTTGATTGTCCTTGTTGAATGAAGACAACCATTTCCAGCGTTAGTACTATTAAATCTGCTCTTGAGATCCTACCTTTACTGCCTCGGTAGGAGATCCTAATATCCTCTTTCGAGACAAGGGGAATCATATCCACGCCAGCTTGATATACCCAAACTTATGACGAAAATATTAGACTGGCACATGAGATAGTTACCTCGCTAGCAAACAGAGCGATGGATTCCATTTTTCATCGGGTGGCTGGTGGATTGCGATTTGCCTCCATTTGATCCCTTTACAACCTTATGAGGATGGCCTTTGTGCTTTGCTCCACGGCGTTCGATGCTGGTCGGGCCTGTCTGAAGTGCAGATAAATCTACTGCGTCGGACTTCATGAGTTTCTCAGTCACTGCAACAATATCTGCTATAAGCTTGTCGATGAGGTCTGCAGCCATGCTTTCGCGGACAACTACCCTCATGATTTCTGTCTCTTGCTCTTTGGGAGGGAGAGGATAGTCTATGAATTCCAACAGATTAGTACTCAGTACCTCTGCGCGCGTCGAGCCCAAAGGTGCGGATCACCCGGCTAAATCTGGATAAAATTACAGGCTCACTTACTGGGGATGATATATTGCTTTGCTCTCAACAAGAGGCTGACGCTTTCTTGCTTCACGTGTGAATAGTTCTTCTTGAACGTGTCAGAGAATCGGAATGCTACCACTGGCAAGCCTGGGTTATAATCCGCGGATGTTTCGCCCTCTTTGTAAGGAGTGATCTTGTCCAGTTTATGAAAGTATAATTCGCCCTTTTTGCGATGGATATCGCTCAAGCAGACAAACCAGCCTGTTCGTTCCAAGGTCTTGCTCAGCAATCTAGCATTTGCTAGACAGTTTTCCATGATCTCTCGGTATCCGTTGAACCCAAGGCGAATGAGGTTATAGTACTGGCCAATCACCTGCGCCCCTGGCCTAGAGAAGTTCAATGTGTAAGACTCTTCTCTGCTTCCAAGATAGTCGAGCTCAAAGATCAGTTCTTGCGGCAGATAGGACCGATCTCGCCAGATAATCCATCCCAACCCTGCATACACGAGGCCATATTTATGTCCAGACGCGTTGATTGACTTTACTCGAGGCAGTTCAAAGTTCCTTGATACCACTGTTAGTCCGGTTATGCCAGTATCCGTAGCCGAGAGTTACAGGGCAATACACACCATTTTGGCCCTCCGGCGCCTGCATAGGTAAATGGAGCGATAAATCCACCGCTGGCTGCATCAACATGGATTGGAACATCAATTCCAGTGTCAGATTGTATGTCATCTAGGATATTCGAGATCTCCTCAACCGGTTCATAGTGGCCCGTGTAAGTGCTCCCCAGAATGATAAATATCCCAATGGTATTCTCGTCCACATTTTTCTTCACTAGTTCTGGATCCAGGCGAAATTGACTCTTCTCCGAGACGTCTAACACCCGAGCTTCAACGTCGAAGTACCTGGCGAATTTGAGCAGTGCAACCTGTGCATTTGAGCCCATGATAATGTTGGGATTGGAAGCATCCTTCCCGGCATCCTTGCGCCTTTGCTGCCATCTCTTTTTCATCGCTAATCCTCCCAATAATATGGCCTCCGAAGATCCAGTTGTTGCGGACCCGGTAGCTTGTTCTCCTGGCTGCGGGTTCCAAAGATTGGATATAATGGAGATACACCTTGAATGAATAGCCATTAGTGCAGGATACTCATCTGCATCGGCAAGATTCTTGCTGATATTTTCTACCACAAGTTTATTCGCTTCTCGGTCCATATAAGTACCAACGAAACTACATGTCAGTCACCTGTTAGCAGTTATTATCCTTTTGCAATGAATGGTGATACTATTTTACCTTGCCATATTCAAATTCGGAATACCGTCCAAGTCGAGCTCATTGCTCAACATATGGTGCACTGCATCGGCACGAGCTCCAACCTTCGGGATCCGGAATTTGGGTATTTCTTCCCTGCTGGAGTATCTTGTGGAATATGGAGTTACTGATGTAACTGCATTTGAAGTGAAGATAGAATCTTGTTTCTGTTCCTGTTCCTGTTCTTTATCGAAATCTTCACGGAATTGTTTGATGATCGCATCAGGATCAACCTAGGATAGTCATCAGCAAGCTTAACTTCATCTAGTGTAATAAATTGTATAGATGTGGTGTAATTGGCTTCATGCGGCCGGGTTATATTTCTAGATCGGGTGCAACTTACATGCGATGAGAGCGACATCTTCAATCTGTCTACGCGGGCTTGTTCCCGAGTACTCAACTAAATCTGCTTACAAGAACGAAAATAAATTTGTCAATTCTCTTGATTTTAGAAACATTATATCCCCCAGCTATTTATGAGTTTACTCTTTTGCATATCCTTGTTTTGCCGGAATGAAGTCATAAAGTCTAGACTTTGAACAACTACGTCATGTTTGAGATATGGTGCGACATAAACATACGACAAAGCCAACGCAAAATCCTTGAAATAGAAAGGTCCAATTAACTATTCTATAGATTACCGGATTACATATTCCTCATAATATACATGCTCCCTTTTACTCTTCAGCGTATTCCTTCACCACGCTCTTAGGCTGCACGTACTTCCCAAGGGGCACATACTCGAGATCGTGATATCCGAACGCACCTGGACCACCAATTTCCAGTCCTCTCTCTGTATCCGTCCATCGTGGTGAACATGCAATTCCCAGGACGGTTACCATAACCCCGTACCTAAATTCGGGTACCCCCAGTGCTTTCCCAGACTGAGTATCCAAAACACAGATCAGATCAGGCACCATGGCAACATACTTCTCCTCGCCCTGTTCAGAAATATGTTTGGCGTAAATATTCTCATTCTTGAATGGAATCTTCAATACTCCGCCTGTGGCAACTGGTATTGACGATCGAGAGGCGCCCTCCGAGCACCGATTTGCTCCATCGGACTCCAGCTCACTTTTCTGGATTTGCTGAATCGTGATTTCTCCGTAAGAATGGCCTTTGTATAGTCGTCTTTCAACGGCAACGATTTTCCCACGGAATAGGATTTTCCCAGACTCGGGGCCGCCAACTTCGTCAACCATTTGTTCGGCTACAGTACTGAGAGTGTTATCAGCATCCGCGCGAGCGATGCATCGTCCGATACGCCAGGCGAGGGATAGAGTGTTGAGCACGCTGTAGTTTAACATTTTGTCGCCAGTGGTGGGACAAGCCGCCATACCTACACTGGAGCCCATTTCTATGCATGATGCACGCAGCGATCGATCAACAATCTCATCAGTAGCAGATTTTGTCATAATAATCGTATTCCCATCACCCGAAACAATAGAGCACGGCGCCAACTGTCCAGGCTGGTAGACACAGATGGTGGTTTGCCAATACGTTGGATAGGCACGACCTACACGGCAGGAAATTGGTTAATATGACTAGCTATCAGAAAGGAGATACCGGAAAACCTCCCCTCCAAGTGTGAAATACGTACCCATCCAATCAGCATCGACAACAGGGCGGTCATTGTTTTTTGATGAGCCAAGAGCAAGTGGCTGAAGGCCGTTGCTGCCACCGATTTCCACTCCCATTATGGCGTCAAAGGAGTCATGGTGAAGATACTCCATGAGATCACGGACAGCCTGTTCTGTCTCGTTGTTTGCGAGCCGTTCTACAGCCACTGCTGGAGAGCCCATACGACCACCCCCTTTTTATTGCTGTTAGCATGAAAACTAACTTGGGATAATGAAGAGCAAGTAACTATAACTGGAGTTTGAATCGGCTTACAATATAATACAGCATCTTTCTTCACGGAATACGGATCTATGATGCGGATTATGTGTCCTTGCCGAAGCTGATCGCGGATTCGGATATATTCACTAAATGGCGAGCCACCACCAGCGCATCCCAGAACATAGCACCCATCAGCAAGCCAGACGAGGTCTGTTTCAGACACAATCCATTCCTGGATTCCGGTGTCAGGGTTTTTCACAACCTTCGGCCGGTAGGTAGCGACGTCAATTTTATCAGTGCGAAGCCCATTAGTTTGGATATCTTGTTTCGGAGCCTCGTTATAAATTTCATCATCGCCCTCTTCATCATCCTCACCTGCTTGCATGCCATTTACCGTGGGGACTCCTCCAGGGGATAGTTCACCCACAGCTCTCACAATCACGCGCACTTGGTTTGCCACATACTGCAGAGGAATCGCGTCTACTTCTGCTAGAAACACTGTTTCCCGAATTGCGCCGGAAGCTACCGCTTTCTCTATGGCAGTGGCTTTGGCTTCTTCAATTACTTGTGAGACCGCCTTTTCAGCGGTACTTTGAATTGAGTCGACCGTGCCTCCAACCTTTGACATCGCAGCACCAACAGCGTTTGCAACGGAGTGGAACGGAGGGAAAATCACCTTCGACACGCCCTCTAATTCGGTTGAGGCTAATATTGAGCCACCTCCAACTAGTAAAACCGGTAATGGAGCAGGCGAGGTTTTCATCTGATCAATCACACCTTCCAATAGGGATTTTATCTTCGCTTGTGCGGCAGATACCCGGCCTTTGTCCAGGTCTTTCACCAACTCTGGGTTTCCGATTTCTGCTCCAGCGGCTACTGCTATATCTGTTGCAGTGAGGGTATCTCCTCCAAACACAGTGCCCTTGGTGCTGAGGTAATGGCCAACTGAGTCTGGGCCGATGGTGGTTTTAGCACCCTCACCACGAACAATAGAGCCGCCTCCAAGTCCAATGGACTCGACGTGCGGCATGCTGAAATTGATTTTCACTCCCGCTACTTCGACGTAGGCAGAAGCCTGACGTGGAAACCCAGATGGGAGTAAAACTCCAATGTCTGAGCTTGTACCTCCAATATCAACCACAATAGTCGCAGTACGCTCGCTTTCAGCTTTGTCGGACCCATGAAGTCCTAGGTACGCAGCTCCTCGCATGGAGTTTGTTGGTCCAGAGGAAAATGTGCGAATGGGGAGCCTTGCGGCAGAGGGAGCATCAATCAAAGTTCCATCATTCTGAGTTAAGTATAGATCACAGCTCAACTTCAAGCGTTTCATTGCTGATTTAAAGCCTCGGATGGTGCGTCGTGCGAATTTGAGGATAGAAGCATTCAAAATAGAAGCATTCTCGCGTTCCAGAAATCCAATTTGGGATACCTCTGAGGAGCAGACGATATCCACGTCAGGCAGCTCCCGTCGAACGATCTTTCGAACTTCATCTTCTTGATGGAAATGATTGTCGATTGGTGAGAAAACGCCCGATATTACCACTGCATCTAGCCCTTTCTCTCTGACTGTTTCACATTCTTTCACCACTTGGGCTTCATTGATAGCTGCTTCTGGCGATCCGTCGATACTAAGGCCACCATCAACATACGCATAATGTCCATTCATAATCGACGTTAGTGCCGGCGGAAAATCAGAGAACGGAGGGACCTCTCTCGTGAAGCTCTTGGAAAGACGAAGGATGGCCACTTTCGATAGGCGCCGAGCATCATGTTCTACTATGGCGTTGATAAAATGTGTAGTCCCGATAATTAGGCACGCAATCTGATCCCTGGGAACTTTTGACTGCTCGAGAACACTGAGGACGGCAGTTTCAATTCCATCAGTAACATTTGGACTTGTAGTTGGAGTTTTATGCAGAGCAATCACCCCGCGGTTTAGCTCGTTTGTAGCTCGAACATCCAGTATAACGGAGTCGGTGTTGGTACCGCCAACATCAACGCCGATTCGATAAGGGGATGCTAATGTCATTGTCGTGATTCCAAGGTTATGTATTATCCATAAACCGATCGCTGGAAAAAAAAGGAGACGAGGTCGAATGAAGCGATGTGGGACCTTCTAAACGTAGAAGCCACCCGTAACTAGCCTCCGGTAGTTGCTAGAAGCTATATACCTCATGCAGCACCCGTCGCCTTTTTGCTGTGACAAACGGCATCAATCGCCAATCACAGCTCCAGTTACCCCATACATTGTGGGTGAATCAATCTCGATCAAACGGGGCTCCCGAGCCGCCGAATGCGCAATATTGTTCTCAACATCCGCTACCCAAGCGAGTGACTGCCTGAGTCTAGAGACTAGTTTAGTCAATATGCCTGGACGATGATGTACTACATGGACAGGGTGGCCATGGAGTCAATTCATGCATCGAAGTTCGGACTCGCAGGTCGCTGATAGGCGGTTTTCTCGATGGGCTTGCACCAAACTCAGCCATCAACGGAATAAGCTTCATTTCCACCAACGACTGTAGAACTTGGCCGATTGTGATGCTTCCAAATCCCAGGCAACTCAGCTCAAAGTCCGACCATCAAGCTCAACGTCTTCATACAATATCCCCTGGAACCCAAGCAACGAATTGCCGGGGGAGGGTGGGCTCTCGGGCGGGAGAGGGACGAGAATTTGGCCGATACGTCCACGTCGGCCAATATTATGCAATGTTCCCAATTCTACGTTTCCAAGAGAAGTCCCCGAGGCACCAAAGGATCAATTTGAGCTGCAATGATACACTGTAGGGGTAGAGAGGTACACCCTGCAATATTCGGATGGCCACGGGCTCGCTCACTCTACTCAAGGGCAAAGCAACCACAGGAAACGAAAAGCGGAAAAATAGAGTATCCTGTTGATAATCCTCCAAAAAAAGGTATAACGTAACTATAACAAATATCCTCCAAAAACCATTATTACTCAGACATACACACGGTCGTAAGTGGCTCTATATAACTTCATTTCCAGGCACCCTGGCTCAAGGAGAGTAATCCTTGGATACAGTCCAAGTCCTCCACCTGGTTCGAACCGGAACCCGAGGCGGACGGTTTCCCTTTATTCTCATCATTCCTGTGTCTGCCTTGGCCTTTTCGGGGAGTCGTGGGACCTCGTCCGATAATTCGGTTTCCTTCGCGTCGAGCATCCCCAGATGTTTGAAGGACACGGTGTTGAGGCTGAGTGGTAGGCTGTGGTCGGCGTCGGCGGGTACCTGTCGTCTGTGTACCCGGGAGCCAATTTTCCTTATCAGAGTCACCATTGTGGACGTCCGTCTTGGATTTTGATCTATGACCTCCGTTCCCCTGAGAGCTACTCGGCTTCATTACATTAGTAGTTGTATCGGATGAATCAGTCTCCAATCGTCCAAAAGAGGAAACGGCGCGTGATAGCTTTTTCCGCTTTTGAGGTGGCGGGCCATTAGGTAGCAGTGTGTTCGGGAGGTTGGCGCACGGTGACAAGATGCGCGCGTTCGCGTCCAACGACTTCTTGCTGGAGGACTTCGCGCTTCCGGTTCGGTCAGGTGTAGGCCCGGTGCTAATATGGGGTGACGATAGAGCGCTACGCGCGTCTGTGTCACAGTATAATTCCCATCTACGCGAATCTCGCGACCGACCGAATATATTAGTAGCATCTGGTGACTTAGAACCAGGCGTACCAAGAGAGACAGCGCTGCTTGTGCGTCGAAGGCTCCTAAGTCGTGACTGAAGAGAAATGGTGGTTGATGTACGGTTTCGTGGAGGAGAGGGAGACGGTTCTCCTGCTGTTCGGACGACTGCTTCACCATCTGCAGAAAACGCAATCCTCAGGGAATCACGAACTTTAGGGGGAGACGGAGTTCTCTCATCTTCCCCCCGAACAATCGCTTCGCCATCGAAAGAAAAGGAAATCCGGAGAGATGGAGAGTGCGCAGATTCAAATGCCTTTCTCCCATGCTCAGTTCCACTTATTCCAAGCCCGCTCACGCCGGAATCTGCACGCTTTCTCTTGCCGGAGGAAAGCTGACCGCGTACCCTTGGTTCGCTGACAGGAGAGCAAAAGCTACACTTGTCTGTTTGTGATTTGGTAGAAGAAGTAGAAGTTTGTGAGCTCCCAATCTGGGAAGAGATGACTGTGTGGTCGCACCGGCTGCTAGGAAGGGCTTGGGAAGGTGCGCCCAGAGAGTTATCGTAGGGATCATGAGGGGAACCGCTGGAACTCGAATATTCATTTTGCGTGTTCGAGGGACTGGTATCAACAGTTTGCTGTGAACTTTCATGTTCTCGCGTATTTGGGGAGAGCTCATTAGGATGTATCGGTTTAGATTTCCGCCTGTCGTTCTGCCTTCGATTCTGGAACCATATCTGTGGTACGTAAAGAGTACCGTTAGCATCTTTTAAGACCGAATGAAGTCGATATCCGGGACCCTACCTGAACTTCTTTATCTCCCAACGAGACTCTACTAACGATGCTGGCTCTGGTGGCCTTATCAGGCTTCGGATTCAGTTGGTATTCTGCCTCAAGGATGGCGTGGTCCTCGGGACTGTATATATACGATTAGTCCTGCAATACCCACGGTTAGGCCGTTACTAGATCTAGAACACGTACCTTGTCCGTCGACGGCGCTGACGGATGTATACTTTGCTGTCGACCTTGGGTGGAAGATCCTGCGTTAATGTCTTGTTGGAATGGATAAGAAAAGAGTAACTGCTGCCAGCATCCGCCTCCGTCGCGCTGGTCGAAGCGGGTATATCGCCTTCATTGGCCGTCTGACGCGAGTCACTCATGGCGTCGAATATATAGATAAACCGAGTACTCCGTACACGAAGGATGTCAATGTCGAGAAGGACGAGAGAGTGAGTGCTGGAGACGGAGCGAGGGAGAGGTGTTGTCGAAGGCGAGAGGCCACTAGTAATAGACGTGGTTCTCCCTTGCTTTTCTCGTGTCGCGCGATATACACGCGGAAAACACCAGACGGGACAAGCCTTGAACGAGATCTTAGTGTTGGCGCCGATAAGCCTTTCCGCTAGGATAATCCGTCTTCTGTGTCCGCTTATCGCCAGCTAAAGGCAACTGGGCATGGCTGGCTCTTGGCCTGTCTCGAATGGCGCGTTCTCTCTCCAACTTCTAACCGCCCCCAGGGTCCAGGGCTGCCGACAGGCTGCGGACGCAACCACGAACCTCACACAGCCCAGTGTATATCTCCAGTTTAGACCGTGTTCTATGCTGATGTCTTTGTCTGAGGTTTTTGGACGTGATGTTGGCGGCTTGTCGCCTCGTCTTTTGTCTAGACGCGCTAGACGCGCCTGATAAGCGACCATCAACAAACGCGGTCATGTGATGATAAGAAATGACACGTGACTTACAAGAAGGTTGCCGTACCTAATTACTCAGCAATTTCCTAACTCGGAAAAGCGTGGTGGCGCATAGGTTTCATGACTTTGACTTCACAACAGACAACAGTTTGCTGAGCTTCATGTTTACGTGAAGCGCCGGACTCTCCGCTGTCATGCTTTAACGAGTTCACATATATATTCCTACCGCCTGTGGGTTACAGCCCCCGCATGATAGCGCATGCACCTCAGAACTTGTAACAGGGGTGGCTGTGTCAATACACCCATTGCAAGTCCTACTCAAATTTTGATGTCAAAGATGAGAAGAATATTTTATCTTCAGCCGCAAGGGCTACAGAGGCAAAGCCTACGGGTTGCGCAGGCGGACGTCACTCCTCACCATAATGACTGATGTATACATATGGCCATGTATACAGAGCTATATATGGAATATGGTGGCTCGGTGATCTAGAGGGTTCTCCTTGAATTACCTCTATATCATCTATCACTCTGTTCAGTTATCAGCTATCCAAAATTTCTTTTTGAGTTCCAATTTCTGGCACCTTGAAAGACCAGAGCCTACACCCACGAAGCACATCACCAACACCAGGTAGTGCTGAATTCACGGTCAAGAACAACATTTCCGCCATAGGGGTTGGGTTTTCGAAGCTTGCTGTTGCAATTTGAATCTGTTCCCCATGATTAAAATAGCTATAGCAGGGAGTGGTGGCTTTGCCCAGTATATCGCCCATTTCTTAACTACTCAGACTTCACATCCCTTTATCATCCTATCGAGGAATGTGCGTACAACGAATATATTCATCTATCTATCTTACCTTTCCAGTCTATGTGCTAACACGATCAATAGCCTAATCAAGCTCTCGCTGCGAAAGGATGGCAGGTTGTCAGGGTTAACTATGATCAACCCGCTCAACTCCGCTATGCCCTTGCAGGGGTCGATACTGTGATATCAACCATACCAGGCACTGCAGAATTAAACCTCATTGATGCTGCCGCCCAGTCCCACGTCCGTCGATTCGTACCGTCTGAATTCGAAGGGCCACCAGGCCAGGCACTAGCATCCGAGCTACTTGACCGGGGCAACTCGAGCAGTCTTGCCCGCCTCTGCCACTACCATGGCCATGGTATCATGGATTACACTGTCTTTGTCTGCGGTATTTTCTATGAAAGGTTTTCCCCTGGTGGTATGGCTGCGTTTCAGATCGGGCGTGGAACTCACATTGATAATGAAGGCAGCTACCTCCTAAACATCCGTGCCAAAACAGCTCACGTTTTATACCCTACTGAAAACTCGGCCCGGTCTGCTTCCATATGCATGACATCTGCACAGGATGCAGCACGCTTCATCGTTGCAGCTTTAGCCCTGGACAGATGGCCAACGGAGTTTAGAATGTGCGGAGACCGTACACGGTTAACTGATCTTGTAAGAGTGGCCGAAAGTACATTTGGTAACCCTCCCTAAGCCCATATCTACGCTAATTGAACCGATGGGAGAGAGCTAATATAATTTAGGCGAACAATTTACCATATTAATCGACACCACTCGCTCGCTCCAAGATTCTATTGCGAGTGCCGGATCCAGGAGTAAGGTTTGGCAACTCCATCATCTCCTAGCCACAGCATCCGGTTCCTACGATTATGACGACTATAACATACATGCTTTAATTCCCGTTCAAGCCCAGTCGTTTAGTAGCTGGATCCGCGACGTTTGGCTGAGTTCTGGCCATTAGTTATGTCCTATCCCCTTTTAGGCGGCGAGTTGTGCAGGCTGGGTCAATACGGAATATATTTTTCGGCGCTGTTATTTTGGGATACTCGATAGATTTGCTAGATACCATAGACAAATTGTTATATTATTAGATATTTTCCCGGAATAAAACCTTTACCATCTTATTCCATTAACAACTTTATCCCGTCTACTGAGTCTTTATCAAATTGCTGCGAGACCTTTAGTTCCGGTGCCTTGACTGATGCAACATGAGGTAGATCCTTTAAAATAAGTATATCAGTTTAATAGCTGGCTTTTCAAAGAATATATTTCTGCTCTTATTCACTTACCACATATGTTTGTGCGCGAACTGCCACCCCGGATCTAATCAAGCCTTGAAGATAACATGCCCCATCATCGCGCAGTATATCTACTCCGCATAGCTGTATAAATGTAGGAGGTAGGCCAGCAAGTTTTCCCCATAGCGGATAAGCAAGGGGGTTACGCTTTTCAGAGTCCGGAACCGTATAATAATCTTCGTGATATCAGATAATTAATCATGCATATTGTGTTCTCGTGTTTGCGTATTAAACTTACCGTGGGTCGCTTTCATCCCTTCCCGTGTTAGCCCGGCAGCCTCAAATTCCTGTGCCCACGATTCATGCATATCTCGATATATTGGCGGGATAAACTCCTTATCGGGCCCATAAACAGTTACCGGGGAGCGAAGACAGGTTCCTTTAAGTCGCCATTTTCTAACCAAGGGGCAATTACTCTGGTAGTCGCGGGCTAGCTGAGATATAACAGCAGCCAATTGGCCTCCTGCAGAAGTTCCTGCCACGATGATATCCACAGATGACGCCCCGTCATAGCGAGGGACGAAAGTTTTGAGATTCTCGGCGACATAGAGAAAACCGTCCCAGACATCATTAACGGGGAATGGGAATGGGTTTTCTGGGGCTAGCCGGTACCCGATGCTAAACACAATTGTTTTAGCATCGATAGACACCCTCCTGCAGAATACTAGATGGTAATCCTTAGTCTTGGACGCATATCCTAAAAAATATGTACCCTAGAATAAGGGCTAAACAATATCTTACAATCTTCCGTGTCCAAGTCCCAGCTGGTGAGGCCTCCTCCGTGATAGAATATGACAATCGCCTTTGGTGCCAAAACACCCGAATCGTAGATCCTGATTGGAAAATCGACCGAATCTCTAGCTGTTATGGAAGAATTTGTGATGGTAATACCCTGCGCAAATCTAGGCTCAATCTCGGCCAGGTAATTGGCATTATTCTGGCGGATATAGTTCGCGAAATTGTTTCTTTTCTCTTGTAGATTAGTGATAGGAGCGGCTGGTGGCAGGGACGCTTCAAAAGCAAGCCATTCTTCATGTAGCTGTGCCATCTTAAACTTGCTTCTTCCTCTCACTCCTTTTGCCGTGGTATTAGGCTCGTCAACATGGCGATATTTATATTGTCCGAGAGTCAGTCCGAGATACGATTCATATCCCTGCTTCTAGGCAGCAGCATAAACGGATTGCAGCAACCAGGACGCCCTATGGATATGCCCTGCTCTCATCAATAAATGCACTTGTCCACGTCTATCTTCGGGCCAGAGGATCATCATTCTGCGTCACTTGAAGATGCGTGTAGAGAAATGTCCATAAAAAGAGAGATAGTCAAACCTGAACTGTTGAGTTTCCCCATGTTGGCCACAGGTTTCGTTCCTAGAAAATCTCAACAAGCACTATCTTGTCAAAGTTCGTACTTACAGTACCGAACCTACACTCCTTTGAGGGTATACGTAGAGCAACATGTTGATGCCTCTAATATGAAGATCTAACGAATAAATATCGCAAAAGTGATGCGTATCTTTTCCTCAGCCAGTCGTGGCGACCGACAAAAGCTTCATTTCTCCAGGTTGAACGTCAGCCACTCATCACTCACCTCAACGGCAAACATGAAACAATCCCTCCAGCTCTTCCCCGCATGGCCACCACCACGACGATTAACACGGGGCTCGAGGCGAACGAATAACATCACTCTGCCTCCTTTTATCACTTTCCACGAAGATACTCTCCGGGATGGTGCCCCCTTTGCCACGAGGAGGAGTGAAGGCGTGGCCAATTACACCTGGGCAACATGATACCCCTCGCCGGTAGAGGCTGCAAGGAATACGAGTGAACAGTGTGCAAGGCGAGCAGAGATTGGCTATTGAATCTTTATTCAGGGGCAGCCCGCTCGAGTCCTGGATATCTCCGACTAGAGGTGAAGACAAGCATTGCTGAAAGCTTAGCCCCTGGGGAAACGCCTCTTAGGCCTATGAGAAGTCCTAGATCAACAATCAGACCCAGGCAAAAGCCGACTTTCAGGGTGAATATGGAGTCACCAAGTATCTGAAACCTATCTTAGCGTGACAGCCTACTTGATGGATGATCACAGAGTTGCCGAGGGGGCTCCTTCACCAGGTGCCGGTCCTGTGGAATATATATCATGGGGATTTCTTCTGCTTCCAAAAGATATCTTCTCTAACTAACTACCAATAAGACTCTATGAACTCTTGACTTCATACAGCCGCATACATCCTGCAACCAAATAAAGACATATCGACTCCTCCATCATGCGTTTCCTATCTACCACCATACTACTCCTGGCAGTCTCATACGTCTCTGCGAACGAAGACCCCCAAGACGACTGCTACGAAGCCCCAGCCCCTAGCCCTCACTACGGACTTCCCCTTCCTCAACCAACTGGCAGTTCAAGCTCAGGAATTTCCAAAGATGCTATGATCAAAGCCTTAAAGAATATCGCTCCCGGATCAGCCGCGGAACCATGCGTCTCTGCGCCAAAGGCAGAAGGACAATGCCGAAGCGCCTCTCAGGCCGCAGAGCCACTCATCCACTCCTTTGAGAAGTACAAGATTACCTCTAAGCCTGAGATGGCTGCTATTATAAGCCTGATCGCCTTGGAGTCGGGCGAGTTCAAGTATCAGAAGAATGTTTTCCCCGGTAGACCTGGACAGGGCAGTACGTTTAACCTATCCCTTTCACATATCACTATATTCTAACGCTTAATCCAGCTCGGAACATGCAAATGCCCAACTTCAACGCTCTCTACGCCCAGTCTCTCTCAGGGCTAGCTGCAATGATCGGCCCGAAATTCACTAATGTCGACGCGGTTTTGGGGCTCCTATTGTCCAATGACGATTATGACTTTGGATCTGCGGCCTGGTTCCTAACGACCCAGTGTACCCCCGCTGTCAGGACAGCGCTACAGTCTGGCTCAGAGGATGGCTGGTCCAAGTATCTGACCGAGTGTATTGGGACAACTGTCACCGAGGAGCGAAAGGGATACTGGAAAAAGGCAATGGATAGCGTCAAGGATTTGTAGACTTGAAGTCACTTTCCTACCTGGATGGCATTAGTTGACCTAGATGCGAAATCCAATTTACGATTTATGATTCATGACCAAGTTTTTGTGGCCCATATTAGATTATGAATCCACAGATAAACCGGTTTATCAAAACGAATGGAGAAAGGAAGTGAAAATTAAATTTGATAGATCCCATTTCTTATTTGTCTCGGCTATGTAAACTCCATGTCATGCCTCCAGCAGACGCTTTTTATCACTGGGAATCAGGTAATGAACATGAGACAATGAGGAGGAAAAGAAGACATTAAACAAGCAGTAAGTAACAATATCGTAAGACACCCACAATAAACCGAACACGCATAACTCCGAAACTTCCCTCCATGCATAAATCATTCAGGAACGAAAAAGGAAAAAAAAAAGAACAACTGAACTAAAGGCTGAATAAAAAAGGCCTCCCTCAAGGAAGAACAAGAACGAGGAATAAAGGGGAAAACGGCAGATCGTAAGATTCTGTACAAGAATGAAATCAAACATGATGTCCAAAATTTGCTTGGAAAAGATGAACCTTCTTCGGCGGAATGGCGTTAAATGCCACAAAGAGCCTGGCTTTATTATGACGGAAGGAATCAAACACCCTTCGCTCTGGTAATGTTGCCGGCACTTCCAACCCTTCCACTTGTCTTGCGAACGCCACGAGGTTCAGCTCGAGCGTCTGCAGTTCTTCTTGGGTTGGACCGCTGCTTGCTTACACCTAGAACTCCGCTACCGCTTTTAGAGTTGACTGGCGTCTTGGGCTTGGGTGAGCCCGAGTCTCCAACCCAGTTCTCGACGTCTTCGTGGATATCAATCTCAGGAGTCATAGTCGCAGAATGGCTGATGGATCTCTGGGCATTGGACACTGGGGTACGTGGAGAAGTAACACGGTTGACCAGGGCCTGTATCTCCTCATCACTGTCGGCACGGTTGCTTGATTGACCCTTTGAAGCACCCCGTCTTGGAGAGCTAGCGACGCCTCCTAGACTTGCAGATGGCGTGCGGGCATATGGATGATGCCTTGAGTCCTTGCGGTGCGACTTCCTTGGCTGTCCTGGGGTTGGGGCTGGAAGGTTCTCATCTGCGTAACCGTTGCACGATTCGTTTGTGTCAATTTCACCAAGCGCGGCTCTCTTGGCCTGGTTTCCATGTGGAGGCGTCGCCGTTTGACTGCTGTTCAATCTCTGTTTTGTGGATGTACGTCCAGGAGTTGTTGGAGTAGGCAAGGAAAGCTTCTCCTTGAGCTGATCTTCAAACCACCATTCACGGAAACTGCCTTGGTTCAAATGGAGCCAATGCTGTTGTGGGCCGACAACCATGCCTGGGCGCATAAATCGCATGAACGCGATGATCTCGTTGGCGGTGAATCCGTGTCGATAGATGAGGTACGCTCCTATTAAACAGCCAGTTCGCCCCAGACCGGCCTTGCAGTGAATTGCAATCCCCTTCTCCTTGATTGTGATCATCTCGTGTGCCATCTTGATAAACCGTTTTACCAATGGGAGTGGCGGGCATGTTCCGTCTTCGAAGATCATGTCAATATGGTTTATTCCCAATGCGGTAAAGTACGATGGGCTATAGAGCTCGGAGTTCAATCGCACGACCAGGCCAACGTTTCTCGTTGAGAAATGCGTGAGGACATTCTTGAAGGGGAGTGGCAACTCGCTATCTTGGACCTGCTCGACGGTGAAAGGCAGGGCAGCGAATTCGGGGGTGTTCTGAGGAACAGGTGCGATTGGAGAATGCTGAGGCGACGCAAACGCAAGGAAGCTTGGTGTGACCCAGTTGAAATCGCCCATATCTACTCGTTCGTACTTTTCATATCTATGTGATGTTAACAGGGTGGTCTCTTGAGAGTGTCGACAAAGGGTAGCGGCTTACTCTTCCAGGCTGAAATCCTTCAGGCCACATAATCCTTCCTCCTTTGCTTTCCACACACCGTATACCACGTCCTGGATGGTGAGAACGAAGTCCGCCTGGCTGTAGCCTGCATCTCTGAATGGCATGTAGGGAGGGTCGGCCTGGGCAATCGGAGCCAAGGCAAGATGAGGAGGCCATGATTGAATCAAAACCATGTAGCAAGCTACGACACATGCAACATTCGCCCGGCTCCTCGGGTCTGGCTTAGTCCACAGAACGACTGGTCTGTCGGTGTTTTCGGGGTCACCCAGGATCTCATGGAAATGCACTGCAAACCGGTAGAGGTGACCGATGTGGAGCGGGCCAAAGTCTGCGTGGAAAGCGTTATACAGAAGGAGTCCATCTATATTGAAATATATTGGAGTCTTGGTCGCCTGATATTTCCTGGACGGGGTGTTTGCCCCGGCTCGCCTCTTGCTAGGCGATTTTGGTGGTGCAGCGAGAAACGGAAACGGAGTATTCTCGGTGGGAGGGCTATAGTACGAAGCCAGGTAAAGGCGATCTATAAAGAGTGAGCAAGGAGGGCTCTCTAGCAATCAGAGGAGGTAGGCGAATCTGCCAATGTACCTTGTATGTACTCGATCGGGGCGCCGAACATTCCCGTGGACGCAGACGCAGGCATCGTGAGAGGATCGATGTCTTTAATTGGGAACGATGGAAGCGAATGCGATGCGAGGAGCAGTGACAGCACCTGCTCTTACAGATGGCAATGGCAGCAAGGGTGTGCGCGAGATCGTATAACAGAGTGAGATGTCGCAAGATCAAAGCAGCATTATCGAGCGTGAGGAAGTATAGATGAAGAGTAAGGATGCTGAAAGAAGGATAAGGTGGATAGAGAGTGTGTGAGTGAGTGAGGATGGCCTGGGAGAAGGATATGGAGAGATAATAAATCTGCGACGGGGCAAGGTTGTTGTTATGTTTATTATGATGTTATTATGATGTTGTTGGTGTTGTTGATGTTGTTTTGGGCCCAGGAACCAAAAACAGAAGAGACTTGGACGCTTGGACCACCGCTGCTTGTTATGTTGTCACGTGTCCTAATCGGGTTAGCGTCACGTGGTTGGCCCGGCAACCACGTGAGAATGGATAACGTGATTGGCCAGGGACTTCATGGTGGGGCTCTTTTGCCTGTTTAGGCCTAGTGCAAGGGCGGGCGCTAGGAACGTCGAGACCAAAACAAACAGACGGAAGACCAGGGCAACCTCCACGCTCCATGGCGACGGACACAGCATCGAGACGAGACACAGGCGAGACGAGACACAGGCGAGACGAGACACAGGCGAGACGAGACACAGGGCGACAATACAGCGTGGCCACGACGCTGTGTCCGGCCGGGAGATCCCCTGTGCCACTGCATAATGTGCCTCTGATGTGCCTCGGTAGCGAGATCATCGTGTCTACCTGGATCATACGGAGACGGCAACATACTCCAACGGCTTTACCCCAGAGCTCTACGGAGTACTCCAGGATATTTATCCGACCAGACAGCCGCATGGATGCAGGGCTCGCGGCTGAAGGAATAGTTGGCACGCAGCTGAATACGGAGTACCTGGTGTAGTGCCTAGTGTAATGTTCCTCGCTGCTCCACAAGTCAAGTCTAATTTTGTGGCCATCATACTGCGAGCTGTTGTAACAACCCTACGACTACTAACAACACCGAGATATTCTCATTCCTCAGCAGTTAACGTGAATGTGTCGTCTCTTCAGGGTATCATATCATACTGTGACATAACTATCATCCAGTGAAGATACCGAGGCAGCCCCGCCATCAGATCACTCAAGCCACTTCAACACGCACTCTATTGACGACACCACCACGTACGTCGACCAACCCATATAGCCATGGCACAATCCTTGCAAGCCGTCGATTCGGCTTTTCCTTACTCTCTGTACGTTACGCGCGGTCTTCTAACCAGCTCGCCACCAGCATTCCACGCATCTCTCACCCCGCACACTGGTACAAGACACAGCACTAACACCCACGATATCTACTTAGAATAATCTCCGTACCGCTCCCCTCACATCGTCTGGCTTCCTCTGCTCTTCGCGCACTACAGGTAGACCTCGAGCTATCTCCGCTGGTCAAGCGCACATTTCGTCTCGCAAGCCCACATTCGTCCAGCATCCCTACGTCGCAAACAGAAATACAAGCAAATCCAACAGCGGAGGGGGATAAAGCAGGACAGACTACAACAGACACTGCTAGTGAAGGCAGCGAGCAATGTCTGACCGTTCTGGAGACCGAGTATAGAGCAACTACCAACAGGATGCTACGGGTAGCAGTCAATGCGTTTATGGACTCGCTAAGCGTGGTTGTCCGGGTCATGGAAGAGTTGGATGTCGATGTCTTAGATGCTGAGCTCGGGAGGTCATCGTAATGTCTACTCTTGCTATAATAAAAGGAAGCGCTGGCTATCGCTTCTTCTGGGTGTCCATCAAATGTATGACCATCACTGTATTAGCTACATGTTAATGCCGATATTACCCCAAATATACCAGTAATCAAATCAACTCAAGCAGAGAAACACATCTACACAGCGATCTAAGCACTTGACTAGTCATCACCGTCTATAGCCTCTGCCTTCCACCATTCTCCTCCACGACTCCCAAGCATGGAATACCCAATACGGACCGGAACATGGTGAAATATTCTTCCGTCTATTCCGGAGAAACATTATTCATTCCGAAGGTCCAACCAATGAGAGTGGCCCACTGAAACCTCGCTTAGTGGGCGCCCCACCCGCAGCAGGTATAAATGTCTCCTGCCCCCCGACTTCTTTTGACTCTTTTTTCTTTTCTTCTCCAGCTCTCTTTGCCATTATGGCTTAGATCAAGTGTAGTATCTGTTCTTTTCAGTTTAATCTCTGAAAGTATTCTAAGGAATACAACAAAGATTATTCTTATTTTTGTACCTTGCGATAAGACCTCTGTGCTTGCGCATGTCTCTTCGCACTGTGTCATCGGTCTTACACTACCACTGATCGACGCGAACAACCCTTTTTTCATTGATATCTTCGGCTTGCTGAAGTGTTGAAGAAGAGAGTACGTTCAGAGTTGAGCATGGATATTCAATATGTCGTTGGAGGATATGTGTTGTTCTATCAGGATGATGGAGGCATGTATTGCACCTGTATGGGAGGCTTGTGACGATATGGCGGCAGTCTAGCAACGGAGTAGATAATACGGTAGCCAAATGTAACTAGCACACTCCATTACTGCTTAACTAGCATCCTGGGATAAAATAAACCCTGGTCCGCTGCGTTGAGCCTGGCTCTACAACACCATCGGTGATTCATATATCACGGCAGCCTTGAAAAGGTGTATTTAACAAACACTGGCATGGTCGTTTAACATACTGCCTGGAGTATAAGTTTTAAACTGTTTATGTAGCGTTGTCGGGTCGTCTTGTAAACAAAGATCTCGCATATTTAAAGCCTATGTCGCAAAAGTAAAAGTCCATCCAGCGTACATACATTCTATCGACGCACCCTTTGCACCTGTTATTCTCACCTCCAGACAACCGACTCAAGATGATTGACACGTCGATATTTGAAGACTTACAGTTGAAAATTGACGAAGAGTCAAAGATCCGTGATGTATGCTCCCACCAAGCCTCACTGCGTACCTAAATAACTAACACAAGGTTGTCCAGGAAATTCAAGAAATAGTCCAGGAACTCTCCAAACGAGGTATCTTGCTGATGAAAATCCTCTTGTCTACACGGCATTCCCCTCTGGGAAACTAATCCATATCGTTTACTCAGGCAGAACCGTCCAGGCACTTCTGTCGCGAGCTCACTCTACGCCCCCAGCCCAAGGTATGTGAAATAGGCTGTTATACCTAGATTTCTACGCGTATTGACCCAATACTGTAGTAACCCCAATCCTCGACGATGCGACCAGAGAGATCTCAGCGCAGCGGGACGGTATCGTCAAACTGGTGACAGTTGCTTCTAAACATCCATTCTACAAGTATAACTATCTCTGGACCAGAGAGTTGCAGAACTTGGTATTCTTCCATATCCTATCTACATGGCGTCAACAACCGCTGACTTACGGTTACAGGTATTCTCAATCGAGTTCTGCAGCTGGCTGGGCGGCATGAAGGAGGCTGTTGGTGAAAAGTCAAGCTTCATGACTATTGAGGATGTCGGGAAATTTCTTGGAGGTTTGCAACTCACTTTTTGTCCCAACTTGTATGAATTATGAATGGTAAGGGATCTAACGGCACTTGAAATACAGTTCCCGTCAATCTAAAGGACCAGGACGCTTTTCATCTTACCATTGAAGAGTATCTACAGGCTCTCATCTCGCTTGTTGAGGAGCTGGTGAGCCTGCCACACTACTGCCCCGTCTTCCCGCTGCTCCTGTTAAGTATAACTGACTTCAATCTAGTCCCGACTCGCTGTCAACTCGGTTACCCTTGGCGACTACACGAGACCTTTACAAATTCACGCCTTTATCTCTGATCTTCACGCGGGGTTCCAGCTACTCAATCTCAAGAACGACTCGTTGAGGAAACGCAGTGATGGAATCAAGTATAACGTGAGTAACTTTTTCTAGCCTCGTCGATGGATCCCTAGTACTATCAAATGCTAATAGGTCTATAAATGTAGGTCAAAAAGGTCGAGGACGTGGTGTATGACCTGTCACTCCGAAACCTGATTCCTAGAAAGGGAGCTGGTGATGCATAGATCGAGTTTAGGCGGCAACATCCGGCATTAAATGGGATGTTATGTTCTTATCTCCTAGGCATACGGCCAGGACCATAATAAATGTTCTCCAGACTACCTGGTACATACAAATGGTCATCATCTTGTTCGTTTGTTCATCTTGTTATCTTGCGCGAAGCTTTTATATCATCACGTGTATCATCCATGCCCTAACCCTAAATCCCACCACGCCAAGAGTTCTCAGCGCAACTTCCAACTCGTTAATAATCGAAGCTCCAACGAAAAATTATCTAAAACCACGTCCACCAACTCGACAAAGCAACTCCGCAGGATATTCACCTCTTTGCGGCCTATATCACCCATATAACCCCTCCGTCGTCACAATGGCTTCCGCTTCTGTACGTTCACCTATCGAGAATCGCTTTGCTGTTCCCCCTTGAAATCAATCTCGACATTCTTCTCTTCCCCTCCAAGGGAAAGGGGAATAAGAGACCTTCAAGGAAGCGACAATATATCACAATGGGAGCAGTAGGCTAACTCATTCTTACCCGCCTTGGGTGGTTCAAATACAAATAACAGGCCCGTTCTGCTAAAGGCAAGCAGCAAAAGGTGTCCAAGAAGGTATGTTTGCGCTTTTCCTATAATCCCATTGCGCCATGCAATAGAAGTTCGTACTCTAACACGGATCGATATAGTACATCATCAACGCTTCTCAACCCGCCAACGACAAGATCTTCGATGTCTCCGCTTTCGAGAAGTTCTTGCACGACAAGATCAAGGTTGAGGGCCGTGTAGGCAACCTTGGCGAAGCTGTCCAGATCTCCCAGGTCGGTGATGGCAAGATTGAGGTTATCACTCACATTCCTTTCTCCGGCCGATACCTCAAGTACTTGTATGTTACCACAGATTAATCCTATCCCAACAATAATGCTAGCTGTATACTTACCACTATCTCAATTCAGGACGAAGAAGTTCCTCAAGAAGCAACAGCTCCGTGACTGGCTCCGTGTTGTCTCCGCCTCCAAGGGTGTCTACGAGCTCCGATTCTACAACATCGTCCAGGACGAGGCCGAGGAGGATGACGAGTAAACAGGACGACCACATAACTGAATTTTTTCTATTAAAAGTTAAGGCTATGTACGTTCTGTAGGTGACAGGGTCATCTGAGTTCTGATGAAGGATTTGCAGAGGGGTGAATAGATTTTACACATGGATGGTCGGGGATATTTGACCCAGTTCAACTCTATGATATCTGGTAGCATGTTTGTGAGCATTATGATTGATGACGAAGCTTGCATGTTACGCTCATCCCTTCTATTTCCAGTCCAATCGACTCGTTGGCCTTACCGCTCTTCCTCTCTAGAAACTCTTATCGTAACTCGTAATGAACAGTAAGCAAGCCCTCGTAAGGAAAAATTCAACTACTCGTAGGGCGCATCTATATAAAATAACAAGGGGGTATCTTGTGCTTGCTGAGTGGGCATGATAAGTGGACAACTAAATAGGACAATAATGCATCACTCGTTGTCATCGTTGGCCTTCCTCTTAACACCAACGGCAGCCTCAAGAACTCGGGATTCTTTATCAGCCTTCTCGGCTTTGGTGGGATCAATCAACTTTCCATCGTGGAGCTCCCAGCCAGACCGTTTCAAAGTTTTCCATTTCTCGCCTACCTTGAACCTCACTAGGTCTCCGGTAGCCTTTGCATCTTCTATAGAGTCGTGACCCTCAGTGCCCCCTCCGGCTTGGATATCTCGACCAAGATACCTCTTTGTGAGAGCCCGAAGGCCGTTCCGCATCGGAAGGCCCGCTGGATGGGGGTATAATAACACAGTATCAACAATGGTAGGGTGAATTATACGGCAGACGTTCAGATCATTCTCTAAAGCATGACCAAGGAGAGACGTCTCTGGTTGTAGGTGTTGGAAGAGTAATGCTCTTGCTGCGGCGGGTGATTCAACCATTTGTAGCTTGTTGCCACAATCAGCCTGATCATATGTAGAAGTAGACATATGACTACCTTTGTAGGGAGTAGCATTTGCAAATTGTTCTGGCTGAACTCCAGAGTACCGAGTGTTGAGATCCAAAATTTCCCCAATTGGTCTAACTAAAACGTCAATGAGTAGCTTCCCTTCTGGCCAGCTTACAGCTGTCAAACGGATCATTTCCAGTCCTAGCGTGGTGTATCCCATCTCGCAATCGAAACAAACTGGTGGCAGTGCCTGCTTTGCCGTTTGCCGTGGTGTTTTCTCAAACTGCATTGTGGCGGCTAGCCGCTTCATATCAGTCACCTTAAAAACATGAGAGTCTACCCTGGTGCATCCTGGAGACGTTCCCACGGTTTCTTTACAACAAGGGTAGTAAAACTCCTTTTGTCCCACAATATGATCTGTTTTATTCTTGGGTGGCCGAATTGGCCTGGCGTAATGATAAACGCATGGACCCGAAGACGTTAGGGCACCATCTGCTCGCCTACCTGGGAAGACTTGGAACCTCCCGTTGCATCGATCACACTTCTCCCATCCCTGGGAGGCTTCAATGCCACGTTTTGCGGAAGCAATGTCTTCCTCCGATGGGGGAGAGGTGACGTACTCAAGTCTCTTCAAATCATCTGAAGAAGCATATAGAGTCGAGAGGACTGCCCTTTCTTCTTCAACGCTCAATCCCGTTAGTACAGGTTTCGGTGGTATGTTTGGGCCTTTTATCTCCGCCGGTAAACTATCAGGTCGAATGAAGGCCAAAACAAGTTCCTGCCACTCCTGCGGCTTCATCTTGGTTAATTTCACTATACGTAGTTTGATGACGTTTGAATAAACAGCAGGAGACTCCTTCGCAATTTTTTCTTCTTCGTCCAAAGCCATTGATACCAGCTCATCGGCGGATAAGGTCAAGCACTTCTTCGATTGGTCGTTAGATTTCTTAAGCTCTTCATTGAGACGCACCATTGCACCATGCAGTTTTATAAGGATAGACATGCGAATGGCGTGTGATGCTGGGGGTTTAGACAAGTGTCTCGGATTGAGTGTTTCTTTCTTTATATGTCTTGTTGGTAACGAACTGGCGTCTTGAGAGATGTTCAGTTTAGGGCTGTTGTCCCGATTCTTCTTTAACCCCTCTGCCGCATTTGAACGTTCTGTAGCTCGAGCCACTGGGGGTGGAGAGACACGTTTCTTCAAAGAGCTAAGATTATGAACATCGTTTCGAAGACGTTGTGTGGCTGTGGAACCACGTTGGGCAGCAGCCGTGTCCCCTTCATGAGGAGAATGGCTCACCACCTTGGAACCACTCTTCCCATCATCAGATAGCCGTCGCCTTTTCCGATGCGGTTCATCTGCTGCCAACCCCGAAGTTATTTCAAGGTGGGAACTTGTTGCCTTGTTGGAGTCAGCGACGGGTGTAACAGCGGCTATAGAATTGACTTCTTTGTGCGCAAAGATGCAATTTATTATGTTGCAACGGCCGTTCTGGGGGCAAGGCACTGCGCTAAATAGCCCCAGTGAGCCGAACATTGTTTTCCGCCTTCACCTCACAAACAAGGGTACAGGATTCCAGCTTTAGACTCAGGTTCCATTAAATTATATCCTTGACGCATACGGGTATCGAGTATCGAGGGCTGCGAAAGGAATCGTAATGTCAACTTCGAGAGCGATAAAATTCGGGCCGGGAGTGACGGCGATCAGTCTACTAAACGGCTTTGCATAGTAAAGTAATGAAGAGAGCATCAATCTTTAGCTCATGCCTCATATGCTTAGAACGGTAGGGGTCTAGTTTAGTTTATGTGGCAGGTAGGCAAGGTCGTATGAGGTTCCTTTTAGGGCAAGGCTGATAGTTGTTGAGTGAGTTTCTTCGGTAACTATTTAAGTCAACGGAGCAAATGAGCGTTTGAACACGGTGGTCAGTGGTTAAAAGGGATAATTAACTGATTGATAGAGCTGTGTTGACGGACGGAGCTCTATCTGAGAACGTTCGCTCGTTTCTCTCAGAAGGTCGACGGTGGATGCAAACAGTGCAAACGGCTCATCCGTTAATTCCTCCGTTATCTCCGGCAGGCACCAGCAAAGTGACGTCCAAAGGAGGAATACAAAATATGGATGGCAACCCGCCGAGTTGTTCGTTCTTGTATACCCCGGCGAATTACTAACTATGGAGGAAAGCAATCTGCTGCCTAAACAGGCGAAGGCAGAGCACCTTTGCGTGCTGATTCACGGGTGAGTTGATGTGACAAGAGAAGAGAAGTACAAGAACTAACGTCGTTATCAGACTCTGGGGCAACCCGACACATCTTGATTATATAGTTTCCTCCCTAAGAGAGAAGTATGAGGAATCGTCACTACAGATCCTGTGCCCGAAAAGCAATGCAGGAACCCTCACCTACGATGGCATTGAGCTTGGCGGAGAGCGAGTAGCGCATGAGGTCGAGGAGGCGATAAGGAGCTCTGCGGAGCAAGGATGCAAGATTCGCAAGCTGAGCGTTGTAGGGTACTCACTGGGCGGGCTAATCGCTCGATATGCCATCGGTCTACTCTATGCGAAGGGGTATTTCGATGACATAGAGCCGGTCAACTTTACTACTTTTGCATCGCCGCATGTTGGCGTGAGAAGCCCCGCAAGGAAAAGCCATTTCTGGAATGTACTCGGTGCCAGATGCGTCTCAACGTCAGGCCGACAACTCTTCATGATTGATTCATTCCGCGACACTGGAAAGCCGCTTCTCAGCATCCTTGCTACCCCTGGAAGCATATTTATGCTTGCGCTTGCGAAATTCAGACATCGAACCCTCTATGCAAATGCTGTTAACGACCTTAGTGCCGTTTATTACACGACTGCGATATCTAGGACGGATCCCTTTACACAAGTGGATGATCTCTCAATAAGCTATGTCGATGGTTACGCGCCGGTAGTCATTAATCCTGATCGGCCAATACTTCTTAGACCAAAATCCCAATCCCTAATTGGTTGGCTAGCATCAACCGCGCGGTCGACGATATCAGTGCTCCCGTTTCGGTTGTTCTTATTTACCGTCGTCGGTTTTGCGTCCGTGATATTCGTTGTGAACGCAGCGTATCAGACTATTCTGAGCGAGAAACGCATCCGTCTCCACGAGCAAGGTAGATCCGGGGTATTTTACAATACATATAGGGTCCCACTAATTATGGAGGGGTTCCGGAACGCTGTCGAGGACATGTACGAAACTGCCAATGCTGCACAGAAGCCGGAGTATATCTCGAACCCAGTTCCGGAAGAGGGTCCCCATGGTGCGAGCAGCGAATACCCAAATTCTACTCAACCAGAACGCGCGGAAGCTGCATCTACTTCAAAGGAACCTCATCAATGCGCGGATAACACCACTACCCACGAAGAAGGAGATGCCCCCTTTCCTACCCTTGCTTTAACCACCGCTCAGTTCCGAATTATTGACAATCTTGACTCAGTGGGATTCCGCAAGTACCCGGTCTATATCCATCAAGTGCGGCATAGTCATGCAGCTATCATCGTGAGGATGCCTAGGGAGTCGTTTAAGGAAGGGAAGATTGTTGTGAGGCACTGGATAGAGGAGGAGTTCCGCATCTGAAGCCGATATTCACCTGCTTTCATGTCATTTTGTCGACCGCCAGTTACGCCCGTGCATTACTAGCTACTACCTCTACGAATATACACCAAGATCGAGGGGTTCCGTGGGGTACCATGTCGTGGCGCATGGTGGGATAAATTAATCATTTTTTTGCACAAGGATGTTGGGACCCTCACCACCCGCCAGCCACCGCACTCTCAGATACTTATTCTGTCGTCGATATCCTTGCAACCGTGCAGGTCTCCGGCGCAATTGAGAAATCTACTGATTTCACCGTCACTACTTCACAAAAACACACTATACCTGCAGATGGAGGGGATTTTGCCATCCCGGCTCGTTTTACACCGTATATGCAACTAATACAGTCTCGCGGAACATTACTATCAACTGCCCTCGGGATCCATTTTTTATATACATACATACTTCACTGCCAAGATAAATCCCGGCTCCAGGGATTTGACACGGTATTGGTCTGACACATGTATATATACTCGGATTACTCCTTTTAGAACATAATCACTTAGACAATAGACACTACCTCGTACCCAGCCCAACCGATGGCTACCCCTGAGCGCAACTTCGTCTTCCGAGGAAGCGCCGCCCGCCACAAAAGTAAACTGCGCCTGCCAAGCCCGCCTTAGTCAACAAAGGTCCACTTAAGCTCATGGTCCAACCACTGAGATCCGAGCGTTTGCCTGTCTTGGCTTGTGACGTCATAGAGGAGCCGCACCGGCAAATGCTGAAAGCACATCGTCCATCGCTGCGTAACATTCATGTCGACAGTTGACGCTCGGTTCGGGCGTGAAAGCGAATGGGATGTTTGATTTGTTGTGGAGTTGTAGGCAAGGATGGCAAGAAGTTATTAAGTAAGAAGATAGGGGGTGCAGGGGGGCACTGTCGTTCCCAGGGGTATGCCAATCGGCAACTCGTTATTCCAATAATACTGTCAATCAATAAGATGAAACTGGTCGATATATATGTTAGCTGTTTCGTAGTTTCAGGGTAAGCCGTTCAGACGGTGACTAGCTTACCCGTTACTCCGTACTCAAATCATACATCACTGACTGGAACATTCAGGGCTCGCAAGATATCGATACCACCATCTACGGACATCGCCTCATTTTCTCTGTTTGTTGATCCCTGAGCAAGAGTACCATCCTGCATCGTGCAGCCTATTACTGTATGTCAATATCTCCACCATCGGGTGGAGAAGGGTCCATCGGGATCCTACAAAGTGATGATGGGGATTGCATTCACAATACTACGCGGCGGTGTGTATGTTTCTAAGTGCCTTGTAAAAGGAGGGTAGAATTAAATACATGTCCGTGGTATCTTTGCCCAATCTTAAGGTATGAAAATCGAGATATGATTCTACGTTTGGTAGTATAAGGTAGGTGTGATAACACTATAGATAGGATATGCAGCGTAGCGTCATCATTTCCACCTATCCACACCCACACGGAAGAAACTCGTGGAGACAATCCCCGGATATTTAGGAGGAGCACATATGTGCACCGTAGGGATCATCTTTGAAAATACATTGGAAACTTATTCTTTGCTGCATCAAGCCATCACAAAGCTGAGTATCAATGGGGCAAATCTAAGGAGCAATTCTGTGACCGACTACTCCGTACGCCCATCTCGTCATCGTCAATCAATGCCGTCCGGGTGTCTTTAAAGGCGACAAATATCAAACCCTAAATTAAGACGGGCCTATATCTCGGTATACTCCCGTCACTCCCCTGTTCTCCGGAACAAAATGGCTTTAATGGAGACTCCCTTCAAGAGATCTCCCCTAACCATTGGCTAGCCGGAGGTAGGGATGTTTCATATTTTGCAAAGATTAACATCACGTCTCGGAGAGGGATATATTTGCCCTCGACCGCTACTGTGGATCTTCGCCTTTGCCGTTACTCTGTGTTTTCATCTCTGCTCGGTACCGAATGAGATAAATTGATATACGTTTAAGGTTGCAAGTGTGTATTCCCGTTGTGGGCCGTGGAAAGGATGGAGGAGATCGGAGGCGGAGTTGTCCATCTCAATATGACAGTATCTAGTGGATGATATCAGCATGTGCGGCAATAGAGTAGCATAGGATCGTCGAATATCATGGAGGGAAAGGGAAGAATAGGCGGATGAAATTGAGGGCTGGTAGATTCCGTGGTTCGACCATTAATAACAAGGGGGGAAGTTTGGTAACTTTTCAACCTGCAATTCCGCTACAGTTCTCGAGCGGCGTCTTAGGTCGGTGGAGAACCAGGTTGTTTAGGTACTTAGTAAGATCGATTGATGGGCGTCATTTGTTCCGCCTGCTTCCTGAGCCGAAAATAAATTAAATACCTACTGATTATATGAAATGGGCCTGGCATATAATAGGCTCCTCTATTCTCCCTTGATTTATTTTAATAGCCATCTATTTATTTTACTTCCAACGCTCCTTCCTCACATATCCATATCGGTTTCCTTAGCTGCAACAGCAGTTTGAGACGAAGAAACCCTTACCATAAAGAGGCCTCCTAATCGCCACATTACCATCCTGCAATAGGGTCTGGTTTAAAAGCTGTTTGGACACACGAGCTCCTCCACACAGTGCAGTTATTCCATTTGAAGTAGATTACCGGTTCCTCACCAACAAGCCCAAAGAATCGCAATCATGGCAGCTACAGAACCATACCGGGCCTCCGGGACGCCAAAGGTCCGCCGCCTTTCCAATGTGTCCGCAACTAGGGGAGATTTGGTGAACGGGCCAAACGTGGTGGTGCCACCAAAACACCTGATGGCTAGCACCGCTGCCTACGAGGCGGCCAAGTCCATGGGAGTCGCCAAATACCACTTGGAAGAAGATAATTCATCCGCTGAAATCACCCCCAGAGCTGTATCACCAGTCTCCGGAACCCCGGTTGTGGCAACCGATAGGTACGCTTTCGCGTTCGACATCGATGGAGTTCTTATCCGTGGTGGAAAGCCCATTCCAGCAGCTGTAGAGGCTTTGAAGGTGTTGAATGGAGAAAATGAGTACGGAATCAAGGTGTAAGTATTCCCTAGCCGCAATACCATTTCATTTGCTGACTCTCGTATCATGGATAGGCCGTATATCTTCGTCACGAACGGTGGCGGGAAGACCGAGGAAGAACGATGTCTCGATCTCAGCAGACAACTCGAATATGACGTTTCACCCGGCCAGTTTATCTGTGGACACACTCCAATGAGAGAGATGGCTGAGAAGTATAAGACTGTCTTGGTGGTGGGTGGTGAGGGCGAAAAGTGCCGTATTGTGGCAGAGGGATATGGCTTCCGAGATGTCGTGACACCGGGTGATATCATCAAAACAAACCAGGATACGACACCATTCCGCAAGTTGACAGATGAAGAATACAAAAATTCTCGGGTCCGTGATTTCGAGAACCTCACCATTGAAGCAATCTTCGTGTTCGCGGATAGCAGGGATTGGGCCGGTGATCAGCAGATCATCCTTGACTTGTGCATGTCCAAGGGGGGCAAGATTGGCACCCGCTCTGAGACATTCGAAGAAGGCCCGCCAGTATATTTCTCTCATAATGATATCGTCTGGTCGACATCCCACGAACACACACGAATTGGTATGGGGGCGCTTCGGGCGTCAGTGGAAGCTCTCTTCAAGGCCGTCACCAGAAAAGAGCTGAAGACTATCGCGTTCGGCAAACCACAATTGGGTACCTTCCAATTTGCCACAAGGTTGCTGCAGCAATGGCGAAAGGAAACTCATGGCATCAACTCTCCGCCACAGACAGTATACTTCGTTGGGGATACCCCCGAGTCGGACATCCGTGGTACGAATGAATACAACGAGTCAGACATTAGCGAGACTCTCTGGTATTCGATCCTCGTTGAGACCGGGGTCTTTGAAGAAGGAACCGTCCCACGGTATGCGCCTAAGAAGGTGGTTCATGACGTCCTCGACGCCGTTAAATTCGGCATGAAGAGAGAGTTCGAGCGGACCCTAGAAGAGACGGCACCGAAGAACATGGACTCTTAGTTGAGTTCCATACCTCCAAAAGAAAAAGAAGAAAAAATGACATGAAATGTCCCCAACCTCAATGATATCCACGCTCGTTCGTTGCTTTTCGATTAAGATGACTTTCTCAGTTCCTTCCCCTTTGCTATTCTCATGCCCCCTTTTTTCATAACACGGCTTCGAAGGCGCTGGAACTCCTTTCGAGCTACGTCTTTCGTCATTTTACTTTCCTCATTCAAGGTTATGTCAGGAGTTCGGCTTCAAATATCGCGTTTCGAGGATTCACTCTCTATCACCCTATGTAGGGTGACTTGGTTACCAAACGCAAGACCACATTTTGTGGGGAAAAAAACACTCTGGATTCAGGTTTACTATTCATAGACGTGTGTTTCCTGTTGGCCAAACTGTGTGTTAGTTATCAAGAAAGATAGAAAAAACAGGGGGCAAGTTTTGGAATACTGCTTCAGGAACATAAAATGCGAGTAAAAACGTTTCCATTTCATGCTGCCTGAGGAACGAGGATGGCCTTTAGCCTCTCGCCGTACATTTGTTTATCTTGTTGCTGTTCAAGCTGTTTCCCTTCAGCAACTTTGGAAAGGAGTAGAGTCACATGATCTTGAACAACAATGGTCATGTGACCTATATCCGGTCCGTCATATTTTCCGTTCTCTGGCTTCGCGCCTGCGTCAAGCTACATCTATAAACTACCTACATCTATACAAATGTGCAGGCAAACCATTTCAGAGAGTCTGGATGAGTACGGATGTCGCATCGAGAAGATGACAACAGACTCACTGCCTGTCTGGATGCATTTATTGAGTGGCGAACAGAAGGCGGACGGGAACTTATTACACGGGGGATACTAGTGTGACGACGACAGCAAGCTCTACGACGTGTTTAGAGACCTTTGCACGGCCCTTCTCTATACCCTCAATGACCCTACTAATGGGATCTCGATGAGGGACTCGATACCCAAACAATTTGGGAAGTCCTAGTGTGCTTTCATGGCGACTATACATATAATAATTAACTCGATTATTATTGTTCAAGTTTGCTAATGGTTGATGTTTCCAGGAAACACTTGTCTACCAGCTGAAAGTTTACACATGCTACCCAACTTCTGATCGAGCTATTCTACCTGCCGACGGAAAAGTAACAATGGAGAGAGCATCTCAGGCAGAGGAAATCAAACTTACCAATCCACTCTCTGGACTGTCACTGCCGACTATCTGAAATTTTCAATGCATCTGGCATGCGGAGTGTCATCGATCGAAGGATCGAAGAGTGGGAAAATATCAAAGTTAAGAAGGTTCCGACTGAAGGGATATGGCAGCACAAATGCTTTTCGCCTATTATATCTCAGTCTGTGGTTAAGTGCTGCTAGGTGACGGGCTATTCCGTCTTTATTGGCTATGTTTTCGCTTCTGCTGGCTAAGAATATCCAAACAACAAAAGAATGCGTCTAAGAAATACCCTGATCTTGCTTGATGTGTTTTTATAATAATATATTAACGCTGTAGCAACACGCAGTAACATGTCGACGCCATGGCAACACGCAGTCCTTTATTAGACAGGAGATATTTGTTTATTTTTCATCTTCTTCTGTCGTTCCTCTCATCCTCATCCTCTACCATTTGAAGTCTCCTCCAAACTCAGAATACAGCATCCTCGCATTCAGCAGACTCTCTACGCACTCGAATATTAGGTCGTGCCGTCAGATAATCACTCAAGATGCCTGTAATCTGGAGCGACGCTACGAGAGCCAAGGTATGCCAGATCTAGGCGAGGAAATGTCTCCTACGTGCTAACACTGAACTTGAAGCTTCTCATGGCTATTATCAAAACCAACGGCGGGAAAATCGACTATAAAGGTATCGTTGAGTTCATGGGACCGGGTAAGCCACACCTCTATATCCTTATTCTTGACCAAGATGCTAAAAGTTGGCCGTAGAGTATAATTCAAAGTGCATCCAGAACCAAATCCAGTTCCTCAAGACCAAGGCCAATGCGGAAAAGCCTACCGGCTCTGCCCCATCGACTCCATCTAAGAATGGAAAGAAGAATACTACGCCTGCCGACGCCACCGGCACTCCTACTAAATCCCCAGCTTCGGCCAAACGGGGTCGTAAGCAGGCCATCAACGTGGAGTCTGAGAGCGCCTCTGACGGCGAGGGTGACAAGCGTGTGAAAAAGGTCAAGACCGAGGTGAAGCAGGAAATCAAGTCTGAAGAGATGTAGGATTCTCAAGTATTGTACCTAAACTGCTACTCCTGATGATGCAGTCTGATGAACCGCGTGCGATGAGTGATCCTGGTGAAGGTCCAGATGTGTATGTTCAGACAGAAGCCTTACTGAATCCAAGCTGGACGTTTAATATCTTATATCTTATATCGTATCTCTTATATCTTGATGCCGTAGAAGTGTCCGGTAAAGCGGCGAGGGGAGTGTCCGTATTAGGCTGGGTGCTGGTTGCCTCGGCATCACGTTAGCTGGGAGGGAAGGACGAAGAAGGTTGCGTAAGGCCATGCGACGATGATGGTATGTTCTGCGAGAGCTTTCTTCCTCCTTCCCTGACCCCTCCGATAGCTATATAAATCAGCCCTGGTCGCTCCTCTTGGTGGCAAAAGAACGCTCACTCACTCTGAAATATCTATCACATAACGTATCTCACCACTCGATGACCGCCACCACTCGATGACCACCCCAACAAAAATCTTCATCTCGACAACCACCTATCTTTAACCACCCACAACATGCCTAATGAAGAAGCAATTGCTTGTGCGATTGAAGATTTGAAATCGCAGGACGTCCCTAATTACGCACAAACAGCCAGAAAGTGGAAAATCGATCGGAGGACTCTTGCGCGTCGATATTCAGGCAAAACAGTGTCCAATAAGGAAGCCACCTCAACTCATCGCAAAAAGTTAACAGATACTCAAGAGGAAGTCCTTTTGCAGTATATCGAACGTTTATCGAATAGAGGCCTATCTCCTACACCTCAAATCATCGCAAATCTCGTTCTAGAGCTCACCAAACAGCCAGTTGGCATCAATTGGGTATCTCGATTTTGCAAGAGGCATCAGGCCCGGATAACATCAAGATATCTTCGAACGATCGATCAATATAGGCATGTTGCGGATAACTCTGCCCATTTTGAGCATTTCTACGATCTTGCAAGTGTTTAAATATTTGTTATTTATTAGATATCTCGTTACTAATACCCTCTTCTTTAGCTAGGGAAGGTGGTTGATAAATATAATATTACTCCTAGTAATATCTATAACTTTGATGAGAAAGGCTTCCTAATTGGGCTTGGACATGCAGTAAAACGCGTAGTCCCTATCCATTTGCTAAAGAATAAGAGGATAACTACCGTTCATGATGGAAATAGGGAATTTATCTCTCTACTTGCTGCTATCTCTGCAGATGGGGAAAGGATTCCTCCTACACTTATTTATAAGGGAGAAGGAGATCTACAAGACACCTGGTTAGATAACTACTCCCTGGAGGAACAAACTGCATATTTTACAGCATCACCAAACGGTTGGAGCTCTGATAATTATGGCCTAGAGTGGTTAGAGAAAGTCTTCGATAAACATACAAAGATAAAGGCCAGCAGGGCAAGGAGGCTCCTCATCCTTGATGGGCACTCTTCTCATATTAATATGCGATTTATTGACTACGCTGATCGAAACCGTATCCTTCTTGCCATCCTTCCTCCCCATTCAACTCACCGTCTCCAGCCGTTAGATGTTGGGATATTTGGGCCACTAGCCAGTGCATATTCCCAAGAAGTCAACAACCTAATACGGGGAGGCCTCGGATATCTCTCAATTAGGAAGAGAGACTTTTGGAAGCTCTTTTATACTGCATGGTGTAAAGCTCTTACAGAGGAGAATATTAAGTCTAGCTTTAGAGCAACGGGTATCTATCCTCTTGAGCCACAGAGACAGCTGCGATATTTCCAGCAAGAACGGCCAATTACTCCAGTAAATGCAGCTGCAGAGCCTTCTACTCCTATTACGATACGAGGCCTCCGCCGGATAACCAAAAAGGTATATCTCCGCCAGTCTCTTGCAGAAAGAGACTATATCCAAAAGATAATTCGAGCCAGTGAGCAACTTGTCTTTAATAATGATATTTTACAGCATGAAAATCAAGCTCTTAGCGGTGCTTTGATTATTGAGAAGCAACGAAGGAAGAGAGGCAAAGGATTGGGCCTTTTTGATAAAGAGAAAGCCGGCCAGGCCCAGTTCTTCTCTCCTTCCAAAGTTGATGCAGCAAGGAAGAGAGCTCTGGATATCGAGCAAGAAAAATAGGCCTAGATAGCTTAGGCTAAAGAGTTAAAGCTTCAGCGATTGATATATCGCGATACAAAGGCTCAAGAGGCTGCAGAGAAGAAGGCCCAAAGGCTTAAAGAGCAGCAGGAACGGAATGAGGCCCGTGAGAAGGCCCAAATAGAGGCAGCTGCTCAGCGCGAGCAAGCAGCGCTGGAAAGGAAGCGTAAGGCCGGTGAACAGGAAGCCCAGCGAATGGCTAAGAAGGCCAAAAAGGCCCAAATCAACGCCCCGAGCCCTATCTCACCTTCCAAATTAGGAAAGAAGAAGAAGTCACCCACAAAGGTGGCTCCAATCGATCCTGTCCCTTCATTACCCAATTTCTTATCCCATGGCAGAGAAACACGTTCTGGCCGAACTATCAAGCCCAACACTCGTTTGTTTTCCTAATCTAACTAATTAATATGTAAACTAGAGCTCTACTATCGTTATTTAATATCTAATTTAATTTGTTATTCGCGTTGTTGTGGATATATTAATACATGTAGGGGGGGTGGTGATATCGGTGTTTATTTTGATGGGTGGTCATCGAGTGGTGGCGGTCACCGAGTGGTGAGATACGTTAGTTTTGTCTCCGAAGAGTTACAGCGATCAAGACGATAGCTTCTCCGTCGCGCACTCTCAGCTCCTCCGCAAAGATGTCGTCAGCAACGACCTTTTACAATTTCGAGCCCGTTGACAGTATGCTTCTACGCCCTTATTCTCCTTTATGCGTTTACACGAGCAATACTAACAGCGCTGCTTCAAATAGAGAAAGGAGAGCCCTTCCCCCTCTCGTCGCTGCAGGGCAAGGTGGTCTTGGTCGTCAACACTGCGTCAAAATGCGGCTTCACCCCGCAGTTTGCCGGCCTCGAAGAGCTCTACAAATCAATCACCTCCTCGCACCCAGATAAATTCACCGTACTAGGCTTCCCGTGCAACCAGTTCGGCTCTCAGGACCCTGGAAGCAACGACGAAATCCAGAGTTTCTGCCAGGCCAACTACGGCGTCACATTCCCTGTCCTTGGCAAGATAGACGTGAACGGCGATAACACCGCGCCGGTGTACAGCTGGCTGAAGAAGGAGATGCCTGGTCTCATGGGACTGAAGAGGGTCAAGTGGAACTTTGAGAAGTTCCTGATCGATGCAAACGGGAAGGTTGTTGGACGGTGGGCAAGCACCACCAAACCCGAGTCTCTCAAGAGCACCATCTTGAGCGAAATTGAGAAGGCCGGCAAGGCTTCTCAGCTCTAGTTTTGTCTGTCTGAACAGGTTATGGCTTGATTCCCTATATAATACGTTTTTACGATTCTCTCTCCCTCTCTACTCACTGTTTTGGAGCGACTTAGCAATAATTGCACCTAGCAATCGTCTGCTTTACACAATATGAACTGGCCTGGGAGATATAATATGAACATCCCATTTATCTTTAAGAGAATATCCTCGGACATTATAACAGCTAAGCGTAACACAGATTCGAACGGTCATTTACTTGATTTTGGATGTAGAATATGCCGCTACATCACGCTGAGATTGGAGCAGACACCACCCTCCAAAGCATGCCCGGTTAAGCTCCCACTTTACCACTCTACACCACCCTTCCATGGCCCTGAACGTTCTTCCAGCTTCAGTTCACCGAATAACCTTCAAAAGCAAAAGAAACCCGGTAGATCGTTAAAAATAGCAACATCTTGGCAACGCTGAAGGAGGCTGAGTCGATCACTACAGATTGCCACCAAACGGACTCCATATACTCCATACGCCGGACTTAAAAGTAATATGAATATAAATATCCTTGTTCTGTATTCAATCCTATGTAATATGATTAACTAATTCACAGTAAAGTGGATGGGGGCCAGATATAAGCTGAAGGGAAGGGGAGAAGAAACACCCATGTAAAAACGAGAAAGAAAAGAAAAAAAAACCAAAGGATCGGCCTAGTGCAAATATGCACTGTATAGAGAAACAGTCAAGGTCGTGTCATTAGATAACGTATTGCATAGAGGCTAGATTTAGCATAGCAAGGGAAAAAAAGGGAATAACCAGGCTAAGGGAGAACATGGTATAAGTTCTATAAAGAATGAAGAGAAAGTAAATCAAACCGCGCGCCACCCTATGCCCAAGTAAGAAGAGAAGAGACGAAAAAGAATAGAAGAGAAGAGAAGAGAAGAAGAAGAAGAAGAAAAGAAGAAGGGTTAAAAAGAGGAATGGGAAGAATAGAAGTAGGAAAGGAAATTATGTTGTAGTCAGGACATTAGTCGATATTGAGATACATATCAGCGCCACGCTTGGATGGTGTCATCTTGTGACCCGTTGGTGAAGTAGGTTCAGGTTCAGCGGTATTATTGTGCGTGGGGAGTATTTGCTTGCTGGAGCGCGGGGTAGTTGAGGCTGTCGAATCGTCATCATCATGAATCCGATCGTGTTCGATCTGAATGGGTCGTTGTAATTTTGCAGGAAGCGTAAATTCGTTGCCCATCTTACCAGCTACTTTCTCGCCTCGCCGTTTGACGAGCAGGTTGCTGGGTTTATGATTAGAGTTGGAAGAGGATTGGTGTGTTAGTCGCGGGGAGTGTTCTCCGCTGCTTCGAGGGGAGGAATAGTATGAGTAGATGGAGCAGGCGTGCATGGATTTGGGGAGGGTGGGAGAATGGTCGGGAAGAGCTTCGGTGGACTGGCTGCCTGGGGTGGAGTTTCGGGTGGCTAGAGGTGGAGGAACGAGTTTCGAGTATGTGCGGATAGAAACTTCGCTTGCGCCATCGCTTTCGGTGAGATAGGAAAGGTGGCCTGGACGGTAGGCTTGTTGGGGGATTTCGGGCGATCCTGCTGAGCTGGGAGGGCCGGTGCTGGGGACCTCCCGTACCGGGCTCAGTTGCCTCGGGATATGGCTGTGGTATGAATTGATGCTTCTCGACGTGACGGGTTCGGGAGGGGCGAATGGAGGTGCCGAGTGGCTGGCAAGGACCTGATCCCTAGAGTTCCCATGGCTGCTGCGTCCAAGGGAAGAATGTACCATTGAGGGTACGGCGAGATATCTGGGGTCAGATGGGGATTTCTGCTGACCCAAGTTCGGGCTGTGAGTAGGGTATCCAGGCCCGCCATTGTAGCTATGCGGACTATGGCTCACGGCTCTGTGGCCCGATTGAACCAATGCTGGACTGTAGTTGAGTGAGGAAGCACTGCGTAGTGGATCAACCACCGCCTGCGACACATCCCGATGCAAGGAGCCCTTTGCTAGCCCGCGGTTACCAGAACCATCCCCAGCCCCGAATGCCATCGCTCCGCTATACCCCGACCCAGGACCGTGATCCTTTGGCACCGCTCGAGACCCGCCAGCACCAGTGTTGGCACAGTAAGGATTATCAGGTAAGAGGTCTGATTCTGTTCGCTGGGAGACCACACTCGGCCCTCTAGAGCTTAGATACTCATTCTCAAAGTCGCGGGTATTTCGTTGAAAGTACGCAACCGAGCACGGCATCATGTCGATAGGCAGCAAAGTCTGGTATCGAGACACTGAGCTTCTCGGCTTGGAAGAAGCCTTGGAAATGCTCAAAGCCGGCGTTGCTCTCGACTCGGCCATGGCAGGGTCTATTTTAAGATACGGTCCCTTTTGTCCCTTCTCCGCTATCCGGCCTTGCTTCGCCCTTTGTCTACGTTTGTTCAGGAAGAAGAAGAAAAGAACGAAAGCGACGAGGGAGGCGAAGGCGATGCCACCACCGACATAGAGGCCGACCAAGTTCGAGCGGCCTGCGCCGCCGGCGTCTCCGGACGCTGAACCTGTCTCCGTGGGCGATGAATAGACATATGAAAAGTCGATGGTGTCAGTTGGCAGACCGACGCCAGGTATGCCTCTGGTGCTTGACGAGGCAGGCAGACTGGTAATCTGCGACGAGGACACAGTCTGTGCCGGAGTTTCCATCATCATCGACATGCTAGGTAGAGACTCTGAAGCCGGGGGAGCTGGGGCAGGAGGAGTAGGAGCTGGCGGAGCTGGAGCCATGGGAGTCGTCGACGCCATTGGTGGTCCCGGATGAGGTGTCATGGTCGGTTTTGGAAGGGCTGTTGAGGATATCCCAAGGACAGGATGAGTATTGGGGAGAGCTCCTTCAATTCCAGAGCATATATTGTAGACCCGGTGCTCTTCCACTTCTGCGTCGTGACAGTTCTCGGCAACACAGCGCAAGCCAGCTTCCGCAACGGTGAATCCGGTAGTTGACCTCTTTTTGCAGAGACAGTTGGCATCGAGAGGGTCCGGACAATGGTCCCAAGCTCTGTCTGAGGATATGAAGGCTTCCAGGCAAGGGAGAGCACATGCCGGAACCTCTTGGCTGAGTAACCTGGGTTGATTACGTGCCTGCACTTGCTTATAGTCCCGGCCAGAGAGGACCGAGGCGGCGGTTGTAGTTGGAGTTGTAGTAGTGATTGTAGCGGCTGCGGCGGCGGCGGATGGGGAAGCCAACAAACTGTTTGCTACCGGCGCAGCGGGATAGGATGGCATGTTAAGACCGCAGGCGTAATTTCCAGAGCATCCGCTGCATAGTCATCCACGACCCGCGTAAACTGCCTGCCCGGCGTATAGTTGACAAAGAGAGGATGCTGGCAGCACCGTGCGATTACTCACACATTAATCAGTGGCATATGTATTATTACTCTCCGCGCGTCCAATCCCGGCTGAAATGAAACGAGTATCAAGGAGATATTAAAGAGGTGAAAAGAATGTAGAGAATGTAGAAAATGGAATGTAGAGAACGTAGAGAAGAGAAAGATAATAGAGAGAGTAGAAAATAGAGAGAATAGAGAGAGAGAGACTCGAGGCTCGAAGAAATGAGGCCAAGAGCGATGATATGAAGACCTCAGAGGATTTCCATACTAATTAACTGGTTCATCGGAAACGGCCATGATACATGACCCCGGGAAAAAGGCAAAAAGAGGAATAGTTGAGAGTCCACAACCAACCAGCCAGGGCCCCCGGAGGTGCAGATGCAAGGGGCTGATAAAGCCAGCCCACCTGGGGCGGTTATTCAATCCGCCCATCCATGGAAGCCTCCATGCGTTCGGGGGGAGGGAAGCTCAGGACTGCCTCGACATCAGGCTGTGGACATCAAGCTGTGGACGTGAACTGCTGGCCATTTGGTCAACATCTGCTGGCCGACTGCTCACGGTGCTAAGTGCTGCAGTGGTGAAACGCCTGGAGGCAGCGGAGACCGAGGACTGGAGGGTGATATGTCCCTTCGCATCGACGTCTTAAGCGCTGAAACGTCCCCATCGCATTATTAAGGAGTCGCTAGAGTCACGTGGCCCCAAACCGACACGACCGACACGAACTGCTCACTCTGCTGGGTCCTGGCAAGGGTCTGCAGGCCATGAAAGTCATGAAAGTCATGACAGTCGAGGAGAAGCGATGGAGGCGGAGTCGAGGCTAGGTCGAGGCTAGGACGAACCCTGGCGCAGCCGCGATGTCGACGTCTAAAAACAGATACTACGCGGTGTCCGTGGGAGGCAGTGGTTGGCTGCAGGATATGCGCAGGACGGAGGTGTTTCGTCTTGCCGGGGCTACGATGATAGACCCATGGATGCTGTGGCAACTCAACCACGGCTGCGAGCGAGACACGATAACGACGGAGAGTATAACGACTAGTTTCTTCCTCGCTTAGACATACGAGCAGACGGTTGCACGGGCCTGACATAAGACTGCGATTTAGCAGATATACGAAGACGGCCAGCAGGCTCGATCGCAATCCAGGGTTCATCTTATCGGGCACAGTTGCATCGTGCGGGGGATAAGAGAAGTCTCGTCTATATCTCTTTTCTTTGCTGCGATAGGCACGGATGGATGGATGGAAGTATATGCTAAGATACCTGGCTGATCGTATGGTTGCTTTCACTAGAATCTTCTATCTATCCGCTCCTTAGTCTGCCATGTAGCGAGTCCTTGGCTTCGGCGGAACGGAAGAGCCCCAGGGTTCGGAACTCTACAGCACCTCCAGGGACGAAGAGCGGTGGGAGGTGAAGCCATCCCCGTCGTCGATCAATGCACGCTTCGTATGTACCTGTATATCTGGGTTCTCCTTGGCAGCATGTCCTCAGGCAGCATCTACATACTTGATAGCCGTTGAACTCTATCGTTGGCCGTATACATCTTCAGGCATATAGGTGGAACAGTTTGACATAGGGTCGTTTGACATAAGGTCGTTTCTACGCGTCTCAAGATACAGCTGCAACGTTGGATGAAAGAGATATGGGTGGGTAGGATTGTATATTTCTCCTTTCCTACTTCTTCTATCAATTCTGAACTAAGGCCGAACAGAACGAACGGGAACAAAAAGCGAAGAAGAGACAAAACCCAAAGAAAGAATTCCAGCTCAAAAGAGGACCAAACCGGAATTAACTAACGAAATAAGAAGAGAAGGGACGGGCGTGGTATCATGGGGGAAAAAGCACGAGGGCGAGAACACACGAAACAACATTAACATCCGGGGGTAGGGTATTTTTTTTTCGTTTTCTTCGTTTTCTTCTCTTTCTTTTCATGTAAGTTGATTAGGGCATCATTAACAACATAGGAAAGGGTAACGTTGATTATTATAATAGCCGGGGAGGGTCGGAAAACGGTCAAGCTACGGGAAACCAGAGATATCAAGCCCAGCCACGGTCAGAAAGTATATACGTATATCCGATTCGTCTGCCGAGATGAGATGTCAGGCTGGAGAGGTCGCAGTTGTCGCTTTCAGATCATCGTAGCGATGCGCGATCTTAATATTTGAGAATGATGTAGCTGTGAAGTGTCAGAGGGTAAGCCGGAAGAGCGCGGGTAGGATGGGGAGATACTGACAGCGCATGGATGATACCCGGGATGTAACCGAGGATGGTCAAACAGATATTGATCAAGAGATCGGCACCGCAACCTCTCTCGAGGAAGACACCGACTGGCGGGAGGATGATCGCAAGGATGATCTTGCAGATGTCGCTATAGAGGTGTCAGTACAGAGTGAGCTGGGCGATAAAACGGCGCTTCTACGGGAGGATGCGCCCGAGTGACCAGGCATAACAAGTAAACAAGCAGGGCAAACAAGGGGAGACGTACGAAGCAGTAAAGGCCATCGTGACGGTAGAGCTGTGCTGTGGCTTGAGTGGTGGAGGTGGAAATGTATTATATCGGCTGTTGATGTTCTCGAGCGTCTTGGAGAAGGAGGAGAGAGAGGGAGAGAGGATGCGTCGGACAAGCAGGTATTTAAGCCAGGGAGAAGAAGCTGATGTGGTTTGCGGCCATGTCCAAGCATCGGGGTTCGGCCCTTGCCCAAAAGAAGCAGCTTCCTTGCTGAGTCACCCTAGAACTGACCAACCAGAGGCCGTCCTGGGCCAAGCTAGGCTGGATGTGGGGCGTTGTTTATACTAGGGCTGCAGATGCCATGGTCAGATACTTCTTGGTACCTCCATGTCACCTATACTTTGCAGACAAAGGAAGTACATATAGGTATTGTACCACTTGCGTAATGATGCGTCCATGATCGCCCCTCTTGGTAACGTCATCTCCGTCTTTTCAGCTCCCTCTGTTTTTGACCTTCGCATGTCAACCTTCGCATGGCAACGTCAACTGTCAAGCATGTCAAGTCTGACAAGTGTGTCAAGTCAAGCCTGCTATCCATAGCCACAGGACTCGCAGACTTGACGCCTCAGCAGGCGCAGTGATGGCGCAAAGCTGTGCCTGGCTTAGACGTACCGGGAGACGGGCGCTTTCTTCCGCGGCCGTTGAGCGGATAAACGTTGTTCCTAGAATAGCAATAACAGCAACAATAACATAGAAGGCTCGGCTACGTGAAAGCCCTTGAAAGGATACTCATCTTACTGTCCAGTACATACGACCACAGGAAGTGGAAAACAGAGCTTCCCGTCCGCTCAGCTGTACTTAAGCCACTTGCCGGTCGGTTAGTAGTTGGGTGGGTGACCACCAGCGAATCCCGACTGTCGTATGTTTTTGTTTTTGCTCATTTTTACTCTTCTTTTTTAATACACCTGTCAAGCTGTCGTTTGATAGTAAAAGGTTGATGATTTCTTTGTTTGCCTATAAAGATCTGCGTTATACCCAAGCTAATTCATGCATAAAACATAGAGTGTGCCACTAAGCGCGACGGGTAGAGGGTACACCAGGTTCTTTGTTACCAGCAGTGGCTCTCAAGGAGCTGCGTATTCTTAAGAAAGATGACTGCTGATAGTCAATGCTTGTGGGCGTTTTCATATCTCTAATGTTTAATCTCGTCTCTATAACATGTTTATAAAGACCCCTAGAGTGGTTTTTGCTGCCTGCACGTTGCTACTACTCGGCTATACCACTTTCCATTGGCAATATTTCAAGCAGGCCAAGTCGATACTCCATGGTTGGCTACACGCGTTTCTGTACGAGGCCTCAAGTATGCTAACTCTTAAACTCGAAAGCGTTTACGGATACATCGGACAGCCAATATGTAGCCCTGCAGAATGTCAGCGACACAGGCCATATCCAGAAGGCTCTGATACTGGCAAAGACGAAGAAAGAGGACATACGGTGGCTTTTTGGCTTTTGCAAAGAATTTTACGCGCTGAGTTCTCCGTGGGTTGCTGCTTCGTCCACTGACTTACCTACGTCTGTGATAGTGAATATACCCCGTTCATATACACAACCTCTACCCCCCCTGAAAAGGGTCTACTGATCCCACGGTCAGCCAGAGGCCGAGAGGCGGCTGCCTATCTGTCATATATCGTTGACTACTACGATAATCTACCAGCATATTCAGTCTTTATCCACGCCGACCAGGACCAATGGCATAATGATCTCTTTGGTTCCAAAACTCGCGATGCCCTTCGTCATTTCCGCTTTCAAACCGCCGATGCCTTGGGATATGTCAACCTGCGCTGTACCGAAGACCCCGGCTGCCCCCTTGGCGCAAGCCCGTTAAACCCTACGCCACTGGATATCAAGAGGAAGGATGTGCGCGCGTACCTAGCTGATATCTATATGGAGCTGTTTCAAGTAAGCCGCGAGGATGTTCCCGAAGGTATTGGTGGGGTCTGCTGTGCCCAGTTTGTCGTTACTAGACAACAGATCCTACGCCGGCCAAGGAAGGACTATGAGCGGATGCTGAAGTGGATGGCAGAGACGACGGTGACGGATAACTTTGGAGTGGGCTGGGTGATGGAGAAAGTGTGGCATATAGTGTTTGGGATGGAGGCCATTCAGTAAGTTGATTCCACCCTTGGAGCTGGTATGGGGTCTTCATGTTGGCTTACTCGGTGCCGACTATAGCTGTCCACCTTACAACCAATGCCGCTGTGATAACTACGGGTGGTGCGGGCCGTTGCACTCGGGGGAAATTCTGACGCCTTCGTACACATAACGGTTGTAATATGAACAAAATCACGAAGACTTATCCAAGGACCTCATACTATTAGGTGGACACTTGCTGATGTCCTCTGGCTGGCGTAGTATTGACCTCATCCCATATAGATATCGACTCGTAGACAATTGTTCATTCTATAGAAAGTAGATAAGGCTGAGTAGCTAGTGCCAAGCATTACTGCCAAGCCATACTCTTCCTAAGAAAAATCCCAGCTGATATACAGATATAGTTCCAAGCAACATTACAACGATACTATTCTATGCTGGCTTCTGCCTCTTCTTGAGTCGTGTCCATGTCAGCTTTTTTGCGATGCTGTCTTGGCTCAGCAGAACGCCGTCTGGTCGGTAGAATACCGTGGCAGAAACGTCAATTGGCAGAGTTCTCCCAGACGGCAGCTTCATCGTCACGGAGACAGACACTACGCATTGGGAATATCCAATGGAGTATACTGGACTCCGCGACATTACTAACCCCAAACCCATCATTAGTGGTATGCAATACCATACTCTTTCCAATTACACGCGCGGCTAACAATCTCTAGACACCAGAGAGTATATTATCGAAGCTTCCAGCGTTCAACTCCCAGCTACATCCCGATAGTCACGTCCCTCTCCTCCTCGTCACGCCAGCCTTCGCCTCATGGCTAGAGAAAGGCCACCCGTTCCTCCCAAAACTATTACAACATTGCTTTCGAGAAGCGATCTCCTCGGAAAACGTCGAAATATGCTCGGTGGAAGCAGTGGTTGATAAGCTACCGATTCCCGCGGACCATACAAACAAATTAACGCACGATGGTATTAATGGTATGGAAGGACTGTCGCTGGCGATTGTCAACTGGGGCGCCATAGCGGGGAAAATTGTACCTCAGAAAGGGATCGAGAATGTTTCCACCTCCCACCTGGAGCCGAAAATGTCGATTGCTATCCAAAACCCCTCGACTGGCGCGGAGCTAGAGGTCGGCATGCCTATGGCGAATACGCTTTTCTCTACCGGCAGACCATATACTATGCATGCATCGCGATGGAAATCTACAGAGATGATAGATGAAGTACCGAAAATCACCGATAGACGGGACCTTCGAATGTGCAGGGTTGAGCTACGGACGACCCCCTCGCTCACACTACTTCAAGCTCCATTACACCCAGTCACGGAGCCAAGGACGGTAGTGGAGAGCATGGGAAATATACTCAAGACCGTGTCCAGTGACGCAGGCTCGGAGAGCGACCTTCCAGCATCGACTGAGCTGGAAAAGGCAATACCGCAATACGTAAAGGATAATAACCTTGAAAACCAGAGATTGGCCGTTTGGGCAATGGTGACACCCAAAAACATAGCGGAAGCTCACATTGAATCTTATCTCGATAGCGGTATCGATGTACCTACATCTATGAGCAAAGGGTCTCGACTCTACCGCGTAATGAGCGGCGGAGGTGGATGGGGTAAGAAGAAAGGTCTCCTCTCCCTTGACCCCGAGTACTCCTACGACGACGAGGAATCCGCTTCTAGTCTCGTCTCGATACATGAGATATTTGATGAGGATGTTATTGAAAAGCATAGTGATGACGCTATATTGTTCCGCATCCTCGATGATACCCCTAAGTTTACCGATGTTGATGGGCTGATGATGAGTCCACTACGTGAGGTTGTGACGGCTGGAGATGTGGTGCAATTCTTCGTTGCCTTGCTGGATAATGCCCCGGGTAGGGAAGCTATGTGTGTGGAGCTTCACGAAGACATGACGGAGAGCAATACTCGATTAGATTTCCGCGTTCTGCCTGCTCCTACTGATGCGCCGGCACCTACGCAGTCGACGGGTAACGGAGCTGACCTACCTGACGGAATGATCGTACAAGCTAATAGATTCGGAGCTTGTTCCGAGAAGTCCATGACCTATTCCAGGTCTGTTGGCGAATTCGACGACTCTACGGGAGAAACGGTCGTAGAGTCAGGCACCAAGATCGATGTCCCTGGCGCGAGGCTGGTGGTTGAAATGCCGTGTGAAGAGCCCATCTCTAGAATATAACCATAGAACCTGTATAATAGAATACATATATACCTCTGTTTACCTTGATTGCTGGATTTATATCAAACCGCATCCCAAGTACCGGATTAGTCATCATATTCGGGTCACGTGTTACTTGGCACCTCCCAGCACGTACCCAAAAGTCAAACCTCAGCTTAACAACATCTTGTAAGGGTCAAGCAGGAAGCAACTCGCCATCTCTCATTAATCTTCAACTCTGAACGCCTGTCTCTCGATCCATTGTCCGATCAACCATCAACCTTCCTCCTACTTACCGGTACTCCGTATATTGAAGCTATCTCCGCACTACCGTCGCCATGGCTACTGATCTTTGGTGAGTGCCTGGCCGATTGCAGGCGCCCGGAAACAGAGGCCCTTACCTTCCTGTTGCTCGTATAGCGGGTTAATCTATGTGCTATTTGGCTAACTTCTCCCTCTTCTGCATGCGTGTAGCCCCGTCTACGCGGTTAGTTGAATCGTCCCTTGTCCTGTCATCAACGCAGCCAAAGCGAACCTCAGTTTTGGGAGCTTGGAACAAGCCATTCAGACGAAGGCGGAAAGACGTCATAAAGTCCATCAATCCGGTACTGACATTCTGTTGGCATCATGTAGCCCTTCTTCGGTGCGCTAGGATGCTCATCCGCCATCATCTTCACCTGCTTCGGCGCTGCCTATGGAACCGCCAAAGCTGGTGTCGGCATTTGCTCGACCCTCGTCCTCCGACCTGATATGATTGTTAAGAGTATGGCTATATCCTGCGCCGAGAATTAAGATTCGAATACACCATCTTGGCTTTCATTCTAACGATCGTGTATAGATATTGTCCCCATCGTCATGGCGGGTATTATTGGTATCTACGGATTGGTCGTGTCTGTCTTGATTGCCAACGACTTGAAGCAAAAACTGCCACTCTACACTGGATTCGTCCAACTGGGTGCTGGTCTTGCTGTCGGCCTCGCTGGTCTGGCTGCCGGGTATGTATTTTTCGTCTGGTGTCTAGTGATTGCTATTTGCGTTGAAGTTGAGGTTGTTGCTAACGGGATATTCTTTGGGAATACAGTTTCGCTATCGGTATCGTTGGTGACGCCGGTGTCCGTGGAACTGCTCAACAACCCCGACTCTTCGTTGGAATGATTCTTATCCTCATTTTCGCTGAAGTTTTGGGTTAGTGCCCTCCTTGCAAGATCAAACCTTCCGTGGAATTTTTGTCGTTCTCCTTCAGTGGTCCTCGAACTCGCTCTAACGATATCATAATCTAGGTCTTTACGGTCTTATCGTTGCTCTATTGATGAACTCTCGCGCCAGTCTCGAAGCCACCTGCTAAAGGGATAAGCCAACGCAAGCATCGATGAGCATCCAAGTTCGATACACCCTTTAACGAATACGGGGCATCAGTCAGTGAGATAGGAATGAGGGAGTTACGACGGGTATATAATCTAACGCCATCATCAACTATCATTCCATGACCATGCCCTCAACCGATTTCCTCTATATTTGGATACAAAACGCAGCAGAAAACCAAGCCACCCGTTTTTCTATCTATATCACATCAGTCGTCTTCCCTTATCTTAATTGTCTCCCTTTTTCGCATGTATTCACGTTATTTCGTTGTGTTTAAGAAGAGTTGCCGTTTCATCCTTTGATAGTGGTGCGGATAATTGTATCATAACAGATAGCGGTTATAAAGCGGGGAATTCTATTATATACATAGTCTACCGGTGTCTCCTTTGGGGTAAATTAGTAATGGCGTAGAGTGAATGAAACGAGGATGCAATAAATTCGGGCAGGTTATTCCCGACTCCCTGTAGTATATATGTAAACTCGGAAAGCAAAAAACCGAATTCGAGGTTACTAGGACAGAACAGGATGCATATTCTAAGACAGGAGATGTGGTGGATAAGAACTATCTAGATATTCAAATCAAAACAAGATAGGAACGCCGCGCATAAAAGAGACACACGGCATATGCATAGATAGGAATTCAGCTCAAAAAAGTTAGGTAAGAAAAGAAAATAGAGAGACGGCAATTATATGCAATGATACCGGGAGGGATAGGTATTAGCCTGGGAATAGAAAGAAAAGAAAGAGGTTGCTAATCCCTACTTATCCAACTTCCTTCTCAATGTTCTCGTTCTCTTCAATAGTTTCTTGTGCTTGTGTTTTTTCATCTTTAGCTTTCGCTGCCTCCTGACACTTATCGCATGCATTTGCTCGCGTTGTCGTTGACCCTGAGACCGTTCCCACTGCAGTTGTCTGATAATCATGCGCTGAAGGAAATCTTGCTTGGGCTCAGAGATCGAATGGTCACCGTGATCTTGGTCCTGGTATATGGACGACTCACCCTGGGCGGAGGGAGCTTCCATCTCATCCACGCGTACGAAGGGCGAAGCAAACGTCTCATAGGACTTGGTTCCGTTTGTATTGCGGGTTTCGCGGACGGTGAGGACGGTGGAGAAAGTTTGTTCAAGCGGTTCAGATTCAGAAGCAGCTTCCACGGCACTCGACTTATCGGCGGCGGTCTCCATGCCGTTTGCGCTCTCGAAAGCGCTATCCATCGGAACGGGGGCTGGTGGAGGGTTGAATGGTCGTAGGCGCTTGGCGAACTCTTGGATCGAGGCTCGTAGTTCCTCCGTTGGCACGCCGTCGAGGTGGGTCACGTCTTCGGCGTTGGTTGACGAAGCTTGAGTGATTGCATTCCTAAGATCAAGATCTTCGGTGGACGCCTGGGTCTGGCCTGGAAGGTTCTGCTCGATCGCATTCACGGCGGAGGAGAGGGTGTATATGACGTCCTTTTGTCTCGCGGCGGCTTGCTTCTTGGACGAGAAAATGGACGAGAAAGTTTTGCTATCGTTATTCGGTGGTACAGAGGTGGTTATCGACATCGGTCGGTGGATAGAGAAGAACGAAGCAACGTGAATGTCTAAAGGGTAGCTCATTATTAGCATAGAGCACTTCTTATACGCCACGGAGAGGTATACTACTAACCGTGAGGGTGTAGGTGTTGCGTAGAGGGTACACTCGGCAACTTCAAAGAATTTGCCTGTTTCGACTTGGCCATGTCACCGTCCTTTCCCGCACGCTTCTTGGACGACCGTCCTTCTCGCTTCTCTACATCCTTCTTACTCGACGGGCCGCTGCTAACACTCTTTGCCGGCGTCTGGGCCGGAGGATCGATACCTCTGGAGCCGTCGCTCGGTGGGACTGGAGGTTTCGAGGACGAGTACCGTCGCTGATGGCGGTACGGGGGGTTACCGCTGCTAACGCTGGTTCCAGAGCTGCTCGAAGACACGGCCAGGAGGACTGCTCGAGACGGTAGTGACGCCGTTGACGGCAAAGCCGCCCGGCGCACAGAAGAAGAGATCATCGTGCCGGCTCGGCCAGCTGAAGACGAACGAATGGGGAGAATAGCTGCAGCGCAGGCCAGAGTAGCTGGCGACAGGCAGGAATCCAAGCTGGTGGTGTAGACTCCCGGACTGGAGGCGCCGGTTGGGTGCGTTGGGCTGCTTGAGACTGCTTCTCTTCAACTTCGAGGTGAAGGTGAAGGCCTTGCATCAAGTTCGGTCACAAGCCGCTTGCTTAGGTAAGCCACGTGACGAAGACCACGGACGTACTGATGTTATATACGACAATATTATGATGATGAGACAGGATTATGATGATGAGACAGGATTATGATGATGAGGATACGTTAGAAGTGTCAATATTGTTCATTACTATGGCTATTTCCAACTGGGCGGTCCATAACCGCCAAAAGCAAAGGAGAGCGTATGTAGCAAGCATTTAAACAGAAGGATCAAAACAAATAACTCCCAACGGCCAAAGAGAGTAAAACCAGGAGAGGAAGGGGAATGATGGGAGCGGGTAGATCAGTTCATCGAAACTGTCGTGTGGTTAGTTGGTTTTGTCTATATCAGATATCTCGTAAAAGCCTGGCAGGAAAAATCGGCTCAAGGAAACAGGAAGATGGCCTCAGCAAGCATGAGGATGGAAACAACAGGAAGAGGATATGTAAAGCACAATATGTAAAGCAATTTTCCAACCCTTCAAAAAGAACGCTCGTATGGCCCTTAGCACATGCGGCAGAATCGTCGAGATCCATGAGCGGACAGCATAACGATAAAGCCAAAAAAAAAAAAAAAAGAAAGATAGAAGGAAAGAGATCGGTAACCCATCATCTTACAAGAAAGGGAAATGAGGCAAATGCACACAAAGGAACAACCTGGGAAGGCGAGGTGAAGAGATGAAATGTAAAAAAAAAGAGACACCGCTGGATACGCCACCCGACTATCTGCCGTTGTCCGTTGCGTGGCCAACCGTTAAAACTGCCTTGTGTTTCTCTCGCGTTTTTTTTTTCTTTCAACAAAAATATATATCTTCATCAACTCCAGCTTTTCCACGGCGACCTGTCTGTAAAAGCGAGGACAACAATGACATGTCTGGTATCATATCGGGCGGTCAATGCCACCTAAAACGTATCTGCAAATTTCAAAAGGGTATAAACTAGAAGGAAGGACGAGTGAGATGGGGCTGATTGTAAAGGTCGTCGGCAGAGATGGAAAGTCGGATGATAAGGAAGCATGTTGGTGTTAAAAGGTCGGCAGAAATGAGAGCCGATATGTCAAAAGGGTCAAATTGTATCATTCATGTCATAGTCGTCCGGCCTGGCCTCATAAGATCAAATTATTCAAGTTCTTTTGAATGATCATGTCCTGCACGGAATCCATAGTTGCCTTTAGCAACGTGGTATCGGTTGCGTTGGTATAGTGCGTATATATCTCGCGTTCCGGGACGCGTGTGATACCTCTGAATCGATCGCCGAAGTATTTGGCCGAAGCATCAAAGTCGCCGTCTCGTCCGCTGTAGTCGGGGAAGTGCCTGGAGACGGGTGAGATGGCGAGCTTTTCCTTAAAGAGATCGATTTTGTTTAGGAAGAGGATGACGGGTTTGCGTTTGAACCATTCGCCGTTTACGAGTGATTCGAAAAGCATCATTGCTTCGTGCATTTGGTTCTACATGTGGCGTTAGTCTTCCGTTTTCACTGACAGGTGGATGACAGGATGCTTACCGCTGTCTGGTCTTCAACAAGACACTGGTCGTAGCCCGAGAGTGCAACCATGAATAGCAGGCACTGCACACCTTCGAAGCAATGTATCCACTTCTTTCGCTCCGATCTTTGACCACCAACGTCCATCATACGGAAATTTATCTGCCCTAGCTCGAAGAGCGTCTCTGTGATACCGGTCGTTCGTAGTCGGGAGTGTAGCATGTCCTGGTTGTTGGGAAGCCAGCCAGGTGTGAATATACGGTCTAGGGAATGGAAGTAGCTGTGACGAGTCATGTTAGAGAGAGCTCTCTTAAAACAATCAAGTGTCAAGGGAGTGTGCTGAGCTTACTAGTGGAGGTTATCGTGTAGAGCAAATTCATGGCCTCTGGCGACTGCCTTTTGGACACCAGCGTCCTCCCACATCGTCTTTACGGCCTCACGCACTTTGATATCCGTGAACGCTTCATCGCACTCGACGTCTGCTTCGCTGTTTTGGACGAAATGGGCGAGTGGCTGTATAACGGTTAATATGCAAGCTCCATCCAGTCGATGCAAGGACATACCTCTGTAGATTCATGTTCGAAGTTTATATTCTCCGCCTCCATAATCTCGATAAGCAGTTTGAAGGCGACAATCATGTTGGAATAGATGACCGCCCGGGTCTGCCGGCGTTCGTCTATGGGAAACCCGCCGGAGTGGATGATGCGCATCTGTTTTATGATTGTAGATTTCCCAGATTCACCGGCACCTGCAGGAAGTAAACATTAGCGACTGGAAGCTATACCGCGGTCTTCTGACATACCGAGAAGCAGTATCTTGACCGTCCGGTCGTATTTCTTCTTGTCTGCCCGGATGGCCTTGTCTATAGCGGCGCTCTGCTTCCCCTGCTCCTTCATCTCCGGACTGACATCTTTCGAGTTCATGCAACCCATTGTATCGTTGATCTTACCGTAACAGTTAGCACCGCGAAGACGAGTCTCTTCCGAACTAGACGGGTCTCTTGACAAGGAAACAAACCGAGTATTTGTGAGAATGTAAAGAGAACGAGAGAAAATGTGGGAATGGGTGAACAGTTCAGTTCCCGCGGTGGACAGACTCCGGCTCAATGCAGGTAGCACAAAACACACAACCAAGATCCGACGCAGGACGAGAAGATAGCATCCAGCGTAGGCAGCCGGCAGTGAGAGAGCAGTCGCTTTGAGTAGAGGCAGGTAAGATTTCGGTTGTTGGGGCCGTGGTTGTGGTGGTCGTAACCAGGCGTGAAAACACAGACCGGCCTTGGTCGAGATGCAGATACGACGAGAGAGGGATACGAGACAAGCGCAGGAGGATGCCGAACAGCCAGTGTATCCTGAGCCTCGTCTTCGAGCGACGCTGGGTACCGAGTATGTATATGTATATCGCGGGTTCGGGGTTCGCGGGAAGGCTGCGTCTCGCCGTTGCTGCTCTGCAGGCCTCCGGATGCGAAATGCGATGCGATGGGACGTGACGGATGGCTGTGAAGGAGCCAGGGATTCGAGGACTTTAGCAAGCGGAGGAAAGGTTTGGTCCCGTTCAAGGGTTGACCTGGCTGGTCCTTGGGAGGAGGGATGGTAGGGTGAAGAAGTATACGTGACGACGGGAGGTTATACCGGCCGTATAAGTAAGTAATCTGTACCGGCGGCGTCGGGGATATGCCACGGATAATTATCGTAAATGCGACTACTGCATCGAAGAGGAGACGCAGACAGAGCGAGAGGAGGGAGAAGCGAGGAAGAAGCAAAGACGGAGGGCGAGTTCTGTATATACAGGGGGAGGTTATAGCTCGACGTGGGATGTTCCATCTCGACTTCTACTCCATCTCGACTTTCTGCTCCATCTTCAACTTCTACGCCATCGCCATCGCCATCTCGTCCACCTCCATCTTCTGCTACAGACATCCCGGTCCCGCCCAGCAAAACGTGGCCCTCTCCCCACGGCCTCGCATGGGTTTCTCGCTCCCTTCGACCTCGATGTTTCCTCTGCAGGCCGGCCAAAATTAAGGAACGACGGCGTGGTTTAGCGTGCGGCCCGCGGCCCATCCATCGCGCGCATCGCAAGAACCGCACCTCGACCAACAAAAGATCCCCATTTCTTACGGAGGATACGGCCATCCTGACCCCGTTCTTCTGCTCGATACGATGGGCCACCCTGGACCGTCCGGATGCAACCCCCGGCACTTCCCCTACGGCCTTGACTAAGAGGAAGAGCCTGAAACGAAGCATCCGTTTCACCTCTATTCTCTGGTCTACGGACTCTACTCTGGTCCGCACGTCGGTCTTCTGCTGTCGGTCTTCTGCTGTGTGCTCAGTGCCCGTCTCCATCGAGTGGCGTTCTGTCAGTGTCATGGCCGGCCGTCTATACGGAGCAGCTGGACGACACGCATTTAGATCAGACATATTCTATAAGAGATCTGCCTATTACTTTACAGAGTATATTACTAGCTGAAGTTAGTGCTCCCCGTCGACTTTGGAAGCGAATTAAAATTAGTCGACGTTCGCCTGCGTTGATGGACTTGTATATACAGTGTGGATGGGACTATCGAGGCCATCCATGTTCCCTGGAGGAGGAGGACTGCCCTTGGCTCTACATATCATCTCCGGTGTCTGTCTCACCACAACTGTTGCTGGAATTACTCCATACATGTCCAAGATCGGCCACAGGCAGAGCACAGATGGCAAACGCAATGTGTTAGCACCGCCCGATGGGCCGATGGCTGCAGCAGTAAGGTTGGTGGAGTTAAAACATTTACCTGACGATACTTCTCGGCGATCAACTATCGAGAAGCCTTGGAAAAACGAACGGGTGGAGTGTCAAGTCGACGAAGAGGAGGCTGAGGTTTGAGGTTCGCCAGTTTACTTCTGTACCTAAGTATTGGCACTGCTCCCGTCCGTATCCCATTTTGATATCAATCACAAAACGTCTTGAGAACGAAAACGAATCAACTTCCACCCTGACACGACTATCCCATAGCCACCACTCCCTCCATCCCTCCCTACCTCCCTACCTCCCTCTTCCCTACCTCCCTACCTCTCCAGGCTCCCTTCCATGTCACACGCAAGTATTAGTCTACCTCTCAAGTTGGCGCATGTCGTGTGACATGCTCGACGACCAGCTGGTTCGCATCCTTACTTCTTCTTGCTACTCCGTACACACATACCGAAGGAGATCTTCGATCGCTAGCAGCACGGAGTGCACCTCATTACTGCGGAATTCTCCGCCGAGAACATCCCAAGAAACCTATTTTGTACGCGGAATGGCTTGGTGAATAGGCTTGTGGGATTCAAGCATATCTTGACTTTTCTCCATCGTGCATGTTCCCTCGTGTACGGCTTCAAATGGGCGGGATGGTTTGGGGTTTGAGGTTATGCCGTGCGTCCTTGGTACTCTAAGTATAAACCATCATACGAGCGAAGTACTCGGTACACCCACCAACCAGAAGCTCGGTGTATCAAGACGGACGGTACGGAGCTGACCGTGGCCATGGTTCACCTCCCCAACACTGCGCGGTCCAAGGGTAAAGGACAAGACATCGTCTCTGAGATAGCGTCCAGTCAAGGCGAGGAGGAGACGAAGGGAGAGAAAAGCAAATACACGCCCAAAAAAAAGCATTTTGTCTTATGGGTTTTTTTGCGCTGTGGCAATCCCCGTGCAGATCATCCATCCCTTGCTGTTCCTTTTTGTTTTGTTTTTTTTTCTACTCCCCACCAAACCGATCTTGGGACTCCGTATGGAGTACTAGAAAATCGATGGTTGCCGCAACTCGCTGTTAAGCGTGGCCGAATAGGCATGCAGATGAGAATGATGAGCAGATGATACGAGGTACAAGACAGGGCCACGGCGTACGGAGTGGCCTGGTTCCTGAGCACTGAACTGAGAACGACGGGGGTACAATGGATGCTTCGTACACACCAGCATGTGATCCTGTCGATATTGGGCATGAAGGCACCTCATCAGCTCTGTGGACCTGAACAACATCGGATCCAATTTATCAGAATATCAGGAGGCGACAAGTGCCTTCTTTGCTACTATTGATCTCGACGTCAGGATGACAAGGGGTCTACTGCAAGTATATGGGCCTAGCTAATGCTGGCTGGCTGATGCGATATGACTTGCTGCGATGCAATCGAGATGTACGATGTACGCAGTACTTAGTACTCGATATACGAAAACGCCATAGCCGCGATTCTAATGTCGAGTAGCCAACCGAGGTTCGCACCAGATATGGAAACAGGTCGAGGGCTAAGGTAAGGCGATCTCCTCCCGATATGAAACATTAATTGCTCTTCCAAGTGCCAGAAAGAGCGTAGTAACATGGTCCTCTCTTTGAGGATCGAGAGAGGGCGTTTTTAGAGCAACTATGGAGGAATCATAATTTGCCATGCTCGGGGTATATCTTCAACGCTAACTATAATCCATCGTTCAGCCACGAAGAAGCCATCAACCCTTTCAGAGTTTTGGCGATAGAGAAGCGACCAGTGACTCCTCAGCGGCTGAAGATGGCTTTTCCCTTGCGATAAGCCCCAGAGGCGTATGGTGATGTCACTACCCCGTATACGAGGGTAAAACAAAAATGACCTCAAAAGGGGTGGACAAATAAGAGATGAAGAAGCGTGGCTATCATACGTCGTGGAAGGCGGCGTCGTTACACCAAAATCATGGCGTCCGGCTGGGGCAATGTTCTGGAATAAACATATTTACTTCTGCAGCCACATGTTGCCCTTATCAACCAGGCTTCATACTTAGCTTCTTCGGGGTAGGCGTTTACACTGTGGTATTTTTGTGGAGGAGGCCAACGCACGGCGATTGGCAGCCAACTAACGTCAAGTCGGCGCACGATACTCGATGGAGCTCGTGAGCCGCCAGCCCATTCGATAGTAGTTTTGCCTTTCTGTACTATATCACTTAGGCAAAAGCTAGAAGCCCGTCGTCCCGCTAGACAAGCGCCATCATATATATAGGCTTTTTTGTTTAGCCTATTGCCGTTGCTGCGTGGGATCGCTGGTGGCCTTGCTTTGTGCAGCTCTTGGATGGTGAACAATTGGTTGAAATACACTGGTTCGGCGTGCTGTTGGCGGAACTGGCTCCGTTAATGTATGTACCTTATACGGGGTACGGAGTACTTGTGCACACACAAGCACCTTTTGATCGGGATCGGGTACCACATTTTTATCTTTATTTCAAGGATTGTGGTGCGGGTATGCATGATCTGAAACGTCAGATTCTTACGAATTAACGACATACGATAACGACAAGGAGCACTCACACTCTGATAGGAAGCCTCTTCGTGACTTCGCTACTCGCGTTTTGTGTATGCTGCTGATTCGAGCTGGCCAGCCTCGATCAGGGTACTTTCTATCCTAAACGCTCTGGCGTTCTGGTACCCAAACAGAACAATCATTTATCCCTGAAGGCCCTTCGTACATTGACGCCTTCAAAGTATGTTTCTATAAGCAAAACATTCCTTTAAGGCTCAGGGATGTAGTCTCTTCATGACACGTCGGTAGAAAGGACGTCAGCTTTTGTCGTCAGCTTTCAGGTCCATCCAGACCTCCAGCAACGCCAGGGTTAAGGGCACTAAGGGATTCACGGATTTCATTTCACATGTTTTAAGACATGTGTAAATGGAAAGGCTTCAACACTCCCTATCCCTCGCCACCACATTAACTCACCCGGATATAACCACCTTTGGTTCGAGGGGCTCTCTACGGCGGCGGAGCATATATTATGTAAAATCTATTCGCAATCACGGCTCGCAACCTTGTCGCGGGCACTCTTCCGCAGGGTATAAGAAGGTTGACTTGGATCGAAGAGGCCGAACTCTGCATCCCCGCGCTGGTACTAACGAGGATAAGGGGGGGTTGAGAAAGAGTTTTTCGGTTAACCCACGGGAGCTAGAGATGAAATCGAGGGGTTAGCATTGTTGTTAATTATCTGTCTTTAAGAAGCTGGATAGCATAATCAGGGAACAATTTCTCAGGTAAGCTGGCTTCATTCGATAGTTGAGCCGCTTAACAGTGCGCCAGTTGGGAGTGAAGAATTGTGCACGCAAAACATGATATCTTAGCGTTCTACGTTTGATTCATCCAAGGTTTGTATCTTGATACCCTCAAACGAGAACGGGAAAAAGGAACGAGGGATACGATAACCATCTCTATCCCTTGCTCAGGCAGCTCTAGAACCCTACTTAAATCATGTGATTAGTATTATACCCCGGCCTATAGACATGGGTATGGGGCTTACCAGTATCAGATCTCTGTGATGAGCTCTGAGGGGCACCGTTTTTCCTTTCCAAAGGCCCGTTTGTTGATAGCTGGTGGCGGGAGGTGTGAGATGAAGTTGATAGTAATAGCATCCACTAGACGGGATTTTAGAAGACGATCGCCACAGCGTTGCGTACCACCCGATGCTCACTTCCAAGTGCGCATACCACCAACCTTAAGTTGAACCGTTTGAGGGGCCGTATAGAGTATATGAAAGCGGATAGGTGGTGCTGTAGGTAAGGTGAAAGGGAATACTTGGAGGAGTCGGACGGGGAGCAGAAACGTGCTAGCTGTGTGAAAGACCTTTGGAAAAACCGCCTGGCTTCATGGTATGAAGGTATGGAGTAGTTTGTGTAGAAATTGATTTGTCTGCCACATTGAGGAGTCTGTAGAATGAGTTAAACGAGGACCCGAGCGGAGATAAGCAGAGAGAATAAAGGAGCGTGGCTGATCTATGTCGAAAACTTGAAGCTTAGATATCAATAGCCGCTCTCATAGATTGTTACTTGGGTATCACGAAGCTAGGATAATCCTCGGGAGGACGCTCCCTCCCCTCGACCCGTCCTATGTCATAGCTTGCAAGGGTCATAATTTTGTCAATGCATAACTGAGGCACTCCAACCTTGGTGCATTAACCAGGAGCCAGTTAACGTTAAACCCGTTCGGGCCCTAGATCTGCTCGGGGACCACTAGTTATAACATGACCTGTTTTCCTTCTGATTAAGTGAGGGCACGCCAATTACAGACCCGAGCCCCTTAGTTGTTGGCGCTTGCGTGTTCTGATCACACGTAGACCTGTACCTTACCTGCATTTGCCACGAGCTAGCTGTCAGGTACTCTGGGCTGCATCTGAAACTTGCTTTGATACAGTATATGCAATGCGATGCGCATGTTGGACGCTGAATCATATACCACACCACGAATGCGCCGTACATCTAGGTATGTGTTTATTGGACAGAGCTGGGTAGTAACCAACATGGCGACGTGTACGGGATCTTCCGCATCATGTAATATGGCCAGTGCGCGGCGTTCCTCGATGCATCTAACCGTTTCATCAAGGA